CCCCCCCCCTTCAAAAGACTATTTTACCACGACCCTTGAGTATGGACGCAGGCGGTCTTACTCAAATGACTCAAAATTCTTCGTTCAATAGCCCTTCGCTAGGCGTTCCGGGTACTGGTTACGCTTCTCGAGGAAAGGGCACTCATATCAAACGCCTGAGTGTTCCTCCTCAGATTTCGACTATTGATGAGGCCGCTCCGGCCACCAACATTGCCACACCCCGGACCAGTCGTTCCCATCTCTTGGCTGGCCTGCGTACTGCCCCCAAGTCGGCCACCGTTCCTTCTACATACCACCAGCAATTTCAGGGCCATGGCCGTGTTGGACTTGATGGTAGTCGCTATGCAATCTCCTCGAACAGGGCTGGTGATCGTGTCCCTCAGACGGCAACAGGGGCTACCTTCTCTCATCACTCGTATGGACTGGATTCACAGAGTGCAAACATGGGATACAACACAAGCCGTCCTCTTTACTCTCTTCCAGAGCAAGTGCTAGCGCCACCGGCGATTGACTTGGGAGATGTTGAGGCCATGGATGAAAAACTTTACGCTGAGCTCATGACCACCAACCTATTCTTAGCTGCGCAGCAGCAGCGCCTCCAGCAGCAGTTGATGAGTGTTACTGCTGCTGCTCAGCAATTCCAAAATTTAAATATGGGTGGCAACCATCTCAATCAGCAATTCCAACAGCAGTTTACACAGCAGCAGCACCAGGGCCAGGGGCAATTCGCATCCTTTGTTCCGGGTATGAGTTTGTATCAACAACAGCTGCAGCAGGGTATGCAGCCCATTGTCCAACCCGTTTCTGGCCAACCGGGTTTGTATTCAGTGTACAATCCAATGACCGGGCAACAAAGCTTCGTATTCGATAACAGTACTCCTTCTCCCCAGGAGGAAGATCCTTTACCTTCTTACCACGAGTCAATTCAATCGCCTATTGGAAATTCTACAGTACCCTTCCGCGCTGAAGTTTCACCACCTCCGGAATCCACCCAGACTTTTTATCATTCTTCCCGGTCTGGGTCACCCAAGGGTACTCCATCTCCTCCGAATGCCACTCCGCCGCTTTCATCACTTAATGAAAATTCTTTGAGACGTAATCACAAGAAAAGCCACTCATTTGTCCCTGGCTTGCGTGCTAACACCGAACTCGCACGAACAGGAGGCACAGGCCCACGGTCTGCTGCTCTTCCCCCCACGCCTTTGACAGGTACGTTTGGACCCGGTCAGGGTCGCGCAGGTGAGCATCCCAGTCGCCAGCCACGAGGACCTCCTGCGCTTGAGGAGCTCGTTGCCAAGCCCACGTCGAAATATGAGGGCAGCAAGAATTTTGCAACTCGCCAGCGACGACGGGCGGTTCACAACTTAGTACGTGCGGGAATTGAGCGTCGAGGCGAATCTCGAAGCAATAACGGCAGTGGCGGAAGTAACACACCAGCCAGCGAAACTGAATTTGTCTTTTCTGTCTCCGATGGGGACGACAGTCGTCGCGGTAGTGGCAGCCTTTCTAGCAAACCTAGCTTGGGGAGCTTGCGCGCCTTCGCTAATGGGGCTATTGGATCCGAGATTAAGGAGAAAGATCGCACGTCGCGAGACCGGGTCTCTCAGGAAAACTTGTATGTACAGTCGACCCCTGGTGGTGAAGAAAGTTTTCCTAGTGCCCTGTCTCCCCTGGGCCCTCCATCGGCTGCTTCTATTGTCGCTGGTCATCGATCTGTTAACCAGAGCACCGAGCGACGAAAGACGCCAATGTTGGTGCTATCCAGTGCGGAGAAGCGGAAAGGCCCTATCATGTGAGGTTACTTTGAATATTTCACATATTTCAACCAATACTTGACGACAATGCCAGTGAAGGGTTCTACTCTACAACAGGCGCTTTAGCCTGGAATGTTTACGTTCATGTCTCTCTTTCAGTTAGCCTTTTTTTTTTTTTTTTCTAAACAGTCTCTATTTCTACTTCGCTCGTCTCCCTTTCTACGCTTGATATGAGGTGCTTGGGCCTTGTGCTATTCCACTTTGAGTGAAAACTCTCTTTTATGTTTTGTGTGATCATGTCCTTTTCTTCTCTATTTGTTGCATACTATGCGATGGGGTTGTTCAAACCACGTCATCTTCCTTTACATGCCAAGTCAGTTGCACTGACAATATTGGCCTTACTTCGATCAGTGATGCTTTGATATCTTTGACAGACCGTCTCACGACAAATATGAACTCAAATCAATTAAAAATTATAAAAATTTCATTGATTGAATTGCTCAGTAGTGCGAATTTCGGACTGACTTATCAGTTGTAGGATTGAATTGATACATAATTGAGACAAAACATACACGTACATACACAAAATAGAGGCATACAAAAAAGACAGAGACCCGATAATAAAGCGGCTTTGCTTTGGTGGACTGTCTTCTTTCTGCCCATGTGGTCCCCATGTTTGTTGAAGACATGCTCGGGGACATTGAACACCGCTAGGCCGAAGTTGACCAGAATGATCTCAATGCAAGATAGAGTGCATCGACGTATATGGCCAAGTTTCTGGATTACGAGCATGATAAACCCTGACGCGGACAAGCGGTACTGTGATCGCGGCAAGAAGTCCTATATAACAAACAGCCGCTCCTTGTTGATACTACCCGTTATACAAAAAAAAAAAAATTGGTGATGACAATGATCAGGACTTTCTTTTAGAGCAAAGAATTTTGCCGGAGGGGTATTCATAAGTCCTTTTGTCTTTTGGTTTTTATTATTTACATATTCAGCGGACTCGACGGGCATCGAAGCGATGGGGTTGTCTGCGAGGACGCTGGTGAACTGGAATTGGCTCGTTGATATACGGTTCTGATGATTGACTTGAAGATGAGCCATCCAATCCCGCATGAGTAATCATTCTCACGGCTTCTTGCCGTTCATATTCTCTTGACATGATAGCTAGGTCGTTGATTTGCTCCTAAGGCGCCAAACCTATCAGCAACCGGTCGTTGGTCTTTTTTTATTCCTTCCTTGGTTACTCACGCGTGTAAGAGGCATTCCATTGATTAGATATCCCTCGCGTCCCTTCAGGTTGAATTAGACATGGAAAAAAAAAAACGTTTTCACAGTGTCAGGGCGTGTGTCGTTCATGTATTACCTACCTGGTACGTAAATGGTCTTGCCGAAGCATTGGGACCAAGAAAATATTGGATATGTCCCAGGACAATATGGCGAGAGAGACCGAATCCAGGAAGCCAATATTGCTGTTCACGAGCAGTCGACATTATTAGGAAGGTTGTTTTGGATGGAGATTAATCGAAGGTGTTGCCGTGGTTGGGAGATGGTATACAGAGACTGGACTTTGAGGGCAATATCACAACGATAGCGTATTGTATAATAGAGAGGTTGCTGGTGATGTTCGTCAGCCAATGCCTATAATCATATAAAAATACATATAGTCTTATACTCTGACCACAGGCAAAGCCTCAAAAGGTGTTTCATTGCTGGGACCGCAGGGACCAACTAGGCTTTCCAGTGTCCAGTCCCACAATAGCACAGAATTTTACAGAGAATTCAACCCAATTGTATGACATGCATGACCATGTCGTAATGTCCTCATAATAGCTTTTAAAGTGCAGTGCTCCGGAAATAGATAACAGGGTGATCCACTGGTCACTGTTGGTAAGTAGTTTGGTGAATCTCAGATATTGATCTTCCTAATTGACCGCAAGGTGGCTACGAAGGTGTAGAGGAATTTCAGCGCATTTACTTTCACACGCACCTTGGTCCTAGATTTCTCACCAATAGGAGCAATTCTCGTATTCCACAGGTACAAGTCTCGTCCTCCTTCCTCTCTGTTCTTTGCTAGGTTCACCGCGTTTAAAGGCGAGGGGCGGAGATTAAGAGCAACCGATGACTTTCCGCCTCACTTTTCCTCTCTCACGGCACAAAAGTGAGGCTAGGCTACTAGCTTTGGCCAGCGAATTGTCAGCCAAGCAGCAAAGATTCGCGCTCTCTCATTGCACTGCTTTCTTGCGTTCGTTCTCTCCTTTCCACGGGATTCTGCGGACACCAAGTAGTGGGACTCAGACTCCATGCATTATTGCATGCAACAACTTCCAGACAGGCCTAAAAGCGTTTGTTTGGGTCGGAAGTTTTGTTGCTGCTGCTGCTGCTGCATGTAATCGCCCCAGTATCAGATGTGGTTGTCGTGGCTCCAACACCGGCTGAGTACTGCTTCCCCTCAGGAGTCGGGGTGCATCGCTGCTGTACAGGGTCCGCGAGTGGTCTTCTTCGGTGAAGGCTTAGCCAACGAGTACTCTCTAGCTAGTTATGTGAGAGCGATTGTGCGTGTTTGTGTGAGAGAGACTGTGATGTGTGTGTGGTATGTAACTGCGGGCCGTCGAGGCACGGGACTGCCTTCTGCACCTCGCCGAATTCGTCTCTTCGCTCTATTCTCTCCTACTCTGTGATGGATACCTTCATGTTTCCCTTCCCCCACCAATTGGGCCTCGACTGCTTGAGAAGCGTGAAGTGTTAAGACATACACCTCGCTCTACGTGTTCTCAGGGCCGGGCTGGATTGGTCTCGATTCGACTCGACCGCGTTCCTGTCCTTGCGTCGAAAGAAAGGCGGTCTGCAAAAAGAAAAAAAAAAAGAAGTGTCACTCTCTACTACAGACAGCTACGCTACGCATACAATGGGGAAAGCAGCTTCAACTTCGGCCCTTCGAGTTTTGACTGCTAATCGTCGCACAAAGGAAATGACTAGTCGAGGAGATCTGTATTGGATCTTGCAGCCGAAGCAATCATACCTCCAGGCATGAAGCCGCAATAGTCTAGCCGATGCCCACTGACTCGCCGGGCTTCTGGCTGCTTGAAAAACGGTGCCCTACGAACCAAGTGAATGATCGGCATTGCCTAGCAATTGCCGTATCAACTTTGGATATATGCCTGACACCTTTATCTAATGAGTCCGGCAAACCCACGCTAGAATTGGCCAATGCGTACTCTGATCTTAGGTGTCCTGGTTGATCAGGGTCGTCCTTCGTACAAGAGACCCATACGACTACTGGCAATCAGTCGATGCTTGACTTTCTAGGATCTTCAATATCGGATGCATGGTACCGGCCTGGTGTATGCTCGCTCCGCTATTCGCAGCCGTCGATATCGAAGCAGGATTAGGAGTGTCTCCATCTACATGCCAGTCCACCGATACGATATTCAATCCTCGATGTCAATCGCAGATCCTGCCTTGGTAGTGCTATTAGCAAATCAGTGAGGCGGCGCTCCATTATGACTAGAAAGATACCGGCTTCTACGTACCCTCTATTCATGCATCACGCTATATCAATCGTAAAATCGCGCTCAGGCATTGCCTAGAGATCAAGCCTTCTGCAGCGCCTCATCCTGATCTTGGTGAGAAATGCATAGGCACAACCTTATAATCCTTAATCGGAGCCACATTCATCATCGCCATGAGGTCTAATAGCTAGCTATCGTGATTGGGTACATCAACAAGGATGAACCTGGTTGTTCATCATGATGCAACAACGATCATCCATGGCACCCCAGTAACTAGATACAATTGGTAACCTGCAAGACGAGGAGAAACCTTTTTCTATAACCCCTGCATACGTGAAGGAGAACGAGTAGGGTTGTAGACTACTGTCATGAGTAGAGCCCTTGGATTACAAGATATTCATTTTCTTTTTCCCCTGAAGCCTTACTCCCACGGCATGCATTCAGCTGGTCCTTTGAAGCCTGACCTTGTGTGACATTGCCTCACAATTACCTTGGATAGGTAGCTCATGCTGGTATATACTCGTTCAGTTTGTAATGTCTGATTTACAGCGTTATGAGCGGTCCTGAAACACATGAATTGACTTGTAGTGATAGGGAAGAACGTGGAAATATGTCTCATTATTATCTATTTTCATCACTCATACTCAAATCTCAGGGCTCCGAAATCGTAGTTCATTCTTACTCTGGCGGAACGTATGGCTTCACCAGCATCTCGCTAAACCTATAGTATGGTCAGTCTACTTTTGCTTGTTATGTAATGATCAATGGGGGGTCGCATCATACGTACTTCTCTAATTTCTCCTTCCCTCGCACCTCTTCCACTAGCAAGGGCATCCTCACTACATTGAAATCTTCATATAACTCTTCAATCTGCTCTAGATACTTCTTTTGCATCTTCCTTCGCGCATTGCACTGCTCACAGGGATTGTCCTTTTTGGGGAACAAAAGCTGGTTGACAACGATGGAGTGTGTATCGATTGAGTAACCGGTCAATTCCTGGATCATTCGTTCCGTTTCATACAACGACAAGAACTCGGCAATGCACACGCAGACAAAGGTAGTCATATCGGCATTTTTGAACTGCGTGTTGACTTCACTAATCGTTTCACGGAGCGATTCCATCTTCTGCATTAGCTCGTCCAGGTTCTGGCCGCCTGGCAATCCACCTCGCGATCCCAGGATTGAATTCAACATAGGCCCGAATTGACCAGAGAGTTGCGAGAGCTTAGCCAAGGCCTTTTCGAGAACGGTCGGGAATTGCAAGAAGCGAAGCGTGTGGCCGGTAGGCGCTGTGTCGAAGACAATCACCTCGTATGACAGGGATTTCACCTGTTTCAGAACCTCCGCAAATGACATGGCTTCGTCCACACCAGGAATCTAGTATCTTGCAAATTAGTATCCCGCTATGGTCCCTAAATTTTCTTGTTGTATACTCACGCTAAAGGCCAAATCCTGCATCATGCCACCCATCCCGAGCCCGGCCAACGGATCATCCTGTGCCTCGCCACCAGAAGCTAGCAAATCCTGGATGCTGCCATTGGGATCGATTTCCATAGCACTCAAATTCGTGAACCCGTCAACCAAACGAGCCTCCTTGCCGAATTTCTGTCCAAATGCATCGCTGAGGTTGTGTGCGGGGTCCGTGGAAATGAGCAAGACGGACTTGCGGACCTTTGAAAGCTGGATGGCCAGAGAGCAGGATGTAGTCGTTTTACCGACACCACCTTTTCCGCCCACGAAGATCCATCGCAGGGTTTTCTGGTCGAGGATGGATTGAAGCGTGGGCTCGAGGGCGTCGTCGTCGTGGATTAGAGCGGTCGACGACATGGCCGGGGGGGGGATTGTATGGATATTCCGGGGAATCAGACTGCAATCGTGCTCCAATAAGCTGCGATACCTAGGTACTCTTCGCGCGGCCAGTCGAGACAGCTCCTCCCAGTGAGCTCAGACGTTTGTTTAGACGACGGTCGAAGTTTCCGGAAGATGAGATTGTGGGGTATGTCCCTGCCTGAGGTACCTAACGAGCTACTTACCTAAGTACCTCGTATATGTTATGTATATTCCTCTTTCTTCTTCTTCTTTTTTTTTTTTTTTTTGAAAAAATTAACAATACATTATGTCGAATAACTTGCTTCATATTTTTTTGATCATACCGTCAACGGCCTTGCGACGCCGAGCTCCACCACATGCGCCGGAGCTCTGCAGGCTTGCGGCGGTCTCCGACGCAGAAGCTTGCCTATATCTTGCTGTGATCCCCGCATGCCTTTTTTGCTGTCGAGAACAAAATTCCTAAGGAAACAGAGATCACCTTTTTACGTCCGCGCATGGACATGCGAAGAAGCACAGAACTCTCGCTAAACAGGACCGAAGAGCGTCTTGCCCTCTATCAGCGCCATCTTAGCAATCCATCCACGTCCGGCGAACACGAGCCAAGCGCAACTGCCACAGCAGCAACAACCATGGCTCGCGACCCTATCACTTGCCACGTCCTCAATACATTGACTGGGACCCCGGCGGCGAATTTGCCTTGCACATTAACCCTATTGTCCGGGGGTGAGCCGACGAGAAACGCCGCTGGCGAACTGACCACTTTCAACGCAACCACAGACTCCGACGGGAGAGTGAAAACATGGAGTATTTCGCCGTCGTCAAGATCGGGTGCGTCCTCTTCTTCTGTCTCGACTGTCCTGGCATCTGGGGCGCAACCAGATGCGAAAACGACCTGGTCCATTCGATTCGATGTTGGGTCATGGTTTGAGTCTCAGGGTATAGAGAGCTTTTGGCCGGAGGTTGAGGTTAAGTTCACAGTCCGTGGACGTGGTATCGAAGGCGTGGACGGCTGGAGGCATTATCATGTCCCCGTTTTGCTGGGCCCGTGGAGCTATTCGACATACCGCGGTTCATGAGGATGCGTTGCTTGGTGTTTTATGGCTTATGCTTCAAATGATGGATTCATTCAATCTCAGAAACTACCGGCTCACAAGGTCTAATTCCGACCTCTTTTTAAAGAATACATGCACTTGTCAGTCTAATATAAACATCAATCGAAGCATATGGAACAAGTAACCGTGCCATATACAGGATAGCCCAGACCACGAAACTAACAAACGCTGCACGCTAAGCATTGAATATCTATGAACTTTTCCTGATGCAAACCAAGTATTCATTATACAGGAAAGACATAAACGAAAAAAGGGCAAAAGAGGCAGGGGGGTATCGTTCAAATAAGCATGAATATATGCAAACCTTCCAGTATGCTCTATAGAAAGTCTGGAAGGTATAGATTTCCGAAACAATTTGTTTTTAAATGATGGGGAAAAAAAAAACGTTTGAAGTGAAGAACTTCCCTTCATTGTTTACTCCCCTCTAGCCGATAATCAAGGGACCAGATCTTCTCCCATGGCCTCAGTCTGGATGATTGCTTGCTCGGTGAGGAGTCACCAGAGTGCAAGTTATCTGCCTCTGGTGGCGCTGCTGGAGACATAGGCGATGTCGACGGTAACCCGCCAACACGCCGAACTCGTTCAGCGGCCTGCAGATCCGTCAGTGCATCCAAGGACATGCGATATGAAACGGAACATCTCGGGCTCAAGATTTCCGCAGTAATAGGTCACGGCGAACCTCATCATACATGGGCGCGGACTCCCGCGTTTGTAAGCTAGCATCAGCGTCTGCGGGCTGCACGCTGTCCCCGACCGACTCCGTTGCAACCAGGGGCGGAGCAGGTGTGCCTTTTTTGGATGCAGAGCTATTTCTACGACTATCCAAGCTCTTCGTCAGTGTTTTCGCGGCCACATTGCCTCCAGCGGTAGAGCGTTTGAGCCGAATGGATCCCCTGGCGTCAACATGCGCTGAAGCAACCGTGCTTTTCCCTAGGCCTGGGGTGCTGGGAGCACCTGGCTTTTCCTCCGTCGCATCCAAAAGGTACCATCGCAGACCGTCGGATAGCTCGAACGGGTTTTCATCATCGTAAGAAGTTCCATCGCTTGTGATTGAACGACGATCTTGACTAGCACCATTCATAGATCTAGAAAGATCAACCACCCGCTCTTCGATTTTGCCAATACGGGCTAGTAACCAATCTCTAGTTGAGAGTTTATGAACGTCTTGCTCCCGGAGGAAATAATGTGGCGCGCCAACATTGAATGCAGCCCAAGACCGAATGGCCTGGTTGCGAGTTGGCAGAAACAGTGCAAGGTCACCTTCTTTGAAGGAGCGGTAGGCGATCTTATCGTGCGCTTCGCTTTGTGTACGATGGTATTTGTCGCGGTAGCCTCGCGCTTCCTTTTGCCACTTCCGTGCCAGGACTTCAATGTCCTTCTCCCTCTTCACCACGGATTCACTGAATAGGTCGACATCAAACCTCGCCATTGAATCCATAAACTCTCTGAACCGCACGTCTTCACTGGTTGCCTCATTCTGTACCCAAGCGCACAAAGTTGGATCTGGGCGAAGAGAGGCTACAATGGATGTTGATAGCAGTTCTCCCGATGCAGATGCGCTGTTGACTTTCGACGCTCTCTGTAACGTGAGCTGGTCATCTTTTTGGACTATTGCAAATCCAAGTTGCTCTAGCATACGTCCCATTTTCTCGGCCTGCGTAAAGAGTTTCTGCGAAATTTCCTGAGCTCTGCTCCCGCGTGCACTCAAGAGATCGATGGCCTGCTTCTCAGAATCTTGTGCGAGTGTGAGCTTCTCGCGAACTTCCTTGACTTCCTCTTCTGCTGCGTGTGCTTGTGCATTCAACTGGACTAATTTCTGTGATAGAGACGAAACCTTGCACTCTTCTTCTACCAAGCGCTCGCGAAGAACTTCAGACCCCGTCTCCCCAGCGGAAAACTTGGATCTCAGGTGGTGAAGTTGGCTTCGCTCATCACCGAGCTCGCTTTTCAAGACTGACACTTGAGACTGTTCTTGAATCAGCTCCGCTCGCAATCTTGATATTTCTGCGCTGTGACTATCCAGCAGTTCGCGTGACCGGGCAGCTTCGGATTGCTGAAGACTTAGTTTGTCTTCCACTTCTTTCTTTTCCTGAAGCAGAGCTCCATGCAGGTTTTCTGATTTTCTGGCATGGATCGTAAGACCCTCGGCCAAAATTTCAATGGCTTTGACTAAAGACGCAAAGTCAGACGGCATTGCGCCTTCTGGAGAAAGAATAGCATGCGTTGCTTGCAAGGTATTCAGGTTCTCCACATTCTGACCATTCAAGGAATCAAGCTGTGCCTGTAGTTCGGAGATGTTTGCTTCCTGTTTAGACAGTCGTTCTTTGTCGTTAGCGATGGTCCGATCCATTTCATCCGCTCGTTGCTTTTCTTGAGAGCATTCTCGCCGCAAAGCCTCAATGTGCGTTTGAGCGCTCTCTAGCTCCTTAGCGGCATTGGCTTCAGTTGTCAGGAGTTGCTCTTCTAACGTCTGTACACGCTTTTCTATCTCCTGCCTTTCATGATCGCGATCAAGGACGTTGAAAAGTTCTTCTTCAAGTTCCTCAATTCGGTGTCGTAGCTGTTTTGCATCGGTCTCTAGGAACCTACGCTCGTCCTCGAATTCCTTTTGTCTTGACTCGAGATTCTTAATTAGATCTTCCTTTGTTGACTGGACTTCTTGCATTTTATCTGTAGAAGTCTGGCGCTCTGCACGGGCTTCCCTTTGCAGTCGCTGAACGGTTTCTTTCTCAGCGGCAAGATCTGCCTCGAGGCTCAAAACCCGCTGCACTAGATGTTTGTCCTCGGCTGTTTGATTAGATGATAGACGTCTCGACGATATAGACGAGCGTCTTGACAGTGCATCAGGGTGAGGAGAAGCCGGAGAGGCGGGAAAATCAGTGCTGAAATTTCCACTCAAAGGCCTCGTTATATGGCTTTGGCGATGAAGAAGGTCCTCCAACTTACGAATACGACTATCTGAGCTTTTGACTTTCTCTTCTAGTTTGAATTTTTCATCTCGTAGACTGCGGACCATATCATCACCTCGGATGAGTAGTGAGCTGCGACCCATATCGACAAAACTTCCTTGTTTGAAAGCTTTTGCTCGCCGTTTCTGCTGTCGAGTGGGCTTATCAAGATCTGCATACAGTTGAGATAATTCTTCGACTATAGCAGTCATATCATTTCTTGTCTTGAGGGAATCAATATAGTTCTCGATTTCTTTCCGGTGCACTTCAGGCCATTCCGGACCTTGGCCCTGCAGGCTAATCTCCAAGCCAGGTGTCGCGTCATCGGGAAGCGCTACAAGCTCCCCAGTTGACTTGAGCCATTTCTTCCGACGACGCTGTTCTTCGTCCCGGAAGACAGCTATCTCTTCAGCTAGTGTGAGCGAGTCGGTTTTCAGCTTTTCGCTCCATTCACGTCGCCGAACGGCCTCGACAAGCACCGAACCGTAAACCAGTGGCAAATGGAATATCCCATATAGAATGTCAAAAACTTCCGCATCGACGTCCAATTTCGCGATCTGACTTTGGACTTCTGCTAGACGCGATTCCAATGAGGATACAGTTCTCATATGAATGACAGCAGCTTTCATCGCAGCCGCCCGGTGCTGAGCAGCCTGCTCGACTGCAGTGTGCAACTCGAGACTGATTTCCCGAAGAGATGGCAGTAGATCTTTGGTATGTCCCAGAGCCATCCTAGATATATTCGCCAGACTTTTTTGATTGCTAGGTAGGCCAAGTACGTGCTCGTAGTCAGAGCTAACTTTCTTAGCCAAGGTTTCCACTTCCTCCAGCAAACCGTGACCCCCGTCTATCAGCGGAGGCTGGGCTTGTTGTACCAAGGCTTGAGTGTCAGAGGAGACGCCGCTAACAGCTGTGCGAACATCGTTCATACGGCGCGAGAAACCCTGAGAGACAGCTGCACCTTTTGATGCAGAGCGTCGCACTTCTTCCACGTCAAGGAAATCTTGCAGTGTCCCATTTGATCTGTCTTTGATTCCCTTCTTTGGTGTTGAGGGGCGTCCGATAAATGATATATCCTTCCTCGCTGGTATATCCCTTAATTTGTCCAGAGCAGTTTGCCATCCGTCCAAAGCAGATTTTTGTTCCTTGAGAAGATCATCCGCCCAGGTCTGTGCTTCCTGAAATTTGCTTTGCAGACTAGCGACATGGGATTTGAGGTTCTCAAGAGCGACGCTAACACCGCGGTGGATGATATCGATGTGCTCGTTGTGCTGTTGAAGAGTTTGGTTCACGGGAACGCATTCCTCTGCTAAAGCTAATGCCCATGCTTTTCGGGCCATGTAGAGGTTACGCCATGACTGGAGGTCGTTTTGGTCTGCCAGAGTGTCTGGAGGGTTGTTGGGCTTGAAGGGCGGCGGCTGAGGGATATCGGGAAGCTCGACGGGGCTGGAGTCACTGACCAAGTGTCTGTCGTATACAAAAATCTCGTCCTGGAGCTTATTAGCGAGCGAATAAAGTGAGAAGCCACGGCCCCGTGTCCCATAACACACATACCTCCGTTGCCAGAGTCTGGAGCTTGACATTTTTTCCTCGGGCGGTCATCAGTATTTGCCTTTGCGAGGCGATAGACGTATTGCGTGCAATCCATGATCGGAGTGCGTCCGGACTGTCAATTGAGTCAGTTTACACGGCGCCTCAGGAACGTAACAGCTAATGCACAGCCATTTCAAGAGGAGAGGCGGGCATACGAAGCAAAGGAAACCGGGTCCGCCAGCAGATGCTCGCCGGTGTGAGCAATATAGATATGCAAAGACATAGCTAATCTCCCAGACGACGCCCTAGAGACAGGGTGGTCCGATGAGATGCTATGTGAATAAGTAAGTCGGTGGACAGCAGCAGTAAATGGCGAGGGCCGCCGTCGATCAAGCTGAGGAGCATGGGTAACGTGACGCAACGGCAGCAGGCCTGGATCCCGAAACGGCCTAGCGCCGTTCCCGGCCGAGGCCCTCCCACGCAGAACAGATGATTGTTTTGTCTGCCAGCGTTTCTTCACCCATCACGAGATGCAATCTTCGGCCTTCTGACGGCAATGCCTCCGTCCATGGCATCAAATGACGGCAATCAAATAGGCCTGACGGAGGCGGAATCCGCGCTGCTGGATCTGGCAGCTGACGACCGCCGAGAAGTCTTATCGCTGTCTAGCAAGGAAGAGCTTGTGCTGCGCCTATACGACCAAATCCAGGAACTTGATTTGGAACGCGCAATTCTCGAACAGGGTATGAAGCTTCCTGTGTACTCCCGTTATGCATGCTTGTTGTCAACATGAATCTACAGCCGTTAACTTGCACAGATCCTGAACAACCCAACACTGAAAATGCAGAGGAACAGCTTCCTACCGCAGAGCGAGAGCTCTTAGAAGCTCGCGCAACGTATACAGTACGGAGAAAAGCGATCGAATCGACCCTCATGACTGATCCGATTCTGAAAGCGGTACATTTGAGGGCAGCGTCCCCTGCGGAACGGTATTTGCCAAGCCAAGGCTTAGACACATTCACCAGACAGTCGCGCTTATATGTTTGTTTTACTGGCAGGGCACTTCTCCCGCTTGTCAATCGTCGCGACGTGCTTTCCCTGGTTTATGAGAACTTGGCCAACACACGATCGGCGGCGCTAGAGACATTGTCAAACACCGAGGTTGAGAATCTACGCTTAATAGACAAAAATAGAGAGCTGGCATCTCAGCTGCTGGAGTTGACGGCGCAAGAGACATCGTGGCGCGACAGAGTGGATGACGGGGCCCTGCTTGCGCGCATCGAGGCAACGGAAGAGGAGTATAAAAAGACTCGGGCTCAGCGGGACACGGTGAAGAGTGTAGTTAGCGCAATGGTCGTCGGCAGCGGAGTCGACTGGGCTCGTGATGACCGACTCCGTGGGTTGGTGCTGGATGAACTTGTGTGACGATGACCCAAGCACATACGATCATATATATGTCTCTCCATCCCGGTATGCATAGATATGGGACCCTAGTCGGCATAGTAACTAGTTATATAATGATAGTTTGTTGTTTCCTCAGGTATGGTACGTAATGATAATACCGGGGAGTTTGTGTGTGTGTGTGTGTGTGTGTGTGTGTGTGTGTGTGTGTGTGTGTGTGTGTGTGTGTGTGTATAGTGTGTGTGTGTACGGTAATTTAACGCCGACGGGGCGGTAATTAAGAGATGACGCTCGGTGGTGGGTATGTACTATAGTATACTATGGTAGTATGCAGAGTGCAACACTGCAAACCCTGCAAACGCGATGCGTAGTTATACATCATAACTAGTTAACTACGGAGTAGTTAATCGATGTATTATTGACTGCTGGGTGGTCGTTCTATGCAGCATGCAGTTGCAGTCCGTAATACAATACATACATATATAAAGCCGTCACTACTGCACGGAACGACGCCAGCAGGGGCGTAATACCGCGTACCATACAGGCGCACTGCGTGATAGACCGTGTAGTATATAATAGAATACCAAGTTATACCGGCAGTGACGAAGTTCGCAACTAGCTAGCTGGCTAGCTAGTTAACGTTATATTATGATAATATGAATAATAAGTCCCGAAGCAAGACTGGAATGTACATGGCAGCAGCCCTTGCTCCATACCATAACATACATCATACTATTAATTACCGTCCCGCACTAGACGCAGTGGAAAAACACTGGGGCCCGGGTTGCTGCCTGAGGCGCGCGCCGGACTGGGCAGAGCGAGCAAAGCGCCCGCCCTCTTTCCCTCGCTCTCTTCTCTCACCCATACTCTCCTGCCCATACAATCTGCCTCTCATACAAAATAATCCATCCACCACTGCTAACTAAACCGCGAGCTATCCCAAGGTAAGCCAGGCCATTCCCCCCCCCCGACCATCACCATCACCATCATGCCTTGCACACGCCTCTTCCCAGCCCTGCCGCCTGCTCTCCTGCTTCTTTCTCATCGTTTCACGCGTCGTTGCATTTCCAATTGCTTCATTTTTGCTCCGGGTCGCGCCTTGCCAGCTCGCTCGTTGCGCGCTCTGCCCCATCACTGGCGCACACCCCCCAAACACCTCTCGTGGACGCGAGCAGTCAATTGACAGCACACCGTCGCCTTGCTTTTATTTCTTGTTTTCTTCCCCGTGTTCCTTTCGCTGCTGCGTGTCGTTCCATCTGCAAGCCCAACCCAAACCCGCAGTTCGCGTGGTTTGCGACGCGATTTATTTTGTATGGTGTTTGGCTCCGCGTCCCGCCCGCCAAAACCCAACCGCCCAGCTGCCTTTGAATCCCACTGTCGCATTGCGCCTCTGCCTGTCGTGTCTATTCTTCCACCTGTATTTTCGTGGTCGCATATTCTCCCCGACTGCGGCGCCAGGGCAATTGAGCCCTGTCACCGCCTATTTTGCTTTTTTTTTTCTGTCTTCCATCGCTTTTGATCGCTCTATCGAACTGACCAGCCCGTTCCTTGTTTCCATAGACCATCCTCAACAATGCCTAAGGAGAAGACAACTCGCAAGACCAAGGCCCGTGGTGAAGGCGGCCGCAGGAAGAAGGGTAAGTCGGTCTTCGCAAAATCAGCTCTGGAAGAATCCACGCCATGGCTAATCTCCCCTCCCATCACAGACCCCAACGCCCCCAAGCGCGGTCTCTCTGCCTACATGTTCTTTGCCAACGAGAACCGTGAGCGCGTCCGAGAGGAGAACCCTGGCATCGGCTTTGGTATGTTGCCAGTCCATTCGAATACCCCATCGCTTTATCTCACTTGCTAATATCATCTAGGTCCCCTTGGGCGCAAGCTCGGTGAGCTCTGGAAAGGGTTGAGTGACTCCGAGCGCAAGCCTTACGAAGACAAGGCTGCTGCCGATAAGAAACGTTATGAGGATGAGAAGGCCAGCTATATGGTAAGTGTCTTATCATCCATCCATTTGTCGGCAGAGAATCATCTGATCTAACCTGTATGTATGTAGGCTGGTGAGGACGATGAAGAGTCTGCCTAGACAAGAAAAAGAAACAAAGACAAAACCAAATCATATCCCTCTGTGTATGATTAGATTATACTAGGAATGCTCTTCGTTGGCTGATGATTTTTTTTAATCCTTGTCACTCCTACATGATTTGTTTTCTTTGGTTCTTTTTTTTTTTTATTTAATCTCTGGTCTTCGGTATGGGCTGACGGGGTTCTTTGTATTCTTTCCATGAGGTTTTCTTTCTTTATATGTTTCGTGTTATGTTTTTTTTTTCTCATTCTTTCTGTTCATTTTCTCTTTCGCAAGGGGTTTGAGTCAATATGGAAATCTTCGTTATGTTTTCTCTCCGATTTCTCAAAGAGTCGTTTTCTTATTTCTTTCCATCGTGTTCCCTCTGCTTTCCCCCTTAACTAAATTCCGCCTCGTAGGTGGATGCCCACGTTTTAATTCTGATTAAGGGGGGTTAGCCCTGATCACGTTGTTGCAATGCATTGATGATAAGTATAATTCTACTATTCCACCCAGGCTTGTCTACTGTATCAATTACATCCAAGCTTGATCCAAAAAAAAGGCAGCAATAATATTAAAACTGAAGCATTCTGTCTATCAACAAATCTTGTCTTTGTCTGTACATGGTTAAAATACAACAAAATCCAACCACAACCACAACCATTAACCACAGCCCCTCCCACGACAATCAGACTTTTCGGTCTTTCTCCGCCTCAGCAGCTACCTCGGCTTCAGCTTGCTTGATCCGCAGATGCTCACGTTCTAGCTGATCAGGACGACGGACAGCGATATCCTTGGGACGGAAGTCGCTGAAAAGCTGTTTCAGCCCGGTCTCAATGATCCAGCAGCCACCGTAATCGAGAATCATCAGCATGGTAAGAGTAGCCTTGAATTCGTTGGAGAACGGAACCAGTTGCAGCTTCTCGTTGATTTCGGGGATGAATTCGGTCGCACACGAAAAGGCCACTGCAGAAGCGCCCACTAGACCCCAGTACATGGCGCGGTTTTCGCGGATGGATTCCCGGAAGGGACGGCCCTGGTAATTGATTGAGAAGGTTGAGATCTGCTGGATCAGCTGCAAGAGGTAGACGGCGCTATTGAGCAGGGACGGCTCAAATTCTCCTTCTAGGTCGACATCACCACTAGGACTTTTTTGGGTATGTCAAAATCAGCTAACGATCTTTGTATCATCAATATATGTGAGTAAATAAACTTACGGCTCAACCTTAGAGACATAGTTGGATAGATAAACGAGGGTGGCGATGTGGATAGCAAACTGTCCAAGGATGGAACCAATGATGTATACGTTGAAGATTCCCGGCTGAGGTCGTTCCTTAGAAAGACCTTCAACGGACTTGGTGTGCATTAGTAAGAATAGGGAGAAAGAAAGAAAAAACACGCCCAATTTACTAGGAATGGGGAAAGACTCACCTTGGCACGAGAGATTGATAAGAAACAGACGCTCATTAGCATACCGCTAATAGTAACTTGGCCATCCCCGAATTTGATTCCATCCAGATAGATGACACTTAAACTGTATGCACTAATCAAACAGTTCAATGCGAGAATCTTATACATCTGGATGGTGGCAACGAGCGTGCAACGACCTTGGCGGAGGATGTTCGGAATTGCCATAACATTGGCAAGTTTACTGGTAAACGGAGCAGCTACCGATGCATCTCCCAGCTTCAACGTAGGTGGTTCATCTTCCAATTCGGCTTCCATCATTGATGACGTTAGCTTATCAGCCAATCCTGCCGCCGCAGCTTGCACTTGCTGTTGTCGTTGTTGCTCAGACGAGAGCGCTTGAGACGCCTGCTGCGAAGGATGTGTTGTAGCAACAGATTCTGCAGCAGATCCTGGTACAGGAGCTCCCTTTCTTTGCGCTTCGCGCTCCATGGCTTTCTGGTAATGCGGATTGCCGGGGCCGGGAGGATACAGATGAGCGATATGGACAGGAACCGGAGGTGGTGGTTGGTTAAATCGTGCCATCATTTGGACCTGTTTCTCATACAACTCCTTCATCTTAGTATTGCGGGCATGCTCTGCGATCTTGGTGAGATCCTCTTGACTTCCATTCAAAAGCGCAACACCAACGTGAGCCTGCTTAAGCGCGCCAACATCGTTCGTGCCATCACCACACATGAGCGTTGTGTATCCAGCAGCCTTCATTCCAAGAAGAATGTCTTCTTTCTGTTTCGGGGACACTCGGGCATACACCCATGTATGACGGAGGAGATCAGAGAAAGAAGCAAGGCCCTTGAATTTGGCTAATGCATATCCCGTGACGCAAATGTCCTTGGTTTCCAAAATCTTGCGGTCAAGAGATTGCGAAGGATCCACATCCAGGTTGAATTTATCGTCGATGCTGCGCCAAACAAGTTTCTCTCCAGTGTTGTCATTCTCAGGTGCGTCAAGAATCAACACCTCCCGATCAACAATTTCGACCTGGCGGGCAACATGCACGGCAGTCAAGGGATTGTCTCCAGTAATCATCACGACACGGTGGCTGCTTTCATTCAGCATGCGAACGGCTTTGATGGCATCATCTTTCAATGGGCATTGAAGGACAAGGAAACCAGCAAAGTTAAGCTCGGACTCGATTTCTTCACGTGAGTAGTTATTGATGCGACCTTGGCCGAAATCCGAATCAGTGGACAGATACTTGTAAGCAAGTGCCAGCACACGAGCTCCGTTCCTAGTGAAATACTTAAAGGTTTCTTCGTAGTGTGGGGGGGTATTGATGAGCATAGTGCGAATTGTCTCTGGGGCACCCTTGACACCAACGAATGTAGCCTTGTGTCTCTTTCCAGAGGCCTTATCAGTAGCGGTAACATGCGCGATGGAGCTTTGTCGCTTCAGAGCAGAAGAAAATTGAAATCGTCTCTTGATTTGGACGGACTCTGGTCCCTTGGGACCCGTCGCCGATTTATTAGCCAGGGTATCATTCTTGCCCAAGACCCAACCTAGGGACGACAAGGTAGCCTTTTCCATCGGATCACCAACAATGTCGCCCTCCTCGAGCTTCACAAGGGCATGCGCAGTAGCAAGAACCAAAGTCGTGTTGCTTTCTACCTGAGTCACTTCAACCAATTCAGTATGGGCGCCGTCTTTTTCAACCTTGGCTCCATCATGACCCAGTGTCAAGCCTGCAATGCCGTCGACGAGAAGATCTTCTCCAGTGAGAGTTCCGGTCTTGTCAAAGCATGCGATATCGACCCGTCCAGCGAACGGGATGCGGAACGGCTCTGTACAGAAGATGGCGAATTTACTCAATGCAGCAAGACTGGTGTTCACCGCCAAGCTGAGCTCCATGGGCAGCTCTGGTGGAACCACGCTTGTGATGATCAGAACACAATCGAGCATAAGCTTTGATCGCTTTCGGTCCTTCTGAACTCCTTCCTGCCACACGTACCATGCTGCAGCGATGGCGAAGATGAGAAGGAACAGGATAAACAATAGCGCTTCGGCATTATTCGCTGAGACACGCTCCGTAGAATAGATCATTGTTCGTACAAGGCTTCCTTGACTCGTTTCGAAACCAGTCTTGACAACAACTCCCATTGCGCCATTGTCAGGTGGAGCAGGGACACCTGAACTGGCACTGGCTGCTTTCTCAGAGAGATCACCCAAGTTAGGGTGGGTGACCTGTAGCACCTTTGTTCCGCCGTGAACAAATGAATTTTTATCGAGTCCGTCAGGCTCAATGAGATCCTCACCCGGTCGGAGTTGAACGGAGTCCTTCAGTAGAGGGGTGCTTTCTCCGGAGAGCATAGCCTCATTCACGATTGCACTACCTTCGATGAGCAAAATATCGCAAGCTACCCCGCTGTCTTCCTTTGTGCGATTGACTGATACAAGGTCGCCCGGCAGCAGTTTATCGCTAGTGATCTGTTGCCATTTATTTTCTCTGAATACCCAGATGTCGTATGGTTTGATGCTCATGCCGCGGAACTCAGTCAGCGTCCTTTGACGCTGCCAGACAACGGTGCTCTCGAAAGTAACCAGCATGAAAAGGGTGAAAAGCGAATAGTACCAATATTCATCCAGCATCCACAGGCCAACGCAGAACACCTGGAAAACGAAAAACGGCGCAACCGCGTGTTCCTGGAACAATTCAACAAAGGTCGGCACTGGGATATCGAATCTGTTGTCGCCATAATGATGTTGTACACGTTCGATTTCAGCAGGGCTTTGCAATCCGCGGGTTTTCTGGAATGTCTCAATGGCTGGCTTTGGCTCTGCATCTAGGACGTAGGACAAAGGCGCAAATGTTTGAAGCTCCGGGTAGTACAGAAATCGTCGCTTCTGAAACAAAAAAGAGATCGTTTGTTTGCCGCGTGTATTGTCACGATGCAGTTTGCAGATTTCGGCGCTGCCTGCGTTGGTAACGGGAATGACCTTAATCAAATTGGCGGATTCCACAGTCTTTGCTCGGGTTGCCGTGAATAGAGTGTTGAGATTCACACTCCATTTTGTCATTAGCCATAGAAGCGATTGGACAGTTATTATCGACCCTGAATAGACCCAAGTCCATTCTTGTCCCTGAATGTAGGTATCATAGAGCTCGGGAGACAGGTAGATCGAGAAAAAGATAGGCCATGCAATGAGAAATGGCCAAACGTAGGCGTGTAGCTGGATCAATAGGGGGTTATGCAACGACGCACTCTCGATTTGAGAGTCAGTGACAAGTTTCGGCCTTTGTTAATGCCGTTAGTAAAGGGTCAATAAGCAGCGATCGTGGTAGGAAACAAATCCGCTTACATGTTGCCAGGCCCTGCGACAGCAGGTCAACCAAAGCTAAGGCAATAGACCCTTCAGTCGCTCATGCAAAAACAATGAGAAACAGCAGTAGAAATCATATAAGCATAAGAGGCTGGCTGAAGACAGAGCAGAGAGCAGGCTCTGTTTAGCTTTGTGAAAGGCGTAGAGTTATGCAAAGAAGCCACCCTAGCGATAGAAGAGAGAAGAATTTCGATTTCGATGGACGATTCGGGTTAATTTAATTACCAGACGGCGGCGCGGCGGAGTTGGCCCGGCCTGATTGGCTGCCCGTACTAGCGGCTTGGCGTACCCAGCTTGTTATCATATGCACGTTATCGCCGCCATTCAGTCTAGGAGAGGAACGAAAGAAAGAGCATGGAAGTGGTTACATATGTATGTTCATAGGAGAGCTAGACACGATTCGCTAGTATATGCAGAGTGTGTGATGTCATCTAGAAAGGAAATAACTATTCCTACCCGGCCCCTGTCCAGCGTAAGAAATCAAGGAGGGAGTTGCCAAGTATGTGAAATGTGCAATGCCAAAGGCATACGTGGATGCAATTAGTCAAAAGGTAATGTTTACTTCCACTGAGCCTCCTTTCGCGATTGGAACTCCTTCAAAACCTTGACCTGGGCCTGGAGAGCAGAAACCCAGTCCCTCAAAGCAGGTTCTGCTTTGGAATAATCGCCAAGCTTGGCATAGAAGTCCTTGCGGTATGGGGTGGCCGACAGAGCGGCATTGAAAACAGGCTTCACCAAGAAAGAGTGGTGCGGCTTCAGTGTATCTCCGTATGCTGCGCGGAACGAATCGGACAATTCCTTGGTAGGGGCATCCACGTTGTCACGAAGAGCTTGGGCGGTAAAGTCAAGACCACTGTAATGACGATGATTTAATGTCGTTAGCGAATACTCTTGGTCTCCCGACAACATTTTCCTAGGTTTGCAATTGTGCATAAACATACCGGACAAGCCACAGGAGACCCTCTGTAGCTGTGTGTTTCTTTGTCTTGAGCTCGTTGAGGACAAGAGCCTGTAGTGTCTCTGACTCCGCAGGAGCAGCGAGTTGACGCTCACGGATTTTCTGTGTGAAAGAACATATGAGGACTATGGTTCGACAGAAGAGAGAAACGGAGTTTGTACCTTGACATTTCCAAGGATGTCATTCTTCACTGGGGTGAAAGCGACGGAGCCGAGGACATCTATTAAGTTTAGTAAGACCACTCGTCTTTAGTGAAAATGTATTCACATACCAAAGAGTGTGGTGAGAGACTCTGCAGCGTCGAGGAAGTCAGTCGTGGGGATAGCATTGTCGTTAGCAGCGTCCACGTGCACGTCAACAAACGACTTCTTCAAGGTATCGAGCCAGGTGCCACCTGGAGGAATCACGGGCGCAGACATATTCAAAAAAAAAAAAATAAAATAAAATAAAAAAAAAGCGGTCAATTAACAAGAGTGCAGCGAGTTTCAAAGGAGAATTGAGGATGGAAGTGACAGCTTTCCTTTCCCCTTTCCAGTGATGCTGGCGAGGGGCTTCAGGGGAGCCCGTTGACCAATGGCGATCACTGCACTAAGCGTGCCGTGCGGGGCAAAGCATGTACATCACGTGATATATCCTGCCTCGGGAGTCGGAGCCTGGCTGCCTGAGGATCGTGGACCGCTAACCCCAACCTGGATATCCGCATCAATGATCAAATCAATGCAGGCATCCACAATTGCGGCGGACCTCCATCAAGCAAAGCAAGCACATTACTCGCGCTGTCGGTTTAAGGACTTTTGAGCTGGACCTGGACCGTCTGAAATGGCTACCTAGGCTTTTTACTGTGAGCACATTCCCTCGTGCCATGTTATGGTCCCTTTTCTGCATATATTCAACCACTTATATATAGCAGCTGCAGCTTGTATTTCCGCTGATTGTCATATCAAAATGCCTCCTCTTCTTACCTTATCAGAGATACCTACATTGACACGGCTCTACCGCTCCAGAGCCCTATTGCCAGGTCAATACGCAGCCACTGGTGCCCCTTCCAAACAGCTCAATGATATCCTATCCCATATTCGCTATGACATCACCAAATTGCAGGTAGGCTGCATTGTGAATGCCGCAAACACCAGCCTCCTGGGAGGCGGAGGGGTAGACGGTGCCATTCATAGTGCAGCAGGCAGACAGCTGCTGGAAGAATGCCGTACTCTTGGGGGTTGTTCTACAGGTGATGCGAAGATCACTGATGGGTATGACCTGCCAGCAGCCAAGGTTATCCACACTGTTGGCCCCATCTACGATGGGTATCAACCAGACGAATCAGAGAAGCACCTGCGCAGTTGCTATCGCCGAAGCTTAGAATTAGCTATGGAACATGGCCAACGTTCAATAGCATTTTCAGCCATTAGCACTGGTGTTTACGGGTACCCAAACAATGCAGCAGCTAAAGCAGCAATTGATGAAGTCGCCAAGTTCTTGAGAGAGGACGAGAATGTGTCGAAGTTTGAGAGGGTCATCTTTTGTAGCTTCATGCCTGCTGACGTACGAGCTTATGAACGCTTTCTCCCGTACGACACAAATACCGTTTGCCACGTTTGGAATTGAATAACATACTAATTTGCATATAGATTTTACTTCCCGCCTACACCCGGTGATGTTGAGGGCGCCAATGCATCACCAGAGACACAGACCAATGATGGTCGGTGAAATCTTTTTACTTTTGACCGAAGACTACGATTAACATGAAGAATACTAGATACCGCGTTTGTTGATCTAAGCGAAGAGGGCTTCGGCTCGGAGAAAGAAGAGGACGAGCATGATTGGGAGGAGTTATCCAGAGACGACAATAGTCAGGAATTACACGAAGAACCAGTTGAACTAAGTTCCCAAGTTGCCTCGGTCACAGACGTCCGCAGTATTCAGTCGAGCTCGGCCGACTTTGATGAGTTGTCACGATCCGAAACTGAGAATGGGTTATGATTTTGCTTTCTTTTATAGTTATGTGCTTCACGAGCGTTCCCAGTTTCCTAGCGCTGCAAGTGTTCATGGCAGCGGGGTCGAATATCGGCGCATTGATCAGAGACTTCTATAAATCAATATCATTATCGATGTTATGTATGAGGAGGATAGTGGAAATAAAAATGGAGGTTAATTAAGGAGCGCTGCAAACGCTGCAAACATGCATAATCGAGCGATAGTTAACGGAAAACTCGCGATGCTTACAGACAGGCGCGCGACGTTGCCATGAGAGCAATCATAACTGTCTCTTGACCAGATAATTCTCCGGAGCTTTCAAACTCTGCGTCAACTAGCTATACATATACATTGTGAATTATTTTCTGCAACCGCCGTGGCTGTCGTCCCGGCCAAATATCCCGATGGCGGACTCAAAAGCGACGCCCAGCATGAACCGAACACCCTCTTCCAAGCCACGGGTTATTCCACCCTCCGAATGGAAAAGGAGATTCCCCTCAAGGAAGGCTCCGATTCCCTCCTCCTCATCATCCTCCTCATCCTCCTCCTCTTCGAAAAGCCCCAGCTCTATTGACGTGCACAATGTCTCTCCTCTTTCCTCCTCACAAGAACGACCTACTGCATGGTCGTCCTTTCTCAGTCGATTTCGCGCCCGTTATGCTTCTCTGCCAACGCCAGTCCGACGAACGGCTCGCTTGCTTCGTACCCTTGCACCCATAGTGCCGATTGGAATATTCTTCTCCGAACACGTTCTGCAGCTCATGTGGGTTCGCGGACCCTCTATGACCCCCTATCTGAATGAGGATTATGCCGAAATGCAGACAGAAAGCGATATAGTGCTGGTAAATGTATGGCCTTGGGGATCTACATGGCCGTGGAATAGGACGAGAAGACTGGAGCGGGGGATGGTGGTTACATTTCAGTAAGTCACGACAAATAAGCTGTTCTCCCTTTTTCCTCAGCTCATACCGGCCGTACATACACTCTTGCTGATATATGAAAAAAGATCACCTGCAAATCCTTCAAATATAGCGATCAAGCGCGTCATTGCCTTACCAGGAGATCGAGTCACAACAAGAGAGCCTTGCCCCCGACCATCACAGATTGTGCCATTCAACCATGTGTGGTTAGAAGGCGACGCAGACGATCCGCGAAAATCTCTCGATAGTAATACGTATGGCCCAGTGAGTATTAGTCTGATTACGGGCAGTGTGATGGCCGTGCTGTATCCGCGAATGAGACGTCTCAAATGGTGGGAATGGGAGAATTCCGCTCAAACGGGCTCAGATGCGCAAAAGGAGCTAGGAGAGGAATATAGAAGTTCAGTCAGGGATAGGGTGGCCAAAGAGGCGGTTAAAATTGACGCTCCACGCTTTGATTGAAACCTATTGGACCATCGAATAAATTTTACGGCTCCTGCCACTGTACATATATTTGCATATGGATGACGAGAGTGCTCGTATTGAGATATATATTCATGTATTATTAGACAATAGAGGGGACCGTTGGTCCATTTTAAGGGAAAAAAAATAATAGCATCCATTCCACCATCGCAGTTTTTCCTCACTCCAGTCCACAGTCCACAGTATACGAAAGGAATGAATGGCTCATGCCTGAGAGAGTGTGTGTGACAACAAAATCTCTATACAATCCGTACATCCTCCCCCTGTTGGTCCTGCAATCTGTTAATCTCAGATTCTATACATGCCACCCATCGATCTCGTTCAAGACGGCTTCTAGCTTTGAAGACAACCGTTCGTCCTGGTACGCCAAGTGCTGAAACGCGACGAAGTATTCTGTTGGTTTTATTCCCTTTCACTTCGGACGCTCGGAATAGACTCTTGCGTATCGGATGCCAGATCACAAAACAGACAGCCGTGTCTTCATCCCGACTAGTCCAACCGTCCTGAGCAAGATAGATTCGCGGTAATGCATGGTGGCCAGGGTAATTATTATCAAAAGTTTGGTTGGTATACAGGAGATCTTTCTCGGTTATGAGCCCTGAGTAGATATAACAATTTTGTAGGTCAAGTGTAGCCACTCGCTCCTTGTGAATATGCGGAATCTCGACACCGTTGAGTTTGCGAAGAACATCTTGAAAGACTAAAAGTTGTCCGGATGTGCAGATAACCTGGCAGCGATGGAAAGTTGAATGCCGGCGAGGCTTACGATACAGATAACCTGAAATCTGGTATGCATTAGCTACGTACAAAGTAGTGGCCATTTGAAATTGTCTTCTCGTCTTTACCTTTATTGGCCGACATCCCGACATATGGCACATATTGTATAGATGTGGCGATGCCTCCGCTCGTCTTACCTCCCATTTACTGGCAAACTGCCCGAAAATTGATTCCATCCTTTCATCAATGCCCAAGATCTCGAGATTGCGTTGACGGATTGCTTTCAGCTCTCCTGCATCTGCTATCACTCGGTTTTTCCAGTAATTGACAAGGGCCGTGAGACGTTTTACCCACTCATTTCGTGTTTCGATGTTATACGCTTTGAAGCGTACTACAAGACCAGATACCAAGACCAGTTCAAATCTATTGCCTTCACCACGACCTGCGTCTATTGTATTTTGTCCCTCTGCGAAAACTTGGACACTACCAGAATCGCCTGACGGTTGCACCTTGTTCACCTGGCACAGATCGATAAGACCTTCCGAATTCTTCAAGTTGGCAATATTGCGTCCGAACTGGGCAAAGGCTTCTTCGTCATGTCGTCGCAAGAATTCTGTATTCCCACTACTAAGCCATGTAATTCGCCCATCTTGGATTTGGTAAGGGTGGATATCGTATTGCAGAGGATTTCGTTTAGCAATTTCCTGATACGATGGGATGGAAGTTTCCACTATATCTCTGTCGGGTGGATGGGGAGGCACTGCTTTAGATGGTTTGCAAAAACACAGAAATCGATCCTGACTGAAATAGTATTGTCGCTTAGAAAATGTCTTTCCCAGTCTTTGTTGTACACCGCGCTGTGACGTGAGACGGATGAGGAAGCCTTCGATGGGAGCAGGCTCCTCTTCCTCCTCACCATCTGACGATTTTATCGTCGATGGGTAGTGATGCTTGGACCTTAGCTCGAGATCATGAGAATTCTGCATTGCAATAGTTCCATACATCTCATCTTCATGAGATCCATGGATCCATTCCAGACGATCGAACCGTCTCCATGCCAACCCCATTTTTGACGTTTTCGACCACTTCTCAAGTGCTTGCGCCCACTCGCTACGGCCTTTTAAAACTTTTATGCAGTTTTCAATGACTGCACTGGCGGCCAGTTTCTCTTTCGAACCCCGGGGTAGATTCTGATCATCATGGTGTGGACCTTCACAACCAAGGTTAGTCTGTTCGAATGGATTCTTGAATATTAGAGACAAATTTAAATCAGGGACATTGATCAGTAATGACGTCGGGCGATGCCATCCCAGAGTTTGTTTTACAAAAGTATACCATTCCATCGCATGGCTTGAAGATCGAGGCCGTAGAATAAAAATTCTCGTACCGTGCTTTTGGGGATGCCATAAAGCCCAGGTTTTGTCAAGAGAAGAGTACAGGTTGGCTTTGGTGCTTTTTCTGTTGAGTGGAACTTCATAGTAAGCTGATTCTCTAGACCTGTCCACGTCTTGTATGACTCGAGTTTTGTACATCTTTAGCGTGAAAAGTGCATCTTCGTCGATACTTTTCCGGCAGACGACAATATATTCGCGCCATTTCGTTAGCTCTCGTGTCTCGGTCCGCAAACTAACGTTTTCGGAATAATCTGACGGAAGGGTTTGCGATGTTTCCTCGACCCGTACAAGCATTTTTTGTGCTCTAACCATTTCACCTTCTCTTTCTTTGCTCCAACGCGGCCGATTGGCAGAGACTTTGTCCTGTGTTCGTTCAATTCGAGAACGGATGCGTTGTTGCTGGTTAAGGACATTGTCGTCAAAATTAAGACGAGCAATTCTTTCTCTCACCCTGTCTTGGGGACCAGATCCAGCTCTGCCCTCCTGCGCAGTATGAGGCTGTGGTTCCTGAGGCTGTAGAGTGTTTACCGATGCATCTGATTGAGTATTTATCTCATGCTGGTTTTGAAGGAGAGACGTCGTAGATCCCGCACCTATTGTAGACGGTAAAGCACTCGGCGCGAGAGACGATTGTTGTTGGGAATGATCCGTATCGACCCAACCCGAGTCGTAAGCTTGACCGTCTGAAGAAGTTGGATCTGCTGACGTAGCAAATATATTCTCAGCAGAATTAACTTCTCTGGCAGTAACAAAAGCACTTGAGGTCCTCCCGGTGTTGACATTGGATCGTGCAGTCGCTCCAGTTTCGGTCATAGCATCTTCGTTATTCTCCACATTGTGATCCTGATTAGGGACTTCATACCCTTGTGTGGCGTTGTCTGGTAGTCCATCATCGACATCATTGACTCCTGATACGTGATGCACGTTCGTAGAGCTTGTGTCATGGTTGAGAAAGGAAGCTTGCGGGGCCTCGTTAAATGAAGTAGTCTTTGCCGAGAATGTGAGATCTCGAGATGTGTAGTTCTTGAATCTTAGCCTCGACTGATACCAAGACTTACGATGGCCATGTATCCAGTCCTCGGGGATGGGCCCTATGAAATGTCGGCGTGAGGTCAAGTACAGGTGATGCGAAGAGGCATGGCGCTAGCCAATGGTGGGTTAATGAAAATAAAAGATAAATCTTGAATACATTGGAGATGAAGTTCTCACCAAGCGTTGGGCTGTATAAGACGCAGGATCCAAGCCTTGAAATAGAGCAGATTCATCTTGAATGATAGTGTCATTGGTGAAAGGTCGAGCATCAGAGGGATTGCTCATGTTGCTCTAGGGCTGAGCGGCAAATTCACAAGCAATGAACAATAAGCATGTTTAGCGATTTGAGAAGCAGTATTGATATTTGCATGTGCTAACATAGCAAGCAAGATTTGCAACGCCAGCTGGATAATAAAAAAAAGAGCAGTGAGGCTGGTTCTTGCTCCTTGATTTGGATGGAGCCTTGGAATAGAGGAAGGCAATGACGTCGTAGCAAATGGGGCTAGTGTGTGGCAGTGCAGCAGGCAAGCCACAAAGTTGGCTAGTGACGTTCCTTGTCATGGAGACCAATAGATAAATAATAAATGTGTTTCATGATGTCTATATTTGTATCCTCATAAAAAGCCATGTCGACATACATACATACATCCATATCAATGGATAATCATAGTAAGAATCCAATTCTGTGGCCCTCAATAGGGCAAGCAAAATCAGAAAATATCCTGGCATCAGAAGAAATTTGACCATTAAAGAAAAAAAAAAAATCTATACTTTTTTCTTCTTCTTCTCTGAGATCTCCAGGTGGGAGGCTCTCTCTGTATCCCAAACGACCATGTCTCTTCCTCAAGTGACAGTGCAAGCTTTGAGGGGCCATCAGAAATGTAAACCCAGAAAAAGAAAAAAGGAGATAATTACAAGACAAGTAAAAGAGACAACCTGAACGCCTGCCTCCCGCCTGAAATGGAAGCTCCGTGTTTTGTGTTTCAACCGAATAAGAACATTTGATAGAACTAGTCGCAACTGTGGTACCACTACAACAGTAATGTCGTGGTAATCTTCAACTTTACTTTGCAACCGCCGCACTAAACGAAGGATTAGCCAAACTCTGAACTGCGGGAAGGAGAAGATTGAGAATTGACGGAAGGACATACCTGAGAACTTGAGTTCTGAAGAAAGCCCCCTTGGTCTTCTCAATGACTTGCTGGTAGACTGATTGAGGAGGGTGGTTCATAATGACAGTACCCTCCTTGTAATCAATCTTCGCGTCAAGTCGAGTATCACGGATAAGGTTGACAATCCACTTCTCGCCTTCGTCCTGGTCCAGACCTAGACGGGTCGATAGATCCCTAGCAACGCAAAACATTAGCCCTAAGCAGAAGACAAAAGACTATCAAAATTACGAAGACTCACCGGATATCAATGCGCTGATGAATCTTGCAATAGCTCTCAGAGATCAAATGCCTAGCTGCGTCGACAAAGGCGTCTGCCGCTGACACAAGAAAGAAATCACTGCGTAGCACCTCCTCGGCTTCGCCGAGCTTCTTCTGGGCCTCCTCAAAGTCAAATTCAACATATAGAGCCTTGATAAAGTCCGTAATAGGATCCGAGTATTCATATCCCTCCTGTCGAATAACGCGAATCAAATCCTTCAGTTGTTTCTGATAGACGCTGGTGTTCTTATTAGCGCGACCCCGATTCGTGATAACGGCAGCGGCCAAGTATCGGAGTATCCACGGGCAGTTCGTCTGAATGGTGTTGATGTAAGCGGGAGAGAAGAAAAGGTCGGTCAGGGTATCTCGTGCGGGCTCGTGGTTGAAGTATGGGAAGAGAGACCAGTGGATCAACCAGGTACGGTGTTGTAGCTGACCAAGAGGATTGTTGAACAGACGAGTCTCGATCGAGTCCTTGACTTTCTGGACTTCTTCCATGGCCGCCTCCCAGCTGGTTGTCAAGATCTCACTGGCGAACTTTCCCCATGTGGCAGACGAAACCTTGTCGTTATCCGTGGAAAGAACACGGAACTGGTAAAGAAGCTCCGCTGCATTTCCATAACTACCGCAGCTGTATTGAAATCGGCCATAGTCGAACAATGTGTTAACATTATCAATGGTAACGCCATGTTGTTCCTCCAAAAACTTCAAGTTGGCAGCTTTGTCACTGCGCAGATTTCCAACGACAGCATCATCCTGCAACAGCTCGGTGATCTTCTCGCTATCTTCCTGGTACTGCTGCAACTTGGCCAGAACCTCCTCTCGTTTCTGTACGAACTCGTTGGGGATTGTGTCTGTGTTGTTGATCTCCTGCCACAGGTTGGCGACGTAGTCTGTCATGTTCGTGTGCTTAAGAAGTTCATATTTCGAGCGGGTAATCTCGAGGTTTTCATCGTCCTGGCCGCTGATAAACTCGAGAAGAGGGAAAACCAAATGACGGTCGAGGTAAGGAATCAACTTCGGGAGGAGATCATATTCTTTGGCGATCTCCTCGGCGGTTTTGGGTGGGTGGGCAGCGGCGCCCTTGAGCAGCGTTTCTGCAGAGGGGGGAGCGTTGTCTGCCATGATTGCTGCAACGGCAGTTCGCAGCGAGAGACGAGAGAGTAAGGCGAGGTTGTGAACACACGGGGCGGAGGAGGGGATCCAGCGATCGTTTTGAATGTGGGAAACTTTTACTGGCGAAAATGTGAGTGGGAAAGATTGCGGTGCCGCTAAGACTTACTGGGACTAGCGCATAAAGGGACGTATTTTTTGTTCTGCCGCGAATCCGGAGCGGGAAAACTTGCATTGCATGAGGTCGACAAGCCGTGATCTTGCAGCTGCTGCTCTATCGTGCATCTCTCTTTTTCAAATCAGCCAGAAGGCCAGACTGTCTAAGCGCTGCTCAAGCCTGCTCAGCGAGGACTCAACGTCTCTAACGGCGAAAAATAAACAGCTATCAAATGGCTTCACTCACACGACCGTCGACCGCGGTGTCGACCATGCGACATCAACTGTCTTCGTTCAATTCAATTCGTCAATTCTCATTATTTCACAACCAGGAGCAGCGATTTGCCTTCCGTGAGTACCTGTCTTTCGCCCATTTTTAATGGCCAAAAGTCCCAAGACTATGGCCAATCAAGAGCGCAAAACATTAACACTGGACATCAGGAAATGGAATTGCAAAGCAACTGTCCCATAACTCGTCATCACCTAAACCGAGCCTACCAGTCCAGCAATCCAGAACATTTCTCGCAAAACTCTCCCGCAAGTTCCCCGCCAGTGCATCCTCGACACGAACACCTATTACGCCTGTAGAAGCTCAAACGCCGTCATCATCCTCACCACCACTACAACTTACCAACCTTCCTTATTTTGTTCGACGCACGCCATCCAATCAATTGCCCGTGTATCTGGTAACGAAAGCTGGTGGAACAAAACGGTTAACGAAAATCCAAAAGACTGAAGGCGACTTGGAAGCTTTGAAGTCTGACCTTGCTAGAGCTTTGAATGTGGAGTCTGACCCTTCTAAGTCAAAGAAGAAATCCGAAGTTACTATCAATCAATTGAACGGCCACATAATTGTCAAGGTATGTTGTCTGGTAGATTAAGTCCCACGGAGTGTCAAGTTCATTTATCTAATCCATTTCTCTCTGGCAGGGTTGGCGGAAAGAGGAAATTCAAAAATTTCTTCTCGACCGGAATTTCTAAATCGTGAGAACAAGAATTGAGATAATTTAGGTTCTCGTTATGCGTGCGTTTAAAGGAGGCTAGGACGTATCCGTTGTCTCTGCGATCTCCCAAGTGTCCTTTTTGACTCTATTCCTCTATTCAATTCTTCTCTCGCACTCGGCGTTTTACGTGCATTCTTACTTTTCCTGGCTTTTGTTTTCTTCCATTTTCTCTTCTCATTGCATTATTTCCACCACTTTGTGGCGAATTGACTGTACATTTATATAGTTGCATGCATCCCCCTTTTTCCCTATTTCCTTCTTCGTGACGACTTTCTGGATCGTTTCATGTGTTTACCATCTCCTTTCTTTTGCGCGAAAAGTTTCTAGGGCTCTCGGTTCTGTTAGCGTCGTGTGAATGGTATCGTTAGTTTATAATGTGTATCACGAAGGTCTACGAATGTCCTTCCGTCTTCCTCAATTGACCTTTACTCAAAATCTCCAAATCTTCAACTCATCAGGTAGACATGTATAAGACGTATATATGAAACGATTAGAAATTTTGCCAGGTTCCTGGAAAAGCTCAAGCTGTAAAACACTGATATTAAGTCATGTACACAGGAATTAGTCATGAATGTATAACCAGGAATTTTATATATGGACATGTGAAACGTAGCCATCATATCTTCTCGTGTTAAAAAAGGTGATCGTGCTGCAGAAATCAAGAACATCAGAATCCCGAGTATCTGGTTTTCAGAAGAGCGCAGTTCGGTTTTTAAAGATACAAGTTAAATGAATATTCCACACACATAAAAAGGTATCAATCAGAGCAGAGGGAAGAAAAATAAAAGAAACTATCAAAGTTACAATGTTTTGGTTTCGAGGCTGACAATAATTTCCAAGTTACTCCCCAAGTCCTGCGTATGCAATCAATTGCTTCACTACACCTGGATCCAAGTTCGGTGTTAACAACGCGCCCAAGAGGCTTTCTCGCTTGGGTAGCACGCCTAGTGGAAAGGGAGCTCCTGTTACGGAGTCCTCCCGCTTAGACTTCTCTGCCAATTTTTGAAGGATATTCAACCCTCGATTTATGATGGATACATAAGCATGAGCTTCCATATCCGGTTGGCCACGTGCTTGTGGATGGCGGTGTGTAGGAGGGGGCAACCGTTCTGTGCTAAGCAGACAGCACAATCGTAGAAGATGGACGGCGAAGCCATCGGTTGACTGAAGCCAGGTTCGAGCAGTAACTCCGTCCGCAAGGCCTGTGAGGATTTCGGCAGCTAATAGTCCTTGCATGAGAAAGACTTTGCGAGCATCTGCAAATGCTAGTGGTTTCCGTGGCTGGTTAGGAACAGGGCTTATAGCCAGAGCAAATGCGCGCGTTAGCAATTCATTCTGGGGAGAACAGCTAGCTTCATCAAAGATCGCTTTGAAATACATGCGATTGGGTTCATCTCGAGCAAGGAGCTTGGCAAGGCCGTCAATTGCTGCTGGTGTATATCTGTGAATGGAAGGGTTGTATGGTGTGAATGTTACTCCGTCCACGCCTAACGTAGGCACCGGCAAAGGAGCAAATGAAAGAAGGAAGTGAAGCAAGCAAGATGCCTCTTCCTTCCCAGGCAGATGAACCGTTTGAGCCAGATTGCTCAGATACGTGGCGGTATCTTTCATAAATTCCAGACTATTTTGGTTGGTTCGTAAAAGCATGTTCCGAGTACCTAAATACCGAATGATGGTGGAGAACATCTTGACGACGGGAAGACTGCCTAGAATGCCGAAATTTGATTCTGAGAACGAAAAGTTTCTGATTATTGCGGTTATGCAGAGAACTCTATCAGCCGCGCGGTCAAGTTCATAGCCTAAACTGCCAAACTCCTGAACGTCCAAGAGTGATGCCATCTCTATGTGGCAGCCACGAATCACCTCTTCATAAGACGGCAGTAGCATTTCATCAGAAACCTCAGCTGCATTCTCAGCTAGTAAATCGAGCTGCTCTTCCGCACAATCCACTAATGTTTCCACAAGATCATCGCAATTATCTAGTGAAAGAACGGCTGCCTCGGAAGACAAAGTCATCAAAGTATCCAAGGCCACGCGCACTTCAGCATGTATCCCAGACTTTAAGCTCATAGTTAGAGCATGAATGTCGATAACACCTAGTTCGCCAAAAGAAGGTACGTTGGGTTTCAACCTCGTGATCTCTTCTCCAAGTTGATAAATCTCGTCCACTACCACTGGTCCATGCCTGTGATTATCTGGGAGAACAGCTGCCTTGAAAGTCTGATCAATGTGGTGTTTGACACTCTTAGAAGGCGCCGACTCGGAGTCTGGTGCAGATTTAATCGTGGCTGCGGCCGATAGCTTTGCTGCCGTTCCAGACAGCGCGACTTGCGGCTTTGGGGATGCATCAGTTGGAACTGGTATTTGCGCTTGTTGAGCTACCGGTCTTTGGCTGCTCGGATTCTGTGGGGGTTGAGGCGGTTGTTGATTGGCTTGACGAGATTGCTGAGAAGTTGAGATGCCATTCGTTGCGCTTGGTGGCATATTGTTTGGTATTGTCGCACTAACTTGGGGGGAGGGCGTAAACTGCTGAGGACTTTGCGTTTCAAAGTCTGGCACTGGCTTAACAGGGGATTGCTGATATTGCATCGTATTGGCGTCTGCAGATTGGCGCTGCAGGGAATTCTGTTGCATGCTATTATCCATTTGTTTTTGTTGGTGACTGCTGATGATGATAGCTTGCTCATAGCTTGCTAGGTTTTTCGCGTAGATGTCTCGGACTTCCAGCGCGGCGTTCGGATATTGTTGATGTGGAAATTGCAGGGTCTGAGCAATGGCCGGCCACATATTAGTCGCTGAAACCTTCTTTGAACCGCCCATTTTCATAACTGTCGCGTAAAGTTGCATCAAATGTATAGGTCGACCGCTGACATATGGATTAAGATCCAGAGGCTGATTACGGGCCATCATGAATTTTTGCAGAGTCTTCAAAAATATTTCGGGGCTATTCGCCTTAGGCATATTCTGCTGGGACAAGTTGTGCTGCATCTGTCGCAAGGCGGCCATTTGAGGGTTTACCGCCATAGTGTTCATTGTACCAGATGGTCGCCCTACCATTGCAGGATTATTGACTTGCATTTGGCGAGCTTGGTTTTGTAACTGCATCTGATATAGACGCTGCTGCTGAGCAGCCATGGCCTGAGGTGAAAATCCCTGCTGCATATTGTTCATATGAGGTTGCATGGAGGCTGGCGTTGGGCCTGAAGACATGGAAGCTGATTGTGCAAACTGGGGTGGCATGCCTTGGGGAAAATTTTGGGCGGGCATAAAGGTACTGTTTTGCGGCGTGTTGACACGACTTCCTTGGTCGGACTGAGGCGTGGAAATTTGATTTGCAACCGGGCCTGCGGGGGAAAAGGGACTAGGGGAAGAGGTCTGCATCTTCTGCACGCCGTGTTGATCAAAATCTTGCAGGACGGGAGACTGCGATGTGTTGAGGGGGCCTCTTTGTTGTTGCTGTTGCAGATGCTGATAGGCCGCCGGGTGATGTGCGAATTGGGGATTTCCATTTGCCGGAGGTTGATATCCTGGGAAGGGGACCTGAGGCGTTTGAGAACGTGACACTGCCAGTCCACCTGGGGCTTGCCTTGGAGACATCGACAACCCATCTTCTGGTCTCGGCCTTTTCGATGGTATCACCTGGTTGGGATTGTGGAATCCAGGCGAGACGTTGCGAGGAACTCCATTTTGAAACATGCGCTGGAATTGGGTAGGATCTTGCGGAGCGGGAGATGGCTGGAGGAAAGCCATGGATGGGTCGATGGTTCCATTGAATGTCCCATTGTCATGGTTGGGAATATTGGAGGCGTCCGTTAGCCACGCATTCATATCGTGCGGATCGACCAACCCATCTGGACGAAAACGTGATCAGTAAGTCATCGACAAGTACGCGCCAATGGCCATTGGTAGCGCGTCAAAAATGCACGGCTTTAATTAATGCCAGAGATCAAGGTAAACATCAAGGAGATGTGGAATGATGTCACGCCTGAGAAAAATGTTCTAGACGCGTCAAGAGAGTGACGGTGCATCGCACTGAAAGTTGGTAGGAGGCAAGCGCGACGTAGACAAAACGCCGGCTTTAGGGACGGTGTGTATGCGCATATCAGAGATGGAAAGGAAACCAGGACTACTTACTGACGAGGTTGGTTTAGCTACGGTGCTGTGATGCGAGTGAGCGATGAAGGAGTCTCGTTCGGTATTCCGAAAATAGCGCTTTGCGGTGCGATGAGTGACAAGTTGCGGGAGGGAAGGGCGTGGTCACGGGACTTGGATGGCAAGGAAGGAGCCAGCCAGAGCGGCAGCCGCGTGCAGAGACTACAGGCGCTGTTGGTTCGCAAGGAAGGAGGCCCTATAGCAGACGGTTCTTTCTTTCTTTTTTCTTCTTCCCCGATCAGCATTCATAATAATCTATAAAATACGACAAATAGAATTGATGCATTGAAAGAATCGAGTATCGCGGCACCTCATGTGTTGCGCTGTGCTGATGAACGGGCCAGTGCGTTGGCGGGTCATCGAGCTAATTGGAGGCAAAGCGGTTCCAAGATCCAGAGCCTGACAGGCAATCAGAGAGGCAGGGGGACTCAGCCTACCTTCAAGTAGTAAAAGAGCCTAGCGACCGACGGAGCACCGCATATATCCTTTTTGGGAGGGGGGAGCAAAGTGGAGGCGCAGGAATGATGGTAGGGCCGTGGAGAGCAGCAGAGAATTAAAGGGAGTGATAATTTCAGAGGGCGGTGCGTATCGGGGGGGGGGGCGCTAGGTAGGGAGGCGATAAAGCCGGAACAAACACGGGAAAGGGTAGATAGAGTACGTAGCAGTTCAGTACGTAGTAAGTATGACAGGCTGGCAGCAAATGGGACAGCAGCAAGCGAGTTTGGCACAAGTTCGGATGCTGGGGGGGTGGGATAAAGAGCGCGTTGGGGTTTCACGGGAAAAGCACGCAAAGAACTTGGAAGTTCATGCCTGCGTGACTAAGGCCGGATTCTTAGTGGCTTGGCCTGCCTATGCCAGAAGCGGCTAGGGCGCCTGTGGCTGCACTAATCCCGCTTGGGACGCAGCCGCTTGGCACTCGCCGGGTTGAGTAGCAGCATGTTATTGGCCAGCACCGCCCGAGTGGGGAACTGTTGCGATAGCGAGACCGACCGTCACGACTCATGCATCTTCGAAATCTCGCAGCCAGCACGACTGTGTGCTTGACATGTGCTTCACTGCTCTCTGTTGTGAAGGTGGGATCGTCAATCTCCTATGGCTGAGGAGGGCATGCCCATTCTATGGTTTCTCTCAATCCGCCAAGACTTGCTTCTAAGCCAGCAGACTCTGTCCGGACGATGCCGGTGAAGTCGCTGGGTAGCTCTTTCCCTCGACATTTGAAGCCCGGCATCCATGGGCAGAGGCGCGAAGACCGAGGCTGGTTAAGTAATTCTAATTCCAGGAGGGAGAGTAAAGGAACAATGAAGCGTGTTCGATGAGGGAGGGGCGTGCCTGAGCTATATATATTTTGAGCTTACCGATACGGCGGACCCATCAAGACTAGTTTTCATCTCATCACCAGATACCAGATGGCATCTGGACATGCCTAACCGATTGATTATTAGGTGCAGACTAGGCACGGAGTACATAGTTATACGTCTTGCGCAAATAAAATGCCGCGATCGTCATCCCACTCCTCTATGTTGCTCCTTGTTGCAAGGCTACGTTAACGTAATCAGGTACCATTGCTCCCGTTTTTTCTTCAAGCGTTGTTGGCAAGCACCTTGGATCCGGAAGCCTAACTCTTCTAATTTCCAAATGCACTTCCTGTTCTACTTTGAAATCGATCTTTTGATTGCACAGAACAAACGCGTCGACTAGCAAACACCGAGATAAGAATCTTACGTTGGATCCTCTTCTGTTCTCGTCAGTCAGTTGATTCATGGTTGTCGTTTGGCATAGAGGAGGGCAAGTAGGATTTGAAAGACTTGCTTTGGTAGAACAAGATGTAAATGACTGCGAGAAATAGTAGGAAAATGTGCGAGTCGGTCGGTGTATTCATGCCCAGCAAGATCAAACACCGTCACGTGATTTATGCCGAATGGAGCTCTGCGGCCGGGCAGCTCCTGCTTGATCTTGTAATCAAGCTCCGAACAACCAACCATCTGAATCTGCCAGCACCATCACTTCTAGTTTTCCTGTTCTACTTTGAATTGAAGCCTTTACCCAAGACGATTCTTGCGAAAGCATACATTGACCTACCAATACAACCTGAAGCCTGTCATCTGTCATGGCTGACGTCGCCGTCGAGAACCCGGCCAACAGCGTGGCAATCCACAAGCGGCCTGCTCCAGCTGACTCGGTACCTATCATCGATTCATTAGATGGAACCGGTGGTGATAGCGGCGATGAATACGCTACCTTGAAGCGTCTACAAAGACATCTAGAGTAGGTGCCCTAAGAATGGTCTGAATGGCCGAAGTTAACGCTTAATTTGCCAGGTACATTCATCTCCAAGAGGAGTACATCAAAGACGAGCAGAGGTATCGCTTCTCCCCTCAAGATTTGACTTGATAGTTGCGGCTCTTGCCCTGTTGCTAAACCTGTTCATTGCTACGTATAGGAGTTTGAAACGAGAACTAGTTCGCGCCCAAGAAGAGATCAAGCGGATACAAAGTGTTCCACTGGTGATCGGCCAGTTCATGGAAGCTATCGATCAAAAGTGAGATAATCCACCTCGACTGAAATACTGGTATCAAAGCTAAACAACCTGATCGTTGTGACAGTACCGGGATCGTACAATCGTCAACCGGTTCCAACTATGTGGTCCGCATCCTTTCTACCCTCGACCGAGAGAAACTGAAGCCATCGTCATCGGTTGCCCTACACAGACATTCGAACTCGCTAGTCGATATTCTCCCACCGGAAGCGGATTCGTCCATTGCTATGCTGGGTGCACATGAGAAACCAGATGTTACATATGCTGATGTCGGCGGATTGGATATGCAGAAGCAGGAAATCAGAGAGGCTGTGGAACTGCCACTCACACACACCGACCTCTATCAGCAGATTGGTACGTTTTTGCTTGACGGATTCTGACTCTTCAACCCTAACAAACTTTACCAGGTATCGATCCCCCGCGCGGTGTTTTGCTCTATGGTCCTCCGGGTACTGGAAAGACTATGCTGGTCAAGGCTGTGGCCAACAGCACTACAGCCAGTTTCATCCGTGTGGTTGGTTCGGAATTCGTCCAAAAATACCTGGGAGAAGGTCCTCGTATGGTCCGCGACGTTTTCCGTATGGCTCGCGAGAATTCACCGGCCATTATCTTTATTGATGAAATCGACGCTATTGCCACCAAACGTTTTGACGCACAGACAGGCGCTGATCGTGAGGTCCAGCGTATTCTTCTAGAGCTTCTCAATCAAATGGACGGTTTCGACCAGGGCAGCAATGTCAAGGTCATCATGGCCACCAACCGAGCCGATACACTAGATCCTGCCTTGCTTCGCCCTGGTCGTCTCGATCGCAAAATCGAATTCCCTTCACTTCGTGACCGCCGCGAACGCCGACTGATTTTCACCACGATTGCAGCAAAAATGTCATTGTCCCCCGAGGTGGATTTAGATTCATTGATCGTGCGAAACGAGCCTTTATCTGGTGCCGTTATCGCGGCTATTATGCAAGAAGCCGGCCTGCGCGCCGTTCGCAAGAATCGCTACAACATTATCCAATCTGATTTGGAAGATGCATATTCCAGCCAAGTGAAGACTAGCCAGGAAGCCGATAAGTATGCTCTCCCAGATAACGCCATTCAGGCTATACTTGCGGAATCATAATTTACTAACCGCTATGCTTATCAGATTCGATTTCTACCGGTAAGGGGGAACTACTGGGTCGGTTGCTCTATTTACTAGGTTGGCTTCATCGTGTCATTATAATTCTGGGGTCTACTGCTTGTAGCATCGTCAAATAGAGTGTATCTTATCATATCATATGCATGCGGGAGAACCTACCTGCTAGCCACACCAGCGTAAAAGAAAACCTGACATTTTTTTTTTTGGAATTCTCTGAATATGTTATGATTCCATTTATATTCGGAAGACAACAGCATAACTCCTGGTATGCACGATGGCATATGCAGTGCGCTGTTTATTTTTGGGGCAAATCAGGCACGCAAGAGTGGGTGCCTTGCCGGGAAGTCACGAGGCCCTGGTTGCGGTGTGGTGATTGCAGCCACCGCCCAGATTGGCTGCCCGTGACCCAACCTCCCGGCCCGCTGTGCTCCATCGTCATCACCTGCTGGCGGCTGCAGCCTGGCTAGCACCTAATAGTCCGTCATCCCGAAAGCTATCTCACTCTCGGCGCCTACTTACTTATCATCCCTCTTTCTTTCATCCTCATCATCTCCAATAACAACAACGCCTATCGTTCCTATATACTTCCATCGTCTGTCTTTCGCTCTCCTTGTGAAGATTGTACTCCATCCATCATAAAGTCAAGACTGGTCTGGTTCACCATGAAGACTACCTCCGTCCTCGCAGCTGCCGCGCTGGTCGGTGCTGCTACCGCCAAGGTGCACAAGCTCAAGCTGGACAAGGTCCCCCTATCTGAGCAGTTTGTATGGCCTACTACTCTTCGTGTGCCTTTTGCATCGTTTAAAACTGACCCGGCGTGTTTTCAAAACAGGATAAACGCAGCCTAAATGACCATGTGCGCTCCTTGGGTCAGAAGTACATGGGCATCCGCCCTTCTCAGGCCGAGGACATGTTCCAGGACACGTCCATCCACGCGGACGGTGGCCATGATGTGCTAGTTGACAACTTTCTAAACGCTCAGTGTATGTGATTACTGAGTTAGACTTTCAAGCATGTATACAAACCCCACTGACTTCTGTCATTCAGACTACTCAGAGATCACTATTGGCACGCCGCCACAGAACTTCAAGGTTGTCCTTGATACGGGCAGTTCAAACTTGTGGGTTCCTTCGTCTTCTTGCAACTCGATTGCTTGCTATTTGCACAGCAAGTATGACTCGTCGGCCTCGTCTACCTTCAAACAGAACGGTAGCGACTTTGCCATCCAGTACGGCTCAGGCAGCCTTGAGGGCTTCGTGTCTCGCGACGTGGTGACAATCGGCGATCTCTCGATCAAAGATCAAGACTTCGCAGAAGCCACCAACGAGCCAGGCCTGGCCTTCGCTTTCGGCCGCTTCGACGGCATTCTGGGTCTTGGGTTTGATACCATCTCTGTCAACAAGATCGTCCCTCCCTTCTACAACCTGCTGAACCAAAAGTCTCTTGATGAGCCTGTATTTTCCTTCTACCTCGGCGACAGCAACAAGGAAGGTGATAATTCCGAGGCTACCTTTGGTGGTGTTGATGAGAGCCACTACACAGGAGAACTAGTCAAGATCCCCCTCCGCCGCAAGGCTTACTGGGAAGTTGACTTCGACGCCATTGCCTTCGGTGACAGCGTTGCTGAGCTTGACAACACTGGTGTTATCCTCGACACCGGTACCTCCCTTATTGCTCTCCCCTCCACCCTTGCTGAGCTTCTGTAAGCCAATCTTATCATTCTTATTTGGTCAGGGTCGAAAAGAGTTTCTATGCTAATATCATCTCAGGAACAAGGAAATTGGCGCCTCGAAATCGTGGAATGGACAGTACACCGTTGACTGCGCAAAACGCGACTCCCTCCCCGACCTCACTGTCACCCTAAGCGGACACAACTTCTCTATTACCGCATATGATTACATTCTCGAGGTCCAGGGATCTTGCATCAGTGCCTTCATGGGTATGGACTTCCCTGAGCCTGTTGGTCCTCTTGCCATCCTCGGAGATGCCTTCCTCCGCAAGTGGTATAGCGTCTACGACTTGGGCAACGGTGCCGTCGGTCTTGCCAAGGCCAAGTAAACAACAGGTTGCTATAAATGCACGGCTTACAAACACCGACAACTGCATATGCGCGTGCAGGAGAGATAGAGGTTACATTGACTTGTCTTTGTGTGAACATAAATGAACAGCTTACAAGGAATAAGATTGTTTTGACATAGAAACCCAGTCTAGCTTATTTCTTTGAATCTCTAGTTGTCTAATTTTCTCTTTTGATTCATTGCTGCTTTCCGCATACAAAGCCTCCCTACGATGTACAATATCGGATTCCTTAATGACTGATCATCGATCTATTGTGACAGATATACGTAGCAATATATAGCAATGGAGCAGGATGCAAATACATATACAAAAAAGGAGAAAAATTGCTGTTGCCTCGAGTGATCAGAGCAACCCAAGTGAGTCACATGACACTTCCAAATAGGGAAGCTCTTAGCTTTGCGAGCCGTCGACGCTAAGCCGGATACATTCATAAGCTTCAAAATTATTGCAGCGCGACTCGACCGCCTACGCTGTTTATCAACTAGCCCCAGCCTGTAAGTCATCGCCGCGCAAAGCTCGTCCTCGACCAAACGCAACTCCGCCTGACACGTGAACATTCATGGTTATCGTTCTTCTTTAAATTTTTTTTATATTTCCTCTCTTTTCTGAACCAGCTGCAGTCTATTCTTTTGCCTCCTCTGCCTAGCTAGCTACCTTGCGTCCCCGCATTCGACTTGTTGATCGCCTCTCAACTACGTACGCTCGCCACGCACAGAACCATCGCAGATTGATTTGGGCGCACTCTACCTTACATCGAGGAATTGACATATTCAATTGTCACCACCTCTTACACATCTTTTTTCTCGCGAGTTGGCTTTCACGGTTGCATCTTTGCGAGTGGCAACATTGAGCTTTCGCAACAACTCGGTAAAGGTCGGTTGACGCTGGCGAGCACAATTTCGGGAAATGGCCCAGTGATTCGTGTGTGACTTGTTGAAGAAAAGAAAATCAGAACTTTTCTACAGGTTAAAGGATATTTAGTACAAAAGCGGGTGGGCTGTCGGTGTCAATTCATAAATTCGAAGATCTACGGGATATGCTTCTGCGACTGCCGCCCACTCTCCATTACCCCATCACCGTGACATCGCTGCTCAAGCGTCCGGGCGATACGGTTGAGCGGGGTGATTATCTCTTTTGGTATGTCTACAAGACTACTGTCATCGAGGGCGATGGGCTGGGCAATGATGTCGAGGTTCAAAGGGAGTTTCCCATAAAATTCGAGTCAAGTGTTGATGGGAATGTGTTGGAGTGGAAAATCTCTACGGGAGATATTATTGACGAACCGTAAGTTATTATTGTATCTTGTTCATGGACTGCAACGCTGATTTAGTAAGGGTAAATGTTGTTGAAATCGAAGAACCATGTGCCCACGAGGTTCAATTTGGGGGTATGTGCGCCGAGTGTGGAAAGGACATGACTGCGTAAGTTCTCGTATGTGCATTATTCAAGAAGTTTTACTGACGTCACAATTTTCTATATTAGCGCGAACTACAATACGGATATTATGGACTCGATGCGCGCGCCAATCCAAATGACCCACGACAACACTGCTCTTACAGTTAGTCAAAGAGAGGCTACACGAGTGGAAGAAGACGCTAAGCGCCGGCTGTTGGCCTCAAGACGCCTGTCCTTGGTTGTTGACTTGGACCAAACGATTATACACGCAACTGTGGATCCAACAGTCGGGGAATGGAAAGAAGACAAAGATAACCCAAACCATGAGGCTGTTAAAGATGTTCGTGCGTTCCAGCTCACCGATGACGGCCCGGGTATGCGCGGCTGCTGGTATTATATCAAACTTCGACCTGGACTGGAAAGCTTTCTACAAAACATTTCCGAAATTTACGAGCTACACATCTACACAATGGGTACCAGAGCGTATGCGCAACATATTGCAAACATTGTCGACCCTGATCGTAAACTCTTTGGAGATCGAATTCTAAGTCGTGATGAGAGCGGCAGTCTTACAGCAAAGAACCTGCAACGTCTATTTCCCGTCGACACGAAGATGGTCGTAATTATTGACGACCGCGGCGATGTCTGGAAATGGAATCCGAATCTGATTAAAGTGTCACCTTATGACTTTTTTGTGGGCATTGGCGATATCAACTCAAGCTTCTTACCAAAAAAGCAGGAGTTAACCCCAGGAAAGGCTAAATCCAAACATGGAGAAAAAAAGGCTGCAGCTACCCCTACTGAACACCATGTCAACGGCTCCACGCAGGCTCAAGTCTCTGGGAACGAAGTCTCGGCGTTGGAGCAACTTGTAACTATGGGTGGCGGAGACAACCCGTCAATGCTTCAGGAACAAGCCACGCAGCAAGAAGAAACAATCATGCATCAAGTGGAAGATAGGCCGCTGCTTCAGAAACAAAAAGAGCTTGATGCTGAAGATGACGCCTCTGAATCGCAAGCAGGCGCCGATAGTGAGACTTCATCGTCAAGCATGGAAGATTCTCAGGATATAGCGCGGCCAAAGCATCACTTGCTTGAGGACCACGACACAGAGCTGTTTCATTTACAAGAGCGGTTAGAAAAAGTGCATCAGGAGTTCTTTGAAGAGTACGAGCGGCGCCGCACAAGGAACCTGGGAAAAGGAAGAGTTTCCGCTCTTAGGGGTGAGAGGATTATTCGGGATAAAGATATCGAACTAGAGTTGCTGCCTGATATCAAAACTGTCATGCCACAGATTAAGCACAGAGTTCTTGGAGGCGTCGTCGTAGTCTTTTCAGGAGTTTTGCCGCTGGGGACTGACATGCAGAATGCCGATATTTCTCTCTGGGCCAAAAGCTTTGGTGTCGTTGTCTCGACTAAGATAGGGTCAAAAACGACACATTTAGTGGCAGGACGAAACCGGACAGCTAAAGTACGCGAAGCAACGAGATATCCTCGAATCAAGATCGTCACAACACAATGGCTGTTAGACAGCTTAACGCACTGGAGACACATGGATGAAGAACCATATTTAATTCCAGTCCACCCGGAAGATCGCGGTGAGCCTGTTCTAGGTAGCTCACCTTGGCTTTCTTCAGATGATGATACAGGTGTATCATTTACAGATGACGATCTCAGTAAGTGTTACAACAACGACAACAACAAAGATGAAATACCAAGTACTAACAGGGAGAAAAGATGTCAACGACGAGATTATCAGGTCGTCCGGCATGACAGAGCATTCACGTGTCGGATACACCGTGGAAGAGCAAGCTGCAGTACATGATGAACTCAAGGAATTTCTGGGAAGTGATGACGAAAGCGACGATGATGACGAAGATGAAGATGAAGATTACGTCGATGACGCGGAAAACGATGAAGCAGAAGGCGAGACAGAAAAGGGGCCTGTCACTCTAGGCAAGACAGATCCTTCTCGTAAGCGAAAGCGGGAAGAAGGAGATGCAGACAGTGAATTGACGGAATCTGGAGAAAAAGAGAATGAACTACGACTGGCACAGCGACTGAAAAGGTCGAGCAACTCTGAAAACAATTTGAATGAAAGTACGGCTGTTGGTGTGCCTAGTAGAACAGCAGCAGGAGGAGTGGACGAAGCTGATGATGGCTATGGCGGCGAAGAGGATGGCTTCGCAGAGAATGCGGACTACGATGAGGACGAGTTGGAGAAGGAAATGTTGGCGGCATTTGAGAATGGAGATTTCGATGAATCTGCAGAAGCAATTGGTGCGGATAATGGTTGATCTTGTTACTTTTTTTTTTTCTTTTTCTGGAATGGTATTGTTATATGCCATGATGAACTGCGACAACACATGTATATTTTGCATAAGGGCGGCGTTTTCAAATGAACGAAAGAAAGCGTTGGGAGTTCGTTCAATTTGGGTCTATACGGCTGGGAGGTGATGATTAGTGTATTACAGCGTTCTGAATATATGAGTACGTTATTCATACGATTGGGTTGTATTGCTAACAATTATCATCAGTAGTGATAATGTCATCGGAGCTATGTTACATGGATGACACATATTCCCCAGGCTCGAACGATATAACCTCCCCCCGGCGTATGATCCATCAATTAGAGAACTTTTCCGGAACTTTCTTTCTATAGACAGATAATCATTAGCATTCTTCGGCCTAACATACTCGGGTAGATGCCGGTGAGTTTTTTCAAGAGGGAGAGCAGACGCACCCAGTCACTTTCTCAAACATGTTTCTCGCACCGTCGGTGATCTTCTCGTTGGTGCTTCGCATCTTTTGAGGATCGACTTTGCCTTGGCCGAATCTCTTCTCTGCCGCTCCGAGGCCTGTAGATGGTTAAGAGACATGCCGACGAAGCAAGACACTTTTTAACACTATTCAAAAAGGGGCGGTTATGGCCATACCTTTGTCGAGGTAGTCCTCGTTCTGGGCGCTGCCAGAGGCTTGCTGGTTGCTGCTCATTTTGAAGGACGTATGTATTAAATGTGGTTGGTATCTATGTATTGTCTTGTCTTGTCTTGCGATGGGAGTCGAAGATGGTCAATGGAAATTTGGGCGACGTGGAGGAAAGGGCCAATTTATTATATGTAATCTACAAAATAGTCACATCTGATATCAAATATCACTATCAATAAAGAAAGACAAGTAGATGATCTCATCGCCGTTACAGCCAAGCCCTATCCGGAGGATGTTGACTCGGTGGTTGTCCACTCATCGATGCTTGCCGTAGTATACGACGTCATTGATCGCTGGGAGCATCCTCGCCACTTTGGGAGCCAAGAGAATTGTCTTCGTAGAATCGAAAGGTGAAGTAAGAAAGTAAGTATCTAAGTTCGATGAGGACCGGCCTAGACTCGATCGGGCCGATAAGCCAAGCTAACCCTAAGTCTAACCCTTTCTAGGTTCGTAAAGAGAACATCAATTCGGACTCTTCGAGTAAAAGCTATCATAATCCAGAGTCATATGCAACATGCGATATATACAAAACGCCTGCTTCGCCTCTAATTGCATCATACATAGCCGAAAAATCGGCTCAACATAGCACAAGCACCCACGATGCGCGCGGATCATCAGTTGGCATCGCGGTGCACTTGCCAGGACATGATCATCATCCAGAAATAAAAAATAGTGTTTATAAGCTCGAAGGCAAAAGCGGCTTTCCAGCAGTTACCTAAAGTGCGAAGGACATTTGTAGTTAGCAGAGCACTTTCTTTCCATACGGAAACGAATTCTTGGGTATGGATGGGACTTACATATATTACTCTGCGTCAACCAAGCCAGAGCTTCAACTGTATTTCCTGAATACGGCATATCCGCCACATAATCTTGACATGTCGAGTAGACATTTGCCTGAACACCGTATAGCTGCAGACCCGTTTCAATCAGGCCCGTCAGCCATAACGCAAAAAGCACAAAACTGCCGATTATTATAATCCCCGGTAGGAGGAATCGCTGTGCGGCAAGGATAAGGATGGCAAGAACGAATACGACACCGAGAGCCCCAGTAACGGTCATGAATGGGAAAAGCCTGTTGGAAGAAGCAAAAAGAATGAGTATGTTTGTTCCAACCTGTGATGCTTGTTGTAGAGAAAAGAAACTTACCATGGTGTACCCAAATGTAGTTGCGATTGAACTGCCATAAACCATGCAAAGATACCAAGACAAGTCCCCGAGCCTGCTAGCACCGTGATGAGCCAGATATTCAATTGCACCTCTGGCCAATGATACCGCCTCCTCGCTGCTCTTCGTCTGTACGTCGGCATGTCGGGGTTGGGGAATGTGTGCCTTTTGATTGCGGAAGCCGATGCAATGTCACAACAAGATAGAAATTCAGAGGGAGAAAAAAAAAATATAGAATGCAAGCGCTGTAAAGCGACGAGAAAAAGAAGGCGTTGTTGATTTTATAAATGATGCCTGGTATTTTTCTGAGTTGGGCGAACAACCAGGCGAGTTGCTTTGGGTTGATGTTATGTGAAAAAGACGAATTCGATATGATCCTAGCCAGATCGACAGGCATAAACGAAAAGAATAGCTAGACCCTTTCGTTAGAACAAGTAAGACAGCATTGTATGCATAAAAACCTGGGGCGATTGCCCACCTTCTGCTTGTCAATCAGAGATAAACACGACTGAGCCACGTCTGCATGAGGTCTCCGCACCGAGGGAATTGGGTATATGAACTATGGTTGCAGCGTCCAGGCCATCGCAAATACCGGCGGTCCCTAGGCCGAGACAAAAGACATAGTTGTAATTACTGTCGTATCAATTCATTTGTTGTACGAATAAAACAAATTTCATGGACGATCAAAACAAAACAAACAAACTGGTTCCTGCCTTACCGCCTTAGGCCTTAGTTGCCCTAGTTGCCTGACGACGACGAGCGCTCTGATTGGCTGGACTGCCTAGCTGTGAGGGAGAAGCCTGAAGAAAGTCGAAATACCTTCAAGCAAGGGTAGAATGATAATATATAGCAATTATTCACTGTCTTGATCTAACGACATCTTTGTTCAAAGCTAGTTGATAAGTGCAAGAAACTAACTGCCTTGGAGCCATCGCGGCTCAGAACTGAACGATCTAACTACCAACATGTGCAAGGAAATTCATCTCTTGACCAGGAAGAGAACATATAGGTTATAAGAGAGTATCGCCCAGCGCGCTACGAACCAGCGAGCAGCCCGTGCGGATGGTGTCGCTGGCGCCCAATGCTTCCAAGCTGGGGTTTACCTCGACCAAGTCCATAGCAACCAGGTTCCCAGTCTCGTGCACGCATTCACAGATAAAGTCACCTTCGCGGAGAGTAAGGCCTCCGCGGACTGGAGTGCCAGTGCTAGGTGCCCATTGCGGATCGAGGGCGTCGACATCGAATGACAGATGTATCGGGGTGTCGTTGCCAATGTGTGCAAGCGCCATCTCGACCACACGGCCGATTCCATGCCTGACGGCCAGGCCAGTTAGGGACGTAATCATACATAACAAGTCTCTGTGGGACTCACCTGTCGATGTCGTGCATGCTAAAAGCTTTGATACCGTGGTCTCGGAGAATCTTCTTCTCTCCACGATCGACATCGCGCAGCCCAATATACACCAGCTTATTCAAATTTAAACGGTGTTCACTCTGCAGCCAGCCGAAAATGTCCTTCTTTTCCTCCTTGGCGAGCCCCGTAAGGAAAGCCACAGGCATGCCATGAATATTACCGCTGGGGCTTTCCTCCGGCAGATTGATATCGGCATGTGCATCTACCCAGATGACCGCGATTTCTCGTCCCAGTCGCTCGCGGATGGCTTTGGCGGTTCCGGAAATCGTCCCGATCGCAATCGAGTGGTCACCCCCGAGAGTCAGAACCATCTTCCCCTCCTTGGCATGTTCGTACACTTGTTGACTGAGCTTCTCGGTCACCGCGCTCACTGCGCGTGGCTTTTTCATGCCCCGGTGATCCGGGTCCTCGGCGGGCTTGAGGTCCGCATAGTCATGGACAATGTTGTCGTAGTGCACGTCATAGGTAAGGTCTTCACGAAGTTGGTCAAGGAGTCCAGATTCGATCAGAGCCATCGGCGCCGCTTCGACTCCAGCTTTGCACTGTGTTTCAGAACCCGTCAGCCCACGAGCTGTCACTGTCCTACCAAGACGGAGCCCTTCTCACCTGCCCGCCGGAAAAGCCGACAGCTACGACACCCAGGTCGCCGGGGTGAGATAGGAAGCGCTGCTTGATTGTCGATGGAGCAGTCATCTTGGATGGTGTGCTTGTTCTTGTTTTCTCGATAGACAAATCCCAAGGGGGCAGGCAGCGTGGCAAAGAAATGACTGAATGCGGCGGCGGCGGGGTGAAGTTCGGAAGAAAAGCGCTCGTGAGGGGGGGGAGGGGAGGAAGGTGGAGGAGAAAGAAGGTATTTTCCTCAAGTCGTTGCAGCGAGAGAGAGGTGTAGAGTGGGAGAATCCGGACGAGCCCCTTGATTATAACCCATGGCGGTGATTTGTGTGGTGCACACAGAGCGTTCCCATGTTTCGCGTGCAGCTGCTTTTAGCGGTCGTCTCCCGCTCCCAACCGTCGCTGGATTGTAACATCTCCATCGCTCTTCTCCCCTAAGTACAGGTTGAACCGGAGGACACGAATCGTTCCGAATAACGGTGAAAAAATTTTTTCATATATCGCATATTTTGCCTATTACGTCTAATGGGCTTGCAAGTGAAGCAAAGTATAAATATAAAAAACATGTTTGGTTCCAGCGCAGGAAAGGGGGTATCTCTAAGTACATCTCCTCCGTCTATCGTACAATGATCTTTCTTCCTCTTCAAAAGACAGGTGTTATATATGTATGCACCTCATTGCGCACCCAGAATCAATTCGCGAAGAACCTCCTCCGCACGCTGCGCTTCTACGCGACCCTTCTCCCCCTGGCGCATCATTTGTCCGACAAACCAGCCGATTTTGCCCACCTGCTTCTTCTCGCGTATTTGTGCGACCATTCGTGCATTCTCCTGGATCAGCGAGTTGGCCAGCATAATGTATTCGTCCTTGGATAGAGGGCGCAGCAGGAGGTTGTCCTCCTCCAGTAGCTGCTGGATTGGACGTTGATCCCCCTCAAAAACCATAGCCAGAACTTGCTTTGCGACGGGACTGGTGATCTTCTTGTGTATTAACTTATCAATGAGCTCTGCCAATGTCTGGGCCGGAACGAGGTCGGCATGCCAGGCCACATCGGCCTTGGTGAGCAGTGCCCCTAATTCGTGTAGCACCCAGTTGGCCGCAAGCCTGCCCAGCCCTTTCTGACCTTCTTCACTGGATTGAAGAGCCTGGAGCAAGGCGACAACATCCTGGTAGTATTCTAACCGCGCGCCATCATCTAATTCAATCAATGGCTTTGCGTCTTCTAGTGTAAGCCCATATGGTGAGCCGACTAGCATGGTTAAGAGCTGAGCAGGCAAAACAGGAAGGCTGTCTCTTAACGCAGACACTAGCTCACCATCGATGAATAGAGGGCTCAGGTCAGGATCTGGCATATAGCGATAATCCACTTCGCCCTCCTTGCTACGTAGTTTTCGAGTCTCGGTGCTGCCAATCGTCCAGCCTCTCGTTTCGACTTCAACAATACCTCCGGACTCGAGAACAGCGATTTGGCGATTGCGCTCGGCTATAATAGCGTCCTCGACGGCCTTGAAGCTGCTAAGGTTTTTGATTTCCGTCCTCTGACCTAGGCCTCGAACGCCGTGGTACTCTCCAGCTGCTGGCGGTGCATCCCGCCGTTTGACAGAGACATTGACGTCTGCTCGCAAGCCCCCTAATTCCATGCCTGTGGTGACTGCACTCGTAGCTTGTAGGATGGCCTGGATCTTCCTAACGCAGGCCGCGGCGGTTGCGGGCGAGTGAATCTGTGGCATAGTGATGATCTCGATGAGAGGATGCGAAACACGATTGAAATCTAGGAAATGAGTCGATGGCGGATGCTCGTGCGACTTGGCAGTGTCTTGTTCCAGCTGCACTTGTTTAATATCGACGCGAACCTTCTTCCCATCCTCGGGCGCAATGCCATCGTAGTCATACAGCTCGACGAAACCGTTTCGTGCAAACGGTTCTACGTAGTATCCTCTTAGTCATCGCCGCTCTATCAGCACGCGAGTCGCGGTGGCACGTACCGTAGTATTGAGTTATTTGATACCCCGCTGGCTGATCTTGATAGAAGTAATGCTTGCGGTCAAAGCGACTGATTGGTTGAACATCACAGTTGAGTGCTATCGCTGCTCGGAGTGCGGGGAGCAGAGTGGCAGTTTGGAATTTCTTTAGCAGAGAAGATCTCGAGTGTCAGCTCGCGAGGTAGTGAATCTGCCTGAAAAAAAAAAAAAAAAAAAAAAAAAAAGGTTGACATACTGGTTGTGAACCTGGGAATGCCAGGTCAAATAGGGCGACATTTGAATTTGGCTCAGCGATGGCAGATGTACGCGCTTCTGTGATTGAGCTCGTCAGTACAGCGCAATGCGAGTCGGAATGTGTAGATGTCACTGACTCGAGAATAGCTTCGCTTCCGAGTTCAATTGCGCATGTATTTCGATTCCCACGGTCAATTCCCAGCCATCGTTCACCTCTGGTTGTCTCCTTCCCCCCCTCTTCCGATTCTGGCTTTTCAAGATTTTAGCCTCCTGTTTCAATTGCTTACGGAGAGGTATAAACTCGTGGGTAGATGCGGCGGTGTTCACCGTGCGGCGAAGGAGAAGGTCAACTCGGGTCAAGGGTTGGTCGGGAAGAGACAGTGGGCGACAGCGAAAACGAGCTGAAGCAAGATACCGAGAGTACCATAGGCGCGGCATGTGTGAGTGAGAGAGTGAGAGTGAGAGTGAGATTTTCAAGTTGGCTTGGTCGAAGAGGAGAGGAGACGGAGGATGGACGGATGAATTGTTTTGCAGGGGAAATAATACAGCGATGATTACAGTACCGACCGGGGTTCGTGTATTTTACGGCCCCGTACAGTATCGTATTTTATTTGTCGATTAGGGCTAGGACTGTACGCAACGATTGTTGAGCATTGTCATTGTCTTGTCATAAGCAGTGAGGAACCTGAGCTTTCGGTGTGAATTTGGGCTTCCTCCTCGAGTATGCAAAAGCTGGCTTTGAAACGACCTAGACCAGCCTCCGTTTTGCTGAGGTGTTTTGTATGGACTGGCCCATTTTCCTTTTCCCTCCTGGTTCCTCCTTGTCCTTGTAATCCATAAAGTCTACTGCTTCATTGCAATCACCACCAGAGCCTGCTCTCTCTGTTGAGGTGCGGGTGATGATGATTTTGGGTGGTCGTTGAGGGTCGTTGTCTTGCCTACGATCGGCTTTCGAACCAAAACACATTTTTGTTTTCTCACTTTGCAGTACGTATCCCAAAACATATACAAGAAGGATCAGGAGTGTTGAAAGAATACGTTGGAATCCTGCTTCTCTCTTTTGCTGGGGGTCATCGGCCTTAAATAGCTGAATTGCCGCGCATGAGGCTGTGCTCTTAGCCAGCGCAGAACATCAAATCATGCTCTCTGCTTATTACGAGGAAGAATCAGCCTCACCTACCTAGTTAGGCAACAAGCATATCTCGACTTGGCAAACGTTAGTTCCTCGCATAGGCAAATGCAAAAGAGAGCAGCTGTCTAGAAAGGGCGCCGCCATGAAGCTATTCCCCGGAGAGAGCTCCAGGCTATTACTACTCTGTTTGGCGTGTCTGGTTAAACCTACTCGTCTACACCATACTTCTCGGTCTCTTTATTAACCAATATCTTGTTGATGCTAGACTGCTTGATATGGAAGCAGACATTCTGTGTAAATTTTCAAATAAACAAACGAGACGTGCTAGTAGAAACCCAACATGAACCTCACTCGAACAATTAAAATAATCAACTTCAGTCAGTGCCTCCATACAACATCGTAATGGACAAGATCAGCTCAGATTCATCTGCTGAAATGCATTCTCCAGATCCAGAGCGTGAGTCACTCCCTCTACAGCTTGGTGATTCTGTCCTCCCACTGGCTCGCCGCATTCAGGGCACACTGCTCTTTGCATCGCCATGCCGCATTCCCCAATCGTGAATGGATGCCCATTGCGACAATAATACCAATGACCCGTGCCACGGAACTCGCGAGCCATGGCAGCAATAACCTCCATGCGCTCCTTGTTGGTCACTGTGGTGTAGAAAGTTGCCCCTTGGAGCATCTTCTCGGCACCCTCGATTTCATTCTTCAGCCCCCGCGTTTGACCCGGGTAACTGGTGCAAAGCATCCTAGCATGGTCAATAGCTTCCTTGCCTTGTAAGAGGTGCTGTTCTGCTAGCTCAGATGACTCAGAATGCGATCGCCCTAACGCGTGGACCTGGGCCATGAATATGTATCCTTCAGCCTGAAGTGTCCTGCGATTGGTCTCGGACGCGGTCTTGATTAGAGCTTCGCATTCGCCTCTGATGTATGACAAGTCTACCTCAATTGTACGTTGAGATCCTGTGGGAGCGTCGCGACGAAGCTTGAGAAAGTCTACCAACAATGCAATGTCCAGGCGCAAGCTCAATGCTGCCGCTTGAAGGCACCCCTTAATCTGGAGAATTTCGTTTCCAAAATCAAAGCTTCCTGTAGTGCTGTGTTGATTTCGTGCATTTATGACCATATTGCGAACTCTATTGTATGGCTGCTCATCGGGTGCTACTTTCCTTTGATACTTGTCAATCCGCTGTCGCAAATCGAGAATGTTTTTCCATCTTCCCTTGTTTGTCGTGGAAATGATATTGCTCATGCATTTGATCTGAGTCTGTCGTTCACCCTGGACAATGATAGTAGCTGGCCAGACAGCGTGTGGCTTGCTTTCCTTCTCCTGTAACTGCTGGATACAGAGTGGAAGCTCCTGCGCTAGGGGAACATATTCGCGATTCATATACAGAATCAACTTCTTGGTGGACTCATCCAGAATAGCTCGACGAACTAACCTTCCATATCGGGCAATATCTCTCAACGGCCCACGGCAGCTAGCGCATCTTTTGATATCGTCAATGGAAAAGGGTTCCAACGAAGCAGCAATGCCAATTGGCTTCTCCCGTGCGTCAAGAATGTAATACTTCTTCAGGTCCATAAGTGCATCCATATTTTCTATTGTTAGAAAATGGCCACATTTTGGAAATATGCACGGGTTTTCATCGAGGTCAATCTCCTTGTAGGTTTCCCCAAGAATGAAATCGACAATATGATCCTTGATGCCCTGATTCCCGCAGGTTTGACAGTACCTTTCATGTGGGCATATCTCTCCACACACTGATGGACACTGGTGCCCACATGCTAACACTTTATCACATCTCATGGAGCATGGGACATGATCACATGGAGCAGCGCAGGGCATAGTACACGTACTGTGCGGACAAGACGAAAGACACCTTTCTTCGGCGCAGGGAGTGCATGGTTCCGAGCACTTCTGCGCGCATCTAGAGTGACCGCAGTGAACATCACAAGGGGATTGACAGGGAGGACAAGGCTCGTCTCCATGGCAAGGGGTTCTGCATGTATGGGCGCAGGTGGACTGGTTTCTGCCACATTGTTGTTTACAAGAGCCATGGTCGGTGTGGACTTCTCCCGAATCAGCTTTTGTGACGCATGTGAAGCATTGGTTTCTGCATGAATGACCACAAGGTAAGAGTGTTCGGCATTGAGCAGTACACTTGTATTTGGGCGAAGAAACGTCAATGTGGCATGCGACAGTTACCTCATGTTTGCAGCTCGGAACCGTCTTTTTGACAAATACAGGACAGTGTACAGTCGACAAGTCCTGGCTTTGCCAACATGGAAGAGTTTCCATCAAGTGACCACAATCAAGCCTCCTGTCTTTTTGGAAAACACTTGCCATACATTTGGAAGGGCATTTATCACCACATTTCATTGGGCAAGGATGAGTACATCCCTTACGTGGTCGTTGACATGGTTCCAGGCAATGAACCGCATTGTGAAGCATCTCAGAGTGGCACTTTTGAACACATGCATGGCCACAAGATAAACGGTTAACACAACGAAGATCGCATCCTCCCTCCGGTGAGAGCCGTGGGAAATCGTCTGGAATAGAGACCTTAATGGGAGTATCCGGGTGTCGTGGACACTCAAGATCTAGGCTTGTGCCGATATTTTCGTTCCGCCGAAGGATTTCTATCACATCAGCCCACATGGGAACATGTATAGATGTCATAGAGTTTCCGATAATATACATGCCATGCTTTGCTCGAGAAAGAAGAACGTTGATACGATTCGAAGTACGGAGGAATCCACATCTGTTCTGTGTGTTGCTGCGAACTAGCGAAATCACAACCACGCTGGCCTCTTCTCCTTGAAAGTTATCGATGGTTGCGACACGTAAGCTCTGTAACAGCGTTGCTTTCACTCCGGTGGTATTTGAAGTTGTTGCTTCATCTTCAAAACCAGCCTTGTCAAGGTCATCCTGATCCCTGTCCCCCAGAGTGATTGCATATGCCTGACCTAGTCGTTGCCGCAGTCTGTGAAGCTGGCCAAGATAAGGTGTGAGAACAGCAATATCACCACTAGCGTACTTCCCCTGTCGTATCAGGTGGCTAACTAATGCGGTTGTCATGTCGACTTCATAGTCGTTCCACCGTGATGTGGCTGCTGCCTCTTCATTTGATGGGTTTGCCTCTGGTACACGGTGGTCCAACCAAAACAGTCTCTTTCGCACTCCACTGACGCCTGGGTACTCGTGTACTGAAGAGGCATCTTGGAGACGTGGATATAGTGTGTCACGTACAAGCTGGGCAATGGAGGGATGCATTCGCCGTTGTGTCTGCAGGGTACTGTAGGGCAGACAAGAGCCCATGGCGCTATCTGATTCAATAAGGCGTTCAAAAAGTGACACATCCAATGAATACTTCTCTCCCCCATTCATGTTCTCTCGCGAGAGCTCATAATTTTGTACTTGAGGACGGAGCTGAAGATGGTCGCCGATAAAGATTGCATGTTCCACTGACGGAAGTAGAGCAGTAAGCAGATGCGCTTCAAGGACTTCACCCGCCTCTTCACACAGTACAACCTTTGACTGTAGCCTCCGTAGCATGTTCAGATTCCTGGCCAGCCCGCTTGTTGTGACACCAATAACATCGGCTTGACCAAGGCAACGTAGATTAACTTCGCTCCGAATGTTGTCAAACTCGCGCTTGGTATTGCGATGCACCTCACAAACCCTGCTCAGCCTTTCTTGCATCTCGGTTAGGATCTCTATCTTCCAATGTGCGTACAAGGCTTCCCGCTCAGGTCGTGACATATGCATAAGGTGGACCGATTCGAGCTCTTCGGCATTTCGGATCTTGCTCAAGGTTATCTGGCTGCTAGACCTGCGCCATCGTTTGAAAACTTTCTCACTGTTATTGCTATTTGCTTGCTGATATCTATCAGCATCTACCCCGAAAAGCTGATTGTAATGAGTAGGGTGGTGGTTGCGTAGATGAATCATGACACGACCGGGCGAAACATTCTCCCGAAGTCCAATTGCATTAAAATTCTCCTGGCAGCTTTCCAAAGAGCGGTGGGATTCCCACTGACCAAATTTTTCGATTTTTGTCTTGTCAACTTTTCTGGAGACTTCTCCCAGCCTGAAGGGCTCCAGGAGTTCGGACTTGGATTGCGAGCCTATGCGAACAATTTGCTCGGTGACCCCATTCTGCAATAGAGACTCCAGCAATTGGTCTAGTGCATGGTTTGTATACGTAACACATATAATGGGTCCCAGTCGTGTTTTGCCATGTGTCTTATTTGCTAAGAGGACTTTGATGAGAGATATACCTGTATAGCTTTTCCCAGTTCCCGGCGGTCCTTGAATTAGACCTATCTTGCTTTGAAGGGTTTCGACAAGGGCATTTGCTTGTGCATCGTCTAAGTTCGAGTTCTGGCAAAGATTTTGAATGTCTAGTGGCTGACCGGGATGTACATAGAAGTCGCTATCATTCTTCATTAAGCAGCGGAGGTTGAATCGAAATCCCGGCTTCGTCGCGTAGAGCGGAGGAGAGATGTGAGTTGACCTTGCAGCACCAGCGTTGGAAGGTATAAGCAGTTCAGATAAAGGTAGGTTCTCAGTACGCTTCATCAACTGGAGTGCTTTCAGGGTTGGTTCGAATGCCGGTAAAAGAACACCTGGGAACTCCACAAGAGCGAAGAATGGCTCCTTCAGAGCATACTGGCTCAGAACAATTTCTATGTTCTTGTTTCTCACATCGGTTAGCTGCAAAGTAACGAAAGAAGCTTGAGAGTCTTTCCATAATGAACTCTGAGAATTCTGCTGTTTTTCCTTCTCTCTCTGTCGTTTAGACGGTGGGCGTTGTAATTCGACAACGGTGCAGAATAACACGTAGTTGGTTTTCGTAATGAGACAAACTAAAGCGCCAGATTGTAGGCGTTTGGACATTTTCCACCATTCTTCGCGTTTTGCAGTTGTCATTCCAGCCACCTTGGCTGGTTGGGCAAAGTCAACCTCGAATTGAAGTCCATTCATCGAGTCAAATCCAAGTTTACATATACGCGCGCCGTGGTATACATTAGTGCGCTGCTGGCTCCGTCTTTGGGTTCGAACAGCTCGCGATGGCCTAAGCTCAGAGTAGATAGCATCACGTAGCTGGCCGATGGTATCTTCTCGCAACAAACGAAAATTGCGATCCAAGAGCCCGCTGAGGCCGTCCAAATGCCATTGCGTAGGATCATACACAGGGAGATACTCGACACGAGGGCTGAAAATCTCTTGATAGCTTGGCATGATACGGATTTGGCAGATGTCTGCGTTGTCATTGTCATGGCGTCCTCCAGGGGGATCACTTTTAGGAACAAATGTCCCTGGTGTTTTGGTAACCTGGGATTCAGTTTTTTGTGCAATCATTGGCAGGGAACTGCCAATTTCAAAGCGACGGAGTAAACGCTCCAAATAGAATCGAGACTGATGTAAGGGACTTTCTGGTTTGTCGGTTACCCATGCAATAAGGATTCGTTCAAATTGACTTGCACAGTTTTTGAGAGACTCCTGAACAAGCGCGGTTGAATTGAAATCGACAACTCGAGAAAAGACAGAAAGTGAGACTTCTAACCAATTTGCGGTAGACTCATCTTTTGTGCAATTCGTCAGGACTTCGGAAATATAGCTAAGGAGCTTGGATGCTCTAGCTCCACTGATTCCAAACAGGAAGTTGTAAATTGTTCCTACTGATTGTTCGAGGACCAAAGAGTCGACCACATCGGGGTGAGATATAATCTCCAAAAAGGGAAATAGCTGAATTTTGAACCTGTGCTCTTTGGTGATGGTTTCGCCAAGTTCTTCAGAATTTTGCTCAATCATCTCCTTGACACAACTCAGACCACCCTCTCCAGAGAGGGTTTGAATGACTGACTGACGAACGCCAGCATCAATGTCGATCAGTCGACGTGCATCTTGGAAGATCGACGTGAGCTTGCTGCGAAGTGTTCGGGAAGTTGTTTTGTTGTTGAGGGGGACATTGCTTCTCCATGCTCGGAATTCTTTCTCCGAGTTGGACAAACTATTGTGCGAATTTTTAGTTTTAGACGGTGGTTTGTGTTTCTGCTGCTCTCCCCGAACGTGTACGAATTTGCACTTCTTGTGTTTGCAGGTTCCTTTCTGCGAGAATTCGGGACATATTCTAACAATACTTTAGAAGCAGGCTCGAGTAAGAAATAGACTTTGAAAACTAACCTTTGGGACATCATGCTCATAGTTTCTCGGAATTTTGGGAGATGCAATCAACGATGAGGTATCTTCGCGGGTGTTTCGTTCACCATCTACCTTGAGGATCTGGCAGAAGGATAGACTCAGTATTTTCGAATAATAAAAATAAAACCTCCGTAATGATTTTCAGAGAAGGACCTGAAGAGACCTTAAGAACGGTATGGGAAAGGATACCTGAAGGGGCGGGGCTCATTTGCTTGTAGCGTGAGGCTGTAACAAGTAGACTGCGCCGCAGGCTCAGCAAGGCTGCCACTGAACATGTGGTGCTTTTCAATTTGACCACCTAGCTCATGCAGCAGCGCTTGAAACATCCCGAGGCATGACTCATAGGTAATTGTTTATGTGCGTGAGTGGCTCAAAAGGAACACTGCTCGAGAAGCGAGATAATACCTACCATATATAGAAGGCGGTGCTACAGCCAATTAAAGCTTATGGAATCTCGTCCAAGATAAGCTATGCATATATTCACGGGAAACTCCGCGTTTTGAAATATAGAGTGGTATTTACAGTTTACCTATGAATGTCCTACCTAGGTATCTTACAGGTGCCCGATTGGTATTTGTGAATAATAGAAACGGTAGGCGTAACAAAACGATTTGGTGCTTATGCACGACGCCTTAGAGTACCCTTGGAATCTGAGTAGACCTGGAGAGCGATATAGTCATAGACTGTAATTGAAATGGCTATCTAGGTACTTAACTAGGTATGTCCGGTATGAACCCAGAAATAGCCCTAACCTCCGCATTAGGAAATTATAAATATTTGCCCGTCTCGGCACCGGGGTTAGAGATGAGCGGACCGTAGCCAGGAAGCACCCATATCTTGAAAACAACAAGTGTTTCTTTTTTTCCTTTCTTTTTTTTTTTTTCTTTCGATTAGGATGATTGTGGATCAAGTATGTATTATGTACTACCAACAAGTGACAAGTTAATAGTCAGTCAGAGATCACGCCGACGCCAACAATGAGCAGTCTTATCATATACACTCACGGCCTTCTTGCTCAATTAGAGCCATATGCCCCCATGAATACGAGGCATTCGACATCCAGCAAAGAGAATAAATAATCTTATCAAGTTATAGTGACTGCGTTCATGTACATAGCGGAATATCTGGATGCCTTGGTGCCTTAATGGCTCTTATCGATAAGCCAACCAGCGGTCAGCGACTTAGAGTAAGTAACCCACGCTTTGAGAATATTTCTTAGTTTACTTTTTCACTGAAAATAGTTATATACATATGGTCTCGCAAGTGGACGATAATGCCCGATGCTGATTTTTATACCTGTACTCTATGAAAGTATGTCAAATGCCAAGTTGTGAAATGTAGTTTGATAGCGTGGAATAGGCTTAGGAGGAAGATCGACTCGCGCTATGAACCACAATAGCATGGAAATTCAATGAACTAACTACGGAGTTCAACGATAAGATACCGCGGGGGATCCAGTCACTGATTGTCAAGGTTTGACTGACTTGACTGTCTGTCAACTGACAAATATCGGTATTTTCCTGCGTAACGCGACGCAAGGGACCCCTGACAAGCGAGTCAGCGAGTGCCAGCTCAGCAACGTCCCACTTGGCCAGCCTCGAATCTGACCTGCAGCAGGCGTCCAAGCAGAGTCTGAGTGTGACGCCGTCCATGAAACTAGCGATTTTAAGAGTACCCGCAGTTCGTTAGAAAGAGATGATCGCTGGCTTGACTCTCGGATTCTTTTCTTTTTTCTTGCCTCGTTTTAATCCCTTCCCACAATACTCCGGGCGTGTTTCATGGGTTTGCCCTAGGCAAAAAGGGCAAACTAAAGAAGGAAAGGAAAACCAGCCTTCAGACAATGAAGAAGATGATCATGGGGCCCAGAGCCGAATCGTTTCAGACTTGGATTCCCCAGACTGCGTCGTCTTTGCCATAGAGTCTAGCGCTCTGGCTACAGCTTCAGGGCGCGTCATCAGTAGCAACTGACTAACCAGCTGTATATCTCTTTATTTCTGTTTGAACTCTTGTTGAATTGACGCGCTGGATCGCTTTCGCCCCAAGCACAATTTTCATTTCTCTCATAGGGCTCCGTGAATCTGCTGCAAGGAGGCGCTTTACTACCCTGCGCCTTGTTATTACATGCGCAAGAATGCTTGCTTGGATTGCGACTTAGAAAACAAAGAAAAGAAGAGAAGAGAAAAACATACACGAACGAACGCCTTGTTATTCTTACCACGTCATTTCAAATCATACGTTTGCCAGTCAATGCTTTGACCGATTCGGCAGCAGCCTGAGATTATTACCCTTTTCGGCACATCGCGACACTCCCTATACGATGCCATCGAGCATTTCCGGTCGCCGCAAGGGCAGCAGGACTGCGCGCGCCAACAAGAAGCCTTCAAATTCGAGTTATGCTCCGTCGTCGTCGATGCCTGTTCCCTTGCCAGCGATCGCCGAGTCAGCACAGTCGGCGCCAGCTGTTGCTGCCCGCATTCTTTCGGCCAGATCTGGTGTGTCCTCCAAGCAAAAGACAGAGCCAACAAGAACGCCGACTGGCAACGAAATGGCGATAGTGCAGAAAGGCAAGAATCCACCCAATGTTTTCGACTTTCTACAGGAGGATGACTCCTCGCCAACGTCCTCAGACAGTGACTCGGATCACGAAGGGTTACAAGCCCTTGCTGACTCGCAACCAAGACGGGGCTCCAGGAATGGGCATTCCTCATACCTTGTATCTCCAGAATCCTCTTTCCGCGCAAGCAGCCCCGAGCAGGCCTTTTCTGTTACTTCGAGAGACTCGACCGGGACCGATGTTGACGCGACAACTTCTCCAGACGGTTCACCTGCCACCGCATATTTGCGTTTAGCCAATAAACACAACCTTCAAAAGATAGCACAAACGCGAAGTCGGCTTAACAGTGCGAATCAAGTACAAACTTCGCCAACCGGCGACGAGGAACCCGACTATTCGGCTCCTGAAGATTATTACTTGACTGAGCGTCGGCACTATCATCGTCATCAACATCCACAACCATCGCACAACGGCGAAAGAAAACACCGGAAAGACAGACACAAGTCTCAAAGACAATTCTCATCGTCGTCTCAGGAAGAAGAAGGTGAAAGAGGTGCAGGCACACTAGTGACAACAACCGAGACACGAAAGAATAACAAACTCGCCAAGACAGAAAGAAACAATATAACAGAGTCTAGACCATCCTCAGGATACGCTCTTTTAGCCTCCAAACTGGATTCTTCAGCTGCATCGTCTTCGTTTTCTTCAAAAACTGGCTCAACTTCTAGACTAGTTCCAGTATATCGACGCTTTGAAAATGTGAACCATCGAATTCTTCTCTATCTACAGGATGAGATCTCTCAAATGGAGGAAGAGCTCCAGATCCTAGATGAATATGAAGCTAAACATCGCACCGCCATCGCCGAGAAGGAGGAAACAGAACGGTTGGAGCCGGCTTCACATCGCATGGATGTGGAAGCTCGAGGGTATTCCGCGTTTCATGCGAGACGCCTAGAGCTCGTTGATAGACTTGCATATAAAGTCAACCAATACAGTGAGTTTATCTCAATTGTCTCCAGCATACAACGTGTATAGACTAAGAAATTTCCATTTCAGACGACGCTCTCTGCAGTTATACCAGATTGCGCCAAATACCCAAAGCCTCATCCAAAGACATCCAAACATACCAAGCCTGGATGAAGGAACACACGCCCATTGCTAAGACCGAGACTCGATTCCTCGAACACGAACTAGATCTTGTTTCTCTAAATACAACAAGCAATAATGAAGCGACGACTGCCAAGGATAATAACAATAATGGTATTCTCTACTTTATAATTGGCGTGATGTCAGCTGCACTATTATTACCGCTTTTGGCTTATTGAACTTAATAGCTCTTTACCAGTATACTTCTCCTATACAGTTTGGCTCGGGGTTTGGGATTTCTTTTTTTTTTCTATTTTTTCTGATACCTATATTATGATTGATTCAACATGTTTATCTGATGGAAGGATTTGTTTGGCCAGTGGTGATTTGATGTGATATAAAATGTACTATGATACTCTCACTTACTGTCATGTATTGTTGACTACTTTATGAGATAACGATGAAACGACGAGTTTACCTTCTACATTTGGAGGAAGAACATGAGAACAAAGTTGTCTCCCTTCCTATGCAAGAGAAGTAAAGGTGAAAAGACAGGAGAAAAAAGAAGAGAAATAGAAATAGAATTGCAATGAGAATGACACAAATCAAAGAGTTCCCTCCACGTCGCAGAGCACCGCACTGACTCGGCTACACCGACTGATTCTCAATTCCTTCGTTTAAAAAGTCGGTCGAATACCTAGCTGAATTAATTGAATTTGGCAATAACAGAAAGACAAAAACAACAAGAAGAGAAAAGGCGAAAAATAAAAGAACAACTCTTTTAACATCATGTATCCACCAGCGAAAAACAAAGAGCATATTATAAAGCACATACAAACCAAGCGCCGATCCGCTACCAAGGTCGTTTTATTTAATAATGCGGTGAGAAAAGTGAAAAAAAATAGACAGATCTTCTTTGGAGATCATCCTCCACAACCAAGACCGAATGGATAGGAAGAGAATGAACGAATCCAGAAACGTCGGTTCGATACGGAGATTCTAGTCGAAACAAGTACATTGCAATGCCTTGCTGGCGTCTGTGGCGACCCTTCGTCCTTAAAAACCGTATCTATTGAATTGAGTCGGTCAACTCATGCTTCTCGAGTAGTTAAATTACGAAGCAGATTTGCATGGGTATGAAATGCTCAGATTTTGCGGCTTGATATCCCCTTAAACGGAAAAAGTTTTTTTTTATCTTGGACTTGGAGCTACGTCGTAGGAGTAGCACTGGGTTGTTTCGTGGCCGGACTTTCACTTCTCTCTTGCGAGGTGGTAGTACCTTGCACCGTACTTTGAGGCGGATTGGGAGTGCCTGATTGTTGACGTTGGCGAGACTGAATATCAAGTTGAGCCTTATGTCGTGCCACCGCTGCGGCGTGTTCGGTCGCATTTCGATTATAAGAGGCAGGGTTTGTTGACATTGAGTATTGCGCGGGTGTCTGCGCTGCTGAGGGACGGTTTCCATACATGGCAGGCGACTGACCAGCTTGCTGCGAGTAATACCGTTGAGCATTTCCGGATGCCGGATTCAGATACGCTGTACGCGTGGCGCTTTGTGGTGTGGCGTATGCATGAGGCTTTTGAGGAGAAGCACTCCTTCCTGCAACATATGCCGGGTTTTGTTGATAACTTGGCCCAGGCGAAGCAGCCAGCTGCCCATTATATGGTCCATACCCATTAGGCGTAGCCCTTGAGGGATACTGTCCCGGTGAATATGCGGGCAAATTACTCGGCCGTTGCGACGGTGACGCCTGCGGGCGAATCCCACCGTAACTTTGCTGTGATGTGCCACTCGGAGTATAGGGGGTAGATGCTGATGGACGACCGGTGTAGTAGCCTTGTGGCCCGACCCCAGACTGCTGCGGCCTGGAACCTGTAGAGTACATGCGTTGGCTATAAGCCGATGAAGTTGGATAAGCTCCTGTTCGCGACGGCGTTGCGGTCGGTGCGGTGGCGGCTATTCGCTTCTGCAAGAGTGAATAGTCATCCTCCTCCATGGTACCGCTATAGGTTGGCATGTCGACCAATATTTTCTGGCTTATATTTAACTGGGCTAACTGGTCTCCATTCAACTTTGAAACTGCATATGGTGGCAGATTGGAAATTATCGCCGCCAGACCCGATTTTAAGGTCTCGTACGTAGCAAGTTCTGCGGCAGAAGGTGTGCTTGGCGTACCAATATCGTCAGCATTCTTCGATTCATCTTGCATTGGAGATTCAAGGTTGCGGTTGCGGCGGAACGAGTCTAGAGTTTTCAAAAGTTCTGAGATATCTTCCAGGACCTCATCAACGTTTTTGTCTTCTGATTTCGCTTCGTCTGCTTCATCCGGAGTAACATTTGACGAGACATCTCCAGTAAATGATTTGACATCCTCTTCTAACGTAGTATCGTCAAGTTCACCTAGTGCCTGTTGTTGTTCCTCATCCAAATGAGCAACTTCGTGGAGTGCCAAAATAGTATTATATCGCCTAGAGCCCTTCTTGGCCCACCACAGGCTGCTCTTGGCGTCTGACTGTATAACAGAGTATGAGCTATCAAATGTCGGAGCAAACGAAGAATAAGCACCGTGAAGTAGATTCATATCTTCATCTATACTTCGTGGAAACTGATCATCCGCCTCCCCTTGTTGTTTCTCACTGTCACTCTGTTGCTTCTGTCGTCGACTCCAATATGAAGAAGATGAGCTGATTCCACCATAATGCAGCCAATGAGCAGATGGGAGTTTGTTGAATGAATAATTATGCCTTTGTCCTAGGACGGCATCAAAATTGGTGATAGCGTCGAATGGATCTATCCAGACACTAGACGGGTCTCTCGCCCAGGGCTGACCCCGACGCGGTGGCTCTAATTGAGCTAGAGTTGGGCGTGGCGCAAATACTTCACCAAATGTCCTAAGCGGCTTCTCGGTCATCTCTAGGTTGAATGGAACTGCCTGAGTTGTTGTAATGCCATTCGGTAACCTGTCTTCAGGGAAGGCCTCAGGCTCCTCCGAAATACCGCCATCGATTTTTTGTAGGCTAGAAAAGAGCTGTTTCGCATTGGAGGAACTGCCCCCGAAGAGGGTCAAAATTTTCTTGTCCCGACGAGGAATGTCCTGCAACGAGACGTCATCCGAAGTAGGCTCAGTCTTAATCTGAGCAGAACCCAGAGATAACGCTTGGAGTACAAGGGCTTGCAAACGATCCTTCAAGGCCGTAACACGCTTTTGTAATGAAGCGGTATCCTCAGTAGTGTCTGTTGTAGTCTGTCGTTCCACCACAGCAGCTGATGCTTTGTCTACATCATCCAAGAAGTTCTGATATGACCCGTAGTCACCAGCGGCGACGCGGGCTTCAATACTGTTTGATATGTTTTCTCCACCCGAAAGCTTCGGACGTTTGGATCGAGGTTTTGACGGCGATGAGGGAATTAGGGAAAGCTTGAAAACGCCCAGCTGCTCATCGTCCCTGCAAGTAAAAATTTGTTAGCATAGCGCAAAAAAGACCGGCTCGAGATTTAGCAGTATTCTTACTTGGCGGCGATTTGAGCAATGTAGCGCAAATTTTTGTCGAGTTCGAGTTTCTCCTCTTCACTGGTTTTAATGACAGGCCTATTATTCGTCTGGCCCGGGTTTCCCTCCGGGGTCGAGGGGCGCTTTCGCTTCCCAGGTGTCGATGGCGCTGCGGACTCATCTGATGGAGGATGAAGCTCCCCATTTGTTGGGGGCATGGTAGCGGCTTCCCCTCGGTCTTCACTGGCCATGGCGCCGTCCCGGAACTTTTTCTAAAACGCGCAAACAAGACACGTCCCCAAGAGAGAGCAATCAAGCCAATGGTGTCTCAGTCAACGACCATGAAGCGGCAGCAATTAGGCGATTATGCCCCGATCGAAGGATTGAAAAGCGACTTAACGTGACGGGAATGGAATGCGAAGTCGCTGTGCCTCGCGAGACGAGAGCTGGTGATCGCGTCCGGGATTCGCAGAACGCTTCTGCACCGTAGCGTCAACGGGGCTTTCACGCCACGGGAAGCGCAGATGCAGGGTGAAATCGTGCAGCACCACGCACAATGTCGTGCTTGAGAAGGCTAAAAACGAGCAGAGACGAGCGGGATAATCAAAGCCAGATTTTACAGCGAGAACAGGGCTCGAGCAAGGATGGACCAGCAACGAAGGAGGTTCACCGTCGCTCGCGATCTACGGCCGGCCAGATGCAGTTAGCGCCGAAAACCGTGGCGCTCCTCGTCCGCCACTCACAGGCCTGGCATCACGTGCTCTGTTTAGTCAGCGTTCCCGGAATGCGTCTCTGATTGGTCCCGGCCCAAGGCTGGAAATGAATAATTATTGATTCTCATCACTCCGATAGAAGAAGAACAAGCGATATACAGCTAACTGTTCACGCATTCGCACCCTTCGAGCTTCCTTGGGCTATTGGCGCACTCTCATGGATGTCACCCGTTTTGAATAATGCCACTCACCACCCGGGGATACGGGCGTTGACGACTTTGCACCCCGGCCGATCGAGTCAGGTTGGCACATCCCAAAACCATGTTTCCTTTTCTGAATCTCGCTAACTGGGCACGCGCTCAACTCAATGCAGAGGCCAAATGTGATACGACCGACGGGGTGTTTGCAATGCTCTAGCATTCGCATTGGGCAGCACTATTCAACCTCGCCAAATCGCCGCGCTGCAGCTTCCGAAATTCTCCCGCGCAGCGACTCTCGCCTGTCAAAGATAAACCCAGACTTGCGTATATCCTGGAGAGAACTCCGTAACAAAGCGTTAGATAGCTTTCCTTCTGATACTGCAGATGGCGGGACACCATCCAGCCCGAGTGCTGCACGAGAAACTTTCCACCAGGATGTCACAGAAAGACAGGCGACGGACGCCAGGCGCAAGACAGCGAAACTTCGTGCTAATCGCTTTCGTGCTGGTGGTCGCAACGAGAAAATAACTATCCAGAGCATTTCGAACAAGTATATTGAGGCTTTGAACTCGAACGGTTCAAATAATGATTCTCCTGCTGAAGTGAACAACATGGATGAAATAATCCGCGTTTTCGACCTCAATACATTACAAGTGTTGTCCAAGAAAGGATATTCACCCGAAGATATAATGGCATGGGCGTGGATTTTGACTACGAAAGACTCAACTCGAGCAGCTTTAAGGCTTCTCTATTGGGGCCGCCAACATATACGACAAACCCCCTTATTTGTTGTGAGCTTTCTTTTGCATCGCGTTACCCACGATGTGCGAGCTTTCCGGATTATTCTTGCTTTTTCGTTGTCTTATCTTACTCAACAGCCACTCGCAGATATAGCGCCAGTGGCAAACTCGGACGTGACGGGAGTTCCGAATATACCGTCTAGCGAACAACGAGCAGTGGCGATGCAAGCTCCGAAAGCCTATTATTTGACTGTGCTTTTGCTTCAAAGAGCTCGTCAGCTATGGCCGGAGACTCAATTTAGCATTGCTGAAGCATTTGCCTACTATTTAATTCACGTTCTCCCTCGAAGCTATAGGCGTAAGCTGGACCATTGGAGAATCAATGTTCTCCGTGCTAAGTACTTCAATTGGTGTCTGAATGATTTGAGTATTCCATCCAAGCGAAACCCTTTTATATATGCATCTACCCAGCAACGAGCACAGTTTGTGCTACTCAAGGCTATGGCTACCCATGAACCTGTCCTACCGGTCAGTCGCCGAGGTTATCAAGCTGTTGCTGCAGTGCAACTGGCCCATAAGAAAACACTTGCAGAAAAGGTGTTTGCAGAACAGAAGGCACTTTCGTGGCCTCCTTGGAAAGAAGCTCGAATGGGCATTGACTCAGCGCGCGGGAATGATGGTATGAAAAGCCGCACTATGCAAGTATTGTCTCAGATGACAGAGGCTGGATATTCCCACGGCGACTGGGAAGATGCAGTCGGAATCCTTGCTGGCTGGGATACAGATGGCAGCCCAACCATTCAGACCCGAAGCCTACAAAGCAGGTCGTTGTTGGCTAATTCCAAGAAAAAGGGAACAAGAGTCGAGTCCGCATTATGGGCAGCTAGGATACAAGCGACGCGCACATTACGAGAGGCCTGGGCGTGTTTCATATCATACGAAGCCCGTTATGCTATCCCTACCGAGCGAATATTCCACGCTATGGCCAAGAAGCTGATATATAGCCAAGCTCAAATGAAGAAAAAGGCCACAACTCCTACCCGAAATAGGCCCCTCCCAGGTGATGGACCCGAGGTTTTTCCTGAGCCCAGCTCAGCTCGCGATGCAATCTATATCGCTAGGGAGCCCCCATCTCTTGAAAACTTGCTTAAACAAATGACGATGCAGGGGGTCCGACCAGGTAATGATTTTATTGCTCTGCTGTTACAAAGATCCCAGAATTTCTCAACTGGAATAAAATTCGTGTGTGCCTTTCTTCGTGCAAAGCAAGTGAGAGCCCTATGCACTCTATGGACTGAAGAACTTGACAAAGAAGCATTAGATACTCTTAATGCGATGCATCCGCGTCTCTTTGACTCTTTCATTGTCCTCCTCTGCACTCACTTCAATTCGTGGAGCTCAAGATACCGTGTCCGCAGAGCTGATCTTTTCCCAATTCTGATGCGGGTGCCCCAAATGAATCCCGTAACGAGCACTTTATGTTACCATGAAGACATGTTTCGCAAAGACAGTAAACTTGGGCATCCACAGACATTGTCGCACGCAGTGAAGCTTTTAAAGACGTTAAAGCCACGACGCATGTCGGCATGGCTGCCCTTGCTCAAAGCTTTGGCTTCCTTAAGGGGGTCCGCTAAAGAAATATTGATTGATCGAAAGGTGCAGTGGTTCCTGATGTGGTACGAAGTCGCGGAAGCAATTCGTTGGATGCGAGAGTTAGAACTAGAGCCTGGAACCGATGGGCTTATGATGCTCTGTCGCGTATTCTCAAGAGCAGTCTACGCTGGGGCCAGGGATGTCACAATCGCAGAAGAAGCATTATATCTTGTTAGCAAGTACAAGAGACGCAACGACGAACTGCAGCTCGACAATGCAGCTACTTTTGAAGAGTTTGTCTACAAGGGGATTCAACTCTTGAAGTCCTACTTCGATCGCCTTGTCTATCCACTGCCCCCTTTCTCAGCCGGAAGCCAGAATTTTGCCCTTTCTCCTGACAAGCAAAAACCGGCAGTATTAGATCTGCCCAATATGCTTGAGGTACCCAACCTCGCTACATTGCATGCTCTGGTCAGAGCTCTAGGCCTTAGCAAAGATCATGACGGTATCCTCAATCTGCTCCAATGGATGAGCTATTACGCCCCAGACCTGATCTCGCGCGCTGATGAAAATGGAAACGGAAAAACGATGATGCGGCGCACACTGACAGCTATCAGAGTATTTCTCGAAGGCTCGATACCAGGCAGAATGAGGTGGCACGAATTGGAGTCTGCTTCAAGTAAGAATGGACGGGGAGATGAGGAGAACCGCCCTGTTTCCTCCTATGGACATATTGAAGAAGCACGCAAACTAATCGAGGGCACTGAAGGCTGGGGTTCGTGGCCTTCAGATGACGAGGTTCGAGCATATGGCCTAACGGATGCTGAATACGATTTTGATTGACGGGTAGTTCCTATATTTTCACTTTTGTACATATATGGATATTTCGATTTGCGCATGTGAGATACCACTTTGATACGTGTATAATAGAAGGCTTGCTTTTGATTTTCCTTCTTCCTTTGAGGTACTTAAAAGATCGACTCTCAAAATAGTCTGGGCGCTTAGTTAACACGGAGGAGACGCGCCTTACCCGAATACGAGCGCTGATCTCCAAGAAGCTCGTTAGCCCTTGACCACCCAGCAAATCAGAAAACTGGTAAACGATGTTGTTTTAGAAATACAAGTAGCACCTGGAATGTGATCATACATCAACGAGCATATCTATACAGATCCAACGTGGGAGTCGGACTACCGAGGACCGCAATCATATTACAACCGGCTCAAGGCTATCAAGTCTGAGTACCTAGGTACGATCCGACTGAAGCGTTTGGTGTCACCATTGCGTGAGAAGTGAGGGCTGGGAAGAGGTGAGTGCCAATTTTCACATTGAAACGTAGTACATTACGCACGATAGCTTATTCTCTTCTCTTCCTTTTTTGCACACGATAAATTCATTACATTTGAGAAAAATCAACATAATTAATTCGTTTCGAGAGATAGGTGCGAGGTCTGCAGAAGCCTCGAATGGACTGTAGTAGGCGTAGTCACCGCCAATACAGCATACTATGGTGGTGATAGTATGCAGCGAATGCATTGCTAAAATTACAATGGAAAATACATTTATATTGAAGTTGAACCCCGGATACGTCATTTTTGTGCACCGGGCCCATTTTATGCACGCTTGGACCCGATTGGACGATTTCGGCAACGCAGCAACCCCACAGTCAGTCCAACATCCAACATTGCACTCACCTTGTCCATTAGTTACAATTACACGCTGATAGCTTGACCACCCGATTTTCCTCAATTGGACACTGCGTTTACCTTCTCCGTCGTCCCATCGGAAAGCGTATTCTGGTTGATACTGCCAACAAAAAGCAACAGCACGTTAGCGACGCGCGAGCTTGTCAAGTCCCACCAGCCGAAACAGCAGAGTTATAGAGATCAAACAACAAAAAATGCCGCCTCGAGTTATTGCGCTTACAATATTCCGACCTGCTCGGCAGACAACAATACTCCCACGGGCTACAAGCACGTTAAGCTTCCAGATCCGTACAAACACCACAGCTACAACTGGCGGAAGTAGCATAATCAACATCCAACAAGTACCTGCGCCGGGATCGGGATATGTGCGAGTGCTACTACTTAATAGGCCACAGGCCAGGAATGCGATATCGAAGGAGTTACTGAACACCTTGCGTTTCCAGGTGGATGCTATTAGCGCGGAACAGGGAAATGGGCCAACGAGAGCTTTGGTGCTTGCTAGCAATGCCGACTCGGCATTTTGTGCGGGGGCTGACTTAAAGGAGAGGAAAGGAATGACTAAAGACGAGTAAGGGGGAGAGCTAACTTCTCTCATCGCGTTCACTTTTCATGCTTGAGTGCTGACAGCGGCCGACCTGCATAGAACAAACGCGTTTTTGACCAAACTTCGAAATACATTTTCCAGACTTGAGGCTCTTCCAATTCCTACAATATCTGCGGTTTCCTCGGTGGCTCTTGGGGGTGGTCTCGAGCTGGCATTGTCCACCCATCTTCGCGTTTTCGGATCATCTAGTATCGTCGGTTTGCCCGAAACTCGGATTGCCATTATCCCCGGCGCAGGTGGCACGTACCGGCTTCCGCGGTTAATTGGACAGAGCCGTGCACGCGACTTGATTCTCACGGGAAGAAAAGTGTCAGGTCCGGAGGCATATTTCCTCGGTCTTTGTGACCGCCTAGTTGAAGTGACGCCCGAGGAGGAAAAGCAGGAAGGTGTGGCGCGGAATAAGATCCTTCACGAAAGTGTCAAGCTCGCTCTGGACATCTGCGAAGGTGGCCCCATTGCCATTAAGCAGGCACTGCAAGCAGTGAATCAGTTTGAGAAAGTGGAGGAAGCTGAAAACGCGGCATATGCGTCAGTAGTGGATACAGAGGACCGCCTTGAGGCTCTTCAGGCTTTTGCAGAGAAAAGAAAGCCCGTGTATCGAGGACGATAGCTGGATAAAACGCATTCCTGAGCTACACAGCTGTGCTATCTGTACGTTGCCACCGTATAAAACACGTGTGTATGATTACTAGATGAGTGAATATTTGTGCATAGTAGCTTATCTAAATTTTTTTCCACACGAGGCTCACTTGCTATTCGACTTTTGTACATCTTCCGGTTTTGTTATCTGAACACCGGTAAATGCAGTCAATGAATGCCATGGTTTCCATTTTCCACGCATAAACTCCAAACAACTGAAAAAAGGAACAAAAGACCAGCAGATTTGAAATGATTTATTTGTTGAAACTCCTGCCATTGTACGCCCCCATTCTCATAAAAAGACCGAAATCCTTTTGCGTTTATGATCAGACAACCCTTTTCAACACCATGTAATATATCAGAAAGGACAAGTGCGCTAAAGAAATTTTTAACAAAACAAGGAAGATTGAGATGAAATGGACGAAAAAGGGTAGAAATGTAGTATAATAATTAACGGTTGCGAGTAGGAGGAGAAAATCGAACATCAATTCCAAGACCCAGCTCAGAGTAGATTGGTTCGGGAGGACAACTTCCAGATCTTGATCGACCGCTTAGGCTAGGAGTAGCGATGGGTATAGGTACCGGTACCGGTACAGGAACAGGAATGGTCCCTGGATCTGATATCTGCGGCTGCATGCGTGGTGCTTGCCCAGTTCTAGGATCAAGACTCCCAGCAAATCCCATCGTCGATGGCTGGCGCAGGTTCCAGTCTAGAACTCGTTGGCGTGCTTCTTCCACGTCCACTTTGTGCCCTCCAAAGTATATGCTGTTTTTCACTATTGTCTCTCTCCCAGTTGTTGCGGCTGGTGCTGTCGTCTCGGGCTCCCCCCCGTACTCAAAACGGGATGAAAGCGGTGCTGACGAACCTATGACCTCCGCTGGAGGCGATACAACTGGGTATACATACGCTGTGGCAGCTGTGCTGCTACCTACAGACATAGGGGTTGTTCTTTCTGGCGCATACCAAAGACTTGTAGACCTTGAGGTGGGCAACTGAGAACCATAAGTATTTGGAAGTGGAGGTTGAGATACCGGACGAGAAAGTGGATTTGGGTCTGTCTGCCACGAAATACGAGATTGTCCAGATGGATCGCGAGACATGGCTGCCGAAAGTGGTTCGGATGTATACCCTCCAGGAATAGCCTGTTGAGGTGGGGATCCAGAGACAAGGAATGATGGATACACCTCGAGATTTTGACTCCGCCTTTCGTTTCTCTTTTGCACTTCAAATGTACCACTGTCTGACACGGGAATATATCTTAGTGGAGTAGAGCTGAATTCGTTTGCATTGGGTCTGGGAGTGAAAGCGAGATGCGTTTGGTTCGTTTGAGGAGGCACAGAGTTTCCTACGGCTTCACGGCCATATGGTGCAAGTGCAGACGAGTTCCTCGAATGGTTTCGGGAGCCTGGAACCGTACCAGCATCACGATGAATGGGCGCTCGTACTAGGGAAGGGTCACTGTAACTCAGCGGGTTCGGCCGACCTTTGCCAAATTCAGCTGATATTGGTGATGGTATAGAGCTACTCTGTGCACTGCTTGGTACTTCCATGTTGAATTCCATTTGGAGGCCTAGTCTATTTTCCACCGTATTTCGAGGTCTCGTAAAGGCAGATAATTTCTTATGTCGATCCAAGACACTCGGTGCGCTTTGCCCAGAAGCCAAATGCGACATATCCTTCAAGAATCTCGCCCCTTGAGTAGGGGCAGTTGGAAGTATCCATGGAGATTGATTTTCTTTTTGATATGTCGGCAGCACAGGTGGCGAGACTCTTTCATCTTCTCCAAATTTTCGTACATCTGGCTTATGGAATGATGCTAGTATATCTTTGGCGTTATGGGACTTTAAGCCTTTGTCGGGAGCCGCCGAGGATGGACGACTCATCGAACCTTCCCCTTGAGCCGATGACACTTTGGTGACAGGAGAAGGTCTATATGACCCCAAATCTCGGTTGAGTCTGCCGCGAAACCTAGATCTTCTTTCCGAAGGCTCCTGGGGTTTGTTTCCTTTTTTCTTTCGCCGCACAGTCTCCCAACCTGAATCACCAGAAGCTGATCCATCGATTGCAGCGGGAAGAGCAGGTGAAGTAGGTGAAGTTACAGTAGCGGAAGTAGAAGGTGGCTTTTCTGTATTCTGACTATACCGCGATGAGCTCGCAGATGACCGCCGTGTGCGGCTTTTTAGGCCTTCACCATCACTGAGATAGCCATCATTCTTCTCTTCAAGCGTCTCTCGGTACATGGTCGCCAGAGGGAAATGAGACGAAGGTTTATTCTCCGGGAGAGAAATTTCCACGGGAGACTGGACTTTGACAGATTCCCAATCACCCCCATAAAAAGTGGAGCGTTGTGAAGCTATGCTGTCCTCCATGGAAGAAGACGGTCCTGAAGACGAGCTGCTGGAGCGATTGAAAATCGATTTCTCATGACGCAAAGAATCCTCGCAGGAATTGGGAGATATTTTTCCTATTTCCACTTTGATATCCCTCACTGCATCCTTGAGGAACTTCTTTGCCTCCTTGACGGTCAACGTAGAGGGCCGGGTATCTATTTTCTTGTAATGACCCATCAATCTTTCAGCGTGAGTCTCATACTCACGCAAGTCCTTAATGAATAGGGATCCCGTGCGATCTTTGGACATCTTGTAACGAGCATTATCATAGGATCTACAAAAGACTTTGGTGGCATTCAACAGCCATCCCAAGAAATAACCGGGGAAGTCAGCTCCTGGTTGTGTACTCGGCGCGTGTTTCTGTTGCAAAAGGCCATCGTTGCCAGGGCCAATGGTAATGTGCTGTTGTTTGTGCTTCCCGTCTAGAATTTTCAATTCGTCACGAAAGAACGTTTGAACCACGCTGTGTATCTTGATTACATCAATAGAGCTTTGATATATTCCTGACACTGACATGCTTTCGGTGAATGAATCGGATCCAGAGTGCTCGCTGTCTGGGCTTTCAGCTTTGCCTTCTTTGTCGTTGCATGGTAGCAGTGACTTTCCAGGATAAGGATCAGATATCCTTTCGATTAAACCGTATTGAATCAACACGCCTAAGGTATTGTCGATATCCCCCGGCTCTCCTGGGCGACTACTAGTCAAGATCGAAATATTCTGAGTTGCCAATGCACTTTTCCCCCAACTGAGCATACCGACTGGAATGTGATGCCCGAAGAATGCCAGTAAATTAATGAGGTTGATGGCTTCAATATGCTCATTTGTGGAGAGATCATGCATGATACCAATGAAAGGCTCTGCTAGTCGGTGGTCGGTCAGATGTGAATTGATATGGTATCTTTCTAGGGGTTTCCGTGTCGCTCTGAGTCTATGACTTATTGCATGAATAGCTAACGGCAGGCCCTGGTAGTGATTCACTATCTCGGTTGCCTTCTTCCACTGCTCAGCAGTGGGTTTTTTAATGTCCAAATCATCGAAGAGTAGCTGACGAGCATCATCGACTTTCAGCGGTCGTACAGTCAGACAGTAAGGTTCAAAGAGTCGTTGTTTCTTAGCCAGTGTGCGGTCAACAGAGGTATAAATAATGCTGGTATTTTTCCTGAAAGGAAGATATTTCTTGAAGGCATTGAGTTGGCTATCTTCATCGAAGTTCAAGCCATCAAAAACAATCAGCCATTCCTCTTTCGACTCAAACCAGTGCCGAACCTGGTCCACGTAAATGGCAGCATCAGTCGAGGCTGGATACTTTGAGTCGTCACCACTGTTCGTCAACGCGGCGGCCCGAGCAACGTCCCAATAACAAGTTGACATTAACAGAAAAGACTTTGCATCTATCCAGAATATACCGCCTGGGAAGTCTTTTCGATGAATGTGAACGTATTGACGAGCAAGATGTGATTTCCCAGAACCCGGGCCCCCACATATGAGCACAGCTGCCACCCTCTCTTCACGTTTCCTTGATTTGAACAGGCGAATATGGAGCTCAGATAACTCTTTTTCCATACCGATAAATGTGCTATTAGGGTGAAATCCCGGGGGTACAACAAATAGGGGGCCACGCTGCGGAGACAAAACCTCTACGCTCTGTGACATCCGAGGGGTAGGTTCGGGCGAAAAGATTGGAGGAAGAGGAAGGTTTGGTACTGAATTGCCTACGTAAAAGAGACAAAGAATATTAGTTCACTTTTCTCCGCATAATATTGAGTGGATTTTTCTTTTGTGGCATAAAGGTACATAAGAGACTGAGGGGGGCAAGGAAAAGATCATAAAAAGAAAATGGCATGGATTTGAAAGATATGAGCCAATGCCCATGCCACAGCTGAAGGATCCGTTCACAGTGAGATTCGGATAAGTGAAGACGGCCCTCCCTCAGTATCAGCAAGAAGAGAACGAAGATGCGTGAAGGTTGTAAAAGGGAAAGGGAGACAGGATATTCAACTACATTATGCATGGAAGTCACATGAATCTCTTGCTAGCCTCGGCCTCTTCAACTTCATATGGAGTCAAAGCCGGGGACTCGCCAGAATCAGTAATGAAATATTGAGGAGCCCTACCCATCCTGGTCGTTTCTGCTTCTGATTGTAGAGGCCCTTGAGACAAATCAATTGTCGCTATATGCGGCAGTTAGCATGGAACTTTACAAAACATAGAGAAGGAAACTCACACCTAGTAAGCTCGTCTGCCTTGGAGCGATTCTGAAGCTGCACATGTGCCTTCTCCTCAACCCAGCGGCCAGCAATTACGGCTGGTGCGTCGCGTGAATAGCGGATGATAGCTTCAGCAACAGCTTCGAAACCAGGTGAACTATCATCCTCGAATTTGGCCATGCTATTATGGTCAGCTTCGATTCCCATTCGCTCGGCCCCTTCAATATCCGGTGCTGCGGAAGCCTCATCGACTACGAATTCTCGGGTACCCTTCAGGTCGAGAGGTCTAGTCTCGTGAAAGAAGTAAATATGAAAGCGACTGAAAAAGTCATTGAACAACCTGTTGATATTTTGAAGGACTTCATTATTCGATCTCAAGGCCTCGATGAGCTGCGGGGAGGAGTCCATGAACTTCTTGGGCAACACTGCGCTGCATATCTTCTGCAGCAACAAGCCCCATTTTGCTACATCAGATCCGGTGTGGGGAGTGCCCAGGAATAAAATACCGAAGGTGGAGATGTATATGGAACGGAGGTGTCTTAGCTTATCATTTTCCTGGCTCCGACATGCAATCATGCATCGCTTGACGACCAGGCCACCTAGGGAATGACAGACGAAGATTATGGGCCGCTCGAGAAAGCCCCGAAGGCTCCGGTTGGCATATAGCTCGCTGGCCAGAGTCTCGGCATGGTGGTGAATGCGGTCTTTGGAAGCGCCGTCTGTAAAGGACGTGACATTGGCGTTGTACCCGTATGTCAAAACGCGCACTCTGGAAGAGCCCAAGAATTGAGGAAGAACGTCCACGGGCCAAAAGACATCGCCGTTCTTGCTTGTCCAAGAATCTTTTGGGTGGCCGTTGAGACCATGAACGAGAACGATACTGGTTTTTTGATTAGTTAGACGTTTAGATGCCAGGTACGATATGTGGGGGAGAGAGTCACGCACTCGACCAATGCTGGCTTGTCTGGTGAGATGTACAGTTCAGTCAGGCCGTACTGTTTGATCTTGCGCGTGGCGACAGCCATTGTGATTCAGAGAAAGGGCATCGGGGGCCAAAGGAGGGGAAGGGAAAAGAGGAGTAAGCCAGAGAGGAAGGAGTTGTGCAGCGAAGCTTGAGATTATATACAGGGTTGAGGCAGGCGGCTGCTTTGACTCAGACTAGCGCAGAACCCTGCTGACTGACTGGCAAGGCACACAGCCCAGTCCCGTGAGCACAGCCAACCAGACATGCGATCATTCGGCAGCAGCTTGCAGACTAATTCGACGAGATCGTCGGCGTGGCTGAGGCGGGGATGATTGGCACGGAACGACTTGTTTGCAGCCTCATCTCCTGGCGAGTCACGTCAGGATCCTGGGCTTGCAAGCAGGAGCTGTTTGGCAGTGCTTTTCTTTGCAGTGAGAGTGAGAGCGAGGTGCCTGCCTAAGGTAGTCAGGGGCTGCCCTCCAGGAAGGTTGCGCCCGCCCCCACAGCTGGCAGCCTGCAGCCTCAGGCTGCATGTCAACAGTCTCATGTGTCGCGGCTAGATACAAGTCATGTGACGATCATGCTGGACCAAGTGCAACACACATCATTCTCATACTCTGTAGTTGGCTAGTTACTCCAAAGTCGGAAATGAATACTACTGCCACGAATGCCATGGTATCATCGGCCGAATGACGATCGACCACAAATGGTCTGAGGGTGGATAAAGCTTCAAGAATGTTTGAACCATGTAAATCATGCGCCGAGACTATGCAAATGGAAGATGTTGACGCTTGTTTTGACTCTCAGGCCGAATACGTACGACTCTAGGGTTAGGGCTAGGCAGCTACACGCTAAGCCATTTGCGGACTTCGCAACAATAAAATAAAATGACCGCCGAACGACGTAAGTCTGACATGACCCTTGGTGCCTTGATGCCTGGCAGCTCCCATCCTGCTCTCATCCAATCACAGCCCAGGCTTGTCTTCTGCTGGGCCAGCAATGCTACAAAGTGACGTAAAGAGCCGGCCAGGGCTGCGGCAATAGCACAGCAGTATATATATTCAACCTGTGCATCTGGGCGGTAGGAATCGATCTGAAGCCAGAAACTGAATCTTGACCTTCAAAAGCAGCCTTCATAATCACAATCACCATCACACTCATACTCGCGTTACAATCAATCATGGTCTTTGCCACTCGAGTTGTCCCTCGCCGGGCTATTATCACTCCCACTTCTTTCCAAGCCTACCGACCATTTTCTACCACCTTGGCAGCCCAGCGAGGCCCTGTTGAAGCGACCAAGGACGTTCTAAAAAAGGCCGACAAAACCGTATCCGGTGCTGCAGTGAAAGGCATCGAGACTGGAGGTACGTTTCCTATTGCTCTTCTGCCACCATGATCGCAATACAAAGGATTTCCTCTCACAACAATCGTTTCATTGCTAACTCTGCTTCCTTCCTCTCTTTGCAGAAAAGATAACGAAAAAGGCCCAAGAGACCATTGGCGCCAAGGGCAAGGAGGCAGAAGGAAAAGCCAAGGGCAAGGCGTCTGAGGTGGAGGGAAAGGTCAAGGGTAAAGCCGAGGAGCTTCGAAGCGAACAATGAAGTCGTAAAATCGAGAACTTTTTCCGTTTATTGACCTGTATGAAATGATAATCTGGTTGTATTGATAGCGATTTGAATATTTATTGTTCATATGTGCATGCCATGTTGTAAACCTTCCCACATTGGCTGAAAACTGCTGGTGGTGTTTCTCTTCATGCTTGCGAAAGCATGATCACGTATTCCCTCGTGCTATGCCCGAACTTGAGGACATCCTTGTCTCGTATCTCAACAAACCGACCGCCGGGTATTGCATCCCCATTGACCATCGACCCATTGGAACTCTCTAAATCTATCAGATATGGCCTAACACGGCCAGTCTTGTCCCCAAATTCATTTTTCTTCTCCACGTAGCGGAATTGAATAGCTGCATGTTGTTTAGAACAACTTGGATGTTCTATGGGAAAATCCACTACCAACTTTTCCCTTCCAATGAGCCAGCAGCTACGCTCTCCAAGTTGTACCATTTCCAGCAGGTCTTCGCCTTTAAAGACATAAAGCCGCCAGTCGTCCTTCACAGGCGGCTTGCGTGCTTCTGCCGGCTCATGGTATTTCAAAACCACGGAGCCGCCATTGACAGTGACAGTGTTGCTTTCTGCAGCGAGTCGCCCGGTATTTGCAAAATTAGGCTTCTCTTTCACGGGTGCGGGTGAATTTGTCTCTGTGATATCTGTGGACTGGAATGCATCGTTCTGTGATGGAAGTGGGCCGCGCGACCGGACTGGTGCTTGTGTAGAACGACTGTGGCTGCGTCTCTCCGCAGACCTTCGCCGCCTTCCATTATCCCTTGACGGGGATCGTCGACGTCTGTCATGTCGCGCGGAAGGTTCCTCTTTCGGGCCATCAAGCTCGGGTGAATCGCGACGCCTCCTTCGATGAGAGTCATAATCCCTCCTTTCTCGACTCCTGGGACTTACCGATCGGTCTACGCGTTTCCTATGACCATCGTCTCGTCTATTCCTGTGTCGCTCTCGTGATCGGTCTTGAGATCGTCGTCGGCGCGTATAGCCATTATCATAGCCCTTTTCCCTTTTCCTTTCTTCACGACGTTCATATTTACTTCGGCCACCAGTCGCGTCAGGGGAATATGAATGGGGCGACCGCTGCCGCCGCCGGTCTCGATTGTCTGTATCTGATGGTGGCATATTAATCCAATCAGAGAAAAAACAAAGAAAAAACAAAGGGGATACAGGACAAGAGCAATTAGAGCTTGATCTCAGCAAAAGTTAAAAGAGCCATACGAATCATGTGATATATTCGCAGTAATTGGTCGTATTTACTTCTGGGTATCCACCTTTCAACCTAAGCCCACCGCAACTAAAATGGGGGGCATCATTCGGCTTTGACTTCATGGTTATGCTTGGTTTCACAAATATTGAAATCACGGGCAGTTATATGTCAGCTGCTCTCATTCTGTCTTGAGAAATGTGATAATGTTTTGGAAGCAGACAGCTTTTGGCTACGGCAGCATCCAAGGCTTACACTATACCAGATCGCGTGCTCATTGCCTCCAGTTCTCTTCGAAATGGAAAGCTCATTATAACCCTTTCGAACCCACTTGTTTTTGCAAACGACATGTATCAGTACACGCCGAGAGCACTACCAGCGATCCGCAATGGCCTACAAACAACTCATTTACTCCGTATGACATCTTTCGTCAAGAGCCGACTGCTCCGTACTCGAAGCGACGATATTATGAACTAGTGAAGGTATACCATCCAGATCGCCAATCCGAGGGACACCCGCAATTGAAAAATATATCAGAAGAAGCAAGGCTTCAACGTTATCGCCTCATAGTCACCGCCCACGAGATACTATCAGATCCCCAGAAACGGGCAGCTTACGATCGGGACGGCACCGGGTGGCATAGTCACCCGGACCATCCAGACTCGAAAGTATATCCCAACATGTATGGGAATTCTGTTGATCCTGATGCGTCGATTTTCAGCAATGGAACATGGGAAGATTGGGAAAGATATTACAACAGACACAACCCCAAGCAAGTACAGATTGTGTCACATGGGACGTTTGTAACATTCATCTTATTATTAGTCTTGTTCGGAGGATTTGCCCAAGCTTCGTGGATTACTCAAACTCAGTCTAGCATCGACCAAAAGGTTCAGGAGATGAACGCGAATTCAGCTCGTCTTCTTGCGAAACGTCGCCAGCAGACGGACGAGCTACGGTCAACCGAGCATCGTGTACAGAATTTTCTAATGCGAAGAGATCCTCTGGGTTCTGGCTTAAAAGAAGAGGAGGAGAATATTTACAGACAAGCCCTTGATCAGCGTGGAGGAGATCCTATTAGGTTACCAGGCCATTCTACTGGAACTGAGGTGGTACCCCGACAGACATAAGCTGTAACGGGCTGCCACGAGGATGCTCCAGCTTCATATTTCGACATTATTTTAGGTCAACTTTGCAAATACTGTATATATGATATAGTTATATTTGGTTGTGTCTTGATTTGCATCACAAACATCGCATAACTTGCTAGGTACTTTGAACATAGATTCCACGATTTCCGAAGCTATATATATATGCACACTTCCTTCATAATACTGCTTACACACAAAGGCTTTGATTTTTCCATACATCATACTTGACGTGTGGTCAAAATTGGGTTGAAAACGGCGGGGATTAATAAAGTTAATTTTTAAGCGCTTATTCCAACCAACCCACAGGTTCAGCAGGCCGATTAGTTCGTTCAGGGCTTCTACCAGTTGTTCAGTGATAGTTGGATAGACGTAAGGTGTATGCCAATGTGGTATGTATTTAATCTGTGTGCAAATAACACGGTGTAGTGATTTATTTCGCTTTATCAAATACGTCATTTTTGTAATTACCATACGCGTGTCAAAACAGGATAAAGTGCCGAGGCTCATTTTTCTACCCCGTCTCCAGTTCCAAGGTCTTTTTCCAAGATTCCGATCAAAAATTTTCCTTTATTCATTGTGTTGAAGACAGATATAGTTTGGTCTTTTGTTAAGCCTTTATGCGCCTGTTTGTGTCCTATTATCATCTTTCTTGGTTTGCGGCATTTGTCTTTCCTTTATTTGCATGGAGGCAGTTTTGCAACAGCAACCATGTCGACTATTAGAAACCGACTAGCCTTGCTCAAGATGATCCTGGCGCGACTTCCGCTTGCCCTGAAAACGATAGTCTGCCATGGCCTACGTCTTTCGCCGGTGTCAAAAAAGCAAGACCTACGCACGGAATTGCTGGTGGCTATTATTCGCACTTTCATGGACGAATCCTTGTCAGTCAGTGAGCAACAGCGCAGGTCCATGAGAGATCCAGGCATCAAGGGACCCATGTGGATATCTAAAGTTACAATATCAGCACCAGGAGATGCAGTTCGTGCTGCGGTTCTTCAAGCTGTCGATACATTGTCGGAAAGTGGAATATCACAGGCATTCGAAGTGCCAGCTGTTATTCCCGTGGAGGCAGAATGGACAGGATATCGTGGGGGAGTGGACAAGAATGCTCCGCAACCAGATATCTCAGAGAAGGAGAAATATGAAGCATTGGAAGCTGAGGCAAAATCAGATATGGTCATTCTATACATTCATGGTGGAGCTTTATGGTAAGTCTTTTCTATAAAGGACCTTTCTGTTATACATCCCTTATTTCCAGATGATGCTAATTACTTTGGATGCTTTGAAGCCTCATGGATCCTTGCACGCATAGGGTACCCGTGGCACATATTTGTAAACTAACAGGAGCCCGAGTTTTGTCCGTTCGATATCGCTTAGCTCCTCAAAACCCATTTCCAGCAGCTCTGGTTGACATCCTTACCGCTTATTTGGCACTCATTCACCCTCCACCTGGTTCATTTCATGAACCAATCCCTGCCGATAAAATTATAATATCTGGAGATTCCGCAGGGGGGAACCTTAGTCTGGCACTGTTGCAGACTCTTCTTACTCTAAAGAGGGGTTTGTCAACAGTACGATTCCATAATAAAGTTGTCTCTATCGAACTACCAGCAGGTGTGGCACTGCATTCACCATGGTGTGATATCACGCGGTCCATGCCGTCGATTTTTGAGAATGCGAAATACGACTATATCCCTCCGCCGTACGAACCGGTAAAAGCAATGTACCACCCTATACCAAGTCTCCCTGATGAATTCTGGCCGCAGAATCCTCCTCGCAGCGACTATTATTGCAACTCCAATTTAGTAATACACCCACTGGTAACACCTCTCGCTTGCTCCACAGACCTCTGGAAAGGGGCACCTCCAGTATATGTCACCATCGGCGAGGAAAGTCTTGCAGATGAGGGTTTACTAACAGCGCGCAAAATTCATCAAGCTGGCGTTCCTGTTGTAATTGAGCAATATGAAGGAATGCCTCACTGTTTCGGTCTTATCATGATGGATTCCGTTCCTGCGAAGGCCTTCATTCAAGGCTGGTCTCAATTCTGCCGGGACGCCGTGGCTAGGTCTATACATCCATTGAGCAGCGGAGTTGGAAATTTGATCTTTCATAACGCTGGATGGCGATCGACGAAATTACTACCGTTGGACAAAGTCCATGGATTAAGTAATCTGGATGTAGAAAGCTTAATCAGAGATTCTCGAAAAAAAAGAATGGAATGGGAAAGGAAAGCTATTGATGACTGGCAATCAAGAGCGAAGTTATAGTTAAGAGCATACATACGAGCTACTTTTTCGCAAACTCGGAAGCTATCGGTTATGTCTTACCATTCAAGTGTCGCACACGTAGGAGTAAGTTAACACCTATCAAGAAGCTCATCGACTTATACCAATGGTCGCAAAACTAAAAATTTTCTATACGCAGGGTGAGAGTTCATACGTCAGGTATTGGTACCAATCTTCTCACCTCCACCTTACTTCATTCCCACAGTCACCGGATTCCAGAGCTAGTGCTGCTTCTCTCAGTCCTATGCAACACAGACTAGCTTATCACTTGCAAGCTCACAGATCTGCATGTCTCTATTTTATCCTCGTCTCACCTCCATCTCCGCTAGTCCCGACCTAAACCAAATGTTATTATTCGATACCGTTCCTAGCATACCAACATATCGAAGCTGAGAACGACAAGATGTCCTCAAAGCGCAGGATACCTCCCAAACGCTCTCGCAAGGACAAAGTCATTGATCGCGATAAGCGTGTCAAGATCACCAATGACATGATCTTTCGTCCTGTGAAAGAACCCCGGTACATGCCACCTTACTTTGCTCATGAACCTTTGAACCCGAGTTTGTATGCCGGAGGTATGTACTCTGACGTTGGAATATCTACTATTTTCCGTCTGAATTCTGTCGATCCATATTGCTCATAACTCAAGCACCTTACTAATGAGTTTCAAGAGATGGCAATGTCGATTTTGCCCGTACCAAACACGATCTCTTTTCCCTACAATATCGAAGCGTATCAACCGATTGAAGATGAGGGAGATTCAGACGGAGAAATTGAAAGAGTAAGCAAACTGTTACCTCATGTTGTTACTTTTCTTTCCGCGAGATGCCGATGAAGTTATTAATAACCATAATTCTTTTTTAGAACGTCGATTTGTGCTTTCCAACATCGACGAAGGCGACCTCTAACCCAGTGCAAAATCCATCCCCAAAAGACCATCGCATCGTTGTAGGTGGTCGGCCTGTTGAAGGCAAAGGCAGGAAACTTTGTGCTATTGAGGATATGGATGAAGACGACAAGTTGTTGTATTTTCTCAAACTAGCCAAATGGACCGAGCGTGAGATCCATAGCAAGTTTGCGTCTGAGGGGCGAATAAATTACAACATCAAGACAATTGGCACGCGGTTTTCTCGTATGCGTCATTTCATCATGGCAGAAAACGACAGACGTTTGGAAGAAGGCAATGCTGCCTGGCTCGAGGCTGAGGTGAGTACAGATTTGTCTTCTAGGCTTGTCAAGGTAATTAATTGAAATCGAATGATTGACCATAACGTGTTAATTATTAGGAGAAAGTGTTGCCTCGCGCAGTTGCTTTTGCAGCTGAGCAGATTGAGAAGGAGCGTTTGGCTCTCGAGCAGCGCAAATGGGAGTTGGTCTCTGAATATATCCAAAAACGCGAGCCTCTGGCCATGTACTCTGGCGAAGCTTGTCGTCAACAATACGAAGCGGTAGGCAAGAAAAAAGGCTCTGGTTCTTGTAAGGACCAGAAGATCCCGGCTTGGAAGATGGCAAAATTGGCCTCTGATCGTCAGCAGCAAGTGTCATTACTTGAGCATTTCAAACGTGCTGTGCGTCCTGAGGTGTAGTTACCCAGGTACCAAGGGAAAAAGACACAAACGGGGCATTCGAGAATAGTTTTCATTTTTACTTTGAATGTTTGCTTTGGTTCTCCTAATGTATCTTAGACCAGAGAAAGAAAAAATATATCCGATGATGTCGTACAAACAAAGCCATTGGCTGCCCCACTAACAAGCCCCATTTGCGGGCCGTCCCAGATCGAAGCCCCCAATCAGATTTATCGGATAGTTAGCCACGGTCATGTGATTTGCAGCCTGCGCCCTCTATATCAGGCAGCACCTCCCCTTCCTCCTCGTTTCTCTTCCTCCTTTCACGCTTCGGAGAGCTGACCGCTGACCGCAACGCACACGTCGCTTTCTGATGCCCATCGGAAAAGCGTATGTGCAGAGTCTTGATCAGGATTGTATGCTTGTTCTTTTCTCTTTGTTTCGATCGCTGTGTCGAATCACTGCGAAAAGGCACTCGTCATCAATTCCTGGCCTGACTTCCAAGGCTCCCGCCATTTTCATGCGAGTTCGTGTGCATGATCAAATAGCGTCGTTTTTTTGTGTTTCCTTTTTCACCCGGTCACACCGTCCGCTCCTTTGATCGCCTGGCTCCTTTATAAAAATCCTTTGTCACTCGCTAGATCTGTTGCCATGTTCAAACATTCTTTTTCTTTAAAGAATCGAGCGGGCAAAGCCACTAAGGCTAGCCGGAAAAGCCACCGTGACAAAGCCAAGGTGAAAATGGAGTCACTGGATAGTCCGTCAATGGAGAGGTATGTTTATATTAAATATGCCCACTTTCTCCGAATCCTACCACTGTACCACGTAAATTTACTGACTATCTGGTCAAGCTCTCTCACAAGTCCCATCATTACAATTGTTGTGGGCCATGAGCGACGTCTTTTTGCTGCTCATGAGGAGGTTCTTTCCCGGTCTAACTATTTTCAAGCTGCGTTGAAAGACCAGTTCCTGGAACCCAGCGCAAAGCAGGTGGACCTTCCTGACGAGTAGGTCAGCTCTTATTTACTGATATGCTAGTTTACACCTAACAGATAATGCATCAAGGGAACCGGAGATATTATCCTGCATTCTTGAGTTTCTATACAAAGGTGATTATTATCCGCGTCTGCTTCACGACAAACGTCGTAACACTTGGAAGCTTGAAGATGCTCAAGACGTATATCATACTGGTGGTAGAGGCTCTAGCGCGGCTACGCTATTTCATTCGAGCGTAGGCGCCGAGCTCCTTCGGGATACTGTCATCTACTGCGCTGCTGAGAAGTACGGTCTAGACGAGCTCAAGCATCTTGCTCTTCGAAAGCAGGGCCTTCAAAGCGGAATTCCTGTGGATATTATTCTGAGATCTGCGCGATTTGCATACGAAAATACGCCAGACACCGAATCGCGACTCCGTGCTCATTATCTTGCTCTGATCATCAGAAGTCGCAAGATTTTTAAGAGAAGTGGAACCATGCAGTTAGAGATGGAAATTGGAGGCAAATTGTTTTTCGATTTGTTCGTGGCGATGAGCAATCACATCGATGATATCGTAGAGATTGGGTGAGCTCTCTTTTCGCAATTTCTACGTGCACACGCAAACATACTTATACGCTTTTTGTATCGCCCCTCCGATTAAGAATATGGTCTAACATTTCTAAGCAATCGCTGATCTCCCAGCTTCATCTGACGATGAACGTCTCATTGGTTCAACAATCGAACGGATTGGATAGTCTATTAACAAGGCAGAGAGGATGAGGATGGAACTCGAAACCAGAATAGCTGGATAACTAAGAAATTGCTTTAGAGTTCTTTCCTTGCTTTCATGCAGTACCGCTCTTTTGTTCATATTTCGAGATTGACCATCATTCTTATGGTTTTGCTTATACCTCCCTTCTCTCTCTATACTAATACTACTTCCCTCCTTGACGCTTTTTATCTTTGAAGTGAACAAATTGACAGACAACTCATGTTTCCATCGCGATGCCTACTTTGAGTCAGGATCCTGGGAGGATCAAAAATGCGGATAGCACTGTGTTACTATCATTAACTAGCTTGTTTTCTCCCCTGAATAATGAATGGCCTGCCAATTATCCTTAGTATAAACGATGATTTCGCTTGCATGGTGCGCTTTCTATCGTTACATAAGCTGTGGGAAGGGTATAACTACACCCCGGCCTTAATAATCTCTATCCCTACTGGAAATATATACTAATAATTTCTTTTTCCTAACCAAAAATTCCGATTGGATTTGAATTATTACCCAGCAACATCAATTGGCTAGCTGATAAGCGAAGATAAGTGCTCGCAGCGCCTGTGCTACAAGCACAGCAAACGTGGACAGTCAAGCCCTGTGCCTAGATACCCCGCTCTGCGAAAGGCTGAGCTTTGCGCAGACCGCTACTTTAACTCAATAAAGAACTCTACGCATCTTGGGCGACAAATCCCGCTCTGGGAGCGCAAGCCATCCAGGATGGAGTCGTCGAAACGCCAATTCAGCCAAAGCTTTCCAACCTTCACGTCACGTTGTCAAAAGAAGAACTGCCCGCATCAAAGCTGCTCACGCCAAGGTTGCTCTAATCAGGGCCCTTCATGTCCGAGTGTCTCCTGGTGTTCACAATGCACGAGGTTTTGGTGTGATGATTGCTGGGGAGATGTCGATGCTCATGAACCTTTAGTCACGGAGGTAACCGGGATGGTAGAGCACAAAAAGCAAGCAACAATAAAGTGCTTCCAGGCAGAAGCGTCTGAGTCGACTGCATTAATTACCCCGCCATATAATTGGACCTTACAAGAATACATTATGCAAAAGAAGCTGTTGCCCCAACAAGACTACACGATACAACTGTCGATCCTCGAGAGAAATAACACCGAGCGTCTTTTCATGGCCTGGCAAGAGCAGCAGAGACATGGTACATTCCCAAACCTATCAGATCAGACAGAGCAAGACGAACCGAACATTTGGCGGACAGAGACAATGAAGTGGACCTTACAAGATTACCAAATGAAAAAGATGTGGGTTGATCAAAAGAACTACGAAATAGAAATGATGCTCCTGGAGCAAAAGAACAGGAAGCGATTATTGACGGCCTGGGAAGAGCATACCAAGGATACCCTAGGAGGTCAGACAGAGAAAACCCAGAATCCGACGCCGACATTGAACTCGAGCATACAGAACAACAAATGCGATAGTACTTCGCAGGATCAGGATCAGTTGCAAATGAGACTTATGCTACTTGAGTATGAAAATAAGAAGCGTTTGATGATGACACGAGGAGAATCTCGGGCACCTGATGCATCTTCAAACCTAGCAAGCCAGGCTGAGCAAAAGACGCAAAACTTGAACCTGGGAACAACCACGAACCGGACTATATATGATTATCAGATGCAAGTCTTGCTGCTTGAGCAACAAAAGAATAAACGCATGGCAGATTTCCGGCAGCAGCAGGCGAATGTGGAATAGGCAGTAAATGCACACAGGCAGTTATGCTTTGCTATATATCATTCGGTTGTACCAGACAGATTGTACCTTATTTCGGCAGATTCAGAGCGCTGTTATGTAAAGCAAATTTACAAGCGGGGAATGTACCAAAAAAGGCTCTAGCTAGTCAAGCAATCGAGACCCCTAGATACTGAAGATTCCGGGTACTATGGTATAGCGAGGCTGATGGTTGAGCTCATCCTCACGTTATCCTGTTGTGTACCCAGTATAATACAGGTAAGGATGGTATAAGATTCCTAGCTTATCCCCATTGTCCAGTTATGCAGATTGGTCCCCATTAGCAACCTCACTGAAGTTCTTTTCCAACTCGACAAAACATAAGTCTTCCGGCAACACGAGATTGCTGAATTTCTCGCGCGGAAACGGCGATGTTTCACCAGTCTTCTGGTAGCCACGGCGCATGTACCATTCGAGGAGTGCTTTGCGCGATGAAAGGGCATTTAGGGAGAACTTCTCCACGTTCCAAGTGCGCCGACAATAGTCTTCGGCGTAGGCGAGGACCTGGCGACCAACGCCACCACGTTGGTAGTGGTCGTCCACGGCAAACGAAGAAATTCGGCCTATGCTGTTGTCACGATGGGCGACCTCGATAGTGGCCACGGGGGCATCGTTCTTGTCCACGGCTATCATAGTGACGAGGTTTGGTTTGGCAATGTTGGCTAGCACATCGCGCACTTCAAGGCGAAAGTTTGACGCAAGTTCCTCGTCACCGGTCCAGCCTACTCTGCTGTCGATGGTACGAAAGGCAGATTGCACGAGCTGCTGAATCCGCTCTGCATCGTCCGGGGTTGCGATGCGGAATTGGAGGCTGATGTTAACGTTGACAGCAGCCATCCTTGTTGACTTGTGAGATTGAATATGAGATAAATTGTCCTGGAAATTTGCTATATTCAACTCAGGCGATGAGACACTTTATCTATCTGTCGGGTTCTCTCCCCATAGTTTGATCGTGTAATCCAAAGGGCGCACTCTATGCCTTTCACGTTCTCCGGTCAGGCCCGATGTGACGATACCTAGGTATTTAAAGATAAATGGCATACTTCAGGATTAGATTAAGATTGATCGGTCATAAATAAGTTTATGCTAATCAATGTAGGCAGAAGTATTTACTCATCTACAGTAAAGTTTACTGCCCAGATTTATTCTTTTGTTGCCCAAGTAGTATAATGTATATTTAGTATTTATCTAAATTAGTTCTATTATGATATTATAATCCAGAAAAATAGTATTAATAAGTGAAATCCTTGTTTATTAATTATTGTAAATCCGCCTCCTGACGCAGCACCTTATTTATCACACTTGCTTCCTTTTTTTCTACCACTCTAGCTCCTCTAGTGTGCACACAGTGCGCAGGCTTTTTTATCTAGTTGGTTCCTGACATACCTTGTCATGAATCGTGCTCTTCGCTGACAGTATCGTCGGTATTGTGAACAAAGTATAGGTTGCACAATATGATAAAGTTGGGAGCGTTCTTCCGGAGTAGTCTCTCATCTCGACGTTGAAAGAAACTGAAAACTTAGTCTAAGCATGACGAGAGATGCTCCTTTCCAGGTTGTAGGTCCAAGGATATGTGGTTGGCCTGTAAATGGTGAAATGAAGGGTAAAGGCTGTTGCTGTTTAGGTACTCATCACGACAGGGAACGTGCCTTGCAACTGCATTGCCAGTTTCTGTCATATGGCGTATCCTGATTAGTCGATCGTCTTCCTCAAAGTCGATGAAAGACTGTAAATTCGAGGGCATAATAGTTATGCGAGGATCAACGTGGTCGCAACCTCTATGGCATTCGACAAAGCGGCATCGTATTTTGAAATCATTTCGAGTCCAAGTTTAATCAACATGTGAGGTTTTATCTGTAATCGAATTAGTTTCAAAGAGGTCATTTACAATAAGGTTCATACAGATTCCTCTTGCCGTATCTTTCTCGCCAACGTGATCATGTCGACTTCTTCCGCTAAGCAAACCTAGCATTTCCCATCGATTGTTCCAGTGTCAGGAAACGATTGAGACACGAAGGTAATTATATAGAAATAATGTCAGGCATGGTCTGCTTCCTTCTTTGAGGTCATCTTGGTCAGAATCCGGAAGTGATGCTCGAGTACAAATACAAACCGGTGGAAGGCTCCTATCGAGCGGTATCACGGCTTTTAGGAACCAGCTCAGGGGGATATGCTAACAGATGGAGGCTTGAGAAGCATGGCATCAAGTGTTCATTAATCCTTCCCATCCCTATTCAAATACATTTAACTGCACATCCATGGATAGTGACGTGAGGACTCACGCTCTTTGAGACACAAGTAGCATATTTAAAACACACATTCTTCAACAACACGGTCATATTTATCACTGGCGTTTATCTTCTTTATGGGAGAAGAATGGACGGGCTTGGTTGGGGTATTTTCATCTCCTTGGGGCGTTGGAAAGCCCTAAATTTACGCCCTCACTGCGTATCACGTCGTGCCGTTAGAGACAGCCACTGAGTAACGTGTCATCCCACTCGGCGGACTTGCTGAGAGATTTGTATATATAGTCTTCAACAGTTATCTTCTTCAGATTTACGACGTCCGGTTCCTCTGTTTTGGGTAACTCTAAATATCTGCCTCCTGTTCCGGTACTTATCTGCAACGACCAAACAGGCAGACGCCTATTTTGTAGCAGCTTTCATTGAATTTATTTAAAATTGCATGCCAAAAGCAAACCTTTCCTGGTGCTTGGTTATTGGCACATAAAAAAAGAAAAAGAGAATTCGAGTCCGTGAAACTTACAAGTGCGACGCCCTACCTAGGTAGAAAACTGCCTAAAGAGGTACTTCTCCATCATACTAGGAGTGATAGCTGGGTGGGCTGTCTGGTACGTTATTCTGCTAAAGCCTTATCATGATTTGAGTTAGTGGGCAAAAGACGTGATCAACTATTGTTGTGACGCTAAGATAGGGACTCGCTACACCATCAACGATCCCGGCAGACACATAATGTGAGAATACTCCCTGGATTAAAGTAAGCATGTATTCAGATCAAGACGGCTGGGCTACAGCTCAGTCACAAGCTGTCTATAGTTCGCGAATTCGACTGCTGTTGTCCTTGACTTCTGTGTTGTCCTGGCTCGGGTTCGGCGCTGCACTGTTAGAAGGGCAATATGCGGCGCCAATTCAAACAAACACTTTGGAATGGAGCAAATATCTATGGGTAAGTCGCCTGCCATGAATGAGCAACTTCGCAAAATTTATCTGATTCGTGTGGATAGCCTCTTCTCTCCTGCCACAGCCTCAGCCTGCATTGGGTAGACAACCCGATCCAGCTTTATAGCGGCGCGCTGAGGGGCCTATGCTTATCAGCCCTAATTGTGCTATCTATTCTTTGCATGAATGCTTTCAATTGTGAATATTCGCTTCTAACTTTGTCTTTGCCATCGTTGCAACTGTATGCGGCAGCGCTTGCAGCTATTATCCAGTCGCTGTTCCCTCGCCGCCCGAATCTCTTTACACCAGAGGGCAAGGCTGTGGATACTGAGGGCAGCGCATCTGCTCTTAGCAAATATACGCTGCAATGGTGCACAGATGCTCTTGTTCGGGCTGGTAAACCGGTCTCCCTCCGCGAACTCCCAGCCTTGAACTTTACCACAAGATCAAAAAGCCAGCCACTGCTTGGGTTGGATATGGGAAAAGCTAGCCTGTGGAGCCAAATTGTGCATCAGCGTTCTTTTGGACTCGCTAAGCAGTGGACTTTGATGCTTTTGCGGTCGGCAGTATCTTTCGGCTCTCCGTATTGCACCATGAGATTGCTGAACAGCTTAGAAGATAGCCATGGCCGGACCGATGCCGCATGGATTTGGCTGGCTGGCCTTGGTATCTTCTCCTTCAGCCAAACAATGATCAATTATCATTTGGTGTGGATCCAGTGGTCAGAAATGGGCATCCCGGTTCGAGCACAGCTGATCATGAGCATCTTCCACAAAGCCCTTAGATTGAAGGATGACAGAGCTCAAACAGAGAAGAGCAGCAAAAAGCCTGGTAAAAAGGGTACTGCTTCTTCAGCTAAGCCTGAGGCGCTTAATCTCCTCTCGTCAGATACAGTATCCTTCAGCAAATTTACGGCTGTCAATTACATTATTCCTTCATTATTCGTGCGATTCGTCTTTGCTATTATATTCCTTGTGGAGCTGCTTGGGTGGCAGAGCACCCTGGTGGGAATGACAGCCACATTGGCTTGTATACCAATACATGCACACGTTGTGAAACAACAGCGTATTGCTAAGAAAAATCTCACAGCAGCGCGCGATAAAAAGACAGAGGTCATTAGCGAAGCCATCAATTCTCTTCGGCAGATCAAGTTCTCTGCCTCGGAGGCCCAGTGGGAAGAATATATCGGCATATATCGGCAACAGGAGATCGAACACATTCGCCGGAATTTCACAGCTGGCAATGTCAAATCGGCTTGGGGGGTTGCAGCTCCATTCATAGTTGCAGGGGCGTCAAGCTTCGCCTATATGTGTCTTCATGGCGCTCTTGCGCCGTCTATTATATTCCCGATGATTGAACTGTTGCCTCATCTCGAGGGGACCCTGGGTTTTGCTCCATTTGTCCTGCAAGATTACTTCGGCGCTAGATCAAATGCTGATAGAATGGAATACTATCTCAGGAAGAAAGAACACAAGAATGTTTTGGATGGAAGCCCATCTGGCGGTGTTATCTTTCGGAATGCTTCTGTTACCTGGCCATCTGCTGCTGAATCTGATAATAACGACGACACGCCTTCTCATCACTTTTCCCTCCATGGACTAAGTCTAGAGTTCCCTGTCGGAGAGCTGAGCATTATTACAGGAAAGACAGGATCCGGGAAGAGTCTACTGCTTAATGCTATCCTTGGAGAAGCCGACATCCTCAATGGCCATATTCAAGCTCCATCAATGAGTGACGGGCAACCCGTGGCATTTGTTTCCCAATCTCCATGGCTTCAAAATGCCACGATCAAAGAAAATATACTATTCGGTTCTCCGTTGGACAATGAAAGATACGAAAAGGTCCTAGCAGCCTGTTCATTGAAGCCTGACATTGCGCTTTTGGAAAAAGGGGATGAGACCATGATAGGACTACGGGGCCTCAAGCTTAGTGGAGGTCAGCGCGCTAGGGTGGCCCTTGCTAGGGCCTTTTACTCTAGTGCTAGGCTTTTAGTCCTGGACGATGTATTCTCATCTCTAGATGCACATGTCGCAAATGACATTCTGGTTGCACTCACTGGTGATATTGGTGCAGGGCGTACTCGGATTTTGGTAACGCACCAGGTGTCATTATGCTTGCCAAAGGCCAAATACATTGTTCACATTCAGAATAATACCATAGATTATGCAGATGATCCGGAATCTGTTGGAAGAAAGCAAGGCCTACTTAAAGCGGAGAAGGCATCAAATGCTGAACATCCTACTGCATTACGACCAGCAGTGCAGGAGAACAACAAAATAGACGCCGTCAAAAAACTTACAAGGCCCAAAGTTCACCATGACCCCAAGACAAAGAAAGCCAAAAAAGCAAGGTCAGATTTGAAAGTGTACGTGCGGTATTTTGCCGCGGCAGGGGGTTTTGCTTTTACTTTGACATTTGTTTTAGGGCTGATCGCCAAGCAGCTGCTTGATGCATCAGCAACATGGCTTCTGGGCTGCCTTAACTCAGCATATCCAAAATTTCCTGGATTTGTCGAGGAGACTGAGCAGTCTACTTCTATAGACGTGAACATATACTTTTACCTTTATATATGCAGCTCTTTGTTGGCAACTCTATCAGAATCACTCTTCAAGATGCATGCTGCCTCTGGTTCGATGCGTGCGTCAGAGAGTCTGTTCCGTGAGATGACTTTCAGAGTCCTTCGAATGCCTCTCGTCTGGCTGGACGCTACACCAACTGGTACTATGCTGAAACGGTTCACCTCGGATACTAGAATGGTTGACGACTCGGTATTTGATACTATATCTGAGTTCGCCTACTGCCTTGTGAAACTTGGGATAGTCATCGGTATTGGGTAAGTACTCCCATTTCTCCTAACCCCTCACCCCATCCTTCTTTCAGGTATAAATATCGTAAAACAGTGTTTATTGAAGTCTATGCTCACAGGCTTTATTCCTCAAAATATACGGTCCTTTTAACAATCGCCGTACTTTGCTGGTGTGTCCAAGTTAGCTCTGCCTACATCAGAGCTCGTACAACCGTGAGACATGCAGACTCAAAGCCAAATGCTGACATCCTTGAACACTTCACTGCTTCAGCAGCCGGAGTGAGCACTATTCGGGCATTCGGTGTTGCAAGCATGGCCATTGAGAAAATGCATCAGCACATTGACGAACTTTCAACTGCCAGACGCCACTTCTGGGTCTTTAATCGCTGGCTTGGCCTTCAAATGTCATTTGCAGGTATCCTCTTTAGCTTGGGCACTGGGATCATTCTCTTGTCATCTAGCTCTACCGTTGAAGCATCCTCAGTAGGGTTTGCTCTGGCATTTTCTACGAAGTTTTCCAAAACGATCTTCAACGTTGTTGATAAGTTTGGGGTACTCGAGACCCATATGGATGCAGCTGGAGCACTGATAGGGTATTCAGAGCTCGAGAACGAACAACAAGATGGTGGCAGTGAAGAAATAAATGCCAATTGGCCAGAAAGAGGAAAGGTCGAGGTTAAAAATCTCAATGTAGCCTACCCCCCCGGCCTTCCCCTTGTGTTGAAAGATGTAACTTTCAACGTTGATCCTGGCACGAGAATCGCTATTGTTGGTCGCACTGGTGCTGGGAAATCATCATTGGCGCTGTCACTGTTACGACTGCTTGTGCCTCAAGATGGCTCTATTTGGATCGACGACATTGACATTTCTACCATAAAATTACAACGACTTAGATCCAAGATCACGTTCATTCCTCAGGATCCGATTCTATTCTCGGGAACAGTGCGGTCAAATCTCGATTACTTTTCGCACTTTTCAGACAACAGACTCACTGAAGTTTTACGGCATGTAAAGCTGCTACCATCTGACGAGAAATCGGCTGGGCCGTTCAGTCTCGATTCTACCATCAGCGCGGGTGGTTCGAACATATCACAGGGAGAAAGACAGCTCTTTTGTCTTGCGCGTGCATTGCTCAAAAATAGTAGGATAATTGTCCTAGATGAAGCTACCTCTGCGATTGATACTAAGACGGAGTCCTTCATCCGAGAGGAAATCATGTCTGAATTCAGTGGTACCCTGATTGTTGTGGCCCACCGATTGAGCACTGTCGCACGTTTCGACCATATCATGGTGATGAGTGATGGAAAGGTGGTAGAGAGTGGAGCGCCTGCGAAGCTTTTGAAGGCCCAGGGCTCGTTCTATGATCTGGTTAAACATAGCGAGGACAAGGAATCTTTGACAGAGACAATCTTGAATTCGAAGACATAGATATAAAGTTGAGCGCAAAGGAAAGCGACTATCATCACAATGAATCACCTGAAGTACAAATCTGTTTTAAAATACTGTTTACATGAAACGGCTGCTTATTTGACTTGTTTAATATGTTCATCATTGTTAAGTAAAATTATTCTCAACTCCAAGGTATCAACAGAGATGCATAGACATAAGAGAAAAACTTTTGATCCGCCCAGTCATTAGACTCGTGATCAATAATCCGGATTCCATCATCATAACTTAAATCGTAACGCAACACCCATCGCAGAGTTTATTGACAATCAGAATACCATCGTCTCATCGTAGCGCCACTGCACCGGTTCGCCTTGTCTCCACCAGACATTCCATTTCATATGCCGTATCAGAAAAGATCCTTCGTCACCTAATAAAACATGGTGTGTTGTAAAAAATCACACAATAAACCCCGGTATCAACAGAAAAAAAGGAAATAGAAGAGATGAGCCCTTCTTATACAAAAGAGTGAATAAGTAGTTCAAAAAGAAACGAGGGGGAGAATGGTACTTCAGATCCTTTAAAAGGAGAGCTGGTTGCGTCGGTGGCCATCAATGAGCTTACGCCGCACTGCTTCACCGCCTGTATATTGACTGGCCTTGCGTTTACGAGGCGGCGTACGCGGATCAGAATATCGCGAGTGCTTGAATACACTAGCAGCCCGAGATGGTGAATTGGCTGGCATAAATTCTCGATGCTGAGGAAGGCGAATTAGAGTCTGATATCGGGCGTGATTTCGACGGAATGCAGTCACAATGCCTTTATCAAGATGGTTGAGAAATTGTTCAGCACTGTTGGAGGTGTTGGCTCGGCTCGGTGTCGGAGTGCCCAAGCCTTGAACGGATGAGGCTACAGCTGGTGATGTAGTGTGACCTTCGTCATCAGAAGTCTTACTTATTGGCCCCTCTTCCTCATCTTCGTCTTCTTCATCGGATGATCCATTGCCAAAATCAATGAAGTCGTCAACGTTCAGCATGCGCTCATCGTCTTCATCATCCTCCTCGTCATATGAACTATCTCCAGCAAATGTTTGGGATGGATAAAACGCTTCAGGTGGGCCCATAACTTGCCCGCCAGGTGTGGCGTCGTTGCCCAAAGCAGTCATCATCAGATTACCGGAGCTTAGCATGGGATTTAGTTCAAACCCATTCGGCGAAGTAAGAGCATCAGTGTCACTTTCATCGATCAGATGCATGGTGGTGGCCCGAGGGCTGTTATGTGCGGTTCCGCACATGCTATTAGTAGCCGACTCCAACCAATCATGTCGAGAAGAAGCGTATGCAGGAATGATGACAAGGTGTTTGCCAGAGCCATCGACAAGAGCAACAGGTTTTTTAGGGTCGGCAACAAATGTGCCCATAATTGGTCCACGTCGACGCGGAGGGTTGGATCTTTGACTAGTAGATTCTCCAGTCGCAGTTAGAGATGAAGTGGAATCTCGTCGTAGAATGGATCGCGGGTGTGTAATTGTGGCTGGCGGGGGTAGATCCTCGTCGGTAGTCTCTCCATCATCGGCTAAGCATTGTTAGTAAAGACAAACGGAATGGACAAAATCACAATGGATAATATCTTGATTGTGGGAATCATACTTTCATAGCCACTGGAGCCGTTTGAAACTGCATCCGACTCGACATGGTAGATATTGGCCGGGTGGCTGAAATCGGACTCTCCGAAAATGTCTTCGTAACGCTGGTTGCTACCGGTATCATAATCATTGTCAATCATGCGGCGAAGTGTCGGGTCAAGGCTGTCTTGTTGCAAGAAATCACCGGGAATTTCATCGTCAGTGCTATCACTCGAAGAATCGGAGTCGGCGTCTTCTTCAACGACAAAGTGAACATGTCTTTGTACAGGTGTTTCGATTGCTTCGCTCGTGAAATCTGTCTCACCAAATGTCTCCATTGCGCTATACAAGTGATCTTCGAGTAATGGCTCGGTGGAGAAAAGGATGTGGTCATCGAAGCTACCGAATCCAGCCCATTCGTCGGCATCATGAGCATCTGTGGAGGAAAAGGTGGTGGCATCGACTTTGTGGCCCTCGTCCTCAGACTCAAGAATCATTTGTTCTTCAAGCTTCTCGACATCGAGGTCTTCATCGTCGTCAGAGATCTCGTCAACGGCCGCATAATCACTATCTGAATCGCCAGCACTGCTTTGCTGGCCTTCGTAGCCTTCATCGTAGGAAAGCTTTCTCTTTTTAACGGACAGAGAGGATTTCATCTTCGACCCCGTCTTGCGCCCCCCTCTACGGCTCTTGCCTCCGTAAGACGGGGCCCGATGAGCGGACTCATCGTCTTCGTCAGAACTTGCCTCAGAATCCGCTTCATCTTGATCATTTTCTTCCAAGCCAGAAACCGAGGAGATCGTTGAAATGGAAGAGAAAGACGGCTTCCTCTTCCTGTTTGTATTGTTCAGGCCACCGGCAGTGCCGGTTTTCTTTCCCGAGACGTGTTTGAGACCTTTGTTCCTTGCTGCGGTCAATTGAGCTAACTCGGCTCTGCGGTATTTGCCAATTGCCATTGGTGACCGCTTTGGGGATTGGGAGTTGTTCTTCGGCATGTTTGCTGTGTCGTATGTGTGTTGTGTTTGTGGATAGAGATATAGACTCGATTCAAGGTATCGATACAAGGACGGTGATCAGGTTTAGATTTTTGCAATGCCAACTCCCGTGATGATTATATGTATTCAAGTACTCTTTCGGTTGCTTGGCAAAAGGGATCGGAAAGCGTGAATTGAGAGGTATTTTGCGTTGGGCTATGATTTATTCGTGGTAGGAGAAGGTTCCGGTAAGATCTGAGGTGAGAAAGATATGAAAAGCGCCGATTGGTACAACTGTCCACAGACAGACCAAAGTGCTTTTTCTGTCGTCGTTATCAAGGGCAATTTCGACGTGCCTTGCGCAAGCGCCAAAAGAGGAAGCAGATATCGTCAAGGTCGATTGAAATTCTTCGAAGAGCTGACTGGACTGGGGAGAGGGGGACAAACCGCCCCTCCCCAGCAGGGAATTTACAGCTCAGCGAATGCCATCTTGGGCGGTGATTTCCTGTCGACGATATCTGGCTGGTATGGGGAGGTGGGATAATGTAAATTTTGCTTAGATAGTGGTGAAATAAGGATAGATGGCTGCGAGGATATGACGAGATGTCAAGGAGGAGAGAAGGAAGGGAGGAGAGGGAAGGGGAGGAAGAGGGAACAGAAGACCCGAGGGCGCGGGAAAAAAGAAAAAGTCATATCGTACAGTACGAGCTGATTACCATACGCTCGTCGTACTTACGACAGCCCATGCTCACTGCAGGAAGGTGGGGTTTCCTTTTTTTCCCTTTTTTTCCCTAGGCGCTCCTCGATTTGGCAGGCACCGGCCAATCACACGCCATGAGGACTCACCGCATTTTACAATGGCCAATGAAAATACGCCATTCGTCAATTGGCAATGCAGGCGCCCCACATGGCTATATCTAATCATAGATTAATACATATTACGTAGCACGTATTGTACAATACATACAGTACATACAGTACATTCGGAGCAGTCGGTATTTATATGGAGCTTTCGCCTCACCGCAGTCCGCCAACCTTGGAAGTTCAACAGGTTTTGAATTATGAATATATATTTGCAGTATATAGACGTATATCACAATGCGTCCTATCCACGGCTGAGTCAGAAACAAAGAGAATAGTTAAGAGCTTTGAGCTCGGGTCTTGACCGCCGCTCTATTTGCGGGAATGACGAGTCGCTGTACATGCAGCAAGCTGTCGTAGGCCAGCGCAGAGCAGCTCACTAGGTACCTATACATGCATTTATGAATTAGCCCACGAATGTACACATGGCAGGATCCGGCTTATGTTCGAAGGAGTCGATAACGATATAGTTATGGATGGTGGCGGTGTCGACTGACTGTATCTGAAACGATAACGTGCTCAAGTCTTCACACCCCAAAAAAGGAATGCATCACCCCACCAAACTGCGCAGAGTTACAGCGTATACCTTGGTATGTGCTAATGTATATAGTAAATATACGGAACGTATTGCTCCGTGCTCATCATCGAAGTGATTCATATTATAATCAGAGTTAATTCAAGGAATTACGTCTTCCGCGCGATGCAGGAGGAGGGGTAGCGTCAGTGACCAAACATTCATTGAGGCCAGATTCCATAGGAGATTTGCGAACCAATCATTTCCTTCTAGGACAAGAAACGTCAAACAACTCCATATTTTTCAGACAGGCCGTTGATTGAGTCTCATGACTTCCAATGTTTGCTCGGAGAAAATGGAATGAGTCAGATTTGCCTCTCTACCAATTCCTCACAACTAGGCTGCCGCGATGCTTCTGGGACGAGGCAAATGTTCCACTATTAATCCTTACCATTATACATAGTAACATACTTACAGCTACGGCCTAGTCAACTCCACAGAGTCCGTAATCGAAGTGAGGCGGTTCAGAACAGATTATTGCCGTCCCAAGGCCGAGGCCGAAGCCAAATGCAGAGGGGAAAAAATTTGCCTTACTTGGGTGGATGAAGCTTAAATTGTGGTTTTTTGAGACAGGCATTCTGGGCCAAAAGAGGATCGTCTGAAATTTTGATACTTTTTTTGCAATTGTGGGGTGCAGAATTCCCATCGAGCCGCTAGGGCTTTGCTATCGGACCAATCATATGTTGCCAAAACTATGTAGTGGGGTATAATGCGATGAATCAGCAAATCAGAGGTGCGCGGAATCGGGTTCCTCTGACGTATCGAGCGATTTTGTGGGGCTAACGTCGTAGGATCTTCCCGTGTCTTCATTTAATATGAAAGAATGACTTCTGCTGCCAACAACTAGCAAATATGTTGATGCCTAGCATTTATCTATGTTAACAGCTAGAGTAGTGCAGCCCAGAAGCTACTCTGCTTATTCCAATGAATAAATTCAATCATGCCAGCCTAATTACCATACATCGATGAATTGACGAACGCCTAGCGAATTCCCAAACATAAAGTAGGTATTACCACGAGTACCAATTTAGGTGCCTGGATATGGACGGATTGTGCTATCTCCAGGCTTCGTTCTCTTAGAGAATGTCCGGAATATTGACAAACGACCCCTATTCGAGTTCCTTCTTCCAGTAGTAGCACTATTGGATATGGGTGACGACGTGGTTGCATTATTAGTGGTCGGTACTGCTGAAGTCTGACTACTGCTGTCCAACTTTGTACTCGAGCCAGCCATGAGTGCCTCTTCTCGTGCCTTCTGGACTTGCTCAATGCCATCACGGACGTCCGATATCGAAGCATCCCTTGCCGCAGTCGTGCTTAGTGTTTCTGTTGGGCGAATGTTTTGCTCATATTCTTCATTCATTTTAGAGACCTCGGCTTCGGTCACGAGGCGCTCGTTTTCCAATCGAACCTCTTTTCCCCGTTTATGACAGTACCAGAGCACGAGAAGAATGACTAGAACAGAGAAATTTTCATTAGAATCCCATAATTTAGAAGTTTCAAAACGGACTGCCCATGAAGGCAAAGACTTACTGAACAAAGCTACAGACCAGAGCACATTCATTCCTAGAACTGCAGGGAAACGAGCTCGAAGGAAAGCTATAATAGACCGTAGCATTCCCACGAGGGCAGTCGGCTTGCCAACAAGTTCCTTCAAGCTTGGTGCCTTGAATCCCATTTTCTGGGCAGCAGCAGCAGCTTTACCTGCATTCTCCATATTTATACCACTCTGTGTAGCCTTTTCGCCAGCGGCAGCCATTAGCTCCGGTGCCAAGTTTTCAGTAAATTTATCTGGGAGCTGTTGAACGAGCTTTTGCAAGAATCCCGGGAGGTGCCCGAATGCATCCTTAAGTTGCTTGTCTCCATTTGTCAAGAGCATTTCCAGATCACGATACGCTGTAGGGACCCCCGTCACAAGATCTTTGAAAATCAACTTGAACTTCTGTAGTAACTGCTGCGTCTCATCGCTGATAGAAACGGCTTTGTTGTTATCCGCGGCTAGATTGAGTCGCTCCAGAATTGTGGCTAGGTCTTCTTGCTCTTCCTTTTGCTCCTTGTCCGTTATTGTTTCGCCATCACTAGCCGTGGGCTTAGTTGCTATCTCGTCTGCGTCGGACTTGAATGGCTCTTTCCCTTTGGTAGAGTCCTGCAAGAAAAGTAGCACACTACTGTCAGCATGATAGCGAATACAGATAAGGGAAATAGGTGACTTGTGTAAATGATACCTTTTTTGTATTATTATCCGCACTTCCTTTCCTCATCCAAATGCTCCAGGGTCGACTTTTCTTCTTAGTACCTGTGGCAAAACTCTCTGTCTCTTCAACCTTCTTTTCCTCAGTCTCCAGCTTTTTCTCAAACGGTTCCTTCTCATTATCCTCTATCGGAGACATCGGCAACGGAATTTCCTGGGCACCATCCATCAAGGCAACCTGGGCATCTTTTCCTAATGACCTAGCTTCATCTAACAAATGGCTATCGTCAGGATTGGATGTAACTCTCTGCAAAAAGGCCTCGTCTTCCTCGGTCAGCACCGGCTTGGAGCTCCACGGGTTCGCTTTCGACGCGACATCACTAATGTATTGGAGGGCCATTTGCGGGTGTCATTAAATTGTCAATGAAAAAAAATAGTGAGCAAATAGAGTATAAAAATCTCCTGTCTAAAGTAAGATTGAATGCGGAGAAAGTGTTGTTCGCTCTGAAAAATAAGGTGGCTTGGGGATCTGGCGATGATATCACACTGCCTGCAAGGCCAAGCCCACATGTTGCCAAGAGGGACACGGCCCTCGCCACATCCGAAGATCTATAGACTATCAAGAGCGTGGAGCCAATGGCAATTTCTCGTTGAGCGGGTCTAGACGACAGCACAGCCACATAAAGAGTATATGGATCGGGCCAATTAACTGGCGCGCATTTCGGCTTCACGTTAGTCCCTTGCGTACAAAGTATACTTAGTAAAATTCATAAGTCAATATGTATAGATATATATATTCAGATACCTCATGAGCTCAAAAGTAATAGTCACACTTTTCGAAAGGGTCATGATAGTAGTACTACTACGTTGTCGCTTCGTATGGAGAACCTTCAACATATTTTGCAGTAACTGAATACTTTATTGATTCAATTGATTTGAAGACTTAACCCAGTAACTGTTTGCTTATATGTTAGGAATTATAAAGTAAAAAATATTTTCCGCCTGTGAGAGCTGGCTGGTCACTGACTTTAACCTACAAACAATGAATTTGTTCAGTCACCTCGAACGTCCCTTCCTATGCATGTACAGTATTATCGCTGTGATGATACAGTCTTTCTTCTCTTTATCTCACTTCCTTTGCCTACCTGCTCTCTCTTTATTTACCAGCTTTCTTCTATCTATCAGTTCTCTCTGAACCAACTCCTTCTGCTAACTCCTTCTGCTAACTTCCTCTGCCAAAATTCCTCTTACTACTTACTTACAATCGACTACAACGGCATACAGCTTGGCTAACTGCCACTCTGGAACACAAAGCACTGCGTTCTTTGATGTTCAAGGCTTTTTGATTAATAAAGTTCGTTTCTCTAAGTGCTACCTGAGGGGTACTCAACTCAAGCTTGTGGCTCTTTGATGCTTCATCTATATCGCTACCCGCCCCCCAACCTTTACTCATACTTTCACCACTTTACATACCGTCTTTTGGTTTATACTAGAAGACGACATTTTCTTTCTTCCCGACAAGAGTTGGTGATTACATGATTAAACAGACTTCGGCTTTCAATTTCCTCTATCTGAGGTAAAGTAGACAATCTTCAATCAAGTGAGTGTTTCCTAAATCCGTCACTCCCCATCTCATAACTTTTTCAACCTCACCTCAAAGGCATCTTCTTACGTTATCTCATGTTCACTTCTCCTCCCGTCTATACACAGCTCACAAAGAGATTTCAGCTTCGAAATACATCTACGTGTGAGTCAACCTCAAATCACAGTTTCGTTCCAATCCTTTCCTTCACAAACAATCCGATTTCTCCCAACCCTACAAACATATTCGTCTTACTTTCTACCAGTACTTATTGACTAATCTTCAGCAGACTGACTCAAGGTTTGAATTCCCCGCTACGTTCGGGTCTCTCTTCCATCTACTCTTCGGATTCTCTCCCGTCCACTCCCTGCCTCTCTGTACCACTCATTCTAAGCTAAGGTAGGACTTTCCTAACAGTGGAAGCCGTTATTTGCTGGCATACTCTTTTTTTCCTATCGACACTTATGGCACTTTCTGGCATCACGTTCAATCTGCATCTTTTAGACTTACTGTCCATATCTCTTAAAGTTTTGATTCTACACTTTCACTTGTCGGCGGAAATCCAGTCCAAACTTCTACTTCATTTGCTAATGTATTGAGTCTAGTGGCCATCATGCCTTCACGCGTTGGGGCCCATCTCACTCCTATTTCCTCATCCGTTGACCTGCAGCATGGGATGGGCTTCGTGGTAAAATATCGCAACAATGCAATCAATGCCATGGACTTGTGGCTGGGCATACATGTACCGAGCAATGTAGCGCCAAAGACCCTTACTACAAAGCCAAGGAAGAATGCAGGTACAGATACTCCTGCTGCAGAACGCGCGTACATGTTCTATATGCCAGGAAGAAATTCCTAGTAAGTGCATTTGAAGGGTTCCTCGAGCATCTGTTGTTATCCATATGGAAATTAACCATACTGCCAGTGCCTGGATTGAGAGAAAGAGTCTTTACCCGCTTTCGGAGCTCTCACCTGAAGAGTTCAATTTGGAGGATCGGGCAGACTCCTGGCTCTATGCAAAACTCTATGACTTGATAGAGGACTATGGAAATGACCTACAATTTTGGATCGACATGGCTACAAAGGAACGCCAGCAGAAGGGCTCCTCGAGCAAACAACCCTACCTGGTCTTGCCTTACGCCGACAGAGATGAGAGTGAAAGTAACGCTTTAGATGAATCTTCTGACAAAGAACAGTCACCTCCAGCAAAAAGAAATCCCAAAGAAACACACGCCCGACCTGCCAACAAGAAAGCCAAGGCAGCGAGTTTGCCAGATCCATTACTCAATGGCGAGGAGATTGTTCAGATTTACATTGGCAATGCTGCTACGTTGCAAAAAATATTTCAACTCACGCGCAACAATATTCGCAAATCTTCTTTTCTGGAGGGACTGATTCAAGGAAATCCGCCCTTTATTTTTCATCCGACTCTCTTTCAAATGAGCCCGGATGAATTCGAGACTGTGCATGCCTATCTCTCTACTGATGATGACGCTGATTCTGACCTCGTCCATGTTGGCGATAGCATCGAGAAGCTGGTGGGCGAGGATCATATATTGGGAGACGCTCTGAAAATTGGCAGGACATACACGCTTAAAAACTTGAAGGGTATTGAGGACCTCACCGAGCTCATTCCTCGTCTCGGTAAGCTGTACAAAAAGGCTTGCCTGCTTAACCTTGACAAAATGTCGAAATCAACGATCTTGAAACTTCAGGTGGTATGGAACATCTACTGCGGAGCACCACAGTTGCCCTTGTTTCTAGACTTTATCGAAAGTATTATGCCCCATCTGCCTCCAATGCATCCTTCTCGGAACGTGTTTGTTGGCCACACAGCTCAAGCACCGCCCTTTGGGTCTCCATTGGCTTCATCACTGTCTTGCTCACAGCAGCAATGGATAATCGATTTTCTTGCTGAAACAATGATGCTCTATCTTGCGACGGATCTACAAAGATTCTGCAATTTCATGCAGCAATATGCCTGGATGCAAGCCGTTGTGTATGAGCGTCGGGCCCAATTTTGCAATGCCCATCTAGGGGATCTAAGTCGTCTCGAGATGGCACTCATGCAGAGAGAACCTTTTGATGAAACAATTATTGTTCGCTTTGAAGAGGCACAGCAGGAGGCACAGGCCGAGGAACAAGAAGAGAAAGGGGAACAGGCGGATGATACTGAGGCACTCTTTTGCTAAATGAAGGAGAAATTGAGAATAAACGACAGGTTCTAATGTTGGTATGTTGCTGGTCTTCTGTTTCTATCTTTCATCCTTCATTTTTATCTTTATTTTCGACATGTCGTAGGAGAATTTTTTGGCGGATACCTAGGTATTCGCTGATTGACTCTAACGATAGACTCGATGTCTTTTCTTAATTTCTCATTATCTGCGAGTTAGTTCATTACACAAAAATACCGTCAGCTATTCAATCGATATCTTTTAGGTCACGACTGCCTCTCCTGAAGTACTAGATATCCGAAGTCTCTTGCATCGGCCAATCGGATTCATCGTGAGAATTTATCCTCCGTGGCTCGTACTGTGATACACACAGCGTTTCAGTCTTTTGAATACCCCTGAGAGCATGAGAAGTGGCAGTGACAATGCTGCAGATTTTTAAATTGGTTAAAGATCATAGAATAGCCAGTTAAAGCAAGCATACTGGGCGTCATCGCCGTCTGCCGAGAGAGAATCAATCTTTTCACTAGAATAAACTGATTAGCATCTGAACTGGCCTTCTTTTTCCCGATGATGACTCCGATCCAACTACTGGTCAGCAATTCATATTGATCGAACGGCTGAAATGACAGATTCCTTATGAGTAAAATCTGTACTACAATCTATCGATCATGCTGACCTTCGAACTCCAATGGATAGTGCAGTTCATCGCTGAAGTGTCCTTCCTGAATAGTTGATTATGCTCCGCTATAATCAGTAATCAGCCCGATTAGCCATTTGCCTAGAGTAAAGATTCTTGCCGGACCTTCGTCTTATATTGGCGGCCTAGACAGTTCCAAAATATCCGTATTCCCAAGTCAAGATTGTTTACAATCAAGCTGCCAAGCAAGGTTCTATAGGCCAAAAGGCTCCTTAGCGCACTGCAGAGGCTTAAAGCGAAACGGTCGACTGCCTGACAGAGTTGCACCGCGGCTACCCCGTACTGCCGAAAGCGGCAATTTTCACAAGCCCTAATGCAGGAGTCGACGCCTTCTCGCAAGCTCGAAACACCAGCTTCCCTGTTCCTGTTAGCAGTTCCATGCTTCTAGCTCAATGGCCTGCTCAGGACTATAGTTTTAGGATATACTCTCTATAAATTGATGAATCGAAGCACCCTCCTCTACGATATCTACTTAACCACCAATGTACTAAGGCTCTTTTAAGATGCCCCTCGCTTATCTAGTGGCTGGATATTAATTAATACAGAGGCTGTATTGTTTTGTCTTCTGGGGTGATTCTCGGAATGTCTTACTTTTGGGCTTCGACATGTTCGACCTCTGAAGAACATCGTCCGATCACTACAGGTACCCAAGCTTGGTATTGGCCGAAAGCCAATGACTCCCTGTAACTTTCTAAGCTGTGGTCTGCCAAGTGCCCCTCTCGTAGGGTCTGTGAACAGAAGAATATATATTGCGTCTGTGTCACCAAATGCTCTGCCGATTTAAAATGACACTGGAGCCATTCTTTCTCCCTGTTCTGACTTTTCCTTGCCTTTCGCCTTAACCATCACTGCTTTTCTCAATCTTTTCCGCAGGCCTGACTGACTCTCTGACTCTCCTTTTTCTATAATTCCATACCAGCCAGCTTCGAGAGCTATAACATTCGTTTGTCAAACCTTCTTCGCTTGAACTGTTTTACTATACAAAATAAAATTCGCCCTCACCATTTCTTTTACTTTGCTATCATCACCGCCTTATTGAACTAATCTACAATTACTCCTTAATTTTGGTCCCTCTATACTTCTAACATAGTCTACTGGTTACTTTCAATATGAGGTTTTCTTCAATCGGTGCTTTGGCCACCTTCTCGGTCATACATCGAATCTCTGCCGGCGATGTAAGTTCAATCGAAACTAGGGATTGATGTCTCATACTGACTCACGATCTCAGTGGGACACTGAAAACTGCTTTCCGGTCCCAAGAAACTGTGACAACAAATGTACAGGCCAGCAACAGACTGGCTGGGACTGGTCAGGGCTCACCTTAGGGCAGTCTGTCTCGAACTATGACGGCTTCGGCTTCTCAGGCTTCACTTGCTCTAATAGCGGTCGTCCTGGCATAGGCAAGCGTGATGCCGTAAGTCAATACATATTTACATGTCGAGTTCTTAAGTTCTAACACTGAAGACTCAGGATAAATGCATCTCTGGTACCATCTCCAAGCCCAGTGGTGCAGGCTCAGCCCCCAAAATCACCTGTGGTGATGATATAGATGCTTTCTCCATCACCTCTTTCAATGTCTATGTTGATACCGCGACGGATGTCTCGTTCAACTTTGGAATGCCCGATGGATCCAATTGTCAGTTCACCACCAGCTGTGGGATTGAAGGCACGCATGTCTCGAACGACCAGTGCGGCGGTGCTACCTCGGTCAGCTGGAGTATCCCAGATACCAGCAATGTCGACAGCTGTGGATTCGGCATTTACTCTATCGGATTTGATTGCAGTCCAGGTATCGGCTCTAGTCACACTACCACAGGCCCTACCACTTCCAAGACCATTCCACCTATTCTGCCAAACACTGCCACCTCCTCGCTCCCTGCTCAATCTGTGACTGTCCCAGCCCCGTCCACGACTGAAAGCCCTTCTTTCACTGCCAATCTTTCTGAAACAACCCCTGTATCTGTCGTCAGCAGCACGTCTTCATCCAAGCCAGCCGTCAGTACTGCTGCTGGATCCACGATTTCCGTAACTGAGATCTTCACCCCCTCAACCATATACACCACAACGGAAGTCACCATCACCAGTTGCGCGCCAACAGTCACCAACTGCCCGGCTAATTCCCACAGTGTCATTACCCAGACCGTCGCTGTATCTACTACCCTTTGCCCAGTCACGGCTGCAGAGACGGGACAGAGTACTGTCATCCCCGCTGCTCAGACTGGTTCTACTGGTAGCTCACCCTCATCCACATCTCCTTCATCTGCTACGCATTCTCCAAGCAGTAGTTCACCATCAAGCTCCAATCCAAACTTTAGCGCTACCTCCAGTCCCGGAAACACCAGTCCAGGCTCCTGTCCCAGCGTCGTTCCCAAGTGCATCAACACCTGGCTTCCCAGCACGTGCACTGACAACACAGACGTATCTTGCTTCTGTCCATCATCAAACACGACATCGAGCATTATCTCCTGTATTCAAGCCTGGAGCAGTGACTCATCTGAAAAATCCACCGCCCTGTCGTACTTCACTGGTATTTGCAGCGGATACGTCAGCACCAATCCAGGAATCGTCACTGGTGTACCGTCCACCATCACTCTTGCCCCGACACCAGCTCCCTCTACTTCTTCATCCGGCATTTCCACTATTGCGACGGTGGTCGGGGGAGGAACTGCAACTGCTCTACCCTACACAACCATCACGTACTCCTCGAGCACGTACATTGTTCCACAAGTAATATTTACGACGGTCACATCAACCGGCGTCTCGGCCACAACTACGTCTGTCGGCCTCGTGGCTGTCACATCTGCGCCTGCAAACCAGAATCCTGTCTCTACAACACTCGCTACTAGTAGGAGTATCCCCGGTGTAGCTGGTGCCACGGGGTACAGGACTCCCTCTCCCTCGTCGACGCTTACGCCGTTTACGGGTGCGGCAGTTCCTGGCGCCTCAATTTCAAGCCAAGATGCTCTTCTAACTGTGGTAATGGGGCTGTTGGCTTTCTTTCTTTAGCTTTGATCTTGTATGTTGAAGGGTCTTAAATATCGAAACCAAATAAACCCTTGACTTTTCTCCTATCTACGCGAATTCAAAATTGTATGTATGTGCATGTTCCAGAATATAGGCTCTTGAGGATAATATCTAAAAGATGTGAAGCCTAAGGTCAATAGAACTGTTTTGCTTTAGAGAAAGAAGAAAGAGAAAGGCCAGGAACTCAACTATGGCACAGTATCCTTGAGCCACCTCTCGGGTACACAAAGTCGAGGGTATTAAATATAATGCGAAGGACGAGGTGATTGTCAGTAGGGAATTTTGGCATCACCGCCTCTACAATCTACCTTAGACCACTCGGCCACCTTATCACAGTTGTTACTTTGTTGGCATATCTAAAAAGTTATAGCTATACTTACTTAAGATCATGCTATCAATCTTTAGTAGCGTGTTAAACAGGGAGACGCCTGACACCGAACTGCAGGGCAAAATCCTAATCAATAAGATTCCCGTTCACAAAAAGAAAAGGCGATCTCTGTCTGTACAGTCTGACACTATATAGTAAGTTCGACTTCGACCTCGTTATACCGAATGCTTGATTTCAGTCAGCAATGTGATAGCCTATGGCTACTTTATATGTCGGATGCCAGCTAGCTTATCCTAGCATAGGCATAGTTCTTTCACCATGCAATATCTCATTCAGATAATTTTATAATGACGCGCAAGGGTTAACATGTGTTCTTACACTTGATGATGGTGGAACATTGAATGGTGCTTCAACCATTGTTAGGGCTCGGAGTTCAGATGTAACAAAAGTGATAGCAGACTATAATACAGGATATGTAAAATCTATTTTTTCTCAAAACGCAACCGTATCTATAGACGGGACGAACATTTATATATGTATGTATGTATGCGTATCTAGAACCCCAAGCTCTCCTCCCATGGGGCCGCTTGGGCATCCTTATAACTAATGCCATGCACATATTTACTCAGCATGGGCTCTTGATCAACACCGCAGTGCAGTTTACCATCGCGACCGCGGAACCAGCCAAGGCCGTAGCGCTTATTCTTCGCAACCAGCATGGACCGCATCTGGTCGCTACTAAAGCGCTCCGTATTTACAAAGTCATCGAGCATGTGCGACTGGTGAATGAAGGCGAGAATCGAGGCAATTGTTGACGGCGGCCGGGGGACAAAATAATGTCGACGACAAAGCAGGGCCATGATTGCAGCGCAAAGAAGGAAGAACACAATTACGGTCGACAGCGAGGATGATGCCATAAACGACTTTTCCGTCTCGTCTCGGAGTGAAAGTGATGCCGATGTGACTGTCAGCACGTCGCTGAGGATAGAGCCGATACCCATGAGTGAGACGAGATAATGCTTGTCCAGAATGGCTTGGAAGGGTAGCACTCCGTATGGCGTGCCCTGGTAGTCGAGGGTCAAGGTGCTTTCTGGGCGAGCATTGCCTTGGGATAGCGCATAGAACGGCTCCAGCAACTTGATGGCACACTCCAGCGCGGTCCACAGTTGCTTCGCAATAACAGCAAGCAAGACGGGCAGCCAGGGAAGCTTCTCTGCCACAACATTGGCATTGGTATAGGTAAGAATGGGGATAAAGGCGACGAGAAAGGTCAAGTAAACCAGAAACGCAATGCCCGGTCCCTTATGTAGTGCAATCGGATGCGGAGAGACTTTCTTCTTTCGGCGATGCTCCTGCTGTTCGTTTTGGCTAGAAATGTCTTCTGTGTATTTGATATATTCACCTTGCCAGATACTCGATTTGTACAGGACGTATCGTCGATGACGCAGCTTTTTGTGAATGCCGTTATCTGTGGCTGTGTCCATGCCTTGAAAGTCGTTCAAAATATGAGATTTAGTCGCCATGGATGCAATTCCGGCGATTCCCTTAGGATCGCTAAGTAGACCTGACTTTCGGCGCAGCTGGAAAAGCAGCACCAATGCCATGATGGCTACCAGGATAAGGCAAGATGTCACCAAGCGAGACCAAACCGACACGATGTGCACGATGTGCGTGGATAGGCCGAGTGAAGAGCATTCACTAGGGTGACAGCTGGGATTGTCAATAGGCGTGATGGAGGCATTTTGCATTGATGGTGCTGCCGTTGTTGCCAGTATCGTTCCAACTGATACGACCAAAACTGTCCAATGGCGGTTTCTGAAGGATTTGTAAGGGACAAAGTAAGAGAATAGGGTCGTGTAGTCCAGATTAAGTGACTTGGAGGCGATATTACCTGTAGGCTGTGACAGCTGATAGTAAGGCTCAAGTCTTTTCACATTGTACTCTGTAATCTGCCACAGAACACCGTATGTAACCATCACCATAGTCGAGAGGTACTTCCATGCGAAAAATTCCGAGGTCGGTATATCGGATACTGTATCAAACTGTATCAAGCCCTTCCCTTGTGATTCCAGAGAACTCGATTGCTGGTAGAGATACTCCTGGACTCCGGCCAGGCCGAGAGACACGACAGCGAGCATGATCAAGTATGGAGCCGCCATAGAGAATGGCTTCCAATTCGGTTTCTCCGGATCTGCTGGGTAGAAGAAGCTAATTTCATCTGCTCCCCCATTGTAAGCAGTAAGCGGGGCAGCTCTAGACAGTTGGCGGCGCTCCGATCCTTCCAGGCTACTCAAGTCGACAGCCGGGGCGGCCTCCTTGACAGAGACAATCACGTTGTTCTTATCAGCGAGCTGTTGTCCGTACGTTCGCATGGTCTGCTCGACTTGTTCCTCAGGAGGACAGTCTGGAACATCTGGCACCGCCGCCACATCCAAGAATTCGTCATTCTTGGGGGGTCTACTTGATTCGGCATCTGGCATAGAACTTGACTCCGCCTCCTTATGATGACTGGACTCGGGCCCTTCCAAAAATGAAATATCAACGGTAATCAGATCCTCCTCTTTCAAGTTTGCAAGCTCTTGCGAGTTTGAGGGGGGTCTATTCTTCGATGGCCAGATATGGGACCGGATGTTGGAAGGGCTCGCCGCCGCCAGAAGCGAATTGGAGTGCCTCAGGTCTCGTTTAGTTTGCGACCGGACTGGAGCGGGTCTTCTCATGCTTAATCTCTGTGACAAGCGGGGGACTAGACGCCTATCTTCGAGACGCGGCGAGTCTTGCATGTCTGGTCTCGAGGGACTCAGTGGTTGGCTCGGTGACGCAGCAGCATCACCGGCATCAACCAGGTCTCGAGATACACTCAGACTACTGCTCCGGCGTGCTCGGGTCGGGGGCGTTCTGAACGCCGACTGATCCAGAACTGATGCCGGCTGTTCCGGGCGCAATTCGACCATCTCATTGCTAGCAAAAGGCTGGCGGTGGCCATCGGATCGTTGGGCAGTTGTCGCGCGAGGAACCGAGACGGGATAACTCAGCCCGACAACATCTTGCTGTAGTAATGGAGAAGTGTCCATTTCGTTTTCGTTTTCATTCTCATTTTCATTTTCATTTTCCCCGTTGGGCTTCGCCATGGCTCCAAGCTTCAAGTCACACAGACAGTGTTGCGAGGCGCCTGAAAAAGCGTGTTAGGCGCGTGTGAAGACCAACCAGCGACTCGCTACAGCTGCAGCATGGATCCGGTTAAGCCCATGTGCCAGTCTGTCCGTCTGCTGGTTCGGCCAAAGTATATAATATAAAGGTATATTCGAGCTTGAAATTCCAAAATCGAAAACAAATCGAGTCGCGGACGTGAGCTTTTAGCTTAACTAGTTAGCTCGCGCACTAACTAACACTGCTAGCAAAGTGTATAATTTTAGCTAGCCTGAGGCTGAGATGTGAGTCTCTGGCCCAATCACAAGCGGGCTGCGCTGGTTAGCGTTCACGTCGCTGTCGAATCACCGCGTGTTTGCGCTGTTGAAACAAGTTACTACGTATTCAGCATTAACCAGCTTATTTCGTTCATAATTGCAGATTCATTGCTATTTATAGCCGAAATAGAAGATGCCATCCTTGAACGTCGTTAGGGCTAGACCTTAGGGTACCCTAATTGCCATTTTTGGTAAGACATACTGCTTTGGGATATGCTATGTCAACCCATTATCAAAAATCGTAACTACGTATTCATATCACATCACATAAATAGCCAGATGCGGGTCGCAAAACGCGAACACAATCATTGCAACCAGAATAACCATAATAATAACACCTCATAATGCAAAGGCAGCTGCCCTATCCAAAAACTAATGCTCTCACCTCAATGCTCTCCCTGGGCTTCGCACCCTTGGGCGTCCTCGGATCCACAAATGCTGTGTGAGGACACCTCTTGCCAACACCGGGCTGGCTATCGGCGCATTTGAGCAGGATGCGCTCATCATTGTCAATGCCAGACCAGTACTTCCACTGCACCGTCGGGTTGTAGATTACGCCCATGGTCTCGCCCGTGCGATCCGGAGCGCGGCGCTCAACCGCCACCAGGTCCTTGCTTTCATCGACCGAGGCCGCAGATGCGACTGCCAGCGGCGCGGCTTGCACGGCGCCGTTGATGGGCCGCCAGACGTTAATGATGCGATAGCGGCCCTTGAGAAGGGTCTCGGCCTCGTCTTTGTCTTCCACGTGCAGACGCACACGCCACTCGGTGGCGCGATCTGTCTGGTCGGAGTGTGCAGAGTTGACCGGTTGGCGGTGTGCATTCGGATCTTGACGGCGGATTGTATGGTCGAACAAGATCACCTTGTGTGCGCCAGGGACGTTTCCGAGCAGGAACTGCTCGACTTCTGGGTAATACAGTTTCTTGACCTGCTCGTCCTCATTGAAGGTCTCGTAGGTTGTTGCCGATGAGACGCCGCTGTATACTTGAAAGGCGTCTTTGTCGAGGTTGTATTCTTGCTCGTGTCCGCGGATGTCGTCCAGGGTGACCTTGTGAGAGGTCAACTGGAAGTTTGAGCGCGGTTGGCCCGCGGGGGGTTCTTCAACGTAGCTGTAGGGAACGGAGCCGTCAGCAGGGCGGCTGAAGAACGAGAGCTCTGCTGAAACAGGGCCGCGTGGGATGTAGTCTGGTTTGTCTGTGTCTGTATCGAGCACTGCTGCTGCTGCTATTGCTGTTGTTCTTGTTGTTGTTGTCGTCGACATTGTGGCGGTTGACTGTGGCGATGTTATTCACAGTCACAAGAGTCTCACAGTCAGTATTTATATCTCCAGCCTTAAGAAGTTGAATTTGTAATCATCGGCGCTCATGCATCCTCGCATGGGCATTACAGCCCATGACCGAAAATACATACTTTACGCAGCCATTAGCTAAGCAGCCCGCGTATCAGAGTTGAAATTGACGTCATATGTTATAATACAGCTTGGGAAGCACGCAATGCGCTGTAGATTCGAGTCTTTTGCAGGGGCTAAATATCTGTAAAATAAGACACCAAAAAAGAAAAAAAAATTATCCCGTTCCATGTGCACCAATGCCTCAACAAGAGAAGAAAACAAAAAGCTCAAAAGGAAGATGAGAATCATAACTAGGTAAAAACACACAGCTACCGCCGCTTGCCGCCATTCGTCTGCGGGAACATTTCGTAGCTGCTGGTATTTCTACCGCTCCCACTGACCGAATACCACTTGATGCCCATATCAACTGGAAAGTCTGCGTGCAGCAGACTGAATCGATCTGCATTTGCCGGAACGCCCTCTACCTCGTCCAGGGCGGGCTCGGTCAAGGTGTCGATAAGGCCCTTGTCAATCCAGCCATGCGGTTTGGTCTGTAAGCGGTCCATGCGAGATATGTCGTCTTCGATTTCGTCGTTCATCAACGGGTTCAGTGGCGGTGCACTTTGGTTGGAGCGAGAATTATGGTTAGCGAGGATATGGTATGGCAGGTTCGGTCGCGTGGCTGGCTTGTCAGACAGCTCCGCCAGAACATTAAGCCCGACGTTGCCTTGGTTGCGTGTCGACCGAGTCGCGTGGTAGTTCTGGCTCGCCGTGCGTGCCATGTCCGTAGGAGTTCCTGCATCATCACCGGGGGCAGCACTATCACCATCGTCGGCGTCGCTATTGTTGCCGTTCATCGCAGTGCCAACGCCTTCCTGGTTCCTGGACGTAGAGAAAAAGTGTGCCGTAGCAATATGGGCTTGGTTTGCGTGAAGAGCGAGCTCCTTGTCGGTGAAAAGGGAATTGATACTGTACGTCTTGTCGGTCTGCTGTTTCTCCGCCATCGCTTTTGCCCGTTCTGCAGGAGTCGACAGTCCGTCACGACCGGGAGACCCAATATCATCGTCGGCAGCTTTGCGTTTTCTTTTATTTGACTCTAAGCCGATGCCGTTGCCAAAATCGTCTATTCCAATCCGATGTCTCGTATGACGAGTCTTGCGGTTCCCGTGGATGCCACCGGGGCTAGCAGGGTTCGTAATGGTAAACTGATTAGGATGAAGCAGCAGGGCGTTTGTGTCTGATATATCCATCTGTTCTTTCTCGCGCGTGAGGCGTGTCTTATTTGCCGACACCTTCTGGACCAATCGCTCCCGCAAAGTTCCCGATAAAAGCTTGTATTCCTCCCGCGCAAAATGTTGTCGCCATGCGAATTCGTGTTTGTAGCGTCCGACAGCTTCACGGTGGCGGCTCTAGATAAGACGACATTGATTAGATAGAATGTGGGAGTAGTTGAAAGACGAAGAAAACTCACCATGACAGCAACCAATTCCACATCACGGTCTTCTTTGACCTCATTGATCTCCTGCACAAAGCGCGAGTACCAGCTCCCCGAGATAGTAGCCATTTCCTTCCCAAACTTCCCACCACCAACAGTAGTTTCAATCAACTGCGCAATGTCCTCAGCCGAGTCAGGCAATGGGCCGGTCACGTAGGGGTCCGCATTATTGATCAAGGTCATGTCACACTGCAGAGCATGGAGTTGCTGTCGGAATTGACTGTCACGGTTCTGGCTAAAAGTGACAGTCAAATCGTGTAGACGATCTTGTAGCTGTGTGCGTCTTTTGTCGCGCTTGGATTGCTGGGGTGCATTGCTGCTGCCAGGTGGTGGCGGTGGACTCAGCGATCTGCCTCTGGTGTGCAAACCGACACTGCGGTCGGCCGCAGTGGGTGATAGAGGACCAGGAGAGTAGACCATTGTATGTATCTATCCTGTCTCTTTGTCTTCTGTTCTTGTCGCTCGCTCTCGTCTCTCGCCAAACGGAAGACTCTGCTCCAGGACGGAGCTCGATGTATTCTGCGGGATGTGGTTTCTGGGTTCAAGAAAGGTTCAAAGGAGAGAAAACATGGCAGCACATGAAATCAGAGCGCGGGAAGAAAAGGATTCACATCTAGAAGAGAACCTTCAGCACTGAATGGAATGAATGAAACGGAGACTTGGAGAATGAGCCCACCCGGCGGCCGGAAGCTGAGTTTTTCCGGCAAGTCATTTGAGGTGCTGCGCTCACCGCCCAACTTGTCTCAATATATTACATGATAATGATTTTGTTCACTCTACAATGTATATATACATGGCATATATTTTTATTCAGTAATGTTGATAACAGTATGGGTATTCTATAATCCAATGCCTCGGTAGCATTTGCACCAACAAGAAACGGAGAACAAGAGAACGGAAAAAAAAAAATAAAAGGAGACCCCCCGTTAACCCAAATTTCTCCCCTCCTATAAACAAACGCCTTGCCACCATGCCGCTAAACTGAATGATATATAGTTTTTCGCTTCCTTCCCCTAGCAAGCCCTCGCCCTTCACACACAGCCGATGTTCATCCAGGAGATATATTTGTCACCATAATTTATGCGTTCATGAAAGAAAGAAAGAAAGGCGGGAGGAAAGCTGCATGTTAGTGCGACCTGCGAATCACAAAAACACCGAGCTCGATATCTCCTCTGGGCGTGATCTCGTACTGCCGTCTTTTGATGCCGTCGATAATCTCGCTTAACAATATGGAAGAGCTCAGCTGGCCTCCGCTGGTCTCGGGACTATTCATCGTGGGAGTATGTCGGCCCCCTGAAGTCTGCCATTTCTGACTCAACAGGAATTTTATTCGCGGTCGCTCCTGTTGAATATACCATTCTGTCCAAAGATTGCGGTCAAGAGGAGCAAGGCCCTTGCCCGCATCAACCACTGTGAATTTTGAGGTGCGACTGCTCATTTTGCGGCATAGTTTCTCCACGTTGGCCTTCATGGTTTCGAAATCATCCATGCTGTTGACCGCTACCAATCGGCCGAGATCACGACTCACGTCCGCAGAGAACCCATTAACGACGACCAATTGCCGTAATAGAGGATCTAGGATAGGGCCGAGGTACTGACTTTTAAACGTCATGGCGCCGATCCTGGTGGGATAGATGAAAAGCAAGCAACCACCGGAAGGGGAGAGTTCGTGAAGCCGATCGGTCAAGACCGAGGGACGACCGTGGGCGAACAAATCGCGGTATTCGTGCTGTGTTGAAGGCGGTATGTATCGTTCCAACACGGAGATGTGAATGCTGTACGGTGGGACAATAGGGTGTGGCCAGTTGACTGGGTGGACATTTCCATGCACATCGTGATATGCCGGGACTGTGCTTGCACTGGAGAACACTCTTGAATCGAAATAGTTGTCCATTTGCATGAGATTGCCTGGAGTGCTGGAGGGAGAAGTCGGCAGGTTGGATAGGCTGAAATCCTCTGGAACTGCATGAACAACGTGGATATAAGGGGGGTTTTCGGGGCGAAGGCGGTCTTGTATATTCTCAATGATTGTTCCGAATACGGTGCTCTGGGTTGGTAGCCGTACATTATGTTCGGGGGCTCGAGGATAAGGTAGGGTTTGCGAAACGAGACGCACGGCATCGGTGCTTTTATTGGAGTCGAAGACGGATGAGACTATAATTCAATTTCACATGTGAGTTTGACCTTTTCCCTAACAATCAATATGATGATGGAAGAAGCGGATCTTACGGGTAGCCTTGATGCCGTTTTCTAGCCAGTTCTCTGATGGCGAATGGTCGTTCATGTCTTGATCTGACATGTTCACATCGTCATTATTGGACTGGCGCCGATCTGGGCCTGCATTAAATGAGGAATTAATACTGTCTCTTTGACATTGCGTCGGCGAGGCACTATGGCGATCGCGACTTTCGTCCATGAGAACCTGCGGTTTCGGCTCGACCGATTGCATAACCCAGCCAGCGTGTTCATCCTCTTCGTCGGCCGGGGGCGTCAAGGGCAGTGAGTGAGTATGGTCTGGGCGCGAGGGATCGCGTGGGAGTGCAGTATCGAGAGACATGGGTTGTGCACGTGAGGAGTGGCGGTAAGAAGGCGATTGCAAATGGGAATGTTTCAAGAAGGGACTGTGCAGAGCGGCGGTGTCCTTTGAGGACAGAAAGCGAGACTGCACACGTTGGGTAGAGACGGAGCCTTGCGATGCCCGGCGACGTGGTCTCGGAGACGGTGAGGTCGACACGGAACGGGTGGAACAGGATGTGGAACAGGCGGGCGGGAGAAAGGACATGGACATGGACATGGAGCGAGCGGAGACGTCCATGGGCGTAGGCTTGTTGTTGCGTCGCCGTCGACGTTGTCGCTGTAGTCGTAGTCGTAGTCGTAGTCGTAGTTGGAGTTGGAGTTGCGGAGTGATGTAGTGTCGAGTTGCTGCTGTTCTGTTCTTCTTCAGGCGACCAGAGTCATAGGCAGGCAACGTCATTCGCCGGTCTTGCTCATCGTCCGGCTCGAGTGGAAGAAGAAACGAGATCCTGCCGACTAAGCGAGAGAGAGCAAGAGACACACAAGGGGAAGAGAAAAGGAAGGCTGACAGAACGAAAGAAAGAATGAAAGAAGAAAGAAGCGATCCGCATCCTCAGGCATCGACGAAGCGCACGGAGTATAAGAAAAATGATCGGCGGTCTAGACTCTTTTGCCTCTTTTGGAGCCACGGAAATCTCTGTGTGACTCGCGCGGGTCTAGACCGCCTTGCCTTTTTTTTCTCCCACTCAGCCCCCGAACCTCTTTTCTTTTCTCCCAAGTGCTATATTTTTACAGCTACGGCTAGAAATTGATAGTCTGTATGTGTATTAACCGTATGGTGATTTCTTTTCTTTTCTTTTCGCGTTTATTTTGGTTTTGTTTTGATTTGTTTTTTTTTTTTTCCCTGCTGAAAACTTTTTACCATGCGTCTGCCTTCCCAATCGGGCTTGCAGCGAGCCTAGATCCACGACCATTTGGGCTTGGAAGTTAGTTAACTGCGTAGTATGTATGTACTCCGTCAGTCTTTTAACTAGTCGATGTTTAAGATTAATATTGGGTATGAAATCTGACAGACCCTGCTACCAAGCACTAAAAGCACCATCACATTGTCTTTCCGACTGTTCCTTTCCACCAAAAAATCAAATAGTCAAACTAGAATAGACAGACTACAAGTCTTAGTCGCCCGCGATCGAGATCTCAGCTCGCCACCAAGTTAGTCCATGCTAGGTAGGATATATACTACACAGCACATAGTATACCTAGCGGATATAGTGTATGAACAGCCGGATCCGGAAAGACGAGACGAGTCCTGATTCATCGACTCGACCTGTACCACGACATCTGATCTTGACGTCTAGAGATTTTTGAGAAACGCACGCGGCCGGAACCGGTCGACTGACTCATGGATAGAGGCGAGTCCATCATGAATCATCACTACTACCAATCCAACATGTTCAAACACAACGACAGTTTCGTGCCAATTTCAAGAACAAATCCTGATAAGACAGACACTAGGTGCAATGTGCATGGACTTGAAATTCTCGCCCCTATCAATACCCAACCTATTGCCCTAATCGGCGATGTACATACATATGCTTTCTTTTTCTTTCCCTTTTCCCACTCTTTTCTTTTCATTTCCACTGATGATCGAGGCTGTGCCATACCATGCCATGCCAAGTACCACCGATGCAACTAAAACTAGGCATGTAAAAGGCATTAGACATAATTATAATACGGACAGCGAATTGCACAACGCCCTGGTTTCGGGCCTTTGTTCATCTGTGTCAAGCGGTGTATGTAGGTAGGTATGTCAGCCAGGGGCTGATCACCATAGATTAGTTATAGCGACCACTGCCATTACTTACTAACTACCATCACACATATCTGAGACATGCTGCAGAATATCTTTGTTCGTATCGTATGGTCTGTGGCGAGGGAATATGGATAGTGGCTTGCGGCTGGCCGGTCCAGCTTCGGCGCGTTTTGCCAGACCGTGACAAGACGTTGGTGAACAGGCTGGCAATCTTCAGTCTGAGTCATGGCTCGAGGAGTGAAGAATGCTTGCTGAAGGCTTATATAATCATCGGGCAGTAGTTAACTAGTTACGTAGTTAACTAAAATCTTGTAGGTAAAAGATGGCTGTTTGAATGCATACCAGGTGCTATATACTATGCAATGCCCAGCTTGTGCATGCACGATAACAATAAATAACAATATAAACATCGCAGAAGAAAGGTAAGAATAAGAAAAATCCCCAATATTATCTCCAAATAGCACGCCTTCGCCGTATGGACAGACGGGTATAATTATATATAGGTATAACTCCCAGACTCCTCGCTATAGCCGAGACAAATCCCCGTGGAATCTCGCGCGCACACACAAAGAAGAAAAAAGAAGAAAAAAGAAAGAGGGTATACAACGTATGTGTCAATGAATGAATGATAGAAACTCAAAGAAAAGGAAGGAGGGATAAGTATGTATGAGAAAAGGAATATAAAGGTCAAAATGAAAAGAAAGGAAGACTCAGATCGTCCCCTCGCGTGGAAAATATAATGTGCCCGTTTTCGAAAAGTCAACCATCTTCTGTCGACGGTCGCTCCAGCATAGCGAATTCCAACAGCTCTGGAGATATTTCGACACCAGATCTTGCTCTTCCCACATCATGTTCAGCTGTCGTCTGGCAAGCGCGGACGGCTGCACGGGAATACTCCGCACATGGACGCGGTATGCATGTCGCTCAGAGCGCATGGCAATACAGCCGGCCGATTTATTATTATGATGGTTATGATTATTACTATTGATCGACGCCGTCCGTTGCAGTTCTGTTCCGTTCCGATGTTCGACGCACTGCATAATCAGATACCTAATGTCGACGGCCAAGCTTTCTGCCCGGTGCTGGATTTCCGGCCAGAACTCCGCACCCCAGAAAGCATCTTCACGGACCGCCTTCTCCATGGCTTTCAACCAAAACCCGAAATGGCGTTTCTTGATGTCTACCAAGTCGGTGGCGGGCAGGAAGTCGCTAAGCATGCACGCCACCGCGACCAACCGAATCGTAGGTTCTGAAGAGAGGACATGAAGCACCACGCATGCCGGGCATCCCTCGGCCAGGCAGAATTCGCGCTCCTCGGTCAGAATGCAATGGAGCCAGGCGAAGGCCCCACGCGCCTCGCCGCGGAAGGCTCGCTCGGGCTCTGCACCCTTCCGCCTGCCCAACACACGCGTCGCGATTTGTGTAGCTTGATCGTGAATTTCAAATAGGGGGAGGAGAAGAGTGTAGATGACGTCACGGTGCAGACGGAAGACAGAACGCTGCTGCTCGCTGCATTCCGCGCTGTGGAATGGGCAAAAGCTAGAGGGCCGTGTCAGCAAGAATCTCCAAATAACTGACCAAGCAGCGAATACAACGTAACTGCATATGCAAGTCCAAATGCACATGCAAGGAAAGGGCAGGAAGTACCTCGATTCCATACGCTGACGCACGCGCTGAAAGACAGCGTCGTGTTCGAGCGCAGCTGCAGCGTCTGCGGATACCTCGAATGGCGAAGCAATATCGGCGGATATCGACATGCTGAGAAGCGATTGACGCAGGCGAGCGCTTGCTGAGGGTACTAGAGTATATGTATATGTGGTAAATTCGGGGGTAAGATGCAAGGTAGTTTATCGAGATGGAACATTCAAGCGATGTCAACTTTCCAGCAGGGCCGATGACGTCGAAAGCGGTTAGTCGATTCCGTCAATCAAATGCGCGACATTCGGCAGGCGCGAAATAAGCATGTCTCTGTGCAAGCGACGCGGTGCAAATGCAATGCAATTGATTGCTTGTTTGATGAGGATAAGACAGACAGGGGAAAGCGAGAAGAGGGGGGAGGGAGAGAGAGAGAGAGAGAGAGGAGAGGGAGAGAAAGAGAAAGCGGTCAGGGGGGAAGGAAAGAGAGGTGGAGATTGGTCTGAGGATCGCCGCAAACGGCCCCCGCGCGAGGAGATGAAGCAATTTCGTCGCTGATTTTTGCTGGATTTTTCCCTCTTTTCTTCAGATTATATATAGATATGAGAAGGGGTTAAAAAAAAAAAAAAAAACCACCAAGAATGGTCCTCACGCTGCCTTGGATGTTATGTCGGTATGTGGTGAAACAGCTGGCATGTTGCACGCATCACTATTACTTATATGTATACAAAGAGATTGTGTGGACTGGTCTAGAACGCGTTGGGCAGAAGCAGATCGTGCCGAAGAACTTGATTTCTCGCACACCGGCCTGCTCCGTTCTACATGGCACGTACATCGAAAACAGTGTGCATGTCCATATGTTCGTACTGTTTATAGTATATTTTATATCTATATTCCGCACACTGAAACACTCGATTGACCTTACGAGAAGCCATGGCATGCCGTGAAACAGCCCTGATACGCGGTATTACGCGCGGTCTCAGGAACTCATCTAAACCAGCCAATGACCGCGCCCGATCGCCGGCGTCGTGGCCGATACCTTGGCAGGCCTGTATTGCACGCGGTAATATTACCGTGTCTCAGTCTCGCAGTGCAACTCCCTGTTTTCTCTGCTGTGGTTGACTTAGGTCCAGCTTCAACTTCCACTCCCAACCCAGTTCGTCGTTTGGGTCATCGTCACTCGTTCGATCAATCTTTTGCTGGCTAGGCATACACTCGCTTTGTCGAACCGCTTCCGATCGTTCTTTGTTAACTTCCTCCGCCTCGGTTGGATAAAGAATCCGAGTCCTGACGCCATGTCACCACCATCGCTCGTGCGCTGGGCAAGCCTGTTCGTGCTGGGCATGACAGCGTCCCAAGTCTCCGCCATTGCGACCATCTCTGCCGTGGGTGCCAAGTTCTTCAACTCCTCGTCCGGAGACCAGTTCTATATCAAGGGTGCGCATCTGCCTCGCTGTCCTTTTTGATTGACCACAATGAGCCTTACTCTCCCGCAGGAGTTGCCTACCAACTCACCGACGATGACCCCCTGGTCGACGAGGACCAATGCAAGTTGGACGCCGCCTTGATGCAGGAACTAGGTGCCAACACCATCCGCGTATACCACGTCGACCCAAATGAAAACCACGACGGCTGTATGTCTGCCTTTGCAGATGCCGGAATCTACCTGTTTGTCGATTTGGAGACTTATAATACTTCCATTTCCCAGGTTGGCTTCTCTCTCTCTCTGTCTGCTTTATCTCTTGCGCACAACTAACAATCACAGTCCGCCCCCGAATGGGACAGCAAGCTGTTGGACTCGTATGAAAAAGTGCTGGACACCTTTCAAGTCTACGACAACTTGGCCGGCGTCTTTGTTGGAAACGAAGTCTTGACCACTGCCAACGGATCTTGGGCGGCCCCGTACGTGAAAGCCGCCGCGCGTGATGTCAAAGCATACCGGGATTCGAAGGGCTATCGCGAGATCCCCGTCGGCTACGCTGCTGCCGATATCGCCGAGCTCCGTCCCATGCTGCAGGATTATATGGCCTGCTCAACCAACTCGTCTGAGGATTTGGATTTCTTCTCCCTCAACGCATACGAATGGTGCGGCGACAACACCTATGAAGGCTCGGGATACTCGGAGCTGCAAAAGAACGCAACGGGTTACTCCATCCCCATTTTCTTCTCTGAAGATGGCTGCAATACCTCCCCACCACGCACATTCGAGGATCAATCTGCCATCTTCGGCGATGAAATGGCTGACACCTGGTCTGGCGCCATTATTTACGAATGGATCCAAGTTGCCAACGGCTACGGCCTGATCAGCTATGGACCCAGTGTCTCCGCGACAGCCACAGGATCCGACATCTCGGACGGATTCACCGTCAAGGGAACCCCAACCCCGATCTCGCCGGACTTCTCTAATTTGAAATCGGTCTGGGCAACCCTGACCCCTACCGGAGTCGCGCTTTCAGACTACACCGCGTCAGCATCGACAATCACTCCCCTGGCCTGCCCCGCCGAGACTTCGGGCGTTTGGAACGTTGATCCCAGCGCTGCATTGCCGACTCTCGGCCAAGCTGCCACCGTCAGCGACTCAGCATCTGCTACCGGCTCCGGCAGCAGCAGCAGCGGTTCAGGCACTTCCTCCGGCTCCAGTGCCTCCTCGACCGCATCGTCCTCCAAGGGCGCCGCGGCCGCTGGCATCGTTTCCCCTGGCGCTGGCCTCCTTGGCTCCACGAATGCGGTTGCCATCTACGGCACCCTTGTTGCGTTTACTGGCTTCATGGCTTGGTGGCTGTAAGGAATCTTCCTTTCCTTTCTTCCTCTTTCTTCGATTGTAAATGTATTATCGGTGGTTTGTCAACTTTTACATATATTGAGCAAAGCATACGAATGTATCAATGTAGAGAGCAATAGAGCAATGAGAATCTGGTCATTCAATCGTCTATACAATGATTTATACTATGCAGTGATTAGCATCTAGCAGCGATAATAGAAGGGGGGGGGGGGGGGGAAAGAATTAATTTTATTTTAAACATAAGTATAAATAAATGTATAATGGTACATATGAAACGAATAGAATGAGAGAAAGTTGAATTGAATCAACTAACGAAGAAGAAAGAAAAAGAAATGAAAAGATTGGAGAATCTACGCCTCGTATCTAGGTAAATTCATGCCCAGCTCTTCAAAATACCGCCGTTGATCCAAAGTCTCTTCAAGTGCTTTTCGAAGATGGTAAAATGTGTCGTCTAAAGAAGCAAGTGTATTATTATTCCTGTCGTGATCTTTATCGTCATCTCTGTCTTTGTCCTTGTCCTTGAGGACAAATTTGTCATGGTGCTGGTGCTTAGGTTTGTGGTGCTTTGCGTTCGTAATCATGTTCAAATTCATATTCGCATCGAGATTCGGGTTCATATTCAGATGATCATGAATTGACGATCCGCCGGAAGAAGGAGGATTCGATGATACATCAGTAGCGGAACTGTAGCCGTCTCGTTGGTGCTTAGTAGGACTAAATGGAAAGTCGAAATCATATCCAAGATCTCGTAGGCGCAGGGATTTCTTATTCCGGATTTTCTTTTCCGAATCTTTGATCACGTATGCTGGCTCCAGGTCACTGTCACTGTTGTGGTCAACGACAATCGGCTTCGCTTTGACCTTTGACCGTTTACGATGGCTCGATTCAGTTTGTTTGGGCGACGGTGGTAATGGTAAATCGACAGGCGCTGCTGGTGCCAGAGGAAGGGCCATTACAGCAGGCGTTGGGGCCTGCTTGCAGTGAGCTAGTAGAATTCCTTCTAGCTGCCGTATTGTATGCGCAAATTTGGCTTCAACCTCTTGCGCTTTAGGTCGCTTCTCGGGACTACGTGCAACCATGTCACGTACCACTGCGAGCATTGGTTCCACGGCCCTGAAGGCGAGACCCTTTCTTTTTTTAGAATCTTGCGTCAGCAGAGTCAGCCATGACGAAACTTGGGGTAGGTTCGTTATCAGATGGAATGAAGCGTCCGCAACACCGCCTCCTCGCCCTGGGGTACGGTTTTTGGCACTTCGATGGTTGGCGAACGACGAGATTTTCCGTTCGCACAAAAAGGTAAATATATCCGTAATCACAGCCCCAAGAGAGAAGATGTCCGAGAACTGTGCATTCACCTGTTGAGATTGCCAGGTTCGGACAAGTGCCGTATTGTGCGGAACAAATGGAATCGAGGTCGCATTTTCAGGGGCTGTGACAGGCCGAGTTCGAGCATCACCTGCCAAGTTGGATGACGCTATTGATGGTGTATAAAGAATTGGCTTTGTGCGAAAGAGTTTATGTCCGGATCTTCCAGAGTGAGATCCTGAACCACCAGACGCAGAGGAGGATCCCGATGATACTAGAGAGTTTCTTGATGCGACCCGTATCACAGTACCCCTAGATTCACTAGACTGCGACGAACTGCTTGTCATCCAGCTAGAGCGGGTGTTGAAGGGTTGCTGAGGCTTTGAAGACGACGACGTAATGCGGGTTGTCCTGCCGCCAGAGTGGAAGGTGTTCTTTGCTCCTGCCACCTCCTGGATAGCGGTGGTGCGAATCCAGCGTTCCGGCGCAGCATATTGGTAAGCCTCAATATCATTTATTTTCGGAGGGTCCAACAGCGTGTCCAGAGCTTCAAAATGACCAAGGAAAATGCGATAATCGCTATCCACCAGAATGTTGGATGGCCGAATAGAGCCGTGCGCATGTCCATTCGCATGGAGCCATGCCAAGCCGTTGACCAGACAGTGCGGCCAGTTGACTAGGATCTCGCGGCGATCCGGCTTGGGTAGACGTTTAAAGTTTTGGGGCGTATCAGCCAAGAAGGTCATCAAGGTTCGATCGTAAACGCCGCTGAAAAGAATGTTGATGCTGTCGTCCACGAAGTACGAGCCATAAATGGAGAAGACGTGCTCGTGGGCAAGCTGCCGCAAGGATCGGATTTCCTCCAGAACTTCATCCTCTTCGGAGAAGTGCGGCGCAGCATTGATGGAAACCTGGGTACGGAGAAAGACACGGCAGACAGCGCCTGACAGCACTACCCTCTCAACGCCGTTTCTGCTGTTTGAGTTTACGAGACCAGTCTTCAAAACCTCGACGGGAACGCCTTCGTTTCCCGTATATCTCACGTGTTCGCCTTCAGCAATACCACGGACAAGGTAGCGCCATTGCGTGAGGAAGAATTTCTTGTTCAGGGCCGCGGCGGACGAGGGCGACTCGTCCTGCGTCAGAGGTAGATCGCCCACTCGAGGCTCGGAAAGTGGCAGATCCGAGTCGTCCACAAAATCCGCGGCTAGATTGAATATACGGTGCGGAATGCCGAGCTCGTTTAGAATAAGGAACAGTTTGCCAGCTTTAGTCAAGATCCACTCCAAATAAGTCTCGCTGGTCAGGCCCTCGCCCCAGGGCAAGATCTGGAAGAGCTGCGACTGGTACTCAGGCTGCAGCTGGGAGAAGACATATTGGCGACACAATGTTGCCTCTATTCGCTCGTCAGTCCACCACAGGGAGGATACGTCAGACATGATGCTTGCATGATTGGCACGCAACAAGCAACAGGTTTCAGCTGTGCCAAAGCCCAAGGCGGCGGGCTGGGGAAGGAAGACCTAAATATAACTAGATTTAGCTACTTGCCTTTGGAGCACGACGGAGAGTAAGCCCCCTTCCTTGGGATCTGGTTCCTTGGGACAGCGATTTGACACCTCTGACAAGGCTCCACCGGCCATGCTAGTACGTGCAGTGGAAGGCAACCCGGAGGGGTGTAGGAATGTACGCACACAAGCACCGCAGCTTATCGCAGGCTAGAGAGCAAGGCGCGCACCAATAATCGCGCGGCGCTGCGTGCAATATTCGCGGAACGAGGTCCGGGTATTCGGGCACAAGCGATAGTCGATTCGCGACCCCCTGCAGCAGGGCAACGGAGTGCATACGGCATGCTGTGGTGGTGGTACTATCGTCGTGGTGTGTACGAGGTCGGGTGATGGTGGACGCCGCAAGATACGCAAGGGCCATCCCGTGATACGCTCCGTGCTGCTCTCTCTGTACGGAAGGTTCTACGTATACATTATATCATATATTTGCCCCTCTCTAGCATCGCTGCTATTCCAGTGTTCAGATGCCAGCCAAAGATCGACTCCCGCAGACTATTTGATTTTGACAATAGTTTGACGGACTAAAATCCTCTTCGTCAGTAGCATGATCGGCCTTGCATGAGCAACACCAAAAGGAAAAAAAGACCAAAGGGATGCGGATAAGACACATCCAGCAATTATTGACTGTTAACTCGGCAAGCATAAAAAGATGTGCAGCCAGTGAACGGTTGATTCCTTATCTTGCAGGCTAGCCAATTAGCTGCAGCGCGCTAGACGTTGCCGCTTTCCTGGTTCATTCTTCACTTTTTGACTCCTTCACAGAAAAGAACCCTCGATGACTGGCCTGCGTTAGTCATGCTTCATGCAGATAACTAACGGAGCCCGGAGCACTCCGGCTATTTCTTCCTTCGCCATTCGAGTGAAGTCGGCACTCCGGAGAATTGGCCGGCCCGAGTCTTGTACCAACCAACCCCAGTTGATATTTTATTTACAGACCGAAAAGAGTAACCATACCATTCACGATTCATGATTCATTTCATTCCGAACAATGCGTTAAACAGCACGTATAGACTGCTCTGCTCACACAGCCCCGTCCATCAGCCTCTGCTCCCGTCGCTCTCTCCGAATCTCCTCGCCCACAATAATGCTGAACAGCCGCTTGTGTAAGTCATCTTCCGACCATCCAACCTCTCCGCGTCCGCCGTTCCGTAAATCAGCCCTGGTCAAGTCAGATACAAACCGGTCTAGGATTCCAAATTGGATTTGGGCAATAGGCAGTCCGCGCTCGCCGTCGGACGTCCAGAGCGAATCGCCAAGCATCTCGTCCCGTCGTTTGGTCGAGTGATAAGGGAATCGTTCCGGGTATCGCTTGGCCTGCCAGTAGAGCTTCTTCAAAGCAACGTAATGAGCGTCTGTAAAATAGCCAGATGTCGCCAGCGCGACTGCAGAGGAGGAGAAGGAAGACGATGATCGCTGCTTCTTGCTGCGTGGTTGCGCGCTATGTGCTGGTGATGTCTGCTTCGTCTCCTCAGCTGCTCCTGTTTCTACAAACGAGCGAGAACGTTTCAGACTTGGCATCTCTTCGCTGACAGAAGAGTGCCGTTCACTTGAGTTCGCCACGAATGGTGGGCTTTGAGACTCATCTAATGGCACATCCGTTCCGTCGATATGCCCTTTCTTCGATGTAGTCCACCAGTCCGGCGTGAAATTGTTCGTAATTCGTCGAAACCATGACTGTTTCGGACCGGACATCGGGTGTCCGGGCGTTGAACTGGCAGTAACAGATTGGTGAAAGGAAAATGCCTTGTTGGGCGTAGTCTCTGTCCCGTCTAAACTATACTCCTCCTCCTCCTCCTCCTCCTCCTCCTCTTCTTCTTCTTCGTCCTCCTCCCGCTCCTCTCCTTCCTCTCCTTCCTCTTCTTCATCCTCGTCTGGCTCATCATCTTCTTCCTCTTCCTCAGCCATGCTGTCCTCTTGATAGACTTTGTTGTTTTCCACGACGTCTGAAGAGAAACTTTCTTCACGCTCATCATGCACGCGGCGACCGCGCAGTAGAGATGGTCGAGCTGGTGATGACGCATCAGGAAGAGGTCCACCATGCCTGAGACTCCTGCTAGAATGTGATGTCTGACTAAGTGCTGTGCGAGGGCTGCTATTTGAGTAGTACTGACGTGATTTCGGTGTGTCGCGAGGTTTCAATAAAAGCGATAAATCAACCTCCTCGTCCCGTAGTTGTGCCATCCTAGACCTTCCAAGCGGCGGGATTTCGCCTCGAGATGGATTCCATTCATAGTGGTGTACGCGCTGTACGTAGTCTGTTTGCCGGCTACCTTGTTCTGCATGTTCACCGGCATTGTTTCTTTTCACGCTTGGTGATGTTTTCAGTGTCCGATGTCTATCAAAACTAGAGTCATGATTCCTAGCCTCCTCTTGCCAGACATCCCCGAAGTCTTCATCCTCACTTTCTACGTCAGAAACATACTCTGGAATATCACCTTCGCTCTGCTGAGAGACATCTTCATCGCTTTCAAGCACGATAACCCTACCAGGCTCTGCCTCTTCGATCTGACGGCTTACACGTTCGCGCTCACGTTGCCACTCCGCTTCTGCTTGCTGGCTCTTGGAAAGTCGCTGTTCGACTGATGGCTCCCGGTAAGACTTTTGTTGTGGACTTTCGACAGGTTCTTCTTCTTCTTCTTCTTCCTCCTCCTCTTCTTCACTGTCATATCTCTCGCGACCCAATTTTGAATATCTCTCCTCCTCTCTGTGTAGTAGTCTTTTCGCTTCCATCTCACCACGAGCAACAAGTTCGCCGAATCTAAGCCCAGCTCGAAGTTGGCGCCGAGAGTCTGCATCGAAATCGTCAAAAAGGTCTTCTAATCTGTCTCGGGCATTCGCTATTTCTTCTTTTTCCTCATCAATATCTTCGATATCTCCACTTTGTTCGTAGTGCAGGGCGCCACGAAGACTGAGGCCAAGCCGGACCAGTCGAGCAAGACTAAGTAATTTCCTTTCTTTTACTGGCACCTCAAATTTTGCAATGCCTGTGGTGGTCGTGTTGAGAGCAACAGGCACGACTTGATCAATAGATGGATCATAGCTACTTTGCAGCTGCATGGACTTCGAATGTGGTGTCGAGGTTAATGATTCAGTAGCGTGACTGGCTGTTTCCCGAGGGGACTTTGACGCCCTTGTCTTAGACTGAACGGAAGAAGACGCATTTTGCCTCTCAACAAATGGTTTGACAGTAGCCTTTGCAGAGCTAAGTGTAGAACTAAAACCGGCTTGTTTTGCCGATGGAAGAGTATCTAGTGACACCATGCTGAAATCCTCGCTTTCCATTATGGTATCGTACTCGTGATGCACATCAGTTGGGTCTGCAAATAGTTGAACACCATCATTCTGCTTTACTGGTATTGTTGACTTTCCACCATTCTCGTCAACGAGTGATGATGATGTAGGGGTTGGATAGCTCCTGCGTCGCCGAGGAGTGTGGCCCGCATGTAAAGTGTTCTCGGGAGATATCCCCCGAGCCTTTCGTGGAGGAGACGCGGTCCCTTGTGGAGTCGTCTGTTGAGTTCCCGCAACAACACGTGCAGGGTTTTCACGTCCAGGATCAGCCATATCAGAAACGACTCGCGAGGAGGAACGGTTGGGAGTAACGTGCTGTGGTGACGGTGAAAAGGCTCCCGTGCCAGCGATATCAAGGAAAGGATCAGGGTCGGAATATGTGTCGGAAGGTGATTTCTGCATGTCAGCGGTCATGAATGGCGAAGGCGACCGTCTGTCAAGGGCGCCGTCGAAGGTATCTAATCGTGTTTTCTTGCTCGTCGCAAAAGTCCCAGCCACCTCTATGCTCTGCGCAACTTCTTGTAGTTGGAGACTCTTCCGAGGGCGGCCACGCGGCCGTTTTGTAGAATCTGGCGCTTGAAGCTTTGGAGTACGTCCAGGGCTTCCTTTAATCGGACTTGTGCTTTGCACATCCGACTTCCGCGGCCGACCCCTTCGTCTCTTTGCTGACGGTGAGTTGCTTTCTTCGTCTTTCAGCGGTACCTTGGTAGTGGTAGCAGTGGAAGGTTTCAGTCTTTTTCGGGGTCCGTCTTGAGTATGCTCGTCATCTTCCTGCTCGGCCTCCACTGTCACCCGGATCCTCCACGGACTGAGATTACCCTCGGACTGCATTTTTGTTGGAGATGCCGACCGCTGTCGCATGCGTGGACTTGACGGTAGTACGATGTCATTGAAGCGCATGGTGTGGGCGCTTTGATTTGGGGTTGGTTTAGGCAGCCGCTCTTGCTTCCTCCGTGGAGTGTAGAAGGTATACGACGGAACCCAACTTTGGCGACCCGTAAATTCGGGCGCTGGTGACGAGATGAGGTACAGCGCGTCTCCTTCGGGGCCGAGGACATCAGGCGATGAGCTCGTACTCGACGATAGGGAGGTCATAACGTCTAGCGCATAGAACTACGCACCGCGGAACGGTCGTGACGGATGGGAGTTGGACGATAAGGGAAAATAGTAGCACCTTGGAGTCAGCTTCTAGTTGCGGCTTCGCGCATCATCAATCCAAAAAAAAAAAAAAAAAAAAAAAAAAAAAAAAAAAAAAAAAAAAAAAAAAAAAAAAAAAAAAAAAAAAAAAAAAAAAAAAAAAAGAAAAAAACAAGTGTCACTCAGAGATCTTCTGGCAGAGTGCCGCATGAAGAGTTTCACGTTTGAAACAGACCGACACAATAAACAACTCTCCCGAAACGGCAGGTCGCGACCGCCACAAACGGCTAGCTCTATCACGTGATCAATGACCATATAAATTCTGGTCCTTCTGGTGCTGCAAACACACGTGGATAAAGCTGCAGAATGAAACTGCAAGTTGCATTAACACGTCATCTAGAAAATGGAAGTTAGGTTCCAGCTCCAAACTGAAACCATATTTACCGGCATAGCACTTCAGCCTGCGTTAATTAGCCGCAGTGAGGGATATATTTAATATGTTCACTCGGATAGAACCATGTGGTCAGAGATACATTTCTCCTCCAATACTCCGTGTCTCACCGTAACTCCGCCGGGGCATTTTACCGCAGCATAATTCATTAAATACCGACATGGCATTATGATGCAAATGCTCAGATCGTCGCCACCCAAAGGATCGAGCGCTTCTCCACGTTACATGGCTTGCTGCCCACGGACGCTCCTGATTGGCCCTCACGAGTTACCCCGGATCCTCCCCAGGTCTTGCTTACTTGCTGCCGTCTTTGTTGTCGTTGGTCCCCGCATCCACAGGCAAAGGAGGGAAGAGCGAAAGGGAAAAAAGAAAAGAAAAGAAGAACCGGCTAAGCGTGCTTCCCCGCATCAGCACGGAACTAGCAGCTGGAGCTGGAGAAGGACAGGGGAGGGAAGCATAAAAAGCTGGAATGTCCCCGGCCACCCTTGTTGCACAGCGCGCTTCACCCTTGACGAGACTCCCTAGACCTTCGTTTCGGTTTGCTGTAACGGCCTATGTTCTGATCTTCCTACTTATTGCGCTTTTTGTCGTGCTCAAAATGCGTGTCCAGAGCTATGCCGCAGGTGCGCTATTCGCGCTGCCCGCACTCGCGCAGACTACCAACACCACTCTTAGCACAGATCCCTTCAAGATCTGGAACATCACCGCAACCAACATCACCGCCTCTTTCGTTGGATACGGTGCGCGAACCCAGGCAATCTATGTTCCAGACAGCAATGGCACCCTCCAAGACGTGGTCGTCGGTTATGATACCGGCAAGGCGTACTTGCACGACAGCGAGACCAACCACACCTATTTCGGCGCGACTGTTGGTCGCTATGCAAATCGTATCAAGAATGGCACTTTTACCATTGATGGTAATACTTACCAGATTCCCGAGAATGAGAATAATGGACATGACACGCTCCATGGTGGCTTCGTGGGCTACGATCAGCGCAATTGGACTGTCACTGCCTACGCAAACGACAGTATCACCTTCTCTCTGCTAGACCCCGGCTGGCAGAACTTTCCTGGAGCCGTCCTCACTCATGTCACCTTTACAGTAGGTAATGAGGTAACACCAGTTAACCCGAAGGGCCTTCCTCAATTAACCTCCAGAATCGTGTCTCTCTCCTTGACCGAGAAGACGCCCATCATGTTGGCCAACCACATCTACTGGAACTTGGGGGCATTTCAAGTGCCGACTATCCTCAACGACACCTTACACATGCCTCTCGCATCTCGATACGTCCAAGGTGACAACATTGAGATCCCCAATGGCACCATCGCTGAGGTTAGCGTCTCCTATAACGGAGCTCTTGACTATACGTATCCCAAACAAATCGGTGCCAACTTGGATGACACTACCGGGGCCTGTGGCTATAACTGCACCGGTGTTGATAACTGCTTCATCAACACGCGCGACCCCTATTACCAACCCGACTCCCTCGTTCCCATCATCCACCTCTCCTCGCCAGCAACGGGCATTACTCTGGACGTTGCCACAAACCAAGCCGCTGCCCAGATCTACACATGCAATGGTCAAAATGGCACCATTCCCATCAAGTCGTCACAAAAGGCCGCCAATGAAGCTGCCGGCAAGGGCGGTGTTGACTATGTCAACAAATATGGCTGCATCGTCATCGAAACTGAGGGCTGGATCGATGCCATCAATTACCCTGAGTGGGGACAGCAGGAGATTTATGCTCCGTATGATGCACCGACGGTGAACTTGGCTACCTACCAATTCGGTACTCTGTAGAGGGAGAATTTAGCAACGAGAAATGAGAGGGAAGTGGTTGAAAGAGACGACACTATGAGCTATGCACTGGGATTCGGCCATACCATTTCTTCGCCTCGTTAATAATCTATGTATATAATGCTCCGTAGCGAGGTCGATAGGTATCTTGGCCGCTATAAAAAATACATCGCTAAAGTGAACAGAATATGTCTTCATCTAAGGGAACAAAAGGGTATCTTAGGTTAAGGAACGAAAAATCTACCTGCAGTATAGGACATTGAATCATCCCCAACCTGCCAATGTCCAGCTCGACCGATCACTCACGACAGAAGAACGAATACCGGATCGTCGATCTGCTATATGGTGACCATCCACATCTCGACTGGCGCTTGCCAACCCATCCCGAAGGAATTTCTCACGCTCAACCTCAACCAGACCTCTGATCTTGAGGCTTGTCACAAGGCTTGCACCAGCCCAAGCTCCTAGAGATTCGACCTGGCGAAACTGTCCGTGAATGTATGACTTGTTATTCCGAGATTGATTGCGACGGACTTTTTGCTCCACGAAATCAAGCTCCGATTCCGCTGCCCTTGCTTCTTCCACACTTTGTTTTTTCCCTTCTTCTTTTTCTTCATCTTCATCTTCTTCTGCTGCTCCCTCTTCTGGGTTATCTTGTGCATCAGCCACTGTGGTCTGAGTAACCCCTTTGACTGAAGTGCCACAGTTGCGTTTTTTGCTAATGCTAAGTTCGTGCATTTTCTTCCTCTGTTCCTCCACGGCGCGGCCTCTGGTCGCGTCCCATCCGTGCTCCGCCACGAGCGACATCACATTATTCAGTGTGCGTTGGCGAATACCAGGGATCTTCGAGCCGCCACCAACAAAGATAATACGGGACATACACGCGCCGCGTATATCTGGTGGCAGCTCCAATAGAGCATTATAAACCAGGATATGGATTGGCTTCTCATCATCGTCCAACTCGTGCTCGTCAGTACCCTCGGCAAAGAAATTGGCTTCAACCGGCTTCGTGAAGTGAGAGAATGGCACCTGCACATAACTTGAGTCCGGTTCGGATGGCGATGGTATGGCTACATTTCTGTCCAAGTCTTCCTCGCTGTCGTCTGCAGCACACTTGCACCAAGCAAACCGGCTGACAACTTCCTCGCAGTAATCAAAATTGGTAAATATTTTATTACCGACACGCTTTGATTCTTTTTGATCGGAAGCATCTTCTAAATTTGATAATATTTGCCCCATTTGTTGCATGAGGGGCTTCATTGCTCGAGTGCTTCGTTTCGTACCCATATCTCTGTATTCGTAGATGGCGGTAACAGTGCTTTCACCCCAGCCCAAATCAACAACCAAAGCTGCGCGCACCCCTGCAGCGGCAGCTACCATTGTAGCAGATGGCAGAAGCGTGATGGATGGGAATCTCCAACGGTTGAAGAGCGTTCCAAGGATAACTGATAGAAGTGGGTGTGGCATGACGGACGGCAGGACCAGGACAAGACGCGCATTTCCCGCGTCTGTCAGTAGATAATTGTTATACACATCACGGATTGCGCGTTCAACCTTGTCTTCCACCAGGCCTAGATCTACCTCCCTCAAGTCCATACGCCACAATTCGTAGCTTTTAACCCACTCCTCTGCATCCAAGGGATCTGGGGTATTTCCCGGTCCCTTTGATCTGAGAAATCCTCGATAATCTCCAGCTTTCCTTGACTCCTCTGGCCCAAAGCCTACCGTACACATTGGTGCACTGTCGCCCTCAAATCCCGCACGCAGCGAGCGAGCTCCCAGTTCAAGTATGATAGCATCTTCTTCGTTTCGGAACGACGAGAGCGGCGAGGACGAGGATCCGAATGATGAGACTATCGACCGATTGCGGAGAGGAGGTGGCGTTCGCGGCTCAAAGGATTGATCATCCTTGCGAATTCGTGCTCGTGCTGCCTCTAGCGCTGAGATGGAAGACTTGCTTGCGTGTCGCGAGTCGGTTGTTGCCATGCTTCAAGGAGTCCAGCTGTATAAGCACCGTGATTTCGAAGAGATGTCGCTATAGTACTCTACTCATTGGCACATGACTGCCAATAATATGTCACATTGATCAGAATCGATAGGAGTCTTATGAGCTTTGGTAATGGTTTCGCATTTCAATGTTTGAGCATGGGAACTGCATGCGCTAAGCATGGAGTCTCAGCCATCGACTCTGATTGGCGGAAGCTCCGTTGCCAGCGCAAACCAAGCTCCGCCCGCAGTTTCCATATCAAAACAACCTCCTCCCCTTGCCGACCACAGTCCTTAAACATCAGTCGGCTCTTTTTGAATACACTCCAATTGGTTTGCAGAACAGGAATGTTTTGTGAATAAGAATGGGAATTCCGGGGTATGTTCCAGCGTCAAAGACTTCCTTGTGAAATGCCCGTCATCTCTAGCTAATAGCAAACTCAGCCTCGGCAAAGCAATTGGAAATGCCGATCGAATTGCGCTTTCCAGGCTTGCTGTCAGGCACTTAGAGGTGGCCAGGCGGCCTATTAGGGTCGCCGTTGATATCTCGATCTGGCTTTTCCAACTTCAGGCCGGACGAGGCGGACAGAACCCAGAACTGCGGACACTTTTCTTTCGATTGATACGGCTCCTTGCGTTGCCGGTGCACCCTCTTTTTGTCTATGATGGAAAACACAAGCCTCCCTTCAAGCGCGGTAAAGCAACTACTTCACGAAGTTACGGATCAGCCCCGATAATCAGATTGTCGAAAATCCTCATAGATCTATTCAAGTTTCCGCGACATGATGCCCCGGGGGAAGCTGAGGCCGAGTGTGCCAGACTCCAACAGGCAGGAGTTGTGGATGCTGTCATGAGCAACGACATTGACACATTAATGTTTGGATCAGGCCTCACGGTTATGAATTTCTCAAAAGAGAAATCAACCGGCACCACAGCTGCTACCCATGTCGACTGCTATACGACAGAAACGAGGTTTGACGTGGAAGCAAACGTAAAATTAAGCCGCGCAGGCATGATTCTTTTTGCAATGCTAAGCGGCGGTGATTATCTTCCATCGGGTGTTACAAAATGCGGCCCGGGTCTAGCTGGCGAGATTGCGATGGCCGGATTTGGTGAGGATCTCTTTGAGATCATAAACGGGAAGGAAGATGAGATAAATGTGAGACTCGAAGAATGGCGAGAAAGACTACAGTACGAACTGGACATGAACGAGAGTGGCTATTTCCAATCCAAGCACAAGGCTGTCCGGATTCCGGAGGCGTTTCCTGATCCTCAAATTCTCTCGTTCTATGCAAAACCAGTTGTTTCCAGTGCAGTCGAAATTGAGAATCTACGCCAGCGCCTTGTGGATGCTTGGGATCTTGAAATAAATGCCCTTGAGCTTAGGAATTTTGTGGCCGACTTTTTCGATTGGAAGTACCGCTCGGGAGCGAGAAAGTTGATTCGAAATCTCGCAGAGCCCTTGGTCTTGACTAGACTTCGACTTGGTCGGTATCCTATTGCCATGTCCGGCTATGGCTCTTACGTCCCCAATTCAGAACTTCCTGTCCTACAAAAAATATACCGAAGTCGAGCACATTTCAGTACTGGCTGTATTCCTCAAGTGCAGCTAGAGGTGATTCCGATTGACATCGTTGGGCTGGATTTAGATGCCGAAGAACCGAACCCACCGCCAGAGCTTTCGCAACTCACAGAGCCAGGCTCTCAGCCCATTGAAGATGAGGACGAAGCACCCACTGAACCGGGGCATACAGAAGGTCTGTCTTCGAAAGTCTACCTACCTAAAAAGCCGTACGATCCCTTTGAGCCAGAGAAAATTTGGGTTTTTGAAACCGTGGCAAATATAGGGGTTCCGGAAGTGGTTGCGCGATGGAAGAAACAGGAGGCAGAGAAGAAAATGCCAACCAAACCCACATCTAAGAAAACCACTATCAGGAAGAAGAAGGTCATTGATCCCAGCATGAAGCCGGGCGGTATTCTTCGATACACAACTGTCACAAAACCGGGCAGTGACATGAATAGCGTCAAAAAGGCCCAGATTCTTGATGCCACAAGCTTATCATCTTCACCACAAAAATTATCGAGCCAAGGTATCCATAGCAGTCAATTCAGTATTTCATCCAAGCCTTCTTCTCCGCAATCAGGATGGAGGACCCAGAAGATGATGGAGTTCTCCACTTTAGCTGTTGATGACCTTGCTGGTGAATTAGCTATAAGTTGCAACGTAACAGATGGGCCACATACTCAGGTACGAATTCCACATTTCAACATGAGGCGTCCTGCCCTTGTTGGAGACCTTCCAAAGACTTCAGGCGACTTTGAGTCCGATACTGGTGTAGAAAAGTACGCTATGTTCTCACCAGCGCATACACCATCATCGTCACCCACAAAGTTCAAAATTAGCTATACTGCTGCCGGGAGTCTCTCGCCTCTCGGAGCAGAACGCGGGCGACAACTGAAATCCTCAAGCCCATCACCATTGTCAACGCCAAAGCCCCGGCGATCACGCAGGATCAAAGCACAGGATTCCGGTCGTGATGATTCATTGGAGATGGCTCTTGAATCGCTTCGTCTGTCTCCTTCAACGACGAGTGCAAGAATGCAACCTAAATATGACATCGAAAAGGCGCAAAAAAGCGTAAAGTTGGCTAAGAAGAAAGCAACGACAGGATCCCTAACGCTTACACCCACTGAAGAGAAGACCGATGATGATATCTCATCAGCCACTGTCTCGACACCAGTTAAAATCGATGATGACCCTGAGGACCGTGCACCTCAACCTCCTAAAACCCTGACCGAGACTATACGCATCTATAAAGGGTTCTGGACTGTTGAGTTACGCGAGCAAGAAACAGTTGAGCTTGCGGGCAGTGAAATAGAGTCAGAGGAAGGAAATGAAGACACTAAACAAAACAAGCCCAAGAAGAAACGAATTGCACGTGTTAGCATTTTAGACTTAAGTTGACCAGTTTCGTTTCTTGTGTCGTTACTTTTTGCATATACTCTTGTTCTCTTGTCTGCGTATTTGGTTAAGATTATACCCTGCTGGCATTTTAGGAGTTTAAAATAATCCGGGGTTTGGGTGCTTGGAACGATGAAAGTGTATATTTATATTTTAGCTACCTCGGTATGGATCTATGGCTTCATAAGTTAATGACATGATGATTATTATTTAGACAAAATATAAATGAAACCTTTTATCACATACGGAGTAGCAAAGCTAAACGTAAATTGGAATACAATCAACGTGCCTCGATGCTGGGACTGGTCTGTTGCTCTCAATTAGGATGGTCATCTTTGGTTCATTTGTATATATCTCCATCCATGGATATTCTTAGTCACCTTTCGACGTATAAGAAATTCGCCAAAATACAACAGCAGAGGGGACTACTTGTTTACCATGTGCAACTAAGTACATTTATCTACCTATTCTAATTACATGTATTGTATGATAACTCAACCGAAAATCTTAAGAAACCCCCAGAACCCAAGGCCGCTCAGAACGGGTATGGTAAAATTGTCATCCCATCCAAACAGGTCTACAAACTCACTCCCAGCAGCAACAATGCCGGAGACAATGCTCATAACACCCAATGCTAACGAGCCGGTGATGACACTACTGCCAGTGCCAGTGCCAGTGCCAGTTGGCCAACCAACCAGATTCCTGACGGATTCCGGGAAGTAATCAAGATGACCCGTGAACATATAAGTATTTTGGGGGTCGTTGGGAAAAGGTCCAACGCTGGGGATAAACACGCCCCAGAAGAGGAGGGCGGTCACAACGCCCGTAAGGAATGCTGCTGCTGTGCCAGCTAGACTCTTTCCAGTGCGCAAGTGGATGGTGTAACGACCATACAAGCGACCAAAGGTGGAAGCAGCGGTATCGCACCAACTCAGCAGCAGGACACCCATGACACCGATATCCTTGGGAAAGGCACGCAGCACAATGTACGCGCCTAGAAGATACCAGATGACGCCATTATAGCCGCGGACCTCGGACTCTCGCATAAGCGCGCCCATTAGCCGGATATATAACTGATTGACGCGTTCGGATCGATGTCGGAGCACGTCTATAGCAGCTATGGGGATAAGAGCAGAAAGCAACCAAGGCGTGATTTCGAATGTTTGTATACCGCGCCGGAAAAACTCCAAGGTCACAAATCCAATCGATACATGTAGCAGTTTGCGGGGGATTTCATGCTTGTGGATGAAAGTGCGATAGTTTTGATGCAATGGAATGAGCCCCAAGGGTGATGGAGATCGCGACAAGTCCCGCCAGCGGTCTTGCAGGTTGGCGTACGGAGAAAGGTAGCCGTTTGGAGATAGCTTTCCATTTGCGCTTAGAGGCTGCGACCTGACCACTGGCGATGTCGAGGGCTTTTTCGTGGTGTTGTTGCTATTGGATCCACGCCTTCTCGGAGTTGTCCTAGGTTGCGAAGACGTATTTCGTGCAACTGCATCTCCATTGCTATTACTATCCTCTTTGAGAACTGACTGAGCGCTATTGCTCAGTCGTTGTCGCCGAGCTGCTGAGCGCGTCACGGGAGCGAAGTATTCATTTCTGCTGCTCGGAGTGTCCGATGGTGTGGGCGACGGCGAGACGACTCGAGGTGTGGCTGGCACAGCATGCTGAGAAGACATCTCAACCGCGTCTCTCAGAAGAAGCGGCAGCGCCGGAAGTAGGAGAACCCCGTTGGCCGTGCGATGGAGAAGCGGTGGACAAAGTCGATGATAGTCTGTTGAATATGCGAACAAGGCAGAAATAAGGGTCGGAGCTGGGTTGTGAGGCTGAATATTGGCGGTTTCTCTAGTCTTGTCGTTGTTGACACTGTCGACAATATATTCCAGCTGACTTGGGCATGAATATTTTTAGACCTGCGCTACTGAGCACCGGCGCATACAACCATCCAGTCGCAAATGAGTGTATATAGTTGTGCAACCTTGGTGGAAAAAATCAAGAAGTAAACTAGGAGCGAGCAAAATGGAGCGACAGTTGCTTTTATTTTCGCTTGGAGATTGTTGTTCGGAGTTGAGTTAGTAATTTAATGAATTGTTCACATGCAAACTTCCGGCGGCTTCCAGGGCACGTGACTTGGGTGCATATTTCGTATTTTGTCCACAGAGCAGCTTCAGGCGAAGTAGAAACTATGTTTACAGTGTACTGAATGTTAATGCTATATTTCCCAACATAAAATTTGATCCGCATACGCTGGCCAAGGTCCTGGCTGAAGCCTTTCAACTGCGGTCGTGAACTTTTTAAATACTGCCCTGTATCCAGATCGTAATCATCGAGTATCCGCCGCGTATTTTTACGTATGAAATTTTTTATCTTATCGAGTTTGCGCAGAGAGTCCGGCCAATCAGATCTCGTCTTTCCGACGGCAGAAAGAGTCCGCCCAGGATAATTTTCGATCAAGATCAGAAAGAACCAAGCGACATCAACATCCATCATCTTACGCTTTTTCTGCGAATAACGCTCGAACGGAAACGAGCAGCCTAGGATATGGCGCCAAAACCGCGCGGATCGTCCTCCAGGTCGTGGGACAGCCTTGATCCGCCATTGTCAGAATGGGTTTTGGAAGCAATGTCGGCCATGGGGTTCGCCCGCATGACGCCAGTGCAAGCATCTGCCATTCCACTGTTCATGAGCCATAAGGACGTCGTGGTAGAAGCTGTGACGGGCAGCGGAAAGACGTTGTCGTTTTTGATACCCATTGTTGAAAAATTGTTGCGGATAGACGAGCCGCTCAAAAAACACCATGTTGGAGCTATCATTGTTGCGCCGACCAGGTAAGTGCAATGCTTCTTACCAGACAGCCCTTCTCTAATATTTAATATTTATAGAGAATTAGCATCCCAAATATACAGTGTTCTACTATCTCTTTTGGCTTTCCACGGTCCCTCCGCATCTGTTATCCAACCACAGGAGACAGAGGAAGCTGAGGTGAAAAAGTATTCTTCTTCCACACTAAAAGTCATTCCGCAACTTCTTCTAGGTGGCGCAACAACACCAGCCGAAGATCTAAGCTCATTCTTAAAGAAGTCGCCAAATGTCCTTGTCGCAACCCCGGGAAGACTTCTGGAGCACCTTTCATCACCTTATGTACACTGCCCTCAGTCTTCATTCGAGATGTTGGTCTTCGATGAAGCGGATAGGCTGCTAGATCTTGGATTCAAGGAAGATATTCAGAAAATACTCGGAAGACTTCCAAAGCAAAGACGGACAGGCTTGTTTAGCGCCAGTGTCAGCGAAGCCTTGGATCAAATAATTCGTGTCGGGTTGCGAAACCCTGTTAAAATCGCGGTGAAAGTGCGCGGAGCTTCGGGAGTTGAAGAAAAACGAACACCAGCTAGGTTTGTATACCACATGAGAGTGATTTGTGTCTGTACCTGCTAACTTTGACCGACAGCTTGCAAATGACATATCTTATAACACCTCCTACACACAAACTCCCCGCGGTCAAAAGCATTCTTGAAGCTTTGGAGCCTAGACCACAAAAGACTATATTATATTTCTCGACATGTGCAGGTGTCGACTACTTTCAACACATAATTCCTTTAATCCTCGGAGGTGATTTTGCTGTCATACCTCTTCATGGAAAGCATCCACCCAATGTACGACAGAAGAATTTTACTCGCTTCGCCAATTCTGTAACCCCATCAGTACTGTTGACTACAGATGTTGCGGCACGTGGACTAGATATTCCATCCGTCGATCTCGTGATTCAGATCGATCCTCCATCGGACCCCAAAGCTTTCATACACCGTTGCGGTCGAGCTGGTCGAGCCGGTCGTCGAGGGCTGAGCGTCGTTTTGCTACTCCCAGGCCGTGAAGAAGATTATGTTCCGTTCCTGGAAGTTCGCAAGACGCCGGTAACGCTATATGAGAACTCGGCATTCAGCGTATGTGATGAGGATGCTGTCAAGGCAACAGAAATAGCCCGGTCAGCGGTTTTGTCAGATCGAGCATACCATGATAAAGCTCAAAGAGCGTTTGTCAGCTGGCTTCGAAGTTACAGCAAACACCAGGCCAACAGCATATTTCGCGTTGCTGACTTGGATTGGGAAGCATTGGGTCATGCTTGGGGCTTGTTGAAATTGCCGAAGATGCCCGAGTTAAGGAACTACAAGGGCGATAAAAACCTAGGAGTGAACATTGAGTGGGATAATTACGCTTACAAGGACAAACAAAGAGAGAAACATCGACAAGAAGCGCTCAGACAAGATGGAATAGCCGATTTGCAGAATTCTAGGAAACGAGCCGCAAGTGAAAGCGTACCATGGAGTCAAAATCTTGAGAAAAGGAAAGAGAGGGAACAGCGGAGAGAGAGGAAAAAGGCTCGTCGAGAGCGAGAGAAATGGGATAAGATGAGCGAGGAAGAGAAGCAAAAAGCTCGTGAGACAGAGGCAATGATTAAAAATATTCGAAAGGAGGCTGAATTGCAGAGAGCCGCTGCTGCATCCAAAACCACACAGGATTTAAAGTCTCATGAGAGTGACGACGAGTTTCAAGGATTCGACTGAGGTGTGCAGTCAGTCATGTTTCCAACTAAATCCCCTCACGAAAAGGATCTACTATCTGCACTTGAATGGAGTCTTTTACTGGCCTAAGGAAACCTGCATGTATGTGTTTGTTTCCGCTTTCATAGCTTCTGAGATACCCCAGTGAATAGAATATGTATATATAACTTCTCTCGCCCGTGTCTGTCCTTTATATGCATGTGCCAGAGCTGCATATTGGGTAGATGACTAAATGTCATTGATTTGCGAGGAAATCCGTTGAATAAAGCAATTGTCGCATTCTCGTGGTATATGTACAGAAAGAACAAAGCGTTTGAAGAGCGGTTCCACAGGTACAATGCCATTCAGGAACAATAGCTATTACACGGAGCAGCGTATACTCGCGAATACCCATTTGTCTCGAACGCCGATTGAAGCATTCATTGCAATTTGTAGTTGTATGTTCATCTATTGTTGGAACCAGCGAAGAGGCGATGCAAACGGTGCAAACGACAAACGGGCGTAGGACATCGAGGCAAGGTCTTGGCAGACAGACAAGGCGGTAAGAGGGTCCGGGCCAGTCACGTCTCAGCTTGGCTGTTCTGCCGACGTCACTGCCAAGTGAGGAAAGAAGAACATCACCGTCGGACCTCGACTTTCTTCACTTTCTGGCATGAATCGTCAACGACGCACCTCAGCGCACTGCCGATTCGGGTGAATGACACCATACACAATAGCGTCGTGGTAACCTAGGCGGACAACACCGTCAACAAAGAAAACGCGAACCACGAAACCGCTCGACTTTGCCCAGGTAAGTGTGCACCCCAATCTCTTCTTGCCCTCTTAACTCCGCCCTTCCCTCCAAGAATTTTCTTCTCAACCACCACCAACCCCTCTCTCAAATCTTTTCTCAATCATTTGAACTCTTCATCTGTTCCTGGCTTCAGCCACCAAGACCTTCGTTTTTCGCGTTGAAAGCCATTCTTTCCAATCCTCTTACAACGTCCTTTCAACATCATTTTTCTTGACTCGTTACAGTCTCGAGTGTCAACAGCCCAACTCTTTGTTTACACCAAACTTTTGCTTGCACTCACCTACTCATTTTCTTTTGACACATCAATCTCATACCAAACCTCATTTGCTCCTCGCCAAACTCTTTTTTTATTGTTTTCTAACGCGTGTTGCGAAGGCACGATGCCTCGCACCCGCTCGCAAGCGGTCGAGTCTCCGCTCGTCTCTCTCGATACACCACGTCGAAAGAGAAAAGCCACAACAACTACGAAGTCTTCAGCTACTGTCCAAGAAGAAACTGCCCCGAAGCCAAAGCGCGGTCGCAAGCTCGCTAAGAAGGAAGTAGCACCAGAAAAGGCATCTGAAGAGCCAACTCCAAGCAAAAGTGAGATAATTGAAACCCAATCAATTGAAACTACCCAACCCCAACCACCCCAGGAACTCCAAACCCAGGAGCCTCAAGGAGACGTACCCATTGCCGAAGCAGCAAAGGACAACGGCTCGATAATTCCACCGATTACACCGAAAAGAGAGGCCAACCCCGATGCATCTTCTGTCACCAGCAGAGGGTCTAGCCCCAGTATCTGTTCGCCAGCAAAGAAGCGCTCAGTGCAGAAGGCTCTCGCGACGGTCAAGGAAGCATTGAAGAAACCTCGCCAACTTATCAAACAACGACTTAACCGTCTTCGAAATTCGTCTGAACCAACCGAAGGTCCTCAGACAGTAGCCGCTTCCAAAAGCTTTCCCTCCACCGATTATTCCTTGGCTGAGGATGAGATTCTCGATGCAGCCCTGGAAATTGTTCTCCATCGCATGGAGAGCGATTCGTTTACAACCAATCCGTTTATGCCGTCTTCTATCCGTTGTCCTTGCTGCCGAGGTGCATTGAAATTCCAGTGTCCCGAAAACCACGATTTGCAGTCTTGGATCCCTGATGAAGCCAAGGAAGCAATGAATGCTGTGCTAACAACAATGTTTGCAGAAGGTATTGTGACGGCTTCGGAAGAAAAAGAAAACGCCCGTCGAGCCGAAAGGAAGCCCGAGGCCAAAACCAAACACCAAATTGAGGAGCCACGAAAAGCCGCGCCTCAGAATAAAAAAGTTGAATTGTCTTCAAAGGCGAGAGGCAAGAAACGCGCTAGAGAATCTCACGAGGATGACGGTCCTGACGAAGCACCCAGAGCTCAACGCCCTCGCTTAACAAGTTCAGCAGGTCGAACTCCTTTCAGCAAGCGTCGCACGGCAACTCCCCACACGGCCACTCCCCGCCGTAAACTGCCCTACTCCGAGATACGTCGCCGGGCTCTTGAACGAGAGCAGGAGAATGCCCCGTCAATCTTTCGCTTGGATGAGATTGTGGCACAGCATGAAGCACGAGAGAAGGCCGAAAAGGCTGCTGAAGAAGCTGCAGAGGCAGAGCGTCTTCTAGCTATCTCGCGAACCGCAATGGAACGGCATGCGGTAATGGGGCCAGTCCCAGAAGAAATGCGGGATTCATTCGAAGTTCCTGTATTCGACGATGCCCCCCGGGATTCACATACCACAGAAGCTCATGAGCCTACCGAGAATCACGAGGCCAACGAAGAAGCTCACCAAGTTAATGAAGCTAATCAGGTCAATGAAGCCTCCGAGGCTCCCGAGACACCGAGCCCCAATACCTGGGGTTTTGATATTCGCAATTTCTTTACTTCCGTTACTGGCTCTGTGAGACGCTTTGTTCCAAATTTCAGACAGGAAAGAGTCCGAGCTGTCCCCTTTGGTAAGTTTAAAAACAAAGTTCCTTGACAGAAACCATGTGTTGCTGATATATCATCTACTATACTAGTTTCTGGAGGTAATGCAACTCCAATTGCTGCCAACGGCACAGCGGGCAGACCCGCGGCAACCAACGGTGATGTCAACGGTGACACTCCGACTCCTGCCAATGGCAATAGAAATAATGATACCGGAATGGATTTGACTTACAGCTTATTTCCCCCTCCATTGGAGCTCCCCGTGTCTCGGTCGGATTCTCAACCTAGCAAAGGTGATGGCGCTGATCAACTATCTAATGGAACAACGCTGACTGCTGCACCAGCTTTCGCCGAGAGAACAGGCACAGCAGATGTACCGAATGTCGAGCAAGGCACAACCCCTGCTATCGGACGAGACAACTTGCAGGAACCACTAGCATCTGCGCAAAATCTTAGTAATGGTGAACCCAGTGACGCTGACAAAGAGCCAGAGTCGGCGAGTGCAAGCAATAAACGCAAACGCGAACGCCCTCCTTCTCCAGACGTCATTCCAAACCCACCCGGTTGCAGCTACGGGTTGCACGACGACTATTTTACTTATTCAGATGATGAGATCGAGGAAGCAGAAGCATACTGCGCCGCCGAGGCTGCCGCATCGACAATTGCCCCCGTTGCTGAGCGCTCAGAAAAGAGGGCTCGGTTTCTTTCACCCGAAGAGGACTCGTCAAACGTTCGGCAAAAAGAGACAACTAATGTCCGCCAGAGGACACCTCCTTGGGAGGAGCGCATCCCCCCTGGCTGGGCTCGTGCTACGACTACGGTTTACACTGGTAAACTTTTTAAGGGTATGAGACCTCAAATTCAAGAACCCCAAACACCCCTGGCATTTCAATCATCTCCAGCACGTGAACAATTTCATACTCCATCCTTTCAAACTCCATCACACCAAGCATATCCACTTCGGTCGCCCCAGACATGGGGGTCCCCATATGGTACCCAAAGGCTCCGAGGGATCAATTTTCGTTCAAAGGAAGATACAGGCCGCCCCCCGAGCCAAATATACCCTAGAAGAGGCTCATTTCTAGATCTACGAAGGGAGCGACTGCGAAGAAACGCTATCGCTCCTTTGGGTAGATCTAGCACACTCTGGAGCTCAGTGAACAGTCGTGTTAACGCTTATTTAGAAACCCCAGGACCATCCCAACCCCCTCGTATCCCAGCCAACGAGTCGCTTGCCAACCCTTCAATGCCTTGGGATTTGAATCAGCAACCATCTGCCGATTCGACTTTTGCCAACGAGCCTGTATTCCAGCAACAAGCTGCTACTACTAATATTTCAGAAAATGACACAGTTCCACAGCCGACTGTCACGCCACTAATGCCTCAGGAATCTAATCAGCAACCGCCTGCCATCTCGACTTTCTCAAACGAGTCTGCATCTCAGCAACAAGCTGCTACTATGAGCATCCCGGCAAATGGTCTGGTTGCACAGTCGCCTCCAGAGCACGCCGATGTGGAGAATCCCGTTACTCCTAGGCCGAACATCGCCCCTGAAACCACCAGCTTACCGCCCATCATTCAACCTCTGTCAGCAGCGTCAAAAGGGCAGTCTGGGACAAACATACATAAACCAAGTAACCCAAGCCGTCTACGCCAGGCAATGCGCCTTTCTTCCAGCCCATTGTCTCAGCCAAGCCCAGCCACGAATTTGAGTGAACCAAGTCAGCAAGACCTGATGCAAGTTTTTGGAGACGATGAATTCGGTCGTCAAGCTTATGATATTTACAAGAGTTGCCCCTCTGGTGATCTCAGTCAGGTGCAGTGGCCCACCTTTGAATCGCTCCCAGAAAACGGGGTTCAACAGTCCATTGACAGCACGCCACTCGACGAAAGTCAGCAACTAACCAGTCGAAACACATTCCAAACTTCCTTTGAACAATTCCAAAGCGAACTTGATCAGGGCTTAATCGACCCAGATGAGATCCTGGGTGACTTGCCGTTGTAAATATGATGTTTTCACATGTCATGTCATATTTCAGATGTGCTTGCATCGACAAAGGCGTCGTCTGCCTTTTTGATAAGAAAAGACGTATCAAAAAAATTTTTTTTTCACGATATTGATGAATTGAGTGTTTATTTGCATGGGGAGTTTCTATTCTGAAATGTTAGGGTATGGCCTATCGGTTTTTATTCTCAGAGAAAGGCTTTTGTGTGTATGGATTAAAAGTCGTGTTCTTTCTTTCCCATATTTTGTTTTGTATTTTTCAGGTCAGGCATTTTGTCAGTTTGGATCTCCTTCCAGGTCGGAGCTTCTTTCCAGGTTGAATACCTTTTCAGACTGGATATCTTCTAGGCAAACTTCCTGCAAGGTTGAATCTCATTTTAGGTCGAGTTTCTTTTCAAAGTGAATTCATATTTCAGGTTGAGATCCTTTTTAGGTACGCTTCCTATCTAGGTTGGGTATCTGTCAAGTTGACCTCCCTTTGATATCGATTCTCAGAATGGGATTCGCATGGTGTTTGGTTGTTATCGTCATTTTACTATGTCTCATTGAGGCACCCTACAGTGTTGATACAAGTCATATTTGGACGCAGCAAGCATCGGGCCAAATTCTTTCCTAATCAAGTCTACCTTAAATTATTTTCACAAGTACAGACTGCCTTCTAAACGAACATAGCATTTGTAATATACTTCCTTTCTCTGCGGAGGAGGGCATCTTAGGCTAGGTAACTAATGCAAAAAAAAGACAAAACTAGATATTGAAGAGTACCCGTGATGCTGTGGTTGTTTCTATTTGTACATTGTTGTATAAAGCAAGGCTAGGAGAAAGCTATGTTAAAGAGTACACAGATGGTGCCGGCGCCTAGTGATAATGGTGACAATTATAATGCCAGAGAAATAAAAACATATGGAAAGCGACAATCAACGAAAATAGGGAGATGACGGTCGAGAAAGCGTAATTTACATGCTGATTTCACCTTTCCAGGCTGCATCCGACAGCCCAAGAGTTTGAATGAGGTTTTGCCAACGAGGACCTCCTCGCTCTTTCTTCCTCAGGTAGCGTAAGAGCTTTTGTCTTTTATGTACAAGGATGCGCAGATTGCGCTTGTTGTGTCGGTCTTTGTTTGTTGTCTGGAGATGTCGAGATAGGTTCAGAATTTTGGTAGTCAGGATGGCAACTTGCACTTCGGGGGATCCGGTGTCTGGGCCTGCTCGCGGAGTCTTTGTTGGATGGTCGCCCGAAACCACTGCAGCCGGCTTGCTAGGAAGGACTTTGTCGGTGTTGTGCCGACCGAAAGTTTCGATGCAAGTCTCAATATTCACACGGGTACGATCTTCAGTGTTCCCGTTGGCTAAATTGACAATTCGCCGCATTGCCTCCTGTGCGTTTTGATGAGACAGACTGTGCAGCTGAACCTCTTTGTTGTATTCGTGGGGATCGGCAATGTTTGCATCCCTTGGAGATAGCGGCTCCGTGAGGCCCTTAGAATAGTTGAGTGCCGCATCGAATTCCTCGGGCTTGATATAATGATTCCAGTTGGGAGCCGCAGACGATCCAGTACTTTGAGATTGAGTATCCTTGCCCGTCTGAACCGCTTCAATTTGTTGAACAAAAGGAGTTGGCTCGCTCTTCACGGGATCACCCAAAGCTGCCTGTCTCTCTTCTACAAGGGCTTGTTGGCGAGAGATATTGGCGGCCTTGCGTTGACGAGACTGTGCCATTAAAAACGGATCATGTCTTCGCCTTTGTCGGGCCTCGAAAGAGCCTGCGCGGATGTCCATTTTGCATAGTTCGCGGCTGACGCGAGCCAAAGGACTGGCTGTAGATAGGAGAGTTATATTAGTTTAGGGACATCGAGTTAAGCTTTAAAGGGCTCCAAACCTGAAAACGGGTTTGCAAGAACCGAGATTGAAAGCCGCGGAGGCATTGTGGATTATCTGGGCGTACTGAATTGAACTTGTTGCGCTGTTGAGGTCTCTCTCCTTCTTCGCCGGAAATCTCAACATCGACGAACGCCAAGCGCGGAAGAACAAATCCACGCTAGCACACCCCCAGCCTAGCGCAGAACGTGATCTCCAAACTCTTGGCGCGCTATTGCCCTAACCCACAACGCAAGCGAAATTTTGTATGCGCCGCGGCAGTGGCCGATCGATGCGATACTTTTTTTTGTCTTCGGCTTCCTCTTTTCTTCCCTCCACGCTCTGGGCAAGTGCCAAAACGATTGAATAATCCTCCCTCTCATCCCTCCGAACATCTCAGTCGTTCACCATGGCTCCTTCTAACCTCCCTCCCATCTTCAATGCCACTTCGCAGGACATTGAGATGCTGCTTGCAGCTCAGTGCCACTTGGGATCCAAGAACCTGCAAGTGCACATGGAGCCTTACCTGTGGAAGACTCGTCCCGATGGAATCAACGTGATCAACATTGGCAAGACCTGGTAAGGGCTTTATGATTTCTCACAGCCGCCTGAGTGCCTATCTAACTTGCATTTTCAGGGAGAAGATTGTCCTCGCTGCCCGTATCATTGCGGCCATTGACAACCCCGCCGATGTTGCCGTCATCTCTGCTCGCCCTTACGGACAGCGTGCAGTCCTGAAGTTCGCTTCTCACACCGGTGCTACTGCCATTGCCGGTCGCTTCACCCCCGGTAACTTCACCAACTACATCACTCGCTCTTTCAAGGAGCCCCGCTTGATCATCGTCACCGACCCCCGTACCGATGCTCAGGCTATCAAGGAAGCCAGCTACGTCAACATCCCCGTCATTTCTCTGTGTGACACCGACTCCCCTACCGACTTCGTCGATGTTGCTATCCCCACCAACAACAAGGGTCGCCACGCCATTGGTTTGGTCTGGTGGATGCTTGCCCGTGAAGTCCTCCGCTTGCGTGGCACTCTTGCTTCCCGCGAGACCGAGTGGGACGTTGTTGTCGATCTCTACTTCTACCGTGACCCTGAGGCCGAGGAGACCAAGGAGATTGCTGATGAGGCCAAGGTTGCCAGTGCCGACGAGGTTGGTGCTGCCGCTATTGAGACTGGCTATGCTGGTGACAGCTGGGATGCCGCCGCCCCTGGCGCTGCTGCTCCTGGCACTGCTTTCGCTGCTGCTAGCGCTACTGCTGGTGCTTCTTGGGAGGCTGAGGCTGGTGGTGACTGGGCTGCCGAGGCCCAGCCCAACCCTGAGACCAAGTGGTAATTTCATCAAGAAGTTTCAGGTGTTGTGCGAGGTTGCCAAGGAAAATTCAATACGAATCAATTCAAAAGTTCTGCAATTCAAAAGGAAGCCCGGCATGTTATTATTCCGGTAGTATACGTTGGCTTCGTTACAACTTCAGATCAAACCTAATTATTGTGATATCTGGATTCATACCCTTTGGTCCTCAAATCTACTATGTCCTTTTACGTGGAAAAAAAATTATGATTGCATGAGACGAACGTCTACAGAAGCGGGGGTTTCTTTTACCTGTCACGCATATTTTTATTTTATCTGACTGGTACTTACGAGGGAAAGATACCTAGATTATCTATTTTCTATGGTTTTCTAGGGGAAAGCCCTGTACTGTCGATATTGACGAGGCGGACTTAATCGTTGTCTCGGGGAAATCTCATTTGTTTATGTCGTCTTTAAGGCCATATCAATAAAAATAATTCACGTGAAGTGGAGATTTTCTCATGGATCCCGATGATAGAATTTTCTGTAAAAATCCGACAAAGTCCCGAGTCACGTCTGGCTTCGACACCGTAGGGGGGGACCTCCTAGGATTGGGTGCACTCATTGGATCAGCTAGTCTTCATTGACTTGACTGTTACTTAGGGAATTTCCTAGGATGCTTCCTTTGATGCAAAACGACGTTCGTACCCTTTGTCGACTTAGAACATGGCTTAGTTCCGTAGTCGAATGCACATCGAGGTATTATTGTAAAGGTTAACTCCCCTCTCTCGAAGGGATATTGATCACGACATCCCGTGGTTATCCTTGATCGGGCCTCTTTAATCCCGTATGTATGAAATTTAGCACTTTGCGCAATCGGGTGGTTTTCCGATACCAGGCTCTTAAGGCGGCTCTTATCGACAATCATCCTTGAGCCCTAGCACTGAAAAGCTCCTTGAGACCAGGTCAACAAATCTCGTAGAAAAGCTGAAGTTAGTTGAAATGGAGATAACAGCCAGCGATGAGTCTGACGCTGCAGAGCGGCATTTCATCCTCAGATAATCGTGCAACCACCCGAGCCTTGTGCACCTTTCTCAGTAGTTGACATTGCTGCCATTCTGGCAATGTCCTCAAACGCCTCCGACACCAACTCCCCGGTTAGGGCGGAGCATTCTGCATAGCGATCACAATGCAGTTCTTGGGCTATGCGATAAGCCTACATAAAATAAAGCTTGTCAGACGCTAAATGGATCGAGAGATCCGAGGCAAGAGTAGACTCACCTCCTGTGGGTAAATTATTTCGTCGTTTTCTACTCTTTGATCTCGTTTAAGACCCAGCAACATAACGGGGATTCGTTCACCAGTGCCTCGTTGAAAGTATCTGGTTATGTCGTTACGCCACTGAAGCATGGTTTAAGCACAAATGATTCTTTCATTTTCACTGATGGTGTTAACATACTTTCTTAAGCCCGCCCAGTGTTTTCCTGTCTGATATATCATATGCAAGTATGACAACATCTGGATGCAGTGATGACCAATGCTGATTTGGTGAAGCAGTGTCGTATACTTCTAATGTGAATGACTTCCTGGCAAATCGAATATCATACAGAAAAGGCTGATCGCTGTCTCTCAGGAGGGTATTACTTAGGGCATCGTCGTCCCTCGAAGGAAGTTTTGAGGCCTTCAGTTGTCTGCAATGGATGAAATGAGCGTGAGGTATTAGATAGATATAGTACACCAGCCATGGGCGCGCGAAGATTGTATACAGTAACACTCACGATAAAAAAGTGGTTTTTCCGCAGCCAGCGTCTCCAAGGATTAACAACGTCACTGTTGAATTTTCCTCCATTGTGCTCGTCAAAGTTGCATGAAGATTAGTTAATGGTCAAGGCGCTGCTGGTGGTTGGGAAGGAGTGCGGGCGGATACAATACCGTACGAAATAGTTTACATGATCATCGCCCGCCCTCGAAACCTAATTTTCTCCCGCCGAAATTTTTGTTACATTTCCGCGACACTCTCAGATTTCGACCATCGCTCTGTCCGGGCCTGTGTCCCTCTTTTCCCTCCCAGAGAGTGATGTGGCTGTCGAGAACTTCCAAATTTATAGCAGTCAACCTTCGGAGCAATTCACTGCACGCCACGGCTCGTCGATCCTACTCCAGAGCGCAAATGTCTGCCCAATCTCAGACTGCGAGTCCTCGTGAAGGACCGGATTACTCAACATGGAGTACTTCAAGCCTCGTTGGACGAATCATGGAACTGGAACGCCAACTAAATGCTCAGGCAGAGCAGTTTCGTCCTGTTCCGGTTGCTCCAGGCTCTCCTCATAACCCACAAACGCAGGCCGAATTGAGTGATACTACAAATCTTACCTCGGATGTTCATGGGGTCTCCAATATCCCTATTATCAAAGAGAAAAAGAAACGTCGGGAAATTGATCCTTCCAACTACCATACCCGCCATATTGCGCTGAAGTTCGCCTATCTTGGACAGCGTTATAATGGGTTTGAGCATTCAAACGGGAACATAACTCCATTGCCTACTATTGAGGAAGAATTATGGAAGGCTCTACGAAGGGCGCGTTTAATTTTTCCAACGTCGCCAAACCCAGTGGACTTTGATTTCGACAGAGACGGTCCAAGAGAAGCCAAGCCATTTGAACTGAGCTGGGATGGCTGCCAGTATTCCAAAAGTGGTCGGACTGATAGAGGTGTCAGTGCCTTTGGGCAGGTTGTCGGTGTTAGGGTTCGAAGTGCACGGCCTAAAAGAAAAGCCAGAGTCATTACAGAAGATCCTCCTTTGCAAGGAGCCGGCCCAGACGCTTCATCAATCATTGATTCTATAGATTCTATACAAGACAAGATGGAAGTTCAGGAATGCTGTGAACCAGAAGTCGATGATGATTGGGATGATATTCGAGACGAACTACCGTATGTGCAAATATTAAACAATGCGCTGCCGGACGACATTCGTGTCTTGGCCTGGTGCCCCCGTCCACCCCCGGACTTCGACGCTCGTTTTTCATGCCGTGAGCGGCAGTACCGATATTTCTTTACACAGCCAGCCTTTGCGCCTGTGCCGGGAGAAGTCGGCTTCAGTCGTACCGCCGCCCATTTCCGTGGAATAGCCAAGAAGAAGCTTAGAAATGGTTGGCTGGATATTGATGCCATGCGTGAAGCTTGCAAGTACTTTGTGGGCACTCACGATTTCCGCAATTTCTGTCGCGTTGATACGAGCAAGCAAATCACCAATTTCGAGCGCATAATATACCATGCGAGTATAGATTTAGTCGATCCAACCCGGAATCCTATTGGTTATATTGGGTCAGGTGATTTTCAACCACTAAGGGAGATTGGTGATTCGGTCGCCGAAAATAATGTAAACGAAGACCAACCTTCCACACCACTGGTGTATACGTTTACTCTTCATGGATCAGCATTCTTGTGGCACCAGGTACGCCACATGGTGGGGATCCTCTTTCTAGTCGGCCAAGGTGTTGAAAGCCCATCCATTGTTCAAGAATTACTCGATATTTCGAAGAGCCCACGCAAGCCTATCTACGAAATGGCGTCAGATGCGCCACTCGTATTATGGGATTGCATCTTTCCAGACCAAAATAGCGGCAGTAGGAAGGATGCATTGGATTGGGTTTATTGCGGCGACCCTAGGCAAAACCTTCCGCGCTCTAGCAAAGGCGACGCCAAGTTTGGCTCGACTGGCCTCGTGGATACTCTCTGGCGTACTTGGAGAGGGCGCAAGATGGACGAGATCCTCGCTGGTGCCCTGCTTGACTTGGCCGTTGGCCAAGGAAGCCCCGATTTCATCAGAAATGAGCCGCCGGAGAAAGCGTACAGGAGCCACAAAATCTTCAACGGAGGAGACGAAGCAAGACTTGGCGGTATGTATGTGCCTCTCATGGAAAGGGACAGGATGGAAACTGTTGAAGCACAAAACGCCAGGTACCTTGCAAGTCGTGAGCGGAAAGGCAAGGAGGTGAGGGTCAAGAAGCCATTGAACATACCACTCTAGAAATATAAATGAATTACATTCGTCGTGAAAGCAGGCTGTCTTACCCAGGAGGTGGCCCTGATTTCGATTCGTAGAGACATTGTCGAGCGCCGCGCCAAACCTCTTCAAGAATCATCCGTTTGGGTAAAAGGTTCTAGCAGACAGAAATTAGTCTATATTCAAACCAACTTTTTCCAGGCAGTAGGAAAGTCTCACGGGGAAGACAACGACAACTCCACTTTCACCTTCCACGATGATCGCCAGGTAGAAACGAACTTTGAATCCCTTGAAGGCTTCATGTATAACAATGTCTTGAATTTGGGTCGTCGGTATGAACCTCGTGGCGGCGCTAGACCAATACATGGAAGAAGACGTTGACGTTTGAATGCCTAACCCGCGAATCACTAGAAGAGACTCCTCTGGACCAACATCAGACACTGTGGAAAACCACTTGAAGGCGGAATTGAAGAAAACAAACCGGTATAACCCTTTCTCCAGACTGCGTACATGACTATTGCGCTCACAAAGACTACCACTGGCCATGTGTATTGATCCGCAATGCGACAGCTGAGTGATCCTACATTCGTTGACCAAAATTGAGGCCCTACGTCCCAACCCTCATTGTCGGTTATTATGATACGACGAATTTTCGCGAGGTCAACGATTAAAACCGAAAAAAATCCCACAATTCGTAAGAGGACTTCTACGCCGAACACAAGCTTCGACGACCAAGTGCGACGTGCTGGGGCGTTTGAAGCAGTGAATAGAATCGTCGTCGGTGACGGGCGCTGCACTGTAAGGCGCGGAGACATTGTGGTGTAGGCCTTGAGGTCAAGGCTTGAATTCGAGGGTGCCTAATAACTCCAAATAGCCCAGCCACGAGCCATTATCTTGAAGACTGGTCACAAAGCGGTCTCAGATCTCAATTGATGTTGTTGTGAGCTGTCCATTAAATTGCAATTCAAGGCTAGCAGCGGCCCAGTAAGGGACGGCCAGCCAGCCCGCCTTAGGCGCCGATTCGCTCCCGTCACGTGCGGAGCTCCTGTAGCTGGGCTGCTGCTTCTTTGCCCAACCCTTCCTTCCCCGGAATATCCTCATAACTTACTTCATCACAATATGGACAGCCCGCGTTCTCGGTCTCCACAGCCTGAAACTGCACGACGGAGACGGAGTAGGTCTCCTGATCATGATAGAGCGAGACGCCCGAAAAATCAGGGTGGTTTCCGCTGGAAGGACAAACGACCACGAGATGACAGATACCGTGATAACGAGCGCAGATTAGACCGAGGCTATCGCGAAAGGCGTCGATCCCAGTCTCCTCGTCGTGAAAGAAGTAGAGAGAGGTACGGAGATCGAAACAGACCGCGCGATTATAATGCTCCGTCAAGGCCTGATCGCGTGAAGGATGGGCAACAGGACAGCAGCAAGCCAAAGCCGGCGCCGAAGAAAGCTCCGGTAGTAACCCCGGGCGAAGAGATGATTATCGTCCATGTGAATGATCGGTTGGGTACCAAAGCCGCTATTCCATGCCTTGCCTCGGATCCCATAAGTGAGTATTTTCTATCAGACCCCAAGTTGCCACCGGCATTCCAGCTAATAACTCGATATCTAGAACTCTTCAAAGCCCAGGTAGCCGCACGAATCGGGCGCGAGCCACACGAGATCTTGCTCAAGCGTCAAGGCGAGCGGCCTTTTAAGGATCAACTCACGTTGCAGGTAAAAAAAAAATTAAAATTCGAAACTCCCGAGACGCACCTGGACTTTGCTGAAGTATTTGCAGGACTATGGCGTCTCGAATGGTGTACAGATCGACTTGTGAGCCTCAACTTATCCCTTGTCTCTTCCACGCGTACTGGAATAAAGAACCCATACTAATTGCATGACTACAGGGAAGTCGATACGGGCGACTGAACAGATATACTACAGTTTGTGCAGTGATATCATTGTTACTAAAACATGACAAGGTATCCTCTGAAATCCGTTGCAACTGCAGCTGGTAGAAGACGGACAATTGCACTTTGCAGCTGCGACAGACGTGGCATCTGAGAACGGCGACGTCGGTCGGCGATACGCAAGGCAACAAACACATCGACTGTTTTATCTGGAGCTGTACTATGATATGAATCTGTGTCATAGCCTTACTTTTTGTTCATCAATGATGTACCACAGCCTATTTATGACCTGGGTGTCGGAAAAAGTCGATTCTTCTTCAATCCATTTTTCAATTTGATGTATCTTAGCAGCAGAACGGATCAAATCCATAGCGTAACACTGCAGTCAGCTGCTGCCGCCCCGAATAGCTAAAGCCTGCTGACTGAATTCGTGCGTGTTGTGCTGTGCTGACCGTCTTGCGTGCTGGGATTTTGTCTTTTATTATTTTTTTTTTTGCTCGCCCTTGGAGAACGCGGGGTATGCCTTTGGGTGATTTTATTTTTTTTGCCGCATTCTGAGGCGCTTTACCTGATTCGGCCATCTCCTCTGCAAAACCACGAGCCAAGACTAGCAACCCCGGTCCACTTTTGCTGTCGTTTTTCCATTGCAGACAAGAAAATCGACGCCGACCTCACATCTATCCCCCCGTTGTTCGTGTCTGCCAGATTTAGCAGTGTCGTCTCAGTTACCGCGCTTTTTCGTTGTTCGATATGGAGATCTGATACTTAACGCATTCTCAAATCCCAAGTTGCGTCCCCTTTAGTCTATCGCACGCTTTTCGTCGCTCGATTTCGAGTATCTCCCTCCGCCGTCTACCGCTGGGCTTGGAGCAGTGCCTCTGAAACTATATCCAACAAACATGGTCAGGAACATTGTTATTATTGGGGGTACGTCCCACCCACAGCTTACGCAAACGATCTGCAATCACCTCGGTGTTCCAGAGGCGAATGTCTTGCTCTCGAAATTTGCTGTCGGCGAGACTCGAGTGGAGATCCAAGAGTCAGTTCGAGAAAAAGATGTTTATATCATTCAATCGGGTGGAGGAAAAGTGAATGATCATCTGATCGAGCTGTTGATTACTATATCTGCTTGCAAAACTGCATCTGCAAAACGGGTCACTGCCGTGCTACCGTTGTTTCCTTATTCTCGTCAAAGTGATATCCCATACCGAAAAAACGGTGCCCCATTGGTCAAATCGTCAACTCAGCACCAGTTCACCTTTGAAAGTACTCCTTCGACACCGCAGCTCGGGAGTCAGGAAGGCCAAGCGATGACCCACGATGTAGAAAGCTTGCAGAAGAGTCTTGCCAAAGCTCAGATCGAACCTGAGGTGAACGGATCTCCCGTCAAGCGACGCCCTATCGGCAGTGGGGGAAAGCGAAGTGATACACTCGACTCCATTCGCTCGGAATCCAGCCTTCCCAATGGCGTGAACAATGAGGAGACAGCGAGCACGACTAGTGCTGCTGCTAGGGTTCATGACTTCGAACCTCGTCCTGGGTATCGACAGTGGGTTGCTCAGGCTGGGACTTTGATTGCAGATCTTCTAACTTCTGCCGGCGCTGATCATATTATCACAATGGACTTGCATGACCCTCAGTACCAGGGATTCTTCGATATCCCAGTTGATAATCTCTACGGCCGGCCGTTGCTAAAGAGATATATACAACGTAACATCCCCGATTACAAGAATACTATCATCGTCAGTCCCGACGCTGGTGGCGCCAAGAGAGCAACAGCTATTGCAGACTCGATGGGCGTTGAATTCGCGTTAATACACAAGGTAAGATCTCCACTCGATTTTGGATAGGGAATTAAGCGTGGTATGGAATTTAATGTTTCGATAATAGGAGCGACGACCTACCAAAATATCAGACAGACAGAATGCCACGATGATGCTTGTTGGAGACGTACGGGATCGAATAGCTATTCTTATCGATGATTTGGCAGATACCTCAAATACCATCACCCGAGCGGCCAAGTTACTCAAGAAAGAAGGTGCTGCCAAAGTCTACGCTCTCATTACTCATGGCATTTTGAGTGGTGACGCTATAGAGCGCATCAACGCTAGCGCTCTGGATAAGGTCGTAGTCACGAATACAGTTGACCAGGATGAACACTGCAGACGCTGCCCCAAGCTGGAAGTTCTTGAAGTTGGCAATATTTTCGCTGAGGTATGACTTAATTTGATGACTCAATGAAACGTATTTGACTCTTCTAATACATCTCCAGGCTATTCGACGTGTTCACCACGGTGAGAGCATCAGTGTTCTTTTCCAATATGACTAGTCTCTCGATGCTTTACTTATTGTCACGAATTTCCTTCTCTTCCTTCTCGCTGGAACCGTCGATTTGGCTAGAAGGAAGCTCAAGATCCGTCCTTTTGAAAAGAAACATTTAATATAACCAAGTGCTGGTCTATTGCTTCAATCTTTTTTTGCCTTTTTTTTTTCTCTTTCTCATTTCTTTTCATATTGCCCGGATTGTCAATTTCTCTCTATTATTGTCAACAGTAACAAAATCGTAGCGGGAGATATATAGACAATCTCGCTAACCATGTATAAGTATATGAAGTATAGGCAAGCTAATTGGTTTGGATATCAGAGATTTCAATCTAGAACCCAAAAATGAGAAATTACTTTAGAAACAACTCGGTTTCAACGATACCTTGTAATAACTTGCATCAATGCCTGCAAAGTTGAACAACAAGGTAGCGCTCCTCATTTTCAAAATTATGGACAGTTAGGTAGTAGCCGCAACACTTACTTGCACATAAGAGAAGAATCATACCGCCGAGAGAGAAGAGAAGAGGGAAAATAAGAATGAAGAGTATAACCCGGTATCTCCCTTCAATGTCAAGTGAAGGGAGCAAGAGATAAATCTTTCAAAAGCTCGATAAAATTGACATACATATGGGGTAAAGAAAAAGAACACAAGACGAATACGAAGAATATCATTAAATAATCGGCAAGACAGCTAGAACACAGAGATGTAATTTCCTATTCGCTCTTTTTGATGTTGTGCGATACACTCTGCAATCCAGGTAATGTTACGGATTTCCTAGCAACAGAAGAAAGGTCAGTTCCCTTGGTCAAGAGAGGTTGCGGAAAAGCAAGAAAGTTTCTTACCTGTTCCCGTAATTTTACCCAAGCATATACAATGGCGGTGGTGAATTGACGCGTAAAGACAACCTTACACAATTCCATCTCTTTCTGATAAAACAAGTCTTCCAAGCTCTTCCCATCGGAACTGCCGCCCCCTGACATACCGACGGAACCGCCTTGAGACAATCCAACAGCATCAAAGAAGGTCTTGTAATCTCCTACCCCGCTAACAGCAAGAGCAACACCCTCTACATCATCGGCTCTCGAAAGCATCAGCGAGCCTTCAGGGTATAATTTTCCAAATTCAGGGTAAAGCTTCTTCCGCTCTTGCTTAGATAGTTCAGTGCCAAACGAGTTCAAGGTGATGTTGATGGCTCGTCGGTCAGCCTCGTATTCGAGGATCTCCGCCATTGTCTCCTGCGTGGGAGTACCTTTAAGGTCTGAGTTTGTGTTGATGAAATTGTAAAAGTCCTCGAGGTAGTTCTTGTACAACGTGTTTCGAACGATTTCAATGTTCAATTCGTCCAAATCTTGATGGCTTAGGCTGCCTTTGAAGTATGGTGCCAGTGGGGTTTCAACCAGCACGGAATTATAGAGCTCCTCGATATTTGTTGCAACGCACAGCACAGGCAATGTCTCGAACCAACCTAGGGGGTGACAGCGCTCTAGAAGCTCACGGGTATCTCTCTCATGCAGTGTGCCGGTGATTAACAATGCGACGTTATCGATCATATATCCATAGGTCAGGTATTCCATGAACTTGGCGAATGAGCCTGTGGAATTGGCGTGAAGATATCGAAATTCAGCAACCATCTTGTCGGTCATTTTCGCAGCCAGAGCGGAGGTGGAGGGGTTTGGAGGTAGTGCAGCGAGGAAATCGCCGTACGCGGGGGCGAGTTGAAGCTTGACATCTATGTATAATGCGTAAATAGTCAAAAGTTGCTCTAGCATAGGCAGGTAGAAGCCAGCACGCACCATCTATGGTGTCACATTGGGTCAAGTTCGCATAGTGCTGGCCGGTAAGCAGACTGTTGCGATATCCGCGGACGATACCTTCGAGGTACCTGGAAAGGAAGTCGGGTTTCAGAACTAGTTCAAGGCCTTCAAAGTAGTTTTATTTGGATAAGAATCAGTCTCACCCTCCATTGACGTTAAAAAAGAGACCCTCCATGCTGGATGGCTGGCGGTACGATGATGTTTGTGCTTGGAGATGCGCCTGCCATTGGCCCAAAGCGAGAGAGCTCCGGGCGGCAGCGTCAAGTGTCTCTGCCGCCCGCCGTAACAGGCAGCTGACATAATACGCCGCCGCCAGCCACTCAGAAGCCGTCTAAGCTGTTGACCGCCCTCCACCCGCAACTTCTTCAAATTTTCGCGCCGAAGAGCAAAAAAAAAAAAAAGCTCTCCCACAGCCCGTCAGGTTGCGCCTTCCCCGACAACGACACCAACCTTGGAAGGACCTCCCAGTTTGGTCAAGTACGAAACAGCGGCTGTTGTCTTTTGCCCATCATGACTCTTTTTATTCTTACCGAGACCAGCGCTGGTTACGCTTTGCTGAAGGCCAAGGACAAGAAGCTCCTCAAGCGTGATGATATCGCTACTGAGGCCGCAACCCCAGAGGGAGTGTCAAATCTGTACGTCTACGTGATTCGTCTTTTCCTCGTGGGCGCTGTCTTCAATTTCTAGAGAGTTGCTTCCGGAATTGACCTCTGGGGTATGAATTATGAGAGGGAAAAAAAAACTAACAAGCGTTGTCTAGGCTGAAATTGAAATCTTTCCAGAAATTCGACAGTGCCACTACAGCGCTGGAAGAAGTCTCGGCTATTGTCGAAGGAAAAGTTACTCCCCGTCTAGCCAGTTTGCTCAACGAGATCAAAGATGAGAAGAAAGTCTCTCTTGCTGTCGCCGACCCTAAGCTCGGTAAGTCTGCCTTTTGAGTTCAACAAGATTGTTTAGTCCACAGTTAGTTCTAACGATCTGTTCCAGGTAACGCTATTGGTAAACTTCCTGGTCTTGATATCCAGCCCATTGCCGACTCGTCTACTGCCGACATATATCGTGCAATCCGCGAACACATTCCCACCCTTATCCCGGGGCTCGTTCCTGAGGATATCTCTGCCATGGCCCTTGGTCTGTCGCACTCTCTGGCTCGCCACAAGTTGAAATTTTCTCCCGACAAAATTGATACCATGATCATTCAAGCCATTGCTCTTCTGGATGACTTGGACAAAGAACTGAACACATATGCCATGCGTGTGAAGGAATGGTACGGATGGCACTTCCCGGAAATGGCCAAGATTATCAATGACAACATTGCCTATGCTCGTGTGGTCTTGAAGATGGGAATGCGCACCGAGTTTGAAAATACCGACCTGAGTGACATTTTGCCCGAGGAGATTGAAGCTGCCGTCAAGAACGCCGCCGACAAGTCAATGGGAACAGAAATCAGCTCCGAGGATTTGGAAAACATTCAGTCTTTGGCCGAGCAAGTTGTTGGCTTTGCTGAGTATCGCCAACAGCTAGCAAGCTATTTGACCGCGCGTATGACTGCCATTGCGCCCAACCTCACAGCACTTGTTGGAGAGCTTGTCGGTGCTAGGCTAATTGCGCATGCTGGAAGCTTGATGAACCTCTCCAAGAGCCCTGCCTCTACACTTCAGATTCTGGGTGCCGAAAAAGCTCTCTTCAGGGCTCTCAAGACCAAGCACGACACCCCTAAGTATGGTCTCATTTACCACGCTTCCTTGATTGGACAAGCAACCGGTAAAAACAAGGGTAAAATGGCTCGTATTCTCGCTGCCAAGGCCTCACTTGGTATTCGTGTGGATGCTCTCGCCGAGTGGGAGGAGGACGTTGCTGAAGAAGATAAGGCAGCCCTGGGTACTGAAGCTCGATACAACCTGGAACGTAAATTGGCCGCCATGGAAGGAAAGCCTCTGAAGCCCAGAGGTGTCAACATTGCGCCAAATGGCGCTGCCACGCAACCCAAGAAATTCGAGATCAACGAAGCCCGGAAATACAATGCGGATGCGGATGCCTTGAGCGGGGATGAAGAGCCTGCTACGACCAAATCTAAGAAGGAGAAGAAGGCCATTCAAGAAGAGAAAGAATCCGAATCCGAAGATCAGGATGAGGATGAAGAGATGCAAGATGCCGAGGAATCAGACGACTCTTCTGCCAAAAAATCCAAGAAGTCCAAGAAGAGCGACGCCAAGGATGATACCGAGAAGCTGGCTGCCAAGGCAGGTCTCAGCGTCAAGAGGTATCTACGCAAGCTAGAAAGAGGTGAGATCGACTCTGAAGGACATGCCATCAGCAAGAAGGACTTGAAGAAAGCCAAGAAAGAAGCCAAGAAAGCCGCCAAGGAGGAGGGCAAAAAGCGCAAGAGAGACGACGAAGATGCCGATGATAAGGCCGAGAAGAAGAAGAAAAAGAAGAAGAGCAAGGAATAAATGAAGTTTGCTTATTGGGTTTCTGGAAAAAAGTGATTCTCATCTTTGTATAATTCTTTTTGCTCTTTTCTTTTTGTCTATTTCTTCTTTTTGCTACTACTTATTTTTGTTGTTGGGTGGCATTTGGGGCGAAATTACTTGGTTTATATATGGCGCATAGTGGAATTTTTTTCTCTTTTCTTTCATATAGGCAATGATCATAATCAATTTGGTCGAATCTCATATACTACATTGGTATTTCCACAGAGGTACTTATTTTGAATGGTGCCCAAGCATTTGGCTGCAATTAAACGCCTTTCCTATGCAAATTAACACAACATGCTCTCCCCTTCTCTGATCAAGCTTTTGAAGGTTTTTTACGCACGTTAACCCAACGGTACCTAGAGCTAGAGCACCTCTCAAAGCTAACTAAATCATATTGATGCCATGCTGTTAGCAAAAAAAGTTATTACTGACTTGCCAGATTCTCATTCAAAATCGTCAAGATATTGATCACATCGTCATCCGAAAGCCTCTCACTCATATCTTCGATAAAACTCGACATCACAGCTTTGTCGCTATAATATGGATCTTCTTCCTCCTCTGCTTCGGCGCCATCCACTTCCATGGTATCTTCTTTCGCGACATTCTTCGTTCCGACACCGAGATTGATAAGCATCATAACCTCACCTTTTGTGAGATTGTAGGGGGCTAGTTCTCGAATCAGTTTCCGCAACGCATTGTCCAATGGTGTGGGTTCCGTCGGCTGTATGTACGGCTGTTGCTGCTGCTGTTGTTGGTCTGTGGATTCTTGTTGATCATTATTCGTGCTCGAATCTTTGGAGTCATGTGTATAGCGTGGATAGTTTAGAAGATGCGGGGATATGCGATCGACGTAGTTATGTATCTATTTTGGAGGGGAGCAAAAATTAGCACTTCAATGAGCTCTGGAATAGGTACGCAGCATCTTCTTTATGTGTTAACATACCTCTGCCACAACAGAACAATGTAATCTCAGATCTGGCTTTGGCTCATAGTTTCTAAAATTTGGAGGCCCTTCAGGCGATTTTCGAGGTGGATTCGAAGTCAGATAGGAAAGAACCTCGATGTTGGTCAGGGTTGCGGTTTGCGGATCAACGACCTTGTGTTCATTGTTTGTTAATTTTTATCTTCTGTGGTATTTTCCGAATAGATGAACATTATCTTGAGTGTACCTTCATTTTTGAATTGTGTGAATTGTACAGAAAGCGATATATGGTCTCTCGTGCAAGCAGAGAAAATGATGATTGATGCGTAGGCATTCTAGAAATCTTCGGCGGGGAATGAATTTTGCCGGCAGTATCTTTGTATTTGGCGGTTGACACTAAGGCGGTGAGTACCTAGGTATTTCCTGGCAAATATGGATACACACAGAAAAAAACAGAAAAATAGTATCTCAAATGTGTATACATTGCTAATATACATTGTGGAAGTCTTATAGGCTATATACCTTCGGCCTTTGCCTGATCTCAGGGATCAGAAGTCTGAGCCGGGTTTGAAATGACCATCCACAAAGTCACCTCAAAAAGGCAGTATAAAATGGTAATGAAGGAATAATGTGCAATGTCCCTAGCTCACTTGGAGTCTTCGCCCTCTTCCTCTTCCTCTTCCTCTTCTATTCCAAGCACTAATTTCTCTATTTCCTCTGTTTCGGACTTTGACTCCCCCAGCTTCTTCGTCTTAGGCCCTTTGCCTGCCATTAGTCTACCCCAGAGGTTATAGACCGCGCGAAGAGTACTAGATTTCTCTCCGCCCCAAGCTCCTAGTCCGTCACCGAATACTGCATCCTCAAAACCGGAACAAAGATCTTCAAAGCTCATCCACTCATCGTTGTCAGCCCACATGCCTCCTTTTCTGTCGGGATATTTCAATAAATCCGAAGCTCCTAACGCCGAGATCTGCTGAATTGGCTCGACTTGACCAGAACGCATATGCTTGCGTAACAATGCTCGAGACCAAGGATGGAACCACATATGATCCCAGTATGATTGACGTACACTAGATTCACCGTTTGTGTGAATGATTGCAGGTACTGCTGCAGTTTGTATGTATGTTGCCAGCGGAAGATCGTTCCAAGTAAAATTCCACGACGGGGGAATTACATCAATACTTGACATGTTCGCAGTTTTGCTAGTCAGGATGTTCAATGATTTGTCTTTCTTGAAGGGGTTCAATGGGTTTTGTTCGATATCAAGTGGCAGGTTTAAACGCACTTCTCGCGGGACTCCATGCTCTATTTGTACGGATGACGCCTTCCGGAAGTCACGGTACCGTAACCATTCTATATCGCTGGTTGTTTTCCTTGTATTGAGGAATAACTGGCCCTCATAATCAAGCCCAATCCCGTATTCATGCCGATCCCCCGGCTGTATGTGAGCGCGCACATTAGTGATATTGGAAGCTTCCGAGATCCCTACGAAATCCCAGAGCCATTCTTTGAAGGGGCTGCTGGTCTTTCGCCTTTCTGTTTCCCTAGAATATTCTTGGGCGCCAAAAATGTGGGTGAACATCATTTGGTCACCAGCACGTGACGGTTGCTTCTGCATTTCTTGCAACACTCGCTCGTAGAGAGGGATTAGATCGAATGTTTGGCCCATTATAATGCTAGATTCGATCCATCGAGGCCTGTTTTTGGTCCCATCATGTTTTTTATCCGTTTTGAGTCCGTATATGTCTGGTGGCAACGGCGACTGCGGTACGCTGGCACAGGCCGCAGTGTCGGTGAGGTTTGAATAGCAATCCTTTCGAGAAGCAAATAATACTCTTTGAGTGTATTTCTGAACGAGGTGATGAGTACCCTCGTCTTCGACGTTCCCAACAAACTTCATACCGTATTTGCTTCTTAGATGTTCATTTTTCTGGCGTGTTATTTCTCCGTAGCGATCGATGAGAATATCGGATGGCAATTGGAATAAGGTGTCGTCGCTATCGACTATTAATACAAGGTCTCTGTCTCCTACTCGTTTGTTTGTTTTTAAAAAGGTGAGAATCGACTGCACGTTTTCAATCGCAGCTTTGTTTGAGGTAGATCCCGTCCGCGGCTCGGGGTTCGGTTTGAGAAGGGTCATGGGTGGGTAGTCTAATATCATTGCAGAAGTGATTGTCCGGCATAGTTGAGGACTCTTGGGCGTCGCAGATACGAGAACGTGGAAGGCGGAATTTGAAGGGTCAAAAGGCGGAGGAAGTTCCCAATCCTGATTTCCAGGGACTTGGATATTAGGAGCCGAGCTGTCCTGCACTACATCAGACCATCATACTTTTCCAACAGGGTAACTGACGAAATAACTTACTCTCCTGGAGCTGTAAGAAAACAGGCAGAAAATAAACAAGACAGAGCCGACAGTATAGATGATCACTCTGGATATACGCATGCGCGGCATGCGTAATGGGATGTGAGGCAGATTCCTCCATGGCGAGCCAAAGCGGCTGAGCTCGAACATGGTGCGGCGACGACTCTCCCTAATCGGTACAAGTTTATTGGAAACGACACGGGAGAGTCATCTTTTTTTTAATCCAATCGAGACGAACAGTTCTGATGCAGCTGTACACAGAACACGCAAGTTCTGGTCGTTTTAAGAAGTTATGAAAGAGGAGAACGTAAAGACCAACGAAGGAAGCCACAGCTTGGCTAGTGGGCCCGCTGCTTGGTTAGTGCTTTGTCACGTGTGGGTCTTCCCTTTTTGCTAAGGGTCAGGGATATCCATCCCATCTCTAATTTGTGGAGTACGCACTCACTACTGAAGCACACAATCGTTGGTATCATTACAATGTACACAGGGTTATACATCGCTATAAACATCAGCAATGAGCCCTTAGGACGAGCCCAGCTACTCTAAGTAGATTTCGTCGCGAATACGCTGGAGGTTTCGGAATAAGCCCCCGCCAGGCCCGCTATCAGTGTTGGAGCGTTCCTCGGCAATCTGGTCCATCGAGGATCTCCCCTTCTTCGATGCACGCTCCCGTTGGTTTTCCAAAGCCCTGCGTCGGTCCTCAATGATCTTTGCAAGGCTATCTAGAAAACGGGTCCGAGCCTTGTCCTCTGCCGTGCCTCTCCAAACAGTTCCGAGATTGCGCAGTGCTTCGAGTCGCCTTGTGGCTGCAGCTAAGCCAGCATCCCCGCCCCCCTTACTATTCAGGAGCTCTGTTATTTCCGTGCGGAGTTTTTTAGCGATTTCTTGCCCTCGCTCCTCACGGCTGTGACTCTCGGTACCAGGTTCCGGTGCGGACACGGATATAAACGAAGAAGTAATCGACAACTCCGACGGGGGAAGTGGCCACTCCATTGCATCTCCGAATGTCTGAATAACCTCCTCCAGTCGAGCGCGCACTTGACCTAAGATCCGCAACTGAGCGATATACTCTGGCTCCTCGGGGAGTTTGGCAACGGAACCCGCTTTTTCGCGCTCTGTTCCAATGGCCCCCCCCTTGAGTTCATCCTCCAGTTCACCCTCATTCTGTACTTCCGGGACAAACTTGATAATGTCCTTGTGTAGGGTTTCAGCTAGGGTGTCGGCAAGACTAATTGACTCGCCTCGTAGCACTTCCACTTCGTATGCCAATCTACCCCCGCTTCGTAGGATTTCCTCGGTGAGCTGTGTCAGGATCCCAGAAAGTCGGACATTCTGGGTACTTGTTTGTGAGACAAGCGACTGGCTTCGTGATGAAAGCTCGCCTAGGGACACCGAACCTGGTGCTCTCGAGGCATGCGGCTGCGAGGCGGATAATGTTAATGGCGGGAAAGAGTCGTTGATGAAGTCAATAGGATCGAATGAGGGGTCGGCGAAATGTCGCAAGGAAGGCTCTAATTGATGCTGTGTGCCATTATTACTAGTGCCGGCGGAAGATGTTTGCGATGAATGAGCCATCGATATCAGTTCGGAGTCTTGCGTTAAATCTGCATATCGACTAGCTTCTAGTAGGCCCTGAGTAAATAGAGACGGAAATAATGGACAACTTGAGCTGATTTGGGGGGAGCAGAAGATGTTGATGCGAAGGTCAGATCTGCCAGAACCGAGCAGCCCACGTAGACGTACCGTGAAACACGCCGGGCCAACTTTCTTCCGGGGTTTGCTTTCATCTGCCCAAGTATCGCCAACGACAGCCATATATGCACACCTCAAGTTGCTTTACAGGCTGCGAGTGTCTATACTATGGTGCAAAATAACTTGCTTAACTGCGCCTTTTCTTTCCCCCGCAAGTACCAGACGTCTGTTGGCCATGCAGCTCTACAGAAGGAAGTCGACCCAAGACCCAAGTATGCCTATATATCTAGGTACACCATCAAGAAGAGACTCGATCGGACTGAAGGGTCGCTGGGACCTGTCCTGATGGTATTGTAGCCCAGGGAACACAAATCCAGCCGTTTGTGAAATATCTGTGCGTAGATATGTCAAAGAGACGGAAACAACCTCCAGAGGTGATGTGCCTAAGGCTACCATCGTCTGCCTTGTGGTGGTTGACCAACCTCCAAGGCCGCAGGCAACAGCACACCTTGCTGCTTCTCGACAACGGCCACGGGTAGTTTTCAGTTTTCTTCTTGCACTGACTGATCCTTCACTTGCTGACAGACACTGTGAAGTGGGCAGGAGGAAGAGGGAGTTGCGCAGGCTATTATCTCATTGACTCTCACTTCATTCTAAGCACCCGCTGGCTTTGTCCCAATCCTTCGTTTGAAACTTTCAAGATACCTACTACGCACTTCTTACTGCCTTGAATCTTGTCCCCTGTATGAAGCTGCCCTGATCCCATGCCTCGAAAACAATTTGTGCAGGATCTGGAGGAAGTCAGTTCTGCTGGCATATTCCCAGGTGTTCATGGGATAAAACGAGGAGATGATGATGAATCAATATGCTTTTCCTTTTCCACATCAGCAGACCCCCTGTTGACCGTGGATTTTCAAGCTGCTGTATCAGGTAGATGAAACCGCCTATTAAAACCGAGAGAGAAATGCTAACGTTACTCCTAGACCTCTCTGAATATCCACATTCACATAGATACCTGATCTATTCGACTTCAGCTACTGTGCCATCCGCTGTTGTCGATGTCCTTGATGTTGTTCAAGCTGCTGTTGCAGGAGCACCACTCTGTGACCTCCTCAATACCATCAGTGATGCATTGGAGAAGGCCTTTTCTATGACCAACCATGAAGATACGCCCCGAAACCTGGCAACCGCCGACACACCCTCCGTTGAAGATATTACGTTTTTGGGTTCTGATTATGAGATGGACTGGGAGGATGAGTTCTTCGACGAGGATCAGCAGTTCTTTGGGTCAGATTATAAAACCTCGGGATCATCAAAAAAGCTAAGCGCTGATCTCCGTGTTGCCAAGGCAGCCGGTTTCAAAGTGGGTTATCTGGGAGACACAAATGGATCCGTTATCGTTTCAATATCGTGCCGTATAGCGAAAATGATCATTTCAGAAGAGGCAATGCAGGCATGGGATGTACAACCATCTCAATACCTGGTACTATTACTTCGCTATCCTAATGGTTATTTCAACACAAAGAAGATACTGGGAATGAATAATGCTTCGTCATCGGTACAAATGCATGTCGGTCTTTGCGCCTCCTACAAGCCAAGCATGACTGAGGCTTTTCAAGCATTCACACGCACCTCTGCTATTCCCATGTCAGACTCGAAGCCTCCATCCGAGTCTCAAGAAGTTGGGAAGTTGCAACCACTGTTTCTAGAGGCACCTTTAGTGTCACTTCTCAACGAACGATTTATCGCAATACTTAGAATCAGACATCGTCGGTCTTTCTCGTGGTCTGGAGCAGAATCATTCTTCAACCAGGGCCAAGGCTTGATGGCAGACTGTAAAAAGCCCCAGGACTCTTCGCAATATCATGGCGAGGCTGATTGCGGTGAAACACTACGACACTTGGTTCAAAATGACCATTTTGTCGACTCTGATGATCTAGAGCTGCTTTCCTTCCCATTGCTGGCAATGCAGTTCACCTTGCGACATTTCGTGAAGTGCACGAAATTCTGCCTTGTCTGCCATTGCAAAATCGACGCTAACTTTGAAGCGCTGAAACCGTATGTTTGCAGCAAACCTTTGTGTCTGTTCCAGTATATGTCACTTGGTATGGGCCCTAGTGTTGAATGGGAGATTCGCAGACAGCCTCTCGTAGTTGACCTGCTCATTAGCTTTGCGTTTGCTAGCGCTGCTGCCGGAAGCATGGTCGATCTCCCAACTGGTCTTAAAATGATGGTACCTCGCATTTATGATAAAAAGAGTCTACGCTCTGGTTCCTTTCAACGATCAGATATGCAGCTCACGGTCGAAGCTAGCGAGAAGGAGCCCTTTTTGTCACCTGGCGATTGGATTCTTATAGAGCTGCCTGGATACGGGGGAATTCATCACTGGCATTGTCGAGTTGAAGGCACAAATTCATGGCCTGTGGTTAACATTTCAGAGCCGATTGTACAACCATTGGACTGGAAAAAGTACGGTGATATAAAAAGCTCTCTAAGTATAAAATATATCGTACATGACACGAATTTCGATGACATGGAAGATGGAGAGAATAAGCAGAAAGTTATTTTGAATCTCCTCAAATCACTCCCAGACGTTCTCACAATGAAAACGTGGTTGGACTCAGAACCGTCAGGCTCTACTAGGCTTTTGTCTTCGTGGGAGAAGGTCCCACCTGCTGCGCTTGATCTTCTACGGTGGATTGTGGCATCCAACACATCCTGCATCATGCAAGATGGGGATATTTCGAAGGGAAACAAGTCAAGTTATAACTTCATCTCCGGCATGGGTGACTACTTACAGTTCCGGTTCGCTCAAGGCTCTCCCGACAAGGAGGAGAAATTCATGTCTGCAGTACGTGAAGTCAAGTCTGAATATCCAACCATTTTCGCTTGGCATGGAAGTTCAATTTCCAACTGGCATGGAATAATTAGAGAGGGATTACATTTCAAGAAGGTTTCCAACGGTCGAGCTTATGGACATGGTGTTTACATGGCTCAGCATTTCTCTACATCGCAGCAGTATACCGGCCATTGTATACCGGAAGCATGGCCAAATACCGTTTTGAACATCAGCCATACCCTCTCCTTGAATGAGGTTGTGAACAAGCCCAGCAAGTTTGTTCATTCTTCTAACGGGATATACGTTGTGGATCAGATCGACTGGATTCAGACTAGATATCTGTTTGTTAAATGCGAAGCGGAGGTGGCGAAGCTCATGAATCAGCTTAGAGACGTGCCCGTAGCAAAGGATGCCGGTCAAAAGATCTTTTATACTCAGGATCCCAAATACATTGTCAGTGGAAGCCATTCGCAAAAGATTCAGATTCCAATCACTCTGTTTGGTCAGAGTCGATGTCGTCTTCAAGAGCCAAAAAAGGTTCCTAAAGGGAGCAAAAAGGAGGGCAAAAAGCGAAAATCAGGGTCTACTGAGGAGAATAATAATGAATATGCAGACGATGACGACAACATGAGTGTGGCAACATTAGCGGAAGATATCGAAATTTTGTTTTCAGATGGACCTTGCGAGGGCTCAGAGAAAAGAGACAAAGGAAAGGAAAAAGAAGGATCATTGAACAAGAAAGCAAAAGAGGCAGCCACCACGACGGGCTTCGAGCCGGGCGCACTGACCGAGTCCTCAATAACCATTCTCCAGCCACCGTCATATGCAACAAGTTCTGCCACAAAGGCGCTTCAGCAACGGCTCCTCCAGGCGCTCAAGGTGCAAGAAAAGGAAGAATTAGATGAGCTAGGATGGTATATCGACCCTCAACTTATCACCAACCCTTACCAATGGATCGTGGAGCTCCATTCCTTCGAACTCACGCATCCACTGGGGAAGGATCTCCACAAGGCCAGAATACAAAGCATTATCCTCGAAATGCGATTTCCATCCGACTTTCCCATGTCGCCGCCATTTGTCCGAGTCATTCGCCCGCGACTACTAGAATTCAATCGCGGAGGCGGCGGCCACGTCACTATGGGGGGAGCATTGTGCATGGAATTACTTACTAGTTCAGGCTGGTTACCGACCTTTTCAATTGAGAATTTGCTCCTCTCAATCCGCCTGGCGATGTGCTCCATGGACCCTAGGCCAGCGCGGTTGTCATCTGGCTCAGGGGTGCAGGACTATTCAGTTCATGAAGCTGTGACTGCCTATATCAGGGCTTGCGGCCAGCATGGATGGAAGATTCCTGAGAACTTTACGAAGATGGCATGGTGAATTAATTTTATTTTTCTTTTCGTTTCTTTGCCTCCCAAATTAGCTACGTGGTCCAGGAGATAGAATTTTTGTTTCGCATTTCGGGTCTTGGTCTTTTTCTTTTTTTTTTTAGGTGGCTAGTCCAAACATGTTGAAAGATTTTTTCTTATAAACGAACATCAATAGCTTATAATGGACGCACTTATTTTAGCTCTTTGTCATACTTTCCGACTGATGCAGTCCGTGGAATACAGAAATCAAGAAGTTAGGGTCAAAAAGTACGATTAGTTCCTGACATACGGTTACGCCACTGGAAAGACAATACAATCATTTAGCAAAGGGTATAACTCGTTAAATGAGGACATAAGTTGGTTGGGGTATAAGAACATAAAAAAAAGTTGAGGCAAAACACGCGTGATCCTAATCATTGCAAAATGTGGTAGAGAAATCACCTACATCCAAGTAGGATGTTGGGTAATTTAGATGTTCTCGACAACGCGAGCATTGACAGCACGCTGGAATCCGTCATCGTGCTCATTGTTCGCATCCCAGGTGTTACCCTGAGTCTGGTATTTGCTTGGTCCTTCGCCGAGATTATCTGCCAATGCAAGTGATTGCGAGACCATCTGGCCAGGGGCAGGCAAGAAAATAACCTTGCTGTTGGCCGTTTTAGCCATGGCTTGCATGGCCTCTAGATAGCGGATTTGCATGGCCGGAGCAGAAGAAAGAATGTCGGCAGCTTGACGCATCAATTTGGCGGACTCCACCTCGGCGCGGGCGGCAATGACCTTGCTCTCACCAATTCGCTTAGATTGAGCAGCCATTGAGAGAGAATCTTGCAAATCATTACTGAATATAATGTCCTTGATCAACATGGATTCAACTTTGACACCCCAACCGGCAGCGACGTCTTCGATTATTTCGCTTATTGACTGGGCGATCTCCTCGCGGCGCTCGATTACATCTTGCAAGACACGCGCACCCACAACATGGCGTAGAGTTGTTTGCGTCCGCTCAATCAAAGCTTGGCGAACATCGGCAATACCAAAGGCTGCTTTGTGAGGCGAGATGATGTGGTAATAGATCACAGAGGTCAAGTTCAAGGTGACATTATCTTTGGTCATGCAGACCTGGCGAGGGACCTCGACAATTTGAATTTTCACGTCCACGGTGGTCAATCTCTCGCTTAAAGGGTTAACTTTGACAAGACCTGGATCGACAGCACGTTCGAAGCTAGAATGTTTCCAATGCGAGTCAGTCTGCTTTAATTCTGAACATAGTATCGCATATACGCAAATAGCGCTATTTAGTCCGAACTTACCGGCCGAATCGCCTAATTAAACCGACTTCGCCTTGAGCAACCGATTTGAAGGGGTTGGGACAGAAAACACAGCAGGGAACAGCGCCCAGACAGCCAATACATTCACCGATGCCGTGAACTGTGCAGATGGATGCGTTAGTAAAACGGGACCACAAAGACGCGAGGACAGCAAGAAGCGTCACGTACTAAACGAGGCATACCAGCCATGGGCATCTGGGTTGTCGTCGCTATGCTTGATCTGCTGGGCATAGCTGGGCTGGAGATCTTCGGCCCTGGCGGGCTGGACTTGCACCAGGCTGGACAGCGGGGGTTGGACAGGGGGTTGAGCTGACTTGCCATTGGCAAGGTGGCCGTTGGCAGAAGACGACATTTTGGCAAATAAGTTCAGATGAGAAGGATGGACTCTGGCAGAGGATGAAGAGACAGGCCGGAGACATGCGATACTTATACTTGTCAGGAAGGACCCCACACATGGAAGCCACGACTGTCAGCAAATACGGGGAAGGCGCAGACCCGCCTCACTCGCAGCTGCAAGAGCGCCCGGAGTGCGCCTTCCCACTGGCTCAGACTGCTTTGTGGAGCAGTGTCCTAATACAGTATAGCTTTTGTTCCTGAAAAGGAAGGCGGTCTTTTCAAATGCCCGACGTTCTTGGCAACCCTTTTCGGCGTAGCTCTACGGAATCACAGGCCCTGAGACCTCATGGTATCTAAATTAGGCAAAGCTCCATATTATCTTTCTCGGTTGTGCCGGCAGTGAGTTCGGTTCGGCTCTCCAATGGCGTCATTGCTCTCCGTTGCTGAGCAGGCAAAATCGCGCATTATTGCGAGAAACTTTCCTGCACAGCCTGGTGGAGCGCGGCTCTGCGACGCGGTTTGGACCCGTTTTCACGAGGCTATTCTGCGTCTGATTCACTATCAGTCTATCACACTAATCACTAGATGAGTCCGTTGGCGCTAATTGCTGCTTGGATGACGACCATATGACTGTATGCTTGGGGGCCGTCTAGCTGATGAACAGATCGTATGATTGTCATTTGTTGAATGCTGCATGCTGTTCTTAGATAAGAGTCATTCAATGGCCCGACATCGACAGCGGCCGGCAGTCAGGATGATGATAGCCTCACGGCATATCGAAATCAGCCATATACAAAAATCAGCAGGCGTAGGTCAGAAACTATATATTGCGTATAAACTCATCACGCGATCTATAAAGCATAAAACAATATACTTGGAAGAGACAGAATACGAATGTCAAAACAATAACCGGGGAATCAAAAATACCGTCCCTTGTTAGTTATCCAGGGGACGATGAAGAAGTGAAAGGAAAAAAAAAAGAAAAAGAAAACCCCCCGCCCCTTTCATCGTGATCAGTCGGCAGTAGCAATCACAAACATATTATTCTACTGGTTAACCTTCTCGTTGACTACCTCCTTCGTCTGCTCTTTCTTGTCTGCCAGATAATCGCTCAACCAAGCTAGTGACTCCTGCGAAATCACCAGTCCGGTGGTGATGACGGCCTTTCCGCTGGCCACATAGCCATCGCCGCCGCACTTCTTGTACTCTGAACCGTACGTGTCAAAGACATGCTTGCGTGTGTCATCGGCAAGACGGAACGGCAAGTAGGCGGTATCAACGATTGTATTCTTGATCTTGTCGGCGTCCTCCTTCACGATGGGGAATCTCTCATCCACCTTGGTCAGGCCCTGGTCGCCAAGAGAATCGGCTTTGGCGAGATAAGGCGCAACATAGGCGTAGGGAGTTGACAGGTAGGGAAAAAAGGGCTTCGCAATGCGTTCGTAGCCTTGGTCGGCATATTTGAGAGAGGTGGCTCCGTATTTGTTGTTCTTAAAAGTGGTAATGGAGTCCGAGACCACGGGGTAGGAGGTCAGATGCTGTCCAAGATTGAATGGTTAGAATGGACCATAGTGTTACAGTTAGTTGGCTGGTATTTCGGGAACACTCACAGAGAGGAATTGAGAGTAAGGCTTCTCGCCATTGACTACGGGCTCACCCATTGTATCTCTCTCAGCGTGGGGCATGAGGTTGCGACTGGCATTGTCAGTCAGTGTCTGCGGCGGCTTGAATGGTGGGACAATACTAAATACAAGAATAAGCGATCGATCTTTTATTGTGCCTTACTGGGTAACTGCTCGGACGTAGAGGCGATTGAGTCAAAGAGAGGGTGTGACACAGACACACAGGCGAGGTATATATCTTTGAGGAAGGGAGAAAGGAGGAGGAGATGGGAAGATGAAAAGAAGTGAGAGAAGAAAGAGGGAAAAAAAAAAAAAGGGCAGCCTGCAACGTCAACGACTGAATGCGTTCAAATCTAGAAGGCGCGCCCCTCTGGGCTCTCACATGTATCTGGGCCAGCCGGCCAATCAGCGCACGCAGCAGAGCACGCAAGCGCCATAAAGCATTCGCCTCTTGCATGTGATCAGCGGCCGGGTCTCTTTATGTTTTTCTGTTTTCTGTTGTTTTATTTCTATCTTTGTTCTTTATTCTTTTCTGCTTCTCTATTCTCTTCGCTACAACGAGCATTTCTCTCGGGAATTGACCAGCCTACCTGTATTATTCAGCTGTAAGGGCTGGCTGCTGCTTCCAGCCCAAGAGAACTGCAGCGGAAACCGGGAAGTGAGTGAGTCCTTCGTTATCAGGCAAAAATGGTTACGTAGTTGCATTTGCATGTGACAGTGGGCCGCCGTTTTCCACTTCCAAAGCCCTCGTCTTGCCTATCTGGGCTTAGCGCAGCGCATGTCATCTAACATTCTGAATTGCTTGCTCTGAGACTCTGTTCCTATAGGCATTTACCGAGTACAGCAAAGGCAAAGCCGGCTCACACACGCTGCCTGCGGCGAATGTCCAAGCACTAGCTCCTGCATATACTAACTAATCGACCACTAGCCATTGATTGGCATTCCAGTACCATCAACATGGACTAATGCGGCGCTAAGCTGATATCTGTAGAGGGTATACCTCTTCCGCTCTTTGTGATTCGCGTACCCGAATCTAGAGCAAAAAAGAACACCCCGCAACCTGTGCCATGGCAAGTTTTGGTTTCACTGATAACATGTACATCACCATTATCGTCGCCAATGACACGACCGCGTGCAACGGTGGCTTGGAGGAAACCCAATTCTGTGGTACATGAATGTAGGAAAAGTCGGGAGAGTCGAAAGAAGCGCTTTGATTGCATGGCGCCGACATTGATACTGATCCCAATTTGCAAGGGAATCTTGCCACCTGAAACCTGGGGGAGATAGGAACAATCATCACTTCAGAGCAACTCAACGAGAGAACTTCCTTGTAGCTAATTGAAAAAAAGAAGGGGGGGACTGAGAGATTCGTTCCACGTGAAAGTGGACTGCCTCATCATGTACATGACAGGTCACTGAGTAATTAGTTGCAATGTGCATGTGTGTGCATGCGCAATGACTCGACCAAGACATGCTACAGGGTTTCAAGATCAACCGGTCTCCAGACATTCTCCGCACTCCGGAGTACATTCGTAATCGACATCCAACTGATTAACGCGTTAGCCCATCCATTGACTGATAAAGTAGAGAGAGATATGATCGTAGGATCATAGATTCTACTGATATATAGAGCAAGGGAAGAAGAGTCCAGAACTGAACTGGTAATGCGTGGTATTTTGATTCATCGCAATTGACGCCAAAATGATAACATGACGGCTTCTCTCATAAGATAAGAAACAGTTTTAAGAAAACAAAAAAAAAGAGAATATTTTCTTGTCTTCATCTTTTTCTTTTTTTTTGTTTTCCTTCTTCCTTTCATATTTCGCAACATGAGTCCCAATATTTTCAGAACTTGGAGATATTCAATACACATCCCATTCCTTTTTCAGAAACTTGAAACACGTCCGTTTGAGCTGGTCGAGCCGCTTCTGAGGGATGACTTGGAAAGTTTTAAGAGAACAAAAAAATATGAATTCGCTTCCACTTTAAATCGTTCCCCATTTCATGTTGCTCCTATATGCACCCGAATGCCCTCCATCACACCGTGAAAACTTTTATTAATTTAGAAACCTGTAGTCGAAAGTTGTCAGTAGGCTGAAAGAAACCGATATCACCATGATCAGATCCTTGTAACTTACGCAGAGGTGTGAAGAACCATCGGTTCTTGCCGCTCTGGTATCGCTCCTCGAGAGCCTTCTTGACGGTCTTCTTGGCATCCTCGCGCTGTGAAACCTCCTTGAAGGTGTCGTTGCTGACAACTCCCTTGAGTCCTTCGAGCTCGAGTGTGTAACGGGTGGGCATCAGGTGGTTGTAGTTGACAACCTTGATGAAAGGCTTAATGCGGCTGCGCTTCTCGACCTTCTTGGTACCCATGCGACGGGTGACCTTCAGGGGATAACGCTCGATACCGGCAACGAGGGCATAGGAGAAAGGGTGGGCCTTGGAGCCGGTGTCTTGAGGCTGAATGATGACGACCTAAATCCGCGTTCAAACTTGATGTCAATGATTCGCTCATAGAAGAGAAAAAAAAAAGAAGCCAAGTTGCATCCCAATGAACAAGTCCCATTCTTCTTTCTTTTCTTCTTTTATTTTCGCGAATTCCAATTGTCCCATTTAGTCGCTTTTCGTCCACCCGATTTGTTCTTTTCTTCTCTTTTCAGAAGCGAATGTCCATCCGTATCATGTCCAACTCAAGAAAGCAAGGGGAGAGAAGAATAACAGTTGTAGTCGTACCTTCTTTCCGGCGTAACGGCCTCGGGTGATGATGGCCACACGGCCAACTTTCATGACTATATCATCGCTGTTAGCTCGACAATCCGATGCAAATCTGTCGTATCACTGAGACTGGAAAGAGGCAGACTAACACTTCATCTCGAAAGTTCCCGTCGATGTGTGGTGGTTTGTCGAGGTTGATCGATCGCGGGATCAAAGTGTCGTGACGGGCCGGGCGTTCAACTTCTTTTTTCGCTTAGGAAAGTCAGTGGACGGCCAGGGCTCTAGGGCAAGACGCCCGCCGGGTTTGTGTGCTCGCCGTTGATTGGGTCGTTTAATGGATCATGTGACTGGAGCCCGCGCCAAGACGCTTGCCCTGAATGTGATCGCTGCCTTGCTGCCTTGCGGCCTTGTCTCGGCCCCACAATAGCGTACCACGTCAGAAAACCGCGTCAACCAACCTCCAACTAAGAAACCGAGTATCAAACGAGCTCTATGATGCTTTCATGGATGAGCCAGCTTTGAATATATATTCTGCTTTTCGTGTCATGTTCGTGCTGTATTTACAGATTTGCACAAAAGATAAGACCTCTTTTCCGCCGGCTCAAGACCACTCGAAAAGACGACGGCTACAGCACTTGGCTTTTTGCTAAGACGTACTCGTAAAGAAGAAAACAGACTAGAGTTTATTTTAGTTATTTAGTGTCTAGTCTCTTAACTGAAATAAAGATCAATTGTCCCGTGTGGGCACGTCTTCGACATTTCCCCTCCTGAAAATTGACTGGGATAGATGCTCTCCACTACGCTGATCTGCGAGGTAACAGAAGCAATCACTAAAGGACTGGCTACTGAGAACTTGAACTACAGGCTGCCTCTTGTCTTCTTCGCTGACCCTTCTTGGGCCGCTCGTAAACCTTCGTCGAGAGCTAGCTGTTTCGCAGCCCCTATGCCTGCGAGTGAGCCTTGGTAGAATGTAAAATCAGTTATATTGAGTTTTTATTTTAATCTTGTTGAAGTTGCAACCTACCACTAGCCAATGCAACCGGGATCGTCCTTGTAATGGTTGAAGTATCACCTGCAGCAAAACACCCATCGAGACTGGTTTCACCGAAGTAACCTTTACAGATGACATGGCCGGCCTTTGCATGAGTCTCCAATCCAAGGCCCGTGATGAGATGTTCTGCGCGGTTCACACTGAGAGGGTGGCTTAACAGCATCTTGACCTGCTGATCCAGGCCGGTCCTAAAATGGAGTCGGATTCCCACGCCCTCTGGGTCCTCTGATATGGATTCAATTACCCTGTTATCAAACTTTGCCCCTCGAGCCGCTACCGTATCAAGAGCTTCCCTAGTGTCTAGATCAATAGCGTAGGATTCGCCGTTGGTATAAATAGTCACGCCGTCTGGAGCTAGGGGAAAAGCCATAAGCACAGGCAGGAGTTCTGCTGGCGATGGAAGACCGAGAACACCCACACGGCCTCCTAGAAATTCATACCCATCACAGAATAGACAATGAACACTGTGTAACAGTCAATCAGAAAAAAGCTATAACATATTGATCATTCCCAGCATACATTCCGTGGCCCCATTGCTCCTTGTAACCTTTGATAGCAGGCATGATATCCTTTGTCCCAGTTGCCAGAATCAATTTGCGCCCAATCCAAGTAGCCCCCTTGTCGTTGGTCACTTCACAAAGCTGAGTGGTCTCACGATTCATATTCCTGGCCGTTGTGATATAAGTGTCAATGAACGTCAGAGTCTCGTACTTTTCCATCATCTCTTCCACCGCCGATGTACGGTAGATGTCTCCTCTTTCGCCGTCATGGTGAAGGACGTTGGGCATCATGGGAGCCGCTTCGCTACGGTATTGCTGCGAGTCAAAGATGGCCACAGTTCGACAAGCCCTCCCAAGCGACATGGCCGCAGCCATACCGGCTGGTCCTCCACCGATAATGAGAACATCGAACATGTTGCTATGTCTAAGCAGAGAGATGATAGATGGAAATCGTAGTTATTCAAGAGAACCCAGTCCGTCGGAAAGCACATGTTATTATATATAATGTATTACTACGAACTTTTAGGGCTAGCCTGGCCCGGAGTATTCTCTGGGAGGATAAAGTATCCGTACGGAGCATTAGTGATCTGAAAGTCTCCGTGGCGGATGACATACACTCAAGAGTCTCACCTTGGAAGCATTTTTTGAACAAAAAGCGCCATGGATAATCCAACCAATAATGATGATAGGGCTCCAGCCCGTACCTCATGCGATCCCTGCAGTACGACACGTCGTCCCGTCACTTGGATTTCGAACTGACACATGTGCTGGCCAGGAACCAAGAAGGTCAAATATACAGGGGAGCATCCTGTATGCTCCAAATGCCTGGCCGCGAATAGGGAGTGTGCATATTCAAAACAAATGCCATTGGGACGACCTAGAGGTCGAAATACCCCCCGCCGCCAAAGTCGGCAGAACGTTCCTGGCATTCAAGACGTACCTCACCAGGACACGGCCACCACCATCCGTGGGGCGTCTACTTCAGCAGACGACTCCACGCAAACCACAACAAGGGCGCCTTACTTGTTGGATTTTCAGACTTATAGGTATGGCGTCCAATCACTTGTCTGGTAATGACACTTGCTGAGTACGAACCTCCAATTGACAGGGAAGGAGGAGGTGGCACCTGTGCATGCCTCTCTGTGCTCTATCTGCTCCTGGAGGAGCTTAGGAGAAAAGACCGTTTCTCTGTTCCCGATGACCTGCATTTATTGCAGCACTGTGTTCGGTCTGCATTTCAGATACTGAATTGTCAACAATGTCCCACCCGTTATATCTCTATCATCCAGAATGCCATGCTCCTAGGTTCGTTATGCGTGTGTATTGCGGCATGCTACGCCCAAGCGCTCCAGGAAGTTGATATAGAGGAACAGCGGGCCAGTAATGCAAATCAGCAAAAGCAGTTACAAATCAAAGCCGTGGGCACTATCAACGTAGAGCAGACCTTTACTGCCCAGGAATACTCATCGTCATCGTCATCATCATCATCATCATCTTCTTCTTCTTCTTCACCTGCCCCTTCTACTTCGACTTCGTCCTTCACAGTTGAAATAGCACCCGCCGAATGGAAGAACTTGATGCGTGCTACTCTGAAGGCAGAAATATTTGGGATTCAAGGCTCGGAAGAAGACTGTTTTATAAGACTCATCGAGAGATTAGAAGAACGCCAAATGCGTTGGCATGAAGTACCTCCTGCATACGACTGCTTGCCTACGTACCGACCATTGTGTGATCCGACTTGTCAAGTGCCAACTTGTCTGCAGGTTGTCAATGAGGCGAGGAGAATATTGGATTCTCTGAGCCTATACTGACTTGGCATAGCACACAAGGGCACCGAACCCTCTCTTTTTCTTTCTTTTTTTCTTAGAAGAATAGGTGTAATTATGGAACAAGAATGTATATATGAAACGCCAATGAATTATACAATGCATCATACCATTTGGCATTATAGAAATACACTTTCTGCCCTAAGTGTATGCGGTCAATCATCTATCCTTGCAAGCAATGCAGACTTCGTGTTTTAGCAACTAGTCGAATCCACATCCATTGTGGACGACATAGCGTTCGAACGCAACTCTCACTCTTCAGACTGGTTGCTCTTTGATCGGGCTCGAATTCGAGCTCCGTATCGCCAGAAGACTGCTGGAACAGGAATTATGATCACAGCAATGAAACCGACCAAACTGGTAGCCCAGTCAACGCCGAGTTTATGATACATGTAGTCAGCGAAAAGAGGAAATGCTGCACCAAAGACACTCCTTACGGCACCGTTCGCAGCCATCGCACTGTTAGCGGCGCTCGTATAGCAGTCAATGATATAAGTAAAGCACTGAATAAAGATAGTATACATTCCCCATCTGATTAGGAAACCGGCGCAGACCTCACTTGGCCAGGCAATTGACGGGCTAGATGTCCACGCATACCAGAATAGCCCGACAGGCACAAGACAGCCGCCAAGTATCATCAAGGGCAAGCGGTCTTCAGGCTTAACCACGCCATCGTTTGCCTCCACCTTTCGCTTGAAATAGGTTTGGGTGTAGATAATAACCACCACCGTGCCCATCAGTATGCCGACGATGATCCCAAGCAGGGGAAGGGTAGCAATCCCCGCGCTCCAGCCGCGCACCTCCCCAAGGCAATTGGGTAGGACTGGTAGAACAAGTACATAAGGCCGTAAATGAAGGACTGGTATAGCGTCAGAAGAACTAGGATCGGTTCCGTAAAGAACAAAGCTGAACGCACCACAGAGTTAGCTGCCAAAGAACCGGGGCTATGTCAGGGGCTCAATGAGCTTACTCCACGGACGTATCAAGTAGGTCTGTGTTACATGGCGGAGGGAGGTTTCTTCGAGATCAAGTTTTGAGCGAATGTTTTCATTTCCGGTTTTCTTGCGCATCAGTTTTGCTTTTCTCTGGATAACGCTCGGCGGATACGTCTCTGGGTAGGTGAACAAAGCAAGCAAAGAGACAGCTAGGCCACAGATGATCATCACCCACATCGTCCATCGCCAGCTGATGGAGCTCTGTACAATGTATCCCCCAACAATAGGCCCGAGTGTCGGGCCAGAGAAGACCAGGCAGATGCACAGAGCCAGAGCAACTCCACGGTGAACTGCATTCCAGCAATCTGTGATGATCCCTCCAAGGATCGCGATCGGAGCAATACCAAACAAACCAGCGAAGAACCGGCCTAATAGAACCGTAGCCAGGGTTTGACCCAAGGCCGGCATCAGACCAAATAGCGAAGCTATAGTCACACCGGCAACCAGGGGTTGCTTCCGGCCGAATTTCTCGGATAGAGGGCCAAAGATCAACGGGCCGAGGATATAACCCTAACAGCAGTTTTTAGCTTTTGCAGGGCCTTGCAAAATGCAACTCTTTCCTTGTGCCTACCACTAAATAGAGTGACGTGCCAAGGATTGTCACTTCTTCGCCCACCCTGAATTCCTCTGCGACCTTTTTCTGAGCGCTGCCGAAGATGCTGCTCGAAATTGTGACGACCAAATAAACATAGCTAGCATGAAGCTGGCCCAGATCCGGCGCAAGAGAGCCCAGTTATGCGGGTGATCTGGATCATCTGGCCCTGTAAAATCGAAAATTTTCACGACAGGGCTCCTCGACCACATTGCGAGGGTTGGACTCCAGCTCCAGCTCCAGCTCCAGCCTCTCCATGTCGAAAACCGAACTCATTGAGCTTTACACTTCTTTCATATCACGGACAGATGCACCTTCAATAGGTCCGAGGTATACGCGAGTGGCTACCTTGGACTACAACTGAGTTAAATAGTCCTTAACAGTTCATCATCCGAGCTCTCCGAGAATGCAAGCAATGAAGGTGTGCGGAGACTTTTTTTTGGCTCTCGGAGACTTAATTCTTTGCATTCGGTGCTTTAAAAAGCAGGAAGCACTGAGTCTTGCTTCCGTTGCGTGCACAAAAGGAGATTTAAATGGCCCTTGTCGAAGTCATCCGAGTAACAAGTACAAGGATACTCTTCCTTCGTCACATCGTTACTGTACTTCTCTCAAATAACTTATGCATAAAAGCAATCAGCATATTGAGAGCAATTTATAACACCTCCAGGTGGCTAGTCGTGTTCGCTTCGAATACCTCGACTAGAAGGCTCCATTAGGAAGACGCATCTTAGCTGTATTGAAAGGCACTATACAGGCTTAAATGTCTAGTATCTTTGTTTGTTCGGCAATATCTAGTCTTGCTTATTAGAGTTGTATTATAAAGGACATTTAGTATAACGATGGTAAATCCATTGTATACGCGCATTCACGAGTTTACACGTCAGAGGGCATATGTTGATGATTGCCGTTGAGAAAAGTCATCTCCAGGCCAAAATATCCTTTTGCTGCATGCCCCCCTTTGGCAAGCGCATTTATTTCACTGGGATGGACCACAATAAAGACAGCCATGACCAAAAACATGAGGAGCGCGTCGAAAACATATAAAAATGCCTCGTGTTCGAGTATGTAGCCATCGAAACCTTGGAGATATTCCACTACCCTGAAGATAGACCGGACCATGATTAACAAACTTGTCGCGTACATGGCGCCAAGGTGTTTGCGCCAAGGAAGAGTCAGAGCCCTTTGGGTAGGGTATCTTTTCATATTGAGATCGAAATGCACGGCAACAAAGATAAAGAAGCCAAAAAATATAAGCTGAATGAACAGGCCTCCGACTATGATGTGAGATCCGGTCAGTAAAGCAGATGCAGTGCCGCTTGCTTGGATGCCTCCGCCTGTATCTTGCGTAAGCTTATGAATTCCGATTTGGGATGCAACCAAGGTGACGTACCGGCTGCTTGCATAAGGAAAGACAACACGTCTCCACAGACAAAAATCTTGGTGAGCCATTTCTTTTTGATAAGAGCATGGCTTTCCCCATCAATGAGCAAAATGATGCGGCCAAGTTCCATGTATATACTCGCTGCAAACAAGGCAGGGGCAACAAGTAAGAGAAGGGTTTGCAGTAGGTATGGCCCAAGAGTCCAGTCTGGCGTTTGTGTGTGAGATATTGCTCGTCCGACGTAACCAATCCATTCGACTATGAAATCTTGTCCTTAGCAAGAGCACAGTAGATGAAAGATGCATACACAAGCTTACAGAATCCCCCGACAATGAAGGGAATCAGGAACCAAGCGCGGGTTCGGAAAAGTTGGTATAAATGGAGCAGTGTTGCAGCGAGGAAGAGGAGAATAAAGATAACAGCTGCTGATATGGAGGGATTGTAATGATAGAATTCGAAAGAACTATAGCTTGCCGTCATCATGAAAAGAGCGGAGGCGTAACGAGCGACGGTGCAGGAAGGACTCGGCAAAGGAAAGGAAAATGAAATAAGATGAACTTAAAAATAGCATGACATACCTCAGTGATATACATAGCTTATATACTCCGAGCAAGCCTTTACTTTCCAGGCTTTGTTCGACTATGCCTCGTATCGGGTTCAGATTACTTAGGGCTTGGTGCGTCACGTTATCTTGAAATACGAATCCAAGTTACTAGTTACTTAGCACATGATTCGCGAACTCGTATTCAAATACGAATAAATGATTAAACTTTTCGGCAACAATAAGAAGACCCGCTTTTATGCAACGGGATAGTCCCTTAACTAGCCATAACTGGCTAGCTGTTCCCTACCATATAACATTAACTAGTTCCTCATTGCGGAACATTCGAAAAGAAGTTCCCGAAAACCATAGTTCTCTGTCATCGCGGACATTTTTGCTGTCGACTATTTTGCATATCGTCCCCACTCCGAAAACAAACCTAAGTATTCAGCAGATAAATGGCGGGCCAGCGCTCCCCTTTCTTGTGTATACTTCCTGTTGTACCTCCTTGTTTGTTCAATCATCTAATATGGAGACATTCGGCTGTCTGGAAGGCATAAAAAGTGTCATGCAGAGATATGATGCAGAACTCGAGAAAATAAACCATCAGGTGGATTGCTCCGATCTAACTAGTATATGCACATTCGGAGGTCGAGGCACACGACAACATCTGTAGCATGTTTGAACGACTCGAATCAGAGGGCTATGCAGTACACCGGAGTGCCTATGGATTGGAGACTGCCTTTGAGATTGAGTATTCCCAGGGCTCTGGAGGCAGGGTCGTGGTCTTCAACGCAGAATACGATGCACTTCCACGGATTGGACATGCATGTGGCCATAACCTCATTGCAACTAGTGCTATAGCCGCATTTCTTGCCACCTGCGAGGCTATGAAGCTCCAATATCGAAACGGACCAGGTTTCACCGTCCGTCTCTTAGGCACGCCTGCCGAGGAAGCAGGAGGGGGGAAGATTCACCTGATCAACAAAGGCGCATACAAAGATGTGTTTGCCTGCCTCATGCTTCACCCGATATCGCCTCTACCGCACGATGATAAGTTTCTCAGTATAGCAGCAGGGCCCCCTGGGGGTTTTCTTGCTACTGATGATGTCCGTGTCACCTTCACAGGCAAAGCCGCCCACGCGGCCGCAGCTACGTGGGAACGCATTAATGCTCTTGATGCAGTCGTTGCTGCGTATCTTAATATCTCCCTTCTTCGTCAGCAGATACTGCCCAGTAAAAGAGTCCATGGCACTATTGTGAACGGCGGTGAACAGCCGAATATCATTCCAATGTCTGCGTCGGTAGACTACTGTATGAGAGCGTCCAGTGTAAAATCTCTTAAAGATTTGAAAGAAAAGATTACCAAATGCTTTGAGGCTGCAGCAACAGCCACTGGATGCGGGGTCAAATTAGAGTGGTATGTGACGGCGCAAATTCTTGCTATTAAGTAGTTTGCTAACCCTAATCACCGAAAGGAGCGCGGTTTCTTACGCCGATTTGAAGGTGAATCATCCGATATGCGAGCGGTTTGTCGATGCAATGCAAACAATGGGCCACGATTCAGTTATGGAAATGCCTGAGCAGGAAGGTCTCCTGAGCGGAGGCTCAACAGATATGGGTAAGTGCGGCAAGCTGTTCACTTAATCAGTGTAGGTTCTTTCGCTAATAACCATGATCCAAATTGGCGCAGGCAACGTGTCCTATGAGGTACCCGGCTTCCATGCTATGTATATCATTCCAGCAGACGGTGTCAATCACACGCACGAATTTGCCCGCGCTGCCGGATCCTCCGAAGCCTTCGAGCGCACTATTGCCTGCGCGTCGGGAATTGCGCAAGTGGCATGTCAAATTCTGGTCAACGACGATTTTGCGGAACAGATAAAAATGGATTTCGACAGACAGTAGTAGCGTTGGATGTGCGAGGCCACTACTTGGTGCACCGAAGAGCAAACTCCGTAGTAAGCAATAAATCCATAAAAAGTCACATGATTTATACATTTGAAGTCATATGACTTGATATTTACTAGTTACAGTATTTTTCAATCAATGAGGAGTCAGATTTACGAACCAATCGGGCACGATCTTAGGACCGAGCAAAGCTCTGCTAAATTGCATCAAAGGCAGGTGTCCGTATGCATATTACGGTATAGCATGCTATGATTGGTTGATTGGGCTCTTGTATTGTAAATTGTGATACCGAGCAGACTATTCAATATTTATCGCCACGTAAGCGCGGGCAGGAGCTCCCGCGACCCGCGCGCATGCTGATTGGCCGAGTGCGGGGTGTTTGTTTACGGTTGCCGGGCGGGAACGGCGTTGCTACAGAGAAGCAGCTCAACACCACCGCTCGACAGCTCGACAGCGATCACCGACCAGCACACTAACGCGCGCAGATGATGTGGCATCCGGCCACTCGCTCCACTAGCTACCGTTGTCTGCCCTGCCTGCGACCCCATTGTTTTGGTCCGCCCAGTAGATAAACTTCCTCTACTCGGCTTCTCGACCTGGTTCCGTTCTTACATTCACAAGTTCTCTGCTGTGCCAGTCTGTCTCTGGATATCCCCCAGACCCAACAAGTTGTTGTTGTTTACTGTTGTTTATTGTGCTTAGCATTGTTCATTTGTTTACGTCTTTTACGCACTTGTCATGACCCTTGTTATTTGCTAAGAACCTGTACATTCTTCACATCTCCCCACATTCCACAGCGTTCAAAGACTTTGTTTGATCACAGCACACAAGATACCCGCCATCATGCCTCTAAGCGATACCGAGGCAACTCCGGAGAGGAGCATGGACCTTGTTGTCAAGGGCCATCATCACCCATCGAACTCCGAGGTTGGAAGAATCTCTATTCCTATGTGCGTGTCCCTTGCCAGCAGAAACTGAAGACGACACGCGAGCGAAGTCTCCTGTCTATATATAGAAAAATGGAGCTGACTTCAAGATACGGAAAATATAGGTGGGATAGCTCAGACCCCGAGCGTGCACCTCCGCCGTTACCTTTGAACCCCGGTGCTGGCAGCCCAAAGACGAGATCGAATGCTTCTCCCGGTATTCAGGCCGCAACAGCAAGTCTCGCAGAAAAGATGCGCGAAAATGCCCCCTCCTCCTATACTATAAACCCCATGCCTCTCAAGTCATCTCCAGAGAAGTCCCTCATCAAAGGGCAATATCACAGACGAATGCAGTCGCTGCAGCCAACCAGTGACACGCGATCTGAATTTCGCAACTACCTCGACAATAAATCACCAGACCGAAAATCTCGAACAACAATCTTCGACCATGATGATTTTCTGGATAAAAGTCCGACTCGATCAGGAGCTCGAGACTCTGGCCGTGACTCCCCATCTCTCTATGTCTCCAGCCGTTATCTGTCCAAACCTATACTGGGCGAAAACACCCCGCCTTCTGCCACTATGCTTGCTCTTCAGACAATGCAACTTCCTAGCGATGAGCCCAAGTCGGCGGAGACTTCACGATCATCGACGACTACTGGATCTCCCAACATGGACGGCCTATCTGCACAGATTCAAAGTCTAACGACCATCGCAACTAATCTACAGAAGGAAATGTCACAATTAAGCAGGCGTAGTAAAGACAACGCCACTGATCTGCTTAGTCTGAAAGCGGCCACCAACAGCCGCGACGAAGACATTAGGAAGAGCATCCGTGACTTGGCCAGCAACATCACCTCAAAGTTCCTAGACCCTGAAAGTGCAAGTTCAAGGTCTGCAACCTTCGCATCAGTCAGAAGTGGATATAGTAGTATTGACAGCAAGCCATTCGACAGCTCGCCCAATTCCCGAAAGTCCTTCACCCTTCCCCGCGTACCGAGTCCTGGTAGTTTTGCCGCAGCTCTGGAAAGGGACCTCTGCGGATCGCCTGCGCAAATCAGTGACGGTTCTGCTAGCATTGCCTTGTTGGAAAAAGTACTGCGTGAAATGGCCACGAAAGAGGCACAGGATCAATTGCTGGAACTGGTTGATGAGGTCAAAAAGAGGCCCGCCAAGGATGGAGGCACCAAAGACGCCGATCAGAATGTCACCAAGATGCTTGAAGAAATCTTGAATCTAGTCAAAGAGAATCCGACAAATCGCGCCTTGGTTAGGTCTGGCCCAGACTTGGACGAAGCTTCTCCTCAAAGTACACGATCTGGCCCGGTTATACTTAGCCACGATTCTCAAACGGGCGATCAGAAGAGTGCTGTTAGCGAGGAGGTCGTGGGTCTCCTAAACAGGGTTAAGAACAGCGTTGCCGAAGGCGGAGGCTTGACAAACGAAGTCAAAGCTCTGGTTCGTGAGCTACGAGGTGAAGTATTGGGCATGGGACGAGAAATTGGCCGGAAACTGGATGAAGCAGCAGAAGCAAAGCCCAACAACGACGCTCCACACGCGCTAGAAGCAGATGAAGTCGCAGAAATTGTTCGCGATGGGCTTGCGGAGCTCAAAGAGCAAATGCATGCTTTGATTCAAGAACACCAACAGACCTTGTCTCGGTCCGTCTCGCGTGAAGGTGTAGATGCAGCAGAAGTATTTACAGCTGTCAGGTCCGCCTTAGACGAGTTCACCTCGAAGCAGTTGTCAGCTCCAGCCACAAGTAATGCCGGTATGGAGAAGGAAGATATTCTAGAAGCAGTCAGGGAGGCCTGGGAAACATATAAGCCAGAGATTGAACTTCAAAATTTTGGTCTCGAACGAGAAGAAATTCTAGACTGTTTGAGTGAAGGTCTCAAAGCTTATCAACCCAAGAATGAGGAGGCTGTGACCTACGATCATGTTTTGGCTGCAGTCCAGGCTGGAATGCAAAGCTTTGTGCCGCCTCCTGTTGAAGCGCCACCCTCCATCACTCGGGAAGAAGTGTCAGCAGCAGTCAAAGAGTGCTTCGAATCTTTTGAATTGACTATCCCAGAGCCTAATATTACGAAAGAGGATATCTTTGCCGCTGTATCAGAAGCAATGGCCAACCAGCGAGAGCCACCCAGTGACGATGCACCCCAAATTACTCGGGATGATGTGTTCGATGCGGTAGCGGAAGCCATAAGCCAGAGAGCAGTACCCGACACTTCGAACGCCGGGTTAACTCGTGATGATGTTCATGGTGTTGTAGTAGAAGCCATGATTGGCCAACGGGCTCTATCGCAGGACGAAACAAGCCCAGGACTGTCACGGGATGATGTTTTCAATTCGGTGACTGAAGGCCTTGCAGCACACTTTGCAGCTGCTAGAGAAATGGGAGAATCACCGGTGACTCGAGAAGAAGTTTTCCAAGCGGTTAGTGATGCACTAGCTGCTCATCCGAACATTGAGAATGGCCTGGAACCTGGTTTAACTCGGGAAGAAATTATGAACGCCATTTCGGATGGCCTAATGAATCAGGGATCCAGCAGCAGAGAGCTTGAACTGAAAAAGGACGACCTCACTCGAGAAGACGTTTTCCAGGCGGTTAGCGATGCGCTAGACTCCCATCCAAGCGCTGGACAAAACCTAGAGCCAGGACTGACGCGAGAAGATATGATATCCGCGATTTCAGAAGCCCTAAGCAATCAAACTTCCACGAGCCGAGAAATTGAACTGAAAAAGGACGACCTAACTCGAGAAGATGTTTACCACGCGGTTCACGATGCGCTAGACTCCCATCCCAACGCTGGACATACCACGGAGCAAGGACTGACTCGGGAAGATATCATCTCCGCAATCTCAGAAGGCTTGAATAATCAAACTTCAACGAGCCGAGAAATTGAATTGAAAAAGGAGGACCTTACTCGAGAAGACGTCTTCCAGGCTGTCAGCGATGCACTGGCTTCTCATCCACATGCTGTTAATGGCTTGGAGCCTGGATTAACTCGGGAGGATATTATAAGCGCGATATCAGAAGGCTTGGTCAATCAGAGTTCTATCAGCCGAGAAATCGAATTGAACAAGGATGACCTTTTTGAAGCTGTGACTTCAGGTCTGCATGAAGCGGCAGCCTCTTCTCATGTCAATATCGGAGATCAAGTCCTCGATCGCCTTCGTGACCTCCTCCAAGATATGAAAGACGAATTCAAGCAATATTCCGCAGCAAATGGACGAGATACCGAGCAAGTCCTCGATTCTATGAAAGATGGACTCCAGGGACTCAGGAGTCAAATAGAGTCCTATGTAGATCATACTACAGATGCTACGGGCAAAGAGGAAATTATATCTACTGTCAAGGAGGGCTTCAGACTGCTACAGGCAGATCTGGAGCATTCTATCAATGAGGCAGCTCTCGGAGCGTCCGGTTCGCGCGGCAATCCTGACACGCCCGAGCTTCTTGATGCTATGGAAAAGGAATTCGAACATCTTCGATCGACACTCAGCAACCTGCTGATCCGCACTGAAACTTCTAGTGACAAAGTCGAAATCCTTGATGCGATCCACGAGATCAACGTCAGTACTAACTACGAAGCCAATACTTCTAAGGTGATTCAAGCTGTCAAGGAAGAGTTTGAAAATATCCGTGACTCTATTGGAATGAGCCTCGTGAAGGCAGGCCCGTCTGATAAGGATGAAATCATTTCAGCTCTCCATGAAAGCTTCGAAAATCTTCAGGCTGAAACAATACAAAAACGAGATGCCAATGAAAGCACTCTCTCAAACACAAGCGAATTACTGGAAGCCTTCAATGATGGTGTGGATGCTATTCGTGCCGATCTGGAAACTCTCATCCATAAGTCAGATGAGCAGAATAGCACTGAGGTACTTGATGCATTGAGGGAAGGATTGGCCTCTATTAAAACGGAAATGGAAGCTTTGCGAGAGTCACAGAGAGAATTTGAGGAGACGTCGACTACCCGGGGCCAAGAATTAATGCTCGCAAATGAAAACAACAGCATTGGTGGTGACATGGAAGGGCTGAAGACCCTTCTTACTCAGCTGCAGGTCAAGGTTGAAGCAATCGAAATGAATTCAGCGCCTGCGCCACCGCCTGAAGATGCCCTCAAAAGGGAACACCTGGACGAAGTTCTTTCAGCTGTGAGAGATGTTCATGGCTCTGTCACTGAAGTGAGCACTCGTGAGCCTCCAGTTGATCCAGGCGCTGCTCGTAAGGAGGATACAGATATCATCGAAACACTCTTACGAGATACAGCGGCCAAGATTGAAGATTTCCATATCCCATTACCCGAGGACTTTGCTAAGCCTGAACAATTCATGAACCTTGAAGTTATGGTTTCAGAATTGAAAGATGCCATTGCCGAGGTAGCTGCACGACTTGAAACTGAAGGTTGTACCAAAGCCGAGATTGGCACCCTGGAAACCCTTATGAAGGACTTGTGGGTTGCTGTGGATGAATCGAAGAATCAGACCAAGGAACCCCAGGAAGATTCTGAACGGGTTGTCAAGAGCGATCTTCAAACTGTGGAGGCGATGATATGTGAAGTCAAGAACAGCATCGAAGAATTGAAGCTTCCCGATGTGGACACGCTTCCCGTAAAATCAGATGTTGAAGCCCTCGTTGAGGTTGTCAATTCCTTCAGAGAGAAAGTTGACGCGGAAGCTGAACTGACCGCTCAAGCCTTTGAAGCGCGCAAGGTAGAGCACGGAGGCTTGGCCGAGAAGATCGAGGAGGCTAAAATCGTTGTTGCTGACCTGCGCGAAGAATTGAAAGGCAAGCTTGATGGAAGTGAGCAAGGATTATCAGAGCTCAAGACGCTTCTGGAGGGTCTTGCGGTGTCGTCTGAGGCCTTCTCGACTGTAGAGAGTGTCAAGGAACTCAGCGATCTCATCAACAGGGAATTCGAGCGTGCACGCGGTGAACAGGAAGCCACCAAACTCGAGACGGAAGAACGAGATGCTACTGCACTAATTAAGCAAGACGAGAACCGAGCTGCCCTGGTAGCAGAGATCGAGAAGAAAGTGGATGAGAGAATTGACGAAATTCTATCCAAATATGATGACCTTCAAGGAGTCCTTGACATAAAATTCTCGGAAACCGAAGCTCGAGATACCACACATGTTGAGCATTTGACAGACACCAAGGGCATTGCAGAAGACATTAAGCTGATCATCGGTGCTATGGGAAACAGCGTTAGCGAGGCTTGTGAGCGCATGAGTGACGATACGAAAACTCTCTTCACAAAGATCAGCGAATCATACGGCAAGATGGAAGAAATGCATAATGAAATCAAAGAGTTCAACGAACTATCGAAGGCAGAATTAGAGAAAACTTCCTCTGCGACAGACCGAGTTGAAACTCAGATTCTTGAATATCATCCCCAGATTCTCGGTGCGATCAAAGACATTCTTCTCCTTGTTGGGCAGCATTACGAGCACTCCCAGAGGACGAATGAAGAACTTAAGACGAATCTCTCAGCTATTCCTGCTGCCATCCCATCAATGCTCCCTGCTTTGCCAGCTCCGCCGGAACCTCGAGAAATTATTATACCCGAGAAATATGATGACTCTGGGCTTCACTCCAAACTCGACCTAATTATGAACCATGCAGAGAGCACCAGCAAGATTATACCCGAGAAATACGACGATTCTGGGCTTCACTCCAAGCTCGACCTAATTATGAGCCATGCAGAGAGCACCAGCAAGACAATCTCGAGCATGGATAAATTAGATCAAATCCATGAGAAGGTCATGAATACGTCCCAGGAGATTACTGAAATGGTTGCTACGCAGTCACGCCTCGTAGTGGAAGATTATGAGCGTAAGAAACGGGAGTCTGAAGAAGCTGCCTATGCTCTCGAGAGGAGACTTGCGCAAAAAGAGAAAGTTGAATCTGAAATTCTTGGTTTGAATGATGAGAAAGAGTCGCTTTTGAACATCATCCAGACCTTGAAGCACGAGAAGGAGCAACTCACTAAGCAAAACACGAAGCTTGGCAAGGAACTCTCTGGGTTGGAGACTGCCCTCGACATCCGTCAGCGTGAGATGGAATTCTTCGAAGAGCGTGCACAAGGCCTAGAGAAACGCATCCTTGCTGGGGTCTTCGATCACGCTAGGACCATGATCATGAAGGAAAGTGGTCGTGGGAAAAACCGAATGAGTCTCAGGAGGATTCCAAGCTATGGCAGCACAACAACTAAAACGAGTCGTGCAAGCACTACCACTCCTGCCAAGGACACTCGAAGCTTGGTGAGCAATGGGGTGGAAATGGTTCTGAAGCGTCGACAGCCAGCCAAGTCTTCAGCCTATAACGGATCTTCCATCTCCTCTAATGGCGGCAAAGAGCGCAGAATACTCAGTCTCAGCAACGTAACGGGCAACAGGGGAGTTATGGACCGTCATGTTACGGCTCCAGTTGGTACTGGAGGTCTGACCAACCTCAAGCGAAGCCACTCGGTCCGGTCCAATCTACCATCCCGCAAGACTTCCTGGGGCACGAGGGATTTCAGTTCTAATAAAGAGAACGAGAGCTTCCTGGAAGAAGACGAACACATGAGTGTTGCCCAGAGCGATGCTGAGACAGAAAGAACAACCAACACTGGTCATTATTCAGAGAGTGTGACCGATGACAGCGGCAGGACTGTCTCAGCTAGTCGTCAGCCCAGTTATGCTAGCACTACGAATGGACTCGTGGCTGAACATAACGCTTCGATTCTGGAGGAAGACGGCGAGGATGAAGAAGAGACTGAGCGCAAGGAAACTCCACCTGACAGTGATTCCGACCACTCTGATGCTGAATTACACAAAGACCGACCCGACAATGAGCTTGATGATGAAGGAGATTATCAAACTACCATCGACGAGCAAGAAGAGTACTCCGGGCTTGACGATATGGAATCTGAATCATACCTTGAGGCACCACCAGAATTGAAAATCCCGGGGCAAAACGACAGCGGCATTGGAAGCGATATACATCATAACCACATAGTTTCCGTGGAGTAACATACAAGGAGCAAGTACGTGGTTTGCACAGCCTGTGTGATTCGTTTGTTCTGGTCACAAGGAGTTCTTATACGTCTTAGTTTCTATTGATACCTTTCTGATCCACGACTGTCTGAAACCCCATTCAAGATTATAGATGGGCTGACACGTTTGTTTCTATTTTTCCTTTTCCTTTTCCTTTTCCTATTTCTATTATACCTTTGATGTCTCTCTTTTGTTGATGTAGTTGTATTGCGTGGGCTTAGCCTAGCAAATGATGAATGACAATGACCCATTTCAACGAGCACTTGAACCAACGTAGAGGTCCGTAGCAGATATGCCCTATAAGCATAGCGTGGGGTAGCCTCGTGTGTATGGGACATGGAGCACGAGACCCAGCTCACCTGCCAGTAACACTCCCCAGACCAAGACCGCTAGTTGCTGCAGGACAGCTCACCTGTGGCAACATTGAACAGCGTGAAAATCCCCCCAATCCTTCTGTATGCGTCGGGGCTGCTTGTGATTGGTTGCGGCGAGTCCCAACGCAATCAATCGTGGCCTCAGGCCCACCCGCCCCGATAAGTACAAAAAGACATCAACCGAACGGATCACCTTCCAAGCTGCGATGACCTCCTTGGCGTTGGCAGGGAAAGAGTCATGAGGATGGGTCTTTGCTTCTAGCCTCTTATTCCTTCGATTCTTCAGTCCTCTTTCTTCTGCCTCTTCTATTCTTTTAAATATAAGCTATGTTCCAAGCCTAGGACTCCGTGCCGTCTCTTCCAGCATCCTCGCCGGTTCCTGTGCGCCCCCCCCAGGAGAAAGAAAGAAAGAAAAGGCATCATGTTAGATCCTTTCTTTCCTCCGCCACCCTGGCTTCAGGACCTAGTGACCCCGTGGGCGGCCTCGTTGCATCTCCATTCTCTACCCTACCATATCCACGAAGTTATCCTCGCCTTCGTGTTCTATCAGCTAATCCATTCTTATGTCTCGCCATGGCTGTCTAAAAGACTATTCCCCCGACAGTATACCCAGTTGCCAAAACGCACGCAGCTCAACTGGGATATCCATGTCGTCTCGTTTGTTCAGAGTGTCCTGGTGAACGTAGCGGCGCTGTGGGTCATCTTTGCAGACCGCGAGAGAAGCATCATGAACATCGACGAGCGTGTCCACGGATATACCGGTGCCGGTGGCCTCGTGCAGGCTCTGGCAACTGGCTATTTTATTTACGACCTGATTGTCAGTGTTGTGCATCTGAAGTTGTTTGGCATCGGCATGCTTTTCCACGCCATTAGCGCTCTGTGCGTCTTCAGTCTCGGATTTGTTAGTTGGCCTCCCCTTCTCCTTTTTTTTTGCCCATTACTTGGCTTCCTTCTAACTTTGGAATTCGCTTTTCTTTTTATAGAGACCGTTCGTTAATTTTTATGCACCGACCTTCATTCTCTACGAGTTGTCCAGCCCGTTCCTCAATATTCACTGGTTTCTAGACAAGCTCAACATGACCGGCAGCAATCTGCAGTGGTATAACGGAATGCTGCTTCTAGGCGTGTTTTTCTCCTGCCGTATAATATGGGGTACTTGGCAATCGATCGTTGTTTACGGAGACATGTGGCATGCACTCATGCAAAGTCGTTCGACAACCCATTCGCCGTTCCTAGATGGAGTCCCGACCAATGCGCCTGTCTTCAAACTCGGCAAGGGCGCAGCCCTATGCGTCAACGAAGACTGCATCCAGGCAAATGCAGAAATTGCGAAATTTGCTCACCATTTCACCGACACCCCGCTCCCTCAATGGCTGCCAATTGTGTATGTTTCTGCCAACTTGATTCTGAATACTCTCAACTATTACTGGTTTTCGCAAATGATCGATGCCGTGTTGAAGAGGTTCCGGAAACCAGCTCCTTCTGGTGCTGCCCCTGGTAAGAAGCCAGGCGAGATCCTGCCGCCCCATGAAGCGGATAAGGTTGCAGCCATTCGCCGTGAAAGACACGATTATATATTGGATGCTGCTGAAAAATTGAAACAAGAACAAGGGTACTTCGAGACTGGGGACGGAGCGGAGCTAGCGGTGCCAGCGACAGGTGTTGATGCTACTGGAGCGGAAGCGGGAGATTTGTTGAGAGAACGGAAGACAGCTGCTCCATCATGACGATAGAATTGTATGAGTTCCTTTCTTCCTATACATGACTTACTCAAGAGAATTCACACCCTTTTGGCTACGTCGGATGCGTTATACCAAATGGTTAATGCATCATATCAACTCGGACTGTGCGTGTGATGATAAACTGCGGAAGGGTTCAAATGGATTTGATTACATCTCAGTAATTACTTTAGATTCAGACGTAGACGGAAAAAAGAATGCATATACCACTTGCGTAATGTTTATCCCCATACAACTGACATAATTCAATATTGATATCTTAAAGAGAAGAAAAGAAATTAATCAAAGTACATCCACACATCTTGCGCGCCCAAACTACCTTGACCGTACAAGTAAAGTCAATTGCAATACAATAAAAAGGAAATCACAAACCCCAAAAACCAATGAAAACCTATCGATATACAGTATTACTATCCGGCCGCGCGAGCATGTAGCGAACTGCTTCCCGGGCCACAGGAGCATTCCAAGCGCTGTTAGTACCACCACGTCTGAACTCAGGCCCACTGCCATCTTCTCCGCCGCCACGAACAGCCTCTCCAAGAATAGTTTCAAGATCTCGGCGTTGAGAACCAAGCCAACGGCGAACAAAGTTTGCCGGATCTTTACTAAGCGCTGTGTAGAAAGAATGGCGGGCTTTGGAGTGCATAAGCGCCTGGATGATGAGAGCAAGCTGGTCGTCTAGGACGCTAATCTGACGGAGGGACGCTGGGTATTGAGGGTTTGAGGTGAGTGCTAGCATCTTCTGGCGCAGTGGATCATCGACTGCTACGCGGATATCGTAGACTGTGGGTGCTGGGTTGTTGTGGAACTCCTCATCAACTCGAATCGTGTATGGAAGCTTGATAGGGTCGAGTGGCGAGGTATGGCTCCCGATAACGTCAGGGATTTGAGGAAAGAACACTTGATCGCGGCCAAAAAGCTAATACCACGTAAGTAAATCTCAAACTTCCTAGATTACGGGGACAGGGTGATATACCTTTCTCAACCGAGCATCGCAGCGGACTTGGCGCTTTTCTTGATCTTCTTGAAGACCCATAGCTCGGACATAATCCCAGATACCGAGGATGATGCCGCTCCTCGATTCCTCTTCAACATCAATTATGTCAGACAAGTCTTTGCTGACCTTCAGTCGTTCGGGTGCTTCATCCCTAACGAGACTGATGGTGATGTTAACGTTCTCTTGAGCCCCTCGAGAGAATTGGATGGAATCAAAGTCAGCGCTGGGTGGTAAAGAGACAACATTCCCGGGGAGTTGTGGTTTAGTCCAAGTGATAGGAGAAACATCGTCTGTTTTCGCATTGAACGTCTTGTCAAAATCAATCGTAATTGATTTGAAAAATTGTGACAGTCTCTGTCGTTGATTTTGTTGCCCCTTTGATTTCTTTGGGTTCTTTACGCCATCTTCTCCCTCTGCAGAAGCTTCGTTAGTTTCTTCATCTTCATCATCGCTGTCCGCGGCGGGGATCGTTGAGTCGGTATCGTCATCGAGAAGTCTGCCCTCAATTCGCACTTTGTAGCGCCCGGATCCCGGTCCACCATTCCCGTTCTGTTCGCTCTTCTGCCATGCTTGATTCTCGGTCGTATTTGAGATCCAAATACGAAGAGTTCGATAGCGCTTCATTGACCGACTGAGCGAGTCTTGAATGTCCAGTCTCTTTCTCACCATAGATGAGTCTAGACGTTTCTCAATCTCTCGCAATCTTTTGTATTCCTGCACCCCATCTCCAATAACAAAGTCTTCTAACCCATCTGGCATATTCTTGTCTGTGGGCTTCCGGCTGCGGCGTAGAGAAGCTTCGTTAACAGGAGGCATATTGCGTTGGTGAGCTGCTGCTGCCGCCGCCGCCATATACTGAGGATGGACTACTTGTTGATGGGGAGGCATAGGCACACCAGGACCTGCCAAAACAAGCAAAAGTTAGCGATCTGTCATTGGACCACGTCATCCACAAGCTGTGCAAGGGTAGAAATCCATACCTGGCATGGGAGCACCGCGACGAGGTGTGGCGGGCGAGCGCTGGGCGGCCTGAGGGTAGCCGCGAGGATAATTGGGCTGCATTGGGGCGTTCATAGCCATACTGGCGACCGATGTGGGTAAACAGTCGACGACAGGTTGCGCAGCAATTTTAGCGACTGCGACGATACGCGGTTGATGGAAGGCAGGTCATTTGCAGTGAAAGTCGCGATGGGCTTTCCACTCCAGAACCGCCGACCCTGCGCTAGCCCGATTTGGTCACACCCAGAAAACGCAGTTTGCAGCAGATGGAAAAGGCTGCGCGTTTATCACTACGCTCTGCAGTCGCATTTTCAGAAATACTGAAAAATATGATTAGAAGGCTAATTTGCTATAGATATGGTCTTGTATCCTATAGATGGATGGCATCTTCTGGTGCCGAAATGCGAGAAGTAAACGCTTCATGTCTTCAACAACATTGTATCATTTACACAGCCCACTACTCGAACAAGCACACTGTCTATTCCAACATGGACGCTTGGTTAGCGTATAAGACTTCGACCACATTGTTGAGCTTTTCAATCGTTTGCAATGCCGCATCATAGCCCTTGTCCCTCTCTGTTTCCTCAAAGACAATCAAGCACCCGGCACCTTGATCCAACACTCCAATGATTACCTTGTCAAGGATCATCTGCGATAGTTTCCTTTCCACTTGCTGAGTATCTAAACCAACCATTTTTGCAATATGGTCAATCTCTACCCTGCTGAATGGTTCGATCACTTTGATGAGATTTTGTTCCAACATGGCGTCGTAAAGTCGACGGAGGTGGTTGCGGATGAAAACATCGCCTCCAAGTTCGTATCGGTAGTCTGAAAGCGCCTTCTCGTATTCCTCCAGAGATCGGTTGGCGTGGGCACGGGCAACAGCCTTCATAGCCTCAAGTCGCGTGCTCGCGTACTTTAATGCTTGCTTAGAGCCAAGTAGATTGGTCACGTCATCAACAAGATTGAGCATAATCTTGCAAAGCAACATATACTGCAATGCTGCTGTCGCCTTCTCCGTGTCATCAATCGAGTTGTAGCCTTCAAGCGCCTCAATGAAGTACGAATATGCCGTGTTAAAATCCTTGTCCTCTGCATGCAGCATTCCACTCTGCATATCAAGCCCAGCTTGTAGACTTGGTGGTGTGTATACAGCTGATGCGGATGTCCGAGCTGAAGTAAGGGCTGCGCGTGCCTTGGGCTGGTTCCCAAGTGCATGGTAGACTCGTGATTCCAGTAGCTGGATCTCAACCAACACGACCTTGTCATCCAACCGTTTCAGCTCTCGGAGTAGAGAATTGATCAACGTCAAGGCATCATAATATGATTGCTTTTGCATGTAAATCACGACGAGACGCGTTTCTAAGCTCTGTCGGAGGAAGGATCGGCGTTCTGAGACTGCCCACTCTATCGAAGACTTGATGACAGCAATTTGGATTTCGACTGTGTTCGGGATCTCACTGAGCAGATCCAACAGTTGACGGACTACCTCGAATTAGAAAGCAGTAAGGCAGTGGGGATTAAATGGCAATCAAGATAAGCACGACTCACCGAGTTTGGCTGTCTTCGCTTTGGCGAACGAGGAAAAGGCATCACGGCTCGTTTTGATTAGATCAGCAAGCTCGTGTGCCTTTTTGTTATCACGGTACAGCTCTCCCAATGCCACTAAAGCTGCTTCATAATCTTTAGAAGCTGACTCTGTTTTCCCGATGCCACCTGATAGCACGTCCTTGTAGATCTGCTCAGCTTTGGCAGGGTCCTTTGCTGCAAGCGACTTCGCTTCCTCAATGCGCTGGCTGGTGGATGCGGAAGCCATGATGTCGACTGGGAGTGGATGCGTGCGCAGCCAAGGTAACAGAGAACTCGACAAGGACAAGGACTGTCAGTGAATGGAAATGGTACTTGTGTGGTGGTGAGTTGATAGGATGGAGGTTTGGGGTCAACAACAGCTTGGCCGGGAAAGAGCGTCACTGCTCTTTGGGCTACAGCGGCAACTGCGGATGCAGCCAATCACAGGCGTCCTGCGGCTCCAGCCAAACATTTTTAGTCTCCGCCAATCTTTATATTTTTTTTCCTCGACACAAAATCGTGATAGTATCACTAGGGTTTCCTTTAAAAAACGCAAAATGGTTGGTCATGTCGCCTGTCACTTGGAAGAATCGCTCATGCTAATTTCCACTGATGCTAGAAAATAAAAGCCCTTTCGCGCTCTGCTGCTTCGCAGCAAGCGCCAGGATCCAGTGTTGCGAGACTGCAAAGGAACCTTGACCCGGCACAGCATCCATTTGAGCGAGCCAGAGAATATACGAGAGCCTTGAATGCCGTCAAGATGGACCGAATGTTTGCTGCGCCCTTCATCGGTCAGCTGGGGAGCGGACATGTCGATGGCGTTTATTCTATGGCCCGAGACCCAGGTTCTTTGGATCGCTTTGCCAGTGGCTCAGGTGATGGCGTTGTCAAGGTCTGGGATATGCAAACCCGAGAGGAGGTGTGGAACACTCAAGCACATGAGAACATTGTGAAGGGAATTTGCTGGACTCCCGATCGCAAAATCCTGTCTTGCGCCAGTGATAAAACAGTCAAGCTTTTCGACCCTTATAATTCCTCGCCAGAAGCTCCACCGATTGCAACGTACCTCGGACAGACCCCGTTTACGGGCGTTTCATATCACCGCGATCAGCCTGCGTTTGCTGCTTCGTCTTCTGTAATATCCATTTACGATTTGTCCCGTCCTTCTGCGACTGCGTCTCAAACTCTTCACTGGCCAACCAGCACCGACACCATTACGTCTGTTGCTTTTAACCAAACAGAAACGTCTATTTTGGGATCGACAGCCACTGATCGCTCAGTTATCATATACGATCTCCGAACTTCAACACCCGTGGCCAAGGTCATCCTCACTCTAGCCTCCAATGCCATTTCTTGGAACCCTATGGAAGCATTCAACTTCGCTGTCGCTAATGAAGACCACAATGCTTATATGTTTGACATGAGAAAGATGGATCGAGCATTGAATATCTACAAAGATCACGTTGCTGCTGTTATGGATGTTGAATTCAGCCCGACCGGTGAAGAGCTGGTTACAGCCTCTTACGACCGCACGATACGACTATTCAACAGGAGTCAAGGGCGCTCGAGAGATGTCTACCACACACAGCGAATGCAGAGGTGAGAAATGATCTTAGCGCTTTATCAAACCGTATTATATACAAGTGTTGTTGCTGATGATTTATCCACAGAGTTTTCTCGGCCATGTTCACCCCAGATAACAACTATGTTCTATCCGGATCTGACGATGGAAACATTCGTATATGGCGCACAAACGCTTCCTCCCGGGTTGGAATTAAAAGTGCCAAACAACGCCAGAAACTCGAATATGATCAGGCGCTTATTCGCAGGTATTCTCACATGCCTGAAATTCGAAGAATCAAGAACCATCGCCATGTGCCCAAGGCCATCAAGAAAGCAGGAGAAATTAAGAAGGAGGAGCTTGCGGCTATCAAACGAAGGGTTGACAATGTTCGGAAACACAGCAAGAAAGGCAGCGTACCTCAGCGAGCCGAGCGAGAGAAGGTCGTTCTGGCGACCGAGCAGTAGTCTCTTGAGCATAGCAGCACAACTTGTCTGGTGTCTATATCCGCCATCTAATCGCGAGAGACTTTTAGTCAAGCTTGGCGAATGCGTTCTCAAGTCGAGATCATCTTATTCAGTCAGATGTATACATTGTTTCATACGTCACTCTCCGATTCGGTCTCGGAAACTACTTGCATTGGTTGGGGGGTATGACGATCATATGCCTTTGCGACAGCTGTATCTATTCCGCTGAGGTAGCGAGCGAGCCTTTGAATAGAAGCAGGTAGTACTGCATACCAGTCAACCATCTTGGCGAAGGCAGGCAATCTGATAACACCACTTTGTCCGTTATCAATAGCTGAGACTATTTCATATGCGACTTGGATGGGTTCGATGACAGGGGCAAAGAATCGATTTGGCGTTTCGATTCCGTCGAAGAGAGGCGTGGAAAGCTGTCCAGTCTCCACTAGCAGAGTCTTAATCTTGTCGTCATGGCCGGATGCCCTCAGTTCAACTTCTAGTGATTTATGCATCGTACTCAGGCCAGCTTTGCTGACGGAGTAATCTGATAAGCCAGCGGCTGTGAGATGCCCAAGGACAGAGCTCACGTTGACTATAACACCACCAACGTTCGTGTCCAACATGGCCGGCAGGAAAATCTGCAGTAAATGAAAAGGCGCGAGTAAGTTGGTTTGGATTGTTTTCTTCATGGCTTCGGGGGTCAGTGAAAGCAGCGGTACACCGTTTACCGACGCTGCGGCGCAATTGATGAGCACTGTTGGTTTTCCCAGCTGGAGATCCCGGCATGTCAGAGTTTCACTCAATGTATGTAAAAAGTAGAAATCAATAATGATCAAACAAGAAGCAGGAGCAGAAAAAGAAGGGAAACGCTCACATCATTCTCAATTTTCTTTGCCGTCATTTCCAGCGCCTTCCTATCACCCACGTCGCATTTGTAATATTCCACGCCTGAAAGCTCATCCCACCCTTCTACCTCGCTGACTTCCTTGATATCGAGTACCGCGACACTCGCGCCCCTCATGCCATATATCTGAGCAATAACCTGGCCCAACCCACTGCCTCCGCCCGTAATGACGATGACTTCGTGACTGGGCTCCACCTCTCGAGGCAGCCCATAGGCAATGCGACGGTCGAATATGCTAACCGCCATCAGTAGCGTCAGGAGGACCGCGTATCCAACAGCAATTCTCCATGCTGGGTGGTCTGTTGGCGTGACTTGCGCACGGAGACAGAGCACAATAATCCACGCGACAAATGGGTGTAGGAAAGTTTGGCTGAGGACTTTGAAAATCAAGTCAAGCGTGATGTGTTCGTACCATTTTTGGGCCGGGCGAGGCGTGAGATAGCGACGCGATGGGGTGATTTTCTCCATGGTTGTTGATGCTGTGTTGTCGATATCCATGGACAGATTTCTTTTTATTTTATTTTTTTCAGCGTCTGTCGCACAGAATTCGCGAGGGAGTTAACTCTTCGCCAATAAAGATATGAATCGCCACGTTGTTGGTAGCTATTATCTCTCTCGACTTCTCATGACATGAAGCAAGCTTCAGGCAACGACCGATATGGGGCTTTGGCGAATCGGAAAAATCAGCGAAAAATGCATTCCCAAGAAGCGCAAAGAAGTAGTTTCTGGAGAGAGCGCAAGGAGTTGCTCGAGGGCTGCGAGTTGCTTCAGACATAAGGTAATGGAGCCATCGACAGCCTGACGGTTTCAGTCCCGACGGGCGAACCGACGGTCGGGATGGCGGGGCCAACTAAGCTCGAGCAAATGCATGCAATGCCAGCACTCAGAATAGAATCCCGCAGCGGCCTCCATGTCTTTCCTGATTTTGTTGTTGTTCTAATTGTTCATTGTCGTCTGGTTAAGCATAACATGGAGCTCAAAGGTCTCCGCCTAAATCAGTCACCGGGAACTATTCATAACCTATGAGTGGAGGATCCATTATGGCAGCTACATAATACACAGTAGAGTGAGTGTTGTACTGCAGGATTAGCAGAAAGCCCATTTCTCAGTTGTCTTCAGTAGAAATGTATTAAAAGGATAATTCAGCCCGCAAGTTTGATAGTGAGCGCATTGTCGGCAAGCGCATTCCCCTGGGGATAGCCATGTAGTGCGTAGCTAAACGTGGAACAAGCAGGATCATCTAATAACATATCGAGGTCCTCTTCATCTGGAGGTAGGCAGAATCCGTTTCCGGGCCGCGGATACAGACGGTGCTCCTCTACTTCGTATTCAGAGCCGGAATCGTCAGAGTCTTCCTCGGTGCCCTTCGACTGTGCTTCGGTCATTTGAACTCCAGTGTTCGATATACCAGATGAAGCCGACTGGAGGGTTTGGTGCAATATGCTCGTTGTACTTGATGATGATGGCGTGAGAACGAACTTCGATTGCCTTAAATCTCTCATATTCTCTGGGAAAATCGGGAGCGTGGGATTCTTCTTTGAGAGCGTGACTAGCATGTCAACTAGGGAAGCGTGAGAAAGCGAGGACAAATATCCGCGTTGTTCTTCGGTCGTAAATCGTGAGCCACAAACAAGAGAACCCAGAGCTGATTCTGTCGAGACAGACTTTTTCTTTGGCGGCAGTCTTAGCTTCAATAATGTGACTCGCTGGCCAGGTCGGCATTCATTGCAAAACCACTCTGCCTCCTTAACATCAATCAGTTGCTTGTCAATGGGAGGATCATGGCAGAACTGATGCCAGGCACCATTGCACTCGTCGCAAAATACGATCGAATTGGTAGCAGGACTGTGACCTCTCTGACAGCGACTGCAAGTGATATTGATGTCCTTGCCGTTCTTGCGATACACTTTTCTGCGTCTTTTCACGGGAGCCCCCGAAGGGGCAGGTGTAGTAGTGCTGCCTGAAGGAGATGGTCTTTGCCGTGGACTCTGTTTAGGCTCGGGGGAGAGAGCAAAGAAGGTCGGCCGATTGACCTGGCGTCCAGACTTGGTCTGCCTGGCTACCGGCAACATGTCATCCGACACATCATCTGAGCTTGAGTCGTTAGCTTTGATCTCATCATCGCTGTCATGAGCACGCTTTCGCCTGTTTCTCCGTTTACGGTTTGCGATGGCTGGTTTTTGCAAAGGCGAGTCCACGGGAGTCTGCTGCTTGGCTGCCAACGGAGCAAGCGGGAGGGGTTGTTGCGCTCGCACATCTAGAGCGGCCTGGTTGTCATTGGGCTTGTTGCTCAGGTTCGGCGCAAGATTGATTAACGACTGTGCAGTGGTTTTCTGCTGTAATTGCACAGCAGATGGCTGCGAGGCTGCGATGGCTGTCTCTGTCACCGGCGAAGCACAAGCGAGAGCAGGCGCCAACGCAGGGAAACCCGCAACCCGATTGCGTAGAACTGCCATTGGATGCGCTCTTCCTGGAGCAAGACCGGTTTGCAGATGGTCTGCGCCGTAGAAATAAGACAGCGTACTAGGGTTCAAGTGGTCGGGCGAAAATGCATGTTGGACACTCTGCAGTGCATGAGATGATGATGCATCAACCGTGGAGGTGGAGAGCCCCGGTGGCGGAGGGCTAGAAACCCTACTGCGACTGTTCATATCTTCTTGCAAACCCATGGTTCATGTCCCTTTGATGCCTATTAATGATCAGACTATTTTCCCGCGCCAGACAGAGAAGCAACTAGATGCGTCACGTGATTCAAGATGGAATGTACAAGCGCTGATATTTACACAGCAGTTCTTTATACTACACGGCAAATGAGTCTCTACGAAATGATGCCCTGCTGCTTCAACGAAGCGATATCCTCTTCCGTATAGTCCAGCAGCCCTCCAAGCACCTCATCGGTGTGCTGGCCCAGGGTAGGAGGCGGTGTCCGGATTCCAGGTTTGGCATGCGAGTATTTGATCGGGGTGTTGACAAGTTTGATGGGACCACAGTCGGGATGGTCAATTTCAGTCACCATGTTACGCGCTTGCACTATAGTATAGAACATGCATTAGCTGCCGGTCTTCAGTTGAATTGGTGATGCTATCACTGACCATGGTCGTGGTTCAAAGTTCCCTGGATATCATTCACGGCGGCATAAGGCATTCCGCTGCCCTCAAAGATCTCAAGCCACTCTTGCGTTGTCTTTTGTGCCGTAATGTCTTCTATCATGTCATCTAGATCCACACGGTTCTTGACCCTGTTGCTATTTGTTCCGAAACGATCGTCTGTCTTCCATTCGGGACGTCCCAGTCGGTCACTGAGAACACCGAAAAGTCGATCATTACCACCTCCAAAAAGAATGTCGCCATCAAGAGTCTTGTAACTTCGATAGGGGACAATTGATGCTGTATAAGAACCGTTTTAGTCTCCGCTCGTTTCTGCCCTTTCTTTTCCTTTCCTTTGCTTTTTTATGTAAATAAGGAGGAACGGTGCTTACGGTGAGCTGTGCCCCAGCGACCAGAATCCTTTTCTCCACTGATCAAGGCAGAACTTGCCAAATTGGCAAGAGTTGCAACTTGTACGTCACTCAAGCACGCATCAATATGCTGCCCTTTTCCAGTACGTCCTCGCGCGATGATAGCAGCCATGATGGCATTCGATGTGTAGAGACCAGTCGTCAGGTCTGTGACTGCCACGCCCACTTTAACAGGAGGACCGTCTCTGGACCCTGTGATGTGCATCAAACCAAACTCTGCCTCCACCATGACATCGTAGCCAGCTCGGTTTTTGTACGGTCCTGTCTGTCCGTATCCAGTTATACTGGCATATATCAGTTTCGGATTGATGGCGCTTAGAGTCTCATAATCCATGTTGTATTTCTTCAGGCTTCCCGGCAAATAATTCTCGACGAGGACGTCGCTTTCTTTCACCAGTTTATGGAGGATTTCTACACCCGACGAATGCGCAAATGATAGTCCGATTGATTTCTTGTTCCGATTAACCTATTCCCATGATATTGGTTAGAAGAGACAAACGTAGATCCGAAAGCGCAAAATAGTTGTCTTCTACCCCAAGATAATAGGCACTTTCGCCTGGTCCTTTCACGGACTCACTCTGGTATTTCGCAAAGGGAGGGCCCCAGGCTCTAGTGTCATCGCCTCGTTGAGGGTGCTCAATCTTTAAAATGTCTGCGCTACAGATCGTCTAGTCAGTGAAACGTATGCGCAAAGACATGGCTCAACGAATCAGGGCAGTACCCTAAATCTCCCAAAATCTGCGTGCAATAAGGCTGGTCACATCATAAGTAACGCTACTCATTGCCAAACTTCAGAAGTTCCAATTAAATACTCACTCCAGCAAGGACCCTAGTCATATCCAGCACCCGAATACCTTCCAGAGGCAGGACTCCTGGCGCTGTGGTAGAATAGCGCCGCCATTGTATTCCATAGCGCCGGACGAACGAGGGATGGACGTAGACGCTTCTTCGTGTTGGTAGCCTCTGTGCTATTACCGTGGGCGCCTTCATTTTCGTAGAGGTTGAACTTGAGGTTGAGGAGGAGCGAAAGGGAAGGAGCGGAGGCAATTCCGCAGCCATCTTGGGCTAGCGAAGCCCGGCGGAAAACGACTGACCGAGGGCATCCCCTCATCTTCTCATCTCCCTCTATATCAGCCAAACCCTTCACCATGTTCACTGGCCTGGTCGAAACAATTGGGAGTAAGCTGGATCTCAACCCGAAGATTGATTTGAGATGCTAACCACGCCTTTGCTGAAGCGGTGACGTCCCTCGAGCCTCTCGACACCAGCGCAAGCGGGGGCGGGGGCACCTCAATAACGATTGGAAACTGTGCGGAGATCCTCGGAGATGCGCATCTTGGAGATAGCATCAGCGTCAATGGTACCGGTTTACCTGGCGAGGGAGGAGCAATTAATTGCCTCGAGACTAACGTAATCCGTGCGGGATAGGGACATGCTTGACTGTAACAGCGTTCGACAAGGACTGGTTCAAAGTAGGCGTTGCCCCCGAGACTCTTCGCCGGACCAATCTCGGATCTCTCCAGGCCAATTCCAAGGTCAATCTGGAACGGGCAGTGTCTTCGGAGACACGGATGGGTGGTCACTTTGTCCAGGGCCATGTTGATACCACCGCAAAGATCCTCTCGGTCACCCCGGATGGGAACGCGCTTACCTTCAGACTGCAGCCAAGGGACAAAGGCATATTACGATATGTGGTTGAAAAGGGCTTCATAACCCTGGACGGGGCCAGCCTTACTGTCACGAAAGTGGTCGATGGCGACGATGGGTACTGGGAAGTCATGCTCATCGCCTACACTCAGGAGAAAATCGTCACGGCCGCAAAGAAACCGGGCGATGATGTTAATGTTGAGATTGACATGGTGGGAAAATACGTTGAGAAGAGCGTGCAGGCCTACTTCAGCCAAAACACTGGAGGCGACTTTACCATACTGGAAAGGATGGTTGAGAAGCTGGTGAATGAGAAGCTCAAGCAGACATAAGACGTATAGCAGATGCTCAAAACGAAAACGAGAAGAAATAATCTGGTGTAATATTACGCAGTATTGAACTTAATGCATTATATGGTCGACAATTCACGAATGGATTACATTCCAATGTTGGAGAGGTAATAATTTCAGATATTAGTGTTGATCTTTTTTTTATCGATATAGGATCCTATTCTTCCATAGATTCATCATCATCTTCGCCGTCCTCCTCAACGCCAGCTTCTTCGTCAAATTCGTCGCTGTCCCATTCATAATCGTCGTCCATGCTGACGTCGTCATCATCTGCATTTTCTCCATCCTGCCCATTACCCTTCGCCTTGGCCTTGTCCTGCTTTTTCTTCTCAATGTTTGCCTTCTGTTGCTTTTTGCGCTCTTCTTTTTCTTTCCTCTTCCGGTTCCATTCGTCGTCCATCCTTTTGGTCTCTTTTTCCGACTTGGATATGAAGTCATGCCACATGACTCTTCCACCACAGAGTCCTTCTTCGACTTTTTTCAACCTCAGGGTCATACGAGGACCCAGCTCGACCAACTTGACGGCCCTCTTCTCAACATTCGTCTTGCCGGTCTGGTTCTCTGCTGGCTTTTCACCTGCTCTCAACCGTTGTAGTTCGCGTCGATTGAGCACTTTCTTGGTCACGTTTTCGGTAACTTCAACCTCCGCATCCGTATCCAACTCGGTCTCGCTAGCAGATGTGTAGCCGCCAGCAGCGGGATCGAGGAGGTAGTCAGCAACATCCTCTAGTTTTCCCAAGTTAGGCAAGCTCTTCTTTGGGTCTTTGTGTCGCTGTACTGTCGGGTCGAGCCGGCGAATCCTCTTTGGAACGCCCGTCTTTCTCGTCGTGATTGCGTAGTGGCGGAGTTTTATAATATATGCATCGTCTTCAGACTTCTCTCTATTCAGCATCATCACGCGGCGGATCGAATTCAGAGGGGTAGCCTGAGGATTGATGGGAGGGAATAATGATTGGAAAACAGTCGTTGCAAGAGATTCGAGGCGTTTGGGTATCTTGGAGCTTTCGTCGGCGTCAGGGGTATTGAAATTATTCATAACTAATAGAGGGGGCGTTCGGTGATCCTGTCCACCACCGCGAGGATGTTTGAGTGCCTTTGCAACGTCTTTGCACAGCGAATACTCCTCCACCTTGAAATGGAAAGTTGGGCCCCGTGGAGTGAGAGCAAGACGCATGTTCGTATTTCCAGTGCTTGACCTAGAGAACATGATCAAATGCGTGACACCCAGTGGCCCTGCCATGACAACATAGTCTTTCAATTTGTTCGCTCTTCGTTCCTAGATCCGGCTATGTCAATACGATAACGCTTTTCCTCCGCTTGCAATGTGCTGGTAGTCAAGAACACTCACTTTCAGACGGCTCGCTGTATCAGGCTCCATCATCAGACGGAAGTCTTTGGCCAATTGACTGACACTTGATCCAACTTCGCTGGCTCCAATCCGAATAACCATCGACTTCGGCGAACCGTTCATGGCCGATGCGCTATTCTTCGAATTCGCCGGGCCATTCTTGGCTAGTGGTTGAGTTCGCTTCTTAGTACGTCTCCTCGCCATTGTCAATATTTTTATGATACAGAGGAGAAAGTTTGTGAGCAGGATTTTCTTGAAGATTGGGGGGGGTTTTTTTTTTTCCTTGAGGGCTGCCGATAAGATATTGATCGGGGAAATTGGCCGGGATATCGATTTTGCGGCGCTAAAATAATTTTTGCGGGCCATTCAGAACCAACTCAAGTCTTTACTGACCGAGTGCAGAACAACAAATTCAGTTACATGGAAATTTTCAACAATGCCGGCCCTCAAGAAGCGCAAGATCTCTCATGAGAAACTTGTTGAGAAAGACGAGGTCTCAGATGACGCTAGCTCATCAAGCGAGGATGTTTCGCCATCGCAAAACGAAAATACAGCGCCCAAGACATTCAAAGATTTGGGGTTGATTCCTCAGCTCTGTGAAGCCTGTGATGCTTTAGGATACAAGGCTCCAACTGCCATTCAGTTGGAGTCCATACCATTAGCTTTACAGGTACTTTTGGCTTTAGCCTATACTCAAAGCCTTATTTATATACATGCTAATTCAATCTCAACAGAACCGCGATTTGATCGGTCTAGCAGAAACGGGTTCAGGAAAAACGGCTGCATTTGCGCTGCCCATTCTACAGGCCTTGATGGACAAGCCTCAGCCATTCTTCGGACTCGTCCTTGCTCCCACAAGAGAGTTGGCTTACCAGATCTCGGAGGCCTTTGAAGCCCTTGGCTCAGTCATTTCCGTTCGCACTGTTGTTCTCGTCGGAGGAATGGACATGGTTTCGCAATCAATCGCAATTGGCAAACGACCGCACATTATCGTCGCTACCCCCGGTCGATTACTCGATCATCTCGAGAATACAAAGGGCTTTAGTTTACGGACATTGAAATATTTGGTCATGGACGAAGCAGACCGCCTGCTGGACATGGATTTTGGTCCGCTGATTACAAAAATTCTCAAGGTTCTGCCTCGAGAAAGACGAACTTTCCTTTTCTCTGCAACCATGAGTTCCAAGGTGGAAGGACTCCAGCGGGCTTCATTATCGAATCCTCTACGTGTGTCTGTTTCTTCAAACAAATATCAGACGGTCGCCACGCTTTTACAATATTATCTTTTCATTCCGCACAAGCACAAGGACGTCCATTTGATATGGTTGCTGAATGAGCACGTCGGACAGTCGGTCATTATATTCACTCGCACCGTCCATGAGACTATGCGACTCACTATCCTCTCTCGTGGTAAGTTTTTTTCTGCCTTGTTGGAATGTGATCGACCTGCGCTAACCCCAGGAACAGCGTTAGGATTTGGCGCCATAGCCCTCCACGGACAGCTTTCACAATCCGCCAGGTTAGGAGCATTAGGGAAATTTCGAGCACGCAGCCGTGACATTCTTATTTCCACGTAGGTAATCAGTCTTCCGTTGCTGATGTTTCAGATCTGACGCATATTGTAGGGATGTTGCTGCCCGAGGTCTCGATATCCCCTCTGTGGATCTTGTCCTCAATTATGACCTGGCAGCAGATAGCAAGACTCACATTCATCGAATCGGTCGAACGGCCCGAGCTGGAAAGTCCGGTAAAGCTATTAGCTTGGTCTCGCAATACGATGTCGAGGTATGGCTGCGAATTGAGAAGGCGCTAGATCGGAAACTACCTGAGTACAAAGTTGAGAAGGAGGAAGTGATGATCTTGTCGGAACGAGTTGGGGAGGCACAACGACAAGCTATCGCCGAGCTCAAGGAGTTGGACGAGAAGAAAAATGGGAGAGGGTCAGGTATGAGAGGAAAAAGGTTTGCGAAGGGAGGCAAACGTGGGCGAGACAATATGGATCAGGAGGAAGGTTAAAATATAGATACAAAGAAGATTATTTTCTACTTCATGTTGAAACTGGCTTACTATTCATAGTTTTTATTTTTATGATTTTTAATTCATCACGACATTATGTCCTAAGCACGCTGTCTGCCGCCATCGTTGCATTGTGAGATGGTTCGTAGGGCTTATACCTATGCATGGCATTCACGCTCAAAGAGAAGAAGAAAAGGAGAGTTTATTAGTTCCCTCCATTCTTTATTATATTTTGATCGTAAAGCGCAATCTTTGTATCTGATGGGTGTGGCCATGGGCCCAGTCGTCCCTTAGGCTTCCTTAACAGCGTTGGCGACTCGTGTAGCTAAGTCGTCTGCCTCGGATCTGCTGGCAGCTTCCGCGTACACTCGCACAGCGTCCTCTGTGCCACTTGCGCGGGCAAAGCTACGCCCCTTGTTGTAACGAGACTGTAAGGCATCGATCTTATCTTGAAGTCCTGCGGGCGATTCGAGTTTGCGCTCGGCATCAACGGCTTTGAAGATCGAACGATCGGCAACTTCGACACGCACAAGACGAGAAGGCAAATCGGTATAAGTACCGAGCCACTCCTTGGTAGTCCATCCCTTGTGAGCCAGGATCGCCTCGACGAGGAGCATGTCCGAAAGAGCATCTCCAACTGCTTGGTTGATAAGGTCTGTCAGTCCGACGAGAGATTCGAGTGCGTGTTGTTGGGCGGGAGATTGAGGTTCGGCGCTCTTAATAGTCTTCAGCGCATTCTCCGAAAAGGTCACGGTTCCATGGCCATTAGCTTCGAAGTAGACGCCAACATCGTACCGCAACGCAGCATGGTGAAGATGCTTGACGCCGGTTTTTGTGCACACAGTTGGGAGTTTAAGAACCTTTTCGATGTAATCAGTGCTAGCGCCGTTGGCATAGGCGGTCTGAACAACACCGATCTTCAGCTTTTGCGCAATTCCAGCATTGCGAGCTAGATCGCCAATGAAGGAGGCTGCAAGCGTTGCGATACGGTCTCCGTCGAGAAGTCGGAACACATTATTCTCATCTAGGAAATAGTATACTAATCGATCGGCGTCGCCATCTAAAGATGCACAGCGATCCATCTGTGAGGCTTTGGAAGACGGAGGAGCTCGCTGCTTGGTCTTGACGAAATCCGCGCCGCACTATAATCACTTGTCAAACAAGCCGTTCGTTTACATTTGGCGCTGCGGAATACATACTTCAAAGTTCAGGCTGTCTGGGTCGATGACATTGTCATTGACAACCTTGATGTCAACACCACCTTGATCTGGTGACGGAAGATATTTGATGAGTTCACGAAGCTTTGGTCCACCAACTCCATTGGCGCAGTCGACAGTCAGGTGGCCCTGAACCTTGACACTCTTCTGGACCTTTTTAAAGGCTTCGGCGAGTTTCTCATAGTAGCCTTGCTCGGTAGGCTCGCCATATTCATACGGCGTCCCCAGGGTATTTTTGCAACGAACGACGTAGTGAAGCTGAGGGGTGGTCATGAATTTGAAATCCAGGAATTCGACTTCGGTAGCAGTCAACGCTGCGTTGAGAATTCCAACTAGACGGGAGCCAGACGCGCGAGTATCACGGGCAAAGACTACGCGCGCGGGGTTGTCCACTTTCACGTCAATCTCCTTGATCAAGTCATTGTAGACATCAGCCACCCTGTCAAGAGGGGCGTTTGCCAGTTTGGTCGCATATGCCTCCCATTCAGCCTGCAGATTGTTAACCACGACTAACTATACGAACAATTTCGCTGTGGGGAGAGCTTACTTCGAGCATTTCGCCCTGTTATTCAAATAATTACGTTAGTATCAGTTCATCATTGCTCCCGGCACAACAACCAGCTTCGCATCCTTACCATGGGATCAACCAACTTCACGCCATTGTCCTCAGCTGGATTGTGGCTCGCCGTGACCATGACACCGATCCATTGCCCATTGAGCTTTCGGGATCGCAGTCCGGCGAGAAGACCTACTGCAAAGACGACTGTATTGAGCAGATCACTGTTGCGCATTGCGGGGTTGTTGGTTGTTGGTCAGCCATGTTTTCGAGCCAACGAAGGAGTCGTGGAAGATGCTGCCAGGACAATGAATGTATGCTTACGCTTTCATGCGAAACTGCAAACTTCCAGGTTAGCCCACGAATCGCCATTGCTCCTAACGAAGGATGGATGGATGACGCTGCTTACCCCCGCGGTGCCATACTCAAACACGCGCCCCTCTGGAAAGCGATACTTGGCAGCGGCCTCAGAGATGGCCTGGTGGATAGCGGAAGACGCCATTGCAGCGCAAGTCTGGCAAGGGGTGTTGGCTTGGTTTCAGGACAATTGAGGTTTGTTTAACTGCGCTGGCAGGAAGAGGTACAGTTTTGTTGTTGAAGGGGGGAAGGTCACTTGTCTCAGCTTAAATATATACCTAATGCCCCACACCCGGCGGTGCAGCTTAACCGCCCGCAAACAAGGATTTAGAGCCAGCTACTATACAAAGTGCGGAGAATATTTAGGGCCAAAGAATGTTCTGTTCTGGTTTTCCTTCAGCCCTCCCTCAGCTATATAGCCTCGAAGGGATGCCGGGCGAGTACGAAAAAGCGAATACCCATGGTCTACTGCCAGAGACGACGAACGAACGGCATTGAATGCGATAAACTCTTCGAGACTGATGTCTATACATCCAGACCTTCTAATTAGCGTTTATATAGCAAACATCTATCGACATCAATCGGCTTATTCCAGTATACGCTCAAGCTTTCAACCTCTCGGTAGTCAGGTCGTCCCGGGCATCCCTGACGATAAAACTGCAAAGTTCAAGTTAGACGCAGATCGAGGACACGGCTGTAGGGTAGTTACTCACAGATACCACCAAGCAGTGGGTATGACTGTACCCAAATGCCACAGACTGTGTGCATCAACTAATCCCCACCACGGCGGGAAGTCAAAAAGCTCCAAACTCATGGCAAGCGAGACCCAGACGACAATCATGGCGGGCCAAGCAACCCATGACTTCCTTGGGTCTTGTTTATATCGGTAAAGGCTGAATGCTGTCCAGAGCAGATTTTGAAGAACTCCGACGACAACATTCGCGATCATATTGTAGGTATAATCCCAGGACCAGAAGGTCAAATAGGATACATGAGCGACGTACAGTCCGATACAGAGATAGGTCCAAAGGCGGCGAAGCGTCGGTTTAAAACGAGGTCGTTCTTTGTCTAGGCGGAAGATACGGATGACGGCGAGAAAGAGGCCGTAAAGCACACTTGCGCCAGCTGCCCAATAATCCAATTTCTCGGTCAGGGGGAAATCCCGTGTGTGGAATAGCATACTGAAAGTCCAGGTAGCAAATCCGCAATAAGCAAGGCCAACATAATACTTGCGAAGCGGATACGAGGCTGGAATGGACGATTGAACCCAGCTCAAGCCGTAGTAATGGGCCAGAAAATTGAAAAGAGAGAAGAGAACGGAGAAGAGCTCCTGCATGCCCAGGACTCTATAGAAGGGCCATTTGCCATGAAACTGCACGATGGGTTGTAGCATTGGGAATTCTCGGTTCACTCTGCGATCCGTGATGACATGTTGGCAGGTGTAGTCGCATTCGGCGGCGCAAGTCCATAGCATAAGACGGAGGAACGTTGCTGTAATTTCCAAGTCTCACGTTAGCAGTGGGAAAGAAATGATGTTCCAAGATTGACTTACACAGCGCAGAATTGCCATTCTGGCAGTTTTCTTCTTTACAAATCTGGCATTTGCGTGTCAGGCCCTGTGTCCATGCAGAGCCGATTGTAGGGAAATGCATACCTTGACACATTCTTTGAATTCGGGCAATCGATCCCCGAGAGACGCCCATGACTGGCCGGCAAAAGCGGCTAGTATTATGAGAGTGATAGCAGAGCCTGAAAGAAATGACAAGGGTCGGAGGGCTCGCATCTTCGAATTGTCGCGCGGTCTGTTTTATCGAGGTAGGAGGCGGAAGCCTCGAGTAAATCAAGCAATCAAATGCGAAGTCCCGAGGCGATTACCTAAGCATGTCGGGCATCCCTGATGTGCGATTGGCTGGCCATTGGACATGTTGCTCTGCAGCATTTCCGGTCTCTGACAACGCCAGTGCGCGACTATATGCCTGAAAATATATCAATGAGGAAAGAGATGCCAGCAGCACAAGTTCTTCTTGTCGCGAAGCTGTTTGGGCCAGAAATGGGAGGAAGTCAGGAATGGCCACAACCCCACAATTCACGTGGGAGGCTAGACCGTTTTTCGTTAGTCGGCGGGCAGTCGTGGCTAATCAACGCCCGAAAAAAAAGTCGCTTAGACTAAGATAGGAAAGCCTCTATCAGTTTTTCTTTGTCGCATTTACTTCTCTTTTCCGCCCTTCTCATCGCTCTCTTTTCTTTTGACTTGGACATTGATTTTGTTTCTGAAGTCTTCCGGAATTCAATATCTGGCATCATGAGTGCAACACCAGCTGCCGGTAACTCGGGCATTTCTAGCAGCGCCGATCGCATGGTTGGCGCTGACCACGCCGAAGTCCGCTATTTCACTAGGTGTGTGATGTTGATGTTGATGTTGTTTTCTTGAAAAAAAAAAAGTGTATATCCACTAATTGCTTGCTGGCAGCTATGACCACCATGGTATTTGTTACCGTCCTGCATTCATATTGATTGTCCACTAACAACATGATGTTTGATAACTACCAGGCATCCATGAGGAGATGTTGGTAAGCATACCTGAAAAAATTTGGGGGGGGAGCAGCAATGAGCAGCTGACTGACATATTTTTTTTCCCCCTGTTATTAGAAAGACGACGTCCGTACTCGATCTTACCGTGATGCCATTTACCAGAATAAGCATCTCTTTAAGGACAAGGTCGTCCTTGACGTCGGATGCGGTACCGGCATTCTGAGCATGTGAGCAAACCTGGACATTTTATTTTTTTTATTACCTACAGGCGTGCATCGAATATCGACTGACGGTCTGTTTCCCATATAGGTTCGCAGTCCGTGCCGGTGCAAAGCATGTTATTGGCGTTGACATGTCTTCGATCATTGAGAAGGCTCGTGAGATCGTTGCCGTGAACGGCATGGCTGATAAGATCACGCTTTTGCAAGGGAAGATGGAAGAGGTGACTCTTCCTTTCCCCCAGGTTGACATCATTGTATCTGAGTGGATGGGATACTTCCTCCTATACGAGAGCATGCTGGACACTGTTCTCTACGCCCGGGATAGATATCTTGCCCCTGGAGGAAAGATTTTCCCTGACCAAGCAACCATTTACGTTGCAGGTATCGAGGACGGCGAGTACAAGGATGACAAAATTGGATGTAAGTATCCGCTCACGTTGTGCCTACATATTAGGAGAGTACTAAAGACGCGAAACAACAGTTTGGGACAACGTCTACGGCTTTAACTACAGCCCGATGAAGGAAGTCGCACTCACCGAACCTCTCGTCGACACTGTTGAGATGAAGGCGGTTGTCACCGATCCCTGCCCAGTGCTTACCTTGGACTTGTACAAGGTAACGCCTGCGGATCTGGCCTTCCAAGTCCCGTATTCGCTCGCAGTTAAACGCAGCGATTTCGTACACGCGATCATCGCCTGGTTTGATATTCAATTCACCGCGTGCCACAAGCCAATTACTTTCTCCACCGGACCGCATGCGAAATACACTCACTGGAAACAGACCGTCTTTTATCTGCGGGATGTTTTGACTGTCGAGGAAGAGGAGGCCATTAGCGGATACCTAGTGAACAAGCCTAATGCGAAGAACAAGCGTGATCTCGACATCAAGCTCTCCTACACTTTGGAGACGCAGGACCAAACTCGCTTCGCTCGAGGAGAATGCGAATACACGATGTGAGTGTCTCTGGTCGATGCTTCCAGCAAATTGCTAATCATATTCCAGGTGTTAAAAAATCATATATGTTTTCAATTTTGGATACCATCCGCCACTTTCCCCGTTACTTTGTTGCGTTCCTATAATCCGTCTGCACACCTATTAGTTTCTTTTGTCTGGTTGTTCTTAATCCATTACGGGCGTTTCACGGGATGTGTTTGTTCAACTGCGTGTTGGCAAACGAGCATGTTAGGCGCTACATTCGGGTCGATGAAAAAGATGAGATGAAGAAGAGATCATGATAACGAGCTCCTCGCAACCCTTTCTAAGTATATACCCTCGAGTTGAAGCTAAGCATAATATACTTCAGATTGCATCAGAGCTTTTTTTTTTCCTTTTTTTTTATTGTATGAAAAATAAACGACCGTGCCTGATAAGGGCTGACTAATCAATCAGATAAGGAATGCAGCGATGTTGCCCAATCGGCTGCGACCATTAGACCCACCCTGTACCTCGGCTCATTGATGATTGGCGGCATTCTTCAATGCGGAGAACTTTCGATTTGGTGTAACAGGATATAACCATTGTTCTTGCACATAAGCTACCCGGTTCAGCCCATTCATCACTTCCCTGAACGCATTGCCAATTCGAAAACAATGTCTGGACCTGGAGTTGGCTTTGAATATCCTCGCCGGGCTGTTACCTGGACGAAGCGGGATGTCCTCCTCTTCGCAAACAGCATTGGCTGTCAAGCCGATGAGCTGCATTTCCTCTATGTAGGGCGCTATCATATCTAGTGTCTAGTCAAGAACCTCGGATTCATTCATGATACAACTAGGAACTGCATCCGGACTTTGCTGTATTCCCAACATACACAAATATTCTCCGTGCGTCACTCCCACGAAGAGACAGATACCGAGAGCCAAAAAAAAATAAATTTGATACTAAAGCACAAACAGCATTCAAACTAGCAAATACCGACGTGATCGACTTCTATCAATCCCAGAAAAGCATCCCGATTCCCGGCGTCCCCAAATTTGACCCGCAGCGTGTCGTTGACGGCGAGCGCAAAATAATCTTCTTGAAACAGTTACCCACGTCTAGTGAAGGCAGACAATATGAGGTAAGAACCAAAGTCATTGGTGTCTATGATAAGGGGAAGGCATCCGTCGTGGAGACGGAAACTTCTATTGTGGATAAAGAGACGGACGAGGTTTATTCGAGCATGATCGGAAGTGCCTTTTTCGTGGGTCAGGGAGGATGGGGTGGTCCAAAGGGTATGTGTTATGTGATTATTTTTTTTCTTCACTCAATCCACGATGACAGAGTGGGATGCAATGTTCATGCAAGACTGTATAGGCCCTAGTGCTGTGAACTATCCAACTCCAAAGGGCAAATCTCCAGATGCTATATTTGTCGACCAAACGAGTCTACAAACTGCACATTTGTATCGGTAAGTTTCATACACAAATGTATAAATACTATTCAGGCACAGTTATCTAATAATGGCCATGATTGCAAGCCTCAACGGCGACTACAACCCCTTACACGCCACTCCAGAGCCAGGCCAAAGAATGGGTTTCGGCGGCGTCATAATTCACGGATTATATAGCTGGAACACCACCGCACACGGAGTCCTCAGAGCGTTTGGAGGTAGCAACCCTAAGAATATGCGGGAATTTCAAGCTCGGTTTGCCTCCCCAGTTCGTCCAGGTGATAAGCTCACCACTGAGATCTGGAGAACCGGCGAGACGGTAGACAGAGACGGGTTTGAGGAACTTAGATTTGTCACCAAAAACCAGGACGGAAAAACTGTTTTGAGTAATGGGCGTGCATTGATCAAGGTGGTGAATAAGAGCAGTAAGCTCTGATATCTACGTATATAAGCAGCAGACAGCTACGGGTATTGAAGTATCAGCATCTATATATATTTGACAAATTACCATTCAACATCGAATACAGATATATTTATATACATCGACGAATACCTGTGCTCGTTGTATAAGAAAGGGAGAGAAAAGCTAGCAATATCAAATGGATAAGCGACTAGCAGGTGTACCCAATTCGTTCAAAGTCTTCTCTCTGCCATTGATAAGCAGACGATATCGCGAGACAAAATCATCGTTATTGACTGTTATCGACCAAGTCAGCTTCCCGGTGTATCAAAAGAAAATATACTTGGGACATACTATAACCACCGCACATCCTGCGCTTTCCGGTGAAGGCAGAGCGGCCGTGAAGCATTCTCCAGTTGTCAAAGACTTGTTTTGAATAGAGTTAGTGGGGGAGATAATTTTGTTTATAAATTAAGGAGAAAGAAAAAGACAAAGGCATACTTAATGCAGTCCCCGGTTCCAGCTGCAGCCATTTCTGCATCTGATCCTGCCGTTTAAGAAGTGCGTTCCAATGTCGCGCTGCTTTATACCAGGCCGTCGCCATATTATATTCCCAATCGACCTTCGCCGCACGATCATAGTTATTCCATCGAACACGCCTAAGTCTTGAAGATTTTGGGTCTCTTTCTAAGACTGGGAAGTGACGGTATGGTTGGATGCTGACATCTTCATTTCCACTTGAATGCCATGGTTGTGGGAAATCAGTGAGTGCCTGTACGTTCCTAGGATTCTCTTGCAGCATGCGGAATGCCGCATAAAAGCCATCAACAAGAAGTGTTTCGCCGCCGTCTCCGTCGGTGTGCGATAGAAGATGAAATAATTGAAGCCTCGCCGGATCGGAAAAGTATGTGTTATCTGTATGTGGATCCAGTGCCTCGGATGTATATGCTGTATCCTTGTAGGTTAAATCCGACGTGAAGTCCCAGAAGCCACCTGGGAAATAAAGGTTAATGACCAAAACAGACTACAAAGATACCATTAAGATGCCTGCATACCATAATGTGTGTTTCTAATAAAAGCAATCCTTTCCAGCAGCTCTTTAGTTGCCTCCGGATCAACTGGTACACCTTTTACTAAACAGTATCCCCAGTTTATCTGTTGAGGGCATTAGCAAGCAGCCTGATTGTGAACTCAGAAGGGCACAAACAATTTCACGAAGCCACTCTGCGAGGCCTTCCCCTGTTTTCATGACACTTTCGTAGTCAACTGTGGGGTGCTCCTTGACAGAACGTCGAAATTTTAATGATCTCCTATATAAGATAGATAAACCTGTGAGATCTTCGGAATAGCTTGACCCCAATAAAGATAGGAAGGAGGGTTAGTATTACCTGAATGTGAGAACTTTGCTACTTCGAACATTAGGCAAGAACTGGTGACTTTCAAGCCAAGAAGTAGGGTAGACACCAGTATGTCCATCAGACCCTTTAAGCAGAATAGAAAAACAATAATAAGCCGGAAAGTTCAATAAGAGTGTTACGGGAGTAACCTGCACGTACACCAGATTTCTATGGTCTCCGCTGGCCCATTTTCAACTAACTTTGCATGGATATCCTTGGGTATCTACTTATCTGGTCAGCTATATTGCCTTGAGTTCAGTAGCATGTATCTGTCTAATCTCACCGTAAAGGTGTTGACCATTCGCTGTCTTGTGATTGGATGAATACAACTCGAACATTGACAGTTTTCTCTGTACGAAAAGACACTGTCAGAATTTTGCGCCTAGGAAAGTCCTTAAAGAAATGAATATCCGTTTCTCTCACATACCTAAGCCAGATCGCGACACTGGCAAATATTTAATACATATTTCTCGCCCGCAGAGTTTAGGGAAGGCTTACAATGGACGATATGGCTCAATATGTACCTCGCTCCAATATGGGAACTCCTCGGTGACTCTAGATCGAGTACTGAATTGTCCACTCTGTGCAGAGTCCACAGCAGTGCCTGGGTCATCTCCGAATATGACAGAATCAAGCGCTGACGGAGGTCCTTCTTTGGACTTCAACGGCGCCGCGCTCGAAGTTTCTTTAGATGCGGCAGCCTCAATATTAGTTTTTGCGGAGTTTGCACTATCATTGTGAGCTGCTGCTGCTGCTGCTTCTGAGACTAGTTTGTTTGTTCGCTCGAGCAGATCTAGTTGCTGCTGGTAATCAGGGGTATTGGAAGATCCTCCTGATTGGGAATTAAAGTAATTTGCACCCTAAGCCGATGGCCGGTGAGATGCTAGCCATAAGGGAGAAAAAAGCGGATGGGGGCATACTCTATAAAATTGTCGTATTGTGAGCAGTCCCGTATTGCTAAGAAGCAAGTGTCAGCAAAGTCCTCGTTATATCACTTTCATGAATGAACAATCTGACCTGGGCCTCTGCTGCAAAATCAACTTTTGCGCCCGGCATAAGTTGCTGGGGCGGACGCGGCAAAAAGCCATGGGCCTTGATGCATCAACCAGACACTTCAAGTAGAATATAAAAAGGAAACACAAGTCCTATTCTTTTCATGATTATATGTTCGACAGGTGTTGATGTTCACAGGTCGCTTGCTTGGCAGCCACTTGATAAATCCATATCGGATAAGGAAGGTCACGTGGCCGCAGCTCAACTAGCTACTGTAGAGCTCGCTCACCTCCGCTCCCAGTTTCGCCGCATCAACAACCCACACCCTCGCATCTCCTCTTCTCAATTTCCCATCGTTCTTCTTCTTACAGGGCTGTAGCCGTTAACAATCCAAATACAAGTGGTCTTTAACGGGTTCAATTCGTCACACATCCATCATGTCCACACTCGAAGATCTCGACGATCTTGAGCGCGAGGATCAGAGCAAGAAGCAGCAGCAGCAGGGCGGTGGCGGCAACGGCGACGACAAAAAGCCCAGTGGTGACGGCGACGCCGAAATGCAAGATGCAGAACCCAAGAAGGATGAAGTTGATGAACTTCTAGATGCAGAACTAGTTGGTGCAAGCACAGATGACATCAAGAAACGACGACGGCTACTAGAAAACGAGCTACGGATCATGAAAAGCGAGTTTCAGCGGTTGACGCATGAGCAGAATACCATGAGAGATAAGGTTAAGGATAACCAAGAGAAGATAGAGAATAACAGGTTGGGTTTCCTCGACGACTCCGAAGTTTTTGTTGATTACAAATGCTGACATGGGTGTGACTCTCAAAGGCAATTACCATACCTTGTCGGAAATGTTGTTGAGCTCCTGGATCTTGATGTAGAAGCAGAAGCTGCCGAAGAAGGAGCCAATATCGATCTAGATGCTACTCGAGTTGGAAAGTCTGCCGTTATCAAGACATCAACCCGTCAAACCATTTTCCTGCCACTCATCGGTCTAGTTGATCACGAGAAACTCAAGCCGGGCGATCTCATTGGAGTGAACAAAGATTCATATTTGGTTCTCGATACTTTACCGGCTGAATATGATAGCCGAGTCAAAGCTATGGAGGTAGATGAGAAGCCTACGGAGAAGTACACCGATGTGGGTGGGTTGAGCAAACAAATCGAAGAGCTGGTAGAGGCCGTTGTGTGGCCGATGCAAGAAGCGGAGAAGTTCAAGAAGATTGGTATCAAGGCGCCAAAGGGTAAGTGCTCAGTCTAGTCTCGACTTTTTCCATCAGGGGGTGGTTTCTGATATTTTCTCTCTTGCAGGCGCGTTGATGTACGGACCACCTGGTACTGGTAAGACGTTGCTAGCTCGTGCATGCGCTGCTCAAACGAATGCGACTTTCCTCAAGCTCGCCGGTCCCCAACTGGTGCAAATGTTTATCGGTGATGGAGCGAAGCTTGTCCGAGACTGTTTCGCTCTAGCAAAGGAAAAGGCCCCATCAATCATCTTCATTGACGAACTCGATGCCGTCGGTACAAAACGATTCGACTCGGAGAAATCAGGAGACCGTGAAGTCCAGCGAACCATGCTTGAACTTCTCAATCAACTAGACGGCTTTGCTTCCGATGACCGCGTCAAGGTCCTTGCAGCTACGAACCGAGTCGACGTTCTAGATCCAGCCCTCCTCCGATCTGGCCGACTAGACCGAAAGATCGAATTTCCGCTCCCCAACGAAGAAGCCCGAGCACAAATTCTTCAAATTCACTCGCGCAAAATGACCACAGACGACGGCGTCAACTGGGCTGAACTGGCTCGCAGCACAGACGAATTTGGAGGCGCCATGCTGAAAGCCGTCTGCGTTGAGGCTGGTATGATTGCGCTGAGAAAGGGGATGAACAAGGTCAACCATGAGCATTATGTCGATGCTATTGCAGAGGTTCAATCAAAGAAGAAGGATACAAACATGGGCATTTACGTTTAGTCCATGCTGTTGCGTGCATGGATGTATGTATGCATATCTTCTCTCTCTTTTATGTTTTGATTGTTAAACTTCCGTTTCTATAAATCAGAATCTTCGAACAATTTCCATCTGCCACTATAATAATAAGGTTACCATTTCAAGTAAAGAAATTGTTAAAGCACAATCTATTCAAATCAAGGGAGGCTATCAGAATGAAAAATAAGCAGGCAATGCCAGCCGTGTGTATATAACTAAATAGTAAATATCAAGTACGTATGATCAATTTTATCAGATAAAAGTTACGCCAGAAGGACCTGAGCGGTTCGAAGAAGTTCATTCAAGGGTAGCTTTGTAAACGTTCGGTATTCAGGTCTTGGTTACTTTTCCAACTTCCTCCATGATAATCTTCCGGACGCCGTCTAACCCATCCCTCCTCTTTACATGAATCACTCGTCGTGGAAGTTTTTCTAGTACCGAGAGCTGTGGGGGTAGGATATCACTGAACAGGAACCCTTGTTCTTCTGAAAGGGCCAGTTCCACAGCATGGCTGAACTTGGCCGGATGTGCGGTCGACAAAGCCACATGGTGGAAACTTGGAGCTGCTTCAGCTGAACGGATCGCAGCTGTAACGCCAATAGCAGAATGTGGATCTAAGACGTAATGTTTCAAACCAGTCCATTGGTACACATCATGAATAGTAGCCAGCGTTTCCGCATCTGATACTCGCTGAGATGAAAATTCTGCCCTTGCAGCATTCAACATCTTCTGCTCAACGGAGAATCTGTCTTCTGACTTGAGAGCCGCCTGCCATTGTCGGACCATCGAAGATGCCACCTGCAATTTTTCTCTTTCACCATCGACTTCACTGCCGTAGACGTCGTATGCAAGGAACCATAGGAGCCGTTCAAAATTACTGCTGATGAGAACGTCCATGGCAGGGGACATGGTCTCTTTCACAGCGCCTGCATGGGTATTGGAACCCGTGCTTTTGAGCTTTTCATAGGTGCCCGTCTGCCAGAAGCGATGAAGGATATCATTCTCATTTGTGGCAACAATGAGTTGTGATATCGGAAGACCCATTCGCTTTGCAAGAAACCCAGCCAGGATATCACCGAAGTTTCCAGTAGGGACGGAGAATTTGATTTGATCGCTCGAGGGATTGAACTTGCCAGACCGGACAAGCGAGAAATATGACGCAAAGTAGAAAGTAACCTGCGCCAAAATTCTGGAGACGTTGATTGAATTGATTGACGTCAAGTTGAATGGTGCCATGGCGGAACGGTCTGCAAAGAGGCCTTTTAAAAGTCCCTAGGAAACTCGTTAATGATAAATTCTGTGATAAATGTAAAAAGACGACAAACCTGGCAATCATCAAAGGTCCCATCCACACTCAAGCAGTGTACTAAATGATAAGACAATTAGCTTCGCTTGTAGGGCTCATAGCAAAGCTGGTCCTGTATTATAAGGACAGGGGGAGTAGACTCACCATTCGCATCAGGTACAGTAGTCATTTGTGCCTCCTGTACCGAGGAAACCCTTCCCGTAGGGAATAGAACAAACACGGAGACATCCTTTTTTCCCCTGAGACCTTCAATTCCAGCAGAGCCAGTGTCTCCCGATGTAGCACCAACAACAACATAATGCTCGCGATCCTGGCCCGCTTTTTGTAGGGTCTGATTCCGTCTCTCCAGGAAGAACTCTAGGAGATTGCCGAAAAATTGCAGTGCAATATCCTTAAACGCAAAGGTCGGGCCATGAAACAATTCAAGTAAGTGTATCTTCCTTTCATTGTCGAGGGTTATCGTAGGCGTCACGTCTGGAACTCTGAAGCTTGCGTATGCTTGATGTATAATCGCTTTGAGAAATTGGTGAGGAATCTCAGTTGATGGGATATATAGGGTTAAGATTTCGAATGCGAGCTCTTCGAATGAAAGATCGACCCAGTTGTTCCAATCACATGGGAGAGATGGAATCGACTCAGGAACAAACAGTCCACCGTCAGGGGCGAGACCCTGGAGGACTGCTTCTTCGAAGGAGACCTGCAAATTCTTTAGTTTTATTGATAGTAGAGCACTGCAAAGAACCTACACCGTAAGAACCCCCCCGGGTACTTAGGAATGATGCAATCATTGTAGTTGGACAAAGCTAAAATGTCAACGTGGTCTTGGTTGGAAATCATCGAAGTCATGGAGCTTATATATATACAATAGACCTAGCGTGCTCTTCATGAAGCTGATGAGTCAATCGGAGTGAGTCATGACTGTCATTGAGTTAGTCCAAGACTCTAAGTAGAGGTCCAGAATTGCGGAGTACTCCGTACCAGAATGGAGACCTTGCGCAGGATGCCGCATTATCTTATCCTTCCCAAATTCACCAGGTGCGATATTGAAATCTCTCTTTAAAGAAATATCCGAAGAGCCTATGCTCCTCTGTAGCCTATGTATAATCCCAGCAAAGGTATTAGACAAGAAGGAATGTAAAGATACAGGTGAACCGAAGAACAATAAAACCGGAAAGTAAATCACAGTGAAGAAATCAAACACTAAATTGTGAAAAGAGTGGACCAACAAAGAAAAGGAATGTGACAAGAAAGGTGGGAAAGAAAAAAAAAAGTCCGATGATAAACCTAATCATCTCAACTCCATATATGTACGATGTATTAATAAATCCCGCAATATACAAAAGAAGAAAATGTATACAAAAGAAGAAATGGAAGGATAGGTTAGAAAAACTTCTTCATATCAATAACATCCATGGCATGCTGTCGTTCACGCTCAAAATGCATCCACCAGTCTTTAGGATGCCCCGAATTCCAAGCTCCATTGCATGTATCTTTGCCCCAGGGGGCACTACTTGCCACCGCGGTCGAGGAGGAACATGGGTTTGGTGTTGAGGGGTAGGTGGGAGTTGTTGGCGACGTGACCATGGAGGAGGTGCGAGAGCCAAATCCGCTCCAGCTTGCTAGGCGTGATGCAGCTGATGTTGACGGTGTAGTGGGTGATACAATAGAGTCGGAGCTTAGGTCGCTTTCGCTTCGTTTCAAAAGGTCCGGGTTAGTCGATAAAGGGAACGAAGGCGATGACTGGAGGGGAGTAATGCCTTGAATCAGTCCAAGCACATTTTTCCATCCTAATAAACCTCCATCCGAATCAAAGCCGCGGATATCTGGTCGAAGAATGAAATGTGGTATTGAACAGCTTTTCTCTCCTTCATTGCCATGCATTATTGCCCGTATTACGCCCATCACTGCTGGCATTCTAAATTCAAATACTTTCTTTGGTCCATCAACGCCGTTCTCCAGGTCGGATTGGGATGATATATTTGCACTTTGCATGCCCGGGAAGGCACCTCCAAAGAGGTCAATATCCTCATCTTCTTCGTCCGAGCCATCTTCCGAATCATTGGTTTCCATAGCACTATCTGGGACGTAAGAGTCGGAATGATCGGTGACAAGCACTTTCATGCCCGTGTCACTATCCTTAGCAGCCATATCGATGAACGTCTGAGCCCGGATACGCGCAGACGTCAGGTTGTTCCCAGCTGGCAACGCCAGGGGGCGTATGCTAACCGAACCGTTGGAGCTCCGGGGCAGACTATACCGGTCTGATGGTATCAAGGCCTGTCCATGGGGTATAGGTCGACAAACTGACTGGAGGATGCCCGGCGGTTCAATATCTGACGGTGCTCGTAATTCTGAAAGAGATGGAAATCCTGAATGGAGTATGCTTTGGGCCAGATGGAAATTGGGCGAGTCATAAGGCTTATGTGGGATCACAAATGGTAAGGAGTCAACCAGCTTTCCGAGTCCAGCTGCGGAATCTGGTCCGGTAACATCCCAATGTAGATATTTCAAGGTCGCCGAAGCAAGAATCGGTTGAAAAACCATGGCCGCTGATGGGAGAACAGGCGTCCGCATGGATTGCACCAGGCTAAATCGCTCGAGCATCCTCAGGGACGTAAATATTTTTGAAATAACTAGCAGAGAACCGATGTTCTGCTCAATTAATGTCAAAGACCGGAGTGAGCGGGCCTCTGGCCGCGAAATGTATTGCGCTATACCTCCATCGGTGACACCTCTCAGGTTCTCTAGGCGGAGCGACTCGAGCGGCGGAAGGAATTGCAAAGTGCGATCAGTGAACATGTCGGCATCAAAGGAAGAGATGCACAAATTTCGAAGGGCGGGAAGACGGTTGAAGATCCTCAGGAATATGCCATGTTCGAGAACGCCGCCCGCGTTCATTGAATGTAGCATCAAAGTTTCCATTTTGCTCCAAGACGAGTGATAGTCGAGGAATTCAGATGCTTGTTGAGGCTCTAACGTCTTCGTTATCTTCGTTAGCGATGATGTTGACGTGGACTTGGAGTTTTCACCAGCGTTACTAGAGGTGGTGTCAATTGGTTCTCCAAGGAGCCATTGGTGTTCTTTGAGACGTTTCCGTGTAGACAAGGCATAAGTCAGACGATCAAACTCGTGATGATAGATCATATTGAACCCAATCAAACGTTCCAAATTCGGACAGACCATGACGACGGAGGCGACTAGGTTGCGGTAATCTTCCCACTGCTGGTTCGCCTTGCCGTTGACCGTTGGTGAAAGATCCAAGTCGGGAACACGCAGGTCAAAGACGAGGTTGGCTAGTAGTTTTCTTTCTCGCAGGGTCCGTCGTAGTAACTTCAGACGACTGCCTCGCTTGAGTCGATATTTCTTTAATTGGGCGGGTGAATCTGCTCCAAGGATATGAATTCGGTTGTATCTGGAGGGAGGGAGGATGCTTAGTATATGGAAGGATACAGATATACATCTGAGGAATTATTTTTTTCCCCTTACAGTTTACTCCTCACGGCCCTCTCCCAAGTCCGGCTTGTGAGGGCCAAGGCATGTAGATCTCGCTGGAAACACGTCGTGCAGCCGTACTGGTAGTTCTCGGGTGCTTCGTGCAAGTCTTGTAGTTGGTTTAATATGCAATTATAAATAGCAGGGGGCAGGGACCCGACGGCAGGTTCATAGGGTTGTCGTGACAGAAAAGAAGTAGGAATAGTTGGCGTTGGCGGAGGAGCGACCTGCTGTTTGAATGCTCGGCTTGAAGGGGATCTTGGTGAGGTAGGCGAATATACGGTAGGTGGCGTGGTGCTGTAGGAGGTGGTATAGTTGGTCGAATATGAGGAAGCGGACGCCGACGAGCTTCTTCTCGGAGAGATGTCCTCGATCGCCATGGCGTAGTCAGAGACGGCCACGGTATTGCCAAAGGGCACGGGGGGCTGTTGCGAAGTCGCAGTGATGACACTCATGATGGTCACTGATAATCTGAAACGAGAGAGTCCTGTCTTTCCCCGCCTCTGGTCGTACTGTTTTTGTTTTTGTTTTTCTTGGTTTTGTTTTTTTCCGACAGAGATCCCCAGACGTAATGAAAAGAGAGTGTGGGTAAAGATCGAACTGGTTGTCAGACTGCCGGAGGAAGAGCGAGCGACAGGCAGAGAGACTGGCAGACAGGGGGGAGAGAGCGCGCGATGTACGCAGGGAGCAGATCAACAGCGGATGGGGAAGGTGCAAAAGACGGTCGAAACGGGCTGCGGCTGTGATTGGCTGGCTTGGGGGCAACCTTATTGCGCTCGTTGTTGATGTCTTACCACCACCGTCGAGTGTCGTGCACAGGACAGCAATGGCAGAAGCAGCAGAGTATGCCTGGCTGGTCGCAGACACAACGTCTCCGTGCATAGCATAACCATGGCATATAGTTAGTTACAATCAACATGGATGATAAGTGAGCGAGCCATGCTCTGCTCAGGGGCCGCATCCTCGTGCGCGCGGGCTAAACCGCAATAGGAATGGGCTGCACACCGCATACATACTGACTCTCTCTGTACTTGCTGGAGTTGAATACTAGAGAACAGCAACAGAACCGAGCCTTGAGCACAAATCACCAGATTCACCGCCGCAACCAGCATCCACAGCGGACCTCCAGGCACGGCATGACTGGCAGATCAGATACGCCAAAAAGCGCGCGAACCGGTGGGCCCCATCGACGAAGCTGCGAGAATGCCTGTAAAACGAGGGCCAAGAATTATCTCCCCGTGGTTACTATTTTGGTGTTGTCCAATGGTCGAGCATTATTTCTGGTGGGGACCCTTTCCGGCATGGCATCAAACTTGAACTACCCCTTTCTTTTCTATGGAGACATCACAAAACCAGCTACCTAGTAATTTCTCCTATTTGTTGCAGATTGATCGTGCGGCCTAGCGCCTGCAGGACAGGACTAGGCTGTGTGTGGGCCTCGCATCATAACTACATGCCATAAATGGTGCTTTGCTTCATCAGTAATTATTAGCTACTATTATTACCTAGTAAGTTAGTCACCGTCGTTCGACGATGATGAGACACAACCTGCTCAAACTCCCACCGGCCGGTAAGAATAGAAACTATGCATAAGAATAAGAAGCTTTTCAACTCAGAATGTGTTGTGTTCGAACCATCAGAAAGAAAAGAAAAAAAAAAAAAAAAGAATAGAAATTGACGCAAACAAAACAAGGCAATTCATCTCTCTGTACAGGAGTCTCTCCAGGGGTATGCAATTCAAAAATGTATGGATTGGCCGAGTATCAGAAGCTCGCCTGTGCTATAAGCAAAACGCCAGATAAAGTGTCACGTTGATGATAAGAATAACGATGATAAGTGTCTCTCTTCAACCCAGAAATGGACAGTGGAAGACAAACCGTGGACAGACTATGCTCATGGAATCACCTGGAGGGGAACAAAAAAACAAGGAACAAAGAGGGATCAATATACGCCCGCATTGATATGGACATCACCAAATTTCAAATTTGAGAAGAGACTGCGAGTGAAAACGGTCCATCCGGATCTTCTGTTCATACCTCTTTCTCTCGCACCATGCCTCAACAGGCGGCTGGAGACAACAGAATTCGCCAATCTTGTAAACTCATGAGAAAGTGGCTTTGCTTCTTGAGATATATGCTCCGTTCCTCCAGGGGTAATGAAACCGCAAAATTGGACAGTTCCGTCGGAAATATATATAGAGCAGAATTTCCGGATGGCCGATGACAAACCGAGAGCTCAACAATGACATTCGTCCACCCTTCTCAAGGATGCATGCATGGTAGTAACCGAGTATATGCAAGTATGACTCCAAAATACCCCGTATAATTCCAAAAAAGCAAAGGGACAACAATAACCAGAAAAGCATGCGGAAAGACAGACTATATGTCAAAATTGTTAAAGACACCGCCTTCGCCTTCATGCCCCGTCTTGACAATCCCACTCATGCGACGATCCGTCGAGTCGATCGAACGTTGTTGTCGATGCCAGTGCTCGTCTTCTTTCGTATCTTCATCCATGCGGTCAACGTTGTCCTTGAGGTGATGATCCATAGAGCTCTCATTCACGAATGTGAATCCCTTAAAGTTGGCCTGCATGCCCGGCGAAAGAGGGGTAGACCCAGGCATAGCGCCGTTAGCCAAGGCAGCCGCCCGATCGTTCAACGAAGAAGAATTATCCAGGGCAGTGGTAAACTCGGGATCGAAGTTTGAAGTGTCAGACTCCGACTTCAACTTCGGTTTGAAAGGAGGGATGACCTCTTTACGGCCTAGAGTCTCCCAGTCAATATCATGGAAAAACGGATGTGCCATCAATTCTTTGGCATCTTCCTTGGCGCCAAGCCGGTGCTTGGGGTTGCGATTGAGTAAACCCTTGACGAAATTACGCCCTTCTGTGCTAAGAGCATCCCGTGGAAACCGGACTTTGCCAAAAGCGATATTCTTGTACATCTGTTGCGTATCTTCCGCGTAGAATGGACTCCAGCCGCAGCACATCTCGAACACGAGAACTCCTAGAGACCAGAAATCGACCATCTTTGTGTAACCTTGCTCATCCAATAGAACCTCCGGTGCAAGATATTCCGTTGTGCCGCAGAACGTGTTTGTCGTGTCATTCTTGGTAAGATTTGCTTTAGACAGACCGAAATCGCACAGAGCAATGTGTCCGTTGGCGTCCAGCAGAATGTTCTCCGGTTTCAAATCACGGTAGACAATGTCATGTTCGTGCAAGTGCTGCAAGGCCAAAATCAATTCTGCAATGTAGAATTTCGCGCGGGCTTCCTGAAAACGCCCCTCTTTCTGAAGGTGCCAGAAAAGCTCGCCACCGGACATGTAATCCGTGACCAGATACAAATCAGTTGGGGTTTGGAATGAGAACTTGAGCCCGACGATGAACGGTGAGGCTGCCATGGCCGTTCGGACAAGGATGTTTCGTTCGCCTAAGGTATGCGCGACCTCTTTTTTCTGAATAATGACCTTCTTAGATAATACCTTCATAGCGTAGATTCGCTGCGTATCTTTCTTCTTAACCTGATATACTTGACCGAATGTGCCTTTGCCTATGAGTTTCAGTATTTGAAAGTCGTTGGGTCCAACTTGTTTTCTTTCGGTCTTTTCGAAGTGCATCTCCAGGTGGATCTCTCCCGAAACTTGGAAGTCGCCTTGACCTCGAGCAGTTAAAGGGAACCAACCCTCCAAACTAGATCGTTCTTCCCTGAGATTCAGACTCATTCGCACATGACCAAGAAACGCTTCTTGGTTGTAGCGGTCATAGACAGAAACATCAATCTCCGACTGTTCACCCATCACGTCACTAGCAGCACTTAAGTTAGTAAAGAAAAGAAAAAAAAAAGGCGGGGGTGAATCACAGGATAACCGCACTTACAATACAGCTTCATGGTTCCATTGCGGATCGGTAACAGGCGCTTTTCCCTTATGGTCTACGTTATCCAATTGACTGTTGTGGCTGCTTTGTCGGCTTTTCATAGGAATGGCCACCGGCCGCCCGTTATCATTATCAAGGTACTCTTTGTCGCCGGGCCTGCCTTCGGGAGTCTGTTCGCCACTTTGGGTGCCTTTCGAAATATACTCATTCCACTCGAACACACAGACAACATACGGATCGACGCTGGGCCGCAAACCTCGGCCTTGGTCAATTTTGACGGAGAGTTTACCCTTGAGGGATGCCACTGTAGGACCATCCGATGACGTCTGTGGTGAAGCAGCGCCGCTTGATTTCTCATCAGATTCTTCTGAAGGAGGTGCCGTTGGACTTTGGCGCTGATTCGAGGTCGACGGAGCAGATGTAGAGCCGTTGGAATGTCTGTCAGATGACGTACTATTGTCATTAGACATTGCCCGTGGTGTCAAAGGCGGTGTGTTCTTTAGATGGGACGCATTAGCCACGGTCTCAGTCAACTTGGCAAGGTTCTCAGAGGATTTGGATGTGTGATGGGACTTTTCATGCTCCAACAAGGGGACATTCGTTAAAGTTTGAATATCTGAAGCATCAGGGAGGGATGGATTTGAGAAATGAGATGCAAGAACTGAATCGTCAGATACGCCAGAGATTGGGTGACATGTAGGACGCCGTGACGAGGGTGACTCGGTAATATTGCTCGGCGTTGTTGATAACATGTAATCTTTCAACGCAGAATAAATGGAGACGGCAGTTTTCTCGGTGTTGGGTGCCGTGCTCTCCATCTCCTCCATGTCCTTTTGTGACAATGAACAAGCAGACGAGTAAGGGGGGGTGGGAAGGGAGGTAGGATTGAAAGTCTCTGGGGTTTCGGCTTTTTCTGGGCTTTCGAGATGCTCGTGTGTAGCATTCGCCCCAGATGATGAAGAAACCCTAGCAAAGACGCCATCCTCTTTAGGTTTCACAGTCTGTACTGTCGACTGCACATTTGACCCTGTAACAGTAGTTGCGGGAAAATTTGTGAAAGAAGTAGATAACCGTGCTTTGAGAGAACTCAGTGGGAAACCCGGGTTACCAACCTGAGAGAAGTAATGCATTATAGAAGGTAGACGTTTGTCCGCAGGATCAGGCTGAGGTGTAATTACTCCAGAAGGAGTGGATCCCGACGAGCCGATAATGTTATCTTGATTGTCATCCTCGTGTGCGCCGCCGCTACTGCATTCAATCGTCAGCTTCGGCGGAAAAGAAAGTCAAATATGAAGATAGTCTCGGCTTCTATAAACAGCAAGTTCCCGCCGGTAATTATATGAGATATATATGAATACCTCCTCAGCAGATTTGAAAGATGCGCGGGAAAAGTAGCGTATAGATATCAACCTCGCAGGTCGATGTATTTGTTTTTCGCCTCTTTTCCAAAAGCATCTCGGCTGAGTCATTCAATAACTTGACACACGAACGATAAAGATGGTACGAAAGAGACAACTGATAAAAACCAATATAGAAATATGGAAGGCGAGTTTTATATATTTTCCACCAATGCATCTAGAAGGCAGGCCAAGGCCTTCGTCCAAACAACCGCCCCGCATCTGAATCCGGGCAGAAGAAAGAAAAAGCCAAACTCACTTCTGTAGTACAGCCTGCCTCATGAGGTCGGCATCGGAATGCGGGCTGATTCCGCCTGGTGCAGCCATTGTCTTCCCATTCGAACACTGTCGGGTTGTCCTTTTTTTTTTTCTTTTTTCGCGCGAGACTTTTGTTGCGGGTTTTCCTTTTCTTTTCTTGCTATTTCTCGGTTTGTTTTCCTTCCTTCGCCGTGTGCATATGAATAAATAGATACTGGCGAGTTATAGACTGGCGAACAATTTAAAAAAAAAAAAAAAAAAAGGGAATAAATACTCAAGCTCGTCGCTGGGAGGATGAAGGAGCGTGGGTAGGTGGGATGTCTGTCTGACGCCGGTAATAATGACCTAGATTAGAGATGCGGGATTATCGATCGCTGGAGATCCAAGTCTCAGATTTGGCGAGCACGGTCGACAGCTGCACAGGGTCAGAGAGAGAGAAGGGGGGGAGAGAGGGTCGTTGGAGGGGAGATGAGAGGAAAAAGTCGAGAAGGCGTAGTGAACGAAGACGTTAACTAATCTTCTTATTAAACTAAGCCGTTTTCCAGGAAGGCAGGAGGTTACCTCCTTAGTGTGGCTGCGTCAACGTTCGGAAGGAACCCACCCCCCATTCGTTATTACGGCGTAAGTCGGGTACCGTCGTTACCGTACGATTCCATCATTTGTATATTTAATTATTAATTGCTCTCTGCATGTGCTGTTTCCATGAGAATAAGATACTCAATCTCGCGCCTCTGCGCATACTCTACGGCGTCTGTCTCCCTTTGCAGCTACATTCTACGCATTCTTCCCTCCCCCCTCCCTCGTCCTAGCCTGGCGTGCAGACGTCAAGCAGGTAAGTCACAGCCTCGGGAAATACCGCGGGCGAAGACCCAGCCAGCCCAACCCAACCCAAGCCAAACACCGTGGGAAGAGGGCTTGCCGGTAAAAATGACCGGACTTTTTAACTCTTTCAAACACCGGAACCAAACCACGAGAGATTCCCATTGGTTTGGGCAGACAAGAACGCCTGCAACTGGAGACTGCGATTGGATACTTGTTTCGAGAGAATGCGACCACTGGATATATGGGTATGAGGGCATGGGCGTAAAGTATAGTTACTTACCATGCAGGTAACTAACTAACTTAACTTAACAACGAGTGTGATTATGACTCAGCAGCATATTGGAAATTAACTAACTAGTGATCGATGAGGCAAATAATCCCAGAAAAAACCGCGGTCGTGGTGGAGCCACCAACCCACTCCTTCAAGATTCCTTCAGGCAACCAGGCATCGGGCTGGGATGGATGAAGCTGCGCATGCCATGCTCTGCTGCTGTCCAAGTCAGAAGACTGGGAACTTGACATGGATAAGAAAATTGCGGAAACTGACACTACGCCCAAAGAAGGAATCTATTGCTGCAAAAGGGTATAGGCCAAAATGCGAGATCTCTGCCTGTCAATATGCTCGCCGGGAAGGAAATGCAAATATTACTACTTACTGCCAGAAAACAAAAAAGGATTGTACCCCCAAACTATGCGAGGTATTTTCTCATGACATGTGTGGCGTTAGTGAGCAAGTAACTGCAGCTTCGTGGGGTATGCAGGAAGGCAGGCAAAAGAGAGGACCGCAGTGCTCCGGCTACATGTAAGATCAATTTGGTATATTGTGGTCGATCCTTGCAGCATTGACCTGTTCGTTTTTGACTCGACTTCTAGAACAGATGGCATTTCCAAGTTTAAGACGCGTGCTAGACTCCATTCAGGGATCTCCCAGTCACACATGCTATGTATAATGATGTGTCGATCTTTTATAGATGGACAAGCGCGGGGCCAGGCACCGGAGCTTGCTGCTTTGTTTGCTTAACAGCACTGCACGGTCGCGACAGGTATCTCTCGTCGAGAGGACGGGGGATAGCCATTACATAAATCATGACAGCTTATGTAGTAGCTGTAGCAAATTGCTACCGTTATTAGCCCGATAGCAACGTACAGACCAGGAAAGTTGACTACCTAGGTACCAACCACGTAGTCCATAGGAACCTAGCTTATCCGAGGAATCTCGGCGAGGAAAGATAAACACGAATGATGGATTATGATTTCAGCTGATCTCTTGAGAATGGAGATGATATGGGGTCTATAGCTTGATTACATGCGAAACCTTGGGTGGATCCCTGCAATCTGCTGTCAGTTCATAGTATGTAGTGAATCAACTACCACGTACTTCTATTGTTATATGGCGACAATTTATTCTGACAACTCTTGAACTTAACCGCACACTTGGGTATAAAAATCCTCCATTAAGAGAGCAACGATCCAGGTTCAGCTGCACGGTGACACAACTTGCCGGCACGGTCATCACTTGGAGTTTACCAGTCTACTTTTATTGTCAATCACAGACAAATCACGTTTATTTTACCAACACCACCTGGAGGAACTGAAGGAGCAAATAAACAAGCTCAGTGATAGCGGATGTCAGCATTATCGAGGTGGAAATCAGCAAAGAAAGAACTGGACACTTTGATCCTACGATCATGCCTAGTGATATCACTGACGCGCTAAACAGTCAAAATTAATACTAGGCAGGTAAAGGGCGGATTGGAGGGATCGCTTATCAACGTCATTTGGATTTCCACCTCTCAACATGTGAATATTTGATCACATCATCTAAATAACAGAGATAATGCACGAGCGCAGGAAAACGACAAAATCCTTAGACTAAAGTATGACCTCGAGGCTAAGATGCGCTCAGCGGGACTGTGGGGCTATCGACTGGTTCACTACCGTATCCAGAGAATATGTGCTTCAAATTCACCTCTTCCTCACCTAGTTATGCATGTGTCTGCCTGTGCGAAGTATTTGCAGTCTCATAGGCAGTGTTGGTGACTTAGTAATGAATGCAATAGTTAACTCTCATACAAGTGGCAGTTCCATCTCAGCTTGCTAGATCGGAAACGACCGGAGCCTCTTCCCTTTCAAGAACCGCTCAGGGCTTAGGGCTGGTGGAAGTCACGGTCCGAGCTAGGCCACATATGGCGCGGATTGCCCGTTGCACGTGACAGTCCCGGAACAACATAGGACCGAGAGCGCGCGCCAACCCATGTCGTGACAGTGAAGGGTCGACATGTCAAAGGCAAGAAGGGAGCTGCCGTCCACGGGACAAATTCAGCTAGACTCCAGAAGCCCCTTCCAAAATGGCTCGAAAACTGAGGGCAGCTGCACAGGCAGCTGCTCAATCAATGCGTTAGTTTTTGTTGTTGTTTTTTTTTCCCTACCCGGCTTTCTTTGGATCTCCAGAGGAACAATTTTATTCTTCAGTAATGCGATTGAAGCTGACTTGAACCAAATCAAAATTGTCAGAAACGGCGCCTTCAGATCTACCCGATGCTTCTGATGAAGAAATGGCTGATGCGCCGCCAACTAGAGAATCGAGCGCCGATCTCCAAACACCGCAAGACCAGGGTGAAGATCCTAATGTTGAACGGGAAGCCGAACAGGAGGCTGTAAGCGTACAGGAACTGCGTGATAGCCGTGAAGGTAGTGGTGCAGTGGAAGGCGAGCCTGAGCCTGAACCCGAGCCCGAGACAGAAGTTCTTTCAAGTCCAGCGCCAGAAATAGATACCCCGTCGAAGTTCGGCACTCCTCGTGGCGGCGGTAGACTGGCTGGATATCCTCGCAAGCGTCGCGTAGGTCGCCCCCCCAAAAATCCGCCTCCAGACTGGGACCTTCCCGATGATGGGACGGAGCAGAGGATTGTGGTCACAACTCCGGTAAAAAGGAGACGCGGCAGACCTGCTGCTAGTGGAGGAAGATGGGGACGTCGAAGCGGAAATCCTCACGTCACGCAAGTGGCTGTTGATAAGGAAGGCACCATGATGGATGTCGTTGACGATGAAGTTGTTCTACCCGATGATCCCGATGGGGAAAAGAAGGTAGACAAAATGGGCAACTTGCTAGGCGGAAGAGAATACAGAGTGCGCACATTTACAATTCTCAATCGGGGGGACCGACTGTACATGTTGTCCACAGAGCCGGCGCGGTGTATCGGATTCCGAGATTCGTATCTGTTCTTCCAAAAGCACAAACTGCTTTACAAAATCATAATTGACGACGACGCGAAACGCGACTTGATCGAAAGGGATATCATTCCTCATTCCTACAAAGGGAGGGCTATTGGCGTTGTGACAGCGAGGTCTGTGTTTCGGGAGTTTGGTGCTAAAATTGTCATTGGCGGACGTAAAGTCAGCGATGATTACAATGAGAAGGCTGCGCTGGAACGTGGAGATGTCGAGGGTGACCTAGCCGTACCTGAGGACAAGCTGCCACCTCCAGGGGAGCCTTACAATAGGAATCAATATGTGGCGTGGCATGGTGCAAGTGCGGTGTATCACACTGGAGCGCCTTCTGTTCCATTGCCTAGCGGGAAGGCGGTAGATCAAAAGAAGCGTAAGGTGACTGTAACTGGAGACAATTGGATGGTTGAACACGCCAGGGAAGCTAGGTGAGAAAGTCCATAATATTATATTCATCGATGTCTACCTGCTTGACAGACTACTGATCCATACACAGCCGGTATAACTCGGTTCTTGCGAATGTGCGACGACAGGCCCTAGAAGGAGTATACGAGGTGCACACCAACTTTATGCAATACCCAAAAACCATGCAACCAACGCATGCTCGATGGGAACATGTTCTCATATCGGAAGAATCGAAAACCCCCAACAAGCTTGTTGAAGATATGTCAACTCTTCATCTTACTAATGGGACAACGCTGAAGGCCAACGATGATAACGATGTCATTATCGATGATGAGGCCGACTTATCACGAGCTACTCCTGCACCTCCCAGCATACTGCCGCCAGTACCTACGATATTCACACGTCGACTCGCCATCACAGATGTTCACTACGAGACGGCTGAGTCCAGCACGCTTGGGCGCCCGGGCCCAGATGGCGATGTGCACGACGTGGGCTCGAATGGAATAATCAGCATGGCCAATCCTTTGCATCCAGAGTTTGTGAGTGCCGAGATACTCGCGGAGCTTCCACCGGATTGTAAGGAGGCATTGGTTGAGGCAGCGGCTAGAGAATGGGCATGGAAGTCAAAATGGCGCACGGAAGCGGCAGACGCAGCGCGAAGTGAATTTATCAAGAGTTATGCTTGGTTTCCATGAATCCACTGTTGATTTCTTGGATGTATTATTTTATTATCTGATCCGGCGCAATTATTGATGGTTAATGGATATCGAGGGGGAGTTTTTGTTTCTTTTTCCTGATCATTGATATCAAACGAGATTGATTCTATCTTGTTTTCCAGCATATCATGGCAACACCTAGTAGGATTAGGTTATGGCATTTTCGTTTCTGAAATACGTACTGCCAAGCAAACTGGGTAGCATATTAACCATAATGAAGTCTATACTCCAGGTCGCAGATTGCAGCACACCGTCACCGCGCTCAGACAGACAAGTATACACATCTTTCGAGTCTGGAGCAAATATGAGTCATTCCATTACGAATCATCCAGAAGTCGACATGACTTGCGGGTGGTGAGGGGTAGCGCTTGCGGCCATCGTCGGGTATCTATTAATCATCCATGCATCCGCCTAAGTTAACTACTTACCAAGTACAGTAGCTAGTTACTAGCTAGTCAAATTGATAGACGCATGGAGAGCACAGAAAGGCAGGTTGATGTGGAGAAGTTTGCAATATAAAATGCTTCTTGATAGGCATATTTCGGTTTAGTGATTCACATATTGAGCGAGGTACATATCATACTACCCACCCAATAATTAGGCCATCGGTACTTACTACTCTAGTTATAAAACCTTGACCCCTCTATCCAGGTATTACTCTATTTCGTGCTTCCCGAAACATAACATAATAGTTACAGCCTGCTCTCTATAGCAATTGAGGACAGTGACACAAGCGGGGCGACTTGTTATCGATATGCATGATCATATACGAATACTACTATGGAGTTACTTCTGGACAAATTGTAAGATTGGGTATCTAGAACAGTAATCACTAAAGTTCTCGGTAGCAAGCACAACTGTCACGGCCTAGTTGGCTATAGCCGGCTTGTGATATTGACTGGCAATATGAGATCATATCGGAGTTTGAGTCCTTAGGCAGTGTGAACATCGGTCCGCAGCAACGTCATACGGGCTGTTTGCTGTAAGTGTCAATAGCTCGCCTGGACCCCTCGCTGGTGGTAGAACCTAGAAGAAAGAAAAGAAGACAAGACGTATCATTAATAATAGCAACTCATAGTTAACTAACTAACGTTAGTAGAAAAAAAAAAGATTGAATTATAAATCAACAACCCGTCAGTTTTAAATAATTATTATGGAACTACGTACACCTATACAAAGTAAGCCCAAAGAAATCTTGCCTGGGTCCGATTACATCTAACCGCGTTCGGGCTAGCTGTCTGCTAATTGTCACAGCGTTGTCACAGCGTGACAGCCTGCGGACGTCACAGCCAATGAGCGTGGCGAAGTCCAGGGCGGCGGCAACGTAATTTTAGTATCGAAACCAACTCCTCGTGGCAGGGAGTGGGGGGCCCGCGAGGCGTTTCGCAGCAACGGTTGGTTACTTGATACGTCTTAGCGTGGCCGCCGTGTGCATAGTACATAGTACATACAGACCGGTATGGTACTGTAAGCTTGCTCTACATCACTCGCTATGATGTTGTCCTGATTCCTCGGTGTGGTTCACATTCATAGTCATACAGAATGATGAATGACAATACGAGTGTGTTGAATATCTGGTCTATTCAATATCTTGTTATCACAGCCGAGTCCCAAGCCACGGACGGCGTCACCTGCCATGCGAGCGTGCATCCCTCGTAGTGCAAATACCAAATAGCCAAACCATCAATACGAAGAAGCATGGCCAAATCTATACTTGGCACTATACTTATTTGTGCAACCCTCGCCTCCGTAGAAGGGTAATACTGTCATAAGCCTGAGCATCAGTTCGATGGATGGATGCCTCAACACTCAGATCCAATGAAGCCCCCGAACAAAGGGGGCAGCGCCATGGCTATGTGCAGTCTAGAGACAAAAATAAATCCTGTTGACTGGGGCGCCCTTACAAATCACAACACGTAGTGAGCAGGCTAGGGCGGAACCGCGTTTCAATTGGAATTTGGCGGGTGATTCAGGCCCAGAGTAATCTCGCGCCCAGGACTGGCGCTGTTCTGTTTCATACGGACCGGCCGTCTCCGTGCTCCTGACCTCACCCTGACACGTAATTTAACGCGTCTCGGCTGGTAATTACCACTTGCACTGCGCCGCCCACAGTCACAGCGGCCAGCCAGAAACCACACCAAACCGCTTTGGTTTTTCCCCTTCCTCTTTTCCCTTCTTCCTTCCTTCCTTCCCTTTCAGCAACTTCTCGCTCCTCCGCCTCCTCCATCCTCCATCCTCTTTATTCCCTCTGATCTCGTCATTCAACCCTTCGAATCTTACTGTCTATTATACTCGGCGAGCTTTTCATTAAGTGTCGTCAGTTGTTACTCGGTGTCTACTTTCCCTTCACGTACCCCCAAAATTTTCGTCGTGGTTTTTTGACAGAGAAGGAAAAAAAAAAAAGCATTTATGCCGTGCTTTGCTTGTGTTTTTTGTTGAACTCCGTTTGTCTGCGATATCGCGCACCTCAACGAACTCAAACGCAAATACTTTCCTTCTGATTACGCGTCTACCTTGTGTCATTTTCGTCAATACGACCGAGGGTTGAAGAAAAAAACCGATCAAGGGCGTTTATTTTCGACTTCCTTACCGTTTTCCTTTCCTCCGTTTTATTTGCTCTTCCGAAGCCGATTCTATCGTCAACTTCGTCTATCCATGACAATTTACTAGAACACACGGCCTGTCTTGACTTGAACACAGAGCGGCCGCTCGCCGAGCAGCGCTCTTCGGGGTTCGGGAAGTGGCGGTAGTGTAGACGGTTGGTCCTCCAGTTCAAGTTTGATATTTCAAAAATACGGAGATACGAGAAGAGAAGAGGAAAGGAGAATAAGTCTCACCTTCGCCTTGCTGATACGTGATCCGGGAGGGAATTTTTAGCTTTCATCCGTCTACTCTCCGCCGTGAACCAACTCTCCTTCAACTAGTCATGCCGTCTTTCTACAACTCTGGCCTTCATGGCCTGCCGCCCACTCCGCCTCATCTGCACGGAAACGGCAAAATGGAGCCTGATCTTCCATTCTACGTCACTGGCCAACCGAACTTCCCTCCACGTTACTCCCAGACAGGCTGCGAATTCATCGAGCAATACTCCCAGGCATCCTGCTTCGGCAAATCCGCTGCGATAAATTCTCTCCCACAGACAATGACATCTGTTCGAGGCGGTCGCGACTTCCCTGCACTCCAACAACAGCATTTAACCCAACCGCAACTAGGAGGTGCGCAGTCACTCTACGGAGCCGTACCAACCCTACCTCCGATCCGGTCGAACATTCACCTGCCGCTCACCAATGATACCGCTGTTCCACCGCAGTATCGTCGTCAAGATGTTCATGTCCCAGCAGAGCCGCGGGTCAAGGAGGAAAAACCCACCGGAGGAGTTGCCGCTCACCTCGACTACGAGATGGATCAGATGTCAGACTTCGTTGCCGAAATGGCCCAGGGAATGTATGCATTGTACAGCTCCGGAATCAATCTAGATGATATTGACTTGCTTGGAAGCGTCTACCCAGGACAGACAATTATACCCCCTCCGTTTCGGAAATATGTGCACCAGATTCTTTCTTCCACTCGCCTCCCCAGTTCGACTATTCTGCTAGGCCTTTTCTACTTGGCGACCAGGATGCGTATGCTCTCGGCGAAGGGAGTCTACGCAACTGGCACTGGGCAAGTGTACAGGATGTTGACGACAGCCCTGCTACTGGGTAGCAAGTTCCTGGACGACAACACCTTTCAGAACCGTTCGTGGGCCGAGGTTAGCAACATTTCCGTGTCCGAACTTAATTCGATGGAGCTGGATTGGCTCTTTGCCTTCGAGTGGAAGATCCATGAACGTATTCACAACAAAAAAGACGGCTTTGGTGTCTGGTTGGCCCGTTGGGAAAACTACCGGGCGTCCATCACTACGCGTAGCAACGAAGTTCGTCAAAAATTATCCCCGATTGATACTAACATCGCGAGGCAACTCACCATTTCCAAGCCACTTATGTCTCCCGATGGCCCGATCCCACCGCAGTATCAACGAAGTAACGCGTACGAGAGCACCTGGTTGAATCCGACTGCCTGTGAATACTCACCCCCATCCGCTCCGCACAGTGGCCCAAACACTCCAGAGTATTACAGCGGAGCCGCGTGGATGTACACCAATCCTCCACCCCCGTATACGCGCTCATGGGCCTCCCAAGCAGACTATACGCCATATTCCCATCATCCCCGTTCACAGCCACCATCGTACCACCATACACCGGTCTACACTGCGCCCATGAGCAATTCAGTTTGGACTGGTCATGGCTCTTCCTGCGGCTGCGCCTACTGCTTGAAGCATCAGGACCATTATTTTGGCGGTAACACTTTTGGGGTCCTTCAACCTATAGTCGCTGGTTAACTACTTGCATCTTAGCGTCTACGACGTCCAAAAAAAAATTCTTGTGAACATTTTTGCTGATATTGATTTATTCTTTGAATTGGTTCCCCCTTTGCCTTTTTGTCGATGATACCGCTCAAAGTTTTGACAGCGACTGTCAAAGTCATGTCATTTTCTTTCTAATTATCGGAGCTATTTCCAAAAAAGTGTTTTTTTTTTTTTTTAATTCACGCCTTTGCCGCCAGTCTGTCGCGACAAAACAACGACAACTCGTTTTACGTTCATTATTTCTCCACGCGCCTTTTATTCGATTCGAAGTCGTCCAGAGCGCCAAAAGTTTCGCCAAAAGAATGTTCACGGCTTACGATGTTTCCTTTCATACTCGACCTTTGGATTTTGTTTTATTGATTGAATCTTTTGATTTCCCATTATTTTGTCTTTCTTGCATGTTGATTGGCGAATATTACCCATAGACTTTCTCCTTCGAAATCTTGTTTTGATTACGATTTACCCCTCTAAATCGTGGCGTTCATAATACTTTTTTTTTTGAATTCTTCTATTCATTTTTTTGCTAGGCGATTTCATGAAGCGGCATGTGCTGAGTGAAGATGTGATATTTCCATGTTCATAACCATTTTCTTCTTCTCTTCTATTGGCTTCCATTCGATTTTCTTTTCCTATTCACTTCACTTCGATCGGAAGAAACACCAAAAAAAAAACTTTTTTTTTATCTACTCATTTTTTTTTTTTTTTTTTCTCGCATCAAACAATCTTGCTTGATCCGATACGCAAGGGCCAAAAAGACAAAAAAATGAATGAAAATGATAAAAAAACGAGGATCATTCGTTTGTCACCTCAACCCCCTTTTTTCTTTCTGGGAAATTTATTTAGATTGTTAGCGTTAAACAACCTCATATAAGCGAACATATTTCTCACCTTTTTCCTCTTCTTTGTATGCATGCATTGATATTAGCAAGGAATATATTAATCGATATCTAGGGCATATCTCGATGACTTAGCTGAACATGTACAAGCTAGATGTGTGTATTTCTTTTTTTGCAAGAAATGAAAAGAGAAGGACACCCATTCTTAATCTCTATATATTGAAGCTTGTTTAAATAAACAAGATTAGTATGTCTTTGAGGAGTTGCCTAGGTAATAGTAGATACTAAATGACATCTACCTAGTACACACTGCCATTTACACTTTCCTCCTCTTTCTTTATTTGATCATATTCTGAATCCTCTGGAGCTGCTCCGGAGTTTGCGTCGTAAATGTCGTGAGAGTAATTGTCGTCGTCACCAGTGCCAATGTCATCGGACATGTCTCCTAGAGCATGTACCTTGCGTTGAGGGTGGTGAGTGTTGGTCCTGTCGTTAATAGCGTGACTGTGTAGATGGTTATTATGATGGCTGTGGTTATGGTGGCCATGATGAAGATGGTGAATAGAAGCAGTAGCCTTCGTAGACCTGGATCGTCGGATTCGTCGTGAGGTACCAGCCCCCTCGTCATCACCATCGTCCTCAGCGTCTTGCTGCACCGCTGTCGTCGTGGGGGTAGTAGTAGTATTATGAGCACGGCCGTAGATATTGTTGCCGTCATCATGATCAATTAGTGCAGCAAGGGATTTTTTCTTCTCGGGCATCATGGTGTCTGACTCCGAGTCGGATATCTGGACGCTGTCCTGCGAATCGACCCCGTCTCCGACATTAGATCCGTCGACCGGTAAATGGATATTCGATAGTTTGCTTGCTGCTGCTGCTATAGTGTCTTCCGCAGGCATTTCATTATTCTGGTTGTTTGTGTTGCTTGCTTCATCGACCTTTCCACCACCAGTAATTTCTCGCCTGTTTGCAGATATGCCCAAGCCATCGTGTTTGGTATGTTCCAGCGGGTTGATAATTTCGCCAAGAGCTATGTAAGATGGTGTTTGATTTGGCGAAGACACAATATCATCAGGATGAAGAGCCTCTAGTGCCAGATGCATTTTTGATTTGTTGTAACTGGAAATCATCCTCCTTTCCTTGAGAGAAGCGAGATTTTTAGGTGCTTTCTTACGCTCTATGTGTAGGCTGTTATTTCCCCCATTTACATCTGTCGTCTCACCTCCATCGTCGTCACGAAATACGTCGACCTCGTCACGCCGTGATGGACGCCACGTGGTTGATATGGCATGGCCGTGAGTACAGCCATCGGGACAACCACCCCATTTCCTTCGCACTGGAACCTCAGGCGCCAGTGAAATCGCCGGCACTGGCTCACGTTTTTTTTCTTCTGCCTTCTCCTGACGGAGAGCAGACCATGTTCGCAATTTATTCTGCAAGATATATTTCCCGTTATCTGGATTCTTCTCCATGATCACAAATTCGCAATGGTTGATATTTCGCAGATCTTCAAAGTATTCCACACTGAAATGATACCACTTCATCAGGAAGACTCGAGTCATCAAGCCATGAGTGACGAGAACGCAAACACTCGCGAAGGAATCTTCGCCGAAAAGCCGCCATAGAGACTCATTGAATCCACTCACTCGGTCGTATGCGTCAGCAGCGGATTCTCCATTAGGAATTCGGTAAAAGAAGTGTCCGTAGTCAGCTCTTTCCTGCCACATGCGTGACATTTCCGCAGAGCATGGCTGGAAGTTACCAAAATCCTGTTCTCGAAGGCGTGGTTCTTCGTATACCTTGATGGTATGGCGTGGAAAGGGAGACGGTGAGGGTTCATCCGACGTCAGCGACTCTAAGATTCCATTAGTTGTATCGCGGGTCCTACGGTATGGCGACGTGAAAAAATGCAGTGTATCATCTGGCCGTAGCAGCTCTCGTAATCTACGGCCTGCCTCCAGCGCTTGTTTGTGGCCCTCTGGAGTGAGGTTGACCCGGTGATCGGGGACGGACTGGTGGATTTCGCGGTTCTTGTTTCCTTCAGACTGGCCATGGCGAATCAGGATAATCATCTAAGCACTGTCAGAAACGAAGCCCGTTACACGAATAACAATGCGCATGTTTCGAGGTCTTACCCGCGGCTTGCCCATGGTGGTGACGGCTCTTCTATCATCTGCTGCTCTATTTGATGGTATGCGGATGCGATAGCAGCGCAGGGAATACGCTGTGAGGTGTATGGTGACAAGTAGACGTGAGAAGAAGACGCATTAAGACGAACAGACAAATCTTCTAGCCAAATAAATATATAGCCATGCAGACCCGAGAGATTTGGCCCTTGGAGGTTGGTGGTTGGCGCAGAAATGATGGAAAAGCGGCAGGCGGCAGGCGGACCGAATGCGTAGTAGTTGCCGTTGCTTGTCACTTCGCCATCTCAATCTCATCTCATCGACTTGGCCGACACTCACAGCGTCACCTTTCCGTGGCTTATGCGCCCGACTTGTCTAGGGATATAGAATAATCTCACAATGGCTGACGCCATATTGGAGCTTCTCGACCCTCACATTGACGCCAATGCCTCGGCAACAACGTCTCGTTCTCCGCGGTCACGCTCAACAGATGCGACGACTACGAAATACCTCAATCGCCTGACGAGTCTATCCCTCGAACAACTCAAGTCTGCCGAGCCTCAATCCATATCTCAGTCTGCTCATTCCACGCTTCTATCCCTCCAGGCGCTCTCGAATCGATCCCACAAAGCCCTGATTTCATCATCAGACCACCTTTCAACTCTTCGGAGCTTGGTACCGTCGCTGGAGCAGGATGCCAAAAACCTACAAGAAGGAATACCGCGACTTGACTCGGAGGCTGTGCGCTTCTCGACTACGTACAGCAAGTCTAGCGAGAACCCGCATTTAGATCGCCGGAAGAAGGCAATGCAATTATCGCGAAATGTCGATAGGATATCGGATATACTTGAGCTCCCGGCTCTTCTTTCAACGGCCGTTTCTACTTCATCCGCAACTGCTGGACCTGCTGCAGGGAGCTCAGTGTCAGCAAATTACTCGACTGCCCTGGACCTCTACTCCCATATCAAACGACTGCAGACTTTCTACCCGGATTCCCCTCTCATAAAGGATATCATTTTGCAGGCTGAGGATGCGATGAAAACCATGACTACAAATCTCATAGCTGGTCTGAGGACACAGAATATTCGATTAGCAGCCGCAATGAGAACAATCGGCTGGCTTAGGCGTGTAGCACCAGAGCTAGAACATCCGCAACGAAATCGCGGGTCCACTGCATCAGGCGAGGGGGCTCTTGGAGCACTGTTTTTAGTGTGCAGACTGGCAAATTTAGTTTCTACATTGGATGCTCTGGACCCCCTTAGAGAGTTGGCAGACCAAGAAACTCAGCGCCGAGTTGAAGCAGCGTCAAAAGAGCGAGTGTCGTCTTCTAAATCCAGTGCATGGACAGGAGGCCAACAAACGGAGCGGTTCTTGAAAAGATACATCGAGATCTATCGAGAACAGAGCTTTGCTATTGTTTCGCTGTATAAAAACATATTTACACCGGAGCCCATTGAAAGCGACCACCAAATGCCGACTATTCTCCCTGGGCTAGAGCTCAAGTCCCTCAACCTGAAGACACAACCGCCTGCTAAGCGAATAAGGAAGACCGATCCCCTACAAGTGCTCCCACCTGCAGTTGCAACATTTCCCATGCACTTAGTGCGACTGCTTACAGACACGCTTCGTGCTTACCTTCCCAATGTGCGAGACAAGAGCTCGAGAGAGAGCCTTCTAAGCCAGGTTCTCTACTGCGCAGGCAGTCTGGGGCGTCTAGGCGGTGACTTTAGCATGATCCTTACAGAGCTGGAGGGTGAAGACCAAGGCGAAGAGGATGGTGAGATCGTGCGTGAATGGGAGGAGATAACACGGAAACACCGTGCTCTTGCGGGTAGACTCGAGCAACTCACCAGCGGCCAACTTAGAGGTGCCTCCAGCAGTCCCAAGTAGGCTCTCCTGTTCATTGACATGTAATTCACCGCGAGCCATGTATATATCTAATAACGAGTTAATGAGAGGCAACCTACTTTATAAATTCACAGAGAATGCTATTCGTTACTACTGCCTGCTTCTCGTCATAGTTATCGGTGTTGTACCTTGGGGCTGCTAGATGGAATGAGGAGTAAAACTATCTACTGCGTGCGCACGATACTGGACAGAAAAGCTTTCCTTCCCAAGTGATTCATTCAGCTTAAAAAATGCAATATGAAGCGTAAAAAACAGTCCAAAAAAATGAAGACTGCGCCAGCTGGGAGTCGAACCCAGAGCTAATCTTTGCAGGATTTCAACCTTAATGGAAGAGATCAATGTTACCGCTACACCACTGGCGCTTGATGTCTGTGGTTACCTCTTTTGTGAATTATGAGATCATATAGAATTGATGTTAAAAGTTAAGGAGGTGGCAAGCAAGCCCTAGAAACAAGCATTGCGCTTACATGTCAGGCAAAAGCGGGTCTTTGAGCACTGCCGAATGTTGGAGTTTGTCTAGTCAGGATATACAATCAAGTCTTTTCTTGGTGGTCTTCTTTTATAACTCTTCTTCTTGAAAAGCGGAAGGTCGACTTCCACGTGCCACCATTTTATGGCTCTGATTAGCCACTTCAATGGTATTTCTGTACTGCAGTAAAATCTCAACCCAGAGGATCAAAGAAGCCTGTGTTGAATGGACAAGTGTTGACTCTATGTCCGGTTCCCAGGCACTTCGAACATCTGCTTGCATAATGAACCTCTTTTGCAGCCGGGTCCGTACATGTCCTAACGTTATGCCCCAACTCTCGCCAGATTGAGCAGCGAGGTAAGCAATATCTTCTAGAAGTTGTCTTGCTGGCCCTCTCAGCCTCTTTTGTCTTTCTTTTGTGATAGAAACGGCCTTTCCATTTTTTCTGGCGAGACTCGTCAATTCCTGGAACCTCACACTCATTGATGATACCAGTATGGTCACCGCTTTTGCAAAATGCACAGGTCCGCTTCCTAGGGAACTTTGGACCCAGCTGTCGCCTTGCCTGTCGAAGTTGTTTATTTCTTTTCCAACGTTGGATAACAAATGATTGCCTAGCCTGATTTCCTTTTAATCGTCGCTTCTTATACATCAAGCGTTTTTCAACGGGGTCCATATTCCTTGGTTTTTCAGATTGTTTTATACGGTATAACTTCATCCTCTCGTTTACCGGGGTGTCTGTCCGTCCTGGAAGCGGAAAGGTGAATGGCGAAGACCGGCAAGCACCAGTCCATGAAAGGCTATCCAAAGCCCATGGGCAGATTGGAAAGGCGCTATATTCCTTCTCGATCCCTTTTTTTCCAAACAGCCCCAGGTCAGTGAGTATAAACGACCTCTGCTAGAACAAGTGTCTTTCGTTGGTAGATATACTCATCTAAACCGGGAAAGAACCAAGACTTTGCCTTACAGGCTATCATATACTTGGCCACCCTTGGAACAGACGTCTGGTTTAGCAGCCTGTGGTGAAATGACCTTTTTATTTCTATGATAATCGATATAATTAGTGGTTCCTCTTTATGACCTGAAGGTAGTTACGCCTGTGCCAAGCTGTTTATTTATTGTGTGGATTATATCATATGACCCGATCTTCCGCGTCTCCGGATACAATATATGCACTCACTACCTGGACTGATAGTAAACCAGCCCCATCTCGCCCGGTAACCCTAGATCTTTGGTTATAGGCTACTAGCTACTTTATCAATGCATATATATATATATATATAATATGATACCAATCCTCACTTACTACCAATTTAAGTAGCTTGTTCGCACTACATAGAGACCAACGTGAAACCAAACCGTAAAATTGTCTCCAACGACCTTCGGCATGCCTGGATAGACAAAGGGTCAAAAAGAACTAGAAGGTTGAGAAACTGTTAAGGAAAAAAACAGAAGAAAAATAATAAGTGAATAAAAAAAGAAGATTGCGCCAGCTGGGAGTCGAACCCAGAGCTAATCTTTGCAGGATGTCTACCTTGATGGAAGAGATCAATGTTACCGCTACACCACTGGCGCGTGATTGGGTCGGTCTGGAAGGGGTCTATCACAGTGGTCAACATTGTCAGTACCTGGTAGACCAGGCCGGCCCGCTCGGAGGAACAGGGCCGAAGTCACTTGATTAGCGCGCTATTCATTATTTTGATCGTTCATTGTTGACTTATTCTTATTCGCCTGTCCCATCTGCCCCTTTGTCATCGTGCAAGACATGTAAGGGCGCTGTCCTTTCTGCTCTTTAGCCCGTTATATACATATATATCTCTATCGTTGCGATCGTTCCTATAATGCATTGCTTATCTCCTCATCCACTCCGCTAAATTCAAGATATACCCGATTTCGCTCGTACAACCAGCGGCCTTTTCGCCCTCCCACTTCTATACTTCTACATCAACCATTTGATCTGTCTTTAACCTCGATATTCTTCTAACTAGGTCCATATGGCCCTCTCTGCGTCGGCACCGCCCACCGGCATGATGATTGACCCTACAAAGCAGGGCGAATATCCGATCCTGCTCGGCGACAAGTTGGCCAGGAAGGGTGGTGCGGATGCCACTACATTCATAAACATCACATACAACCACAAGAGCAAGTCCGCAACCGCGCATCAACGGACAAAGATCACTCGCTCCCCGATATCACAAGACATATATAACCTCGCGATTACAGATAAGGCCGGGAATGCCGAGCAGACCACGTTGGAATACAAATACCGAGGCAGCATAGACCCGTCTATGCCAGTCCAGGGTTCCGAAGCAAGGAATCTTGTCCTGATTTTTGACCCGAATCGCAAGGCCTTTATCTTGGAGCCTGTCAACGCCAGTCTGCATTTCAATCTGCGCTCTGCTCCCGGGAAAAACAAGGAATTAATTGAACAATATGAGCAACTGCACACACTCGGGGATGACGGTGACCATACATCTCGAGACGAGTCCGATGACGAGAAACCAGAAGATGCTGAGCAGGACAATCCCTATGACTTTCGGCATTTCCTCCCCAAGCCAGATGTTGAAAAGGCGAAACCAATCATGTCAACAACCACAACACCGGATCCGCATAATGTCGTCAGCAGGGCTGCTACCCCTACGATGCCGCCTACAAAGGCTCAGAAGGCCAAGCCGTCAGCACCACCCAGGCCCAAACAGCAGACTAATCCTTTGCGGCAACCAAAACGAGCACCCAAGGCTAGCCCAGCTATTAAAGCATCCACTACAAAGACAAAACCTCAACCTAAGTCGGCACCGCGTGTGGACCCAGAAGATGATATAAGCATATCCGGCCTAGGGCAGTCTGACGGTGAAGAGCATGAGCAACGACAACAGAAATCTAGCCAAGCCATGGCCTCACCAAGCTCCAATATTATTGTTGAAGAAGGAGGAATCATCATTGACATGGGGTCCCCGCCCACACGACCCATTTTCCAGGTCGACCCAACACACTTTTCATCCAGCAATAACTCTGTTAATGGTACAGATGAGGATGAAAATGAGAGGGAGGAGGACGACGATGATGATGAAGAAATCGAAGCTCTTCGTCTGCCGTCTCCTGCCAGACAGAACGTGGCAGCGTCGGCAAGATCTTTGACCCCCCCGGCTAGGGAGCATAATGACGAGGATGAGGACGAGGACGAGGACGAGGATGCTCTAGCAGCAGAAATGGAAGCGGCATTTGAAGAGGAGGCGTCACGGACCCAAAGCCTACAGCAAGCTCAAAGATATGTGCCAAGCGACGAGGAAAGTGAAGTCAGTGAAGAGGAGTGATCTGGCTTGGTCTGAATCTACACTGCTATCAAATCTCCCAACCATTTACGTTCTGGTGAGCCGGCGCATGTGATCATGGAAAAGTATATATTAAGTGACATCTACTGTGAGATCTAAAGATTACTTGGAGTTTTGGTTTTGGGAGTCTACTATTTTTGAGTATTTAGATACCATGGGCATCGTACGAAATAATGAAATTTAGCAACTTTACATTTGATTGTGCTTCTCACCGAGGGTTTATAATTGAGCGAGAAGTAATAGGCCGTAGTTACAGAATATTAAATATGGTGAACAAGAAAAGGCCGAGAACGGAGCAGTTTGTGAACAGGGCGGCATCAAGGGGCAGAAAATCGTGCCGGAACAAATTTGATTGGACCGCGATAATCCTAGCCATCTTTATTATTACCTCGTTTGCTCTTTGGTTATACCGACAGCATGAAGCTAGGCGCATTTCGCCATGCCTTGACTCCCATCTGACATGTTTGAAAAAGAGAGAAAAGAAAAAAAGAGGTTTATGGGAAATTTCTGAAGGGAGGTTTTTCAATCTGCAGTCGACCTACCAAGTTGGCCTTAAATTCTTGCGAGCACCTGGCCCAAACGAAACGAGAGCGTCATTGCGCGAGTGAACGAACGAGTGAGCGAAGCCAGTCGACACAGCCTAAGCCAGCTAACTACGTGCTATGGCTGCCAATAATACCTCCCAGCATCCTCCGAGACGACCGGTGCCGGCGCCCTCCAATCAGGTCATCCTCGAATCGCAGAAACAGTGGTATTTCACAGATGAAGAGCTTACGAGAACACCGTCATTGCTGGATGGGATGAGCATGGAAACGGAGCATGTGCAGCGTAGCAAAGGAGTCAATTTCATTGTCCAAGTGGGCATCATGCTGAAGCTTCCTCAGCTCACATTGACGACTGCCGCCGTTTTCCTACATCGGTTCTTTGTACGGTACAGTATGGTCGATCTTCCTCGAAGGCCCGGCTTGCATCCGTACTCTGTCGCAGCAGGGTGTCTGTTTCTGGCAAGTAAAGTGGACGAGAACACACGGAAGATAAAGGAATTCGTCATCGCCTGTTGTCGCGTCGCGCAAAAGAACAACAATCTTGAAGTCGACGAGCAAAGCAAAGAATTTTGGAGGTGGAAAGATACACTAGTGGCCTATGAAGATTTGTGTCTGGAGGCATTATGCTTTGACCTTCAATTGGAACAGCCGCACAAGATCTGCTATGATTTCCTCTGCTATTTTGGCAAGAACGACCACAAAGCATTGCGAAATGCCGCCTGGGCGTTTCTCAATGATTCCAACTACACTGTTCTCTGCCTGCAGTTCTATCCCCGGACTATTGCTGCTGCTGCTCTTTGGGCGGGCGCCAGACTGTGTGATGTGGCGTTTGAGGATGACGAGGAAGGCCGTCCTTGGTGGGAACAACTCGATGTCAATCTCTCAGAAGTTCAGCGCGCCGTCAGTCGTATGGTTCAGCTTTACGAAAGAAATATTACTGTCCACAGGCAGGCGCACGAGTACCCGAATATCCCGGAAGATGGCGACAATGCCCAGGAATCCACACGGATCGTCAACCCGAATCCTCATAGCGTATCAGAGTCGATGTCTGCAGCAGAATTGAATGGTCGTAAACGATCGAGAGAAGCGGAAGCGGAGGACAGCCATCAACAGCGCTTGTCTCCAACGAGGAAACCCTCATTATATGAAAGCAACCGCACACGTGAGCGGTCACCGAAACGCCAACGTTTGACACCTGATCCCTCCCGCAGTCCCCGGAGTTCGTCAGGAGCCCAGCGCCCTCTTGCAAATGGCCACCATCAAACACCTCGGCCAGCCAACTCACGTATTCCGTCTGCCGCTATAGATGACGCATATCGACGACGACAGCAGCAGCAGCAACAACCACAATATCCTCCCCCTCCACCGCCGCCTCCGCCTGTAGGTGTTGATGGACAGACTCCTTCAGGTTCTGTTGATCCTGTGCAACAACGGATAGATGAGATTGTGCAGCAGGGACTGGCGCGAAATGAGAAACTCGGCCCCAATCGCAATGACAACTACCACCACCACTCCAACCGTCACCGTGAGCGAGACCGGGATAGATATAGGGATCATGATAGGTATATGGATCGGGGTCGCGATTGGCGCAGGTCAGATAGTTACGAAGGCGGCGGAGGAGAGTATAGAGACCGAGGTCGCAGCCGAGACTACCGCGACAACAACATTAACAACTATAATGACCGACTACCGCGCGAGAAAAGGCCGTCCACGGAATCATCTACACTGCCACAACAACGAACCAGCAATAACAGCCAGCTACCAAACGCGCCATCGTCATCGCGACAGAAAGCCAACGAGGAAAGAGACCGACAAGGCAATGAAGAAGGGGAGATAACGGAAGATAGGGAAGAAGGTGAGATTGTCGTTGAAACTACGAACCGTGACCGTGATCGTGATCATGGTCATAGTCATAGTCATAGTAGTGCCGTGAATAATAGTAATAATAATAACCACCAAGGTGCCGAGGAGACAAAGGTCGGGGGCAGTGGTGGTAATAATGGTGATGATTATGGGGGTGGAAGTGAGGAGGGAGAGGTTTGATACGTATCATTATTATACATATGTATCGAAAATTTTTTTTTTATTGGATTCAACAAGCTTGGGAATTATTGATAATCCGCTTTAAAAAGATCACTCGCGAAGCGTCTATATAAATTCCATTGATCAATCTGTTTTAATTCGGTTCTCTGCTTTTGAAAAAAATACACTTTCAATAATACACGTAAACGTTTCAGGTTGGTCGAGGTATGAAAGACAGGTATAGGTAGGTAGTGAACAAACGGTATAGCACACACACACACACACACACACATACACATATAGCGAACCCCCAAAACACAAAACAGGAACTCCGAATAAGCCTTTTTAGTAGTAGAGGGGGAGAAAGGGTTTGATATAGAAGACATGTACAGTAAGAAAGAAGTGAAAGAGTAATCCCAAACACCAACCAAACCCAAAGCAGAAAAGTCATGCTTGCGTGTCATGCAAATTGATTGCGACAAAACAGAGTAATATTGCCACAACCCTAAAAATCAAACAGGTATCTGAAGTCTTATCGAGAGGAGAGGAGATAAAGAAATTGTTTAGAAACGGAGACGAGAAAGATGTTATATCTTAGATGTCGGCAAACATCTCATCGAGCTCATCAACCTCGACGGTTTCAGGGCTGCGAAGATCACTCCAGGAATCTATGATCATGTCAAAGTCAAAAGTCCTGGACAGCTTTGTGCCCATGACCGACATTGTCGGGAAACCAGTCTCGACCAGGTCAAATGGCCGCTTTAGGGGGGAAGAAATGCCATCCTCAGAAGTGGTAGTATTAACAGCGCCACTGACGCTGTGTAATGAGGGTGAATCACCCAGAATGTCCGCTTCGGATGATGCAGTCGTACCAGACGACAGAGAGGATGCAACCGAAGTAAGCGACGGAGAGGGCGATGTACCGAACAAAGCGGCGACAGCAGCGTCGTCTATATCTTGTTCCTGATCGCGCGAGCTGCCATGCGAGAAGTAATCTTCATATTGATTCTTCTCGCTGATTGAAGTGAGGGGATCTTCGTCCATAGGAGAACCGGGATACCCATCAGCTTGGGCTTCCGGTTCATCCGAGGCTGGCATGCTGAAAGCAGCTAGACTGCTTTGGCGACTAGCTTTCTCTTCGGAAGCTCGTTCGCGCAAGGAGCTGGCAGTCTGGGTAAACTCCCGTTCGTCACCTTCCAGGGGCGGAGAAGCCGCTCGATGATTGTGCGATAGGCGATGGTGGCTATTATTTTGGGTTGTATGTGAGTCTGCTGAGTGGCGCGCATTAAAAGTGTCGTGTTCTTCATCAAATTCAGGGGAAGAGAGATCAATTTCAGGACTGGGACTGAGACGCGACCGCTCTCGCGCCATGGCATCGTCCTCATCTTGATCAACGCTTGAGCTCGAGAGGCTAGGAGTCAACCTTTTCTCATCCAAGGCAACCATATCCTCCAAATTCTCAGGTAGGGGCTGGTGGGGAGCATTGGTAAGATAGTAAAACACCTTTCGCGGATGCACGTTGATGAGTTCTTTGCCGATGGGACACGGTGACAGCGCAGTCCAGGATCGCTTCATGTAGGCACTGATGCGAGAGGAAAGCAGCGCGGCAGGGTTCGCGGAACTAGGAAAAGGAATTAGCAAATGTGAATGCGACATGACTTGAGAAGAGTAAGTAAACTTACTTGGCAACGGTGTCATTGATCTTCACTAGCACAGCGGCCAGCTCGCGCACCAGATGCGGCTTATTCCCGGTTCTTTCCAGCTGCTCGATTGCGGCGACGACGACGTCGTCGTTAATGCCCTCGGTGTCGATTTTTATTGGGGCCGCGACGGCGTCTCCCGGCGAAGGCGGCGGAGTGTGCTCATAGGCGCGTCGCGCATTCCTTATACGACCAGCGGCAACCTTCTCTGCGCTCTTCAAGTTTGGATCGACCTCATGCGATCTCTTGACTTTCTTCGAGGGGGGAATCTGGTCGTCCGCGACAGTCACACTGGAAGTAGAGCTTTTCGAGGCAGACGGAGACCTGTGCGAGCGGGAGGCGTTAGGCAAGTGAATGCCCAAAGAAGGGAGCGACAGTGACTTGCGTCGTGTATTGTAAGGCATACTGAAAGTGTGTTGGTGTGATTTTTGGGGTTGTAGGGGGATGGATGGATGGATGGATGGATGGGAGGCGAAGAACGGATAAACACGAACAGCAAGGGGAATTAATTTATTACAAAACAAAACAATAATAATAAGAACAGTGATAAGAATAAAAAGAAGAAGAATAAGAATAAGAATAATGGTAATGGTAATAAAAATAATAAAAATAAAAACAGAGGGGAAAAGCACAATGATGAAAGGGGATGAGGAGGATACAAAAAAAAAAAAAGGGCACGCAAGCTGGCTGGCAGAAGATGCGAAGAGATCGCAGGGCGGAACAAATCGGCAGGAGGTCGAGTGGGGATGCGCTAAAGGGGACCAGCCAGAAGGAAAAAAAAGAAAAAAAAAAAAAAAAAAAAAAAAGAGAGCGAGCGCGACCCTCCGTTTGTTTGTACAGAGCTTGATTGGGCAATATAAGACGGATGGTTATGGATCAGCGGGGGTGCTTTCTTGGGGGGGGGGGGGAAATCCTGGTTGGCAAATCGCAAGAATGCGACGGTACAACCCCAGCAGATGAAAGAGAAGAATCAAAAAGAAAAGGAAACCGAGAGAGAAATAGAAATAGAAACGGAACCGGGGGGGGGTTGGGATGAAGAGCGGGAGATGGGAATAGAAAAGAACAGCGATCAACGAGCAAAGAGAGGACGGAAGTTCTGGATGGCAAAGTTGTCACACCGCCTAGGACGAGCACAATGGCAAGCATGCAGGGGCAAAATAATGTATGTCTATGACGAGGCCGAGGACGTCACCACAGAGGATCATCAAGAGTTACGAGGAAACAAAGTGAATACTCCGTAGAAATAAGTAAAGATGCTCCTTCCCCTTTTTCGCCTCTCCAGTCGCTCCTTCCCGATAAGAAAGAAATTGAAATCTGAGTAAACGCAGAAGGAGCGACGGACGGGAAGCAGGGAGGCTGCCAAAAAAAATAAAAAAATAAAAATAAAACAGGCAGGCGGAATCCGAGACATCCTGCCTCAGTGAGATGCATTTGCAGCGGCCAATCAGAGCCGCCAGTGGCTGGACGTGGACCCACGCCAGCGGCATTAGTCCGAAACAGGACTAGTGGTGCATTCTGGAGCCTGGAGTGCAGGAATGGGACTAGCCCCGGTAGATGGGCCAATGGGATGCGCGCACCGTTCGGTCGGAACCGAGGGATGCGCTCCCCATCCAATCATGGGGCGTATAATTATATACAATCAGACATTGAACTTCGTGGGAACCCGTTTTGGTTTGTTGCACGCCACAGTTGCTGCCTATGAGTATGTACTGTACTCATACTCAGAGAAAGAGCGCGTACGTATTTCGTCGGAGTACCAAGTCAAGTACCAACTTCCCAGTTCCCACCCTCATTATTGTAGTTGAACGGAGTGTACTGAGCCAGCCCCACTGTCGCGTGGAATGGGTACGTAGCATCGACTCCTATTCGTGGATCCCTTTTGCCATGACAACAGGATTTCAAAATTTATCGTTTCTACGCCGTAAGGAGAATCCTTGCACTCCACTCAGGCACTAATTCCAAGCTTTTATGCGCCGTGGGAGTAGATGAGACTACTCGACGTATAAACATCTAAACCGCACATGTCACATACATGTAATACCTAGCACAGACACGCTGCAGCCTGCAGTATACTCCATGTAGATCACCGAAAATCCGACATGTCAGGAATGGGTGGATGGGCCTAAATTTGCAGGCTAGTACGCATACGGCCGTTGTATATGTCTTCTTGGGGTATGCATTAATTGGTTATACTCTCCATCCATCATATGCAATTCTCATCTTCGAGGTTCAAGACATGCTAAAGATTAATCAAAAAAATATTATTATACATATTCGTACATGATTGTTATGGAGTAGCCGCCTTCGGCCTCAAAACAGCCCTCCACGTTGTCCCCAAATGATACCGTTTAATCTCCACAACCTCGAGCCCGCTCTGCTCGATGATATGCCCGATATCACGATTCCACCAGCACCCGTGTCGATGCGCGTGTGCTGGCGCTAAATTATCCAGGACTTTATTCAGCCAGTCATAGTGGGATCGACCGTGTTCCAGGAGTAATATTCGCCCCTTTTGGGGCTCCGTGATAGAGCCCAGGTGTCGCAACAGACCAACCGGGTCTGTGGTGGAGCACAATCCCATAGTTTCTAGCACAGTGTCGAAGTGAGATCTCGAGAATGCCCATCCTGCTTTCTCTGCTGTATGGGAGGAAGGCGGCATCTCGGATGATTCCGCAGTCGGGGGTCCTGTCGATGTCTTCTGTGAGAAGAACAACGTTGGCAACGACCGCGATGGTGATGGCGATGGCGACGACGATGACGATGACTCACCACCCCTCGGATCAGCGCTGGCAGCTGTTGGAAGAACCTCTCTGGCATCTTCCGCGCGAAACACAGCCTTTGTGAAGTCGGGGTATTGTTTTCGGAACTTTTGTCGAGCAATTTCCACCATCTGCGGACTCAGATCGACAAATGTAACCGATCGACAGCCCTGTATCTCAGAGTGACCTTGACTATCAAGCCCTCTTCGCTCTCCAAGCTGATAGTACTCCATGTTCCGGCCAGTACCACAACTCACTTCCAGCACATCCCCACGAGCCATTCGAACAAGTTCTTTTCTCCTCGCACCTAGCCGCATAAATCTTTCTCCAAGCTCCACCTCGGCATCGTAGCCAGTGGCTGTAGAATTGTATCGATCAGATACATCTTCTGGCACCTGTAGTGTTTTCGAATGAGCTACTGCTTGTCGATATGATGAATACAAGTAGCCGCAATATAGGCTAATGCTCAGAACGCCGACGCCAAAGACAGTCAGTGTGCGTGGAGAGACCGTGCTACGCACAGCAGCCGGCTTCGCATTCAGATTGTCAAAAGCATTGGTTCTTCTGCGTTGTTGTTGTTAGTGTTCTTTCCAACGTGTTTGATAGCAGTAACGAGTGTCAATCTTACGTGGGTTTTTTCGGTTGCGGTGGTTTTCTGTGTGATTTTCGGCTCCTAGTGCTGTACAGACGTGACAGCTCCCGGACGGTTCTGTCTGTATTTCCCGAGACAAGCATATCGATAGAAAGTTGTATAACTCCCTCTTCTTGTTCCTTTTGAATGAAGACTTTCGACTCGAGGTCAACGGCATGGTCCGGCTAGGCTAAATTGGGCATAGATCGGATCACATGTCGTCCTTCCCTCTGACCTCAACTACAGAATCCACGCAATCCAATTAAAGTGAGATATGGAGCTCATTCTATTTGCTTGCCATATACAGACAGATATGCGTTCAGCAAATCGGATGGTAAACAGTTAATCACTGATGTCTGATGCGAATCATGTCCACCAATAAAACGGCCATCTATTTCCCTCGGCCCTCCACTATCTGACTCATACTCAAGACCCATTTGATAAGTTAGTTATCTTCACTGTTCACAGTCTTCCTTGTCTTATAGCGGATCCCAATTGCGTCCTCTTGTTTGCATTGGCATACTTCACATCGTGAACTCGCTTTGACAGACGAAAAGGAGAATCCACATGGCCCTACCGCAGTCAATATTGATTGTCGGAGGCGGGGTATTCGGGTGTAAGTATTGGGGGCATTAGAGACATACATCTTCGTCGTGTGGATTTTCCAATGTCCAGTTGATGAACTCGTGTCTGGGGTTTGCTCGGTGATTTCAGTGGACTATGCCCATCAAACATAACGACCATTCGGATATCAACTAAAACGTCTGAAAGAAAAAAAAGAAAACTAACCCCGTCCACACAGTATCAACCGCCCTATCGCTCTCAGAACGACACCCAAACAACAAAATCACCCTCATCGAGGCTTCACCCACAATCCCCAACCCTCACGGCTCATCAGTCGACTCGTCGCGCATCATCCGAGCAGACTATGCCAACCCCGCATACGCCAAACTAGCAGCAGCTGGGATCAAGAAATGGCGGACTACGGAATGGGGTAAAGATGGGCGTTACACGGAAAACGGGCTAGCTCTGCTTTACGCAGATGACAACCCTGATTCGGAGAGATATACTAGAAAGAGCTATGAGAATGTGAAGAGGCTGCTCGAAGAAGAAGGAGGAGGAGGAGGAGGAGGAGAAAAAGGAGCGGACAAGGTGGTCTACCTGTCGACCAAGGCAGATGTAGAGAAAGTTGTGCCACGATACGCGGCGGGAATGAATATTGCTGGAGGCTATCTCAACCGAGGATCAGGATGGGGAGATGCTGAATCGGGGGTCCGATTTGCTAAGCAGAAACTCGACGAGCTAAACAAAGTCACTATCAAACATGGAGAGGTGGAAAGACTTATATTTGAGGATCGGGATGCTCAAAAGACGTCGTCACCACTTAAAGTAGCCGGTGTTATTCTGAAAGACAACCTGACTGGCACCACCACGACAGTTACTGCTGATCTTGTCATCCTGGCTACTGGGGCCTCTACACCCAAGTTGATTGACTTACGCGGCATGGTCGAAGCTACAGGTCAAGTTTTGGCCTATATCAAGATCTCAGACGAAGAGCAGGCGCAGTTGGCTCACATGCCGACTATTCTGAGTTTTTCAACGGGCATGTTCATTATTCCGCCACGAAATAACGAGCTCAAGATCGCACGCCATGCGTATGGCTATCTGAACCCACAGGATATTCCAATACCCGGCACCACCAGAAGCTCCAACAATGAACAGCAAACGATGAATATTAGCGTCCCTGTATACAACGTACCAGTTCCCGCGGAAGGGGAAGATGCCTGTCGTCGGGCTCTTCGTGAGATGTTACCGGCATTTGCCGAGAGACCATTCGTGCGTACTCGGATTTGCTGGTATTCAGATACGTATGTCTTCTTCTTCTTCTTCTTCTTCTTCTTCTTCTTCGATGCAAACACGAAAAGACTAGAGAAACTGACTAACTCCATGCGTATCATCTATGGCATGAAAGACCCTCCGGAGATTTCCTAATAACCTACCACCCATCCCATCCAAACCTCTTCATAGCCACCGGAGGCAGTGGCCATGGCTACAAATTCTTCCCAGTGTTGGGCGACCAAATCGTCGATGCTCTTGAGGGCAAGCTAGATCCAGAATTGCAGCAGTTGTGGAGATGGCCGGAACAGCACCTCGTGCGACGAGACGGACATGTTGTAACACAAGACGGGAGTCGGTCAGGCAAGATAGGCATGATTCTGCAGGACGAAATTGCCCGGTCGAGTCGGTTGTAGTATATCTGTTTGTCTGTCAATCAGTCAGTAATAGAGTATGTATAACCATGCCTTGCTTATTTCACTCAAATTAGTCATCCCACGCAGACTCCGCACAGATGTGTAGTTGGCGACAGCGGAATCCGGTAATAGTAGCTACAGAAGATAAAAGTCTCACGTGCGGTTAATTTTCTAACTGTAGTCTAGTGATCAAGACTGTAGCTGCGTATTTAGCTGGCTATCCCAGAAAGAGGGGTGTGGTGATGATTGTGTGGGATTGATCCAGAAATGGTATACAAATATAAATATGAATATAACTTACAAAAACGCCAAAATATTAGTCTCCTCACAAGTTACGCATAAAACAATTACATGGATTTCTACATTACTGATATCCAGGAGTTTCATAATAATTTTGTTGCTTTCAACTAGACTTAAAAGACCTAGTTTGTAAAGCTACTAAAGTGAAATCATATCTTGCCAAAGAATCACAGTGCCTCGCGCAGAGGCCACTGGAGACAATCTGCTTCTCAATGGAAAACGCTCCCCCCCACTCATCGCCAATACATAAAAGTAAAGGGATGCCTGCTAGAACCGAAGTGATGATTAATAAAAAAAAAGAGAAAAAGGCAGGCACTGACCCGACCAGCGCAAATGTACCGCCGCCTCCTCGAGATGGAAAGATTCAAAAAACAGTCTGCGGTCATGCAATCTTCTAATGTAACATTTGGAACATATTCTTTTGGAAGAAGGAAAAAAGGGAGAAAGAAGAAGAAACCCGACAAGCAAACGAATCGCTAGAACGCCCTTAAATGCTAAACATCAACCAATCGTGACAGGCGAGTCCGGATTCGGGAATGAGGCGTGGTCAGTCGAATGTCATTTGGACAAACGACGCGTGAACACATGCCGCCCGTGGACTCTAGATAAACAAGAATAATGTTAATACAATAGTTCGGAATCTCGGCGTAAACGATTACCACAAGAGTAGCAATCTCACCGATTGACCAACCCCAAATTTTTTTCTTTTGATTAGGTTTTACGGAAGTCTGATGGTTCGCTAGTCAGCAGATGCATGAAAACATATGGATTTTAGTGGCCATACCAGAAAGCACGGGGTAGATCAGTTCAAAAGCTTGATAGATCTCCTCTCGGACTTTAGCACCAGTGAGCACGATCTTGCCGCTGACGAAGATCAGAAGGACAATCTTTGGTTTCATCATACGATAGATGAGACCCGGGAAGAGCTCAGGTTCATACGAGCTAAAGTTGTGATGGCGCGAGGCAAGTCCTTCCAAACGAATGGGAAACTTGATGTCACAGGAGCCGACGATGTTCTGAATCTTGAAGTCGGTGAACTTCGCATTAAAACCAAGCTTCTGAATAATACGAGCGTATTTCCGCGACGCGAGTTTAGAGTCATCCTCGGATTTGGCACCAGTAACCACCATCTTGCCGGACGCAAAGATCAAAGCAGTAGTTTTCGGCTCACGAATACGCATAATCACGGCCGCAAAACGCTAGACAAGTAAATGCCAGTTCAGTAAACAGGTCTGAAAAATCCACAATACTTCTTTTTTCAAGGTTTTATTGTACCTTTGGATTGTACTCTGCATTTCGAGCATGGAGCGCGATGGTCTTCAGATCCAAGCGACAGTCAAGGTTGACAGTTGCGACGATGTTTCTTGGAAGAAAAAGAGTCTTGTTCAGCTTTCTGGTGGGCCAGAAAAAGACAGCATAGTGAATACTCACTGCAAAGTAGGCACAATGCCACTCCCAACATTGCTCGCACCTGGAGTCGCAGCCGGAGTCGCGGGTGTCACCCCATTGCCGTTGGCATTCACTCCTTGCTGCTGACCATTCAACCCAGCCAAAATGCCTTCTTTCTCTGAAGACGGTGGGGTCAAATCTCCGGCACCCCCAGGAAAGGAGAGCGATGCTGGTGATGTAAAGGCCTTTGCCTGCTGAGCATTCGACGGATGGGTGGTAAGCGAATCCATGATTGCGATTTCAGCGAAACGCGCAGATTCTTGAGTTCCGCTGAGTTTCGATGCGATGACTTCTCGACGATATAGCCTGAGAGTGGGACTTTTTAGGTCAGACAGCTAGTCTCATCAAATGACCATCAAGAGGCTGTTCAAGGTTGAAGAAGTGGCAAGCAGTTGCATGAGAGAAAACACAGTAATGGAATCCTACCTGCGTTTGTGGGAGATGAACAACTAAATGCCTCCCCTACAGTTTGCTGCAAGATATATGCAGCAGTGGCTTTGTGGAAAGAAGAGAAAGAGAAACAAAAGTCGGGACTGAGGGAAGTCGCCGTGAAAGAAGGCAGGGTGAGCTCCGCTGAGAGTCAGGTGACGGTCAGGTGACTTGAGACTTAGCCAAACTGGGACGGTCGCAGAACTCGGCAACGGCAAGCAGCGGCAAAACGACGACAGCAGAGTTTAAAAAAATGAATTTTTTTGGGGGATTCTTTTCTTTTCTTTTCTTTTCTTTCTCCTGTTTCAATTTGGAATAGTCTATCTGGGGGGTATTAAGTAAGAAGAGAGAGCGAGGAGATAGGACTTCCGACGCGTGAGTGTCGACAGTAGCGATCACGGCAATCGAGGGGGTTGAGGTCTAAGTAGTATCTTCTTCCGAATTGAGCGACCTGGAGGAATGTGGAGCGAGAGAGAGTAGCACCAGAGAGTTGCTGCTGCTGCTGGCGGTGGTTGGTGGTGAGAGGGAAGAAGAACGTAACGTGCTGGCGTTTTCCGCGCAGTGCCAAGACCAGGAAGAAGAATTCAGCAATACGGGTGGGAGTGGGTGGCAGCCTCCTTATATACGCCGAGGGAGCGGCTGTCGTCAGGGGAGGCTGGCCCACGGTGGCGCCAAAAGCAGCGAGCGATCTGGCCGCATTACGCCTAGTCTGGCTTGCCGCTTCCATGGCCAGGCATGGCCTTGGCGGCGGCTAGGACGCATTGCTCACCTGATTGGCGGTCGGCGGCCCACCGGCTCTGCGACCTTCCAGCCAGGGATCGCCAATTATGAGCGTATCGCGCTGTGAGTCCCACCCGCATCCTACCAAGCCTGATACGGCAGTCCGTGCAGGCTGCTGATTGGCACAGACTATCTAAGATGTCAGACAGTCATTTCGTGGATGCCTGTTGATAGGCTGCTACGATCCCAGAGCTAGCGCCCCACCCTCTTCCTGCCCATCAATCCAATCACCGCTTGCAGGCAGTGCCCTCCATTATCCCCAGAACCCACATCCCGCCGCTTTAGCCGGTGTGAAGCGAAACAAAAAAGTTCTTCCGCCTTGCTATGCCCTTGTTTCTCTTTGCATGGGCTTGTCTCTATATTCTTTCTTTCGCTCTACTAGTTCGATAAACACGGAGTCACGGCTGTTTCTTGTGTGTTTAGACCTAGGAGCGTCTCTCAGCGCGAAAAAAAGGAGGTGGAAGCGCCAAGACGCGACGCGTCGCCCTTCGTTTGGCGCGTGTTGCCGGCCACCCGTCATAACTAGGTAATGCCTTTATTTGTTTGTTGTTGATCGGTTTCCTCATTATACAGAGTATTATATTCATCTGTCTAGTGTCTGATGCAGTAAATCTGCATCTCATCTCCTGTGTTTGTTAGCCGGAACGAACGAACGAATGAATGCCTACAAGGCTGCACAAACACAGAATACGTACGTGGTTTTCTAGCATTCCACCCACATTCTGTACATATACGCCATGGGCATGTGCTATAACGTACATTTGTGGCATGTCCTATACCGTAAACGAGCTTTGTTTGGGGCTTGAAAAGAGATTCTTACGAGTCGATTTTCTTGAGGTTCACATGCAAATGTGGATGAGCCGCATTATTTAGAGCTACTCAAGAGCACTCCACATGGAAATGACTGGTTTCTTTTAGCAAAACCTCATAAGCTAGCTAATAACTAAGCGATTGCGCCTCGGCTCAGTGTGACGCTGGGAAACGTGATATAGGGACCTAAACGTGGTCTTTGAAATCTGGCTGTCGAATAATTCAATTCAAAGAAAATAAAGATCCATCATTCAACCCCTTCGCTTCCTCAAAATAGCAATACATGGGGATACTCTACTCGCAGCAAAGCTTGCCAATCGACTTCTCCGTTGTAATACCGCTCCCAAACCAGATCAAGAAGTTGATGCGCGCAAGAAATGTTGCCCAGGACCACAATGTTTTCGACTATGCTGAGTCGATATTCAATCTGCAGCCGCTCGCTTTTCCGTGGAGTGACCAGCCCGGCCATGAAGAGAGGCAGGAGGAGCTGGCTGTCTGCGGGCGACCCAGGAGGAATGGAAGAAATCGCATTCAGAAGGTTGTCAACAGCGATCTGTTTCTTCTCCTCAATATCTTCCTTTTCCTGCTCCGTCTCCTCAACCATAATTTGATAGAGTCGTATTAGTGCCGCCCAGCGAATTGCCTCTGCTGCCATGGCTGTATCACTAATCAACTGTGTATTCTGATGCCTGACGTTCGTCGGTACAGACCACTCTGTGAGGTATTTTTCAATACTTCGAGTTTCCAAAGTGAAATTCACACAATCCGGGAGCATTTGGCTTCGCTTTAAAGGAAGCTGGCTTATCAAATCGAGCTTCTCGTATAGACAGCTAGCAAGGCCGAACAAGGGATGAATGCCCGCCGCCATGAATTCAGTCCTACTTGAAGTAAATGATGATGATGATGATGATACAACAGGAACCCTATCACAGGTAATCCTCGTTTTGCAGCATATGATTGCATAAAGGTCCAAGGCAAAATTTGATGGGGCTGTAGAAACATCCTGATGCAGGTCAATCAGAGCCTTGGCGCCGTAGAGATGAAGAATCCATTTCGGAGAGTCTCCGCGGCAGATCTGTTTTATATTCCTAGTTATTAGCAAGGAAGAGCGCAAAATTAGAGGGTTCACCTACACAAAATAGACAAAGGAGTAGAGATATAACCAATGCGCATGTAATTCCATCGCCCGACTCCAGGTCTAGCTTCAAATAGTGCAACGCCAGACTATGCTGGAGAATTAGTGTATCCTCGAACATTGGATATACTTTGCAAAGATGACAGGCAGTCAACGCGAGCATTGCATGGCGAACCGGCTTTGATTCTTTTGCTAGTTGCAACACTTCGTTCAAGAATGGGTTTTCGTCGTCGTTGACGACAACAAACGCTCGGGAGACGTATTGGGCATAGTGAATCAACAGATGGCGCTCTGTAGCGTCAAATTCGGCTTGCTGTTCTGGGCTAATGCCAATTGCTACCAAGAAGCTAGAATGTTGGTTCGCATAGCTTTTGTTGCGGGTTTGCGTGATTTCAGTGCGTTGCTTTTGCTGAAATGGTCCCGGCGGGTGATTCCCGCCAGGTTTCCCTCGGGCATACGAGCAATATGACCTAGATAGTCTTGCACATTGATTTCTAGGTCCTGGTTGATGTTGATTTCACTTGGAGGGGATTGAGGCGAGAGGTAGGCCTCTTCCTTCTTCTCCTGCTGTTCAACCAAGATGCCCGGCGATGCGTTGGAGGCCGATTGTCTCAACTGGCAGTTGACAAGGCCGAGTCGGCGACACTCGTTGCAGATGGGAGACTTCTCATCGCATTTCTTCCGTCTATCCTCATGTAAGACAAACGAATCCACGTCTGGAGAAGAAGAAAGGTCCGTACCGAAGTAAACAGTTCGTGCAGCCTCGACGGGAGCGCTGATGGCGCGCCCTACGAGAAGACTGTCCCTTTCGACAGTCGCTCGCCCCCGAGCGCTCAAACTTTGCCGTGTACGAGCACGTTAAGGAAAGCCCTCCCTGTGTTTTAACAGATGCTGTAGTACAGCCCACGATTCAAGACCAATACGTACGCTTGCACCGCTGACAGGGCTGGCCCTGACTGCAGACCGTCTTGATTGAGGCGCATGTAAAACACGCGGTCCGTTGGCGTGGCATTAGAGAGAGCTCGTGGGGAGGGATGTGTAGGATTGAATGCCGTCGAAGTCTTGATTGAGTAAGTTCGACTTCTTTATCTACGCCGGGTACATACCCGAGTCCAGCCCATCTCCGGATTTGTTCTCCAGTTGGTTGATTGGCTACAACAACAGATAAGACTCTATCCTTTATCAGCTTTACATACGCCGGCATTCCTCTTGTCCTGTTCGAATTGCGCAGTAACATGCTGATCAAGGTGAAAGGTGAAAGCAGACTGCTTTTATTGCGTTAGGCGCAAAATCAGATCTGCCACTGCCAGTTTTAGTCTTTCTTCACTTTTGATTGCAACACAGAAAGTTAAATTTGCATCTTTTTACCATGTGGGGCCCTGCAGTACAGGCCAACCAGGGCCCGAGAAACAGTGGAAATTTTATAGTACATTTGTCATTTTCTCCTAGCCAATGCAGCAATCCCGTCGCCAAATCCTTTAATATGGCTTTACGCCAGCCAGTTTCAACAACCGGTCCGTCATTTCCGGCACCTCCAACGGCTTTTCACGATCTCTAGGGTCTGGCGTGCCATTAGGCAGAATTGCCCCCCGTTTGCGAACAACCACGTCGTGAGGCTAGTGGGTAGTGCCCCCGTAATTGCGGAAGACTTCTTTCTTGCGCTCCAGCGTTTCCGAAGATGCCAGCTTTGCAGGGGAATATGCCGCGTAGATAACCGTGCGGATGGTATTGCTCGCTTCGGTGGGCTCTGCACCGTAATGGGTGGTACGGCTATCCCACACAATCAAATCCCCAATGTCTGCACACACCTTGTGTGGACGGACTCCCTTGGCTTCGTACCAGGCGAGCTGTTCCGGCTGAAACCAGTAGAGGTCTTGGGCCTTCCATGTTGACGGTTCAGTCTGTGTGTTGCAAAACTCCTCGTGGTACTTGTGCGAGCCTGGATACACCACTAAACCTCCGTCGTCAGGGCCTGCGGGGGAAAGGTTGATAATGCCCTGGACACAGTGCATGCCGCGACGCAACGGGCTCTGGTCAACGTGCTCCCACGCGCCTTTGCGAGGCACGTCCTTACGGTTGGGAAAGGTGATGTTCAAGCTGTCGAAGCTCACAATCAGCTCGTCCGTGCCCCAGATTTGAGCAAAGGCGTCGACCACCCCGGGCTCCAGTCGCGCATCCCACATGAACTTCTCATGCGCAACGGCATAGGCACTGAAAGTGTTGATTGTGCTTTGGACGGGCAGGTTTTCTGCCACCCAGGTGTTGGGGTTCTCGTAATCGAGCTTGTCGTTTCCAAACGACTTCAGCCATTGGCGAGCTTTGTGACGGTACGCTTCCGCTCGTTCTTGAGGGATCGCGTGCTTGATCACAGCAAATCCATTCTCCCGGAGCTGTGCGCGCCAGTCGCCCTTGGGTGCATCGCCACTACATTTAATGCACGTTAGTCGGGAAAGAAGAAAGATCTGCTGGAGGAAAGGGTAGGAGTTAGTACAGTGCATTGGAAGGCTTCCGGGGAGAGCGCCGGAACCGAAGTTGATAGATCTGCAGTAGCAATAGGAGCCATGATTGTAGTTCTCTGTGTGACTAGATGTTTGAAAAGAAAAAAGAAGCTTGTTGATTTTATTTGTGCGAGGCACGGGTTTATATTCAGGGAATCCTATCTTGATGGGTCTCGCATTTCCGTTTCCCGTCGTAAACGGCATTTGTGCCATGGACTAATGATAAAAGAGATAATAGAGAGCCTTAGTATTTGCTTTGGTATCTGCTTGACGCATGAAATGGATTTTCTCGTGGGTTGTGGGTCAATGTTGAATGCCGTCGTATATAGATAAGACAGAAGCATCTCTTGGAACTTCCAAGATTACCCAAGCCAAGCAAGCCGCAGACGGGTTCTATATAACTTGGGCCCGGAACAACCTGAAAAAAAGGATGTGCAATTCCAAAATATCATTGAGCGAACGAGAAGAAGCTCTTCCTTTTATTAATTGCTTTTGCACTTATCATTATTCACCATGCCTACCGTTGAGTCGACGGCGGCAGACCATGCCATGGACGGGTTGAAAGATCCAAAGCTGATGCTCAACGACGTGGACGAGGCCGCCCAGCTGCTGGGGGACTTCGATCATGAGGTGCAACAACCATTGTCGCCCCAGGACGATCGCCGTATTCTGCGCAAGGTCGATATGTGGTATGTGTGTTGGTTGCATTCGGTAGAAAGTTGTTGACCTGAAGCGGCAGCCTTCTTCCTCTACTGTTCTTCTCGTACCTCTTCCAGTACCTCGACAAGCAAGCAATGGGATACAGCGCAATCATTGGTCTCAGAACGGACCTGCACCTAGTCGGACAGGACCACTCTTGGGCGAGCAGTATTTTTTACTTTGGATACCTCTCTGCGTCCGGTATTGTTGCTTTGTTGATTGTTCGCTTGCCCATAGGCCGCTTCATGTCTGTTTCCATGTGAGTTTCCCCCATATGACTTTGGGGAAAATGGTGTTGATCTCTGATTTTTGGGGCAAAAGAAGAGTTTGGGCGGCCATTCTCATGCTTACCGTACTGGCCAAGAACGCATCAGGCCTTTGGGCAGCACGCTTCTTCCTGGGATTTGTTGAGTCTGCTATTGCGCCTTCTATGAGCCTTATTATATCACTGTGGTACAAGAGGTCTGAACAGCCCATTCGACAGACAGCCTGGTTTATGGGAAATGTCATCGGCAGCTTATGTGGTGGCTTGCTGGGATATGGCATTGGACACGTTCACTCGATCGCACCTTGGAAGGTGGGAACCCTATACTCATCCATCTACAAAGGCTGGTGCTCACAAAATTTTCTTTCACAGGCATTGTTCTTGCTGTTTGGTGGCATAACGTTGGCCTGGTCGGTTCTTTGTTGGTTCGCTGTCCCCGACAGCCCCTTGACCGCATGATTCCTGTCGAAGGAGGACCAGGTAAAAGCTATTGAGCGCGTGCAAGTCAACCTCACTGGCATCAAAAGTCACTAGATCAAACGATATCAAATCGTGGAGGCATTCCTTGACCCCAAGACATGGCTGCTTGCTGCGTTCCAATTTACACAAAACGTACCGAATGGCGGCGCGGGTTCGGTATGTGATTTTTCTCTTCTGATCGAGGAATAAAAGTCTCGCTTTCTAACTGATTTCGTGATTTAGTTTGCCTCGATTGTCGTCGAGGGATTTGGTTTCAATGAACTCAACACCCTTCTTGTCCAGATGATTGGGACCGGTTTCCAAATTTTTTTTGTTGTGATGTCTGCACTTGGTAGCACATACCTCAAAAACACGCGTACCTTGTGGATGGCTTGGAATACCATCGTCGCACTTGTTGGAAGCGTCATGATTCGGCAAATCTCATCTGAGCATATCTGGGCTCGTTTCATGGGATACTGCTTTATCATCGTCTTTTCCGCCAACTTCCCGCTAACAATGGCCATGATTACAAGCAACACTGCTGGGTTTACCAAGAAGTCCACGGTGACTGCAATCGTAAGCATATTCTGTTTTCACATCTTCTCCTCTCCGGCGTTAGATCTAATACGGTGGGCAGGTTTTCGTGGCATACTGCGCCGGTAACATTGTCGGGCCTCAGATCATGTTTGCTGATCAGGCGCCTAGCTACCCATCTGGGTTCGCAGGAATGCTTGTGTGCTTTGCTATCTCGGCTGTGATCATTGTGGTACTCCGTTTCTATCTGCAGTGGGAGAACAAGAAGCGCGATGCCCTCGACGAGACGTCCGAGGTTATCGAGGTCAACGGTGTGCCTGTATCCTTGAATCTGATTGATAGGACGGATCGTGAGATACGCCAATTTCGCTATGTGTACTAGGATGTTGGATGTGAAGACAGCTGCGAGGAAATCTCGCAATACGAAGCAAGCCGAGAGCAGGGGCTTTGAGAGACATGACAATTCATCATGCTGGTTATATATGAATATTTAACATCTCTTTTCTCTCCTGGAAAAAAGGAGATAGTGATTCCCGATTCTCAACAGAAGACGTCTACCTAGCTAGGCACAGGGCGGCACAAACACAGAAATGCGTAGTTTACACAGATTCTGTAGATATACACACGTACCACGACGCATATTTTGTGGCATGTCATAATCCGTAAACTAGCATCTAGCTGTCAGTTTCTGTTGCGACTGTTGGTCTCAAGATAGCATACATCCTGAAATGGAAATAGTGATTTCATTTGGCAGGAATCTGATAGGCCAGCCCCGGCTAATAAGCGGCAATGCTATTGGCCTCGGCTAAGCCTCGGCCACGCTGCCCGTCACCGAAACCGGCTACTTTCACAAGCTTTTCGGGGGATATCTTTCTTCACCGGCCCAAGCTCCAAAAACGTCCAACAACCAATTCATTTTGACCGTCTTGTCTTCAGAGGCAGAGCTTCTGCTGTTTGTATTCATGGCCACCAAAGGGGCTGCGCGGCTTCTGCTGAAGCGTGAGATACAAGCGACTCGGACTTCAATTCGTGCTGTTAACCCCAGACGCGGTTTCGCCCCGCCACCACCAACCCGGCGACAATATTGCAGTATCGCCAGGCCGTTTAATATTCGCCATCAACACGGACAGAGTCGAGCCTTTTCAGGCTCGGCGAGGAGGCAAGATGCGGACGAAGCAGCTCTCGATCCTAGTCAGGTTGAGAGGGAGTCGGACGAGGTAGATGTCTGTATAGTCGGAGGAGGTAAGTCGGATTCTTTCGTTTGCTGTTGAGTTAAGACCTGTGACTGATATAGTCGGAAAATTCTATAGGCCCAGCAGGTCTCGCAGCGGCTATTAGATTGAAGCAACTCGCCAATGAAGCAGGAAACGAGGAGTTTCGCGTCATCCTCTTGGAAAAGGCTGGCGAATTGGGAGCGCACATAGTTTCAGGGAACGTCCTCCAACCCACCGCTCTAAATGAACTGCTACCAGACTGGCTGGACGAAAATAATCCGTCGCGCTTCGAAAATGTTACACCGGCTAAGAACGACAAGATGCGCTTTTTGACGAAAACACGATCGATACCGATCCCCGCGCCGCCTCAAATGAACAACCATGGAAACTACATTGTCAGCCTGAGCGAGTTGACGAAATGGTTGGGAGAACGCGCCGAGGAGCTAGGTGTTGAAGTCTATCCGGGCTTTGCTGCTAGTGAAGTGCTGTACAAACCTGATGGCTCTGTGCGCGGCGTTGCAACCAATGATTTGGGCATTGGCCGAGATGGAAAACCTAGAGAAAATTTTGAGAGAGGAATGGAGTTCCATGCTAGAACCACCCTGTTGGCTGAAGGCTGTCACGGTAGCCTGACAAAGCAAGTTATCAAAAAATTCGATCTCCGTCGGGATAGTCAACCACAGACGTATGGGCTAGGCATTAAAGAAGTCTGGGAGATTCAACCCGAAAAATTCAACGCCGGCGAGATTGTCCACTCCATGGGTTATCCATTGCCATCAGACACATATGGAGGAGCATGGATGTACCATTTTGGTGAAAACCTCGTCAGCATTGGATTAGTTGTCGGGTTGGATTACCCCAATCCATGGCTTTCTCCATACCAGGAATTCCAGAAACTGAAGCACCACCCTCTTTTCAAGGACGTACTTGAGGGGGGTAAGTGTATTTCATATGGCGCGCGAGCCTTGAACGAAGGCGGTTTTCAGTCCATCCCGAAAGTCGCATTTCCCGGAGGAGCTTTGATTGGGGATACTGCCGGTTTCTTGAACGTTCCCAAGATCAAAGGAACGCATACTGCAATCAAATCTGGGATGCTTGCAGCAGAGGCTACATTTTCCGCCCTACAAGATAACAGTGATGGCAGTGTCTTTTTATACAACTACGAGAACTCCCTGCGTGAATCGTGGATTTGGAAAGAACTCAAGGAGGTCCGAAACATGCGGCCTTCATTTGGCACCGCTCTTGGCTTGTATGGTGGAATTGTGTACTCGGGTCTCGAGGCTTTCATTCTCCGCGGCAGGGCTCCGTGGACATTGAAACATCACTCCACCGATTCTGCGGCGACGAAGCTGGCTTCTCAATGCAACAAGATTGAGTATCCAAAGCCTGACGGTGTGATCAGTTTCGATATTTTGACTAGTGTAAGCCGTACCGGAACCAACCACGAAGAGGATCAGCCAGTCCATCTGCAGGTCAAGGACTGGGATGAGCATACCACCGCAGCATGGCCCAAGTACCGGGGACTAGAAAACCGATTCTGTCCCGCTGGTGTGTATGAGTACCTCGAAGACCCGTCTAAGGAGCACGGGGTCCGATTTCAAATAAATGCACAGAAGTAAGTATCCTTCTCTCCGGACGACTATCCTTCGTTGACGAGATGTTGACCATAAAATGCAGTTGTATCCATTGCAAGACTTGCGATATCAAAGTCCCGACTCAAGACATCAACTGGCAGACTCCCCAAGGCGGCGAAGGGCCTAAGTACTTTATGACCTAAGCCGTTGTATCATTCTGAGCATTTTTGTTGGCGTGACGTATGAACTGCATGTAAAATAAGTGATGTTTTTTTAATGGACATATTCAACACAAAGAAAACATTGTTGATTGAAAACACTATTGTACTCGCAATACCACCTATGAATGGACTCATCACTCCCCTTCCATGGCGGCACTGCAACGTCTAGGGCCGAGATGGCGAGAGCCAATGGCTGGCTGGGAACCCCACGGGGTTAGGGGAGGCCCGTACCGTGGAATTGCGTCTGCCGGCCCGGAGGAGGTCCCTAGGTGTCTTTTGAGACTGCCAGAACGTAGTTGCTTCAGAAACTATCCCGGGCGCGTAACCATAGGCTGAGAGGTTGTGATGCGAGCTGCAAGTTGACTGTGAGACGGTGAGCGGGGCCACGTGGATGGCTGGCGAGCCTGAGGAGTCAACCCACATCCCTGCGCCTGCCCTTTCCCACTCCTGCTGTCTCTTTCTCTTCCGCATCCTTCACACCCTGCGCTCCTCCCGACTCTAACTAACAGAATTCTGCAACAATCCTTCCATCCAAGCAGCCTGTGGATCGCTCACTGGATACTCTTAGCGCCCAGGTGAGTCCAAGCTCACTAGGACGCAGCGAGTGCGCTCCGCTACTTCGCTGTTGCTTGCGGTGGGCCACACCCAGACACACATCCTTCGCTGATTCACCGCCACGACATCCTTCGCTCTTGCTGTCTCTTTCGCTGCTGTCATCGCCGTCCTGGCCGTCCTGATCCCCGAATCTACGAAGAGGAAAATTGTGTGAATCGCCCTTGCCGTCACCTTCACCCAGCATCCCGCAGCCGGGCTTCTTCCAAAAAGGCGTCAGCGCATTCTCTACTGTCCAGCCATGAGTGAGGTTTCGTCCACACGGCTCTATCTTGGGAATCTTCCCCGCAATGGTACGCAGGTCTTTGCCAATCCACCCTGAGATTCCGCCTTCTTGACGGGTCCTACCCCTGTGTCAACGCTCCAAATCTTCGTGAGCGTTTCTTGGACGCATCCATCCCTTCTCCGTTTTCTCTAGTTGGTGCCCTACGGATAGCAAAACTTTTTTTCTTCCCTCGGAGCTGTATCGACCTGCTCGAAGGACTATGGTCGGAGACGAATACTAAGTTACCTTCCATGGACTTTTGGGCGGTTTCGCTTTTTTTCTTTGCCTGGATCGCACGTTAGGCCACCAAGTGCTGACGTTTCTGACGGCGCCTTCCTGGCGTTGGGTTCCCTCCAGTGACTAAAAAGGATATCGAAGACTATTTCGGCTCCCATGGCACCGGCAAGATCACAGAAATCAAACTGATGAGTGGGTTTGGCTTCATTGAGTACGAAGATGCGATGGATGCTCGGGACGTTGTTCCAGGTATGCGTTTCTACGGCATTGGAATCTACTGGCACGATCACGAGCTAACATTGTAATGTTACTTACACTAGCCTTTCGTATGTACTCCTCGCTCTGTGCACGCAGTGCAAATACAGTGACATTTTTAACCAGTGGATATACCCGACAGATGGTAGCGATTTCAAAGGAGAACGTTTGACCGTCCAGTTTGCGCGTGGACCCCGCCACAAGGAAACATTCAATGGCCCTTCGGACCGTCTCAGTGCACCTAGGCCTCGTCGGACGGTGTATCGCATGCAGGTTTCAGGGCTTCCCTCCGAGACGAGCTGGCAGGTAAGCTACGGGTTCCCCGTACACGATTTTCACAAACATCATGCTTCTTGCTTGCAACCAGCGAAATGAGGTTACCGCTTGGCGTTCAATAAAACCTTGTCATACATGCAGGACCTGACAGGCAGTGTATTCTACTTTAGGACCTCAAAGATTTTGCTCGTCAGTCCGGGTTGGATGTAGTATACTCGGAGACAACTCGTGAGCGCGACGGTAGAGGGTGAGTGACTTATCTGACTCTTCAAGTCTCTATTCAAGAAGCTGATGCATAGCTTCAAAAGCTTCGTCGAATTTGAGTCCCACACAGATCTCAAAACAGCTGTCGAGAAGCTCGACGGCAGAGACCTGAAAGGCTCCCACATCACCTGTGTTGCGGATGTATGTTTAGCTGAACCCTTGTGTGCCCTTTTTACAAGTTCTCATCAACTCTAGATACAACCCGCCGAGGAGCGAGCTCCATATCGTGACCCTTATCGATCCCGTTCGCCCCCGCGCCGAGGGTATCCTCCTGTCGACGAATACGATCGACGTGGCCCTCCGCGTGGATATAGCCCTCGACCGCATTATCGTGAACGCTCTCCGCAACCGATTCGTCGGGATTACTATGATCGAGATGGCTACGGGCGACGGACTCCTCCACGCCCACGTCTAGAAGATTATCCTCCACCTCGACGTGCGTATGATGACCCTTATGACACAAGGCCACCACCACCTCCACCACCACGACACTATGATGATCCCTATTTCGCGGGAAGACCATACGGACGACCACGAAGTCCCCCACGGGGTGATTACGGAGGGTATGACCGCCGCCCGTATTGGTAGGCAACGTTGGGCTGTTATTACGCTGAAGATCGCTTAATTTTGACGATGATGCATTTTGATTGGAAATAGCAAGAATAGGCCTGGTTTTCAGATGCCCTGTGGTATGCTGGCCGCCGTGTACAGTTGGAAAACAGTTTTCAGACCCTGTCGCGATGACTTTGCGAAACGATACGTGTGATATCATTCTATTTGCGGATGACTTTCGGAACGTTAGTACAGCGATGATCTTGAAGCATAATGTTGTGTATAGTTGCCGGAAAAAGTTCTGTGGCCAGCTTAACTCATTAACCCAAAAACAAGGAGGGGCAAATGTAAAAATGTGTGGCAAGAGGAAAGCTGACCGAGACATGATATCAGAAGTTCCGATGGCTTTGCGTATGGCAGTTTAGTGTAATGACTTTTCGTTTTAAAAGTTCTATCTATCTTGTAGATTGGCCTTGTGTTGCATTGCGCTCTCTGGAAGCCAAGCTGATTTATATAATGCCAGGACTCTTTGCACATAATTAACTACTACGCCGTCATACGGTCTCCGTACGGTGGAAGCTTTGCGGGGCAACAACCCGTCATTCATCTCGCCTCCCCATACTTTTTACTGTTGAAAAAAACAAAAAAAAAAAAAAAAAAAAAAAAAAAAAAAAAAGTTGAAAAAAAAAAAAAAAAAAAAAAAAAAGAAAATTAATAATCCTTGAACTTCACCATACATACCACAGATTCCAGGAAAGCAATTGATTGCCTAACATTCGATCTTACCATAGTTGTGATTGGGAGATTTGGTCTGCGGAATATCAAATCAAGAATATGGCTAGCAATATCAACCTGAGGCCTGCTGCTCGCCCGGCACTTGTGGACCATGTCTCTCTTCGCAACATCAATCTTCACTTGCCGGCCGGGCCTGATCCATGGCATCGATCCGGCAAGTCGCAGCCATGTACAGCAGCTGTAAAGCTCTCGTATTCATCGGCTGCAGCCGCAGCAAGTGCGGACGACGTTTCTCTTTCTATTGACTACGGCAAGCTCTACCGTCGAATTGAGACGGCAGTCCGGGATGCCGGGAGGTCTTCGTCCCAGAATTTCGATCCGAATTCCAGCGGCCAGGTTGCGTTGAGCAATGATGTCAGAATTCTTGCTGGACTGATTGCAGACTGCGGCTTGGGCTTGCTAGACGAGACCATCGCCGGAGTGCGGCGAATGGCTCATGTCCAGGTTCATCCAGAGTCTCCCAATCGCAGACGAGCAAGCCAGGCTAGCCGGAGAATGAGTGGTGGCTACCCTTCCGCAGCAGTCCCCAACAAACTCGTGACTGAGACGGCTTCAGAGTTGTTGAGTAGCATATTTGGCGAGTGTGAAGTCTCACTGCATCTGCCCAATGCTCACCTGCGGGCAGAGGGTGGCCTATTGTTCCGCAGTGTCCAGACTTGGGTATATGCTGATGATGGGAGCTCGTTGGAGGATGCAGTTGAAAATAGCAGACAAATCTCGGTTGTCGAACAAGAATTCCGCATCGAGGGCATCCGTTGCCATTGCGTCCTTGGAGTCAACTCTCACGAGAGAATTGAGAAACAGTCGGTGATTATCACGCTAGTCCTCCGAGGCTCTGGGGAGACAGCATGGGCTTCGACCGTTGTCAATACGTACCAAGAGATGGTGAGAGAGATAGCAGAGGTGAGTTTAGAAGCTACGATTTTTCTTTTTCTTTTCCTCAAATGCTCGAAATACATGATTCTCAGTCGCTGACTTTTGACCTATCTAAATGCAGAGAGTAGAAAACACTTCGTATCAAACAGTCGAGGCACTCGCCACGTTCATTGCCCGCGTAGCTACTATGGACTTTGGCAACGAAACTGCCACTGTTTTGGTAGAGAAGCCGAGTGCTCTAGCTTTCGTTGACAGAGCAGGAGTCCAAATCACACGGTCCAAAGCGTTTTTTGCAGAGCAGGACTTTTTGAGAGCGAAGGAAGGACTGCAAGCTACCTAGGCAGGTAGCTTATGCAATGGACAGAATGTATTATGCGTAGGATATTTTCCGTCACAAACAAATAGTATATGTACTTTTCTGCCCCCCTCTCTCTCTCACAAACTAAAGTATCGTATATTTTCAGAGTAATAATAACGGCGTAGCATTTTGTGCAGGTCGTATGCAAGCCTATGACGGTTACACGTGAGACCGCAGATTGCCGTAACGGGCCTTAGTTTCGGGGCGCCAAGGGCAGGAGTCTCGCTCGTTACGAGTTTCACGCAAAAACTCCGGCAAAGAAAAACCTCGTCCGTCGCTCTCTTCGTTTCCCTCGAAAAACAACCAAATTGAACTTGCTGTTCTCCGTCTGTCAATACTAGCCAACGACCAGATCGTCTTCCTTCCCCTCCCCCGAACTTAAACTTCTCTATGGGCATTCTTGCAACCGAATCGTCAGTCTCTGCTCTTCTCTCAGTTGCCAATGTTTTCTCCGTGACTTCGTTGGACCCGCGGTTTTCTTCTACTCATTTCGCACAAGCCCCGATTCAGGGAGATATTGTGCGATACATTCACTCTCTCTTTCATCGTCGTCGTCCGCTTTGTTCCTTGACAACGTGGTTCGCACAGGGGTGCGGGGTCCGTCCTGAACAAGGGCGGACGGTAAGGTAGTCTACGTTCTCCTCGAGAGAACGGGATTGTCTCCATAATCTCATATAGAGTCGACTATATGTTCGTTCTGAGTCATAGACTCAATATGCTTGCTGCTTAGGGTTGTTGAGAGCTCAAACCGGATTTTCTGTGAGATTAACGGCCCTCCAGCAGCCGTATCGACACAGATACCTTCCCAGTCGAGGATTGACCGTATAGAACCCGGATGGGCGTATTAGTCCAATCAAACAAAATGTTCGACACATCCTCCCGGTCTTCCGCCCAGCGTTTGGCGGACCAAATGGAACAGCTGAACGAAGGCCCTGTGCCCAATTGTGTGATGGAAGATTTGTCAGTAGGCGATGTTTTCAGCTCTCAGATGGAAATTGAACCGGAGATGGAAGTTCCCAGAAATGGCTCTTCTCAAATCATGCCACATGAAAATCCAGAACTGCAAGCCGAAACAACGAACCGTACCGACCTCCCTCCAACCGGAGCTCATGTTTTGCAGTTGCATGAAAAAGCCGCGAACCACAGAAAGAAGAAGAAGAAGGTAAAGCGTGTGGCGGATGTGGAGATTGGACATGGCAATCCGGCCTTATCAACAGTTCGAGGGTTCGCTCCTATGGCTTCTGGCGATGAGGATTCCGACATTTCTACTGCTGGCTCTCGAGCCATGTCGCCGCAACTGAATGCTATTCCTACCTCTAATGCGCCCAACGGAATTAGCGCTCTCAAATTGCAGCTTGATGCTCTGAATATATCTGAAGGTCAACCCTCACGGACCAGTCACCCCGGCGGATCTGTTACTTCGAGTAATGCTAGCGTCGCGTCTGATAGCGACCGAACTGAGGTTATGACTAGCTACGAGGTCGCTCTCGAACACGATTTTGTCAGTGAGGAGGCGGTAGCTGAGGAGAAGCTCTCCACTAGTAATGGAAACAATCTACAGAATGAGCTGTGCAGGAAAATGACTGGGCGTGACTTTGAGCAATTAATGTGCCTTGGAAAGGGTACTTTCGGGACCGTTTTACTAGTACGCCATAAGCCAACTGGGCGCCTTTATGCCCAGAAACAGTTTCGCAAGGCTTCCATCACTGTACACAGGAAATTGGTGGAGCAGACAAAGACAGAGCGGATGATCCTTGAAAGTGTCAATCGTCATCCATTTGTGGTCAAGCTCTACTACGCTTTTCAGGATCACGAGAAGCTATACCTCATCCTTGAGTATGCTCAGGGCGGCGAGTTGTTCACTCACCTTGCGGCCGAGAGGATGTTTAGCGAGGATGTTGCCGCTTTCTACATGGCTGAGATGGTGCTCGCATTGGAACATCTGCATCAGAATGTCGGGGTTGTCTACCGAGATCTGAAACCAGAGAACTGTTTGCTCGATTCCGAAGGCCATCTTCTCCTCACAGATTTTGGACTGAGCAAGGTTGCAGTCAGTGATGACGACCGTTGTAACTCGTCTCTAGGCACTATCGAGTACATGGCCCCTGAAGTTATCCAGCGCAAACCTTATGGTAAAGCCTGTGACTGGTGGTCTCTCGGAGCCCTGGGATATGACTTGTTGACCGGTTCACCGCCATTCAAAGCCAACAATCATGCCAAAATCCAGGAAAAGATTGTTCGACAGAAACTCGCGTTACCTTACTACCTCGGACCGGATGCAAAGGACCTGCTAATCCGGTTACTTCGCAAGGAGCCACACAAGCGATTGGGCTATCACATGCCCAAGGACTTGGATACCATTAAGAAACATCGCTTTTTCCGTAAGATCGATTGGAAGGCGCTTGCTCGGCGCGAGCTGGAGGCACCGATTCAACCTCTCATCACCGATCCTGCTCTTGCAGAGAACTTTTCCACTGATTTCACGGGTCTGGCGCTGAGTCCTGCTTCAACCGATGAGGACCACATTGGAGATATGCTCAAGAATGTTGGTCTCTCTACCGAGACCAGCGGCGCCTTGAACGAAGCCGACCCTTTCCACGGCTTCAGCTTTGTTGCATCAAGCAGTCTTCTGAACAGCGGATTTGGAGTCGCCACATGAGATCGGGGCTGTCAGGATACATGCGTCTCTTTCGAAGCAAGAGGCGGGAGCGCATGCGGAGCAAGGCCGATAATGATGTTGTGTGTACATTGTTTTCATACTAGATAGTTGGCTATTATTCTTTTTTCAGTAGAATGCAAAAGTTGCTGTTGGCCATTTATCAAATATATGATATGCAACATTGGATGGATGCTGTAGGCGTCGCTGGAAGTTGCCAGCGGTTTCTCTGGTGCGTGCCTTCCGCAATTGGAGAAGGGCGCCCCGCTCCTGCGACAAGCACAACCAGACCTGGCAGTCTCCCTCCAAACACTCTTTAACACCATCAGTGCAGACTCGCTCAATTGGAAAACCTCAGATGGCGCATTCGAACTCGCGAAACAGGTGAAAACAGCCCGCTGCATTAGCATACCGACGTTTAACTACCGTTTTGCGAGTGACATCATCAGCGGGGAGAGTTGCGATAGTTACTCTCAAATTTGCCGCCATGGAGCCGGCTCCTGATGAGACTTCACAACCGAGCCAGCAGCCCGGAAGTCGGTTGATACTGACAGGGCTGGCTGACTACAATGCACGATCTTCTTCTCAAAGCCGGGATGCGCATTCCACGCCTGAGCAGTCTGACAATGTCGCCGGCCCAACGCCAGTACAGCAGCAACATCAAGGATACAATACAAACCCCAAAGTTGCAATCCCCAGACACCGCGCTAGCACCAGTTACCGGTACAGTCGCCGTGTCGCAAAAGCGTGTGAGTCTTGTCGACAGCGGAAAACCAAATGTTCTGGTGATACTCCGGTTTGCAGACAATGTCGGGAGCTTCGGGCGAAATGCCAATATCCGGATGGGATGAGGGAAAAGACGAAGAGGTATGTAGTCTACTTTCCTTTTCATAGTATTGGGCTGCCTTGCCTTATTTGGTACTAAAAGGCCATTGCTAATTATTCTGTGCGCTAGGCATATGGAAGAACTATCCTCAAAAGCAACGGATTATGAATCCCTCTTGAGAGACTTACGCTCATCAGTCGACGACGTCCTAGCGGGTCGCATTGCAACGACACTCGCTAAATATTCAGCAGACGGGGAGCGAAAGGCGACAGATCCCCGTTCTTCATCCTCACGAACTCCTCTCGATGACGCCGATCTCGAGCCGTCATCCCCGTCGTCCATCGGGTCTTTAGAAGCGATCGACCGTGTAGAAGAGGATCTCAACAGAGGGGAAAATGCTAGGGCAACGGGGTACATTGGCAAGAATTCCGAAATCAGCTGGATGCAGCGCGTGCAGAGAGAGGCCGTGCAACGAGCTAGAAAGGAGCCCGGTATGTACGAGGGTGAGCCGCAGGAACTTCAATACGAAGACTTTTCCATCAATAACGTAAGCTATCATCTGGATGATTTGGATATCAGTATTTCGGGTCCAGTCGACATGTATCGCATGCCGTTTCGTGGTCATGCCGAACGTCTTTTTGAAGACTATCTGATTACTGTGCACCCATTCTTCCCTATCATCAACCGTCCTCTCTTCGCCTCTCAATTCAAATATTTTTTTGATAACTCGGCTCGGCCAGGTGATAGATGGCTGGCCATATTAAATATGATTTTTGCTATCGCGGCCAAACATGCTCATCTGGCGCAAATGCCTTGGAAGGGAGATGATGCCCAAGACCATCTATTGTATTTCACACGCGCCAGGTATCTCAGCATGACGGGCGATGATCTTTTCACACACCCTGATCTTCAACAAGTTCAGCTAGAGGGCCTTATGGCCTTTTATCTCCTATCAACAGATCAAATTAACAGGTAAGTGCGTAACTTGAGATCTTCTATGAATCCGGAATAGTAACGTATCGCGACAGAGCCTGGAGAATTTCGAGTCTTGCCATCCGTTCTGCTATAGCTCTTGGTATCAATATGAAGAGTTCGAGCCAAACAACAACCGATATTTCCAAGGAATCTCGTTATCGTGTTTGGTGGTCGCTTTACTCCTTCGAGCATCTGCTTGGTGTGATGACAGGCAGAGCGACTTGCATCCTTGATGGAGTGTGCACAACACCTATGCCAATACCCTTCGAGGAAGAAAAGTTTAATGAACCCGAAGCTCAGCAGATATTGAGCAATCTTTCTCTACGCGACGAGCGGATCCAGAATGCGGTTGCAAGCTACTTGATCAGGCTAATGCCTCTCAACCCCCTAGATGGCAAGGAGTCTGACGGAGTTGACAAGCTTGAGAAGAAGACTGAACGGTCCGTATGGATACGAAGTATCCCTTTCAACATGGGCCTACTTTTTCTGCTATACATCGATCTTACAGTTATTACCCAGGAGATTGTGAACAAGGTGTATACATCAGATGCAGTCAAAGTGCCTTGGGCTCATATCGAAAATCGAATAGGCGACCTGAAAGCACGGATTGACTTGTGGTACAAACAGCTTCCAGGTCCATTCAGTTTCACCCAGAAGGATGATAGTAGCTCGCCTGAGCAAGTACGAGCAAAGCTCAGCCTTGCTTTTCAGTATTATAGCGCTCGAATTACACTTGGCCGACCATGTCTTTGTCGACGTGACGCTAGTTCCAACAACTCCATTTCATTTAGTCACAAAATGGCGCTGGTCTCGCTTGAGGCTGCTATGCGAATGCTAGATTTGATTCCAGATGCTCCTGATCCATGTCGGCTTTACCAGCTGGCTCCGTGGTGGTCCATACTTCATTTTCTGATGCAAGCAACTACAGTTCTTCTATTGGAACTATCATTCGCCAACGTCCACGCACCTGAAGAAGAAACAAATACCTTCCATGCTACCAAGAAAGCTATTTGTTGGCTGTATGCAATGTCAGAGCATAGCACAGCCTCATATCGAGCATGGCAGCTTTGCGATAGTTGTATGCGGCGAATAGCTGTTGGCATGAATTACGACGTCAGCGACCTGCCATCTTCACCTAATGAGGCCGCGATTTCCCAGCAGAAAAAACCTCAGGAACGGCAGCAGCAGCAGCAGCTTAACAGTGTTGGTGTGACAGGTGATATGCCGCAGACTACTACTGTCACTCATTTTCCCTCGACCGATGGTGAGGCAGAGTCTTTTGAGTGGAATACTGGAATGGAGCCCCTATCTACACCACAATTCGATGGCGCCAAGCGTCGAGAAATTCTCGGCGATCTTGAATTAGAACAGACGGCTTCCGTGAGTGCGGCGGAGTTAGTGACTTATCCCATGAGCTTTTCGCCTTTCATGATGGAATTTGCTGGTGCAAGCGGTCCTCCAACCGCGGACTCACACTTCCCTTATGATCCTATAAGTGGCCAATTTATGGGCTCATTTTTCCCGAATCCCGGGGATGACCAGCAGAATTGGGACAACTAGTTCTGTTTTTTATCCGAATGAAGAAAGGAATGGTGAAACGCACGAATAATGAATAAAGGGAAAGACATGTTTGTATGCCATCTTTGAGGGCGGCCTTATTTACTTACAGTATACAGTTCCTTATTTCGCTTCATTTTAGATACACACGATTGGAACTGTAACATAGTTTCAATTTATTTACCTACCTTTTAATCATGTGTTCTATCCAGGTAGTTACAAGAAAGCCAGAAAGGTTGTTCGAACTACACCGAACTTATGGTGTATTTTGTCAAAACTTGACTTGCCTAATACATGATGATTATTCTAATCTCAATGCATTCAGCTTAGAAAAAAAATTATAAAAATAATACAAGGGTGTATATATACATAATTCCTAACCCACGCAACATATCTTACATGTAGACAAACGCTACCATGAAAACAACTGTGGCACCGCACATTTTTTAGGTATTAAAAGATACATTCAGCCGTGCTGATTCCTGATCTCATGATAAAAGAAGTTCATCCTTGATATTCGTTTTCAACTTCTTCTGCTGCATCGTTTTTTTCAACTTCTTTGATCAAGTTATGTATACTATCCGCTTGCCCGACGTCTGCATATACCCATCGAACAAGCTTTTTTCTCAAGTTCTTTCTTTTATTGGCCTCTCCTTTCCGTAGCCTTCTTAAATGGCCGCTCGTCTCTCGATCGATTTCGTCTTTATCTCGCTTGAATCGCCGGTAGCGTTCCACACAAAAGTCGAGAACCTTATAGACATCGCTTTTAAATTGGTCTGTTGTCGGGATCGCTGTCATGGTCTTTGGGGAATGTGTGATTTCTTTAAACTCCTTCACTGCAGCTCTAGTGATGATTCGCAGCGTATTCAGGTTTGGGATCACGGCCTTGCGCTGCTTCTCCCAGAACCATGCCCAATCGAATTCAAGGTCGAGATCAAGAGGCTCCTCCGTCTTCGGATCAGCACTCTTGTGTAACCGATATATTCCATCTTCTGTGAGTCGTGGCGCGTGAGATCGTTCAATATCGACGCACCACATTTTCCACATGTCCATGCCAATTTGGCTGCCACGAGTTTCTACCAGAGCATTGAGTAGAACGTGGAATGCCACGGATGGAATGTAGGGCAGTGCATCTCGTCGTGATGAATTTGTGTAATTGAGTTTCACCTCACCACAGGTTTGAGCAAGTCTCCCGGGAGTTGAAGAGAGTACACTGTGCCATCGGTAAATGGCTCGATCATAATGATGATTAATTTTCTTGTCGGAATGTTGTTTGGGGTTGTATTCGCCACTGAGTATACGACGCAATAAATCCTCGGCCCGTAGAAGCGACTCTTCAGCATCCTTTGCCATCGGGTTTTCCCAAACCTTTTGTTCTAAGCGAAGAATAGCAGATGCCAGTGTGGCCAGCGTGCTTTCACCCCATGTCTTTTGTCTGTATTGACGTAGGAGATCAAGGATTCGCTCTGCTTCATCCCACTGCTCAAACATAATGCGGAAATTCGCTAGCGCATTGAATGTGTTCCGTGAGATAGGATATCTGAGTTGCTGTATGACAACATCACCAAGTTCACGATTTCGGGTCGCTGCGGCGAATCGAAGAATGGACGGTGCCAAGCTCTGATCGCCGTATGATTCGAAAGGAATAGTAGGCCCGTCTGCATCAGATGAGAAAAGTAACCATTCGCCAAAGTCAAAAGCCTTAGCAGTTGTGACTAAGTCTAAAAGATCAGCTAAGGTTCCATTCGATAGTGTTGGAATTGACGATTGATCAATCCGGACAGAGGCCTCAGGCAACGAGTTCGGCTCCAGTGAAGGCGCGTGAAGGCCTTCAGTATCTTTGTCCTTGCCCCAAAATTCGCGTATGCGATCCATTTTGCTGGTATCGATAATTTTGAGCAGTCGAGTGAAGACTCTCATAGCGCTCTCGATTTCGCGATCACTTGAATAGAGTCGCAAATTCTGTTGCAGTATGCCTGCGAGCATAGATGACGAGCTGTATATCTCATATTTACTCAGTGCGGAAAGCCTTTTATGATCGACTGGAACAGAATCATCCCAAGGTGGCATAGGGGGCGGCAAAGCGTCTATGACTCGTTCCAGTGATCCTGGGTGCATGTCTGGCCGTAGCCTTTGCACTTCCAGCACTTGAACGATCTGACGGCTCGTAGTGTTCAAACTTGGGGCTTGGCCGTTGCTGTGCGACTGCTTTATTCTGTTCAAAAATGCGAGCGACTCAACCATATCTTCGGCGTCAGAACTATCAGATCTGACGTCTGTCTTCATGTAATTAGCGGCATGGGTTGCTAAGGCCGTGACGACTTCAGTACTGATGGTCAGTTTTCCTAAGCCATGAAAAGATCCCGATTTGTTTTGCGCCTCCTCGGGTGTTCTTTGTATATCAGGATGCGGCCAAAAGTCATCGATGTCAATATTAGTATCACTAACCAAGTCGGGTTGATTAAGGAGAGGATTCCACGATATCATCTTCCAGGCTGCTCCGTAATTCATCCCTTGAACATGCCTGAGGATCCATACGCCCTCCTTTATGTGACCCTGTTCAATGCAAGACCAAAGAATAAACTCTAGCCAAATTTCGTGACCTAATTGCCGAACACCCATCTTAAAGGAGCGATAAGGAGAATCTTCACCAGCAGCTTTCGCTTTGGCTGTCACGTTGGCTTGATGGACCAGCCATGCTGCGTCTGACAGGACATTCATGATATGCGTGGATAATAGATACAATCCTGGAGGTCGAAATAGAACATCGTCATCGGGGCGTTTTGAAAATTTATAGATCGCATCCGAAACCTTTCCAGAATGGTGAAGGCGGGCAAGTGTTTGATAGACGTATGACATAGCTAGCTCAGACTCTTGTGTTGACTTATCCGCAGCCGCCACTACAATGAAACCTAGAGTCTGCCAGATTTCTCCCATGATGCCCAAACTAGTCATATTGCTCCGCGGCTCATCTGTGAAATGTTCCACGGAACTCGGGCCTGAAAGCTTTTCAAAGCCGGAAACAATAGCGACACCTGGTCGAGATCCCTCAAGTGATCTCGCGTATGAGTCACTAGTGATCAGTTTCAATTCGTGATGTTGCCATTTCAAATTAGACGGAAGCCCTTGGATATACTGCAAGTTTTCTTGAAGGTTGTCCGCGGCGTCTAGCATCTTCGTGATTAGTGCATGGACGGCAGGCCATCTTTGCAGCGTAAAACCAAGATATGCAAGCAAATCCAAGTTCCCCAAGACGCGTGCATGGCGTATAATATCTGCAATACTCTCGCCCTCGCTACCAAGATTACCATGAGGTGTGTTGACGTGTAATGAGGCTGGCGTTGGGACGTCGTTCAATGTTGTAGCGTCACGCAGATCCGGAGGGAGGAACGGTTCGAGCTGTCGCATCCAGGCTGCTGCATTTTGAGCGTTCCGCGGTCTGAATGCAGAAAGCCTTTTTGAATAAACATATTCGCCCTTAATCGAAACGTCTCTGAAAGGGACCGGATTCCTTGAGAGCGTCTGGGCCTCGGTGGCTGTTGCAATTTTTCGAGTAGGCAGTCTAGTAGGGGGGCCGCTAACAAAATCAGAGCCTAGTATGGAAGTCGTCAATCCATGACAGCGATTGATATGAAACCTGGAGCCCAGCTGCAGAGGACGGCCAGAGCGCAGGCAAATTCTCATGACCCGGAATATGTGCGCGTTGAATGGTGATGCGGATGGAGGATTGAAACACGACGGACGAGCTTTCCAGACTCCGGAGGCATATCTAACAGCGTAGCCCAGCCCAACAGTATATTTTGGCCCCAGAAGGGCTAGAAAGGCAACAGCTATAGCTAAAACATGTGGAAAGGGAGTATATCGAGGTGCGTACCTCTGAGCTTCGAAGCCGGAAAAGTTCGCGGAAATTATCTGCTTAGTCAACTAACTAAACCTGGCTGTGGCCAATCAGCGGGAGGCTTCACACAAACCTCACAGCTGTATACTACGTATCTACACACTGCGTACGAGATTGATCGCTTAGTTTAGGGCCTTATTACCTGTTCAATTATGTCAGATCGTAAGTACCAGTATGCATACGACACCGCATGTTCAGCTGTACGTGCATGCGTAAAATCAATGAAAAAACGACGAAAGGAATCGCCGTACAAGCAAGCATATGTTGAAGATAACCTCGACAAGTTGCTGAAATCCTAGAAACGAAGTCGATGCAAGCAGTGTTGAACAGGAAGTCAGTCAAAGCACATCACATGAGGTTGGTGTCATCAACTTGAAGCTCAGGTGAGCAATGGAATGTATACATGAAAAAATCGACAGGTCATCACTCATTCACAGCGTTTGTAACAGGGTATATGAAAATATAAGCCAACAATAACTCCTTAACGTATAATCAATAAGCGCTAATACCAATGAAAATTGCAAGCGAGCTGTAAGAAAAGAAATGGTAGATATGTAGCTTTGCGGCAAGTTATAGTTCGTCAGCTTCAGCCATTTCTGGGTCTTCGACTGACTGAAAGTCGCCGCCTAGTTCCTGTTCGACTTCTTCGACCACGAAGCTCTCATAATCTTCCAGTCCTTTCTGTACATGAACTTTGAAACGAATTATATCGTTCAACATGCTCTCTACTCCGGTGTGTAGCTCTTCCCGAAGTTGGTTTGCACGTAATGTAAGCTGTTCATATTCGACATCCGTGTTCATTTCCCGTTGTTCCATGAGTTGGACGCTTTCAATTAGTGACGCGCGCATTTTTGCCAGCTCTTTTTCCATTTTTTCGATCTGAGCGTCAGACTGGACCTTTTGCGTTGTTGTAATCTCTTTGGTGCGCTCAAATTCCTCCTCGGCGGCACGTCTCCGGTGTTCCAAGGCCTCAATTTCACTACGCTTCTCGTCCATGGCTTCCTTGATGTCGTTGAGGAGGTCACGATCGGCCATATCTCTTTCCGCGAATTTCTTCCTCCGCTCATTGATGTCCTTTCGGAAAGAGATCAAATTTGCACGAACGACCCCTCGGAGGTCAAGCTTCACTAAATGCACTGGCTGGTAACCGTTATTCGCGTCCGCAAGAAGTCGATAGCCTTCTGGTGAGCCCTGATTCTGTGAGCCGCCCATTTGCGAGGAAGAGAAGCTCGCTTCATTCACGTTTAGACGAATCTCGTAGTCTTCGCCCTTGGCATTGACGGCTGACTCTGGAATCAGACTATTTTGATAACCTAGCGTATTGTATATTTTCACCACTTGTTCCAGATCTTCAAGCTTCTGGTTCGCTTCAGTTTCTTTCTCCATAACACGTGAGTGCGCTTCCTCCAGCCGGCCTGCAGTGTCCTCAAGGCTTCGCTGCAGCCGCTCACGCTCAGTGTTCATGCGATCAATATCCTGAATCGTTATACCCTGGCTATCGACGCTTGCCTGGAGTCCAGACCTTTCTTCTTCAGCCGCCTGTAACTCGTCTTCAGTTTTCTTGATCTCTTCGTCAAGGAACTGAATGCGACTCTTGTACTTGTCAATTTTTCCCTGGACATTTAAGTTGTAATCCTCAAACTTGCGTTTGTCATCTTCGAGAATCCTAAAGTGCTTGTCAAGCTTTGCCATATCCGGAGCGTTCTTCTCTAGGTCCTCAAGCTGATCGCGAAGAGCTCGATTTTCAGCTTCCAAAACTTCGAGTTCTCGAACATATTTCTCATTTGACTGCTCGAATTCAGCTGCCATAGCTTCAACATGGGGAACGAGCCGTTTCTCAGCTATATCGTCGTCTTCATCCTCGCCACCCTGCAACCAATCATGATAGGCTCCAGTCAAGAATCGGAAAATGATACGATCTCCCGATATATCCACACCAGCTTCAGCACATGCATCGTCATATTCACCGACAGAATAATGATCCAGCATCTTCGCAAGTTGCATTATCCAATGAAGCATAGCAAGAAAAGTTGACCAGTTTTGACCACCCACTGCAGCGATTTGCGACTTGGTTATACTTTTCTCGTAAGGATAGCGCAACTGTTTCAAAATTGGCGGCACTTCAGCTTCAATGCTTTTCTGAAACTTGTAGCTTGGGTCGATTCGGCGATAAAGCCACTGGAAAATATAGGTAAAATCCTTTTGCGTTGGTGATTTCAGAGAATTCTGCCCTAAGGAGTGTTTCATTTCCAATTCAAAGTTGTTGTGGGTTAAGTATTCAAGAAGCTCTTGAGCAATCCGTGCTTGAAAAGATCGATCTCTTAGGGGGCGTGGATCTTTCGGAACACCTGCAGGAACAGGCCCTTGGGTGAAGAACGATTGGTGGGCCATCGGCCCCCCAGCCACGGATGGCCGTGAAAAAACGCTGCTCCTCCGTTGAGGATTTTTCTGCGAGGCGCTGTTGGTAGGAAACGAATTAGGAGCATAGCTGAGTCGTCCAACTCCGGTATTCTGGAACACGTTGTTGGAGACGGATCGCCTGACAGAAGAAAGACCAGCATCGGGGCCGAAACTGCCGCCTGAGGATGAACGCTGGAAATTCGGTTGCTGAAGCCGGCCTAGTGAGTTGAAAAGGGACGTTGAACGCGAGTGCTGAGACGTGAACGGAGGATTTTGATGAGCGCCAATTGAACTCGGTCGTTTCAGCGCAGATGATGGCTGAGGTAAGGAAGAGAAATTCTGCACACTTCCCAGCGTCTGTGCCAAGGACTAGGTCAGCTGGAGTTAACGCAGTACTCAAGTAAAGTAAGCCACATAGAGAAGAAGGAAGGCTGGTCATCTTACTTCGCGGGGCCGCTTGATGCTAAACAAACCCGTGTCTTGCGACATGATGCTGTATTCGACCAAAAGTGGTCGCGCGTTCGTAGACAAAAGTGAACCACAGAGAGACGAGGTGGTTTTTATAAACAGCCAAACTATATACCAGAAGCCAATGCTAACTTGCCAAAAACGAATGAACAATGTATGCGCGCGTGCAGTGCCTAAGGTTGTCAGAAACCTTTGCGCAGATGTAAACAAAAGGCGGCGGTTTCGGTCGTCTTAGCAAGCGGGATGCGTTTGTCCCGGAAAGGCAGGCGGTCTGCGGGCCAAAGAATCACGTGCTTCACTCTGGAAACGGCTTAGCGCAAACATGGAGCATCATGTTCCGAGGTCCAGCATTGATTGACATCGGATCGCATCTCGTTCTGCCTCGCTTCTGAATCTACGTAAACCAGAAAGCTTACATTTCGCCTGCCAGTCGGTCAATGAAATTGTGGTCTTTGTGGCGACTCATAGATATATACGCTAGATCTGCTCGATCTAAGGATTCGCCGGTATGGCTCGAGAGGAGCTCATCTCCTCGGCTGTAAGTTGTTTTGGCTGAAAAAGGTGCTTTACCTTGAACATTGCTAATTCAGTGCATTTGCACTTATAGGTTACCTGTACGCTCCATGCAAAATTATGCATAATTATGATGAGTGCAGCATGCTGATTTGCCCCAGTTCTACAGGATCCGTCCGTAGCAACCTCGCCGCTGGAGAAGCAGGTTGCTTTTTTACAGTCAAAGAACCTTACACAAGAAGAGATAGATATTGCTATTGCAAGAGCTCGTGAAGAGACTGTACAATCGACGGCAGCGACAACGAATCCTCCCGTTGGATATAATCAACAGCAATCTCCTATCTACCGGCCAACGCCTCCTCGGTCAGGCTATGGGTATGCGCCGTACGGTCAATGGCAGCCTCCTCCAGAGTAAGCGCTTCGGAAACATTCTTCTTTTCCATTCTGGATTTTAATTTCCGTTTAGGGTCCCGAGAAGGGACTGGCGAGACTGGTTTATAATGGCGACAATAACCGGGGGCGTTGGTTATGGATTATATGTCTTGGCAAAGGTAAGTTACTTGTACAGTACAAGCAAGTCTACCTTACCTCGGAATCAGAGCATAGCTAAAATTGGATACAGAGATATGTGGTGCCACTTGTAGCTCCTCCCACCCCTCCACAGCTAGAACAAGATAAGCAGAGCATTGATGACGAATTCGCCCGCGCTTTTGCCCTGATCGATCAACTATCTACTGACACGGCGGCTTTGAAATCGGCCGAGGAAGCGCGAACAGAACGCTTAGACGCTGCTCTACGTGAAGTCGAGAACGTATTGTCGGACTTGAAGTCATCCACACAGCGACGAGACGATGAAACTCGTCGAATAAGTGACGAGGTCAAGAATTTAAAGGATAGTATACCTAAAGCACTCGAAGGTGCAAGGGAAGGAAATGAAGACCGACTTAAAGAGCTTGGCACGGAGCTGCGAAGTCTCAAAACCCTGTTGAATAATCGTCTTAGCGCTGGAAGCTCTGTTGCCACACCGATATCAGGACGCCCAGTCGGATTGGCTACTACAACCGAGCCAGCATCATCATCTACTCCCGGTGGCTCTGTGACATTGCCGTCTAATACAGCCTCGGCCAGTGCCCCTACTGCTTCTGCGTCTGGCAGTCAAACACCCAGCTCTTCAACTTCAAATAACCCGCTGTCCCAGCTGGGCAGACCTGCTTCAATTCCTGCCTGGCAGATGGCCGCTGCTAACAGGTCAAAGACGCCGTCTCAGCCAACTTCATCTACTCCCGGCGATGAGCCGCAGAGCAACGCGCCTGCGAGCTAGGATAAAATTTCCTTGTATTTTACGGATGAGGACATAATATGACTTTAATTTGGATTAACTTTTACCTTGTATACGTATCAAGGGGCAAATGTATGGATTGCGCTCCCTTCGTAAGCTGGCTTTCTTTCCATCTTCACATGCTCAGATTCGCCGTGCAGAGAGAAATAATGGTGGGTCCATGACCTCATTGGTTGAAGGCTGCGGGTCACGGGTAGGACAACAGAGCCGCCTCGATCAACTTTTGATCCTTCTTCCATCGTGAGAGTGCGACACACCATGGAACACGAAACATCCAACATGCGCGCGGCCGATCGCCATCATAGCCATAGGTCTCACACTCGTTCCATGTCGCCCCGCCGCAACAGTAACGGTCACGACAGGGTTCGCGATCACAGCCGCAGTCGCAGGCATCATCGAAGATCGCATTCACCTGGCTACAGCTCAAAGCATGGCAATAGACACAGAGAACGGAGACATCATCGATATGAGCGCAACGAAATTTCCCCGGTATCCGCGGCACCCCCTGTCCTGCCGTACAATACAAGACAACTCTCGAAGCGGGATCTTTCTCAATTAGAGCCTCTGTTTGCGATGTATTTGGATATACAAAAGGGCATTATAATCGAAGACTTGAGTGAAGAGGAAGTCAAGGGGAGGTGGAAAAGTTTTATCAAGAAATGGTAAGTAATCAGTCTCGACATGTAGGATCAAAATCACAAGAGTGGCAGAGCGGACAAGGAGATTGGGAAGGAAGAGCGAGGCACTAGCTGACATTTTAGGAACCGTGGAGAACTCGCTGAAGGATGGTATGACCCTGCCACCTTCGCGAAGGCTAAGGATAGCTTGGACAATGAGCGCCCCAAAAGTATGAACAGAGACTCGGCATCTTTGAGCCCACCAGAGCCATCTGGAAATGAAGATTCCGTCCCAAATGATACAGGAAGAGATGAGGCTATGCTAGAAGATGAAGACGATGAGGATTATGGGCCTAAGCTTCCTCGCGGAGCTCTTACCTCCAGGGGCCTTCCATCTGGTCCCACAATACCAAACCTCCAAGACCTAGAGCTTCAGCGCGGTATGCATTTATTCTGCTCCTGATCTGCGAGGATATCCCCCATCTAACAGTTGGATTAGAACAAGCTCGCGCGGACTGGCAAACTGCCCGCTCGGCCGCCCACGCTCAACACAAAGGGAATGTTTTGTCCCACAAAAGCCATCTTCGCGCATTCGAAGACGAAGTTGCCCCTCGAGCAGAACCCGGTACACACGAGCGCAAAATGGAGAAGAAGAGGGAGGCAGCAGCAGCAAATCGGGAATTCGCAGCCGGCAGAAGAGGGGGTTCCCCGGCGATGGACGCCGCGCCGGAGGCAGAACTAATGGGTGGTGGTGGCAATGATGATCTGGAAGCACTGAAAAGGGCGAGAGAGCATGAGACACGTAAGAAAAACGAGAGAGAAAGACGCCGTGAAGAAATCTTAAGGGCCAGAAAGGCCGAGAGAGAGGAACGTTTAGCCGAATACAGGCAGAAGGAAGAGGAGACTATGGGGTGGTTGAAGGCTTTAGCCAAGCAGCGATTTGGATAATTTCCAAGTGTGTTTGCTGTGCATACTCAAGGACTTTGAGATTAGACGCCATGTTGCATTTGTCTTGGTTGAATGTGATGTGTGTCATGCGATTATACCGGAAGTTTTCTGAACTTATACAATTATATATTCATACTTATTTAAGTACGCATGAAATTTCATGGAGATGTGCTATATTGAAGATACATATATAGCTTATGTGTGACCTATGACCGAGGATTTCTAATAATACATCATATCTGATTCAACCATGTGATGGGTACTTGATTCTTAATACATGTGTATTTGTAGACAGTTTTGCATTTTATCGCTATGCTTCTTAATCCAACGCGGGTTCATCGTAGGAAGCTTCTCTGTTCGGATCGGTTCATCTCGCCATTTTCATAGGTACGAATTCAGGGGCATCAGGCTTCAGGGCGGTCTTATGAGTTTTACTATTAAGACCAGCCTGCTGCTGCCACAGCCGACAGTAGTATCCACCGTGTTTGACAAGACTTTGATGGTCTCCTTGCTCAACTATACTTCCTTCCTTGAGGACCAGTATCTGATCTGCCTTGATGATTGTTGATAAGCGATGCGCTATTACTAGGGTAGTTCTCCCTGCGGTTAATTGCGCCAGACTGTGTTGAATATGCGCCTCAGTCTCACTATCCACAGAGCTCGTTGCTTCGTCCAGAAGTACAAATTTCGGATTTTTGATTATCACCCGGGCTATTGCTACACGCTGGAGTTCTCCTCCGGAAAGCTTGACGCCTCGTTCACCAACTTTGGTTTCATAACCGTCTGGGAAACTGAGGAATCTTTCATGAAGCTTCACTGCCGCACATGCGTTATGAATTTCCTCAACAGTAGCCGTTTCCTTTGCATACTTTAAGTTATTGAATATTGTGTCGTTAAAAAGTGCAGGATCCTGAGGAACGACGCCTATGCTCTCTCGAAGACTTTGAAGGGAGACATCAGAAATATCTTGGCCATCAATTTCAACAGATCCATAGTCTGGATCGTATAGGCGGAAGAGAAGCTTTAGAATAGTCGACTTTCCGCTTCCTGTTTCTCCAACCAACGCGATTGTCTGTCCTGGCAGAACCTCAAAACGAATGCTCTTAAGCGCTTGACGCCTCTTATCGTAGGAAAATGTTACCTCGTTAAAGCTCATAGCACCTTGCTGAATTCGTAGTCTCTTTGCGCCGGGTCTATCTGTGACGGACGGCACTTTTCTCAGCAGGGTGACGAATTCCTCGGCATCTACCAAATCGAGAGTGATAGAGGTGAACCCGCTAGAGACAAACTGAAGTGGCCCGGACAGCTGAGCCCAATATCCAAGTAGCATAACAAAGTTTCCGACTGGCTTGATGTCTTTCGAGACTTGGTATGCAGCAATCAAACAGGCACCCATTAAACCGAGAGACAGAATCGATGATTGTACAAAGGCTTCCACTTGATGCCATCTCCGGACAGACATTTCGGATCCGAGACGGTCATCCACTGCGAGGGAGTGACGATCTTTCTCGAAGTCGACTTTATTGAAATACGTAGCGGTATACCAATTGTTTGTTGCTTCGCAACGAATATTAACTTCTTTTCCGATGGCTGAAATATACTCCTTGCGTTTGGATCTTTGCAATGCAACTATCCTTCCAGATGACCATAGGAAAAGCCCTATCACTGCCGCAGTGATTAGGCCCATATAGGCGCCAAACATTACATGAAGTACGGTCACCGCGATGAAAAGATCAGACACCATTGGCCCAAGCTGAAAAAGGACGGTGCGTACCACGTTTCGAATAACAGTTCCACGAGCGAGTGAATGCCACACTGATCCCGAACTCTTGTCATCATGGAAATCACACGAAAGATCCATAACTTGGTCAAAGCCAGTAACTACTATCCGTTGATAAGTATGTCTTTCCAAGGGCAACCACATGTATGCCCTAAGAACTGAGATGCCACCACTTGACTCAAGTAGTCGGAGAAAGACAAGGAAGGCAATGTTCGTCCAAGGAAGGACGTTCTTTTGCGCCAATGTATTCGTGATTATTCCAAGCTGAACTGGAACATACACAACGAGCAGACGGTCAGCAAGTAGGCAGAGACCAACGCCTATGAATAGTAATTGTAGTCTGAATCGACCCTTGGGCCATAAGAGTGGGAGTGCGAACTTCAGAATTTCCAAGCTCTGTGTCAAGATAGATTTGGCTTCCTTGGCGTTGGACTCGTCACTGGTGTCAACATCGCCGGCTGAGCTATTATCGACAGTGGAATAACCCGCAATGTTTCCTGAGCGTGAACCGTGCAGTAAAGGACGGTGTGCATCACTTATAGAGTCCTCTTGATCGTACCTCCAAGGTACGTCTTTATAGAACACTCGTGATGCTGCTAGACGGCAGAGCAAAAATAAATCCACAAGGCGTATTACCTGCAAGGCAAATGTGATTTTGTGGAACGTGTTGTTTGATCTTGAACGAAATAGAAGGAGGATCGACTCTCCAACAAGATAGATTACCCAAGAACTCCACAGTGGAAGCCCGAGTGAAGGGGCACCGTTGGTGAAGCCGGCGAGTAAAAGGGTCCATACTAGGATCGATCCGAGTGAGAATATAATGCTATTTTCAGAAATGTGCTGTCTCCTATAAAAGTGCGCGTGGAGTAACAGTGCCGCATCTGCGCTGTAACTGAAGAGGAGGCATAGCATCAAGGCTAGTGTAGCGCCGCGAACAGCTCGTGGTACTCGCACTGATGATGATGACGACGATGCCCGGCCCGTGGAGAGTATGCGGCTGAGAGCAGATGTCGCAATGTAGAACAGCCCGGTCGATAGGGGAAGAAGTGACTGAAGGCCATACAAAGCGGGAACCAGGACGTCCGTCGTCGCTGTGGCTGGGGACGACATAATGCAAAGCCTCACCACAAAGAAGCACTGGTCATGTCAATTGCAAGCACCATATGATTGCGTGCAGTGTTGGGGAGAGAAATACAAAGCTTTGCAGTTGAGAGGTGAAGCTGACGAGGAATTGAAGTCGGGGATCTTCCGCGCGAGGAAGGAGGCGGCCGAAGTCACGTTTTTGTCTGAAATGGACGAACACAAATACCAAGTTTTCCTTACACACATTCGTCCTCACTGTTCTCCTCTTGAAAGGTTCTGTTCAGATCATGCGCTTCATTTGATTATCTAGTTCTTCCACGAGCGATTTACTGCCAAGCTATCTCATCAATCCTTCACCCCTTGCCTTCTGCATCAGATACCGCCATCTCTTCTATCTCTTCGGTGATTTGCGATGAAGAGCCGAATCTGAATCAACAATGGAGCACTTTGTCCCCAATGGGCGCTCCTAGAAAATCTCATCCATGCGGGACTTTTACTGAAGCTCGGACCAGGGAGAACCATCTGGTGGTAATGGGAGATATGCAAAGCCGAATCCGATGGGAACCATTATAAGTATTTTTTTGTTTGGCCGCAAAAAGATGTTCTGGCTGAGCACTTTGCAGCAGTTTCTTGTTTAACGCACGCTTATTCGTTGGATGTCGGTCCCGATACATGCGGTGCATTGCAAATTGATCTGGTTTTCAAAGCCTGAGCTTGGACAACATTACCGACGTCTCCGATTGAGAGTTGAGGGATACAAAGCGGACCCATGGTAAGCCGGTATAAAAGCAACATCACAGATAGATCGCAGGTTGTAGATCGGCTAGCTTTGCGAGAAGAGAGTGCTGACTGTCAGATTCATACTTTTCGGCCAAGATCTAGGTCGGCGACGAGTCTCATGTCTGGATCCTCACTAGTGGCGCCTGTTGTCTGAGCAAAGAATGGGGTTATAGCAATGTTAATCGTCGCTTCAAACAGTCGACCAACGACGGCACGTTTAAGCTCTTCCCCAGTCTGCCCGAAATCTGGAAACGCGTTCACTTCAAGGAGCCATGCGTTTCCTGTCGAGTCTATCAAGTAGTCCAGTCCGAAGAGCTCAAAGGCATTAGGCAGCGTTTGGAAGTGTACAAGCATCCCTCGAGAAGCAGCCTCGAATGTCTCCCCGGTGACCGCACATATTTGATCGAACACTGTGTTCTTCCATCCGGGCTCCAATCCAGGAACAAGGTCATCCAATGACCAGTAGCGTCTTACTGTGCCTTCTGCAGAGCTACCATTCTCTTGAAGACAAGTATTTGTCAAGTGTCTACTCAAATCTCGAACATCGTCTTCTTCTTCCCATGGTGCCTTATATGTCTTCTCTGCAAACAAAGCAAGCATCTCCCGGAACACGTATACCTTGAGAGATCCTACTGCAAGCACATAAGCACGAATATGGAATTTCCTTCCAGATGCTGAAGGTAGAAGAAGGGGTGGATGTATGTATGGTTGGGCAATAAAGTGCCGAAGTTGAGATGTCACAACCCCTTGGTCGTTCTTCGGATTTAATCTCGATCCTGATTCATCTTCTGTGGTGTCTTGGTTCTCGTCCTCATCTACCGTATCTTCGTCGACCTCCCACTCTTCGAATATTTCTTGGAGTTGGGCTTCACTGTTGAAAAGACGGATGCCCTGTCCCCGATCACTCATTCCCGGCTTCAAGATCCACCATTCCTTTTTGTCGTCTGGTTTCGTCTCGTTCAACTCCAGACTTTCACGCAGTTCGTAGGCTTCAAGTAAGGCCTCATCGAGAAATTCGGCAAAATCCAGCTCAAAGTCGAATGCTGGTTTAAAATGGGTTTTCAGAATGCTTTCAGGATATTTCGAAGTCCAGTTTGCGATAGTCGTGGAAAGGTAGTGCTTTCTAATGAGAGCTTTTCGAATCACGAAGGAATTCGTCAGAGACGTCAGCGGATGTGACATGATATGCTCAAAGTCAATGTCCTCGTAGGCTCGATACTGCAGCACCCGTTGAGAAGGATCGGGCAGTTCAGCTATTGACTTGATGATTGTGCAGCGACTTTTGTCCACAAGGACATTAAACAATTCTTCAAGTAAAGGCTGAACGTATTTATCTTCATAATTGAGAATGCAGTAAAAGTCGACGTTATCATTTGTTTTGAGTCTAGACAAAGTTATCAGAATTCAAGTCTTTCAGGCATAGCATGGCTGGTACAGGTACAAAAGTCTATAACTCTATGCCTCGGCCCTCCATAATTGCCTCTTAGTTATCAACATCCACTCACCCTAGCGTGATCTCTCCTTGAATGCCCGCTGCGTGCATAAAATTCGCTTTGAGGGGAGTGACACTAGTTTTTGTAAATGATATATTAGCAACATAGTATGCGATCTCATCTACCAATGACGTACCTTGTCAATCCCTCTTTTACTGTCCAGCCATCATTCCCAGGTTCACTCTCTTCCACGCTCCGGTAAACGTCTGTCAATCGGGGCGCCCATTTAAAGTGCTTGTGCTGTAGTAATGACTTCTTTTTCGGAACAGTTGATCCCTGCGAGGAATCCTCAGACAATTGGCCTTCGCTCTTTTCTCGTAAACTCTGCTCTTGAAGACCGGGCTCGTCGCCCGAAGCAGATGCATCAGTTGCCTCGAAGCAGCTCCCGGACGACCAGCGGTTGTCAAGCATATTTGTATATAAAATTTTGTTCTTGCTCATGCCGGGCTCGAGGGGCACATTCACTGTATATAAATCGACCGCTTTATCCCAATTGGCATGTAGGTATTCTATTATCCGCACTGAATGCTTGGACGCCTCCGCAATGACCACTGGATCGTGGTGCCTGGAGCTAAAGGCATATGAGAGCGCAATAGCTTTCTTGCCTGATACTGCAGCCTCCATAGCACCCCCTAGTGTCCCACTTGATAACGCGAAAAGAGCAGTTGTGTTTCTGCCGTAGTTGGGCCCGGAGACAACCAGGTCAATTGGCCCCCGGTCTTGGAAGTAGTGATATAGTCCGATCTGGACACAGGTGGCAGGCGTCGAATCAATCAACACCCATTCGTCTCCATCTTCGTCTTCGCTGCTCCGAGGCAGGGGGTGAACGGTGCCGTCATCTTGGTGTAGCGTTCCCGGGCGAAAATACGTAGGCTTCACAGATGCGCCTACGATGTGTGCTTTGCCAATCCATGACCGCTGTTGATTAGGAAGTATTACCGAGACCGTATGGCCAGCGCTTTCCAAGAAGTAAACCAATGAATGAACATAGGGAGACGATTGATTCGACGGAGGACCGTCGTCGTTTGTTACCTATACCGCGGGGTAATCGATTAGCAACGATGTTATGCCTCATGTAAGTTGCGATTTAAACACGGAAACACGCAGAGATAGGCGTTTATTATGAGATTTTTGCTTGAACGTACCAGAATATGCATTATGAGATTTTGAATTGTCCTTCAAAACAATCGAGGAGGCGCGGGGGAAAAAATTCAATGAAGTTGCGGGTAGCGCTAGATACGCCATCGATTTTCTCAGGCAAAAAAAAACTTGTGATTTGGCAGTCCCCGCTGCAAACGCATACACACATACGTGTCTGCGCCTCCAACACCAATATTGCACTATTATCAATCTGGATTGGTGGTCTCTTTGTACTTTTTTTTTTTTGACCCGATGATTCAGCTACGCAAGACAAGCAGTTTGGTGAAATCTGCCGATCATCTATATGTGATGGAGCGCGGGAACATAAGGCATAAAACATCGTCAATGGAAATATCGTGTACACGCTGCTATAACAATCCATAACTAGTATCATGATTCTGGCAAGTCAGACATGTGACTGCGGCGACGCTGGGCTCCCAGGATATTGTAGCCGTCAAATGCTGTCCCCCGCCCTGAATCGCTGTCATAACGGATCGCTCTGATCGATTCCGCCTCCTCCGTTTCGTTGTTAAGTGGAGCTATATTAGTTGTCTGCTCGATTTCTTCTTGCCTGGCTGCATCGTCTTCGTTCTTGATCGATGCCTCATCGTACTCCTCTTTGATAGGTGTATCGCCATCCTCCGTCTTCTCGCTCTTCATCCGGCGATCTCCCTCGACCCTCGACCCCCAGTACTGTGAAAGTAGTAGCCACACGATAGTGCTGGTAATCATAGAAACGGACCAGAACATGGAAGTAAAAGTAAAGAATGAGAGAAGCCTCCACCTGTACATCAACCACCTAGCACAGAAATCAGTACGCGTCCAAGTATTGCAATGATCAACTTACCTTAAGCCACTAAACTTGGCTAGAAATCTGACCTCCACGTCATATACCTGCATTTGCTCTCGACTTTGAATCTCTAGTCTCAGGCTACCAGGGACGTTACGCCAGCCTCTTGCAAATTCAATATTCTCAAACATTGGAACATGCAAAGTCTCTGCTTCTCGCTGCCAGCCAATCAAGTAGAGTGGCATACGAGCCAGCGTATGCGCCGTGTCCATAAGTGGAGAAGTATATGTGAGAATCGCCGGGCGCCTTGAATGCGCTATCAGTGATGTGGAAGTATTTGCACCCATCATTGAGCTCTGGGGAGGAGAAAGCAATGCTAAATCAAGCATGAAATTTCCCGCAGCAAGGTTTTCCGGAGTCCGTGGCAGTTTTAGCGATATGCTCACATCGTACTGTTGGAGAGAAACTAGGTCTGCACCGAGTGCAGTAATTCCCCACGGGTGCCCATCTCTTTACAACAAGTTAGATACTCAATTTTTGGCAAAGGGGGGTGCGTATATAATGATTGCGCCCACCCAAATTGAAGATGCACAACGCGCGTTAGCCCAACCTGAGGGACATAATTGATATAAAACACCCAATAAGCCACTGCTGCCGTACAGAAAAGCACTACAGACGTAATAAAGAATAGTATCACCCCTAAATACGTTTTCCCCGCCTGTTTGGAAAACAGAGCGCGAAAGGGCGTAGTAACGACACCCTATGTTTCTCACTTGTTAGTTTCGTCGGGGGGTGGGGGGTGGTAGTGAGTCAATTGACATGATTCTTTCTATTTGCACGTACCGCTGCTCGCCATACTGCTGTTGATCCCTCATCAGAGTAACTGCTCTTGTCATCGTCCATCGTCGCTGGTTGCGTGACAAATGAATAAGGGGTTGCTTTGTAGGAGTCTCGCAGCGCGTGGAGGAATTGAAGTGATGTCACCGGCACAGACTAAGCCGCTTTGGAATGCGGATCACATGCTAGAAAAACATCTATAAAACTATCCTGCACAGTAAATAACTTCGAGGTAAGTGAGACTGAAAATGACTGTCATGGCACAGATATCAGATTAAGATAATATCAACTAGTAAACTGAGAGAGTCCTATTATAATACATTTCATAAGAGACGACGCCCATGCAGTTTACATTCCCCCGTGGCAAGACCTAACCATCAAAAGACAACCCTAAGTCACATGAAAGGAAAGTGATCAAAACACCCAATCCATTAAATGCAAATCGCATAATGCTGTGTGGTGTTCTTTACTTTTGCCAGGGGACATTATCCACGTTAAATGAAGACCGAATGCGCCGTGGACGAAAGAAGAAACGCAGGCAAGAAATACCAACAACAAGAATGAACAAGACCCTTTTCCCCAAACGCCGCATGTTGGTTGCAATGAAATTCGTGACCCAGTCATCAACTTCCCCAAACTGTTGGGGAGGATATGTATGGTATTAGACGAATTAAGACAGAACTCGAGGGCTCTGTTGCTGAATGTGCTGAAGAAGCGCATCGAAGAGACGGCCAATCTGGGAAACGTTAGCGACATTCTTATAGATTCTAAGAATGAATGGATCGGGCTTACCTCAGGCGCTGCTTGTATGAACGGCAGTCTGAAGAATGTGTAGCTCCGGTTCTGGAGGAGCTCCTGGAGAGTGATGATCAAACCCCAAGGGTGTGGGCGATGGACAATAAGTCGTTCCAACAAGACCCGGATGATCTGCTGACGAATATCTGAGTCTTGTTGCTCAGAGTAATCGATTCCGAATAGCTGTAGGATGGCAAAGCTAAAATAGTAAGTGTGGCTATTGGGATATCGCAGTTGATTTGCCATTGCGCTTAGTAAATAGTACCGAGCCTCTGGATTAAGTACTTTGGCTAACTTGTCGATTAAGATCAGATGAGGCGACTCATCAAAAGCAGCTCGTGTGTTCCCTTTAGACGCACTAGATGCCACAGCATGCTGACCAATGTACAAAACAAAGGCGTTGATCAGAACAACATCGACATGGATAGGGGTCAGGAAGAGGCCGGTATCTTGATCGCCAGGCTTGTATAGAGCATCGCAGATTGATTGGATGACGCCATCGCTGACCGCATTGCTTTGTAGTGCCGAGTCAATTGTGCTCTTGATGTTTGCTTGTTGCAAAGGAGCAACAATATCGCCCGTGATTTTTGGAGCCTCTCGCATTTCTGAAAGTCGATCCAATTTCAGTCCTTCGCGGAATGGATCCGGAAGCTTGTGGAAAGACGACGGGTAAGCACTCAGAATGAGATTGCGTAGCTGAGCGCAATGAGCGGGAATGACGTTGCAGAATTGGAAGTGATTTTCTGCTACGAATTCTGGGAAGTCATGATGTAGGATCAAAAGAATTCTCAGCACACCCTTGTAGAGGTCTTTGGCCACGTAGGATACATTTCCTGGCTTCAACTGCTCGCCCATGTATGATAGCAAAACCTGCATGATTTCGCAATATGGTGCCCAGCCCTACAGCACCGTTAGTCAAAATTGAGTTAAAGTTGTTCGTTTGGGAGATACTAACCGCTTCATCACCCATGTTCAGCATGCCTGACATGAAAACGCGATGCGAGACCAGAGACAGCCAGCCATACACAAAAGTTGGAACATACTTGGGCTGTAGAGAGAGGAATCTACTAGCAAATGCGAACATCATGTCCTGGTGTTGTTCACTCAGGTGAAGCCCAGATAGGGAATATTCACAGAGAATGCTCGAGAAAAGCCTGAAGAAAACTCGCTGGTTGAATGCGTCGCCCCGCATGACTTGATGGTGATTAAGAACCAACACCAACAAAGAAAGAACAGAATCAAGATACGCGGGTTTGGAACCTTTGACAGCACCAGTTGTTTCACCTTGGAACTTAACAAGCAGTATAACCAACTTGGCAAGAGCATCGATGTACAGGAATGCCTCATCAAGACTGCCGTTGGGGTTTTGAGACTCGTGTTCAAACATGGCAACAGATATATCAACACTTAGCCGGAAGAACAAGGCTGAGTCTTCTTGGCTGTTCATCACCTGTCTATTGTGAAGATCCTTGAGGAAGGCCTGGAAGGTGCGGTCTGTAGCACCAGCAAATTTGTAGACACCTATCCATTCGCTGAAGATGTATTCCATTTGGTCGCGCTTCGCTCTTGCCTTGTCACTCAAGAAAGGATTGACAACCTCTGAAACCCCAGACTCACGTAGTTTGCGAATGATATCAGTGGCAACTGTGAGGTTTGGATCTTCAACAAGCCACTGATTCATTGCTTCCAGGCTGCCAGAGAAGTCCGATCTCAATGCGGAAGGTTCGTCATTGAACAAAACGCGGTCCATCAGATTTGCCAAAAGATCCAATGCACTGTTGTTCTTTTGAAGAATCAACTTGTTCAGTAGCATATCTACACGTCGGAGGTCAAGCAATCCGGCATCAATAAGAGCGACAGTGATTGGAACGTTGAACATGTGCTCATCATCAACATCGGAAAGTATCGCCCAAGTGTATCTTGCGACAATTGATGACATGTCGCATATCTTAGCAAGTAGGCTTACTAAAACCTCAACCTCTAGTGGGCTCTCCGTTTGAGAGTATAAACTAGTGCAAATTTTCAAGCATGTCAACCTCGCAAGATCTTCGCCGTTCGGAGACGTGATTATGGAGCGCAGGATTTGGTTGTAGTCTTGAATCACAACACTGTCTCGACCGAGGTCCTTGATGTGTTCCTCGGTAGCGCTTCGAGCGTCTTGTTGGAGTCCCGAAATGAGAATCTCCACTTTTTCACGTGGATTTTGGCTTTCGATAAACCCATTCAATTGGGACTGTGCGCTCATAGCTGAGGCTTGTTGTAGGCGGCCATCTTGTGGGGCTTGGGATGTCTGGTGAGGTACTGCTGGAGGCTCCGCGGGGGTAGAGAGGTTGGGTATGGCTGGATACGACTCCTGAAGAACATCAGGCAGCTGGCGGCCAGAATCCGTGGAAGCGTTCTGTAGATGACTTGTAGTTGGCCCTCTTGTTTGACGAGCGAAGTCTTCGTAAATTGCCAACTGTTCTTTGTTCAGACCACCGGGGATTTGGCGATACGGCTCAGGAATGAGCATTCCCCACCGATTCATAAGAGACGGATCGATGAAAGGCTCATTTGGCCTTGCCGCTCTGTGGCGACGACGTGCTTCTAATTGTGGTTCAATTATCTTCTCAATTTCGGGAACAGATTTCTCCTCGGCAGCCTTCTCCACAATTCCGCATGCTGCGTCAAGGTTATCATTGACACACATCAAGATAAGACCCTCCGGCATGGGCTGCTCGGAATATTCCTGCTGAATCATTCTTATATAGTTTGTCATGCTCATTTTCAAAGGTTCTTTGCACGTCACAAGAGCCAAACTGCCGGCTAGTTGTCGAACCATTGTCCTGGCGGCATGCCGGACTTTCTCTTCGTCTGGTTCCATGGCGTAGTCTTTTGAGATGAGTTGAACAGTAGATATCGAGGCGATAGCAATGGAACGTTCGACAACTGGTGTGATTATTTCAGCAATAGCACGCTCAACTGCGGTATGAACGATTTGGCGGAGAATGGTAGGGTCGATCATGCTACTTGCAGAAGACGGGAACACCAGAATCTTGTCGAGACTGGGAAGTGTCGATAGGACAGCGGCAGGAGAGAGTCTCTCGGTCCTGATACCTTGGTTGATGCTACCTAGAGACATGTCCTCCAACGCTTCCAAACCGTCGGGCAGATTAGCTGTTGACAAGACTTCTTCGCCTTGTTGTGAGCGGTCGCGGATGTCAGACGCTGGGTCGATAGACTTGTGGTCAAGGTCGAGGTCCTTGCAGAGCACCTCGATCTCAAACTTAAGATTGAGTTTCAGCTCAGCATAATGATACAGTTCTATCAAGAGGCCGATAATGTCCATTAACCATGGATTAGGAGGTTTGAAGACTGTCGACTTGGCAGCTTGGAGAAGCACTTTACAAGTGAATGGTATGACAACCATGAGGCGCTGATTATCATACCCTTCAATAAGCAGCTCTTTGAAATATATGTTCTTGTGCTTGATTGGCTTGTCTTTGGCAATCGTCAACAAACCTAGCCAAGCACCAAGGTTCTTCAAATGGCTACGCTCAGTTGAAGAGCTCACAGTCGAGTCTGCGTTTAACAAACGAATGGAACTGACGTAGGTTTCACGCAGGACTTCTGCCCATAGTTTCCGGTTACCGATAAGCTCCAAAAGGTCGAGGTACAGCTGTTGGAAATTTGGTTGCAACTTTGCACGTTGTTCGACGAGATAAGCAGCAAACCATTGGTAATGCTGGTCCCTGAGCACGTCTTTCAAGTCGCGCAGTTTATCCTCAATATTCTGTTCCGACACATTATTCAAAACAAAGAGAATCTTGTCCTGAACTTCCTCATCAGGGTCTTCGTAGATGTCCGGATGCAATGGTGGTCCGACATTCAGCGAGCGGAACGTGCGAGATAGATCATTTTCGTCCAAGCTACCATTCGTAATTCCTTGTCCCTCACCATTGCCATTGACTCTGCTCGAAGCAGCTTCGTCAGATGGCTGGTGTCCTTGTTCCATTAAGACTTCTTCGGCCTTCTGAGATATCGGGGTACCATGTAGACTTGGTATTTGTAACAGAAGATGGCAGAATCCCACCCATTCTGACAGCCGACTCACTAATTGTTCAATGGCCTCCACACCGAACTTGTACATAGGATCATGTGGTTGATGATCGCGAACTGCTTCCAGAATCATGCCGAGCCCAACCTTCAATGGGATACCATCAATAAGCCTAAAGTTTATGATACCCCCAAACATAACTGCGGTTTTTGTCAGTGCCTCCAAGGGATACTCATGATAACAATGGTATTCATCAATTAGTCCGTGGACCATGCAAGTGAACAGATCCTGCTCTGCCGGATCCCGTGATGTTTTATATCGCCGCATGAGTTCCAACATTTCGCGAAGAGAAAGTTCCTCATGATACATTCTACCAAAGAGCTCCTGCATCTTTTCGTCAATGCTTTTCGGGATCGCATTGCCTTTCTCTCCATTGGCATCGATGATTTCATCAAACCCTTCTCCGTAATTGATAAGTCGCGGATATGTTTGGACACAGATACGTTGAACAGGTGTCAAATTTTCACGATCGCCAACATACTCTTCCAGGATTGTAAGCAATGTATAGACTGTCTTGACAGCAAGACTGACCATCTGTGGGGCAGCTTGCTCCGGTCGATGCGCATGAAGTTCATCTTCAGCCTTGATACGGAGGAACTTGGACAAAAGACTGCCCATATCCATGGGGCCCTTTTGAGCAGCATTTCTTACCCAGGCTTCAAGATCAAAGTCCCCCTTTCGGTGTGCTAAAGAGGCAAGGTCGAGGGCAAGACCGTTCGCAAAGCTCAAAAGATACTCCAACCAGCCATATTCAACAGCGTTCTCGTAGATAGCAGCAGTGGAGGTTGGATCTTGGGTAAACATGGTGAAAAGTTGCTCTGCAAGCCACTGCCTATCTTGCTTCCATACACCGTACAAAGCGAGCTGGAAGCCTTCTTCTTGTCTGAGTATAAAGAAAGCTAGTGTGCGCAATACCAGGCTTTGTTGAATGGTTGTCCACGGTTGTGAAACTGCGAGAGCAGAGAGCAAAAACACCGGCAGGTCTTGCGATAAAACAATTTTGATCAGTGGGGCGCTCTCTGGAGAATTCCAAGATGCTTGGGAGAATAAAGCCAAATCGAAAATTGCCTTGATAGCATCAAGGGATCGAACTGGTGACTTCTCTGCAAGCTCTGCCTGCATTCGTACAGCATCAGGAGCGTCCTCAAACAGGTCCTCGGGAAAGGATGGCCGAAAGTTAGGGATTTGTGACGGGTCAACATGTGAAGTTAGGTAAGCTGTCAGAAAAGAAATCTGAGTCTGTCTATTCTTCCAGTCACCACCCCACAGCTTCTGAATATCCAGACTAGGATCGTCGCCTGCGATACTCAGCAATGCTGTATATAGCCTAGAAAACTGACCCGATGTAATCCTCAGGGATTCTCGGTCAAAGACACGCAAAACAAGAGTCCAATTGATGGGCTTGTCGCCATACTGTGACCTGGCGGCGTGCAAGAAATTCTCCAAGGAATATTGTTGGGTATATTGCGACAAAATCATAAAGAGCATGGCATTTCCAATATTTTCTTCGCTCCAACTCTCAGAAGCCAAGAGTTCGTTCACAGCCTCTGGGGAAGCGGTTGCTTTGGGCCCTCGGGAGTGAAGCTGTCGAATGATGGACAATCGCGGGCCACCAAAATCCAACATTTGCAGTCCATTGAATACGTCCAAAGGAAGCTCAACTCCCTGGTTCCGGTAGCGCATAGTTGCGGCCTGAACAAGTCGACTCTTTACTTCATCGTCGAAGTTTCGTGGGGGGAATAGTATAAAACGTTCAATGGTGAGCCCAAGATACGCAGCGCTGAAATCTTTCGTTGTCTCGGTTGGGTTCAACAAGCTATGCAAGAAGTGAGGAACGGCGTTCGTCAATATAGCATCGGCTGCAAATATGTTAGTGAAATGAAAGTCCAAGGTACGTTCAAGCGACAGTACCTTTTGCCCGTAAATCCGACCTGCTTGCAAATTTAAAAGCCAAAGCAATAGATACCTTGACAATTGCATCAAGTTTGAAATGATCAAGGAATGTCGATAGGTCAAAATCACGAAAAATGTCGCCTTCCGAGGAGTCAATGGTCTCTGCAATTTTCTGCGCTTGATCTATGTCCTGGGACACTTTTTGCATCTCTTGGACGAGAAGTGGATAGTTTCCCGCATTTTCAACCACCTTGTTAATTCCGGGAAAAATTTGAGGAGCGTTGCCTGTAAGTAGGCGGCGGAAATATTTCGAGAAGACTTCCATACCGTTGGAGTCGACGAGCTGGAAATTATTGAATAGTTAGCAAATATGATGTTAAGTTTGAGACAGTCCACATAGGCAACTGGAACTCACTTTATGAATCTGAGCCGCTTTGGTTTCCCACTTCTCTTTTCCTTCCTTGTCTGTAATAGAATCGAGGAGGAGGAAAACTTGAGCTATCGATATCTTTGTCAGGGAAGATTGACTAGAGCTCACAGCAGAACCTGGTTTGTCTGATGGGAACCCAGTCGGGGAGTTCACCGTTGGACCAGATAACAGCGGAGAGAAGTTGACACCTCTAGAGGATCCCAACCCACCTCCTCCCCAACTTCCTCCTCCTCCTGAGACGTTGCCGGCAGCAGAAGCCAGATGAGCGCCCGCGGAGGGTGTAATCGCCCTGGATTTAGGGGGAGAAGAAAGGGAATGTGCGGAGTGCGTCTGTGGGTGAGAGCCAGCGTGTTGAAAGGCAAAAGCTGAGGGAGTACCTGCTGGGGATGGAGGTTTGCGAGTAGAGCGGGTGCCCGAATTCTGGACACCTGAGAAGGGAGAGGTAATGGGTGAAGCCGTTGAAGACGAGATGTTGCTAGTGGAGAGCGGAGTCAAGCCGCGACGCAGACCCGACTGTGAGCTCGGGGCACCCCAGACTGACTGTTGGGATCTCGAGGACCTCGCAGATGAAGACTTCTCGGTGCCAGAAGCAATCGATGACTGGGCGGAAGGGGAGGGAGGACGGAATGTCATCTAGGAGACGCGATCATTTGACCTACCACTGCTCGACAGAATTTGATCCTTCGCTGGTGGGGGGAACGTTCGCCAGGTCCAGCAGAGCTGGATTGTGAGTTATTGGGGCGTAGTAGGAATTCTGGGGATCTCCTATCACGGCTAAAATGGGTGATCTGGAGTCAAGAGGTGCTGGTGAGTTTGGGGAATTTTGATCGAGTGTGAAGACTCCGAGAACTGGCGATTAGGCGGCGGGTCGAGCCTGAGCACGCCTAACCCGATCAGGCGGCACCCCAGTCACGTGAACAGGATTCGACTTTCGACAGCTGCCATCTTCTCCAGCTTAGCAAACACGCCTCTCGTTTTGCTAGTGATAGTCACTTTTCATGCTCCTCGAGGCACCTCACTAGTTACACTTCAGGAAATATGCTATCCTCACTGCTATCGACAGTCCATCGATCCTACAGAGTTTGTATGAGTCTTGACGTCAGCATATCAGAGTATATCTAATAATTAAAATAACAACTAGTTTCTTTCTCCCTACATTGGTAGCTTGGGCAATGCTAAATATGATTACCACGGAGTGTTGATTAACGCCATCCTGTGGTTGGTGTACCTACGTATATATGTGTACGATATTCATATATGGAAGACCCTAACAAATGTCATCAATGACCCCCCATACATCATAAGTCTCTTTGATAACCTATTACAGCAAAGAGAATCGCTCGGTTCCCCTCTCAGTACAGAGGGCCCGGTGTTTATCTGAATACTCATTGGTAAATAAAGAATCCGCGCGGATTTAGGGAGATAAAACCGACCGCGATGTCCTCAGATTCGGCGTTACTTACTAACTCCACTGATTGGCCAGCCCAAGCATCCATGGTTGAACCTATAAATCCAGGGCAATGGATCGATGTTAACGAAGAAATCTCCCTTCAGCAGCTCGAAAATCTAACAGACTTGCACCCTATACATAAGAAAAAGAAAGATGCCTCAGCTTGGCGACAGAGAAGTAGGCCCCATTGGGTATGGTCTGATGGGATTGACCTTGCGAGCGAAACCATGCTCACAGGAACAAGCATTCGCGGCTATGCGTGCCTCACTCGAAAATGGCTGTACGTAGGCTCGCCCTATCTTTGGCTTCCATGCCTGTCGTTCCGCATATTTCACTGCCAGGCTAACCTTCAGCATGGTTTCAGGCAACTTTTGGAATGGTGGCGAGTTCTATGGACGGCCCGATTACAACAGTCTGGTGCTTCTAGAAAGATATTTGGAGAAGTACCCCAAAGATGCCGATAAATTTGTCTTAAGCATCAAGGGTGGTTTGAACCCTAAAACACATCGTACGGACGGCACACCGGAGAATACGCGTCGGACTCTCGACGACACTATTTCCCAGCTCAAGGGCCGCAAGAAAATCGACATTTTCGAATTCGCTCGCCGAGACCAAGATGTGCCGATGGAAGTTACCTTTGATGTTATGAATAAGGAATACGTTCAGACTGGTAAAATCGGAGGCATCTCACTTTCCGAGGTACGAGCCGACACGATCCATGAAGCTGTCAAGCATATCAAGGTTCTCGCCGTAGAGGTCGAACTCTCACTGTAGGTTACATGCTGTGGCATTTCTTGGCTACTGGCTGACGCTGACTGGGCAACAGTTTCTCTACTGATGTCTTGGAGAATGGCGTTGCGGCCGCGTGCGCCCAATATGGAATCCCGCTCGTTGCCTACTCGCCAATTGGCAGAGGCTTGTTGACGGGCCAAATCAGGAAGTTCGAAGACCTCCCAGAGGACTCGTCGATGCGCAATTACCCTCGCTTTCAACCGGGCAACTTTGAGATTAACCTGCAGCTGGTCCATCAGGTTGAGAAGATAGCCGAGAAGAAGGGCTGCACAGCGGCACAGCTCGCCATCAATTGGACCAGGGCTCTATCTAGGCGTCCCGGGATGCCAACAATTATCCCCATACCCGGCGCCACGACGGCAGCGAGGGTAGAGGAGAACAGCAAGCTGATTGACCTCACGGATGAGGAGATGGCACAGATTGATGAGATCTTGGCTAAGTTCACAACAGCTGGCGCGCGCTACCCTGCTGGCATTCCAACAAACACTTAGCATAAGTCAAAGGAAATAGGCTATTAGTGTCGATTTCAGGAAGCAGCCTCGAAAAGAACAGTACATAGCTACAGGGTAACGGGAAACATGTTATATACAGTACTTACCTAGCTACACGAATAAGGTCCATACGGCCCCAAACAGTATTGTCGCATCCGCATATCTACATAGGTATCATGCTATTGATGTAGTAGACACTAAGCGCAAAGTCTAGCAGATCTCACTCATGGACAGCTCATGATTAGACAACTGAATTGACGCATAACAAGCGCACAGACAATTCTTGTGCCTGGAAGCCTGTTGTGCACCATCGACTCCGTCGCAGATCAGGTCTGGAAACTCGAAGCCGATGCTGGTCAATCATAGAGCGAGCGATGCGTAGATCTAAACTTGAATGTTAGGCAAAGCTGTTGGTAATACGCGAATGGCTGTCACCTCCCGAGATATCCGTGAGCTATAAGCTGTAATGTAACCAACATCCACAAGAGAGAGGATGTATTTTGAACGACGAAAGCGCGATAGGTTCTATCTAGATGTAGTTGTAGGAAAGAATAATACGAGCAAATGTGGCGCTAAGTTGGATGCGGTTAGCATGTGCTATCTGGCAAGTGGTTGCCCCGAGAGACGTGGGCGGTAAACATCAACTTCCAAGTTATCGACCCCTTCCAACCTTTTGGACTCCAACCCACTTCTTCGGCTCTGGGCCTGGACTTATCACCATATACCTCACGATTTTAACGACTGTTTATTGTCCAAGCATTGTTTATTTGTATTTTTGTTTATTATTTCACAACAACCGTCCCTTCATTTGGTCTTCTTTCCTCTTAAACTATCCCCTAACGGGTTATTCGAGCACACGCTGGTCGAAGCTCCGAAAGAAAAAAAAAAGTCTCCTTGATACAGAAATATAAACTCAGTCACAATGCCCGGCACCATGGTGGATGGGCCAACAGTGTCGATGTCGTGTAAGCACGATGTTATCATCCTTGGATTTAATGAGATTGCATGCTGACCTCCACGGTTAGTTGCCAACAACTTCTGGGGCAAAGACGACGCCGGTGTGATCCCTTTATTGGAACGCATGCACAATGCTAAAATTACGTGTGATGAAATAAAAGCCTTCTACAATAGTAAGTTTTATGTTTGTGTGATGATGAGGTCTTCGAAGACTAAAATATATAGCTCGCGCCGCAATTGAGGATGAATACGCACGAAAATTGCTCGCACTTTGCCGCAAGTCACTTGGTTCTAGCGAGACTGGTACCTTACGTGTATCACTGGATGTCGTCCGTGGCGAGACAGAAGCCATTGCAAAGGCACATGCCGCTATATCACAGCAGATGAAAGGTGAACTGGAAGAGCCCCTAGCAGCGTTTGCCGGTGGTATGAAAGAACGACGAAAAATAGTCCAGAATGGCATTGAGAGACTACTCAAAATTAAAAATCAGCAGACACATACAGTTAATAAGGTTCGTCAACATTGAGATCCATGGATGCTGACGCGAAGTACCAGCAGCTAATACAAAGGAATAATTAGACAAGAGACAGATTCGAGCAAGATTGCCTGAGAATTAAGGGTTACTTGGCTCAAGGCCACATGGTCATGGGACAAGAAGAGCGGAAGAATAAAGCCAAACTTGAAAAGACACAAATTCAACTTGCCTCTAATAGTAACGAGTACGAGGCAGCAGTGAAGTTGCTTCAAGAGACGACTGGCCGCTGGAATAAAGAGTGGAAGTCTGCCTGTGACGTGAGTTATTGCCTCATGATAAGGATCCTGTCAATCGCTAATGTGGCTATAGAAATTCCAAGATCTTGAAGAAGAAAGACTTGATTTCACAAAGAGCAGCCTGTGGGCTTATGCAAACATTGCCTCGACTGTATGCGTCAGCGACGATGCGGTATGCTATAGGCCTTCCCTCATCTCACACGAAATGTTGACTAACATACCATCTAGGCTTGTGAAAAGATTCGGGTTTCATTGGAGAATTGTGAAGTAGAGAAGGACATTGGCAGTTTTATCAAAGAACGCGGGACCGGACAAGAAATACCAGATGCACCCAGATTCATCAATTTTTGCCGTGGAGACATTAATGACGCCAGCTCAGAAGCTTCGGACGACGACAATTATTCTGTTGCACAGTTTCAAAGAGCAATAAATCCTGCCTTCCGGAGCTCCTCACCCCAACCATCAACCTACGAATCCCATCATGATCCTAGCTCAGAACTAGCTGCCGAGATGGGCCTTCCCAGTGTTTCAGCACCAGAATCTAGAGAGAATACGGCAACTGCTCAGAAATCTAGCTCTCACCCAATGCCGTCACAAAGTCAGCCCGTTCAGCCCGCTCAACCTGCTCAGCCTGTTCAGCCTGTTCAGCCTGTTCACCCTTCTCCTCTGGATGTTCGACGTGGCAGTCAGGTGCCGCCGAATTACAATCCAAGCCAGCATGGTGAAATCGGAAATGTCCCTCATAACTCCTACCCGACAGACGGGATGACAATGTTTTGTCGCACTGGACCTCCTTCTGAGCGCAGCTCCGCGGGGAGCGTATATCGGCCTTCGAGCCGAGAGGACAGTCAAAGTGACATCTCGAATCCTACTTCATTCTCTAGCCAAGAGCCTCTTAGCGGCAAGCAATCTCCAACAAAACCGACCAATGGCGTTTCGTTGCCGGGAATGACTCCAGAGAAGCAAATTCAGAAGAAACGAAGCGCTTTCTTCAGTAACAGCCCCTTCCGTCGTAAGAGTCGCCACGACAAAGACCGTCAATCTCGGTCCTACTCTCGCAGTCCGACAAAGCCAACGTACAAGCAGCCATCGCCCGAAGACCCTCGTTCTGCCAGTCCGGAACCGGTAGACCCTCGTGCTAACTTCCAGCTCAATGTTGGAAACAATGTATTCGATGTGGCTTCACCAGACAAGAAGCCAGCTCAGGCATCGAAGCCAGCAGAAGATGATCTTGACCCGATTGCTAGAGCACTTGCTGACCTTAAAGGGGTGGGGAAGCCTTCTGTAGGTCGGGTCTCGGCGGACCGCTATCATGGCATAGCAACTCCAGTACCATCGGCTTCAAGTTCTGCGTATGGAAATGCTGGCACCGCAGATGCACCACCTCCCTCTTACAATGAACCTCCTGCAAAGCGACTTGACGCACCACAGCCAGCATTCACGGCAGCTCAAATGCAAAAGACAACTCAGAAATACGTTGGCAAAACTCAAAATATGTTCGGAGCATCCAATAATCCTCAGCGAACACCCACAAGAGCTCAAGCCCCAGTGCAAGACGTGCCACGGGCTCGATCTCCGGCTCCAACACTCAGAAGAAGCGCCAGTCCTCAACCTTCACCAATAAATACGCGTGTCAGCCAATACAATAGTGGAGGTGGAGCCCCCAGAGGGGGTTCAGCGCATAGCCCAACTCCTTATCAGGCAAAGACATACAGCGTTCGGAGCACCCAATCTCCTTCTTCTAATACTCGACCTGGTAGCGACCGCGGATACTCTCCACAGCAATACTCTCGACATGCATCTCCTGTTGAAGCTGCTCGTCCAGTGTCACCACGCCCCGCATTTACGCCGCAGCAATACTCTCGACATGCATCTCCTGTTGAAGCTGCTCGTCCAGTGTCACCACGCCCAGCATTTACGCAGCAGCAGTACTCTCGACATGCATCTCCTGTTGAAGCTGCTCGCCCAGTATCGCCCCGCCCTTCATTTGCGCAGCAGAATCGGCCCGCAAGTGCTAATGGAATGGAACTCCAGCTCTCCGGGGGCCAAGTAGAATCCTACAGAGGCGGTTACGATACATATGGTGGTAGTGGACGAGAAAACAACGGCCGACCCCAGTCCGTGTATTACGGCAACGGTCCAGACCCTGTTTCGCGATCTCGCAGCAAGAGCATTGCTGTTGCTGAACCAGTTCGACCATACAGCCGCGATGGTCGTCCCATATTGCATTATGGTAAGTTAAATACATACCATAAGTACATTATCATAACTAGAATTCCATACTAACTCTTCTCTCCTGCAGCACGTGCCTTGTACAGCTACACGGCCGCTATTCCCGAGGAGCTCGGGTTCTCCAAGGGGGACATCCTTGCAGTTTTGCGATTGCAAGATGATGGATGGTGGGAAGCAGAGGTTACTACAGGGCGCGGCCATCCTGGCTTGGTTCCTAGCAACTATTTACAGAGTATCTGATGGGCTCCGAAAATTAGCCAGCAGTGATTCCGCTTAATCCTTTCAATCTCGCTGATGTGGCTGGCTTTTTGCATATCTCTTCGTTTTTGATATAATCAGTTTTTCGGTTTTGCGCACTCTCGCACGATTTATTGATGGTCGATGTAAATTCTTTTTCTGCTTGTTCGATGAATATGTGATTTCACCTGAGTGTAAACTTGTGAGCGAGCGACTTTACCTCTTTTCCTGTGTGATTTTCTTTTTCTTTTTTCGTCTCTTGATGTTTCCGTTTCATTTTTCAACCTTTTTCTTTCCCGTTTCTTCCCCCTGACTTTATGATGCACGTTACCCCTTTGTTTTCATTGCTCTAATTATGTCTTTAACTGCCTCTTTTTAACTGTGTTGTCGATACTTTACCTTGATTGAAGAGATGATATGATGGTTCCACTTCCCCTTTGTTTGTGATGTAAATAAATGGTATATGATAAGATTGAACGAAAAACAACTTTCAATTCATTTTTAATATGACAGACATAGACTACTTCAAGAATATGAGCGTTGTTTGTATTTACAGTAAGTTGCAGCAACACATGTAGTGAAAGTAAAACCTGCCAATCAATCTTGCCTCGCCAGGGATGTACATGCACGGAAGGTAAAAAAAGGGGTTCTATACATTTTATAACAACCGAAACCAGGAATTCAATTAGCCACAAGTCGCGGCGCTGTCGACGGTAACCAGGGGGGATGATAGGTATTAAATAAATATTTATAATGAATAGAAAGAAAGTATCATACGCAGTAGGTAGGCGCTCAAGTTTCTGGCGAGAAAAATGTCAAGCGAAGTATTATGCAGATGGGTGATGGGTGAAGTATTCCTTCTGCTTATTCATCGTCCACGAAAGAATTTGCTAGACGTCCAAAGATAGGCACTTCGTAATGCTCAAGAGAGTCGACTGGATTCGACGAGATGTCAATGAATTAGCTGGTTGACCATGCATGCATAGATAGGTCCATGCATCATTCACGTACCATCTCGATAAGCATGTAGGCTCAAAAAGGCGATCAAAGCGAGATCGCCAATAAACATCAGCCAGGAAATGAAGCTCGACCAGGAGAAGACGAGATGCAGGACCTGGATGGAATGAGGTTAGGTTAAGGTTGGAATGGAATGGGTTAGGCTGGAGACGAACAAAAATCGCACTGAACAGCATGCTTGACTGCCATGCATGGAATCTATGTTTCTGTCAGCCATATATTCCTTCTGATGCACCATCACTGGGCCTCTGTTGAACGTCGATATGGAATATAGAAGAGGTGTTTTCTGTCCCGTACCTCACGTAGTCACTCTTATGCTCTAACAATAACAAAAGCACACCTCCAGCCGGCGGTAGCAGCAAATACGCAATCATCGCCTCATAATCCAGCCTCAATGGCAAACTGGTCTCGAACGCGTCCAGATCGGCTCGTCCGCCGTATCCTTGATAATGGTGGTGCTGGCTCTCGGGGTCCGTGGTGTTTCCGAACCCTGTCGTCCATGAAGCTGCAGACTGGTCTTGCTGTTGCTGCTGGTGATATCCATAGCCACCGGAAGATTGGTACGGAGGGGGGGCTGACTGATGTGGTTGATTATGATGCGTTTGCGACGGGGACTTGGAGCGGCTATTCGATGGATCCGCGAACGGGGGAGGAGGGGAGAGAGCCCTCTCGACCTCGGGGGATTCGTCTTGATACGGAGCGAAGTTCATGGTCCTTTATACTGCGCTTGGTACAAGCTCAGGAGCTCACGAAGCTCAGGAAGCTCCCGCGATGCGGCTGATAAGCGCTGGAGAGATGGGCGTGACGTCTGATTGGCCCACCGCGCGGACTTTGTTTATATGCATGCTTGCAGTCTACTTCTCACCTGGGCTGCTACCACAATCTCGCAAACTAACGCTTACATTGGATAAGTACATGCTCTGTATGGTATTATACGGGGTATCATTTTGTTGTTGTCTGTTTTCCGCTGACAGAAATCTAAGGTTTACCGCGTCCACGGGTGACGCTGGATCCCCGCGCAATGCCACTCACTGGTCGTCGCGTGGCTGCCGCCGAACCGGGTCGTGCTGTTTTCGTCGCGGTGCTGGTCTTCGAAGCAGAGACACTCGGGGTCCTTCCCAATCCCCCACGCACCGCCCTGCCTCTGACTGTGCCACGGCCTCTACCAGCCGCCGCTGTGCCAGCTGCTCGCGCTTTCTCCTCCTTTTCCGCCTTGCGTGCGGCGGCTTCGCGACGCTCCTGGAGCTCCCGCTCTCTCCGCTCAGCTGCCTGCTGTTTCGCCGCTGCTTCGCTTTCCATTTCGGCGATGTCGTGAGAAGCGCCTTGCCATCGGGGATCCAGGAGTAGTCTTTGATTATGTTCTGTCTGGGATAATATCCTGGTCCAGGTATTCAGTAGCGTCGACGCCGAGTCCACCGTACGCGAGACCGTCTGTATTCCGTCAGCCGCTGTTTCGCGTGTCAGTCGATAGAGGCACCGTAGAAGCATACCTCCATGTTTCCCTTGGCCCTTTCAAGGCTCGCCAGGACCCCTTCAATAGCTAGGTTGACATTCCTCACTGTCTGCAATTCGTTACGGAGTGCGATCTCTCGGGCTTCTTGCTGATCCAGCGAGGGAGTGGTCTCGCGATTCTGCGTTCTCTCTGCGGACGAGGCGGCGGCTGGTGTTGTGCGGCGCTGGGACGGCGAGGCCCAGTCCTTGTCTGATAGTTGCAGCCGGTCCATCTCGTCCGTGGCACTCGGGGCAGCCATATTGTGCTGTATATGCAGAATTCCGAGGGAATGAATCTTAGATGCCTAAAAATCAACAGCGGGGCAAATCGGCACGGCCAATCTGGGTCGCGGAGGGGTCTCGAGCCTTGCTCAGATTTGGCTAGACTGGCCAGTGTATATAGAGCAAATATCGAAGAGGCCAAAGAGTTTACTATCAAGCATCACTGACTGCTGTTGTGCATTTCAACGTGTCGGCGCGTTAGTGAGGCCGCGGTGGGGCGCGGGCGGGCGAATCAGAGCTCACGAGGCTGCGCCGTCAGCCTCCCGAATTAAAGCAAGTGGCTGGCGGCCAACAACCATACATTCCACACTCCATCAACAACTCTGTCCCTTGTTTTTCCCTCTCGCACTCCTCTCTCACCAGACTTTGTTGACCAGACCAGGCACACTGCACTGCGCAAATAAGCGCTGCTGGTACGCTCTTCGCTTGTTTATTTTGCCAACTGTGAGCGCGCTGTTGTGTGGTTACCAGCAATCCCTTGTTTGCATTCAAGCGACCGACTCTCGCGTCTTCTCCCCATCTTTACCTTCAGCCCAGCAACCTCGCAGCAATTATTGTTATTGCTCCTGTTGCCATCAAAGTCGACTGATCGCCATGGCGGCCACTCCTCCGCCCGCGCCGCTGCGTGAACCGCGAGCTCCCAGACATGGCGCTGGTTACGACTCCTTTGACCCGTATCCTACCAGGCATTCTGCGAGGCTCGCAACACAGCAGTCGGCCGACTCTCATTCAACTCCTCCTCCGCCGTCGCCAAGGAAGTCTCTTCGTCAAAATCTAGACACATTGTCTCCTCCCAGGACGCTTTCTCCCCGCAAGAAGACAGCTCGTGCAAAGCCTAGGCTGGATCTTGATTCGTCCGATCTTTCCGACGGCGCAGGATCCTCGTTGCATCGACACTCAGTCGCTCAATCACATTCAACCCTGCTTCCTACTCCTATGAAAACTCCTCGCAACAAGAGGTCGCACACTGATTTTTCTTCGGCTGCTCGATCCCTCTTTCCTGCCGCCTCGAGCAACTCGAAAACCTCGAAGAAACCCTCTGGCTATTCCCTGGGCAGCTTTCAGGAAGACATTGTTGACAACCATAATTCCATTGAGATCTATACCGACTCCCGCGATCGAATTCCAGTGCTGAACGAGAGCGTCGATAATCCCTTTTTGGGTAATTCAGAAGCCAGAATGCCTGTCAACAAAAACAAGACCGAGGCCAAGCGCCGCGAGCGCGTCTCTCGAATCGCTGCATCGGACATTGACCCCAAGGAAGCTGTCAAACGAGATGATGGAATGCTGTACACTTTGTAAGTTGCCAACTGGTTTTTTTTTTCCGTCTCTTAGTTTATCCACTAACATATTTTATAGCCGTGGAAAGAAAGTCTTCCGCAAATTTGAGGAGAAACACAGTGACGACGAGGGCGAGAACACGGACGACGAACTAGGCTTCTTCGCTATTCGCCCAGACTTGCTTGACAGCAGTGTCAATCTTCATGTTCCACGCTTGACCCGTTCCGCTATCAAAGGCCGCCGCCTCTTTTCAACAACTACTCTGGAAAACACGCAGCGCACCGAGGAAACGTCGTCTCATTCTGTGGATGAGAATGAAGAGGCTACTACCGATATTGAAGAGTCGGTTGAAACCACCGAGGGCACAGATATTGTTCATTCTGAAGCCGACACTGAAATGCCAGCCAGGCGTTCTCTTCGCACTCGCTTTCGTGATGGGGATAGGGTAGAGGCTCCACATGCTGCTGTCGTGGAGACTAAGAAGAAGAGAGGCAAAAGCAGTAGCCCATTCGATATCTGGGCGCGGAAAAAGCAGTCGCCTGCAGAAGTGTCTACGGGCAAGAAACGTGAAGCCGATCATTCTTCTGCTTTAGCCGCACCAGCTCCCAAGAAGACCAGGGGCCACTGATGTGTTTTGCTTACAACCGGAGCTTCATTTGCTGGCACCTGCCAAGTGCTTCCTCTTATAATGATTTTTTCTTTCCATATCAAGCCGGCCTTTTACTCTCATACCCCTGTTCTACCTGTGTTTAATTGATGGCATGGCGTTCGTTGATATTTTTTTTTTCTTTCACTCGCCAGGCATCCTTTTTCTTTTCCCATTCTTAAGTTTGCATGTTCTTTTATAATCAGAGTCTAATCATTGAGTGTTTGGGCGTTGGGCACTGGCGAAGCATGGTATGAGCTGTGGTATCTGTAACGAAACATGGACGGGGGGGTCTCTTTTAGAGATTATTGAATTGAGAATTATTCACTTTGCATGTCCTGACAAGACATTCTGTGGCTTCACGGTAGAATTCGTAGGCAATACGCGGGGTGGTCGGGGGGAATCAGCCCGAGCAGGCTGGGTGGGCACGGTCAGAACTCCGAGCAAGCAACCAACTATATAGGTAGCCATTGGCTTCTCCAACTGCATTTGCTTTTCCCACTGTGGTGTTTGAAAATATACGGTGTGCTGACGCTCTCCCGCAGTCAGTAAACAATTGGCTTCCTTCGAGCAACTTGGAATATGTCTTTCTCTACCGCAATTCGCACAACTCTTCAGAGCGCATCAACAACGGCATATGGCTTCTGGCTCACGTTAAGTCCTCCAGCACACCACTCCTTGCCAACCAGAAGAAGCTAACATCTAGTCAACGCAGACTTCCTGGAGCAGGCGTTGTCAAAACCATTCTCCGGTCCACCGTTGCCTCGCCAGATGGCGGGTTCAGCTGGGTTCTGGTCGATGCTGAACATGGCTTGATTTCGGATAAGGACTATTACGAGGTATGCTTCCTTTCCGAGGACAGTGCATGGCCACAGCTGACCACATAACTAGCTCAATAATGCCATCGGATCAGAAGGCGCCAGTCCCATTATACGTGTTCCATGGGCAGAAGAGTGGATGATCAAACGTGCTTTGGACTCTGGGGCTCACGGGATCATGACACCCATGTGCCATTCAGCAGTATGTCTGATACACCCATCTTTATATCCTTCTTTTTTTCTGATCCTCTCTTCCAACAGGAAGATGCTGCCCGAGTCGTTAAATACTGCAAATATCCACCAACTGGAAGCCGTGGGTACGGTCCTATGTTTGCCGCCCACGCTCTACCCCGGGGAACCAGCCACGACGACGGGGCGAATGATAGTTTAATGGTCGTTGTACAAATCGAGTCGAGGTCCGGAGTGGAAAATGTGGAGGAGATTGCCAAGGTTGATGGAATCGACGTGCTGTTCATTGGTGAGTTATTTTTCATGTTTTAAATCATGTCCCATGATAATTGCTCTTGCTCATCACCACCCTTCTATCAAAGGACCCTTCGATCTCGCCAAACAGACTGGCGTTGTCCGGGGTGGAGAGGAGCACGAAGCAATGATTCAGCGCACCCTGAAGGCTGCAAAGGCTGCAGGGAAGAAAGCCGCTATCTTCTGTACGGATGGTCTCGATGCCCAAAAACGTGCCGAGCAGGGATTCGAGATGGTTTCCATCATTACTGATGTCGGTGCGTTGGGCCAAGTTATGCTGCAGCAGCTGGATGTCGCCAAGGGTAAGGGAGCAGAGGGTCAGGGCAAACAGCGAAGCGGTTATTAGGTATAACTACGTATCATAGTGAGATGAGCTTTTTTTTGTTTTGGCTATCTTGACATTTCCCTTCTAGGTGATATAACAAATCCTAATAATTAGGATGAATGATCTTTTTTTTTTCTCTCACTATTCAGATAATGTCCAATTCATCGTCGTCGTCATCTTCATTATTCATAACCATGTACGCCCTATTATTACCGATGTCACGTCCAGTAGAAGCTCCCAAACTATCCCTCCCTGCTTCGCGGATACCCTTTGAAGTGATAAATCGCGTCTTTTTGGCCGATGTATTCACCCCGTTCTTGGAGGATTTATCGTCTTCCTGTGCTCGCGCGCGTTTCTTCACAGGACTCAGACTGACCGTATCGGCCTTGCGAGATATGAAATTAGTGGTTTGTGACGGGGTACCTGGCGCTGCTAGTGTAGAAGGAGATTTTGATGCTGAATATCTCGTTGCTGATGAAGGCCCTGCTTGTTCCAGCCTGACACGAAGATATTCTGATCCCGTACTGCCGCCCTTGGAGCCTAGTTTTCGTGCAATTTCGCGCTCACGTTGATCTTCTACCAGTCGACGTCGGGTGCGTTCTTCTTTATTCGCATTTCCGCGGGTATAGTCTGCAAAAGGATTGTCATCGATGCCGTCAATGAGAGCCGCTGCCGAGCTACCCCTGCCCGCCATACCACCGCGCGGATATATTGATGTACTGTGATGTGAGGAAATGGGTTTGCGTGCAGGTGCAACAAAGTATGTGGATTGAGTTGCGTAATCGTATTTACTACCTTCACTCTTGAGCCCTCGTTGACCGCCGCGTTTACCTCCAGAAGGAGGACCAAAATTCGCTATACGTGGTGCGTTGCGGCCGCCAGGGGCAAAGAGCCCCGTTCCAGCATTCACCCCAGACCTCTGTGATTGGGTTCGTCTGATTTGTACATCAACATGAAAGTCACAAAACTCGCTTTTCCGTGCATCTACCCATGAGCGGCAGACTTTGCCGTCTTTTCGTTCAGCTTTGCAGTATCCAATATCCTGAGCGGAGCCGATCTCTAAGACAGTGTCGTCCGATGACGAAAGACAGAGACTGAATCGGTTGGTGTCAATCTTGCCCGGAGGAGGGGGTAAGATTGTGGGATTAAGGATGGCTATCAGAGTGCCCTCAGAAAGCCTGTAGTACCGTGGAAATGCAGTGTCGAAAAGGAAAAGATCAATGGCCCAATTGAGATCAGTGAGAGTAATGACCATGTATTGTTCGCTGTTGTTGCGTCCGTCGTCGTCGAGATTGACTTCCTTCGTTGAGTTTTTGGGTTCCTTGTGTTGCTTGGGATCTGATTTGGAAGCGACAATGCCAAATACGACATAATCTCCATCTATGCTTTCAGGAAGCTCAAAATCAGGCGCCTTCACTGATTTCAAGAGCTGTGGTATCCGGAGAATATACTTATTTTCAAGGGTACGACTTAAAAACGAATGAGGAAGAATGCGGTTTGACAGATTGAGGGATGAGAAAGATTCAAACTTTGAACCATCCGACTCTTGGGATGCCCTTTTACCATTTTGTTCAGGTTCAATCAGTGCGGAATGAGAGCGTTGTGATGCCGATCCTAGAACGTTTGGAGCGGTTATGGACTTTTTGCTTCTCACTTGAGCATTACCATAAGATTTGAGGACCTCATCACGACTGAAGATTTCCGGTGGTCGTTGTGGCGTAGAAATAGTTGGTTTTTGTTGCAAAGCTTGCTCTTTGTACCGTTCTACTTCGCTCTTATCAACATTGAATGCCGAGTTGCGATTGCGCTGTATCTTCTCGACCCGTTGTTGTTTTTCCCTGTCAGCATTTCTGCTTTCTGCGATTCTTTCGCTAAAAGATTTTGGCTTTTTGAAATCCTCAGCAGCAGCTGACCAGATATCTTGCGGGCTAGATAGCTTCTCGTGAAGACGAGACGAGCTCCCGGGACGCGTGGCAGAGACTCTGGGTTGTTCGGTTGCTGGTCTTGAACTGGACGGTCTTTTCAATGACACCTCGTTTGCTTTCTTGAAATTTATCAGCGCTCGGCGAGGAGACGCCGGTTCATGTACCACCTGCCTTTTGGAAGGAGATAAAGGTACTTGAATAATGTCATTTGCTTTCTCCGGCGCAGCGAACCTGTCTCTCGCTGCACGCATGCGACCCGCAGCTTGACAAGATGACGATGAAGAGATGATGCTCCCTTGGCGAACCTCATCTTCTGTGTTGGGACTTGTCACGTTCAGCCTGGCTAATTTCTCTTGCTGTAGCTTCTTGAGTTTTAGTTTGGCTTCAATGGCCGCAAGCTGTAGTCGTAGCGTTTCCTCGTCCTCGTCATCTCCGCCGTCAATACCATCACCAGCATTGCTACCCTGAGCTTGCAACCGAGAAAGGAAGCTGGGCGTGGTGCGCGATGGCTTGAGAGGGGATAGTTGCTCGTTGGCTTCTCTCTCTCGTCGTAATTCGAGAAATCGCTTACGGCCGTTGGGGGAAGCGAGCAGAGCCTCCCTCGGCGACTTGGGAGGCCATGATACTTGGTCAACCACTGCAAGGCGTTCGCATTAGTTTCTGGCAGAAACCACGCGTGAAGTCAGCTCTGTACGTACTATCTTTTGCCTCGACCTAAAACCCCGAAATCGAATGAGTGCCTTTTTAAGATTGTCCCAGTTACTTTCATCGCAATATATTGACTTCGATGAAGAGCAGCATCAACCCCACCATTTCGCATTGCAAGGGGGGAAAATTTTTTTTCAATTCCAGAATGGATGATTCACATCGCAGGCCCCTAACATGGATAATTGCCCTAGCCAGCAAAGCATGAACTCGGTGACTGTGCGATGAGCCAGCATGAGCGGTGATAGGTGTGCCGCCCTTGCATAAAATCACGCGTGTCCGGCGCGTCGCGTCGGCCCGCGAAAAGAGTAGCTTGCCGCAACGGGCCTTAATTTCACCACTCAACCAGAAATGCGCACACCACAGATTAAGCAACGACAGAGAGATCCTAGTGATCCAGCTTTCTATTGCGCGTCAATTGGGCTGCTGCAGAAGCGCAAACCTCATTCACAATGCCGAGCACTCGGTCGAAAGCCGTGACCGAAAAGCCGGGTGCAAAGGATCCCAAAACAGAGGCACTACAATCAGTTGCTGTTCCTCATAAAACATTTATCTTGCCTTCAAAAAGAAGCGATGCCTCCAGATTCCTGACACTCCCTAATCCGAGCTCCGGAGTCCTCAGCCGGTATTTCTTCGATCCGACAGCTGGCCTGTACGAGTTCACGGCCGTTTCTTCGACGCAGTTTGCCCCGAAGAGCATCTTATTCGCCGCAAAAGATGGCGAAGAAGGGGAAGACAAGCATAGGTTTAGGAGCTATGTTTTAAAAAAGGCCGAGCTTCTAATTGCGACGCCAATTGATGTTTTATTTTTTATGCTACCGATTGTCGCTCCAGCTGACAATGCCGGCTCAACGTCAAACATGTTTCAGCCGCTTGATGACATTCTCGACTCCCAGGACGAACTGTCTCAACATCTCCGCCATGTTCTCTACGATATCACGTTTAGGCCAACGCTCGAGCGGCGGATGCAAGCAATCTGTGATATTATGGACGCTGCAGATGAGACGTTGTATCGATTTAGTGAGCAGAAGCTACTCAACGAATTGATTGCAAAGGCCAACCGAATGGTCGCCCAAGGCCTCCCTGCAAGTTTAGAGGAGAATTTCATCCGGAGAGTCCTCGATCCTCCTTTAATGAGTGTCAAGCGTGACGATGTTGTGACCACAACGGTTTCAGCCACTGCGAGCAAAGAGGACAGCCAGGACCTAGAAGTCGAGGAAACGCAATCGGCCTCTGCTACGACCGTCAGTACTATATCTGGACAACCGTCCGGACTTGCGACGCCAGCCACGCAGCCATCCACTGTAGATGAAATATCATCTTCAGAGAGCATTGCGCGATTGCTCCGGCTCCGCATTGCTCTTTCTTTTATGAAGCAGTCTTATTTGCCAATTCACCTGGTAAACAAAGTGGAAGATTCTCTCAAATTATCCGAGAGCCCCCTCGATTTTACACCCCTGGAAACTCGATTGAAAGAGCTGGCCGATCTTCGAGCTGAAGCTCTTGCATCTCATGCAATCGGGGATTACACTCGCAAGCGCGGATTTGAAGAGGACGATGATGCCGAACGCGCTGAGGCAAAACGCAGAAAGGAGGAAGAGAAGAAAAAGGCGTCAGAATCTCGTGGGGTTCGAGAACTCAAGAAGGTCAACACTTCCGGCATGAAGAAGATGAGCGACTTTTTCAAGAAGAAATCTTGAGCCGCTGGGCCTCGGTCGCCACAAATTGCGTTCACGGTGTCTTTGATGCGTTGCATGAAAATGGCAATGTTGATCACTAGCCACTTCTCAACATTCTCGTTCATATCTGGGGCCCCAGAAATGGCCGCCTTGCGCGGAGACGAAATCCGATAAATGAATATACGAGAAGAGAAACCTTCAGTTTCTAAGACTAGACATGATACTTGAACTAGTCCACTCCGCCATCCTTGACATTTCCTAGGGTATCTTTCTCGAGTAATCGATTCCTTTCAGGAGGTATGTGTGAGGGAAGAAGGTCTTTCCCTTTCACTTCTTTTCTCGAGATCACCACCCAATACTACATCCAACGAACACTGATTTTGATCGGAAATGTACAATTTGAAGGAGTCTCAGGGGTCGATCATTTCTGATAACTTACCTACACCACACAAATATCTCTTGTCTAACTTGTCCATAAATCATTAGATAGAATCTATAGCATGAAAAAAATGCATCAAATATTGCTCCTATACGATTTCTAACTCTCTCATCACTCCACTTCCAGTGCTGCCCCATGGACCCTAAGATTCAAGTCAGTCAATCTTTCGTAAAGCAAATACCACGATTATTTCGGGGGGATTCTCACAAGAAAGACCCATTAGATGGCTTGCTTATAACAATAGCCTGGGCCAGCTGCTCCTGGGAAAGACCCGATTGTTTAGAATAATACTCATTCTTCAATGCCTGGCTGACAGCCTCCACTTTGGACTTCGGCAGCATGTGCACCGTACATCCACCCCATCCTGCGCCAGTCAGCCTGCTGCCCCAAGCACCGGCTCGCCGAGCAATTTCACATATTTCATCGACCTCGGGACAGCTACATTCGTAGTCCTTGCGGCATGATTCTTGGGTTTCATTCAGCAACTGGCCAAGATATTGAATGCGTTTGGCGTCAAGCTTGTCCGCCTGCGAGAGACAGGCCTTGAAGTCGAGCACACGAAGAGCCTCATTGAAGCAATGTAGAGCACGTTGTCGGAGTAAGAACCGTTCTGCTTCGACAGGGAAGGATGAGAGGAAACGGGATTCCAGTTCAGCCACGGTTATGTCTAGCAGACTGGCTATTTCCTCGCGTGTATATCCCTGCTCCTGAGAGAGTATCTCGGTAGTGGTCTGGATGACAGAATCGAGCTGGTCTTCCAGGGGAACTTGAAGCCGGCCTTGCTTACGCATGAGCTCTTCATGGAAATTCCGCAGACTGTAACCCAGGGAACTGTTATCCTTCTCCAGGACGATGCCATGCTGCTTGGCTAACACCACGGCGGCTAATGTACATTCGGCCACACGAAGGTTATAGTGGCGAGGGCCAGTCTCGGCCTTGTTGGAGGTAATGAAGCTCTGAGCAACCAGGAAAACAATTTCCTCATCGGCAGTTGGGATTGGCACGTGCTCGACGGAGAACTTTGGGAAAAACTTGGTGTAAAGGAGAAACCCGCGCTCGGAGAAGATGGAAGCAGCCTGGTCCATTCTATGTTGACTTAGTCAGTAAAGCGGAGAAAGAAGAAAGCAATATAATAACGAACCCTCCGGAGTACACGCCGACGGCGCGTTCAGAAACGACGGCCAAGTCTAAAAGGTCCTGTTTGGACACATTGATGCCATTTGCCTTGATGACAGCCAATGCACTGGCGCAGACGAACGCAGCACTGCTAGATATACCTCCACCGGGGGGCACATTGCCGTCAAGATGAATCTCGAGAGAAGCCGGTTTCACGGCCGGGTTATCCTTGCGAAGGAACTTCAATGCTCCAGCCAGACCTGCTTTGAAATAATTGATCCACTCGTGTTTCTTGGGGTCAATGACGATGTCCTTGTCGACGGGGACTCCGAACTCGCGGGAGGGGAATTTCTGGGGATTGACGTTCGATATCTTGACCGTTGCTTCGGAGCCCTCTGTTGGAAGCACCTTGACAGCTATAATGACATCCACGCTGACGGCAGTGGGCAGGACGTCGTAGAGGTTGTAGTCGATATGCTCGCCGATGATGTTGACGCGGCCGGGGCTGCGTGCCACAAAGTCGGGCTTCTTCCCATAGGTCTGAATGAATTGTTTGACGAGGTTCTGCCAGCGAGCCTTGTTCTCAGGGGCAACTGACAGAGCCGAGGCATCGTCCGTCGCGTAGACGTCTGCGATATTCTCTGTCTGGGGGACTAGTTGCTGCGGGGCCATTGTTGCGGATGCGGGGAGGACAGGCGGTCCCTACTTTTCTTTCTTTCTTTTGTTTTTCTTTTCTTTCCTTTTTTTTTTTTTTTGTTCCCTTGAGACTCGTGCAGATGAAAAAAAAAAAAGCAATGAGGGATTGATTTGATTGATTGATTGATTGTTGTTGGGCGGTATGCCGTTTATAGAAAATGGGTTGACTCGTTCCCCTGTACAGGCATAAATTGCCGTTTATACATCCTCCCCACAACTTGAATGCAACCCCGCCATACTATTCCCCGGAGACGTCTCGGTGTATGCGATACGATGGCTACGGAGTATATATTCGGTAAATAAACATCCAAATTACCGATCCCTCTGGATATATTCATGTACAGTTATATTTATTATCCAGCACGCGCAGCATGGAGAGACGTCGTCCGCGCTTGTCGTCATCGCGCGTGCGTCCGCGATATTGCTGCTATACAAGAATCAAAGAAATCAATAAACAATCAGTTCATAAATCTATGATCTGATTGCATCATCGACAGGCCATCAGGTAGTTAGTTAGTTAACATTGTGGTTAGTATGTAAACCTTGGAAGCAAGGAGAGAGTGACTCAGGCAGCGAATCTCTGCTTTTCGCCCTGCAGCCGATTATCGGATCCCGCCGTCCAATCACGGCGCTTGGCTTGCCGGTGGCGGGCACAGCCAGCCAATGGCGAGAAATGTGGTGGAGCCCCGGCCAGACTGCTCGTCGTGCTTGCCAAAAAAAATAATAGAGTCGGTCTGCTCTTTCTTCTTGCTGACTTCCTTCTCCCAACCAACCTCCAAACCCGCCAATTCTCGAGGTGGCCTGGCTGTCCATCATGATGCCTCTCCGTCCTTCCAGGAGTGCTCTGCGCACTCTGCCTTCACAGAAGCAGCTTCTTTCGAATCGCAGGCACTTTTCCGTCTCTTTGGTCGCTCGTGCCGTCTCGCCCCACCGCTCCTCGGGCGCCTTTGTGAATCCCAAACGGGGACAGAGTACGGCCGCTGCGTCTTCGTATGACTGACTCCCATCTCTTCTCGAAAGTTGTGGCATCTGACATTGGCATGTATACAGAGACGCTCGCCCTGTGCCTAGTCCGGCATTCAATCAAGATGCTCCCCGATCGAATGTGTCTCCTCTGGAGAATCGGAAGTTGCCCGAATTAGATGATTCGTATGTCAGATCAGATTCTTTACAATGGATGCAGCTAATTCCCTTGCCAATTAGTTTCGTCGGACTCAGCGGTGGTGAAATCTTCCATGAAATGATGCTGAGATTGGGCGTTGAGAATGTTTGTGAGTCATACACTACTCTCGGTGAATGAGTGCATCAAGATCCACTTCTAACAATGGTCACACAGTCGGCTACCCTGGCGGTGCTATCCTACCTGTTTTTGACGCTATCTACAACTCTAAGCACTTCAATTTCATCCTACCTCGCCATGAACAAGGTGCCGGCCATATGGCCGAGGGTTATGCCCGTGCATCTGGAAAGCCCGGTGTAGTTTTGGTGACTTCGGGCCCCGGTGCTACAAATGTCATCACACCGATGCAAGATGCACTCTCCGACGGAACACCCATGGTTGTTTTCTGTGGTCAGGTGGTGACTTCTGCCATCGGTACTGATGCCTTCCAAGAGGCCGATGTCGTTGGTATCTCTCGCCCCTGTACCAAGTGGAACGTCTTGGTGAAGAGCGTCGCCGAGCTTCCTCGACGCATCAATGAAGCTTTCGAAATTGCCACTAGCGGTCGTCCAGGTCCCGTCTTGGTCGACCTTCCGAAGGACATCACCGGCGGTATTCTCCGAAAACCCATTCCCATGAACAGTACCCTGCCATCTCACCCGATTGCCGCTAGCGAAGCCGTTCGCGCTCTTGGCCGACACAACCTCGAGACCACCCTTGACCGTGTCGCTGAGCTCGTCAATATCGCCAAAAAGCCAGTATTGTACGTTGGTCAAGGTCTACTGGCCCATTCGGATGGCCCCCGGCTTTTGAAGGAATTCGCTGATAAGACCTGCATTCCCGTCACCACCACTCTGCAGGGTTTGGGAGGATTCGACGAGCATGATCCCAAGTCTCTTCACATGCTGGGTATGCATGGTTCCGCCTACGCCAACATGGCCATGCAGGAGGCCGACTTGATTATGGCCCTGGGAGCTCGCTTTGACGACCGTGTCACCTTGAGTGTTTCTCGCTTCGCGCCGCAAGCCAAGGCTGCTGCAGCGGAAGGCCGCGGTGGAATCGTTCACTTTGAGGTGATGCCGAAGAACATCAACAAGGTTGTTCAGGCCACTGAGGCCGTTCAGGGTGACTGTGCCGAAAATTTGGCGCTGCTCCTTCCCAAGGTGAAGCCCGTGGCTGAACGGCCCGAGTGGTTTGCTCAGATCAATGACTGGAAGACTCGCTTCCCGTTGAGTCTCTATGAAAAACAGAGCCCGGATGGGCCTATCAAGCCCCAGGCCCTTATCGAGAAGCTCAGCGAATTGACAGATCCTATCAAGGACCGGACCGTTATTACCACTGGTGTCGGTCAGCATCAGATGTGGGCTGCTCAACATTTCCGATGGCGTTATCCCCGCACCATGATCACCTCTGGTGGTTTGGGCACTATGGGATTCGGCTTGCCTGCTGCCATTGGCGCCAAGGTTGCCCGTCCAGAGGCCCTTGTTATTGACATAGATGGTGATGCTTCTTTTAACATGACTCTGACTGAGTTGTCTACTGCGGCTCAATTCAACATCGGCGTTAAAGTGCTTGTGTTGAATAACGAAGAGCAAGGCATGGTTACACAATGGCAAAATCTATTTTATGAGGATCGTTATGCCCATACACACCAGAAGAACCCCGATTTCGTGAAATTGTCGGAGTCTATGGGTGTTCAGGCTCAGCGGTGTTCTAAACCCGATGAAATTGAAGAGAAATTGAAGTGGCTCATTGAGAGCGACGGCCCAGCACTTTTGGAGGTGCTTACAGACAAGAAGGTCCCTGTCCTCCCCATGGTTCCTGCTGGCAGTGCCCTTCACGAATTCCTTATCTACGACGAAAGTAAGTGAATTGCCTTTGCATTTGGAATATTAATTTTGTACTAACTGCAATGTGTAGAAAAAAATAAGGAGCGAAAGGCCTTGATGAAGAAGCGTGGGGTGAAGGAGATGAACCATTAGCCTCAGCATGGTACATCTCTGCGAAGTTTACCATTCGCGACTTTGATCTTTTTTTGCCGTCTGTCTTTCTTGCGATCTACGGATATCCTTGGCGTTTCTGGGTTTTATCACTTTCTAAAAGCTGTACCTTGAACTAATATTGAACATCATATTCATATATCTTCCATCATATTTGTGTGCCTGGAGAGTCCAATCCCATCCAGGATTTCATTTTCACTTTTTCTTCAATCATGTTTCCCTATTTTCGCTTGTGGCTTTTTGCAACATTAAAAAGTCTACATTATGTGTGGGTGTAACGAGTTTTGAGCACTTTGGGAGCGCAAGTCGCGTTTTTATGGCTTCAAATTTCGGAAACGAAAAGTGATACGAATTTCGGTAGAAAAAATACAAAATAAAATAAACAGAAATAAACAAAACATATCTTGAATCTGCCTGTAGACAGTTGGGGCGAACATAATGGCGGAAAGCTGTACCATGGTGGCAGCCTCAGGAATCAAGCCGAGGCCCGTAACGTGACGTATCGCCAACGCTTCCCCAGAAACTGGGAAGCTTTCCTCATCAACCAAACGCCATTCTTTTTATACTTTAAGAAAAAAACATCATTTTTACCTACATTCAATCAACCCGCGCAAGATGTACCTTTAACACATACCGCCGCGGAATATTCTCAGCCCAAATAAGTCTGCTTTGCTTGAAAGCCACTGCTGTACACTCCACCACCATGGCGTCGCTTCCCCCGCGACAGACGGCCATTAGCAGAAGACGCTTTTCCCAACATAGTGAATCATCCAGCACGTACGACGCAGGAGAGTCAAGCACACTAGATTATAGCCGAGAGTCATCGACATCCACGCAATCCTCAGACGCTGTTTTCCTCAACCACTCGCCCTCACTTCATCAATCCGAATCGGCCTTGCCAACGCCGCCACACAGCTCGTCGGAGGAGATCAACAGAGATACACCAGCGAATGAACATCAGCAACTGAAACAACAGAGCCAGGTAGTGGAGGAACCTAGGAAATGCTGGATCTGCTATAGCGATGAGACCGAAGACTTGCCGCACAGTTCAGAATGGCGTTCTCCGTGTCCCTGTGCCTTGACTGCACATGAAGCTTGTCTTTTAGACTGGCTAGCGGAGCTTGAGAATCCCCGCACAAGCAGACAGAATCGAGGCGACGTACGCATGCAATGTCCACAGTGCAAGTCCAAAATTGTCATCGCACGGCCTCGCAGTTATATAGTTGACATTGTTCGCGCCTGTGAGAGACTTGCCGGTAAATTGGTTATTCCAGGGTTGGTTTTCACATTTGCGGGAACGATATGGGCGGGTTGCTGTGCGCATGGGGTTTACTCCATGTATCTCGTCTTTGGCACCGAGGAGGCGCATACCATTTTCGACCATGGCACCGACAATGCGTGGAGTCCTGTACGGAACGTGGGCATCCCTTTTATTCCTATTGTCCTTATATTCTCGCGGATGTCATGGGCGGATGGCGTCCTCCCAGCTATTCCAGTCTTGTTTTTTGCGACTCATAACCCAACTGGATTCGAACACCAAGGCACTCTTTGGCCACCAAGTGCTTCCATGACCTTTGCAGCTTTACCTTACGTCAAGAGTGCATACAGCGCCCTTTACGAGAGATTATTTGGCAAGCTGGAGCGAAAATGGATCTCCGAAGTTCAACCTCGACACGGCGAAGATGAGGAGCAGCAGGGCGAGCAGGAAAGAGGTGATCAGCGCGCAGGTTTAGGCATTGGGGGCAACGGGGGTATTCTGATGGAGATCGACCTTGAATTGCAGATTGGCATGGACGATGACCGACAGGGCCAGGAGCAGCCTGCCAATGCACCGGACATGAATAACCAAGACAATAATGCGGGACAGATCAATGAGGATGGGCAAGCTGCAGGGCAAAATCAGCAGGACAATGACCAGCAGATCTTAGGCCGACGTCGACAAGAGCTTATTCATGATACAAGTAACCTCGCGGATACAATCCTTGGGGCTCTACTGTTTCCAGCCATCTCAGCGGGAATGGGCGGACTACTGAAACTAGCCTTACCAAAATCATGGACAACGCCGCCGTCAGTTTTTGAAAGAGGGAGAGCCGGACTTCTACAAAGCCGATGGGGCCGCAGCGTAGTCGGTGGATGCCTTTTTGTCCTCCTGAAGGATGCATTGGTGCTGTATTGCCGATGGAGGCTCGCTCAAACCCACCGTAAGCGACGAGTACTGAATTATGACCGGGAGAAAAAGAAGGTTGTACGATAAATACGCTTTTTCTGAGATGTAAAGAACGAATCGAAGCATATCACTCACGATAATTACGGCGTTCTGGACGGGGCTCACCCCATCATCGTTCTGCTTAGGAATTCCGTAGCTGGCCTGAATGCAAATTTTTTGTAGCCATGATTTATTGGTATATACTATAACTACGTGCTGATGTCTTGGCGTGTAGAAGCGGCGCTTGACCTATTCTGGAAGTCATTTGCCGCGCGGTTAAATACTCAAACAAACTGACACTAGCGGAATTTCTCCTGCTATCAATTTACTGCTGCCCATAGTACCAACGCCAAATCAACCGCATCAAGGACGGATTGCGGTGCCAGAGACTTAGCTTGGACAAGAAATCCATCAATTTCGGACTTTTTTGCTTTGAGAAAAAGAAGCTCGTCCAGATAGGGAGAATTGATAGTTATATCAAACATGCGACCACACTCTCCGATTCTGGCCTCCTTGGCCAACGTCTTCAAAATTCCGATTTCAAGACCAGTCGCTTCCCCCAGCTCGGCTATTCTACAGAGTCTCTCAAATTCACAGCAAAAATCCGCGTTTTCGACGACATCTTCACTCGCCAAACGCAAAGGCACATTTACTCCTGACAGGCGTATTAGTATGTGTTTTTACGATTCTTTCTCTTTCTTCTCTTATATCTCTGAAAGCGAAATTAGAGACTGACAGAATGTGTCTACAGCTCTTATAAGATATTTCCTCTGGCACCCACTCACTCCACGACCCCTTCGCTTCTCTCGAACCAGATATTTACGCCACTGGACAATCCACCGCGCATGGCAATTGTTCCAGAACAAGCAGCGAATCGCACACGAAACGGAACTTCATCGCCAGCAGCAGGCCATGTCCGCCGCGTGCGAGGAGTTGCGGACGGGATGCGGTGAGCGTGGCGCAAAGCTCTTCCGTATCTCCATGAATAAGAAGGGCGTGTTTACGGATTTGTTCCCGATTGAGTACGCGAGATTGCAGACTGAGAGTCCGGCCAGGGACGGGTGGAATCACGGATGGAAGAGGACGTAATAGTGGACTGCGTGTATGGGAATGTTGGAATTCAGATCCATTCAATTTTTTTTTTTTCATGTCCGCGCGTTTTTGGAAGGACTCTTGTAAATTAGAACAATAAATGGATGTACTACAGAAATTGTTGGATATACAACTATTAGCTTTGTTTTACTGCTTATGTATCAGAACTGTGCGATGTTCATGGAATCCAGTGTAGTTGTAAATACTGGCTGCTCTCTCTTGTAATGGGAGCATATCTGTGAAGCGATTTCGGACAATATATGAACCCCGTGCCTGGCAATCTTCGATTCTAACATATGCTCTTTCAGCATTCCAAATGCTAGCTGAAACTTTTGCAAACGTCAAAATGCAGTGGATTGTCAATTTCTCTGGCCATCTCAGGATTTTTGATACTCCACCTTGCTGCGTTCTGGGACTGCGCGGCTCTAAAACACAATCCAAGCTGGGATAATGCTAATGCCTCGACCATGGACATAGGAACCATGGAGAAAACCTCTGTTTGGCTTCGATGTCGCATATCGTATAATCTCATCGATAAGTCAAGGATTTTGCATAGCTCATCTATCAGACTGCAATAGTACGACACGCTTAGATCATCACAGCCCTCGTTCTCTTCATCGGCCAACTCCCAAGGATCGGCGAATCCGCGATATAGGCCTGCAATTGCCAAATGAATTGCCATGCGCAGACTCTCTCATTTCACAAGTAATCTTGAAAGTGCAACATCCTAGTTTCTGTCAGGGTTTGTAGTAGAAAGTGCAGGAGGAAGCCGATTAATGATGGTCTTCTCGAATAGCTGAATGCTCTGGGCCACCGTAACAGTATTATATCTGTCTGTTTTCCAGGATTTAGAGCCTATCGTATGTGATATGAAGCGATTGGCATGGACTTGAAACAGTCTATCTGTAAATTGCCTGAGAATGTTAGGACTAGTCGTGATGACTTGGATTTTGTCATGCGGAAGATCAATATCACAGTAGTCTTCCGGAATAGGCGGCCAAGAAACGAAGACATAAACCTGGTAAGAGATTGATTGTTAGTCTGATCTAAGTAAGTAAGCTAGCTTTCTAGAGGGTCCTTCTCACCGATCCCAAACATAAAGCTTCCAAAATGCCCGTCTCCATAATTCTTTGTCGAGGTCGCTGACGCCAGATTCCGGCACAGTTCGAGATGAAGACCGATTTCATGGGCTTCCTTTACCGTGTCGGCAAGAACTAGCCAACTATCATTTATCAAGCCTTTACTTTTTAGATAACAAACATTGAAAAAAAAAACATGTGCTGTCGAGGTTAACATGCTGGGTAACAGCCTCCTGGTCTAGAAAGCCGTATTACAAGAAGCACGAAATCAGTATCCATACCTATGCCTTGCCACCAGAGCTTGTAATCTCGCACGAATGTAGGCTCGTAAAGCATTTCATAGACCCTGTTGACTTCTTTGAAGAATATATCTATAAGATTGTCGATAATAGGCTTCTTGGGCAGCATTTCCCGTATTGATCGTTGACTTTGTTGAGTAATATCGACCTGTTTCTTTCTTGACTGCGAAACGACATTCGTTCTCTCTATTTCTTGGAGTGCACCGGGCCCATGTTTCATGTATCCAAGCTCAGAGCTGTCCTCTGCGTCAAATGAAACAGAGTCGCTATATCCGCCTCTATTCTGGCTTTGGCTCTTAGGTTTCGTTTCTTGATATGAACTGCGGTCTTGCACACCACGGCTGATACAGTGTTGGCATGGTGTTTTCCTGTCACACTATACACATGAATTTTACGCCAGTACAAAATTGTAGGTGTGTGGAATCCTGCCTACCTTTTGCTTCCGTCTGTTACACTCAAAACATGACTTGATAAGCCGGTTTCTAGTCCTTTTCATCGTATCTACAAGATCAATGTTTCAACCCTTGCATGATATATCTGAAGAAGTATGCTGTAAGATCTGGTTCTTGACTTCTTCGCGTTTGGCAACGTTGCGGACGGCAAGAATAAGATGGCTCGCGTGATACAGTGCACATTTGATAGCAGCTTCACGACCAATTCCGGAATTTGCTCCTGTGATTAGAATCATTTGTCCCGAGAGGTCGAGAGAAGTAGGAAGTTGGTTGGGGTGGAAGAAAATCTGGCGGAATAGATAACCTATGAATGTCATCTTGATTCTGGGGGAACAAGAAAATTGTATAAATACTTACAAAGTAGAATACTAACAGAGAAAGTTGCCTTCTCTTATATCCCATGGTGTTTCGGCCATAAACAATCGTCGGCGTTTAGGGTGCGGTCTTAATGCCGAAACGATTTCTTTCGGGTTTACCATTCCCATGCACAATACGAACCGAGAGCTTGAACGAGAGTATATCCATGCGATGTTAGGTTTCAAGCCTTGGAATATGTCGAGCGCATGTTTCTTCGACGGTTTCTTATAGATACTATATGGAGGTCCAAAACGTTCGTGAATGTTAGTTATGTATGCGTTTGTATATATAAGATAATGATATTGACGTGAAGAACGACTTAAAAAAGGACAGAGAAGGAAACAAGCCAAAAGAGAAAATCATGGACAAATTTTTTGCTTCCGCACTTAATACAGTGAAATCGGGAAAGACATACAATATTAAGAGTCAACTAATATTTTCAAGTCTGAAATTCAAAGGATAGGACAGTGAAGAGAAGCGCCTGCAAAAAGGAACACTTGAACGCCGGATTGATGCAAGTTTCTATTTCAGTTTGGTGTGCTGAAATTGGCAATGGTTATGACGATAAAAGGCTCGGTGAAAGTGGTCATTTTTTGAGGAATCACAATGGACAATTTACGAGCTCAGAGCACACCGGAGGATAATTGGGCGCAGCCCCCAATATTCGCATGGTTGAACTGATCATAGCACAACGCAGCAGGAGTTGTGTTCCTTTTCGAATGTGAGGAGCGCCGCTCGAGTTGCAGCTTCGAAAACGTCGTCCACCCCCTCTCCCGTCAACGAGGAACATTCGAGATATTTGCGAGCGCCAATTTGGGCGGCGGCTTCATTGCCTTCCTTTGGTGTTAGGAATCGGAGTGATTTTTTCCTCATTTCCTCAATCGCAACTGGGTCGTCCCGAAGATCTTTCTTCAAGCCGACCAGGATAATCGGTACACCGGGGCAGCGCTCGTTGGCTTCTTCGATCCACTACAAAGATTAGAGCGTTAGCGAATGATAGGTTTCAAGAGGGCTAATAGGATTGATTAAACCTACTTTGGTTTTCACGTTGTCTAACGAGTCGGGCGTGTCGACGGCAAAACCTATCAGTAGTACATGCGCTTTGGAGTATGCCAAAGGCCGTAGTCGCTCGTAGTCTTCTTGTCCAGCCGTGTCCCATAATGCCAATTGCACTGATCGCCCGTCCACTCTGCAATCGGTGACATAATTCTCGAATACCGTAGGCACCTAGCCAAATTAGCGACGCACAAGGCAGTAAAAGTTTCGATCGGGGTGAGCCTGTGGGAGATCGACGGTGAATACGTCGCAGAAGAGCAGAAAATACTCACATAATGCTGTTTTGTATATTAGCACCGAGTAATGCTAAAGGGAAAGGTTCGAATAGAATACTTACTGTTGGAAAGTAACCAAGAGTAAAGACACTTAGCAAACTTGTTTTTCCACAAGCACCATCACCTATAATCACCAGTTTCCTGGGCAAGACATAAGAGTCAGCGACACCGAGTCAAGGAATTCGAAAACAAATGCGCCCCCAGTTCAAAAGATACCCTTGTGTGGCCCAAAGTAATCTCAATAAGAAGCAGGATTCACCAGCTCGAGCATGATGGCTGGTTTCCGGACCCCCTCTCTTCTTCAAAGCAGCACGACACACTGGGTTTTTTCGCCAAAGAAAAGAGAGTATAAATGTCCCGTCACGTAACTTACCTCCGCATAACATTATCCGTAGGTTGTTGGGCCATGATGGCAAACGGTGTGGGCTTCGAGTAGGTTGGGTAGCAAGGAAAATGATCAGGCTAGGTGATACGTATATGGTAGCGATACACGAATAGACGAAAGAATGCTGCAAAGATATTTCGCGGCAAGATGGCGCCTTCTTATAACTGTGATGCAACAGGTTCCGTATACGTCTTCACAGATGGCTGGCTGAATCACGAATTGCGCTGGCTGATCGATTGTTTACGGGGTAGACACAATGGGGTCGGTGAGACACGGCGACGGCTAATGCGCGGGAAGGTAAAACATCGAATCATGCATAAAGAGACAGATTGAACTTTTCTAGAATTGGTTCTCGAGTTGGCAGCTCGAGTCCCGACAGTTTCCCCTGTAACGTTGAGACCAGCGGGTACCGGGGGGGGGCTATGCCTCGCCAATCCGAGGGGCCGGAACGCGGCGAAGAGCAGTGAGATGTCTCAGGCCGACACCAAAACAACGATCAAGATTCAAGATGTCAATCAGAGCAGCGAAGTACAAAGCTGGGCACGGTCTGACGGTGGGGAAGGGGTACTCAGCGCAAGAAGAAGAAGAAGAAGAAGAAGCCGATGAAGACGAAGAGGAAGGAGGACGGCGCAGAGAGTGGGTTGGTTGCCTGTCACGTTTACCCCTTTTGGTATGGCCTGCCGCTACGTGGTAAACACCGCCCACGCGAAACTCCCGACGACATCTTCATCACGCAACGTCTTCTTCGACCGGAAATCACCTATGCCTCTGCCCAAGAAAAAGAGATCAACCTTCACTATCAATCGGGATACTATGACAGGCACACTAGATTCTTTGATCAAGAATACTGTTGCGCATTATCACCTTGGAGCAAGTGCCAGAGTCTCGTTTATAGAGGGAAAATAGGTATATTCGTTTTAGGGATTTTTGCGTCGAACTAACTGGGTCACCTTTCACGGGCAGATCCATGCGGCGATGATTGTGAGGCAGTATATTCTTACTATTCAATGATATTCATATTGTATAGCTCTACACTAGCCTACACAGCCCCCGTGATACCTCCACTGACATCCATGTGATCCATCTGCTCTTCTCCGACGTCAGCAAAAGAATGGAACCAGCAACATCTTGAGGTGTTGCAATTCGACTGCATGCACGGACTGCCTGTTCCTTTTCAGAAAACTTGTCCGGGTCAGATTCCGTCATATTAGTCCTGATAGAACGAGGGGCCACGACGTTAACTGTTATTCCACAGCCTCAACAGGACCGACTTTGGTATCCAATGAGCCAACACTAATGATGTGGCCGCCCTGTGGCATGTGGCTGATTTTTGCTTTCGTCATAAAAGATAGGGCCAAACACGTTTGTTGCGAATTCTTGGGAGATGATTTCCGACGACGCTGCCATGCTGGTGACAAGATGCCCTACTCCGGCGTTATTGACGACCATCAGAGAAACGAAATTCGAACAGTTCTGGTATTTTGTACCGAGCTTATCTAGGATATTTATCCCGTTTGTTCCAAGAACTTCCAGTGCATCGCTTACAATCTTGCTTGACCTCTTTTCCGGTCTCCGTGCACTACAACTGCAGCGCCATTGGACTTGCGTAGGGTATCAGCAAGTGCATGCGCCCGAGATGCAGACGAATCCGAAAATAATGATTGGCTACCGATGCACCATTCTTTGCTAACGTCTTCGCGATAGCTTCAACCTATACCGTTTTCGCGCCCATAACCGGTGATAGGGGCGATCTTCCCTTGAGTGGCAAAGTATCAGCGACCATTTTTGGTAACATGAGTATTCAAAGTCTCTATAGAATGTAACCTTTTTTTTTTCGAGATCAAACCTGTCTATTGCGGTCGTGCTGGCACATTCATAATAAATGGTGATACCGAGGACGTAAACTGCGTGCTTAGATGAGGACATCTCTCATAATAAACGCGCTTCACTTTAAATATGTCGTCTTTAGCATACGACATAGCAGAGCTAGTGTAATTTTGAGCTTCACGCAATGTTGGGACTATGAAACTCTGAGGCTGGTTGGGGGATCCAAACAAAGTCGCGGTTTGGGGTTTGGGAAATGAAGAGTATTGATATCAATGCTAGCTCCTATACGAACTGACAAATATTCATTTGACGAATGTTCGAGAGAAGCTTCAATGAACTTAACAATTAGTTAGACAAATTATCTTGCAACTGCCCAAGTGCATTTTCCAAGCTCTTGTAATGGGTTGTTACTCAATCAGCTTCTCAGCCCTGCTTCCTCGAGACACTAAAGGGAGCCTTGAGCAGCAAGATAAGAACGGAAACCTCATTCTACGACGTTCCGCTGAGACCTGTTATTCCCTGCCACCAATTGGGAAGCTGCGTTGGTAACGCATCCATCCTATTTTAGAGGAGGCTTTCAATAACCCAATAGGAGACCCTGGAGAATATGCAGCCTTGGTACGATACCACCAAGCAATCTCGAAAACTTCTCCCTGGATAGTCCGGCTGCTACACAGTACGTTGAGAATTTTTCAACCCAACATGTGGGTTCCTGCTAGCAAGGGCCTCGAAAGCAGCTGGCCTGTTCAAGTTTACATCCATGGTGGATTCCTGCAATTTGATAACCCAAGTCAAGATGATATACATGACCCCTTTGATTTACTAGCATGCTCGAAACCTCGGATCATTGTCTCTGTAGGGATATCGCGTCAATATGTTCGGAACATTGAACTGGCGAGGAGTTGGGATATCCGCGTTTCCGTGCCATTCCCGCGACAGATTTCGCTGCAACAATTCCTCCAACTTTCCCAACATACCTTTCGTGCCTGCACTGATGCCGAGCTTTTTTTGCTGGCGGGTTTGTACCATCATCCTTCCTGACCTCCATACATTCCGGTAGGTTCGCGACACACCTCGCTGAAAACGGTACCCAGCTTCTCACCAGCGAGGTTCGTAGTTTGGCTCGTTCTCTTTTGAATCCTCCAAATGGAAAGACTTTGCCTAGTAATATCTCCTATTTCTTAGACTCGCTTGGCGTAAAAGAGACTGGATAAATGGTGGACTCCATCTTTTGATGTGTGTCATTCCGGAGATCTTCCGATCTGGACGGCGTCAGGATATCAAGCAGGGCTTAGCAAAAAAGACAAGGCAATAACTGAAACGGCAATCCTAAAACCCTTCGGTAAGCTCGTTTACGGGGTTGAAGAGATAAGCTGAGGTGGCCATGGCAGTGGAAATACGTATAGAATTGTAAATGAAGATGGTGAAGGAAGGGAGGGCTGTGCTGATGCAGACTGGGAAATGGGACTACAAGTCTGGGATGCCGTATGGGAGGAACAGAAGGATGAGTAAACTTGCTGTGCATATGAACACATTTGTTCTGACGAACGTCGACGCCTTGGTCCCAGAGCTAAAGCCATATTAGCAGCCCGAAAATGCCTGGAATATTCGATCTAAAGACGGGTTCAAAAGTAATCTAGCTTCGCTGTAGGCTTTTACCTCAAACTAGGACCTAAATCTTTGAACCTGGGGGAACGAAATCCGAGTCTGCCTAGGTATAATTTGCGTTAAGATTGTCTGTTCAAAAGTATGAAATTATCAATAGAGATATTGTTACAGTTTCCCTTTTACCTGTAAAGCCTGGACGACCTCACTACAATCTACGCAATTAAGCGGTTTGTCTTAGAGGGATATCTTAGAAAGTGTCCCACGTTCTTATGTCAAGTTTTCTAGATTCAGCGCTAACGAGCAGTGTATGCGTATTATTATCAATCGATTAGGGCTGCTGGTAGCTTCTAACCAGGTTATTATTGTCTGCCATAAGAGATATCCATTTACAACACGTGCTTCAAAAAACATCCAAATCATACTAAGCGCGCCTTTGCACGCCGGGCCAGGAACTGTGCATGCGATGATTAGTTTCTTGTCTCCAGTAGAAGTAAACAGATGACGTGGGATCGATAGAAAAGCTTGGACATAAGGGAGTCCCCACTCCCAGATTCCCGCGGACCCACTCCGATTCCTACTCCGGAGTACGTCCTATACTCCGTGCCATATAAACTTCAAAGTGAGATGACGGAAGCTCCGGGGCTAGCTTATTTGAGTTAGACCCATCCCGCATTATCTCCAGTCTCGATTCGTCGCTTCATGTAACGTTGATAAGCGCGTTTAGATAGGATAACCTGAAACTTTATCACTAGTGTAAAAGAGTTCCATGAATTTTGCAGCCAATCAAGGTGCCAAGGCGCTCAAGTGAGCAAATGCCCAGTCCGAGGCCAGCCGCCGGCCGAGTCAGACATATGTCCTACTGGAGCATATTATCTGAGTTGGCACACGGTCACCGTCGTAGCTGCATTAAACTAGTCCCAATTAGGCAACTTTTCACTAATCACGACAACCTCCAGACTCTGGAGAAACCACGCTGAGCTGCATTCCGGTGGAAATATCACGATACTACATCTGAGTTATTAATCGCGCTGATTACTAATGCTGTGCAAGATCATTTTGACCATGCGCCTATTTATTCTTAAGTCAACAGAGAGTATCCGTCCTAGAATTCAAGGTCAGCATTTGTATCTAGTTTCGACAATACCACCCTGAGGAGAGCAATTCAAGTAACATGGAAGCCCGCCAGATCAGCTTTGACGACCCTTCAAAATTGGAGTCTCTTGTTGCCCCAGATGAAGTTGTCTATCTCATTACAGGTGCCAACAGAGGTAATTTTTGAGTCCTCAACAAATTCGGTATTAGCTAAACAGAATTAGGGATCGGATGGACACTTCTAAAATACCTTGTTCTCCGCCCAAATATTGTGGTTATTGCTTGTGTCCGTCGTCTGACCACACAGTTCACTGATAACCTCGAAAACATCACCTCGCATCCTACGTCTCGCGTCCTGATTAGCGAACTCCCAGATCTCAATGGAAGCGAACCCTCTAGTGACCAAAAATGGGACAATATTCGAACGTCCCTCGAGGCCGGTATTCATGGTTTCCACATTGACGTCCTCATCGCCAATGCAGGAACCAATACTCCGTATGTTAGTGCCAAGGATGCCACCCCTGCAGATTTTCGGCTCGGATTTGGAGTCAATGTTATTGGCCCACTGAATCTCTTCCGTACTTTTCGGACATTGCTCCTTGCTGCTAAAGAGCCCAAGTTCATTGCCATCAGCTCGCTGGGCGGAAGTATCGAGACGGGCCCTGACTTGGGACCTATGACGTCGTATGGATCTAGCAAGGCTGCTCTTAATTATTTGACGCGTAAAATCCATGTTGATGAAGAGCGGATAACCACATTGGCTATGGATCCCGGGTAAGCGGAACATATTACTCAATATCCCTGCTTGTTTGACCCTGACGGTTGTTTCTAGATTTGTCCAAACTGATATGGGTGGAATCTTTGCCGCGGTTCTGGGTATTGAAAAACCTCCCGTGACGGCAGTTGAGAGTGCAACGGGAATTCTGAAACGGGTAAGCCTTTCTGAGTGATTCTTTTATGCACTCTACTAACATTGACTCAGATCGACGAACTTGATAAAACTACTTCAGGACGATTCCTGGATATTGAGGGCAAAGTGAATCCTTGGTAGTGAGCGACAAGGCAGATTCTAGTATCAACTTTTCCGAGGTCGGATACCTAAGTCTATTTACGAAATATACCTAGGTAGTTGACAGCCAGGCTTCTCTAAGGCCCATGCCCTGTCGCCTATATAAAAACAGCCCAGCCAACACAGTTCTATGATACCTTCTCATTCAGAACATACAGACGATTGGTAGAACTTAGCCCCATCTCTCAACGGCCTCTAACTTTCTGGTATAAAAATTCCGCCAATCCAATCGTTGCGATAAGCGCGCTAAGTTGTTAACTCTCATATTCTTAAGCGCACCAATGGTCTTGGATGCGAGGACCAGAGTTGAAGATTTGAAGATTCTTACGAACCTCTATAAAAACGGGTAGCGTACATTGTCCTAATTCGCTTACGAATGCTAGCTTCCACTGACATAAGTTCCCTCAACACGAATATTGATGCCAGTATATATTAAAAAGATTTATATTAGAGTTCTTGCTAGGCTCCCAGAGTGTAGGATTTCAACGGCAATCAGGATCTATCATAATGGCAGGAAGCTCTGCGTGGAGGAGCAGGCGAAGCGTGATGCAACATTCCGAAAGAATGGCTGCTCAAAGAGCTTCCATATGATGGTATCGCCAATGCCATGCCTGTCCCGTATACTTTCTGGATTATGACAACGGGGGAGCTTGAGCTGCCCGAGTTGGATGCCACATAATCGCGTGGAATTTCAAAGTCAGGAGAATTAAAGAGTATGATCTTACCCTAGCGATTTGCAGGAGGGCTGCCATCGCATAGCAACTGGTTTGTACAGTCACATGAACCTTTGTCATCATGTCTGACTCCTTGATAGGATTAATTGTATCACATACATGTTTGTTGAAGAAGCGCTTGAGCGAGCTCGGCAACTTGATGAATAATTTGAGAGAACTGGAAAGGTCGTAGGGCTTTATCACGGGCTGCCATCCTCCATTCAAGACTGGTGGGCAGTTCAAGGAAAATGATCAACCGTAGGATATGTTGCTATCGTTGGAAATATATCTCAAGAAGACGCTCTGGTTTTTCGTCTTATTTGAGAAGCTGGTGTAGGTTAGTAATCTGGAACATCCGAACAAGGCGGCATTCGTCGCTGACGATATCAAACTATTAGAATTCTACTGTAAGACAACGCAACCATAAAGTAAGTGGCAGATTGCCTTGAACTACGTACTGGGCATATATTGACGTCAAATTTCCAACAGGTGGGATGCACTTTGAAACTTGTAGCAATGGTGAATTTTTATTTTTTCCATCTTCACCTTCCCCTTACAGTAATTCTTGAATCTTCACTGAAACGGAAAGATATAAATTAGTTTACGGAAGGACTTTAAACCCATGCAATCAAAGCTCACTTGTGGCGGCTCAAGCGGTGGAAAAGGCGCCTTGGTAGCCTTTCGTCGCTCACCTATCGGCCTCGCAGCAGATATTGGCGGAAGCATACTCTCACCTGCTGCCAACAACGGGTCTGTTTGGAGCCAAGGTCTTCCCTGCTAGAGTGCCTCTTGAGGGGATCTTTGTTTTGGGAAACGACAGCGTGCCTTACGTTATTAAATCGGTGTGTACGAGATAATGAGTACTTCTTCAAGGCTATCTTCGGAGCAGAGCCTTGAAGTTGACGCACTCAGGGGTTCCTTGCCTTGGAAAGAGATAGCTTTGCGGAGAAACTCAAGATCGCTTTCCTCTGGGATGGTGGTATTGTGAAATCGCATTCACCTATCACTGCTTCCATGCAGAATTTAAGGCGAAAACTGGATCGGTTGTCACAGTTTGAGACTGTAGATTGGTGGCCCTTCCAGTGTGCCCGAGGCCATGCAATGGGCAAGAAGCCGTATTCCTACTGAGTTAGTATATATAGTCTTAAAACTTGGAAGTGAGAGAAAATTACTACGCAAGACGAGAACACTACTTATCGCATCTCGACTTTTGTCTTGCCTTTCTGCTTGACTTCTGCCTGAAAAAACAAGAACATCCTTTACACAGTAGAACTTGATTTCTTCACACACCAGTGGATCGTTGATATGTTGATTCCCTCACCGATTAGGAACGTTAAATGTGACCTAGTCAAGCATGTGAATACTTACCGGCGTTGCTTTCGCATTCGGAGTGCTCAATCATTTCTGCAACGTGAGTCCACAGCGTTGCGAACGTAAAAGACCGACGACTGAATTGGAGAACCTCATACATTGAGGCATGGTCGACGAACCTTCTAGGCTCAATGCTCCGCTTGTTCATGGACATCAATATAGATAACAAGCGCGGATTAATCAGTTGGAAAATGTGCCATATACTAGATAGCAGAATACGAGGGTACACTATGTAGGCGTGACCGCGGTAAGATAGCCATCGACGAGATTTAAGCGCGATTATGCAGGTACGCGCTTGATAGCCTGGACCCAGTGATGGGGGTGTATGGGCCGTTGAGGAATACCTTTAGCCTATGGAGCGGATTAGTCTAGTATTATGACAGCAAAAATATATATAGATCAGCCATCTTAATACTATTCATGCAGTTCATCAACGGGTAACTTCATCTCGCCGCTAAGCTAGCACGTAACCTTCTAGGCCTCGACCAGGAGCAATTGTGAACAATGCGCGAAAACGGGCGGTCAGTACAGCCTCTCAGGCTTTCACGGAACACCACCGAGTTGTTGGCAAAAGAGCAAAAGTATTGTGCTGGAGGATTTGAACCGGTTCCGGCATTCTTTGTGAGGGGTCAAGGTTCTCGTTTATGGGTATGTGCTATGTTTTGCCAATCCTCCATATGAATAATAGACGATCGCCAGCTGATATAGACGGGCCCAGGATGTGGATGGCAAGGAATACATCGATTTCATATCGATGTTCAGCTCAACAAATATTGGCCACTGTCATCCCTATGTAGCCAAGAAAGTTATCGAGCAAACTGAGAAGTTATCGATGGCCAATATAGCAACGCACAATGCCACACATGGGCCCTTCGCTGAAATGATGTGCAAGAGATTCGGCTATGATAAGATGATTTCCATGACGTCGGGAACAGAGGCCGCAGATACGGCATGCAAAATTGCGCGCAAATGGGGCATCCAGACCAAAGGCATCTCACCTCAGTCATGTCTGATTTTGGGCGTGGGCTCTTCTTATCACGGGCTTGGGTCTGGCGTTTGGGGCTTGATGGACGCCTCTTCCAAGCGTACAGAATATTGACTGGACAGCAAGGCCGCCATGAACGTTAATCCGACTGACGGTTCACCACTCGCATACGGTGATGCTGAGGCTATGCGTCGATGTCTAAGTGAACCTCATGAAAACGTCGCTGCGGTCATTATGGAGTGTCTTCACGGCGCATCTCGAACAGTCGAAGAGGAAATTGCCTATGCAAAAGGCATTTATGAGCTGTGCCACCAATATAACGTGTTGTTCATCGCCGATGAAGTCCGTCAAGGTGCAGGAAAGACTGGGAAGTTTCTCTCATATGAACACATAGGCACCGATTTCAAGCCCGACATCGTCACCATGGGTAAGTCCATCACAGGCTGGTTTCATTCATCCTCGGAAATTCGGCTGTCATGTCACTGGTTGACACTTACGAGATGGCCTCAACTTTTGCCTTTACTCCAATTGCCATAGCAGCTGCAGTTGCTACAATTGAGGTAATTGACAGGGAGGATTTGATGAATCATGCAGTGACCCTTGGAACAAAGTGGAAAGCCATTTTAGAGCGCTGGAATCATCCGAAAATCGACTACGTCAACAGTATGGCTGCTGACTCAGACTCGTATATTCGTGGCTGTTTTGGGCCCCGTTTAGCTGCGCTCTGTATGCACAAAGGCCTATTGGTTTACCCAAGGCCAGACGGACTACGCATCAGCTTCGCCATGAACATGCCGACGGAGGATCTATTGAAGGGAGCTGAGATTATCAAGGAGGCTCTAGATGAGATCGATGAGTATGACGAAATGCCTGGTGAAGACTTCTCCAAGACGATGGCAAGCGTGGAAGCATAAAAGCACTATATTATACAACATTTAAGTGGTAAAATATCCTTCCAGCACAAGCTTGAGAGGTGGTTCTCTCTCTCAGGCCATGCAAAAATTGATAGCATGCTTCTTCATTATGAAATGTAACCCATAAGGCCCATAAGCACATCTATTGGAATCCTCCCAAACAATTCGGAGCAGATCTGCAGCTTTGCTTACGTGGCTCATTTGGAATTTGCTTTTCTGGCAGTACCCTTCTAGGAGAAGTCGTTGATCTAACTTGATGAGACATGATCCCATTATCATAATCGGCCATAGCATGATTGTGCCGAAAGGTGAATCATCGAGTTTAAGTAAATTTTCAAAGGCAACGTCGATATGGCATTGAATTTCGCAAACAACTTTCGGGTTGTCTATGACCGACCCGCACATAGATGCCTTTAAATAGATCAAAATTGAATGCTGATAGACCTCGCCCGCCAGAGCCCTTTCAGCTTGCCACGGCTGCATATCAAGTCCTAGATCATTGGGCTCCCAGTCATTGATACTTGAAAGAAGGTTTTCATATGTAGACAAGGTCTCTTTTGAGCCTTTACCAACCCGCTCTTCATCAAGGCGTTGCATGGATAGTCGTGAAATGTCGGCAATTTTCTCGAACAGCCAATAGCCGCAGCCGACGAACGTGCCGAATGTTGAGTATTGCTGCAATGGTTCAAGAGAAGTCACAAAGTCGTCCAAAGGAAGAGTACGCTCTTCAACTTCCCCGTAAGGTGTGATATTGGCTACCAAGACTAGGTAAGCGTACGTCTCTAGAACGAAGCCTTTATGATCCTGGTCGTCCTTACTTTTGCAATGCATCGGACTCTGCAGAAGCTTGAGGATGAGATGCCGGCTTACGCGTAGGTGAGGATAAACAGCACCGTTGCACTCTCCGGATATTGCCTGGCGGACGACAAGTCAGTTCCTCGTTAGGCATAATCTTTTTGAGGATCATGTACCTCAACATGGCATAGCACCATCAATATGGCCAGAAGGTGCAAACTCTCCTCAGGTGACACAATAGACAGACGCTGACTTTGCGAAGGGTTTTAATGACCACGGCGTAGTGTTTCCAAGTACATTGCCGAATCTCTGTGGCACTAGGATATTTGCAGATATAGTGTGTGCCGCTGAGGGCCAAGATAGCATGCATAAGCAGATCATCACAATGTGCAAGAGGCATTACGTGCGTGATAAAGGGGTTCGTCATCATCGGCTTCGCCGCCAATAGAGCCGAGGTACTCTCTAAATAGTGTCGCAGGAGCAAACGAGAGCAGGGACGTACCAACGGCGCTCGTGTTGCCGCAAGGTATAACTCTGTTTCCGGATTCCATTCCATAGTCTGGGGGCTCAAGCCTTGGAACGAAGCTGTGTCTTCTAGTGGTATCTCCGCCAGGCTGAGGGATATCTCGTTATTAGAATCACTGCCATCCTCGATACGGACACTTGCGACAGCTGAGATCCCCGGAGGCTGGGATGGACGATAATCACCCCCTTCATAACTGGACGCCTCTTTGCCGACCCCTGTGAGTAAATTCCCTGTCAGGCCGCGATGAATCATGCTCCGGGGCCTTGCAAATCGGCCAAGTGCAGTCCAATTGATTCCGAAGGCATCCAATGCAGACTGGTTTTGCCTCGTCGCATTTCTTTCTACGCCGCCGGCAAGTGAGACAGCCTGTGCGGGTTCGTACAAAGCGCTGACAATGTCGCATGGGCAATGAAAAAAAGGCCTGTGAATATTGACAATCTAGTGGGAAGAAGGCAGTCGCAGAAGAGGGCAAGATAAGGCTAAGCCACAGCAAGCCCTTTCCTTATCAGGCATAGTCCATCACCTAGCCATTTTTGTATATCTATAGGCGGATCAACTGTATTGCCTAGCTACTCTTTAAGATCTAAAGGATGAGGAAGAATCGTACCACGAAACACGTACTAGGTACGTGCGATGCGGTGCCCAAGGAGCGAGATGAGATACCCCTCGTTGACATCGGTACTATGCTGGAGTGAGGCCCATGTCTGGTATCCATTTTCCAGCAATCCTGCGAAGGTCGTTCACCTTCATGTCTCAGAAATCGGTTGAAAGACATCTCTCCGTGATCGATATTCCTTGTATGCGCTAAATGAATCATCGTAAGAAGGGATAGCAGTGGCGCCTAAAGGTCTCCATGATCGTGCTGTAGAAGAGATAGGAGTGCGTGCCTGGGGCAAGAAAGCAGTAGAAACCAGTGCCAAGAGAGACCAACCATATACGGTTAGAGTTTCTCGAGATTCCCGAATGCCTGAGGCATAAGGAAGACATAACCTGAGCCCTAGTTAGTTAACAACTAGTTAACCTAAGCATTTAGTCAGTGGGAGAGAAAAAATGCGATTGACAACTCGTTCATAGATTACCTACATCATACCTAGGTACTTAATAGTTGCCACACTGTCTAACTAAGATGGCGGTTAGTGGTGTACTTTTGTTACAACCTGAGGCTCTTACTTAGGAGCCAGGCACCGTGTATTTACTCAATCCTGGAACCACGAGTAGTTATCCTAGCCAAGTACCGGGATAAAATCAATATTTTATTACCTGCGCGTGCTCTATACTATGTGTTATGGTTCACCTACCTAGGTTCTGGTAGTAGGTACCCTGTTGGAACAATGCGCAGGGTTGCATAGTAGGTTCCCCCCTCCTCCACGGAGTGCACGGGGAAAGGAACAACGACTAAATCACAAATGCACTGTTTCTTTTCTTGTATATTATATTTGGCATCGAGTCGAGACTGACTGTCTGAGACTCTGAGGTGAAAAGGCGCTCGCTTGCGGCGTCTATGGGACAAAATTGATTTGGTGGTGCCCGCTTTTGTTCCAGCGGCGGGCGGCACTTGGACCAGCCAGAGCGCAGGAAGCATAGGGCCCGCGTTAAGCGTTTGATCTTCGTCTGCCAAACCTCTCCTGCTGGCTCTTTGCGTTTCTTCCCCAGGCACCTTTGATCCTACCGTTGCGTGTTTTGGACCACACTCACCACCCGACATACCAGATTCTTCAGGCAAGCTTCTTGCCAGCTGAAGCTTTCGCCGGAACCTGCTTTTGGCCGCTACCCGCGCGGCGGCATTGAGAATCTTCCCCTCCTTCCACCTCCGACCTTTGATATCCTGACCTCCCCAGCGGCGATTACCACACCCCGATACTCGACCGAGTCTCGAAAAGCTTTTGATTTGCTACCAGGACACAGCTTAGGAAGGGTTCGAGACCTTTTTACATGTCCCCAGAGGTCCCGCAGCTGCGTTAACTGCATCTCAGAAAGCAGCATGTCTGCCGCCCTTGACCGACCACCCGCCGCCCACACGTCGACTAATTCCAAGACAAAACAGTCGGTCCAGGTACCACAGCCAACCTCGGTGCATCCGCAGACGAATCGATCGGCAAGCGAGACTGGTAGTAGGCCCGCATCAGACACAATGACTCCTGTCAACCGTAAGAAGCAGAAAAGACGGCAAAAACAGGCAGCGCGCCTTGCAGCTGAACAGCAAAATCAGAATGGCGGCCTTCCAACACACTTACCAGGCGATACCCACTACCAAAAAGACCAGTCTGATGACGATGGTGACATCTACGATCATGACGATATCGATGATGATGACGAGGAGGCTAGGGACGACAGAGACAGCAACTTCGCACCTATGACTAATGGGAACGGGGCGACCAAGACATCTAAATCGAAGAAGAAGAAGAAGTCGAAGACTCGATCTGTTTCGCAGACATTAGCCGATGAAAGTTCCACGTCCCATTCCGCGCCTTCTGCGACAACGAATCGATCACAGCCACCTTTATCATCTCTACCGGTCAGCCAACCTGCCAGTAAACCCAAGGATAGAATCTGGAATACGTCGACTCAAGAAGAACGTGAAAATATCAAGAAATTCTGGCTGGAACTTGGCGAGGATGAGCGACGGGCCTTGGTGAAAGTAGAAAAGGATGCGGTATTGAAGAAAATGAAGGAGCAGCAAAAACATTCCTGTAGCTGCACTGTTTGTGGACGGAAGCGGACGGCAATTGAGGAAGAGCTTGAGGTATTGTACGATGCATACTACGAAGAGCTTGAACAGTATGCGAACAACAACCAAGGAACTTTCGAGAATGGCGCTCCTATCATTCCTCCACCACGATTATACCACCACAACCTTCATTCCCTTGATCACCGGCATACGCATACGCATTCACACCCACACTCGCATTCGCATCCGCATCCGCATCATATCCACCATCATCATCATCACCACCCATCTCATGGGAGGGTACATGAAATCCCGGAAGATGAAGATGACTTGGAGGATGATTACGATGAAGAGGATGAAGAAGAAGAGCCATACAGTGATGATGAACTGGACGATGATAGCCGTGATGAGCGAGCGGACTTTTTCGCTTTTGGAAATAGTCTCACCGTGAAAGGTCTGGTCATATTGATTTTTCTTTCTCAGTCCTTACTCAGGCTAACCCTGATCTAGATGGCATATTGACTGTCGCCGACGATCTTTTGAAAAACGACGGGAAACATTTCATTGACATGATGGAACAACTGGCCGAACGTCGAATGCAACGTGAAGAAGATACACAGTATGGAATGGTAGCTGCACATCAATCATACCATGCAGGACATAACCATGGACCTCTGGATGAAGATGATTACGATGAAGAGGAAGAAGAAGACTACGATAGTCAAGAAGAAGAAGACTATGAAGATGATGAAATGGTTGGTCAGGTTCTTTTGAACTGTTTTACAAACAAAGAGTTGTGCTGACGTCAATGTCTGTTTACTTGCAGGATACGATGACCGAAGAACAACGCATGGAAGAAGGCAGACGGATGTTCCAGATATTTGCGGCTCGAATGTTTGAGCAACGAGTCCTGACGGCGTATCGAGAAAAGGTTGCACAACAACGGCAGGAGTTACTTCTCCAGGAATTACTGGAGGAGGAAACATTAAATGAACAGCGATCCGCAAAGAAAGCCCGTGAAGCGCAAAAGAAGAAGGACAAGAAAAGGCAACAGAAACAAGCTAGAGAAGAAGAAAAGGCTCGAAGAGAGGCCGAAAAGGCTGCTGAAGAAGCCGCCGCTCGTGCCCTTGAAGAAAAGAAGCTGGAGGAACAGAGGCGGAAGAAGGAAGAGCTGCGAAAGAAGAAAGAGGCCGAGAAGAAAGCCCAAGAAGAAGAGCGCTTACGAAAAGAGGCAGAAAAACAGAAACGACTGCAGGAGGAACGTGAACGTCAAGCCGAAATCGAGCGAAAGCAGCGGGAGCAGAAGGAGCGCGAACGTAAAAAGCGTGAAGATGCCAAAAGGAAAGAACGAGAAGAACGCGAATCCAAGGAAAAGGAACTGCGAGAGAAGAAGGCAAAAGAGGAACTTGATCGCAAACTCCGAGAAGAGCAAGCCGGTCGCGACGCAGACACAACTCTCAAACCGGAGCCAATAGGTAAAGAGCGTAGTCAATCACAATCGTCGTCACAGCCTGCAGCAGCCGTCCCTATGCGAACATCACAACCAGCTCCAGGTGCGACCTTTATACCTCCAGGTTTCCAAAGCCCGCAGCATAGGCCAGTTGCGAGCTCACCCCATTTCCAAGTTGCGACGCCAATTATTCACAAAACTGCGACTCCCGCTCGTCCACGCCAGCCTTCACAGCACGGATCGCATGCCTCATCCCCGCGTTCCCAAACTGCCGGCGGCCCAGAGACGCTTTCATCTCTTTCGCCGCAGACCCTATCTCTGTCACAGCGATCCGGCACCCCAGTCAGTGCGTCGGGGAAAATTGGTCTCTCACAGCAATCTATTCTCCATCACCCACAGCCTTCAGCACCTCTTTCACCCTTGGGCGGTGCTGGTAGGTCGCACCCACTAGGTTACCCGACTGTAAATGGATTGCCATCCCACCCTCCTTCCGGCATGACTGGAGCAACAACACGCCCAATTGGCAATGAGAATATTGCAATGTATCCTCCTCACTCGGGACCCATTGGCGGCCAATACAGGGGATTTCCTGCACCGAATGGGGTTATCTTACCACCAGGAATAGGCGGTTCTCGGCCAATACCTGTTTCGAATCGTGGGTTTCCTTCTTTAGATCCAGGCCACAACCTGGCATTCAGTGGCCAGGCAGCGGCCCCCGGTATCATTCCGACAGCTCAATCAACAGGAAGAAGCGCTACACACTCTCGCCAAGCTTCCGGATCCTTTGATAGACCATCTGCAGAGGGTCAATCAATAAATGCCCCGATTTCTCGACCGACGCCTATAAAACGACTCTCAAGTCCACAGAAAGTCGAAGGAAAGTCCAATGATTTGGATATCGATGGTTTGAGTGCACAATTGGGTAGTAGCGCGCTGCTTGACGACTCGGATGTCCCGTTTCCAACAAGCTTATCACAATCCCTTCCAGGAGCACCAGCCCCCAGTGGATTCGGTCTATCTCGTGCGAGCTTCGGTGCTGCACCTTTTCCTGATCCCTTAAGTCGTAAGTAGTTATGCACACTATTCTTGTACGTAGCGTTGTACTGACATTCGTGCTTTAGCGGTAAAACACCCAAGTTTTTCTGGACAAGGGAACAACACCTGGGCTTCTCAAAGCCCATTTGGAGTGCCCTTTGCAACATCTTGGAATACAGGAACGGGTTAGTTGTACCTCTATACGATCTTTCATTTTGCATATCATATACTGATATAGAGCTAGGTGGCGGTACATGGCCTAGTCGTCCGTTTGGCGCTGGTGGCAATCATCGTACGCACGCCTCTCGGCCCGTCGCAATTCGACTGTTGGCGATCCAGGCGATAAAGCATCTCAACTCTCTGAGTCCTTCGAAACTTGCCCCTGGATTCCACGAAGTCAACCGTCTGCTTCGCCAGGTGGAACAGCTCAAGTCACCTAGCGAGCCACCCATTACTTTGAACGAGATGATCGACATTTTCGATACAGAAGGCAGTTCACAGAACGGAGGCGGGTCGTTTATCATCAAAGAAGATGGAAGTGGAAGTCGTTATGTCAAGTTCGATCAGGATAGCAGCAGTCCGTTGTCGAATCATCGCGGCAGTTTTGTACCAGGAGATATCGGTAGTCCGGTTCCTGTTAGCAGCATACCAGCTGCATTCGGCGGAATAGGCACTGCGCCGGGTGTCCGGCAGTTCTCATCTCCAACGAGCTTCTAGTTCGCAGACTCTTCAGTTTTTATTTGCATTCATACGCGAGCTTTCAATTCGCTAAAAGCATTCAGGCGTCATGTTTCACGTCTGTCATTTTATCCATCTTCTGGGTTTCGGGGCTTCGCTTATGTCAGGTCTACTCATGTTCATCATTTTTCTGCTTCCAGTTGCTTTTCTTTTCTTTTTCCTCTTTTTTCATTAACGATGCAGATACTCCCTGTTTCTTGAGGCTTTACTTGGACGCTTTGCAGCGCGATCGCATGCCACAGCCTCTTACTTTGTGTTTCTTGACGCAGCATCACGCCATGAGCTTTGCGGAGTTGTCTTTTACCGAAGGTTATATTTGTTTTTGAGTGGAATCATGCTTTGCTTGGTTGTGCGTGTTTCTTATTATGTCTTGTCAAACGAACTTTTACCTCGCAACAGGTCTGTTAAATTCATTACCGGCTTGTGATGTGTTTTTGTATTGTAGGTAGCTAGACCAGGTAGCTTGTGAGTCAGGCCTACTAACGACGGAATTTTGGAGCAGCTTTCTCCATAAATGCTGCCTTCATTGCACAATTGTTTCTTCTTGTCCTTTGTGTACTGCGTAGACTTGATTGTTGAAGTGATGCAATCTGCCCGATGAATGCAGTTTAGCGCAAGACCAAGTGATACTAAGTGGCTGAGCGGATCGAAGTAGCTCGTGCTCCTTCCCGACTGCAGATAAAACAACCAGCCTGTTCTGAATTCTCTTGCGATCGCCTTGACAACAATTGGCCTCGTGTATTGTTGCACTGATATTCGGGCTTGTTGCAATTCCGACTGGAACCAAACCTCGACTCGTTGTCTATACATTGGCGCGGTAATTGTGCGTGTGTGCTGACGGACGGAAGCTCCTAGCCATGTCCACCTCGCCCACCCCCGCCGAAGACCAGGGCCGGCTTCTTGAAGAGGCCTTGGGAGTGGTGCGACAGCAGTCGCATATGATGCGGAAATGCCTTGAAACGCCTGGCAAGCTCATGGATGCTCTAAAATGCGCGTAGGTGCTCCAGTCAATACTTGAGGCCCTGCTGCCCAGGCAGCCGTGTTATAACCCACTCCAAGGAACGCTTGTTTGCCTATTTACTTACACTGCAATGAAACCCTTAGTTCTACCTTTGTGTCGGAGCTGCGGACATCGAGCCTGGGTCCCAAGCAATACTATGAATTATACATGGCCGTCTTTGATGCGTTGCGGCATCTTTCCGTTTATCTGCGCGAGAGCCACCCGGTCAATCATCTCGCAGACCTGTACGAACTGGTCCAGTATGCAGGAAATATTATCCCCCGATTGTACCTTATGATTACCGTGGGGACCGTTTATATGTCGATCGAAGATGCCCCCGTGAAGGAGATTATGAAGGATATGATGGAGATGAGTCGCGGTGTCCAACATCCCGTTCGTGGATTGTTCTTGAGATACTACCTATCTGGCCAAGCAAGGGATCATCTGCCCGAAGGCACAGGTGACGGGCCCCAGGGAAATATTCAAGACTCAATTAGCTTCATCTTGACCAACTTCGTGGAAATGAATAAGCTGTGGGTTCGGTTACAACACCAAGGCCATTCTCGGGAACGTGAGAGGAGAACTCAGGAACGCAGAGAACTGGAACTGCTAGTGGGGAGCAACATTGTTCGATTGAGTCAGTTGGTTGACTTGGAAACGTACAAAAGTACCATCTTGCCGCCTTTGCTAGAGCAGGTTGTCCAATGTCGGGATGTTTTGGCCCAGGAATATCTACTCGAAGGTGAGTCATCTCCCACAAAGTTCTTCCACCATCCATTGTTTATGGTTCTAATTGGGGGCGCAGTAATTACGAAGGTTTTCCCGGACGAATACCACCTTCATACTCTGGACTTGTTGCTTTCAAGCATTGCTCGATTGAACCCGTATGTTGATATGAAAAAAATAGTCATTGGTCTTATGGACCGACTGTCCTCATATGCTGTAAGAGATGCGGATCAAGCCGATGATCCGTCAAAGAAAAAGGAACAGGAAGAAGAAGCGGTTGCAAAGCTGTTGGAGAACTTCAAACTGGCCGAGGACAAGAAGGCTGAAAAGGCTAGCGCTGAGCAGACTGAAGAGAATGGTGCTACACCTGAGGAGTCGACAGCGGCTCCAGAAAACGCCACCAAAGAACCAGAAGAGCAAGGGACAAAGGGAACCAAAGGTCCGACCGAAACTAAGCTCTACGAAACTTTCTACGAACAAGTCGTCAATCTCATCAAAAGTAGAGGATTACCTATTCAAGATACGATCGCCTTACTGGTGTCTCTGGCTAATCTTGCCCTGTAAGCCTCTTTTCTCTCTGGTGGAAATTGAAAGGTACTAATTGTTATTTTTATAGTAATATCTACCCAGAAAGACTCGAATATGTAGACCAAGTTCTGGATTACGCAACACAGAAGACAGCAGAGCATGCAGACCAGGCTGATCTGCACTCTGCACCAGCCCAGCAAAGTCTTTTGAATCTACTTCTCGCTCCAGTCCGGCTATATGCATCCATATTTACGGCCCTTGCATTGCCTCATTATATACCTCTCCTCGCCTCCCAATCTTATCCAACTAGGAGGGCTGTTGCAACACAAGTAATCAAGAATATTCTCGTTAACAAGACCGCTATCACGAACTCTGAGAACTTGGACAGGGCTCTTCAAGTTCTCAAAGTTCTAATCAAGGAAGGGGCTCCTCATCCTGCTGGCTACCCGGGCGTTCACCCTCAGCGACGTGGTGAGACGGATGAAACGATTGAGGAGCAGGGATGGCTGGCAAGGCTGGTGCATCTCATTAAGGGGCCTGATAATGACACACAGCTTAAAGTATTTATCTCTCTATATTGTATGGCTACTTCTAAGTACTACGCTGACAATGCCATTAGCTTTTGCAAGCGGCCAGGACTGCGTATGCCGAAGGGAACGAGCGGGTCAGATTTACAACCCCGGCGATTATTACAGCGTCGTTGCGTTTGGCCCGAAAGCTCAAATCTCGAGAACATTATGACGATAACTGGCAGTCTCAGTCATCAACGTTACACCGCTTCATGCACCAGTGTATTAGCAATCTATACCAGCGGGTTAACAGTCCTGGATGCGCCGACTTGTCGCTACGCCTGTTTGTAATGTGTGGTGAGGTCGCTGATCAGACTAGTTTTGAAGAAGTGAGCTATGAATTTTTCGCACAGGCATTTACAATCTACGAAGATGCCATAAGCGATTCTCGCGCACAATTTCAAGCTGTCTGCATCATTGCCAGCGCTCTTCACAACAGCAGAGGCTTCTCGAAGGAAAACTACGATACTCTCATCACTAAAGTGGCCTTGCATGGCAGTAAGCTACTGAAAAAGCCAGACCAGTGTCGGGCGGTCTGCTTAGCCAGTCATCTGTGGTGGGTGGTGGAGAATTCGCAAAGGGAAGAAGATCCAAAAGACGTGAGTACTTTTAATCAGTTGCTATATCGAAATCCCGATTGCTAACACGGTAGAAACCAAAGTTGTACCGCGATGGAAAACGCGTCCTTGAATGTCTTCAACGTGCTCTCCGCGTTGCAGATGCTTGCATGGATACTGCTGTCTCGGTGGAACTCTTCGTTGAGATTCTTAATCGATACGTCTACTACTTTGATCAACAAAACGAAACTGTGACGACCAAGTACTTGAATGGATTGATTGAGTTGATACATTCTAACCTGCAGACAAACGATGGCGAAGCCAATCCCAGTCTTGAAAACCCGAAACGTCACTTCCAACGAACACTGGATTATATACGGTCGCGGGATTATGAGGGCGTTGTCACGGAGGCTAGGCAGTAATGCTTTCTTTCTTGGCCTTTTTTCTTTTTTTTTTTTTTTGTTTCTTTCTTTCTATGTCATGTATCAAATGAATATACACTAGCAACTCAATACCTAGCGTTTCTGTCCTCTTGCAAATTGCGCCTTATTGTTGATGCAGTAATACATAGTTCGGCAAAACTTCGGCCCGAAACTGTCGAGCTCAAAACAATTTTCGTGTCTACAAAAAGCCTAACAGCCCTCAACTATCCCAGCAAACTTCAGACGGTACTTTGGGACTGTACAGCGCCAGGATGATATATATTTCCTGCTGCGAATCGCATTTCTCAGAATAAGAGTGCATAACTGAACGACTGGTTGTGAATGCTCTTCTTCAACGCCCTCATTCGCACCCACCACATCACCTCACGCAAGAAAATAGCTGTTCTTAAAAAAGCCGCAGATGCATACAACTGTTATGCTCTCCTCCGAACGGGCGGCAGTCCAGGGGTGATGTATGTGGAGGGTCATCAGGAGCAGGATGTTGCTGCTTGGGTCAACACCGTGCAGAGACTGCGATACAAAGATTATCAACTGGTCGCGCGGCCTGACCAGCTAGAGAGAATTACTGAGAAGGGCGCAGAAAGGAAACAATTAGCGTCCGATCCTGGACTACGCGAAGTCGACTCGATCAAGGAGTTTGGCTCGATTATGAAAGATCGTGGAGTCTGGGAGTGGTGGAGGAAAGGCATGGGATACCTGCCACGGTGAACCGATTAATCTTTGTTCCCGTTGTTCGCACGCTATTGCTATGTCTACGCGTCTTCACTTGTGTTTTTACCCTCCTAGGAACCTAAAGATATGTTTCGGCCTTTCCAAGTTATGAATATAGAATCATAAAATATACAAATCGCAGAAAACGCTTCGTCGTCGATTCTGATTGGTTCGTAATTTACATTCTGTAAGTTAATTACAAATACAAATATACGTGGTCGAGGTAATTTAAACCACGCTAGCCCAATTTCATCATCCCTTGCAAATCCATCATCGGCGGTCGCTCAGAGCAATCCGACATGTTGCATGATAAATTGCGCTTGAATGTCGTTGGATATTGAAATAAGTTCATGCGTGTAGATACATCGTTTTTCACGCATCAAAGCATCCCACGCAATCCAACGAACATCCGACAACAGCAAGCAAGCAAGATGCATGGACCCGCGTATTGAAGCTCGGTACTGGAGCTAAAGAAAATTCATTTCATCGACATTGAATCCAATCATGTCAGTTCGGCGATCTGCGCGCGGCTCAGGTGCCCGGAAGAGCTATACAAATGACCCTTTTGATGCGGTCGGGTTAGAGGAGGAGGAAGACGAGGAAGCCATTGAACAGTCCATTACTTACAAAGGCAAAGGGAAACGCCGGCGTGAATCCGATGATGAATTCGACGAGGCAGCAGCTGCTTCGGCCGAACAGGCGTTTAAGGAAGAAGATGATGAGGAAGAAGAAGAAGAAGGTCTTGCCGATGAACTCGCCCAAAGCGATGGCAGTGGTGATTTTGAATTAACCGAGCCTACTATTGATGCCTCGACTGCTGTGAGCGTTAGTAATGCCAATCGCGCACGCAAAAGGAGAACGGATGGATCGACCTTGTATAAGTCAGAAGATACTCATAGTCGTGGTGCCTATAACCCATCCGAACATGTCGGCAAGTCTATGCATATCAAGTTGACATTTGGCTTGGACAACCGCGATCTTCTCGCTGCTGCTAGCGCTCGAACCCAGTGGTCTTTGGGTGTCGATGCAACATTTCCCACTAGGGCGTCTTTGGAAAATACGACGAGTGCTGCCCATTATGGCCCAGGTAGCACGCATGGGATATCGGCTGCAGACCTCGAGCGTGAAGCTACAGAGGCTTGGAACTGGTATCACGATGCAGATAGCGGGCTTAGATTTAGGGAAAGGCAACGTGTAGAGAAGATTGATATGGACCATGCCCAGCAAAAGTTCCTATACAGGCCACAGAAAAATAGCCACAAGGTCATATACGGGCCGGGCGAGAATTTATCCACAGCTTACCTCCGCCAGTATGAATCTCTCAATTTTGGAGAGGCATGGAAATACCGCGATGAGACGCATAAAAGTGGAACACCTGTTTCAGCTGGGAACAAGGCAAATAGGGGGCGTTCAAAGAAAACCACAAGTGGTCCAGCTGCAAGTAAGAGAAACGAAGATGAACCTCCCAAGATTACAGAAAGTCAACGACGAAAGAATCGCTACGGGTGGATTTTGAATCTCTCTGGAAAAATCCAAGCATTAGGCTGGGCCCCCAACCAGGACGGGTTGACCCAATATTTGGCAGTGTCGGTTCCAATCAGTTCAGAACAAGAGAAGCAGTATGATCCGTCTGAACCACCAGCTGCCTCACGAGCCTTTTCTCCCTCGTCACCTTATCCGGGGGCTATACAGATCTGGTCTTTTGATGCCGAAGACCGCAAGGATGGCATTGTCAAGACGGTAGATATTAACCGCAAGCCGACATTGCGGCTAGTACTGTGCATGGAATTTGGACATATCAGAAAAATTCATTGGTGTCCGATGCCACGGAGGAGACGTGATGAAGAAGATAATTTCGAGCACGATTTGGGTTTGCTCGCTTGCGTCTTTTCAGATGGTCGTACGAGAGTCTTTAATATCAAGGTGGATAGAAACGTCAAGACTACAGAGTACCGTAAGTTTTGAAAATGGCCCATTGACAAATGCACTCTTGAGGGATCATTGTGCCATACTGACGAATTTGATGCTAGTGTATGTCAAATCGGCCGCATTCACCGCCATGCCTTCTCCAACGATTTCTTCCTGTTTGGCCTGGCTGTCCCCAACTGACATAGCCGTTGGCTGTGCGAACGGCTGGGTTGCGGTATACAACCTTTTAGCATATCAGGTCATTTCGAAGCTTGATCAGCAAGAAGATGATCCTATTCCGTACATCTATATTCCTGTTCACTCGACCTACATCACCAATCTAGAGACGGCGTACCCCCAGCATCCACACCTCATATCTACCGCAGCAATGGACGGAAACACGAGACTTACCTCGCTATTTGACCCCGTCAAGGACATGGTCGATACCACGAGACAGCGATTGGGGAATATGCAAATCTCTTACTATCCTTATCTGCAGGCATTTGTGTCTAGTGACGAGCATGACGCCGTTCGCGGACTGTCTGTCCGCCGATTCTTTACTTCTACTTCGATCGGTAGACTTCCCAGCGCTATTTCAGCTATTGCTAATGGCAGTCGCTGGCATCCATCTGTCATGGCTGGGTGTACAGAGGGCTCTATATATATTTTCAATCCGCTTCGTAGGTTTATGCATGCCAAAGAGTCGCATTTTCATGCGCGGTGGTTCTTGCATGAATGGGCTGCTGGGAAAGACGAACAGACGCCCAATACAAGTCGCTTCATGGATGATATAGAAGTGGAGAGTTTGAGTTTATTGCGATCACTGAAGGCTGATGGGAAAATCGTGAATGGGATGTTAACTCTCACGATATATGATGAGGAACAACACATTACGAATGTAGACTGGAATTCGAATCAGCATTGTGCTGGATGGGCAGCTGCGGGTATGGGGTCTGGTTTGGTACGAGTGGAAGACCTGGCAATGTTTCATTAGCTACAGTCATGTATGAATATTAAATGTTTCAAAACTGCACAGTGGACCAGAACGGAATACGCTATTGCCCGCGACTCTGAATACTTCAGATACCCACAAATAAATATAATTAACGGGTACATTGACCACTCAGCCTTCAACTTCATTTTGCTTAATGCACATTTAGTCTGGTTCGGCTGTGTTGTCTTGGCCGCCGCATTGAGAGCATCACTTTCAAGTAACCTTAGGTTGAGACCCGTTGTCATGACGACAACTCCTAGTACTAATTACATCACGTCGCTTGTCTCGCAACGTAGTACCCATTTACTGACAGGCTTCGTGCCATCCTCCTCATTTTCACCTCAAACGAAGAATTCAGTCTATAGAAAGAGAGAATGAACAACCAATCAGAGATGAAGTAGCCTGACATTTCAAAAAAGCATCGTGATTGGCCAAGTGTGTAAAGGTATGTGGCTGGCAGGGCCCAAGCGTCGATGGCTCCGGCCGATCCAGCCAATGAGGCTACGATAATAGCACTACCAGCCACCTAGTGACCCCACCTAGGCACCGGGGGAGATCTGGATGGACCCGCCACCGTCTTTTTTATTTATTCTTATCGGCGATAACAGAATGCCCACGTATATAGTGTTAAAAACCCCTCCATGCTGCATGAATTATTGTTTTTATGGAGAGCTACAAATAAACTTTCAGAATTCTCAAAGTTCATAGAAATTCTTTGAGCCTAAAAGTCATTCACAGTTTTGACAAAAAGAACAGCAACATTCCCTCCTCTGTCTAGTTCGAGCTCCAAAAACCCCAGCCAGAGGGGATCTGGCAAAGTGAAGGGCCATGCTTATTTTGAGACCGCTGGTTATTTTCTCAGGGGCAATTGCCTTACCTCAACGAGTGCTTGCATTTCCAATTTTAGAGACGGAAAAACAGCCTCCTGTTATACAGCGAAGGACAGTTAGCTATTCTGTTGTGAACGTGGATGGAAATGGAGCGACGACAACGACAGATACAGCTACAGCTACAAAGACAGTGTCACAGACAATAACAATGACAGATGTTGTGTCGATAGCTACCACAACTACAGTCGACGTGACCAGCACATCGATCTCTATTGTCCAGCCCCAATCGAGTGGACAGAATACTGTCACCGTAATAGTCACGGAAACCGCATCCTCATCGTACCCCTCGACTACGACTTTGCCTTCCCCTCCCCCCTCTACACCCGTGACATCAACATCACCCATCAGCCCGTCTTCAAAATTGACCTCCTCGACGAAAACGATTGTTCCTTCACCCACAACCCCGACTCGCAAGTCCACTCCCGTACCATCGATACCGACATCAACACCCCCACCATCTTCGTCCTTTTCTCCCACTATCAGCTTTCCATCATCTTCATCGTCTTCATCGTCTTCATCGTCTTCATCGTCTTTATCATGGCTCCCGGCCACTGGAACTCCACATCACATACTTCCCGAGCCAGATGTAAGTTCCAAGCCTCCCGTTTGGAACTATATGGCTAGAGACGATGAGAAGAACACTGTTGTGAGACGCTCCTTAGTGCGCGGCCCTGTTGATAGTCATCGAAGAAATTGACTCTTGAAATACGACCCTTCTGGCTGAAGGATTTCCGATAAATTTCACTTCGATGCACATATTCTGTCTTGCTTTTCCATTTTTTTCTTTCTGATGGACTTCGATATCTGTGAGTAGGGAATGTTCACGGATTCTCCAAAGTGTTGGCACTGAGAGTTTCTTTGCATTTTCTTTGTTGTTTTGGTCTTAGCGATTGTTTGCATGCCGATATGTACTGGGAATGAAATACCCGACCTTAAATATCGTTTAATCTATGTCAGTCTGACTAGCTACCTGAAATGGATGTGGTTTGCCATTCCACTCCTTGTAGGGCTTGAACGAATATGATTATGTTATAGAAAACCAAATCCTACCAGTAAACCAGACGCTCCATGTTTACGACCACTACTACATGGTATAAGCGAATCTGTGAGTCAGATCCACGGTGGATGGATTAGGGCTCAGTCTCGGCAAGTCTCACGTTTTCCGTATTTGGTCTTTACCCTACCCAAATCGATGATTCATACAAAAAGGCCCTTCTTAATGTACTTGGATGCCAGACTTTTTACTCTTAGTCCTTTTATGTCATTTCCTCTATTTAGTCGGGCAATGCATCATTCATTGATATTTTACCATGACCGGTACCGGCGCCGGCAACGGATCTCGCATGCACAAATCGATACGCTGGTGTAGTTCTGTAATACACAAAATGCCACAGTGGCACGTGGATTATTCATATGTCATTCACTGAGTCCACATTGCACCATGTGGTTTCCAAATTTGGAAGGTAGTTTTTCTTCTGGAAGGCTCGTGGAAGATGGTTATACTACAGCAAGGATCAAGTGGCGGAATGTGGCGGTTACCTAGGCATGTCTTGTACACCCCCAGTGAGCATCGGCAACCCTCGATCAGCCTAGAAATTTGGCTGTCTGCCTCGTCAGACTCGCTTTCAGCCGCTTTGGGATTCGCCTTTGACAGACAAAGTTTTAAAGAGAGTGGTTACACGGCCTCAAGTCAGTCGCAAGGGTTTACAGCGGGATCTTTAGCGAAAGTAGAACCAAGGACAAAGAAAAAAAAGTGTATGTATACCAAAGATGGATTTGTCCGGCCTGGAGCGGTGTCAATCATGCTTGTTGCGAAGCTGAACATGGCGACATAGATCGGCCAGGTCAGCTACGCTACATAAAACACCATTCGTGCAGCAGTAGTTTCTGTTGTTGTAGGCTTTCCCCATCGGCTGCGAGGACTGCCACTACGTGATACGTGCATCAGCAAGACTAATAATAGGCGAGAGCAGGTGGTGGAGGACGCTGGCCAATAAGTATGACACAGTACATTCCAATCATCGCTTTTCTTTTTCTTGTCTCAAACTCCGAACTGATTGCGAATGAGCTTGTGCCGATGGTACACGTCCGCCATGGAAGTACAGGTACTGACCGAAGGAACATTAACGTTGCATCTTCCTGCGGTCCGGGGTAATCCTGATCATTAGACCTGAGCCAATGCTCGCGAGACTTTCTATATTAATTGTGTAAGTAAGATTCCTTGACATTTTGGGTCTAATTTGATGCATAACAATGTAAACTAGGCACCTATCATGTCCGTGCGTGGATGACTGATGACAAGTAGTTAGTTACGGCCTAAAGGCTGACAGTCATTCTCGCAGTGATAGCTTGGTGGAACTGCCTCCCACTATTTGGATTCAGATAAGAAAACAAGAAGAACCCCTTTTGCCCCTCATCTTCTCCGGTGGGCGGAGTTGAGCGTTAACATCCACAAATATGTGCATCCCGGCTCGTCCGTCACCTGTGGGAGGCCTTGCAGCGGTCATCAAGCGTCAACGCCCGCCTAAACCATCGACTTTGCTTTTTATGCAGTCTGAATGTGATACTAATATATAGTAGTAACACTTGTTCTATGCTCTAAATAAAATAACCATTGGGGGATTTGGGTAGAGACAACCGAGGTCTGTAGAGCCGCATTGCGTTAACATTTGCGACACTGCCAACGGCTTATTGTGGCATAGCCAGTCATGTCATCGACATCAAGCTGAAAATAACTTGGTGACACAGCTATGATACGCTCTAAGCATCCCTGTAGGTAACTGTCTTAGTCTCAGTATTAGCCGGATGCACAGCCCTTTTTTTTATCGTCTCGTGCTTGGGATTATTGGCCGCGGGAAAATAATGACTAGATACTGAACATTGATAGGCGATCGACGAGAGTAGCACAGTGCATGCATAAGCCACAAGCTGCTCACATTGGGGGCCATTTCTGAATCAACTGTATCGCCATCTCGTTTGTCCGATAGACAACATACATCTGTTCTTTTTTGGGAAATTCCTGTCTTGATGCCCGTACAGTACTCCCATACATGTAACTATACCCATTACCGACTGGTTGGCCCAACCCTAAGCACCCGAGGGTGATCTCCAAGATGTCCCTATACACCATCCTGAAATCAGTGCCCCCACGGCTGACACCATTCACCTGGGGCAGAAACGGGATAGTAATCCAAATTTCAGGTCTTGGACTTCTATGCCTTGCCAAATATCCCCTGTCAGGCTAAGTGGCTGGCGCGCACAGTAGTTATTTCTAAGATCACGGCTAGAAATGAATGACTATTGCGAAATTGCTACTAGTCAAGCATCAGGCTACGATCCACGAAACTTTGGATCTTCGAGGCGTGTATGCATGGAGTATGGCCCTAGAATGGATACGGAAAGGATGATTATGACCTTCGTTCCTTGGGTCTTTTGTTAACCCGCATGAATGACATTGGCATCCTTCCGGATCTTCACCCACCCTCCATGTGTACCGTTGCGTACCTCGTGCGTCTGTCTATCTGCCAACCCCGGTTTCGAGGCGTTTCCGGGATGCTGCATGACAAGGGCTAGAGTAGGTACCGTACTAACTAGGGTTGTGCAGCCGTAAAAGCCCGCTGTACATTGGCTTGTCTTTATCACTTTACACAACCGCAAAGCTGAAATTAAGAAGAGTCATCTTGTTCAATTGATTGGCGGTGGAGAAATGACTGGCATTGTCTCGATTTTAGGGCCGAGTTCCGACAAATTTATAAATACACGAACATTGCCCGAGTGTTTATGGAGAAACCTAGAAATGTTTTGATGGAACATTCGAAGGGAAAAAAAAAAGAAAAGAAAAGAAAAGAAAAGAAAAGCAACTACCCTATATTGCTTCCTGCCAAATATATATATTATAAGATATCAGACTATGACAAACACTCAGACACCCAAGCTTCGGTCAGCATGTGATGCATGCCATGAAGCGAAGGTGAGATGTACAGGAGGAACACCATGTGTGCACTGTAAGAACCATCACCAGTCCTGTCATTATAGCTTTGCAGCGCGCATTGGCAAGCCCAAAGGAAGTCGAAATCGCAAGACGCTGGCTCGTCTGCAAGAAGCAGCCTCTCATGCGGCGACAAGTCAAGCGAGCTCTCCCACGCCCTCGTTTTCTGTTACACCCTCTCCTTACAGTGTTTCGCCTCATTCTCTTCCTACGGTGCCTGAATGGATCAACTCAGAGTATCCGTTTCCGTCAACTCAGGTGTGTCCATTTGTTATTTCGTGTTGCTGCTGGAAAAGTAGCTAATGGCGCTCTACAGCCGGATTCTTACACGTCTTACGCCTGGATGCCACCACAATCAATACCAACGCCCCCGGAGAGCATTGATATGACTTTAAAACCAATAGCAGCGCATGATCATACATTCAACAGAATATCGCAATCCAGCGAGTTTCATCTCCATAGTCCGCAGCTGTCAAGATCTGCAAACACGACGAATACAGATTTTTCCATAACAACTCACGAGACGACCAGCTATCCAGTATCCTGGCAATCCGCTACTTGTGACTGTTTCCACTGGCAGGTTTTGAATCTAACTTCGCTCCACATGCCGAGCACGTTCGATGAATCCTTACAGTGCATTGCCGCTACACTTGCCGCTTGCCAGCGAACAGTGGAATGCCAATCATGCGAGAAGAACTCATCCATTGTTCTTTTCCTGATCACATCATTGCAAATGGTGCTCGACCGACTTGGTGCCCTGCTCTCTAAGGAACTAAAAGCAACGGCATCAGCTCCATCATCATCATCATCATCATCATCCTTTTCCTCGGCGTCAGAATCAGTCATGGTACAATACCCGCAAGCTGAGCAGCAGAATGTTATGCGCTTGCTGCAGCTTCGCCACATGCTATTCAAGACCCAGAATGCGCTCAAGGATATCCGAGAAGCCATTTTAATGCCTCGACAGAGTCCCTCAAGTGACTCTGGATTGTTTTCATTCATAGGAGTCATACCGGGTGCTTCAGGCTACCCAGATTGTCTTCACCAAGTGCTCGATAAGATCCAGGCAGGATTAGACGTTCTTCTTAGCACTATAAGTTCGCATCACGCTTAGTATAGGTTACGGAATATAGAATTATGGAGTAATGATAATCAGCATGGCAGTTTTGACAAGTTGGAGCACGGGCATAGCCCTAACCCTAGCTTACACCCCCCCACCATTGCGCCCGCCCGTTGATGTAATCTCAACTTTGGTGTTAAATACATGTCAGCATTCAACCTTGTTACACAATCCTCTGGGATCTTGGAAAATTCTCACGTACTGTGGCCTGTGTCTTCTTATGCACCTTTGTTATCCATAACCTTAGCACCCCATCCACAAGAACGCACACACAATGGGTGGTTTTCATGGAGTAGTAGGAACTCAAGACATTGGGAAGATCCATCATGTCGTATGTGTGCGATTTCACACTGCCTCTTTTTACCTCATGTCTCTCCGCACATAGCTCTAACGAAGACGAAACACTTCTATAGACAGAAAAACTCGTCGCTTTTGAATATGTTGAGCCAAATGCTCCTGAAAAGCCGCACAGCTTGATCTTTGTAGGCGGGCTCGGAGATGGCCTCACCACTGTGCCATTCCTGAAAGATATTGCGGCCGCACTCGAGCCGACACAATGGTCCTTATTCTCATTCATTCTCAGCTCATCGTATGAGAGTTGGGGTTTCGGTCGATTGGGCCAGGATGCTGAAGACATCGCGCAATGCGTGGAGTACATCTCAGAGTACAAGAAGGCATTGTCGCAGGCAAGCCAAACTGCCAGAGCTCGTAAGGTTGTAATCATGGGTCACTCGACAGGCAGCCAGGATGTTCTGCATTACCTATATTCTCCAAATCCAACACCCATCGACCCGGTGTTTGATAACGGCCTACGTCATATCCTTCGACCTGCAGTTGACGGGGCCATTTTACAAGCCCCCGTTTCTGATCGAGAGGGCATCTTGGATGCGATCACTGATGAAAATGGCAAATTCCGCGATGCCGAAGTTCACGGCGCCTATTTGCAACTCATTGAGATGGCAAAGACATGTACATTTTCGGATGGGAACAAGCACGACGTGTTACTGCCTCTAGCTTTGACTAGCAAACTGGGGTATTCGCCGGTGCCTATCACAGCAAGGCGCTTTCTGAGTCTTGTTGCACCAGATGCGCCCGAAAATCCTGGAGAAGATGACCTTTTCAGTTCGGATCTATCTGATAAGAGGCTAGACGAGACATTTGGAATGATCCTGGCGAGAGACCTGCTCAAACACAAGCTTTTGGTCTTGTATTCAGGCAATGATCAACACGTCCCCAAATCTGTGGACAAGGGTAAGCTATTGCAACGCTGGAGGGCGGCTACAGATAAGTCAATCAGAAAGATCTGGGATGACGAACACAGTGGCGTTGTCCCTGGAGCTTCTCACAACGTTGGTGGCGAAGACGAAGGCGAGGCGAGGGCGGATCTAGCTGCTCGAGTGAAGGCATACTTGGAAGACGTCAGGTCATCCACATAAACCAAACCATAAAATGGGCATCAACCGGCAATGCGTGTCAAATTTGAAGAAAGGAGGAGATAATATACAAAAATGGGATCAGCGGCATTAGCAGTCGGAACAAATGAAAGCCTCAACAGGTAGTGTGGTCAGAACGGGTGAAAGTTCAGGACATAGTCGTCAAGTAGAAAGGAGAAAAAATGCACGGAAAAGAAAAGCGGAGGACATAAGAAACGCTGAAATGTTGGCCGGTAAAGGAATAGACACACATTATGATTGGTATGATAACAGGAAATTTTAGAGAAAGAGGGAAAAAGAAAGGCCACTGATCTAAACCTTCAACCATAGCATGAAGACGCCTTTTAGATATCCAACAATCTCATCGCCACCAAGTTTGCTGTCTCCGTACAGACGGTCGACAAACGTGATGGGACATTCTTCAACTTTGTAACCCAAAGCTTTAGCACGGACCATCATCTCCATCTGGAATGAGTATCCTTTACTCTCCGTGCTTGTAATAACCTTCTCCAAGACGCTCTTCTTATACAAGCGGAAACTACCCGTCAAATCACTCACGCCGGGCATCAGCATGACATCGGCAATGAGGTTGGCGCCTCGAGATGTGAACTTCCGAATCAGATCCCATCCATAAACGCCTCCCTTTAAATCACCGCGTTTGGCGTATCTCGTTCCTGTAACAATGTCTGCATTGCTTTCTTTTTGAATCTCGATCATCTTCGGGATGTACTTGGGGTGGTGACTGAAGTCGGCGTCCATGATAATAACGAAATTGCCCGTCACGAACTGCAGGCCATGAACGTACGCCGTTCCGAGACCGAGTTTGCCAGCTCGTGGCTTGAGCACGATGTGATCGGCGCCCCAGACCTTCTGGAGTTGTTTTGCGACGTCCTGTGTGCCATCGGGAGATCCGTCGTCGACTATGATGACTTCCCAGTCAAGGTTGCTGATTGGGATTTTGACCACCAATTAGCCAATATTCTTCATGTTCTGGGAATGATTTAGGCTGTTACCTCTCCCGAAATGTCTTTTCAATAAGCCAGCAAATGATAGGAAGGTTCTTCCGTTCGTTATAGGTCGGAAGGATCACAGAGTATTTATCGTTGGCGCCCATTGTGACTGAAGATCTTTTGGTCTGATTGAAGTTCCGCGGTATATCTCTTTGATGTAAGAAAGAGGGAAAACCTGGCACAAGAAGAGACACAACAGCTTTCAATGGTTTGGTTGTTGCTATCGAGGACAGCTCGCAACATCTGGACAGGAGTAGCATTTACCGCCCGGCAGAATAACCTCCGCTCCCCTGCCGGAGATTAATTAATTAATTGACCGTCAGCAAGTTACAACGAACCCGACTTCAATATTCGAGCGAACCCACACAATCATTGTTCGAAAGCTATGAACATGGCGAGCTCACCGACTTCAAAACATCAGCGCAATGTCTCAAAGTGTAAGGCAACCGCACCAGTTTTAGGCTATTGCTCCATTGCTACAAACGCATGCTAATATACGCCTATGTAGCATCACGACCGCGTGCATCAACCAAGGGACCACTGGATATTCCTGAAGAGTGCGTTCACAGCCTTGCTTTAGGTTTTGCTCCTAACTGAAGAAAAAAGTGAACTTGTGCCTTCAGATAGCCCACACTCCCCTCAGAAATCCCAAATCCAACGCCCCCGCTTGTCGAATGATGCTGGCCCTCTTGCCTCGTCGGATCCCTTAGATCTGCATCCATTGAAAGTCGAGCTCGATATTATTCTAGCAACCCACGATCTTTCTGCGGCGGCCACCAAGGACCTCTCATTTTTACTACGCCCGGAAATTTATTATCCTCTCTCCCAGCTTGAGGTTCCGCCTATGTTTCGATCTTCTTTTTACAACCCATCGATAGGGGAGTCTATCAATGCCTCTATGGATGTACTTAGAAATCAGCTTGAACAGGGACATTTCCTCCTCGCAGCCCATCTGAGCGCAAAGCTGTTGACGTCTCCGCTCATTAAATCTTCGGATGTGCAGCTGATCTTTAATTTGCTGTACACCCGCCTAGCTTGTCTTGAGCTGACAGGACACGGCTCATTTGCTGCGCAGGAGTCCAAAGCATTGGAAGACTTAAACTCGGCGTTTTATTATGTTGATGCCGACTTCGAAGTGGACAGTGATCCAGGACAACACGGTCGCGCTAGGCGCTCTTTTCATATAGTCCCATGGCCGCTACGTGTTCTCGCGGTTCGTCTGCAAAGCATTGCTTTCGGAGATCCACGAAGAAGCATCACCGGTTTATATGAGCTCGGCTTTGAAGCTAGAAGAGAATTCATGCAGCCGACCCTGGACAACACAGAGAAACAAGTATGGAAGGATAGGCTTGCAGATCTAGGAATTCGCGCTGTCAGTGCCCTTGTCGAGATGGGGGATCTAGATGCAGCACGGCGATCGTTAAGAAACTTGGGTAATTCCGAAAACATCAGCAACCAAGCTAGAGCTGTTCTTTTGGCTTTGCGAGTTGGAGATCTGACTTCTGCTCGGGAAACGTTGAAAGGCTCTAGCGTGCTTCAGGATGGGATTTTGACCCCTTTGACCTCTATGGCTGAAGGATCTTATGACGATGCTACCGTGAAGTGGAAGGCTCTACTTAAGGGTCCGATTGGTCCCATGAAGCCCATAGCTGTGCAAAATCTCGCTGTCTGCCTTTTATACACGGGTCAATTGAACGAGGTAGGTAATAATTTTTAGCTTATTGATTTATCACTTTACTGACTTGGACTGTCATGAATGCAGTCTCGCTCGCTTCTAGAGTCACTCATCAATGAAAATCATTCCTTCCAAAGTCTTACTTTCAACCTTGCGACTATATATGAGCTGTGCTGCGATAACCCGCGGAGCCGAAAGTTGCGCCTAGGGGAGATGGTATCTCAGCAGACACACGCCGGGGAAGTAAATCTAGATCGATCGAATGCAGACTTCAAGCTATGATGCGGATGACTCGGATCTAGAATCTGATGGTAGTACATTAGAATGCTATCTCGGGCTGCTGACACACAAAAGAAATACCGTGTAAGGGTCATCTTTCACAAACACTGTATTTCAGAATACGAGAACGCCGCGTGGCACAAAAGAATGAGCTGACATCAGTTTTCAAAATCCATGAAAACGCCGAGTGTGCACAACATCTTTCGATCAAAGGCCCCATATAAATCATTGCTTCAACACGCAATCGTGTTTTAAGTTCTTGCTTTGGGTTTTCGAATAATAATAGATTCGCCCTCCAGCTGCCATCCGAGCCTTTCCCTCTCTGCCAGGTCCTGCCAAGTCCAGCCGTCATCACCTGTGCAAGTTTCCAGCAACCAGCTAACATTTACGCTTAAATATGTCCGGCCGACAGCTTTGAGCGCTTGTCTCATGACGTGGTCTGTTGCCCAGTTCATGATTGCACGTGTATAGCCGTCTACCTCTTTATGAGTACGCCAGAATGTTATCCAATTGTCATGAATAAGCGCACTAAGAATACGGTCAACAACGAGAGACTGAAAACCGTACTTTTGCTTGGATTGAATCAACAACATATAAGCAGGGGCAAGACTATTTTGACGGCACGCATAATCCAAAACGAGGTAAGACGTGAATTCAGTCAACTCGTGTTTTGTGAGAGGATGTGAGGTGGTATGCAGATTTTCAAGCAGGTAACGCAATGAAGAAAAGTAAGATGGCGGATGGCGTGCCAGTATTGAGAAGCGAATGGAGAAAATATGAACCTGCTGTTGAAAAGTCACGGGGGTGGTAGAGGACGTTGCCAGGATTCCCTCGCGGAGCTTGCGTAGTGACATCAACAAGGAGGATAATTCAGCGGCAGGAGGGCGTTGTTTCTCGCCGGTCGACCTCTGTTGCGGTTGTGTTGTCGTTAGGCTCAGACGTTCTGTCTTCGCAATAAGCCCAGCTGCTATCTCATCATGATAGACCGGTTTTGCAGCAGGCTTGCCAGTCGGAGGAACCGGGACATTTGACGGGGGATTTTTGGTGGCGTCTGCAGAAGCACTGGCAGGCAGAGAAGCCCATGCTGCATCGAGGTCATGCGAGTGGCATGAACAGAAGCGCATGTAGCGATCGACGATTGTGTCGTAGTATGTCTGCTGTGCCTTGTGTTCTAGTAGCCTGCGGCAGGGAAGCATCAGCCCTGTTGACCGACTATTGATTGGCTTCCAATCGGATCAAAGCTTTCCTGCTATTTCCAGGGGATATATCACCTACGTCCTGTCACCTTTGGAAGGAAAGCCAACAGCCTCCAGAGAATCGGAAATCGGCCGCAAACGACTTCCGCGATTAGTGCTGCTGCTATTGCTGGTATCCGGTCTCTTGAAGGGGCTGCTTCGGGCATGAAAGCTCATGTTGACCAGCGACTCGGTAACAATGATCAGAATGCATCGGGTTTTGTTTGCCCAGCACCCCTAGTATCTGGCTATTGCTTTCTGCATGCGTAGTGAGAGTAAGGTTAGAGCAAGCAAGGGCAAGGGCAGGGAAGCGCGTCTCCCGCATGTTTGTCTTGTTTGTCCTCGATGCTTGAGCTGCCAGGCACGTGCCCGACATGTGATCGGATCGTCGCGGTCTCCGCTACCCGCCGGGGCTATCCCCAAAGGGGAATAGTATGCTCCCCAACAGTTCCTGCCTTAAAAAGAAAAGCTTCAACCTCGCAAGGTGTCGCTGGCCGGAAAATAAGAATGTCCAGTTCGTTCTTTGACTTCACGGCTGCTGCTGCTCCTCGATTTCTGTTCTGGCGTGGCTTTTGTTCCTCTTTTCTTTGACCCGTGTGCATGGGTTTGTTTGGCTTTCTTTGTTGTCCGCGTCTCTTTTCTTTTTTCTGTCTTATTGGATCGCACCATGTCAGAGCCTCGCTTTCGCCCCTCGACGCACCAGCAGCAGTCGAGTGATAATAAGAGCCCGGCCAATGAGAGGATCACGCCAGAGATGGCTGTCAAACAGCCCGCAAAAGCAATCCGAAAGCTGCTTCACTGGGATGAACTACCAGCCTGGTTACGAGACAATCGCCATATCCACACCGGGTATCGACCAGCATCTGCCTCATTTCTCGTATCGTTTCAGTCGTTGTCGTATGTCCATAACGAGACTGTGAATATCTACACTCACCTGCTGCCGTCATTGGTGGCTTTACCAGCGGGTGTCCGCCTGTATCAGATCCTAGCTCCCCGCTACCAATCAGCATCTCCGGCTGATATCTCCGTATTCGTGTGTTTCTTTGTCGGCGCGGCATTCTGTCTGGGAATGTCTGCGACCTATCACACCATTTCAAACCATTCACCCGCTGTGGCTCGCGTTGGCAATGCTCTAGACTACGTTGGCATTGTCGGCCTCATTACTGGTAGTTTCATCCCCAGTGTCTATTATGGCTTCTACTGCGCACCCAACCTGCAGTTGATTTACTGGGCTATGATCAGTGCAATAGGCCTGGGGTGCATTTTTGTTTGCCTGATGCCTCAATTTCGGACCCCAGAATGGCGACCCTTTCGAGCTCTCATGTTTGTGTCCATGGGATTGTCTGCTGTATTCCCGGTCGTTCACGGCTTATGGTTGTACGGTGCGAAGCAGATGACACCTCAGATTGGCCTCGATTGGCTGCTTCTTCAGGGTTTTCTCTACATTCTTGGTGCCACCATCTACGCAGCTCGCGTGCCAGAGCGACTGCTACCGGGCCGATTCGATATCGTAGGGAGCTCTCATCAAATATTCCATGTTCTCGTAGTGTGTGCTGCAATTTCGCATCTGACAGGTCTTCTGTGTGCGTTTGACTACCGACACAGTGGCGTGGCCGATGCCTGTCACTAACGCTGCTGGATTACTTTTTTCTGGAATGAAATCTGATCGGAACTGTATATCCTGGCCAAACCCAACGCTAGCGCTACTACTAATATTAAACTATTTGCAGTTCTTCTGGTTTGTATTCCATATAGGGGGACATATGCGGTCTTCCTCTTTGTGGGCGATTGATTAAACGAAGGACTGCAATTCGGGTAAATCGGTAGATCACCTGTCTTCCTCGTGATCTCCATTTGCCCTCGCCAATCGGGGATGCAAGTCAAGTCTTTGTGTCGTACATGAAAAGTAAGCAAAGAAATCCCTACGCTTTTAAGCGAGTCATGAGGCTAGCTGTATGTGTTCGTTCGGGGTTCATAAATGTTGTGCCCGAAAATTTTCCCACAGCCTCGGGGACGTACGTACAAAACCAGGAGCTCCATGACTGGAACAAAGAACAAAAGGAAGGAATTTAGGGGTCGATAGGTAATACCCGTGAATAATTTCCCATTTCTTTCCTATTTCCCAGTCTCGTCTCCGCCTTCTTCGTTTTTTTGTCATATCTTCTTTTTTTATAGTACGTAGTGCTGTTTTTTTATTATTTGTGTTTCCTTTCCTAGAAGCTGCTAGACTTGTTCGATGCATGCGCCACATGTCTTTATTTGTCAGTGACAGGACTTTTATCGCATTTCCAACCCGCCATCGATTATCAACGTATTGGCTGACGATAGTACGCGGTAGTAAAAGCAATAGTAGTCTACTAGTTGACAGCATATTTCTCGTCGTTATGCCTAACCCTAATCCCGCGTGCTTTGTCCCACAGGCGAGACCAGCCCTCATATTCATGCATACATAATATTAAATTCTCCAGGCCAAGCTTTCAAAGAAAGACAATTGATTGCGACTTATTTAAATCCTTGGAGGACTTCTTATTTCTTCCTCCTCCTCCTCTTCTTCTTCCCACCCCCCTCTTATCCAAGTCCTCGGCCATACCTCCTTATCAGATACCTGTCTAGTACATGAGCGGAGCAGCCAAACCAAAACCAAAGCATTTCTTCTCTCTGTGTGCACTTGACGATTCAGTCGCAGCTTCCTCTAGCATTCGAAACGAAGGACAGAGGCTGCTGGTTTACAACAGGCCACACCTGGCACAATTGACCGTTGGTAGTTGACTGGCTGCTGCCTCCGTCCAGCCTGCTTCCCCTCTGGTTGAGATATCTTTTCTCTTTACCCTACGTCAACTAGAAGGAAGTTTCACGTTGTGATCCAGTGCTATGCAGACGTTGCTGCAGTCAGCCGATGGTACAGACAAGCCACGATATCGCGCAGCCTGCGATGCGTGTCGTCAGTCAAAAGTGCGCTGCTCCGGCAACGGGGTTTGTCTACGTTGCAAGAAACACGACTATAAATGTCGATACAGCATTGCACATCGAGCAGGCAAGCCGAAGGGCAGTAAAAATAAAGCAACATTGAAGAAGCTCGAGAACCTCCAGACAGGTCAGGGGAACACTCCATCACGAGGCAAGGCAGCTTCTACACGTACGACACCAAAGACGTCAGTGGAATCTAGCTTCTCTCAGCAAAAGAAAAAGAGGATAAGTCTGGTGAGTCACTGTTATTCCCTAGTCACTCTAGCATTGATCATGGCGGGCGGTTTTTTACTTTGATACTGATTCTATTTCCAGCCTTCCCACCATAGCAGGGCGCGCTATGATATCGGACAGCCTTGGCCCGATCAGTCGAGAAATATTTCTCACGCAATGTCGCGCAAATATGCCTTTTCCAGCCCTGCAATTGTGTACCCATCACCTACATCTCCGGGAGTAGAGCCATGCCTATGGGAAGATGCCAGGGCAACGGAAGTGGGCTTCTATGGGCCCCCAGGGGCTTCCGATGGACATCTGTCTTCTTCTGCTGTAGTTCAGTACATGCCGTCGCCGAGAGAAGAATCAGCCGCCACCGCTGCCTCCTTCAAGACACGAGCAGACCCGCAAGAGCTGGTTGGAATGTGCAGCTGCTTGGATAGACTTGGTCTAATCCAAAAGCAATTGTACAATCTGGATCTAGATTTTACCATGTGGAGTTTCAATTCGACGGTGGACCTCGTCACAACGTCTCTGTCATCATGCCATATTTTTCTCAATTGCGTGGCGTGTCCGAAAGACGCTGGCAATTTGCCACTTATGCTGTCCTTGCTTGACCACACATTCAATGTCCTCAATCAACTTTTATTTCATCGGACCAACCGGAACAGCCCTGGATCTTGGGATGGACAGCAATACAATTCGCCTATTCCATACGACTACGCACTCGCGCTCCAAGATTGCATACTTGAGCAGGCAGTGTCAACTTCATTCCAGATAGTCATTTCACTCAGGGAAATAGCCGAAAACGAGATTGCAAATCATGGCAGCCATCTCGACCATATCAACGATGGCATATCGTCGTCAGATTTCTCCTCTCCAGCTTCGGGAATTGAACGTCCGGCCCGTGAACAGTATAACTTCAAGGGGCTAATCATACCTGAAGGAGGTCAGCCTGATTTTAACCAGACGCCGTTTCAGCAGCGAATGCATGATTTCGAGTGCGCGCCCATCAAGCCTAGTGGTTGGCTCAGTTCCGAGGATGTAAACCATTTCATTGAAGTCATTCGTCGCTACGAGACGATCATTGGTGACTTGCAAGCTTTGGTGGCACATAACGCTTCTTCAGCTGCTGCCGTGGCACAGCCAGTTTTAGCTCCTGCGTCTTGGTCCATTAGCAATGTCTCTGACGCATCAGCTACAGGTAATGGGCTTTATCATTTCCAACCGCAGCAGCAGCAACATCGAAAGTTTAGCTCTTATGACGTGGTTGGGCTTTCGTGATATTGCTTGTCATTTTCTGTGCGATGCGATGATTGTTAACATTTTATCCCCTGAACGAAATTTATGAGCTTCTCTTCAATGAAATCGAGTAGATTATCAAATCTGAATGATCGAAGGCTTCGTACCTAGTTAGGTAATAATAGTTTGAGTAATGCAGAGATTACTCCCATTCGTCAGATATCACAGGAGTTTCTCCTATTGGTTACACCCCAGGATCCACATATAGGTTCCTTGGACCAGCGGCGAAAATAAATATATTCGTAATCATAAAACGGGGACGGCAAATTCGCGTTCTCAATCCCGCACAGTATTTCCTGATTGCTGCATAGTCATCACCCATTCAAGCTACGCTACATACCACCGGCGCCTACTCCTGGCCAAAGCCCGCTGAGATCGCTCCACTGGTCAATATCAAATGCCATATGAAGCACGTCCTGCATCGACTCCATAGTCAGGTCATTGAATTCCAGGGTCCCAGCATCCCCTGTGTGAAAAACCGTAGAGCCGTTATTCATTAACGGCTCTGCGTGCAATTCCGTAATGCTGGGGGGCACCATCTCTTGATTGGAGGCCTCCTTGGTGTTGGAGACATACTGGTTGTGCCAAGCACGTTTAGCGAGAAAGTCGATCTTTGTGATCAGATTCCGTACAATGTTAGCTGCACTGCCGGCAACTGCAAAGCTATTACCGAAAATATCAAAAACAGACACTGAGAGCGCGATGGCGCTCCGGGAAGCAGCGGTAAATGGGCTCTGAGGGTACGCCAGTACAAAGCCAACAAGAGTCATTGCCGAGTTCCATTGCCATTGGAAGGCTTCATGCCAGCCTGATAGAATCGTTGTTGATGACAGGGCCTGGTGTGTAATGTTGGTCAGAGCTATAGCATGACGAGCGCATCTGAAGGCCATCTCTTCTGCGAGCGTAGACGACGGAGTAGGGACAAACGAGATAAAAGGGCGGAGTATGTTGGCATTTAGGTTGTGATACATCAACTCAAGTATGATGCGTTGTCTTTGCAGCCAGAGAGGCGCAAACTGTTCAATTTCCAGGGCCGTGCCGTCGTTGGCAAATGGCCGGCCACCGTCCTTACGTCTTGTTGTGAGTGTACTAGGTACGCCTTCTGTCCATTGTTCAAGTCTCTCGACAAATGGTTGAAGAAATTGCGCTTGGTTTTCCAGGACTTTGAAGTCATCCCACATAGTCTGCCCGTTCTGTAAAGGTAAGTCTCGGTCAAAGAAAGCCGTGTAAGCCGCCCGAGCAGCTAAAAATAATTTCGTATTTTGCAGATTGAAACTAAGCCAGGTAGCGTTGTCTCCAAGAGGGGCAAAGCTAGATCCTGACAGCATGGCGACCTCAACGTCGTCGCCCGGTAAAGTTGGTGTCGTATTAGATTGGTGGAGCAGAAATGGGCGTCCAAGCTTCATGCCGATTTTGCTGTCTAAAGAACAGAGTGCCCACCAGACGCGCTTGCGAATCTCTCGGTCTCTCCGAGGCATGCTTTGCGGGGGTTCTAAATGGAGACCAAGCATGTGAGCTGCACGGACAGCCATCGCACAGGTGCTATCAGCCATGTTTTGAAAAGACCCACAGCATAGGTATACCGTGGAAAGTAAGTGGCATTGTAAGGTTGCTAAAGTAGGACTTTCCAACTCGTAGGCAAGGAGAGTCTGACACCTTCGGTAATACCACCGACCAGCGATAGTGGCGTCGTTATCATCCACGACGAGCTGTTGCCTCATAGTAGGGAGCATGGAAATTCCGTACTGCATGCCAAGGGCAACCACAATATCAACAAGAGCTGAATCACTGCGAGTATTCCCTGAGGCTGTCCATAATGACCGATAATGCTGCTTAAACTCGCTCTCATCGAGAATAGGGAACAGCGACGTGTGGTAAGCGTTCCAATATAGATCAAGAAAGTATTCTTCTTGTGTCGGAGTTAAATATGCACCAGTTGCGACTGTGTTCTTCGTTTGAGATTCCGAATGGTTACGGCTGGAGTCGTGTTCAGGGCCTAGCAGCGGCCCAGAAAGCCGCCTGCTTACTGAATCAGGCAGCATTTGGTCATGTGAATGGGCCTGTTCAAAATTAAGGCTCAAGAAATTGGCGATGCGCCCCATGAAAGAGAAGAGTGACGACGGTCCATACCATGTTTCATTGGCGGAGCGTGCAGTCCTGAGATGGATGCCTTCCCAAACCGTTTTTCTTGCCTCATCCTGTTCAGAGCATATGCTTTCAGAGACGGATAATTCGGGAGTGGATATATTGATTGAAAGCGAAGACACATCATTTTCCCTTTCAGCCCTTTGTTTCCGCAGTTCGCCCTGGAGGTCTTCGACTTGGCGTCTCAGGGCTTCGATCTCTCGGTAAGCGCGCGGGAGGGATGTGATCTCTGCGGCGTCCTTTGTACAGTTGCCACCTCTCGCTTTGCAGTTGGTGCAGGGGGAATAGCTGTCGCACTTGATTCTTCGTTGGCGGCACCAATCGCATGCCCTCGAAACTTGGCTGCGTTTCTGGCGGGCACGCAGAGGCGACTGGAGCCGTGAGGGAGTCTGGTCAATGGGGCGGGGGTTCATAGCGGTACATTCAACTCTAAAGGGATCGACCGCTGACCTGGTCGACTCCGCACTGCGTCTGACATGCAGGCAGTAGTACACTGGTACGTAGCATTGAATATTGAGAGGGGATGAAGTCGTGGGGCGGCGGCAGCACGAAATTCCAGAGATCGGGCGGCGCACGTGCCACTCGCGCGGTTTCTCTTTCCTCAACTTCCCTCCTTCCTTGCCTTCCCTCGCTCACCCATACTTAACGCAATGAATCAATGGATGCACGATGGTCGCTTCGTAATCGCCGCCATTACTCATGCGCTTTCGACGACCTTCTAGAAAGAAAATGTGGGCAAGCCACGGACTGGAGGCAGACGGAGTTCAGGAGTTGATCTGATTGGCCAGGAGCTCTCCGCGAGTCCGCAGTCGCAGTCGCAGTCGCAATCGCAACATGAACTAATGAGAGGATCAAGGCGACGCGAAGAGCAAAACTCGGCTCTTGTATCCATACTCTCGCAGCAGATTGACTAAGAATGTCCATCATGTCGTCAGAGGCGAAAATCTATAAATTCGCCCTCCTACCCTATCGCTTGTCTCATCGGAGCACACTCGAACCGCAGTAGCCGCATAAACAACTTTTTTTCTTTTCCTTTGGAACAGACACGCCTCTTTAAGCGTTCCACCATGCCTTCTTACATAGCCTTCAAGGGCGTCCCGAATGACTACCCCAAGAAAAGCACCCTTTCGCGGCCTGATGTGCTTACTAGCGATTATGTCTTGCTGAAAGTAACAGCGTCTGGCCTTTGCGGCACAGGTATGAGACTTTTGAGTTCGATTTACAAGTACTGCAAATGTTCAGCACTAACATTTGGCGCCGTTAGATCTTCACTACGTAAGTTATTGAAAATAACTGCAACTCTACGAGTCATTATCTAACATGAAAAATTCAGCGACATGCAGATATGGTGCTTGGACATGAGGGTGTCGGTATTGTCGAGGAGCTAGGTCCAGATGCCAAGCATCTGAAGAAAGGCGATCGAGTGGGCTGGGGCTATGCGACTGACAGCTGCCGCAATTGTATCGAGTGCCTCCAGGGCACCGAGGTCTTTTGCCCTGAACGCGCCTTATACGGCACTGCCAATCTTGATCAAGGAAGTTTTGCCTCCCATGCCGTCTTTCGCGAAGCCTTCCTGCATAAGATTCCCGACAGTATTAGCGATGAGGCCGCAGCACCACTACAATGCGGCGGTGCCACAGTCTATACGGCTCTCACGGACTCGGCAAAGCCAAATGAAACGGTGGGGATTATGGGAGTGGGAGGCCTTGGTCATCTAGCCATTCAGTTTGCGGCAAAGATGGGTTGCCGTGTTGTCGTGCTTTCGGGATCCGATAGTAAAAAAGAGGAGGCTACCAGACTTGGTGCACATTATTTTGTAGCCACCAAAGGGAAGAGCGCCGCCGACCTAAAGGATGTACCGAAGATCTCACGGTTGATTGTTACTACAGCAGCCCAGCCTGCATGGGACACAATTCTACCAATGATGGCTCCGGGTTCTCGAATCTACCCACTCACAGTCTCTCCGCACAACCTCGAAGTCCCATACATGCCTTTAATCCTTACTGGTATCTCTATCGTTGGCTCGTTGGTTGCAAATAGGCCTACGCACCGCCGAATGCTTGACTTCGCTGCGCTCCACAATATCAAGCCAGTGACTGAGACATACCCTATGACTGAGGAGGGCATCAAGACGGCAATTCAAAATTTGGAAAATGGCAAGGTACACTTCCGAGCTGTTTTACTGCCGCAGTAACTGCCATTCGGAATATATAGTCTAGTATACAGAGAGATAGACGTCTTTGTTTTACTTTAGTCACTATATACCAGTCCACTTACCATTCAAAACACTCAAATTACTGTAAAGAATTCCCTGGGCTGAGTAATGCTCTCTTTCGTCTTCTTTCCCGAGCTATGCACCCAACCGTGGGCAAATGACGACTTCGCATATCTAAACCGACAGACAAGCCACGGCCAGTATACTCACACTACCTACGTAATCGGGGGAAATCTTGCATCCCGCAGTTCCATTTCTCGCTTCAATCGCAATTGCCACCCCCAGGTTTACCCAGTGGCGCAAATAAATTCTATGCCAATGAGAAACATCATATTGACAATAAGCTTTGGACTCGCCACAGCAGAAATAAAGCCACAGTTTCCCCAGAACCAACCCATAGATCGGGACTACGGAATTAAGGTTATCGATAAGCTTATTTCTGAATCGGCCTGGTGTTGGCCAATCAGCATCTGTGCCAATATTAGGCATCAGGCATAGCAAACAGCCGTACCATGGCCATCCCTTTGCCGACATACGGCTCAGGCACAGGCACATGGTCGAAAAGTCAAATATCGGTGGAACTATGGCTTTTTGCTGTGGGATACGACGGCCGTCAAAGGTATAAATAGGGCTTGAACTCACCTCCTTTGTCAATCCTCATTCCCATCGATCAATCAGTCAATAAGACAAGCAATCAATAAACTAATCATTGATTGGAAGCAAACACTCTCTTGAAAAAAGACAAATATTTTCTATCTCTTCCAAAGACTTCTAATTTAGAAGCCTTAACCACAATTATCTTCTTCCAGAAGACCTTCCTTCAAGAAGCACATCAAGTCAACATGCAGTTCACCAAGACTCTCGGTCTTCTTGCTACCTTTGGCGCTCTTGCCTCAGCTCTTCCTACCAACTTCCAGCGCCGTGATGGTGGCAACAGCACTGCCAGTGCCACCGGCGACAACAACAGCAACAACAACAACAACAACACCACCACCACCACCACCACCACCACCAATGGTGTCAACAGCAGCAACGGCAGCAGCGGCAGTGTCAACATTCAAAACAACATGGGCAGCACCATGTACCTCTGGTCTGTCAGCGAGAATGCCGACCCCATGATCACTGTCCAGCCTGGCGGCTCCTACTCAGAGAGCTGGCGCACCAACCCCGACGGCGGCGGTATTTCCATCAAAATGGCTATGAAGCCTGAACAAGTCGATGTCCTCCAATACGAGTACACCTTGCAAGGTGACACTATCTTCTGGGATCTCTCTTGCATCGACATGGGCACCAGCTCTCAATTCACCACCGCTGGCTTTGCTGTCACCTCCAGTGATTCCACTTGCCCTTCTGCTACCTGCCAGCCTGGCGACTCTGCTTGCGCTGATGCTTACCTTGTTCCTGACGACAACCAGGCTACTCATGGCTGCCCTGCCGGTACCCAAATGAACTTGAACATTGGCTCTTCTGCTTAAGGTGTCTGCACAAGAAGGAAGATCAATATAAACCAAAGTCGAAAAACGCCAATATGAATCGAGACCTGGCATCAAAAAAAAAAGAATAATAATTCTCGAAAACATTATGATGATATTCTAATAGCGTGCTTTTTCTACATACCCCATTTGTTCTATATCTCATATTATGTACATAGATATCTACCTTCTATATATTTCTCCAAAAGAATATATATACTTCAAAAACAAACAACACTTTACCAAATTCGACTGGTAGCATCTAATTTTAGGGTAGCCTCGGTTGTTCCCCGCAAAGCCGGCAGTGTCTCCGCAATTAACTACACAGGTCCTCACTACACTACAGTTGGACTATTATTCCTCTTTCAACTCATCATAAATCTTAAAGCTTAATTGCAGAGAAGAAAAAAATGGCACCTCAAGATCGCCTAGCCCAAGTCTCATCCCATCTCAATTTCCCACGAGGACTGTTCCACAATCAAACAGCTATCATCACAGGTGCTGGACAGGGAATCGGTGCCGAAACAGCTCGATTATTTGCAAATGAAGGTGCAAAAGTAGTTGTCGCTGATGTCGACGACGGTATACTCCTTGTGTGTACAATCTGGTGGGAGAGAAATACTCATCAGGCGTATAGAGAAAGCAAATGCGGTCGCGAAGAGCATCAATGACATCGCGCCCAATCGAGCAATAGTCGTGTCTGGCGACGTCACGAATGCGAGTTATATCAACACGCTAGTACAGAAGGCGGCTGAGTTTGGAGATGGTAAGATACATATTATTGTTAACAATGCCGGGTTTGCCTGGGATGGGGTTATTCACAAGGTCTGTCCATCTTTCTCTCTTTCTTCGTTAGGATCTCAGATGATGCTGATTTTCCGTTTTATATAGATTACGGACAAGCAATGGGACACAATGCTTGCAGTCCACAACACCGCGCCATTCAAACTCGTCAGAGCCGCAGCACCATATTTTCGTGTAAAGGATAAAGAGCCTCGTGTCATTATTCAAATCAGTTCAACAAGCGGGATACACGGGAATGCGTGAGTTCTCGTTCCTTTATATATATGCTTTCTATATCTGGGTTCTTAACCTACAACACGCCGCTATTGCGTGAACCATACTGACAAATACACTCATATAACCCAATAGAGGACAAGCAAACTACGCCCTCGCCAAAGCAGGGGTTGTCGGACTCACAAAGACCATCGCCAAAGAATGGGGGCCTCAATTCGGGGTTCGCGCCAACACCATCGCCTTTGGATACATCACCACACGATTAACAGCTGCAAAGGAGAACGGAGCCACTTATGTTGCCTCTGATGGCACCAAAGTCGCCCTGGGTATTCCCGGAAGGAAAGAAGTCAAGGCAGGCGATGAGGCTAAAGCTTACGCTGAGATTCCGTTACGAAGACCCGGAAGTCCGGAGGAGGCGGCTAGGGCGATTGTGGCCGTGGCGAGTCCGTGGTTTTCGTATGTCAATGGCGAGACTATTGAGGTTACCGGGGGGAGGAATATCTAGGTTTGATTACCTATTCGTGATGTAAAAGATTATGTACCTATATGACCGTCGGTTAGTTAAGACACAGTACTATCAATTCACTGCGTTAGTCAATGGCAGCATGCACATGGTATCTGGTTGTAGAGATGCAAACAAGATCTTAAATTTTCCAGCAAGAAACTCCTCTGCCTCACCATTCTCCCAACAATGCCTCTATGTCGCCGTCCCCGGCCGAAGTTCTCTCTCTGGACAGTTTTCAAATATTGGCTTCACCACTGCCAGTAGTCGCTGAAACCACGCAGTGGTCTTATACGGTTCAAACACCATAATAAGCATCCATTGCTTTCTCTCCTACTCAACTCATTCTCATCCCTTATCCAATTTGGTCATTCCCAATACCTAGATACTGAATCCAGTTTCTCTCTGTGCCTCCGATTGAGGACAGCCAATGTGATTGAACTAATGAATCTATAACGCAACGAGAAAAGGACCTGATAGCTACATAATCGGTACTACCTAGATACTGACCTCCACTCGACCTCTACAAGCATTGTTCTTCCCAATATATGATACATAAACTATACAGAATCATTAGCAGTACCTAGGTAGCCACATCTTATTGTTGCCTAGACGGTGGCAAGGAGCAGGCCATTGATGATGCTATGATTCCTTGAATAGGAAACTATCGTATCGAACCGTGGATACTTGAAGGATGTGTAATGAATTATTTGAGATCAATGGCATGACTCTTCGTCAATTGATAGGAATACAATATTGTAATTTATGTACAGATGGTTTCCACAAAATTGGTATGTATTGTGTAAATATATGTGTATAATATCGCATCATCCCGGATGACACAACCGCCCGGATGCCTGCTGTGGCGACAGTCGGTGATGGCGGACAGACGACGGGATAGATTAACGATCATTTGACCTGCGCTCCAATAGAGTCATTATAGAACAATAGAGCCGGCATAGTACAAAGCAAGAAAAATGAATCATACAAAAAAGAGAAATAAATCCACGCCACTCGCAAATGACAACAGAATACGAAAAGACCATGATGGGTTGAGTTGGCTTTCAAACTCCAGCAATCAATCAATGACAAGACCAAAAGCAAGGTTAGGGTATTCTTTCCTGTTAAATCCCTCGAAGCCACCTCAAAAGAGCAAATGCGTTGACAAAGTAGAATCCCAAATATAATCAAACGCCTTCCTAGATCTTCGTAAAATGAGTCTTTTTGTATAGAGAAAACAGCACAACCTCCAAAATATTTATACAGAACAAAACCAGCAATAGCCTCACATGAATTAGAAAAGAATATTTGCAGTCCAGGCGATGTCCTTGGAATTATGGAAGCCACGGTAAATGAAAAGCCGTATTATATATTCATATGAAAAAAAAAGGGCCAATCCAGAAAGAAGTCGAAATGATATCATCGGAATGTTAGATCCAAGAAGAATGAATTATCCAAAAGGGTCCGAAGGAAAGGGTCATGTCGAGAGCAAAAAAAAAATTGGAAATCGTTGATATCGTCGCACGTATAAGAAGAGTATTATAATTCGGTCAGTATGCCTCAAGGACCTGACAGTTAAGTAAGGCAGGCACAGGAATGTTCATGTTCTTTTCAGACCCATCAGGCATATAAACAACCGTGTTCCAGAACTCGGGGGTAGCCTGTGGGTCAACATAAGAGAAGCTTTCGGTTTCGCTCTCGGAAGCATAGTCCGAGTCCGACGAAACGGAAGAAATAGTTTCATTGTCGGTGAGCGACGTATCCGAGACCGCTGAGCCGGAATACTGCGCATTGAGCAATTCGATGCGTGGAACTGGTGCATGAGCATAGTAAGAATAAGGAGGCAGCACCTCAGGGTGTCCGGATTTCCTGGGAGTAGGAGCAGTAGGGATTGTGCTGGGAGCTGGCATGGTGAACCTTGGGCACTCCACAATGAGGCGCCGCAAATCCGGAATGGTAATTCGCTTGTAGGGATCGCATTCAAAAATGCGGTGTAGAATCACATTCAACTCCGGGGACACAGGAAGAATGGATCGCAAAAACTCCGGGTCTTTTAAATAGGCACGGAAGGTCGTGTCCTCGGTTGAGGCACGCTTCCATGGGTTGCGGCCACAAGTCAAGTTCACCAGGATCACTCCCAAGCTCCACACGTCGTTGATGGGTGACACATAGCAAGAGCCGGGTCTCGGAGTTGTTTGTTGGCACTCTGTTAGAAATGACAGTGTGGTCAGCTCCTGAACACAATGCGCGCATATACACGCAAGATATAACAAGCTTACCTGGTGACATGTAGAAAGTAGAACCACAGCCGAAATCCGAGGTGACATAATCCATTGTGGCCAGGCCAAAGTCAGCTAGTTTAACAGTCATTCCTCCATCGGCGACCAGGATGTTCTCCGGCTTCAAATCGCGGTGGTAGATTCCAATGTTGTGGCAAAATTCAACGGCATCCAAAATCTGTAAGAAGGCGCGTTTGGCCAGTGGGTCGTTGCCGACAAATAGGCCACGTTCCGTGATGTTGGAGAACAAATCGCCTTCGGGACAGAACTCAATGACAACAAAGGTACAATCAACAGAATCCATGATGCGGACTAGGGAAACAACATTGGGGTGCTGGCTAGCTAGATGATGGAGCTTAATCTCTCGCTGCTGAAATTTCCGTTGCCTTGGGTCGAGACCATTTTTGTTCAGGGCCTTCACAGCATAAGGGATATGGGTATGGATATCGATTGCCGTGTAAACCACGCCATAAGCGCCGACTCCAAGGATGCTGGTTATTTCCAGGCGGTTGGCCAGCAGCAACCCTAGACGGTCCTCTGGGGCGCAGCAGCGAAGGAGTGGCGGAGACGGAGGCGGTGTGGGAAGCATAGTGGGATACATTACTCCAAATGGGTCGATCTATTGGAACCAATGGCCAAAAAAAAGTTTGTCGGAATGGCAATTATCCTGGGAAAAAATCCTGGAATCCAGAACAATAGGGTTGAATCTCCTGGAGTTTATACGAATCCTTGGAAGGGGACGAAACAGTGCACAACCTCGGGTCGGCTAGATCCAGGAGACAAGTGGCAGTGAACGGAAGGAATCCAGATTTGTGGGAGAGAAAGAGAGAGGATCGTTGTAAAGACGATATTGCTATCGTCTTTACGCCAACCCGACGAAAACCTGACAGAAGGAGCGGCCGTTGGTGGCAGTGGTCGGACAGAATAGTAGAAAGTAGGATATCAACGGCAGCACAGATCCAGGAGGGTATACATATAGAACAGATAAATATATATAGATACGTAGCAGTATGTATATATATATTTATTTTTTTCTATATGTATAGAGAAAAGAGACAAGAGAGAGAGAGAGAGAGAGAGAAGGGGGTTGGATGTTGCCGGCGCGGAATAGTCGGGGGGTGTTCCTTTCCTCGGGATAGTATGGGATGGCACTAGCGGTGGACGAGAGAATTAACAGGTACGTAGAATGAAAAATAAAGAGAAGCGAAGCAAAGAGAAGTGAGGACGGAGAGGACGAGAGAGAGAAAGGGGAGAGGAAGAGGGAGGCTTGAGGTTGAGGTTGAGGTTGAGGAGGAGAGGAGAGGAGGCAAGAGCAGCGCACGAAGGAAGGAACGATGTAAATAGAGCCGAAAATGGTGATGTCGATGCGACGAGGCAGGTGCCAGGCAGGCAGGAAAGGCAGAAGGCAGGCAGGCAGGCGGCAATGGGCGGCGGTGGGGACGCTACGAGGGGCGATTTTTGCTTTAGCACTTTACTAGTTTGGTCTTTCGTTGACTCGCAGACTCTGTTCTAGCTCTTGCCTCTGCGTCGTAGGACGGACTAGGAGCAGTGCCACGAGCAGCCAGCGCTCACTGGACTGTGGAAAAGGGGGGGGATCGATCGATTCGTGTGCCGACGCAGCCCAGACCACCACCAAATAATCTCTCGCATGCTCGCCGTCCAATCAGCAGCGTCGAGCCCAAGGACAGAAGAAGGGCTTCAGGAGTGGGAGTGGGCGGCTGGGGACGGCCAACCTGGCACGCACTCAAGACATTTGGTTGAGGGATCCAATTCATTGGCCGCTGCCATGCTCGGAGTCTATAAAAAAATCATTATACAATAATTAATAACCATATGCATGTCCCCATCGTGTGCTGACCAACAACGTAGGGATTACGAGCAAGAGTGGAGGCGAATACGAGTGGAATTTTCCATGCTAGAGTTGGACCCAGGCAATAACGCTGTGGCGACGTCCGAAAAAACAAGGCATACTCGGCCGTTTGCGTATTCGCAGTCTATCTGACGAGAAAAATCCGATCCGGTCACACGATGACGCCGTGACTCGTAGGCTCCAGTCCTTACCACCGGCACTGGGGATAAATTTTCACTCTGGCCTGTCTGTCCGCATTGTTTCTTCTTTTCGTTCTATGGCTGTATATCCCATCCTATCAGCGCGTGGCAGGAGCAAAGAGTGCGTGGCCTTTCCCTGTTGGGCAAGCCGTGGGGAAGCAATGATTGGCCCAGCAGCCTCCACGATAGCCGTCCCGAGTGGCCAATGAGGCGCTGCGATCTCGACGCATGGGCCGCCTCACAGCCTGGCTCTAGACCGGGCCTGGCCTAGCGTGCATTTGGCCTGCTCACCGACTGAGCCCAGGCCTGCCTAAGCATTCGTGCGTGTCTTGCTCTTAGTTATGCATGCGAGCCTGCCATTTCGGGCCTTTGGCGCTGTGACGGCGTTTGCATGTATGGAGTACATGCTGCATCCTGTCAGACCACAAAGCGATTCGCCTCAGCGAACAAGCGGTGGACAGTACGTACCATGATGTGCATTACATTTACCTTACACTTACAGCTTATTAAATACACCATGCCAATCAGCCTTCCTCATCAATAGCTTCACGTCGAGAAGCGTCGGATGAACCAATGATCCGTGCTAGGCTGTTTGATCCCATGCTGTTGTCCAATCGAAGCGTGCTTGCTGCATGAGCAACTTAATAGTAGTATCAGCCACCGAGTAGTTGACCAGGGCGAAGACTGTCGATCGCACGCCTGGTGCGTCGTGACATTTGATTCCACTGATTTACTGGCCGAGCAAGGCAGGGATGCAGATGCATAAGCGCTCTGCCTGTTGAAACCTAGTTACGCTCCGTGACTCCTCCTGAGTCAACGAGCAGTAGCGTGACTGCGTAGTAAAATGGGGTCCAGAGCCGGAGATTATGATTGGCGCCGAAGCCATTGCGTTGCCTTAGCTTGCTCAGTGCTTGCCTTCTTCCAGGTGATCAGACTGCAAAGTGAGGCGTTAATTTTCTCTGCCGTAATCAACCTCTGTGAGCGCATATCACTGCTTCTAACGCAGTCGGTCCAGCCAATGAATACCAAGGATTGGGTCTATCGTGGTCACCCAACTTCACTAGCATCATGGTATATCATGTCATATTATTAAAACGGCTGGCGTTATTCCATTCAAGGAGGGGACCCATTCCAGACTGTCCGGTGTTCCACCCACTCCGTGCTTGAATTGAAGTCTTGGAAGTTTTACTTTGGTGGCAGACTCGTAACAAAGACTAATCAGTTAATGACTGTTATTCGGGTTAGTGCGTGACCTGTGGACGTAGCGAGTCATCGAGTCAAGTCATATCAAGTTGTAATTGGTTTGCAACGACGGTCTAATATACATTAATACCACGTAAACCAGAGATTAAAATTAGACGCCGCAGATGGAACGCCGAGACAAGACCTCGATGTTCATGAAGGTATGTATCAGAAAGTATAGATAGATAATAATCAAATTTACCTCCGTGAAATGAAGGGGTGCTTCAGCGCTTCCAGCGCTGTACACCTCTTCTCTGGGTTCACGTTCAGACACCGGTCGAGCAAATCTACAAATTGCCCCAACTCTTTCATCTCGCTTTCCGCCATGCCCCTGGAGATAGGCTTGTTCCCGGTCCCCATCAACCTTGATTTGAGGTCCCGCGTTGGCTTTTTGAAATCCACCATTTTGGTCACCACTCGACCTGTCAGTTTGTCCTCTTCTGTGCTGTGGAAATTGAGCATGTTGTCGAAATGCTCATGCGTCAATGTGCCCTTTCGGAGGAATTTCGGAGGTAATTTACCCCGGCATTCCATGATTGACCGCAGCATTTGATTGTTGTTGCGTCCCGTAAATAGAATCTTCCCCGTATATAGCTCGTAGAGCGTGCAGCCAATAGACCAGATGTCAATCGCGTAGTCGTACGGAATGCCGAGAATAATTTCAGGAGCACGGTAAAACCGACTGACTAGGTACGGAGTGATCTCATTATCTGAAGCGGATGATGCCGACCCCAAATCGCAAATCTTCAGAATGCTTCGCCCCTCGTTGACCAGCAGGTTATCCGGCTTCAGGTCTGCATGCAATATGTTACACTTACGGAGCAGACTCAACCCGAGAAACATCTGCTGCGCATACGCACGGATGGCTCGTAAATTCAACCCAACATCCCGACCAAATTTCTTCAGTACCTCGCGCAGATTCATGCTGAGATTCTCGAACACCATGCAAAGATGTCCTTTATGCTCAAAAGACCGCTCAAAACGAATCACGTGCTTTTTGTCCTCCGGATCAGCCGCAAGTAACTGCTCAAGGATCTGGATTTCTTTCAAGCCGGCCTTTCGCATTGTGTCATTGCGTCGGATAATCTTGATTGCAACGTATTTGCCCGTCTTGGAATCCGTAGCCCGCACAACAGATGAAAACATTCCTTTACCCAGATTCTGGTGAATATGGTAACGTCCGTTAATCAACTCACCCAGTCTCACATTATAGTACCCCTCGGGATCATCCCAGTTGTCTAACATCGTCATGTCAAGCTCTTGTGCTTTTGAGACCGCTTTAGCACCGGCTTGTTGTGGCTGCTCCTCGGGCTCTGGCGCAAACATATCGTCGTCATCATCTTCCTCGGCAAACATATCGAATGTATCTGTGGCTGGAGCTTTCGGTTGAGCCTCAGGGATAATAACGGCTTGTTTAGTTGTCTTGGTCTCATCATAAGCAGTTGCCGGTATTTCATCATGTCTCTGTTCGTGTCTTTGTCGCTCCTCCCGCATATCCTGAGTGGGATCATAGTCGGCTGCCGATGGGCCATCTTTTTCGACGCCTTCCATAGGCTGACTTCCATTAGCAAGATCCTCATCTTTTGCAATTGTAAAATCAGCTTCAGGGGTCTCGATTGATATTTCTACAGCAGGAGACTTTGGCGTTTCTAATACAAAAAAATTAGCTGTGCCTGTCCAATGTCTCACTATTCATTATACATAATGCTTACCTGTTGAACTTATTGGTGTGACGGCAGTTTGCTCCGAAGTAGTCCCTTGATGTAACGCTTGTATGCGCAGCGAGTCCTGGCCTCGATACTTGGCCTTGATGGCTTCACGCCGTTTTCGACGAGCTTCAAGCCGCGCCGCTTCATCTAAAGGTTTTTCGAGCGCTTCACTTATGTCGGCATCTACATTTGACCTACTAGATATTAGTAAAAAACCAACTCGACTAATTTTAACAATGCTTACCCATTCAACAAACTGGGGGAAGTGTCTGTGCTAGACTCATGCACCTGGCGCTCTCGTTCAGCCTGTGGTTTAACATCTTGAGCGACCACCATGGGAGATCCCCGTTCGCTCACTGACTGTTCTATGAAAGCCACTTTCCGAGACTCATTCCCATCAGTATCATCGTATTTCTTTGGTTTCCTCACGTCATGGAAAGGAGATCGGCTTCGCGTTCTCTGCCGCTTGTCACGACGGTCATAGTCGTCCGTATAACGGAGCGAACCGCTGTAGCTATCATCTCGGTCGTAGTCATGGTACGTTCTATGACGTCGGGGCTCATATCTGCGACCGTGATCGGATCTTGACTCGTATCGGTGGGAGCCGTGCGAGTAGCTCCAGTCGTCATCATAGTCATACCGCGGTCGTTTCTCGCCGCGACGATAGGGCGACCGTGCCCCCGATGGAGGTGATCTGGGAGAGAACGATGGACTGAGTCTGGGACGACGGTTAATATTCGTGTCATTCATGGAAGTTTGCGACGTAGTTGCCTTCGTCTCTGATCCTGACTCGACTATCTCACCCTCTGAGGGAGTCGATGGCGACCTTGACCTGCGGGAAGCCATAGCTAAGAGGATACAAACAAGCTGATGCAATTCCCTTTCCTGCAAGAATTCACACTGGATATTGTGATAATAATAAAAAAAAAAAGGAAACCCAAAGAAGTCGGTTAGCGATAGATTTCTCAGAAGTCACAACAACGAGTTAGATGGCAATTGAGATGAGATGTCCAACCGGTTAGAGTGATAAGGTATGCTGCCTCGCTCCCTGACATGCGTACCGGCTATGTAGGCATAGAGAAAATTCTATCGAGAATACAAAAAGAACAGCGTGCTCTGTTGCACTGTTCGAATCGATGTGGCTGGCTTCAGTTGTTGTTGGCGTCAAGCTTGGTCTCCGATCAATTTTGAGAGATTTCCCCCCAGCCCAACTAGGCTTAGCGTTTCTCTGCTCCTCCCCAGTTTAATTAGCCTCGATAAGCCCGCCGCTTTCCTAACCAACTCCATTTTTTTTCTGCCCCTCAGCGAATCTCACATCGTCCTCCATTTTTGTTCCTGGGAGCGTTCTACACGCGGTGTAAATCATTACAGAGAGCAAATATGGGCGGTCAAGGAAGAGAAGGTTAGGAGCCACACACCATTTTTCCCTTTATTTTTGAAGTCCTTCTTACTGACTCTTATCGTTCTTTTTCCCAGGTGGCAAGGTCAAGCCCCTCAAGGCTCCTAAGAAGGAGAAGAAAGAACTGGATGATGATGAACTTGCCTTCAAAGAGAAGCAAAGAGCTGGTGGGTCTAGAAGATGAATTTCCTGCATCGGGAACATGGAAACTGACAGACTCCCAGAGGCCAAGGCCAAGAAGGAATTAATGGATAAGGCCAAGGGCAAAGGACCATTGAACACCGGTGCTCAAGGCATCAAAAAGTCAGGAAAGAAATAGAAGGATCGCATTTTCGTCTCTTCCATCCGTTCTTTCTGCGTCGTTAATTCCGAATAGCGACAACTCCGAGCGAAAACATGTACCGAATTGATACCCAGCGGAATACTCACCTGTCGGCGTCCAGGATTCTCGTCTTTATATTCATTTACATACATTATATGGTACGGAGGATGCAGGTTGTTGATGGCTATCTTGCGCCTCCATGAGATGGATTTTGCCCTGGATTTCGTGGCATAGTACCATACCCTTTTTTCCTTTCTCTTCAGAAAACCGAATATATTCAGTGTGTAATGCGATGCAACTTGTACATGGTCAAACTCAGGGGTATCAGTCAGTGCAAACAAAACGCCACGCCTTGCAAGTACATAAAAACACAGTCTTGGAATAAAAGCTTAGCTTGAAGCATAAGCCTGACACGGACAGGTATTATAATATTCATACATTCTTCAAGAATCCCTCCCAAAAAATAATAACCCTTCCAAGAAGACTGACAGGAGTCAAAAAGGTAAGATGGTTGTAGAAAAAGAATGTCATAAACAAACGCCTGTAGCACAATTGCATAACAAGGGGTTATAATCAACTGGTAACTCTCTTGACCCACAAAGTACTATGCTCAAACTCAGCTGCATTGTTCAGGTTTTTGTAGAGTCGTACGAGTTTGAGGCCGATTTCGTGGTCTTCTTTTCCAATATCGTCAAGCTCGGCCTTTAAAGAGTTGACGGTCTTCTTCACTTCGTCGCGGGTGGCCATGTCATAGGCAATCGAGCTAGGTTGGATGACTTCAGTCAGTTCATGAAGCATTGTTCTGATACTGTCTTTGCGCAATGAGAGCTGCCTGCGTCGAGTTTCCAGGCTATCAACGCGACGCTGCGACTGTTGTTCCGGAGAGAGGCTCTCCATGTCTGCGTCTGGCCACGTCGGGGTTTCGGTAGAGACAGGCTTTCTTTTCATGCTTTTGATGGAAGCCGCATAGCTTGGAATGGGCCGTCTTCTCGTCATGATCGGTGAGTGGTGATCCGTGGATGGAACAGGCGGTGCGTCGGCGTGACTGCTGCCAGGTGGTGTAGTTGCAGCTTCAGTCGGTGCATACGTTGAAGCGCTAAATCGACTCCTCGGCTCCTGAGTCATATTCAGATCATGAAACATGTCAGAAATGTTGAGTTCCTCTGGTTTTTCCTCAGCCGTCTTGGGTATTTCAATTTCGCCTTGAAGGGGAAGTGTGCTCTGGTTAGTGGCTCTCTCATCGGTGATAGGATCGGCATTTTGTCCTGGCCCTCTTGGTGTATCCTTCACTGCTGGCGATGCAATCCTCGAACGTAGTCTGAATTGGTCCGTTTTGCTACGAGGCTTCTCGACCATAGGATTACCAGCGGAGACGGTGGTGATTGTGTAAGCATTATGACCAATGTAATTGTGGCGATTGGCTTCTGTATCTCGCTGCGCACTGGGCCGAGATAGTTTATTATGCTTTGTGTAACTCTTGGTGTCAATTGGCGGGACGAGAGGGAAACGTCCGCTGGCACCTTTCCACTGTTCACGAAGCTGTTGCTGCTTGGGTCTTTGATCACGGGGTTTGGAGAACATCTGAAGTTTTTCCTTCCCAGCACTCAATAGCTTAGAGCCTTCTTTACTTTTCGAGTCGGCTATGCCACTTCGTGATTCCTGCGGGGTAACAGATGTCGCTGCAATAGTAGACTCGTGTGATACACCTTCGAATCCTTGGTTGTCAGACAACCTGGCTTGTTGATTATCAGTCTCTATTGACAATGTGCTGCTTCGGTGATGCTTCCGAGGAACCGGTAGATGACTTTGTTTGTTCTTGGGCACCTCGGCGAAGAAATGGCCACCACTTTCAATAGGCGACACATCTGAGTGACGCTTTGCACTGGCCATATCGACTGGAGAATCAGGCGGGGATATATCAGGCCCATCGTCCGCATATCTTGAGTACTCGGCATAATCACGCATAGGGGAGGTTGGCATGTTTCCATCTGCAAATCGCACACCGCTATCGTCGCGGGAATAGATGGAAGATACCATGCGTGTGTTGTCCGAATCACTGTACATAATCGCTTAATTCTGCATCCCGCGCAGACCATGTCGACGAGCTTCTCTTACCTTGGCAGCGCGGGTAGGTCTTTCAAGACAGCCTTGGGAGGCAGAGGATTGCCAGAAGTGGACTGCAGAACAGGCTGGCGTGAAGCCTCGACAAAAATTGCATGGCCGCTGGTTTGGCGACTGTGATCGCGGTTTTTGTGTATCTTTGCCCACATGATGTCTGTTCAATCATGAGCTGTATCGCGCTAGCAAAAACGCGTCGGTAGTTGCAATGCGAAGAATGGAAGGAAATAATAGCAAAATACGCAGAGAGCAAGAAAGAACGAAGGAAAAGCCGTGCGCTGAAACTAGATGTGCATGCTGAGTGAACGAAGGTTGGAGTTGGCTGAGAGATGAGCAGGACAGCTGAGGGGCGCGAGATGAGACGGCGGCGCGGCCCTCCGTGGATGACGTTTCATCGCTTCCCAGAATAGCTTGCTTTGTTTGCGCCTGTTTTATTGGGCTGGGCTCTTTGACAGCTGCCTGATTGTTGGCTGAGTATTGATTGAGTGATTGGCGATGCATTATCGTAGCTGATATATACTTGGGCAGAATAGTCGAGTTTATCTGCAGCAAATGTGTATCATGAACGAGACACGAGCTTACCAGCCAGTCCAAATGATCCTCTCAATAGACTGGAAGAAGAACAGAACACATAGCCATGTGAAGACAATAGCAGGATAGAATAGAAACATAAGCATAATGACTCGAGATGGGTTAGGTACAACAGGAAGAAGCAACAACTGGCTCGGGGTATAACTTCGCCCCCAAATTAGTTAGCGCCAGAGCGTCAATCCGCCGTTTCTACGACGTCAACGCCAACGCCAACCTCACCAACCCTCCTCAGCTCTCACTCTCCATCTGCCCATCACTTGCCCTGAGGAAACAATGGATTCTGGTAACTAACAGCCCGTTGCTTGCTGTCTTCTCACGTAATACACTTCGTAGCAGATTGACTAACTGATGATGGTGGCAGACTACGCCGACCTTCCCCCACCGGCCGAGGTGTAAGCACATCTCTTCCAAGCTAGAACCGCACAACTGACATCAAATCTAGGCAAACTATCGCCACGCCCATCAACCTCATTCTTCTTTCTCTCTTTGTCATTGTCGTCTTCCTCCAGCTCCGACCCAAGACGCCCGTCTCCCTTCCTAAGGGTCCGGCCCCCGTGGTCTTCCGTACATTTACACCTTCAACACTGCTTCCTTTCAACGGCGCCGATGGGGCGCCTGTCTATCTAGCTGTTCGAGGCCGAGTGTTTGATGTCACACCCGGACGCAATTTCTACGGACCGGTATGAGATACTTATAGACATGGAATGTAGTATGTCATACTGATTTGCGTGGTATTCCAGGGCGGCCCGTATGAGAACTTTGCAGGCCGCGACGCCTCGCGCGGTCTTGCATGCCAGAGCTTCGATGAGGAGATGCTCACCAAGGATCTTAAGGGTCCTTTGGACGACCTCAAGGGTCTTGATGACGAACAATTGGAGAATTTGCAAGGCTGGGAAGAGCGCTTCCTGGAGAAGTATTTAGTTGTTGGAAAGCTTGTTGCAGAGGGCGACCCGGAAGCGCCAAAATCTTGAAGGGAGAAAGGAAAAAGAAAAGACACAAGCTACATTACACAAAATCATGACCACCTGCTGCACAAGTAGGCTGCTGTCAATAGTTGGCAATTTCCTCTCTTCCTATTTGATGTTCTTTCACAAGGTTCACCTTTTCGCCTTTTCACGACCTGGTGTTCTGCTCCTTGCATTGTGATATTTTGTAGGTTTAGAAGACCACTCGTTTACCACGCATTGTGCTGCATCCCGGCATTTGAAAGATGATGCTTCGACGGATCAAAAATCATGGATATATCTGAATGACCGATGGAATGAATGATTAATCCGCTGTCACGTCTTATAAAATAAGCCATGGAATGAACCTACCTCACGTACAGACACAGGAGCCTGTCCAATTCCTTGCATGCTAACGCTCTCTCATGTTCCCATTTCTTGTTCTTCCGCTTCTCACTCAGTGATACCGAAATAATGCTGACACGGAACCAAAACACGAAGCTGATCAGCCAATATCGGCAAGCGAGCCGCCGCGCGATTCTGCATGCTATGCCAGATGCCCAGTATCCAGAGATAGACCATAACGGCGACATCAGTGGACGGGTCACGAAGCAAGAAACCCCAGTTGATATCTTGCATCAGACCAGGATATCTCCTCAGCAACAGAGTCCTGAAAAACATCATATCCTTGATGTACATAGTGTGGAACAGAGACCAGAAATCAAGCCGTGCGCTCGCAGCACGGCCTCGCATTTCAGCGGCTCTTTGTTGGAAGCAGATTTGGATTCTGTATCGAGCTATTTGGGGGAGACCGGCGAGATTGCTGAGGGTTTCAATGGAGTCTATACGCTGGAAAAGCCGAATTTCCGCGGGGTTTCTGGCCCTGGTGATGTCGATGGCTTTTCGCATGAAGATGTATCCTCCAATATCGGGGAAGCCACGCTCAGTGGTAAACTCGACAGCGCTGTATTCGACTGTTATGAGCCAGTTGGGAGAAATATGCTCGTGCGGAGGCTGTATTGGGAAGCGAGGTGGGTAGTAGATCTGGCCGCTAGGGCAAAGCCTTGGGTCAGCGCTCATGGTTGATTCAAGTGAGAGAGAGAGACACGAATTGACTGAGAGTGGGTAATTCAGAAGATTATCCAGAGATTGTGGGTGTGGGTTGGTTCTGTTGGGCGAAAGAAAGATGCTTTTAGCCATCACCTAGGTAACTTCTCAGCGGCTAATATAAACAGCTTCAAAACTATGTTTTTGCCTTCTATCAAGATTTCAGAAGCAAACCATAAGGGAGAAGAAAGAAGAGGGAGAACAACGTCCTAAGCGAAAAAAATCAAATGACCAACAAAAGCGTTGGACTTGCTGCAGTGTGTGGATGAACTTGCTATTTTCAATATGTAACGATTAACTATTTTATGAAGCATATATAAAAAGACAGTGGTGCGAAAGTAGAGAACAAAAAAGGTCACCACAACGCCAGAAACGATCCAATATCCAACATTCAGTACCCAGGTCATACCGTATTCGTGAGTCTGTCATTCCAAATTTGTCACCTTCACAAAACATCTACGACATTACTAACACCCTAAGTTCCCGCATCCAGAATTCTTCTAACTAAAGGCTTACAACTCCTCTCGTATCTTCTCAGTCGTCTGGGCGGCCTTCGCTTTGGCGGACTCGGCGGCATCGTGGCCCTGAGACCAACCAAGGGCGGCGCCAAGCTTCAGTTGATTCACCAACCAGTTGATTGCTTCCCTGAAACGAGCGAGGATGGTTTCAGAAGGAGAAGAAGTTCCGTAGTGAAAGTATTGGGCGTTGCGACGGACTGCAGCACGGAGCTCATTGATTTGAGATCCCTGGTATGTGGGAATTCCATACGAGTCGAGGTATTTCTTCAGATCAGATTCGGACCATTCGTTGAATGTGTCTTTCTTAGCTCCAGCTGTAGCCTGCGCAAGATATGATGTAACAGAGGCATACTGATTGCCGCCAGCCTTGGATGCCTTGGCATATTGCTCTTGGGCATGCCTTACAAGTTCCTCGCGGGTAGCATCGGCTTTATGAGCGGCTTTGTTGTTGGCAGATGACAGATATTTCCTATACACATGGTTAGCTAATATTTATACGACTTAAGCAGGATAAAAGCTCACTTCAAATTGTCGATAGTCCAAGTGTCAAATGTCCAAGCGCTGTAGCTAGTAGCAGCCTTGTGTTTGTGAAGTCGGACTTTGGCAAGAAGCTCATCACGCTTCGAATGCTGAGGAACAGGAACACCACGAGCGTCTAGGAAAGCCTTCAAGCGAGAATCAGACCATTTTTCTACGACGGCATCAAATGCATACTCCGCCTTGAGCTGTGCATCGTCTGTTGCATGAGCGTATTCGTTTCCAGCCTTAGAAGTGGCAGCGCCATAGGCGCTCGCAGCGGACGCAGAAACGGTAGAGGCCTGATCGAACAGGTACTTTCGGTTCTTGCGTGCCAATGCAATAAGCTCATTGCGCTTCGATCCCTGTGGTACCTTGACACCGTGCTCATCGAGGAACTTCTTCAACTGTGAGTCAGACCACGCTTCGAAAAGAGCCTCGCTGAGAGTGTGCTGAGCGGCTGCTGCAGAGGAAGATACAGAAGCAGCAGCCTGCTTAGCAGCAAGGCTTGCAAGGCGCGACTGGCGTCGAACAGCTGCAATGAGGCGATCACGGGTGGTCGGTTGAGGAGCTGGCCATCCATGTGTGTCTAGCCATTCTTTCAAATCCGACTCCGTCCACTCTTCGTACAACCAATTTCCAGGATAGGCAGCCGTCTCCCCGATCTTTTTCGCAATTGTATCATAGTTTTCACGCGCAGCACGAAGGAGTGTGTCGCGCCTGCGTGGCTGAGGTGCCGGGATGCCGTGACGATCAAGGAATGCTTTCAAACGAGATTCAGTCCAGCTGCATGGGCATGTTAGTTGAATTGCTCTTCTTGTAGCATGGTAGGTTAACCCTACCTGTCAAAAATCCATTCTTTGACATTGCTAAGGTGGCCTGAAGTTGTTTCAGATACTTCAGCAAGGGGAACCTGCACTTTTGCATTCCAGTTGGTTTTGACCAACTTCTCCAAGTCTTTGCGATCGGCTGGAGTAGGGTAAGGGATGTCTAGGAGCTAAGTTTTAGCAAAGGTTTGTTTTGCGTCCCAAGTGCTTTCTAGCTCACCATGGTCGCCTAGCCATCGCTCTAGTTCGGTCTCGTGCCAGCTATTGTAGACTGGTAACAAATCTGTCAGCTCTGTATCAAACCCAGTAGCAACCCGCAACAACACGTACCCGATCGACTAAACCAGTTGCTCGCGCCGACTGCTTCGGACGTAGCTAGGACGACCAGAAGGCCGGTGGCCCAGCGGAATCTCATGTTTGTTGATATGCGTATGATATGTGTCAAGGCAGTATGGAAAAGAGAGCTGTGAGAGAAGAAGGGAAGAATGAGTTTATGCAGACGACGTCGTGGATGAAGCCAAGGGATGATGAGCAGCGAGTGACGTAGTTCATGGCGGGAAGCTGGCCACCCGCCTTCATGCCTGTAGATTCAGGCAATCATAGCTAGTTATATGTAAGCTAGTTGTTCGTCATCATAATTAACTGATCTATCGAGTGGATGCTGCGTTTAGTCTCGATTTGTTCCAAAAGACAGTATCAATTGCGTGGGGTGTAAGATCTTATTGCTGGCGATTGGCAGCGCTGTAGGGTTCGCGCTCCTCAGCCCTAAGGTCGATGAATGATTCCTCGGGCACCCCCAAGATATCGACCATAGTTACTGTTGATTGTGACAATTCGCTTAGATGATCATTCTCATCTTCTCCAGCTGTTCTGTATAGAATATTAAGTCCTATAAAGTTATGCTTTGCCACGAGTTGCAAGCTTTACCCCCGTTGAGCTGCCATCCAACCACAGTCTCGTCTAAGCAGTAGATTCCACAATGTACAGATGTCTCTGACCGAAAAAGGGAGAAATCGATAGTGGAAACTCAGTATTATTTATCTTTTAATTTAAAAATTGAAGACTAAACTATTCTGTATTTTATATCAAAAACGCCCAGAATTGCGTGATCAACTAACTTTTAACTACGCCAAACGAGGAAAAAAAAATTAAGAAGGAAAAAAAAGCCTTAAGTACTGCCGACGAACCCCCCTCAATTTTTGTACTCGGATGAGCTTTTCAGAAAATTCGATATTCGTCTGAGGGATCATATCACGTCTTATATATTTGGCATGGCGAAGAGCCAAGCTCAAGATTCCAGTCGAACTGTCGAGGAGAAGCACCAGCCTCCTCCATCGGCAGGGGATGGCGCTCTAAATCTGCTTGCAGCTGCTAGTGAGGTGGACGATCCTGATGGCACTAAGCAGCGTCGATTGGTTCGCAAGATCGATTTGCATATTATGCCTTTGATTTGCATAGTCTATTTCCTGCAGTACCTGGACAAGATAGCCATCAGCTATGGCAGCGTCACGGGCATGAAGACCAGCGCCCACCTGCAAGGCGATCAATACAACTGGGTCTCGAGTATCTTTTTCTTCGGGCAGCTGGCCTTCCAGTTCCCCACAATCCGGCTCACGCAGGCCTTTCCTTTGGCGCGCTATGTGGCCGTCAACGTGGTGATCTGGGGTGGACTCCTGGCGTGCCTGGCGGCATGCAAGTCATTTGCGTCGTTGATGGTCTGTCGCGCACTGCTGGGATGTGCCGAAGCAGCCGTGATCCCGGCGTGGGTCGTATTTACTTCGCAGTGGTATCGCAAGGAAGAACAGGCCTTCCGAGTGGGTTTGTGGTTTTCCATGTGTGGCTTTGCGCAGATGTTCGGCGGCTATGTGGCATATGGCGTGGCTATCCACGTTGGCAGTGACCCGAATGCTGCCCTCCGTGGATGGCAGATCATCTTTCTCATCACCGGCCTCCTGACTGCCGTGGTTGGGGTCGTCTTTTTCTTTATTCTCCCTGATTCTCCGTTGACTGCAAAATTTCTGACCCCGACGGAGAAGGCTCTGCATGCGGAGCGATTGCGAGACAACGAGCAAGGTATTGGGAGTACTGTGTTCAAGAAGGAACAGTTCTATGAAGCCCTTCGTGACCCGAATACCTGGCTGTACTCGTTTTGGGTATTTGCAGCCAACATCCCGAATTCCATCGCTACAAGCTTTGGCAATATCCTCGTGACGGGCATGGGGTATTCCTCCACGCAAAGTCTACTGCTTGTGACACCGCTGGGCGCATATGAAGTCGTCGCCCTTATCGGTCTGACCTATCTCAGCATGAAAACGGAACAGCGGCTGCTATGGTGTATCGCAGGGCACATCCCGTCCATCGTGGGCGCGATCTTGATGGCTACCACCAGCAAGGCTCCTGCGCTAGTTGGATACTATCTCTCCGGTGGGATACCAATCGGCTGGACCACCATTCTCGGCCTAACGAGCACCAATGTCGCCGGATCCACGAAGAAGATCACCGTTGCGTGCATTCAGACTATCTGCTATACTGTGGGCAATATTATCTCGCCACAGACATTCCAAGCGAAGGATGCACCGCGGTACTTGCCTGCCAAGATATCGATCTGTATTTTGTACTTCCTGATCACAGTGGACTTGTTTGTTATCCGATGGCTGTCTATTCGCGAGAACCGGCGGCGCGATCGAGCCAAGGAAGCACTTGGTGAAGCTCATGCGGTCGAGCAGAACCATGAATTCTTAGACCTGACGGACCGGCAAAACCAGGAGTTTCGCTATGCGATTTGAGCTTGATATAGATTGATTAATACTTAGATATGAGGGGATGCTGCATGTCCTAAGCTTTGTTGCCCAAACAGGAACTGTGTTTCCTGTTGTGGAAGCTCTTGGATGAATCAGCCACGCGCCTCTCGAGGCTACTCGCACAGAACTAGCGAAATAGAACGTTTTCTTTTTTGAATAATACTCACATCTGCGGACAATTAATTTTTATCTTTCCGTACGAAGTACATGTACTACGTATAAGCATAACTGCTCTGTGCCTGTGCATCGCGGTCACGGCTGGAGCTAAGCTTATCTGCTTATCGCTTAGCCAGTCTTGGTTCAATATCAAGCCAACACAGCTGTCTTACTCCTCTCGTTATACTAACGTTCAACATCAGAACGACACTTTTTCAAGGACTACTAAGCCTGTATACGCCTCTCTCGAGATGGAGTCGGTATCTCCACAGTGTCGCGATCTCGTGCTCCCTCATTATGTGGACTTCAACTTCATTCTGTCCCTGTAAGCTTCACCCCCTTCATATGCCTTGGGACAGAAGAGCTGATCTGATTGAACGCATACCACAAACAGTCTAATCCTAGTCGGAATCCTGGTATCATACCTCCCCCAACACATCCGCATTATCCAGCTCCGGAGCTCCTTCGGTATATCGCCCTACTTTGTCCTACTCGGAACGACGTCGGGAACATCGGCATTCGCGAACATATTGGTTCTCCCGCGAAGCGCTCGTGATATGGCATGCTGTCGAGAAATATCGGGCATTTCGTGCTTTGCAGGACTGTTGGGCATATTCCAGGTTGGAGTGCAGTTCTCGTCCTTTTTTGTGATGTGAGTTTTAATTCATCCAGCGTTTGATTTTGGGGTACATAATAAGCTTGGACTAACTAAATGCTTTGGTAATTAGTCTCATTCTGTTCATAATTTTTTTTCCTCGAGCAACTCTAACGAACCCATCGACGGAAAACGAGCCCGACAACAACAACGACAATAATGACGCCGTCAAGCAAGCGAGCTATCGCACTGCCGTTCTCGTGGTTATCGCCTGCATTGCGCACGCGGCAATAGTCTTGATCGTATCGCTCGTCGTAGCGATTAAAGCACCCAGTCATCTACAAGCATGGGCCAACTTTTTGGGAATCATGTCCGCCGTTCTCGCATCTATCCAATACTTTCCGCAAATATGGACAACGTTTCGGCTGCAGAAAGTCGGAAGTCTGAGCATACCAATGATGTGTATCCAGACGCCTGGTAGTTTGGTCTGGGCTGCGAGCTTGGCGCAAAGGTTAGGCGTCGAAGGCTGGAGTGCATGGGGCGTGTATGTTCTGACGGCTATCTTGCAAGGAACGCTTCTGGTCATGGGCATCTACTTTGAATATTTGGGACCTAAGAAGGATGTCATTGATCACCCATTCGTTTCTGACGCGCAATCTGGAACCGAAGGAGAACAACAGCAAGATGAAGACCAGCAGGCGACGGAGAATACTCCTTTATTAGCAGAACCGCGCTGATTAGAACGGTAATTATTAGCTTTTTACAGGGTACAGACAGAAAAATATATGAATTTCCTACATCAATAACAGCACAACAAGAACAACCAAGATACAAGGCACCCTTTCAATGTCCGCCATTCCTTCTGGCGCCGCCCTGATCCTCAGTCAAACTTCCACCACCCCCCTTCCAGAACCCTTTACTCACTTTCCCCCCATCCACAATCTGATTATACGCCCTATCGTATCTTTGCTGCAACTCCCGATTGTGCTGCTTCACATCCTCCGGCAGATCCTCTCTAACATTACCCTGAAGATCGACATTGGGCGATTCCCGGCCGTCGCTCAGGGTTGGCCGGGCCTTGTTGGAAGGCTCCTTTCTCTGCGATTGTCGTTCAAGGTTCGGGTAAGATGTTGCGTCATCTGTATCAACGGGGGCGCCTGTGTTTTGCGATACTTCGCTGGTGTTTGGCGGTGGGGGCCCTGAGGAGGTTTATTTAGTTCATGTACACATTTGAGAGTCATTTATAACATGCATTAACATACCGGGATGTTCTAGCTCACGGCTCCTTTTGGAAGCAGGCACATAGCCTCCTCCCTGTGGCTTGTTATCGCTGCCATAGGACCTCCCGATCAAGTGTGCTGATGCTGGGCTTGCCGATATGATACCGGGGAATATCGACCTGGCGAGCGTTAATCGGTGAATCAGATGCATTGTTTTTCTCTTCTAGTGTGCTTGTTTTCTTTTGTCTCTAACTCGGAATAACTTTGGTATGGATGGAAAGAAAACAGAGAGATGTCCCTAATATGTGGAGTACTCATCCGTCTCGTAGACATGACGTAGAAGTCGATCATACCCAACAGACACCGGAACCGCCTACAATGAATGCAAGAGACTGGATCGAACGTAAAGGAATATTCAATTGTCGAATTAATATAGGAGTTCGTCACAAGCCCAGAGAAGAGAAAAAGTCCGTGAGAATCAACAACACATGATGGATCAAAAATAGATAGATAAATGCCATGCTTGAATCGATAGCCTCGCCAAATCGCCACCCGAAGGAAAATAACACGCCATGAAGAAACATACCAAAAAAAAAAAATAAATAAATAAATAATGATAAAAGAAAGAATCCACGTATGTACCCATCCCATGCCTTTTTGAGCCTTTTGCTCGACTTTCAGATGAAGGATATAAAAAAAAGTTTCCCGACGCCATATTCTAGACCGTAATAGTAATGGCAAAATTCAAAATCGCTCGACCAAGAAGTGCACGAATAACCCAGGAAGACCAAGACTCCAACTTCAAGACTTACGCCCGAGGTAATTCTTGAGAAATGAACCAACAATCGTATCGCGTCAAGAACCCTACCCCATTGCAATGGAAGGAATCGATAGGAAAAAAGAAAGCGCCAGTGCCAGCAACGCTAGGCGTCTAGGTTGATCTCGTTTTAGGTCAACCATTCGCAATAACATGGAACTTGGGAAGACTGCTGCGAATACGCATGTGTTGTGATGCTCTCGTTTATCTTAAAGGTCTGGCCATGAATTGGAGTAACACTGTTATCAGAGTTGACTTGCATCTGCTGACAATAAGCTTGTGGTGCATTCGGGTTGACTCGGTTTTCCTTGATTTTGACCTTTCTCGGGTAGTAACCAGGAATGGTTGTATCTCGTTTGGACGATCCTGCCCCAGCTGCAGATGTAGATACTGGTATGGCTTGTGTCGAGGAGGAAGAAGGAGAAGAAGAACCTGTCGTGTCTTGAGTTTGGTTGATGTAGATAAATGTCTCTATCTGCGTTTGGTTCCACCAACAGAACCAAGGCTTCGCGCCGTTGCCCGCATTCTCTCCTTGCACGAATCCATTACTATTCGCAGAATCTCTCTCGTTAATGGACCGCTTGGACTGTATATCTTGCGTATCTTCAACTATGACGAGTTTGTTGAACAAAGTTTGAAAAAAGAGGGCTGGTCCCAACTGGGGATCCTCCTTATCGATCATCATGCTCAGATTCTGTTTCGCGGGTTCAATGTCGTATGGTAGTTGGGCCCCATAATTGAACTGGTCATTTTGGATGCCAGGCTCCTTAACCGTAACACTGCTAGCCTCGATGACTCCTTGAACTAGAATAGACAGAGGATCCATCACTTGGCAGCTCCAAGCCGCCATTTGGTTGGATGCGCCAATACAAAACTTAGACACGTTTGTGGTAGTCCAAGGAACTTGGTAGTTGCCTGTTGGCAGAGCCGCAAACCCTGTGGGTGTGGCAGTATACGGGGACACGTCGGATGTGTAAGTCACGGTCACCACACTCGCAGTAGCGGTGCCTGTACTCTGTGCGCGACGTGTTGCAGCTCTCTCACCGAGGACACCACCGATAACACCGCCTAATAGAGCACATACCACCATAGCCATAAGCAGAACGACTATAAGCCATATGGGAGCACCGCAGCATTTTTGTCGTCCTTTTCGATTGATCTTTTCGCTCATGGTCTCTACCAACGTTGACGATCGGTCAGATTGACTGGTCGATGGATGCAGTGGTTCCGAGGAGTCAACATTTATTAACGTCCGTGAAGATGCATCCGGTCGGGCGGTAGCGGTAGCGGGAGCAGAAGGCTCGTCTTGATACCTCTCCGATTGCCCTCTCATATCACTTGCTATACTAGCCGGGCCCCGACCCGTCATTGGCCGAACCACACCGTCTGGATATCGGGAGTAAGGTGGAAGCTGTTCTAAATGGCCGTCAGGCCCAACGATATCGCCGACGTCATCCGCCTCGGGGGATGATGCCTGGTGGGATTGCAGTCCACCCGCCGCAGAAAACCCCACTGGAATTGGCTGATCGCCTAGATCTTCTTCGTAATCGATAATCTGCGGATACATGCCGTAGGGATGTTGGGGAGCCGTTCGCCCTCTCATGGGACTGTCGGCTCGACGTATTGATGACACTGTAGCGACGCTGGCTGCTCGACTGACACCCACCTGCGGATACATTGCGTAGGGATGGCTGGGACCAGTTGCTCCACGATAAGGACTCATGGCCCTTGGCAATGGGTTGTACCCTGATCGAGTCGAGGTTGTCGAAACGACAGACCGACGATTCATTGAGGTCACATCCTTTCGAATACTAGATGGTCGATTGGCGGCGGCGGCGGTGGTGGTATGCGACGGACTCTGATCATCCGTAAACGGGTCCAAGTCTGCGTCTTCATCTGGCGTGGTTGATGCCTCTGAGCGATAACTGGCAGTCCTATGCAGCGGCAACGATTCCTCGGACTGCTGAGGAGAAACTACCGGGGGTTGATTGGGCCGTGAGTTCGCTCGTGCGCTGTTACTCTCTGTGCCTGGTTTAGGTAGGTTGTGGTATCGGGGTTCAATGGTCGAGGCTGAGTCTAGGGAGGAAATAGATGCGGATCGTCGGTGATTAGAAAAGAGAGGAGCGTCAACGGAGTCGATTGTGTAGTCATCGGAGAACACGTTCGGGTTTGAAGATTGGCGAGTGTGAGGCGGACGAAACAGCGAGCCATCAGCGGGCACCATGTCTACCATCTGAGGAAGGCTGCTGTCTATGCTATCCCTTGGGCCGTCATTATGCCCAGCCATGGCGTTTTGCGAGCGAGCCCCCCTTGGGGCTCTCTGGCTTTTGGGGGCTCCTTTGCCGGTTCTTTCGGTGCGCGGCGGTACCAGCCGGGGCGCGTCGAAGAATAAGGCCGAGCGAAGTACGAGTACTGTTCCGAAAAGGAGTCGAGATTTGAAGATGGACGTGGGAGCGGAGGAAGAGGAGGAGAGGAGAGGAGGAGGACGAGGGACGGCGTGGTAGCGAGTGTGAGATTTGTTCGCTCTGGGCTGAGACAAGACGGGGAAAGGGCGGGCCTGCTGTTTTCTGTTAGGGAAGGAAGGTAAGGTTAGAGCGGCTAAGGCTAAGCCCGACTCTGGGTCAACCAGTTACCAGCAGGCACTAGCTGCGGCGCATTCTGCCCCTGACGTCCAGATCGCGAAATGAATGCTGCTAGTACTGCCGATGAACCACCGGTGCACTCAAATCGTATTTAATTGAAACGAACAATTGGGGTGATGCGTGGGAGCAACTGGCCCAGTGTGTTGCGCCTTGTTTTCCAGGCAGGAAAGTGCTAAACAGAAGATAAGCCTTGGTGAAAGCGCCACCGACGACTTTAGCGCCGTCGCTCTCAGCCAATCACAGGCGCCGAAGGGCACAGTGGGCCTGAATTCCCGTCTGCTCATTGGCCGGCTGATCGATTGGCTGGGCCGGCGTCCTCTCGCGCGTTGCCAAATCGGGCCATGCTTGCGAGTTCATCACGTGCCTTCTCGGTTTTGATTGGCGCGACGAAGATTCTCTGAACGGCCTCTTATTGCACAAATCTTGGATGGAGTGGACACTGGACACTGAAAAGAATAAAACACAGGGAAAACAAATATGAAGACGGTGGTTCCGGAGATTATGCTTAATGGAGTTTTTCTCATGGCTTGAAATTATTGGACCACTGGTCTCCCCGGCCCATCCACCCAAGGCCTAGAATGCCCCAAAAACAGAAAATTACCTTTATCATTTGTGCGTATAACTAATGTACATAGTGTATGTAGCCGCTGTGCAATGGCATCTCGCCTATCCGATGACAAGCCCGAATTGTCCCTTGCCCCGGGTAACCCTAAAGTCCCAATCGTAGTCCTTATATTCGTCCCTTGGTGTCGCTTTCACGTAGAACGGCTTGCTAGGCGGAGTAGCAGACGCCGCCAGCACATAGTTCAACGGTGGCTCAATCCACGAAGAAGGAGAGGAGGAGGAGGATGTCGGCGTGAAATCAAAGCGCAGAATCAAAGCAGCAGCAAAGATAAGTATTTCGCTGCTGGCAAAGTGCCGTCCAGGGCACACACTGGGACTAACTCCAAACCCTACAAAGCCGCCTACCTTGCGTGGGTTGGTTTTCAGGTAGCGAGTAGGCTTAAATTCAGCCGAACTACTGCCCCAAGAATTAGGATGGCTATGCAATGCAACAGCCGGCATTTGGAGCGTTGAGCCTTTCTTGAGCAGGTATTTACCGTCGAGCAAGACATCCTCAAAAACGTAGCGAGTCGGGGCACCCCTGGACCTGAAACGAAGGGATTCCTGAAATGTAGAGACGAAGAATGGACACTTGTCGCGAATGTCGGCCAGGTCGATGATTGCAGATCGGCTGCTGCCCTCTGTAATGTGCAGAGCGTTCGCGCGAACTTCTTCGCGCACCTTCTCAAGTACGTCTGGTCGAGAAAATAGATCAAACAGGAACCAGAAGGTTGATGGGATGGTATTCGACAACAAGCCAAAGCCCATGCCCACTTCCTGACGCGCTATGTCATCCATGGGAAGTCCAACCTCGCTCAAGGAAGTATATCTGGCTTTTGCTAGCATGGAGCCTTGCTCATGGCCCTTGGCTTCCAGATAGGCCTTGAATGCTTTTACAAGAGCTTCACGAGCTTTCCACGGCTTGCGGGCGATGATATGCGGCGCGAAGTTAAGCACAACCTGGCCAAGACCGTTATCAAGTTCCCTTCGTTTTTTCCGTTAGAATCAATTTCAACAGGAGGCACAGAAAGAGAACTTTGACAACATACCAAAAGCAATCACGCAAGAATTTCGATTTGTATGGATTCAGAGGACCCCACGTCGAATCTGTACTGGCTATGGTCATTGCATCTTTACACCAATCGAATAGGTCGATGGTAGGCTTGCTAGAGTCCGCTGCGAGTTCATCAATTGATACTTTTAGGTTCTTGGCCATTGCTTCATTCATATCGTCAAGGCCGTCACCCAATAAGGCAGGATGCATTGCGTGAACGACGTCTTGACCGCCTCCACCGCCCCCAGAGCGCAATGGACGAATCTTGTTCACTGTCTCCTGCGAGCATCCAGCGATCCTCTCGGTGGCCTGGCCAAGGAGAGGCTCAAAGGAGATGTTCCGGGCATTGCGTTGCACTGCCGCGAGAAGTGCCGGAGAAGTAATAATGTATGTCTTCGCTTGAGGGATGTTGACGGTAAATGCTGGAAGATCTGGGTTTTTGAGACTTGAGGAATCTCGTTTAATACAGGGAGACCGGGAATTTAGAGGCAGCATTGAAAAAAATACCTTAATGAATAATAATATGATACCCCTTTGCTGAGCAATCCAAATAGATGTCCTAAGACCGGAATCGTGCTCTTAATCTCGGGCGGCTCCCGAGGATCGAGTTTGTCTCCAGCCCTGGACAGAGCGAAGATACTGGCCAGGGCAATGAATGCGAGGAGCGCAAGGGCTGAAACGGCGTCGAAAGCCATATTTGGGCTGCGAATTGACTCGGTCTCAGTGCTGGACAGACATGAACAAGACAAGAAAAAGTTGAAAAAAAAAAAAGAAGAAACGCGGAATCCAAGGGGGCTGAATGCTTGGCTGTCAGTAGATTATGTATGTCCCAACAATAAACGAGGCAGCGAATTTTGGGAAATTAGAAAGCCAAGTCCCAAAAAGATAGAGAGAGAGAGAGATGTTTAAGCAATCAGGACCATTTGCAGTCCAGACGTTGGCTTTTTAAGTTACAAGTATAGCTATAGAGTTCTACTGACGGATTACGCGGAACCCGAGTTTGTTAGGGGGGGAAACAGTCGCATAGACGCGTTACGCTCAGGGAATCAGCGCTTTGACATATACTACCACCGTTCACTGTTCGGACTTGACACGAAATGCCGCGATGGATGTGACTCCATAGAATAACTTGGACGCAAAAAAGCACTCGCTTTAGCTTATTACAGGGGTGCTAGTTGATTAGCTGACATGGCATTCTTGTTGAGATCCGGGCGTCTTCTGCGTCGTCCATGCACCAGTACTGGGCTGGTCCGAGGAATTGGTTTATTGATGAACAACTATGTCTATCTCCATTATAAAGATCACAAGTATTTTCCTCTGTACGTCATTAATGGCAAAGCCAATTGCAACGTCCCAGAGTGAGTTCTTAGACTTGCCACACGCCAGCTTGGGGGCCATGGCACTACAATCTTGATCATTGTTGTTGACAGTACCCCATGAAGGACATCACGCACAACTCGCGTTGCATACACATCGACGCCCATCAATGAACGACTTTGCAAAGACACCGATCTCTTCCTTGATAGGTGTACAATAAGAATTCTCGGGTAGCTGGACCTTGGGAGCCCTGTAACCAAGACATATCTTCGTTTGTGATCTCATGGTTGTGAAGCATTTTCAAAACAGAATATTCGGGATTTCGAATAATATCCGTGGATACTAGATGAGATTTTATACATTGAGTCGGGAGAGTGCATCGGGTTAGTCAACGTGGAACTGGCCTATCCCAGTACCGTGAAGGATATCTCCTGATTCGAAAAGAAGCGTTGGAGTAATTGCCTGACGCGCCATACTGCCCTTGCTCGTCGTTCAACATTGAATCTTGCCTCTTCTCTTCGGGCCCGGCGACATCAAAGGGCCACAAGTTTTCATGAATGTACACACGAGTTTTGTCATCCTCAGCCAGATGAAGATACTGCTGACGGTAGGAGTCACTCAGCTCCCGCGCACGGTCGAAATCCTCGGCAGGAACACGACCGTCAATGGGTATCTTCCAAGTGTTTTGTACGTTTTGTACTACACCAAAGAGCAGCTGAAGCTCTTGCCGCGCGAATTTCTCCATGCCATGGCTTCTAAGTGTTTGCACATCGAACTTTAGCCAATTTGGAAGGGGCCCACGGGTTTTGCTCTCCAAAGACCTAAGCATAGTAAGTAGTGACTCACGCAGTGAGTACATATCGTCCTTCTCCCATCCACCGAATATCGCTGACATTGGACTGATGCGATTCTCGTGCTCTTGTAAGTTACTTAGCACACGCTTGTGACGGAGAGGATCTGTTTTCTCCACCAACTCTTGGTAATAGGCTCTCGGGAGAGACTTGCTCCTATCGAGTGATTCTGTCTGGAACTCGGGATCGAGGAATGTTGGGTATGGGCGTTTGAGGAAGGGTGGCGATATCACTGTGGCTTGCCACCCTGTCAAGCACACAATCTTGTTCGTAGCTGGATCGATGAATATGTGATCCAGGCTCAGATTTGGATGCGAAATCGTGCAAGGATCATCATTGACTTCTGACTGGTTCCAATGCTCTTGCGAAGCGAGGTATTTTTCAATCAAATCCCCGTATTGGTCAAGGTTTTGCGACCTCTTGATTGAACGAAAAGGATTCATTCTTCGCCAGGCATTGTATCTAATGTATCGTCTCTCATTTTTGGCTAGAGAAGTTGCATAGTGAAAGAGATTCCTGACTATACATCCGTGATAGTTAGACGCGGATCAAGTGCCATGATAGATAGATAGATTGGTGTCACTTACATGGGCCACGGAACTGTTTCGTGAAATCTGCGGGACCTCGATAGAGCTTACGGTCAGTTGAGGGTCCAATCGCAAATTGTCTCCAAAATTGCCTAGGAAGTTCCGCCTGGGGTTTGTTTAAAACGGTATATTGCCACTCCATTGAATTGAACGATATTTGTTTCGATGGCAACCAGCGTCTCAGGTAAATACTGCCATGACTAGAGAATTTGAGAAATGCCAATTTGGTTTCCAGATCAACAACCTGTTGGACGATTTCTAGTTGTGCCTTGCGATTCATCGCAAACCAGAAATTACGCAACGGTTGTCCGGTGGCTTTTTCTTCAATAATCCATTCTGCGCCTACCGTGTTGCGGTCGCGAAAATCCCAGTCCCATACTTTGGGCATAGGAACATCGCAAGTATGCTGTAAAAAGCGACGGGTGGCTATCTCCGATGCTGTCGTATAGAAGTTACTGCCAGCATTTGGGTTTGGCAGCCTCGCGATCAGCTCGTCCCCATCGTTCATTGTCAGGAGGAAGACTTTGTTGTGATCTCCCTCTAGAAGCTTCAATATCTTTATGCCTGTAGCATTAATTAGCACACAGTATATTAAAACGAAATGTAACTTGCATTTCTTGTCACCAGTGCGATCTCTCTTGGCATTCAAAGCTCGATCTACCAAAGCCTCTAAATTGAATGGCCGACATCGTACATCTAGCTCTTTGCTATTATTACGCCTGAGGAAAATATTAGTTCAGCACATTTCCACAAAGCCGATACCGTAATACATACAGCCACCGATGTCGTTGATATTTGAATAAGTCATCCTCCGTGATTGGCTGTTCTGCAGACATTGCTAGTTAGCGTTTCTCCTTTCGAAGCAGTGCCAGGCTGATATAAGACGAACGAACCCGTGCCATCTTCTAACAGACGGAAAAGAGCAGGCCTTGAAGCAGTACTTAGACAGCGATAGCGTGTATAGACACGCCGCCATGGCGCAAGCTGTGGCGATGCAAGTAATGCCGGGGCGAGGCGGACATTGCTCATTACCGCCTTGCCAATCTACTTGTCTATATTGATGTCGTGAAAGGAACGAAGCAAATGTGTTAGTTGGTCGGATTATTTCTCGTTCTGCTGGTCTTTGCTTGGCGTTGAGTCGCTTTGCTTTGATTCTGACTTTGAAAGGCGAATGAATGCGAATGTTTTTCCCTCGAGATCAATCCTAGGGGAAGCGCTAGTCCCTTTTGGGACAGATACAGTCTAAGCCAATTTGGGAAGCATATCCTAAATCGGAAATCCTTCATGCTCTTCGCTTTGTTGTCTCTTCCATGTGCATTCAGGCTGTTTATTCAAATGGTATAACATCATAAAAAACTACAAGCGGGTTCATTGTTTGCATTACCCAGGAGCGAAGCACCTAGCAAGCAACTATTGACACTTGGGGATACCTGGGTATAAACCTTGACGGGAGAATATCAAATTAAATACGTGTGTAAAGATAGTAAAGTGCCTGTTGCTACGGACACCAAAGAGAATAAATATACTGATTCACAAAACATTATGTGAGACGAATTTGTTGTTGATCCAAGAGTATAGCAAAAATCAAGACTCAAAAGTGACACGCAATTATATCAGAGCAACAGCAAAGAGTGCTGCGGCACCCACGCTGGCAAACAAGCCTAGTGGAATATTGAGACCGGAAGCAGTGCCCACATTCTCTAGGGTTGAAGATGCACCGGAGGTTTCAGACGGGACAGAGGAAGTAGTAGTAGAAGGCTCAGCAGTAGTAGTAGTAGCCGATGTTGCGGAAGCAGTGCTCTCGGAGGCTGTAGACGATGAGCTGATGGGTCTGCTGGTGGAGGAGCTGGATGAAGAGTCACCACTAAGGGTGCCAAGCGAGCCCAAACCAGAAGTCGAGGTTGTAGTTGAGGTGGAAGTAGTTGGGCTTCCAAGGCCGGAGCCGGAGCCGGAGCTAGAGCCAGAACTTGAGTCATCAGGACATGAGGTTGAGGGATCCGAAGGATCGTAACAGGTGAAGCCATCTGAGCATTCAATGTATCCAGACCCGAAGCAGCTCTCGCAAGTGGCACCTTGGCCGTAACAGTAATCGGAACTGCCACTAGAGCCACCACTGGACCCTCCCGAACCAGATGAAGAGCTGCTATCACATGAAGAACTTGAATCGGTTGTATCGTAGCAAGTAAAATCATCCGGACACTCGGTCCAGTTGGTACCAAAGCAACTAGCACAGGTCACGCCGTAACCACTGCAGTAATCCGAGTCTCCAGCAGAGCCTTCGGTGGCGCTGGAACCACCGCTGGAGCTTCCAGAGCTAGAGGAAGAGCTAGAAGAGGATCCGTCATCGCATGAAGAACTTGGATCGGTTGTGTCGTAGCAGTTCAAACCGTCAGAGCACTCGGCCCAGTTGGTACCAAAACAACTAGCGCATGTCGCACCGTAACCGCTGCAAAAGTCCGAGTCTCCCGCAGAGCCCGAATCCCCAGAGGACTGGCGAGCCATGAGCTTGAAAGCAGGGGTGGCTTTGTGAAGGGTCTTTGGTTGATCACGCGCAAGGAGATGAGCTGGACTCTGGCCAGCTTTGTGCAAAGTCTTCTCTGCATCAGGACTGGGAGAAGCAACCGTCACGGCGGACAGAGCAAGAACGAGGGAAACATCAATGAAACGCATTCTGGCAGAGTGCTATCTGAATTTTGAAGAAAAAGTAAAAGATACCAAGCTTTGTTGAATGAAAGAAAGCGTGTGAGGTGAGTAGGCAAGGGAATTCTGATTGAGGAATGCTAGATACTCTATATATATAGTTTCAGAGTCACAAAGTTAGGTTTGCGGTACTCCATGCCGAGACTGACTGAGAACTTCAGCTGGTGGTTTGAGCCATAAGTAGAGGAAAGTAGTGCTGATTTGGCGAGAGGCCTCACACCCCATTTGGGCGTTTATCGAGGTCAAATATCTCTAGCTTCTTGGCCGCCCCTTTGAACACGAGGGACATTGGACTCCGTAAATATTGAAACAGCGCGAAATGCAAAGCCAAAACCGTCCAGATCTTGGACCAGCCGTACGATGATGTAGAAAAGCAAAAACTTATATATACTTTTGCCAAGCTGTTGCGGTCGTATTCGACGCCGACTGTCGGTTTATATTGCGGAGTGTTTGCTCACAGACCCTGATCGGCGGCCTATGAGGCTCTTTGCAAACTCGTATTAAAGGGAGATTACACGGGTTAAAGCCTGAGCGTTATTAAACTCATATTAGCAGTACTTGGCTGTAAGATATTTCGCTTGTGTTTTGCTTTTTGAGCCGCGAGAGTGGAGCTTTGCAGTCTTGTCGACCAAGGTAGAGCGAAATAATACGACTAAATAATAGTGAAAGCGGTCGCATGAGCTTAAGAAGGAATAATTAATCTTACTCTTACATAGGAGTATGAGAAATGAAAAAAAAATAAAAAACAAAAAAGGGGGGTTCGTAAGTTGAAAAGTAATGGAGTTCTTATGTAGCCTACGTGCTTGTGCAACCTGATGTACAGTATGATACTTGGCTGACCAACTAGGATGCCCAACGTAACAGGAACAGGATGCTGATAATACTACTGCAGCTCACAGTACCCGATAGTCGTCGCAGAGACAAAAAGCCTAGCAGCGTCATCCTGGAAGTCAGGCAGCAGCTAGAATGACAAACTTCCCCTGCTAGCCTCTTTGCTGACGGCTTCTTCTCACAATCAGAAGCCACAATCTGCGCCACTCCTGCAACTTGTCATTCGAACATAGCTGTGTGTGTATGTTAGAGTGTAGAGGCTGTGTAAAGGTGATTGACCCTGCAATGGAGCTAGCTAACAGCGCCGCGGAGACTATCACATGCAAGCACTGCTGTCAGCTAGTCGTAAACTGCGCCACACTACAGTGTATCAGGAGAACAAGGGAGAAGACACTCTGTGAATGGGCAAATACTCTTGACAGCGCCGCAAAAACTGCCCTCACATACTCATATTGTTGGGTTATGGTAGGAAAGGCACATCCCAGGTTACGCAGATACATGGATTTCTCCGGAAATCCGCTTTATTTTGGTGAAACGGCACTATGATGCTGTCTTTATTTAATCAGCATTGCTTCCTTGTGGCTCCAGTAATTTTCTTTTCTTTCCTATCTCAGTTCTGATACTACGCAAAAGATACAAGTACCCTTGCTATCTTCACTATGGCCGGAAATCCCGCAAAAAGGACTCAAAAATCGACAACAAACACACCTGCGAAACAACCCGGAAAAGTCCGTATCTGCCGAATCTGCAAACGGTCTTTTAGTACTGTCAAAGCACTGGCAGATCATCGCTCAGCGACCCAACACTATTCTATCCATTGCCCGGTTTGTAACAAGGAGTTCGGTAGTCATGAAGCCGTGGGCCAGCATACTCAAGTCCATTCCGGTCTTGTTGTAGACCGGAATACAGAATCTAGGCAATACGGTGCGAGAGTCGTAGCAGAGTCGAATCTGGAGGAACTTACTGCGTTGCTTAGTCTGCAAGCCCCCGTCATCATTCCAAGTGCGTATGGCATGCTGCAACTATTGTCTAGATTCGTTATTCTGTTGCTAATAGTATTTTCAAGATACTCAAGTTATGACAATCAATAATCCAATTCCCGGAAATGACATGCATCGTCGCATAGATCTGATACCTAAGCAGCAACCGCCGCGCCGAACAGATTCATTCGTATATAAATCAAACACATACACTCGGATGCACCCCCATGAGCAAGAAGTAATTTATGCAGCTTTGCTTGCCGCTTGCCACACCTCTGCGCAACTTCGTGCGGAGCAGTACACCTTGCCGGGCCTCAATAAATGCCGAACAAACACGAATATCCACTATTCTGAATTCCGCAAAACTCCAGCACCATCACCTGGAGAAGGGAAACGAAAAGCAATAGCTATCGATTGTGAAATGGTCGGTCTGTATACGGGCAGAGCATGTGTCGCGCTTGTGTCTGCCGTAGATGTTCTGACAGGCGAGATACTCTTGAACACATATGTCAACCCTATGAGCCGTGTTAGGAACTGGCGGTCCCAGTTTAGCGGAGTTACTCGCGCTGTCATGGACAACGCAATTAAACAGGGCCAAGCCCTTGGGGGTTGGAAAGCTGCCAGAGGAGCGCTTTGGAAGTATATCGACGCGGAGACAATCATTGTCGGACATGCTCTTCACAACGATCTTAACGTTCTAGGAATGTTGCATTCGAGAGTTGTCGACACGGCAATCTTGTCTGCACAAGCCGTCTTCCCAGAGGTTCACGATAGCCACTTTCCGCGGCGATGGGGCCTTAAAAGGCTCTCTGGTTATTTCCTCGGAAGTATCATCCAAACCGGAAAAGAGGGCCACGATTGCTTGGAGGACACTCTCGCAGCGAGGGAGCTTGTGCTGTGGTGTTTGACATATCCAGAGAGGTTGATGGAATGGGGACAACAGGCTCGCCTAGAGCATGATCTCAAATTGTTAGGCCTGACAGCGACTCAAGCATGAAGAGACATAGAAGGGTTCTGCTGAGAATGCCCAATCACGATCATGCTATGGGAGCATCAAGATATTGGCAATTACAGCAGGATTATTCATGTCATGATCTTGTTGACTGCTTTGGGTACATGTTTGAAGCAAGTGGAAAGTGACAGCTTTTTGTCTCTTTATTTTTTGCGTTATCTTTATCAAAATTGTCATCTTTCATTATACTTGTATGGCATTCCATGTTATTCTCGCTTTTAGCTTTTGATAATTTATTGTTGATATCAATCAATGTTCACCGTTCCTCTTCCAAGCAGAGAAGATCTCAAGCTTTAAACACTGGAAACATGCCAACCCGTCCATTCCGACTGTGCATACATAAAATCCTCCATTACTCATAAAAATAGCTATTAGTTATAAAACTCGTATATAGTCAGTGAGTATATCTTAGTTAACTGGCTCAAAAACATCTAGCTATGCATTCAACTAAGCCCGTTTAGGAAAATCGCGCGAGCTCCACACACTTTCCGCTTTGGGAAAGAGACAATCTTTAATCGCTGAATCGGAGTCTGCCTGGGGATAAACGCTCTTAAAGGAGAAAACTACCTATGAAGCAGTCGGATTTTGGGGATTTAAGTGAATATATCTCCGATTATATTGAGGTTACAGATATTATTTCTTGAAAATGACCTTTGGCTTTGGGGGAGGCGAAGTATAAAAGGGTTGCACGAGGCCTTGCTTCTCTTCGTTTTTCTTCGCTGGGAAAATACCTAAAGAACCATTTACTATCCAATATAAATCCTGCATACGCAACTCTAGCCTTTCAAATCGACATAATTCTGAACAACATCCTTCGTCGACAAGGTTATTCGAATATCAGACAGCAAAGATGACCGCAGTAATCAAAGGAATACCGACGAGTCTCCAGAAGTCCCTCGATGCCACCAAAGTGGAATACGTGAGACTGGGAAATTCTGGCCTTCGCGTCTCTTGGCCAATTCTAGGTACCATGGCGATGGGATCTTCGCCATATGCAACTTGGTTGCTTAACAGAGAAGAATCTCTTAAAGTACTCAAGGCGGCATATGACAGCGGAATCAATACCTGGGATACCTCATGTGTCTATTCCAACGGTCAGAGTGAGGAAATACTTGGTGCTGCAATGAGGGAGCTCAATATTCCGCGCCAGAAAGTTGTGATTATGACAAAGTGCGGGTTCGCGGTGGGAGAGGATGAGACTGTTTCTGGGGCACGGATATGCCGAACTTATGGCTAAGAGCAAGGGTTACGTTAATCATGGAGGTAAGATTACTATCATATCATCTCAATGAAGCTATATTCGCACTATATCTCTTTTCAATTCTTGTTTCATAATACTGACTCTGTAAAAACAGGACTGAGCCGCGCCGCGATTTTCAAATCAGTCGACGACTCACTGGCACGTCTGGGCACAAATTATATTGACCTGCTCCAAATCCATCGCTTCGATCCTCATACACCGCTAGAAGAGACAATGAGGGCGCTTCATGACCTTGTACAGGCCGGAAAGGTGCGCTACATCGGCGCAAGCTCAATGTGGGCCGTACAGTTTGCGCAGATGCAGTTCATTGCCGAGAAGCATGGCTGGACGAAACTTATCAGCATGCAGAATTACTATAATCTCTGCTACCGCGAGGAAGAGCGTGAAATGATCCGCTTTTGTAAGGGTACCGGCGTCGGTATCATACCCTGGTCACCCTTGTTCGCGGGAAGACTGGCTCGGCCGCTTGGTTATGACAAGTCCCTTCGGTCTAAAAGACCATCACCTCATCATCCGGGAATGACATCGACCGATGAAGAGATTATCCAAAGAGTTGAGAAGTTGGCAAACGAGAAGGATTGGAATATGAGCGATGTCGCCTTGGCCTGGCACAAGAGCAAAAGCTCGATTCCAATCGTGGGTCTCAACTCGGCTGATAGAGTCGAAGAAATGTCTGGATTAAAGGGCAAGGAGCTGACAGATGACGAAGTGAAGTACCTCGAGGAGCCATATGTGGCTAGAGCAGTAGCTGGGCACACCTAGATGATGTTTTTTCGTTTTTCCTTTTCTTTTTGACCTTTCCTCGCTTTATCCCTTTATCAAGCACACCATGAAACAACATGTACTATAACTTTTTTATCCCATATTGAATCCGAGCTCAAAATTTGACTTCAGACAAAGTTCCCAGAGTAGGGGATCCTATCACTTCGTTGACAGCCTTTAATCTGCATTTTAGGTATTCTCTTTGTTTCAAGGGCACCTCTTCAATGCTGACGGCAATCGAAAGAGGCCATGCCAAAAGAACAGCCATCATCGGCTTTATATCTAACTGTGAAGATTTTAAAAATTCAGCATTCAGCGATGGCTCTAGGTCCCTAGTTTTGTCACTCAACGTAGAGTCAAACTGATAGAAGAATGGTATACTGCGACATAGATCAGTGGCTAAACAGTCCATAGCATTTTGACATGCTCTCGATTGTGTTAAGAGATCAGAGTCTGATTGTCCAAAGGTGCCTTGGTTCATGACAGCCAATAACTACATCCGAATGCTATTGACGAGGAGGTGAACAGCGCGATATCTGTTCCAGACAGCTGCATGACCATGAGTCGTGTAAGAGTGGCACAACTTATCATATAGAAGGGAACTTCTTTTATTACAGTGCAGCTCATCGCCGTGGTAGAGACTTTTCCGCGTCAAAAAGCTCCACTCCTGGGGGATGTCTCGAGTCCATTCTGCAAATGAATAGTCCAGCAATTGCGCCTCGGCTATGACCATCTTGAGAGTATCAGCGCTAGGAAACGTGCCTGCGTTCATACCGCCGACGAGCTGAATTGACTTGGACCGCAAAGAGGCAGCTTCTATCATGAGGTAGTCGAGTGCAAGTACCCGATCTTTACCGGCGTGAAGAGCATCATCCTGTAACCATGCTTAAACAGGCTCGCCTAGGAAAAGGCAGGCCCGAATCTGGAAATGAATTTTCTGTCATTACCCAGCTACATAACAAGAAGAGATAAAACCTGAAGGCGAGAGGGTGAGAAAGGGAAGCTGCTAAGCTTACCAAAGGTCTTCGAAGTGCCCTATCGAGGGGCACATTTTGTGTAAATCCCCTCTGCTGTCGCACCTGAAGAAGGCTTGCAGTACCTTTTTGGTGGTGTGTATGCATTCCACAAAGAATCCTTCTGTTGCGCTCAGTGGAGATGGGCAAATTCTCGCTCTTTTGCAATCTACTTGCGAACATCATGTTCTACGTACTTTGTCAGTGCATGCTAGTCATTGGAGATGTAAGATGTCTATCAAGCTCACATCATATGTAGCTAGCATCATGGTAGCGATGAGTAGTTGATCGATCGTATCGTTTGATAATATCTGGAGCTCTCTCCTTAGTTGAGTGATGCTTCGGGCGTAGAGGATCTCCGCGCGCTGAAGGGCTTCACCCGAGCGTTTTGCTCGACCAAACACAGCAAGTGAAAATGCAGAAACGACAAGGCGCAGACTTGACCCTGACTCGTCTTCACAGTGCCAATGCTGGCAAGCACTGGCCCCGTATTCTTGCCCAATATCAAATAGGTAATCTGGCCACGATGCCAGATTTTCCTTCCAGTATTGAAAAGCACAAACCTCTGGAGAAAATTCAAGAAACGAATATGGGTTGTATGGTTTTGGCAAGTTGCAGCGTGATTGAAGGATTTGCGCATTCCATTTTCGAGGACGTCTAGGTTGCCCCTTTGCAAAGGAATTCTCGCTTTTGATGGGTAAATCACACTCAGCATCATCCCAGACGCAATCCCGACCTGCTTTTGAACATCGCGCACAGGTAGGCCGTGTTGTATCACACTAGATACACTCAGCCTCGGTCCATAGGGAAGACAAGTGAGACAGTTCTTGTGCCTACCTTCACACGACGACTCTTACATGTCAAGCAACGTATGTACGGTCGCCCACTGCAACAACTTAGGCATAGGCCTTTACACATACGAAAAATTTACGCAAAAAAATCAAGTAGAGATTATCTATTTTAGATATTATGTTATATATTCATCTTACATTAGGTAAAGCTTTTGCTTGTTGAATCAAGTGTCTAGTTAGTCATGCGGCTGCGATTGATATACCTATCTTTTTTTCGAGTCTACTACTACTGGTTTATATATATATATATATATGCCCTACAGAAGATTGAGAAGACAGGAATAAATTAGACAACTATTGATAAGAAATGACCTTACTTTTCTTGAACGGCCCATCGGTTTACTTGAAATAGCACCTTGTTTGTATGCTTACTCCCTTTCAAAATCAAGCTTAACAGACCTGGCAAACTCCTCATCAGTCAGGATTCGACAGGCTACTACTGCCATGCCAGTTGCACAGACAATGCTTCTTTTGTAGCCCTCGGGTGATCCAGCTCCTGATGTGAATCCGTGAGTATGATTACCAGCTCCGTCCTCCGTTGGAATTTGGAAAAGCGCATGAAATCCCGGAACTTCATGCATGACATTTCCTAAAGTAAGCGACACCATCAGCATAGTTTCAAATATTAAAAGAGAGAGAAACACGTCACTACATACCCATATCCGTCGATGCGCCGTCTAGTGATCCTTTGGTGTCACTACTCGTGAGAACGCAATCATGACCTATTGCCTTTAGCGTTTCTATATAAGCCTCGCAGATAGGCTTATTATTTTTTAGTTCCATGTAATTGTTGATCCTGCATCATAAGGGGTGATTAACGGTCAGCCTAAGCATTTACCAAAGAGGTCAGAATATAAGGGAGAAAAAAAAACATGGAGCAAATATCCTAACCATTCAAATTCAACTGTGCACCCAGTGGCTGTCGCAGCTGCCTCAAAACATTTAAATACGCGATCGGTCAACGCGTTTAGAGACTTAGTATCTGGTGATCGTATATAATATTGTAGTGTAGTAGAATTCGGAATGACATTTGGTCTCTCGCCTCCATTTGAGACGATGCCATGTATTCTTTGCGTAGGCAGAATCTGTTGGCGCAGGAGCGAGATGTTGACATAAGCGGACACTACAGCGTCTAGAGCATTAATGCCCTCCCAAGGAGCTCCGGCGGCATGAGCGGTTGAGCCGGTATATTTCACCTTGATTTTGTTGTTGGCAAGCAGTGAGTCAGGACCCGCAATCTGAACCCCTGGGACTGATGCGTCGTTGTGTCCGAGTGTGACTGGATGCACCATGAGACATGCGTCGACACCCTTATAGGCGCCGGCATCGATCAGCTTCAGTTTACCTCCGCCGCCTTCCTCTGCGGGAGTACCGAGAAGCCGCACGGTATAGCCCTGGCCACTGGACGTGGCGCTAAATGCTTTCATTGCCTCTATTGTTGCAATGAAGGCCGCGATTGAACCTGTAGCAATCAGGTTGTGGCCACAGGCGTGACCAATGCCTGGCAATGCGTCGTATTCGGCGTTGAAAACGACCACGCGACCACCGTCCCCATGTTTATAGTCGATCTCGAAAGAAGTGTCCAGATTGTATGTCTTGCGGCGAATTTGCAAGTCCAGCGACCGCGCTGCGGACAGGCTCTCGAACAGCGCACAGATGTTGTTGTGGGCACTGTATTCGTTGTACGCAAGCTCGGGGTTAGACCATATCTAGCATTGGAAACAGCATCAACGGAATGTTCTTCGCATCAAGCCTCTGCAGTTCTACCAACTTTGTGATTAATATCTCGAAGCTGTGCATCGGCAGCCTGCAGGGCAGCCTGCACGTGACTGAGCACTTTGCTGTCTACGGATTGCATGGTGGATGCCGTGAGGAAGGTGCCTGTTTGGGATACGGCATCTTTCCTTTCGAGGAAGGAGCGACTGCCAAAGACAACCCCCGCCGCCTGCCCCGCGGCGTCCCCGGCCCATCCAGCCAATCATCGCTCAGGACGACATATCCTCCCTGCCTCAGGCACATCCAACGCCAACTTGCAGCAAAACCAGAAAAGAGTCCATAGTGCAAATCCGATCGATTGTCAGACCGACTCGTTCGGAGTACTCAGTATACAGTATATACAGTATATACTAGACCACACCCGGTTAGGCCGCTTACCGTACTAAAGTCTAATGTACAGTACCCCACGCCGATTTCGCTGCGGTGACTCACCGCCCGGCGGGAAATCTTTGCTATGCCGTCACGCATCGAAATATCTCCCATCGCCAGCTTTTTCTATACAGTATACGCTTGTCTGGTTGAGCGGCAGTCCCAATTGTTTGTGCGCTCTCACGCTTTGCAACACACACCATGGCTGGACTTCCAGACCCGACTGATGACCTGGACTGGTCTGGTTATGTATGTGCCCTGTAATCCTCTGCGGGGCAGGGAGTTTTTCTGTCTAATCTGATGATTGTCCCAGGTCGGATCAATCCAAGAAATATTCGGGCGAAACGGTGCGTCTTAGGACAGAATACTCTTTTCCTTGTCTCATGAATGTTCAAATGGCTTGAAATCTCGGCCAATGCATGGATCATTGCCGGCTAATGTGATTGCGATCTATAGCCCTCAGCCACCCGGACCGCACATGCGTCGTAGAAACCGCTTCGCCCGAGGGACCGGAACGCCGATTTACCTATAAACAGATATACGAAGCATCAAATACATTAGCTCACTATCTCCATGACGCAGGAATCACCAATGACGATGTGGTCATGATCTTTGCCCATCGCTCGGTTGACCTGGTCGTCGCTATTTTGGGTACTTTGTCTTCAGCTGCGACTTTTACTGTCCTCGATCCCGCATACCCCCCTGCGAGACAACAAGTCTACCTCGAAGTCGCCCAACCCCGTGCATTAATCAACATTGGCCGGGCCACCGACGAAGCCGGACCCCTTGCCCCGATTGTTCGACGATATATCGACGATGAGTTGAACCTCAAGGCTGAAGTGCCATCGCTTCGCATTGGAGATGACGGAATTGTTTCAGGCGGAGAACTTGACGGGAAGGACATTTTTTCCAATGCTCGAAACAAGGCAGCCACCCCTCCTGCCGCTGAAGTCGGCCCTGACAGCCATCCCACGCTTTCCTTTACGTCAGGATCAGAAGGACGACCTAAGGGTGTCCTAGGTAGACATTACAGTCTATGCAGATATTTTGCTTGGATGGCTGAACGCTTCGGATTGAGCTCGGAAAGCAAGTTCACAATGTTAAGTGGAAGTAAGTAGAATACTCGGCGGGCTTTACATTTTCCTCCCCAATTCTTTGCCTTTTTTTCCTTAAGTATTATCTATTACTTCTGTTTAGTGAGCTAACATTTAAGCGTATAGTTGCACATGATCCAATCCAACGAGATGGTAAGTCATTTGTTAATTGTTAAAACAGTATTAGTACTGATACGTAAACCGAAAATAGTCTTTACTCCGTTATTCTTGGGTGCCCAATTGTTAGTCCCTGCACGATCTGATATTGCCCATGAAAGGTTGGCAGAATGGATGGCCAAACACTCGCCAACAGTGACACATTTAACTCCAGCTAGTATGTCAAAAGCGTGACCCAAGAGACAACTCTGAGTGCTGACAACAGTTCTAGTGGGACAGATTCTTGTTGGAGGAGCTAGCGCCTCTTTCCCCAGCCTTAAAAGCGCTTTCTTTGTCGGGGACGTCTTGACTACGAGAGACTGCAAAGCATTGCGAGCTCTCGCACAAAACGTCAATATCGTTAATATGTACGGAACAACCGAAACTCAGCGTGCCGTGAGTTATTACTATATCAAGAGCAGAGCCGAGGATCCCCATTCCATGGATCATCTTAAGGATACTGTTCCAGCAGGAAAAGGCATGGAAAATGTTCAGTTACTTGTCGTCAACCGTGAAGACAGGAACAAGTTGTGCTCTGTCGGAGAAACTGGTGAAATTTACGTACGCGCAGCTGGTTTAGCTGAAGGATACCGAGGCGACCAGGCTTTGAACGAGGCCAAGTTTGTGCCGAATTGGTTTGTTGATAACAATAAATGGGTCGAAGAAGACCAAAAGAAGAGCAAAGGTGAACCGTGGAGGAAGTATTACAAGGGGCCACGCGATCGTTTGTATCGAACGGGTGATCTAGGTCGCTACTTGGAGTCAGGAGATGTTGAATGCACAGGCCGGGCTGACGATCAAGTCAAGATTCGTGGATTCCGCATTGAACTTAACGATATCGACAGCAACTTGAGCCAAAACTCGATGATTAGAGATTGCAAGACCCTGGTTAGACGTGATCGAAATGAGGAACCGACACTCGTTAGCTACATCGTGCCTGAAATGAAGTTGTGGCCTCAGTGGTTGGAGTCTCATGGACTGGAGGACATTCATGACGACGGCACGGATTTCGGTGCCACTAAAGTCTACCTTAAGAAGTTCCGAGCGATGCAGACAGAGGTCCGAGACCATCTCAAAGGTAGACTGCCTAGTTACGCAGTTCCAAGTTTGTTTATTTTCCTCAAAGCATTGCCATTGAATCCCAATGGTAAAGTTGATAAGCCCAATCTTCCTTTCCCCGATATTTCTGAGCAAACAGAAGTTGCCTCATCTGATGATATCAAGCGATGGGAATCTTTGACGGAGACCGAAAGAATGGTTGCGACGAAATGTGCCAACCTTGTTCGTGGTGTGAATGAAAAGAAAGTCTCCCTTGAGGAGGATTTCTTCACTCTTGGTGGCCACAGTCTTCTAGCACAACAGATGCTGCTAGATATTCGGAAGGAAACTGGGGTCCAGGTTTCGATAAACAGTCTTTATGAGCATTCAACTCTGCGTGCCTTTAGCGCACAAATTGACAGACAGTTACAAGGAGGAGATAAACAAGTCGAAAGCCAAGAGGATCCGGCTTACACAAAGTCCTTGGACGAGCTCCTCAAGATTTTGCCGGCCAAATTCCAGCCCGCGGATCCATCTACCATTCGCGCCTCTGCGACTCCAACAGTCTTTATTACCGGGACAACAGGCTTTTTGGGATCCTTCATCATTAAGGATCTTCTGCAGAGGACTAGTCGACAAGTGCGAATCATCGCCCATGTTCGTGCTAAAGATGCAGAGTCTGGAATGGCCCGTCTCGTGCGCTCCCTCAAGGGCTATGGTTTATGGCAGGAGCAATGGATGTCGCGTATTAGGTGTGTCGCGGGCGATCTTTCCAAGCCACAGCTGGGAGTGAGTGATGAGGAGTGGCAGAGGTTAGCGCAGGAAGTGTCCGTAGTCATTGCCAACGGAGCCACCGTGCATTGGGTCAAGCGTTACCAGGAAATGATGGCTGCCAACGTGCTATCCACTATAGAAGCCATGAAGCTTTGTAACATCGGGAAGCCTAAGATATTCACATTCGTGTCATCAACTAGTGTGCTTGACACGGAATACTACGTATCGCTCTCGGAGAGGCAGATCAGCACTGGAGAAGGTGCCGTATCTGAGGACGACGATTTGCAGGGTAGTCGACGCAACCTAGGGACAGGCTACGGACAAACCAAGGTAAGTTCTAACGAACACAAGACAGCAACGGACTTTTACTGACTACATAACAAATAGTGGGTTTCTGAACAACTCACTCGGGAAGCTGGTAGAAGAGGTCTCCGTGGTTCGGTTATCCGAGCTGGTTATATCCTAGGATGCTCTGAGACTGGAACTTGCAAGTCAGTATCCCTTCTTCACGTCATTAGCAAAATTTGAAATTTGATATTAACATGCAATTTACCATGGCAGCACGGACGACTTCCTCATCCGATTTCTGAAGGGATCAATCCAGTTACGATCTCGGCCGCGAATCGTCAACACCGTGAACTCGGTGCCAGTCAATCACGTTGCGCGGGTCGTCGTAGCAGCTGCTCTCAATCCTCTTGAAGGTGTCAGTGTCATACATGTGACTGGCCACCCGCGCCTTCGTATGAATGAATACCTTTCCATACTAGAATATTATGGCTACCAAGTTCCAGAAATCAGCTATGATGAATGGAAACAGGAGCTGGAGAAATACGTCTCTGCAGGTGGTCATGAAAAGGATTCAGAACAGCACGCGCTCATGCCCCTGTTCCACTTCTGTGTCAACGATCTACCTGGGAATACCAAGGCCCCCGAGCTGGACGACCGAAACGCCGTCAAGATTCTCAAGGCAGACGCAGACCACTGGACAGGCGTCGATGAAAGCGCTGGCTACGGCATTAGTCGCGAGGATGTCGGTCGTTATCTGCGATATTTGGCCGAAACTGGTTTTATCAACTGGCCTACAGGCCGTGGGAGAGCTCTTCCTGAGGTCCATCTGACGGCTGACCAGCTGCAGGTTGTTGGAGCTGTTGGAGGCCGTGGTGGTGGTGTCTCGAAATGATCCCCCTTTCTCTTAAAGTATAATGTGCTCAATGAATTTCAGCAATAGAGCAATCAAAAAGTGTATTTTAAATCCATACATAACTTTTTTATATCCAGTTTCTATGTGGACTTTCACTTTTATGCGAATTCAATGTAGACCGATAGAGTGGGATGTGAGGTCTAACCCTACTTGTGTATGTTCAAGCTTGTTCACATTTGAGTTAAACGCAATAAGCTGCTAGAAAAATTCACCTCCCCTTTTCCGAACGCTTCTGTTCCTGCTAGAAAAAATAAATAAATAAACTAAATGACTGGGAGGACGCTGATGCCATATTTAGGGATTCATGAATGCCTCTTTCAAGCTGCTGAAAAATCTCATGATGGTCTCACCACAAAAGAAAAAGAAAGTAAATCAATCCTCGCAAGTTCAAATAGCTCCATTTGATCAATTCCAAAGGCCCTAAATCTCCACTGCTCCTTCAGGGCCTGGTGATCTTCCACTGGCTCTGCTCGAAGAATTTCCCCTTCATAATTTCCACGTAATCACCGGGCCGAATTGGAAATTCATGCTCCCAGCCCTGAAGAAGGCAGTTTCTCGCGGTAACGACTTCATCACGAGCGGAGAAAAAACTGGTGGCGTCCTTGAGGACACGACTAGTCCAGTAGCGTTTGCCTAGGAGGTTCTCAAAGTCAGCAAAGTCTGTGCTAGATGGCAATCTATCACACGATAATAGATTCTTGTTATTTTAAATAGGAAAGGAGGTACAAACCGCGGCCGTTGACGAGCTGATACTTATTCAACTTCCTGTCCACCACTTCATCGATGAAATCCCCAATGGTACTGCCTTGGCGGAAAGAGATCTTAAAAGTTTTTGACATGCCAGTGATTCGACCGTTTGTTCCAAGAGGAGGACCAGAGGAGCATTTAATGAAGGTGTCACTGTATTCGGAGTGACCGTCGGTCCTGGGAATTTCCTCCAATGTCACTTGTACGGTCTGGACTTCGAATAGTTTCGTTCGAAATACAAATGCCCAGACATTGTAAAGTGCACTGTCAGGGTCAGGAGGGAAGGCAGTGATATACGTTGCCACGATTGTTCCTTGACGAATAGTCTTCTCGTCGCCGGTGTCTGGGAATATGACAGACATGGGAGCTGGCTTGTCGAGGCGGGAAGAGGCATTCTCGTTGCTCTTGCCGAGTCGAGGCATCTTTGTTGGGAAGCCAATGAATGCTGCCATATTGAGAAGTTTTGTCAGATACAAGATATCTCAAGTCTTGTTGTGCTGCAGTGGGTAGGGTTTGGGGATGTGCAAAGAAGGATGAGCAGTGCAGCTTGAGAGGCAGGAAGAAAATGTGAGATACGTAGAGGGAGAAAACAGTCAGGCAGCACAGAAAATCTTTTATATGTGCCTGAAGTCGTAAAATATCCATATTTGGCTAGCACGAGCGAGTCTACTTGGGATTATTGAGGTGACGACAGGGCAATGTTGAGTGCCTAGAAGCTATTTAGGTTGGTGTTTTGTTCACATACCTACTTATATTTCAAGCTTACATCTTTGTATGATTATTATTTAAGGACTCCATTAAAACCGTCACAATGATAGCTATTCCCAAAAAATGTTGAAAGATTCACTTCTCTTCATTATGTTTCATTGATAGAAGGGTTGGAGCAGAAATTCTCGGCACAGATGTGAATACTAGTTATTCCATACCTAGGTAATTATGTATCTGCACAAACAATAAAGAAAATTGGACTTTACCTATATACATTATAACTATTGTCTGCCTTCCATAAATGTGAAGAAATGATTATGAAAGGCATATAATGCCTCACTAGGAATCCAGGCGTGCTTGCAATCCCATGTGCCTTGCTCCTGTGGGACTGTCAATACTGGAATTAATAGTCTCTCTGCCTAATAATAGTAGTTACTGGTAGTGTCCACTAATTTTTTTTTTATTTTTTTTTGATATATAGTAACTAGCTTACTCATGCACGTTCATGACTGCATACTCCCAGACAACAAGGTAAGCAGAGAAACAAAATTAGAAATTGACAAGGTACCACTGTTCGAAACTGAATAAGTATTATTATTATTCTGGCTGTGAAAGTATATCTCTAATACTGATGATAGCCCAGACTATCTAGGGATTAACACTACTCTTGATTGCGCAAAGCTTGCATGGCTATTGCCGAATTAAGTACTCTGTTGGTGAAGAACTTCTCCATGATCACTCGGTCATAGCTATATATAGTGGTGATAATTCAAATGTCCAGAAGCACTACAGCTCGTTACCTAGTAGAAAGTAAGCCGATGTCCAGGTAACAATCTTAAGTACAGGTAGGAGACATAACTATACGCCGCTTTTCAGCGCTACCTTGCCAATCAACTCTTTCAGGATCTCCGCCACTCTCTCCGGATTGCTCAGAAACACCGAGTGGGAGCTCTTGACTCGATACAACAAGTCTGTGCAAAGGAGCTGTGCCATCTGTTCCTGTACGGGTGGTGGCAATGCGCGGTCCTCCTCACAGATGATAAATGCTGTCGGTATAGTATACCAGGGCTCATAAGTGGCCGTTCCCAAGAATACCCCTAGCGCTGAATGCGTCAGGACACTGGTCCATTTGGCTTGTTCAATGGTGGGGGGGAGAGGGGATATCTTGAAAAACTGTCTCGGCAGCGCCAACTCCATATACGCGATTACTTCTCCACCAAGCATCTGCTTCAGTCTGGTTCCTTTCGGCACGACAAAGGCAGTCATGTAAGTAATAAGTACGACACCGCCATACGAGTGAGCAGCGAGGATGACCTCGGCGTCTGCATCGATCAGGGCGAACAGCTCGGTACGTACATAAGCAATATCATCGTCTATCGTCGTAGTAGCTGGGTCGGCACCAACGGAGGGGAGAGCAACAACTGCTGAAGCTATACCTTTGACATCGAGACGATCCCGGAGAGGATCGAAGACGCTAGGGGGACACCAGGCCCCAGGCACGAGGAGCACAGTGGGAGACATTCGTGCGGTATGTAAAAGGTGTGGTTGTGAATGTCGGGGATCAATGAGATGCGGTCTATAAGTAAGTAATACTTGTAACTGTGCCTCGCTCTCGGGGACATTGCTCCTCGGCTAGATGATAATGTATACCAGACACATCATGCTTTACCAAGGACTTGATTGGCGCAGAGTAGAAATTAAAAACTACTAAGCTGCTTACTGAGAGGGACGGACTAAGATTCTCATGTCAGAAATTTTACACTAAAGTTGCCGTATTTACCTAGTAGTAAGGTTGCATCACCAGGAGGAGTAAATGGCTTCGTCAGCCGTTATCTGGTCATGCGAGTCTGCTTACGCAAGAATAACCTGATATGGTTGCTACCTCTTTCATATTCCTGCCTAGGAGCATGCATGACACACGTATAGCTGTATCTGATACTATATAGCTAGAATGAATCAGGCTCTCGAAATATCATCCATGCCTAAGAATGAATGAATCAATAAAACCAAAGCCGACCTTGTCATACTATTTATAGCGACTTGGGTAGGCACATACATGAGTAGTCTTTCTTTGAGACAATCCGCCTTTTGTTCCATGCATATCTGACACTTGTACTGCCCCAAGAGGCTTGAAAAGGTACGCACTAGAGCGAGAGACATTTCATACCGGAATAGACGCTTAATGAGACCGTGCGCTATTTTTAATCTAACGACAGAGACAAACTCACAGTGCCGCATTAATTTATCTAGTGCAAGGCTCGAGATACGCGATTGCACCGGAGCTATACTAGCCGCCAATCAAACCCATGTCTTCTAAACAAGTCTACATTGTAGTCGCTAAGCGTGGCTGGGCTGACTAGGTTTGGTTGCAAATGATGTAGATAAGCCACAATTCAGACCAGGCACAAGGTCCAAAACTGCCCTGTCTGTGTAATAGTGGACGTCGGCTGAGGGGAAGTATATATAACAATCTCTGGTACCCGTTGTAATTATGATGCTTTTTCCATTCATCTAAGTCTCACAGAGTCTTACCCAGATTTTATTTACTGAAGCGCTACCTAGGTAGTGGCACTTTACAAGACCATTGTTCATCAACATGCCTCATTCCACTGCCGACCCTAGACAAAGTCCTCGACACCTGTCCGATATCATCGGCGTGTATCCTAACTATGATCATGATTGTGTGGGAATGGCTGTGACCCAAGGCCGACGGTGTCGGCTCAGCACGAATGCTATGAATCGAGCACATGCCAGTCGGCTTCTTGACGAAGGCACCCGCCTCATACAACTAGGCCAACGGAACATTGACAACATTTTGGAAGCGTTGGCTCCCTTGCTTCTCTGCAGACGCTGGCATCAAAACCAAGCAGCCGACGTCGTGCGCGAATGGTCAAAAAAGGTGGAGAAAGATCAAAGGAGATCTCAAAACGCTACTACTGGTTCTGTTACTTCCCCTGCTAGGAGTCAACAGTCCGGTGGCAGGGAATCCCTAGCCCGAGAATCAAGGGAATTGCGTAATCCGTCTAGCTTTACCACGGACGCTCGATTTTCATCGTCACCGTACACGAGCCCAGAAGACCTTCCAGATAACATCCAAGTATTGTTTCGGCTACTGCAAAGAGTATCTCAAACAGCACCTGTATCACCCAATGCTTCATCGAGAACTGAGAGCACGGGTCGTTCACTGTCATCAGCAGAGCCCGTTGTTGCAAGAAATGAGCGCACATCGAATGCAACTCGGCAAAGCAGTGGGCACTCATTAGAGCGACAAAGAACACTAAGAGAGGCAGTGACTAGCTCTCAACAGACTATAGAAATCGACCGAGGCATGAACCCTCCATCTCAATCATTGAGAGTAGCTAGTACGCGAAATACTACCGAAACGCCAACCACAGCCCAACAGACTAGTTCTCAAGAACCAGTCGCATCTCCATCAACAACAGAAACATCAAACCGCCAACGAAGGCAACAGGTCCCGACAGAACGAAGAGAAGTAGTTCGCAAACCCATTGAAGGAGAATGCCATATTTGTTTCTTGTCATTGCGAGATATTGAAGAACCGGCAGCACAAGAAGAGGAGGAGGCGGAGGAAGAACAACCCCACGCAGACAACACAGCGACCACTGAGTCTGTATCAAATGATCCAAAAGAACTGGTTTGGTGTAAGAACCAATGTGGTTATAACTTCCACAAGAATTGCATAGGCATGTGGGCCGATTCCTGTGAGAATAGCCACCATGCAGTGACTTGTCCAATGTGTAGGGGACGATGGGTTACACAGTAATTGAACTTATCGCATTTGTTTTTGGTTTCTATGTTTATATTTCTGTATTTTCTAGCCATGTTGCTCTGGGTCCGTTTTTTATACCTTTTGTTAGAGAAATGAATTAGACGATTATGAAACCCTAATATGGAACAACTTTTAGACATAGCTCCCGCGTGTTACGATATCAGAAACTTGTAAATTATCAACAGATTTCGCAATTGCTATCAATGCCATGCGTTCCACGAAGCTATCACTATACAATGAAATAATAGGAAAACGCACATGAAGACCATGTTTAGAGATTCATCGGCGTCCACAACTCACACCTCAATCGATTGTAGTACTCTCAGTACGGCTTTAGGCTTTATTTCCATGATGCCCGTGTACCATATCTATTGTCATGATGATAAAACTTATTAGCTTGATGCCAGAGTTAATTGGTATTTATGCCCGATAAGCCTACCTTCGGCTCTGTGCTTGAGCTTTTGACCAAATCCCTCTTTATGGGTACCTGTCTCATGGCCCTTCCCTTGTGAAGCATTGGCGCCAGCGCCAGCTTTATTACCTCGGTTCCCTTCTGTCGTATGTTCTCCATGGCGAGCGGAACCAGATGCCTTCGCATCACCGGCGGATTCGATCTGAGACTTAGAATCACCATAATTCTCCTTAAGCTTATCGCCAGTATCATCGAAGTTTGCACCAAATTTTTCTCCCTGAGACTTCTCAAAAGTGGACGTGGTTGTTTTGTCGGCTCCGAAGTTCGACTCCATAAAACCGGCGATACCCTTGCTTGGCACACGGTCTTTCTTTTGCCTGTTGTCGTTTTGGTTTAAGTTTTGGTTCCCAGACTCATAATTGGTGCTTGGTCTTTCGGTGTTGGTCTCTTGTCGAGGGTTGCCGGCTTCCTGCCGGTATTCTGTGTTGTCATTGTTGGCATTCATGGTAGAGTTACTGTTGTTGTAGTTGTTTTCGGAATTCATGTTTGAATTGTTAGGAGATTTAGGAGATCTAGGAGGTTTTGGATATTCCTTGGAAAGTTTTTTGTCTCAATATGATGCGTGGTATATAAGATGTTAATCGTTTGGTTGAATTGAACAATCGACAATGTCGGGGGAATTATCCATCCTCGACACGGCTTTATAGGGAAGTCCATCGATATTCAGGGATATGACGTATGGAAAAGGCCCTTCAGCGCAGCTTTCCTTGCTGTGATTAGATTCATCCTCACGACCATTCGTCTCTAGGTGGAAAAAGCTTGGTAGTGCATGACGTCAAAGAATCCTCTTTTCATTCGATAGCGCATCATGTGACGCGCAACGTTGACATTTGCTTCAAGTCGTATGAATGACGTATTTCTGGTCTTCGGCATCAGCATAGGCGCCTTATTTCTCAGGTATCATTCACGCCCGCTTCCGGTCTAGCGGCCATCTGATCGACTTAGCCCTAACTCGAGCAATAATGGCGAGGTTTCACAGAGGCAGATAAGAGACGCAAAGGATTTCCTCATAATGAGAGACCGGAGATACAAATATGGGTTGTGTAGCAATTTTACTCCTCGTATATCAGCAATCGAAAGTCGTGCAGCGTATTGGCTTCGGGTAGCCACGGGGAAGGATCTAGATCCGTTGCTCTGTGTATTGCTCGTTGCAGTCTGCACGTTCATTTGATTTTTAAATGCCTCTATTGTCTGTTCTCGAGGAATATTGAGCATGCTCCTAATCTGCGGATTAATAGGATGCAGACTCTGCATATATCGGCCTGCCCTGGTTCCTTGGGTCAACCTGCAGCTGCATGTACAACGCAGATCTGCAGGCGATATTACCTTGATATGTGAGGCATCAACCTCTATACCACTTGCCTACCACTTCAGAGGAATTTTGTCACGTCTAGATAGATTAACTCCCCTTGGACCTTACCCAAAGATGTTACCGGAGCAGAGAAAAGAAACACAACAAAAAAATACAAAGAAGATGCCTTTCATAAGCGACTCGCAACTTTCCATTGCATTGGTATTTGCCGCGCATACCTCTGGAGCAACAGCGTGGGGTAACTTGGGACATGAGACAGTAGCCTACATTGCGCAGGATTTCGTCAAATCTTTTACAGAATCGTACTGCAAGGATATCCTCGGCGACACCTCTTCCTCTTATCTAGCCAATATTGCTACCTGGGCCGATAGCTACAAATTCACATCCGAAGGAAGATTTTCTTATGATTACCATTTTATTGGTGCTCAAGACGACCCTCCATCCACTTGTAATGTTGATTACAGCCGTGACTGTGGTGATTCCGGCTGCTCAGTCAGCGCCATCCAAAACTATGTATTCACCCTTCTGTCTCTCTCGAGACCCAAAAATTTCCTTTTCTGGTATCTGAGTATCTTAATTTGCTAATTTCAAGCTTCTAGACGAACCAACTCTTGGAATAGCAAAACGTCAGCCTCTAAATCCCTCGATGCTATTAAGTTCATTGTCCATGTCAAAAGAACATTTTCCATGCTGCAAATTATGCATGAAAATTTCTTGGCTAATGGATTCTTTCTTGACAAAGATCATCGGTGATATTCATCAACCTCACCATGATGAGAACTGGGAGGTTGGTGGCAATAGGGCGAATGTAACCTATGACGGTAACAGAACAAACCTGCACCACATTTGGGATACCAACATGTTAGAAGACGATGCTGGAGGACATTCACTTTCTTTTGCAAGCGACTGGGCCTTAAATCCTACCACTCGTATCAACTCGGGGGAGTATCAATCCGAGGCATCGTCCTGGTTGGACGGTCTCAATCTGACAAACCCAGTCGATTCGGCAATGGCTTGGGCTAGTGATGCAAATTCCTACGTTTGTAGCACTGTTTTAGAGACTGGGACTGTCTTATGTCCAGAGTAATGACTTGTCTGGTTATTATTATTCGACATGCACGCCTGTCTTTGAGGTATTGCTGGCCAGGGCCGGCTATCGCTTGGCAGCGTGACTGGATGCCATTGCTGATAATGCTCCTCATTCATAACTTAAAAAGTGAAAGGATACAGTATTATCGAGTCGTTACTCAAACAAGAAGAAGCACACTGATAAGGGAAGATGCTATACTGGGACCGAAGAAACGAAGATTTCCTAATCTCTATTTTACACTTGTAAAAGATACCATCAGTGCATATATTTCTTCCGACACATTATGTATAACTGGCGACAACTTGGTACAAGACTTAATATTTGCTTCACCTACAGATGTGAGCCACACGGTTGACATCGCTCCGGATCCTTGGGGTCAATTTATTTCTCTACCGGACCCAAAAAAGACGAATAATATCTTTACGTTACTACTTTCCAGCCCTTCAAGTTCCTATCTAGAAGATCTTTCCATGCTAGTAGCATATCTACTTCATGCAAAGGAATAGAAAGCTCGGCAAGCATGAATGTGCCATTTCAAAGACAACAATTACAAAGTCTAGCAGGTACCAAGAACAATCAAATGAAAAGCGCACCTTGCCAGTAATATCGTCTCTCTACTTTGTAAATAATTAGCCTGGGCTCCGGAAGGCTGTGTTATGCTTGATTCCTTACTTGCAGGGATAGTGTAAGATCTGCGCTGTGCACTGCCTCACTCACAGTCGCTATTTAACAAGCTTACATCCAGACCCAAGGTGTTCGAGGCCATTCGTTTTTTTTGGGTCGCCGTATATATTATCATTTGATGTTTATTATTACTCTTCACTTCGAGGCTATTCAAATTTGATTCAATAGTTGCCTGGATCGTTTCATGTCGGTAAACAGCGTTTCCGATGATGATGGGCTCCTTGAGTCTCCGGTAGAACGCAAAGCTAGAGGAAACCGAAAACAAGAACCACAGCAAAACACTAGTCACATTACGACATATAATGCTGTGGAATACGCCTTGTATCTCTGCCAAGGTCATAGAGGCACTCCGGACTTAAAAATAGAATGCACGGATGATAATAACGAACTGATGGTGCTTGACGAGTCTGGTACGTATCTTTATGCTTGAGGCATAAACCCGGCTAGTCCATTGCTAACTCGATTTATAGCCACAAGGAACTTTGAAGACCATGTCCAAAATCTGTGCTCAAAAACTCCTGCTGAAGGTGGCGTTCATATACGCTTGGTGTATGACATATGTCTAGATTATCAATCCGAGAGACTCCTTATTTTCTAACGTGTTGCATCAGGCTAATGAACCGAGACGGTGGCACATTCCTTGGTGACAAGAGCCAGACACTCGAGTTACTTCAGAATTACTGGCGCATTGACATGGGGGATTTTGCCTTGTTGACTTCTCAGCCTGTAGCAAGCTACCATAGCCGGATTGCGGATATCCATGGTGACAAGTGTCTAGGTAAGGAAGGAAGCCTTTCTTTGAATTTGAGACAGTTAACTTTATTCCATGACTAATCGTGGTAGACATAAGTTACAACATAAGAGAGGATATTTTGTACAACCAGGACAACATCTCATCGTTGGAGAGTAGTTTAACGGTGAATGTCATCAAATCGACCGACATGCGTGTAAAGCGTGAATATGAACCTGTCTATTTCCGACATAATATTTCAACCGGTCAGACTACTTACATATTGCCCAACGCCAGTCGAGAGCATCGGTATCTGCTTCACAACATAGGCCAGAAACTTTCGGAAAGAGTCGTTCAGATGCACCCATTTACATTGCATGCGGTTATTTTATTTCAGAGCCTCGCTGCACGAGGCGCAGTAATTGATGATATGCTCCGCCGGTTACTTTGGATTGAGACGCAAATCTACCAAGGGTCAATCTTCCAAGGCACGGAGTCGGAGAAGTTTATCCAATACATCCAACTTTCGCATAAATTATCACGCAATCTGATTACATTAGAACATAGAAACCAGAGGGACGCATGCCTCATTGAGAAGCTCCTTAATGACCAAAAGCGTGTGTGGAGGTTGACTAGGCAATCAAATCACTACATCGACACACGTGCACATGAACATGTGCGAGACAGTCTTCTTAGTCTTAAGGACTCTGCTCATGACCAACACCGGCAAATTATAAACTCAGAGCGCAAGACCCAGCTGTTCATAACATTACTATATCATCTAATTACCGGCCACGACAGCGGGATCAACTTGCGAATAGCTTCGGAAACAGCAAAGCTTGCCCATGAGGCGAAGAAAGATAGCACATCCATGAAGATTATTGCTGGGGTTACTATGTTTTACTTACCGGCAACATTTGTCTGCAGTCTATTCGGTACGAATTTTGTTGCATTGAACACCGATACCTCGGAGCCAACATTCATCGTATCCAAGCTATGGTGGGTATATATTGCATTTGCGGTGCCTTTGACATTGGCTACAATCATGGGGTTTCTCGTTTGGAGACGTTGGCGCCGTGAGCCTATTGTAATGAACCAGATAGATAAGGTTTGATTTACTTATAAACCCCAGGTTTACTAGATGGCATGCTTAATGCTTGTCCATGTATGAATTGAAACCGTGCCGTTCTTCCCCACACATTCCTACGGTAGATGAAGAATCCGGAGGCGGATTGCGCCGGTGTAAACTGTTTGTCTAAAAATAGCTTTGAGAAAATCCTATGTCATAGGGACTAAAGACATCAATTGGTGCTTGATCTTGCAGGCGTGTTGAGAGGAAACGCAACACTTGGGCAAACGTTTATGGACATCGAGCCCTAGTCGGAATTACTTGACCCATGTGCATCGTGTTTTCTCTCAAGCGGAAAATCGGCAATCGACACACCGCAGAATTGAAAGAGCAGATGATTTTTTTCAGCGGAGTACCGGTTGATTTCGAAGAATACGTACATAGAAGCCGGCTAAATGTCAGTTCAATTGTCAAGGTAGTACTTGTGATTTCTTCCCCTCATCGCAATGAAGATTATCCGGGATCTTCGCTTTAGGACTTACGACTGTCAATCTAGAAAAAGTGGAGGTAATGCCCTGCCAATTGTTGTCGAGGAGGATATTCAAGACGTCGGAAACAAGCTCTTCTTCTCTGAATAGCCGGGAGGGATTTTCGATCTTTGTATTAAGGGTAAATCCGTAGAATGGAACGAACCAACTATAAATATAGCTTCTATATCTCCTTATAACTGTAGCAGATGCGAGTTTTGTTATCCACTAAGCCCAGCCAAGCTGTCCTCATTCACTACATTGATATGTCTACTTTTATTGCATTGCTGGCCGTTATGGCCAATCTAGCCGTAGATGTTGTCTCAACCCAGGTAACTGTCGACACGAGCACGACGTACCAGACAATTGATGGGTTCGGTTTTTCCGAAGCTTTCTGGTTCGGTCTAGCAGTGCAAGAAGCACCGGCTGCCCAACAGACTCAGGCCCTTAACTACATGTTCAGTACAACTGAGGGTGCTGGCCTGACTATTTTGCGAAATCGGATTGCCGCCGACCCTGGCGATACTATCGAGCCCGATAGTCCCGGGTCCGCAACGGCGACGCCGACCTATACATGGAATGATGATGATGCAACCCAGGTTCGTAGGAACTTTGTAGTGGAACTATTATCGCGAGGATGAATCGAAGATTAAATCTGAAACAGGTCTTCTGGTCGCAAAAGGCACGAGAGATGGGGGTGGAATACATCTACGCAGATGCATGGAGCGCACCGGGGTATATGAAAACGAATGACAACTATGTCAGTGCTAATAATGCCCCCAGGTGAAGAAGTGGAAGGAGTGATTGCTAACAACTTGCCACCAGGAGGAAGGGGGTTATCTCTGTGGTGTGACAGACGAGACTTGCTCTACCGGCGATTGGAGACAGGCATACGCCGATTATTTGGTACAATATATCAAATACTATGAGAACGCTGGAATTACTATAGATTTTGTCGGATTCTTGAATGAGCCTGAGCTAGCGTTAGTGAACCCCCAGCAATTCAAAGCAACGGGTTGATTGTCTTGCTGACGGAGACAAGTACAGTGTTGATTATGACTCAATGCTCTCCGATGGAACGCAAGCAGCTTCATTCATTCCCATTCTATACTCGGCACTAGAAGAAGCTGGGCTGAGCACAGGCATCGTTTGCTGCGATGCAGAAGGCTGGAATGACCAGGTCACCTACACAGCACAAATCGTCGAGGCAGGGGCCGAAGAATACCTTTCGCGTATCTCATCCCATTGGTATACGTCCAGAGGAACCTCCCCAATCAACACGACTCTGCGGGTCTGGGAAACCGAGTACGCAGATTTAAACGATGCCTTTAGTACTGTCTGGCATTCTTCTGGCGCTTTCAATGAGGGGCTGACCTGGGCTGGGTATATTTACCAGGGATTGGTCGAGTGCAACTTGAGCGCTTTTCTCTACTGGATCGGTGAGTAAACCTTCTCCAAAGTAGTATTGAAAATTTTTTGTTTCCGTTCGTGGTATTCGATCTAACTTGGAAGATGTAGGCGCTCAATCCGGAGGGAACGCCGCAACCCTTGTCAATATCACAGGCTCCGGTTCCTCGACAACAGTAACTCCATCTGGTACGCTTTGGGCATTTGCACTGTTCTCTCGTTACATCCGTCCCAATGCCGTCCGTGTGGCTACTTCAGGCGCTCCTGGTAATACTGATATAGCTGCCTTTGAGAATACTGATGGTAGTATTGCGGTTGTCATGGTAAATACTGGTTCAACCAGTCAAAGCGTCTCGCTTGGTGGTGTATCGATTGCTTCTGTTGATGCCTACGTTATGGACAGTTCTGTCTCCTCACCTACCTCATTATCGACCGCCATCAGTGATGATAATGTTGTAGCAACTTTGCCGGCTTACTCACTGGTTACCTTTGTGATCACCACCTGAAGACGTGAACAGGCTGTTCAGCACAAGAGTAGCTGTGTGTTAAGCGCGGTGGTACAGTATAATCTCGTGAGCGATAGTTACTAGCATTATTCAATATAAGTTAATCGTGCATGTAATAAATTAAGTTGTATGCTAAAGGTTTGCAGTGTTTGCACTCTTTATCGATAAGGATTCGAGGGAAAATCACGTGCACATTTCAGGGGATCAGAGCTGTGGACTAGTCACAAGCATACATTCTCCCATCAACTTTTTACACACAGCAAGAAGAATGAAAAGATCAGGTCTGCCAACAGGCACATAGAGATGCTTGCATGACTCAATACTCACCTCCGCACCCTCTCCCGCCCTCATGCATAGACATAAACTCTCCGCAGCTTCTTTACGCAAGAAAGTTTCTTTCGACCTGGGCGATTTAACGGACGATTCAGACCCAGACGATTATCGAGACGACAACACGCCAGATTGGACGCCTCGAACGGCTTTTTCCGGTATATCGCCGCGCAAAGCTCGCAGATATGTACTAACGTCAGTCATTTTTCTCGTTTTTCTCTACGTCCTCCTCCATCGATCGCAGCCTCCTAGAGGCTTGTCTCCCTACCTTAATTACGATGCCATTGATTGGTCGCGATACGCATATACACAATATGTCGTCGATGAGGCATACCTGTGCAACTCGGTGATGGTATTCGAGGCCCTGGATCGGGTGGGTAGCCGAGCTGATAGAATCCTGTTCTACCCGCATGTTTGGGATACCGTGGTCTCGAATAAGGATGACCGAGTCAGCCAGTTGCTGAACCTGGCGCGCGAACGCTATAAAGTTCAACTAGAGCCAATTACAGTGGAGAGGATTCACGAATATCACCAGTCAGGTATGATAACACACACTTCTATGTTGTTCACCTCCTTGCGCTTTCTTCAAACCCTTTCAACGCTTGAATTTTTTTTTTTAAAAAAAAGGGGGTGGTATAAATAACTGACCGTAATTTGCTCCGCAGAGGACTATAGCACTTGGGATAGTAGCATTACTAAACTATGGGCTTTTCGGGAGACGACGTATAACCGAATATTGCAAATAGACTCGGACGTCCTTGTTCTTCAAAACCTCGACGAGTTATTTTTTCTCCCATCTGCACCGGTTGCTATGCCACGAGCTTATTGGAACTATCCGGAGAACCAGAAGCTTACTTCTCTTCTGGTACTTCTTGAGCCTTCGTATCTAGAATGGAAAGCGTTGATGGAAAGGGTACAAGGGGTGACGGCGGGCCAACTTGAAACGGGCGTGAACGAGTCCATGCACGATTTATATGACATGGAACTACTCAATGACCGTTACGGTGCATCAGCGCTCGTTCTTCCGCATCGGCAATATGGATTAGTGACGGGAGAATTCCGTACCAAAGACCACCGGAATTTCCTCGGTAATACGCACGAAACGTGGAACCCCGACAAAGCTCTTAGTGAGGCCAAGCTGGTCCATTTCTCGGACTGGCCATTGCCCAAGCCATGGATTATGTGGCCCCAGGGACAACTCGCAAAGATGCAACCGAAGTGTGATACCAAACCCGGCACGCCAGAGGAGAGCGGATGCCGTGACCGCGAAGTGTGGAAACAGCTGTACGAGGATTTCCGGCTAAAAAGAAAGGACGTGTGCAAGCTTCTCAGTTATCCCGCTCCGGAGTGGCCGCCGAGACCAAAGGACATGTCGAACCTGCCTCCTGGTGAATCGGCTCCTGCGATGATCTCTGAGCAGGCCTTGGATGACAAGCCAGAGTAGGTGTTTTTGAACGGGTGCATTAGACGGGCGTTTGTGGGGTTGCTTGAACTGTGCTACTAGTTGCGCTTGAGGCCATGCAGATTGGCCTATGTAAACTATTACATTCATTAAATATATAAGCACGTGTACCTTCACTCTTTCTCCTTTGGGGAAGTTCCTGGCCTGACCCAAAGCCAGCCTGTGACGTCAACATCCCAAAGTCATCCCATTTCGGATAATCACCACCACTCTGTAGCGTATCAATATGTATGGCTAGCTAATTAGATAGTATTTATTGTCGAGCCGTTAGGGTTGTCAGCGTTTCAGATGTCATGCCTAGCGGGCACCGGAGCCATGTGGAGCGCGTATATTATTAGAATGCGCCACAGCCGTCGCCAAAACGTCATTTCTTAGATCCGTGCGATATCTTCGTCGTATACATTGGGCGAGCCTATGATCATCTTTTATAGGGCACGGGCGTGACGTCAAGAGAGGTGCTTGCGGGGACAGATTATTTATTGCTGATATCACCCTCTGACATGGGATATGCATCAATCCATTTATACATCTATACCACAAATAAGGAGTGTGAGATTTGCTTTAGGAAGAATTTATAGTCAAAGTACGTCTCCTCCTTGTTGGTACGCGCATTCGCAGACTAACATCTAACATTCATTAGGACCAAAAAAGAAAAAACAAACAAACAAATAAACAAACAAACAATCCACCATGCCGTCTATGCACGAACGTATCATGGAGGACCTGAAGCTTAAGGAGCGTCAGCTCTGGACAGCCCTCACCTCGGCCGACCCAGCACACGCCGTCAATAAGCTGTGTCTCCCAAACGCCAACTTTCTCTTCCCCAACGAGGACATCCTAGCACTCAACCCAGATGACCCGGACAAGAACGAAAAGACACTGCAGGAAAAATTGGCCCCTCCGTTCCATCGTTTCGACGATTTCTCTCTCATGGACGTGCGTCCGACAGTCATTGACTTGATGGCTGGTACGATGACATATCGCATCAGTGCTTATCGAGGAAAGAGGCAATATAATGCTACTGGTAGCACTACCTGGGCGCAGGGAAGTGATGGCGAGTGGAGGGTGGTTGTGCATCAGGAGACTCTAATATAAACACTTGACTTCTCTATACCTTTTGTCCTGCATCACGACTACTTATTTTAATATTGGAATTTTCGCATTGATCTCTTCTACTCACGGATTTATGTCTCGATTTTAGCTGAAATGCATTTTAAAGTCATTTACAACGTACACTTTTGCAAGCTCGCCGGATTATGAAAAACCAATCGCTAAAAGAAAGCCGTATGCGTAGCAAGGCTTCACTTATGACAACCCACTAGACCCACAACTCCAATGCCCCCCCAAGACGAATGTGAACAGAATACGAAGCAAATTTTATCAAGAACGAAGCTCTATCCGAGGTGTACCAACACCACTTGTTGTATGACCTATGGAACGCAATCCCAAATTGTGAACCGACAGTCTGACCGGGTGTTCAACAGACTGAACTGGAAGGAGACTGGAAACCAGGTCGCGGTAAGCACACATTTCGACGAGTTTGACTCTTTGCACCTTGCCACTCGGGGTACGAGGAACCTCCTCAACGAAGATCACGCCGCCAGTCAGGGACTTGTAGCTAACAAGTTGATTGCGCGTGAATCGATAGACCTCGTCGGCCGTTAGACGGCTTGCCGCTGCCGTTTTTCGACGCACTACAAATGCGCGTACCAGTTCATCTTCTACATGGTCTTGAGATGCATCTTTTTTGACACCCACCACTGCTGCATCGGCAATGCACGGGTGCCTGAGTAGGACGGCTTCAATTTCTGCTGGTGCAACTTGCCATCTACCATTGAGATATAGTCAGCACGCTGTGAAAGAGTATCGAGAATACTACCTAGGTAATAGAGAAAGGATGCAAACCTACCCGCGGACCTTGATGAGCTCCTTTGCCCGTCCAACCACGTAATACTGGCCACCACGAACAGAAACAATATCACCAGTGCGAAACCAACCAAACTCATCCTTGGCATCCGGCACGCCCTTGTATCCCATCAGGACTCCAGGGCCACGAACGTACATTTCGCCAGGTGTACCTTCAGCTGTGATTTCTCGGCCCTCGATATCCAACAATTTAACATCATAATTCGGCAGCAGTCGGCCAATGCTAGCAGGATCGTCGCCGCTTCCATATCTTCTTTGAAAGGCTATTCCAACTTCAGTCATTCCCCAAATTTGAGATATCTCAGCCTCGTGGTGTAGCCGCTCTTCCAAGCGTTGCGCTGTGCCAGTATCAAGAGGAGCTCCCGCCGTCCCAATGTATCGCAATGATCTGAAGAACTCCGAAAGCTCCAAGTTGGAGGATTTATTCAATGCTTGTACCATGACAGGAACCATATATGTCTCGGTAATGCGGTAGAGGTATATGGTTCGTACAAACTGTTCTATGTCAAATCTGGGTAGAACGTAACATGTTTCACCGTAACGGACGGGAAAAATGTGTGTATACAAGGCGCCAAAGAGATGGAACATGGGGATACACATCAATCTGGTGGTATCATATGGCGTCTCGTAGTGTATTCCGAGGTGATGCATGATGATTGAATGGTGGGATAGCAGTGCCCCCTTAGGCAAGCCGCCAGTGCCGCTAGTAGTATACATGGCTGCAGGGGTGTTGATTGCTCGGTCTTTATCGTCAAACCTGATCCAGTCCTCTTCGCCATGCTCAAGCAATGTGGAGAAGTTTAGACATGCTGTGTTGCCTGTTTCTCCTACTTGATATCTGGCACTTTTCTGGATTGACTGTTGCGATGGCGTTGGTGTTGACAGTATTGACGACAAGCATGAGATGGCATATTCATCCAAGACGCAGATACGATTATGAGGAATGTCCTTCGCTTTCGTAGCTTCTTGCAACAGGGACAATGTGTTTGGCGCTGTGATTATTAATTTTGGATTTGACAATGTCAAGAAATGGTCTAGCTCTGCATATTGGCTTGATGGGTTAATACCCATGTAAATGCCGCCGGCGCCAACAATGCCATAGAGTATTGAAGAGTATAATACCTGCATGATACGTCAGCGATTGAAATCAGATAGTAAACTGGCGAAAATACACTCACATTATTCGGCAATGTTACCAAAACGCAGTCACCCTCATTTACATCGGCAGCTTTTTTGAGGCCGGCAATGAGAGTCCGAACCAGCTGTCTCACTTGCACAGCATTTAGAGACCAAGCCGGGTTCTCTGCATCAACGTACAATGGCCGATGGTCGTCGTAGTCAACAGGCCGTTCGTCAAGAGCAAACGAGAGCAGATCCTTGTATATTGGGCGCTGAAAGCGTACATCGTGGCGCAGAGAAGACATTTGGCCACCCATGATTTGCTTGTACTTCCACGTGAGCTTGGAATGTCTTGTTTTTGACACTTTTTGAATAAAAAAAAATAGCGAAACGGAGTCAAGCAAAAATGCACCAAAGAAGCGAAGACATCCAATTAGCCTATTTCACTGTGCCGCACTTGTTACGCCACTATCCAGGTAGTTGTGCAGTGCCCACCATTGATTCGAGATAGTTATAAGAGGGAATGAAGGAACGAAAAAGGCTGTTATCCGTCCAAAAGAGAACACAGATAGGAAAGGTCGAGGACCGAGGGCCGAGTCAGGTCAAATCCGGGGTGGCGGAATGTAACTGCGAAGCTGAGTTTGAGTAACTGAGTAGATAAATAGTAGACTAGTTACACTCGACTGGCTGAAAGCAAGAACATAATTAGATAATTAAGCACTAGTTAGTTACATCCAATTGACCCAGGCGATTATAACTGGCCCCTACATGACATTCCATGGTGAGCCCCTACATACCATGCCGGGGTCGGTTATAGTAGGTTAGCTGCATTGAGGTGTGCCCAATCTAGTCACGTTAGCCGAATTAGCCCTGGAGAATGGCGTATGCAAGAGCCTTCTGACATTATTTTTTTTTCCCCTAATATTCTAGATGGACAGCCAACGATTGATTTCAATACACGCTACGTAGCTGGCAGCGGGGCAGTGATCAAACCTCAATCCTAATACTAGCGATAACAAGTAATCTAACGTGAACTGATAAGTTCTTTTCCATTTTGGGAAATCCCCGGCTTCCGACAGGCTTCCATGCCCTAATCCGTGAAAATGGATGTTTTCCTTCCTCGCCTCTCCGATGCAGGGCTCGGCACCTTTCGCGGGCATCTGACTGCTTGAAGTTTTATCAGCCGGCTTGGTCGTCTGGACTGATTTACAATCTCTCTCTTGGTGTGTTTGTTTGTGAGTCTCGGCATTTCAATCACCTTTGCGGCCGATCTCGTGGATGAATACTACCTATGTCCGCTGGTATCGGTCCATGTAACACTCCATATAGTAGGCGAAGTATGTATTGTCTAGACTATTCCTTGCATTAATTCCATATGCAAGTCTTGTCATAGCTGGCATTGGCATGCACGACCGATATTAGGACGCTAGGCGGCTAATATACTACCTGGGTACAAATTACGAATCCTCCTGCTTGGTCTGTCAGCCTCAGAGGCCAGTGAGGGGGCTGCAATCGCCTGATCGGCCCTACCAAGGTATTGTATAGTTGAATTTAATATATATTGAGCGGGTTGGTACCTAAATAGGTAGGTACTTCTCCAATATGGACGTCGGGCGACACTCAATCGTACTGAAAACGGTCTATATCAAAGCACTTACGTATTTAAAGCGACCATGACTCACTCTCCATCCACGTCTCTGTGGGGAACCGATGATTAATTTGCGTTATTTGCTCTATTGGTTATTATCGACAATCATTCATGCTTTTCACCTCGTGGTAAAGTGTGTTGTTGGTGACTTCCTCCTAGAGAACCCACGGCATGCCTGAGAATTCAACCACAAATGAAGGCTCTCCCAAGCTTTCGTTAGAGAAGGCTCGCCGTGGGAATATGTCTGTTGGTGAAAAAGCGCCCCAAGCAACAATACGAACGAGAATGATGATCGCGGGCATCGAACATTGCAATAATAGCATTGATGATCTCGAAGCACAAAAAACCACGAAGCGGCCTTCCAGGCTAAGCGCTTGCTTGAATTTCCTCCGGTATACGGCGTTCAATGTATACCGCAAGCTTTTCTCTCTAGTTTTCATTTCCAATCTTGCTGTTTTTATTGCTATCATGGTCACCGACCAATCATCTCTACTGGCATTCGTTGATGCAGTAGCGGCAAACTTGACTGTGTGTGGTCTAGCACGGCAGCCCTTGGTTGTGAACGCAATATACTTAGTCGTCTGTGCCGTGCCTCGGTCAGCTCCGCTACGACTCAGGCGCATGGCCGCCAAAGCGTTTCATTTCGGTGGCGTGCACAGTGGGTGTGGTGTTGCATCATTTGTGTGGTATGTTGGGCTGGTGGCCTTGATTTCGATCAATTACTGGTTCCAGGGTCATGGTGGTGAGGCCAAAGTAACCATCTCCACCGCGGTCGTTGTTCTGGCCTATATTATCTTGCTATTATTGGTGTTCATTATCACTGCGGCTTACCCTACTTTCCGGATGAAACACCACGACGCCTTTGAGCTAATTCAACGGTTCTCGGCATGGACAGTGGTTGCTCTATTTCTGGCTCTCTTATTGATATTTGCAAACGACGCACGACAGACGGAACACCTGAGTCTGGGCCAGTACCTCATCCGCCTACCAGCTTTCTGGATGCTGTTGGTCGTGATTGCGGCTATCGTACATCCATATCTGCTATTGCGAAGGATAAAAGTCCAGCCGGAAAAGCTCTCCAGGCATGCCATCAGACTGCACATGGATCATACACGGACAGGATTTGGGCTAGGAATCCAACTAGCTAGAAATCCCTTGCGCGACTGGCATTCGTTTGCCACATTTCCAGATTGTACTACCGAGAAAGACCCGAATTTACTAGACTTGCAACCTGGCTCGTTCTCGTGTTTGGTATCCAAGGCCGGCGATTGGACAAGCGATGCAATTGAGCGACCACCGCAGTATTTGTGGAAGCGCGGGGTCCTCGTACATGGCTTTGCCTACGTGATGCGAGTGTTTGAAAGGATCATCGTGGTGACGACTGGTTCCGGAATCGGGCCATGTCTATCATTCCTTGGGGATGAGAAGAGGCCAGCGATGCGTGTGGTGTGGCAAACACGTTCCCCTGTCAAGACCTACGGACAAGGGATCATAAATCTAGTCAAGCAAATGGATCCTGACCCACTGGTCATGGACACTGACCAGACAGGCGGCCGTGCCGATATGCTGCCTGTCATCGAGCGTTTGGCCAAGGAGTTCAGAGCTGAGGCGGTCTGCGTGATAAGCAATCCTAAGCTCACCAAGCAGCTGGTGTATGCCCTGGAGACGAAGGGCCTGGTGGCCATGGGCCCCATTTTTGATTCGTGAATAGCGTTTGTATGTTTTACTTTATCTGGCTTCTAGCTTGGCTCCTAGTCCTAGTATAATCTAATGTATTGTTTCCAACCAAGGGTGAGGCCATTGCCAGTTCAGGAAGGGCCAATGACAGAGGCCTGAATTGTGGTTCGAGCCGGACACTTTTACCATTAGGGAGAGAGGCTATGCACTTTCAAAGTTTCCCGTGTCTTGATTCAATCGTGGGTGCAGGCTTTTGATAGAATATGCGGTGTTCAAGTGGCGTTATCTCAGCACCCCTGTAAAATTTCTAGATTGACTTACAAGCTGGCAAGTTGCTTTCCCTTAAACTTTGAGTAACTGCCCTTTTCGTGATTTGGTTCTTTGTTTGGCGTTAGTTATGCGTATTCTCTCTTTGTCTCCATCGTTGCATTTGACTCCGGGAATGTGCATAACCGTCATGCTCATATATAGACCGTCTAAATGTCGAGTTAGAGTTGGTCTGCTTGGAATCCTTCAGGTACGAGGATGATAAGCACTAAAGCCTCAACTGCTCTCTCAAGTCTGTGCCGAACAAAAAAGACGCACCAGTCAGCGATCTTACAGTGCGTAGTTGCAGGCCGCCGGTACGAGATACGGCGTGTTTGCATGTTAGTGATAGGGCAGCGTCTCAGTGGGCCTTGCTCTATGTATTAGTCGAGATTGGAAAACGAGGGTTTCCAGCTAAGCATGTGTCAATCGGATGGTCAGGCTACGATTTATTAATAATTAGTGCTACTATGACAGGGAAGTAATATCGCAACCCTCGTATTTCAGCGACGATGGCATCGGCCGGCCCGGCCGGAAACGCCATCGATAATTTGGGATTGTTTGAATGATCTTCGCTGCAGCTTCTGCGTCTTGATGATCCGGCGTTCATGTTGACTAAGATTTTAGGACCTCAACCTACGCCGCCTATGTAGTTAAAACTTAAGACGGTCGGTGGATTGGGAGGCAATCCATGGGATTCTAGCGTGGGCTTCGACAGTGGGGCTAGTTGACATAGTTTATTGTACTATATACAAGGCCATCCTAATTGCAGCCGATCAGCGTCCGCAATTGGCGAAGAACAATGGTCGGAGTTGACCCAATCGTTGCATACGGAAGTACTCCTCCAGATCCAACGGCACGGTCACTAAACGATACAACAGACGGTGAAGAACCGGGGAGGGGTAAGACTATCGAAGGATCACGGCGGAGGAAGATTGGAGGATAGAACGGAGTCGAGATTTCTGCCCAATCGCAACAGTCGAGCCGCTTTCTTACGTATTTTCAGCTTCTTGCCGACGCATTCCAGCTGTCAGTGACGCCAATCCGACCCCAGGAATAGCAACTGGCTTTTGGTCCGACGTTGTGCACCCCAAAGTGGCACGAGCAATATCTGCCTTCACATGCAAATGCAACCACCAAACGTTAGAAAGAGTTGTAACTGGATTAATCTCAATTACTCTCACAGGAGAGAGATATCTAGACCTGAACCCCGCGTTGGACTGTGCGATTGATCGGCTGCATTCCGATCACCACACAGCACCTGGAGATTAGGCAAGCCTGGCCAGGTTTATTCCTTCAGTTTTCTGTCATCATTAGTCGATCATTTGATCACTCTTGAAGCTGAAGTCCGAGCGTTCACTGTTTTGGGTCAAAAGGATGAACGAGTCGGTTGCTCCGATAACGTCCAGGAATAATAGAGGTTTACAAAGTACAACCGACTGTATTGTAATAGATTTTGGTTGGCGTTTCCTTAGCACTGCAAGAGGCACTTATCGTCTCGGATTGGGCAAAGAGTAGAGTTGGCATGACGAATTGGTCGTCCGGAATACCTAGAGGTGTGCTTGAAATGCAATTCATAGCCAGAATACAGAGGTATTATACGTAGTTACGTATGTGCGTATATGCATAAGATTGTTGATTTGAAATATAATGCACATAGGCTAGCAAAGGAAGCCAGTTAAATCTACAATCGCTCACTGTTCCAAACGTCCTTCCGAACAGCAGTACATCACCGTTAATTCTCAAGCTGTCTAGGTCGTTTGCCATTGCCGAGTCGTCTTGAAACAATGCGTTAGGTACCTTACGCAATGCATACTCACAGTTTAACACAATTTAGCGCATGTATCTAACTGCATGGTGTGTATTTGCCTACTGTAGTGACTGTGGTACCTCGCATTCAACGCCACTGCAAGCTACCAGCTAATGTATGCATACCGCCGGTGACATTGATCGGCTGCACGGGCAACACACCCACTGAATAGCCAACTTCTTCCGTGTCTAACTTTTGCAAACAAACAATTGTGTCAGGTATTCCAGACCCGTCAATCGCCGAGGCACTCTTTCCTGTAAGCAACATACTTGATGCCACATATCCTAGGCATAGTTTCGCCTCACAATACCAAGTCACTTTTGATTAGGCACGGAAGCATGCACGTCCTGCGAAATATACCCCGTCTAAGCGGTGTTCACGTGCGGAGCACCCCTACTGCCAAAAAATGAACAGCATACATGTTGACTTGTTTCTTCTAGCCTTCTATTCTCTTTTCATGTGATTCAGTAATACAAGTGGCCGAGTGATCACTTGTACAGGGAAAGCATGTAGGTAACCCGTAATCTCTACTGCGCGCGACACCCAGTACAACCCTAACCCCATTCACTCTAGGACTGGCTGTAAGAAATGCGTAGACTTCCAGCCCACCTGAGGGGAGAAAGAAAACGTTCCCTAGTTTCTTAACTCATGGAACTCATTTCGACGATGAACTGAACTCTCGAGCGGAGTATGTGCACCGTGGCGATGTTTCAATGGCCTGAAAATCGGAAGTCAAAAGGAACTCCACAGATCAATTAGATATTCGCTTCACGTTCGACAGAAATCCCTTTGCTCGTTTGCAACTTGCGACAATTATTTTCCTCTAGTGTTGGGAAGTGAAGCACATCGAGGTGCATTGTGTTGTACCCTTGTGTCGACGTGTGTTACTACTGTCTTTTTATTTTATATATATCCATGCTCCAAACAATTAAGGCCTTAAACTGTTCATGACTTACAGGGGGTAAGGGAAAAGGGGGGCTCTAGAATATCGAAAGGTTATCATTCTAATATATTTTTGAAACTGCCAACGACGTCAGCCTGAAGTCCAACAACGACAATGAACCTAGTTGGAACAGATTATATACGCAGTACGCAATATGCAAAAGAATGCGTAAAACAAAGGCCAAGGTGTTCTGCGTTCATCTGGGAGAGTAAACGAGAAGTGTTTCTAGTATGCGGTGGGACAAACCAAAGCAGATTCTCTGCAAGATGACCCGTGCAAATTGGAAGTCAGTCAAATGCGCTATTAATGTTACCCCTATCGTGTCTTGAAGAGAGAGAGAGAGAGAGAAAAGATGACCAGTTAACCACCCACTGCATATTTACGCACCAGATACTAGCATACTCTAGACCATACTCCAAGCGCAGCATTTGTCGTATGTCTCAATCTTGGTAGCGCTCATCATTGCTCTATGTAGCTGTATACAAGTAGGAGCTTCTGAATTACTAGGTACAGTCCTTTGCACTGCTCCACCAACACACTGGTCTGAATCATATAAAAGCATCACCAAAACCAACTTCTAATCTCCCACCACCTCTATCCCCGCCCTCCTCTCAAAAGCCTATGTTTTCAGCTCGAATGAATCTGAAATTTACAGGGCAACAGCCAAGCCACCAATCAACCCGGCCACGGATCCTAGAACTGCCATTCCACCTCCTCCAACTGACCCAAAGGGTACTTTGTTGTAAGCTGCGCTATCAGCACTGGCTGAAGCCGATGTTGCTGTTGCTCCTGGAACCGTTTCAGTGGAATGGTTGATTACAGTGGTGTGTGAACCAGTCGTGGCAGCGGATGTAGTTCCAGAAGTGGATGTAGTACTCGAAGTTGTACTCGTACTCGTACTCGTAGAGTCATCACCACCACCATATTCACTAGCATAAGAGCTTGCCAAACTCAGGGCACTACTAACCGCACTGCTCGCGACGCTGTTTCCGTAGGTATCGTAAGACGAAGCAAGCGACAGTGCCGAGCTGACTGCAGATGCAGCATCTGGCGGAATTGTGCTGTATTCAGATGCGTAAGAGCTGGCTAGACTGAGTGCAGAAGACACAACTCCCGTGACCGCCGGAGGAATGTCGTTGTTGTCTGGATTTGCGAGGACAGAACTTGAGCCCAGTGCGAGTAACGAAAGGAAGACGGATTGGAGCATGGTTAATGAGAAATTGTCCTTTTTTTTCTGAAAGGTTAGGTAGTGTCGGGTAGTAAGTAAGTATTGGTGATACTTCTAGCAGAGGATTGGATTTGAAATCGTGCTGAAGGTATTGACGTTTGTGAATTTTTCGTTGAAAATACGCGAGAAGGACAAATGGGCTTGCTTACTTTTATAACCAAAAATATTTCTTGCTCTATCCTAGTTTACAGAGATCTATCAAAATAAAAATAACGCAACCAATAAGCAAGGAGCGGTCTAAGTGCAGTATGCTATGGGTTATGCCGTCTCAGACTTCGGCTAGTAGACTGCTGCTGCTGATCTTTGGATAGATCATACTGGATATGATGTTGCCTGGATGATGCAAATAATTCATCTCTGCAGCCTAGTCAGATGCCAACAGTTTTCTAGACATCCCACTTGGTTTATGCTTTCTTGTCTTTGCCCTGCATTTGACTGTGTAAGTAAAATTCTGGCTGCTTTTGTTAGCAGAAAATACTAAAGTTAGAAACAAGGGTCCACTTACTCAGCCTCCCTCATGCCATGTCCTCTCGCATTTAGATTGGTTATATGCTTTCTTTCCCAGATTTTCCCTGCATCTTATAACAACAGCTTTGCTGCCGAACTTGATGGTTTCCCCTCAGCAGCACACTCTTTCCTTTCTCCCTGTTGATTCTTGTTTTCAATTAAATAAACTTATATGTGGTAGAAGATATATACGTGCTAGAAATATGTTTGGTGACGTGCCTTGGCCCAGGCTGTTTGGGCTAACATCATGAACGGACGACATAAGATGAATTACATGTAAAGAAGGGCATCGCCCGATTTATGCAAGGGGCTTCCGATAACACAATTGCGTGTGTATGGTCGGCCATCTTGCGATAAATATAATTACAAATCTATTTGTCCAGGCAACAGACAATATTCATTTTCATACTTTTTGCCTGTATGTGCATTCAGAGTGATTCATGTGCATGCGTTTATTTAAATTTCTGGCCATGATTAATTAATATCATAACCAAGCATAAAGTCGGCACCTAAAGGAGACTAACTATTTTTCTCATGATCTATGCTTTGTGCTAGCAAACATCTTGAAGTAAATGATAACTAATTGCCTCGGCATACTCACTGCTACCAAGATTCAAACATTAATAACTAAGAGTGAAGGTTGGTGTAAGCATAGGCAATTTGTTACAGATCGCTAACGTTTAGCTATCTCGAGATTTTCGTAGACACGGCACGATCTTGAATGTTTGCTGCGCCCAAGCCCCCGCTCAACCCAGTCATCCAACTCATTATGGTCGTAACATCAATCTTATATTGATGCAACGGTACGGTCGATATGAGAGCTGTTGGCAACCAGGCGCCAGGAACAACATCTAGGGTTATGTGAGTCACATGACCACAACACTGTGTTGATATACTAGCCCTAACCCTAACCGAGGTCCGATATTGAACATTGCGCCTTACTGTTAATTGGATTAATCGCCTTTGCATAACTCCAGCATTTCCCTTTTGAAATCCGTGAGCTAGATCTGGGCTCAGGGGCTCCAGGGGAAGAAGTGATCTAATTCTGACAGTTCCGGAGCTGGTACATACCTTGCGGGAAAACGAGAATCCGGCAACCGGGCGGGCTTCGCAAGCGCCGAATTCCTTTCTACTCCGCAGGAAAGACATCCGAGGGACGATTTAACGTTTGGCCACTGGGAGATCCTTCATAACTAGTGCAGTTGATAGTGCATCTACGGATATAGCTGGATCCGGCCAGAGGTGCTGCTAGTCTCACGCTGCACAGATCGCTGGCGGACCCGAGGAGGCGATGTTGATGCAATAGTGCTAAAACCTCCCAGCTCAGTGATAATGCGGGCAGAACCTTCCTTACGTTGTAGCAAGCAGAAACATTGCCATTCGCTGGAAACACGGCGCCAAGAAAAGATGTGCCTCTGCTGCGTGGATTTGCAACCGCAAACGTCACCACTCGCGAGGAATCTCGCACGTTGGCTGGAGAATGCACAATTGTTATTTGGGCCACGCTTTCCCTGTCCGGGAACCCAGCCAAGGAGCCGAGCTCTATACACGGGATTTGTTTGTTCCTTTTAGCCCGGATTCCTAGACACACATTCATTCCCCTTCCAGGGCCCTTGATGACTGTTTTGATCAGAGATAAACGCCCACAGCCCCCGCGCTCTCTAATGGCAGTTCTGCTTCCTTGGACATCCCTGGCAAAATGACTTCTGAAAAGCCCGGGCCAGAGAGCTCTTCAAAGGCGCCGGACGACGCCTTTGCGTCACCCTCCTCGCCAAAAGACGGCCCTCTGGATGGAATCTCGAAAGAAAATGCTGCGAGTTCGGAAGATGATTCCTCTAGCGACGATTACTTCTCGGGAACCTTTGAGCCTGTTCGTCCAGGCGATCGTGAGCAGTTGACCAAGATTGCATCGACAGTCTCGTCTCGACGCCCGAGCACTTTTGGCCGCCGCGAAAGTACCGCTATCATCCGCATGGATACAGTCGACGAATTGGCCCTTGAAGACCCGCGACTTGAACCCGCAAATACACAGTTCGATGCCTATCTATGGACGAGAAAGAGACTGCGCCTGCTACAACAAGAAGGAGTGCGCTTTCCTAGGGCGAGTATCACTTTCAAGAATCTCAATGTGTCCGGCTCTGGTGAGGCATTGCAATTACAGAATACCGTCGGCTCCGTCCTCACAGCTCCATTGAGACCCAGCAACTTCCTTAGCTTCGCTAAGCACAAGCAGCATAAGACAATTCTGCGAAATTTCGAGGGTGTTGTCAAAGGTGGTGAGTTACTGATGGTTCTCGGACGACCCGGCAGTGGCTGCTCTACATTTCTGAAGACGTTGACCGGAGAACTGCACGGCCTCGATCTCGACAAAAATTCGACGATTCATTATAATGGTGTTCCTATGGGCAAGATGCATACCGAGTTCAAGGGAGAAGTGTTATATAACCAAGAAGTTGACAAACACTTTCCACATCTTACAGTTGGCCAAACCCTGGAGTTTGCGGCAATGGCACGGGCTCCAGCTCATCGCATCCAAGGCCAATCTCGGGACGACTACGTTAGAGAAACCACTCAGGTGGTAATGGCGGTCTTTGGGCTCTCGCATACATACAATACTATTGTTGGGAACGATTACGTACGTGGGGTCTCTGGAGGCGAACGAAAGCGCGTCAGTATAGCGGAAATGGCTCTTGCGAGAGCTCCAATTGCTGCCTGGGATAACAGTACCCGAGGACTGGACGCAGCAAGCGCGCTAGAGTTTGTGAAGGCGCTACGAATGGCTTCAAATGTCTCCGGTAGTTGCCATAGCGTTGCTATTTACCAAGCATCGCAAGCAATCTATGACGTGTTTGACAAAGTCATCGTGCTGTATGAGGGACGAGAAATCTATTTCGGTCCATGCAATAAGGCTGAGAAGTACTTTGTAGAGATGGGATGGTCCAAGCCTTCTCGGCAAACAACCGGAGATTTCCTGACATCAGTCACTAACCCACAGGAGCGTCAAGCCCGTGAAGGTATGGAGCAAAGGGTTCCTCGGACTCCCGATGAATTTGAAGTATACTGGAAAAATAGCTCGGAGCGTGCAGCGCTTATGCAGGAAATTAGTGACCACGAGAGAAATTTCCCAGTTGGCGGCGTTGCAGAACAAGAATTGGCGGAAAACAAGCACGAACAGCAGGCAAAGCATGTCAGGCCCCAAAGTCCGTATCTTTTGTCTGTTCCAATGCAAGTCCGACTCTGTACCAAGAGAGCTTATCAAAGGTAAACTATGACTCTGCTCCATTTATTCACTAGTGACATGCTTGCTAAGTATATATATATGAAACTCAGACTGTTGAACGATAAGGCTACCACGCTGACGACCGTTATTGGGCGATTGTTCATGGCTTTAATCATTGGGTCAATCTACTATGGGTACGTGCTAGCATCATGCGTGAAGTTTTGTTGCAGGTCTCCAGGCTAACTATGTTTTTGTTTCATTCAGCACTCCTGCTGCAACGGCAGGCTTCCAAAGTAAAGGCGCTGCTCTGTTTTTCGCAGTTTTGTAAGGAGCAAACTTCCGTTACTTGGAGGAGATTGCTAACGTATGTACGATAGACTGAATGCGCTCATCAGTATCACGGAAATTAACTCGCTATATGATCAACGTCCGATTATTGAGAAACAGGCCTCGTATGCTTTTGTTCATCCGTTTGCTGAAGCTATGGGCAGTATCGTCGCCGACTTGCCGATTAAATTTGTAGCATCGGCCACGTTCAATATTGTGTTATATTTTCTCGCAGGTCTGGTAAGTTGACGAGGCGGTCGGAGCTTTATTATCTTGATATGCATGCTGACTTTTGTAGCGTTATGAACCATCTCAATTTTTTATCTTCTTCCTGTTCACGTTTTTTGCAACCCTAGCCATGTCTTCCATTTTCAGGACACTAGCCGCTTCAACAAAGAGTTTGGCACAGGCCATGGCTTTGGCTGGTGTCATGGTGTTGGCTATTGTTATTTACACGGGCTTCGTGATTCCAGGTCCCCAGATGCACCCCTGGTTTTCCTGGATTCGCTGGATTAACCCCGTCTACTACACATTCGAGGCTCTTATCGCCAACGAATTTCATGGTCGGGAATTTCCCTGTTCAACCTTTATACCCTCGTATCCAGATATGTCGGGCGATACATTCGTGTGCTCTGTTGCTAGTTCGGTGACTGGCCGGCGAACGGTATCTGGTGATAGATATATTGCCTCTCAATACAATTACACCTACTCCCATGAGTGGCGGAATTTCGGAATTCTCATAGCGTTCTGGCTATTCTTCATGGGAACTTATTTCATGTTCACGGAACTCAATTCTGCAACTTCATCAACTGCCGAGTTTCTGGTGTTCCGTCGCGGTCGTGTGCCAGCATATTTGACGAAAAGTGAAAATGAACCCGAAAATGGCACCGTTGAGGCACCAGCAAACAGCTCAGAAGTACAGGAAGAAGAAGAACTTGGCATCCTTCCGGAGCAGCACGACATCTTTACGTGGCGAAATGTCTGCTATGATATTCCCGTAAAAGGAGGTCAGCGTAGGCTTCTGGACAATGTATCTGGTTGGGTTAAACCAGGAACATTAACGGCCCTTATGGGGGTATCAGGAGCTGGAAAAACAACCCTTCTTGATGTTCTCGCGCAGCGCGTGTCCATTGGTGTGGTAACTGGGGATATGTTTGTCAACGGTAAGCCCTTGGATGCTAGTTTCCAACGCAAAACAGGATACGTGCAACAACAGGATCTTCACCTCGAAACCAGTACTGTGAGAGAGGCCCTGCGATTTAGCGCAGCTTTGAGGCAACCTAAAAGCACTCCCATGGCTGAGAAGTACGCATACGTTGAGGATGTAATCAAAATGCTCAATATGGAAAACTTTGCGGAGGCTGTTGTTGGGACACCCGGCGAGGGTCTCAATGTTGAGCAGCGGAAACTTTTGACTATTGGCGTTGAATTGGCCGCTAAACCGGCATTATTGTTGTTCTTGGATGAGCCTACTAGTGGTCTAGATTCTCAGAGTTCATGGTCTATTTGCGCCTTTTTGCGCAAGTTGGCAGACCATGGCCAGGCTGTCCTTTCAACTATCCATCAACCAAGTGCCATTCTTTTCCAACAATTCGACAAGCTGCTTTTTTTGGCGAAGGGTGGAAGGACTGTTTACTTTGGAGACATTGGCAAAGACTCGACTACCTTACTTGAATACTTCGAAAGAAACGGTGCACGAAAGTGCGATTCTGCCGAGAATGTGAGAGATGCTCCCCCTTTTTTTTTATCCGGTCTCTTATTTGCATAATGACTACTAACTAATGGACTTTTCTATAGCCCGCTGAATATATGCTAGAAATCATAGGTGCAGGTGCCAGCGGAAAATCGACTCAAGATTGGCCTACTGTTTGGCGAGAGTCTCAGGAAGCGAAAGACGTCCAGACTGAGATCGATGAAATCCATGCACGTCGCTCGCCCACCGCTGTAGAAGGCTCTGGCGCAGAACCAAACAGCTCCAAAAGTGTGGTTAACGAGGACACCGAGTTCGCGATGCCATTCAAAGACCAACTTTGGTTTGTCATTGTTCGAGTCTTTCAACAGTATTGGCGCGATCCTCAGTACATATTTGCGAAGTTGCTGCTGGGTCTAGCATCGTCTCTGTTCATCGGATTTTCCTTCTTCAAACCGAACAGTAGCGTGCAAGGTTTTCAGGACGTCCTCTTCAGCACATTCATGATGACATCTATCTTTTCAACCCTTGTGCAGCAGTAAGTCCTCAGTTTCTCCGTCTCGATTTCTTACACTAGATTGCTAAAGCATTATCTGTTATAAAACAGGATCATGCCCCGTTTTGTTAGCCAAAGGTCTCTTTACGAAGTTCGCGAACGCCCATCCAAGGCCTACTCCTGGGCGGCCTTTCTCATTGCAAACGTCGTGGCAGAGATACCATACCAAGTTTTACTGGGGATTCTCGTCTGGGCATGCTACTACTTCCCCATTTATGGTGCGAATCAAACGGGCGAACAGAAAGGCTTAATGCTGCTTTTTGTGATCCAGTTTTTCTTGTTTGCATCCACTTTCGCAGATTTGGTCATATCAGCAATGCCAAATGCTCAAATGGCGGGTACTATCGCGACGTTTGCCTTCTCTCTTACCCTGAGTTTCAACGGTGTCATGCAGCCGCCAAGTGCATTGCCTGGCTTCTGGATATTCATGTATCGTGTCTCTCCTCTCACATACCTTGTCGCAGGTATGACTGGCAACGGTCTCGATGGCCGACCCGTTGAATGCTCATCCTCAGAGCTAAGCGTCTTTAATCCTCCTTCTGGCATGACATGCGCTTCATATCTGCAACAATATCTCGAAGTTGCTCCCGGACGACTATATAACAATGACGCTACAAGTAATTGTCAATACTGCGCGTTGCAGAGTGCAAATCAAGTCCTGGCTAACAGTAATATCTGTAAGTTTCCCCCTCCCCCGTCTTTAACAGCCCTTAATGGCTTCTTCCAGTGTGGATGGAACAAATTATCGATACTAACATCAAATAGATCCAAGTCAACGGTGGCGCAACTGGGGAATTGGATGGGCATACATTGGCTTCAATATCTTCGGAGCCGTTGCTCTCTACTACGCATTTCGCGTACAGCATTACAACCCTACTTCAATCGTGAGAGGAGTGTGTGATATCGGACGCTTCGTCGGACGGATTTTCAGCAGAAAGTCAGAGGGCCCGAAAGGTCGAAAAGCACAGGATGGCCGTATCTTATAGATCTATTCTGTTCTGAAAACATTCATTTTCTTCAGTTTTCTTCTGTCTTTCCTTTCGTTTCTTGCATGTCAATATTTCTCTTATAATTTGCATTCATTATATATTCCCTTTTAATAAGCTGTGTCTCGTTTCCTCCTCTTATATGTCAATATTTCTTTTCACTTTTATTCGTGAGATATTCCGCTGGCGTGGAACAGAAGGACTTCTGATGTGTTGATTGTATATTCGCATTGATATATGGAAATTTACTTACTGAATCATACTACGGGAGAACTTCTAGCCCTTGCGTTATTGCAAGCTAAATCCTGAGAGCAAGCATAGTATAGTTCAAGATACAGTGTACCTATTTAAAAATTAAGAGAGGGATGACAACAACTGAGGTCGGCTATCTTTGTACGTTGGTCGACTATTCAAGGGGGGAGGCACGGGGCTACTAGAAATGCCGCAATATGAAATCTACATAGTATCTGCGTTAGGCGACGGTATAGCACTTGATTACATGCTCCACTATTGATTATCTGCCTAACATCTACCAGATGCAGTCATTGGACTTTTCGCTCGTACACATCTACAGGCCAACCTTCAGCCCCTGTATTGGATTTGCTAGAAAGAAAATGATTACGTATAAAAAATGTTAGATCCTTCGTATCTACCACATTATTTCCGTCTATATGGTTCTTTTTACGAAACAGGATTAGGCTTCACCCGCAGACACATTTAAATGTTTGCAGTCTCTCAGCATCCCAGAGATATGGTCTAGTAGTCCCAAGGATCCCAAGTGCTTGCGCATTGGTCTAAAAAATTGAGAGGTATGTTGTTGACCATGGTCCACTTACAGACCATTATCACAGATAGTCCGAAGCTCTTTGCAGATCCTGATTCTATCATCTTCTTCCATTGTATCCTAGGCGCTCTCTAGAGTTTGTCCAGGGATATATTGCATATAGATGAAGTTCTCATCTCCTTGTGTTCTCCATCCATAAACCTCAGGAACGGGGACCCCATCATCAAGGACATGATGGATAGCGTATAGAGTCTGTGCCTCGGAAATTCGCGCAAGTACCCCCCACCAACTTGACTAACAGATTCATTTCTTTAAATAAAACAGGTGGTGGGCTCATATAAGGCCCCGAGACTGAGAGCTTCTTCCTTCTAGCTATATATATTCCAGAAATATGCTGGGAATAGGATTGGGCACGAACCTCTTCTGGTGAAGGTATTTGTCCCACGTCTTGAAGAAAGATGAGTTTTTAACGTCAAAGTCCGAGGAGCGGGGGGATCATAGCTGGGGTTAACCGAACAGATTCTTGCCCCTGCTTGCTGGTAGAAATAGCGCTAGACATAATTTTTCATTGAGATTGAAGCCGAGGAAACGAGAAGGATCAGTAGAGGGAATGCCCATGTTGAATGTCTAAGATAAGACAAGACAATCAACCACACTAGGTACGAAACGGTTAGTACACAACAGTAACTATTAACTAGTTCCATATCTAGTATAGTTGCCGTCTGCCAAGCTACTAATCAGCAATGTATCCCCTGTTCGAACTAGCGTCATTGGCTCTCGGCCAGTTAATTGGCTAGGAAGCTTAGCAAAACTAGCGGATAACCGTTCTCAGATGGGATGCCAAGACGCTAATGATTCTATCTATACATGAAAGAATACATCCGGGTAAACCATTCTTCCAGATTGCGTAGTTAACTGGTCTTTTCTGGCCACTCCTTGATCGTACTCAGCATGAAATCTCCCTTGAAATTGAGCTCAATTGCATAACGTTGATCGCGGGTTTGGCATGATATTAGGGTTAATCACAGAGTAGATTAACCTGAGAGCAAATATAAGCGGAAACCGACGAAAGAACCTCGGATGCGTGTGATAACTAAAGTGTGTCCTGACCGCCTCCGACTTCCCCGAGTATTCTACCGGCGGCGACAAATAAACATCCAACGTCCAACTACGCAACCCTCAACTCCGCATCAATTGCTTCCTTTCTGTCGAATTTCGAGTCTTAACGATTCGATATATTAGATCCGGTGTATCTGATACAATGCCACCAAAACCCGTCAAGGGCGAATATATTGAGACCGTTCGTTACTTCCTATCAATGCAATTCCGACTCAATTCCAATGGCAATAAATAACACGTCAAGCTATCAATTAGGACACCGGCAATAAAATCTCACGTCGCTCACTCATCCACGGTACACAACATATCATTCTTGGTGGTAAAACCGTCATCCAGGCCGAAGCCGTGATTCGCGGCGACCTCTTCCGCGTTCAACAGCCAAGTCAGCAAAACGATGATGCTGGCCCAACTTCCTCATCATCAACAAATATCCCCCCCTCGGTCGCAATCACGGTGGGAAGATATACGTACATCTCAAAGGCTGCAATACTTAGACCTCCATCACGCTTGCACCGCGGTATTCACTCGTTCTACCCGCTCAAGATAGGTGATCACGTCTTCGTCGGCGAGCGGTCGGTCGTTGAAGCCGCCCAGGTTGGGAATCATGTGCATATCGGCAATGATGTGGTTGTGGGCAATATGGTGATTTTGAAGGATTTTGCTTATGTTCTCGATGGAGCCGTGGTGCCGCCCGCGATGGTTGTGCCTAGCTTTTGCGTGGTTGGTGGTAGGCCTGCTAGAATTGTTGGTGAGGTTGGTGAAGGGTATGGAGTAGAAGGGGCTGAGGGTGGTTTGGCAAGGGAGAGGTATAGATTGGTTGGCCGGTAGTCCGGTGTCGTCTTGTGTTCTGTTTCAGATATTGCCTAATTACTTGATACCCCTGCTGTTAGTTTTTTACACGTTGCGAAGGAATGATCGCGTATTTTATCTAGCGGTTATTATATATACCGTCGAACAAGTTGTATGCATGTTCACACTATTTTATCCCATTTTCTCGACTTTAACGGCCCTCTTCAACCTATTCTCGCCCTTCTCATAAGGCACACCCGCCTCTTTCCTAGCAATATCATTGATCCATTCCTCGTTGGGCTTCACACTCTTGCCAGCAGTCAGCTGTGAAGCGAGATACAGCCAGCACAACGCATTTCCTACAGTGGTGACTTCATCGCTGACTGTCTCCAAGGCTGCCTGGCTCATGCGGTCATACAACTCGGCGTCGGTGCAAAGGTCATACAGATGCTGTGCAACAGCGTCTGCATCGCCAATTTCAACCAAAAACCCATTCTTGTGGTCTTGCACTTGTAGTGGTATTCCGCCCGCCCTACTTGCAATGACAGGCTTGCCCCTGTGGATCGCCTCGGATACTTTCACTTCAAAGCCTTCTCGGGTAGAGAGCTGCAAGGCAATTTTTGCCTTGGAAAGAAGAGCATTGAGCATTTGGTCTGACGGTCCCAGACGTATAATGCTGACGAAGTCTGACAAATGGGAAAGGTGGTCTTTCAAATAAGAAAACGCGACGTCATAAATTGCATTCCCATCAGGATCGTCAACAGATCCATGACCGCATATCAAAAGCTTGGGTGGCTGGATATGAATTGCGTTTTGTTTGATGAGCTCATAAAACTTCGCATATGCCTTGAGGGCATCGATTATCCCTTTGGATGGATCAAAGCGCGCGACTTGAATGATATATTCATCTGTGACTCGTCAGTATTTTCAACTATGGTCAATTAACCTTCAACAATAGAGGTCGTCATACCATCTGGATAATTGATAGTCGCTGTGTGGCTGTGGCGGCAGAGTGTATTAAAGTTGCGCCCATATGAGGCTATATCCCAATTACGCATAGTCTTGTTAAGACCATCAAGCCTTCGAGGAGGTGCAAGTTAGACCCATCTCTCACGCGCCTGAATACAGAATTCAATGGGACTCACCAATCTGTAGTAGCAGGCATATAGCCTACTATTTCCTTAGGTACGGTTGCCGGGACAAAGGCGTCTACTGGATGGCTGATGAAGATGTCCGCTAATTTGATGTGATCCCACAACCATCGCCATGCTTCGAATTGTGGGGTGCCAGGTTTTTCTACAAGATCACTTCGAATTTGGATATGACTGCGGAATATCACTGGCCTGTCCGGCGCTGACTTCTTCGCTATGGGGATGAGGGAAGGCATTTGAGGGTCGTCCACAACGACAAGATCAGCGCCCCCTTCCGATGGTGACTGCAAAGGACCACCCGATGACAGCCAATATCTGTTGGCATTGTCTTGCAACCAATCTTCCATGAGTTGTTGATGGTCGCTAGTAAACCGCTCTTCTGGAGCAGATACGCCTTGCAGTATGTTGTGGTTCGTCTTGGTAATACGAAATACTCCAGGACGCGGCTTGGGAACATACCTATAAAGAACATTAGCTTCATGTGAAAAGACAGATGAGAATTTGGGTTGAAATGAAGAGAGGCAAGCATAGCAAATACATACCACTTGATGTCGACACCTAATGTCCGCGCAAACCGAACAAGAGCGTGCCGCATGAGAGCAACGCCTCCGCCCTGAGGTGTTGCACTAAAGAAAGCGATCTTAATGTTGCGCTCCTTGATTTCTGCAGCATAATGATGTATAGCCCTCCAGGTGGTAGGTCCAACGGTGGGTTGGTAATCACTCAACGAAGCCATACGAATGCGGAATGCGCAATCAACTTCCACTAACCCCTGGAAGCCGACGTCCAAGATTGGATTGTTACTTGGGCCGAAAAATCTACATCATCTTAGCGTCGACTGCGATGGCATTTTGTGTAAATATATCAGACCCACCTCACACATCTTCGAGACATCGCTTCGGCAAGTTCATCGATAGATTTAGTGTCCCACTTGGTGGGATCTGTATACTGAGAGGAAGCAAAAAGCGGAACACCTTCAGGAAATGCTATGGGTACTATGTCCAACTCATGCCACAAGCGTGAGCACAGTTCGGGGTAACGAGTTGCGACATCTTCAGGCATTCCTATCCCCGTAAAGCGTTCGTCATGTTCTTCGCTATATTCCCGAAGCCGGGCAATAATGAAGTCGGCCACTTCTTTATTCGTGAGCTGTTGGTCGAGCTGAGTTCCAAAATGTTGCTCATAGAAGTCTAACAGATACGTAGTATCGCGAATGGCAATGGCGACGACCGCTGCTGCTTTTTCATTGACAAACTGCAGCGAGACGCCGGCATAGAGCGTCTTATTCAAACATTATTAGCCGACAGTTGATTGATTGAATCGTGCTGAAAACTAACATTTAATGGAGGGCCGGCCCACGCGCATCTCTCGGTATCACAGCGGTTGAGATCCTTTTGGATCGCTGATCCGCGACGCTGGAATTTGTGTATGGCTTGGATCGCGGAAAACATTGCGGCCGCAGTGACACTGTTTAGGATGGTTCCTCAGACAAAGCTCTGTATGCTTGACTGGTACCATTCTTTAAGTAGCCGAACGACTCCGGATGACACTCCCATGACGTATACGTCGAGGCACCGAGGTAAACAAGGATATCATTTAGGTCTGCTAACAGGATCATCGAGGAAAAGACATCCTGTTTTAATGCATATCATGTCGACGATCCTCATTGTGATGCTCAGCTCATATTGGAGGACCAACGCAGCCCGCGTTGCTTGCGGTGAACCGTCGGCGATAGTTGGATTCAGCTGCGCAGACAGCGTCCCCTGGTGAGTCTGGGTGATCCATTAAGCATTCTCTGAGCTCGATAAACTGGCACCTTTAGCCCCTATTCTTCCCTTCATCATGCAACACAAGGCACAAGGAAAAACAAAAGCTCAGCGATGAGGTGAAGACGTCTGGGGAAGGCGCTATAGCCTATAGGTATACCCAGACTTGACCAGGAACGGCTAGCGTGGCACTAGCGCGAGCAAATCAGATGATTCACGATTGCCCGCAGCAAGTGCCAGCACGGGCTAGCGCCCAGCTTGGCCTAGCGTGAAACAATCAAGCGCTGCGCTAGGCCCGCCACGGCGTTTAGTGAACCTCAGGCCATCATTGCAGCCCCTTTTACGCTCCGTCTGTTTTGGGAGTCCATACATAAATCAGCACAAACAACAACTTGTTGTGACGCCGCGCTACCTCGATACCCCGGCGTCTGCTGTCCAGTCCTCAGCTCACGTCCGCATCCTCTCCATTCGCCGTCTCTCTGCTCCTTCTGTCCTTGCCGGCCTCTATCCGTAAGTAGGGGCGACCAAGTAAGTCTGCGCGTGCATCAGCAATTGCTTTCTGTTTCGTCGCTGTCTCCTTGCGCTTTCTCACATTCAGGTGCGCAACACTCGCTAAACGCAACTGCGCGCTTCTTAGCAGCCAGGTATTGGTTCCTACTCCGAGTGCCAGAACGAACGACATCAACCCATTGCACCCCCTGCTGAGACGCCAACAGAGCCTATCGTTGACCCCGCCTGCAAGCACGATTCTATCATGGGTGGTTCTGTATCTAAATTGATGGGCAAGATCTTCGGATCAAAGGAGATGCGTATTCTCATGCTGGGTCTGGATGCGGCAGGAAAGACCAGTGAGTTCTTGCCATTGGATATGACAAGCGATGGAAGTGCTGATAATGGTGTCCAAAGCCATTCTGTATAAATTGAAACTCAACCAGGACGTCACCACTATTCCCACCGTCGGTTTCAACGTCGAGAGCGTCACCTACAAAAATGTCAAATTCAATGTCTGGGACGTCGGTGGACAGGACAAGATTCGCCCACTCTGGCGGCATTATTATTCCGGTATGCTGTGCATGTGATGCGGAGAATGCGTACAGACAGAATCACTCACACTTTGGCAGGCACCCAAGGTCTCATCTTCGTCGTCGACTCGGGCGATACTCGCCGTCTCAACGAGGCTCGTTCCGAATTGCACAAAATCATCAATGACCGTGAAATGAAAGATGCTTTGCTGCTGGTGTTTGCCAACAAGCAAGATATCGAGGGCCGTAAGTGTCTTCTGTGATGTCTCGAAAGACGTTTCGTCTGTTTTCTAACCACTCGATTCTGTGCATGTAGATCTCAGCCCGGAAGAAATCACCAACGCCCTACAACTCAACAAGCTCAAGGATCGCCTCTGGTATGTTGTGCCCAGTGTTGCCACTGAAGGCACTGGTATCTTCGAGGGGCTGGTAAGTTTCATCACGGTATCCGTCTATACGCGTTAGATGCTAACAACCTCATTCAGGCATGGCTTTCCAATAACGTGAAAACCCCGGCTCCCGCGAAATAAGGATTGTCTCTCGGAAACTGTACAACACCTGAATAGTCGTCGCCCTTCCTTTTCGATTCAGATATTTAATGACCACGCCGCATCCCAATATTTGTTCTTTGTGTCTTTGCCGCTTTGTGTATGCTCTGCATATTGCCGTTTTGGCTTTTATGATATCCCTGTTGTATTTCCCCCAATAAACTTGTCCATTTGGCTGCATTTGCTCTGTCTCTCTTATACAATTAATTCTCCTTTGTACGCCTTTTTCTTTCCCATGATGTTTTTCTCTGCTTCAAAAGAATTAATATGTAGCTTTTTATGTGTATAGAGCGAAGCACACTTTTGGAATATGAAAACCATCTATCCTTTCATGGACCTTTGACGATTCGCTTGGAAGAAGCTGAAAACGCTGTTGTGCGTCACGTCGCATCATCGGAATTCAAATCCATCAGGGCCATGCGGTACGGAACTCTGTTCCTCTCGCATCACCTACCAACATCACCATGCAGATAGACCATCGTCTCACTTCACTTTGCGACCTCGAGGCGAATTCGATGATGCAAGGGAGACTTCAACGATGGCGACGGATTGCATTGTTATCTATTCTCTACGGAGAGGACTTCAATTCCGAAGTGATATCAGCATCTACTCGTTTCTATAGCCGTTTGCCACAGTCGCGAGCATTATAAGAATGGCGTCCTTTTTTTTTTTCCACAGGAATTCTATTCCACACGGGAAGTCATCATCGAGATTCTACTCTTAACTGCCTACTTCTTCTCTTCTCACTGCACTGCACTGCAAACCGCCTCTAACCGAAGCCTTGCTTTGTGAATAAATACAAGTCTCTTAAGACAATGCCTCAATACAAAGTTAATGATCAGGTTCGCTACAAGCCTGTCGGTGGTACGTTGTCTGTTCTTTTGCAATCTTAGGGTGTTCGGTCATATTGGATCTGATACATGTATAATACAGGCCCTCAGAGCAACACATCGGAAACCACCGGCGTCATAAAGGAAGTGCTCACGGCATCCGGAAATTTGACAGGTCGTCAAGTCCACGCATCTCCTCAATCTCCACGCTATGAGGTTTGTGTCCCCTTTCCCACCTCTCAAAACACACCCAAGAGGGTTAACAGATAAGAAACAGGTCGAAAATGACCACACCCACAAACGGACCGCGATCAAGGAAGCCAACATTATTGAATACTGTTCCTGATCTTGCTCGTCCACGGCCCACGTTCTATTCCGGATGGACTTGGGCAACATGGATGTCGCCGGCTAGAGGCGAGGAAGAGACGTATGACCATGATGAGAAGGCGAGGTACCTCTGTGTGGAGAGTAATGATTTGACCATGTTGGAGTTGGAGACTTGTCTGTGTGTTGAGAGTGAATGCGGTGGAGGGCTAGGTGAAGGTGATCTCTGACGCGAACCTATATAATAGTTAATGTGTATGATATAGATGGAGCCGGTAGATTCAACATGGAACTTGGCAGAAATCCGATCTCTCGTACATTTTTTATATTATGAATGGCTTATTACTACACAACACAGTATGTACGCTTGAGATGCTATCTAGAAAATAACTTGCATAGCAAGTTTTGAAATTCAAGGCTCATTAGGCCAAAGGTCGTCGGCAATTTCGCGCACAAGCTTGAGCTTCTTGAACATGCCCTCGCGACTGATTGCATTGCCGCCGTGGTGGCTCGCGAAACCACACTGGGGGCTCACACCGCACTGTTTCAAGGCTTCCTGCACAGAGATATTGTTACCAGCAGCAATGAACTCTGCAGCTTGCAAGATGCGTTTTTTCGCCTCTTCCTTGTCCTCCATGGTGTCGAATTTGGAGGTAAGAACGCCGAGGATGACATTCTTGTTCGGCGGCAGTTCTTTCAGTGGCTCGAATCCGCCTGCTCGAGGGGTGTCGTATTCAAGGTAGTACGTATCGACATTGAGTTCCTTAAACAGCTTGACGGCTATGCGGTCGTAACCACCCTCTGAAAAGTGGCGGGAGTTGTGGAAGTTTCCACGGCACAGGTGGACGCCGACATGCAAGTCAGCCGGGCGTTTTGAGATACAGTCGTTGTAGAGCTTGATGTACTTGTCGAGAAGTTCCTCAGTAGTGCCCTTGTTCAGTGGATCGGCGTTCCAGCCCTCAATCATTTTCTCGGAGCAGAAGTCTAGTCGTGTCAGTCAGTCAGTCAGTCAGCCTTCCTACTTGAAGATGAGGAAAAGATCCCTCAGTAATAGGCATGCTTACACGCAAGATTAGGGTCATCGTATTGCACATTCCTACACCCTGCATCATACAATACCTGCAGCTCGGCCTGGTACGCCTTGGCAATATCGCCAAAGTACTCGTCATCGGAGGTGTATGCATCCTTCGAATAAGCATAGCCCTCCTTGTACCGCATGTGGTACCAATTAGGCGCAGCAAGGGTGATCTTGATATTCTTGACCTCTTCCGGTTTCACCAAACCAGTCAAGAACTTGAAGTCATCCACATAGCTGCTGCCCTTGTGCTTGATCTTGCCCGTGCAAATCACGGTTTCGCCAGGCTCGACTTCTTCCTCTGCGAAAGCGGCAATATCAGGCATGTAAAGACGGAACATGTTCGGGTCAGGCTTTGGCAGCTGTGTGAAGCCTTCAAGGCTGGGGAAGAAAGAGCCCCAGAACACTGAAATCAATCAGTCAGTCGGTTGACTTCAGAAATTCCGAATCTTGCTCCGGAAAGGTTGGAAGGAGCACTTACTATGACGGCGATACTCCCCGTCGGTGATGGCATGGAATCCGAGCTCCTTCTGCTTAGCGACAATTTCTTTGATATCGTGATCCTCAAGCGGGACAAGTTCTTCTCTGGCAATTTTCCCTTCGCTCAGTTCGTCGCGCTTCTGGATCAAAGCGTCTGAACGGAGCAGAGAGCCCAGTTGCTCAGCGCGAAACGGAGGGTTCTGGTGCCGGGCCATTTTTTTTTTTTCTTTTTCCCTAGAGAAGCTAACTACTATTGACAGTTTCGAAAGGAAGAGGAAGAATGTTGCTAGATGAGGCAAAAGAGGAGAGACAGTTTCCACTGTTGTTGAGGGGGGGAATTATTTAGCGCTATCTAATCGTAAGTATTTATCTGCCATGATGCGGGGTTTTCTATCCAAGGATTAATGCCTACTACACCAATAGTCTCTACCAGCTTTGTTTCGGCCTATTTTGTTTGACTATGCAACATTCTTTTTTCTCGCGTGCTTTCTTGTACATATCATCTATGTAGTTGCTCCTTTCGCTGACAGATGCATCTTCGCCTATCATAAGACATGAGCATTTGCTCTTGAAGTTCTTAGGGACTTTGACGGGCAGGTAGGCTTGCGGAGGTAAGAAAACAAGTAATGGAATATGCTCTGAGCAGCGAATGTCCATGAAGGCTATGATGGGGGATTACTGTATAAGGACGCTCATTTACCATGTATTCAGTTTTCTTCTATCGTCTTGAATTCACCGTGTTAAGCAACCCTTAACTGTAATAACTTGAGTATATGATCTTCTATCGATCAGGATATTCAGACTCTTTCGCGTACCACTCTACTTCACTTAAACGCTTGCCACCAGAGGATACAGTATGGTAGCTTGTTCTACCATTACAGTGGTTTCAGGGGACTCATGTGCCTCATTGGCGACTAGATGCGTATCACTACTGCCCATTTCTATGCTTATAATCCCCAGGCAGGCCTGTGCTCTACTTTGGCGAGAGGTCCATTGATCTGTTGCACAGCTGGTTCGCTACCAATAACACGCCATCGCCTAACACGTTTCTCGTTCAACCCGGAGGCTATTACTCAGCTCTCGCTGACAGTTATTAATGTATGGTTGATAAGAAATGAAATCGCATAATGATGATACCAGGGGATGGCTTAGTTATGACCTAGACACACCATAGATAATCTGTTTAAATTCCGCGCCAATCAAAACGAGCTAGATTATAAAACAGATAAAAATTTCATCATGAAGCTGTATACTGACTGCTTTATTAAACGAACCACAGCATACAGCAATCAGAATACAGTCCAACTCTACCCTTGTTGTCTTCTTGCGTTAACGAAGCTGCCATCTACAGAAGAATTCCTAATCTGGGAAAAAGAAGATAAAAAGACTCACCAATATTCCAACGCTGTCATTGCACTTAATGATCACCCAACTGATATGCTGATTGATTGTTCATATTAACATGCCGATGGTCAGTCCTATATACGCGGGCCACAAAGTATACGTCGCGTATCTCTCGAATGCGGAACGAGGCGTCCGTAAATACACCCATAACAAGCCGACGTTTGCTGCCACAATCCCGCAGATGAGTGAATTATTTCGTTGGATAGTTGAGACATCGCTTAGGTGTGAAAGCCACCAAAATAAGCCAATTGACCAGATACTGATGACAGCGACGCAAAGAATAATCGTCATTGCAGTAAAGAATTCTAACTCCTGCGCTGTGCGATTCCTGATGGGTTTGAGAACTCTGAGGCGAGAAACGCATGGACGGTTGATGTTGAGAAGCACATCATGGCCAGGCCAATAATGGCCTGTCCAAGATGTTCTTGGTATGTCCGATAATCACTTTCGTTGTTCATCGCTCATCAGCAAATACTGAAGACGAGGGGAGGCTGTCTCAGTGAGATCACATGTTGGATTCGATAGCCGTATAAGTATCCAGTTATGCACAGACTAGCAGTACTAATGCAAAATTAATGCAAATACAGATATCACGTGAAAATATTAAAGGCTGGGATGAAAGGTCGAGGTACACCCCTCTGCATAAACTGGGCGATATAATGTGTAGTCTAAAAGAGAGGTCGACAGCCATGTTCTGCAGATCGAGATGCGACCGACGTCTTCAGACATCGGAAGTCGATACAAGTCGTCCATGGGAAGATAGGGCTTGTACGGCGACATTCCAACTCACCTCCCTACAAGTCGACGGCGTCTATCGATCCACGAGCACAAGGATATTCCGTTCACACGAGACCGAATCTTCAGCACTCAATACTCATTTGCCTCTCCGTTCTTCAATTCGGCAATTTTGACTTGGAAAGCGGATGGAGCCGTTGTCGGGTAATTATATGCTGACGGACGATGGAAGGGGGATTGTCCTGGCGCGCTTCAGAAATAAGCTGTTCAGTATCACGGAAGTCGGCATGTTGGAGCTCACGGAGAACTTTTGAGTCGGATTTCGAAGATGAAGTGGTCCTATCTGCATTGGCAAGGCTAGTCATGTTACAGAGTTTTCGACTGGGCATGATGGTTATGGTTTGAGCTAACAAAACTCTCACAGCTAACTACGATGTTGAACCTTCAGATCTAAAGGAAACATTATCGTCCCATCATGTACGTATGTCAATAGTTTGTTTGTTTGTATGTCATGTGTATGAGATTGCGTATGATTCATTCTCAATTTGTGCAACTAGTAAGAGAGAAAAGAACAAAAATCACTTATTCATAGCTTAGCAGCATTCCCCGGCGACGAAATCTCATTATACAACAGCGAGGTCAAAAAGTCCGCATAGTCTTCACCCGTGACCTGGGTCGCGAAATATCTGGCTGCAAGTTGGTATTTGTTGCCCTTGGGCGCCTTCTGTGTCAATGACTCTGCTTGCTCCTGGAGCAGGCGTAGCGCGTATGCCTTGTCGATGCGTTTGCCCTCGGCTGTGGTGACGTTGTGTCGAACCCACTGCCACAGTTGACTACGGGATACCTCTGCCGTGGCTGCGTCTTCCTATTGGAAGTCAGTCGTTGTCATCAAATCAAAAAGGTGAGTGAATGTGAGAGTTTAGCTGAAACGAACCATAAGATAGTTGATTGGGATGCAGCCAACGCCCCGCAGCCATCCCTCCATATAGCCAAGTCCAATGTTAAGGTTCTTCCGAATACCGTCTTCGGAAATAGAACCAGGGACATTGGTGTTGAGGAGGTCGTTGGCAGTGACATTAACGTCTTCCCGGCGGTTGAATAGTTGGTTGGGTGTAGGCATGTGCTTGTTGAAGATTTCTGATGCAATGCCGGCCAATGCTGGGTGGGCTACCCAGGTGCCGTCATGCCCGGCACGCACTTCGCGGAGCTTGTCTTTACGGACGTTCTCCATGGCGACGTCGTTGGCCTTGGGGTCGTCTTTGATGGGGATTTGCGCTGCCATGCCACCCTGTTCATAAATGCTCCATTAGTCTATTGATGGGAAACAAATATGCATCCATGGATATGTGTAGAGAGATATATATATAGAGAGAGAGAGAGAGAAAAGAGAATGGGGCGTACCATTGCGTGAACTCCTCGTCGGTGGCAGGTCTTGATGAGGAGGCGAACATAAGCATCCATGAATGGAACAGTCATGGTAACCGCCGAGCGGTCGGGGAGGACAAAGTTGGCATTCTGGCGGAATTTCTTGATGAAAGAGAAGATATAGTCCCAGCGACCACAGTTAAGACCAGAGCTGTGATCTCGGAGCTCATAGATAATCTCGTCCATCTCAAAAGCAGCAGTGATGGTCTCAATCAGGACTGTGGCACGGATTGTTCCGCGTGGCAGGCCAATGTAGTCCTGCGCCAGATTGAAGGCATCGTTCCACAGTCGAGCCTCGAGATGAGACTCCATCTTGGGCAGGTAGAAATAGGGGCCGGTGCCTCGGCTAACGAGCTCGCGGGCATTGTGAAAGAAATATAGACCAAAATCGAAGAGCGAACCGGAGATGGGCTCGCCATCAACGGTGAAGTGCTTCTCCTCGAGGTGCCAGCCTCGAGCACGAGCAATCAGTGTTGGGAGAGTTCGATCTGTACGTAGTTTGTATTCCTTGTTGCCCTGTTTGAAATCGACTTGGCGGCGAATGGCATCGTAGAGGTTGACTTGACCATTGATCATGTTTTCCCAAGTTGGCGCCGATGAATCTGTACTCTCCTATATTAGTCTAGAATACAAACATGATGATATGCCAGAAGAAAAAGTAAAAGTACCCTCAAAATCAGCCATGTAAGTCCACACATCTGAATTCAGCGCATTCACCACCATCTTCCGGTCTGTCGGCCCTGTGATTTCGACACGGCGGTCGACCAGACCCGGAGCTGGAGGGGCGCCTTTCCAGGCATCGTTTTCACGGATGTGTTTTGTTTCTGGCAGGAAATCGAGCAGATGGCCCTTGTCAATCTCGGCCTGGCGAATGACCCGTCGCTCGAGAAGCGCTTTACGAGTGTTGTTGAACGTGCGGTGCAAGAGGGCCAGGAATGCCACGGCCTCTTTGGTCAGGATCTTGCGGTGCTCATTGTTGACTGTTCCGAGGATGGCCACTCCTTGGAGTTGGGTTTCGACGGTTGTCATTTTTCACTGCCTTTCTTTCTTTTCTGGCTCAGTAAAACAGATTGAGTAGAAGCAATCAGACATAGACAGCTCAGAAGAGTTTGGGAATGAGAGCGAGAGAGAAGTAGAACAACCCCAGGATCACGGCCGACTGATATACATCTACGTCAGTCATTCTCCATAGCCGCGGCTCGGATGGATGTGTGCTTGGATCAGAGCCCAGCCACCAATCAATTGGCCTTTATCTCGAGCATCAGCGATACTGATTCCTGGTTCTTGTTCCTAATTGGCTTTCTGATAGCCGTGATGGATGTTTTTTTCTGCAGGGCTCTTGGTGGTTGTTCTCGGCCGATATACGGGCGTGCGGACTAGTGCTTTTAGGGCTAGAACTTCATCTATCTAGTGTGTATACATATGCATCGCTATCGATAACGAGCTGGACGACGCGCAGTAGAGTCAATACTATCTAATCTTCTGATTGAGCTTTGAAGCCATGGCGTGTCGTGGGTATACTCAGGATCCATAGATTCTCTCCAGGATCAAATACTTTTCTCGATACAATCCAGGACTCCCCCGCAGACATAACCGCGGCAACTTGCCAGAGGCCTGTTTGCCGGCCGCGGGAAAGTCATGTGACGTGGCGGGCTTCTGCCGGCCTTCTCCGTTTGCAGAGAGCTTCCTCGGCGGCATCCGGCTTGTTTTGCCATTTGGTTGTTTATTTATTACTCGATGGCATGTGAAATCAGAATAGTTAGGATGTTATCATGCTAGTTGGTTGGTTAGTATTTCCACACAATGGCCATGCGCTGTTTTGTGCCGGTTCACATGTGGCTTTTCCCATGACATAACCACACCAAGAACCGGAATATAAATGATTATGCATGTTTGCATTGTCTGGGGACATAATGATGTATATATATATGTATATATATATATGAAATGCTGACAATATATTCATACTGTTTCAATATACCGTCGGACTTCCCTGTATCAAGCAACAAACGTGGTTGGTTAGCATCCTAAACACAACACCACCACCACCACCAAGTAGAGCGACGAACCAATCTGTAACAGCTTCCTCCCAGAGGATGACTTCATGCTCCCTCGTTCCGCTGAAATGATCAACAAACTCATCTCCAAACACCTCTCGAGCGACACTTCCCGGTCTCCGGAAAATGGCGTTTGCCTCCTTGAGTGACTTGGCTAATCGTGCCCCCTTATCACTGGCGCCGCCTGTATCTTCACCCTTACCTAGTGGAGGAACGGGGATCTCTAGTTTCTTCTCCACGCCTCTCCAGCCAGTTGCCAGAATTGCTGCCAGGACATAATGCGCGTTAGCATCTGCTCCGGGCACCCGGACCTCGAATCGTGTTGCCTTGGCGCTGGCTGTTGGTGGAGAGATCAATCGGATCGAGGCCGCTCGGTGTTCTAGGCCCCAGGACACAGTGACAGGCGCCCAGAAGTTTTCAACTAACCGTTTGTAGGAATTGATCGTGGGTGCAAAAAGCGGCATAATATCTGGTAGACCTTCCAGGAGACCTGCAAGAAAGTGTCTTCCCAAATCCGACAAGTAGGCTACTTCTGGGTACGGCGGAGATGGGTCGGCTGTATCACGCACAAACAAATTCGTACCGTCTTTTGAAACAATAGAAACATGCATATGACCGCTATTACCCGGCAGACCTTCGCGCGGTTTTGCCATAAAGGCCGGAGTGATTCCGTGTTTGCTTCCGAGAGATTTAACAACGTATCTGCGAGCGTCAGTTCCAGTTGTTCAACAGGGAGAAGTGTCGCCATACTTGAAAAGTCCAGCTCTATCGGCCATTTCCTTGATTTCACCAAATTGTAAAGCCTTGTGAGAGTCCGAGTCAGGTCAACGGCGCCTCAATGGAAGTATTTCAGGTACCCACAGCCTCAAATACGCCCGGTCCGCTCTCTGTATGCCACCCCTCGATATCACAACGAAACTGTTCGCATGCGTCAAAGATGCCGTAGTAGTACTCTTGGTTGTGTACAGGTCGCGTAATGCTATATCCAAACATGCCTTCGGTGAGCGAAGGAAGCGATTCGACTGGATTGTTCTTTAGGAAGGAAGCTGTTGCTGACGAGTTTCGCTCGGTGCTTGATCCATCTTGCGGCGCCCGGAATTGATAGAACTCGTACTCAGCTATACGAATTAGCCCGTCTGTGAAAGTCTTTTTGGGGGGGGGGGTCATCAATCATACCGCCAGCCATCGCTTTATATCCCGACTGGGCCAGCTTATCCACGGCTGTCTGGAGCAGACTCCGCGGACAAGCGCTGATCGGCTGTCGCGTCTCTGGATCGAAGAAGCTAACGAGGAAGAAAGGGACATTATCTTCCCAGGGGATTCTCCTAAATGATGCGAGATCAGGCACAGCCAGTAAGTCGCGGTACCCGTTCTCCTTGTTACTGATGCTAAGCTCTTTGAAGTACGTGCGGTCGTGCATGTCCCAGCCAAAGATCACCGAGCAGAAGCCGAAGCCATCTTGTGCAATGGAGAGAAATTTCTTCTTGGACATGAGCTTTCCTCGCAGAATGCCATCTGCGTCCACGCCGGCAACCTTCACCTTGGTATCATATTGAAGGAGCGTGGCCACGTTCTCCGGGGTGACCTCGGTCTCGCTTGGCGGGGCCATAGTGACTGCGTAGCTAGTTGTAGTGTATAGGTCAAGCAAAATGCCGGCGGACGGCCAAAGGCAGCAGTAATTCAAGCAAGCAGAAACCAAATCACCATGCTTCCATCCTGGAGCACACGGCGAAAGCGCAGAGATGGGTAGTTATAGTTGAGCAAGAGCAACAACAAAAGCTTCCAGCGTTGCAGTTTAGTTCAGCTTATCGGGAAGCCGAGGCACGCTAGTCCACAAAGGGAAATTCGCAAATCGCGGAGGGCACGTGCCACCGCCCGCTTGCAAGCCTGATTAGCCAGGCACCAGTCAATCGTCAGCTCAGCAGCCTCTTTCTGCGAGCATTGCACGCAGACAACGGTCAGGCCCAGTGTTTGGGCCTATACCCTGATAAATGATAATAGTAATAATGCCATTGATCGCGTCGTGCATCGCCAAGGAAGAAGTTGGAGGATTCACGTTGGGCTTGAGATTAGATAAGACGTCTCCACCCTGCGTCTGCGTAGTTTGCCTGCCCCGCCATAACACACTCCTTGACAACTGTCATTCTCTTTGTGGCTTTGATATTTGCCAACCGTGTAGTACATCTCATCATCATGGCCACCGCTCCTAGAGGACGCTTGCAAGGCAAGAATGCCATTATCACCGGTGCTGCTGGGTGAGCACATAAGCCAATATGCAACGACGACGACCCTGAAAGAAGAAGCATGACTCTGACGTGATCATAGTGGCATTGGCCTGGAAACGACAATCCTATTCGCTCGTGAAGGCGCCTCGGTGCTGATGGCGGATATCTCAGAGCAGGCCCTCGCCAAGGCTCTGGAGAAAGTGAAGGAGATTGTCCCCGATGCTACACGCGTAGAGACTGTCAAGTGCGATGTCTCAAAGGAAGCCGATGTCCAAGCAATGGTAGAACGCCAGGATAGCTGGGGCGGCACAGATGTGATCTTCAACAACGCCGGCATTATGCACGCCGATGACGCTGATGCCATCGACACCCCAGACAAGATCTGGGACTTGACGCACAACATTAATGTCAAGGGTGTGTGGTATGGTTCCAAACATGCTGTCCTGAGTTTCCGTCGCCACAAGAAGACAAAGGGAAGCGTCATCAATACTGCCAGTGTTGTTGCCTTGGTCGGAAGCGCTACTCCCCAGCTTGCGTATACGGCAAGTAAAGGTGCCGTCTTGGCCATGACCCGGGAATTGGCTATTGTGCATGCTAGAGAGGGGTTCAGGTTCAATGCTCTCTGCCCAGCTCCATTGAAGTATGTTCTCCCATACAACTTTCCGGAATATGTCAGAAATTAACCGCAAATCTGTAGCACACCTCTTCTTCAAGACTGGCTTGGGGATGACCAAGCAAAGCGTTATCGTCGCGAAGTTCATTTCCCTACTGGACGTTTCGGAGAAGCAATTGAGCAGGCACACGCTGTTGTGTTCCTTGCCAGTGACGAGTCGAGCTTTGTGAACGGCACTGACTTTGTTGTCGATGGTGGAATGAGCAAGGTAGGCTAATACTCTTATTGTCATAAAAAAAAAGTTATTATGGCATTGCTTGGCTAATGCATTCACCAGGCATACGTCACTCCTGAGGGACCCGCCACTGTTCCTCCCAAGAACCTCGCCAAGTAAGGTCTGATAAGCGTTGGAAGTTCGGGACATGGTATCGGTTGTTTTATGCGATGTTTATTCCAATATATATATATATACTCTAATTCTATCTTCCATAGATAACAAGCCATATACCTTACATAGATATAAGTAGTCTCCAAAATTGAAAAGAAATGGGTCTATATTCAATGTTCCCTAGTCCGACTGGGGGATTCCTAACGTCGCGAGAAACTTGGAATCCCCGAGATTTCTCCATTTCTCTCTATCCTGCTCATCCCTAAGTCCCGGCATCCCTAGCATGCCCACTGTGCTCGTACCAAAGGGACCATCCGCTGGTCCTACAGTCGTTCTCGGTATCAAAGCAATCCAGTCCTTGGTCATGGCTACGTTGTAGTCACCATCTGCGTCATGTCCTGCTTCTACATGCGCCATTCTGGTGAGATGAAGAAGACGGTCATGCATATCGACGACCGTTTGTGCACTTGCTCGCGGAGGTATGCGCAACACAAAGTGTTTGAAGGGCACATGAGGTATTTTGTCAGCCACTTCTGTTGTAGAGGTGGCTTTTGAGGGCCACACGTTTTCTGCTTTCCCATAAAATGGTGCTAGTGGCGGAACCGGGAAAAGCTGCAGATGCTTGTGGCCTTGTGAAGAGCCGCCGTTAACACCTCGGTTGTACATGACCAAGGGCTCAAATGAATTGTATGAATGTAACAATGCCCATGCTGCTGCAATATCAGATGCATCCAGGTCATCAGACTGCAGCGCAAATTCCTTGGTTGGAAGCACAAGCATCGGCCGATACAGGCAGAACTTGTTCAGCATTAATCGGTGCTGAGAGCCGATATTTTCGTAAACTATTTCATCAGGCTTCGGATTGACAAATGGTCCTTTGACCGTTGGTTTTGGTGACGGTGTCAGTGTCGGAGATAAAGGGGATTGAGTGACTGAGGATACTGTTGAAGATGTTACCACTGGCGTCGAAGCGCGAGTACTTTCGGGTGTAGGTGTTTTGCTGCGACCCGGATCATCTGGCGCGAGAATAGGTTTCCCTTTGAGAATTGACACTGTACGATATTCAATCTATCGGGCTGTTAGTGGAAGGACTCCGGACATCAAGCTAGTGGAGACGCAATCGTAGCCTCTTCTCTAAACACATAGACAAACACAGTTCAGGGCATGTCATACACAATACTCTGCCAGACCCTTACATTATCCATCATAAGATGAACAATTCATCCATGCATTTGTGGGTGCATGAGAATCACATCCGAGAAGTCATGGCTGAAATTGCGGTGAGCAAGCTCACACAAAAGGAGGGAAAAAAGTAGACAACCCCCGAAGAATGACGACTCACCGTAAACCCATTATCCACCAATATTTCACCGGGCTCAAGCTGTTGATCGTAGAATATTCGGCCCTTTCGGACCATTTCATCGAATTGCACGTTTGTCCTCTCTTCCAGATCAGCTGGAAGCGTGATTTGCTCGATTGGACATGATCGTGCTTGCAAAGACATGGCGGGACTGAGTAATTGTAACAGGGCCAATTGCGCGAGAGCTCGTAGCAGAGACGTCTTCTGGTAGAAAAGTGTAGAAGGAAGTATTCAGTTGTTGGATGTTGCTCTGAAGCAATAAGAGAGCGACTTAGGTAAGCCCAGAGTGGGTCTGTGGATCAGCCTTGCCACTTTTAGATCTGCCGCGTTGGTTGAACGTCTTCATATTCACATCCCCTCTATTGCATTATTTGAGTTTTATGATACATGCTTTCTTTCTTTCTATGCCCATTTTGCGCTTGCAAAAGATGCCTCTTGGTGGCGCCCATACAAATTTTCAGTCCAGCTTGATCGTCCACCGCGTGCGAATATACTGCCCATACCGGTAAATGATATAGGTGACCGGGGTGAATGCAAGGACGATAAACGCCAGAAGCGAGTTCCCCCATCCATATCCCAGGGCATTGAACATGCTCTGTCCGGCCAGGGGGAGTAGGCCGCCGCCTATCGAGCGCAGCACAGTGTTTGCCGCCAAAGCCGATGCTGCGTAGATGGTGTACGCATCAACCAGGTATCCCATCATGGGCATGAAAAACAACATATTGCCGGCGCCTACAAAGGCTGATCCGACAATGGGCACCATCCATTGATCAGCGGCTTGGGCGCTCCATCCGTACCAGAACATTCCCGCCACAATGACAGGCCCAGAGATGATCATCAATGACAGCCGGTCTTCGGGCTGCAGTTGTAGGCCCTTGGCGGCCTTTCGCTGGAGGTACTTGTCGCTAGTAAAGGTAAAGGTCAGTAGGCCAATGATGTTCCCTAGGCCGATGCCAATATACGCCAAACCCGAAATGCCTGTTGAGAAGCCATAGGTTGTCTCAAAAACCATGGGAAAGGTGGTCAGCATCAGATACAGGTTTCCGTAAACCACGGCAGTCGCGACAGATAGCAGAACGCAGATCGGCGAGAGCAGCAATAATTTGGTCGGGCGCACGATTGCTCGCTTGAGGATTTCGGAGCTTGGAATCCCGGTGTCTAATTTTGACCGTAGCATCATGTTACCGGTTTCCTTCTGCAATTTCTTTACTTTGCGATTGAGAAGCGTGGGTGCATGAGTCTCGCGAGAGAAAAGTACAATCGCAACGGCGATAGCACCACTCTACAAGAAACTAGTTATCAGTGACAACGCAATTGGGAAAGGGGAAGGTTATTTTTTTTTCTCTCTCCCCTTTATCGAGAGAGAGAGAGAGAGAGCACATACTGCGATGGTCAAAACCCAAAATATCCACCTCCAGCCCTCGGTCTCCGCCAAAAACCCGCCGGCGATGGGCCCGATGGCGGGACCAGCTACTGGGCCTAACGTATACATGGAGAGAGCGTGTCCCCGTTGACTAGGTGGAAACATATCTGCAATCGTGCCACCGCCAATAGCCATGGGAGCGGCACCTGCACACTGCACACTGGACGTTAGCTTTTCTTTCTTTTCAGGTCCATAAAAGCGGTGATTTCATCTTACCCCAGCCAAAAAACGAAAGACAATTAGCATCGACATATTGGTCGACACGGCGCACGCGATGGTGAAGATAACATAAAGGACATTGCAGGATACATAGACAATCCACCGTCCATAGACCTCACACAGCGGGGCCTGCAACAAAGGCCCCATTGCAAGGCCGAGCACATATATTGAGACGACCAGCCCTTGGAGAAGCTCATTCGTTTCGTTGAATTCAGTGGAAACTAGGGTCACGCCGGGCGCGAACATGGACGAAGCAAGAGGTCTGTTCACCGGGTTAATACATTAACAATTCTTGTCCTTGTTGAGGCCTTACACGATGAAAGTAATAGCAGAAATAAGGCCAATATTCGTCCATTTCTTGAGAAGAGACCAATTCATGGGGTTGGCCGGGTCGTCCTCGCTATCCCACCACACTATATTCGGGTCCTGCTCTTCTACATTTGCTGAATCGCTGGTCGCCTCGACAATTTGGGCTTTTTCCACGTCTTTCGTGTTACGTTCATGGTCGTCTTCGGAGATCGTACTACTGCCTGCTACATTCGTCGTCTCGCTCTTCTCTGTTGGCGTTCCGGAGCGTCTGCAGGTGCGCTATATCAGCTCTTTTATAATCCAAAGTGTTTCTTGCACTAGCAGCGTACGACAAAACTTACTCGACTATATCGCCAGAACGAGCAGCTTCCGAGCTTCTTGTTGAGGAAAGTGTCGCCATCACTCAGGCGTATAAGCGGGTTAGCAACGAAATACTAGACTACCAGCGTGGTATGATTCATATCGGAGATAAGTGCGGGCGTCTGTCTCTTACATATAACACAGAGCCAGACATAGTTACATCTCATGCATCCTTCACAGACCCTGGGCTTAGTGCCTGTTAGGCCCCGTGGAGTTAAGCGTTTTCAATCTCCGCAAAGCCATTCATTATTAATCAATCGCTCCAAGCAGCCTTCTCCGTAGTTACTCCGTAATGGCGCTAAGTTACCAGCTAAGGAGACGGCCCGTCGCGAGCGGTTTCACTTTCAATGGTGGAGCCGTATTTCAAGAGTCTGGATGAGCGGTGTCCCTGCGGTCTCGTGGCTACCACGATTCATACACTTGCAGTGTGCATGCTGGGATTGGCCTGCTAGTGCTCGCTTATTGAGATAGGGCTCGGCGCTTTGCAGATACATATGTACTGGTTCTTCTACCCAACTGACTCGGGACAAAGAACGCAGAAACACAGTACTCCTTCCTCACGAATCAGACCCAGGCTGGGTTGGATTCGGCAGTTAGTCAAGCGCGAATCGAGAACCCAAGCCGGAAGTTCGGCACGGCTGAGGTTTGTATTGAAAAAAGCATAAGACGTTAGCGGTCTTGGTAGACGGCTGGAACTATACAAATTACTCCGTATTCTGCATGGCTGAGGGTCCAGTGCGGCCGCACAGTGTGGAGAATCTGAATGAGAGATGTAAGAATCTTGGTGATCGTCTATAGTCTATAATATAACTACATAATATATGATATGTATTCCAATCTAATCTCCTTATCTATGTGATGTGTATGGATAGTCATACACCGCCGCAGCGAGGCGAAGTAAGTATATCAGACTCTGATGGATCCCCCTTTAACTCCTGTTCTTGCATGATGCATGTCGAATTATGACTGGATATCAAAAGGGAAGGAAACAAAATAAGAACAAGAAAATATAAAAAATATATAACAAACCTGAATGCTCAAACCAACCGTACGGGGAAAAAACGTGTGAATGCAGAAATCCTATGAATGCACCGCCGTCTTTGCGCTCTGCGTTTTCGTGGCAGCGTCATCCATATGCTGGTCTGGCTTATACTCGGAAAACGTCTCGGGCCAGAGAAACATACGCTCTTCCTTAGACGGCGTCAAGGCGACAAATCGAGGAATCTGTGCCAATGTCGTTAATCAAAATGAATAGCATGAATCCAACACGGAAAAGACTATACGTACAGCCTGCTTGCTCGACACCCGTCGCCACATGTTGGCTCTAGGGTTAAATCGTAATGGCTTGCCGACCCCCTGCGTCTTCTCCTGATCCTCAGCGAGAATAGCCCGAACCTCGCGCTTGATTTCGGCAAAGTTGTCGAAGCCAATATACGGAATGTTATGTTCTTGGCAGTACTCTTCCAGGCGAAGGCCCCTTCGAGCGAAGAGAACATCCGCCTCGCGCGCAGCGGGCAGATCCGATACCCCGTCTCCAATGAACACTATCAGCGGGACTTCGCCATCTTCACACTCCTCTCGTGCCTGCAGGCGAGCCTCGTTTACAGATAGCGCCTTGTCGTGACCAGCCTCGCTATCATGACGCCAGATGGGCTTCCAATGCGACCCGTTGATAGACGCGTCATTAGCCACGATCTCGATGCGCGACGACTCATCCTCCCCCAGGAACGTGTCGAGGACCTTGCGAAGAACCGGCTTCAGGCCCGCACTGATGACATTGAAGGCGATGTCGTTGTCGAGGCAAAACTGGTGAAACTCGCGAAATCCCGGGTCGATCTCGAGCGTTTCTTTGAGCACTTCAAATCCATTGTCGAATGGAACGTTGAGCGATGCCCACATCTGCTCGGAAACGTCGCGGAAGGACCGCTCGCCGGATTTGATCTGTTCGTCCAGGCTGCGGCGCTGTTCGGCTCCGCAGCCGTATTTGTCGAAGAGGACATGGCCGGTGTCTTGCATGAAAATGGTTCCATCGAAGTCTGTTTTGGCAGTGCACGATAATCAGCCCATCTTGCCCTCGAGAGCGCGCGCAAATAATGGAGAAGCAGGGCATGCGAACCTGAAAAGCAGATCACCTTTCTGCGCACGGTATTCTCGGACGAAGTCATATTATACTAGATTAGATTGGATTGAGTTGCAGGAACGTAGTATAGTATGTAAATAGCAGGTAAAATAAAGACAGTGGTTTAGAGAGACACATCGTGATATTGCGGCATACTTTTATACCGACTTTCGACCATTCCATCCTATTCCAATTGCGTCTGCCTTGTTTCGCAGGCTGGAGAGAGCATGACGTCGTCGTCTTATCCGCGTGGGTCTCTCTCTCGTCTTTTTTTTTATGGATTCCTTTTTCTCCAGGCTTCCACAGTTCCACCACGCGTGCTGCGAGATAGAATTTTGTGGCGCCGCATCTAATCCATGGACTTTGTCCCTTGTAAGTTATCAGGAAAGAAAAGACTAAGGATGGCTTGTTGCGATGGTCCGGACGCCTTGTCTTTGCACTGCAGCGCTACATAGTCCATAGTCCATAGTACACGGCACACAGGAGCAACGGCATCCTCCGTCGGTAGAGGGTCGTTTGTCAATGATATCATGCATTCAAGAGCATCGAAACTGACATCACGTCGAAAAGCGATCCACGGTTGGTTCTCGTGGGGAACGAACTCGGAATAAGGCGAAGCGGAGATGCCTCAGGCCGCCGTCTCGGAATAACTATCTAGATGGGTACTCCGAAGACCACTCAACTTCCTCCTCTCGCTGCTTATCGCAAATATAACGAGCCGATTGCGCCACTCAGAGCACGCAGAAATATCCGGGCCGGCATGGGGCACTATATGCACCATGGCGAAACGAAATTTCAACAAACAGCAACGCGATGCCTGGCGTTTTCTTCCTCTGATCGAGTGCCTGCGCCGTTGTCCGAGATACTGCGGCACCGGCCAACGCGCACACGCCTAGAAAATGCATCGCTTCACTGCGGATACTCGCCAATTTGTATTGCAATCGTCAAATCAAAGGTCAGTCAGTCATGGATGCCATACATGCAATAATACATAAGAGTTGGTTGGGGGTTGGGGGACTCATTCAGAGACAGGCACCTCTGGCAGTCCCGCACGGAAAACATCGCTCTCTTTGTCGCCCGCGGAGACATCTACTTGGCCATACTCGCCTTGTCAATCTCTGTCTTCTCATTGCATTACTTGTTTCATCTTGCATGGCGACGCTGGTCCCAGTCCAAAGCCGAGGAGGATAGCAAGACCGCGGGTCCCGCTCGCTTTTACACCCCCATCGCATATACCATCGCACAGATCGTCTTTGCCGCTGCCTCGTTCGCTGTTAGTATTGCTACCACTATCCCGCAAGGTGCGAACTGGAAACGATCGCTACTCCTGGGTTATGCCGCCTTGTTGTATGCGGTGAGATTTGCCACGAATAGCTCTGTTCAGAGCCGCATTTTTCGCCATGTCAACACCATCGCCGTGGCGGTCACGCTTCTCACCGCTGCCCAGTCATTTCTACCCCTGATCATCCTCGATGCGATTTTCGGACTGGATCCTCTTGAATCAGCTTTGTTGGGATGTTTGTTGGGAACAATTCTTGTTCCCGTGGTTTCCCCGCGCCCGCAGCGGACTCGGTACAATGAGAATGACTGCAATGAAGATTTAGCTCCTACCGAAAAGGCGTCCAAGGAGGAAACCTGCTCACTTCTTTCATACTTCTACACCTATGAATGGATTACATATTTAATTCTTCGTGGCCTGCGACATGATCTGACCATAGCCGATTTGCCAATTCTCCCGTCGTACGATGCCCCGACAAAATGGCTTGCGGGCATCCAGAAACAGCGGCGACGCGGTGGCAAGACATTCGTTACTTTATGTCGCTTATTAAACACACAAATCCAGGCCATGGTGTTTTGGTCTGCACTTGTAGCAGTTGCCGAGTTCCTGGCCCCAACTGCCTTGATGAGTCTGCTGGGATATCTTCAAGACCCAATAAATGCAGTTGTGCATCCCCTAGTATGGGTTTCGCTGCTCTTTCTCGGCCCTGCCCTTCGCTCGCTGTGTGTTCAGCGTTACATATTCGTTGCCACAAGACTTTTGGTTCGTGTTAACATGTCCCTCGTACAGGAGATATACCAAACCGCCATCCGCTCGCATATCTACGACTCCTCTGTTGCTAACAGGAAGGTGAACCACGCGGGGAGTGCAGTAGACAAGGAGTTGTCCAAAAACAGACAGGCTGATATCACGACGTTGATGTCTTCTGATGTGCAGGCTATTTACAACGGGCGTGAGATTTTCTTCGTCCTGGTAGTTACCCCCTCCACCGTCACAATCGCTATTATATTCTTGTATCGATTGCTTGGTTGGCCATCCTTGTTTGGCGTAGCAACCTTGTTTCTCCTATCTCCCTTGCCCACCCTAACATCACGGCGCGTGTCTCGCGTGCAGAGAACTCTGATGCGGGCCACCGATGCCAGAATATCCAAGATTACGGAATATCTTGGCTCAATCCGGACCCTCAAATACTTTGGCTGGGAGCCTGCGATGGAAAAGGAAGTCGATGCGTTACGGCAAGTGGAACAGACTCGTGTATGGAAGCGCAATTTTACAGCTGCCTTCATTTCGCTGGCTGCAGATCTCTTGCCCATGATGAGTCTTCTGGTCTCATTTTCCGCCGTAGTTCTTCTCACCAGTACCAGGCTAGATGCACCAAGAGCATTTACCGCCCTGTCCATCATGGAGATTCTCCGGTCGCAGTGCGTATGGGTGTCCAATATTGTGCGTAATGCCTCAACTAGTGTCGAGTCTCTTCGCCGGATTGATCAATTTCTTGAATCGGCTGTTGAGATCAAACGCCATCCCCAGGGGCCTCCGGTCTTTGAAAATGCCACTTTTCGCCGAACGCCCGTGGCAGCATTCAGGTTGCGCGATCTTTCTATTTCATTCGTAGAGAATGCACTGAACGTTGTCGCGGGTCCTACCGGTTCGGGAAAGACTTCCCTGCTCTTGTCCTTGATTGGAGAAACGATTCTTGAGTCCGGTGCAGCAACTTGCCCACAAGATGTAGCGTTTGTTCCTCAGACAGCTTGGCTACAGAATGATACTGTCCGGCAGAACATTGTGTTCTACAGTGACTTCGATCAGGCTCGTTACGATAGCGTCGTTGCGGCATGTGGTCTTCTCCAAGATCTCCAACAACTTCCAGACGGCGATCTGACCGTTGTTGGTGAACGTGGGACTAGTCTTTCAGGAGGGCAAAAGCAACGAGTGTCACTGGCGAGGGCCATATATTCTCAAGCGTCTACACTGCTTTTAGACGACGTCTTTGCGGCTTTGGACACCCACACTACTGTCTGGGTTTATGACCAATGTTTCCGCAAAGGACTCCTTGCGGGAAGGACAGTGATACTTGTGACGCATCTGCCATCGGCTTTGGAAGATGCCCAAATGGTAGTGAACATAGACCATGGTGCAGTCTCGTCGATTCAAGTGAGGAAAGACAAGCCCTTAGCTTCCTCGGATGCGAGTACCATCTCCACCGAGCCGACTGTAGTAGAGTCATCGGGTGCGGCAACCCCTCAAGCCAACGGCGAAGTTGACTCGAACAAAGCTTCTATCGTTGCTGAAAGCCCTGTCGAAAGCGCACCGCGAGAACAGGCAGCAACCTCCTCCCGCCTGGTAGCGGAACAATCTACAGGGCGAATCTCACGAAATACAGGTATGTCTCCCTCTTTGCTCGTGTGAAAATGACGAATTGATTGAAATCTAACAAGGAAATGACAGCACTCGAATATCTGTTCAGCTTTGGTGGCTTGGGTTTCGTCTTCATTGCTGTGCTTTCTACCTTCACTGTACAAATTGCTTATTTTTCGATCACTTACTGGCTTTCTATCTGGGCTGATGCATACGATCGCAGCGCTGTAATCCCTAATGTGGGCTATTACCTCCCAATTTACGCGGGTACGATTCTCGTATATCTAGCCTTACAATTACTTAACGCTGTTCTGTTTCAAGCAGGAGGCTGGAGAGCTGCCCGAAGAGTGCATCGACAGCTCCTTCACTCCATCCTCAGTGCGCCTGTGTCGTGGTTCGATCAGAATCCTGTCGGGCGTGCAATTAACCGATTCGGAAACGACATGAGATCGATGGATGCATCTCTACCTGACTTTCTCAACAAGATGATTGATAGTCTTATACGATTTCTTTTCCGAGTCGCAAGTATCGCTTCCGTCATGCCAATATTCATTTTGCCAGCTTTTGTGGTTTGTGGCATTGGATTTGTCGTCGGTGAACTGTATACACGGACGCAGATCCAAGTTAAACGACTTTCCTCGATTAACGCGTCGCCGGTTTTCATCCATTTTATCGATTCTATAGCGGGCCTCAGCGTTATTCGTGCTCGCAACGGCATGGACGATAAGTTTCTTTCATTGCTATCGGAGAAGGTTGGAGTCCATGCACGAACACTGGAAGCGCAATTTAATTCGAATCGTTGGGTTTCTGTACGCTTAGATCTCTGCGCCGCAGTAGTCACTGCAACCGTCGGCTTTCTCGCATACAAAACTGGAGGGGATCCTGGTTTGGTTGGATTCTCATTATCCCATGCAGTGGGCCTTGGACAGACTATACTGTTATTAGTCCGGAGTATGAACGACTTGGAGGTAGAGCTCATCGCCTTCCAACGGGTGAAAGAATACGCAGAGATTGAACCGGAAGAAAAAGACTATCCCCTGCAGGCGAACTCACGAGTTACCTCTAATCTGCCGCGACGCCAATTACCACCGGCCCACTGGCCGGCTGCAGGCCAAGTTGAATTTCGCAATGTCACAGCGAAATACCACAATGGCCCCAACATCCTTCAAAACATAGACTTCATTGCTAGACCGGGAGAGCGTGTTGGCATTGTAGGCCGTACAGGAAGTGGTAAAAGCACGCTGGGACTCACATTGCTCCGATTTACGGAACTCGTCTCAGGAACCATCACGATTGACGGCGTCGACATCAGCACAATCCCAGTCAACCGCCTGCGTACCAGCATTTCCTTGATTCCGCAAGATCCGGTTCTATTCTCGGGCGACGTGCAATCGAATCTTGACCCGTTTGGCGAGCTCGGCGAGACAGAGCTGCAATCTGCACTGTCAGCCTGCTGTACATCCATCGAGGTAGCCACCACCGCCACCACTACGGCAAGCGCAGGCCAGGATGAAGAAACCGGAAGCAGAAACAGAACTCTATCCGAGAACCTGAAACTAGATACCCCTGTTGCTGCGAACGGCGAAAACTTCAGTCAGGGCCAGCGGCAGGTTCTGGGATTAGCCCGAGCGGTCAGTCGCCGGGCGAAAGTGGTGCTGCTGGATGAAGCCACGGCCTCAGTTGACAAGGAGACGGATGAGCATATTCAGCGGCTCATTCGTTCCGAGTTCCCAGAGTCGACCATTATTGCAATTGCGCATCGCCTAAGAACAATTGTGGATTATGACAGAGTGATTGTCATGGGCGGTGGGGAGATTCTCGAGTAAGTATATTCCCTTTTTTGTGGCCCCTCTCCTCCCCCCCCTTTTATGAATAGTATTGCTAATGTTGTCACACTTATCTAGAATGGGTTCACCATTGGAACTGATTAATCGCGAAGGTGTATTTTGTGATATGTTGCACAAGACAGGGGAGTATGACGAATTGGTCGAGTTAGTTAAAAACAAGTAAGCAGCGTGGCGTCTTGGACGGTTCGAATTTACCAAAAGAATGGAAATCGTCGACAACATGTCATCAATCTGGACATGAACGTGCGTTCCACTTTGAGATATGCCTAAAATTGTTTGTCGTTACATCGGAATTGGCGTTTTCTCCTAGCATACCTACAGCATCTTGTTTCGCTATATCTAGATACTACATTTTATATCATCTGGTCTATGTTGTAAAACTATACGAAGCAAACCGTTGCCCTAATTGCCGAATTAGGAAAGGAGTCTGAAACGACATCCATGTCTAGAGCAAACGAGAACTTGGACAGACTCTTCAAAAGAAAAAGGGGGCATTCGTGGATTAATACGACATGAGCTTACACAAAAATCACATCTAGGTGTACACACGGTATCCTGTTTGCAGCCAGCCCTGTCCGTATTGATCCAATCGCCATGCAAATAGATAAGCAACTCGAGTAACTATTGGTTTCTGCATAAGGGCCGACGAACAAATCCGATGAGAAACGAAACAAACAGCGCTCGTCTACAGATTTACCCTATCAATCTTACTTACCTGCCAAGCCCACACACATAATGCCCAGTTGTGATCGATACAAAACAATACGATAGTTCAGTTAAGCTATCACGGCCCAGCTGTCCGAAAATCGGTCGGTGAGTCGGTGATAGTGGCGGTAGCTAAAACATACAAGGATCGGATATTTTTCCGAGCCCCCAAAATTCCTTTCTCCTCACTAAAAAAGAAAAATGATGAAAGGGAAGGGGGGGAAAAAAATTTTTTTTCTCTCCTTAAATCGCTACGTCCAAGTTCTGGGTTAGTTTGAAATCATTGGAAGGATTTGCATTGATCGGACCTTGTCGAGATGATCCTCGATGGTATGCTGGTTGCTCATTGGCCATAGTATAGCTGAGTATGTATATCCTTTTTCACCCTAGGTATGTCCAAGACCTTTGGGCTCCAGACGTCACATCCCAAATGGATCCAAATGTGGATTCGAATTCTGGAACTAGTCTAGATTCAACTTACTTATTCGTTATATATACATACTTATGGTCTTGTTTTTCTTTTAGTTCTTTCATCTTCTCGTTTGACCGCTTCTCGACGTGAGTCATCATCTCGCAGCTTTCCCAAGGGTATATACATTTGTTCGTCTCATCGTTTACTTGTGTATACGAGGTGATCGTTTGTTGACATAGCATAGCATTGCAATGCTCTTTGCTCGTTTCTCGACCTTTGATTGTTGTCGAGAGGTTATAAATAATAGGTCCATGGACACGGCCTGTATAATGTGGCACACACCGAATCTTCCATAACTACCAAGAGACCACCAATCTACTTTTCAATTACAAGATATTCAATTACAAGACAACAAAAGACATTTCCTTCTATCGTTGTTACTTAAGACGTCTCAATGGCGGCAGAGAAGAACCAGAACCCTGATCCTATGGGTAATGTGGGTGACCACGCATCCAATTCATCCAGTCGTGCGTCGACTTCGGATTTTGATAGCTTTCGAGAAACACGTTCCCAGGACGAGGACAGAGTAACTCGTTGCTCTGACGGCGAAGAGGGTGAGAAAACCGGCCACGGAGAGGATCTGGAAAAGAATCTTGCCGGCCTCATCCAGACACCTACCAACCAGACTGGTAGAAATGTCAATGGCCTCGACATTGTCCGCAGCCATGTCTCGCACCAAGACATACATGCCTCGGACAATGCGTACCGCGAAGAGAACGCAGAGCAATATCAACGCTTCTCTCCTGCTCGGAAAAGAATCATCGTGGCAATCCTGGCTTGCTGTTCGTTCTTGGCGCCAATTTCGTCCACGTCGATCCTTTCTGCGGTCCCAGAAGTAGCCAGGACGTTCAACACCACAGGCAGTGTCATTAACGCAAGCAATGCCGTGTTTATGCTTTTCATGGGCCTGTCCTCGACCTTTTGGGGAACATTCAGCCAGATCTTAGGAAGAAAACCGGTGAGTATCAACGAGCCTCACTCAGGTTAACAAGACTGATTAGGTATTTAGATGTCCACCTCGAGCTCGTTTCTTTTCTTCATATTTAGCATGGCAACAGCTCTGTCGCCGAACTTGCCTGCCTATTTCATCTTTCGGGCCCTGACCGCATTTCAGGGAACCTCATTCCTTGTTGTGGGCAGTGCTTCCATCAGTGACATTTACACGCCGACAGAGAGAGCCACTGCTCTTGCGTGGTTTCTCTCCGGGACATTGATCGGTCCAGCCCTTGGGCCCTTTATAGGCGTATGCTCTTCTATTTGTGCTATCATTTCTGTACGGGGATGAGTCCAGCTAATGCTTCATCGAACAATAGGGAGTAATTGTAACCTACCGGTCGTGGCGGGTAATATTTTGGCTTCAAACCGCGCTCGGCGGGTTTGCATTCATTCTCGTCGTTCTTCTCGTTCCAGAGACCATTCCACACAAAACCATTACTGACCTCGCCGATCTATCTCCTATGGATAAGACGCGTGCAATTTGGAAGCGGATGAACCCGCTTCGAGTCGTCATGCTTCTGTTCCAATATCCCAATCTCTTCTTTGCCGGAATGGCTTCTGCAGCGCTAGTCTGGAACCAGTACTCTCTACTCACGCCGATTACATACGTTCTCAACCCACGCTTCCACCTCACTTCGCCCATAGAGTCGGGTCTTTTCTACCTGGCCCCTGGAAGTGGCTATCTCGTTGGCACGCTCTTCGGAGGCCGCTGGGCCGACTACGTTGTCCGCAAATGGATCCGCAAGCGCAATGGCGTCCGCGTGCCTGAGGATCGCCTCAAGTCTTGTCTCTTGTTCTTGGGAGCAGCCATTCCAGGCTGCGTGCTCATCTACGGATGGACGGTTGACCAGGGGGTTGGCGGCATTCCCGTGCCCGTGATTATGTTGTTTCTGCAGGGTGTGGCGCAGCTCTTCTGTTTCCCCAGTCTCAATACCTACTGTCTCGATGTCATGCAGTCAAAGGGTAAAAGCGCCGAGGTTGTCGCAGGGAACTATATGTTTCGGTACGCATTCGGAGCGCTAGGAACCGGAGTGGTATTGCCGGCGGTTGAGGCTATGGGAGTTGGCTGGTTCAGTACCATATCTGCGCTGTTTCTTGCGACGTCTGGAGCCCTGATCTGGCTCACTACGGTAGCTGGGTCGACTTGGAGGCAGAAGGCGGATGAGAAGCACAAGCACAGCGTTTGAGGGGAGCACGCAGCGTGATTGTATTCGTCTCATTTGACATGATTTCGGGTTACGCAAGCAATTGCCGCACTAAATACATAGATTGGTGTAGACATTTAGATAGGTTATAGAGAGTGAATGACACGCATTTTCGGATCGCATGGTGCATCGCGGGAGCTCCGGCATGATCGCGTGATGCCATTGGACACGGCAGAGAACGCATGTGGCTTCGTCAGGGGCTGTGCAATGAATCAGCGAGAACCTCTGAAGTAGGCGGTAGTTAGGATGCAGAAGAGAGAGAAGAGAAGAGATAAAGGAGAAGGGAGAAAGGCGAAAGAGAAGTCGTCGTGGTTGGGCCGGCAGGCGATGACGTCGCAGTAGGCAAGCACAGCCCGCCTGCTCCACTCCAGATCTCCGCCAAGCATCCGCATAAAATCACAACCTCACGCTTTTGTGCTCTCTCGACTTTGCTTGCCTTCCCTATAGAGCTTACGATACTGGTACTGTCCTCCACGTCCACCGCCATGGCTACCAAGGAAGACAACAGTGCTGTCCCCGCGGCAAGCAAGACCTCGTGGACGAGCTTTCTGAAGGTAATCCATCAATCAAACAATCAATCGGATTGGCGACGGTTCACTCTTCTGCCAGGCCACTTCCAATGCCCAGCTATGTCCAAGGTCCTTACTCACCGCTGACTTTGGCCCCTCCAGTCCATTGCCTCCTTCAATGGCGACCTCTCGTCGCTCACCGCCCCGCCGTTCATCCTCTCGACGACCTCCCTCACCGAGTACTCTGCGTACTGGTGCGAGCACCCTGCGCTTTTTGTTGCCCCTGCAAGAGAGCCCGACCCCGCGAAGAGATCTTTGCTGGTGCTGAAGTGGTTCCTGAGCACCTTGCATCAGCAATATTGCTCTCGAAGCGAGAAACTAGGCAGCGAGAAGAAGCCCCTCAACCCCTTTCTGGGCGAATTGTTCTTGGGCAGGTGGGAAGAGAGCGAGGATATCGGTGAGACTCGCTTAATCAGCGAGCAAGTCAGGTGCGTGTATAAAATGGGCATGGCTCTGGTGGAATTAGCTGACCTGGCCTGGTCTGTGATAGCCATCATCCTCCGGCAACGGCATACTCAATAGTGAACGCAAAGCACGGCATTGAGGTTAGTAGTACTACTATCTCGGACGCAGCAAGATCAAAGGCTTGCTAACATAAGAATAAAAACCTATACAGCTTCAAGGCTTCAACGCTCAAAAGGCCTCTTTCTCCAGCACGATCCAAGTGAAACAACTAGGCCATGCGTACCTGTCATTGACACCGCCCGGCAAGGATAGAAGCAATCCAGCTGACCAAGAGCATTATCTCATAACACTGCCAAATATTCACATTGAATCCTTGATATATGGGACGCCCTATGTTGAACTAGAGAAATCAACCAAGATTGCCAGCTCGAGCGGATACGTCTCGCGAATTGACTTCTCTGGCAAGGGATGGTTGAGTGGGAAGAAGAATACTTTCTCTGCTGTGCTATATAAAGAAAGCGACGGCGAGAAACATCCCTTGTATACCGCTGACGGACAGTGGTCGAGTAGCTTCACGATCCGAGATGCCCGCGCAAAGAAGGATGTCGAGACCTTTACGGTCAGCAGTATGAAGACGACCCCCTTAACGATCGCCCCCCTCGAAGAGCAAGATGCGTATGAAAGCCGACGGGCATGGCGAGATGTAGCGCAGGGGATTGAACGCGGTGACATGGATGCCACATCTGCGGCCAAGTCCAAAATCGAAGTCGCCCAGCGTGAACTGCGTAAGAAAGAAAAGGAGCAAGGGATAGAATGGGAGCGCCGATTTTTCAAGCGGGTCAATGAGAAAGAGGACCATACATTCATGCGACTGGCTACAATGCTTGATCTTACTCATGGCAACGGTGCAGGCATCGACAGTGACCGCACTGGTGGAGTCTGGAGATTCGATGAAGCTCGTGCCGTTAATGCCAGTCCTCCTTATCATAAGCTCGGCAGTGAAGGCCTGGGATTATAAAGCATATCTAATATATTCACACATTGGCACTTTGTAATCAAGAACTAGTTATTGAAAGAGCTTATTTAATTCAAAAGAGACTTTTTTGGTGGATTGCTACCTATTTATTGGAATTTCCTTAAATGTTAAGTAAAGTTTTTATATGAAAATTGCTCTTCATTCAGACAAAAGCATTTAATACCTTCTCTTTCATCCCTGCTGCTTACCTAGCTCTATGTACCCTATTTCCTTTTGCACTCACCTTCCGAGTCACTCAGTTGATGTTCACTGAGCTGCTGTTCAAGCATGCGTTATCTCCTTTACGAATCATATCATGCTTCTGGGAGTCAGAGCAAAATATTATGAATCAACTATATACTTACTGTTCGCAGGTCAATATAAACTATTGCGACTGAGGACTTTTGCTTACGAACCTTGGTCACTTCCAAGCCAGGGGCCATGGATGGCTTTCATCATATGCCTAGCAACGAGCTCATTATCACAATTCTACACGGCAATATCGAAGATATTATGTCGTGAGAGGTCATCGTGGACTAGGGCCGAGGGTTCCATATCATCATTATTTTATGGAAAGACGAGGAAAAGAAGTGTCATGAGCTTGTCGATTATTTATCGGCATTCTCGTGGCATCATGTACTTCGCCTTCGTCATAAATGTCAACTTCCATAGCTTCAAGCTTATACAGGGTCGAACAGCAGTCATTTTCAACGAGTGGAAGGCGAGATATAAACCAGTCCCTTGTTGAGCGAAATGGGCCTCGGTGGATATCTTGGTCAGAAGAACTGAGTAGAAACAAACCGACCCACAGCAGGTCTACCATGATCTGAGCAGGGCGCTTCTTTCAGAACAGATATCTCAGTATCAGCCAGCTCTATTTGTTCTGTCGATGTTGAATGTTCGCCGATACATGGCCCGGACTATCTTTGTTCCGCCTCACCTGTGCAGATCCAAAACCCTAATCAATCACATCAACTCTTTGTACTGTCCTACAGAAACCAAAGGTACCTACTACGAGAAGAACAAACAAATGTAGAGTAACGTAAAGTAAATTGAACCTCGAAGCAATTTCCGAATAATTTTTTTTCCCGGTTTTGCAACGCTAAAACCCCATCCCATCCAAAGTAGATGATGATAAGACCTCCTTCGTCAATAATCATAAAATACCTAATTAACTGAGAAGAGAGATGTCACAATGTGCGAATTTAATACAGACAGGGGAGAAGTAAAAAAAAATAAAGACACGGATGAATTTTTGTTAACAAGAAAACAAAAAAATAAAAACGCACATTGAAGAAAAAGAAAAAGAAACACAAAATACCATGTCGACTCCCTTCTTTCCCGTTCTCCCCTGAGGCATGCTTCTGATCACAGCAAGAGAGAAGGAATAACAAAAAAAGACATATTTCGAATACATAGCGAGAGAGCACTTCCCTTCGCTGGATTTTTATTCAACCGGAATCACCAGATATAATTGAAACAAGTCAAAAGTGAGAGAGAAAGACGAGGTGGGAGGGAGTAAAAAGTGAATAGATATTGAAAAAAAAAAAAAGAAAAAACACACACACACACTGAAATGGAAGAGTTGAAAACGCCGTAAGACTCATCATCCCTTGTCCCATAAGTTCAATCAATGACCATAGTTTCCACCCCATCCACCGCGTCCCGAGTTTCCGTAATAGTTACCAAATCCTGCTGCGCCGTAGTTTCCATATGTACTTGCTTGATGATGATTCTGGCTAACACCACCAGCCTGGTGACTGCCCAGCCCACCCAGTCCACCGCCATACTGCGGGTTCAGATGAGGATAACCGCCAAAGCCTTGTTGGCCTTGTTGTCCCTGGAGGGGAGGTAAGCCAGTCTGCGACTGAGACTGTCCAGGAATGCTGTTCGTCGCCGAGCCAGGTCGGTTAGCCTGAGCAAGCGAGGGACTTGGTCCACCAGTCTTGGATGCTTCAAATCCTTTGGTTGTCTCCTCACTGCTTACAGGCTGTTGCTGAGAGATAGGCTGGTTCTGACCAAAGCCAGATTGTGAGCGTCCAAACACGTCAGGGACGGCTGAACCAAACGTAGTGTTTGCTCCAGTAGCTGACTGCTGGTTTTCGGGCTGAGCAGATCCAGCACGACCATAGACAGAGTCACGTCCTGGAAGAGCCTGGTTGAAGCCGCCCGCATTTGCTGGAGAAGATGAATGGTCGTAAGAGAAAGGCTGGCCGTACACGCCGCCCTTGCCGTATGGGGCATATTGGTTGGTGTAACCGTACTGGTTGCTGTGAGGCATGTAATGGTCTTCATATCGACGAGCATCATCATACATGGGACGGTTGCGACCATATTGATGCTGCTGGTTCATATTCATGTAAGATTGAGCGTAATGTGGGTTAGAGTAGTAAGGATACCCGTATCCGTAACCGGCATGAGCGCCCTGTGCACCAGGAATGTGTTGGGCGGACGGCTGTTGCGTCTGGGTTGTGATGGGAAGAGTCGGGTTAGGAGTGTTTTGACCACTGCCAGGTGCCTCTGCGTGTCCATAGCGGCTTGGAGTCTGAGTAGCTGGAGCCTGTGGCTGTCCCTCAGCTCCCGACACTGCAAAGCCAGCTGCACCGCGCTGACCGGTAGAATCCTGCGAAGGATAACCGTAATAGTTGTACGGAAGTCGCTGCTGGTCGGCGGCGTAGAAAGGCGAGTACTCGCTGCCAGTTGTTACCGCAGCCTGAGTAGGTGCCTGATGAGAGAATGGCTCTTGAGCTTGGGTTTGCGAGGGGTGGTGTGCAAACGGATCGTAGGGTTTCTGGGCTTCACCATATCGGCCAAAATCATTAAAGGCTGCGGCATCTGTGGAAGCGGCCTGGGGTACAGGAGGCAATCCCGGAGCTGGACGAGCAATGGAAGGGGTTTCAGCGGGGGCGTGAGGTTGAACAGGGGGCGGTAGAGAAGCACGAGGGGCAACGGGGGAATGTTGAGGGGGCTGAGCTCTGGTTTCAGCTTCCTCTCTCTGTTCGTCGATATCCACGGAGTCATTTCCATTCAACCCCATACTGCCAAACTGAACGGCGGCTCGGTCGACAGCATGGTTAGCAGGCATAACAACAGCTTCCTGTTGTTCCAGAACACGACGTTGAAAGCTAGGAGCACGGCCTTGGTTTCCGGCTGCCTTGAAAGCGGTGGCGGCATAACCAGATGCGAGACCACGGCTTTGAGGTGTTACGGGAGGTAGAGAATTGGGATCCTGTACGCTTGCAACCGTGCTAGCGGCTGTTGCAGTAGCAGGGGGTACTGACACGTCGGGAACTTGGTCGAGGTTTGTTTTCGTGAGGTCATCTTTGGCTTGTTCGAAAGACTGGGTGGAAGGAATTTCGGGTGTGGGTTCATTCAGCGGTACTGGAGGTTGTTCGGGGACATCAGGTTTTGGTACTTCTGTGGTTTCGGCAGGTACAGGTACAGGTGTCGCAATCGTGGCAGGCTTTGGTTCAAGCGGAGTCTCAACAGGTGGTGCAGCGGGTGTTACAGTGGAAGGTGGTGGCTTCTTCTGGGGAGGCGGAGGTGTAGGCTTAGCAAACAAACTTGCCCATCCTTTCTTCGCAGGCTCGGGAAGTTTAGGAGCCTCTTTTTGTTGTTCCTTCACAGTCTCGGTGGTTTCGGCGGGCTTTATGGGTGCTGTGGTATCAGCAGTCACGGGGGTTTCGGTAGGGATGGACGTATCGACCTGCTCGGCAGTTGGAGCAGGTTTTTCGTCCCGTACGGCGCCAGCTCGACCACCGCGGCCACCACGGCCTCGATCCCCTCGAGCACGGCCCCCGCGACCCTCGAATCCTCCACGGCCGCGACCACCCCGAGTGGTTGCAGATACTGTCTCGCCACCACTGGTCTGGGCCTTGGGCAGATCTTTCACTTTCGTGCGGGACCGATCGGTAGTCTTCTTCTTGACTTCACCCCATTGAGAAGCATTGCCTAGTTAATAAACCAGTTAGCAAACGGCCATTGTCAAGCATTGAGAGATTCCGGGGAGCTTTACCTTCACTAATGTGTTCGATTGCACTCTCAAGAACACCGTTCGCATCCTCCAGAGCAAACACTAGATCCTCGTCCGTCCAGTCGTGGAAGAGCTCCTTGAGCGTGGGCAATTCGGTCGCATACTTGAGTTTCAATTGACCGATTTCTCCTTCATCTTCAAGTGTCGTGGGTGCGGCCGTGGTTTCGGCAATGTCAGCCTTGGTCGATCGAGCGCCGCCTCGACCACCTCTGGAGCTGTAGCCGCCTCGGCCGCCTCGGGCAGAGCCGCGCCCACGCGGCGCTGAAGGTCTGGATATAACTTCGGACATGGCTGTGTCTGTGATATTAGGTTGCTGGTTCGCAAGAAGTATGTGGACTGGGTAAAAGCAATCGTGATGGAGGACGGGCAGGGTTGCACTGAGTGAACGTAGACAGGGATTGCAGATGGGTCAGGTGCCCAAGGCAAGGAGGAAAAAGCTAGATGTATCAAAAAAGAATCAAACGATGCACCCTCGATCTCTCTCAGAGGTAAGCACCAGCTCAGCAGCAGAAGGGCCGCCCGATGTGAGATGCAAGAAAGAGTTGGTGGGGAGGTTGAATGGGTTAGCAAGCAAGACAAGACAGGAGGAGGAGGACTTTTGCCAGCGCTGAGTTTGGATCTTCTTGCGCCGGCTTTAGCGAGGCGGCTAAGCTAGGCCCAAAAGGATCGGCGGCCAATCAGGGTCGCCGGGGACAAGAGGCCGCTGTATTCTATTCTATTTTACTTAATTGCTCGTCTTCTTTTCTGGTACTTCTACTGTGGTCTGACTGTGACCAGGGATCAGCATCTGCAGATTTTATTCTGCTCGCCAATGTAATTCCTGGCAAGGGAAGCTGCTGTTGTGCTGTGGCTTGCGCGGACTCCCTGCCTGCTTAGTCAGTTAGCCGCGCTGCCCAGCCCAATCCGGGAGTTCTGCCAGCCGCCGTCAGACAACCTCGAGAGTTCATCCACTCATTCATTCCATTCATTGAGGTCCTTCATTCGCCCTGTTTCCCACTGCAACCAATAAGCCAGCCTCTGCATCATGAAGAGCACCTCGGCTCTGGGCGTGAAGCGGTGGATGATTTCCAAACTCAACCCTCCACTGCCCCAAACGCCTCGAGAGTCTCAGCAGCTGTTGTCGGCATTGACTTCTTCGTTCCGTCGCCAACTCGATGCTGCAGACACCAACTCGGCTGCTCAATCCACAAACCAACACCTGCAGACTATCTTGCAGAATCCTCTCTTTCGCGTCGTTCCCTCCAAGCCGTCCTATCCTCCATTGGGGTTACAAGACGAAAATGCGAGTCGGAAAAAGAAAATGGCGGAAGCCCCAATGGCTTTTTTCGATGATCTTGCCGCAGCTGGCATGCTTGGATTCAATGATGTCCGCGATTGTCTGAAGGCTCAGTTAGCTTTGTTCGATATGGCGTCGAGAGACGTGCGAGACCAGATGAAAAATACAGGCGCGGGGAAGAAAGTGATTGAGTGGTTCTGGACATCAGATTCTTTTGCACGTTTTGCCTTATTCAAATATACTAACATATTTGAGTGCGCTGTCGGGTTCATGGTGGCGGAAGGCCTTCATGACCAGATCAACTCCCTTATCCGAGAACTGGGTCGACTCGCCGCTCGCCAGACGAATATGAGCGAAGAAAATAGAAGGCGATTGTTTGGTAAAGTTTTCCGCCATTACATTAATGCCGACATCCACTATGGCAAGGGGCTTACTGCCGCCTTGCAGACGTTCAATATGTTCTGCTCCGTGACGAAACCGGAGAAGAAGGATATGTTCGTTGCCAGTACTTTTTTTATTGGTCGATTCATAGTTAAACAGAAGGACAGCGAACAGTTCAGGGCTGTCTCCGTCGCGGTCTTTGATGACTTTTGCAAGAATTTGGGTGGAATACCTGATCCGGAGGTCCGGCTCTGGCATCATGCTATGCAATTATACCATCCTTCACATCCTGATGCTCGGCCTATCCTCAGACATGCACAGGACCATCACGATCATGAAACTTCCCCTTTCTTCGGAGCCAGAAAAGATGATACGATTCAAGTTTACCTGGATGCAATGCGCTTCTTGATAGAACAGAAAAAGCACAAGGACGCCTTACGACTCTCCACATATATTGAAAAACTCTTATCCGATCAGCAAGCTACCGATGTCAAATTTCACGATCACTCACCCGAGCTAAGCGAGCTCATGGTGCGGGCAAATCTAGCTCTTGGCTGAGTCATGGCGTCCATTTTGCGCTGCGTATACCTGACATGGTATGCAAGAAAAGTTGGCCGAATAATAAGTAGGCAGGGAAATCCTCGTGCTGCGTCCGCGCCGCCCTTTATGGCCCATTCCCGGCAAATATTGGGTCCGTATTTGACCGAGCCATTGGCGCCATTCGCTATATCTATCTTTCACTCTCGTTGGAGCACTTTGAGTTTATAGACTCGCTCTATCAAGATAGGTGTGCCTCTTCCCATCGGTGGGCATTGTATTTGGTACTCGCTCTTCACTAGTTATGATGTACACGGTCAGAATAACCCTCCTCTCGTCAACGCGTGCAGTCGGACCAGCACCGTGGCAACCCGTCAAAGATTCATCTCCATAACTCAATAGTAAATTGGACCTGGCGGCGGCCGTGTGGCTATTTCACAGAGCACCAAGAGTTATGGCAGGCCAATACGCGTGTCTGGTGACGATGTACATATTTGTATATTAAAATAATGGAAATACCACTCATCCTCACAAATATTCTACAATAGACTATGTCATTTTGTAGTTTAAATTGAAATTATTCTCTTTCAGTTTAATGAAACAACCCCTTTTAAAGCCTCAGGCAGCCAAAGACCCCACCTCCCGCTGCCGATCGCGCAGGCGGGCTCCGGATTTACGATTTATCCGCTATGAGTAATATCTCCAATCTAAATAAGTATCTACTTATCGCCCGGTTGATTTTGTGCTCGCATCTTGTTGGGACTTTTGTTTCAATTGTACCTTTTCCAATTCCCCAATCATGTCAGGAACGAAGATTTGGCTTAGGGCCGAAACTAAGCCTGCAGAGGCGCGGTCAGCTCGTAAGTCTATGCCTTGGAAATTCTTCTTTTTTTAAACCCAACATATGACCCCGCTGATTGATTGCATGGCGTATGCTCACTGCTTTTCCGAGATTTTTAGTTACTCCTACCACGACAAAGGCTCTTTTGGATGCAGGATACGATGTTACAGTAGAGCGATCAAGCCAAAGCATCTTTGATGGTATTTTCTCTTATATTCTTTTTTTTTCCCCACTGTCTGATGGCCGAAGAGGTATTGACTTTGGTTTGTGACAGATGAGGAATACGCTGCCGTATGATACTATCGTGGTCTCCTATCTAGTGTTCTATCGTCATTAATCACAATGTTAAAATTGCAGGTCGGCGCCCGTCTTGTTCCTGAGGGGTCATGGGTGAAGGATGCGCCTAAGGATGCATATATTTTGGGCCTGAAGGAACTTCCCGAGGATGACTTTCCATTGGAACATGTGCACATTTCTTTTGCCCATTGCTATAAGAAGCAGGCTGGCTGGGAGAAGGTTTTGAGCCGGTGGCCACGTGGAGGCGGTACCTTGCTTGATCTTGAATTCTTGACGGACGATACTGGCCGACGAGTTGCTGGTAAGCAGAAAGCACTGGCTTGACTTTGTCGTGGATCTTCGTCAAAACTAATATCGTAATAGCATTTGGATATTCCGCTGGATATGCTGGTTTGTGATTACCTTCTCTTGTCTTGGAGGCTAGCGAAGTAGCATTGGCCCGTATTGACTTGCTTGAAATAGGATCTGCTTTGGCGATTAAGACGTGGGCTTGGCAGTTGACGCACGGAAAGGATGAGCCGCTTCCTGGAGAGAAGCCCTATGCCAACGAGGGCTTGCTCATCGAGTCTGTAAAGGAGGTGCTTGAAGCTGGAAAGAAGAAGGCTGGACGGTCTCCGAAGGTGCTTGTCATTGGAGCTGTAGGTTTTTCCTTTTGCCATTGCATGGTGATTTATGCCTCGTACTGACAGAAAGTTTCAGCTTGGAAGATGCGGTAATGGCGCCGTCCAGTTCGCAAAGGATGTCGGTATTCCTGATGCAGATATCATCAAGTGGGACATGGCAGAGACAAAGAAAGGTAACATATACATCCCGGGGAAATGAGGGTCTTGTTTTAACGTGAAACAGGTGGTCCTTTTAAGGAGATTGTCGAAGATGCCGACATTTTCATCAACTGCATTTACCTCTCGGCAAAGATTCCGCCTTTCGTCAACGCAGAGAGCCTTTCCTCTCCCAAGCGTACTCTATCTGTGGTGTGCGATGTCAGCGCTGATACGTAAGGATACTCTCCAAGCTCTTATTAAAACAGAATGTCACAGACTAAGCTCGGATTTAGAACCAACCCAAACAACCCTATTCCTATCTACGACATCACTACCGTCTTCGACAAGCCTACAGTGCCTGTCAATATCCCCCTTGGCAATCCCGACCTCCCATTGAGCGTCATCAGCATTGACCACTTGCCGTCGCTGCTTCCGCGTGAGAGTTCTGAGATGTTCAGCACGGCCCTGTTGCCCAGTCTACTGCAGCTTAAGGATAGATCGAATGCGCGCGTGTGGAGGCAAGCAGAAGACCTGTTTAAGCACCATGTTTCCACCCTCCCATAGAACCTGCGCAATATAAATAGCGCGTTCGGCCTGTTGATTTGTTCGGGATGATTCTCCATTATTGTCATTCAATGTTTTCTTGTAATCGAAGGCTATGTAAAGTCAAAAAAAGTTGTCGGCATGATTATGAATGGATATACACATATACATACATTTTTGACACCAATAAAATAAAGAGTGGTGACTGGTCTCACTGATTATTCGTTAACCAAGAGTAATAAAAAATTTCATTATTTCGTTAGCGTAAAAGAAAAAAATTTTAATACAAAAAAAATTGACCCTAGCCTCTTGGCATGCACCTTTTTCTTTTTTTGCGATTTCAAGCTGCCTGAGCAGTATGTAAATTTACAAGCACGGCTTTCGGCGCGCTCGTGACACTGTATTGATGCTTATCGACCTCGTCCGGGTACACCGCTGTGATGTTATCAAAGAGCTGCACCAGCCGCGTAGTCACGTACCCAGCCTCAGTCAAGGCAAACTGCTGACCGAGGCAAATACGTGGGCCGCCATTGAAAGGCAGGTATTCCCATCCAGCCTTGCGGGTCGCCCATCGCTCTGGCACGAACTGGTCGGCATCCGGACCCCAGATGTCTTTGCGTCGTTGCATCACGTACACCGCGTAGCCGACCTGTTCACCCTTGGCGACGTAGATTGGGCTAGTGCCGTCTGGACCGCCACCGGTGGGCAGCGTGGTGTCTTTGGTGGCCATGCGCGAGTTCAGCGGCACAGACGGGTACAGACGCAGGGTTTCCTGCAGGACGTGTTGCAGATAGGTGCATGCCTTGAGGCGCTCAAAGGTGATATCACGCGGGGAGTCGTACGGACCGAATGTTTCGAGGATGGTCTCTCTGAGCTTCTGATAGATGGCTGGGTGACGCGACAGCAGGAAGAAGGTCCATCCGAGGAGGCCGGCGGTGGTGTCGCGGCCGGCTAGGAGGATGTGCAGCAACTGGCATCGCAGCTCAATGGGGTCCTTGGTTTCCTTGATCAGCTCGTGCAAGAACACATAACGCTTTTTCTCGGCGCCGGCAGCTTCGGCTTTTTCCTCGGCGATTGTGCGTTCCAGGGCTTGTTGCACGAAATGGTCTGCAAAGCGGTGGACTTCTTCGCAATCCTTGCGGAATTCAGCCGGATTGTGCAGCCAGTACAAATCACTGAAGCGTGCCCTCTTTGCGAGATGGTTCGTGCCGTCGTCAAAATGGTGTGCCAGGTTTCGCCAGTTGTGGGCAGGGTTGGTTTCTGACATTGCGCCGGGCAAAGCTTGGAGTTGCGATTCGACAGACTGGCCAAAGAGGAATTCCGTGGCCGAGTCGATGGTCAGTCTGAAGAATAGGGGGCCTAGGTTGGTGGGCTGCGCCCAGCCGGTTGCCGGGTCGGGTTTGATATGCATCAATAACTGCTGGACGTGCTTCTCCTCGAGCTCGAGGTCTGAGACTTGCTGGCGCGTGAATTGCGGTCTCAAGATGGCTCTCGAGTGTGACCTGTTTTTGGTGGTTTTTGTTGGGGTCAGTATAGCTACCAACTTTGCAATGGCGGGTGAACCACGCACCAGATCTGGCCATTGGCCGTGAAAATGCCCTGTCCCAACATCGGCCAGAAACTATTCTGTCGGATAACGGGGATCTCAAAGTCGGAAAACTGCGTGGCCAAGATGGCCTGGACGTTGCGAGGCTCTGCGGTCATGATCTGCCTCTGGCCGAACAGCCAGTGCTGGAAAGTTGCGGCGCCTTCCTCCTTGTAGATGGTGAAGAATTCATCGCACACCATGTCCCGCTTGTCTGCCTGCTCCAAGCGGCGGATGCCGTCGATGCCGAATGGCCATTTGTAGTGTTTGGTGTGTGGTGGGCGGCAGTTGAGGCGCCGGGCGTTGGCTCTATGGCGGAAGTAGTTGTACAGCGGGCGCAGCAGGAGGAAGAAGAGGGCGAGCGCGCCGATGATGATGGCGAGCATGTTGAGCGACACGGCACTTGGCAGTTATGTGTATGTGTATGTGTGTTTACATATACCTACCCGGGTATGTCTGGGGTCCTGGCTCTACTATATACCTGGCTGCTCCGTCTGTAGGACAGCAGGAAGAGGGGGCGCAATGATGTATTGATCTGAGATTATTATACAGGAATACTACCCAACTAGCTGACGACGTAGCATGCATATCCATGCTGTGCACGGCGTTTTCCGAGAATATCAGCTGCGTAGTAGCTAATGTAGTTAACAACTATACTAGTTAACTAGTTATAGTGTGACGTCTTACTACGGCTGTCGGCTGTCGGGCGTCGGCTCTCAGCGGGCGGGCACGTGACCGGATCACATGACTCCGTCCATTCCTTTGGCACGGATAGCGCACTTGGTTATAGCTAAGCCTAGCAAGCAATCTGGTAGTTAACTTATCCAAAACTTAAACTGCGGAGTAGTTCTTCGCTCGGATACACATGCCCAGGTATATACTAAGATAGTCCTGTTCCTCCTTAAAAAGACGTCGTGCTTCACGTAGATATCCCCGCAAGTGCCTCGATGTTTGGCGGGCTGCCAACTCTACCTCGATTCTGGACACGCGAAAGGACAAGAACAAGAACAAGAAGAAGAAGAAGAAGAAGAAGAATACGGCGCTATGTTGGCTCGCTTGGCGGCTGAGATCCCCGGATTGTTGGGGGGTTGTTGTCGGCCTCGCTTTGGGCCGGCCTGCAACTCCGTACAGTAGGTATTTATTTTCTCCGCCCGCACTCCGCGCTCCTGCCAGAACTTCGCTCGACAGCCAACCGCCTCCCCCCGACGATGCGAGATTGAACATCTACCTGCTGTTCATATACCGTCGAGTCACCGCGCTGCATCTCCTACAAGCCCCTTCTCGCCTCCTGCCTTCCTGCATCCGGAGACCGCCATCTCGGACATGGCGCCATAGTAGCTAGACGAGGACGACGACGACGCAACCTCTGTTGATGCCTGACAAACCCGGAACTGTCGCCGCATATGCGGCCGGAGCCTCTTTGGCTGCCATTACCCTGTTTTACGTCTTCGGGCCGAACTTCACCATCGACGGCGAGGAGTCGAGCAATAGTGATCGGAAGAAGGGCGTAGTGGGCCTGTCGAATCCCGCCAACGATTGCTTCATCAACTCGGTCCTCCAGGCTCTAGCTGGCCTCGGCGAACTGCGCGTGTACCTTATCCGCGAACTGCATCGGCGAGAACTAGACGGACCCGATGCTTATAACCAGCTGTCCGGCCCCGACGAGCCGTCGACGCAGACAAAGCACAAGCTCGCGCCGCAGAGGCGGCGAGAACTGCAACAAGGAACGGTTACTCTGGCGTTAAAGGAGATGCTTGATCGCTTGAATGAGCGGCCAATCTACAAAAAGACCATCTCGGCGCGCCCGTTTATCCAAGCGCTGGAATATGCGTTTCGCACTCGGATCAGTCGTAACCAGCAGGATGCGCATGAATTCCTGCAGATCGTTGCAGAGCGTCTCTGTGACGAATATCACGCGGCAGTCAAGGCAAGACAGCGAGCACAAGGAGGCGGCGCGGAAGCGGATGAGGAGATTGCAGAGAATGAAGTCCCCGCGGAGGTTTCCGTGCGCATCGACGATGGATCCAAGGAAGGGCTGCCTGCAATCATCGATAACAAGCTGAAGGAAATCGATAACGAACATGGCTTCCCGATGGAAGGGCAGCTTGAATCGCAAATCGAATGCCAATCCTGCCATTATCAGTACCGTCCAAACAAGACTTCTTTCGTCAACCTCACGCTGCAAGTGCCCCAAAAGAGTTCTGCAACGCTGAGCTCTTGCTTCGATGGTCTGCTAAAGACTGAGTACATTGACGACTTTCGATGTGACAACTGCCGGCTTCGACATGCGCTGGAGAGCAAAATCCTGGCAAAAACCAAAGCAGCGTCAGCTGCCGAGAAGGAAGATCTGGACGCACAAATCTCCAAGATCCAACAGGCCCTCGAAACGGATCCAGAGCAGGCTTTGGAAGGGGTCGCACTCCCTGCCGCCGAGTTGGCTCCCAAACGCCGAATTGCGCGCCACATGCGGATCACGGTGTTTCCCAAGATCATTGCTATTCACTTGTCACGGTCGATCTTCGACCAGAGCAGCTCCACCAAGAATGCCGCCAAAGTGTCCTTCCCAGAGCGTCTCCCGCTGGGGGGGATCCTCAGCCGCAAATGGTATAAGCTGCTAGGAATTGTTTGTCACAAGGGAAGTCACCATAGCGGGCATTACGAGTCCTTTCGCCGAAGCCACATATATCCACCTTTCTCTACGCCCGACGCGTTTCGATCCTATGCAGAGAGTCGGGCTGGTAGCGAGAACCCGTCGGTGGCTGGTAGTCCACGTCTTCCGGCTACAAAGAAATTAAGTCATTCTTCTGTTGCGGGCATCGACGCCAGCCCTCTCAGCATCTCTCCAGCCGACTCGTCTCTTTCGCTGTCGAGCAGCAGCAATAACCACGCATCGCCATCGCCTCCAACCGCACAGTCCCCGTCAATATCCACGCATTCGCGGAAGTCGGTCAGTGGCACGGCATCGCCCGCCACGCGCTCTGTCGAGGTGCTGGATGGAGACGAGCCAGAAAACACGCCCCATCGCACATCATCGGTGCGGTTGAGCATGTCAAAACAACGCCCATCATCTGCACAGCGACTCTTATGCAGACGCAAGACGATTGAACGCTGGTGGCGCATATCAGACGACAAGGTCAAGGAGTGCAAGACTAGTGACGTCCTGGGCATGCAGAAGGAGGTATATCTTCTTTTCTACGAGATGGAAAAGCCCGCGCCATCGTCTGCGCCGATGAATTAAGTGCGCTTGTTTCTTTTGCACCCGCTATCTGGCCTTTTATGATACAGGATGTATATATATATATATCTTTCTCGGTGATGCAGGTACCTAGGGACAGGTACAATTAGATATGGGTGTTGAGCACCCGGTACATAGTCATACAAATATAGATAGGTGCATCCATCCATGGATAGCATGTCTACTACCTAGGTGGGTAATCTGGCGAATGGATCGAGCTAGATATACCCGAGGTATTCGGCTCATACCTAGACACGAATAGTTAAACTTGTATATCGTGTATGGGGGATGGGTTACCCGGAGTTTTCCGTGTAGACATCCATCATCATTCATCCTAGTTGTTGAGATGACATGCTCGTGGTTAGATGTGAGACTCCGCATGTTGGCTTCAGACCGACATATAATTTGCATATAGCCATGCCCTTCAGATAGACGTCAAAATAGTTATAGAGTCAGAAAGAAGAGAGGAAGACGAGGGGCAACTCGGGAACGTCATACGAAATCACTGGGTGCCTGGGCGTTCAGGCAGGTCACCCCACCACGCAGGCAGAAACCGGATCAGCAGCAATTAAGTCATACAAGATGCTGCATATTAATAAAGCGTGCTCGTCCGTTTTCTTCTTCATGTTCATATCCATATCCATATCCATATCTATATTCATCAGTTAGTGCATACCCACTGCAGGTAGGTAGAGGTAGTCGAATTCTCGTGGTCACGCCTGCCTGAGGCCGCGCCCGCCTGAGCTCACGCTGACCTCATCTGGCTGTGCTCCGTTTCAAGTCGCCGGTGACTCGGTGAAGCCATTCAAGCGGTGCAGCTGGAGACAGAGCACACAGCGCAGAGCAGAGCAGAGCAGAACAGAACGGAGCACAGCAGACACAGCAGAGCAGAGCAAAGCAGAACAACGCAGCTCAAGCAGGCAGAGCCCACCCCTCCTTGCCCTTTGCCTCCCCCCACTTCTTTTTCACTCTCGCCTTTTCTCCCCAACATCCTCTTCCTCCTCTTTCTTCCTTCCGTCTATCTCTGCTGACTCTCGCCCGTCAATTCTCCGCACAGAAATCCAAGGAATCTTCATCACCACCTCCCAAGCACATATTGTATACAATGGGTGTCCTCGAGAAGCTCTCCCGCAAGTCTGGCGTCATCGTCGGCGATGACGTCCTTCGCCTGTTCCAGTACGCCCAGGAGAAGCAGTTTGCCATTCCGGCCATCGTACGTTCGGTTCTGGCTGAGAGGTCTCATTGACATTGACATGTGCATTGCTAGCTGACACCATGATGCAGAACGTGACTTCCTCGTCTACTGTCGTCGCTGCTCTCGAAGCCGCCCGCGAGAAGAACTGCCCCGTCATCCTCCAATTCTCCCAGGGCGGTGCGGCCTACTTCGCTGGAAAGGCAAGCTTCACAGACTTCCAAAAAGAAGAAAAAGAATAAAGAGCCATACAGCGCATACTAATTGCACAAACAGGGCATCCCCAACTCTAACCAGGAAGCTTCCATCGCCGGTGGTATCGCCGGTGCCCACTACGTTCGCAGCATTGCCCCAACCTACGGCATCCCCGTTGTCCTTCACACCGACCACTGCGCCAAGAAGCTGCTGCCCTGGCTGGACGGTCTGCTCGACGAGGACGAGCGCTACTTCAAGCAGCACGGCGAGCCTCTCTTCTCCTCGCACATGATTGACCTTTCGGAGGAGCCCGTGGACTGGAACATTGAGACCACCGCCAAGTACTTGAAGCGTGCTGCTCCCATGAAGCAATGGTTGGAGATGGTAAGATTATCCTCCTCCCCCCTTTCCGGCAAATTGTAAAAAAGGCTTGGCTGACTCGCGCTAGGAAATCGGTATCACCGGTGGTGAGGAGGATGGTGTCAACAACGAGGATGTCGACAACAACTCTCTCTACACACAGCCCGAGGACATCCTGGCCATCCACAACGCCCTCTCCCCCATCAGCCCTTACTTCTCCATTGCTGCCGGCTTCGGTAACGTGCACGGCGTCTACAAGCCCGGCAACGTCCGTCTGCACCCCGAACTGCTCAAGAAGCACCAGCTGTACGTCAAGGAGAAGATTGGTTCGTCCTCGGACAAGCCCGTCTTCTTTGTTTTCCACGGCGGCTCCGGCTCGTCCAAGGAGGAGTACAAGGAGGCGATTAGCTACGGTGTGGTCAAGGTCAACGTCGACACCGACATGCAGTTCGCCTACCTGTCTGGTGTGCGTGACTACGTCTTGGGCAAGAAGGACTATCTGCTCACTACCGTCGGCAACCCGGATGGCGCCGACAAGCCCAACAAGAAGTTCTTCGACCCGCGTGTCTGGGTGCGCGAGGGTGAGAAGTCCATGAGCAAGCGTGTACAGGAAGCGCTCGCCGACTTCAACACTGCCGGACAATTGTAAATCAAGAAACTCCCCCACGTGATTTAAAGTGAGTTTTTAAAAAGAAATTAAATAATGTTAGAAACTGGATGAATGAATCTTGCGTGTTTACTGCAGAAAATCAGGATTGATTCCATGGAACTTTTGCCTCGGTGTAGTTTGTGTTTAATGATTTCCGTATTTTTACCCTGGATGCGGTGGATTCGACGCAGGTCTGGACCGCGGCCGGATTGCCGTACCTGACAATACAATATTTTTTCTTATTTATTTTTTAAGCCACTTCTATATGATTATATTAATACATTGTATGGATAAATGGATGTATGTATGTATGTATGTCACAAGACTGGCGACTGTAGGTCACGCTATACTATTTTAGAGCACGTTCATAGGTGTAAGAATTGATTACGTGGTATTGGCTCGTACCGCTCAGTGTCTCAGGCGGGACTGAAACAGACAAGAAAGACTCCATAAAAATCTCCATCATTCAAGCCGCCATCACTCTACACATCTACTTCTTCTTCTATTTCTTCTTCTTTTTTCTTCTTCTTTTCCTTTTCCTTTTTTTTTTTTTTTTTTTTGCCTTCCTTCGCCCTGTCACAATCCTTCTATACGCACGGCCTATCCTCTCGCTTTCGGTCGTGTAAATACAGTCGTTTCTCTCTAGAGTACCTAGGTACTCCGTCCTGCAATATCTATACCCACTGCCTATACGTCTCATGCATACATAGCATCTCGCGTTTCTCGCCGATAAGCGCTGGACGTTGTCGGCTGCTATATAGAATTCACCATGGCCAGCCCAGACTGGACGGTGCTGATGACTGCTCGAGACGACGACGACGATAGCAGCACTCTTACCCCCGCGGACCAGTTCTTGCGTCTGATTGCGAATCCCTTTAAAGAATCGGTTGGTCTCTGTTTTTCCTTTACCAGTGACTTGGTGTTAACTGGCAACCTGCTGCTAGATCCAAATCAATGCCTTTTGGGTTTCTCTCGGCACCTCCATCGGTTTCTCTGTTCTGCTCGTCCTTCTCTTCTCGCTCTTCCGGCCATACCACAACGCCATCTACGCTCCCAAGGTCAAACACGCCGACCAGCAACATGCGCCTCCGCCCGTGGGCAAGGGCTTCTTCGCCTGGATCCCGCCGGTGCTGCACATCCGTGAAGAGACACTCGCCGATCGGATTGGGCTAGACGCAGTGGTGTTTCTACGCTGCGCTAAGATGATGCGCAATATATTTCTGGCCTTGAGCATCATCGGATGCGGAACGCTGATTGCCGTCAATATCACCCAGAGCAGCGGCGCGGTCGCCCAGGGATACTCCGGTTTCACGCTCATGACGCCCTTGTACATTTCTACCGAGGCCGTCTGGGCCCAGGTTGTCTGCGCATATGCCTTTGATATTGTCATTATGTTCTTCCTGTGGCAGAACTATAGGGCTGTGCTGTCCCTGCGAAGACGCTATTTTCAGAGCCCCGAGTATCAAATGAGTCTACATGCGCGGACTTTGATGGTGCGCTTTTCTTCTCGGATCAACACAGCAGATAAAATGCATTGCCTGATACTGACACGCTTTATTTTTCTTTATTTTTTCAGATAACAGACGTTCCGCCGAATTTGCGCTCCGAAGAAGGGCTGATGCGACTGACAGACGGCGTGAACCCAACCTCCTCGCTGCCGCGCACCACAATCGGACGCAACGTGAAAGACCTTCCCTCGCTGATAAGGAAGCATGACGAGGCTGTCAGAGAGCTTGAGTCTGTTCTAGCCAAATATCTGAAAAATCCGGACCGGCTTCCTCCGAATAGACCTACAATCCGCCCGTCGCGGAAACACAAAGGTCATGGCGAGTCCGGTAAAGTAGACGCCATCGACTATCTTACAGATCGGATTCAGGAATTAGAAACCAGAATCAAGGACGTTCGCCAGTCAGTCGACAAGCGGAATCCGATGCCGTACGGGTTTGCCAGTTGGGAAGCTATCGAACACGCCCATGCCGTAGCGTACACGGCGCGCAAAAAGAAGCCTCGGGGCACGATCATCAGACTGGCGCCGCGGCCGCACGACATCATTTGGGAAAACCTGCATTTGTCGCCGCAGACGAGAAGATGGCGCCGCATGGTCAATGTGTTCTGGGTGACGCTGCTCACGGTGTTGTGGATTGCGCCCAACGCCATGATTGCCATTTTCCTGGCGGACTTGAGCAACCTGGGTCTGGTATGGCCTGCGTTCCAGACTTCTCTTGAGGACCATCCGGACATATGGTCTGCCGTTCAGGGTATTGCTTCGCCTGCCGTGACCTCTTTGATCTATCTGGTGCTGCCAATCTTTTTCCGACGTCTGATGCGCCGTGCGGGCGACATCACCAAGACCTCGCGAGAACGCCACGTTATCCATTACCTCTACTTCTTTTTCGTGATCAATAACCTGATTGTCTTTTCGCTGTTCTCTGCCGCATGGACTTTTGTGGCAGCCGTTATCAATGCGCGGAATAACAACGAGAGTGCATGGCAGGCGATCGAGGACGGTCATCTCTGGTACAAGGCCATGTCTGCGCTGTGTCAAGTCTCGCCTTTCTGGGTTACTTGGTTGCTGCAGCGCAACCTTGGCGCGACTTTGGATCTCGTCCAGTTTTTCACGGTCGTATGGCAGTGGTTTATGAAGACGTTTATGGCTCCGACGCCGCGCCAGAGCATCGAGTGGACAGCTCCTCCCCCCTTCGACTACGCCAGCTACTACAACTACTATCTCTACTATGCAACCGTGGCCTTCTGCTTTGCGACCTTGCAGCCTATTATCCTCCCCGCCGCAGCGCTCTACTTTGCTCTCGACCTGTGGTTCAGGAGATATCTGCTGCTCTACGTGTTTGTCACGAAAAACGAATCGGGCGGTCGGTTCTGGCCCATTGTCATCAACCGCATGATTTTCGCGGCGCTGCTGTCTAATCTGGTCATAGCACTGGTGGCCAAGTCGAAGGGCACGTGGACCATGATTTTCTGCCTGATTCCCTTGCCGTTTATCCTGCTGGGTTTCCGGTGGTATTGCGCCCGGGCATTCGATGATGACATGATTTACTACAACCGGGACACGCTGAATGATGCCGAAGCCCTCGGCACCGGTATGGGGGGCAAGGGTCCTAAGCGAGCCGGCGATCGCTTGAACTCGCGGTTCGGCCATCCGGCTCTCTACAAGCCGTTGGTGACGCCGATGGTCCACGCGCGGGCTGCAGAGCTGTTGAAGACGATCTATCGTGGCCGGCTGGGCCAGTTCGACGAGACTGGCGACTACTCCGACATCGCCATGCAGTCGATGTCGACCTCTACCCCCGGCAAGCCGATGGAAGCCGCGCCGTTCGAAGTTGTCGCCGAGAACCAGCTTGATTTCTCCTACTTCAAGAACCGCGCGGATTTCCGCGACGAGTTTGGCGGTGGCATCTATGGCCGTAACGAGGATCTCATATCAGAACGGTCTCACACGCCGCGGACGTTCATGGGCGATTCTCCGGAGTCGTCGCGGGCTTCTTCGCCCGTGTCGCCGATGAGACGCAAACAGAACGAGGGCCTTGGTCTTCCCAGGCCGGATGACCGCGACCATCCTGCCTTCCGTCCTCCCCTGTCCCTGTCGCGTGTCGGCAGCGATGGCAGCGCTGCTCCCGAGCCGTCTTCGCTGTATCAACACGAGAACGAGAGCGAATCTCATTTGCTCAGCCATGCGCAGCTTCCTGCTGCTGCTGCTGCTGCTGCTGCTGCTGTTCCTCCTGTCGCTGAGACAGACGGCGCTTTTCAGAGCGTGGATCGATGGCGAACGCGGGGCTACGGTCCTCTGGCTCAGGATGATACCAATGCGCCCAGTTCATACGAGTATTATCGCGGAATACGATGAGATGATTCTTTCTTTCCCTTTTCCTCGTCATGTTGGCCATGTGTATATTTATACAAGCCTATACATCCGTACAGTGTACACCTATGCCAGCCACTAGTTACAGGTAACTACCGCTTCCACAAGACTCAACTCGAGTCACCTTCATACAATATGCCTGACGCTGACCTCCAAAGGAAATATGAAAATCTCTTGAAAATATTAGCAAAGTCGTCTGTCCTGTGTGTCTTAATGGCTTTCCTTGTACAGATAAATGATATGAATACTTTTCGTCAAGTGGATGATGATATTCAAGGTGTCCTTATCCAGCCATAATATTGTCCAGGCACAGCTTCAAGCCAGCACGCACTCCACAAATGCCACAATCCTTCACCAATGATTTTCTCTTGAGCCCGGTCTTCAGTTCCTTCTTTTGCAACTCACTCTTGAACGCCGCGTACAGATTTCTATTGTTTCTTGCTCTAGCAACGAGGCTGCTATATAATTTGCGAGCAGGCAGGTCTCACTTTCTCAAGTAGGGGCAAAACGGTAGGGTTAGTAGAAGTTCATAGGGTAGATGAGGTTGAAATCGCAGTGTCTCTTTCTCTTCTTTGGAACTTCTCAGCCAACACCCGCTATTATGACGGATGTAGTTGCAAGCACTGCCGCCATATTTTGGCAGGCGTGTTTTCTTGTGGGAGGTCATATCTTCAGGTGGCTCGCTCGTCTAGGGCTTGGAATTGGAAGTGCCGGCACGATAGGAGCTGGCGTGAGGTGCGATTGACGCAGTCACATTACCTCTCAAAACCGATTACAGCTTCAAGCCAGGAGTACCCAGCATTATTGGACGCACGATAAGCGATACTGCAGTCGGGTTTCTTTCAACTCACTCTTTCACTCAGCATAAAAATCATGTTTGAAAAGAATTGAAGGTGCATCTAGACTGTCACACGAGTTGTATAACTAGCGGATATATGTGTGTGTAAGCCTTAAGGTCTTGAGTAATATAAAAAGTTGTCCTACTTATGATTACTCGAATATTAACCAAGTATGCTTCGGTTTTAGGTTTGGTTGGCCATCTCGTCGAACCTCAACCAAAGGGATCTCGGTACCTTTGTCAGGACTAATCGGCGTTTATATATTTCCTTTAATTGCCATCTCTATCGTTACAATAAGGAAAACTCTGGGGGCTCGGCCTTGCTATGGGGTGTTCGAACAGGGCAGACAAGAACAGTACAGTATTCACTGCAGGAAGGTGTCAATCTTGAAATACAAGACAAAGAAGGCCACACCCCTCTAGAGATGGCGGTATACAATGGAAACTACGCGATAACCAAACTTCTGATTGAGAATGGAGCCAGCCTTACTTGGCCTTCCCGGTGGAGGCCCTTAATCACGGCACTTGGCAACTATGGAAACCCGCAAAGTTGTATCAGTATAATCACCGGAGAACGGGATTGGGGTAGTCGCTAAAAAAGCCCAGATGGATGTTTACGGTCCTATCTGGCCTCTCATAATAAGAGCAGTCACCTCGTGTGAAAACAACATCTCGATTATTCGTTTACTTTTGGAAAAAGGTGCAGAAAAAAGAGAACTTACAAGCCTATTCTTGTATCAAGCTCAGCTTTCTTGCTGTGACGCAAGTGTTAAGCTTTTTCTGGAGAGGAAAAGCTTCTGGTATTGCAAAAATATTGTCCATCCAGATGCTTTTATGCAAAGCAGCAAGGGACGGTCAAAGGACAATGCTCAACGTTTTCTTTGAAAATGGCGCCGATCCTAGGGATGCAGACGAGTACGGCAATACTCCTCTGCAATATGCAGCATATTATGGCCACTTTGAGGTGGTCAAGCTCCTTTGCGAAAAAGGCGCCGATGCATCTAGGGTTTCAGGCACATGGACTATTACTGGGTATCTTAGTTCCCCACCGCGCCGAAGTATTCTGGAATTAGCAAGGACAGACCTACCTCGCTGGAAACGGAAGCAACTTAGTTGCTGGTTCAATTTCTGGCTAGACGATGATCGCAAGGGTAGGCATCCCGACGGTGATCAATGGGTAGACTACCAAGGAAAAGCGGATATAGTCAAGTATCTTTTGAGGAAAGGGGTAAGGAAGTGAGAAGTAATATTGCAAGACCACCAGAGGTTGCTATCATTATTGCTGGCAAAGAATTAGCTGCAAGAAAGTAGAATTCCATTGCATGATATTAAATATCAACTATGGTCCATTGCCGGGAAAGCCCGTGGAGCGCGGCCTGGTTTCTCAGGCGCCAACGGAGACCCCGCCGATGTTATCGATAAGTCTTGAGCCTGAGGCCAACGTCTAAATACACAAAAGCAATTCCATGGAATCGCTACCTGTGCAAAATTGAATGTCCTACATCCCCATCGACACCTACGCTCCTTACATTTCATACGCGAAGGGAAATCTTTTTCAATGCATCGAATGACTAGTCAAATGGAAGCCAACCGTAGATAGTCGGCGTATTAGGTACAGAGATAATTCGGAAAGAATTAGGACACAATCCTACACTCCTCCTACAGGATTTTTTTTTTTTTTTTTTTTTGGAATACTTGCCTTATTCTATAAAGAGCTCGACTTAGCTTCGCCACGAGGGCTACTAGACTCCAGCACCACGATGAGGTGCGAGCTCATTACTGGAGACCTGCTGGGCATCCAGGTACCGCAAGCGGATTTTCATCTGTCGCCTTTTTCATCGACAGATACCACGCAATACTCGAAAGTAAAGATGAATGAATCAACTGCCGCCTTTTTCATCGACAGGTTTCCCACACCACACTCGAAAGCATAGGCGGGGCGGAGGAGTCAATCTATCTAGGGTCCTCTATCACCTCGTCTGCCCCGTTCACCACACCACCTTCTGGCGCACCCAACTGGCCTTGCGGCTGTTGCTGTTGCTGTTGCTGTTGCTGCTCCTGCTGTGCTCCGTTCTCAGCAGGGCCTTCTGGCTGCATGTTTCGCAGCCCGTCCTCTATCTGGCGCGCCTCTCTCCGGTTGGCGTTGCGCTGATCGAGCTCCGCCTGGAATTGGCGCCGCTGCACCAAGCATGTCCGTACTACAACTATCATTTAAACAAGGGGACGTGATTGGAGTCGTACAACATGGGTGACCGCCATCTGAAATGCCATATTCAGGGCCCGATATGTTGGACAGTCCTTGGCGATATGTCCCGGCTGTCGACAGGGATAGCACGTCTTCGTGTGCTGAACTCATTAACACTGTGCTCTGTACAACTTATTGAAGAAGCATCCTAAAGCATACCTTTTCCACTCGCGAAGCGTTCTTTCGAGGGGGCTTGCGGCCGCCTCCCTTCTCATCGCCGTTACGACGGCCGCCTCCAGCGCCAGCAGCAGCAGCTGGGGCCTCGCGACCTCCATTGACACCTGCACGAACGTCAGCCATGTTTTGCAACGTTGGGAATGAAGATCTTTTGCGGGTGGATGTTTTTGCTAGTCGAGACGGAGAATGATGCGAACGATGCGAACGAGGAGAGGAAGAGGAAGAGAAGAAAAGAAAAGAAGAGGGGAGAAAAGAAGAGGGCGAGAGGGAAGGAACAAAGGACTCGTCGGTTCCCAATTAGGAAAGAGCAAATCTGGCAGTCATCTGACCTGGCGACATGATTTGATGCCTCAGGAAGCCTCCTGCCCCAGACCTTCTCTTTACCTATTCAATGAATGGCTTTATAATTCTCATGGCTGTGAACATGCCAGTCGACTTGATTCAGCTACCGAACCAACTAAACAAGACGGTGCCTATCGACAAGAATATTGAGCAGTCCTATTAATGTATCTAGTTAGCATCGGAGTATTACATTCATGATCTCGCCATTGCCGTTGGCAAAATTATTTTGTATTTCTATTTCTATTTCTATTTCTATTATTTCTAATTCTTATTCGATATAGATTTTTACAGGGTGCGTAACTGGTCACTACATGTATAGCCTACTAATGCTTCTAATAAAGTGTACTTATAATCCCTAGTCTACCATACCTAGCTCGCTTGCATTTTGTACAATACATATAGTAAATAATAATATTATAAGCAGTTATGGAACGTGCAGTCATGTAATTGCCCAGGATATATGAAATGAAATCGAGCAGATTTCCAAGCACCACGGAACTTACCCAGCTAGGCAGGTCGGCCTCGTGCCGTGCCTCCACTTGGCGACACAGCTAGCCCTAACTATCTCTGCGATGCGACGTCGAATGCCATGATCAGCAAGGAACCCCGCCGTCAGCCTAGTCTAGCTGCTGCTGGCAGCGATCGTCTGCATTCCTCGACAAGCTTTCTAGTTTCTGGACTATCTGCGTTGCATACCGAAAGCCCGAAATTCTCATTGTGCTTATCTGTATGCACGAGGTACCTAACTAGGTGGGTGCATGGATAAATACACCGCTTCCCTCGCGGGACCGGGTCGTGTCTTCATTCTTTAGTCAGTGCCCCTCTCTGTTTTCCCTGCGTGTGCCAACTGAGAACGACCAAAATGCTCGTTCAGTCTGTCCTCTCCGCGGCGCTGCTCGCGGCCGGCCTCTTGGTTGACGGCACGCTGGCCAGAGGGCGTGTGCCCATCTCCGCCAAAGCCCAGCGCCGATATGATGAGCACTACGGCAAGATGCTCGGCAAGCGAGAGCAGAATAGCAGTGCCTCGACTGCTGATTTCCGTTTCCTGAACAGCCAGACGCGGCGTGAGTGAACTTTGGTTGACTCAATTTCTCTAAGAGACGATCTCTAACTTTAGGGTTATGTACGGTAATCCTAGCCTACCGCGTGGAAAGCCTTCCCGACGTCAACTTCGACATTGGCGAAATCTACTCCGGCCTGGTCCCTATCGACTCGAACGACAGACTTCGCCAGCTGTTCTTCGTCTTCCAGCCGACCATCGGCGAGCCCGTGGACGAGGTCACCATCTGGCTGAACGGCGGGCCGGGCTGCAGTTCCTTGGAGGGCTTTCTTCAGGAAAATGGTCGCTTCGTTTGGCAGCCTGGCACTTACTTGCCTGTGGAGAACCCTTACAGCTGGGTCAACCTGACCAACGTGCTGTGGGTTGACCAGCCTGTAGGCACTGGCTTCTCTACCGGCATCCCGACGGCCACCAACGAGGAGGACGTGGCGCGGGATTTCATCAAGTTTTTCAAGAACTTCGAGGACTTGTTTGGGATTAAGAACTTCAAGATCTATATCACCGGTGAGAGCTATGCCGGCCGCTATGTGCCCTATATTTCGTCTGCGATGATTGACCAGAACAACACCGAATATTATGACTTGTCTGGTACGTAATATATTACCTATTTGAACCTTCACATTGCTCAGATCAAGGCAAACAAATAGTCTTAACTGAATGATATAGGTGCCCTCGTGTACGACCCTGTCATTGGCTCCTACGACGTCGTCCAGGAGGAAGTGCCAGTGTACCCCCTGATTGCACAGAACAACGCCATGCTCGACCTCGACGCCGAGCAACTGGCTGCACTGGAGGAAATGCACGTCGCCTGCGGCTACGACAAGTATATTGAGCAGTACTTGACCTTCCCTGCGTCTGGGCTCCAGCCGGACATTCAGTACAACGAGTCCTGCGACGTCTTTGACGCTGCAATGGACTACGTGCTGGCCAAGAACCCGTGCTGGAACATCTACAACATCGACTCCGTTTGCCCGCTTCAATGGGATGTGCTGGGCTTCCCCGGCTCGCTCGAGTACACGCCTCCCGGCTCGACCATCTACTTCCAGCGCGAGGACGTGGTGAAGGCCCTCCACGCGCCCACCGGCGTCACCTGGACCGAATGCAGCGACGAATCCGTCTTCGTTGGCAGCGGCGATACATCCCCAGACCCGATCCAGGGCGCGCTCCCAAAAGTCATCGAGCACACCAACCGCGTTCTCGTCGGCAACGGCGACTACGACTTCATCATCCAGACCAACGGCACGCTCCTGTCCATCCAGAACATGACCTGGAACGGCCAGCTCGGCTTTTCCGAGCGTCCCAGCAAGCCCATCAACATCACCATCCCGGATCTCATGTACGCCGAGATCTTCGACGAGAACTATATGGGCGGCCTCGATGGTCCGCAGGGTGTCATGGGCGTTCAACATTTTGAGCGGGGGCTGATGTTCGTCGAGACCTACCAGTCTGGTCATATGCAGCCCCAGTACCAGCCGCGTTCATCGTATCGCCATTTGCAGTGGCTGTTGGGACGAACTAATGAGATCTGAGCGAGAGCTTGCGTACATACCTATAGACGTATGTATATACATATTTGTTACCTAGGTACATCTTCCGATAAAGCCAAAATCGATAGATGTAGATCCAACACGATTGAAGCAATTCATTATCTTCACTCACAGCTAGCGCTCTCTATGCATAGAAAATCCATTCCATTCTAGTGCAGTCCATCTCCCAACCAAGTCTCTACACAGACACCGCATGTTGGGAAAAAGGAAAAAGTAAAAAAAAAAAAATTTTCATATTCTGCGATTGTATAGTTACATGCATGAAGCTTGAGCTTAGTATTGTTTGCTCCCCACATTGGCGAGGCTTGTTAGTATTGTTCGTCTCCGCCAGACAAACAACAAAGCCCTACTTTCCAAGGTTGGCAATGGCCTCTGCTCGCAGACTTGCTCCCGGCTGCACAGCATCATGATTCATCATCTTGGCTTGGAGTTAGTATTGTTCTTGTCATCTCCACTCGCTTGTCCTGAAGAATGTCTCTGGAGATTTGGCGATTGTTTGACGGCGGTTTACTACGGAGAGTGTTTTCATTTTTAGTCTTCTTATTATGTTGATCTTGTTTACATATTGTCCGTCTCTGTTATCGAGCTTATGGATTGGATTGTTCCTTGCAGCCGTCGTGGAACATTGTCGACAGCTTCTGGCGACCCTATATAACATGCATGTCTCTCGCTTCTGCGGCATCATCGTTTTCTATCGATGGACCTTCCTGCCAGACTCTTCTCCTTTGCTTCAAACATTTCCCTCAAAGAAAAGGAAAAAAAAAAACAAAGTTGCCATCAAAATGTCAAGCTTCGACCCCTTCGAGCAGAACATCACCATGATTACCGGCCAGGGCGCAGCCATGCACATTCCAATCCCCAATTTTGACGAGCACGTCCAAGAAGGGCTGACTGCCTGTATCGACTACGGCAGCCAACTCGGCGCTTCCATTGTCACCACTATCTTGCTGTTCCTGTTGACCAGGGCCAAGAAGCGTCGCTCGCCTGTCTTCTGTCTGAACATACTTGCACTCCTGTTGAACACTATCCGTCTAGTATGCCAGATCCTGTTCTACACCAGTGCCTGGTTTGAATCATATGCGTTTTTCTCCGGCGACATGTCTCGCGTGAGCAAGGGCGACTATGCCACCAGCATCTTGGCAGCTGTTATGACGGCTCTCGTGGAGCTGGTCATGGAAATGTCGCTCGTCGTGCAGACCATCGTGGTATCGACCAACATGCCGATCGTGTTCAGGAGCATGCTTCTTGCTGCATCGTCCCTGATCGCCGCCACCACGATCGGATTCCGGATGGCCGAGATGGTTTTCAATAGCATCGTCATCGTAGCCCAGAGGACTTCGGCTCCTTATATTTGGCTCCAGAAAGCAGACACTATTTTGATCACCGCCAGCATCTGCTTTTTCAGCGCCGTCTTCATGGCTAAGCTGGGCTACACGATTTACAGGCGCAAGCAGCTCGGCGTGCACCAATTTGGACCTATGCAGGTGATTTTCATCATGAGCTGCCAGACCATGATTCTGCCGGGTGAGTTTGATAATGATATAGTACCTAAATTAACGAAAGGCTTAATTGACTAAGCTCTTGCTGACGCTTTTCTTTTGTGCCAGCCATCTTCTCCGTGTTGCAGTTCTTGAGCGTTCCTATTCACGAGATAAACGCCAGCGTCCTTACATTCGTGGTGGTCTCCCTGCCCGTGACGTCTATCTGGGCCGGCACTGTTGTGCCAGGACAATCGAAAATCCAAAATGTCGAATCTGGTCCGCCTCTATGGGACAAACTGTCATCAGGCAGCTCGACACACTTTGACAACATGGCCTCCAAGCAGATACGCCAGAATTCAGCCATGACGACCGTGTCTGCAGCTATCGACCCTACTGACTTGCTTTATCGGGATTTGGAGGAGCCCACCGCCGGTGCTGATCGGAGTGTGAAATATTAGCTGATAATGCTAAAAGAGAAATTTTTTGCTTTCGTTCATCTCAATCTTCCTTTGAATTGTTCTGTCGAGTTCCGTCAGGCATTGAATAGACCAATACTAGATAATCTATATCGAATAGTCCACTCGAGTTGACTCCACGATAGGCAGGATAGAACCACCCTTCATAAGAAAACTTTCCGTTCAACAGTCCGCACTTGAGCTAAAGCATCCTTCCTTACTTGATGTCATCCATACCAAGCAACCCCTCTAGGCGCCTGGCGTTGCCGACTGTCCTAATGGGGATGAGCCCAAGGCAACCAGGCAACTATACCGTTGAATGGGAACGTACAAAGCATGACGTCCCTGGGTCAGGACTCGTATCCGGAGCTCAACTCCCGTTACTTCGGGGCCCAGATGATCAAAGCCGAGCTGATATTCTTGCGTGTTGCTCTTCCATCACCCAGGGTGGTGGTGGTGGTGGTGGTGGTGGTGGTGGTGGTTGTAGACGGCGCCGTGGAGGGGGGAATGGCTACTTTATATAGATAGTCCTGGGTGGCGCCCCGTCAACAGTGTCCAATACTAGCGGAGTATATCTTAGTCCTAACCACAAATTCATTGCCATTCAAACGTTAGTTGACTATGTGACTGCGTGACTATGTAAATAGTTAATATGTATGATATCAGACAGAAGAGTTAAGAGCCTCAGGCCGCAGCCGTGCATGCGTATACAGCAGCCACCGTAATTGGCCAGCCGACAGCTAGAATGAGATAGAATCCATATCATCCGAGTTTCAGACGTGTAAATGCACAGTCTGATTGGATTTTAATCTGAATTTGCATACGAATTTGAATATGCAATTGAAATTGTAATTGAAATTGAAGAATTAGACAGCCTGACGGAAAGGGGCATGCGGGTGCCTCAGGCCGCGCGGGGAATGTTAGCAACCTTCCCAGCCGGACCGTCCGTCTTTCTCTTTCTCTCTCTCCAGCACCAACCTCGCTCTCAACATGGCGGCTGTGCCGCAATCGACCTTGACATGGCTTTGGAATGTGCTTGCAAAGGTATGCTGTCTTAGACCTGCCTGCCCAAACCAAGACTGACGGACTGACTGGCTCGGTGCAGAATCATTACGATCCCAAACAAACATATCGCGACCCCAATCGCACATACCATGACGTCGCACGAGCGCTGGCGCAGTACCCGTCGTTTGGACCACGTACAGATGTCTACAGTGAGTGGCTTCGTCTTGTTTTGGATCATCTTGGCTCATTCGTTGCCTAGCGTCCGAGAATGGCACCCCGTCTCTCCTCCTCCACCTTGCTGGCACGCTGCCCGTCTCGTTTCGCGGCGCCGTATATAATATTCCCATAGACACTTGGGTTCCGACTGCGTATCCTCTCGAAGCCCCGATTGTCTATGTTAGCCCGACGCCGGATATGCTGGTGCGGTCTGGTCAGCACGTCACGCTAGAAGGACGGGTTTACCATCATTATCTGGCGCATTGGCATGAAGCATGGGATGTAAGACGTCCTACAGCGGAGAGATGCTTTCTTTTACCGTCTCTAACAGACCATTTCTTATCCCACTTGTAGAGATCCTCTATCGTTGAGCTGTTCGCAATCTTACGAGAGGTCTTCGCAAAGGAGCCGCCTGTCAAGCACAGACCCCCCCGCGCGACACCACCGACACAGCCAGGCGCTCCTCCTCCATTGCCTCCACTTCCTCCTGAGATTTCTGCTTCTCCCCAGCCCATCGAGCTGCCTGCAATAGACAACCGACAAGCGCCCCCAAGACCGCCCCAACTCCCTCCAAAGCCAGGCCAGGCACCGCCGGTACATTCTCCGCCGCCAGCGTCACGAGGCTCAGGGCCAGCGGTTCCTCCACTACCTCCAAAGGCTCAGATTCCGCAGCGCCAGGACTATATCTATTCTCATAATGGATCACCCCCGGCAAATGCGGCCACCGCCCAACCATATAGGTCAAGTAGTATGCGGACAACACAGATACCGCAGCAGCTACCTACTACGCCGACAACCCCAAATTACCAGCGAGAGCCATATATACATAGTCCTAGTCCTGTGCCATTGCAATCTATAAACACTGCCCAACATATGCAGAGCCCTCGACAGTTTTCGGGACAATCTTTTCAACAGCAGCAGCAATATCCACCTTACACAGCCGTGCCCAAGCAAAGCAGCCAATATCACCAGCCATCGTACCAAAATACTCCGCAGAAGACAGCTACAGCATCACGAAACCCGGGAACTCCTGACTTGCTCACCTCGCCATTTGACGTTGAATTGCCATCCATAGCCCCTGCCGGACCTCCGCCTCCTGTTCCACCAAACCCCGAGAAAGACGCTCTTCTGCATACAATTTCCCGGACATTGACCGAGACTCTTCAGGGGAACGTATCCCAATCTGCGTCTGCCGCAATTTCATTACAATCGCAGTCTCAGGCTCTCGCATCGGCCATGATCACCTTGCAAAGCGAGATATCGACCCTTAATAACTATCAAGCAGCAATACAGTCCAACATTAATATCCTCCAGCAGTCGCTTCACCGTGCAGATGCAGTGATAGCGGATGCTAAAGCTCGAGCATCTCGAAAGCCTTCGTCAGCTCATAATACACCGCCACCCGATCAAACAGGTGCAGTATCAGTCGCTGATGGCGGGCTCCCGCCGATAGACGAGGTTCTCGTTGCCCCGACAGTAGTGGGAAAACAGCTGTACGACCTCGTTGCCGACGAACGCGGAATCCAGCAAGCCATTTACGCGCTCCAAGCGGCACTTGTCAAAGGCGTGATTGGAGCAGACACATGGTCACGGCATACACGCAGCTTAGCCCGGGAGGCCTTCATTAAGCGTGCACTGATCCGGAAAATAGCACAGGGAATGGGGTTGGATCTTGGTGAAGCGCATGAACTCAAGACGGATGTTTGATTGCCCGGGGCTTCGTCAAGACTAAAATTATTCTACCTCGCTTGATCACTCAACTTTATTAATCGGGGGGGGAGGGGAGGATGTATCCTGATGGATACGTACTTGACCAGACTCGGCCGTCACAGCCGTGCCTCGGCTCAAGAAATCGCTTCTGCTCTCTGATTGGCCACGGCGCAACCAAACTAACAGCTTACGGCCGTTAGATCAAATTTTCAGCCCTAACTCTGTTGCAAAATATTAGCTGCTGCCAGTCAACAGGCTGAAGAATACCAAATGTTGGCCACCTAGCACGTAACTTGACGAAGCTTTATTTTTTTTCAGGAGTAGACCGGGTCTGAGAATTGGGTAATACCTCCGAATGGCTTATCATAGTAATTTGTCTGTCACTAATTTTGGTGGGACGTGTTAGATCCTTGCCAAACCTCTATATTTGTATTTTCATATATATATATATATATATATATATTCCTGATCCTTGGTAGAGTATTTGCATCATAAGAGAAAGAAGGCAAAAGAAGCTGTCTGGTTAGTTAGGTAGGTATAAAGACGGTATCGATTGGGACTCTTACAGTGAGGTATGTTTAGCTTTCGTCTCGTCGACTCTGTCTGTACCTTTCAATGAACCGTTGAATCAGCGACAAAAAGAGGAAGAAGCTTCTTCTCACACTGACACAGTCCTCATACAGACGAAAAGAACAGTCCATCATGGATGGAAAGGAGGCTACTACAGCCGCCACGGCGCCGAAGCCAGAACTACGCTTTGTCGAGTTCGAGGGTCCAGATGATCCCTTGCACCCCTGGAACTGGCCCATAGGCAACCGGTATGAAGAATCTTGACTATATCTACACGTACTTAGTTGACCATCGGCAAAGCTAATGTTTTATGCCACTTCAATAACAGACGCCTGGTATCGGTCATCGTGGCTCTCTCAACCATGACTGTTGCCATGGCAAGCAGCATATTCACGTCAGCCATCCCCTCGATCATGGAAATGCACGGAATAAGTCGCGAAGTAGGCACTCTCGGCGTGTCCCTGTACGTGCTCGGATTTGCAACGGGCCCCATCGTCTGGGCCTCATTCAGTGAAATCAAAGGACGCTATCTACCATTCACCACCTCACTCTTTGGCTTTTCGGTCTTTTGCTTTGCAACCGCTCGCTCTGGTCCTGACCTTGCATCCATCTTTATATGTCGGTATTTCGGTGGTGTTTTTGGCGCCGGCCCTTTGACTCTCGCCGGTGCCATTTTCTCGGATATGTACACGCCTAGAGAACGCACGGGCATGATGACCTTGTTCTCATTGACCGTCTTTCTGGGCCCATTACTCTCCCAGCCTATTGGCGGATTTATCGTGAAGAATAAGTCCCTAGGCTGGGAATGGACCGAATACCTGCCGGGCATCCTCGGCAGCGCCCAGTTCGCATTGCTGGTCTTCCTGCAGAAAGAATCCTACCCGCCCGTCATCCTGGCTCGCAAGGCAGATAAACTACGTCGTGAAACCGGGGACTGGTCGATTATCGCAAAGCAAGACACCATCGCCCTCGACCCGCGTGCGATCATCCAAAACTACATCCTGCAACCCATGCGAATGCTTGTCCTGGACCCCATCATTCTGTGCATGAGCACATTCGGCGCCTTCGTCTATGGCTTGCTCTATCTGTTTCTCACTGCCTATCCGGATGTTTTCCAGGTAGTGCACCATATGAGCCTCGGTGTTTCGGGGCTGCCTTACTTGGGCCTTGTCGTTGGACAGCTGTTGAATGCTGTCGTCTCGATGCTCATTCAAAAGTACTGGCTGGTTCCGCGCATGATAAAGAACCGCGGCATTCTTGAGCCTGAATGGGTACTCCCCATCGCTGTTCCGGGCTCTGCCGCTTTCTCTGGCGGTCTGTTCTGGTTTGGATGGTCTGGTTACAAGGCCAGCATCCATTGGATGGTGCCAACGGCCTCTGGCATATTATCTGGTTTCGGCTTGTTGGCTATGTTTCTGCCGTCGATTTCTTATATTGTCCTAGCACGACCGGAGAGGTATGTCCTCCTTTTTCTCTGAATCTATCTCTCATATATCATATTCTACTGAAACTAATGACTTCTTTTTGCCGAGTACAGAGCCGCCTCCGGTGTTGCAGCGCATACATTCCTCCGTTCTCTCTTTGGTGCCGGTTTCCCCCTTTTCGCTACTTACATGGTAAGCAAAAACAGACTTTAAAACTGCAAGGCCCCCCAAGCAAATCAAATCTAACTACTCCTCTAGTATGAAAACCTAGGCATCCAATGGGCAAGCACTCTGCTCGGCTGCTTAGCCGCTGCGATGCTCCCCATACCCCTGCTGCTGTACATCTACGGCGCAAAGATTCGACAGAAAGTGCAGATTGAGTATTGATCTGTCCGCGTATGGTTATGGGGAGAGAGTGCTGGTGGTGGTGGTGGTGGACACTAATAATAATTGTGACAATGCATGGTCTTTGGCGTTGTGTGGACGTGCCATAATACCCAGCTGGGCACGAGGTATGGGCCTTATAGATACCCAGGTAGATAGATTGATAGATAGATACCTGATAGATACATAGATTCAGAGACAGCATATAATATAGATGAGGTTTTTTGAGATTGACTTCAATCAATATCAAGCATTCCATTGCAAAACTACTTCAATAAGACTGAATGTTCAAGCTATGTACTAACACAATGCGGAAATCCAGCGTGTTATTGAAAACGAAGCAAAAGACATTAAATTAGCGGGATTATTGGCCATGCAAAAGCTAGGGTCAAAAGGTCCATAAGCAATTGGCAATAAATCAGATAGAAACTAAGGAAAAGAAATAAAAAGTGCTTAGTGGATGAAATGCCGCTTTGAATATGTACTGAAAACTGAAGGCAATATAATCAAATCAATCGCTTTTATTGTTTTCCACAGGACAGACTAGTGGACGAAGCGAAATTTTTGGAAGGGATATGCTATCTTTCTTTGAACCCCCGATGAACATCGGAAAACCCCTCCAGAGCAAGAATGACCAGCGAAGGAACTCCAAAAGTATAATCATATAGATAAATATTATACGGCAATAGTCGTATTGTATATTAGTTAAGTTGGACGTAGTTTCCTATCAAACCAAGTCAGCAACAAGATTCGCGCGAGTGTGCTAAAAGAATTGAACCAACCTGGGAACTGTCCCTCTCGTCCATGTAGCCGTCCTGTCCACCACTCGTTCTCGTTGCTTGTGCGTTGAACAATTTCAATCACATCGCCGGCCGAGAAGCTGAGGTCGCCGTGCGCTTGAGCTTCAAAGTCATACAACGCAGTCACAGTCTCGACATTTGGCTTGGCCAAGTAGCCTGGCTTTGGCTTGGGAGGCGGTGGAGCTGTCTTGGATTTGGCGGCTGCTGCTAAAGCACTGCCGCTTGTACTATTCGCACGACCAATCGTCGTGCTAGAGTCGGCGGTAGCCGAGTAAGGGGGAGGGGGTTTCTCGGTTGATGATCGTCGTGTAGTCTTGTCGTCCGCGGCAAGTTTATCTTTGAGCCCTGGTTTGCGACGACCGCCAGTGGTTTTGAAATGCACGATTGTGAGCTCCTCGGCCTTTTCCCTGGCGTCTCCTCGCTTGGCTTCATACGCCTCTTCGATATCCCGGGTCAAATCAAAATAGCCGATGTTGATGCCCTGCATCTTTTCATGTAGCGTATAAAACACGTTCAACTGCATGTAATAGAACGACTGAAATAGCGGGCGGATAAATTCTGCTTCAAGCTCGAAAAGCTTCGGCAATTCCTCTTTCAACAGGTCGTTGTAATGATTGTACTCTTGTGTTGCCTGCTCAACGTCGTTTTCCGCCTTGTACAGCGCTTTTTCATCCTTCAAAGACTTCTCCTTCTTGTCTTCGAGCTTCTTCAAGGTAGAACGGTGTCTGTCGTAGTCCAATTTTTTGTGCTCACGCTTAACAGTTATCTTGCGGACGATCTTGATAATGTCGAGAAGCTCGTTTGCGGGACTGACGATCCTGGTTTCAATCATCTCGAGCTCGGGCTGAAGCGTTTCCTGCAAGTCACGCACGATCGCCTCGTATTCCTCGCATGCCTGGATGCCTTCAGGGTTCCCCTCAATGGTATATGTGCTGGGATCGGAGGCACGGCCGGAAATGGGCTTATACAGTTCGGTCATGGCTTTTGAAAATTCGATCTGGTGGTTCAACATTCCTGCTCGTGTATCAGTACTCGACACAATCACGTATAAGGTGGAATCGTGGCGCTGCGAGGGGCTAACCGTTGATAGCGTCGAAGTATTTTCTCGAGTCATCATGGAGTTTCTTGGTCTCTTTCTCCAGTTCTTGAAATCTTCGTTCGGCGTCGATGTAGACGGGGTCCTTTGTGTTCTCGCCAATGTTGAAACGCGCCTTGAATGTCTGCGGCGCTCGCGACAGGCTCTTACCGATGCCTTTCAGACTCATCTTGCAGCGAACCCCGCAGCTGAGGGGGGAATGTTGACTCCTGGGTTCTTGTTGCCTTGGTGGCACAGGCTTTGGGTAAGCTATATAGAATATAGAGCGCTGAGGCGTGTAGAAACGATAAACAAACACGGAAGAGGAAGGCACAAAGGCAGGTTCCTGGGAGGTGAGCTCGCTTTTGTGGTTGCAATCACAGTGGCTTTTACTTCCTCAACTTCCGGGAACTACGGCACTTTGTGTGGCTGAGCCAAGCCCAGCCCAGCAATGACATAATCTGCCCATCGCCAACTCACTATGCCATATGCAGTAATAGTCTATTACGAACTCGACAGAAGCCTTATACAATCGACAATTGATTGATAATTTGATATTAGATATTATATCTCCTCGAGATGAATTCATCTTGTCACTCTTCTATAAACTGCTTTGGCGTGGACCTCTCCATATTCCTGCGGCACTAAATCTGCATGCTCGCCCACTATGAGCTGCAACGCTTCTTCCTCTTTGCAAGGCCGAGATTGAGCTGGAGGACTGGGGCCTGTTGCACTTGGTATCACTGTATTTGAGTACTGTGACACACTGTGGAGCGTATTCAAGCTTATATTCGCGGATGATCCCGACGTGGACAGCTGCAGTGGCGCGATCAACATAGGTGTTGTCTCTGTGCTTGCCGCGCCTGAGGGAGACGGTGGCTGGGATCCCATTTGCGGAGCCAGAAAAGTTGAAGAAGGAGAAGAAGAGGGAGAAATAACAGTGTTTGATTTGATCACTCTGATCCATACTGGATGCTTGTATAACGCGTGCTCCGTGATGCCCCCTGACGTATTCTGCAGACGAGCGGAGGCAGGGGATGAGTTGATGCAGAGAACAATTAGGTCGGTCAGCGATTCCCACGCACTCGATGATCTACGGGCCAAGACGGAATATACGGTATGTAAAATCGCCAGAAGTAGATGCACGTATAGTAATGCCAGGGACAAGTAGTACGACGTGCTGTTCCCACTGTACGCCAAACCTGTGATGGTAACGCCCCAGCGTAACTGTGTCGACTGTGCGTCTGACCTTGGTAGTTCCAAGGACCCAGACAGAAGATCGTTGAGAGTCTTTTTCTCATGTTCAGGGTCAATGTAGATCAGATATTCAATATCTGACATGAGGGTGTACGTCCCCCCATTATCTGCATATCCTACTCGAGACATGCCATCCACGACCAGGGAAGAAATCACACCCTCCAGACTTCCGACAGCATCCACATAAGCCACGATTAAACCAGTCGAGTTATCAATGCCCGCAGCGTGAGTAGCAGATGAAAGAGTATTCCAACCGGAGTTGTTACTACCCAGCACCGGTGTCAGGCTGTCCAGCCACGACCCTTCCAACCGCACAGTTCGCCAGTTCCCGTCATTGATGGCAGGGAAGTTATTATTATCTAGGTCCGAATGTGTCGGGATCACGGCTTGTTGCAAGGGCATCCCCGACAGATAGCCGACGTTAGTCCCCACCACGTTACCTGCAACCCATCTCGCATCAATCGAGCAGGCGAAAAATACACCGTCCGAGGACTGGCCTTCATAAGGGACTTGGATATCCAGGAAAGCACTTGGCCAGCCAGAGACATAGTTCCCTTGAGAGTCAACAGTTATGCCAACGGATTCATTGTTTTGTATGGCTCGCCATGTTGCCGTGATGCGAGAAGAGTTGTAGCCTGTGGGCGTAGAAAGCACAAACCCAACGTCCGTCAGGGCAGACTGATATTGAGGCTGTATAGGGTATAGAAACTGCTATGTCAAAAGATCAGTCTAGGTATGCCATGATAGTTTTATCTACCATGAATGACACCCACCCCAGAATTGGTCATATTGAGAAAGTTGACATTCTCATAATAATTGCAGTTCGTCCGCACGACTGGAAGGGTACTTCGCACCGCCGTCATAGTAGAATTGCGCTCACGATACTGGAAATTGCGATACTTGGTCTTGGCTAAAGGAGCGCCAAATAGCGCCTGGTTGTACCAGATGGATGCCAGCTCAGTGGAATACGCCCCTGTGCTCATATCGATCCCAAGCGCCCACGTGTCGGTCACGCGCCCCTTGATCTGCACTGAGAGCATGCGCTTCATAATCCCGTCTGACATCTCAATCTGGTTTTCATAAGTATTGAAATGCAAAGCCTGAAACGCCTGTGCAATTGCCGGGTATCCGTTCCAGAGACAGCTGGACATGTTCAACCAGAGGCCGTTGATGATCGTCTCACTAGGCGAATCGCATGCTGGGATTCCGGTTGATGCAGATGTTAGATTCGTCGGCCATAACGAGTCTGTAGAGCCAGCAAGGTAGAAAGTAGCACCACCTGCCGGCCAGTCGGTACGTGAGGGAATCATCAACAGCGCCGATGCAGGGCCAGATAAGACAGCCAGGAGACCAGCAATGACCAGGACAGCTGTGAGGACTATTCGTCTAGATGCAAAACTTCCCCAGAGGAAATCAGGCGTCCAGAAGTAGCTTAGGTCTGAGAAACGGAACCCAGCACTGAGCAGACCTAATGGTAGGCCTTGTGGCTTGTAGAGGAGCGACTCGCGCAGGAGATCCATGACAACTATTGAAGTTGAAGCGATTACAGCGATCTCCTGTCAGTTATATTAGATTAGTTAGTAATAGAGAAGGAAGTGGCTAGGTTAACCATATTACTTACCATCAGCTTGGCGGTAATCTGCAGCAATAGCGCATCGAGGTCTTGATAGATCTTTTGCGACAAACCCAAGTAATTGCTACCAATAAAGTACCCCGCTAGATTAAGGTATGACAGTGTTATTGTGCCACAGATGGGGAGTAAATGCACCTTGCACTGCCATAAGACACCGCGCAGGCCGGCGCTGATGATCGGCTGCGGGGCTTGTGGTCGTCTTCCATAGACGGCGCGTTTGATGCGGTGGGCGCAGAAAGTCCAGAGGGAATACAAGGCGTCTTGCACCCATCTAATCAGGCTCAAAAAGAATTGCCAGCAACGTTCGACTTTGGTCTTTGTCTTCATCGTGAAGTGGTGTGACGTTGTATTAGCACATTCTCCGAGTCTAACAGAACTGATATGATGCCTTTAGTCCAGATGTCGGATTGGCGTGTTTACTACCTAGGTAGGATGTCAGATAAGCCGCATGGTTGTTACTGGGGGTCGCGCTGTGGCCCCAACTCAGGCCCGGGCTCTCGTATAATATATGCCATATGGCTCTGAGTTCAGGCCTTGATGACTGGACACGCATCGCCAACGCTCCGGCTATTGGCCGAAAGCTCACAGTCCATCAGACTATAGTGATGTAGTTCGTCGACAAGAGGCATACTGCAGAACTCAATAAGTCGATCTGTTTGTTCACTGCAGTTGCTGTCATCGTCACTTGAGTAAGGGATTTGGAGCATCTTTCAGAATAAGATGTCAAAAGGCAGGCAGGTGCATATAAAATGTTACCGTTGGTCTGTCTTCCCTAAGACACGGTAAATCAATCACAGCGAAAGCGTCCCCCAGTAAAATTTCCCTGCTATTCCCTAGCCAGTAAGCTAATGAAGACTGTCGGGTAGTATAAGGTTATCCCCAGGTCTGCTCGGATAAATACCATCTTCCGTTCCGGGTCCGAACCGATGTTTATACCAACGATTATCTATTATACTCTCCTTCATATCTAATGTAAGACATACGAGTTACTGGATACCTACGCTTATTGGCAATTGCATGGTCTCTTCGGATTTAGAAAAGCCGCCCCGGAGATATTATCCCGATCAGTCGGCAAAAAGCCGAATTGCCAAGCCGCTATCCCCGAGCACTAGCTTAGCTTACAAACACCCGCTTACCGACGAGAAAAAAACCTCCCAACCTACATACAGCATTCTTCCGTTCCCATCACACACACTCTTCATCACTTATCTTTCGAATCATATGGTTGGGTGGTGTATGTAACGAGCATCATGTCTCACATGGCATCTAATGCCCTTCGACAGGCGTCTCGGGCGAGCTCCCGTCGCCTGTCCTCTGGGCTGCTGAGAGTCGCCTCGCCACTTCCTGGTCGGATGGCGACGCGCCGCCATTATGTCTCCGAGTCGAAACCAGGCAACGCGCAGGTCAGCGTGGACACAGCTATCAAGGCTGAGCAGAGGAAGTTTATGGATCAAACAGGCATCCAGCCTCAAAATGCAGAGTTGCCCGCCTCGTCGGTGAGTGGCGATACGTCGATGAGCCCGACCGCGGGTATTCTAAAACAAGCAACGATCATGGATGAGGGCAATCGTCCCATCTATCTTGATATGCAAGCAACAACCCCAACTGACCCTCGAGTACTCGATGCTATGCTCCCTTTCCTCACAGGCCTTTATGGCAACCCTCATTCGAGAACCCATGCGTATGGCTGGGAGACAGAAAAGGCCGTCGAGGACGCTCGAAGCCACGTAGCCAGCCTTATCGGAGCCGACCCCAAGGAAATCATTTTCACCAGCGGAGCGACTGAAAGTAATAATATGAGCATTAAGGGTGTGGCTAGATTTTTCGGCCGGTCCGGAAAGAAGAAGCATATCATCACAACCCAAACCGAGCACAAATGTGTGTTGGACAGCTGTCGTCATTTACAGGATGAAGGGTTCGAGGTTACGTACCTGCCTGTGCAGAACAATGGCATTATCAACATTGAGGATCTCAAGGCGGCAATTCGCCCCGAGACTGCCCTTGTTTCGATCATGACCGTTAATAACGAGATTGGCGTTATCCAACCCGTTGAAGAGATTGGAAAAATATGTCGCTCAAATAAGGTGTTCTTCCACACCGATGGCGCCCAAGCGGTGGGGAAGATCCCCATCGACGTAAACAAATGGAATGTCGATCTCATGTCCATCTCCGGCCACAAGATTTATGGCCCCAAGGGAGTTGGAGCATGTTATGTGCGTCGTCGTCCTCGCGTACGTCTCGACCCTCTTATTACTGGAGGTGGCCAGGAGAGAGGACTGCGCAGTGGAACTTTGGCTCCTCATCTCGTGGTCGGCATGGGAGAAGCCTGTCGCATCGCCAAAGCGGACATGAAGGTAAGACTCAATTTTTTATTTAACCCACCTATTTTATTCCTTTTTCGCATCCAGAATGATTAAATGCTTTAAAATATGCATGGCTTTCTGAGATCGCTTGGTGGTAGCCCCATGTCGAAAGATGTGGGAACCAGGCACTATGATCTACGTAGCAGGGGTAATGACTGGAACATTATTCTTACTTGTTTTTTTTTCATTCAATTATTGTGTCGAATTCGCACTAATGATTCCTTTAGTACGATACCGCACATGTCACGAGGTTGTCCAAACGACTATTGAACGGCCTGTTGTCGATGGAGCACACCTCCCAAAATGGCGACCCTGAACGCCACTACCCAGGTTGTGTGAACGTTTCTTTCGCCTACATCGAAGGTGAATCTCTCCTTATGGCCCTTAAAGACATTGCACTATCCTCGGGCAGTGCCTGTACGTCAGCTTCACTCGAGCCCAGCTACGTGTTGCGTGCCCTGGGCAACAGCGACGAGAATGCCCACAGCAGTATCCGGTTTGGAATTGGCCGATTCACCACCGAGGCCGAAATTGACTATGTTTTGAAGGCCGTGCAAGATCGTGTGTCCTTTTTGCGAGAACTCAGCCCGTTGTGGGAGCTGGTTCAGGAGGGTATCGCCTTGGACACGATCGAGTGGAGCCAGCATTAAGTCAAAGGAAATCTAACACTTCATTCAATCCGATGCCTCTCACACGGTCTGTGGACAGCAGAGATATGATTGATCTGCATCTCTTTTAGTGTGGTTTTATATACGTTTTTTGTTAAGGGTTACGGCGGCGTTGGCACGATGTATACGTTATAGGCAGCATATTTAATACTTCCTAGCTTTTGTTCTAGGAGACTTTGTACAGAATGGACTCTCCCACCTCGGGTTCTCTTGATTGACCACTCGCGATGCTTATGGTTCTGATTCATTTCATTGAGTATCAACTATTTTATTAACCGTAGGTAGCCTAAAGCCTAAGGCCAACCTGACGCAATCCACGCCTGTAGCAATTCCGATTGGTGCAGGCAGTCCCGGAGAATTTCGCCACTTTCTTACCCGCAATCAAAAAAAATGCTCATTTGCAGCATGTGCCATGCTTACCTACAACCTTACCTTAGTAGACATTTGCCCCAAGGGCCTGGTTAGATCTCCAGGGCGATGGAGGGGCTCATTCGCCTATTGCCTATTCTGTATTTATACAGCTTCCCTGTTCCTAAATCAGCCGGCGTAGAGTTTTCATGGACCAGACTTTCACCGAGACGGTCCTTTTGGCCGGTTCTGCTAAGGTCCTCCTCTCATACTCAAGTCATTTTAATTTAAAAATATATTTCAGTAACTCGATTAATAATGGCCATCCACATCGTTCCGGCCTGAAGGCAGCAGAAACAATTTATACGGGCCTGGATCTCTCCAGGCTTTTTTTTTCCTTCACTCCAGTCTCCTACCCCGCTGACCTGTGGGACAATCCAGAAAAAAAAAACAATATAGTCACCTTTGCCTGAGACTACTAGAGCACTCTCACTGTTCATCATCACCCTCCTCCTCCTGGTCTCTTTTCTTTTTTTTCTCGCATTCGCATTTGAATCGTATTTGCCTCCGACCCCGGAGCGGCAGGTGCTCGCACGTGATCTCCCGCGCCCTGTTTGCCTTCGTCGCCATCCTTTTTCATTTCTAGTTGGAGTTGGACTTGCAAGCCTTGGCTTCGTTTTATCTCTCTCTCCGTGCCACTTCTTGACTCGCTTCTGCTGTTTTGTTGCGTTGAGTATTGGTTGCCATGCTTCCGCCAATTCCGGTCCTGGCAGATTATGACATTGATCCCCACCGTGGCTTCCTCCCCCCAGAGCTGCCCTTGACCTCTCTATTAGATCCATACTATTCAAAATGGGAGATCGTCATCGAAAAGTTACACGCTCTCATTCTCAGCAGGAGGATTCGCTCTACTGTTGATCGCCTGCCGGTTCTTTCCACTGTTTACTTGCACAGCGATGCAGAATGGCGTCGAGCGTATGTCGTACTTACTTTCATGCTTCACGCATATATCTGGGGCGGTGATATTCCAGAAGAGGTTTGTGAAAACGACCATAACAGGCAGACGGAGAGAATTGTCTAATAGTATCTCTTATAGGTTATCCCACCCTCGATTAGTGTGCCTCTTCTAGAGGTCTGTGAGCACTTGGATCTTCCGCCAGTCGCCACCTACGCTGCAGTGTGTTTATGGAACTATAAGCCAATATTCGCAGATGAACCAGCTGAGGATCTCAATAACCTGGCTGTTATCAACACTCTTACTGGATCGACCGACGAGCAATGGTTCTATCTTGTTTCCGTGGCAATCGAGGCGAAGGGAGCCCCGATGCTCCCATCCATGCTAGAAGCAATCGCTGCAGCACGACGTGGGGACAGCAGTACTGTTACATCTTGCTTGCAAGGATTGGCGCAATGTATAACCGAGATTACTGTTATCATGCAACGCCTATTCGAGCATTGTGACCCTCACGTATTCTACCACAAGGTGCGCCCGTTTCTGGCAGGAAGCAAGAATATGGGTGACGCTGGACTGCCGAATGGCGTGATGTTTGATATCGGGACAGGTCCGACAGAATTTAGACAATACGGTGGCGGTAGTAATGCTCAGAGCTCGCTTCTTCAATTCTTTGATATTGTCTTGGGCATCGAGCATCGTCCAACCGGAGTAGGCCCCGACGACGATCGTTCGCAGAGTGAATCGGAGGGTCTCTCTGCCAAGCCAAGACACAACTTTATTCAAGAAATGAGACAGTATATGCCTCGCGAACATCGTCGATTTCTGGAACATGTGGGGAGTGTCGCTAATATTCGCGAGTTCGTGGATGCGCGGCGCTCGGACAAAGCTCTCTGTTTGGCTTATGATGCGTCCCTGGCGATGCTGCGAGACTTGCGCGACAAGCACATCCAAGTCGTGTCCCGCTATATTATTGTCAAGTCACGCGAGCAAAGACGCAATTCAGTCTCTACCAATCCACCGATTTCGCGACCTGTTATGAACTTGGCAAATGTTAGACATGGCGACAAGGCAGGCAGCAAGAAACTACGGGGCACCGGTGGAACGGCTTTGATCCCGTTTCTCAAACAAGCCCGTGACGAGACTGGCGAGCCGGCAATCGATGCCTGGGCGCGGCGACTCTTAAGCAATGGTCCTGCAAATAGAGGTTTTGCTACTCTAGACAAAGTTAGAGAGCATGCTGATGGTCAGATTGAGATTGTCGGCATGGCGGGTACATGGGCAATGGACGAAAGTGAAGGGGGCATATGCCATTGGTAGGGTCGTTGTCATTTGCGTGTAGGGATCCGTCTCTCTTTGAGCGTTGTGTATTCCAATAAAACTCGGCGTTGGCGGGGTTCATATTGAGTTGGGGTTTTTTTCTTCCATGATGATCAGTCAGCCTGCAAAAGTTTCTCTCTCTTTGATCCATTTGAGTTTGCAGGAAACTCACCAAGATTTTCTTCTATCCTTTATTTGCATTAGGGTTTCACATGCATGGGCAGGCATTCTCTGATTTTTTTCAAAGCATCATTGCATATTGCTTTTTCAATGCATCGGATTACTCTTTTCGACTTTTCCCTAGATGCATTTACAACCTATCCAGACAAACCTGTTCCAATTGGAGTGCCTAGGCAATGCCTAGCAAATGCGGCTAATATATGCAAATTCAAGGTTTAATTCAGGTCACTAATCATTCTCTTCATGCAAAGAATTCATTTGGGATATCTCATAATCTGATAAACGCTATGACAAGGCACCTGAATGCCACGATTGGAAAAACAGAAAAAGAAAAAGAAAACACGAAGCTATCATACACTTGAACACCTGATGCTACCACCGCTTTTTAGCGCTGCTCAGTCTTCTGAAGATCAGCCTCAACACCGCGCTGACGTGTCTTTCCCTCATCATGAACATCCTGCCACTTGGATTGAGCCTCACGATCACCAGTAACAGCAGCACCAATGTTACCCATAGCACCCTTGGCGCGGTCGGTCACGCCTTGACCGAGATCAGAGAGCTGACCCTTGGCCTGCTGAGACTTGCCGTCGGCGTTCTGCTGAATACCGCTCTGGCGAAGGTTTTCGTTGCCAACAAAGTTTCCGATGGACTCCTTGGCGGCGCCAACGGTCTGATTCCAGGATCCGGAGGTACGATCTTCGTTGTCGGTGACGGCAGCTCCGCTGTTTGGGTCAGCGGTCAAAGGACCTAGTTTGGCGGTGGTGTGAGAGCCTTGGTACTCGTTTTGAGCTTGAGCCTTGGTGTTGTCGGCTTGTTTCTGTGGGGTTGTTAGAGTCATCCACAGTCAACCATTTGACTCCTGATGGAAATAGAGTTTTACCTGATCGGCAGAGTTGCCAGTCACAGAGGCCACTGCGCTTTGAGCTGCACCGACAGCAGAGTCCACGTAGGACTGGAAGGTGGAAGAGCCAGAAGCACCGTTAGACGACATGATGGATGTGTTTGGTAGATTGTTGTGTGGATGATTGATTGGTATCAAGCAATGAGCAGTAGTATTGTGGAATTGGTAGGAATGAAGAGTCTAGTTCGTGGCAAAGGGGCATGGTGAAGCCCCTGATTTATATCTCGCGATGCTCTCTCGCCATGACATCATCCCCTCAGGGCCCGCGATCGATCTGACGATGGATGACATCACCGCGGGGTCACGTGCCCTGCCTCCATCGAGCAAAAGCAAAGATAATCCATTCAATGCATCACTGTGGATATAGTTAGTATGTAGTTACTAGTATCAGCGTCTAGCATGTTCTAGAGAAGCGCCACCTATAGCGCCTCGAAGTTAGATGACGACAGAGACCGAAAATACTACCTAGGTAAATGCCAGGAGCTGAATCAATGATAGAGATGCTGTATGATGTCGTTTGGTGTTCTCTGCAGATCTCTTCCAAACTACATATGGAATATTTCCCATACGGGAAGTTCATTAGTGGGTGAACAACTGGATGGCTCTTTCTCAAGCTCGCTCCTGCTTTGGGCCTTCGAAATCTGCACTATGTCTTATGAGCAGTCACTGTTATAGCTGTTAAGGGGATTCTTGTGAAGGTACCATTGATCGCAATAATGGTATGGCAATATGGTTATGATCGATTCCGTCCCGTGTCTAATATCTTGAAAGTTCATCTATTCAGTCTCGGCGTTTCAATCATTGAAGATACTTGGATTTGTGTCTATAATTCTATCAAAAGTGGGCTTCTACTTTAAGAGGCCTGTATGCTTCTTCTAAATATTTCTCTTCCGCTACATTCAACTTTTTGTCAAGGGCAGAGAGCGCTACATCATTTAGCTCATAGTCCAACCCTTTTGTTTGGCCATTTCTTCAACTCAATTGTTGATTTTGATGGCCTCGGGGCGAGTGGCAGATCTCCCCAGCGGCTGAGCGTGCAGTCGTCCCACCAACTTCCAGACGACACACAAGATGAATTTGTGCGAGAGGTCCCCCTAGTATTCCGATTTTGTAGTCTAGGGGATGAAGACAATAGTGTCGAACATGGAAGCGTACCGGCATCTATGGCAACGTCAACTTGCATTGCATAATTCATTCATCTTCTTCACGGTATAGAAGCGGAAAGTATCAGTAACACGAACCACTACATCTATCCGCCTTCTGTAAAAGCCTTGTATTTTTCGTCCAGTATTTGTCATGGTCAGAAGCTTATGCCGGGGTAGACTGTGTTTCTTGATCACTAGAGCGATTACCCGTTCAGAGTCACCATTTGAATAGACGTTGGCGGTGTCCCACTGTTCAATTCCAGGTCCAAATGCATCAGAAGCAAAATCAACTAGATAACAAAAAGATTTTTATAAAACTAGTTACAGTGTTGACACCACGATTGTAAGCGGATTTCAACAATGGGAGTGCCCACAATGGAACTGCTACGCGAAGCCCGCTTCTACCGAAAATTTCGTATTCAACTTTGGTCTCAACCTTGGTCACTTCAAGCGACTTTGCTACACTTGCAGAAAGCTGCATCCATCCTGCTGAGGTTGCAAGGATGTTACAACTGTGTTGTTTTGATTCAAACACTTGATACTGCTCTGCAATTGTCGCAATGAAAATTTTGGGCAAAAGCTACTAGCTAATAAATAAGAATTAGAGAACAGAGCTCTCAACTACTATATGCTCAAATGCAAACACTTTCTTTGCCTATTCCTTGTTTTTGGCCAATAAGCTGAAAGGCTGGAAAATAACCCGAAGAGGAAAAAACTCATACCTACCTGTTTCGGCAAGTGGCCCGTGCGACTGAAAAGTTACCTAAACAGGAAAAAACCTCGAAACTACGTATATTGGCATATCTTTAAAGTATTATCTCTGTGATAGATGTAGATATGAAAGCCCGAGCGCTATAACAGTGAAAGATAGAGACTTGGTTCTGGGATCACCCAATAGTAACAAAAACATCCTATCTATCATATAAATCGTCAGAATCCAAGCACGTATTGTGGCCTTGTAAGGGACCAGGTCGGTCCACTGTATCAAGACAATATCGCAGACGTCTGGGGTCTACTTCAGACTATCTCAGTAAATAGTCTGTTATTATTTCACACTGTATATAGTTAAAAAATAAGGTCGACATTATATTAGTCCAGCGTGTCAACCCAACGCAGGTTTAGTAATGGTTGAAGTTGTCTTCGAAAGAGCTATACTGCAAGATCCCAATATTCAAGTAATATATGAGTTCAACAGAAATGGCTGTTCCCGGAATCATAGACTACGATTTGATCGAGGGTTCGAAGAGAGCCGCCCGACGAGAACACAAACTTACAGTTCGAGAAGCGGCCTCTAAGCACAGAGCAGCAGTCATCTGGGCAGCGTTCTTTTGTTTGCCTAACTTGATTATCGGATATGACCCAACAATTGTTGGAACGTTAGTTGGTATACCTGAATTTCGCAGGAAGTTTGGCTATGAATACCCTGCTGGGTCAGGTAGCTATGTGCTTGCTGCCTCATGGACATCTGCATTTACCTATGCGCCGGTTATTGGGTATATGCTGTCGGCAATCTGGGGTGGATGGTGCGTCGATCGCTTTGGGCCCCGCAAGACACTCCTGGGCGCTACTGTTCTTTCACTGGCAACTCTTTTATTGGAAGTTCTCGGTGAAAGTGCGGCTGTCATCTTCGTTGGTGACCTTTTGACTGGCCTCCTCACAGGCAGCTTCCCTGTTCTTGGACCCGCGTACATCTCAGAGATTCTTCCGGTGTGTCTTCGTGGCATGGGGCTGTCTTGTAACAATCTCGCTCAGGTCCTTGGATCACTCATTGGAATTGGCATTTTACGAGGAACGGAAAATCGATCAGATAAATGGGCTTATAAGGTTCCCTTTATCACTGAATACGCATTCCCCCTAATTTTCATTGTCGGGACGCTTCTAGCCCCTGAAACACCATGGTTCTTGGTGAAAAAAGGGAGACATGCTGAAGCAAAAAGGTCACTCGGGCGTACCGGGTACGGAGATGATGTCGAAAATACTCTGGCTCACATGAAGGAGACTATAGCTCTGGAGGCAGAGTTATCAGCCAGTGTTACATATTTGGACTGCTTCAGAGGCACCAATTTTCGGCGAACTCTTATCTGCGCAATGGCCTACAGCGGTCAATTCTTATGCGGAGTCAACCTCGCTGCCTCTTACTGCACCTACTCTTTTGAACTTGCAGGCCTCAACACAAACCAAGCTTTTGATATGTCATGCGGCCTCTTTGCGCTTGGTGTTGTTGGTGGATTTCTTTCGTGGCCATTAATGACAATCTGGGGCCGGAGAGCTGGGTATGTTTGGACTTGCAGCTTCACTACGGTTCTGATGTATGTGATGGGATTTTTGGGAATCGCACCCAGCTCTAATAACGGGGCAATGTATGCCAAATCAATCATCCTGCTTCTCTTTTATTTTGTCTACAACATTGGTCTGGGTCCTATCGTTTATGTCCTGATTGCAGAAGTTCCGAACACAATGATTCGCGGTAAGACATTGGGTGTGGCCTGCTTCACCCCTCACATATTCTCTATTTCCATTACCGCTGGACTTCCCTACGCAATGAGTCCCACGGAAGCCAATTGGGGGGCATATACCGGGTTTCTATTTGCAGGACTTGGCACGCTTGTCGTTTTATGGGCAATATTCTATCTACCAGAAACCAAAGGAAGGACATTTGAGGAGCTTGACATACTTTTTGAGCGTGGCATCTCCGCTCGAAAATTTTCCGAGACTGATTTAATAGACTTCAATCGCGCAGATGTTGTCGATGGTATAGCTGTACTAACGAAGGAAGCTATTGCGGAGGGGAAATGAAATATTCGTAGCAGCAGAATATATTGAAACCTACCTTGTTACGCTATAATATAAATGTATTCTGGTTCGAAGTGCAGCCTACAGTTTAATCAAATCCCAATCCCATTAGTTATGTAAATATGTATAACTATGCATACATATATCTCGGAGTTTCAACTCGATTAACGTATTAGCCACTGACTCACGTAGCAAGTATTTGAATTTACGATTTCAAAAGATATGATGCGTCACGGCGTGGACTACGAGGACGAGTCAGCATATAGAGCAGCAAATATCAATTGGCGTGACCAATATTTTTCAAGGCAGTAATTTTTGAATATCCTCCACCAAGAGTTCTAGCCTTCTGGTTTGTCGTCGCCTTCAATGAACACTTTACGCGTCTCGCTATCTCCGTACCAAATACAAAGAAAACTAAATTCTCCCGCCCAAAATCTGCGAAACATTATTATTCTAGTATTAATAATCACATACATTCATGGATTCGATCAATTTTATCACTAACTGGTATGATAGTAGGAAGCATTCCAGCCCTGGCCGGCTTCCCGCTTCCAGCCAGCTATCTATGACCCCGCCAAATAGGCGAGAAAGATACAATAATACGTAGCATTAAGAAGCTAGATGCGAGGTAATAGGTCGGTCTTGGCAGGTGCATGCCAAATTAGTAATTACCAGATTAGGCAAGACAGTGGAAAGCGCATTTAGGTTACCGCGCTGGTACCCGATCATAGATAGCTTGTCTTTGACTTTTATGCTTCGTCAGAGTTATGTATTGTCTTTATTATACATCGCATGTCTCTAGGGAAAAGGCGAAAAGTCAACGGTGTACTCTAACCACCCCTGTATTCACGGCCTATCAGAAGAAACTTGGAACGAACGCCTAACATGGCTTCGATGGAACATATTTTCGCGGGATACCACGCCCGACAGGCTGTTCTAGAGGCCACGTTCGACAAGAACCCTTTTGCCAGAGGAATAGCCTGGATTGAAGGGAAATACGTACCGGTCGATGAGGCTCGCATCCCGCTGCTTGACCAGGGCTTCATGCACAGCGATCTTACCTACGACGTACCGTCTGTCTGGGACGGCCGCTTCTTCCGTCTCGACGATCACCTGACTCGACTTGAAGACAGCTGCAAGAAGATGAGACTTCAGCTTCCCCTACCTCGCGACGAGGTTGTAAGAATCCTAGTCGAGATGGTGGCTAAGAGTGGCATTCGCGATGCCTTTGTCGAGCTGATCGTCACACGCGGTTTGAAGGGTGTCCGTGGCCACACCCCCGGTGAGGTCTTTAAGAACAACCTGTACATGTTTATTCAGCCGTTCGTCTGGGTTATGGAGCCTGATATGCAGCCCAGCGGAGGCAAGGCCATCGTCGCGCGGACAGTGAAACGAATTTCTCCAGGGTCATTCGACCCAACAGTCAAGAACCTCCAGTGGGGCGATCTCACGCGAGCCCTCTTCGAGGCTGCCGACCGTGATGCAGTATATCCTTTTCTGACGGATGGCGACGCGAATCTTACCGAGGGCTCGGGGTTCAATATTGTTCTGATCAAGGACGGCGTCCTCTACACGCCCGAGCGTGGTGTTTTGATTGGCGTCACTCGCAAAAGTGTCATCGACGTCGCAAACGCCTGCGGAATCCCAGTGAAGGCCGAATTTGTTCCAACTGAGATGGCGTACAACTGCGACGAGATCTTCATGTGTACTACTGCAGGTGGCATCATGCCCATCACCGAGCTCGACGGCAAGCCAGTAGCAGACGGTAAGGTTGGACCGATCACAAAGAAGATATGGGATGGCTACTGGGCCATGCACTATGATTCAGCATACACATTCGAGATTGACTACGCAACTGGAACAGCAAAAAGTATGAACGGTGCCAAGCTTTAGTTTGCTTTCGCAGGTGTTATTCTTTTGCCCGTATATAGTCTACACGAAATTAAATAATACTTCACATTCATATGCGAACCGTGTTCATCTATGTGGCTTCTAGACACGACCGGTGGTTATATTTAGTGTGTATCATGATTTTAGTAGATAGCTACTCATGTGTCTCAACCGCCTGTGCAAAGTACCCAGATATGTATGGCTAGATTCTAGCAATATAGAGCAACTCTCAAGCAAAAAGGGACAAAACAAATAACTACCTGCAGCTCGGATATCCCTTCAAATAAGTGTAGCAATGCTGCCCGAAAGGGATTCCAGCTCTAGTAATCACTAAGCTTGCTGAAAATCTATGGCAACTTCTTCTCACCATTGTCGCCGTTACTGGGGTTATTGGCACTGGTGTCACGTATCGTGGACTATCCATCGCCCTTGGTGTTTCTACGCGATAGCTAGAGGCAGAAGCAATGTATATATGAGCGTAAATACTAGCTAGGTATATATGTACGTATTTGAATTCCAATATCTAGCGATATCAAAAGGACGTATTGTCGCCCAGCGCCAAGCCAATTCTACTTATCAGTGGGGTACACTTGAAGGGCATGAATTCTAAATCCAGATAAGGGCGTGCCTTTTTCATCTTCTCTGTTCCAGTTTAGAGTTGTCGTTGTTGTTGATAGCGGTGGATCACGGGTCTTATCAGCCCTTACCACATGTGGCATTTCCTTATTAGGAAACCAGAAGAAAACTCCATTTCCGGTTAGTTCCAGGCAATTCGACAGTGCCTATCAGCATCGCCTATCGAAAGATGGAGATTGAATGGCCCACAGATTCAGGCCCCTCACGCCGAGCAACGTGCATCAGATAATACATAGCTTCGTCCCTATCCGCGTTGCGTAAATAATTGTTTTGCTTCTCTAATGTACGAGTGACAAACACTTGGTGTAGGGTGTTCTGCCAATGGCCATCAACATCGAAAATGGTGGATATCCACCAGAGATCATTGGGTACGCTGAGCCATGGATAGTGGCCCCTGGAGACTCTGTTGCAATCAAGGTATGACTTATTCCTCTGGGTTGCTGGCCCGAATTGCCCCAAAAAAGCACAATATGAAGAGCAAGTAATCGGTAGTCTGCTTAGAATACACAACAACAAAATCGGGTATATTCAAGCTGATACACAAACACAGATATCATGCACGGAACCGGAATACAAATATCGCACCGTTCGCTTGATCCAGGGTATCGACCTTGAGCACTCCCCAAAGAAGGCCGAGGTGGAGGTCGAGGAGATTCCTCGGGGTCAGCGACAAGGCAGATTTCAAACATCTCAGCCAGGATCATTTGGGTATGTTCCTAACTGGAGTCCACCAAACGCAGCAGAGGGTCTTCAAATTTCATTTTATGTGCAGCCGTGGTTGCTGGACTGCTCGCACGCACAAACTCTGGTGTCGACCCTGAATCCAGCTACACACACCGGGTTCTCCATTGCCCTAAACAATCAAGGCTTGCTTGATATCAGCGTGGGAACTGGGCACGGTGTCGCAACCATTGCTACCGGGCTTAAACTACACCAAAAGACCTGGTCGAAAATCAAGCTTGTATTCAGCGGTCGATCGATTCAGGTGAATTTAACACCTATCCCTTTCAAAGTTGAACCCATACCCCCTCCCACAGCATTCGAAGGGCAGTTGGATGCGAAAGCGGTGTTGTTCCGGCCAGGGCCTCTTCTCATCGCAGCAAGCCAGAGTAGCGCTGTCGGTAACAGTCGAAGCGATCAGAGGCCGCCTGTAACGGACTTCTTTAACGGCCGAATTGACCGTCTCACGTTAAAGACCTCTGCTCAACAGCCATTGATCCTCGCTAAATATGACTTCTCACTAGAAATATCTAGTGATCGAATCATTGACGTCTCTGGGCGTGGTCACAATGGTATTCTGGTCAACGCGCCAACTCGTGCTGTTACAGGTCATGACTGGGACGGGTCGGAGTGTGACTGGACACGGGCGAAATTTGGCTATGGTGCGATACATTTTCACGACGATGACTTGGATGATGCGGAATGGCAGACAGACTTCAATATCACGATTCCGTCTAATGCCCGCTCTGGTGCTTATGCAGTGGAGGTGGAGGCATTAAATGGCCGAGATACGGATTCAATCACATTCTTTGTGCGCCCAAACCGATGGACATCAGACAACTCGAATAAGGTCTGCCTCGTTTTTTCGACCTTCACGTATCTCGCATATGCCAATGAGCGTTTGTATGACACCACTCGCCCAAATACAGCTGACCTTGGGCCGGGCTTTGATATTACCAAGGTCCTGAAGAGCGCGGAGTTTTACAAGATGTGTCGCCGTAGTGACCTTGGCCTATCTTGTTATGACCGCCACAGCGATGGCTCAGGGGTTTGTTTCTCGTCATCGAAGCGACCCATCTTGAATGTTCGCCCAGGCTATATAATGTGGGCGTTCTCCCGCCCACGCGAATTCTCTGCTGATCTTATGATGCTTGGATTCCTGGAGCGCGAGGGTATCCCATATGAAATTCTGACTGATCACGACTTGCACGCCCGTGGAGCTGGCGCCCTCCAAGGCTTCAATACTGTTATAACGGGCTGCCATCCCGAATATCCTACTCTAGCATCTTTTAACGCCTACAACGCCTTTGCTAGAGGAGGAGGAAACCTCATGTATATGGGTGGAAATGGCTTTTACTGGGTCAGCGCTCTCAATGCTGATTGCCCGCATCGATTAGAGGTGCGAAGAGGCGACAGTGGAGTACGTCCTTATAGTCTTTCGGGTGGAGAGCACATCAACAGCCTCGACGGACAGCGAGGTGCCTTGTGGAGGTCTCGCGGCATGAGTTGCAATACGCTATTCGGGGTCGGCTTTTGCGCTCAGGGGACAGGCCCAGGCGTACCTTACCGGCGTACCGAGGCATCCAGGGACCCCAGATTATCCTGGATGTTCACGGGCGTAGATGGTGACCTTATCGGAGAGCACGGCTTTGGAGGCGGCGCCTCGGGCGACGAGATAGATCGGTATGATGTTGGGAATGGGAGCCCCCTAACTGCGGTAATACTTGCTACGAGTATAGGTCACAGCGATGACTTTGGCATTGCTGTTGAGGACCTAGGTTATCCCGCAGTGAATACACTTGGAACCCAAACAGACCTAATTCGTAGTGATGTGGTCTATTACGTTGGCAGCGGTGGTGGTGCAGTCTTTAGCGTTGGCAGTATCAATTGGTATTGCTCGTTGGCTTGGGATGCTTATGATAACAACGTTGCGATATTAACGGGCAATGTTATTAAGGGTTTCTTAGCAGGGAAGCGATAATAGAGGTCTTATCAAACTGTGCGGGGTGATGCGTTCCCAAAAAGGTATTCGGATGTCTCTATATAAATTCTTTGGTATTTATTACATTTCCAAGCCCTACAAAGTTATACATGACTACCATATTAGCAAGCCAAATCCTCAACGATGGATATCCATAAGCATTTTCGTTCATGCCAAGTTACCTAGATAATGTCACGATACTCATACTTCAGTGCCGGTAGCCAGGTATATGCTCAAGGTCAAGGTATCATTTAGACCCGGTCAAGAAAAGAAATGCTATACAGAACGCTAATGCATCATAAGTCGCCTTGCTCTGTTCGCCGCTCCAGCCGATGCGAGGGCAATTGCGAGGTATTTCGTAAATACAAGCTACGACACAAGACAAACAAAAGCGCCACAGTTGCCGTATGCCGCTTTCACTCATCAGCCGAGCAGATACTGCCCTGTAGAGCTAACTCCGGATTTTTGATCGATGAGAGACCCCCACCAAATGTCCGGATCTGACTCTGCTGCTCACACCTCTTGGAGCAGACCAAGAGTGGTGATGAACATATCATACCGTGTCTTGCCACCCAACCAGCTACAGTATTCCCTAACCTGTTGCCTCAAATCGTCATCTTCCGTCTCGCACGCTGCCAAAAATATGGGCAGAAGAAGCTGTTTCTGAATCATGACACTCCGTCGGCATGAGAAGACATGGTTGAGCACCTTGCGCGCGAAGAGACTGATGCGTGTCACAGATGCCTCAACCCGGCGCCACTTGAAGACACGTTCAATGTAGACTAGCAAGGCAAGACGCCACGCCTAAGCGCAGTGATAGAGGTCCAGGACGGAGTGCACTCCCTGGACGGGATCTTGACCCCTGTCATCAGGAAAGCAGGCATTGCTCGGTAAGCTAAAGTCCACATCCACATCCACATCGTTGTATTGCGGCGGTTGCCACTCTTTTAAGGCCTTCTCCGCAGCCAGCACGGGCCCATGTCGAAAATTAACACAGGTCATGTCCGAGGCGAGTTCAAATTCACGTGCCTAGGTCCTTTGTGAGTGAACCTTGGAACTAGTAGTCGAATTTTCATTAAGCCAGCCATAAACAAATATTAATTCAAATTTCATTTTCGAAAATGCCACTCTCGATGAACGCATCCCAGGTGCTCTGTTCTATAAGTCAGTAAAGAATAAACCACGCTCTGATGACATAGGGGAAACAGACCCAATCAATATTCATTTCATTTGACATATCGAACATATCCTTGTCCTCTGGTAGAAGAGTGTTATTTAGCTGAAGGGGTGAGCCTATGCCAGGGAAAGCAAAAAGCGCGCTGGGTGTGTGTGGCTGTGATGAAGAGCTGGAGCCAGTAGAGGCCTGAAAGCTAGAAAGCATGCCAGTGAGAGTGTGATGCAATTTGTCGGCCTCATCACAGGAATGCTTTGCACGTTCCCACAAAGCACATGATGTGCCTAATGCGTTTAATAGAGAATTGCTATCTGGGACTGCGATCATATCTGGGCTTCTTCGTCTATATTCCAACTCTAGAAGTAAGAGCATCGCGGGGAGTGTGTATGCCTTTCTAGTTCGTGATAGCCTGTACCAAGACGGATCTATGAGACTTTGATAGCTTAGTATAGCAAGCGCCGACGCTATACATCGATCTCGAGAGTGATTGTATTGAGGGTCAAGTCTGCCTTTGGCGATGAATCTTCGGTGCAGTTGGCACATTCCTATATGGTACATGAGTCTCAATTGCAAGATGGATGTATCGGCTTTCTTTCCATCGGCAGTGCAATCCAATTTGACGCTGTCCATTTTCATGTACAGAGGAAAATCTTCATACGCTTCGTACAAGGAGTTGTCAATTTCGAGTATTTCATTATATGAACTCGAACCGGTAGTATTATTGAAATCGGAAACGCGGCTCAGTGCACGTAGCAACCGTGTTTTGACAATCAAATAAGAAACGTATGTAGTTTCACTGATCGGCCTGGGCGGTGGAAGAACGGTGAGATCATCAGACAGCTCCCAATCATGCACATTGCGAGGTTCCATGGTATCAGTATGTATTGTCGATATCATACGCGGAAATCCGGCGGTGAATGAGGCCATATCGTCCATTTCCATCACGGAGAGCCAGACTCTACGTCGATACTCTGCCTGAAAAGGCGAGATAGATGGTGATTGTGAAGGGTCACGGTGATATCCCATATTTTTTGCTGCACGGACCATAACACCAGTCAATATCCATAAACCGCGACTAGTGTCATCTTTTCGATTAAATTCAGCAGTTGCATTCAAACGCAGTGCTTCGACGGTGTACGGTAGACACTTGGCAATGTCGCCCATGATTAGAGATTGCGCCGTACGTAATCGATAGAGTTGGCATAAAGAGTCCGACATTCCTTCGTAGTCAGACGGTTCGCCATATTGCTGATAAGCAAGCATCGTGATACTAAGAATGGAGAAAAGTAGGCCCAGCCATATAACATTTGTGCGAGATGGGTCTTTCCAATGCTCGGTGTACTATCATGATATCAGCAAAGTGATTGACAGCGGGAAAAAAAAAAAAGAAGAAGAAGAAGAAGAGCCTATAAAGGGTATCAATACCTCGCGCATGAAAGTTGGTTGGTGTAAGATAGCTGTAAAATGAGTAAGCTCATGACTAGTAGAAGACCCTAGCCAGAATTACTTACGAACAACCGCGATAGGAAAATTTTGACGGTCAAAAAACTGGTGTATGAGCTTATCAAGTTGAGGTTTGGGCGGCAGGGTGCTCAACAATTCTGTTTTATCTATTCGTTGGACCTGGCCAAAAAGCAAGCTCGATCCATCAACTGTATTTGAGAGCGTTATGGGCATATTATATTCAGGCTCCTCGTCCTGAGTTTGACTCCAAACTTGCTTGAGGGTGTTAATCTGAATGGTTGTCAGTCGAAATACTCTATACTACGAAAAATCATAGGCTCTACTAACTGACCTCTTGGAGTATATCGTACCAGTCATCTGTGCCTTTATAGACAGAATGAACCCCATCAATCACCGTCTTACTCGGACTAGATGTCGAATCCGAAGCATCAGACATAGAATTCTTTGCCAAAATTGCAGGTTCAGCAACACCGTCCAAAGGAACTTGCTGGTGCTGCGTGATTAGTCTTTTGACCAGACCCTCCAGGTGATCTATGCGTTGTTGCATTGCATCGCCCTGCTTGGGATTGAGCGGTGTCGTTCCATTCTTTGAGCTCTTGTACTTGCAAGACGCGCGTTCATCGCGCACCAAACAGTTCTGGCAAGGTCTCTCGCGATTGCATCTCAGCCTAGCTCCGTCAGCACAATAATACTTCACATTGACTTCAGTTGGACACACTTTCTAGTGCGGCAGGGATCACATGACAGAGGGACGCGGTTACGCCGAGTGGATCTGTAAGTTCTCCCTGTTGCAGCACTTTCTGGAGTCGGCATAGTGCTAGAAAAGGCGAGGTGTATCTCTGGATGGTTATGTATTAGTTATGTGCCGTGGAATATTGGATGTGACACTGAAAGATCGATACTGTAGTGTGTGGGGCCGGTTGGCGTTATGTCCGCGGAATTAACTTGCGCCCAAAGTCCACGGACTTAAGACCTTGCAGCATTCTACCATCTATAAAGTCCCAAGGTGAAGAGCATGATGCAGTCCACGGTTCATACCTTACTTGGGCTATTATCGCAAGACCTCTTTTGAGCCTCCCTAGAATCTTTCCGCCCATCACTACCCTATCAGTCCAGATATCACAAACCATGCCTACACTCGGCAACTTTCTTCATACAGTTGATCCTCAAGATACCTATTCCCGCTGCCTCGTTTGCTTCAAAGACGGTCATCATAACCGGTGCGAGCTCGGGCCTGGGAAAGGAAGCTGCGAAACACATTGTCCGCCTCGGCGCCAGCAAAGTGAAGCAAAGTGATACTTGGCTGTCGCAACACACGAAAAGGCGACGACACCAAGAGTGACATCGAGGCCTCGCTCAGATGTGGCACAGACATTCTGGAGGTTTGGGAACTCGACATTGAATCCTCAGACTCTATCAAGGCGTTTGTTGACCGAGCCAGCCAATTGTCACGCTTAGACGTGCTAATCAACAACGCCGGAATCGTAACCAATTCGTTCCAGACCGTCTATGGCACCGAGCGTACCATAGCTGTTAACGTTGTCGGGACATTTCTACTGGTTTGCAGCTGATTCCAAAGCTGAGAGTGACTGCGAAGACATTTGGAGTCACGCCACATCTGACATTTGTGGGCTCGGCCCTGTATGATATTGCCAAATACCCTGAAAACCATGGGAAAGATCTTTTCTCCTGGTTGAGTAACAAAGATAATGTGACTATGGTGAACCAGTGAGCTAATTTTGATTTTGTATTGCCGCTAGTGACAGATCGGTTGGCTAATTCTATGGAAGATACAACCTCTCCAAGCTCTTACTACTGTATGTGCTTACCAAGGTATCCTCCATCGTCGATACGGAGGTAGCCAATAATGAGTCTCAAGATTCTCACTCGGTTGTTATCAACAGCCTCGATCCGTGCTTCTGCAAAACCGGACTAGCGGGCGATGTGACTGGTTTCCAAAGAGTGGCCCGTAAGACATTTTCTGCCATGTTTGCTCGCACAGCAGAAGAAGGATCGAGGCTCATAGTGATAGCAGCTTCAGCTGGAAGAGAAACTCATGGAAAATACATGCGAGCTGGCGCTGTGCAAGAATATTCTCCATTCATTACCAACGAGCAGGGAATTCAGAGGTCTGGGTTTATTTGGGAATCTCTGCGGACTAAGCTGGAACAGTTACAGCCTGGTATCATGGCAAATTTGTACTGATCTTTACTAAAGGGGGATTTTGGACTATCTTATTTGTGTATTTTGATGATTCTGGTTATAATGCAACTATTATCCTATTTAACAAACCATTACGCAAGTCATTTCACTATGTAGACACAATAACATCTTCACGGTTCAATTCGAACCCCCCAACACGTGCAGTAACTCAAATTCTCATCATTCATGGACTAGACATTAATAACACAAGCTGCATACATGATAAATATCGTTAAAGTTGATTCACGCAACCATGAACATCAAATAAAACCCCTGAGACTCATGGGGCTCTGATGGTATATAAAGCACTTCATAATTTGGCAAGTCTCTCCAAATGATTCCTGGTAATCAGTTCGATCTCGGTAGAGTTATCCAGGACATCCCTAATCCGCTTTACGCTGTTGCTCCTGGAGTAATCCGCCTCGATGCTGTTTTCGAGGGTCGCGGTTAAATTTGTGCCATTCGCCGCCTCACTGCTCAGGAAGCCTTGAAGCGTACTAAGAACCATTCCTAGCAAAGGCGTTTGAGCGGTAAGGGAAACTTTAGACATTTCCTCCGTATAGTAAGGAACATTACTTCCATTATAGCTAATGTCTGTAACTTGGGAGGTAAGGGCTAAATAACCGTTTTTGATGTACGGTCCTTGCTGGGAGATGATTGTACTGAGGTTGTCCATAATGGTAGTAAGATTCGCTGTGCCTCGAATTTGCACTGTGTTGTTGCCAGGTCTCAATAGGAGATTCTCAATGACACCTGTGCCAATAACAATGTCGCCAGAAAGTATATTCAGCGTTGTGTTGCCCTAATTTATCCAGTTAGTGGCCACTATTTTACGCCCTGTTTGTTACGAGCGAGAAGAAGCCTCAACGTACAATTTCCAGAGTTAATATAGACTGGTTTGGCAGAGTTGCGTTCGCAATGAGATTCGTGCCGTCACTCTCGGCTGGTAAAACTAAGCTTGCAGAGTCGATGCTAAATCCGCTGAATTGGTTCAGTCCTGATAACGTTTAAAGTGCCTTGTTAGAGTTGTAGCCACCAAATTAAGGAGCAAGGTAGACAAACCTTTTGCAGGTGCTACTTTATTTAGATCCAAGGTGAATGACTTGATCTTTCCCAATTGTGCAACAACGGAGCCTTTCAATCCCAAGCTACCATCATTTAGAAAGATGGTATCGTGTACGAATTCGTGCCAGGTAGTATAATTCTCCAAGGGAGTGTACTGTCCGGTTTCTTCGATAGTGGTATTTTTATGGACTTTTGCGCCGGGCAGATTAAGCTGTACCATGGGGTATTGGGAACCAGTCTGGGGGATATACATTTGAAGATGCTCGGGCTGCGTGTTAACAGTGAATGGGCCGGGAATGTAAATGTTCGAACTAATGGAGAGAATAACAGAGTCATTCTGTGGTTGGAGAATCGATGCATTATTGATCACGATGGAACCTCGATTGAGTAGATCTTGCGCAATTCTCGGGATGATCAGCAGGAAGCTAGATTTCATCGTCAGTGGCCTTGATATGAATGAGAAATTCCTTTCTGTTTCACTTACAGGCATGGGAGAAATATAGCCAGAAAAATGATAAGTGCAATGAGGTAGCAAATCCAGAAGCGCCTGAAATGGCGCTTCACCTTCTGCCATTTGGTTAGAGGAGGTGGAGGCGGGACATTCTCATCTTGCTCTGCGACAGCTTCTGTTGCTTTATTCAGTCGGAGGAGCTCTTTCGATACTTCGTCTATTTTGCGATTGGGCGGTTCACGTACCTTTATCAGCAGGCAGTTCCCCCCGGTTGCTCCCAATTGTGAATCTGGATAGCTTGTCAAGGAAAGTTGACGACTTTTCTCTGTTTGCCACAGCATCGGTAGTAGGAGCAGCAGCTTCAGCTTCCTTTTCGACGTCTGACTTTTCAATGTCCGACATTTTGAGCTCTTGACAGCTTCTCGACTCTCAAATTACACTCAGTACTGTAGCTATCGACCTGTGTACAAGCTCTATGAAGCTCGTCATAGAGCACGCTCACAGAACGGCAATGCAGCAAGATGGACAATGGAAACACAACAGAAAATTGATGGCAAGCGACGTAGCCATGCAGAAAAAGAAAAAGGAAGTAAACAAAGCAGTTAAGCAGTACAGGACTAGCTGGAAAGATGGGCCATGACAGTAGGTAATAGTTTATTCCGTAGTAGATCAATAGATTGATATCTTAGCTCACCAGCCCCAAGTGGCAAGTGCTACGCTACCCCACGGGAAAAGAGCAAAGCAGTCGATGCTAATTTCACAAGCTTCAGGATAGCATGCTGCCGGAGTTCTCCACAGAGTGATATCCGTGCCATAGCAGCCAATTTCGAGCAAGTATTTGCTATTACGCCCTCCAGGCATAGGGCACGGAGCAAAGCAAGCTTGTGGACGGAGTGGGCCCCGGGGATGATGATGACCTAGGTACGGGGAAAGCGTAAAGTACCTTTAGGCCTCGGCGTTCAAGGCTCTCGCATTGGGGTATGCAGATTTTCACATGTGCGACAGGCTACACAACTATAGCCAACACTTAATCTGCATAACTTTCAAACATTGGAATACATAGAGGAATTGGGTCGGCACAAGAAGATGATTTGTTCCATTGCAACCTGGAATCCCGACTTCGAGCATAGGAATGGGGTCATGTGTCCTAAACCCAAAAGATTTGCTCACAGAAAAAAACGGGTGCTTGGCCATCTCACGATATTTGAGTCCTCGGACATCTGCAAGCCCCCATCGCGTCTGATTTGCTGGTTGCGAAGAACTAACCAAACCGTAGCGTCGGAGAGGCCTGAAAGGCGAAAGGATCATCCCAAACTAAAGCCAGCCTAGGTTGGGAAACTCGTACAAGGGCGGCATCGATCAGCACAGAATAATGGAGAACGAGCGGGAGGAGATGCTGGGGTATTTCTTAGACACGGCGCTGATTCTCACGCTACCCCCTACGAAGAGGTCTGTAGTACTTCCGGCTCCATACTGTACTCCTAGTAAACTAGTCAGTGCTAAAGAACGCCAACGCCAGACTAATGCGGGGGAGCATACTATTTTCCTTAATGGAGTCGGTGCTGGTGCGATTTAGTGTCCTCCTCAGGCGGTGCTTGACCTTTCTCCCAAAGCGGCTGCTACGCTCACTGATTATCGAATCAACGCCCTGGTAATAATGCCTGACTTGTTTCGGGGGAGGAACTAGAAAGCAACCTCGGGATAACCTCGTCCATTGACGTCAGTAGTAGTGCGAGGGATCCTGTGATCTGGCGATGGTTGCCCGGGCCAGCAAGATACAGTGGTAATGTCCAATGTTTGTGCATTTGTGCAGCATGTCTGGAGGTGTTGTTCTTGTTGTTGTTGTTGCAAAGAAGGCTCGGCTCCTTCCCTATCGACCGAGTCACGAGACTCTGGCTTAGTCACTGAACACTATTTTGCTTGCGCTCAGTCATCGCATTCACAACCTCCTGGTAGGTAAAGATACTGATTCGGCCTGCTGTAGTAACTGGCGTTATGGCACTCTCCAACCGGCGTGCCAGCTCCAGGTTCACGGAAAGCTATGAAATCCACCGGAGTGACTTTACTCGTCTCACTGGGTCGCTGGATTCCGACTCGGAAAATAAGATTCTCGATTCTCTTGAACGACTCCAATAGATTCCCAGGATCCTCCAAGAAGGCATTCTGTTGACGGGCGGTGCCGTGGCAATTTTACTGTAGGCTGCGGCGCATGGTATGGCTCCTAAAGCCACTAAAACAGATGCCAAGGGAAATATCAAAACATTGGCAGAGCAGTTGTATCAGAGCATATATGTGGCAGTCCTCTACCTATTTGGGTTGACTTTCGGAACACGCGAGTAAAGAAAGCGGATTCTGGACCGGACCTACTCTTTGCAGCAACAGCTCAATGAAAAAGCCGCAGATGCCACGATCCATGACAGCATTTTCCCAGAAGACCCAGGATTGAGACTGTGGGTTGGTGCAACATTATATGCAACTGGGATGGAAATGTACCAGCGAGTCTTTGACAAACTCGGCTTTCAGGAAGCCGAACGGGCATATAGCGAATTTGCCGTGCTCATCAACATCGCTCTCAACATCCCCAAGGGAGTATGGCCAATCAACCGCACCGCCTTCTGGGCTTACTGGGATGAGAATGTTGAGAAGCTGGATGTTGATGCACGAGTGCGGCCAGTCGTTCACGACCTAGAGGCTTTCCACAAGACACCTGGCTGGATCAAAGTCAGCATGCCGTTCATTAGGAACATTACTCCCGAGATGCTTCCTCCCCATGTTCGAGAGCAGTATGGCTTCCAATCATCGTCGACTAGCCGCTTCATGTATAGACTGTGCATGGGTGGAGCACGGGCAATATATCCAGCTTTACCGGGGGCCTTTCGGTGTATACCGAAGAAGCAGGCAATGAAAGAGGTAGAGAAGATGCTCCGGGAGCAGTAAACCATCTAGCTTGCTTTTATTAAGCCTTGGACGGAGAAGCATTGGCGGCGCTCATTTTTAAGGCATTTAAGTCCTGGGGTTATTAGTATATGGTAAATCAAGTGAAAGAAGCCCGTATTGTTATAGAATTCATTCATTCATCAACTCATGCCATATACTAGTTATATCTAGGCGGATAGTCGTGACTATCTTAGCATGCAATATCAACCTCATCGCATTGGGATCATAAAAAATAAACGAAGTCAACGTATTCCGCCATGCTTCTCGCGTACTGGGGGTCATAAAGTCAATCATCAAGGCCATTAACTTAGTAGTGCGGATAGAAGTCCACCCAGGACCTTTGACAGATCTTCCACGAGCTAAATGATACATATTATATTAGCCATTTTTCCACTTTGACAATCAACGTTATGCGATGGGGAGATAATAACTTACCGGCGTCACATCGTTGATGAGCGTGGCTGTTTGATTGACAAACTCAGCTGTTAAGAGTGAATGAGCATTATCCACGATGTCCCCCAGCTTGTTGATGGTGTCCGCGGTGACAAGCTGGCTGATGGCAGATACGAGGTCTGGGGTGAGCAGAGCGCTGACATCAGTGAGTAGAGTCTTTGTGTCGTTGGCAGTGGAACCGCTTAGCAATGTGGCTGCCCCCGTCAAAGTGGTTTCGATGTTGCTGACACTGGAATTGCTCAATAAGACTTTGGCACTTTCGATCATACCCTCCAGGTCACTGATTGCTGAGGGCGAAATAGTGAGGCTTGCGGATGTGGTGGACTGGGCCATTGTTGAGGTGAAGATGGGGAGGAAGAAGAGAAGGCCGAGTATTTTGAAATAGTGCATTTTGACTTTATTCCGTTACTCTCTTTTTCTCTCTAGCTTTGATTCCAAGGTTGTTTCCGGCTTTTCTCTCGGTTCGATTGCTCTCCGATGCAATAGCACCTTAGTTGAAGGCGTTCCAAAGATATATTAAAAAGTCAAAAAAGTAAAGCCCGAAGCCAAAAGTCTCACAGTCTTGAATACAATTTAGGAAGAGATAATTGTATGTATGATTTGAGTGTCTCGTTATCTAGGGTAGGTAACTGAGCAGGAAAAGAGCAAGGTGAAAGACGCCCTCTATCGGCCAGACTATTCTACCATACCTACTAAATAGGTACTTCTTGCCGTTGTCGAAATCGACCGAATCAGCTTTCGACTCGAGTCCATGTCCAGGCCTCTTCCTGGGAAAGCAGCTAGCCCTAACTGCAGTCCTAGCTACCTAACCTATACCCGCGAGGTATAAGCCTATAAAATACATCTACAATGTGCAATAGTAGACTAGTTATCTCCCCGCACTAATGCAGCCCCATGTCTTAATGTGTGGAGATCAATTGAGGAGTAAAATATTTGGGGTATAGTGCCTTACAACTATTACCATGCATGGCATTCAGCCCCCATGTCCGGCATGACTGCGAGCATGTGAGCCGCGGTACATCAAGAGAATGTCTTATTATCCATGGGTCTAACTTGACATGCTGCTATCTTGATTGAATAACGTTGTGTTAGAAGACGTGCTATTGCAACTACCTTGGATATCCATCCGATCTTGTGCCGGTCGCCGAAGACACCGGTGTGCAACGCCCGTCACATCGGATGTGGATCGATCACTATTGACAAAAAGACCTTTCTGGTCGTACTGTTTAGAGACTGAAAGCCAGTTTCTTTTGTATGTCACTAGGGCGATCCTAGTGTCTAATGCTCTGTGGTGCTCAGTGATGAGCTTACGAAGGAACGCCCTTGTCTACATACTTTCACCTAGTGCGTTGAAGTCACGTACCATGGTAACTAGCTAACTAACTGAAAAAAAAAAAAAAAAATTCTGCAACTAAATACGCTGGATAGAGTGCGGCCTTGCCAGAAAAAAAAAGCAGCCATCCAGTTTTTAGTATAGTCCCCTCGCGATCGTCGGAATTCTGCAAGCCAAAAGCCACAATTTCAGGCCTCGGAGCTTTTCCCCGCTTAGTCCTTGCCTTTTTGTTTTCATCAGTGAGTTCCAGGGCACTTATCTATGGGGCATCATGAATTGGGGCAAAAAATACTACCAAAATATGTGATTGAAACCGTCCAGGTAATAGCCCTCTTTTCGCCGTATTGGGATATTCTTGCCGTGCTCAATCTTTTATACCTAGGCTAATCGACTTCGTATAATGCACCGGTCTGGAGACTTTTCAGACACTAATAAATTGAGGGATTATTAAGTAGGTAGTTGGTTGTATCAAAAAGATATGCATTTCGGTTTTGTGAATGCCACGTAGCTATGGCTCTTTGATGTGATTTGCGGGGCAAAAATCAAGTATCCTCACGTCGTATACTCCCTGTCCATCATAAAATGCGAAAATAACCAAGAAACAAACACTGGCTATAGTGCCAGGGCCAATCCGGCAATACCCAGCGCTCCCAGCATATTGACAGCCATAGCCCCCGTAGGAGCCGGCACTGCAGGCGCCGCCTTCGCCGTGCTGCTCGACGTAGTAGCCACAGTCGCGGACACATTCGATGACAGAGCACCCTCATTGATTTGCGAACGGACGACCGTGAGATAACTCTGAATCGATGATGGTAGGCTTTGGTACCAGGCCGGCGTGGTCCCGTTCTGGAACTCGGATGCTAGCGAGCTCCGCGATGCTGAGTCGAGGATATCTCCAAGCACAGACATGGGGACTGCAGTCATGATAACAGGAATAAAATCCGAGGGCGGTGCGGCAATGTTGCTTAGGTTCGCCGTTTGGGCCGGCACATTTGATAGTACTGACGCTGGTGCTGCAGTGCTGACAGCGGAGGCAAATGATTCTCTGGAGAAAACAGTGTGAAAACATCAGTCCTCCGATGATAGATTAGAAGATGATATTGGTTTCAGCTTACAAAACTGCTGATATTGATCCATAATTATAGGCAGCTGTTGTTGTCGCGCTGTCACGCTCGACGATCTCAGCAGACGAAAAAAGTGCAAAGGCGATAATCAATAGTGAAACAAACGTTGGGCGCATGATGATCTTGAGAAAATGACTGGAATATCCAGCGGGCACGTCAATGGTTTCTCTCTTCTTGCGCGTATCATGCAAAGACATCCGATCTTGTTGTCAACGTAGTTAGGTTTTCAAGTATCTTTGACTAACATGTCCCTAGGTATGAGAGAGGTTCAAATGTAATACAAACGATTTGAGAGTAGTTATAAATTACAAGTCTCGTCTCACAATATAGCAGAAACATCAATACCCAAAAATTACCAGTAGTCGCTTTTGACCTGCAGCAAGAGAAGAGGGGTCGATTCTAGAGTAGGAACATACATACAGGATCGTCAGTGGCTCTCGGCGTAGCACGTACATGTATACCTAACCTCGGGAGACTATGCGGTCCTTCTAGTCACTATCTACAGTATTCTAGATAATCACCGATACGTCTATTGTATCTAATGATTCGAAAAGCTCTAGAGGCGCTGTCCGGGGGCCGGTCAGTAACTACTATCTGTCTCTCCGTTTTCAGTATTTTAACAAGAATGGGATACAAGACCCTAGCTACGCTCCATGCCCGCCTCGGTTAGGGCTAGGCTCGCTCGTGATATTGGAACAGCTCCTACTTTTCAAAGTACGCCATAAATAGCGTTATACTTAAGTGGAACAGCCTCGTCAGATTCCATAGTAATGTTCTAGTCTGTTAAATGTTAACTAGCTGTGGAAAGCTAAACCAAATACACGACTCGTCGAGTGCACTAGCTGGAACTGCCATGTCGGATTCCGAACCTCTCCATATGCGTGCGGTTCTACTCTCGATGGACCCCAAGATGCCGTGCCTTTACCTGTAATAATGTTAACAAGCATGTTCCCAGCACATTTGATGATCAAGTGTGCCTCTTTCATAGACAGATAGTCTACAACTCCCTTGGAGGAGACCGAGGCAACAATACCATCCCTCAGCTCTAACAATATCCCTTCATAAAACCTCGCTGCCATTCCATCAGTCCATTCGAAACACACATGCAGCATATTAGACTCCTTGTGCGGCAATGGCCGGTTCAGAAAATTGCCTTGGTATAGGATACGAAGGTACTAAAGGGTGGAAAAGTCAACCTAGCTTATGATGTACATTGAGAATGTCCCGAAGAGCATAGAAGCTGTATAATATTTGCAGTGGACGATGTTGCTACTCCTTTTGGGAAAATTGTTTTAACTCCCCTATTACAGTCAGGAAAACTCATATGTCTTCCAATGCCGCAGAGGCAAAGACTGGGAGTATAAGGCACGTAGGAGATTCAAATCAGGATTAGCTTCACGAAGCTGGTCGTTAAAATATTTCTTCATCATGGGATCTGTGTTTACTTGCACTCATTATATAGATGAAAGTTGAGATTCTGTTTAGTAAAAGTCTCGTTTATTTTTATTCCAATAAATCCAAAGAGCTAGGTAAATAGATATTTTAAAACCCTAGACATTAAAGATCTTCTGGGTCGTTCCGTCTCTACCGTTCCGCATCAAACCAATACCCTTTATCAATAGACAGATGCATCGCCGGCTCAGTGCGCACAGATGACTTGGAAGACGACACATTGGGACATGGACCGACTGAGAACCTTCGCATGCCGCTCTTTACATTATCAGTGTCAAGTAGACTAATGCCAAAGGGCGCATGGGAATTTATGTTTGCGGCGGTTGCGTCTTCCTTCTGGCTTTTGCTACGCATGCACGGCAGTCTTATCTGCGGATCAAAACTGATGAGGACAATCGCTTGTTGCTGGGTCTGCGTATCGACGGAGTAGATTAGCGATCGCTCGTCGGCAACTGCATGGATATTGGTAGCTTGTCGCGATGGGCAAAGAAGCTTGATGAGTTCTTCATCGGCATTCTCTGGCGGCCACAAGCGGACCCCGTCAGAGGCAGCAGCATCGGGTTCTATTCGGGGATCGTTTTGGCGTCTGCGTTTGCCACCACCGGCGCAGTGGTCTACATGGAACGGAGAAGCCTCGTCTTCGGCATATTTGCGTTTGCGGGCGTTGATGCGCAGGCGTACTCGGTCCGTGGCAGCCCCGAAGCTATGGTTGGGTTCGGGATCGTTGACGAGATCAATGAACGCGCAGGCAGAAAGATTATATGTGCGATATTTGGTTTTTGCCAGGATAAAGTCGCGTTTCGTGCTGCAACTCGCGGAGTACTCCGAGTGGACATGCCGGCCGGGTCGCCGGTGTAGCTGGAGGTCGGCCTTGGTTGGGCCGTTCAGCGGCAGTTGTGAAGGCGCCGCAAAATTGATGTTACTGGGGCCAGCGCCGCCTCTGATGAGGTTGGGAGGGAATGATGGCGAATGTGTTGTTGGCGGTGGTGCATGCTCAGCCTCGTCTGGGGCTGTGCTGCCCAGCTCCGCAACACGCGGCAGGGGCTCGGCATAATACGTTCGCACATGGTCTGATCCTCCTTCTCGCCACTCACGGCGACACTCGAGAATCATGGGCTGCCCCGTGGCCTCGTCCAATCGTAACGACATCTCTGTCCAGGTATCGTTGATAGGCCCTTCCAGGTGGTCCCGCCGCCAGATTCTCCGCGCGTGGGCTCTGCGCCGACCGCACGCAGGCGGAATGCAAGCCCATTCGTAAAAGGACCGCCAGTTCAGCGCCTCCTCCTCCTCGTCGGAATCAATGATATTGGACACTGCGTAGAGATGGTTGTCAAAGATCTCAAAGCACACATTGTGGCCCAGCTCGGTGCCGGCTAGTTTGTCCAGCACCGTAGGCTGCGTGTCCACCGCTGCCCTGTTGTCTCTGGTGAGATCGGCCCAATAAACGGCCCAAAGCAGCTCCCCAGAAGCATCGACGCTCGAATTTACGCCGTAAAACAGATGGGCGCTGTTGTGGCGAACAAACAGCCGTCGCGTGCATGTCAATTGCGTCACAAACCGCAGACGACCTGGTTTGTATCCCTTGGGCTGCTTGGAGCCCCCCGGCGTGACGTCGAGAAGAATCAGCCATGCGTTGGGATCGCCAACCTCCACCAAGACGGCCAGTATGCCCGAGGAGTAGTGCAGGAAAGAGAGCTGAGCAGCAGCCGAGCGACTTTCAGCCTCGTGTTGGCAAAATCTCGGAATAACCCGGCGTAGGACGTTCTGGACATCCACTACCTGCTCTTTTCTGCCTGCTGTATGGACATCCAAGACGCGGATTTCGTTGTCGGTCACGTATGATAGCACACCCTCGCGGTAGATGAAGGTCTTTGCATAGGATAGCACAGCGACTGAATAGGGCTGAGCCATTGCCACCGCCTGTCTCGTATCGTGCAGGCGGCCGATAGCTTGGCGAAAGGAGATTTTCCCAGCAAAAGCCAGCTGTGCCTCTTTGGAATAACGTACATGTCTCTAAAACCACACATCCGACTCAGCTTGTTTGCGCATAAAGGTAGTCATATCGGACAGAAACATACCTTGATCGTGCGCTTAGCAAGGAGGTCATTCTGCAGAAGGTTGTAAAGGGTCCGATTGGCTTTGCTGAGATTGTTGAAGTCTGATAGATCGATCTCTTCAACAATATAGTAGAAGATATCATATGGCACAGAATGCAGCTTTCTCTTTTCGGTGGCTCTCATGGCCGCAGGAAGGGCTGGGAAGGGTCTGTCATAAAGATACCGACTACTGGCGCGCCCACACACACACACACACACACACACACACACACACACATATATATATATATATATATATACTCACCCCTTCGAAGCACTATCTGGCAGACATGCTCTCAGACTAGAGGAGATCGTATGGAACAATAGCCAGCTTGAGATGTACCGTATGCCGCCAGACAGACGGAAGTAGGGACCCCTCGGTGTACGTTTGAAATGCAGATGCTGTGCGACGAAAACACCCGACGAGCGAATGTTTTTTATGACGGGCGATGAGGCTCTCTACTGAGCCATAATGTAGCTAGATACGTAGCACACTAGTCGTAGTTCCGGCCGATAGGTGAGTGATATGGACGTGATCCACCGTAAGTAATACTGAGCGTAGGGAGTAGCGGTAACAATGCGTGCGGCTCAAAGCCAGAGTCAAAGACGCCTGGAATGCGGCGATCCACATAAACAATGAATTGGGGTCGTACACACACACACACACATTGGACTTGATTTGGAAGGGCTTGGAAGGCCATCGGTGTATCACAAGGCTGAGAGAGGGCTATGCTCTGTTGATCTGAGGTGCATGCCGAAAAAAGCAACGACACAAATGGGAATCTTACTTACGTCGTATCACTTAATACGAGCAAGATGGCGTTGCGTTCCCGCGGTGGGCCGTACGATTACGTATCCCAATAATAATCATGAGTTTGAGGCTCTTTCGAGAGGGAATTTTCTCGGTTTTCTCTGCTGGCAAATGTAGTACGTACGGAACTATATTGAGTTCGTCTCAAAAGGGGAAAGGGGGGGGGAAAAAAAGGGCCAGAACATGGCGAATCCCGAACCTTTTAATATCGCCTGCATACTGAAACCGGTGACGACCCGTGGCACATGTAAAACCCGTGCCAAATGCAGCAGCGGTCAGTTAAATAAAAATGGCCCAGACTCTCCTCTACTTGCATGTAGTTCTGCGTAGAAAGTAGTACGATTTGGTGCTTGAAATATTTTTCTATGTCGGAGAATCGGAATGCCACAGCCTTGTCCTATGATAGAAAAGGGATATATGTATGTATATGCTCCAGGAAAAGACTATTCCTTCCATGAATCTCATTGATTGTGATTGGGTCTGGGGATAAGAATCAGAAGTAACCAAAGCGAAGAAAAAAAAGGTCCCCGAGGAAATCGAAACCTCAGCGTGCGAGTCAGAGTCGCCTATGAGGTTAACACAACACAACACAACACAGGGGATAGCTCCAAGTCTTTTGATTTCCATGTTCATTGATATGTGTAATTGCAAGAGTTGACTGTTCCTAGGGATTATCAATGCTTGCGTGAGCATTGGAAATCGGCGCTGCTGACAAATTCGGAGTTAACTAAGCTGACTAACTAGTTAACTAGTTAACGATGTATAGTTTGAGGTCGTAGTGAGCTATGGCGTGCCTGAATGAGAAACAGCCTCGCGAGCGGCGAGCGCTGCATGTTTTCGCCGATTTTAACCTTAATACCACCAGGTGGGGAATCGGGATTCAGTCAAGCGTGCTCCGATGTCCGTAGTGAAGATAGTATAAATAGTGGCATCAAAATGCCCCTCCGTGCGGTGCAGCTGAGTTTGTATCTTTAAACACAATCATGGCTTCTGACCCCTTCTTCTCCGCCGTCCTCGGCCGCCGCACCGTCTACGCCCTGTCAGACTCCTCTCCCATCCCCGACTCGCGCATCCAGGAGATTGTCGTGAAGGCCATCAAGCACTCGCCCAGCACATTCAACGTGCAGTCTGCCCGCGCCGTGATTCTGCTCAAGGATGAGCACAGGAAATTCTGGGACTATGCCCTCGAGTTCATCAAGGCGGCCCTGCCCGAAGAGGTCGTGAAGCAACTTGGCGCTAGAATTGCTGGATTCCGAGCGGCATACGGCTCAGTAAGTATTCGCTTCTCTGAAATGAAACAATAGCAAAGAGCACGCGCTAACCCCCGGTTGTCTAGGTTTTGTTTTTTGAGGCCAAAGCCGATCTAGACGCCCTGGCCCAGGAGCATGCCATTGTGGCTCCTTTTATAACCGAGTGGTCCGATACCTCGTCAGGAATCAATCAGTTTGCCGGTATGTTCGCTTCTCGTTTATCTTTTTCCACATTTTTTTTCTTCTGTCCTTTTTTTTTTTTTTTTTTGGCTTTCTGCCTTCTTTCCCACTGACAGTGTCTATTCCAAACAGTGTGGGCAGCACTCTCAGCTGAAGGCCTCGGTGCCAATCTGCAGCATTATAACTTTTTACCGCCTCTGGTCGAGAAGGTCAAGGCGGAGTGGAACATTCCCCAGGACTGGTTGCTTAAATCACAACTGGTGTTTGGGACACCTACCGGGGGACCTCGTGAGAAGACCTTCAAGCCTGTCGAGGACCGGGTCAAGGTCTACGGTCAATAAACCGACTCGAGGCTTTTACTCGACGATCGGAGACCTAGATAGGTAGATAGATAGATGCGTATAAGCCAAGATAGCAGTTGAATTGCATGCGCAACCATCATCGCTGGACACCCGCAGTAAACTGGGGCGCGGTATGCCCAACGTATCGATACCTACCCAAAGGCGCCAAGATAAGAAAGAAGCAACGCAAGCAAACTCGTAAGCTTAGTTACTGTTGCATTAGTTACGCAGTCAGCTTGTACGGCTCTCGATTGGATTCCGTGGATGTCGCCAAAGAGCCGCGTCAGCTGACCACCGCCGCGCCGCGCACTCTTCCTTGTTTTGCGTTTTGCGTTTTGCTTTTTGCGGCTGACAACAACAACAGTCAGCCTTGCGATGCTAACTGCAAATCACACCCCTGGCAACCCTTGCAGTGGACTACATACATCCTGCACACGACACATTACCTGCTCGTCCCTCGGCTGAGTTCAACCCTCCATACCTTCTAGCCGTGAGTGAGTCCCCAGCTGCAGTGGCCATCAGAGTCGAAATTGACACTAGAATGCAGATCGTCGAATCATTCTGGGACAGAATCATTCATTCCGCTGCTTATAGGATAAAAGCCTGTTATAATACAGGATTTCTTTCATTTCCGCGCCAACGGATATTCAAAAAAAGAAAAAAAGAAAAAGGGCTGCTGCTACCGCGCCTTCTGTTCTCTCCTTGAGCGGTGGAACTTGATTGACTCGAGGAGTATTCTCAGCCATCCACACCAAAGGAATCTTGTTCCTGATGCATCCACATGGGTTTCACTCTCCGCCTCCTCATCCTCCGCCTGGTTGGGGAGGAGGCCATCATCCCTCACACCACGGGCATCACCACCATCCACCACAGGGGCCTCCTCCATCAGTAGGAGAATTTTTACCACACCATAGGCATTACCAGCCACCGCCGGGACCGCCTCCACCGTCGCTAAGAGAACAGTCACCGCATCACAGGCACTATCAGCCACCGCCAGGGCCGCCTCCGCCATCGGTAAGAGAACATTCACCAGCCCACGGGCAGTATCAACCACCCCCTGGGCCGCCTCCACCATCCGTAGGGGGTTATCCTTCTAGGCCAACCACGCATCCGTAAGTGTCCATGTAAGATCTAAGGATCGTATGATACCTACACCCAGCCAGAAACTGTGTCTAAATAGGTTGTACAACGAAAATAGTACTCCTCCACATAGACCGCAGAGTCTCCCTCCACAACCTCATCGAGTCAATACTCTCCCGCCTACTTCTACACCCCCTGTGCCTGTACGACACAGCCCAGTGCCTCCACAAAGCAGTCCAGCGCCATCATACCATATGCGTAAGTAAGCTGTTGTGCATATGTCATGAACCGGAATGCCTACATGGATACCGTATCGTAAATAAAAAAAAAAGGGTTAAAAACTAAAATACAGCACAGGAAGCCACCCCCCTCCATACGCATCTCTACCTCCCACGCCGCCTCAATCACCGCAATCCTTCGGCCACGGAGCACCTTCTAGCTATCAATTCCAATACTCGAATTGCTCGGGAAAGCGGAAAGCGTTGCTGATCGGAATCAACTATTTCGGACAAGCCAATCAACTTAAAGGATGCATCAATGATGTTACTCAAATGTCAACGTTTCTGAACCAAGTCTACGGCTATCGACGAGAGGATATGGTCATTCTGACCGATGACCAGCAAAACCCTCTCAGCCAACCGACCAAGGCTAACATTATCCGTGCCATGCATTGGTTGGTAAAGGATGCGATGCCTAACGATTCTTTATTTGTCCATTTCTCGGGTATGTTCTCCTTTTCCTTCTTTCATACAGAGCAAACATGATATTCTCTTTTGTTATAACTGGGCATGTTCAGTCGGTTGTGTTAACACTTTTGAGCAGGTCATGGTGGCCGGACCCCAGATCTTGACGGAGACGAAGACGACGGTGAGTGAACGTTGACATTCTTTACTCGAAGGAAAACAAACTGACGTATCTAGGATTTGATGATGTTATATACCCTGTCGATTACAAGAATGCTGGTCATATTGTTGACGATGACATGCATGATATCATGTATGTTTTGGATTTGATCCCTTGAGAAAAGTCCACTATACTCATATACTCTACTCATAGGGTTAAACCGCTTCAACCCGGTGTTCGTCTCACAGCCATATTCGATTCGTGCCATTCAGGAACTGCATTAGATCTTCCTTTCATCTACTCCACCCAGGTTTGTCACCGAGACGCCATGTTTTCGTCAATTTCTGAATTATTAATCCCATGTCCGAAATTTTAGGGAGTCTTGAAAGAACCAAACCTTGCCAAGGAAGCCGCTCAGGATCTCTTCAGTGCATTTTCAGCATATGGGAAGGGGGATATCAGCGGTGTTGCCCAGACGGCGATTGGGTTTTTCAAAAAGGCGACAATTGGAGGCTCAGCACGCGAGAGACGGATGATGACGAAGACTTCGCCTGCAGACGTGGTGATGTTTTCTGGGTCGAAGGACACACAGACATCGTAAGAACCTTTCTTCGTACATACACTTAAGATAAAATTGGGATGCTAATACTCCAACTAGTGCCGATACGTTTCAAGGCGGACAAGCCAGAGGGGCCCTGAGTTGGGCATTCATCGAGACGCTCAAGCAGTACCCAAAACAGAGTTATTTACAATTGCTTAATAACATTAGGGCGAAACTCGAGCGAAACTATTCGCAGAAGCCGCAGCTGAGCTGTAGTCATCCGTTGGGTTTGTGATTCAGAAACATTCCCACAACAGATGGCTCGTTATACTAACTACATGGAAATACAGATGTGCATCTTCTTTTTGTGATGTGATTATGTTTTAGAGCGTAGCGTTTCCTGAGCATATGGTATCTGCTACATAATGCATATTATAGACGTGACATTTTTCTCATGGATGACGCACCAATCCCTGCGAATTATCCGATTTAGCAATGTGTAAAAAAAAAAAAAAAAAAAAACTTTTGATTCAACTCTATATACTTCTGGGATATCATCATCATTCACATATATAATCTCAGGTCATCAAGTTGCTCGTCTCATAAACTCTGTGGTGCCCAACGAATCTCATAACCAAACACAGTGCGACGGAGTTTCTCGTCCTGTGTCAAACAACAGGTTAGCATTTATACCTTTGGCAAACCCAAAGTGCAAAGAATAAAAAAGGTACTTACCCCGGGATCATCCTCAAAGAGAACCTTGTCCACAATCTGCTCAAAAACCTTAGTGACCATGAACCCGCTCTCCTCTGCCAACGGGAAAAACTTCTCCGTCTTGGGCAGAAGCCATGGCTGATACGGAGTGAAAATGACCAGCGCAACTGCGTCTGCCGACTTTTTCAGAGTCTTCTGCATGGTCAATATCAAATTGGGATGCTCTCGATGGCTGTATACAACGTCGGCCATGATCAATGTGTCAAATGCCTTTTCGGCTGGCAGAAACGACATGACCTCATCGGTATCTGCGCCCCATTTATAACCGGCGACATGCAAGTGTGAGTTCTCGGGGATGAGAGACGCAGCCGCCGCAGCGTTCTGACGCATGTTGTCGACTAAGTCCGGATCATGGTAGTCTGTCATGACAACTGTGCGGGCGCCCCTGATGGCAGCAATGATGCTGGGAACGCCTGCAGCGGCTCCAACCTCGAACACATCTTTGTCCTTGACTAATCTCTCGGCATTTCGTTCCAGGTACTCCGCACTCACACGGCCGGCGTTCCATAGCATATTACCCTCCACGAAGGAAAGCGAAAAAAAAATATCGGCGCCACTATCAGTTTGATGCATTCCCAAATGAAAAATCATAAAGAATAGAAGCACAAAAAAAAAATGAAAAGGCACAAAAACAGAACGGGGAAACGGCTCAGTCGTCGCATACGTATAGAGGATGGCTGCCAACTAGGCGCACACGTATAGTTTCGCCAGACAGCATCTGGTGCTCTGCGAAGGTGGGCTGTTTCTCTTCAGCGTAGAACCCGCTGGGATCCTGGAAGATATCGGCGGCCCCATCGAGGTGCGTGCCACCATCATCGTCCTGGTGTTCTGCCATGGTCACGCCAACGTAGGATAATTTGTGCAAAAAGGTCAGTGAGGTCAACGAAGGAAGGAATCTTTCGAAGCGCTCCTCGCTCGTGATTGGCCGCGACGGCCTCGGGATATCCCACTTGGTACGGTCACGTGCGTGCCGCGCGAGTACTGGATTGCTAGGCCGCATCAGCCAATAGGATGCGCCACTTCTCGCCGGAAGAGCGTCGGGCTACGTCAGTTACAGTACGACGTAATTACGGCATAAAACCCTGGAGATGCCTGCTTGGCCAGGCACGTGCTGCGGGGGAGATACAGGCTCAATACGATAAATTACATCCATGCAGCCGAGGGGGGAACTTTGGATCTTCCTTTCCTCCTTTGAGCTCATCACTCCCATTCCCCTCTCCTACCCCCAAAGCTTCAACCTCCTTTCCACCCCCCGCCGAGAGAAAGAACAAACGCACGATAGAAGACTTTCAATTTACCGGCGATTGTCGCATGCGTACGGTACTACTTAGATTTCCTACTTCGATAATCACCCCGGGGCTTGCGTCCGAACGAAAACGCCATTTCCTCATCAGGGAGCTTACTACCGGCGAACGAACCCCCCCCCCCCTCTCCCCCAAAAATCGGCCTTGCCTAGGAACTATTTATGGTTCATTCATTCATCGACAGTGAAAGAATACTTCCAGCCTGTTTTTTTGCTTCTTGCGCCCGTGCCCGCCCTAAAAAACGCCGCCACCAGCACCGACCGATTGCTGACCCTCTCTCTACCTGTCACATGCCTAGGACCTGACTATCCTTGTGAACGATACGCTAGGGTGCAAGGCTTCTGACAATTCGACGGGCTCAATAGTTTCTTTTACTTCGTCATTTTCAGAGATCCGACACCATGGACAACAACCGATATAACCTGCGCTCGTCTTCCGGGCAACAGCCAGTCGCTCCGTCATTATTTCCGACCTCGTCGACGACTGCGGGCATGACCGTTGGTAACTCAGCGTTTACAAATACATCGGCGGCAACCACAACGGCGGCAACAGGATTTTCTTCCTCGTTGGTATCGGCATCAAACATCTCACAAGCTGCTCTCCAAGCGGGACGGCATCCGCAACAGCTTCCTCAGCAACCGCCACCGCCTCTTGCTGAACAGCAGAATCAACAATGTTTTTCCGCGACACAGGCTGGCCCCGATCCTTCTACAGAACTCATGGCTGAGCAGCAGCAGTATTATCAACAGCAACAACAACAACAGCAACAACAAGCACAAGCACAGGGCATAAACATGGGTGGACCGGCGGCAACGGCCCCGTTTTTACAAGATTTCACCCTCGTTGCTGAAGCTGTGAAGAGAGTGCAGATGGATGCCGTCATGACCGAGATGGAAAGCATTACTCTCTGAATGCAGAGTTACAGGAGTCAGTCATATCAAACATGCAACCTCGGCGGGGCGTTTCTTTTCTCTTTCTTTTGGCTTTCTTTTTTTTATATATATATACACATTCATGTTTCCCGGTGCTCGTTTTCATCTATCTGTCCTTTGATTGGCATATCTCGAAAGCAATTGGCAAATGGCGTTACGGTACTACTATCGCGGGGGTAGATAGTACTTTTTATTTTCTAGGCGTCGGGTTTCATATGGGTTTGGATACTACTTATTTTAAAAATTCTGCGGTCAAACAAAAAGTGGTTTATTCCATATGTCACACTCTGTTTCCCACATGTATACCTTCCCAATCAACCAAATAATGCATTCACTCAAACCAGATTCAAACATAGACAGGAAGAAAGTAAAGGATTTACAAAGCAAGTATTTGTAACCGTCAACATTATACATTTCGTCAATCTCCCCAAGAAAGCCAAGCTGAAAGGGTGTTTGTTCAACGGAGTAGGCTAGAGACTACTTCCCCCCCCTAAATACAGATGAAGAAGCCAAAAAAGAATAATAATCCTGGAAGTGAATGCCACGCCAGTCCGATCTGCTTTGATTATGCATTATTAAAGTCCATTAATAAGTAGATGTAGTTGTCAATCCGATATAAAAACTCGCGCTAGGAATTTGGTGGCTCGGTGAGCAGCAGTCCTCTTTTGCTTCTCTGATTTTTCGCTATGTCCATGCCCAGAAGGCTGTGACTGAGTTGCAGATTCGAAATTTCGGGGTTTCGAGAAGTTTCTGATGGAGCGACTTGTTGTGTTGCTGCTGGAAGCTGTGGCGGGAATGTAGCTGGTGTGAGGTCTGATGGGGTTGGGCGAGGCGATGCTGTTATTAGTGGTGGTGTCGTCATCTGGAAGAGGTGTTGTTCTGTATTGTGTGCGGCCATGAGGAGAGATGAAACTGTCGGGAGAATATGGCATGGGTTTTGAGGGTGATCTTGTGGGTGCTGCAGGCGGAAGGGGGAAAGTGTTGGCATGTTGAGCGTCTTCTCCAGCTGCCCGGATTGTGCTCAGGGTTTCATTGCTACGCGTGAATGAGTGCTGAGACATGGGGGAGGGTTTTCGGAACCGGAGGTTGAATATCGACATTCGCCGGGATGACTCTCCAGAGACAGAGGCACTGTCGGAAACATAGCTCATGGCGGACGTGGTTTTGCGACGAATAGGTCTCGGAGGGGATGGTGGCAAGGAGGGGGGAGAAGAAACAGCAACGTCTGGTTGATTGTCTTGGATATGGTGGTCTGTGGTGTCTGCACTTGGAGAAGGCTTCTCATCTGGAGGTGGAGTTGCCTCCAAGGTTGGAGAAGCGGCGGTCGAAGAGGCGGGTGTAGTGTATTCATCACCAGGCGCAAAGGTGGTAGCCATTGACCGGATGGTTGAGTTGGTAGATGACCCCGTCGAGTCTACTCCCGGTCTATCAACCCTGCTAGGTATATATGTCGATTGTGTTAGATGCTGCGATGCCCTCCTAAGCATCACCGATATCCTCTTCGACGAAGACTCCAATGGCTCCGGTGCCTCTGGGATCCCTGGTCGAAGCGTCGACGAGAAAGGCGATGGTCCATGCCGGGAAGATGGGCGAATCGGTGCGGTCGAGTAATAGGTTCGGGATCGTAACGGGGACACCAGCTTCTTGGAACGCACTATATGTTCTGATGGCTGTTCGAGGCCATACAGTGCAACAGGAGTCGAGCTAGGGTCGCCATCCACGATTGGGGTCGAGTAAAATCGAGGCGGTGCGCCTCTCTGTGCAAGCAATTCGACTTTTGATGGTGCTGGCGGCTCTATTGTTGATGTTGGCGACTCGCAATACAGCCCTTCATCCTCTGTTTGCTCTGCGGTCATTTCGTGCTCGGTAGCGAATCTCTGCTGATCCGAGGTATCTATGCGGTGCGGCAGCAGCGACACCGGTCGTGAAGTTGTAACTTGTGGTCCTTGATCGTTCAACAAACTGTCCCACCGCGGTGTTTGGTAGACGGCCGGGGGTTGCTGATTATAATGCTGCTGTTCCTCGTCAAGATCGGCCATGGTAGCTGCCTCTGCCTCTGGCTCGCTCTGTTCTGCTTCTTCTGTCACTGGTTCTTCTGGCGGTGTCTCAGCCGGTAGCTCAGCGACGACGTGAGCGGTGCCGTGTCCATAATAAAAGTCGCCGTTGGTTTCTACTAGGCTCGACCCATCCAGGGAGGCTTGGAAAGGAAATCGGAGCGTCGCGGACATCGTATTGTATTCGTCAGCCGCCATGCTTGGTTAGCAGTACGTATGCTTGACAGATAGTGGGTCGAGGCGAATCTCCGTAGGATCCAGTGCGAAATTAGTCATGTTCATCATATGGATGCTCTTGTAGACGGTATGCAGGCACTGGGTGGCACGGTCGACGCAAAGATGGGCCATCAGCACATGTTATGGAGGACTTTTCAGAGACAGCATACAGTGAAATAGGCGATCCAATGAATCCAGTGCAGTGCATACAGGTGAAGAGTATAGCATGGTCAATTAGACGCTGTGGAGTGGTTTGTGGCGTGACAGAGTCTATTTTCCCACAGGGGTACATGTACATCTCTATGACAGATCATTGGATGCCAGTCAAAAAATGAAGAGACAAACCCACCTTCCATAACTAATTCTCAACAGTACGCACCGAACAGTGGGGAGCAGCTCAAAGGCATCACTGGTGTCGCATTGCAGTGTCTGTACAAACTACATGTTAGTTACATCGTATACTCTGTATGACTGGCTGTGTGCTAACTACAGTCCGTCATACAAAGCAAAGATGAGGTTGCCGCGAGTGCCAAAAATAGACGCACATGCGTACTAGCCAATACCGTGTTCTTGGCTGTGTTTCAGATAAAAACACGGTGCTTTACCGGCTTCATACGCGGCGAAACCAAATACCGAACTATGAAACTATGAAAGAACGGAAGGAAAGCGATCAGCTCGATTGCGACTCCAAAATACAGAGGCACTCGGTATGTCCTCTGCAGCAGCAGACGGAGTAGGACAATGACTCTGACATCGTCAGTCATCTGTGTCACAGTGCAGTCTGAACCAATTCCAAGACACGTAAGCCGTCGTGTTCCGAATGGCTCAGGGGTAGGCGTCGTCGTCGTGTTGTCGTCAAGAGACCCCGTCAATGACGAGTAAGGACGGCCCCGTTTCCGTGCGGAGTTTCAATTAGATTTTTTTTTTTTTTTTCTTTTCTTTTCTTTTCCTTCCCCTGAAAGGGAAAAGAAGACAAACAGAGAAAAGGAGCAGCGCTGCGGTTTGCATTGTTTGCATGGGTACTCTGCCTGAGGCTGCCACTTTTGTCGTCCTTCCTCCCAAGCATAACACACATCATAAGACAGCTAGCTCTATTTGTACCTTTCGAGTATGCTTGGCCTTTTTTATAGCAGTATTTGACCGAGCTTCAACGTCTGAAATGGGTTGAATATCGTAGTATATTTCGACGGCGTCACACATCGATCTACAACTACAACGCAGTTGCAATAAAGTCACAAAGAAATTACACATCACCAAGCAAAGAAGTATCATGCGTGATCGAACGAAACACCACCATAGTTAAAACCAAAATAAGTGCATGAACAAAACTGTTCCTAATCACTCCCGATCAAGAAACACATTCGGGGGTGGGGCTGACAGTGCGGGGATCCCAAAAAAAAAAAAAAAAAAGAAAGAAGTCCATCTCCACGGCCATCGGTGATGGTCATGCATACACACGCTGTGCTCTCCTCCTCCTCGTGCTGCCGAACATGCCGGTCAGTTTGAAAAATACTCTGAATATTACATCGACCCCTGACTAACTTGGGCCGCAGTTGATTATGCTGACCGGATACCCGTGCTCGGGCTTATCCTACCGTGCCAAACAACTGGCCGAACTCCTCGAGACGACACAGAATCAAGTCTTTGACGCCCTCGAGAACGACAATAACACCAGCGAGCAGAGTAGCTCAAATGCGAACCCGAAGCAGGATCAGAAACGATTCACCTTCCATATAGTGCCCTCGCACGATCCTTCGCATCCCCGAACCGTGTACGATCACGCTCGCACCGAGAAAGAAGCACGAGCGGTAGCCTTTGCGCGAGTAAAGCGCGCATTGGCCAAAGATGCGTTTGTTATCCTCGATGGAATGAATTACATCAAGGGTTATCGCTACCAATTATGGTGTGAAGCAAAAGCCATGGGCACCACGTGCTGTGTGGTAAGCCCAGGCCCAGTCTCTATTGCGCGCGCGCGCGCGCGCAAAGCTAGAAAGGAGTCCATTCTGACAACCAACGCTCGATCATTAGGTCCATGTCGGAACCCCAATTGACAAATGTGTGGCAATCAATAATGCACGCTTACGCCGTCGTCAATCCTCCCACCAAGACAGTCAACTACCCGAAACCTCAGAGGCAGTAGACGACCTCGCAGAGCCCGACAACGAGGAACCCTACCCATCCGACCTGCACAATAACCTGGTTTTCAGATACGAAGAGCCAAGCACGCACAGTCGGTGGGATAAGCCTTTATTTACAGTCCCATGGACAGATCCTACTCCTCCAATTGAAGAAATATGGACTGCCACAACAGGAATCGCAATAGAAAAGAACCCAACAACATCACCGTCATCATCAGAAACAACACCACCACCGAATTCACTAGCGGCCCTTCTCCATACCAATCCCAATTCCCTGCCACCTTCTTCACTCTCGAACCCACCCCCTCGTCCATCAGATACAGCCAGCGTCGCATTCACCGTTCGTTCCACCGCTCCAGGCAGCGGGGGCCGACTCGGCCGACCCCGAATCCAGCCTCACCAGGCAACCGTCTTACCCGCGCAAACAGACCCAGGAGCGCTGTACGGATTCGAAAAACGAACTTCAGCCATCGTAACCGCCATTCGGAACTTCACTTTATCCAACCCGTCCGCTGAAGCGGCTCTTGCGCAACAAATGTCCAATTCTACCACCATTCGTGCCGACGAGGCGGGCCTCTCTATCCCCGTGCCCGATGCTTCAATCCCCGTCTTTATACCGGCACATGTCGTGCGGTCCGCGCCAACGGATGAACTCGCCGGTGCTGGTGGCATATTGACTCTTCCGCGTCTACAGCGTTTGCGGCGCCAGTGGATCAGTCAGAATAGAACTTTTGTTGGAATAGGTCATAAGCAAATACAGGGTGCTTTGGGTGTTGATCAGATTGGTGACGCGTTTGTTCGTTATTTGAATTTTGAATTTGCAGGTGATACTGCGGAATAGGCCTCTTTTTTTTTTTTTTTTTTTTTTTTTTTTTTTTTTTTCATTCTGTTTATAGAAGGGAGGGAAAAGCACATAGATTACTTTTCGATTGCGAATCAATATCAAAGATAAATAGTTATATACCATGGGATAATCACCAATTAACAAAATTGCAATATACAAACATCAAACCTATCAAAATTCCTCCAGGATTGCTCCGTGTCTTGTTTTTTTAGCCGCTCGTGAACATGTTTCTATTCACACCTTTTACGAACCAAAGCTCCAACAAAAAAAAAACCCCCCCAAAGATAAACAATAAACGTCCCTCGCCTCGAGCGAGTACAGAAAGGCATTTGCAAGTAGATGCAACAAAATAATCCAACCCTATGAAAATACATGACTTCGGTCCCTGACCATGTGTACATTCAAAAAGTTCAAAAAAGACAAAAATAATTATTTAACAGAAAAAGCAGGAAAGAAAAGAAAAAACATCCATCCTACAGCAGTCATAGAGACTACGGTTCTTCACCGGCATTGCGATATTGAATCGAGCAATGTGCTCGACCATCCCATTATCGCTTAGTTGTAGATGGCACCATGTGCCACAGGACCATACATCTTCATCCAAAGGATTGAGACTAGTACGTCATCCAATGACTGTGGGCACTCACTGTGCTACACGGAACTTCCTTGGACAATAGACCCCGCCACATAGAACCATGTCAGTAGCCACTGTCGACAAAGTGTTGCAGGTAGTCCATATCCTTAGTCGGTGGACGCATTCAAAACGCTGTCTCTCCAAGGCAAGGACAAGTCAATACATTTCCAGAAAGAAACGGTGATATTCAAAAGGATCCAAGCTATAATTTGCCGCGGAATCATAATTCAGACCCCATTGGCCAACTGAGTGGCAGCAGAGCTAGCTTCCAGCTGTCGGTAGTTCAGTCCTAGTGTAATAAGCTCCTGAAGACTGGCATTTGCTTTTTCATGCATGACTGAGTCCTGAGGGGTGATATTGGCAAGCTTTTCCAGTAACCGCGCGCGACAGTTATAATAGTTGCGCTCGGCATTCTGGAGCCGTTGACCGTGTTGAACTGGGTTGGTCTTCATAGTATTTCCTTGGGAAGAAGTTGATTTGGTTCTCTTCATGGTTGGTGCCGTAACTGTCTTAGTGACTCTCCTCTTACGTATGCCTGCGGGATCCTTCTTCTTCAGGACTTGGCCAGTAGCATTGGTCTCTGGGGAACTGGGCTGTTCCGAAGCGGTGTAATCATGAACTCGCTTCATGTGGTCAAAAAGATTCCATCGGCGGGGAAATCCATATCCAGGAACGGCTCGTTCGCATCCTTCGAAAAGGCATAGGTGCGGGTTGTCTCCATGGCCATGGAATCCATGCGCTTCACGCTCGTGGCGGAAAAGACAAGCGTTGGAGGAAAAGTGCAAATTCTGTGCAGCACAAGCAGTGACTTTACATCTATATGGCTTCAAGTGGGAATCCAAGTATTTGCTGTTTCACTGTTAGCACCCTGTTCCCAGAGGTCAAACGCAACATGAGAACTTACTGATAAGCACATTTCTGAGTTGTTGGTGGGTGGGTGCAAGGGTTCTCTCCATTAGCGAAGGGGCAGTAGTATTTCCCGTCATTCGCGGTTGGCAGGGAATAGTACGGATGATCCCTGGGGGTCCTAATCTCGGATTTATCCTTGGTTTGTCGTACTGACTCTCCCATTTGCAAAGATGCGTAGGCTTCCGGGTCTGATTTCCTAGTGGGACGAGAGGTAGAGGCCGACAGGAGCGGCCGCTGACTTTGTTTAGAGGGTCTGATTGTCCTGAGGAGAGGAAATTAGCATTTCGAATGCGGCAGCGATGAAAAAGCAGGGACAAACCTGTTGGGATCCTGTTCGTTCAAAGGCGGCGAAAGTGGGTGGAATGGGTCGTGGACACTAATCTTTGGGTCGCTCATTAACGAATCCTCATTTCCCGGGAAAGAGTAAGCCGCCTGGGAAGATGTAGAAGCCTGGCTAGACTCCGTCAAGGGTGGAGATACTGGTGGCGACAATACATGCGAGAGATGGTCAAAGTTGGCTCCAGCAAGGTTCGCTGTGTCCAGGGACAAATTCCAGGTATCTTGTGTGGAAAACAATTGACCATCTTCATGGTGCGAAGTGTGGCCCTGTGATGCTGTATCATCTTGCATACACCCCCGAGCTGCGTCATCATTCTCATAGTTATATTCAAACAAAGAAGAAGCAAAAGCCTGGGCAAAGTGGTGTGTATGTGGGAAGTCCATCTCGGCATGTTCATGGATACCTCCGGCAGCTGGTATATCAGACAGCGAGGGAAACATAGCGGCTGTGTCATTGATGCTTGTGCTAGGAATAAGTTGATGGGAAAATGAATATGACAGCATAGCAACCTCGGGTGTCTCTGGTTGGGTAACGATGGGGCTGGACTCTATTGAGTCTGTTGTGCTTAAAGTCCATTGATCCATGTCCTGGCTTTGTCTGAATGAAAAGTGATCCTGGGAGATATCATCATCCTGGTTTGTCCTTGAAATAGTGGAAAGATCCTGAATGGCAGGAGTATGCCTTGACTGATGTTTGTTCATGGTCTGCATTTTGTTTGAGACAATGCCTTCGGAGTCCATTTTGATCATTATAGTCCCTAGGGTTCTGTCCAGAATGGATTGGGAATCAAGTGGAAATGAAAAAAATCTGGTATGATCCAGGTATGTGCACTATAAACAACATGGCAGCAGTTAGTATTGAAATGGCGTTAAGAAAGCAGAAAAAGTAAAAATAGCATGCAGAAATCAAATTCGTCGCTCAGGAATCCGGGAAATCGATCCGAAACTAGGGCAAAGATTAGTCTATGAAACTTCCATCGGATTGGTACTGGATGATTCATACAAGACCTGTAATGCCGAAAGAATGTTTCCATTGGGTCCATAGTATATGCAATTCCGTGGTCTGGTGTTCCTTGGTCAGGTTCTAATTCCAGTGTCGATTGACGGCGATAAATATTATCCAGCAACAGGTGATCCACAGGAAAAGAATCACTATCGATCTATATATGGCAGAAACAGAATAATAAGTAGTCCTTGTCGTCACTTTCAGTCGTCATCAATGGCTTTTCAAAACGGGCCATCCAGAGATTAAAGATATACTGCAGCATTATGCAGCTTGTCGGTAATTTCATCCAGGAAGCGTTCATGCCTGAATTCCAGATATGGATCAAGTTGAGTGTATTTGGTCCGGTAATACGGGAGTATGGTCGTCATAGAAAAACAAAGAAAAACAAAGTAAGGATCCACAGAGCCTTAGGATATCAGAAAGAGTCCATGTTACGGCCAAGAAAAGTCAAAAAGGATCCATTTTATGATTCAAAAGATCCAGTGGCTTCAACAGTTCATCCGAGGATTGTAAGTACAGTCCATCCTTACTCAGGGATTCGAGAAGGCCATTTGGATCCGGTCAAGTCTGAAACACACAACAACAAAGTCATCGATTGCCAACATTAAAGCTTTCGAGACATGGTATCCAAGCCACCCAACGGCTGTCAGGGGCACCAGGTAACAAATCCACGGGTATTGGTTAAATCCTTGGCAGAAAAAAAGTGCAAACTGGTGCTGGCACTCATTTCTCACAGCACCAGTTCGGTGTAAACTCCTAGTATGGGGAATCAAGCGATTTGTAGCGGAAATCCTCGGGCAAGAAAGAACAGGCGGAAGTTACATTGAGCAAGGCGTACAGGTCCAGGTGCGACAGTTCAAAGTTTCAAAACAAAAGCAGTAAGAAAAAGGGACTGGGTCTACCTGATGCGTTCTGTTCTGTCGGTATCAAGATTTGTCTATCTAGATCCTTGGCCAAAGAAACTAAAAAGAAACAAGCAAAAGGTCCTGTCCTGGGGATTTGGGATATGGGTCGAGTCTCCTATAGGATATTATGTCTTGAGAGAAGCCAGTTCTTGATGGCAGATGGTATCCTCGGGTCGGAAGTATGCAGTGTGTATCTCTCCTGAGTACAGAAGGAAGCAGTCACAGAAGATGAAAAGAGGTCGGGTGAGAGAAGGTTTAAGCTAGAAGCGCTGGCGTCAGGAGTGCGATGGTAAGTAGAGAAACGAAGAATCGAGTTGGGTATCAAGCGAATTCTTTGGGAGAATGGAAAGAGAAGAGAGTTGGGTGACAAGCGTCGGGGGGGAAGGTTGGGCTTTAATGGGAAAGACGGGCAGGAGGGCGGTGGGGCAGGCCAAGCGAGAGTGTGAGTTGGTTCAGGATGAGTGGAAGGGGCGGCCCGGCTCGCGGTGGGCCAGCGTACCAGACAGTGTGACGCTCTTAGCCTTATCGTCCACTAAATGACTCGCTGCACACGCAGCGGTGAGCTGGACGTTTCATTCCCGTCCACTCAATTACGTGCGTGACGGCCTGCTGTTGGCTGGCGACGCTCTCGTACAGTTGGCAGTGCATGACGGGGCTGCCAGAGGACACCAATCAGACAGGCGCACGAGAGTGACTATGCAACTTTGCTTACAGGACGACACTCGGCTGCTCGCTTCACTTTGTTTGTTCTCGCACATGATAATAGCAAAATCTCACAGCGCCTCGACACAGGTCGAAGCACTGCGCTCGGATTCCGAGGTTGTCAGCCAATCGCTATACCATCATTTAGGTCACGGAATATGCTACAGGGTTGCGCTGGCAAGTGATTCGTCATTGCTCTCAGACTCCGGACCGGGAAAAGCAATCCTTGAGCGAGAGGAAGAAAACATGGGCGCACCGGTCAGAATACGGGGAGACTCGTTTTGCTTTTAAACACTGAGTGGTATGTAGGATGCATTCATTGGTACTAGCCAGGTCCAGTTGGGCAGCAATGCAGGCAACTAGACGCTTTGGCCATCTACTAACTACGTGCTGTCGTTACTTGGAAAAGCGACGCAACTCAACGATCCCTGTAAACAACTTTTCGAGCGTTAGCATTCGTTGCACGCTGCAGTAAGACGTCGAGTTCAAACAAAGAAACCAGATAACAGGCAATCAGACAAAGGTGAAAGATGGTAAAGGTTTGTCATCAAAAAAAGTCGCAAGACTTTCAGGTGAACTATGCATTTAATTTGTTGCTCATCATAAGAAATGCCTCGGGTTGGGTGGTATGATAGATTGTAGCGAATGACACTAGATACTGACCTGATAATATGGGAGGCAGTAGAAAGGTCTAAGCACTGAGAATAGCCGCTGCAATAACCAGTTAACAAATGTCAACTAAAGGCGTACATTTTCCATTTGGTGATTTGATATGTGCTGAAATGTGTGCAGGCAAAGAGGATGAAGATTTTGTTGTGCGGAAGAATCAGCTCTACCCGAAGCGTTGTTTGTCCTGTTTGCTTTGGCCTATCACGTGCTTCATGTCATGTGACCCAGGTTGCGTGTAAAAGCCTCCCTCTGCCACAACTACTCTGAAAATTGGTACTGGTATTTGTTGACGAATGGAAATTCTGCTCCATCACATAAACCAGTCACTTCATAAAATATAACTATCTACGGACATATACATGACAACGGATACATTATACACTCAGTTGGGCACCGAGGCATTCAGATCATATAACCATCTTACAACAAATTCAAGCAAAGGAATATCCAAGTAAATGTCGCTTGGTATTATGATCATCTCAAGCTCCTTGAGTCAGTATGATAATTGTGGTGCATTTCGTAGATTCTCCACGACCATGCATGGCAGCATGGCAAGCCGTCACGGGATCAGTAGCATCAAGCACAGGCTAAACTCACAACTTGCTCCCTCCGCTTCCCACATGGCCTGATACTATTCAGTTCCACAACTTCAAATGACAGTATCCTCTTTCTCCTCTTGCTCTGCCAATATCCCTTCGTTGCGTAAATGAACTGGACGGGAGGTCGCCTCCGGCGGCAATCACACAATCGACCTGATTCTACATTGAAAATCCAGAAGCAACACTTCGCCAGGGCGCGTCTCAAACAACGAGAAGCTTACAGCAAAGCGCGCCTTGCATCGGCTGTAAGACCGTCATTTGCCTTCTGTTCAGGTGATACATCCGAGTCACCTCGTCGTTCTATTAGGAACCAGCAGAGAACGCAGTTCGATCACCCTATCCGTCCGTCATTTGATTTGTCCGAGTCACATCAAGTTTATCAAGGGCACCTGAAGATTGCAGATGAACTTTCTGAGGCCAACGCCAAATCCTTGGAGGTACAATGGAGTGGTCTGCATATACGTAATTGGTGCATTTACTGATGGCTAATTTCGAACCAGAGAGATCCTCGTATACATTATATTGATTTCTTGAAGCAGTACCTTCTAGGCAAGAAGGACTGGGTTGGACTATCTCCAACACGCCCATTGAAAATGAATTTCACCCCAACCAACGAGAAGGAACGAATAGGAAAGAGGCGAAGACTATCCAAAGACGAAGAAGTAAGATCTACTGCCATAGCAAAAAGTAATCCGACATTCACCCACATGCCTCCTCATGGGGTTGATACTCAACTACATCATACAGCGAATGATATCCTAAATTGGGGCATGGAAATTCACATCAGTACGCCCAAAAAGATAGGTCAGTTTTATGAAATCCCTGGATTGTCAAACAGGCCAAGATCAGCCTCGTCAGACTCTATACTTTCGGATGTTGGAGAACAGCATGAATTTTCGGTGAGAAATGTGCTCTCCGCTGAGAAAAGCCATATAATGAAGTTGGGCACGCAACACAAGCTCCCTCTGGATCAAGAACCTAACAAACTACGCCATTCGGATCAGCTTCGCCAGTGTGTTGACAAAACCGCTTGCAGCTCAAAGGAGGAAATATCAAATGCTCTACCAGCAACTAGAGCTGAACAAAGAACCTCTCCTACACCTGTTTTACATCGATTCACTTTGGATGATCAGGTACTAGCGGAACGCATGGCCAATTCAGAGAGAGAAGATGAATCTTCGCCGGTTCATCTATCAGACCATCGTGACTTCTATCTCAATCGAAATCTTCCGGATCCGCAAGATGTGTCAGACGAGTATGAAACACTTCTAAGCTTTAGTGTCAAGTCAAAAACAGATGATAGGTACACAAATATCTCCAGTTCTCACGAAAGTAACCCGACAGATACGGAAGTTCTACCTCAGACTCAGAAGATTGCAAGGAAATTGCCACCTTCTCAACCTCATTTACCGGCTGATATCTACTCAGAGACACCAACCCGATATATGACAACCGTACATGATATATCAGTAACTAAAAACAGGCCAACACATAGACGCATCTCGATTAACAATGACACCAAGAGAAGTCCAACCATGCACTTTGGACAGGAGGTGCATCCCATGCCACCAGATCAGACTGGCACAGAGACAACATTTCGTTTTCCGCGGTCTACTATTCGAAAGAATTTGCTTTTGCCTAATATACACAGTCACAAACGCCCTTTGCCACCTACGCAGCCTAGCAATACCCCGACGACTAGGAGCAGGGTCGGGGTATACAGAGCCGCAACTATGACTAAAACTCCTCGTCCAGTATTAAAATTCCGCTTTCCGAGTCATTGGACTCCTCATCGCAACATACAGCATTATTCTTACACTGACAACACCGATCAGAACACAGCTTTTCCAGACTCAGCTTTCGTGACTCCACTACCACGCCCGTCACATTTAATCGACATTCTGTCGAAGGGTGGTGACCAGCACGGGAGACAAAGTGCTGGTGCATTGGGAGACGAAGGGCGAGTCATTGCACCGGTTTTCAATACTCCATTTCGTAGACATCAATAGGGAAGATTAAATGGTTTGAAACTTCTACCGGGACCGTTAATACAATGCTTGAGCTACTGCTATCATCTAGTTATCATACTACCTAAGTGACATATTTAAGTTACATATCGAACCAGAATGAAAATTAATATGAACTATACGATTGAATAGATACGCCGTTGACATAACTATGTTAATTGTCAACAGTTTTGGGCGGTTGCTCCGTTGTTCGAGTCTAAGGACGGTTGAGCACCTTCATCGTCGGTATCAACGGGCAGGCCACGTTGCTGGCCCCCTGCCATTTCCTGCTCAGATTCCACGCTAGCCATGTATCGAAGCAAGCTTTCCGTCAGACGATTCAAAAGCCATTCTGGCTCTGTCTGTTCAGCCATCATTGGGCTATTCTCACCCATCCAATCCCACTGGATCAAACCCCACTCATTCTCATCCAGCTCGATTTCTGACTGGCGTGAAGAATTCGGATTGGTGAATCGGATCAGTTGGGTGAATTCAACCCATTCTTCATACGAGTATCGCTTGATTTCACCGGATATCACGTCCTGCGTGACTCGGCGAATGGCAAAAATGAGATCTCGCGCAAGTTGATGAGGTGATCGACGGTGTTTCTCGAGTTCTTCAATTGTTCGCGGAGGTGGATGGGCACGCTCGTAGTCGTTATTACTGCTGTTGGTCGACTTATCACCATTTTCGAGGTCATCTTGTTCATCACCATCATCATCAGGATTTGCGGAGTTGCTTACTCCAACGCGGAATCCGTGCTCAATGCGTTTCCTTTCAGCTCGCTGTTCTAGATAGTTCCGAATCAGCGGGACTTTGGAGATGAATTGGTGATATCGACCACTTGTTGGGAGTACAGTGAACTCTGCAATCCAGTTGGTCGCATTGTCGACACCAGAAAGGATAGTGTCGCTCATTTTAGAGATGAGAATTGTCATTGTTGGTATGGCAACGAGAGACCAGACGATAAAGAAGGGGCGGCCACCGTTCGACTGTGGCGTGATGTCACCATATCCAATCGTGAGTAGAGAGCAAAAACCGAAGTATAACGCGCTGAAATAACCAATATTCTCCAATCGAGAGAACACACCTGCTCCTCCACACCATACAATGGCGAACCCCATGAGACTTGATAAGAGAGACATCCAACGGCGAAATCTCAGTGTTTCGTTCTGGATGGCTCTCATGGTTTTGAATCGATCCTTTTCCTCGCGCATGATCAAAGTTCTGGACCTCTTTGACGCCATTATGCTATTGACCATAGACCGGATTGGTCTAGACGTCGTTTCATTGTGAATTTGAACCTGGTTTCCATGCCTTAATTCACTAGGAGGCTTTTGATCCTGATCAACCGCCAGGGACCGTTGCAAGACTTCCACTCTTTTGCGATGAAGGTGGGTTTTGACAACGTTGGCATTGGTGACCTCTCTTGCGAAACGAGTGATACTTGCAACTATCAGAGCCAAAATAATGATTCCAATAACTGCATATGGAAAAATCAAACCCCTTGCCAAATTAGTCCCGGCAGTGATATCACCGTACCCCAAAGTTAACACGGTAACATCTGAAAAGTACACGGCATCGGAAAAAGAAATATCAATAAGCTTCTGAAATATAGCCCCACCTATGGCTAGCCAAATCATCAATGAAGTTGTTTGCAAAATCAGGGTACGTTGGTCGTCAGTAAGAGCGAAATGTTGAGGATAATGGCCTAGCATATATCCCAGCATATTAATCATGAGAATGGCAGCTAATATAAAATACAGAACTGCGGCTATAACAGCACTCCAATAGCCCTGGGAATAGACATAGTCTGGCGCTTCTGGGGGAGCGTAAATGTGCATGGAAGCCGTGATTCCGGCAAGCTATTATCAGCAAGACAGAGGATATTGTCAGCCCATATCACAGGGGAAACCTAAGACATACAACTTACAACACCAGTAGCCAGAAGCCATAAGAATATCGAAGCTGGTAATGCAACGATATATCGCATCTTCCTAGTGAAATTAAAAAGAAGAAACAAGTTTCCCAATAAGCCAAAAACCAAAGAGGAAGCATTGAAGCCAATACACCTGTATTGATCAAAGTTCAGCAGAGCCCTTCATTTAATTTGCACCATTTTGGGAGCTCACCAGTGGGGGTCGGAAATACCGACTTGGAGTACGCGTCCCTGGCTATCGAGCTGGTCCGGGTAAACCTGGTTTCTCCATGAAGTCACCAAAGCAACGACAGACATAAGATTGGCCATGGGAGCCGCCGTTGCAGCCACGAGTGGAATGGCAGTTGATGCAATCCACCAATCCCTGGCGTAACGTCAGCAACTCTGCATGGACAAGAATAATTTTATTGGGTGGATCTGTACTGTGCCTGTTCGTCCTCGGAGGGTTGCAATTCAAAGGCTTCTCGGAACTGAGCCAAGCTCCAGAGCCATCTTGACCTATCATTCTCCGCTTGGCTTTCAGGCTTGAAGACTATGTTTGGTCCTTCCGCGGACTCATTTGAATCCATGTTGATCCGAGCCTTAGTATACCCCCTTCAGGAGAAACTCCTCCAAGTGCCGTAATTTTTTTGAGAATCAATCCTCAGAGATAGTGCATGACGGAGCTTTACATCAGGGGCTTCATCACGCATATGAGGTTTGCTGTGTGGGCGTAATGTAGGTACTAGGATATGCGTGACTATGATGACGATGTGGCGCAGTAAGCAACAAGGGATGAAAGATGGCCAAAGAGTAGATAAATTGTACTGGTAAGTATTGCAATATACACTCCGACTGCGGAAGACAATCAATTTGGGCAGCCCAAGCTCCAAGGCATGGTGGTAGAAAAGTTGTAGTCGCCACTGGCAGGAGGACAGGCCAGGACGATGTTCCGTGGGTGTGGAGGTAAAAATTATTGTATGTATCGGATACCGTAACATTCAAGGCGAAAGCCGGTAATTATACAGCTTTGTATGCATGTATTGATGTATTTTCCGTACGGGGCTAGCGCAAAGCAGGAAATAAGGTTGTGCAGCTTGTGCTCCACATGATCGAGACTAGTACGCATTCAGACTCCAAACAACGTCTCCCCGAATCTCATCACCAAAAAGCTATCTTCTCTGCCTTTGTGTATCGGACTTCGGTTCACATACAGGTAACTACTGCTCTGTGTTTCCCGAGAGTATTGCAGACACAACCATCATGCCTCAACTTCGTCGGCTCATCGCGCTGTTGGCGGCCTTTCCCTTGTTGTCGAGGGCCCTCCCTGCAACGAAATATGTTGAGACCACGCCCTTACCGCTAGTAATCTGGCATGGGCTAGGAGATAGCTACCAGGCTGACGGGATTATGGAAGTGGCACAGCTTGCTGAGGAGGTTAATCCGGGCACATATGTGTACATAATCCATTTGGATGATTCGGACAATGGGGATCGACAGGCTACCTTTTTCGGTAATGTTACAGAACAAATCACCCAAGTCTGCGAGCAACTGGCATCCGAGCCTATTTTAAGCACAGCACCAGCCGTTAATGCTTTGGGCTTCTCCCAAGGGGGTCAGTTTCTGAGAGCTTTTGTTGAAAAGTGCAACTTTCCCCAGGTGCACAATTTAGTAACGATGGGAAGTCAGCACAACGGCATTTTCAAGTTTCAGTCTTGTGACAGCTCTGGAGACTGGGTTTGCCGCGGTGCAGAGGCTTTGTTACGGTTCGGACGATGGTCTGACTTTGTACAATCTCGGTTGGTGCCTGCGCAATATTTCCGTGATTCCAACGAGTACGATTCATACTTGAAACACAGTAACTTTCTCGCCGACATTAATAATGAAAGGGAGGAGAAAAATGAGGCCTACAAATCCAACCTGTTGTCCTTAAACCGCTTTGGCATGTTCATGTTTGCGAACGACACAGTGGCTGTTCCCAAAGAAAGTGCGTGGTTTGCTGAAGTCAATCAATTGAGTGGTGAAATAACAACTCTACGGGAACGCTCGCTATACACGGAAGATTGGCTAGGCTTGCGTGCATTAGACGAACAAGGGAAGCTTGACTTTGAGACTATCCCAGGTCAACACATGGAGCTGACTGATAAGCTCTTGACCGATGTTTTTACGGAGTATTTTGGTCCGGTTGAGGTTCCAGATGATGTGGCAGCTCTCCCTCCATCGTTGGTCAAGCAAGGCATGTAGTGAGGTCACGATATACTTAATCATATTGATTCATTGCCTAATTGCCTGTAATATACCAGTTTGATCGTCACATTGCAATTTTCTCTCTCTTCATTATGTTTGCTAGGTAGCAGTTTCGTTATTCAATGCACTCTTTTCCCTGATATCAAACCCAGGTTATTAATATCTATTGATTTTGTTCTACGTATGACAGACGTAGGTGCTTGATTTATTTGACTTTGCTTTCGTAAGCCGACAAAGAAGTGCCTATCTTCGCTGCAGGCATGTTAAGAATCCATGGTTAGCAACGAGTGAGAAAAAAAGAAGCCAAAAACACAAAAAGCACGCTGCCTATACAAGCCGACCCCTTAACCAGTGAAAGTGATTAAAGTTGAAAAGCCTTGGAACTAGTACTAATGCAGACAGCTACTAGCCTCCCACAGTTTAAGGCGAGACCAAAAGCGGTTAGGGCAATTCGAAGCTCTGCTCGGAGCCCTAACCAGGCCTCGGGTCCGAAAATGGGCAGCAGCCACCGAAGGCACCGAAAAGGGAAGCAGCGTCTCTGCCTGGTACGACAAAACAATAAATAGGCAAATGGAGGGCAATTTCCGCCACGATCTTCTTCAAATTTTCACCTTCGTCACTCATTATCGCCAACCTTTCTCGTTTGTACACTGAGTCCAACCTTTCAACAGCTACCGACTACCATCGATCTACCAGCTTGTATCATGGCTGAAGATCCAGATCGCCAGGCATCAGTCTTAGGAGAGATGAGTGCTCCAACCCGTGAGAGCACCTTTCAGAGCGACAAAGTGCTCACTCAGGAAAAGCCCCCTGAGGCAGCCAACAACTCCCCGAAAGATGCTGCTGTCGAGCATGAATACCCTGGGCCATGGTCGCTCGCGGCTATCATGGTTGCCTTGTACTTTGCTGTTTTCCTTGTTGCTCTGGTGAGTCTCTTCTTATTCAGGTGGTAACTACAAGTTAGGCAAACCTGCTAACCGACTTCGCTCTGCCAGGATCGGACCATCATTGCTACCGCTATACCTCGCATCACCGACGATTTCCATGCCCTCGGTGATATTGCCTGGTATGGTAGTGCTTACCTCCTCACAAGTTGCTCCTTCCAGCTGCTTTATGGTCGCATATACACTTTCTACAAGCCAAAGTGGGTTTTTCTAGCAGCTATCATCATATTCGAGATAGGGTCCGCCGTTTGTGGCGCTGCACCAACATCCACGGCATTCATCGTTGGCAGGGCCCTCGCTGGCTTGGGTGCTTGCGGTATTTTCTCCGGCTGTATTGTGATCATCACTGATGCCGTACCTCTGCGGAAGAGGCCCATGATGACAGGCTTCATGGGCAGTCTCTTCGGCATCGCCTCAGTCGTCGCTCCCGTGATGGGGGGCGCTTTCACGGATAACGTCTCGTGGAGATGGTGCTTCTATATCAACTTGCCCATCGGTGCGGTGACGATTCTGGTCATTCTTTTCATTTTGAAGGCTTCTCCGCCACCAAACCCAAGTCCAGCGCACACTCCCCTGGAACGTTTGAACCAGCTCGACCCCCTCGGCACAGCGGCGTTTCTTCCCGGCATGGTGTGCTTGATCCTAGCATTGACATGGGGAGGCACAGCTTACGCCTGGAGCAACGAACGTATTATCGCGCTATTCGTCCTTTCCGGTGTTCTAATCATTGCTTTTGTGCTGATACAAATGTGGAAACAAGAAACTGCCTCCGTACCACCTCGGCTTGCCAAGAAGAGAACGATAGCCGCGGGTTTCTTGTTTTCTTTCTGCGTGGGTAGTAGCATGATGATCTTCGTTTATTACCTTCCTATCTGGTTCCAAGCTATCAAAGGAGTGAGTGCTGTGAAATCAGGTATCATGAATATCCCGTTAGTCTTGTCCCTCGTTATAGGCTCCATCTTTGCAGGCGTTGCAGTCTCGCGACTAGGTTACTTCACTCCTTTCATGCTCGCTGGTAGCGTCATCATGTCCATTGGCGCAGGTCTTATCTCTACCTTCACCACCACTACGGGACACAGTAAATGGATTGGTTACCAGTTTCTCTTTGGTATCGGCATTGGCCTGGGCATGCAGCAAGGCAGTGTCGCCGCACAGACCGTTCTTGATAGAAAGGATGTACCAACCGGTGCATCCCTGATGATGCTCGCACAGGCTTTTGGGGGTGCAGTGTTTCTTGCAGTCGCTCAAACGATCTTTGGGAATAGCCTTTCGAGTCAATTGCACGCAAATATACCTGGCCCAAATGGAGCTGAGGTCGCTGCAGCCGTCATCAATGCCGGTGCAACTGGCTTTCGCAAAGTCGTCCCTCCCGAAGACCTGCCGCTGATTTTACCAGCTTATAACAAGGCTCTTACAAACACTTTCTATGCAGGCGTGGGTCTGGCATGCGCTTCAATTATCGGTGGCCTTGCGACGGAATGGGTGAGTGTCAAAAAGCCAGAGCAGAAAAAAGAGCCTGTTCCTAAGGATGAAGAGGCATAAACAACTTGTTTTGACGGGGAAAGAAAAGGGAAATATCGATGCACGCATGGGTAATAACTAATCTGGGCGGACACAAGAAATTTAAGTGGGAAAAATGGGAATATGGGAATATACCCGGGAAAGTTCAGAAAAATAGACCTGCACTTACGACTCCACTCATTTTTGTTTTCATTATTGTTTGATTTAATTTTATGGCGGCAGAATTTTCGGTCGGTGTTTAGCTTTGATATGTCTGCTTGGGTTGTACGATATTTCTTCAGAAAAGATTGAAATGTTGCTCGTAATTTAACATGATGTTAAACCCCAACTTCTGCGCCTTCGGATCACCGTATATCTCTTTTCTGTAGTCATAATGAGAGACGGCAACTTTAGTCGAATTAGAGAAAGCACCATTCCTATGTTAGATTGACGTGAGAAAGAGCCTCTAAGGACGTCTAGTGTTGATCGTTTGAAACTTCTCATCAGAATGACATCGATCAAACATCTGAACATCGCGGTTCGTCAGTTTAGATCCAACATGCCACAATAGTAATCACCTTGCGGCATGTCTGCTCATCAAAAATTCTATGCTAGCGGTGAAGCACAGAACATATCCATATCACCAGAGCTGTATTCTTGGAATTGTTGAAGTAATGTGTCCCATTGGCCCCAGTCCATAGGGCTGTCATCCATAGAATACATAGTATTCACATCAGACAGGTTATGATCGCCATCTATCATCGGATATGAATCACGTTCTCGTGAACTAAGCGGCAATGACTGAACATTTTGGTTATAATTGTAACTACCAGCATTGCCAGCTTTCGTAAGGATATAGCCACTTGTTGATCTAGTAACAGAGACACGGGATGGTGATTTAACAACTTGTTCGGCTGGCCTTAAAGACCGTTCAGTCGTGTTATTGTTCAACATGAACGATGACATGGAAAATGGTGCAGGAGATGTTGAAGTAGAATTCGAAGTCGAAGATGTCCCACGATTAACGTATCTCCATAGCACGCTGATGACTTGTGGTTGAGGTAAAGGGTCAACTTGACGACGTTCAGACTCCGTGACCTGGGCCGACCATGCTTTGATCGCCAAATTGGCGACAGCAAGGTGGAGAGCGCTCTTCCTTCGTTGATTAAGAGCCTTGTATTGCCGGCGGAATACGACATCGAGTAGCTGCCATGCTTTCGCTGCGTCTTCGCCTGTGCTGCGATGGCGTAATTCGAGTAGCATGACGATAAAAGCATCCCAAGGAAAGTGAAAATCAATATGCCAATGAAACTTTTGGGTCTTCGGACTCGAGAAGAGAAGATCCGTGTATTCCAGAATGCTTAAACATAGTCGAAATAACAAGTCTCTTTCTACCTGCGGTATCGGTAGGCCTTTGTCCTGGTACTGTCGTGGATGGTGCGCGCGAAGCCGGACGCAGGCCACAGCGGATTTGGCAACCACAAAGGTCACAAGATGGAGGGGAATTGAGAGGTCACAATGCTGAATATACTTAGCTTCGAATAGACCCTCTATTTCGTCAATAATACTATCCTTGTGCTCCAGAGAAATGGAGGTAGAGCTCAAAAACTCCCACAGCCCATCAAAAGATGATGTCTTTAAATTCTCATGTCTCGACAGCCAAGCCCCCAGATCATAGCACATCAAACAGAAAATCATTTCCGTCGGCCCGGAGGACTCAACTGGGTTTTCTTTCATATTAGGGTCAAGAGCACTGTCGTTGATATTACATGGTCCTTTGGTATCCGTCATCGGTCTCATATGAGATTCACAGCCAGCCATGTGGCCTATGGTTGAGTCGAGAACGGTCACTTCCCACCAAAGTCGCCGACGCATCTCCGTTTCAAAAACTGATAGGCCTAGCTTCGAGCCATCTTTGTGGAGCCCAATTCGTTGTCCGATTCTGAAGCAAATGCCACTCAAAGACCATAGGATGTGTGGATTATATACTAGCCGGATAGAAAGCTAACGGTCGGAACAATTGAGTTAGTACATGAATGCAGTTCAAGTAAACAAACTCAGTACATACGATGAATAAAACAAATGCTTGAAGAACCATTAGCTCCGAAGTTCCTAGGACTCCTGCATTTACCAATGCCTGCTGCGTACACTGTCGATATCGGCTCAAAAGCGTTGGTTTGGACTCTTCAAAGTATTTCTCTACCTCGTCATCCTGCATACAGAGCAATGCCGTTGAGTAAATAGAAAACATCAAAGCTTCAAGCTCGGGCGACAAGGAGCTCAAGTCGCTTGCAGCATCCAGGATTCGTTTCTGTAGCGTGGGCACATGGACAATCTTAATGATTGGGTTGACACCTTCAAGAAATGTGTTCCATAGTTTGAAAATCCGGATCGTGTTTGGGTGGAAATGCGTAAGAGTCTGACGTGATCCAAAAAGGAAACTGCTATTGAAGTCTTCTCCAATCTGCGTTTGGGATGCCGCAGACTTCTCGGACTCGTCCTCCGAAATGATGTCTTCGGCATCTTGAAGCTATGTCATTGTTAGTATATAATAGATTCGTCTCTTTACTGCATGAGACAGGATGCGTTCGGAAGCTACCTACTTCGTGGCTAACGCTCTTCCACAAATGACTATTGGTACATGTAAGCGATTTTCTTCGGAAGGGCTACATCTTAGGAGGAAGTTTACGAACTTGTCAAGATAAAGAGACTTTCCTTTCTTCGTGATTAATCTGCCAGAACCATGTCTCGGGGTGTTCTCCCGCGCCACGTCCGACGCTGCAGAGGGAGCCCGCGCTGCCGCATTTGTCACATCCATGTCATTTATATTATCTCTAGTTGCAGTCCTAACGACAGGAGCCTGGGCATCATCGGATTCGAGCGAAGCCACATCGATGCCAGCCTTTTGCAATGCATTTTCGTAGCGGCTGATGCGATCAGCCATCGTAGCCTCGGAGTTTTTCTTTCTTCGCCTCCGAGGCGGCAGGGGATCCCGATATTCACACTCAACCTGGGCTTTGGCACACCTAGTACAAGGATCACGTCGGTCGCATTTGACCTTTCTCCTCTGGCAAAGAACGCATGCATGGGGCCTAGGGCCACCAGGCTCGGAGCTGCTCGCCATAGTGATGTGCACAACTCTTGAAGTACGTATAGGCGTTTCCGAACCCGCATCGAGAGGTCAGGTTATCCGGAATGCGATGCCATACAGATGACAGCGCATCTTGAGAATAAACACAAGGGGAAGAAGCTGCTGCGAAGTTTGGCGGAAGATAGCTAATCTGATCCCCCGGGGCGGAGGGCCTGAGCCGCCTGACTAAGCCGCGGCCTAGTCTCAAAGAGGCTACATGTTTCTTGTCTATTTTTACTTTGAGTTTAGGCCTTGCAACCTCAGGCCCTCCAATCCAATCCAAGCATCCCGTCGTCATCGTCATCGTCATTGGGAAAGTCGGCGGTAAACCTGCGACGTGCCTGGCATGGCTCGAAATGGGGCCTGATGCTCCCAGTCCAGCTATCATGGTCTTTTTGAATCGCGACAATCCTCTCTCTCGTTCCTCAGCTCTCCTCACCTCAACATGCTTCGTATCTTTTCAACGCCGAAAAAGGCCAGTGAGGCCCGACACCGCTCAAAGGAGAGGGGCAGGGCTTTTAGTGGGTTAAGGAGATCCAAGTCCTCCAAGTATGTTCGACTCGCCACTCAAGTCTCTCGCTGTGCTGACAAGTTTGGCGCAATTACAGGACCCTCGTGGAGGACCTCAGCCGTATACCATCATCGTCTTGCTGGGACTGTCTTCCCGTCGAGATTCAGATTTCAATATTTGCGCAATGCAGTGTACATGACTTCTTGCCTTTGAAGCTTGTTTGCCGGCGGTTCTACAACATCTTGTCCATGCACGAACTGGTTATTGCCCAAGAATACTTACAGCGTCGTCGTCATGGTACACTCCCGTCGACAATCAGTCACGAACGAACATACACGATGAACCCCGAGGACGACGTCGTGCTTCTGTCCGACTTGTTTCCACCAGCCAAAAGTGCCAAGGGGGGCTACTTGTATACCTTCAGATACCTACATAGTCTACGCCGTAGACAACAGACTTGTGCTCGGCTGTCTCGATACTTAGCAAATCGGGTGATGGACAGGTTCTTGACCCTCGAGCAGGCTCTGGTCAAGACTCGGTTTCCTTCGAAGCTAGAGCGCAATCTACTTTTTGAGAATGCGATTGTACATCTGCAATACAATCTTATTCCACTGACGTGAGCATTCGAAAATCCCCTCTGGTTCCTACGCGGTACTAATGCGTAACATCTTTTTTCCTAGTTATTGCGTTTTATATTTCCTAGAAGCCTATGCTTCTGCCCGCAAAGAACATTTGAATTATTTATTACGAGAATACGAATCCGGGGGGCTTCCTGTGCCTATCCCTTTCCATGTCCGGAGGAAGATGTACGCAAGATTGCAGACGAACATCCTTCGTTCTCCTCCATTCACCGACACATCAACGCTGATTGCAACACACCACTGCATGTATCTACTCGTGTCCTATCTTCGACACACCTTGTCCTTACCGCCCGGCCAATTTGGAACTGTTGACGACCATTGGATTGGCGGACTATTGGCAATCTCGGGTTTTGGGAGGATCGCTGAATACTTTTCCGCTGAGATTGGTGATGGAGACAACCCAAGGGCTCAACGTAGAGACTTCATGGTCAACTTCGAGAGAGACGTAGATTTAAACTTGCGGGAAGAAATGCATCCATGTGTCTACTCGCCTCCACCAAGTGGACAGCCGCACTATTCTTCTCCAAATGAGGTCTGGTTTGACGTTGTCTACCGAGAGCTAAGATCGAGGAACGCCGTTCCTCATGCTCCAAAAAGCTTCACTGTCTGGGATGGAATTTCAGTGCTTGTAGGTTGTGACCAGTGCCGTCAAGCTAGAGGCTGGATGGCTTGAATGATATTTTTAGTGGTTTATTATCGCGAAATATATGTCATGAGAACCATCGATGGCAATACTTGCGTGCTATGTTTCTATACAATAGCTATATGTGCAGGTATTGCTTTTGATTATAATGGCGCCCTTAGAATAACTACATAACACATGCCTCATATTCTCTCGTACATATATTATTAATGTAGGTATCACTCCTCCTTTGATACAGCCTATAGTGTATGTTTTTTGTGAAGTTTATAGATTCTACTAGAGCTAAACCGCCTTCTCGCCTTATTGTTGTACTCAAAAACTATATGGATGGAAAGGGTGAACATCCCGTCTTTTTGTTTTGCATTGTTTGCAACTTCGTCTCGCGTATTGAGGTTGTGGTTAAACGCGTCGCAATTTTCCAGGCAAAATCAATAACAACGTCGCAACTCTTTGATCTGAAGAGTCCCTGCACAGCCAGCAGAGTCAATGGATGCAGAATGGTGCAATAATGGGTCTTGTATCACGAGCACAATTGTTTAATATTTCGTGGTCGGCTCATCGCCTATCTCCGCTACATCATAGCAAAGACCATCGAGTTTTGATCGGCAATCAAGATGCATTGAAGACTTACGCAAAGCGCTTACACGATCTGCTCGCGGGTGACTTACTGCGTAGCATGCAAGTGAACTTGACAAAGAGTCTTGCTGATGATGCGCTTAGTAAAGCCGGGTCGTTGGTTGAAAGCCGATGGGAATTCATCACAACGCATGAGAGCATACAAGAAGGGAGCGACGATTCGTCGATTGAAATGAATGAATGCATGGGAATCTTTATTACACTCGACTATGAGCGCATCGGATACAGGGCTGCTCTTCTCGCAGGTCCTGATGGATATACGCCAGCATCCACAGACAGGAGACGCAAACAGTCTACTCATCTACCATTGTTGCTGACGCGTATGCCGACTGTACTAAGAAATACATTTATCGAGTTCCTATCTACTACCTTTGATTCATACTGTGCGACGTTGCATTTGCCGTCCGAATTTCTTTCCATGACGCTAGAGACGTCTATCTCCCGCTTAATGACGAGTGAGGACTCACAGCAGGCGTCAAATGCGACTCTTGAGCAGGTGTTGAAAGAAACGCAGTTGACTCTGTCATTTGGGCAGTTAGTTGCGCCATCACTGAAATCTCTTGACATAAGTCTACCTCGGGAAACATTATCAACATTTGCGCGCGGGGGACCCAACAACGACACCTCACTATTTCTATCATCCTTGTCTCAATACCTGGACAAACATCTTGCTATGAAAGTCAATCTCCAGGAAACAGGCAATGAGAGTTGTGAATCGAAAGATACACAGCATGTGTGGCTTAGCAAGGTCGCTACTGGAGCTTTTGTGCTGAGTGCTGAAGGAAGATTTAAACTGATTGACATTTCCAGCCGTCAAAGGGAGCCTCCAGAGGAGCAGACAGCAGTTCAAAAGTTAATTGATTTGGCAAATGAACAAATTTTACGATCACTCGTTCGGCGAGCAGCTGGCGATGATTTGATCACTTGACGACAAGTTGTGATGACATGAACCTTTTTTAACAGAGTCGGGAGATATTATTTTTGAGCCAACTACAAAAGACTCATCGAGCCCCAATCGGCCTAGATACAAGAAGCCTGATCTGACAATGAAAATCTACGTCCTGATAATGGCATATTCGAATGATTGAGATATTTCTTTCCACTGCATGGAAACCAGATAATGAATAAATGATAAAAACATATCACCTGTTTTTCGACGGCAAATAAAGAAATTTGCTTATATACAATATCTCGTTGATGCCAAAACACTACGTATTAACCATATAATACAGATATTGACGGTAGTCTTAAGGGCAATGAGGTTAATAATGCTCGCTAAGGGAACGGCTTCATGTCTTTAGTACGCCAAAAACTTATAGGAAGTCAACGGAAAATGTATCATACGAAAGCCTCTTGTAAGTCCTCGACTTCAGTCAGTCGTAAAGCTTCGTCCACGCTTGGGACAAAATGTGTTAGCCCACCGCACATCTCGACTATCCCGCTGCGTTCGAAAAGTTGAAAAACCGAGCCATTGAGAGAAGGAAGACGGCAAAAAAAGACACGAACTCCACGATTAACATAGTCCTCGACGATCTCGAGTAGGACCTGTGTCCCAGAAGCGTCGATGCCTGTAACCCCGTGAACATCGAAAATGACGTTCCTGTCACTTTCAACTGGTCTTACCCTGGGAAGCGCCGGATGGGCACGACTAGTTCCATACAGTTCTAATCGACGTAGACGACTTTTCAGATCTCCGGTATTTGCGAAAGTCAAAGGCTCAGGTATTTTGACGATCAGGCACCCTTCGATAAACTCGACTTTCTCAGGATACAACTCAGCATTTTCAAATTGGTCCGGTGTCCCCGAGACCTTGCCAAGAATCTGAATCCGTGGCTTGGTGGCATGTCGAATAACACGTAAAAGAGATAAACCACAGCCTAGGGCAATTCCCATCGTAATAGAATAGAAGATCGTTGATAGGAAAATTATAATCATTAGTACAAGCTCAGACCAGCCTCGAACCTGAATGAAGAAACGCAAATCATGTGGGCATTCTTCAACCAAAGAATAGGCGACCACTGATATCATTGCGCAAAGTACAGCTTTCTGCAGATGAGTCTTTAGCACGATTACATATAAGACACAGAGATATTAGAACTTACTGGAAGATAATAAAGATAATCCAAGAAGAAGACAACCACAATAAATGTGATGAGACTCAAAAAGATGCCGCTCATTTGCGTTCGTCCTCCTGCAGATGCGTTGAATTTACTTCTTCCGTAACCACCAAAAGCCGGAAGGGCTGTGAAAAGCCCGCCAGTAACATTAGCCACACCCAGTGCTACCATTTCCCGGTTTGCTGACACCGGTGCACTTTTGATGCCGTCACTAGTACCGTCACCCAAACCTTTAGCAGCAACTGAGGATTCAAAGAACCCTAATAGGGCAATTATGAAAGAAGTGCTGAGTGCAGACCGGATATGATGCATTTGGCTGGGAAGATACGGCCAATGAAACTGAAAGAGGCTCGAATCACTGCCCTCGCCTGGTTTGACGGCACCGAGGACTTCAAGGCCTTGCTTCTCCCACTCAAAATACCAAGTAAGGACAGCTGACATGATGACCACTAGTAATCGATCCGGGAAGTATACAAGTTGTGGAAGATGTTTCGCAAGCATCTTTTTGAGTGTTCTGAGGGAAGGATTAGCATAAAGGACTTTTATGGTAAACAGCAAGAGTCACACCTGAATATCATGATGATAGCGAAGCTAGAAAATGCGACAATTGTCGTAAGCGCATGTGCGTACTTGCCGTGATCGATGACAAACACAAGCTTCTCTACAGTACTAGCATGATTTACGCCACGCGCCATTTCCATCAATCCCATTTCTGGGATGAGCTGGTCGACGAAAATGACAACACCGATAGCTGTGATAAAACCTCGTAAGAAAGGTCGGCTGAGCACGTTATCCAAAAACCCAAGGCGGCTTATTCCAGCAATAAGAATGAATGCACCTGATAAACTAGTCACAATACCAACGACTTGAGCGTGCATCAGGAAGTCAGATTCACTGGAGTGTCCAGACTCAACCGTTGCTTTGACAACAGTTCCTACGAGAAGCGAACCTGCCGCTTCCGGCCCGACAAGAAGCTGCGTACTGCTACCGAGAAGTGCATATAGAAGTGGCTGTACGATAAAGGAATATAAGCCATTAATCGGTGGTGCATGGGCTAGGTTTGCCGACAAAGACAGTGCCATTGGAATATAAATAGACGATACAGTCAATGCTGCTACAAGGTCGCCTCGGAGAAAGTCCCATCGATACTGAGTGATCCAATTGACGAATGGAATATAGTAAGAGAGATACCTGCATCCTCATCAGTCATAAGGAGCTTAGTAATGTCATACGAATCGTAGGGTGCGGCGTACATTCTCCGACGATTCTTCAGGCCCATCTCCGTGATGAGCCTGTTGGTAACCGAGGTGCCATCCGTCACCGGTGTTTGCAGTCCAGAGACTAAGAATCCAGGAGTCCTAGAGCCCCAAAGGAAACTGCCTGCAACAGAGCTGGGTTCGTGCTCTTCAGGTTTCGGGGAGAAAGTTCCATGATTGCAGTCTCGTAGCCCACAAATGGATTGTCTCCGTTCGTAATCTTCTAGCAACCTAGACCTCTCGTTGGAAGCATCAGTCCCATTATGCTGGTGGGAGCCGTGAGGTTCGTTGGCAGGTAAAGGTTCCCTAGACGACGAGCCAGGGCTGAGGATATCGACGATGCGATCTCGCAAGGAAGGCGAGCCATCTGACTCTGACCGTGACGGTTGACTGTGGGACATTTCCTCCTCTATCAGATGCGCATATCTAAGGGTGTGTCGCTGTCATTGGGAAATATGAATAACTTGGACCTCGTCCGATAACAATTTGGAGATTTATCAGCATGGGCCATGCCCGGCGGGGCTTTGTATCCGGAGATATCGCCGGCAGCCAATAGGAAGGAGCACAATATAATCGTGTCTCATTTACACCACCACCGCTGTTTGTAGATGTGATTGGGTAAAGTATGAAAGAGTAAGAAGCCCAGATATTCAGCGCTAGCACGTAAAAGTCGTATTCGGCATCTGGGTCGTGCGGAGCATGGCACTTTCTAGGTGCCACAGAGGATAAGTCACGTGATATAGAGCGAGCCTTGGCGTGCACGTGACCGAGTGTGGGAGCCTGAGGCGACTAAGCCCTTTTGGGGATGTGCGCTCGCAGAATTTGGGCCGCCACAAAAAAAAGCAAGCTTTGTGTTCCTTCCAGGACAGACTCAGTCAGCCTCGACGTGAACACGACCGCCACGACTGCAAACAACTGAAAACTGCACCAATCTCTCTACAACAGTCCTGCAAGCCAGCACGCGTCTTTGAACGTCGACATATCCCGTCCTCTTTCTTCGCGTATTCCGTCCCCCGCCTTGTGAAGGCGCCACCCCGCCAAGATGTCGTTAACGAACTGTCGGTTCTACGAGGAGAAGTATCCCGAAGTGGATAGCTTTGTTATGGTCAATGTCAAACAAGTTCGTGCAGTCCAAATCTCTGGCGATAGGAAACCTGGCTTATGCGTCATTTTTAGATTGCCGAAATGGGTGCCTACGTGAAATTGCTGGAATACGATAACATCGATGGCATGATTCTGCTGTCCGAACTTTCGCGGAGACGTATTCGAAGCATTCAGAAGCTCATTCGAATCGGCCGAAATGAGGTTGTCGTCGTGCTTCGTGTGGATAAAGAAAAGGGTATGGAGAAGACATTCGGCGAGGCATCTGGAAGGATCGTGCCATTTATATGTACTAATTCTTATGTCTATGCTGTACAGGTTATATCGATCTTTCGAAGCGACGAGTGTCGGCCGAAGATGTTGTCAAGTGCGAGGAACGTTACAACAAGAGCAAATTGGTGCATTCGATTATGCGCCACGTCGCAGAAAAGACAAAGACCCCTATTGAGGAACTATACCAGACCATTGGGTGGCCCCTGAACCGCAACTTCGGCCACTCATACGATGCTTTCAAGCTATCTATCACGTAAAGACTCACCGTTACCACGTTTTACAAGGTTGCAAGGCTAATCCTCTCCCATAGCAACCCAGATGTGTGGAACGACGTTGCGTTCCCCAATCAGCTGGTCAAGGAGGAACTGCAAATGTATATCAGCAAGAAGCTTACCCCTGCTCCTACAAAAGTCCGTGCCGATGTCGACGTCACTTGCTTTGGTTACGACGGAATCGATGCGGTTAAAGATGCCCTTCGCGCAGCTGAAGAAAAGAACACCCCAGATACTCAGATCAAGGTCAAACTGGTGTCTCCTCCACTCTACGTTTTGACCTGCCAAACACTAGACAAGAACCTTGGTATCAAATTATTGGAGGAAGCCATTCAAAACATTGAGGCGAAGATCAAGGCGTCCGGCGGTGGACTAACTGTTAGAATGGCTCCAAAGGCGGTTACAGAACACGATGATGCCAAACTACAAGAGCTGATGGACAAGCGTGAGCGTGAAAATATGGAAGTTAGCGGTGATGAGAGCCAGTCCGAGAGTGATGAGGGCGTGCCAGAATAGAGGAGAGCACATAAATAGAAAAGTGTTATGTTTCAACTTGTGCCGGGTATTTTTATGGAAGCTGATTGACTCGATAACCCCCGGATGTTCTCTTACCGAGTAGGATGGTGCCTATCTGGCCGAATGTCGAGATCATTCTGGAAGCCTATCTTGAAAGCGCTCCAAGCACAGCACGAGGGTGTTGCGTTGCTGCTCGCAGAGAGATATTCCGTGGCAAGGGCTACATTGCTTCGATGCAGTTTCGAAGTAAGGCTTGCATACGGTTATTTGCTGCCATGCACCTAGCTCGCTCTATATCCTGTGCGTCTTTCGTGATAGCGGTTTGTTATAGCCAATGTGTATCTATACAGAAGAGGCCGTCGAGAGTTGACCTTAAAAAAGCAATGCAACAAAGAAAGTCCATAAAAACAAACATTTATGATACTGTTTTGATACTTTATCGCCTATATACGCTGTATGCCAAAAAATCTACCTCATCACTAACCAGGCTTTAGGGCTAGTTGCTACATGTACGTATTATAGTGATAGCCTTGGCAGCCCCACCAAGACCTTAGCTTCCCCCCCGACCTTCGAAGAGAGCCGGAGATGCTTCGGCTTCGGCTTCACTGCAGTCCAGACGCGTATTGTCAATTGGGCCCTAGCCTAGGTCTCGACCGTGAACAGAACCATGGGGGTTTGGAGATATCTCTTCGACAACCGGCCGCATAGTATCAATCGTGTGCGCGGAGAGCGGCGTCCATGTACGTCATCATTCCTTGAGCATGATCAATTGCTGACTGCCTCTAAACATAAACAGTACTGCCTGCGTACGCTAGCGAAGACATTCAGCCTGCACTACCTACGAAGGAGGTCACGAAAGTTGCACTCCGCCTCAAATATCAAATTGAGCAAGTCATTCCGTACGAGCTCCAGGAGGCTCTTATCAGCAGTCCCAATAGCAGCATCATAACAAAAGATGTCATCAAGACTGCAAAGGAAGCCGGTGGAGAGGAGTTTCGCGCCTGTGTTCTGTTCTGTCTCTTGATATGTGAGAAATGGTTCCATACTGAGGCCCTTGATGCTCTATGGGATTCCTCGCTCCTCGACTGCAGAGCTCTCGCTTGCCAGGTTATTGCCAAAAATATGTATGTGCCGAAGAGAAGCATGGTAATGGACATACCTTTATGTATTTGATACTAATCAATGTGGCTCAGAATTGAGACTGAGGAAGACCAAGAGTGGTTGCACAAGGAAGCCTTATTGAAACGCTACTCTATCCTCCACAAAGGCGAAATGACAACCCCGGCTAATGTGGTCGAGCGCGCAGTGGATATGCACACCTTGCGTGTCATAGGGTCATCAGGATATCAGAAGTGCGTCAGGAATTTATGGAGAGGATGGCTGGTTCAAGATGATCGGGATCCCTCGCAATTTATCGACTACGACAACAAGATAAATACGAGTTATTGGTCACACTTTGATCCAGACCGGATGAGAGTTCCCCTGTACCAGAATTCTCTTCTCATATTCTTCTCGCTCCTCTATCTGATCCTCTATACCTCTGTGATCAACTCTGTGAATCCCGATGGCGATATCGATATTGCCGAAGGCATTCTTTACACCATGACGCTGTCCTATCTATGCGACGAAGTGAGTAAAATCATGAAGATCGGTAGATATTATATCGGCTTCTGGAATGTTTTCAATTTCACACTTTTCACCCTGCTCGCGGTCTCATTCGTTCTGCGCATGGTTGCTCTGGCCCAGTCATCCGACGTTGATAATACCCAGCGCCGCTATTTCAACCAAATGAGCTATAACTTTTTAGCATTCACCGCCCCCATGTTTTGGATGCGCTTACTGTTGTTCCTCGACACTTTCCGTTTTTTCGGTGCTATGCTAGTCGTACTCAAGGTCATGATGAAAGAGAGCTTGATATTCTTCGCGTTGCTCTTTGTTGTCTTGGTAGGGTTTCTCCAGGGTTTCGTTGGCCTAAACAACACCGACCTTGCTGTCCCTGTCACTGGCAAAATCTTGAAAGGCATGGCCAATAGTGTCATGCAAAGCCCCGATTTTGATGCCTTTGAGGATTTTGCTCCGCCATTTGGCATGGTTCTGTACTATGTATTCAACTTCGTTGTGATGATTAGTAAGTGTAGTCTCTCTTAAACTTTTGAGCACATTGTCTCTAACAATTGACTTTAAAAAGTCCTGTTGAACATCCTCATTGCACTATATAACAGTTCATACGAGGATATTTCCGGAAATGCAGATGATGAATACATGGCATTGTTCTCGGCGAGGACGCTTCAGTACGTGCGCGCTCCAGATGAGAATGTCTTCATCCCACGTAAGCAACTCCCAACCCCTTAAGCAGTCATTCCGCCTTAGTATTAACAGTTGTGCTCCCCCCTTTTTCTATTCTAGCTCTCAACCTAATCGAAATACTCTTCCTCATCCTTCCATTTGAGTGGTGGATGTCAAACGAAAGTTACGAGCGCCTCAACGACGTAGTCATGTATATACTCTATTCCCCTTTGCTTCTGCTTACTGCGTATCTCGAAACCCGTGACGCACGGTGGATTCGATGGAACCGTCGCCATGGCGAGGCTGACGATACAGTGCTCCAAGAGTGGGAGGATCTGGCTAATGAGGTTGGATTCAATGGCTTCAACAGCGAAACTGACGAATGGGCCAAGACTGTTCAGAAGACGAAACCAAATGTTGATGTTTCTGCTACTCGTCTTGAGATCAGAGAGCTCAAGGAACAAGTCAAACTCCTCACTGAGTCTGTTAAGGCTCTGATGGAAGAGAGACAAAGATCTACCTAGTTACCTAGCTGAATGGCAAGCAGTTTCAGACAACCCAATGTTATCTTGTGATTTAGCAGTTACTGCGGGGAAAAAAATCTTGGTTGATAGTCATTATATAAATGGTTAAATATGCAATATTGCAAGAAAACAAAGATTACAAGCCTAACAAGCAACGCCTAGGAAATGCAATTCAGTTGCTGAAACAGAAAGGAAGCAATGAAGATACTAATAAAAAATATATACAAAACAAAACAGTGATCTAAACGAACGAAGCTTAAGCTCGGTGTGCCTGAACGCCAGAAAAACAATATTGGAGTAATAGGGAAATGCTCAATAGTGAACAAGCTAGTGAATAACACATAAAAATCAAGTATCGTTAATGACATAATAGTAGTAGTTTAGATAAAGGGGGGCCATCAACTTGCATTTATGTATGCTGATTGCCAGTATAAAGACTTTCAAAGTCAAGTTTTTTCAGGATCCCGTTGATTCGATCGATGTCTTTGCTGAGATCTTCAATATTGAGGGCCAAAGTGCTCACTTCGTCGAACTTGCGACGTCGGTTGGCATCGGCGATCATTTCCGAGACGAAGAATTTTTGTTCTTCTAAAACTATGAGTTGCTCTCGTAAAGCTTTCTCTTCGTCCTCGAGTGCTGAAATAGCGCTACTATTGTCGCTAGTGACGCTCTGACTACTTCCATTTGGTGTATTGTGGTTCCCATATTTAATCGATGCCAGAGCTGGGGTGTATGGTTTTGGTGTAGCAGTGTCCCCCGATGCAGAGGATCGGGAGCCATGAAGTGTTGGGCGACCATCTGGCGTAGCATGCTTCAAGATCTTAGGCAGACTTTTGAGCGGCAACATGTGAAGATGGAGAAAATTGCTGGCTTGTTGATAAATAGCTTTCTGCAGCTTTTTCTGAGTAGGTGACTCTGTTGGTAAGTCACGAATGCGACGAGCAGCCGTATCATATTGCGAAAATGAATCCATGAGTCTTTTTCGGACCTTCGAAGCTTCCGTAAGCTGTGACTGCGACGGCGGATTATTTGGATCTCTACGATAATGTCGATGAGCAGTTGCTTTCGGAGTGACCTATATGGAAAAGCAAGACTTACTGTAAAGCAGACAACAATTTTTGAAATCTCGGTAGTAGTAATCTAATTCCTCGTTCAAACTGAACGAGATTATCGTAGGCACGAGTGACAGGCGGCTTTTTGGATTTTTCCTCATCAAAGTCTCGGTGTTCAAAAAGCGTTGCTCTGCATTCTTTGCACAATCTAATATCGACGTTGATCTTGGAAGGCACAGACTTCTCGGTAGAGTTATGGCTCTCTAGCAAAAACATCAGTAAACCGCTTCAAATGAAGATGTTATGGGCTTGCTTACTTGATAACACTGTTAAACCGACATCGGCCGAGCAAGCAGTGGACTGGTCTGCACATACAACTCGACCGCAAGTCCTACAGTGATGTCTGCGGAAGGTGTAGTTTGTAAATTCCTGTTGACAAAAGGGACACCGAAGGACGCTTGCATCATCCTCCCAACTCACGATTGACTGCTCGATTTCCCGGCGCTGATCGCTTTGCCATCCGAGAGGCCATCGTTTACTTGCACCAGACTGTATCTGCTCCGCTGGCAAGTTGGCGAGAGCTTGTGTTAACCGAGTGAGTCTTTTCTCAAGTCTAGATACTTCCAAGAATGATTTGTCAATAGTTGGTTTCCTTAGTCGCGAAAAGTCTTCGGTGTGATCTCTTATGAGTCCTACAAATATGTCAGCATGGTTAAGTCTCTCGAAACAGATCGCTTCATCCACAGGGCTGCCTCACCGTTGTGGTCATTGTAGCCTTCTCTTGATTTGTAGCACGTTTCACAAACCCGACACCACAGACCTCTGACCGGCTCATGTTTTGCTGACCGGGATAGTTTCATTTGGTACATTGTATGTTCTTCACAAAAAAGCTCGCCGCATTTTCTGCAGTTAACACATCCGTTTGTGGATGTGAGTCTCTTCCCGCAGCTCGGTTCATAGCAAATATCATGTAGCCCTCGTGTCTGCCAGTGTTCGCGCGTCACAACTTCATCCGGGTCTGGTGTCTTGACCTCAGCAGGGGCGGTAGGATGTCGATTGATAGTGACAGAGGGGGGTTGCGAGTTCTCATTGGACTCGAAAACATCGAGTCCTTTAAGCTTCTGGTTGAGGACCGCAAGAGGTTGGAATCGCTTCGCTTTGTCCATCTGTGACTTGAACCAGTCCTTCACTTCATCCTGTCTGATTTCTTCCAAGTTCTGATGTGCATCGTCAAGATGTCTGCGGGCTCCGGTTAGTGAACCGTAGATGTGTAACGAGCGAATATCGAGTTCACCTATTCAATTGAAGCAAAGTTACCTGCAACTAATCAGCATATTGTCTGTCGACGCAGTATAATACCGCGAATATTGAAGACTAACCATCTCTTCATTGCATATCGGGCATGCCAATTGCGCTCCCGCAGCGGCAGGCGCGGCTGAGATCGATGTCTCGCCATTATCAAGGGAAATGCGCGACGTAATGTCTTGTACTTCGGGGGAGTACTGTGATGTAGATGCTTGCGAGTTTAGAGACAAGCTGCTGGCTGATGGCGACAGTCGGCTCTTGGGCTGCGGAGATGGAGTCGAGGTAGCTGGAGAGAGGTTCTTCCCACTTCCGAGGACGCGGCCTCCGCCCAGCACCCTCCGGGCCATGATCTAGTCAAGCATGAGCCGGTGTCTTGCTCATATGCAGGTTTCCAGAACTATATATCAAATAGGCTCCTGTCTGAGAGCCTAGCTCATGGTGTGGTGTGGTGAATGAAGCGCGATTGTCGCTGCCTGCCTGAGATTCTCGCGGATTGTGGCGGACGCTGGCCATGGCACGTGCGGGACTGTCCCCGCACGGCAAGCATCTAGCCTTTAATCTATCAACTAACTACATACCTTAATGACAGACAGTAGGCATAACTCTATGTATGCGTGGTACAATATATGTGTGGGATATAAATATATAGCTCTATATAGACTCAACGGTGTACCTAACTGCGGCTGGTGTCTGTTTCTCGTTCTTTGGAGTGAATGTCCCAATCCGTCGGTTCAGCTCGCTCAGCTCGTCCTTCGATGGCCCGGACGTGAGCGGCTTAAGCAATGCTCCGCTGCTGACTCCTTGCCAAGAATCAGAAGGACGCCTGCCGCTGCTTCGGCTACGACTGCGGTTGGGTGTCTGGGGTTCACTGGGTGGCATGCTCTTGAGACGAGACCTATAGGTTGCATAGTCAATGTCGATGCCACCTTCGCCGTCGTAGTCATAGTTCTCGTCAACCAGCTTCTCATATTCAAAATCTGGGAATATCTGCGGGCCAAAAGTGTTGATGACGTTGACAACTTGAGCCACCAGCGCTCGACGTTGGTTGCGTAGCTTGATTAATGCGGATGAGGAGCTCGGGTTTAACGCAATGAACAGCGGCGGCAAAGATTTGAAGATGTCCATACCAATCTCACCAATGCGAAGACCCGCAAAGCTGACTGCTATCATGAGGCCAAAAAAGAATATAGCAAAAACCCGCAGTGGGACGCTGTCCGGAACGTATACTCGAGCGTTCATCCACCATGGGACAAGAGAAGAGTAGTGGCCGTCGTGTCGACAATAGTGTAACCAGTACGTAACAACCACAGTGTACCACGTGTATAACGTGGGTGCAAGTCCCATTGTCACGAGTATTTTCCAACTTCCAACAACGTCGCGGCCATCCATTTTGACGGATGAATTGGCGAGTGCTTTGCGCTGTTTGGAATGAGAGATAACCCGCGCAGTGACAAACACAGGCCAGAATAGAGCTAGGGACGGCAAAGTCGCCAGAGTCAATGCAAGCAGTTCCCCAACACGATACACTAGTGTAAGAAATACGAGCCACCATGGTCGACGCCGAACATTGCCCCATTCTACTTGATGATCTTGTATGCCCAGAGCTTTGCGCTGGCGGCTATAAGCCTTTATAGCTTTGGATAATTGAATGACCTTTGGTTCTTTTTTGAATTGGGTATAACCTTTCATAAGGCGCCTGTTGAGTTCAATGACGACAGGAAGGGGTAGTTTCATCCGTAATGGCTTATATAGTCTCCTCGTAGCCTGAATAAGCATCAGCGTCTCTCGGTCAGGGGCTTGCTGCGTGACTGAATCTAATGCCTCCTGTATCGTCTCAAGGAGAGATCCGACTGCATTGCGTTTAGAATTTCCGCCAAGTTTGAAAGCGGCAACCTGATCCGGATGAACTTCTACCGGTGGGCCCAGCTCTATGACAGCACGCGAGCGAAATTTATTGGGATGAAAGTAGTTCAGTCCACATGGAATGATAGACAAGCCACAGTCAGGCGAGCGGGCCAACGTCCCAAGAGCAATGATAGCAGCACCGGCTTTCAGGGGTAGCAACCGTGGACGATCATGGCTACCGCCTTCAGGAAAGATGCCAATACAACCACCCGATTCCAGTCCTCGATATACAGCGTCAAACATCTGACTCTGGTCTATGTGGGGCGCCACTTTGAATGAAGTTCCTGTTTGAATACTTTCGTACAACGGGTGATCGCGGGGGAATTTTTTGAAGGGTGCTCTGATACGAAGTTCTTGAGGACCAATGATCTCGGCTATCGCCTGTTGTTCGGGAGGGTCCTGGTTCACTTTAGGCAAGATAATAGTGCCTCTTTCCATGAACATGGGATCAGTGAAATTGGTCCCTTTCCCACGGACAAGAGTCGGATCACTGTCGGGATACGGTAAGAAGATAGTGCCCTCTCCCGGTTTGATGTTGTCCATAGCACGGTTGACTGGAAGCGCACCCATTTGTGCTGCCATTGTCCCGATGTACGGCTCCCTCATTGATTTCTCGGCGATTAAAAAGGATATTCGTCGTCCAGCATAACGTTTCAGGATGCGCATCAGAACGATCGAATCGACAAATTGATTGGCATGGGGTGCTGCCACGATAATGACAGGGCCCTTTTTAGGAATGCGCCATGCTCCAGGTGCGTACACTTCCCGAAAGAAGATGTTCAAGCAAAAGCGAAATATGATAAGAAGCGTGTCGTAGATCCATGGTACCAGATGCTGGCCGCTCGATGCCGCCTTGTGTGCCATTTTCCGAGGTACCAAGCCCCTCGCACAAAAAGAGACTGGATCAATTCACTTTCGTAGGCCGAGTGCGCACAGAGTCGCGGCAATTCGATAAATCCCAGGATGGAGTAAAATCAAATAGCTAAAGAGAGTAAACTGATCGAAGCTTCTGGAGAGAAAATCGTTGGGGAGAAGGTTGAGCCTTTCCGGTTCAGGCCGGAAGCGGAGAGGCTGAGCAGCTAGAAAGGCGGTCGTGGCTGCCGCTATTCCTCTACGCTCACCACCTAGAACAAGCAAACTATTAGTTTCAATACTTTCAAGATTCGCCATGTCATGTATAGCTGCATCACTCCCGATGTCAAGCCACCATAGATGCTCCAATCCAAGTTACCATAAGATGCAGAGCCACGCCAGAAGGAAAGAAAGTCTCATAAGTTCAGGGGAATGTAGCAGATCACCTAAAGCCCATTCGGTGCGTCGTCTTCAGCTTCCTGTAAGGTGTTGAGTTTGAGGAGATTGGGACAGTCCGTAGTGGAAGGACGAGAAAGAGCCAGGGCGTCGGAACCGGGGACAAGATTTGTTCCGTGTCCGTATACGTACTTCTATTAATAGTTTCTAAATAGTAACTAACGAACGAAACACCAAGAGTCTAAGTAACTATTCAGTACGTGCTAGATCCAACATTAAGCCTTACATTCGTCTACATCATTGGTTAGTGGTTGCTGCAATGCTCTCGGACTCTGTGGGGCTGAATCCTCCTGTGTTTACTCGGTGTCTTCTCGTTTCTCTTCCATTTCTCGTTTCTCTTCCAGTTTTCGCTTCTCTTCGTTTTCTCGAGGCTCAACATAGACAAACAACCTGAGGCATGAGGCACCTGGGCCACCTCTTGCATAGTCTTTGTCTTTTTGGTACATTGGTGACGGCCGTTTGCTATTATCCCAATGGCTACAGTGAGGCGAGCTCCCAATATCAGCCATGTTCAAACATTACAACGAGCATGTGCTGTGCTACCAACCGCACAAATCCCCCAGGAGGCAATTCCTCATACGGCGCCTCGGCAGACGTATGTCTAGACAGCGGGCTTTGTGAAAACAGTTGGGTATATACAGCGACTAATGGTTCAACGATTGAAACCACCGTGTATTACCGAGATCAATGTACGAGTACCAACTGGACAGACGGAGGATGTCTGAATATTTGTACAGCTGAAACGGTAGGTTCAGATCAGAAAGTCACGGCCCTCCCGTATACATACTCATACGTGGGTGTATTGACAGTCTACTCTGGCTTCAGGATCCAACCAATGGCAACTCAAAGTCTGATACCCAAGTTACACCGTGCGATGGAACGGCAAACTCGACCACTTGGTGCTGCGGTAACTCTACCAGTTGCTGTGGTACTTCAGATGCTGTAACAATAGCCCCAACACTAAGTGGATACACATCCTCCACGACCAGCAGTTCGACTTCATCTGCAACGGTGAGCCCAACTACAACAGCCTCTGCCTCTTCCTTGCCCTCTGCTACATCCGGACTTTCAGCTGGCGCAAAGGCTGGAATCGGCGTTGGTGTTGCCGTAGGGGCTATTGCCATAATATTTGCTGCGTTTCTATTCTGGCGGAGACGAGCGGCGTATCGAGGTCTACAAAATAATTCTGGGCCAGCGCTTCCATTGTCAAAGACCGGAAGTGTGAAAGAGCCACAGGAGGCCGACTCTAATGTCTATCATGAAATGGACACTCGCGCCCCGATATTCGAGTTGCCTGGTGAGCCAGTCACCGCGCCGAAGCCCTAGGCCGCGTTTAGATAGCGTTGATGTAAATAATTCCCTTCAGGATTGCACATAATATTATTGTTAATTGTTGTTGTTAGTCATGCTTTCGAGAGATCCGGATATCATGCAAACAAGTGGGGGATGCAATGAATCTTAGGCGGACACGTCAACAAGCCAGCCAACCAAGGCGGTCAGACTTGTCAGCGAAAAAGAGCCTCAATTGCCAGCAACGCCCGCCCTCATCTCACGCTCGCAGCATTTTCAGCTTACTTTTTTGTATTTCTGTGATATTTATTCTATTGCTCAATGTCTTTCCTGTGCTTCAATGATTTGGATTACCTGAAAATGTTTTGTCCCTAGGAGAAACACCCCGCATGATACTAGCTAGGTATTGAGTGCAACCGCAAGTATGGACTTGCAGGTGCGCCGCATTATCAGCTTCACGGAGGACGTCGCTGTTGGGCTGAGGCCGTTCCGCGAAAGGCTTCCTGAGTACAGCGCAGAAATAACCAACGTGATTGCCGACCTCTATGCCATTAGTGCAACTCTCACAAGCCTAGAGGGCCTTGCCCGCCAGTTCCCTCGCAACTATGGACATGTCATCAAACCAGACCTTGAACGGACACTGGCCAGCTTGCGATATACTCTTAATGAGATTATAAGTTCCTTTGGGAGGATTGATGGGAGACCAACAGCGGACAACTATCGACGCGTATGGCACGATCTTGACTCGTACTTCCACGAAGAAGATGGATATTCGCTGAAAAGGCGGTTGACTAAATACAAACTTTTCCTGCAAGAGTTGCAAGATGTCATGCAAAAGTATACTTCAAACCGGCTTCTAATTGCTTACTTGCTCATCAATTTTCTCATGCTAACATTTCCCATCGTCGGCCCCCGTAGTAAACGTGTAGATGCTCACTTCATGGCCGAATTGCGGAAGAACATCCTGAGGCTCCTCGAAGAACAGGATAGTCGATTTACCGCGCATCTAGCTAGCCTCTCGCTCAGTCCAACAGGTTCCTCTATGAACAGTAGCATCGTTTCGGGAAGCTCGCAGGAAGGTCATGGCGTTGGAAAGCGTCGATCATATGAACGAGCAAGACCAGGTTTTCGGCCTCACCCAGCTCCATTGCATTCACCGGCATCATCCCATGAAGGTCCTCCTCCATGGGTTCCTGAGGTGCCAGTCTCGCCAATCTCGACGTCTACAACCACCCAGTCCAACATATCATCGGCTATTCTAAATGACCACTGGGCCAAGGACGTTTTTGCCTACAAAGGTCCAGGCATTAAATTTCGTGTCCGTGGAGAAAGGTGAAGGATAGCTGATCCATACTCCAGACCATCAAAGAAAACTAACGGCAAAAATAGTTCCAAATGTCTTGGAGAAGAAGTGCAACCAGATATCAAGGATTGGCTTGACAAGGAAGGGTTTGACGAGGTAGCATATCTGTATGACTTTGTTCGGCGCAAACGAATGATTTTTGGGTGGCTGGCTGACCAACACTTCATAGGCCATTTGACGAAAACCAAGGGTCCGCTATCTCGGTCTTCTTCTATGTTAGAGAAGGCGATAACCGGGTGCGGATTTTGTGTAAGTCCCGGAGGAACAGACGGTCAGCCAAATACTACTGTCTTCCTCTCAATCTGCTGGAAGTGAGACGACTGGGTCCTTCTTTACAACTCTGTCGTCGACGACGTTCTGGAACAGAGCTTGTACCGTGGTTGAGTTTACAATTTCAGACTATGGAGAGTCAGTGATTGATAGAATTTCATGCCAGTTTCCATATTAGCTAACAGGATATCAGAAATGGTGTCGTTCTTTTGCACCTTCCTTGCTCTTCGGTCCCAAGATAATCATCGGCCAGTGCAAGACATTCGTGACTTTGATCTCGCAGCTGAGGAAGAGATGTTTGGCGGGTGAGTTTACATATCTTTCCTCCCTCTGAGGGTAACCTGCTCATAAGTCTACGTTTACAGTCCTATAATAGATGACAATCACATGCATGCATTGCGTATATACCGCGACCGAGTTTCCGGTGCTATTCGCCTACAGGCATCTATACACGAAGGCAGCATGAAAAGGTGATTTGAATCAATCCATTATCCATCGTATCTTTCCTCCACTGACATTGCTCATTAGAACACCAGTATGGACAGCTTTCATTACCGGCTATATTGATTCCTCCTACTGGATCCGTCGGAATAATAGCAAAGTGTTTTTGCGCGAGCTGCACCGAGTCATTTTTTCTCCCGAATACAGGCCTTCTAGGACCTCTCGTGGAGAACACGTTCTGCAATTTACTTCCGAAAGTGGTGTGTAGTTTGATATCTTTCCGATCTATGTTCTTCCGAGTGCATTGAACTGCGACTAACGCGCTTTGCCATTGCCAAAGATGCCAAGGGTTTCATCGACGTGATTAACCAACTTTCTTTAACCGATTAACCAGAGGGGAAAGCACTGACGCAGATATCTGAAAAATGAAAAAGCTATTGTGGGATGATGAATGATGAATGCAACGAATGTTATGAGCGTTGATGAGTCCATGAATAACGACAGATACGGCAGTCGGCACATCTATAAATTGTGCTGTATTTTGTGCTTTCGATGATACGATTTTTTGATTATGACGTTCCCTTTATTGCTCTTCGGTTTAATTCTCTGTTATTTTGGAGAAATGTTTCACAGAAGGCATTCATAAGTATTTATGCAACATATTATAGGTGGATAAAGTTTCAATCCGATTTCTTTATATTACAAAAAAAGAATCATCATCATCATCATCATCATCATCACAGTGCAATGTTCATACAAGATTAGCAAGTCTAAGAATTAAACCGAAACTTCAAGTCCATCCAGAAACTTCTCAGCCTGGCGTTTCCCTCTTAACTCACGTATCTTCGCCCTCCTCTCTTGCTTCAAACGCTCGCGTTCAGCTTTCCGCCGGCCACGCTCCTCTCTTTCTCGCTCCGTCTCTCGACGGACATTAAGCAAGTCTTTCATTTCTTGCTCTCGTGTTTTCGCATCCTGGGAGAATTTGTAGAATCCCGTACCACGCGTGCGCACTTCCGCCTCTGCGTCATAGTGTTTACTTTCCGGTGGTGTGACGGATCGGTCTCGTTTGGAGGCCAAATACTTCATTTGCGATGCTATTGCCGCATCTGGATTGAATGCTTGTGTCTGGATGGCTTCGCCATATATTAAATTCGAGGGTCGTGCTGGGCGCGAATATTCCTCTTTAGTCATCGCTGCCTCGGACTGTCTTTTGATTCGTGCTGCTTGTGCAGCCTCCGCTCTCGTGCCACGGCGTGTGCGGCCAAATTCGTCTTCGTAATCAACTAGTGATCCGGTGCCATCATCATCATCATCTTCATCATCTTCATCAATGTCGTCGCCTTCTTCTTGTTCTTTATCCTCTGCCCATTTCCGATCAAAATCGACAAGAGCATTTCTCTCTTTCCTCCTCATTCGAGACACGTGATCATCTCTAGATTCATCCTCATCACTACTATCGCCATCGGCCAGGTGATGTCCTTTCCTTAAATTCTCATATAAATCTGCCTTTTCTGCCATGCGCCGCTTGGATCTCTCTATTGTTGCCGCATCGACGTGGCCGAGTGTGTCGCTCCTTTGGTGTACTTGTAGTACATCGTGACTGTCCCCGGCTGCGTCGTCTGCAGCAGCGCGTTTGAGGGCTCCTTTATTGTGGACGGAGAATATATCCGGCTTTGCGCTTTTCGATGGACGCGCGCGTCCTCGCGCGAATGTGTAACTCCCACCGCGGTCGGTTCTGGATTTTGATGCTATGGAGGAGGATGCGGAGGCGTCTTTCGATATGAGTGACGACAGATGCGACGTGAATGCTAACGTCGAGGACGATGTGATATCTTTTTGACTAGGACCCTGTTTGGTGCGCTGGATGCCGTACAGAGACGGTGGATTCTGCTTGGAAGTCATCATGGATCGTATTCAAATGTTGTTTGACAGATGTAGATGGCGACTTTGGATAAGTTCAGATGTACCGGTGGAAGGAGACTAGTCGGAGCTCCGGCCAATAAGAGGCTGTCCCGCACAAGTGGGGCCCATCGGATGGAGATCGGTGCTCTAGCCAATCACAGCTGCGGGTTTAGCATGTCAAGGGAAAAAGTGACTGCCCCGCGTTGCGAGTCATCGACGCTCTTCACCTTCTCAATTGAAGCATCGACACTCTATCGCTGGTGTTGTTGATTCTCCCAGTTCGGTCACATTTTACGTCATTATACATATTCCATCACTGTCCGAATTACACATCAGGATGGCTCCAAACCCGATCTATCTGGGCGTTGTTGGTAAGTCCGATATAGGAGCGGGCATAGAAGCAGTATAAACTACATGGGATTTGTTGATTTGCATGCTGATCGCCTCGAATTGAACAGGCGTAGGTGGCGTCGGTACTGCATTTCTTCAGCAGCTCGCCAAACTGCCCAACGCTCCATCCCTCGTCCTCCTAGCACGCTCTTCTCAAACGCTCCTCTCCCCAGCACCCTCGTACTCACCCGCCATCCCTGCTGCAGACTGGCAAACAGCATCTACAGCTCCGTCAATTACCAAATCCGGCGCCCTCAGCTCATCCGAGCTCATCTCTTATCTCTCCTCTGCGCCTGGGCGCTCGGTATTGGTCGACAACACCTCCGACCCCAAGCTCGCCAGCGCATACCCCGAATTTCTCAAGGCGGGAATCTCCATTGTCACACCGAACAAGAAGGGATTCTCGTCAGATCTATCTCTATGGAAGGACATATTTGCGTCGGCAGCAAGTGGAAAGGCGCTCGTCTACCACGAAAGCACAGTCATGGCCGGCCTCCCCGTCCTCTCTACACTGCGCGATCTCGTCGCTACAGGTGACGAAGTGACACGCATCGAGGGTGTCTTCTCCGGCACATTATCATTCTTATTCAACACTTTTGCTCCCGTCTCCTCATCTGGCTCTCCTGCGAAATGGAGCGATGTGGTCATCAAGGCCAAGGAGCTCGGATACACCGAACCCGACCCTCGCGATGACCTAAACGGAATGGACGTGGCACGTAAACTGACAATCCTGGCACGAATCTCTGGTCTTGAAATTCAAAGCCCGTCTTCATTCCCCATTGAGTCGCTGATCCCCTCTGAATTGGCCTCTTTGCCTGCCACTTCTGCTGGTGTAGCGGAGTTCATAGCCCGTCTCCCAGAATTTGATGGCTCAATGGATGCTCTCAAGGAGCAGGCTGAAAAGGCGGGTAAGGTGGTGCGATACGTTGGCAGTATTGACATCGCTACAAAGGAAGTCAAAGTAGGGTTGCAGCAGTTTGATAATGATAGCGCTATTGCGGGACTCAAGGGAAGTGATAATGTCGTTAGCTTCTACACAAAGCGTTATGGTAGCAACCCACTCATTATTCAGGGTGCTGGTGCCGGTGGTGATGTGACAGCTATGGGTGTCACGGCGGATCTCATCAAGGTCATTGAAAGACTATGAAGTTGGCACGGTAAAGTAATAAGGGGGGAAAAGACTGTTTGAAATAGAATCGTACAAACAAGAATGGTGTATCTAAAGGTCTATTCGCCTAATTTCATTCAAATGGAAGATAAAAACCCAGCATAAACCAAAATCTTTAGGTCTCAACTCCGTAGGTACGCCTTGACCGCATCCCCCCAGATTGCCCCTCGTTTGTAATCATGGATTGCAGGAATGCTTCCAGTCTTCAGGCCATCGATGGCAGTGGCCAGATCTTCACCTAGCCCTTCCTCCTTAATTTGCTTAATTGGATACGTATAGGTATGGAACCCGAAAACGAGAGCACGCGATTTTGGCAGCCGATGAAGGGTTTGGCGTTCGCATCGCAGTTTGGTCTATTGATTAAAAGTTAGTCCTTTACCTTTCTCTCTGTTTCTTGTTTCTCTCCGCTCGAATTGTTCTTTTTCCTAAAGAAAAAGAAAAGAAAAGAAGAAAGAAAGAAATGAAATGACATACCGAGTCGACATCCAATTGGCCCTCTTTAATCTTCTCCTCTTTTTGATTCTCATTTTCAGAGCTATGTAATCCGCCAAAAGCAGCAAATAGTTCCGTATCTGTGGATATGCTCCAATTGACCCGTTTCACGTACTTGCCCACCTCAATATTTGCGAAATATCGGTCCATGCTCTTTTCGAGCTTATCCTGGTAGCCCGGAACGGGTGCATGGATGTCAGCGAGGAGTTTTCCAAGCTTTTTGCGAGGATTGAATCCAGCTGGGTAGCAGTTTTCATAAGCTATAAGTCTGTATTTGGTTTGCACAGTTGCTGCTGCTGTCTTTCCTGAGCCCTCAGTTGACGAAGGAGATGAATCGCTGTCCGACTCTTCGGGCAATAAAATAAGAAAGTCTTCATCTACGGTTTTGTAGAGGATCTCAAGGGCGCGCATTGGGGAGGTAAGTTGAGTGACCTCGGAAGGGTATAGCTCATTCAGGACAAGATTCTCAAGCATGTATGCCTTGCCAGTTTCAAATGTGGTTTCATGCAGACGAAACATCGTTGGATAGCGGACAGGCAGATATGTCGACATAATGTAGCGATAGAATTCGCTGACCGCGGCGGTGATGCGCGGGTCAGACTCGTCATGCATTGCAATGACAATTTCACGATGCTCCTTGAGAATCTTGCGACGGTACTGAAGTCGTTCTTTGTAGGTTTTATCCATAGGAATGAGTTCAGAGGGTTCCATGTTTTCGAGAGCTGGAAAATACACGTAAGTCTTCAAACAAAAGAAATATCATAAGAGCAGGAAACGCATTGCGTTGCTCTGTGTTCACAACAGTATAACAGTCTCGACTAACCCATGGTAAGATGATACTTTGGTCTGAATGGCCTCAACTGTGGCGGTTCTTGTGTAGCCCAGTCAAAATCACTCAAGGCTTCCGGCAGTGGGAACCCGGGGGATGCAAGGAATCGAGACTTCCTGTTCGCCGTTACATTTCGCTGCATCACATACGTTAATCATGATACCGTACAAGAGGAAGAGCAGCGAAGAGTCCCTACAAATCTGATGTAAACCTGAAAAAGTAGAACGACGCCTATGAGAGCAGAGACCAGTAGCTGCGTCTGGCTGGGGGATCCAAGTGTAGCTTTGATGAGCTCAATGTGGCCCTTTGTGTGCTCTGGGACGTTGTAGATGAGGGAGCGAATCTCGGTGAGGAGCCTTCTAGCTATCTCCGCCTGAGACTGAGGCTGATCCATGATCACTCAACAAAACGACAGCTTTTGGTGACACGAGCCAAGATAGAATGGCATGCCGGGGGCTTTTCTACCCTGCAGAGGATTTGGCAGGTGCCCCTTATCTGAGAATCTCGGAAGCTTCGTCAAACCACAGTCGAGCATGCATGCTCAGATGTGAGTGTCGGAGATTATAGATGAGCCGCTCCCCTCGCGTGCGGAAGCTCCAAAGTTGGGGTTTCCCGCGGGAAAAAGGAACTAGGCTCTTTTGAGTGACCGTTCGCTCCTGATTGGTTCAGCTAACAATTATTTGACTATAATCATAGTATATAGCCTTGACATTCATCCTTGCCTGAATTAACCCTATCATATTACACATCATGAACATATTCAGATTTCCGTTCGTCATTGTCCACTCTAAGGAGACAGGATCTCACAAGGTGATAAATAGCTGATATAATTCCCAATAGATTGTCGCCAAACTCCATCCATCATGCCCCCTTTGCGGAAACAATTATATCGCTAATCCTTCTCATTGCCTACTTGCACAAGCCTCCTCGCCACCTCTTTCTGCAGATGCGTTGCTTCATCGGCAGCAGCCTCCCCTCGTAGACTAAAAGCACGTCGACGGCCACTGGGTCGCTCAGTCAACGTTGGAGCGCGTGGTTTGTGCTGACCCTGCGCTCGACCTCCAACAAAGGGTGTTTGATATGCGACAACTCGAACAACATAGTATACAAGATCGAACACAACGAGAGCCGCCCAAGGACCGATTGTGAGGACGCCGAGAAGTATCTAAAACATTTGTCGCAAAGTTAGATAACGTGTATGGTAATGCAGGTGCAGTGAAAGCGTACAAATAAACGAACAAGCCATGTTTCCCATGTATTCAGGTAGTCCGGGAGGAGCGAGTACCATGCCATCTCTGTAATTTCTGCTCCTCAGGCACTGTCCCCGACACAACAACTCAAGATGTACTGGGACCGATAGAATTCGAACGAATAGTAATCCACTGAGTCGACCGCGTCCGTAGAGTAGGCTAATCAACCATTGCAAGCTCGATGGACACGTATGACTGCCCCTGTTCGTCCCAGGAGTCCGAGGGGTTTCGCTATTTAGTTAGGGCAGTGCACAGGCAAGCCGAGGTAGCCAAGGAGTGTGTTACACCATGATTCCAGGTACCAAAGAGGAAATATAAACAGTGCCACTGTTCAGTGTTGGGAAAGAATGGTGGATGACGTGTTGACCTGCTAAAAAACCTTGTAAACAAGGCTAGACCCATAGATTATTATGATATGACATAATAGGACGTAAGTTCGCTCAACTATACAACGATCCGAAATGGTGTAACGGTCAACATTGCCGCCTTTCACATATCATGTGATATTTACCGCGGCAGCTCGGGGTTCGACTCCCCGTTTCGGAGTATTCATTTTTCTCTTTTTGTCCTTTTTTATACACACATTCTTCAATTTTTTTTTGGTTTACACACCAGATAGGAAGGAGAATGCTTTTTTTCCTGTTTAGTATTCCTCGCTATTACTGGTTCCAGATAGGTAGCGCATTGACAAAGGTCTTAGTATCAGCCTCGCCTATAGATCGATCTTAAGTGGGATTAGATATGACGTCACTCCTAATCATATTTCTGTCTAATGTACTAATATAATACACAGAGAATCACGAACATGGATGGAGGACAAAAAGAGATAAGGTTCCTACGGACGACTTCGCCTTTTGTGTGAGGTGCCTCTTTAAAAACAGCACCCTTAAAGGTATTCCCGATTTGGCCCTGGGAAGTAGGGCTAATCGGCTTGGAGCCCTACTCTGTCAGAGCCGCGTCGAATCCTAGTCGAAGCCGTCAACAGAAAAATTTTGACATTGTAACAACGATGCTAGAGAATTTTATAGGGGAGACGGAAGGAAGGCTGGAAGTTGTGCATTAAAAAATGAAAAAGTAAATTTTGAGACATTTTGGAAATAACGTGTGGTACAGAAAATCAAAAAAAGTCTAAGAACTCCGAAACGGGGAGTCGAACCCCGAGCTGCCGCGATAAATATCACATGATATGTGAAAGGCGGCAATGTTGACCGTTACACCATTTCGGATTGCTGAAGGAGCCAGCTTTCGAAGGATTTCTATACTCTCAGCGAGTACTGACCATAATAAGTGGGGATGCACGAATCTATAACCTTGCAACTCCCTTATTGGAGTCTTATAATTGGAATCTGACAACGGGGAATTACGCCTAAAAAGCACCATTTATGCGATTACCAGAAAAGCCTCAAAGGGAGACCCTTTTTGATAGCTTAATAGTTAAGATCCGCTGTTATAGTAGCATGTCTTGTTGATATTTGATTGTACGCGTCACCAATATCAATCCCAAATTGAAAAGGCGGATATATAAAAGTCACTGATTCAACACTCTTCACAACCTTCCTTGAAGAGTTAACTCCGGCTTTCGACCTCAAAGCAACAGAGAGGAAAATCCAGTTACGATATACTGGTCTAGGAAATAGTTGGACTCCTAGTTTACAGATGAATTTAAAAAAGATAGATCTTTATATATAATAATATAGAGATCCAGGGGGGTGTGACAACGGAGAATCATGCCTAAAAAGCACCACTTTTATACGATTACCAGAAAAGCCCCATAAGGGGATACTTTTTGGTGGCTTAATGGTCAAAATACGCTCTTAGCACTATATAACTCGTTAATGTTATAAATCTAACTTCAAGGTTGCTCCTGGGCACGTCTAGCAAACCCACGAGGTTCTTCCACATCCCATGCCTTATACAGTGCGTGCACCTATTTATACATGCATGTATCCGTATCTAGTCGTATGTAATTCTACGATACCAACTCCAAGGCCCGGACTCTAACTAGCCGACAAAAAAGGGCATCTCACGAAATCCCTATCTACTACGTACAGGCTAGATTTAATGTCAGTAATAACGTATAAATATGAAGCCAGCCCTAATAGCCCAACCATCACTACATTTAATAGATCACCCAATACCATTCGTAGTAATCAGGAACAGGATCGACCTACTATTATTATTAAGAAGGGCAAAATCCATTCAATCCATCAACAAAGCTTCCGAACAGAGGAAGGCGCTTGTAATTCGTAGTACCGCCTGAATATCACATAGCTAATCAAGACCACACGCGAATTAACAATTTGATTCAATTAAATCCCGCATGCCTCTTTCGCCACCCTCCAACCTAGCGAGCCTGAGTGACTCTTTGGCCTCTACAAGTTTCGAAACCCGCATAAACCTGGGATCACTGCCGAAATAATACTCGGGGAGCCGAGGATACTTAGTCAAGTCAATACCGTAATCCATGAAGGATTTCCATAGTTTGACCAAGCTGCTATCATTGATAACTGGAATTCGAGGGTCCGTAGGCCTAAAATGACCTTGCCTGCCACAGTCTAGGCACCTAAGCCTCTCGACAACGAACCTTGCACTGTCTTCATGGGTGGTCCACCTTGGGCGCATACTTAATCTTTTCGCGCCGCACTGCTCGCACTTAATCTCCAAACTTGCTGGAAGATCGCCATATTTTTCAGGTAGACGAAGAAAGACCCTTTTTTCAGGTAGACTGCTTGCGGCTCTGCAACTCCAGTAAGGATTTGCGACGTGGTTGGGTATACCTCTGAGAAGAATCGGATGGAATAAGTTTCACTTGCTGTTACGGGCATCTAGGGAGTCCGCAGGTTTTTTCCAAGCTCCAAGGGATATAAATAGTTGGATAACCTTTAGCACAATAGGCAAAAGGATCATCGAGAACTCTGCTTTGGCAACCGGAGCATTTTCGGGAGACAACGGTCCACGGGGACGGTTCCATAACCAGGAGCGGGTCAAGACTGGTCTTTCTAGGGCGGGACATCTTCCAACCGTACATAAAAAGGACAGAAAAGGCAAGAGCAACAATACCTAGATCCCTAGGTTCCCATTTCCCCTGAAGGAGCCAATATGCCTCCTCCAAGCCTTTTCGTGAACAAATTACCCTTCCATCGGTCCGAAGACCAGGTTGATCTTCGATAAGTACAACCAACTCTTCGGGAAGCTCATCCCAGTCATAGATATCGGTCCAATTCGATTGTTGAATGGCGATTAATAAGTCATCACTAGCGCTCTAGAGAGAGCCATTGTAAACCTTTGTCGAAATCCTAGCTTCTGGGAGGGACGTGGCAGCAAGGTCCTCGGTTTTAATCCAAAGTTCGGTAATGATTTTTTAAACGTTGAATTCTCTGAATCAAGTCGGCAAAGAAAATTATATGAAGAAGTTCCACTCGTTATAGTACTATCCTTACCTGGGCTTTGTCAACTGTCATATTTGCTCGAGTCCTCGGCTTCAAAGTCGGACTGACCAAACCTGCACGGAATTCACTCAAAGAAACTTCTTTCAGATCTTCTGTCGAGATATTCAAGCGAGGGGTTTTCTCTATAAAGGAAGCATACGGGAAAGCAGCCCGCAATTGCGCTCGAGCTTGTCCTTGAAGCTCTTCCCTTCTAAGCCTTCTTTCTGCTGTCTCACGGACGCCTTTGATAAGTCTAGGACAGTACTCATAAAACTGATCCTCAATTTGAATATTTCCTAAGAGAGAAGCCACCTTCAATAAAAGGTCTTGTTTTCTCCCATTGCGAGTCCGAAAGTTCTGGGCCCGCCCTGTCAAACTCTTCACATATGCGAAGCATTGTGGGTGTCTCACAAATATCAGAAAACGCCCGAGTAATTTGCCATCATCTGATACTTCGAGATGTAATGTAACGTCTTGATACTGCCCCCACAGCGTCAATGGAACAAGTCGAGTCTTTGCATTCATTCGCTCACGGACTCTAGATCCCCCAACACACTTCAACAACAGCCCCCATCGCATTTCGAAGTGCAGATAGAAAGGAATCGTAGATATCATGAAGTTCTGGTGGATAACAGTCGTCAACGTGTTGGCTGATGTCTCTTCTGGGAATATGATCGAAAAAAAAGCTGTTATCCATGGTGAATCCAGCAGCATTGATTTGAGACATAGAAGGGTTTGAAAGGTCGTATGTAGTCCCAGAGAATGGATCTTCGACGCAAAAAGTAGGATTGAATAGATGGCAGGCCACCAGCGCCTTCATGGAGCCACTGGGATGCACAAAGAATTCCCGTGGTCTGGAAACGCCACGGGAACACCACCATTCTTGCTCTTTATTTTATTTGCAAGTTGTTCAAAAGCGCGGTTCATATCCCAGGTGAACGAGTGTGACCTCAACTGCGAGACTGCATAGAGTTATTTTTTGTCCACAGCATAATAACTTACACAAGCCACCAACCTTCTTGAGTTCTGCGGTCAAGATCCCGAATCAATGGCAGAAGATGATTCATGCTTGAAAGCTTATCCGGCGTGGGATACTCTAGCCAGAGACTGCCAAACAGACGAAAAAAATGCGCGGTTGTCGGCATTTTTTTGAGCTGAATGTTTCTCGCTCAAGTCACTAGAGACTTTCGCGAAGGATCATTCAACAGAAACCAATGGGTCATTGCGAGCTGCGCTACCCAATACTAAGCAATGCAATAGGAGGGAAGAGAGAGAGAGAAAGAAAATAAACCGCCGCTAACAGCGATTGATGCATACCTGCGCCCTAACCCTATCTGCCTGAGGTATCAATTCTACTCGATGCATTTCCAAGGCAGGCTCAAGACATTACATTCAAAATAGTCTGCGCACCACAGTGTGGATGAATGATCAAGGAAGTAGAACTCCAAGCTAGCGAGTCCGAGGCAGGCGATGGCAAGGACTAGAAAATTATTCCCAGCTATTGTAAATAGTGAATATTCCCCGGGAGCAATTGGAGGTAAAAGTCCTAAAATTTGTTGAGAATGTTAGATTATTTATCGCCATGTGTTGTGTTCGTCTGTATTGACGAGGCCTGCCACATCTCCTGAATAAATATATAAGCTTTATATATATATCTAACGACATGGCATATAATGTCGGGGAAAACAATCGGCTCGGATTTTTGATATAAAAAGAACCGGGGTAGTTAACTAGTTACTGATGCTAACGATGCTTATATAAGCTTCCTCAAGATGCCTCATCTGCCCCTCAGTTAAAGCAACATACGTCAAATTGTTCACCCCAGAATCATTTTGTTCGCTCTGCTGTACACAACAAAAGAGCGCCGCGATGAAGCTCATACTGTCAACCTCGTGAGTTATCTCCTCGAAAATATCAAGCCCTAGTGACCTAATTTCCTTCAGGAATATCATGACCACCGGGCCTTCGGTGCTTCGCTTCCAAACCACAAAATCAAACGTCGAGCTCATCAACTCGCTGAAGTTTAATTTTCAAGCAGCGCAACAAAGCCTACTGCAAGAGGGACAAGCCAGCGCAGTTTCTGATACGGCATCTTGGACAAAGCGTGAACACGATACACTCTACATCCCCGCAACCGACTTCGCGCATTCCGGGTTGTCGGAGGAAAGGAACCAGTACGATATCACAGTCAAGTTATTCTACCTTCCGGGAATCCCAGCATCAAGAAGACAGACACATACACGGGATGCAATTGATCTAGTACTTAAGGAGCTACACGTTGAATCGATTGATCTTTTGATTGTCTCATTTCCCGGTGTTTCCTTCGACGCTGAGGACGAAGAGCCCGAAGTAGATGACGACGAGGTCTCAAGAGCTGGCAGTGAAAGCAAATCCGGAAGCGACAGCACAGAACAAGCCGGTGACTTTGAAGGCATGGTGAAAACATGGCATGCGCTAGAATCCCTGGTTGAAAATGGCAAGATAGCACAACTCGGCGTCGCCGAGTTTAGTACCGAACGGCTAGCTAGGTTTCTTCAGCATACTAAGATCAGGCCATCTGTTGATCAGATCAATGTCAAGGATTGCTGCGTCGTTCCAAAGTCACTGATCTTGTATGCAAAAGAACAGAAAGTTCGACTCCTCACACATAATGACTGCACAAATATCCTACCTCCGGGCACAACGCGAGATCTTTTGGGGTCAGGTGATGATAGTGCTGGGATCCTGGCATCGACACCTGGCGCTGTAGATTATCTACAAGGGGATATTGAGCCGCAGTGGGTAGTGAAATATACTGCCGTGGTGAAAGATCGAGGTGTTATTGAGAATAAGGGTTACTTTGCACTCGCAGAGGTTGGAAGCTGCATTCGGACTGATGACCGACTATGAGTCTCCTTAATAATCCTCTGTCTATTACCCACAATCTGGTGCTAGCGCGGCGTTTCAGGTCATTTTCTAGGTTAGAAGTCTTTTCTCCTTCTTTTCCAGCATATGAGCAGATCATTGGCATCTAGGTAGTCATAGCAGAACGAATCATATCTAAAAATTTGTTTTATAAACTCTTTCCTATCCCACCATACTTCGCTTTCGGCCGCGCATCCTCACATCTTCTAATCTCTTAAGCGCGGCTCTCGCGCCTTTGAAACTGTCCGAGTACCCATCCAAAACATGGGAGAACAGGGTCTCCGCCATTGGGTGCGTGCTCCCAATGGCCCGCTCCAACACATATAGATCAACTCCGCGATCTTCGTCTTGAACACTATTGATGGCGAGGCCGAAATCAATAAGCACAATATCTCCTTCCATCGACGGCGACCCTGTTCCGTCGGGGATATCGGAGGGCGCAGGGTGGAATGGTCGCAGAATCAGGTTACTCGTTGTGAGATCTCCGTGAATGACGCCAGCCTTGTGCATTATTCCAACCGCGCGACCAATTCGTCTCATAAGGTCTTTCACTCTATCCTCCTCTTCTGTCCTATTGAATTTGTTGTCGTTGTTGTGCTCCCTGATCGATTTCTTCATCCAAGTCTCCCATTTCTCTAATATAGCCTTGACAGACAAGCCTTCAATCCACTCCATCAGTAGCCACGCGCCTACTGAGCGCTGCTGACCCTCGGGGACAGGCGGGTCCCAATCGAGCGCCAGAACAGCTGGCACGCTGACTCCCTCGCGGACGAGTTTCGTCAAGCATCTTGCCTCGTGCAACACGCGCTGACGGGTCAATCGTCGGTCTAGTATTTCGTGGCGATATGCTTTTGTAGGTCGGATTTTGAGCGCTGCTGGGGTGTCTGGCGTAAGGAATGTTGTTTTGTAAAGCCGGGCTTCAGCGCCTTGGGCGAGGAGGACCGGAGGCGGGGTTGTGTGCGAAAACGGAGGTGGGAGGGGAGGCGGGGTATAATTCGTGGCCATTCTGCGCTGCTGATAATCGAAATCGTAGTCTTTTATTGTTTGAATGGTCCTTTGGAAGTTTATTTGCAAGAGCGGGGGAATATGAGGTAGAAGAACGACATGAAAAGGATTAAAAAAAAGTTGACGAAAGCTTGATGCGGGGAAAGAACGCTTATCCACTATTTCACCCTCTATAATTTGCCATACAAAAAGTCTAGGATTTTCTATTATTCTTAATTATGTACTTGATTTGGGTTCAAAATACCAATTGACATATACTTTAGTTTCGACTGTCTAAGTCTATTTATTACAAAATACTTTTTCATTCAGAGACTTGCTTCAACAGCTGCCAGTTCCGCCATCACATTCCGCACAAGCTGCTTTGTAGCTTCACTGGGCGGCTCGTACGGTGTCCGGGGCAAAAACTTTTCCTCTGCTTTCTCAATTCCTGCCTTGGGGGCTGAGTATACAGCCACTGCATATTTCGTTGTAGCGATGCCACTCTTACTGGGAGACTCGGCCAAAGCGGCCTTCTGATGCAATGCCAGAGCCTCTGCGTACTTCCCTTCCTTGTAGAGGTTGTAGATGTGAGAGATAGTCTTGGGGAAGACGTTCGCGAATGCAGCAATACAGCCGGCCGAGCCCACTGAGAGACCACCAAGAAGGAAATCAGACTGGCCTCCAAATATAGAAAACTTGTCGGGTCCAAACACGCCGGAGAGTCGGGTAATTTTCCCAACCTGGGCGCACGTCAGCTTTACACCCACGACGTTACTGACCCCAGTGGAAGATTCGGCGGCCGACGCATTGACAATGCTGGTTATGAGCTCTGAGTCGAGATCAACACCGTTCGTCACTCCGGGGAAGTTGTATAGCACAACCGGTAGCGGTGCCTTGCGGGCAACATCTGCGAAGAATCGTTTGATCACCGCCGGAGTGGTCTGTTTTCCAAAGTATGCTGGAGGTAAAACCAGCAGGTAATTGGCACCGGCGTCGTATGCGTCCTGACTAAATTCAAGCACCTTGACGAAATTCAGTTAGGGAGCTCTTCTTCCTACTCGCTTGCATTTTTCGGAGACAAAGTTACCTGTTTTGTTGAATGACCGCTCACACCAGCCATAATGGGATAATCTGGACCGACAGCCTCACGGGCAGCTTTTATAAGCTGGGCTCGCTCTTCACGTGTCAACAGAAACGTTTCTGCGTTGGTTCCCAGAATAACCAAGCCAGACAGGCCACTTTGCGACAAATAGGCATAGTATTTCTTTGCCGTCTCAATATCAATGGTGTCATTCTCCTGATTGAAGGCTGTGACGGCGGGGGCCCAAACTCCGGCAGGAGGCACGCGTGGAGGCATTCTGTAGCTAATATACCTAGGTATGTAGTATACTGTGTTTGTAGTGCTGAGATAAGGTAGATGCGTCAAGAATGGCTATAACGGAATGCATAGCAATGATGATATATACACTATTGGACGTATTTTCGACAAGACTGTTCCCGTAAGAAGGATTGATAGGATAATAATCCGACAAGATAACAGCCGGCCCGATCTTAGATCAGCCGAGATTAATTGTACGTATTCGCACTAAATCAGCAGATGGAACAACGCCTAGCTTTTGCCTGCATCAAGGACTTTTGTAACGGGGCTGACGGCGAGGAAAAAATGAGAAAAGAGAAGTGGCAGCAGGAGGAGCAGCAAGCACAGGGGTTGCCCGGTTCCAAAATAGGAAAGGGCAACTCAGCGTCAGGTGACCGCTATTGTACCCCTCATCGTCGCAGAGAACTCCGCAGTGTCTACCAGAGCCTCAGCTTTTCCCTTCTTCATGGTCAGAAGTCGGTCCATCTCTTTACGGCAAAGAAACTATGTCGCAGGTTCAGACTCTTTGTCTAGAGGCTCAACCGACCTCAGTAGTCGTGTCTCCGAGGGAAGATACGACTTTTTCACCGCCCCAGGATCATCATCGAAATCAAGAAGCACCGAATGCCTCTATCGAACGTGCACTGGGGCCAGCTCCCTCACAGCCTGTCTTTGAGGCAGCAAGGGTGGTCCAGGTCACTCAGACCCGTAGAGCGTCAATTATCGTATTGCTTGTTATGGCAAATGTTGTCCAGGTAAAGTCTTCTTCTTTCATATATCCTTTAGCAAAAGAATAACACACACTTCTAATGGCAAGATCGCAACAATAGATGACCGCGAACTTTGCCGGGATTGCCGGCGGGAGCAGTCTCATTGATGCTATGGGAGCAGAGTTGGCCTATGGCTCATGGATAGCTGCCAGTTACGCGTTAGTGATTCCCATACCTACCTGTGCACTAGTCGGTAAAACAGAATGAAAATTTACATGAGGTAGCCTGACTCAAGGGACATTTGTGCTCCCAAGCGGTCGGCTGGGTGATGTCTACGGCTATAGACTGCTGGTGCTGGTCGGCGGCGCATGGCTGTCTGTCTGCACGCTAGCCAGTGGCTTCTGCACTAATATCATTGCCTTTCTCACATTGAGGGCACTGTCAGGCCTGGGCGGTGCCTTTATCATGCCGAATGCTGTGGCAATGATTTCGAGTACTGTTCCTCCAGGTCGTGCACGCAATTTCAGCTTGGGGGTCTTCGGGGCCTCGGCGCCCATAGGAGGCTATCTCGGGGCACTGTTCCTCGGTGTTTTCTTGGAGAAAACGGAATATAAGTGGTTTTTCGTCTTCCTGTAAGCTCAATAATAGACCGTCACGCATTGTGAGAGCCTGGGACGTCTGACAATACTCTTTCTGTTGTAGAGCCTGCATGGGTTTCGTTGTCTTTCTTCCTCTTGGAATCTTGAGCCCATCAGACAAGCCGGTCGATCAGAATGGAAAAATTGATTATATTGGTTCAGCATTGGGAACAGGTTCATTGATCATCTTCAACTTCGTTTGGAAGTAAGTATAAGATGCGAACATGCAAACACAAGCACAGTCTATTGACGTGGTTTCTTTCTTTTCTTCTTTCTAGTCAAGCTCCCAGCGTTGGTTGGTCGACCCCCTATGTAATAGTTCTACTATTTCTGTCTGTGGCCCTATTCGGAGCTTTTATCATTTGGGAAAAAAGGTATACTGCTTTCCCCATGATGCCTCTCGACATATTCAAGGCTCCTTCATTTGCCACCCTCCTTATAGTCGTCCTTTTCAATTACATGGCTGTGGGTACTCTCATTTGGTACCAAGTTCTTTGGCTGCAAACCGTCTGGCACTGGTCTACTTTGAAGTTTGCCGTTGGCTGGACTCCATTCGTTTTCTGCGCGGTGGCTGCCACATGTCTTGCAGCCTGGATGATCCCACGCATGGCAGCGCAGTGGATTCTCGCAATTGGTACCATCACCATACTGATCTCCAATGCGCTGATGGCAACCGTGCCGCTACATCAATCTTATTGGGCTCAAATCTTTCCGTCGGTGGTGCTTTTCTCCTTTTGCCCAGATCTGGTATACACTGCTGGGCAGATTATTGCCAGCAACTCCGTTCGCCGAAACCAGCAGGGTATCGCCGGTTCGATTATCGGTACGCTTAATCTGTATGGCAACAGTTTGGGACTGGGGTTTGCTACCACGATAGAGGTTCAGGTTGCGCAACGTTCTGGTAGCAAGATTGAGGGCTATAGAGCGGCACTTTACTTTGGTGTTGCAATTAGTGCAGTCGCTCTCGTGCTGGATATACTTTTTGTTCGAAGAGTGAAGGATGATCGTGAGGGCTGGCGCGAGGAAGACCATGAGCTAACGGATCAGGTCGACTTGACTCAATATGGTGAGACTATGGGAGTTTATCGACGCAATGCAGTTGAGTCAAACCAGCATAGTAGTGCTTGAACGTGTGTCGCAGTTCTAGAAAGTCAAAACCAGAAGAGACTCATGAGGCAAGGAGACTATGAAACCTGTTGACATCTCTCAGTTACAGAAACTAATCGAATGAGCGTAGTTTATGTGTGCAAATGTCAGTTGGGAATCATTCCTTTATGATTAGCCGAAAGTGCTCTCATCCTAGTTGTTTGGGCAGTGGATGCTTCTCATGGTCTTTTATGTTGATCCTCAGTAAAAGATATATGTACATTTTGTTTCAAGATAAGTATCGGGAAATCAAAACTTGATAGCTTTCATAAGGTCTAGGTGAGCATCACTCTGTAGCACAAGAATAAGTATGAAAATCGACCGTTCTTCTTCAAAAGACGGGAATTTTCATTGCCTGCACGTATACATAGGCCTGTGTTCAGAACAAGAAACGCTGGCTGGTGAGACAAATAACGCGATTGGAAAACACTATGGTATAAAAGTCTTAGTAGGCCATCACAAAGGGAAAAGAAAGGTAAGTACATATAAAGAGTTTATTTTTTAATGAAAAACCGAACATGAAAAATCATTCGTCTGGAAATTATGTCTTGCGCATAATACAGAAGTCCTTGGTTGGCCTAACACACTTTCAAATTGGTACATATAGGAGAGCAACCACCGTAGCCCCACTATGGCAAAAATAACGCGTGCAGAAAGGGCTTTTCAATCTTTCGAACTGCTCAAAGCAATCGCAAGGCAATCGATCAATAACGTCATGCCCGTCTAGTACCAGAGGAAACCGAGCTGAGTGAACTACGGATACTAACCGGCGCATAAAGACTGATGTGGGGCGCGCAGCATGCAAAAATTGTCCATACGAGCAAAACAGTGGCATGATAGTCGAGGAAGGTAGTGTATTCTCTGCAATCAGTCAGCTACGTCAAATGAACCAGATCCTCGGGTCGATTTCAGCCCATCGGGCGGCCCGCAGCAGTGGAGACGACTTTGTTTCGACCCACCTGGCGTTCCCCAAGAATTCGAGTCGTCGAGACGGGGCGAGAGGCGATTTGCGAACCAAAAAATGGAAAAGCGAAAATAAGAGCTTTTGCATTTGTGCAGCATGCAGCTCAGCCAACGGGTGCGAGTATTCTTCAGCCAATTAAGGAAAGTACACTTCTTGTATTCAGCTTAATGAAGTGGATGGCTCATATAGATGTGAGCTCAGTACTCTCATCCCTAACCAACATAGATCACAATGACATACAGGGAGAAAGATTTGGAATCATGCATGGGCATTGATTGTATAAATACTGCATGCGGATGTTCCGTCCACACCGATGAAACCATGGTTTCTGAACTGAGCTCTCCATTTTTAGGCTTTCATAATTCAACAGAGTCCTTAAACTTACTTGGCTCACCTGCAGGCGCGCTTATCGAAGTAGCGTATAGATAAATACCAAAAAGAATAACGGTCGCAGTAGGAAAGAATGGACAAACATAATGAATGGGTTAGGAAATTGTATGTAGATCTTATCAATACTCTGCCTAAGGTTCGAACAACAAATTCAAAGTTACGATAGCTACCGGCCGAAAGGTTCTCTACTTGCTAGCTTGCTAGAGGAAATACCTAAAAGAGGTATATTAGCGAACCATAAGCCCTGGACGCTCGCCACTTGTGCAAAATCGGGTCACAAATACAAAAAAAGATTTCTGACCAGAATGTTGAGTCCCATGGACAAAAGAGCCGTTTCAGCTAGCCACGACGCTATCATGCTCGTTTTGCTACATCGCGTAGCAGAGATCTGATTGTGTAGAGTGCGTCATCTGTGTCTCTATATCTAGTTGCCGATTTTACAGATTGTGGAGCATGACACAAGTTCATCATACTGACATATACGCTATGTTAGAAAGATATAAGGCATTTCGCAAGTAGAAGAACTCAATTACCAGTTTATTAGTTCATTTTGTACCAATTTCAAAAAGAAATGTACAGTCTTCATATAAAACTCAATTGATCCCCAAATATACCCCAAACCCTTGTGTTACAGCGTAACTCACAACATGGCTACCTCTTTCCAAGCTCACGTCCACCACTCTTTTGAAGTCCCCTCTTCGGACTTACTTCTCAACCCTCGAGGTGTCCCCAGCCTCACCGGGACCGGGAGACATTCCATTGGCTCCCAGCATGGCCCGCGCAAGTCCAGCGGCGAGGGCAATTCAACTCTCGCTAATCTTGTGCAATCACTGGGACGCAGAGGCAGCAGTGAGTTGAACTCAGCTAAAATCATCGGCGCGGACTATGAGGCAATTCTCGACTGGATCCGCGCGGAGCGAATGCGAAAGCTACCTCCGGAGGGCAGTAGTTATGATAAAGTCCTTGTCTGGGCGCGCTTGTTTGTAGAACGACTGCACACGTTTGATTCGGCAATTCAGTATTTTGAAGGAGACAGCCGCATGGCGGCGGAGTTAGCATACATTCACTGTGCGAGCCTTCTCGAGGTATGTCCTTGGTGAAGTGGAAAGAGTCGGGGAAGCGAATACTAATGTCATTATGCAGTTGGGAGATGAAAATTCTAGTGCTCTCTTGGATGTCTTTGGTTTCTTCTATCGTTGCTCGACCGGTCTGGAGAACTTACTTCACCGAACGGAGTTGTTCATAGTCTCGCAGAGTATCAAGGACCAGCTGATTCTCGCTTTGGCAGACCTGGTTACCTTGGTCGTCGGAGTAGCAACCCACTGTCATCGCTCTCTTGGCAGTTTGGCCTCAGGATCTGTGTCGATTGATATCTATAGTCCTTTCACTGCGTCTATCAAGAGCTTCCGCGCTCGATGTGAGCATGTCTCGGAGATGATGTGGAGGCATCAGCTGCTGGGAGCGGGTTTCCATGAGGACAAGGGTATACTTTGGCTTTCTTCCTGTCGCATCTGTCAAACTACATGCTAACATATGGCCCTAGTGACTCAAGTGAAGACGGTCAAAAACTGGCTGGAACCTGAAGATCCCGTTTTGAGCAATATTACCGAATTTACTGCGCATTTTGCGCAGGAAAGAGAGGAGTCGACCTGCCTGTGGATGGCACCGTATCTGACTCGATTCCTCAAGAGTGAGCAAAAGACCTTGTCCATCTCCGGCAAGCCGGGATCTGGTAAGACCATCCTAGCGACGGTGATCAATGATTACCTGCAACATCCTACCGGAGGGGTCATGTACAAGTCCATATTTGTACCGATCAGTAAGTCGCACTGAAGAGTCGCTTTTCCACCCATCATACGCTAAAAATTAACCAAAGATGCACGTATCCCTGCCAACACGACGCCGCGCGCAACGGCAAAGTCTATTCTTTCTCAACTGTTTTCGGCGCGTATCGGGAACGTGCAGCTTTATGAAATCCTCTCGGATGCATATGACCACTGCCGGAAGTCAACTACCGAGGAGCAGTACGATAATGCCATCTGGCATGCACTCGGACTCGCCCTCCAAGCCAATCTGAAGGGTTCGCAGGAACTCGTCCTTGTCGTCGATGGAGCGGACGAAGCCAGCTGCGGACAGACTGCTCTAGTCAATCGGCTCAGAGATGCGACCTTGAACGCGTCCAATCTGAAGCTGATTATACTTGGGACACAAAAGCAGGAGACCTCTACTACACACACTGCAGTGCAGCTTACTCCGGAACTGATCTTCGATGATGTTGCCGCGGTCGTCCGGAAGATCTTCCAGTCCTGCTCTGCATTTTGCGAGCTGTCCGAAGAACAGCAGGAGGTAACCGTAATCCAAATCGCAGAAACTTCCGGTGGCTCCTTTTTGTGGGCTAAGCTGGCCGCGAAAAGGATTAAGGACGAACACGCGCCTCACGGACAGGACTTTGTGAAAGCTGTTGACGCGTTAGCCAAGGCAGGGCCCTCTATCACGGACCTTGTCGTTCATCGACTTGACTCGAAAGTGTCGGAGGAGGCAAAGAGAATGATGGTTTGGCTCGCCACTGCTATACGCCCTCTGACGCTACGCGAGTTGTCTACGCTTCTGTCCGTTCGAGTGGATAAGCAAACCATCGTAGATGTAGGGGTCGACCCGCTCATGCTCCTGCGACCACTCGCATCTCTGGTCTTCTGCCAAAATAACATGGTCTCCTTGCGGCATGGACAGATCCGCACAGCCATAATAGACACCGTCAACAAAGGCAAATTGTTCTCGACACTTGGGGATAGGCATGTGGATCTCGTCCGCAGGTTGCTTCTCTATGTCAAGCTAAATGTGACCGATGAGGACGAAATCTCCGAGACTCCCGTAAGCTTACAGAGGACGTCCAAACTACTGGAGCGGTTTCCACTCCTGGATTTCGCCCTCCGGTACTGGGTGGCTCATATGAAAACCGCACTGGGGACTGAGACAGATCAGCAGATTCACACAGTGGGAAAGGAACTTGGCCCATTCATCCCCACCAAGCCAGTTGCACCACGGCTAGAGATGACTTTATGGCAAGCAAAACCAACTCCGGTGCTTCTGTCCTGGCACAATCTCCAGACTTCGCTCTACCGGCAGACGCTCACAGTCGATCATCCGGCAACGCAGCAGGCGATCATCTGCCAAGTACTCTTCTACCGCGAGATACGAGATATAATGCCTACTGAAGCGAGCCATATCTTCTACCATGCGGCGATCATATGTCAAAAGGCGCTTTCCAGTCAGCACGTCATCACGCGGAGAATGATCCAGGATTTCCTCGAGAGCACCACCAATGAAGTCACCAACTCACGAACGGAGATCATGATCAGGCGGACTGAGATGCTCCAGCTCCTTGTTGAATGCTACAAGGTGCAGTACGGACAGAATAGCAGCATCGTCATTTCGACATTGACTCAACTGGTGGAGCATTTGAAGTACATTAAGGAAGAACGCAAAGCGCAGCAAATCGCAACTTCACTGCAAACGAGTCTCACGGAGACTGCTACTTCACAGTCGACTACGTCACACCAGTCCGACGGATCGTTGCTGGTTCATCTCCATGGTCGAAAGCCTAGTGTTCAGGAAGGCACAACTTTTGCTCTGGACGACATCGAAACCGATGAGCCTATCTCCCAGACAATGAACAGTCAGAGCTCGCTGTACAGGGAGATTGAGAGCCACATGCGGTCGATCAAAGAGGAGACAGCGAGCTGGTCCGAGCGCACATCTATGGAGTCGAATTTTCAGGAAATCATCTCCAGCACATCCGCCGCGAGCTCTTCTTCTATCGCAGCGGCTCAGAAGCTTGTAGAAATGTACTTGTCCCGTCATCAATGGCGAGACGCAACAAAGGCTCTGAAGGCGATTCTGCTCCGTGTTTGGCCGTCCTTTTTCACTCCATCGGCCCAAGACGTGGAGCTTCCATCAGAGAACGTTGGTCATTGTATCGACCTGGCAGAGCGCCTCAGGAACTGCTATCGCTTCAGAGGCCGTTCAGCAAAATCTGAGGATGTCTCCCTTCGTCTTTATTACAGCATGCGGCGAGGCCGTCCCATTGAAGATGGGCTGCGAGAGCGATTCACAAGGGACCTTCTGCATTTGTATGAGCGTAAATCTCAGACTGACAAGCTGATCCGCATCCATCAGGATATACTCGACGACTTAACGAAGCAATCTAAAGAAGATCATCCTGCGGTCCTTCAAGAGCTTCGGACATTGGCGGGCCTTACACGGCCGCGCTCAGCTGCCGTCGGCTACCATCGCCTAATTGTCCGGATTCTGAACAAGGACTCCAAGACTTGTCATCCGGACGCTTTTGAGTCTCTTCTCATAGTAGCAACAGAGCTTTTGGGCCAGGGGCAATACTTTGAAACACGCGAGTACTGGGAAACATTGTTCAATACCCTCCGGCACCCGAACATCAACCCGAAGCTTCAAGACCAGGAATTCGTCAAATCAGTCTATGAGCTGTACACGCAGTGTTTGCGTATGACCCGCGCAGGGCTCCATGTGATACACGATGTGACAGTTCAGTATCGCAGCATTTGTCAAACTAGATTTGGAGCCACTGCCTCGATCACCATTCAGTCTACGAACAAATTGCTGGAGATTTGTCTGGAATCCAAGCGATACGAAGCCGAAGCTGTCCAATTGTGCGAACAACTCCTCAATACTCAATCCAGTGAGGTTGATATTGACAAAGAGGGGCTCCAAGCAATACTGGACGCTCATTATGAGGAGCAGTACACATCAATCGCGTCGGCCAGCGCAGAATCTGTCTCCTCAGAGCAGCTACAACGAGTGATCACCATCCGACAGGATCGCCTGTCAACTTTGCGGTCTACCTACGGATGGGCCCACGAGGCATCCCTGTCTGAAATGAAAGAGCTGGTCCCCCTGTATACCAAACGAGGGGAGGTGCAAACCGCCGTATCGCTGCTCCAAGAAGCAACTCTCCAGATTGTTTCGAAGGAAACCTCTGCAACCAAACTCGCTACTTCCGCGCAAACCATTGCGTCCAGCTTCATCTCGATTGGTCAGGTCCAACAGGCAAAGGAGCTCTCCGAGGAGCTCTACCGTGAAATTGTGATCAAGGAAACCGGCGCCACGGATTCTGTCTTGCCTCGCGGCGGCCGTCAGAGCTTGGTCTTCCTCGCACACCTTCAGTACACTCTTCGAGAACAAAGAGAGGTCTCGCTCACGGTAAGCGATATTCATTCGGCCCTGTGTGCTGAGTACGTCTACTTTGAGCGATACCGATCAGAGGCTCGCTCCAAGTCCAGTACTCTGGATACCATAGTAGCCATTGCTGCTCGTCTGTATGGACTTCTTCGCGCCAGAAGCCAGGTGTCGACGGCCGCCCGTCTTGTAGAGGACCTCGCAAACTTCTTGGTCACGTCTCAGAAGGAAAAAGTCCAGATGAGCTTCGGCGAAGCCAGGGTCTTTATCGGCACTCTTTTAGATTACTTTAGCGTATATACCACTAAAAACTTCTTGCAGTCCGTGGCCATCGCGGGCTACCGCGGTGTGACACAGTACCTCGCCACAAGAGATTACCAGGCTGCCTGTAATCTCGCTGTGGCCGCTTTCAAGTACATCCAGGCGCACAATGGGTTCTCCTCCTCGCTAAGCGTCGTCAAGCTGCTTTTCAATCTAGGTCTAACCATCTCCGGTCAGAATCTGGAGCCGCGTCCAGATTCTACAACAAGAAAGCAAATGCTCAGCGCCTCGTCCACCATCATGAGCCCCACACTGGCATACTGCAAGCAAGCCAACATCGACCTCACCCAACTGGACCATGTGACACTGAACAAGCTGATCAAGCTTTTAGACGCACAAAGGGGTTATGCGAATCTAGCCTGGCTCCTGACGGGACTCTGGGATAATCGTGACAAGCACCCGCCCTCGCAGGAGGAGGCAACATACACACTCGCCCTAGGACGTATGCTCGTCATCACCCGCTATCTGATGGGCGAGTACATGGCCGCCATCCGTCTGGCCGAGGACATCGTATACAACTGCGTCCGTGTACATGGCCCCCAGCATCCGAGCAGTGATGAGATGACCGTCCTCCTATCACGGATGTACGCCAGCGTGGCACAGGGATATCAGGACCGAAAGGAGCACCGCGAACTCGCATACCGGTACTACAAGAAAGCCGCGGCGCTGCATGAGAACGCGCTCCGAGCCTTCGTCGATCCTACCTCCTTAGCTTCCCCAGCGATAGATTCAGGAACCAGCTCACCTAGCTCTGAAACTGGCCCGCCTAGCCCCGGCGAGAGATCGGAGGAATCGGGCAAGTATGTCCGGCAGCACCTGCATCTGCTCAAGCTAGCGGTGGAACGTTTGGGCAATTGGCCTAAGGACTATAAGGAATATGAAAGCCTGAATTCCGCTCTCTTCCAGGCATTTGGAGACGATCTCAAGGGCATTGAAGGCGTAGACAAGTGGAATCTGAAGGAATTTGGTTCTGGTCGCGCGGAAGCCAGCGACGATTTGATTTCACACAAGTCACATCCAGCATTCGGTCTGGGTGAGCGCTTCGCGATTGCTGTTTGATGGGTTGGCCGTACCTAAATTGAGTGAACCAGGCCTTATCTTTATTTTTTTTGTCTTCTTTCCCCGTTTTGATGCCCTTTGTATCTGAAATTTGATGAAGTCACTCTTTGCTTGATCTTCGCCTCGTCCTCCTGTTTGATGTCTTGGAGATGTACCTAAAAGTCGATTGAATTAATTAATCCCACCCCCCAATATGATCTTCACTTGCTCCTGAGGCATTCGATTCCTAATAGAGACCACAAGGCAGCAGGTAAGGAATAAAGTAGTACACTTTGGGGATAATAGCATGGCCCGTCTAAATATATAAATGGTTACTAGACACTAGTGTCTTTTTCATCTAATCTCTAGACATTTAAAGAGACATTTTAAATATAATAAAAAAGTAACATACATAATATCTCAAAACTCTTAATAAGGTCCGCATCAGCCCCAAGCTCAATGTGTCCTATCTCTAAAAGCCCTAAGTTGAAAACATGATTATTAACTCGCTATAGACTCTGTATGCGCAGAACCTTCCCATATCAAAGCAGGATTTCCAAACACGGAAATTCCTTCCTTTGCCTCTCATCTATGCCCATCCTTTACGCATGGTGCTCGGCTTGTGTACAGTGTACACTACCATGGATACAATGCATCAAGCCGGTTTAATTCATCCATTCATAGGAACTTATATACAGAAGAAGGAATAGACCTATATACCAGTTTGTTCAATAAAACAGGTAACTACTGATGGTAGCAACCCACTGCTCCGGTGTGACACCATCGCTTGAGCCAGCACCACCTCCATATTCCCAAGCAGAAATACCACCAAAATCAGAGTACATCGACTTCAGACTGGAAATGGTACTAGAAAGTCCCGAAAGAGACACCCATTCACTACCCTCGCGACCAGCGGTGAGAACACCCATAACAATACGGCTAGGATCCCAACCAGCACTGATAATGTTTTCATACGTGGTCGGCGTGCCCGCATTGCCCCAACCATCATAGAATTGCGTGTTATACCAATTGAACAGCTTGCCATTGGGACGTGTGGAGCTAGTAGCTGTTGCATCCAGCAGAGGCCAGCTTACATTATCCAAATTCCCCTCGTTGACAAGAGCGGTAGCAACTGGTGCGCCGGTTAGGATAAAATCGGTTCCAAGATCAGTGTCAAGCTGTTGGGCGAGCTTGACAAGAGCATCCAAAGAAACATTTTCCTCCACATCAAAGTCAAAACCATCTAGATTATGACTCCTTAAGATGGAGAGAATTTCAGGATAATAGACATCAAACTGTACAACAATGTTTGTTAAGTGTCCGACACAAGTTGTAAGATGCTTTGTAGTGATCGATTGTAAAAGAGAAAGCAGGGCACTTACATCAGTAGCTATTCTAGCCCAGCTACCTGCTGCAGCACCACCCATCATCAACGAGACCTTGACTCCGGCAGACTGCAGAGACGTAACCATTGGCCACAAAGGGTCCCAGTAAGTCGAGTTAATATCATTGTCATTAAGGTGAATTTGGGTCGGGGAGTCCAGGTGAAGTGATGCTAAAATCACATGGGTAATGCCACTTTGTTCAGTAACCAAGTCCGTGAGGTTGAACCAGTTGCCTGCAGAATCGGTAAAAGTCTGAACATAGATGACATTCCTTGGTGTTGCTGTGTTTGACTCTCGTTTTTGCAATGTAGGAAAGCCTACCACCGAGGACTGGAAAGTGAAGCTCCATGCTAGCCCGGCACCGAGCAGTTTCATGATGTTTCTATAGACCATGGCGGTTTAAATAGCTGTGCACACACAAGGCATGCAGTCTTTCAAAAAGTACAAGAGCGTCCTTGACCAGAGTCCAACAAGGAACTGCTTTTATCTCGAGGGGACTTGCTCCTTTTATAATGATTCATTCCACTCGATGAGTAGTTGCTGACAAAGGCTATCCAATTTATTGATAATGTATTATGTTACATTGCCCTAGCAAAATACTAAATATAATCTCCATCCTACTGTATACACCCTCTTACTTAGCTCTGCTTCTCTTTAGTTTGGGTAGTAATATCATTATACTTATCTGTCGTGGGTGGAGTTCAAAAGACACCAGAGAGAGACTCATGCTACTCTATGAACTCTTGGGGCGGTGGCGCCGGTGTTAGGGCGCAAGATGTAGTATATAAATGTAGCCTCAATGAAGCCAAGGCGGCGGCATAAGCCGTCTATATGAGGGAATGAGTGCAAAGGGGCCAATCTCAAGAACTCCAAGATCCCGGAGGGACTCTTATACGACTCGTGACCTTTTTCTATGAGAGCATGGAGTGCTTTGAACTGTCCATTGTCCAGTGGCCGATATTCCCTTGCCCAGCAATTGGATTGATCTAGAGCAGCGCCAACTATCGCCGAACAATACTAGTCTCGGCAGCCATGGCCAACTTTTGAGGATTTAGTATAAGATGTTACTTACTCCTCATTTCAACGCCATCCCGGGCCATGCAAACTGCTTACGGCACGTGGTCCTTGCAACTTGCCTGGTGTGTAGTATTGAGCATTCTCTAATGAATAATATTAAAAGCACATGTGAATACGTAGTAGATGGAGACATGGATCTCCGCTACTAGTGTCAAAAAGACACGATCTCTAAAGAACCTGCCGATCCGGAGCCTGCCGGATCGTCTATTTTCCATTGACGTGGGTTTATGAGTATAGGGTCGGAAGGTACTGAATTCTGTGTTGATTCATCAACATGGTTGTTGTTGGTAACTAATATGGGAAGCCTTAGGCTGGGAATTGTAGTAGGCGTTCTGGCCAGTCAGCACCCACCACGTAGGCCGCTCGCTTTGAGCAAGCCCTAGCAAGGTAGTATAAAAAAGGTCATTCTTACCATGTCAAGCATCGGGGTGGACACCAAGAGCAGAGAACCTACATATAATCACACACTACATCTTTTCTGGCAACAAGTTTATTGCCTTAGTCCAATCAACACCCAGGATCTCATCGTACCATGGAAACTGCCTAGTCATGCACCGCAGAGATAAAAGTAATATAGTTACGTTCTCGACACTATCTAAAGGACTACTCTTTATTATTCAATAATATAGACGAGAGGCTCATCAACTCGGCGAATACAACGCATAAGAATCATCTGGCGGGGAATGGCTGCCACCCACTACCCTGTCTGCATATATGAAGAGGAATAATTCGTGATCTACCTCGATAATATGTAGGGTAGGAAACTGTTGTAGTTGGACATGTCCAAGAACAGGAACTAGACCTGCTCCAAGTCCATCCTTGTTCCGATAGCAGTGACTTACTGTAGTACCACAATGACCAATTAATTCTGATTCCTTATATGTTATTGAAGTACTATATTTCTTTATTTAAACCATGCTTACGTTATACAAGCTAGTGAAGAATAATAAATAAAAAGCCAACCATATGTAACTTTATGTGCAAGCAATGCACGAGAAATATAATTATCTTGTCGTAACGACGGTTGGAGGCTTGACTATGATATTAAAAACAAAATGGGAACATTTCAATCCACCATTAAGCGGGCTACGTACTGGGATATATGATAGATGTGTTCATCATCACCAAGATTAGGTTTCTTGATAGCATCCCAGCTTTATTCAGAGACAATTTGCAATATGACATGCGGCGCTAAGTATAAGCCTAGGCCGAGCTGTCTATAATACTGAGTCGCAGCTTTTGTCGCTAGCAGTTAGAATAAACAGTGGAATTATCACAGTATTTGGAGGACTAACATGCAGACTCCGCAGGCTTCTAGTTGTATGACTGTGGCCCACGCACTGATGATTGATGATGATTGACGATGTGAGTATAGACATATGCTGTTACGATATGTACAACTGAGAACAAAAAAAGAAAAAAAAAAAAAAAAAAGGAACGGTTGTCCAGATCCGGTTATGATGGTCAAATGATCTTCATGGAGTTCTGGAAGGATTTAAATCGGAGAGGAGCTCATGCAAACCTAGACTAGATTACCGGCTATATACGTACTCATACTTCAGTGATGTGAAATTTCGATCTGGTGCAAGCGTTTGTACAACGTCGAATACGATAGTTTTATTCCATCCCGAAAGTGTGTAAATGCCTGCTAAAGGCATAAATCAATTAATATAAGTTCTATGTGATTGCATACCCAATATATAGGCCAAGGTAATACTCTCGGAGTATAGAGAAGTGCAAAATTTGAATTGCTTGAATGAAATAAGGGTCTGATTAAGACCCCTGAAATCCGCACTCGGAAGACGGCACTGATCATATACTATGCAGACTCGGCACGATCAGAAGGTTGCATGCAGTGATAGTTGAAGCTTATACAAAGACGAAAAGGGAAACGACGGAGGCTGCTGGCCCCCATTATGGCCTAGACCTCGGCGCTAGGCAGTTTACAGCACAAGATCTACACAGCCGGACACGCCGATTGGCTGGCTTTTGAGTTCCTGAATATCAATCGATGTAACTTTGCGTGCCTCAAGAATATGGCCTTCTTCTTTTTGTCTGGCCCTAGTAACTTGTAATTCACTTGCATGAGCAAACGAATAGATAACAATGAGCATAGCTAGGCATCTTGAGCTTCAAAAACATAGAGTCGAGAACGGAAAGTGCAGGGGTTGAAGGGAGCTGATGAGGCTTCCATACGCAACTAGTTTTAGGGCTAATTTAGCCCTAACTACGAATTATTTCATGCATTGGAGAGCCCTTGATTCCCCGCCATAAGCCAAAGCCACTGACGATCACGTCGTTGTCCTATCGGCTGTATTTTGATGCTAACCTGACGATCTGGTCGGCATTCAACGGAGCCATTTTCCTTTAGATTTCAAGATTCGATGGGAGGCAGTGCTGGCTGTCTACTATCAGAGTTACTCATTCATCACTGGTCCAGCTGGAAGATGCCCTTACGCCTCCTGCCAGAGCCTTCTTTAGGAATATAGATGTGTAAGAGCATAGCACTACTGCAAAATTTCAAAGTAGACGTGGTCTAGCATATGCCGCTACCTTACTGGGGTTACATTGAATGGTGTCATTGCCTGCTACGGCCATCCTAAAGAGCTCAGGAGTAATCATTTGAACGGCTTGGATTATCAATTTGGTGAGCTTTCGTTTTTGAGTCGAAGTGAAAAAGAAAATAAAAATGGAACTATCATGTAAGAAAATAGGCTTGAAATAACAACAAGAGAGTAGAATGGCCTCCTAGGTAGATATAAATATGTAATTGTACCTCCTCAACTAGACAGACTATTCTCTAAAACAACAACGCTTACCTACCTGGAAACGCTCTTCTTTCCCATATTTCTCCTGGAACATTCTCCTTCACATCCAGAACTCTATCAAAAAATGGGTATCTCCCTCAAGACAGTTATCTCCCTGCTCCTCGCAGGCGCCGCGGTAGCTACCTCGAAATCTCGACCACTTGCATCTCGATACCGTAGCCAGGCCAAAGCTGCCTCCGTCGAAAGTTTCAAAGAAGATGCCACTGGAGAGACTTCAGGCACTTTCTACTTCCCCAGCTGGGCCGGTGCCTACTTGAATACCTCCGACGTCACGAGCGCTACCGGCACCTTCACTGTCCCGACCATATCTGTACCCCCGGGCGGTGATTCTTCTACCAATTACTGCGGATGTGCCTGGGTTGGAATTGACGGTGTCACAAACCTCTGCGACGGTGCTCTGATGCAGGCTGGTGTCGACTGGTGCATTCAAGACGGTGTTGCAAGCTACTCGGCCTGGTATGAGTGGTGGCCCGCCGAGGCGCAACAATTCTGGGATGATGTTACTGTTTCTGCCGGTGATGTGATTACTGTGTCTGTTACTGCTTCCAGCACCACTGGTGGCAGCACTACTCTCGAGAATACGTCTAATGGCCAAAGCGCCTCTTACACCTGGTCCGGAGAGTCACCAGATCTCTGTGAAGTGACTGCTGAGTGGATTGTCGAAGACTTCACTATTGGCGATGGCATGGTCGCCTTTGCGGACTATGGCTCCGTCACTTTCACCGGCAACAGCGCTGTTGTTGGTGGTACTACTGTTGGCCTTGACGGTGCTTACATTGCTGAGATGGTCTCTACTACTGACGGCTCTGATGTTATCAGCGAAAGCACCATTTCTGGTAACGATATCACTGTTACCTACCAGTGAATGGTTGGACTATGTGATGTTTCGTCTCGTTCAATTCCTATGTAATTTATTTTTATGAATGCTCCCAGTATAGGTATAAAAATATATAGATGCGAAGTTCGCAAATGCATAATTCTAAGGAAATTTTCTCCACTAAAGTTACTGTGCCAGCAAGTGGTTGCGTGGGTTCTCTTCGAATTAGGAAGTTAGGGCTTCTTGGTTGATATTTCCTGTTTGGGCAACACCAGTCAGTAAGCTATACATGCCTCAACAGTATCCAGGCACATTTATATAGCTATTGTTAGGTGATCTATACAGAGATATTACTTGAATGAGCTGGTACGGTACTCATTTTTTTTTTCTACTTCGGTGCCTATTCTATGCACGCAGCAGATTATCACATTCATAACACAATCAAAGAATTCAATTTCCAATTAGCCTTCATTGTACGTTGCTGTTCGGATACCTGCGGTGCACTGCACCATTGCACCGCTAATGCAAAATGCAAAATGTGATAACTAGTTAGTATATAGATAGATGTGACAAGAATGGAAAGAAGCTTGGTTATGAAGAGAAAGCACGCCACCCGAATAAACAGAAAAAAGACAAATATCGACTTCTTTTCCTGCCCCAACCATATAAAGATGAAATGAGATGGCATCTATAGAACAAAAGAATGATAATTATTCGTTATAATGGTACACCTAGATCTTGTTAGTAGACGCAATAAAAGACGGAGAAAAGGCTCAAGAACAGAACTTACAAAATAGTCAGGTAACCCCCAACACGTATATCCTAGCCTCTTTGCCATCTTCGCAAATCCCTCCGTCTCAACCATGTGATAAAATGGAAAAGCAGGGAACATCGCTCCATCACGATGCACATCGGCTTTCACCATCAATGCCGTCCCACCGACGCCATCCAACTCTACCACTCGATTGGGATCATATTCTATTCCATCAGTGCTCGCCATCCAGGCCAACAAACTTCGGTAGGTAGCTAGCTCAGCGTAGCCTTCCAGAAGGATCTCGTCGGGTCCCATATTCGACGCAAGTTCAAGCCCCACGTCGCTTTCCATCCACGAGTTGTAATCGTATGGTCGCACATCCATCTCATTTGTCTCTGGGTTGAGGAAACGCTGGTAGCAGTTCGGGACAAGAACCGGCTTATCATGACGGGTAAGATCCTCTATCAGCGTGGTGGGAGTCTCGACAATATCCGCATCTAACCACAGAACCCAGGATGTCGAAGGCCCCAAGGTGGTAAAAAGCAAGCTATTCCGCGCACGACCCATTGCCTCACGTCGCGCCTTTTGATTTTCTATCTTATGTCTCTCCTTCTCGTCCTGCGACTGCAGCGGGGGATCGAAATCCTGTCGTAGAATCGTCACGCTCGCAAACCGATCGTCAACGGGTCCTGATTGTGTCTTTGCGACTGCTTCTTGTAGCGCAACAGTGGCTGCGTTGCCTTCGCTTGTCTTTGGGAGTATGAATCCCAATGAAATGAACTCATGCGGATACTGAAGTTTCATTAAATTCTCCCAATAGCCCTGGTAGAAATTCATCATGGGTGTCAAGATGAGCACGCGTTCTCCTCTTTCGGCCGATGTATCCGACGTGGTAAGGTCATTCATGTGGTAATGCACAACAGGGGGTGGCGCTTGGTGGCCATCGGCTCGCTGCGGCTGTTTCTTGGGAAAGGGTTTTGTCGGTGGTGAGAGGGGATGTGCGGCTGCATCTTCTTGTCGCTGATGAGCGGTTGCCGGTATCGATGATGAGGATGGGTCCCAGAGGAAAAATATGAAGCCAATCGCTAGAATGGTCGCGAGGATCAATGTTATAGGACTTGTTCGTCGTAGAGACCGCGAAAGGGCCATGGTGGCCTTGCTGCCTGTACGAGGAGTGCCTTCTTTTTTTTATTTTTCTTCAGACAGCTTCCAATACCCGCGAGAAGATTTCCACTCGACCCTGATTCTAGTCCTGGCTCCGATTCCAATAGCCAGCGTCGTTTGAGGGAACGGGGTTTTTGGGGGGGTTGTCTCGGAACGAAGCTTGATGGTATTGCGTGGACTTTCGTTGATCCTATACTGTGTAAATGCAGCGAAGACAAGAAGACTGTGGTGCAAAATCGGCCATGATAGAACTATTAAGGGAAGCGCAATGCGAAATGAGGCTGGAGGGCTCAATTGGCCATTTGCAGAAGAGGAGGTCGTCTTTGCAACGTGTTGCGAAATTGGAGATCTTCGTGACGGACGCTCCAGATCGCCCGTCAGAAAGGGCGCGCGCTGATTGGCTGGCGGCGATTCTCCGGAAGTAGTAATATTTCTGAATTGAAAAAGATAACTCTAACTATTATAATATTCACATGCATGTGAACATTTGTGGATGTAATTTGTTCATTCTTCGCAATAATCTAGCTACAATTTGAATAAGCAGGTCTATTTTCATATCACATGTCATTTAGAACCGCATGCAGTGCAAATGGGTATCATTATCAACACCAGTTCTGTCAGTCAATCAGTCGACAACCTATGGCAACCATCTCATAACGCCTTCAAAAGCCACCAGAGCCATAGCATTAGCTGGAAACGCGCGTAAAAATGAAGGCAAGAATCCGCGCCAATAGCCTCTCCATCCGCCCTCGCGGCCTACAGCAATGGCAGCATCTTTCCATCGACGGAACCGCCTCTCGCCGTCACCATGAGAGCCTCCCAGCGGATCTGTCATCAGTCGATTCTTGATTACATCGGAAGGATAAGATGTGATCCAGAAGACTTGCGCGGATATTCCACCTGCCCAGAAATTGATCGCGGGGGCTGACAGGTTGGTCTTCTCTTGCATCATGCGTGTTATGATATCGTAGGAACCCCACCAGAAGAAGAAGAACGATCGGAAGATGAGCGTTGCGCAAAGACCGCGAAATAGTCCGGGGATACCATGACTTCGGAGCTAGTAGAGGTTAGTACAAGGTCAACATGTCCCTTGAAGGAAGTGCAATTCGACACTGACAATTTTGTGTGTACAATCAATAGGACCACTGTACATCCGCTGCTTCTTGTCTGCGGCGTATTGGACTTGTAGTCTGGCTTTGACATGCTCGACTGGCGCGGCGATGAAGCTGACCGTGCATCCAGCCATTATACCTGCAATACCATGACCAAAGCTCGGTAAAGTATGGAGGTCTTTTTGAGATGAAATAAATGGTATTGACTTGCGAATTTCGGGGTTGGAAAATACGTTTTCGAGAAGCAGACGGCGATAGAGAGTGAGGGATCCAAGCATCCTGCAGTTTGACCATAAGTTCCATTGTTTCTGGCCCTCCTATGATTTGTTCAGTGTCCGAGACTTACACAGAGTCCATTACCATCCACCCGACCAGCGGGGGCGTTGCTCCCTTGTACATCCCGCCAAACCCTTCCTTGCGAACAGTCTGCAAAACACAATCTAGCGGGCCTTTGAAGCGGCCTTTGTCGCTTGTCTGCAACCTGATTTTGATGGTGTCGAATCTGCAGGTAAATCTCAGATTAGCGTACTATCCAGTAGTGGTATGCCGTGATATTTCGGACAAGGGAAAAAAAAAAAAAAAACGTACGGATGGCCGACTACCAAACTCAACCATATTGTGTTAGTCAACAGTGCTGTAATTCAGGGCGTAGACAAAAACCTACCACTCAATTTCGCAATGCCAGAAAACACCCCGGCCACGAACCCTTTATAGTCGCGCTTGGGTTTTTTGGCATGGTCCCGTCTTCCATGGCCATCTTCCATCAGCACCGACGCGGTGTTCTGCGAAACGCTTGTTGGGGAGGACATTGTCTAGGGGCAGGGGACTTGAGAGGGAACGAGGTTATCTATAGCAGTATGCAAAAATCTCCATCGAGGAAGAGATATAGATATATATTCCCCAGTCAACTGAGGTGCTTCCTTTCAAAGAGAGATAATAATGTCTACTCCAACAGAGGAGAGCATCTGCCATGGAGGGAAGAAGTCAGAGCAGCTTTAGTTAGAATAAAGCTCAGGCCGACAACGGCGGTCATGTCGGGGACCTGAGGCACTACTCCGGGGCGTCTTGGCGCGGTGCAGCGCGGGGTTGACTAAGGCAATCCTCCAGTTTTTCAGTTAAACTAACTTAATTGCTACATCTGTGAATTCACAAGACAAGTCAAAGACATGAACGCATCTAATGGTCGAACATTCTGGGCTGCGCAACGCGCAAGTGACTGGCTAGTTTAATCATGTATGTATAATATATGACATTGTTGTTACAGACTGAAGTAGAGATCCTGGAAATGTACACACCCGTATGCATCAAGCTACCGGTGCATGCCATTCGTATGCTAATGAATGTTAATCAACAAGAACGTAGAATAGAAAACAGAAGACAAGAAAGCGGCTGTTTGCTTCTTGTCGTAACACATTGGGGGTATACAGATAGTAATCATATCGAACAAGCGTCCCTAAGGGAATAGAAAAGAACACCAGAATCTCCCGAGTTCGTGGCAGGGGAAATGTAGGAGATAATAATGAGACATCACAAAATTGCTCCAACGCCTAACATGCAAAAATTTTGGATAACAAATCCGCGTTTAAACGGCTATATTCAGTCGAGCGGACCGGGCCATGTACCAGGGTCCAGATGCAAACTGAGGCTCATCGACTTTTGCTATCCTTTGAACGAGGAGATACATGTCGTTCCCGCTCGCCAATTGAGTCGGGCTTCCGGGATGGTGTATGGTTATCCGGTGCGTTCGGTCTGGCAGCCATATAGCTGTCTGTCTCCTCGAGAGCAAGCGGGGTCACTGGACCAGGGCTGCCGAGAGGGTCCAATCGAGGAGCCGAAATCTCAGTATGGCGTGATTGCGAAAGACTAGCTGCCACCAGCTCGCGATATTGTCTCAGAGCTTCCCTGGATCCTCCTCCCGATGCGACGCGATACCCAAAAGATCTTGGATGGTGGTTGGATGTCGCATTCGACAAGGAAGCGTTGGGCGTGCTATTGGGAGATTGATATACAGCAGGGTGAAAACGCGGCAAGTTACCCAGGTACATCGCATTGTCCTTGGGTGTCGCCTTTGGCGATACAGGGCCTGATTGGACTGGCATGGCTAAGGATGGACCAGACGAATGCGGCATTCTTTTTGTGGACCGAGCAGATGCAGAATTCGAGGCGGAGGATGCAGCTGGTCGAGAACTTTTCCGCCGGGAAGATTTTTTATCGTTTCGCGTGTTGTGGTTCTTTAATGATGGGCGGGGATCTGTAGGGGGGGGTTCTGTTAAGTACAGACCGTATTCAAAGCGACCAGTGAGCGGCGTGATGGGGAAGTCGTCAAAAGAGCGATTCAAGTTGGCACGAGGAATAGGAATAGGTTGAGAGCCTGCGGTGGACTCGTAGGCCTTTTCGATTGCAGGTGGGGGAGAAGCTGGCGGTGTCTCGACTGAGTCGGGTGGGAGGAATGATGTGTTGATTGGGGACGTCGAGGTTAATTTTCGTAGAGAAGAGGATGAGGATACCGGGGTCGGGGGGCCGTGTCTCCTTATAAGACTTGCAAGATGCTCTCGGGCACTATTGTGTTCGCTGGCTTGGAGGTTTCTTGGAGGTGGAGACAGATGATGCTGGTCTGCGAATAATCAGCAGCCAGTCCTTGCACTAGCAAACACATAAAAGGACGGTGTAGCGAGGTGATGTTGTGGGCAAATCAGAGCTCCGTGACACTCCGCTGAGGGGGAATATTGCAGACGTGCATGTAGGGATGAGCGATCATTCGACAGTGGACACTATCTAACGATCGAAGAGCGGGGAAGCGACGACTTCGCAGTGCAACCCCGCCAAGGGGGATTGGGGAAAAAAAAAAGAGTAAAAAAAAGGAAAGGAGTCTTACAAGAGGGTCGCGGGGGAGATATGGAACTGCAGGACGAGGGATAGTGGGAGGAAGAGGAAGAAGAAGAGGAAGAAGGGCGTCGAGCGTTGTTGACTCTTCTTTCCTTGGCTGCCATGGCGGTACTCATACGGTTTCGGCGGTACGGCCAATACGCAGGTAGGGCTAGAGTCGGGCGGCGGTAATGATGGTATTTGGTAATCGCATTACCGGATCACGGAGTTCCTCTTTGAGCCGGCGGAGTCAGCCAATGAGCGGCGAGCTGCCTTGGTCAGCGTGCGATGTCGTCATTTAGTTAGGTAGCAGGACTGAACTCACTCATATCACTGTTTTATTTTGTTTTGTTATTTTTTCAACCTTGTCTTGCAGGTGATGTCTGTGATATACCAGGTGCGTGCGGCAGGCAGGCACATAACGTTGATCTTCAGGTGGCAAAGACAGGCTGGTTGGTCAGCACTATAACAGCAACAACAACACTTTCCAACGGCGTCATTCAACACGCACGCTTATCCCAATGAGGAAATGCGCAGATGAGTGCTTCATGTAAAGCGCGCACTGGGCTGGACTTGGAAAAGGAGCAATCAGCGTACCTAGTGCTGGAGTCGGTCTGACTGCTCACTGGAATCAGAGGGGAAATTCAGGCCTTGGATCGAAGTGTTGCAAATGGAAGCTGACCGATAAATCAAAACGTGTTAGCATCGAGGCTATATATATGAATATTCTTCACGCATGTCAGGTCACGCAGCAGAGGAGATCCTGGAAAACAAGGAATCTTGCTCGCAACCCACTGTATCAACACACACACACACACACACACATACCCCCCAACTTTTCTCAAGCAAAGTACGGAATGACTAGGTTGGTAAGTCGTACTAACCAAAGCCGCGTAGGAATAACGATAACAATGATAATAAAGGGTGGTGTGGTACCGGCCTAAGCCGCTTCCTAACAGGACGGATTCCTCTTTGGGATCTGTGCAGCAGCGAATAGCCTTTCTTGTTCAGACGGGTTGCACCATGCCAATGTAATAGCATCAATGTTTCCAATAGCGCAAGCAGGCAGACAGACTCAATATATAGTGGTGCTTATCTTATTAGGCAGGGATGGCTGTCTTAGTTGCACATCATCGTAGTCGAGAACTTGTTGTTAGTGCTTTCCCCGGTTTTGGGGCTTACAAATTGTTTCAACGTTAAGCGAGCAGTATGAAACAAACGCATAAAGAAACCCGTCAAAAAGAATGGGACTGGCAAACCTGATACATATCCGTCCTTGCATATTCATGGCAATTAATCAATAGTTTAAGCAAAAAAGGGCCTACTTCGAGCACGGAAATACAGTAGGTTGGAACGAGACGGGATTTGAAGCATTAGTTAGTATTTAATTACACATTCTTTGCATTTCGTTATGGAGACAAACCAGCCAAGGTGGGGACGGCAACGGGCCGGTCCAGTCCATCCATCCCATAAATTACGCCGTGTCTTATCTCCCCGTAGCAACCTTTCACATATTTCACTTCACGTTCGTAGCACGCTGTTGGCCACGAGCATTCTTTCGAAAAACTGTGTTTGAGGCGGGAATCTATATCCCGCGCCATGCTCGTTCCAAAGACATACATACTGTGTACAAAGTACAGCTCCAAGACATACCACCCGACACCCCCCCCTTGCGTCCATCATGCAGCCTGTCAGGTACAAGCATGATCAAGCTCAAGATTGTTCCAGCTTATGCTGGAAGTCATGTGGTGGTTCTTCTTGCTCAGTTGCAACCCTCTAATTCCAAGTTTTAATTTCTGTTCTCCTAGGTTCAGCTAGCATCATGTCGGAACATCATCTAAACTCGAGTTCCTTGCAACTGTCCGTGCTTCGGCAGCCCTACCAGAACACCAATACTAATATTGCTTTTGTGCTTCGTCCTTCATCGCCTACATTTCGCTAAGCCTGACGGTTGGCTCACATCGGCTACCGTCGGGTCTCCTCGTACAGGTGACTCAGTCCCTTATCCTGCTCTTTTTCTTGGCTATGGAGTCGTCTTGTGATAGTCCCAGGTTAAATATAACAATAGCCTCCATAATAATTATATTATATACCAGGGATTAGCTACCAGACTGGAACAATCACCAGCTCAACCAGTAGAGAGCCCGTATGGGGGAGTCTCATCCATGGATCCCTTTGTGACAATTTCATAGACTGGTGTGTCAGTAACCACAGTATGTATAACTATAGCTTGATCAGGCGACTGAGCCGGGTCCACTTTCCTTCTCGCCTATTCTCTGCTTGCTCGCTTTTCTTTTCTCTCCGGTTCTTCCAAGATCAACGACCTGCGCCACTGTTAGTGTGTTGCACAGGCCCCGTGCTGTCGACACTGCCTATCGCATTGCAGGATCGTGCCCGAAATTCTGGGAGTCTAGAGAGTAATCAGCGACGCGAGTCAGTCACGCCGAACTATACCTATCAACTCATCAAAGTAGCCAGTTATTAATCCGTTTAGCTGGGTAGGCAGCTAGCAATCAGCAAATACGTGCTAGTACTTGCATATTGGCAGTCCTATCGTGACCCGTTTTGGAGTCAAGGAGAATTAGTTTCGCAGCCGTCAAGCTGAAACAGGCCTGCTTTGTGGAATGCAAGGCATAATCTTGGAAGTTAGCTACCGAATACAGCCATGCACTCGTACGCATACATAATACGTACGTACATACGTATGAGCGAACGCATACTCCGGCATGGCTTCGATGATTCTAGGAAGCAAGGGGTAGATCGACGTTACTTCGCAACGGCCACTGACATGGATGGACGGACAGTGGATACAACGAAATTTGAAATTTTTAATGAAACAAATATATTCCTCGACCTTCGCCAACCTCAAAACACCGAGTCCGAGATAAGCGCTGATTTTTTCAATATGCATGCACTTGGAGGAGCGCAGCTCGCCTGCGCCTATGTGCTACTTCCGAATGCAGGAGAAAGAGACGAGAGAATTGTGGACGGACTACCTTGCCTCGTAGTCTTGTTTGTATCCGGAACATAGGACAAAGAGACTGGTAGGATAGTTAGGCCAGATTAAAATGTTGGATCTCAACGAGCAGGCTAGATTCATAGACTCAGATTTAGGGCTCTAGAAGTCGTTGCCTATACTTAGCTATTCAACGTTGTCTGTGATATACGGAGTACAAGAAGTGCAGTTCGCATCACATATACACGCATATATCTAGATACGAGACCTGTCTACATACTGTATGCCTATTAAATCGACCAATTCCACACGCAAGACACGTGCCAATCAACCATGTGCTCGCTTCGGAGAACGCATTCTAGCAGTCCGTATTCCATATAACGGGAGCGTGTACGTATGCACTCCGGCACTTTCGGCATATATTCGAAGTAGGGGCTGTTCCAATTCCGTGCTCCGTCCTCCGGGCCATGAACAGAAATATCCCTTGCTTGCACGTAAATGTTTCGGCCGGGATATTCAGAACACACTCCGGAAGTTCGATGTGTGACTAAACCATGCGAGGAGTAACTGCGTACATGTAAAGTTCAATCGCACGCTATCTGCTGCATGTGCGGTATCATCAAAGTGCTTCATACATAGTCTGTTTGTTGTACCGTGAATTTGTACGCATCATCACGAGGAGAAACCTTTGATATCAGGATCTAGGAGAAAGGATATTGGGGTTCTACTGTTCTAGTGCTATTCAGTTTTATGATCACTGTTACATATCATTATCACAAAATTGTGTTTAACAAAACACACCCACCCATAAATATATATCTATACATATTCTGTTTGTCTATTGATCGACCGTGGTTCAAGACCAAGAGATCCTAGAATGAAAGTACGTTAGCAAATCAGTCAAAAAACACAGCACTTGAGACACAACGTACCAAAGCATAATTCCCGCACCAGCAGCGACTGCCAGAAACTGTGATAATGTCTTTCGAACCTCTACGCCTTTTTCTTTACCCGTCTCAAGCAGCTCTGGGATAACTGCCACGGTGCCAACATAGAGAAACGTCCCCGCGGTGAATGGAAGCAACATGTCACCCCAGCTAAGCCCAGTTCCCAGAAGTCCGCTAGCAGCTTGCGCCGATGTGGTTGACTCGGTGGCATTGCCACCAAATTCCTGCACAGCGATGCCGATAAAGGTCCCGAGGAAAGCGCCAATGGCAGTGACGAATTGTGCCCCCATAGCCTTTCTCTTGGAGAAACCAGATTGTATCAAAAGAGCAAAGTCCCCAACCTCGTGGGGGATCTCATGGAAGAAAACGGCTACCGTGGTTGTAGCGCCAATGGTCGGCGAAGCATAAAACGACGAAGAGAGCGCCAGTCCATCTGTAATGTTATGAGTGAAATCGGCAATGAGATTCAAGTATCCTCCTAGCTTTGCACTTGGGTTGATATCTTCCTTCTTTTCCTCGTGCTCCTCCTGCTTTTGAGTGGCATTGATCTTGGTTTTCCGCTTTTTAACTTCGCCATTTTTACTGCGTTTCTCGGAAGTAGACCCTGTTGTTACGGCTGAGTCTTGGGTATCATGGGAATGCCCATGGTCATGGCCCCCCTCTCCCCCAGTTGCGATACGCAGTGACTTGTCCATGGCTACGAAAGTGAAAAATCCCACCATGATTCCAAGGCCAAGTAGAAGGTTCTTGTTGTTGTCCACGAGCACGAATCGGGCGTGTTCCGGCGAGTCTTCTCCCAAGAAGATCTCAGGCAACAAGTGAAATAGAGTATCACCGAGTAAACCCCCCACTGCAAAGGCCACCATAATGGACAGGGATGACGGATCGATGTTGGGGGGACATAATGCAAGCAAGAAATCTTTCAAAAAATAAAATTAGTTACCTTTGATACTGCCACTATTTACCAATAAGCTCAAACTCACTCGGTGGCCCGGAGATGTACAGCGTTGCCAACAACGCGTTGACAGCAGGATTCCCTGGGAAGAGTATAGCGAACACTCGCGATGTCCAGCTCGCGGTTCCTGGCCGAGTCGCCAATTTATGTTCATTCAAAGCTTGAACCAAAGCGCAATTCTGATTGTAATCATTAGAAACAACCGTGCAATTAGTTAGACATGCCCTTCCCTTACCTGCAACTCTTCTTCGATTTGAGCCGCACCAAGGCTAGCAACCGGGGCTGTCAAACCCGCAGAAGCAAGAGAAGATAGAAGAAAAACAGTGACAACAAGCACCATGTAGGTCCGCCATGATGCAATGAGCTTTTGAGCAGCCATTGTATTCGATCCTCGACTGAATTAGCTGTGTGCGCGCGCTGTTACTCAGCGTCAGCCAGCGCCCGCTAGTAAACTATGAAAGGCGAAGTGCAAACACGCCAAGCACCACCAGCCCTCGATGCAAACACCGCCGCCCGATAAGATAAAGCAGATTTTCCCAAAAAATTCCATTCAACTGCAACGCCGAGTATAGCTCTAGATCACGAAACTTCTGTCCTCTGTCTACGGACATCAACAATTGCAGAATGGGTCGTGAATTACAGAAAAGAAAGAATCGCACAAAGGTGCCAAAGCTCACCAAGAAGCGCAAGATGGTGCGCAATGGTCATAAGAAAATCGACCTTGGAAATACTCTGATCGCAGACAACTGGTATGTTTTCGCCCCTTCCCTTCCTAAAATACTGAATAAAATAGAATGTACTAATCACATTTCTGGTCTGTAGGAACAAGGACGAGACATTAATACAGAATTATCGCCGCCTAGGCCTGACGACTCGACTGAATGCTCCTACCGGAGGCGTCGAAAGGCCCAAAGGCGTTGACGCCGCCACAGCAGACAAACTACTGTCCGACTCCTTACACATTGTCAGCAAAAACCACCCCGAGAGTACCACCGAGGTCGAAACCGAGGAAGTCAGCGTAGAACGCGATCCAGAAACGGGCAGGATCTTGCGTGTTATCACGAATCACGACGAAGACGGCGATGAGATTGAAGTGGCTGGTCGCAAAGTCAAACGCTCTAATCCTCTTTCTGACCCGATTAACGATATTGAAAATGGTGTTATATGTCTGCACAAAAGGCAAAAACATACAACGGAGCCATCATCTTCCTCGGACTTTGTGCGCCAGTTGGAGTTGCGTGCTTTGCAGGAAGAGGAAGCTGTGAAGAAGCGCCGACCTAGACAGCAAAGCAAAAGAGAGGAAGAATGGATAGAGAAGTTGGTCGCTCGTCATGGAGATAATATTATGGCTATGGTTCGTGATAAGAAACTCAATCCCATGCAGCAAACTGAGGGTGATATTCGGAAAAGAGTTCGGGTCTGGAAGGAAAGAAAATCGGCATAGGTGGTGGTGGTTATCTCCCTTCATCTTGGATATATATCATTTCTCGTGCGGCATTCCCTACTAGGCGAAATTGGCGTTTTGTATCATCAGAGGTCTATTTCATTTTCCTTTTTCTCTGACCAAATCAGGATTTCAATGGCAATTTTTTCTTTTGGTTCGTGTCTAATTTATAGTCCCGTAAGAAATAAACTGGTATCTATATAACATCATGCAGAAGCAGCAAATATGGCTTCCTTGGTCATGGCTATAATTCTTTTCCCATCCCTGATACACCAACGCGGTGCACAACGCGGACCCATCGCCGCCGTCGCCATGCACCGGCTCTCTGGCCTTGCATGGTTTCATCCCAGTCACGGCCTTGATCTTCCTTTCCCTTGACTTTCCCTTTGTCGGTATTCAATTCCGGTAGATCACCATAAGCCACCGCGCTGAAATCGTCATCATTTACGGAACCCTCGGTCTCTACTTGTGGCAGGTCCCATACCCAACCCCCTATTTGCTCGTCGCCATTGTTCCCTAAGGTACCATTGCCCGGAACTTCAAATCCAACGCCAGTGATCATGCGCTCCACCACCCATTCTCGGCACTCGAGATCTAGTTCCCATTTCTTTCCTTTCCAGTCCCAGCCCGACGGCGCTTGTACATCTTCGAAGAACCGACACCCCCGCGGGCGATCCCCAGCAATGCGAGATGGTGACAATGGATCGTACGGGATGGGTGAGAATAATATTGTCTCCCACTCAGAAGATGCAGAAAAGGACGATATAGAACGGTGCTGTAGCTCAAAAATCTCAACTTCGCGCTCCTCTGGGGCAGAATCAAGAGAAATATTTGCTAGAGGGCCGAGAACTTGGCTTAGCGGCGAACTTGATTTGGAAGATGTGCCACTTTTAGGGATTGAGTTGTGACCATTCTGCTGGTCCGATGTTTGAGCATCATGGCTTAAAAAGCTCTGTACCGCCGGATGAGAAGCTAGAATAGTCGCATTGCCGCCAATGAAGAAAATCAGGCTCCACGGAAGAAGATGCGCAATTAAGAACAAAGACGCCGTGACCAGCGTCAAGAGTAAAAATACAGTGGACGATACCGTTTCATCCGAGAAGTTTGTAAGCGGCGATATGGATGCGACAAGTGCATCATGTAAGTTTGCGAAATCGGCCATCGAGTTTTGCAGATCACGCATGTTTCGGAAAAAGTCTTTGGACGTTTCGCTGGCTGGCTTGATGGTTTTTGCTGGTGCCAACGCCGGTCCGCCGTAAGAATAATAAGGAGTCGTTCCCAGCGTGGAAGTGGAAGGCGGAGGTGGGTGACGTGCTAGAAAAGCAGGAACCATGATGTATAGTAGTATAAGGGCTGGCGGCAGTACGGTTAACAGATATGGATTGAGGCAGATGAAGGAGTAGATTGCCAGAAAAGACCAAGTGTGAGTTGGCTTCCTCCAGCTAAAGAGACGTATCATCCGGGCCTGAAATACAAACGCGATGCCGATTCTAAGAGAATACACATGAGCAAAGCCAGCTATGCGCTATGATATCGGGATCTATGGACACCATCGTACCTGGCATTGAACCGACGAAAATTGTTGGTCATGAGGGGGAGACTGAAAGGCGGTCGCTTCGACGAGCGCTTGTCGGTGTTGTCTGCTCCATGGTCTCCATCTTCTCCCTCCTCTTCCGTAGGGATGACCTGCTGGAGGAGTCTGCGAATGTTGGCTCAGTCGCGATGCTTCTGCATTCCAGGAAATGGCCTACCTTGCAAAAAGCCTGTCTTGTATGGACCGCCCGGGTTGTGCTTCACCCTCCGCACCATTGCTAGCTTGTGAAGCTATCGGAAGACTGGCCTTTATTTTTTCCAGGTTGCTTTTCGCCTTGGACTGTGTTGAGTCCTGCTTGCCGGCTCGGACCACGGGGACAGGCTCGTCGCGGTTGGAAAAAGCGTCCGGCGTAAATTCATCCATATTGGGTGTGACTCACATAAGGACGACAATGCGACGAAGACATAAATAACAGTAGGCGACAGGAAAGAATGCGCAGGCAGTGAGTGCTCAGGAAGCTGGCAGTTGCAGGCTGTGGCAGGCGCGAGATGATCTCACATGTCAAGGCGGCCGAGGTCCAAATAGGCAAGGCGCGTTGTGTTTCTCTCATACATTTACCATGATACAACATATCCAGCTAAATATTTATTCAACAGTTCGCTGCCATTTTCGCCGGTTGGATACGCTTATACTCCGCAGTAACTGATAGTCTCTCTTGTATAAAATAATTGTACATCCCTAACTGGTGGGTGATTTTTCTAACCATAAAAGCGCGTGTAACAGTGTATATCCATTGACCGACGCATTTCCGACGACGTCGCGCTTTACCCAGGCGACCAGCGAAGCTATTGACCTGTGCGAGCGAGGATCAATATGAAGCCATCTTTTCACTTTTAACTTTACCATGCAAATTCACAATCACTGCTGTATCACGAGGCATTAGCTGATGCTCGTCCAGGGGCAGCGGCGATAAGTGACCAAGCGACTAACATCAACTAGTCCGCCGTAGCCCAAAACTAGACGTGCCTTCCCCGTCAAGGTCTACCGTTCCCCTGCAGCAACACCTTCCTCCAAAAGCAATACTAACACTAGCTGGAGATCCCATTCCTCCGTTGTTCTTCTGCTCTCCTTATCGACCGTTCTTGTTCTGCTACACGAGGCTTTGTGTGCGTGCAAGTAGAAGCCGGTCTTTTTCCTGTTGTTGTTTGAACGTTCCCATTTGGGTCGAGTGGATTCATTGTTCGTGTTTTTTTTCCCTTTCTTTCTTTTCTGTTTCTCTCCACGACCGCCACCCACGGACGGCGAAAACGAGCCAGCGAGCTCCAGAGCCAAGACGCTCTTCAATTGCTGCGTTCGACTGTTGTTTATTACGAAAGCGGTTCTATTCGTATTTCCCCTCTTCTTCAAAGCCCTCCGCCGAGCAGCGACCTGAGAGCCTGGGACAAGCTCGCATCTTACTCGCGATGGACTGATAGCCATTGAAAGGGGTCTCGGATAGTTGACCAACGTTTACGCTTGACGTGCGCGTGGATTACAGCTTACGTGAATGTCGCCGCAGTTGCGCTGCGTTTCGAATTGGAACTGGAACACCGAGGGGCCAGGAGATACAGGCATACGTGGTTTTGCGTCTGGGGAAGGCATCTATCCTCCTAGCGGAGACTGGCCCTGGCCGACCTAAGCTATACAGCCCAAGGTGATGGCTTTTTCAGTGAATGGGAATGCACGCGCGAGGACGACTTCCTCAAGAGCTTCGGACTCTTCCCGCAACGATGATGCAGGCCTGGGAGGTGAGAACCAATATTGATGTCCCCAACAAAAAAAGCGTTACTAATCGCGTAGCGAACGATTTAGATAATCGAGGGCTAACAAAGACTATTGCGAATACCACGCCAATGTCGACCCAAAGCCAAAGGACCCCATCGATCCCGAGAAGCGTGACAGATCCGCGTCTTCAAGCGATAGGAAGGAGAAGACAGTCAATTCGGGAACAGAATACGCTCGGTTCAAAGGAGTAATGATCCCTTTCTAACAGATGACACGTATTATAATGTGAAACTGATTTGACTACTTTTTCCGGATATAGGCCTCGTACGGGACCTGGAAATATACATTCCGGGCATTCTTCTATTGATTTAACAAACGACTCGATGAGAAATGCATCCATCAGCAGCACCAATTCTCGTACAAGCTCAGGCAATCCCAACCCTAGCAATTTGTCTAAGAACCATAACAACAAGGCTTCTACCGATAGCATTGACTTTTTGGCGCCGATCAATTTCGACGACTTTCACAACAGTATCCTCGACGAACCGAGCTTGAATAATTTTCCTTTGCCAGGCCATGGAGGTGCTGGATACGATAATAGGAAGATATTACCAAGACCGAACCAGTGGGCAACGCCGGAAACTAGCACGACGAGAACGACGAGGTCCAACTCTTTTCGGCGCCAAAGTGATGTTACTCGCTTTCCCTCTCAAACATCATCAATAAATACATCAATGCTACCCCCTCCGGCACCTTCCTCGAGGGCTCGTCGTCAAAGCCATGTTCCGCCACCATCGTCTGCATCTATCTCAACTCGGGCCCCAAGGAAATCTGTCGGACCCGGAACCCTCACATTGAATACCTCCGGGACTTCTATGATAAAGAGACGGCCTAGTTTGTCAATGCGCAAGCCCAGCGTAGACAGCACCAACCCCGAGTTGCGCTATCGTCTCCGGAAAGCCAGCAATAATGACCTTGAAATCGCCGACGATGTCAAGTCTGTTACTGCTTCTAGATCTCTCAAGGCAAAATCTCTACAACCACCGCCGAGAGACTATCTTGCGCAAGATAATTTTTTGATGCCAACGGCTGGTGACAGATCCTCTTCAACAAACGGCCTCCTAACTCCCATGAAAAGCGCTGCAGGCGACGCAAATACGCCTTCATCCGCCAGTAAACGAATGTCAACCATGCCTCATGCCACTGGTCTAGGCGCACGTACAATTAGTCCCACGGATGCGCGAAGGATGAAGCGCATGTCAATGATGCCCCCAGCTCCGCCTGTGCCCATCACACCTCCCACTTCTCAGACTTTGCCAACCGAGACACTGACCTTACGACCGCGATCCTCGCAGTCGCCCTCCATGATCCCGAGAAAGAGCGTGACGCCTTCGTCATCTCGAACGACTCCAGATCCAAGTCGCAAGTCGTATAGCTCAGGTATATCACTGTCATCCAATACAAGCTACAATTCTGCTCGCAATTCCAGTGGCTCCCTGCAACCACGGTTGTCTCAAACGTTTTCCTCTTCGCGGCTTCCTACGCCGAAACCACGCATGGAATCATTGAACAACGGAAATGAGGAAGAAGTACCCCCAGTGCCGGCTATTCCCAAAGCATATGAATCGCCAAAGACAGAATCTGAGCTCATGTTTCCGACAAATCTTCGCAAAACTAGTCTGCCACTAGACATTGACTCGACACGTGGCTCAGTGTCTAGTCGACTATCTGCAACTGCCCAAGAAAACTTTGCTCCTCCTGTGCCCTGGACAATGGGGTCTAAGACCCCTGACATGAAAGGAAAGCAAGCAGCTTTGGGACGAAAAAGCTTGCAGCCCCTGAAACTTCCACCATTGAATCTGTTGCCACTCAGCACGCCCATGGCTGCAAAGATTGACGCTTTGAAAGATTCTTCTGCCGCCCTCAACCAGCCACATCCGTCTACACCGCCGCCTCGTACAAATGTTCCCAAGACACCGAGCACCCCGATGACAGCTTCTAAAGCTTCTTTCTTCACGAACGACGAAGATGAGGGGGACAGAGTGCAGCTCCCACGTAGCAACACCTCGCACTTCCTAGTCAGCACATCGAATTCTTCCGGTTATAGAGCTCCAAGCAGCTCCAGTGCTGTTGTACCGTTGGAAATGCCTTCGGTAAACCGGAATATATCTCCGTACATATCCTCCTCGCTGCCTAAAAGTAACAGTGATTTCAATTTCATGCGCCAAAAACTCAGTGGAGAGTATTCAAACCCTCAATTAAGCGCGAAACTGATGGGCCCCCGGCCTCAGACCCAGTCATCGGCTTTTTCATCGAACACAGAAGCAGGTAGTCGCCTCTCAAGTACGCCGGATGCTGACAGGAGTAGTGTTGCATCGAAGAGCAAATTGCCTTCCACTCTCAGACATAGCGTATCCAAACCTATCTTATCGTCTGATACGAAAGTCAGCGCAGCTAAATATGATAGCATGCCACCACCTCGGCTTCCTGCATCCGCTACATGGAACGCGTTGTCTTCGGTTGCTCCCCGTACAAATAGTCCAAACTCGAAATCCTCCTATTTGTCCAACCGCCGCAAGTCTTCTTTGTCTAGTTTGAACGGGAAGCAGCTGGGCGTCAGCAATGAGCAAAATAACACATTTACTTTGCCTAGTCCAGTGGCAGCTGAGCCTGGGGATACGGATGCAACTAGTAGCCATCGTTCGGCATCTTCAATTCTATCACCCGTGCATAAAATAATACACTCCGCTAAATCCAATGTTGGAGTAAAATCTCGATCTACAGACTCCAGTGTTGACTCTGCTGAGGCTGCGGCTGACGAAGAGATGCGCAAGCTTGGGAGCAAGAGGAAAGACTTCGAAATTGCGGCGAAAGAATTGGATGAGCTACGTCGCAGAGCTAGCGCAAAGGAGCGTGTTAGTCCAGCACAAGCGCTGAAGATGGCCACCCTCAATATATTCGAACGAGGTGAAATCATTGATTTCAAAGACATCTATTTCTGCGGCACGCAAAAGGCGAAGAAACATGTGGGCGATCTGAAATCTTCGTCTGCCAACTTTGGCTATGACGATGACCGGGGCGATTACCAAATTGTCATTGGCGATCACCTCGCATACCGGTATGAGGTGGTGGATGTTCTTGGAAAGGGTAGCTTCGGTCAAGTTGTCCGATGTGTCGACCACAAGACAGGCCAACTCGTAGCCGTGAAGATCATTCGCAACAAGAAGAGGTTCCATCAGCAGGCCTTGGTTGAAGTCAATATCTTGCAGAAGCTTAAGGAATGGGTGAGTTACATGATCGTAGAAGGTGATTCGAGGCTAGTCTTACTAAATATATGATTTTCAGGACCCCGATCGAAAGTATAGCGTTGTAAAGTTCACACAGAGTTTTTACTTCCGAGGACATCTTTGCATCTCTACCGAACTTCTTGGGATGAATTTGTACGAGTTTATCAAAGCGCATAGCTTCAAAGGATTCTCCTTGAAGCTCGTACGTCAGTTTACCAAACAAATGCTCAGCACTTTAGTTCTGCTACATTCGAAAAAAGTCATCCACTGCGATCTAAAGCCGGAGAATGTCCTGATTGCGCACCCCTTGCGGTCGGAGATCAAAGTCATCGACTTTGGGTCAAGTTGTTTCGAGAATGAGAAAGTCTACACATACATTCAAAGCCGTTTCTACCGTTCTCCTGAAGTCATCTTGGGCATGTCCTATGGAATGGCTATTGACATGTGGAGCTTGGGGTGCATTCTTGCCGAACTGTTTACCGGATACCCCATATTTCCTGGAGAGAACGAGCAAGAGCAACTGGCCTGTATTATGGAGGTGTTTGGTCCACCAGAAAAACATTTGATCGATAAAAGTACACGCAGAAAACTATTTTTCGACTCCTTGGGCAAACCTCGATTGACTGTCTCTTCCAAAGGTCGCAGGCGACGGCCAAGTTCAAAGGATCTTCGACAAGTATTAAAATGTGACGACGAGGCTTTCTTGGATTTCGTTAGCCGTTGTCTTAGATGGGATCCTGCACGACGAATGAATCCAAATGATGCCTTGAACCACGAATTTATTACAGGAATCAAGCCCACCACTCGCCCACGCGCATACTTATCCAGCAGCAATCTCTCTTCTAAGCGATTGACAACCAACGGTGTTCTTCCAGCAGCAAGGCCACTACCGGAGCCTCCTAGTAAGACTGGATTGACAGCCAACAAGACCACGAGCAGCTCTCCTGTCAAGCCCTCTTCAAGGCGAATATCGAGTGTCAACAGTCTTCAGGCTGCTACAAACAAGCGCATTTCCAACAGTGGAGCCTTGAACAACAATACCACCAGCTCGTCATTGCCACGCAGAAACCCCGGTGGAAATCTAGCTGCTGCGGCGGCAGCAACGAGCTTGGCAGGCAAATGATTTTACGAGTACCATTTACAACTTTGAGAGAAGGGAGGTCGACTCAGAGGCTGGGAAGAAGAGATGCCCGCTATTCGCCCCCTTCTCATACTAATATAGTATATTTAATAATCGTCTATTCAATTTCGTTAGCAGTATACTGCATAGAGAAGGTCGAAGCTTGTCGTTTTTCGGAACAATTGGTTGATTTAATTTGATGGTATTATACAAACCATGGCCATTTTCGACTTGGAGTCAGGCCATGGAGAAAGAGGCGGAGAGGAGTGAAGATTTCTGTACCATCATATACCCCCATGAACCACCGATACATTTTGTGTGTTGCTTCCCTTATTCCCTTTTGATGTGAAAATAAATACTCCCCTGGTCATGTTTATGTTTTCTTTTGTTATAGTTCTGTTCTTTTATTTTTCCCCCCTCCCCCCTTATGTGTGCCATTGATGATTACGACATGTTTTGGTTTTTTCGGTGCTTGCAAGTGTACACAGCATGTTTCGATATTCATGTGGCATGGTCGGGTAATTATACTAGGTGCATGTATCAATCGATCAATTGATCGATTGATTTTTCATTAATTGTTTGGTTTTTTCTGTCAGCTTTGCTCGCTGCATCTATACACTCATGCATACACATACATACGAATAATACATTCAAGTTCATATGTACTTGACACATGGGTACCTAATTCATTTAGGTTAACAAGAATATTGCAAATTCTTTGAAAAGTTATCTAACTTCTGGTAATGAAATCATAGATATAAACAATCTATTTTCCAGGAATACCTCGGTAGGCAAGCAAAATCAGGCCATGATATATAAGACATAACTATACTGAACAAATACGCACCAAGTTATGAATGGATAGCTAGAGAAGATACAAGGATAGTTTGCAAGAAGCAGTAAGCCAATATATAAGTAACTCCAATCAATCATCAAGCCCATCCTCCCCCCCGCCCTTTTTTTTTTTTTTTTTTTTTTTTTTTCATTCCTCATCCTCAGCGGAATGTGTTCGTCCATTCAAAACACCCTGTGAATACCCTCCCCGTCTCCGGCGTCTGAGTACTTCTGCAGCCCAGCTACTCAGCTGGTAGAGCCAGCCACCAGTGACAATCACGCCAGAGACAACATTCACCAAGCGCACCAACAGGGCCAGAAAACTGCCTCGCTCCTCGCTGACAAAGAGCAGAATCGGCTCAATATTGTACTTGAAGAAGATACCTGGGGTGTAGAAAGGATCCTCTGGGAGAGGAAATGAATGGCTCGTGGCCGAGTATTGATTTGTGAATATGGTGTTGCGGGATTTCGAGTATGCGATTGCGGGATTTTTGGTGTATTTCTCAACGGCGCCGTTGCCCCTGGAATAGATGGTTGGGACCACGTTAAGGAAGTACTGGTACTTGTAGTAATGGCTTTCTGTATCGGCTATGGTTTTGTCGAGGGGGTTGAGTAGTGACGGGTAGTGAGGTCCAAAGGACAGCTCGGTGATCATATGAGTGAAGTTGAATACCGAATGCTGTATTTTATCATTAGCTCTTTACCTTGAGTAATTGGCATATCATTTGCATGTACACTTACGTCTAAATGTTGGCCAACGTCGCTATAGCCGTGTCCTCGAGCCTTTTAAGATACGTATATATTAGCGTCCGGATGACAGATCGAGCAAATCAAAAGAGAAAGAAGGGGGTTGCTACACACCGTTATATGAAAGTCCCCATGCACTTTGTTCCCTTCCAAGCTACCATAGATACGGCACGAGTCGATTGGCTGTTTCGAGGACAATTTAGGACTCTTTGGGAATTTCCTGCGACGATTTCTGCGTGTATGTTGCAGCACATGGCGCGCATGCACATCTTCTTCCTGATCCAACAGTCGTCGCGTAGCTTCAGCATTCAAAGTCTGGTATTCATGCACACCGGACGAGATTTGATTCAGTTTCTCGTTCCAGAGTTCCCAATTCGTGTTATCCTTCATCAGCAACAGGCCGGCCATGATATGATCGCCGGACGCATCTTGCACATTGACTCGCACGTCATTGCAAGGCATTTTGACAACCATATCTATATTCATTTGCAATTCGCGCGATATTCCCTTTTCAACACTGAAATGTTGTATCTCTGTGCCACGATACCATTTCAATAATTCTGCTATCGAGAGAAATGTGCATATCGCGAAGATGAATACCGTCCATTGTCCTCCGCGGCGCGAGGCAGTTGTATAGCTGGGTTTAGTTTTGGCTGGTGACAAGTTTATTATATTAGCCAATGCCTTTTCTTTTCACTCATGTGGGTGATTGGCTTTCTTATTTCTCCCTGCAACACAGTTGAGGGAAAAGACAACTGCTTTCGTAACCCCAATTTTGATTGTTGGAAAGGGAAAAACGAAATAAAGTAACACGTACGAAAGGCATCAAACGTCTTCAAACCAGATCCGCCACCTCTCTTCTCCCCAAAGGCATCCTCATCGAGGCTGTGATCCGAATAGCCGTTCATCGGGAAAGGTCAACAAGCTGTGTAACTGTTAATCTTCCGGACAATCGTCGACAGCAGGGCAGTTAACGAAGGATCATGCGACCAGGAGCGAAGCATGTATTCAGTTAAGAACACATAATTCGATATAGCGCAGTCAATGATGCGTCTTTGGAGCGGGGGGAGCGACAGGCATGAAAGTGATATCTAGAAAGCGGAGAGGCCAGCTATCCTGATCCACACGCGCGGAAGCTGTCCGCTTTCTAACCCTAATAACCCTAACAACCAATGTGTATGGCTCATTTTATATCTACAGTAATTTCTATTTTCAATCGGTCTAGTTGATAAACAAACAAAGACGCACATAGCTAAAGGTCCTCGGCTTTATGACACCGCCCGATGCGGGCAGCTTATGAGGCAATACTGCCTAGTAGTAATAAGAGGCTACGTCAAGTTGAATTGCTGAACGCCTTCACCGCTTGAAAAGGAATGATGTATATATATCTCGTATAGCTTCATAACATCTAGGTAGTTCAGACTTCGAATATCTCGCCCATGGCCACGCCGGCCCCCTCTGCGCCTGCTCGACTATCGACCAAATCAAGTCGCCAGCCTTTCCAGTCGCGCAGTTTACGCTTAACTTCGCGGGCCCATTCTACTCGTTTGCGCGCCTCTTCTTCTGCCTGCGCTCGAGCAAATGCTTCTTCGTCGAACTCGTCATTATCTTCCTCCGCAAGCAGTTCCAGACTGCCTCTGGCGGCTGGTGGGTGGTTCTGTGTCGGCACACGTCGCTCCCAGCCGCTACTACCCCCCGTAAAAGCGGCCAATCCACTAGATAGCACTGTACTGAAAGAAGAATGTTGCTGTTGCTGTCGATTCTGTGCCATGAGACTCCGCCGCCGTGAGTGACCAGGTGCACCGCCAATCAAGTCTACTTCATCGAAAGCCGCGGCTGGACTGGGAGCTGTCTCGACTCCATCGTTTTCATCTTCCGTTCCTGCTCCCAATTCTTTCCTTCTTTCTTTCCACACACCGCGACGTAGGTCGAAAACTTCACCTTCAAGTTCACGGACCCTTCTTTCGAGCCTCGAACGTTCCTCATCTTCCAGCTCATCCAAGCCTTCGTTATTTTCAACCTCGGAATCCCGCTTTTTGACCCGATCCTTCTCTTCTCGTAACCGGAGATTCTCATTTTCGACTAATGCCAGTTTCTTCTTCAACAGGGCCACCTCTTTCTCAACTTTCTCATGATCTTTCAATCGCGATTGATGCCGACTTTCTGACTCTTTATGGAGATGTGCGAGCGCCTGTAATTTCTTGTCTAGCGCATCGCCTTTCTTTTCAGCACTTGATTTCGCATCCTTTAGCTCTTCGATCTCTCGTTGTAGGCCTTTAATTAACGTCTCCGTGCTTGTTTTATCGACACCCTCTTTCAATGCCTTTTCTGAGGCACGCGAGAGCGACTGTCTTACATCATTGAGCTCTCCTTGTGTCTTTTGAAGGGTGCTTTCGTTTTGAGAGAGCTTCTCTTCTAGTGCGGTTATCTGGTTTTTATAGGCATCATTTGAAGTAGATTCAGAGGATAGCTGAGCGCGCAGGTTAGAAATTTCAATCTCCATGGCTTCGATGGTCGAAGTTTTGGATTCTAACTGTTGCACAAGCTCGGACGGTGGGGAATCTGAGTGACCAGCAACAGATGCACTGGCCTTGTGGGTTTTTGATTGCAGCAGAGAGTTTTGTCGTTGAAGAGACGCAATTTCAGCTTTCTTAAAGTAGATATAAAGGATTAGCATCCAGCTCCAAGACATAAATAGGGAGAACAAACTCACCAATCTCTCCAGTTCGGCTACCTGCTCTTCGGCCTTTGCTAAGCGATCTTTCAGTTCAATGACTTCGACGCTAGACTCCCTAAGCTCGTCCAACTGATCTTCTGCTTTCTGTCTGCGTGCATTTGCATTATTAAATTCCTTTTCTAGTCTCTTGTTCTCCTTCTCGAGATCCTCTAGTCTAGCAGCCTGTTTCCGAAACACCTCGTGAATTTGTTCATCATCAGGGGCCAATGGAGGTAATGGAGGGGACTTGATTCCGGACCCTGGAGACACTGCTGAGGAGATCGAATTTCGGAAGGAAGAAGACCGGATTTTCGACTGCAATGAAAGAGACGGCTGTCGAGCGTGCGCTTCTCTGGTTGGTAGCTCCTTTACTTCGGTAGGACTAGTTTCTGGGCCAGGGGAGCTAGGCGCATCAGGCATAGGTTCAGCGGGAGACTGTTCTTCTCCTTTTGCTTGTTGTTCATCTGTTGCGACTACTGCGTCGGGCGTCTCGGCCGCAGGCTCAACGCTGGAGGGTTTCTCTATAGTCTCGTCCTTGCTGGGTTCTTCAGCAGCAGCTTTCTTGGCATTCTTCTTGCCCTTTTGCTTCTGCATCTGGGCCACCTAGGATTCGCGAATTGGCTGGTCAGCAACACTTGAATGGCGCCTTGTTGTTCGACTAGTACTTACTCGCTTTCGCGCGGCGGCGAGCTTTTCGGCCTTGGCCCTTTCCTCATCGTCCGCCATTCTCCCTGGACGCACAGTAGCCTCCTCTAAATAAACAGAATTCGGTAGGACTCAGTGAGAGGTTGGCAATACAATGCGTTACAGTTCGCTGGAGATGTTGAATATTGCAAGTGCTACGTAGCTTCGGTGGGGACGCGGCGGAATGGACAGCTTGCCGTTCGTGCACGGACCCCAACCAGCCATCGACTTCGAGTCTCCGACTCTCTATTTTGCAATGTACGGAGGTATTATGGTAAGTTTTTTTTTATATTGAAGAATTATTCTAATTCAAATTTATTGGGCCATGTACGGGTTTGTCACTCGGCATGATTCATATCCGCTGAAGATATTCAAAGAGATGCAAGAACAGCGTCGGCACCAGATTTCTTGAGGCATGAGTTAGTGGCATATACTATATGTACGAATACCACAGAGACCACGTACCTTGAGAGAACCTCTCTCGGTCTCGATGTCAGCATACGTAACTTTTCCGTGGTCGATAACCAAGGCATATCGGCCGGTGCGACCAGAAGCAGCGTCGGCCCAGCCAATACTCTTGGAGAATTTGGCATCAGGGTCCGACAAGAAGAGCTACAATCGATTAGCACACACACACACACATGTGTGCAGCTTCATGTCAGAGAGTTATCATACAATAGAGTCATCCGTGATCTTATTGGCCTTTCCCCAAGCACTCATGACAAAAGGATCGTTGAAGGCTATAACAGCAACGATGTCGACTCCTTTTTCTTTGAGCTGCGTGCGATTTTGAATGTATCCAGGCAAGTGGCTTACGGAGCAAGTCGGGGTAAAAGCGCCTTTTCACAGAGCATAAGTCAGATATGTGAACCGTGGTCAATCGCAATCATCTCCTTTACTCACCCGGCACAGAGAAGAGCACAACCTTTTTGTCTGCCCACTCTTTGGAGGCATTGTAGGAAACCGGGATACCGCACGCAGTAATGTCACCAGACTCCTCGGTGTATGGAATGTAACTGCCAAAACGATTGGGTCAGGACGGTCTTTGGAACATATCCAAATCAAAAGTGCGGCCATTGGGCGCAGAGGAGACTCACGAGAAGGTAACGTCACCGGGGAAGCTATCGCCAGCTTTGAGGGTAGTCATCTTGACGTTTATCTTTGTTTGACGTCGACCTGATAAAACTGATATCGTGGGTAGCAAAGATGACTTTTTGACACTGTTGTTGTTGTTGTTGTCGTAAGTGACGGACTTTTGACTACGAAGGCGGGGCATGCGGGGAGCTTGCTCAATCAGGACTAGACTGGAGCACGTCTTTGTTTACAATGTTACATGCAGCGTTAAATGCATCGTCAGCCGTAGCACAAGAAATGGCCCTACAGCCATACGTCCGATGATAGATTGCATAGTACGTACAAAATACCCTCCGTCATTAGCGGAGAAAAGCAAACGATCAGACAGTTGAACAAACCATGCAAACACCGGTACCCAAGCCGCGCAAAGCACGTGCATGCCAAGACGCTAGCCGCGAGCCATGCAGCTGACGGGCGCTAAGCTGTAAAAGGACCGCCAAGCCTCAGAGGCTCAGCCTGCCATTTTCCCCCGGACTTTCCTCTCATTAGTTCACGCCTTATTCTTATTCAGCTATCATTGGCACGCAGCGAGTGACATCTCTGACCGTGCACATTGCCGTCCACGTCCGCAGAAAAGATCTGGTTCCCTATGCCTCGTTCCAGACAGCTGATGCGAACGATCTCCATCTCCGCCGCCTGATATCTTTCCTCCGTCCTTGGCATACAGACGCATTGTCTTCCGGCCTGTGCTACCTCGACCAATATTCATGGAAGACCACAATGTGCGGGCCTCTTCACAGGAAACGCCCGCTGTAAACCCTGCGACAGCGCCAGAAGATGTTTCGAAACAACCCAAGCGACGTCGCCGTGTTCCAATTGCATGCGCCAACTGTCGGCTGCGCAAAACTAAATGCGAGCACATTGTGCCAAAAAATGACCCCTCCAAAGCTGTTTCCGGGCAGTCGGTCGCCACATACGAGTCAGTTAATTCGTTATCTTATCATATTTTCCCTTTCCTTGAGGAGCTGTGTGATCGTCATTCTACGGAAGCTTTGCTGACTCTACAGTCTAAGTTACATTCGGTCGCTTGAGAACAAGGTCAAACGGTACGAGGCGGAGCTGAAAGAGCACCAAGATCATTATAATTACGAAACGAACTATAGAGCAGCGACCAACGCTGCGCCCGCCCCGCTGCCTGCACCCACTCTGCAAGACGGACAATCGTCCAGTTCGCTGTCGCATAGCAATACACGCACGTCTCTTCCTTCACACCGTGGTCCGGCCGTTATCACAGCAGCTACGCCCTCACTTTTCCTAGGTGGAGATGGCGCGGTTCCATTTACGCAACTGATTCTCAATGCGATGAACCCTGATTCCCCCGATAAGGTCCAGTCGTCCACTCAACTTTTCTCATCACCGCGTGATCCGTCTCGAGAAATGCCTGATGCCAAACTCTATGATCTGCCCCCTGATGCGCGAGACCTCATTCAGCGATATTTCGATTATCATCATGTTTTAACACCGATCTTCCACCTGCCTACAATTTTCCCACAATTTGAGCATGTCTTGATGATGGATCGTTCTCGCCGGCATGAGAGCCCCTATATACTAGCTATCATCAATATGATCTGCGCCATTTCATCAGCACATAGGCGTAATGGTCTTGAGACGTCAACCGTTCAAACCCGCAAATACTACGACCGCGCCATGGCGCTTGTTGGGCCGACTTTATTTTTCGACTGGTCGATTGAAAAGGTCCAGGTCCTCTTACTAGGAGCCCGCTATCTCCAGAGTTCAAATTTTCCAGATGAAAGCTGGACAATTCTTGGGTTGGCTATCCGGATAGCCCAGGGCCTCGAACTTCACCGCCCGCCGCCGAAACATTTAGACTGCATTACAAAGGAGGTTCGAAAGCGTTTGTGGTATGCCTGTTACGCGACTGATCAGCTGTCAAGTACTATTTATGGGCATCCAGTGGCCACAGCGTCGAGTACATTTTCCACCCCACTCCCTGAGGACCTGGACGATGAACGTATACAGCCGTCTCAACTGTTGTATCCCTCTACACCTACTTTATCCATGATGTCTTTTTCAATACAGTGCGTGCAATTATATAAGATCATGGAATCTGCTGCAGCGCTCGTGGACCCCCCATTGGAAAAGATCGTGGAGTTAGACGAAATGTTCGAAGCTTGGTACGCCCAAGTTCCTCCTGTCCTCATTGGTGTTGAACATGAATCCGTCCAGGATGACAAGAGGTTGATATTTGCCATGCGAGCAAACATGACTCGAATTCTAATTCATCGACACTCGGTGGTCACGTCGCTCGGTCTCCTTTCTCGAGGCGAGCGACTCGTTCCATCGTCAGACGGCCTTCGTGCCAATATGATGCAGAATAGCAGACACATCTGTGTTCGTAGCGCAGAGGAAACTATACAGTTGGTGAGCCGTCGACATGACCAAACCAAGTCAGCTACTGGTCCTAGTTGGTTTAATCTTTATTACTGTAAGGCATCTATCTGTCCATTTGATCCATGCTCTATATTTTGAAGCGCGCTAACATGCCTTTAAAAAATTCGTTAGTGTTCAATGCTATTCTTATCATTGCTTCACACGTGGTCGACCCCGAATTTCGAGACGACAAAGAAGCACTACTGCATCTGGAAGAGGGAATGCGAATGATAGGCCAAATGAGTGCTAATCATACCACTGCCCGACGTGCACATATTTTCTTACGGCAACTGTTGGACCTTGTAGAGAAGTCGCTGCCTCAACAAACCTGGAAATCAGTCCGTAAAGCAACCTCAGCAATACAATCCTCGTCATTGCCGCCGCAGCCCCAGCCTATGGTGACAACAACGGCCGGGGGTATTTCCAACAATGTTCTGGACTACGACGGCGAGGCTCCAAGAGAATTCATGCAACTATGGGATAGTACAGGAGACTTGACAATGGCTCTAGGGTCGCAACTTGATTTTTTCTCGTCCGGGGGCACAGGAATGTGGTCTTGGGCTCCTCAGGATGCCAGAACGTATGCCCTTATCCCTCCGAGCATCGCTCCATAATTTAATTTGCATATGTGGATGTTATGTCGATGAATGAGTTATGATTATGCAGGGCAATTCTTCATAGTAAATGATAATACAGTCATGTGATTGGAGAGTGTATGCGTATTGTATCGTATTGAAAACACCCTCCAGTCCCGAGAAATGCTGGCTTCTCAGTGGGCAGCTCGCGGTAATACCGTTTCACGTTTCCTTTGCGGCTTTCGGGTAGCGGAAGAGCCGTGGTCATACGATGAGGAACGGGACTCCCAGACTTGCAGTTCACCATCGATTCCACTGAACAACCATCCTTAATCCAAATCTTGCAAAGACATAGGACCAATCAGAAACTGGTTCTCCAGGCAGTCACGTTTCCCTCGAGCTAGTGGCTGTTTCCAACCGCCTTGAAGGACCAATTACACCACTTTACTGCGACGGCGAAAGGAGGACTACATCCAACACAGTCCCTTCAAGTATCGTAACCGAAGTTACTCCATGCTTCGTTCTGTTTGAGACTTCAGTGATCAAGCAGAAACCAGGGTTGTCCGCTCAATCGGCATGAATACCGCTTAACTGCTATATTGAATAATATATCCGATTTGATTGTTCTGTTGGGAGACACCTCCGGACCATTGTTCTCAATCAATGGCAATCACCATTTGCAATCGCCCCCGATGGAAGAATCCTTAGAGACCGTTTCACCTCTTGGGGTCTCCAGCAATTCTCAAGATCAGGACTGGTCACAATGGATGCAGTGGGACTGGGATGACACAGGCTCCAATACCATATCAAAAAGTGACATCGACTCATCGGACCAGAGTCCAAGACTCAGTCTACCGACCATTGACAAGATCGACTTTGCTCCGAGCTCCTTGCCCTTAGGGGCTAATCTTATATCACCACCAGAAGGCCCCATTCCGGCCTCTTGGGCTCGGCGCAAAAACGGGGGCGCTAAAAAGCCAGTTGCAAACAACCTGTCAGGTCGGAAGCGGAAGACCTCGAGCGAGGACGATGCTGGTTCTGTTGGAGCCGATGATGATTCACCTCCAGAGGCCAAGCCTACATCAAAGAAACGTTCGCACAACGTCATTGAGAAGCGCTATCGAGCTAATCTCAATGACAAAATTACAGAGCTCAGAGACAGTGTTCCCAGTTTGCGCGTGTTAACTAGAGAGAACAATGGGGGGACTTCGGCGCATGATGACGATATTTTAACGGGAAACAAGCTAAACAAGGCGTCCATTCTTTCCAAAGCAACAGAGTATATCCGTCATTTGGAGCTAAGAAATACTCGTCTGGAAGAAGAGAACAGGGCCCTGAAAATAAGATTGCGTGACCTTGACAAGGCTGTGATGATAGAACAATCGGCATCCACTTCTGTTGGATCCGCCTCATCGCCGGACAGCTATTCGGGGACGATCGACAGCTTGGAGTCACCACCAAGTGTCTTCTCACATACGGAGGATTTGACGCACTCACAAAAGGAATCAGGCTCCAGTCATCCGCCTGAAGGCTTGATTAAAGTTCCAGATTATATCAAAAGAATGCGAGCCAAGGCACCCACGCAAGGTGCCTTCGCTGAGTCTTACATCAAAGACGATCCAAAGCCCCAACAACATAATGAGCATGTGCGCAGAGGTATGACTCCTGGAAGTAAGCTCTTCCTCGGAACTCTTGCAGGCTTGATGGTTGTGCAGACTATCACGACAAACGAAGATTCCGAGTCCACCGAAAAGGGACTGCTGGCCGTCCCAACGAATATACTCGGTGACTTTATAGCCACTCACTTTACAACGATGCGGACATCATTCCTATTCTGGGGAGAAAACTCAGGTCTATGGCGTGCATGGCAAGTTAGAGCCATATTGAACGTATTCCTGACTGCCTGTCTTGTTGTAGGCAGTGCCTTTTTCGTCTTTCTCTACTTATTTTACGCTCGTCCGAAATCCCAGGATGACACACAAAAGGTCTCAGCAGCAGGAGTCAAGATGACGCCAGCAGAAATAAAAAGACAAGCCTGGTTAACAAGTATGCAAAGGCTTGGTGTACCTCGGCATCGTTTTTTTCTGGAGTGGTTCGCTGTCACCTGCAGATGGGTTGAATACAGTGCCTGCTGCCTACTGGGTCGAAGAATGTATTCCCGGATTACTGGAACCACCGAGGAGGACGAAAAGGGTCGGATCAAAACTTGGGATATTGCAATCGATGCTCAATTAGCAGGTGGGGATGCTGAAGTCAGTAAATCACGCCTCACCCTTACCATCTTCGCATCAGGTACTCTACCGCGCAATCCAGGAAGAATCATGCTGAAAGCGCTTCACTGCCGCATTTTGCTTTGGCGAGTTGGCGAGCCAGGCTCTTTCATTTCCAAAGTTGCCAATAATGTGGGCCGTGTTGTTGCAACTTATCAGTGGAATATAGCGCGAAACCTGAATCGGCGCTTGCCGAAAAATCATCCAGATGCTCTTCCAAGCAATTTAGCTGCGCTCATCGAGCTTGAGTGTAACGATGTTTTACTTGACCCTATTGTTCAACGCGCTGTGAATCTTACCTGGAGTCGGCCAACCCAGGAAGGGCTTGACGAGGACGAGGCACTTCTCGACGTCGTAGCCGACGATCCAGCGGTTCAAACATTCGTAGACAGCATTGCAGCCTGGTGGTCAAGCCACCTACTGCAAAATGCTCTACTTCATTCATTTGATGTCGGGTCTGGCGGGAACAACGTCAAGAAAAGTCTTCAGAGACAAATCGATCTTGCCTTGAAAGTTGCTCCTCGCCTATCTGCTGCACATACTAGGGCAGCGGCTATCAGGGCCGTCTTATTTGAACAGAATCGACTTTACGACATCAAATCGGTCCTCACTGCGCTGCCATCGAAGAAGCACCAAAAGTCGCAGGTCTCAAATTTCCTTGATTCATCATTGCCCATGGCTGTGCGCGAGGAGATTGCAATCGCTGTTCGCTGTGCAATGATTGCAGCCATCATAAAAGCGCGAACTACAAATGACACGTCTTTCCCGTCACATCTAACCATCCGAAAGGCCATCAATTGGCTCAACCAGCTTCCGCTTGATCCCATCGAACTAACCCTCGTCAGCTTTGCGGCGGTATACCACTTGCTTCATACCGTCGTAGCTTATGGCGATCTTCTATCCTCTTCCTCCGCCTCTTCACCATCATCCGACTTCTCAGTATCCACGACCAAGTCAGCGCCACCTTCGCTACTCAAGGATAACCCATCTCGCCCATCGTCGCCTTCCGCAGCACAAACCATAAGCAACCCCAGACGTGTACGTTCAAACAGCACTTCGGAGCCCACCCCTCAGTACAGCCGTATAGCCGGAGATCTGATGTACTGGGCGCGAAATGCATACAATCCGGCCTTCTACGGACTTACCACTACAATGGTCGATACGGTCGAAGCCGAATGCATTTCAATCTGCAAGGATGTCGGAATCGATCTGTTAGGAGCAACCCATGACCAGGGACTGGCTATCCAGTCAAGTATACGCAAATTAATCAAAGAGGAACAAAAGCACTCTAAAGGGGCGTTTGTCCACAAAAGGAATGAGGATGATGGTCGACGGAAAAGTGTCGAAAGCACTGACACAGGGTACGCGAGTGATTCGAGGTAGTAATACAAATGCTTCGTACAGCTGTGCAGCCGTGGTCAATGAAAATGCAATGCGGCAACCTCAAGCATAATGCCATGATTATGATGAAGGGTATGATGATACTAATGGTATACACATGGGTCTGTCTTTATTGTTGTAACAAAAAATTTTGGATTAAATATTATAACTACCTTTTCTAATTCTGATCGGCTATAGTTAGGGGGTTGGAGGAAGGACACTGGCGCTTTTCTTTTGGCATTGAGTAAACTTAATCCGAGTCTCTTTAGCATATAAATATAGGCAAATATAAATACACTGAAGTATGAAGAAGCCATTAAATATAGCAAACACGGAAAACATTGTTAATATCTTTTTTTTTCTCGTCTCTTTCCTTCCTTGGACATCTGACAGCTCTCCGTACTTCATCACCCAAACCACCCAGTCAAGACACACAATTAGTTATAGCACAAATTTGTTGTACCATTTTCCTTTCCTGATCCGTCGAAAAGAAAAAAAGAATAGTTTGCATAGCCACCTCCTACCTAGGTAAATTCTTGGAATGTCGGACAGGAGAGAAGGGAAAGGTCTGGCGTCATACATTCCAGAGCGTGATCACTGCTAGTAAGCTTATTAAAATTGACATTGTGTGGAATGTTCGGGAACTACAAAGAAAAGTCAATTCCCATTTGGCCTCTGAGAGATATCATCTTTTTTTTTTTAACTTTCTGCGCATGATCTGAAGAGAAGACGTTGTTTTAAATTGAGGGTGGAAGGTCGGGTCACCCAAGAAGGCCCGGCTAGCCCTAACCACCTACCTAATCAGGCTTGCCCTATCTCCAGGCTATCTGCATTCCTCAGTCTTGACGTGCATGCCTATGAATATCAAGATTGAGGTCATCTCAATGGTGCACAATCAATTCAACGAAGCAGAATGTGGCGAACAAGGTGAAAAAGCCAGTCCTGTTGTGGTTGTGTGGAACTAGGGCTAGGATTAAGCCTGAGGATAGTCGATAAGAGTAGGCTGGCATTTGTAGTTAGCTAAGTAGTTACTAATTAACTAACTACAAGCTGGCGGCGTATTTAATTATTCGTTATCGGCATACCTGGCGTAATATTGGATTTACTCCATGTCCGACTCGAGGGTTTCCAAGGATCGGACATGCAGCTCGCTTCGAGATGATGTCCATTTGAAAGAAGCATGCAACGAAACTGTACAAACTAAATGGTGCCGCAAAGAACAAAAGAGAGAGAGAATGGGGGGGAAAATCAGAAGATGCGAATATGCCATGTTGGAGCTATAGTTATTGCGTCGGCCTTGATGGTCTCGGCGTTCAACGTTGTGTCACGGCCCCCATCCTCCCTTACAGTACAGTAAGCAATCTTGAATCTGACAGGAGGAGGGGGAAATCTTATCGGCCAAGTTGTCCTGGGACTTGGGGCAGATTATATTTTCTGTCTTTTTCTCGTACCTAAATAGCTCGCCTGCATTTCTTGATAGGAAGTGTTTATTGACTGCACACAATATGGGGAGAAAATTCCGTATTCTCGGGCTTCACGGATCCGGGACAAGCGCCGCAATCTTTAGCTCGCAGACAGGCAAGTAAACCAACAAGTTCCCCCCCTCCCCCCAATTCCCCTCCTCCCTTCCGCCTTGTTGGCAGCTTGGTTTTGCTGATTGCTGTTCTCGAACGGGGAAATAGCGACTTTCCGTCATGTCCTGCAAAAACAGCTGGCCGAGGATGGCAGTGGAGATACCTTCGAATTCGAGTTTGTCGACGGGCGCATAAGCTCGCCGCCAGGACCCGGTGTAGATCTCTTTTACGATCCGCCATACTACTGCTGGTGGCGATCGGGGGCTGGATTGGACGACCTGTGGAAACCGCGGGATTGGCTCAAGCAGCACGTTAAACAGAATGGGCCATACGATGGAGTGATCATGTTCTCGCAGGGCTGCACTCTGGGATCGAGCTTATTGTTGGATCACTTCAAAGAGACTCCCAACGATCCGCCGCCGTTCAAATTCGCCATTTTCATCTGCGGTGGTCCCTCGCTCAAACAGTTGGAAGGCGAATTCGGCTTTACCATTGCTCCGGAGTTATGGGATATCGATGCTGCTGGGATCAAGTCACTGGCGAAGCGGGCTGACAGCTCTGCAATTCTTGCGCAGGGCTCGAATCGGTGGCAGAACGACCTCGCGCATGTGACGGACCTGCCCCGGGAAGAACTTGTGAAGATGGTCAGTGGTCCGTATCGAATCAATATCCCTACGGTGCATATCGTCGGAGTCAACGACCCGAGAAACCTTGCAGGTCACCAACTGCATGAGATCAGCCATCCTGACGCGCGTAAGATCTACGAACATCCTGGTGGTCATGATATTCCCAGGAAACAGGATACCTCCGTCGCCATCTGTCGGCTGATCAGATGGGTGTCGTCCCCGTTAACGGCAGCCAAAATCGAGCAGGCCAACGGCGCATGAGATGTTTGTTTAAAGGTCGATGGCAAGATAATAGTTATTTCACTCTACCTGACTGGAGGATCACGAATGAAACGCGGATACCTAGGTAGTTCTAATAGATCTAGACTTTCACACATGTATTCATATTTTTTGAATCTTGAGACCGTAGTATATTCTATAAGGCACGAGATTGGATGATTGAATGAGGAAGAACTTCGCAGCGTGAGAGAATAAAACCCATGCATACCGATTCTAAAACGGGGTATCAGGCGTATGTATATCCAGAGAGACACCAGCTCCAACCGCATGCCGTGAACCGAAATAGATATATGATAAAATAAGGTACTAATACAAAGTCAATTGTTCTTTTCCAGAGTCCCTTAGCATACGTCACGAAAGGGCAGAGAACGTTGAAAAGAAGAAAAAGGTAGGTGTTCAGACAAAAGTTGTCTGTCATAACCGACTCCAGGTCTATCCTCTTGATTTAGACTTCTTCAGGCTTTTCGGCATTTAGCTGAGCCTCTGCTTCATTTGCTCGTGCGGTCGTTTGTTGCTCTTGACCGGACCGAGAGAAAGGACCATGCGCATCGTCGTGGATTTGTGACGTTATCAGCAAATAACAACTGCCGATTGTAGCAATCATGCCCGGCCACAGAAGAACCACCGCTGCAATAGCCTTCGGATTATGTCGATAGTCTTGAAAGGCCAATAAGCAAAGACTCTTTTTATATTATTTTTATATTATGGAGCAGTGGAGTCCACTTACAGAGATTTGGCTTCTTTGTCGATGCCTCCAGGAGGCGGGTGGCCTCGCTTCCATCGACTCCCGAAACATAAGCATGTCTGGTAGCAACAATGACCTGTGTCGTCGAGTCTTCTGGTCAGTATCAAAAGACATCTTGGTTCGCGAAGGGAGAGAAAACGGGCAGCATCATACGGTCAAAGCAATAGCATCTGCAAAGCACATGACAGTGATGGCCACTGCACAAATCTTCCACGCCAGGCGGACGGAGCGACTTTCGTGGCGCTCTGGCCAGAAGAGGTCGAAAAAGAAGGCTGCACCGAAAATAGTGGCAACAGCAATTCCGACGAAGATATTATACGAAGCGATCCCCACGAAGTCGTCATTATACACTGCGGCCAGATTGTTCAAATTCTCGATAAATTCTTGCTGGTCCACGTAATCTGAAGATTATATATATATTAAAAAAAAAGGCAATTAGAACCATGGATATGCCTGACAAGACAGAGTCAAAGACTAACCTGACAGAGCTGCTGTGCCTACTGACTCGGAGCACACACAAAGGATCATGGCGAGCTGGTACACAATCATCTTGCATCTCCGCAGGTGGTACACGTTGTTGAACATGTATGATGACCTGAATTTAGACCACTGCATCTCGTGCAGGTCCAAGCCCCAGATAACAGCCATTTCCAAGATAGGCGTGTGCGGTGTCTTTTCTTGACCGAGTCTGCTTCGTGCCTTTCAAAAGAAGTAGGTGTCGTGAACGGTGGTACTTTCGGTGAACTGAGCAGTCGGTTTGTGTGATCCGCCAGGGCATTCAACAGCAACTCGAGACTTTGAGCAGTCTAAATGGGCCGTAGCAAGCAGGATGGGGACGCTTTGCAGAGTCAGAGAGACTCGCCCACCGCCAGCGCAACTTCATGATTTTGATGGTTCCACCAACTCGAATTCCAGGCTGGACGAAGGCGAGAGAGAATGCGAGCCGGTGACGTCAGACCGCGAGCTTATGTCATTGGCCTGAATGCTTAACTCTACTCAAGCAAACGAGGTCAAGGAATCTCTTTCCTCTTTCGCTATGGCGCTCGACGATGATGTCCTTTTTCTCGCTTTCTTGTTTCTCCAGACTCCATTCGGTCTTGGCTCTTGACGTGACCGTCAGACGCAGATCCTTTGTATCTAGGACGATCAGCAGTCGTGTATCGAGAGTCGATGCCGCGCTCTGAATTCACACCCAGCTAGATCTCGAGCCAGATGATAGATCTATGCAATCTCATGCCAAACTGCAGGCTAACTAACTACGTAGCCCAGCCTGACTGACGCTGTCGCGGGGACCCCATGACAACCGTCCGGCGCATTGTTTTTCCGGCTCCGCGGCTCTTTCACTTCCGGCGCTTCAAAAGTTGCAAATGGCGGGAAAATCATTTGAACGGCTTTCATTCCGCGTACTAGCCAGCCCACGCCTATCTCTTCTTACGTCCAGGCTCCATTCGCATACATAGAGTCGTGTCCGAGCGATCAGCTTTCCCAATGATCGAGCCTACTGCAACCGTATCGTCTCTGAGTCGCTCAGATGGCTCAGCCCGATACAATTGCCCGGCAACCGGATTTCAGATTCTAGGCTCCGTCAATGGCCCGGTTGAACTTCCTGGCCGTCGCGATGCCCAGAAACCAGAGGAGGCCACTGTGGAGGTCTTGGTGAAGCCCGCATCCGCCCAAAGCGCGGTTGGAGAGAGATACGTGGAGGGCATATTGAAGACTCTTCTGGGGAAAATTATCCTGGGCCGAGAAAAGAGTTTTGCACGACGCGGGGTCGTCGTTACTCTCCTTATGCTTGGGAGTTCTGGCGACGCGAAGGTTGGCAGAGGCGAATCTGTGAGTCCACGTCCATTTCCCCATGTTGATTCTCATGTTAATGATCATGGTGTTGTTATAACAGTACCTCCCTGCACTCCCTGCCCTCCTCCACGCTGCCCTCCTCTCCCTCTTATCAGCTGCTATACCGTTGTCAATGACCTATGCCGCGACCATCCTGGCTGTCAACGCTTCAAACGAGATTATCCGTGAACCTTCTCTAGACGACTGCGCCCAAGCCAAGTCACTACATGTGCTTGCATTTTCGTCAAAGGGGCATCTTCTCTTAAACGAGAGCCAAGGTGCCTTTGATTTCGAAACCTGGGAACAGGTCTATGAGCATGCCATCACAAGTTGCCGGGAAGCGAAAGTTGCAAGCAAAGGCGGGGACATCGCGATGGATGGAACAAATACATTAGAGGCGTTCATTAGAGAGACAGTCGAGGATAAGCTTTCGCGAGACTATGCATGGTCGGACAGTGCGGCTTGATGCCTTTGTTTTCGACTGCATTTATGATTACCAAGGACTGTATGGCTCCCGCCAGTAGTACGAAGACTACATCGTCCCTGGCGCGAGAAGAGTCATCCTCTTGTGACTATTGGTCTCAGACCACACATATGACTCTGACTACCGCTGAATACATGATGACAAGTCAGACTGCGTGTCCGGAATTGACTCGCCGCCAGGTTTGGCGATCCAGCACTCGCTAGGTGTTTGGCAGAAAAGTCAGCATGACCGTACGTCCGACGAGATGACTCGGCATTGACATGCTGTAACGCATCCAGGTAGATTAGCGCATACTATCCAGCGCGCACTTAGTCTATATGAAATAAAGTTACTCCGTTCGCAATTTCGGTCTCGACTAGGTCTCTAGGCCCGAATAACGAAAGGCGTGAGCCGATGTGAAACCGGAGAGCGCGTCGTCAAGCAATAGACGTCTCGAGTGTGTTCCGTGATAGATGCCGTGCTCCTGCAGAGAATAGTCTAGAAATGTATACTGGATGCAGCATAAAATGCCAGCCCTCGCTCGTCGTTGTTGTTGTTGGTGGATCCATCATCAATTCTAGCTGCTTCCACCCTAAGCCCGAATGCGGTAACTGCCCCCCCCCCCCCCCCCCCTCTTTGCCATTGCCGACCGCGCTCCTTCTTCTTTCTTCTCACTCACAACAACTTAACACCTCTTCCTTGCTTGAATCTTCTATCCCATGACGCTCTCCAGTGCATATTAGAAAAAGAAAGAAAGAAAAAAGCCACTTGGCGGCTGCGTTGGCCGTGCTCGTTTCTTTTGGCCTTGCTTATCAATTGCGCATCCAACTTCTCCACGCTCGGGGGCCCGTTCCATGCAATTTGGCTGTCCGATTGGTGACGGGCTGCATATCCTTCACGACTAATCGAACTAGACCGCCGGACGGTGCTAATTATAATTTTGCGAATATTTACGAGCGAATTGCTAACTAACCATCATTGCAACTTAAATCCGATGCCGCCTCCAATAATTGCGGACGAATCCTCCTCCTCCGCTGACGCCGATTCGATACGGAGGGCTCTTATGCCTGTGCCCGTCGACATAATGCCTCCAACCTTCACCCATCCTATTTTAACTCCGCCAAACGCCGACCGCGAGGTTGCTGCGGCGCCGCCTCCAGCATCTGACGCTAGGCCTTCTGCAGCTGTCCTGCAATCGCAAACCCCTTGCTGTCGCTCTTCCTCTGTGTCTGCCGTCGGCGGATTGCTTCTTCGAGATTATGCTCGCACCGCTGATCCCTCTACCACCGACCAAGAAATTCAGGCGAGGGAAGCTCTGGCGGTTCATCCGCAGTCGGCCGGCGCTGTCCATCAGCAGCAGGCAGAAGCCCAGCGTTCAGAAGACAAACCGGCGCCTGTATCGCCCTTCCACCAGTTGCGTTCATTTCAATCACATCGAAAGGGCACTCTGTCGATAGATACAATACCGCGCCAGACCATTATGAAGGCTCTGGCATCGAGGCCCCCGATCAACGGCAATCCGCCCTCGTTTCCTATGGTCTCTTCTCTGAACGGTGTCCTCAACGGAAGGAATCGATCTAACAGCGGTTCTGTGCAGGACATGGAGCAGCAACTACATAATCAACAACAAGAAGGTAAAAGCAGTCCTTCTTCCTCACAAACGCTCTCAGCGGCTCTGAGTAGCTTGCAGTCGAGCGGCGCATATTCGGATAAGTCTTCCTCGGCGACGGCCCGACTCGCACTGCAATCGCCGTGCTTCTTCCACCAGCGGTTCGACGATGCAGTAAATATTCAGAAAGTTCTTGAAGAGATAGCAGACGATGAATGGCTCTCGCATTCGCGCCTAATGCAAACGGCAACTGGAGTGAGAGAAGTGTCGAAACAGCTTCAGCGACGGCCTATTAGACGAGCTGTCAAAACTATCATGATAGTCACCAAGGCGCGAGACAATCGCCTTGTATATTTAACTCGTGAGGTCACAGAATGGCTTCTCCGCTCCCCACGTTATGGAAATGATATAGGTATTACTGTCTACGTGGACTCCAAACTCCGCAATTCCAAACGCTTCGACGCGGCTGGTCTGCTGGCCAAGGATTCTCGCTACGGATCCATGTTGAAGTATTGGACGCCAGATCTCTGTTGGACGTCACCAGAGAAATTCGATTTGGTTGTTACACTCGGCGGCGATGGAACTGTCCTGTTCACCTCATGGCTGTTCCAGCGCATCGTACCGCCAATTTTATCTTTCTCTTTGGGAAGCTTGGGCTTCCTTACAAATTTCGAATTCGAAAAATATAAGGAACATCTTAATAATATAATGGGCGATGGAGGAATGCGTGTCAACTTGCGCATGAGATTTACTTGCACTGTCTACCGGGCTGATCGAAGCAAAGGTGCCGTGCCTGGGGACGTCGAGGAGGGGGAGCAATTCGAGGTACTCAACGAATTAGTTATTGATCGTGGGCCTTCACCCTACGTCTCCAATCTTGAGCTCTATGGAGACAATGAGCTTTTGACGGTCATCCAAGCGGATGGCTGTATCTTTTCTACGCCCACCGGTAAGATATACCTAGAACAACTCGTTATTTCGCTTTGGATCTAATACATGTATAGGCTCTACTGCTTATTCTCTCTCTGCTGGGGGCTCATTGATCCACCCTTCTATACCCGGCATCTTGCTGACCCCTATTTGCCCTCATACACTCTCTTTCCGACCCATGGTTCTATCTGACACAATGCTTTTGCGTATTGCCGTGCCGAATCTTTCTCGGTCTACTGCATATTGTTCATTCGACGGCAAGGGCCGTATTGAACTGCGACAAGGTGACTACGTCACTGTCGTGGCTAGCCAGTATCCTTTCCCAACCGTTGTCTCGGACGGCGGTGAATGGTTTGAAAGTGTGCGTCGTGCTCTCCGGTGGAACGTCCGGGGAGCGGTTCAGAAAGCATGGAATGGCGACGTCGATGGAATCACTGATGCTGGGATGGAAGAAGAAAATGTCGATTTTGACATAGACTTTGACAACGCGACAACGGGTACCGACAGTGGTGTTGGCCCTAGCGAAGACGGTGATGTTTATGGGACAGGGGCAGGCAGTCCAATGAGAAGACAGATGAGTTTGTTGAGCATGTAACGAATTTCCTTAATAATGACAACCGGCTACGCTTATATTTCAGCGGAATTGGGCACGGGCTTGACGATATTACATTCTTTTTCGGTTCGGGCTATACCATTCACTGCGCTAGGACTGATACAGTTACAAAGATAGATAGATATATATTCACGGCGCATGCATGTGCATGCACGTACCTGGGAGCTTTCCTTCTATACATTCCATCTCGATTGTCATGCTACCTAACATTCACTTCCAGGAGAATTTTGAGCAATGCTATTGTATTCTGACACTTAGTTAGACATAGTATGTGTCAGCAATATCAGTTAACACAGCCACTAAAACCAAGTCGGCGAAACAGTAGAAGTTTCGTTTTTTACCAGTGCAGCTATTTTCGTGCGACTATTACACCTACCAAGGTCGAAAGTATGTGATACAGCGAAATGGACCCACCGGCGGCCCCTCAGATAAGGTTTCTGCGCCCCAGACTTTGCACCCCGGAATAAAATATGTATTTATCAACTCACAAACTGCTAGCCTAGCCCTAAAGGAGTGGTTGGAGTCAGGCCAACTATTGCTCGATAATGAGGGACAGCCAGCGGTCTTGGTTGACATATGTGCGATGACCCGAACCTATGTGAATCGTTTGCTGTGGACGACGCAGAATGTACTAGGAGGGCAAGATGACGTACTTACTGTACAAGGTACTATGTATTTGCTGACTCGTACATGCCCAGTAGGAACAGGTTACATTAATGAAGCAGCGTTGCTAGAGGTACGTAATAGTAACTTATATGTTACCTGGGCCTGTCTAATAATCTACTCTAATCTTTTACAAGTTAGATTTGGGGATTTTGGCCCCCCCGGACTCTCGACGATCTGGCAGCATCTGGTCAATGAGATATGCTGGATTTCCCCGCAGGTTCAGTTAGGCGCACAGCTGTAAAGAGGCCAGCCAATGGAGCCTCAACTCACTTGCTGTCTGATGTCAGCTGTTGTAGATCAATTGTCACCCAGTGGAGTCATTGCAACCTCCTCCTTTTTGCAGGTCACATCCCCCAAATCATCCCAAGGCCGTTTTTGCCCCTAGATGGAACTGGGGTGAAATGAGCTATGGCCAATGTCAACAAATACCGCAACAGTCCAGAGCTGATGTTGTGGTGGGGGTTAGAATGATTTAGTGCTTTTTGGTTTTGAGAGATGACGTCGAAAGATGCATCTTTATGCCTGTTGTTTACGAGCAGGATGGGTATAAATAGTGCTTGAGAGTGCTGTTTGGGTCTTCCAATTCATCATTGTTCAAATCAATCTCTACCAAGTGTTTCTGCCAAATCTTCTATCAATCCAAATCCCATCATGGCCTGGAAACCCATCACTCTCGCTTTGGCTCTGAGCCTTGCCAACACCAGCCTTGCAGATGTCTACTTTGGCAGCCTCTCCGGCGATGACCTCAACTCCGGCCTAGTATGCAATTACATCGCGTGGCTGGGCGGCTCCGACCCCTGTAATGCAGGCAACTGGCCACCAGCCGACAACACTGGTTCGTGCCCTGGCGGAAACAATGAGGCCCCGAATTTCTGCGGTGGTGGGCTAGGTGGTGTTGGGTGTCCATCAGACTTTCAACTCGGTAGGTCAAACCCTACCTAGATAACCATGTGCGAGGTAGTATACATATACATATATTGACTGGTTATAGATTCGTCGGATGATTGTGGCGCTGCGTGGACTGCCCTGGGGGACTCATCGCCAGCACCGTCAGCCGGCACATTCTATGCAAACGTGATTGATGTAGCAGATAACAATGCAATCGTGGGGCGATGTGTGTACGAGGAGGGGAGTGCAACTTACTGTAGTGATGTTATAGACACGCTTTTGTGGGAGCCAGTTGTGCACTGCTACATGGACAGTGGTGTTGGTTGTTGAGGTAGTTGATTGTTGAGGTAGTTGATTGATTCTCCGCCAATTTATTCCGCACTTGATTAGGTGCAGATGGATGTTTCTGTCTATGTATAGTCTCATCAGGATTTGCCTCTAATACCTAGAATATCCAGGGTAAATTCCATAAATTCCACTGGCTCCGTATTGCCCGTATTCAATATTGCCCATGTAAATAATCGGCCCGGAAACGGTTAGTCGCGCAGCTAAGCCACTGGCACCAGCCACTCGTCTTTGCTGCGTCCTGCAGTCGAGCAAGTCAAGTCTGGTTCACGTCGGACTTCATTTTGCTTTTTTTCGGGCAGAGCTCGGCTAATATTCTAGCTGTTGGCTGCTAAGGTTCGTCCGTTCGGTCGCCTCCCGAGCTTTTGGCGTTTCCACTAGCTACAGTATTCGGAGGCATGGCTGACTGACAAAAAGCAGAAGAATCAATCAATCAATCGAGAATGGCTCGCCAGGTAGGAATACCAACCCTCTTCTCATAGCTGACGCTCGCTGGGCTATAAGTACCTGACTGAATGTCCCGCATCAGCGAGCGTGATCGGACAATATCAATCAACCAACCCACTGACTCTATTTCCTTGTCAGCTCTGAGTTCTGCGTACTATATTTCGACTTGTTATTTTTTTTTGCTTCGCCGAGCCTATTACTCGCATACCTACAAGCCACACAGCCATTAACATGGTAAGTGCCGACCTCCTTGCAGCCATCCATCCTTGCAGTGCAAGCTGCCATGTCGTCGCAAAACTGTCGCACGAAAACTCACGTGGCCCCCTCTAGCCCCACGCCGATTCTTCGTTCTTTGCTACCAGTTCCTCCAAGGATCAGGTCTATGACCAGGTATTGGAACAAGCACAAGGGCTGGTCACTGGCCAACGAAATTGGGTATGTTACGGTTTTTTGAACCATCCTGTTTATCCCTCTTGCCAGCAGACATGTGCTAATCGACCGAAAAATTGCTATAGGTGAGGTGAGAACGACTCCGACCCTACTTATCGCGGTGCAACCCATGCAGAAGTGCCGAGTACTGAGAAAGAGAGAGAGAAAGAAAGAAAGAAAGAGATCGTGGCTGCAAAATAAGAGGAAAGGAAAAGAAATCTAACGCGATGGTATCTTCTTTAGCAACCTTGCCAATGTAGCGTCTCTACTATGGCACGCCTACGCGTCGCTCCCAAAACCGTCCTCGGCCGTGAATTGGGCAGGCTTCTACGTTCGCGATGATCTTTTCCCTCTCCTAGCCTCGCCGAAGAGGTCCAACAGTATTTCCGGTCTGACAACCACCACGATCACCACAAGCTACGCCTCCCATGACGACAGGAAGCTTCTACTAGGACCTTTCCAGGGAAGGCCGGCCTGCCAGGAAATCAAATTTGGACGGGGCGTGTGTGGAACGGCAGCTGCAAAAAAGGAAACCGTAGTGGTGCCTGACGTCTTGGAATTTCCGGGCCACATAGCCTGCGACGCTGATAGCCGGAGTGAAATTGTGGTGCCTATCATATTCGAGGGCGAGGTATGTATTATCAAGTTAAAGGTTTCTTGCGAATGGTCTAACAACTTTTTGTCAGACTGTCGCGATCATTGATATCGACTGCACTGAGCCCGCTGGATTCGACGAGACAGACCAAAGATATCTCGAACGGCTCGCCCAGCTGCTGTCGGAGAACTGTGACTGGTGATGATTTACGAAAGCACTTGATTTCTCGGAGTGATTGTTCCGTTCCCTGTTTTTTCTTCGGGTTTGGTATGGGGGACACGTTTGTGGATATATATACACACTATTTATTACGAACATACGACCCGTCAGTCGATGAGACGATGGTTTGCTTCTTCTTCTTCTTCTGTCTGTCTGCCGTTTTGATATCCATGTACCTATCTATCTATTGGCATATTCCATTGCCTACAAAAGTACTGCAACTTTTACACTGCCACAGTTGATGCAACCAAACGATATGCGAATTGGCCAATCAGCGCCAACAAGCCGCGGCTGAAGCATCCCCCGCCGCCTATTGGCTGGCACGGCCCACTTGTAACGACCCTGCAACGGATAGATTACAATACCGGATTTACACGATCAATACGCCCCCTTCACCAACTCGCCTGCTTTAAAACGGCTCTCATCGCCGCCACGTCCCTCCTCTTCTTCTCTTTTTCTTCTTCACTCCTCCCCTCACCACTATCCGCAGTGGTACCTTTCCCCTCCAACTCTCAGCATTGTCAGCGTCCAGTGCAGGACTCACGAGTCCTGCCTCTCTTTGCCTCTAGGGCAGTCTCTTCTCTCTCTCCACAATCCAATCTACATGGTCAGCGGTTCCTCCGGAGTCCCCTGTCCCACCATGGCCTACTGCGTCTTCTTCCAGCCTCAGCAGCGTGCTGTCTAGACCCCAACAGGACGACAGTCACGAACAAACCAATTCTATCTTTGATTTTTCTTTTGAGCATAATTCTTTTCCGTCTTCGTCTGCTTCGTCTTCATCTCCTACCGTTCCCTTAGCCGACTTCAGTTCATCGTCACTATGGGAAGCCTCCTGCCAAGTGGAATCGCTTGATCAACTAGCTGGTATCTTGGAGTTGGACTTTCTCTTAGCAGATCCTACTTCGGGGCTTGGCTCTACGCATTCTCAATACCCAGGGCCTTCTGTTGCTACCCAGCAGCAGTCTTTTGACTTGTCGCTTGCCTTTGGTGATCATGGTCACCCTTCTTCCTCATACTCTCCCGGGAATATGACGGAAGGAGGAAATGCCTTGAACATGGACATGAACGCCTTCTATTCTACAAATACCTCTACTGTCTCCGCTACTTCTACTGCTGCTCCCACGACTACAAACATTGCCGTGTCGCCTTTGTCTATGACGTCCCTTCCTTCGCAAGAGTATCATCATCAACAACATCAGCCATTTCTAGCTCCAAAACCACGCACTCCTCCATCATCGTCGTCGTCGTCTTTTTCCTCTCCTGCATCCAGCAACGCGACCACTATCGCTGTCAAATCAAACAAGAATACACAGAGCACATCACGTAAGCGATCGCGTGCAACAGCAACAGCAGAGTCCGCAAGCGTCGATCTCTCCAGTAACAACAGTGCACAAGATTCAGAAGAGGAGCGCATTGTCGAGAAGCGCCGTCGTAATACGATGGCAGCTCGACGATTCCGCAAACGAAAGCAAGACCACGTTGAAGATTTGGAGTCGCAGTTGTCGACGATGACTAAGGAAAGGGATGATCTTAAGTTGCAGGTTGCGAAATGGGAAGGTGAAGTGATGGCGTTGAGGAAGTTGTTGGACATGAAGAAGTAGTGTTTTTGTATTGTTGTTGTATTTATTTTTGAAGACAAAATGATTTTTTTTTCCCGCTCTTCGAGGATTTCTTTATTATACCCAAAGCTTGCTATCACCAGGATCGCTATCAGCCCTACCACCTTGTTAGAAGAGCAAATTTAAATGTCGAGCGCGCTAGTGACAATCCTATCCAGTATCCACCGTTCGAAATCTGTTGTACTTATCATATAGACAAGTACACATAGTTACTTCACAAGTTCTTTCAACATAAGTTTGGCCGAACCAAACTTGAATTTAAGATTACAGTCCCGTCCTCAGCGTAAAAAGAACGCAGTTCGTAATACAGTTTTCCCCACTCTCAAATACAAATCTTACACATAGTGCCCGTCCAATCAGAGCACGAGCAAATGAGTCATAATTTCTCATTGTTAGTGATAACTTTAAGTTTTAGATACGATAGGAGCCTGCCGTATCGGGTTTAGTTTGTTTTCCTGCCTTGTAAAAATCGGGGGTTTCGAAGAGGGGGGCATATTTTATGTTTTACTCTTGAGTCTAGACTTTGTACTTGCGATATAGGAGAGTATTCAAAGCTCGGTGAAAATGTGTTGTCTCCTTACAGGAAAGATATGCATATCTATGTATATTAGGGATCTTGCGCAGGTGGGTCCACAACTAAATCTTCACAACTATTACCTTTTTAGGGAGGCGGTAAACACTAGCGTTGAAACCTGAGGCCGCGACACTAAACTATAAAAGGAAAGAAGCTGAGCACCCATTCACAACAGTTGTGAAGGCGTCCTCAGCTTTATTTTACACTTAGTGCCCCCTAATAAGGCTAGATTGGTAATATTTACTAGGATATTTCAAAGGAGTGATTTAGTATGTATTTTTACTAGTAAGTCAACTCCTCACCTATTTTCTAATTCCAGAAACCTCAACACCAAAATAGAGGATTTTGAAGTCGGAGATGCACCTCAATTAGAATATGGCCTTCCTATCCTACTAACGCCAGCGTTACCCCCCGCGCTCCCACCGTCAAGCCCTACACCAGGCCCAGCGCCGAATACAGCGCTGAATGCAGCGCTAAACAGAGTGCTGACCAGAGCGCTGCCTACGTTAGTATATTTCTAGTGTTGTAAAGCCTAGTAAGGTGATTCTCACTAAGAAAAATGCCATTAGTCTTAATAATATGTATTAAGGCGACAAGGCTCCACAAAAATAAAACCGGCAGTACTGAGTTGTGTAAGTATAGTTGTGCAGCCGGCTGCGCAAGATCCCTATTAAGCCATTACGAGCCAATAAAATAACCAGACGTACTATCTGTCATTGAAATCAAAAAGAGATATAATTATATAACTAGACAAATCTGCCTCGAAACTAGGGTATACGTATAAATAAGACAAACAACTCTCTCATCATGACCAATGGCATCACGCATTAAATCAATAATAATGCACTTACGTAGTAAGCAAATGGCATGATACGCAACACAAGACATTTCTCAACTGCTCCTCACCCCTGCGCAGTCAATGCGTTTAGACAACATAAGTTATGCTTCGAGCACAGCTTCATATGGCATGGGGACAGTGGGATTTATACAGCTGCAGTGGAAGCTTCAACGGCCTTCTCTCCCTCAGCAGCACCGTCTTCCAAGTGAACAGCACCCAAGGTAGACTTGACATCGACAGTCCCATGCTCAATAGCGGCCATACGCTTGAAGGAGACCGACGTCTTCCAGGGCGCGGTTCCTATGTATGGGATACCATTAGGGTCCTCAAACATGGCTTCAGTTTCTTCAAGAGTCTTTCCGGCCGTTTCGGGGAAACCAAAGAAGGTGTGAAGAGTCAAAGCAAGGTTGAAGCAGCCGAAAATGATATAAGTCTTATAGCGAATGTTGCTGAATGCAGTAGGGGTAAACAAGCCCAGAGCCATGTTGAAAGCCCAGTTACCAGAGGTGGCGAAAGCGACACCTTTACCACGGAAGCGGAGAGGGAACAACTCTGGCGGGTAAACCCAGGAAGCTGGGCCCCAGGTAGGAGCATATGAAGCAACAAATAGATAAGTGCAGGCAATCAGTCCATTGGCGGCAGCACCCGTCACCCTCATGGACTCTTCAACAACATGATCGATACCACCGGGAACGACTTCACCTGTGCCCCCCATGATACCAGCGTTGACAAACATGAAGATGGTCATGAGAGCACCACCAGCTATCATCAAGGGACGGCGTCCCACGCGATCAAGGAAGTACAAGGCAGGGAGAGTCATAACAACGTTGATGATGTACTGGATAGAAGATGCCAACAGAGTGGAGTTGCCAGAGTAACCAGCCATCGTAAAGATATAGCCAATGTAGTACATCATGACGTTCATACCAGTGAGCTGAGACCAAATTTGAGTCCAGAGGCCAATCATGGTACGGTTGATCATGTTGGGCTTGAAGAGATCGAGGTAGGTGACATCGGCGTTGCGACGCTCAAATTCGCACATCTCCTTAATATCTTGCAATTCAACGTGAACGAAGGGATGATTGGGGTCGCCTTTGCCGTGGACCAGGGTCAAAACCGAGTGACATTCCTCCCACCGGTCTTTGCGAGCCAGCCAACGAGGAGACTCGGGCAAGAGGAGCATGCCGAAGAAGAGGAATATAGCGGGGAGCATCTGCAAGCCCCAGGGAACACGCCACGCGGCGGTGCTGTAGTCGCTAGAAGTGGTACCTCCGATGAAGGAACATCCGTAAGAGATATAGTACATGATAAGAATACCCCAAGTGATCGCCCATTGTTGCAGGCCGACGAAACGACCACGTTGGGAGGGAGGGGAGATCTCAGAAATGTAGACCGGCACTTGTGCTGATTCGAATCCGACCGCCAAACCATTGATGACACGGCCAACACAAAGCATAGCAATGTTTTGCGCAGCACAGATAAGAGTAGAGCCGATAACCCTAGATTTTTAAACCAATTAGAATGGAGTTGATTGGGAAGAACAAAGAAATAATTACCAAATGACACAGCCAATCATGATAGACTTCTTTCGACCGATGCGGTCAGAAACAGGACCAGAGATAAGAGCTCCTAGCCATGAACCTGCAGGCATGGCAGCAGTGATGCCTCCCTGATGCAGAGCTGTAGGACCATTGCATGTCGGGGAATCATCGAAGGGAGGGCCGTTAGGGCCCTGGTTGAAATAACACAGGTAGGACATCTCAGTCAATTGGGCCGATACCGAGGCGATATCGAAGCCGAACAGACCACCGCCCACGACGGCCGTGGCGGCAATCACATAGATGTTTCCGACAACCATGGTGTATTGGTGGTGTCTCTTCTTCTATCCAGCAGAAGGTAGTACACTACCTTTCACCACAAGGTAGATGGAGTAGTAAAGCAAGGCAATCAAGGAAGGGAACGAAGAAAAAGAAAAGCAGGAAGGTGAGGAAGGTGGCTTTAAATAAAAGAGCTTCCAATTTAGGGCGATCGGCACTTGATTTAATTCCTTCTCGTCCGCCTTTTCTTAAAGTTCCCCGCCTGCATGGACTGTGAATACGACGTTGTATTTCATTTCCCGTGGGAGTCCCATGGCACACATGACTGTGGAGACTCCAAACATGGTCTTCTCCAATGTCTGGAGACCTGGAGCAGCAATCCCCGCAAATGCACAGCTGGCCAGGTTGCGCGCAGTCGCGTACGGAGTAGCCAGGTTATCTCCATGTGGAGAGAGGCTAACTAACCATGTGGTTCCCTGTATGTTGCATTGGCCAACCAGTGCAAGCCGAGGGGACGAGTCTCCCATTCCGTCGTAGTTACTCCGTACTTGTAAGTTATTAGTCAAGGTATTGACTCTCGTATCCACGGGCAAGACCTTGTAGTGCCGACGTCCACATGGTCCGCGCTGGCGCTGGACAGGGGAGCATTGCAACCGAACAGAAGAAGCAGCCTTGGTTGTCCAGTTCGGTTAAATTTGAGCTTACTCTGTACACGCCGAAACGGGCCTGGGGGGCTAGACGAAGACGGGGTAATTTTTTGGTCCCGTCAGCGGCGAAGGGGGGGCAATCATGGTGGACAGCCCAGCTTGCTAAACAACCGGCAGCGCGAAATAAGCATGCGTTAGGTAGTGTGAATGCTCATTGGTAGGATCGCCTTAGCTTCTTCCATCTCTCCCTCTCTTTCCCTGGACTGGTCAACTAATGTGTCTCAACGCAGTGGAACACAGGCACAGCAGCCCAACCAGAATGAACGCACAGTCATCAGATTGGGCACTTCCAGTCTGGGTGGACGTGATCCCCAGGCGATACAGGATGGGCTGATGCTTTCGGTGGTGCAGGCTTGTAGTTTGTCTTCGTCCAAGGCTGGGAGATCGTCCAGAAGCGGCCGGAAGTGGCGTTAGTCCGAGGTGTTGCCTTGGCGCCAATCAGCGTCCACTTGCCGTGTCCTGCTGGCACTTGCCATCTTTGGCGCGGCATCCCGACCGGCTGCTGCCTTCCTCTTTTGCCTTTTGCCCGTTGCTCTTTCCCTCTGCGGTTTGCCAGCTGAGGAAGTTACGGGGCGCTGTCTTACTAAGCACGCCGTTGGCGTCGGGGATAGCCGCCGGTAGCAGGTTTTTCCGTTTTCGGTGTGGAGAGACTGGAGAGACAACTAGCCCGGCCGGAGAGAATCTGGGGTTCCCGAGGTTAGGTACGGAGTACTACATACGACCAGCAACGACTCCGTGCAACCCGACACTCACGTCAGCGGCGTCGGCGTCTTTGGGCCGATCCTGCTGATACGGACAGCCGTGAACAAAGAAACTGTCAATAATTCCCGCAACTTGCCATATAATATTCATAGTCGTAATGATAATATAACTAACTGCGAATCATCAAAGTCATTGGCCGCTCGGCCCACGCTTGCGAGTGGGCGCCATAATCAATTCGATGGACAGTTTAGGCCACCGGTGTGCATGCTACAACGTAGTCTACCAATCTGTCAAAGACGCAGTGCCGTAGCACACACACGATTGTCAAGATCTGATGCCAAAATGAGGTTAGGCTGGGCATTTATGCGCTTAGCGATGTTGCATCGGCCAGGGTGCCGGACAACGTGACTCGGGCTAACTTATGTCCGAAGGGCAGGCATGACTCAAAAGGGATCTTGAAACTGGCTCTTCCCCGCATCGCCAGGTTTCTTGAATCCAAGCAGCGAGCATCCTGGATATACACCACCCTCTACAAACAAACTGTTGTTACTCGGAAATATCCCGGCAGGCCGCTCGCTCTGCGTAGGCATTCAGATGCAGGTACCGTGTGCCACCTTGATCCCAGCAGCTACTTAAGCTACGAGTGTGAGTTTAATCGACATGGCCAACACTCTGCAATATCACTTCCATCCCGTTGAAAGCACGTTCTAGCACTAACTATTAGTCTGCTCAGGCAAGCCAATCACACAGAAGTCCTTTGTCTACGACTCGGTATATTGCCGGTCATGCGCTGACTACCGAGTAAGACAACCATCATGTGAATCACCCAGGCATATCGATGCGTTTGACCTGATGGGTTGATTGATTGATTGGTCGATTGCATAATGTATGTGTGCCCTAGAAAAAGCAGCCTCCCGCCCCAGGAAGTCTACCCCGGATCTCTGGCATGGCTGCCAGTCCCGCATCTTATTCAGATGTAGCTAATAACTACTAACCAGGATAGTCTAACTAGGGGGTGTCAGGAGATGCTAAGCCTGCTTGGTCCCAAGCTTAGCTTCCATGCAAGTTGATGGAACAGCGAAAGAGCACTTGCAATATGTTCTAGAATGTAGTGTGGTACAGTCCCCGAGGACTCGGAAACAAGACTCCTTCTGGACGCTTGAAAACTCTAGATCCATCACTTTCCCACCTACGTGGTGAATTCTCTATTGCAGTGCTCATCCCCTGAACGCTTCTACTCACTGAGTAGCACTGAGCAGTTTAATCTGCTAACAGAGCACAATATACTTCAAAGCTCTCTTAGAGACGCATTTCACCCGATGCCCCAACTCTGGACCGTATTTGCCCTCGCTTCCATACACCCACGCGGTAGCAACGAGCCCAAGCTTGGACAAACTTCTGATTGGTCGAAGCTGGGATACAAGAGCTGACGCCGGGGTCAGGAGGAACTGGTTTTCTCCCTCTTCTTTCTTCGTTAAATTCCTATGCAGTGTGATCCGCTCGTGCAGCGCATATACCGGATCTATGCCGTGACACATATAGCTTCGGAAGCGACCGGTCAGCTTTAGTAGGAACTTAGCTATAACAAATCTCCTAGTTATTCATATTACCAGATATTCATGATGAATAACATTGAGACTCTTATAGGCCGTCCTCAAAAGTGATCTAAACGAGCTAAAAGCCACCGGAATCTTCTCCACTTTCCTTCTTCCTCTCGATTTTTTATTGAATCGTAGTAAATATCAGCAACGAGGAGGATGCTTGCTAGAAGGGTAGTAAGTCGAGCCGGAGGGGTAAAAAGGAAGAAGATAGGCACTCGAGAGCTATGAGGTATATCCAGTAGTGTACCCGGGTACCAACGGTCAACAACAACAACCACCACCACCACCCACGAGTTTCTTTTTGCATAAATTATTATTTTATCCCAGGTTCATATTTGCCATGAAAGAAAGATAAACGACCCCAAAGGTATCTACAGAAATGTGTAAATAATAAGGCGAAGTTTTTGGCTGACGGGAAGTCCCTTGGTGGGGAGTGAAGCATTAAAGGCTAAAGCGTGCTGGGTGCTCCGTGCTCCCGCCGCCAATTTTTGCCCACCGCAGTCTGCCACCTTGCCCACAACCAAACCCCTCAAGGCTTTCAGCGACTCTGCTCAAAGACACAATGCCAGTACAGTGAGTGGAAGATGCGCGCTATGAGATGTATTCATCATGCTCTGACACAGATCATCTCGATCCAGCTATCTGATTCTCCTGTCGCGCCAAGGCAAAGTGGTATGTGTGTATATCAGCCTCGTGGCCCACCTCGTTCTTATTTATAAGCTGTCAAATTTTTCTGACTTTTCTTTTACCTCATCAAAGCGTCTGGCAAAATGGTTTACTACCCTCTCACCTAAAGAAAAGGCAAAAATTGTCAAGGATGTCTCCCAACTCGTGCTTTCACGGCGCACTCGTATGTGCAACTTCCTCGAATACAAAGGTCAGAGGGCGTTTCCTCGTCATCTCCCCCCAAGCCACTTCTCACGAAGCTAACTGCTCCTCTATCGACCAGACCAAAAGGTAGTCTACCGTCGCTATGCCTCTCTCTTCTTCATCGCCGGCTGCTCAGCCACCGACAATGAATTGATCAGCCTAGAGATCGTGCATCGTTACGTCGAGCAGATGGATAAATATTACGGCAATGTCTGCGAACTTGATATCATATTCAACTTCCAGAAAGCATACTTCATACTGGACGAACTACTTCTTGCTGGAGAAATGCAGGAGAGCAGCAAGAAAAATGTCCTGCGGTGCATTAGCCAGCAAGACAGTTTAGAAGATATTGAGGTGAGTGGGCTCTATTTTCTCTCATTCAATTCTTGGGGTTGGCTTGATTTCCTTTGGCCCTCCACCGGTTGATATACAAATTTTACACATGGACTACTACTACTGTGTTCAGCCCTTCCTCCACTCCCCATACCCTTTCCCCCCTGGCGAACTCGGACGCTAACGCCGCCCTTCCCCTAGGTCGAGGAGGACACTGTGACGAAAATCATGTAGTATACTTTTCAGGCGCATCACAAGCTTCATCCTTTTGATTCGGCTTCGGATTCCTTTGTTTTGAGCGTTGTGGCGTTCTTTGGATTTACTTGCATTCTGACTATTCTGCTTTACGGAGTACTAATCGAGACGCTTTGCTTTCTTTATTTGAAACTATCTAGCTTGACGACGATATTGAAGGCAAGCTGCAGAGAATGGGGCTTTGACGTTGCTGCCTTGTCTGTATTGGCTGCATTTGTCCATGTGAAGTAAGCGCGTGTTCTCACTGGCCCGAGATACGCAATGTCACGTGACGATCCGCTGGCTGAGCGCAACTGCGGATCACCACCTCATCCATCGCCAGCCTGTCCGACTCTCTTTCGTCCTGCCTTCCATCACTTGTGCCTGTCTTTCCCCCTCTAACGAACCTACAAGTCACCCTGAAACCATCTAGAATCGCGATGGAGTTCTGCTAGACGGCTATCGTCTAGCTCTTATCGACTGTCCTAGCCCTGAACCCCAGCAGCTGAGGACGTCTCCTTTTTGTCATTTATCGCGAGACTCAGACAGCTCTGACATCTTTCTATAAGGCGGAAGATTGCTATAACAGAGGAATCAAGATTGTTAAACAATTCCGCAGCCATCTATCAGCCCATTCCTTGAACGCAGCCAGCGGTAGAGTACACCGCCGAGTCTCAGGATGAAGGTATGCGCCCGTGGAACGAATTGCAATGATTTGGAATATTGTGTGCTTACATTTCTTTTTATATGTAGTATCTACCGTTGCCTCAGATTGAAGAGGTATCGAACGCCCTTAATTTCGATACCCCGGACCTCCACGTTGTTGGCGGCTGTGATCTCTACATTACGAAAGCAGCGTCAGACGATCGCAAACTGTACAATAAGATCGAGCAATCGTTGGAATCGCAGTACGAATCGCTACTTAAGTTATCAGCATCGCTGTCGCCACCATCTTCTTCGAACGTCGCGCTTTCGCTGAATTTGTCGCGCTCAAGCCCGTTTGGCCCTCTTACGGAGCATTCAAGTCGAAGAACATTTGCCTATCTTATCGCAACACTGAACGTGAGCCACCCGGATTACGACTATAGCCATGTCCTGCGACCAAGCGATTTTCGACGTGAGCGGAATTTGAAGAAAGTCATGAACAACCTCGACATGACTCTTCACAACCTCCGGCCCCATTTGCGCGAAGATGGCACGCCCTCGCCACCGAGTGATTCATTTTCCGGATCGTACAGTGCTAGCTTCGCAACAGCGTGGGGCCCGCGAATGTGGAAGAACATCGACGAGCAAATGACGCTAAACGACTGCGCGATCTTTTCGTACTCCCCCGAAGACGATATGGACGATGATGACGACGGAGCAATCTGGAGTCATAACTATTTCTTCTTCAATAAACAGCGCAAACGTGTCTGCTACATTTATCTGCGCGGAATTCCGATCCTGAATCGCTACGAAGACGACATGGCCATGTGGGAGGACGATGGCATTGCTACGCCTATTGGCAAGAGAGTTTCTGATGATTTGTACTTGAATTCAGATGCCACTGCGAAGAAACGTCAACGGTATTGGCTTGGTGACTTGGCATCTGATGAGGAAGCTGAAAGTTCGATATCAAGTTATTCCCGAAAGGGCGCCGTGCGCGCGATGAGTGAGGAGATGGTTGATTCCATGGATGTATAACCATCGCCATTCCCATCGTCTCAGATTGAAACTACCCCTCAAATTTTTCCGCTCTCATGATTTCACGTCTTTCTTATCAGGGTTTCTGTTTTTTCTTTTTTTTTTCTGATTTACTGGGTTTTCTTCTACTCTTGTTAATGCATGGCATGGGCGTTGGGCCGCTGGTGAGAGCAGTGGCCTTAGAAGGCCTATGAAGTTACTGCTAAACTGATCTGTTTTGTTGTCTTTTTTTATCTGCTTTCCAGGAACTTGTTGGGAGGGTTGAATTACCCATGATAACTTGGGTGGTTCAAGGCGTTGCTATTCTTTTCTCTGTCTTTGTTTTCAACCCCATCTTCAATGTAGGAGATGTATTTGTGGTTTTCTTTTTCAATTCATTAATATGTAAGTAACTTTATTAAAACAAATTGTTTAATACTGATTTCTTCATCGTACTTGTACTTAAAACGTAGTTTTCCTAGGCAAGGTAACTTGTATAGTAATGGATCTTCGCAATATTCAAGTCAATTTAGGTCGTTAATTCTATCTGATTTCGAAACATGAATTGTTACATACTCAAAGGATGCCCATAGGATCCTGTATTGTATTCCGCTAGAAGACATGACCTAGCTGAGGAATACATCATATGTAGAGAGGTAGTATATATGTATGTGTGCGCGTAGGCGATCAATGCTGTGGTACAGCACAGGTTAGTTGTCTTGATGGTAGATAATTCATTGCTGAGGGAGAGAAAACTCACCGTCACATCCTCCCACTTCTCCCAGCCACGTCCCTTGACCTGCGACAGTTCTTCTGTTGTAAATTTCTTGCCTGTTGTGAAATAGCCAGCGTTGATTTTGGCATCGATCTCAACGCGGGAATCTTGCGGAATCATGTCGTCTGGAATCGGGACTCGCTCGAGAATCTTGATACCCTGAGCTACAATGGCGTCATACTTCATGTTTGACATGGAGAGCATTCGGTCAATCTTTTTTATACCGAGCCAGTGAAGGATGTCTGGCATGAGAGCTTGGAAACGCATCTGATGGTTGTTTGAAAAGGAGGTTAGTAATCCAAGACTAGTTCATATATGTATGTAATGAAAGAGAGAGATGCTTACATCACGAACACCGGCAATATTCTCAGTTCGCAAGAAGTACTTGTCTGCTGTATCGCCGCCGCGTTTTCGAGCATTGTAGACGAGATATTTTACAACCTCACCTAGGGCTCGTCCCTCCTTTCGGAAATATATCACGACGCCACTGCCTCCGTTCTGCGCCTGCTTGATAGCTTCTTGAATTCCAAAGGCGAGATAAGGTCGGCAGGTACAGATGTCAGATTGAAAGACATCACTACCATTGCATTCATCGTGAATCCGCAGGGCAAGTGGCACATTCTCGTCAGACACCCGCTCTGGAGGACCAAAAATGTACACTGTCAGCCCTCCAATAGGAGGGAGAAAAACCTTTAGATCTGGTCGGGTAATCAATTCTGGATAGCTGCCTCCCGTGTGTTCGAAGAGCATGCGACGCAGCGTGCCTTCATCAACGCCGAATCGTTCGGCAACACCTGGTAAATACCAAACTGGCTCACACGCTACCTTGGTCACTCGCACATCTCCATTCTTATCTACTACGATTGATCCGTCAACTTCGAGCTTCCCCTCGCTGACGGCCTTTTCAATCTCGGCCAATCTCATGTTTGCTCGGGTCACCGCCATGGATGGCCGCAGATCCCAGCCGACATCCAGGTACTCCCTGAAATTCTTCATGACATCGTGGCCAAATGGATCTAGCGAGACAATCTTCTTCGGGTCTCCCCATGCCGGCTGGGTCGGAAATTCAAAAGTAGGTTCCGTGTTGCGGAAATCGGGCTTGAAGTCTGTTGGCAAGTCTCCGGCGGCGATGGCTAATGCGTTATAGATGCTGTAGCTGCCTCCATGGGCACCCATTGCATTGCGGCGCTTCAGCTGTGACAGGTTACGCGAGGCAATGATTGGACCGCGCGTCTTCGCATCTGGGGCTCCCCATTGTAGCGGGACGGGATCAACACCGTTTTGGTCGGGATAGGTGGTCAACTGTAGAGCAATGAGATCTCTGATCACATACACGGACAGGTAGAAGAAGACAGAAAGAAAGAAAGAGACGGCTTGCACTAACCAGGATGTGTTTACTGAATGGGGACTTCGGAGAGCCTACGCCTGCATCTCCGCTGGGAGAAGGGGTGTCGGCTGTTGCGACTGGAATGGATTCGGGCATTATAGTTGAAGAAGCTGACTGTTGAACTGATTCCAGGACACACGATGAGGGAAGCAGAAGAGAGCGGAAGGAGGCAGCAGAAGGAACAGCAAATGCTACCTTCGTCATCTGATCTGCCCTGGCCGGTAGGGGCTTATCTTGGTTATCTGCGCGGCTCCACATTCCCGGTCTGCGCCTTCTTCTGTCTTGCTCTCCTCACTCCCCGAGTTCAGTCTCTGCGTCAATATTAATACGGCGTGTCCCATCGTGCTCTGAAATCTCTCACATCATCCCTCTACACATCGCTTCTTCTTCAACCGCCTCACCTCGTCCTCGCTGCATCCTCCCCTTCGTCCACTTCTTCCGGCAATTCTGCGGGGCTTATCACGATAAGCCCGGGCCCCAGCTACGACCCTCGGAGCTCCCCGCATATTAATCCCTTCCAATTCCCCCCGACGGTACACCAGGACGCCTGCTTTGACTGAAAGACTGCTTGAAGTTGATTATTCACTGGAAAACCGGCGGTGTATGCTCTCGCTCACTGCTTCTTCTTCTTCTCCTCTGATCTACACTGCATTATCCTCAATTCTCAGACAGCCAACCCTTCGAAGGACTGTTTGAATTGACCTTACTTAGCAAACGCAGCATATAATGGCGCACAATACACCCGCCAACGCGCGGATCTCCACCAATGCATTCCTTGAATCCAAACTGAACCACCTGCGCGACCGATCACTGGGCAGCAGCGCAGTTCGGGCCACCACCGCTGAAATCGCGCGAATCCTGGCTGTCGAGGCCACGCAGGGACAGCGACCCCAGGGCAAGATTGGTCTGATAGTGGTGCTCCGGTCTGGCTTGGGGATGATGGATGCTTTTCTGTCGCATTTTGCTCCTGATACCGATGTCGTGGTCTATCATATTGGCATGTTCCGTGAGAAATACTCTTTACAACCCGTGGAATACTACAACAAATTACCAAACAACAACACCGAAATCAAACGGGTATATGTGGTTGATCCATTGATTGCGACGGGGGGTACGGCTACAGCCGTTATTGAGATTTTGCGGTATGTCATTTTTTATTTTCTCTATCTTTCCCTCTTTCATTTTCCCCATCAAAGTGCGGTGTGGTCAGGCGACCAAACCGGCAAATATATCATACATCCCCGTTTCAATCCGGGCTAATAATTGGATCTCTGTCTGCAGCGACTGGGGCGTTGAACACATCACCTTTGTGTCAATGTTGACAAGTCAGCAAGGCCTAGAGCACGCAGCCAAGGCCTGGCCTGAGGGAACAGAGTTTGTAATTGGTGCTGTTGACTCCAGCTTGGATGAAGCGGGCTATATTTTACCTGGCGTTGGCGATATTGGTGATCGCTTGTTTGGAACTGGACTGTCGCAGTGATTGCTACAAGACAGTTTAATTCCATATATCTTCTGTTTCGGACTAGAATATATATATATATATATATTATTAATTTTGAATATCAAAATATTCTATAAACACCCTACGTGGGCCAGTTTTTTTGACAGCTCAAGTTGTAAATGTTAATGGCAACTGTCACAGGATGCAGGTGTAACTTACCTAGGTACTGAATAACTACCTGGCAGCAAGAAGTACTAACAAAGTGCAGATTAGAATAACTTTTCAATTACATGTATGGTCTAAAAGCATTGGTGCTAGGACGAGGCATATTCAAGAATTCACCTTCGCATCCCTCTTTAAGGCCAAATTCTCGACATATCAAGATGATACTAAAAGAGGGGGAAGAAGACAGAGAGAGAGAAGAGGAAAACTTTCGTGATATCATAAAGAGTATTTCTTTTCTTCGTTTTTGTAGAAAAAGATCTTGGACTTAGCTCAAGCAGTTGACATGGGGAAGTCACCTCGAGCCCGAGGGTTTTTAATTATCTTCTTGACCATGGCTTCTACCTCATCCCAGTCGCGAGTGTTGATACCTTCAATGGTTGTGTGGAAGTATTTCTGGATGTCCATCAACATTTGCCATTCTTCCTTATTCGAAACGAACGAGATGGCTACTCCGACACGTCCAAATCGACCGGTACGGCCGATACGGTGGAGATATGTTTGGGCATCTGCGGTGCGTGGCTGGCCGGGGGCAAAGTGTTGAGGAATGTCCTGAGTGGAAAACAAGATCAGTGATGCAGTCCAAACCACTTGTCACAGTGTCACACCTACATAGTTGATAACCATGGAAACAGTTGAAACGTCAATACCACGGGCGAGAACGTTGGTAGTAATGAGCACTTTTGCGCGGCCTTCACGAAAGTCATCGATGATCTTGTCACGCAGAGAGCCCTCAACGCCACCGGTCAACGATGCTACTGTGTGGCCTTCCGCAGTCATTCGCTTTTCGATCTCAGCAGCAGTTTGGCGAGTCTATTGCAAAGCTAGTTAGCCAGACCGCTTATAACAACGTAAGATAAAAGAAAGAAGTAAAACTAACCTGCACGAAAATGATTGAAGATGCAACTGTAAGAAGCCCGTAGAACTTGACAAGTACATTGTACTTGTCATCATCATTATCGCAATCGAGATAGAACTGTCTGATACCCTCCACGGTGAGTTCTTCCTGCTTAAGCGAAATTTCATTCGCATTAGGAGCAAATTTCGCCGCATATAAGCGGATTTGATCGTCGAAAGTAGCAGAGAACAGCACTACCTGTATGGTCTTCGGCAGAAACCTGCAGTAAATTGTCAGCCTTGTGAGAGAGGGAGGGATTTACATGCAGCATCACTCACCCTTTGACACGAATACATTGATCTCCCAACCCTTGTTGGTCAAGCATGTTATCGGCTTCGTCAAGAACAAGAACTTTCAGCTTGTTCACAATCAAGACGCGTTTCTTGATAAGATCCATGACGGTACCAGGCGTTCCGCACACCACCGCATGTTCCAATCGCGCGGGCCTCTTGCCTTCAGTGGGAACGGCCATTCCTACTGACAAGTTTTCCACGAATCTTCCCATTTCGCTAATGACGCCTCCAATCTGACGAGCCAGCTCGCGACTTGGTGCAAGGATCAATGCCTGTGGTGTTTTCCGCATCTCTTCTGTGTCAAGTTCCAAACGACTCAATATGTTGAGAGTGAAGGCTGCTGTCTTCCCAGTTCCTGACTGAGACTGTCCGATCATGTTCGTAGGAGGATTGTGCATGAGCAGAGGTAAAGCGCGCTCCTGGATTTTGGACGGTTTCAAGAATTTCATCGCATAGAGGCCCTGCAAAATGCTCGGCGACCTGTGAAGACAGACACATGAATGTTAGGAATGGATCATAGAAATGAAATGCCCAAAAGGTCATACGCACAGGCCTAAATCTTCAAACGATTTGACAGAAAACAACGGGTTGTTAGGATCGGCTTGCAGGTCGCTGAGTTTGACCTCTACATCGTACTCTGGCTCCTGGAGATTGCTGCCCCCGAGACTTTCGCTTGCGCCATCAACATTAGGAATACCAGCGGACGAGCTCTCTTGGGTCGCGTCCGGCTTGGTGATCCGGTCCGCAAGGGATTTGCCTTCATTTGGATTTTCTGCAGCCATGTTTGCGAAAATAGTCGTCGGCGAGATGAGAGAGGATAGGAGGGGTAGAGAAGCCCACCGTGCAGCAAAAGCAGTGGGAAAAGCTGAGAGAAGGACGATTGAAAGAAAGAAAGGCAAAAAAAAAAAGAGGATTCCAGAGGATTTATAGGACGACGATATGGAGAGTCTGCACAAGCTCCCCAGCGTTCAATCTTGGAAGAACTTCGCAGAAAGAGTTGCGGCAAAGAAGCGCAGCAAAAGAGATGCTCCCCGCTAAACACCCGCGCTAAACCGCTTTGGACGCAAACAAACAATTTGCGCTTCGGATGCGCAGAGCCGTGTGCAAGCGATGGGCAAAGAATAAGTAGATGGCAATGAATATTGATATTATTGTCTTGATGCCTATTGAGAGGGCGTCAATTGGCACAGAGAGCTGTCCGCGGTGCAGCTCGTTGTTCGGCGTATATACGATGATGTAAGTATTGTAAGCATATGTATTGCTCAGCCAATCCGCATGCCTGAGTCAGTCCCCCGCACCCGCCGTCTTGGTATTGGATCGTAATTACCGTATTAATCAACGCAGGCAGGCACTTGCCGACCTCCGACTGCGGCCACGCTCAACATGGACATCGTCTCTGGCCATTCTCACCACAGCATCGCGTACTGATTCAAATCCAAGAGCCAGATCCTAGTCGCAGTTCGCATATATATTAGTCGCTCCGCATCGAGCGGCCTCATCCCATCCCGCTGCACAGCCTACCCGCGGACATCCACGTCATCATACTACCCTCGTGTGACTCCTGCCCCAGGCAGAGTATGCCTTTGCATTCGCGGCGCGCATAATTTGGAACAAGGGAGGGCTCCTTTACAAAGCTGTCATGGCCGAAGCCAATGTGAAACCTCAATTCGGGGCGGAATTGAAGGTAAGGAGATTGAAAGGCTATGTTGCGGCTCGAAAGATGACTAACCACGTGTCTCAACAGGATGCGTTCAAGCCCGTGAACTCATGGGTATGAAAATCGCCTGCGTCGCTATATGGCCCCTGCTTCTCGCAGATAACCAGATAACTACCGGTCGTGGACGATGGTTACTAAGTTGTTAATAGGTGTCGAACGGGATTGCGTGGCTGGACGACATCCAACAATTTTACCGTGAGAGAAGCGCCATTGAGAGGGAATATGCATCCAAACTGTCGGCACTATGTAAGAAGTATTCAGACCGCAAAGCAAAGAAAATCAGCAACTTGAGTGTGGGAGACACACCTACCATGACCCCCGGGTCGCTCGAGTCGGCATCCTTGACGACATGGTCTACACAACTAACCGCGGTGGAGTCGCACGCGGCTGTTCGTGATAAATTTGGCCTAGAACTTATTTCTCAAGTTGCCGAACCTCTTCGAGTATTATCTGCTCGATACGAAGAACTGCGTAAAAGCCACGTGGAATACCATGCCAAACTAGAGAAGGAACGGGAATCATCGCTTAGCGATCTCAAGAAAGTCAAGAGTAAATATGATGGGGTGTGCCAGGAGGTGGAGAATCGTCGCAAGAAGAGCGAGTCTTCTTTTGATTATCACAAGACAAAGGCACAGAGTGCTTATCAGCAGCAGCTCTTGGAAATGAGCAATTCCAAAGTAGGCCTTTACTTCAGTCTTGAAAACAACGACGCCTGACTACTAACTTGATTGCAGAACACATATATTATTAGCATCCATGTGGCAAACAAGCTGAAAAATCAGTTCTACCACGAATACGTGCCCGAAGTACTCGATGTGAGTACATTACTGATTATAGCAAACCTTTAGTGTGACATGCTACTTACTATCAATGTCTAGAGTCTTGGGGATTTAAATGAAACCCGTGTTGATAAATTAAATTCTTTCTGGTCACTTGCAGCGCAGCTGGAGAAGAATGCATTGACGCAGAGTACCGAGCATATGACACATCTTGCAACCGAGATTCCACGCAACAACCCTACGTTCGATTCGCTCATGTTTCTTCAACACAACGCCTCTCAATCTCAGGAGCCGCCGAATATAGTGTTTGAGCCAAGCCCTGTGTGGCACGATGATGCCGAGATGATAACCGACGAGAACGCAAAGGTCTTTTTGCGTAACCTGCTAACGAAAAGTAAGAGCCAGGCTAGAGAGCTCAAATCAGAAGTGGATAAGCAAAAAAAAGAAGTTGAAAACGCCAGACGCATTCGAGAAAACGTCAAGCAAGGAAAGGATAAGCGTGACGAAGTTGAACTTGTTAAAGCGATCTTCAACTTGCAGGAAAGGCTCCACGAGACTGAGCGCAGAAGACTGACTGCAGAGGTCGAGACTCTAACCATTCTAGCCGTTGTTGGTGATCTGTCGTTGGGAGCCCGAAATCACAACTTTCGGTCTCAAACATTCAAAATTCCAACCAACTGTGATCTTTGTGGCGAGAGGATATGGGGGTTGTCAGCAAAGGGATTTGATTGTGTTGATTGCGGATATACATGCCACAGCAAATGTCAGATGAAGGTTCCAGCAGAGTGTCCAGGCGAGCAGACAAAGGAGGATAAGAAAAAACTGAAAGCGGAACGTCAAGAACAGGCACAAGCTGCGCCATCTATTCCAGAGCCCTCTCCATCCAACGGAGCACCAGCAGATATGCCGGCCTTGAGCCGCAGAGACACTATGAACTCATTAAGTTCAGGCTACGCACATAGTGTTCATCGATCTGTCTCTGGCTCGATTGCGTCTTCTAAACCCTCAGGCGAAGACCCCGCTGAACCTAGCATCTCTGCCCCTAAACCGTCCACATCGACAACCACAAAACGCCATAGGGTCCTCGCTCCACCCCCTTCGCAATACGTCAGTGGGCCTCCGCCAGCTGTTGGGTTAACACCCAAGACCAGCGAGCCAAAGGGCAAGATGCTCTATCCGTATCAAGCTAGCGGCGATGGCGAAGTAACGGTTAATGAAGGACAGGATATTACCGTTTTAGAACCAGATGGTGAGTGTTTACTTACTTATAGATTTTCGTGCTGTGTCAGTCTGACAGATTTAAAGATGGCTCTGGCTGGATACGTATTCGGGCAGGTCCTCATGAAGGACTTGTGCCGGCTGCATATGCGGAGATTACACCCACGCCATCTCCAGTAATAGACGAGCGACCTGCATCAACCTATTCTAACTCATCAACATCCCTGGCAGGTAGTACTGCCGCGAAGAAAGTCGGACCGGCAGTTGCACCACGACGTGGGGCGAAAAAGTTGAAATACGTTGAGGCAATGTATGATTATGAAGCACGCTCAGACGCTGAATGGACCATGGCTGAGGGCGATCGCTTTGTCTTGGTCAGCAAGGATAGTGGAGATGGCTGGGCAGAAGTCGAGAAAGGGGGCCAGGTGAAGAGTGTTCCAGCGAACTACATACAAGAGGTTTGAATTTTATCGGGATTGAGTTTGTGTGTACATATTTCATCTTTTTTTTTTTTTGGCTCATTACCCTCTGCATTATGCATTACATTTCTGCATTAGAAACCATGATGACTTAAGTACTGGGCATATAGATGTCAATTTAGGGAAAGGGTGGATTCATTACAATATCTTTATGATTATACATTATGTCTACTATAAGAAGGTAAATTTATAGCCATCAATTGATAGCAGTGCAAAATAAACCTTAGAACGCAATAGAAATATACAAAGAAAGAAAGAGAACAAACTTAGGGTTTCCTCTCCCACATCCCAATCCACTGCCCCCAAGCAATGACCTTCCCATCTATCTGCGCAATAATTTCCTCCTTGGTAGCTACCGGACTCAACTTAGCTGTATCAATCGGCTCCCTCAGCGCCACAATTTGATAAAAGAAACGATGAGATCCATGACCCATCAACCCGCGCGGCGGCATGTAGACATTCGTGCGCCGATTGACGCCGTACTTGAACCCACCCTTGAGGGAGTTCTTGTCCTCGCCATCAGCAGCACCAGCAACCAGCTCAAAGTCAGCATGCGCAAGACTAGTCTTATCCGCAGGAATGGAATAGTAAATCCCATGCGTCACTGGGTCTGGCAAGGGCGCATCGGGATCTTGGATGACGAGTAGCCACTCCTTAACTTCACTTCCTTCAGGAAAGTCTTCAGGCAACTTCCATTCCAGCGTGGGAAATCTTCCCTCGGCAAACATCGAGAAGCTAGCGGGGAATTCTGAGCCAGATGGGCCGATGTCTGGGCATTCAAGAGTGATGGTTGGTTCGCGAACGTTGCTGAATGGGTTGGAATTGGGAATGAGGCCTGCGTCGCGCCCCCGCTTGTTTTTTAGGACCCAGGCTATACCTCGCTCGATGTAATCCATTTCGCCTCCCCCTCTGTCTTCCTTTTCTTCTGTCTGTGTTCTTCTGTCTGTGAAGTTGTGGCGATTCAGGGGCTAGCTGTTGGTTGGGTTTTGACTAGCTGATGTTGTATATCTGTCGTATCGTGTGTGGGAGATGTGTTCGTTTTGTCGAGTAATGTGACAATTGGAGACGATTACTGTGATTGATGAAGAAGAAAAGGGCTTTAATGGAGGTCGAGATTGATTCCATTATATGTATAGTTATAATCATAAATTAGAATTTATGTTAGCGTTTGAACACTCGGCCCGCAGCCGGTAGATGAGCCCCAGATGAGGTCGGTCCGCTTACGGGCATGCCGATCGCTTATTCGGTCTTGTTCTACGTTCAATCATAGACAGGAGTAGGATTTGAAAAGAGCGATATATCCATCTCGACTGAGTTAGTGTAATGCTAAAGAATTGATCCACACACGAGGCTGGGGTTTTGAGTAAAAGGAGAAACAAATTTCATTCATGACATCAGAGCCATGAATTAAACATGATTCTGACGACTAATTCATATAAAGTAGTTGATACAAACACGAGCAAAAGAAGGGTATCATTGTCAGCGAACAATAATAGTAAGAGCACCGCCAGAATCAACGGTAGCAAGGCGGAAAAACCTGAAGAACACCGTTCCTCAAATCAAGCATGAATCATTTCTTGAACGCGTGGATACCGCTGCACAATCTGGTGGTAAATATCGGGGTGGTCACGCATAAGAATCTCCGGGTTCCACGCCATGGCCACGAAGATGGTGTCGACACCACTGCCAATCGGAGTCAAAAAGATCTGACAAATCTGGAGTCCAATGACAAATGAATACGCCATGATGACTGCAGTAAATGTACCCGTGGAGTTGTAGCTTGGTTTCGTGAACTCAAGGTACAAATATGCCAGCAAAGCACAAAGATATGAAACAAAAACAGAACCCATGCTCAGCACTGGCCCGATCAGACAATCATTGATCAACGCATCAATTCCGCGATCCTTCATCATTGTCCACGTATCTTTCGCTGCTGGTATGTACGCCTTTCCGTAAAGAGCAATATGAATAAATGCGTAGCGGTTGAAGAATCGAACAAGCCAGTCGAGCAGAGCAATAAAGCATCCAAGAATCCAAACGAAAATGCTACCGACTATGTTCCCCTCGGCGGCTTCGTGTTGCTGGGCGATAGAACAAGCTTGTCTCATCATATTGACAATTGCTATAATCAAGCTCCCAAAACTGATACTTCCAAAGGAGTAAGTACTAGCGCGTTTGAAGGCGCCTCGAGTGGCGCCTTTCGGCATACCGCCGGGCGCATTGCTCCAGAAGTACCACGATCCGTATACACCGGCAACCGTAGCATGGATTGTGTTTTTCAGCCACTCACTGACCCAGTACATGGCAAAAGTGACAAAAACGACGAGACCGATGACCTTGGCACTGCTACAACCGCCTGGGCCGCATGAAGGATTCGTTCCGCTGCCGTTAGGCTCGTACGCCACGTAAATCGAAACCAGTGTGACAGAGAACCATGCAGAAAAAGCAAGTGCGAAAAAACCTCCAATCGCGCTGACAATAAAAATATGTCCGTAGTTGCGTGACACGTCGATAGCTGTCTGCAGCATGACCACACTGAATGGAATGCGCGGGATCCAGCTGATAAAACAGATCACAGCAAATATGCCAAAGATGAGAAATACAATGCCAGCGCCCCATTGCTTCCTATAAAGATAATAAATCGCTGTGCCCAGCGCGAAGACGCAGTTTAGGATCCCCGTAATCCAAATAAACTGCTTTGTAAAGTAACGGGCGCCAAGGAAGTAGGCCCATGAAAAGGCAAGTGCCACACAGAGCACAAAAACAAATAAAATCAAGGTGTTGGTATTGAGTCCAAAATCGTTGGTGGCCCCGTAGATGCCCCCTCCATTAAATCCGCGAGAGCTGGCATACTCGTGGATAGAGATACCCGAGACGGCAACGTAGCCGAGGAAAACGGCAATGAGCTAGATGCGCGTATCTGTCAGAGGAAAACTATCCTGTCAACTAAGATGGATGGCGGCATTCGAAACTCACCAGCAGACCAGCCCAGATATCATTGAACTTTGGTTTTTCAATTTTAAAGGCCTGATCGTAGTTCCAAGTCGACTGATCCGGCGGTGGTGGCGCCGGTTTCTCGGGCGAATATTGTTGTTGGTAGTCTTTGCCGTTGTAGTTGTTATTGTACTGCTGGTTTTCAGGAGCAGGACGCACCTGGTCCTCCTGATAGTAGCTTGCCGCCTGTCCGCTCATGTTGTGGATATCAGCTATCGCTTAGTACACGACGCGATGTTAGTAAGAAAAGAGAGAAAAAGAAGACCTGCAAGTAAGTAGAGGCGCTGGAATGTAGAACAGGAGGGCTTGGCAGGTAGCTCCTTCCTGTAACAGCACAAAATCAAATGAACGAATCATCGTCAGCGGAATCGTTGCCGAGAGCCTAAGCGGCGCGGCGGGGCGTTGCCAGGCTTGGCCAGAGCCGCCAGCGCCAATCGCCATTTGATGCAAGCTCGATTGAGTTGTGTGGTTCGCGCTAACTGGCCACTGATCGGCCGCTTTCATCCAATGAAAGCGCCACACTGGGACCCGCCGGATTTTCCGCTTTGGGGTTATTGACGTCATCGATATTGTTTCTGATTCTAGCAACAATCCGGATTAAGGGATTCACACAGAAGAAGGGGCATTGTACTGCGTGAAATGAATATACATATGCTTCTACAAGGCCATTTCAGTGTTCACAAAGGTTGAAAGATCCTTTTTGATACTTAACATTGTTTGCCTCTGACTTGAGCCCACGTTCGATCATAAGCTCGGCTCGGTAAGCCTTTGCTTCCTCCATAGTAATCGACTTTTGTGCGTCTGAATGGCCAGCATCTTTCCGCCAGTCCTGCCGTTGTGGCGGGACATTAGCAGTGGAAGCGATACGGTGATGAGGATCCACAAGGAATATGGCAAGAATTTTTCGGTGTCCAGGCTGAGAAGGATCCTCTAGGGAGAACGGTGACACTCTATGTTGAAGGGTATTGGGAAATGTGATGAGACGGCCCTCTTCAGATGTCACACTGCCCAACTCTTGCGTAATCTGCCCAGAATTCCAAGAATTCCTAGCAAAATCTTGGGGAAACCCGTAAACCTGCTGCAGAAATTCATGTCGATCTTGCTCGTAGGAGATACCATAGAAGTCGTCCATTCCTCGGTGGCGGAAGGCTATCGAGCTTGGGCTTATATTCTTGTTATCGTAGTAGTAGATAGCCGATGCAACGATGCGTTCATTCTAAGCGTGTGAGTAAAAGAAGAAAGATGGTGGAAAATATACAGTCACTCACCAATTGTCCCTCAATATGCCAGGTACCTCCTTCATATTTGGGCTTCTCTGGTGTCAACTCTATATTTGCCAATTTCACAATTACTTGAAAGTTGCCTTCAGGAAAGTGCTTCAAGAAGTTCACCCTATTATCCTCAGGTCTTGGGATGTGGAATTCTCCTGGCTCGGGAAGAATGATTTTGCGACGTTCATACCACGCGCTAAGACGCTCTTCATATTCATCATAATCAGAATCTTCAGTATCTTCATTCGGCTCGGGCTCGGGCTCAATATCATTTTCGTACTTAACCCTTGTAAACTGAATCCGTTTGCCCTGGAATGTTTTCTCGGACAAAGATTGCTCCCAGAGCGGCATCGTTCTTGAAAGGATTTTCTCGACAACATCATACAGGCCCTTGTGTTTTATAGGATGTGCGTTATTGATGTAGGACACAATAGAACAGCCGCCTTGGGTCCTTTTCACCTCACAGGGTAGCCACTGGAATTTGGTACTGAATGGAGGAGGACGCTTGTGAGACTGGAATTTGGGATTCCTTTCCGGGGAGGCTCGAAGCAACTCGCCTTCTCCAATGCTGTCCAGACAGTCATGTAGGCCAATGGTCCGATAAGGTAGTACATGGGTTCGACCATAAATCATCGGGAAGAGGGATGGATGCACTAGGTCGACTACTTTGTTATCGGAGCCTGGATGGAAGTCTTTCTCATCTTCTGGGACATCCTCAAAGAAAAACGCTGCTTGGCCTAGAGCCATTTGCAGCTCCTTAGGAATAGCATTGTTGGATTTAACGACTCCGCCAAACACTTCCACAAAGCCTGTTCGTTCTAGGATGTTTGCTTTCCATTGTAGTTCCCGGATAATCCAATCCATCATCTTGGGTGTCACGTCTTGTCCGCTGGAGTAAACCTCCTCACGCCACTTGGTCATGATGCGCTTGTCAAAGACTTTGCGACCCCAGTCAGTCTTGTCGGTGATGTGGTTCATAATTTGCATCATGACAATCTCTCGGTGGGTAACGAGCGCGCTTTGTAGTTTTGTTAGTTCTTCTTAGGCTATAGGAATGATATGGGGCGTCTCGTACTCGAGGCTGCCAGATTTAATATGCTCTGGATCCAGTGCACTTGGAAAACCAGAGATATATCCAGAAATTACATTTGCCTGCCAATGGAGTTAGCAATGTTAATATTCAAATGACAAGCAACCCATACTCACGTCGGGAGGGAGATCCAAGGGGCAGTTGAAGCCTGGCATCTGAAGTGCCCAGCTGGGTGGAGGATTCATCCTGGCACTGTTGGTAGAGAAGAAAGATTGGAAGCGAAATTTGCTGTCAGAGGAGGACTGGCGGCGCAATTCTATTTTCGAAGGCGGCCGCTTTCCGGTATTTCCAAGCGCTCTGGTTGCGCCACCGCGTCGTACATTCGACTGGATGTTCAGAATAGATCGTTTACCACAGCCACATTGCCTTGACATTTTCCGGGATCCTTTTTTCTATCCACGGATTATGTTATGCTTCCAATCTGCTAGATGAGGGTGCTGGGTATTGTTGTCGGACAATGAAGGGAAAAGGGGGGCTCACTCTCGGAGTCTTACTCATCCGCTTGAGTTCCCTGGCCCCTGAATCAGCCATTGATATTCTTAGATTAATTGATTAACAACATAGTAACTATAGCGTGCAAGCAAAATTGAACTAGACATAACGTAAGAGAAAAGTCTTATTTATATTTCTACCACTCTATCTATCTAAAGAAAAAGAGAGAGAGATATATATATACGTGCGTAGGCTGGGTACAAAGTATCTTTATTAGTTATATTATAGACAACTCCTTGATCAACAAACATGATAGTTGTCCATGATTGACAAATACAATTGAATACGTTGCCACGGGCGATATAAGGGCTGTACCGGGATCGCGTGGGGAATGCTCGATGTACACGACAATGCACATTTGTGTATGTATATATGTACTAGATGATCTCTTCTGTTCGCAAGACTCTGTTGCGGTCTTGATGTTCAACATTTCGCAGAGACCCCTCAATGCAAAGTATTCAAGCTCGATGAGAGCAAGCAATGACCTGTGTGAGCATAGCTTGTGGCTGATGGGCATCTCGCAATTCATGCCAGAGCTTCGGACGCATTGAGACACGAGAATGGAAGCTCGACTCCTTTCCTGTGTTCATGGAAGCAAGTAGCCCATGACATACATGTACGAAGTTCCTCAAAGTTGTCAGCTACCTGGCCAATGCTCAAATTGTTGCTGCTGCTGCTGATGTTGTTGTTGTTGCTGTTGTTGAATGTACATTTCGGAGTATTGCGGAGGAGCTTCCATGTAATCCGCGCCACTAAGTTGTATGTTGCCAAGATTAAACATATCCCATGACATGTGCAATCCACTATTAGCTTCCTGACAGAACCACCCAAGGAGCCCGGGAGGAGCCAGCAAACTTTCGCTTGTCAGAGGAAACATCGTGGGCATCGTTTCCGTCGAGGACCACGGAAGCTGATTATATGGAGCGACAGTAAGAGGAAACCCTGCATTAGTTACTGGCTTTTGTTCCTCAATGACTTCACGCACTTCCTCTGTGCTGGCTTCCTCGGTGGGAGGAGGTTTCTCACTTCCCAACCCTACACTTTTGGCCAAGTCTATAGTTACCTTGGTGAAGATTTTGTATGTCGGTGCGAGTTTGGTCTTGGCAAAGATGTTACTTATCCCAGCGATTTTAGATTTGCTTGTTTCATCCTCTTGGTCTTGTGCAGAACCACTGATCTTGCCCAATGCAAAAAGAGAAAGGGCTAGATTAGCGTGGTTGATGTAGTAAAAGTCCGCCCATGCGACACCGTCCAAAAGACCATGCTTGGCAAGTTGAAGAAAGCAATCGAGCACGGCAATAGCTGATGCATGACATTGTCGACTAAGGAGGTCTGTAGTGGGAGCTACCGGAATAATGACATGAGATTCACCCTGAGATAAGGACTCAATCTTGCGGTTGCTCTTGCAGATTAGGAACGGCCGCGTTAACACTGATTTGAGGTGGTAGTATGTTGCCTGCAATGTCAATACCGCACGGCGATGTCGCGAAGTCAGCACTTGGGATTGCGGTGTTAAATGGTGAGGTAATTGGGCTCTCCACGCCTCCAGCTCTTGCAAGGCTATCTTGACGTGGCTATGATACGATAATAATTCCCGCTCATCCGTATACTTTGCGGTGACCGTGGTGATAAGCCTTCTTATCCGGTGCCCAACATTAGTCAATTCCAAATAATGCTCCGCAAATCCCTTGGGGTAACCTGGCCCATCCAGCACATCATCATGTGGCAGCAAGACATTCACTTCTCTCGCATCAATGGTGGGAGGACGACCAAAAATGCTCGACATGTTATATTCGTATTGATATAACGACCACCAAACAATTCGACGTGTATGCGACTCTGTTGTATCAAAGCTGCCGTAGGTTCCTTCACGGTGCATGCCGAGCGTGATTGCCATTCGAGCAGCTATACCCAAGACAAGCCAACAGGTATTCCGCTCACCCGAGTTATGTTCGTAGAGCTGTAACAAGAGAAGCGCTTGTACATTTTCCAAGCTCGCAGTGAATGTAAGCTGATGGAAATGATCTCGTACCAACTTCATATATTTCGTCTGAACGGCAAACGAGCCAGGAAATCGTTCAGTTCCCAGAATTTCAGCGCCCAAGATGATGACCATGAACAGACAACAGCTCCAACCTACGTCTGAGTTGCCCGTCTGCAAAATTTTCTTGTCCCAGACAGAATCATATCGAAGTCGGAAAATAGGCTTGTAGAAGACCTGAAATGAACCGTGAAGGTTGTCAAGGTACGCTTGCACCAAAGCATCACATAGACCTTTTTCAGGCAAAAGATCTCGTAAACTGTCGTTGGCGCCTACACTTGAATCATGTGATTCTCTCTGCCTTGAAGGCAGATTGGTTTGAGATAGCTGTTTCGAAGTCTCATTTGATCCCGTTGGCCTCTGCGCCCCTCCATGCATTGCTGGGGTAACATAATTGCCATGTATGGAAGTCCGAGCTGCGCTTCTCGGAGAATTAGCCAGGGCTGGCATTTCTGTCTGATTTTCATGGGGATCTCGCCCATGGCAATGGGATTGTGAAGTTGCCATTTTGTATTTAGTCACCATATGACGGATAATGGACGCAAACTCAGAACTGCTCGATGGGCCTACGTAGTGTAGTACGCGCCGAGGGCCCTGTACCATCCTTTCATAGACCACTTCAGAGGCTGAGAACTCACAACTGGTTGCCTGAGCCCCAAGAGCGTCGGCGGATGACGTACCTGGAGCAACTGGAGCCACCGGTGCCACTGGCTGATCATGACTGAACGCTTCCGGGGCCGGCGACTGGTCGTCTGGGGAGGGCATATGAATATTGTGATTCTTAGCAAGCTGGAACAAGACTTCGACATCGTCGGTGTCTTCGTTCGGGAACAGCCCTCGCACTAGAGCATCTAGAGCACGGTACCGCAAGCTGAACCTCTCCACGCTCCCATACACACGTTGCTTTCTGGGCAAAGTCGACTCACACTTGACACCCCCAGTGAGGCAGTTGGTGCACGACTCGTTCTCATTCGTGCGATAACAGCGAATGCGGCGGGTTTTGCACCGATCACAGCTCACCAGAGTTCGGCGGCGCTGGGAATCGGGAACCCGCCTTCTGTTCGGTTTCTTCTCGCCTCCGGAAGGAAGCATGGTGGGCAAAAAGCAGTAAAGCTGCTTAATGGATTAATATCGCTGTGGGATAATCGGTGAGAGGCGACATTGTGGTTATACGAGAGTTGGGGGTCTCCGAGACCAAAAGGTCGAAAGTTGGAACCAGAACTAGAACCAGACTAACTACAGCCAGCGGTTGCTAAAGGCGCTAAGAAGTATTCGGGTTGGTCTTCTCCGCATGGACTAGTGCTAGTGCTTACTAAGTTTGCCTCAAGCCGGGATGGTTGAGGCCTGAGGCTGCCCATTTTATGGACGGTGCTTTCCTCGCACTTCTACTTGGTACTCACTCATACTCGGTACGGAATACATACAATACGTAGAAGGCTCAGCACCCAGACTAAGGTTTGACAGGACCGCCATTGCCGGTGTATGGGTCTCGTGATCATAAAATGGCCACTTATGACTTGCAGTAGCTTATAGCTAGTGCCCCATTCCATATCAGTTATGGTTGAAAATCAGATTGGATTTGTGACTGACTTTCGCCAACAGCTTCCGTCCATCAATTCGCGACAGCATATACCTTCCAGGCCCCTTTCCCTTGTTTGGTGTGGGCATCGTTGGATCGTTGAGGCTCCGATGCCAGGGACAGAACAGGGCTCGGACATGATCTGCACCCCCTGATTCATCTGCAAAAACGCCGAACAGCAAATCATAAGCGCGCCAAGAGCACTCCGAATCGACTCTTCCACAGACAACAAACAAAAAGAGCAGCTCCGCCCTCTGTGGGTTACACGCCCTGAGCGTCGTTATATTTGGAAGAGGCGCGTGCTTTCTCTGGATCCTCATAGGCCCTCGAGTCTGGCCAGCCCAGCACGATGGAGACGGCAGCTTGGCAGGATGTCTCAGCGCGCGCCGGTCAATATGTGTATAATTAATCATAATATATGTAAGATGTCATTGATGCCGTGTCTTGGACGCTCACGTGAGGGAGAAGAAGCAGGAGAGGAAGGAAGCCCTTGCCTGGCATCGATCGGGTCGCTCCTTCCCATTCTTCTTCCCCTGCCTCCTTCACATACCGCCGCCCCTTTCCTCTTTCCTTCCTTCCTTCCTTCCCATTCTTCATTCTGAGGTTTTCTCTCTCGTCCATTCTTTCTCTCTGCTTCATACTACTCCATCGTTGCTATCGCTCATTTGACCCCATTCCTTCTGTGCAATCTATAATTCTACTCGTTATCAATCAACATATCTGATATTGCTGGCCTCTCATTCTGTCTTTCTTTCTCCCTCTTCTTTTTGACGTCTTATTGATCCTCATCATGAAGGCTGTCTTTGCCTCCTTGGCCGCCACAGCTTCGATGGTGGCAGCTGCCCCTCAGCAGCTGGGCGCTCGTGACTCGATTACACCCATCACCGTGAAGGGAAATGCTTTCTTCCAAGGCGACAACCGATTCTATGTCCGCGGAGTTGATTATCAGCCTGGCGGTTCTTCCAAGCTCGTCGACCCTCTTGCTGACGCGAACACCTGCCAGCGAGACATTGCCAAGTTCACCGACTTGGGACTTAACACCATCCGTGTATACTCGGTCGACAACTCCGCTGACCACGATGACTGTATGAATGCTTTGGCAGACGCGGGCATCTACGTCGTCCTGGATGTCAACACCCCCAAATATTCATTGAACCGCGCCGACCCGTCAACTTCTTACAACGACGTCTACCTGCAGAATGTTTTTGCAACGGTGGAGATGTTTGCCAAGTATGACAACACCCTCGCTTTCTTCTCAGGAAACGAAGTTATCAACGACGGCCCTTCATCCAAGGCTGCTCCCTATGTCAAAGCCGTCACTCGCGACATTCGCCAATATATTCGGTCTCGAAATCTGCGCACCGTCCCTGTTGGCTACTCTGCGGTAAGTGATGAGTCAGCCCCCTGATAAAATATCTAACTGGGATCCTAACAAATGCACCAGGCTGACATCGATACCAACCGTCTTCAAATGGCCGAATATATGAACTGCGGCTCTGATGACGAGCGAAGTGACTTCTTCGCCTTCAACGACTACTCCTGGTGCGATCCGTCTTCGTTCACTACATCTGGTTGGGACCAGAAAGTGAAGAACTTCACCGGCTATGGACTTCCTTTGTTCCTTTCGGAGTACGGCTGCAACACCAACAAGCGCCAGTTCCAAGAAGTTGGCTCTTTGTACAGCACCCAAATGACAGCCGTCTACTCTGGTGGACTGGTCTATGAGTATTCTGAAGAAGGAAGCGACTATGGTCTTGTGACTCTTAATGGTAATAACGTTACGGAAAAGGACGATTATACTGAGCTCAAGAATGCTCTCAAGCAGACCGCAAACCCACAGGGGGATGGTAATTACAATTCCACAGGTGGCGCCAACGGCTGCCCTGCATCAGATGCTCCAAACTGGGATGTCGAAAATGACGATCTTCCAGCCATTCCACAACCTGCACAGAAATACATGACCGAAGGTGCCGGCAAGGGCCCTGGATTTTCTGGGTCTGGAAGTCAAGACCAAGGTGTCCAATCTACAGGAACTGCGACTCCTGGTTCCGGATCTGCGGCCACTACTTCAGGTTCATCCTCAACCTCTAGCGGAGCTGCTCAGAGTCTTCACGCTCCGAAGATTACCTTCGCTCCTGTGGTATGCAGTGCAGTGGTGGCATTGTGCACTTTGTTTGGGGCATCTCTTGTCATTTTGTAATCTGGTGCTATTTTTATCTGGAAGGGGTTTTACAAACGAAAAAGGGAGAGCAAATTTTTTTCCGAGTGGTTTACTACCAGAGCAATCTGGATGACGGTGCGGTCGCAATCTTGCAACATTGCCATGTCATGTACAGTCATGGGAGGAGCATCGGCGGGCAATTTCGATTTATCACTTAACTCTTTTTTTCAGTCTGTATTTCATTGGTTTCTGTCTCATGTATAGATAGTTGGTGTAGATGGATCAGGCTCGCTCATTCTTATCACAATTCAAATTATTGGCCTAGCTTTGTTGAGCTGTAGACACTGTGCATCACGCTGTAATAGGCCCATCCATGTCTTATCAAAGCAAATCAAATACATAATGTACATGCAACAAAGGCTAACAGAAGCTTGGAAGAGAGTGATGTCTAGGTCGTATTCGAATAGTATTTTTTTTAGCGAATCAATATAATAGTCATGATTTTTATGTTTGATTCATTCAATCATCCTGGAGATTTGAGGAATTTCCGAAATCGTAGGACCTTGGCGCGGGGGTGCCCGATAAGGCTAATACACAGTAAGTAAGTAGGACATGCAGAGTAGCACTTTGTATCTGTCGATCTTCTTGCTGTTTCTCAATCTTTCTTTCCCAGGTATCTCGAAGTCTGTTCTTGGACTCTCTGGTATATTTACATACATCTGGAAGAAGAATGCGCTGAGATCACGTTTCAAACAACCTCCCTTGAAACACCCTGGCTTGCGCTCCTTGCAGGAGAAGATCAAAAGCACCCACTACTAGTACATATTCTGAGCAATAGATTTCTTCTCACACGTCTGTTTCAGGTGTTTAGGACGCACAATACGAAGAAGAGCAGAGAAAACATGTCTATCCGCGAGACAACCTCCGATATCGAGAGCGAACCATGTACTAAAGATGATGCATACATCAAGACACAGTACTCAACAGACGTGCCGAGCGCCGCTGGGATCTTAGAGTCCTTGCACTCGTCATCACACGCGATTTCGCATGTGATTGATCACAAAGCTGAGCGTGCCCTCTGTCGCCGATTTGATTTTCGGCTGCTGCCAATCCTGGCTTTTATGTGTAGGTCTTGATCAAACCTTTTGAATGGCTTCAGTGTCTATAGAGGAAGAGTCTAATACATCTTTGGCTTAGACCTCTGCAATGCACTCGACAAAGCCAATTTGGGAAATGCTCAGACCGATGGAATGGGCATTGGTTTGTCACTCTAATGTATACCTACTATCTTTTCGCGCTCATTGCTGACTAGATGGAATGTTATATTAGATTTGGGCATGAGTGGCAGCCAGTACAATCTACTGCTCTCCATTTTCTTCGTCCCTTATGTCATTTTTGCGCCGCCGATTGCCATGCTGGGCAAGCGGCTCAGTCCGGCCAAAGTGATATCTGGGATGATGTTCAGTTTTGGCGTTTTCACCCTTCTCTCCGCTTCAGTATCCAACTTCTCGGGTCTGTTTGCTTTGCGATGGTTCCTAGGCATGTCTGAAGCTGCCTTTTTCCCGCTTGTAATTTACTACCAGACAACTTTTTACCGCCGTGCAGAACTGGGCAGACGCCTGGCCATCTTCTACGCTGCTTCCAATATCGCCAGTGCCTTTTCGGGACTGCTTGCTTTTGGAGTCTTTCAGATCAAAAACTCTTCTTTGCAAGGCTGGCGGTATTTGTTCCTGATTGAGGGCTCTTTCACCGTCTGCTTCTCCTTGTTTGCCTTCTTCTACCTGCCACGGAGTCCGCAGGAGGCGCGGTTTTTGAGCGAAGATGAGAAGAAGCTTGCTTTTCACCGAATCCAGGTTGACTCTTCTGCTGTGGTGAATGAAGAGTTCAATCTGCGCCATGCACTCGGTATCCTCAAACGACCCACCACTCATGCGTTCTTTATTATTGAGATATGTCTCGGTGTGCCGTTACAAGGGGTATCGCTTTTTCTGCCTCAGATCGTCTCTCGTCTGGGTTATTCCACCGTCAAGACAAACCTCTACACGGTCGCGCCGAACGTGACTGGCGCTGTGATGTTGCTTATCCTGGCATTCTCATCTGATGCGACTCGTGTGCGATCGGTGTTTATTGTGCTGGGCTTCGTATTCACTTTAGTCGGATTTATTATCTATGCAGCTATCAACGACGTGAACACTCATATCCAGCTCGCCTACTATGCCTGCTTCATGATGACCTGGGGCACATCAGCCCCCTCTGTGCTGCTGACTACCTGGTACAACAACAACGTAGCTGACGAGGGGCAACGTGTGCTATTGACAAGCATAGGCGTCCCGCTGGCCAATCTTATGGGCCTAGTGTCTAGCAACGTGTTTCGCAGTCAAGATGCGCCCAAATACATGCCTGCTCTGGTTACGGTGGCTGCATTTGGGGGCACTGGAGCTCTTATATCCGCGCTTTTGGGTGTTTATATGTGGTTCGATAACGCGCGCCGTGATCGCCGGGCTGGTCGGAAGATTCATGCTTGCGATGTGCCGACGGAGCGTTTGCGGGATGGGCCTAAGACGGAGGAATTTAGATGGTTTTTATGAGTTACAACAATGTTGATTTAAATAGAGTGCGATCTAGCCAGTTGCCTTTGCCAGGATATAGACAACTATTCTCGGAGTCGGAGTAACTCAACAGTACGAGATTAGAGTTGAGTTGCACGTGTACGAAACAAGTCATGTGAGAATATGACGCCTCTTATTTTTGGTGAGATGCGTCTACAGGCCGGCGAGTGTGATACGGTAGATGTATAAAGTTAAGGATGACCCATGCTAAAGATTTCCTATTCGGGTAATAATTTGAGCTCCCTCGGCGGATGAACATAGATCCACCATTATGCCTCGCGAAGGCATTATACACTGTTGGTAGACTAGTATCACCTTTGGCGTAGAAAATCATGACTTTAGTATTATTATTATTATTTATTAGACTAATATATATGATTGTAGTCGTGTTTTGTATCCCTGGCACAGATGTACCGCTCGCAAAAGAAGAAATGAACAAGGATGAAAAACTATGCATCGTCAACACCTAGCCCGACGATACATCAGCGAAGACCTCCATAGTATGATCCCAAACCTTTTTATCCACGCCTCGCTTCCTGAGATCCTCAAGAACTTTCTCGTTATCGGGGGCCTCGCCGTTCTCATCTATGAGGAAAACGCCGCCTTTACTCCGTTCGACCTTCTGTAGGCCTCCAGCGAGCGGGACTATGCCGTCATCAACGCTATATCGCGCACTGGTGGCGGTGAACAAGCCCCTCTGGCCCGCCTCAGAAACGCTCCTGACAAAAAAGCTGAGCACTGGCGCTACGAGGTAACGGATCAAGACGCCCCGGATACCGCTGCTGATGCGAGTCATCAGTGGCGTGGCCACGAGGCCGGGGAAAGCGTGAACGAAGCTGATGCGAGGGTTCTCGGACGCTAGATGCTCCAGCGCCAGAGTCATCATGGTGGCAGTTTGGGTGTTTGCTGAGCTAACGTAGAAATTCTCAGGCCTGTCCAGACCCAGATCATCTTCATGGATCGGGCCTTCCTTCCCGCCGGCGAGAATGGACAAGACGTGTGGGCTTTGGGACTGGTTGAGCAGAGGGAGAAGAAGCTGGGTAATGCGAATGCGGGAGTAGAAGCGCGTTGTCAAGCTAGCCTCGAGTCCCTCGGTGGTATCTAAAGCAACTGATGATGAGTGTGCGATAAGGAACGTGACGAGAGTGGTCAAAATCACCTTTTCTTCCATCCAGCGAGAAAAAGCCTACAGACATGCAGAGCAGGTCCAAGGAGGACTCCTTCGCTTTGACATATTCAGCCACTTTTTCAGCGTCTTTGATTAGCGAAACATCTTTCTCGATGATTTCGAAAATGGCGCTGCTATTTAGACGGCGCAATTCATCGACGATAGAAGCCGCAACGGCTGCGTTACGGGCAACAATATAGACACGAGGATTCGCAGAAGACCGCGTGAACTCCTTGAGGATACCAAGACCGATGCCAGAGGTTGCGCCGACGAAGAGGGCCACATGGGGGCCATTCACGCGCGAGAGGCTGGTGTTAGAACGGATGACAGCTTGAAGATCAACCATGGCGAATTTTTGTGTTTTTCACTTTTAGAATGTCAATACTATTGAGGTCCGTCGGAAGGTGGTTAATTATATATGCCAAAGCACATATCTTTAAGTGTATTGTGGCATGGAATTAGGTAGCAAAGCTTTGTCAGCGCATTCCTTATTGTTAACTAAGCTCGCTCTGTCGGCGTGAGATCGCCGCGAGGGCACGACCGGGGTTGGATTCGTCAGCGTCATCGTCATGGGGCCGAAAGCCCTATTTTAGTTATTATATACGTTGAAGCTGTAGTACACTTGCGTATAAGTTTAGCTGCGATAGTCTGGATATGATTTGGGCAATGGGAGTCATGAGCATCAAGCATGTTGCTTGATAGCAAAACCTCGTAATAACAAAGTGCCCTGATTAGTAAGGACCCCCACACGTATTTCGTCATAATCAGGCACCATATTACGAATGGCCATGCTGTGTTAGGCATAAACGACCCACAAATATAGCCGAATCGGGGGCTGATGGGCAAAGAACCAAGATGCCATCGACACTATGCCAAAATAGGATAAATTATGTATCGATTACCCGATATAGCGGCGTTCCTTATACTCTTAACTATATACGTGCACCCCTGTCAGCGTCAATCACGTGGCTTCGCATCATACGCAACTCCACGGTTCTAGTTAGTAAGTAAATATGAGTAATAAGAATTATTATTAGTTAATTCGTATTTTCACACTAAAGTACCGCTGGCACGTAGTGAGCTCTCCTAGTCCAGGCAGCCGTCTCACCTACATCCGTCTGGTCCGCTCAGGAAGAGTCTATTCTATAACTCCATCTTGGCAAGCAATGGCTCAAGGTAAATGAGAACTTAAGCCTCGGGTCTAGACTGCTGGCTAACTATCATTAAAAAAAAGAGCAACTTTTTAGACGGCCCTTCTACGCCAAAGATGGCAAGACGAGACTGCCGCAGTACGTCGCCCATCGCGGCTTCAACAGGATATACCCGGAGAACACCAAGAGTGCCTTTACCGCTGCCATTGATGTCGGCTGCCATGGCATCGAGACGGACGTGCAAATAACCAAAGACGGGGTGGTTGTTATTTCGCATGTATGCCTATCCGGTTTCCAACTTCATAACATTCAAAGGCGGTCCTAGAAATTAATACATAGTTATGCAGGACTCATCTCTCAACCGCTGCTTTGGCATCGACAAGCTCATCAAAGATTGCGACTGGGAATATCTGAGCACCCTGTGGACGACACGCGAGCCTCGAGAGAGAATGCTTCGATTGAGCGACTTGCTCGATTTCCTGAATGCTCCGAGCAATGCCCATGTCTGGGTTTTGCTTGATATCAAGGTATTTACACTACGTGCATCACTCGTACATGCATGTCAGACACTGACACTAGCCCAGAGAAATAATGATGTCAAAGTCATCATAAAGAAAATCGCAGAGGTGGTCAAGTCGGGTCCGTATGCGTCACAGCCGTGGTATTCACGCATTGTGCTTGGATGCTGGACAGTGAGTCATTCAATCTTTAGTACTCAGAGTATACATAGGTACGCACCTGACACATATTTTCACTCTCAGCCCGCCTACTTCCCCAGCTGCAAGGAACATCTGCCCGACTTCCAAGCCGCATTGATAGGCTACAATGTAGTCGGAGCACGAAATGTCCTGCACACCGTGCCCAGCATCTCCTTCAACACGCACTTCAAATCCGTCAAGGGCCCGCTAGGATACGGCTTTGTTGATGCCGTTCACGGCAACAAGAATAGCGAAGACGGCAAACGCAAACTCATATTCACATGGACAGTCAACGCAGCCCGAGACATGCGCTGGGCAATCCGCAACAACTTTGACGCCATTCTCACCGACGACCCGGCGCTCTGCAAGCAGATATGCGACTCGTGGGATGATGCGTACGCACAACGACATGAGGCGGACGATAATAGAGTGACTCTCGGCGAGCGTTTACATTTGGCCTTGTGGGGGTTTTGGTTCACATTTTTCAGCTGGGTTTTTCCTATCGTGTACCCTTATTTGCAGCGGTTTATGCAGGAGAAGCCGACTGTGAGAACTGAGATAAATGGTAGTACTTCGAGGACTTGAGAAGGTGTTTATTCTATGACCGGGATGACTCATAAGATTTGCAATCATTTTGCATCCTTTTATATATATAAAAAATTTATGCCTTTCACAAAAGTTCTGCTGTTCTAAGCTTTCTAGGTCAAGATATACGCAGATGAATGCCTGTTTGCTGATCAAAGCCTAGAATACAGTGTACGAGATGCGACGCTAAGTCGCCCAGTACCGCACCATTTTATACTCATCTTGGCTCAGGACCTATGGATTGATGATGTGATAATGTGGGATTAGTTCACCTATAAAATACTCATAGGCACCGGACTAGAATCGCCGTATCGCGGGTTATCGGCAAGATTTAACGAACATTGAGACAATCAGTTAATAACACCTCTATATAAGGCAAAGAGACCGTTGCAACTCCGACAATCCGCATCCAAAGCAAACTTCAACAATATACCTACATAGATAGGGTAGTAAGGAAAAGGCAGAAGCAGTTAGTTTTACCGGAGCCGTCAGGGTATACCGCACTTCTGCCTCCTGAAGAAAAAGCCACAATTTATACAAATCGGACTAAGCTTCCAAGGTTCCTACATGGATTGTACAATGCGGGGGGCAATAATGAAGAGGAGAATATCAAACGGCCTATAAGATAACCTGCTCACCTACTGCCGAGTTCATTGAAATGGAATGACTTTTCTTTGAGCTCATCCTAAATTTTGTACTCTCATCGTCTGTTGATGTTCTATAATGGCCATCATGGCGCGTGCTACAGCAACGGCCCTTTTTGTTGCTAGCTTGATGAATTCGGCCTACAGTGCTGCATCTCAAGCATACACGTGGAAAAATGTAGTTACAGGAGGTAAGTATCTATGTGAACATTCAGGAAGCTGCCCATCACTGAGAACATGTATAGGAGGAGGAGGTTTCGTCCCCGGCATTGTATTCAACCCATCTGCCCAAGGTGTCGCCTATATTCGCACTGATATTGGCGGCCCCTACCGCCTCAATTCAGACGATACATGGACGCCTCTACTAGACGGGGTCAATAATAGCAACTGGCAAGTGAGAGCAGTTGCGTGAAACTCCGTGGTATGGGCTAACGTCCCGTCTTCAGGCATGACTGGGGCATTGATGCCCTTGCCACTGATCCAGTCGACACCGAGCGCCTGTACGTAGCCGTGGGAATGTACACTAATGAGTGGGATCCTAACCCCGGGTCAATCCTGCGCTCCACGGATAAAGGTGACACCTGGGATGAGACTGTACTGCCGTTCAAGGTCGGTGGGAACATGCCTGGCCGAGGAGTCGGCGAGGTGAGTTACATCTATATCTCAGCGTCCTGACTTGGATGTCGTGAGCTGAGTGTCCGTATAGAGACTTGCAGTCGACCCAAATGATAACAGTATCTTGTTTTTTGGGGCTAGAAGTGGCCATGGCCTCTGGAAGAGCACAGATTATGGTGTGACATGGTCGAATGTCACCTCATTCACCTGGACCGGTAAGAGTCGTCAGCCGCAGAATAGACAAGAAGCAGTGGTCTAAGTAAGAGAGCGCTTTAGGGACATATTTTCAAGACGCCAGTTCAACTTACACCTCGGATCCGGTGGGAATCGCTTGGGTCACGTTCGACTCGACCTCTGGCAGCGAGGGCTCGCCAACTCCAAGAATATTCGTCGGTAGGTTTAGTCTAGACGAAGTCAGCTGAAGTCAACTAACAGTGACAGGCGTGGTCGATACCGAAGAGTCGGTTTTCAAGTCTGAGGATGGCGGTGCGACATGTAAGTCTTCTTTCCTGGACATACATACCTTGCTCGTCAACGACTGAGCCCCTTTCCTAGGGTCATGGGTCTCGGGCGAGCCGATGTACGGATTCCTACCTCACAAGGGCGTTTTGTCGCCAGCTGAGCAGACTCTGTACATATCATACTCCAACGGTGCTGGCCCGTACGATGGCACCAACGGAACAGTGCACAAGTATAACATCTCGACCGGAGTATGGACTGACATCAGCCCGACATCAATGGCTAGCACATACTATGGCTATGGCGGTCTTGCCGTGGACTTGCAAGTGCCCGGCACTATCATGGTAGCCGCCTTGAACTGCTGGTGGCCAGATGAACTCATTTGGCGAAGCCTTGATTCAGGCGAGACCTGGTCCCCCATCTGGGACTGGAATGGGTATCCGAATATCAACTACTACTACGATTATGACATCTCTAATGCACCCTGGCTGCAGGATGATACCTCATCTGCTGAATTCCCTGTCCGGGTTGGGTGGATGGTGGAGGCACTGGCCATTGATCCGTTTGATTCGAATCATTGGCTCTATGGTACCGGTGAAACAATCTACGGTGGCCACGACCTGCTCAAGTGGGACTCAGCTCACAACATAACCTTGGAGTCTTTGGCTGTTGGAGTTGAAGAGATGGCTGTCATTGGACTCATCGCGCCTCCGGGCGGACCAGAACTCCTATCTGTTGTTGGAGATGATGGAGGTTTCTATCATACCGACCTCGATACTGCGCCAGAACAGGCTTTCCACTCCCCTACATACGGCTCTACAAACGGCATTGACTACGCTGGGAATAACCCGGCATATATTGTCAGAGCCGGTGCTAGCTCGACGCTGCCTACCGTCTCATTGTCGACGAACTTTGGTCTCACCTGGTCGGCCGACTACGCAGCTTCGTCCAGTACGGTGCCTGGAAGTGTTGCACTTTCTGCAAATGGTGATACTGTGCTTCTTGTGCCTACGTCAGGCAGCCCGCTTGTCTCGACATATAGCAGCACCTTCAGCACTGTGTCCACTCTGCCCTCAGGAGCAGCCATTGCGTCCGATAAGTCTAACAACACCGTCTTCTACGGTGGCTCGGCTGGAAGTTTCTACATCTCTACCAACAGCGGCGTCTCATTCACCAAAACTGTTAGTCTTGGCTCGAGCACTGCTGTAAATGCCATCCGTGTTCATCCTTCCGTTGCTGGCGACGTCTGGGTCTCTACCGATATAGGCCTTTGGCACTCGACAAACTATGGCAGCAGTTTTACCCAGATTGGCAGCGGCTGCACTGCTGGTTGGAGCTTTGGCTTTGGCAAGGCCTTAACAACATCGTCGTACCCGGTTCTCTTCGGCTTCTTCACTGTCGACGGCGTCACCGCCCTGTACAAGACGGAGGACGAAGGTACCAATTGGGAGATGATCTCTGACGCCTCCCACGGGTTTGGCGCGGCGTCGGCGAATGTAGTGAATGGCGACTTGAACAACTATGGCCGTGTCTTTGTGGGAACGAATGGAAGGGGTATTTGGTATGGCGTGCCTAGTGGAAGCCTGCCGGCATCAACTGCAGCCTCGACCAAGACTTCTACGACACACACATCCTCTACTACAACGATTCCCACTACACTAGCAACTGCGTCTTCTTCCAAGACTTCATCGTCAAGCTCGACAACCACAACTACTGCCTCGTCAACCTCTACGGCGACGGCCTCACCTTACGGCCAGTGTGGAGGCTCTGGATATACCGGACCAACCACCTGCCCAAGTGGATGGACTTGTTCGGCCGAGAATTCTTACTACTCACAGTGTAAGTAGTCGCATTTCAACTTGTTTCAAAGTCCAAGTGCTAACTTCAAAATAGGCGTGCAGTCATAAGTTCATCACTTGGCACAGAGCAGTGGAGTTTCCACTTTCAAAATGCAATGTACATATGGACGAGGCTCTTGAAGTGGCCATTTGTGATCTTTCACAGATAGAAGTAGTGTACACTGGTAGGTTATTGGTAGTAAAAGCCTGAAATGAACATCAAAAGTATCAACTTCGCAACTTTCCATGCTCTCTAATGTGTAAATTGATCTTGACAGCGGGATTAGGTGGTACTAGCGCTTCTCTGACTTCGAGCTTAGCTGGTAGATTTGAATTCTGCTTGATAGAGGCATCATCGAAGACTTGGACCTAGGTATAACAGTCACAGTAGACTTGATAAATCTCATGATTATCACAAAGTGTTTGGCTATAACAAATAAGGACAAATAGAGGTATAAGCGCATCCCCACGAGTATCCAGTTAGATGCAGAAAAGAAAAATTAAGAAAAAAAAAAAAAAAAAAAAGCCGAACCAAATAATATGCAGGCAAGTTTTAAGCCAAGGATGTAGATTGCCAACAATAGAAAGCGCATAATCAAAACGTATAGCAAGTGATGATGATAATGAAAAGGCTGAGCATTCATCAAGCCGTGTTCTGTAAGGATATCAATTAATATTGTCGAATAAATAGAAAGAAAGCGAATGTCGCGAGCTGAAAACAGAGGACCCATTTTCATAAGGAACTTTCGAATGCTGGGGGGGGTATAAGGGGTTGAATATGCAAGTATATACTTTGTAAATGAACATGAACCATGTACACATGATCCATAATGTGAGGAAGAGGAGAATCAAGATGTCAGACACAGCTGGCAGAAACAACGAATGTAACCTGCTCGATAAGGGTATAAGAGCAGAAGATGAAATATATCAACAAGAAGAGAAGCGGTCAAATCAAGGTAGTAAATTATAAAGAGAAGGAGGGCAGAAAAAGCGAATGGAGGTAAAGGGAACTTGTTATACACGTGAAGACTCATGAGGAGATCAAGTGAATCTCTCATATCATCATCAGTTTCGTCGTTCTCCTCTCTGGATAGCGTCGAGCACCGCTTGGAGGAGCCAATCCACTTTGCCTGGGAGGCGGTGGTCTGCCCATGCCACGGCCACCAGGCGGAGGTGGGCCACGAGGCATAGGGCCACCTGGAGAGACTGGAGACCCCGGGGGCCCACGGCGTGGTGAGCCTCTGAATCCTTGAGGTGGCGGGCCTGGCGGGAACCCCGGAGGCCCAGCAAGGGGTGAGGAAGGCATGGTCGGACGCAGTCTGCCAGGAGGCGGCGTCATGGCTGCAGCCCGTCGCGCATCACGCTCGCAGTAGACTTGGCCATTCCATTCAAAGTAATCTCCCCGAAGGACAACACGACAAGTACGACAGGTCAGGCAATCGGGATGAAACTTTTGCGGATTGCCGCTACCGTAAGTACTTTGTTCGATGGTCTCCAGGTATTGCCCTTCGATTCCCTTTTTACACGTAGAACATACCGAACCGTTGAGTTCATGGTAATGTTGAGCACAATAGGGATGGTCATCCAACACGTAAAAGTCCGAGGTCTCAAAGGGTGATCGACAAGTGAAACAGACAAAGCAAGCTTTGTGGTATCGTCCAGTAAGGCGACCATCTGCTGATGAAACGGATTTACCAACAATGCCCTGTCCACAACCCCGACAACGACGCTTTTGACCTCCAGCAGTAGGTGGCCGCGAAATCTGTTGACCGTGAACCTCTGCTGGAGACATTTCCCCTGCTGGACTTTTGAGAGAAACTGCCGGTCGTTGATCACTGCGCGTTGAGTATGTACCATTCACAAGGGACGGATCAGTGGGCGAGTCGGGTCCACGGTCGAAACCAGTCACGATGCGAGGTGGCTCCAAAATCGTCATCGTCGTTGTCGTCTTGTCCAAAGCTGATGGATCTTCCGCTTGGGGAAGCTGTTTCTGATCAAGTTCTAGCTCTTGCAACATCGAATCGATTTGACTCAGATCCGACGGTTTCGTGTCAGTGTCCGAAGGCTGGCTCGATAGCGAGCTACCACTGCCCATATCGGAAGGGGAGGATTCGCTGGACGATGTCGACCCTCCTGTCGCATGATAGGTATTTTTGTCCAGTCCCAGGCCTACATTAAAGTTCGACGGCGAATTTTCATCGTTTTGGACACTCTCTTGAGGGCCAGGGGTTCTATTTTGCGCCGGTTTAATCGCTCCACCGGGGACGTCAGGTTCTCTTGGAAGATAAGGTCGACCTGGGACAGTAGGTGAAGGTTGTGAAGGCCACCTAGTAAGTGCATTCTCATTTATATCGGCGTTATGTAAATCACCCATGGTCGGCATGTTCTGGGTTCGTGTCAAAAAGTTCTCATGCGGAGAAGACGGCGCTTCACCTTCATAACTATGGGGCTCGTCGGTCAAGCCAAAATCGAAGCCATTATAATTTGACTTTTTGCCCTGGGGTGGACTCCTCGATAAATTCGAGTCGACAGCACTCATCTGGGAGTTGGGTCTGAATGAACTCAATGGCCCGGTGGGCACTGGAGGCACTTCGTCCATTATATTTCGAATACCCCGCGGCATGCTCATAGATTGGCCGCGCGATGAGTACGTTGATGTAGATTCTCGGTAACGCCTACTTGACACAGAAGTTCGGTATGTGCTCCTGCTCTCGATTGAGGGTGACCTAGTATGCATGCTGCCCGACACGTCTGTATCAGCAACATCACTATTGATTGTCGGAGTGTCGGAGCGAAGCGGAGATTTAGGGAACGTTGGGCTCAGAGCAGCTCGAATGGTGGCTGCCGGATTGGGACTAAGAGCAGAACGCTCGTGCAAATCGCGAGCATTTTCGTCGTCTGTGAAGTCAAGGGACGAAGGTGTAATAGGGAAGGGCGAGGTTTGACTGCGCAGAGGCGACATCCGTGGGGTGAGAGGATGACTTCCAAGACTGCTCGAAGGACTCGCATAGCCAGGTGTCAAGAAGGGTTGATCTGTATCGATTATGACTAATATTAGCATTCATATTTTCCCCTCGTTGTTAAGCTCATTCATTGCTTCCATTACTCACTCGCAGCAGCAGGGTCTATTCGTGGAGGAGGCGCAGGCCTGCTCGGCTTTATATCACGAGCAGGCGAAGAATTCGAGGCTGTTTGGACTGTTCGTCAGCGTTCCGAGTCATAGTCTGATAGGGAAGGAATAGTCCGAGCAGGAGTCCCATACGTTGCTGGGTAATACAGACATGCTCTCCCATTGCAGAGATCTCGACATCCACACTACAATTGGAGCACTTTATCGTGGGCAGCACGCCCGCGAGATCCATGCTATTAGCCATCGCGACAGCAACGACGCCGAAGCTCTCCGATCACAAGGAGCGAATCATTAATCCACTACTCCAGAAAACGTATTCTCGGTGGGAATCGATATATATTTTCGGAGCTGAATCCGATAGTTCGCTAAGATTCTCCGGCGAGCACGGAAAAGGATGTTGGAGAGATGCGCTGTACTCCGTGGATTAAAGACTGATGGTGTTGCGTCGTAATCAAATCGCCCCAGAGGTCGACGGACTGCTTGGCCTTAAAAATTGCGACGATCACCGTAGCGGCCCCGTTCAGGTGTGGCAATGGCAGTCACAGAGGTCTCGGACTTGCTCAGTTAGTACGAGACGTGAGATGTTGTTGAACAGGGTTCTGTCACACTGGGCGTGCGGGCCGTGATTCACGAAAAGATAGATTCAGCAGTGCGATCTCTGTGATGGTTCGTCCGCTCATTGCGGTTCGCTATTGGATCAGCATGCAGCCCCCCTAGAGCGCTTTTTCCTTTAGTGTTATTTGGCTACCCCTGAACGCCTCCGCGAGGAACAGGAAGCGTGCGGGAGCGTGGACCAACAAGATGTTGCGCATTGATGGGTCTCGCTTTTAGTGCTGGACAAGCACCAACTTCTCCACCCGCGACATGCCGTGTCTTTGTCCCTCGCGATCTCGATAGGTGCCGGATGTGCTCGCATTCGAGAAGACTCCAAGACTCGCCGGCGTGCGGCTGTCTGCAGATTATGCTCGGTGTCGAGCGTAGCACGTACTCGCCTGGGCTGGACTCGGAGACGATGCCATGCGTGTTGCAAACACGAAGCAAGGGTAGTAGTTAGCGACTACCTTGGAAGTCAGGGGGGCGCACGTGCTTTCCATGCCGCCGCCCCTTCACGTGACGGACATCAGCATGCCATTATTCGTGTATAAATTCGCGTGTAGATGAATAGAACAGTATACACGCGTATATACATTGTTCTCTTCTCTCAAGGTCTGTTTCAACTCGTTCGCGACCTTAGGATCCCGAGGGCGATCTGCTAGAGGCGAGATGCTCTTACACCGCAACGCAAGCTAGTAGGTAAGTCAACTTGGAAGTAGTCAGCGGGGTCCAGACCAGCCAATTCGACAAAGGCGGAAAAGGAAAAAGCGACACTGGCATTGGCATTGCGGTATATGTGACAGACTTCTTTGCTCTTGTTTCGCTCCATTGGGAGATTGCCAGTCCCTGGCCTATAGGATTAGGCTGCAGATTAGTGAGGGGAAGACGCGGTGCTAGCCCTAACGCTAGACTCGCTGCAGATGCCAGAGACACAAATGCTTTCTTCTCGTAGCTGACAACACAATATGAATTGATTCCTGTGGAGCGGCGCTGGTCACCGACTTTTCCAGGCGGAAACTTGCGGAGGGAAGGTGCGCTCTGGCGGGGCTCCAGATTTCTGTCTGCCTGGGCCAAGTCACGCCTTCCTTCCCCAGTACGTACTTAAACCCCCCTTCTCCCTTCTCCCTCCTCCCTTCTTCCTTCTTTTTCCTCTTCCTCTTCTGCCTCACCACAGTCTCAATTCGTCCCAATCGGACCCTCAGCTCTCTTTTCCACTCTTCTGCCCGGATAGCTTTCTTCTTTCAAAGCAAGACGATCACTTCCACGGGAGTGGTCATCAACACCGGCACCATTTTCTCCAACTCGCTCAACTCGTAAGTTTTCCTTGGGCCCAACTGTCGTGCTTGCTCATTCTAACTCGTCGTCTTGCAGACGTCACCACCCGTTCAACGGCTCCCGACGCTCATCCGCTCGTGGCGGGGCATCGGGCTCATTGTATACTCATTAAGAAGCTCGAACAAGAAAGAAATACCAAGGTTCTCTGGCTCTCATCCCGCCCGTCAAGACATTATGGCTCCTCACGCAAATGAGGCCAATGGCGCCGTGAACGGGTTGGCTGGCAACAACGACAACGCTCCCCTTTTTACTGTTAATTCTCCCAACGTAGTCTACTCGGAAAATGCAATTGAGACCAAATATGCTTACCATACCACTGAGGTTACCCGCGCCCCCGGTGGCAAGCTTGTAGCTACGCCCAAGGCACACGGCTACAACTTCAAGGTCGACCGCAAGGTGGGCAAGGTAGGTATGATGCTGGTAGGCTGGGGTGGTAACAACGGCACTACTGTTACCGCCGGTATCATTGCCAACCGCCGTGGTCTTGTATGGGACACTCGCGAGGGCAAACGCGAGGCCAATTACTACGGCTCTGTCGTCATGGGCTCTACCATCAAACTGGGCACCGATGAGAAGGGCCAAGAGATTAACATCCCGTTCCATGACATGCTTCCGATGGTCCACCCCAATGACCTAGTCATTGGTGGCTGGGATATCAGCGCCCTGGGATTGGCTGATGCCATGGATCGTGCCTGTGTTTTGGAGCCTTCTCTCAAAGAACTTGTCCGCAAGGAAATGGCCGAACTGAAGCCATTGCCCAGCATTTACTACCCGGATTTTATTGCTGCAAACCAAGAAGATCGTGCGGACAATGTTATTCCCGGATCCAAGGCTTCGTGGGATCATGTTGAACACCTTCGTAAAGATATCCGGTGAGCCAGCCCCCCTTCCCTTCTTCGTTTTTTAAGATTATGCATGCTGATCTAACACGAACAAAGGGATTTCAAGGCAAAGAACGAACTTGACAAAGTCATTGTGCTGTGGACCGCCAACACCGAACGCTATGCCGATATCATCACTGGAGTCAACGATACTGCTGACAACTTGATTGACGCGATCAAATCTGGCCATGAGGAGGTATCACCTTCCACTGTCTTCGCTGTGGCCAGTGTTTTGGAAAACGCACCGTTCATCAATGGTTCACCGCAGAACACCTTTGTTCCAGGTGCCATTCAATTCGCCGAGAAACATGGTGCTTTTATTGGCGGCGATGACTTCAAGTCTGGACAGACCAAGATGAAATCGGCTCTAGTTGATTTCTTGATCAACGCTGGTATCAAGCTGACTTCAATTGCAAGCTACAACCATCTCGGCAACAATGATGGCAAAAACCTCAGCTCGCAGAAGCAGTTCCGTTCCAAGGAAATTTCCAAGTCCAACGTCGTCGATGACATGGTGGCAGCGAACTCAGTCCTCTACAAGGAGGGCGAACACCCAGATCATACCGTTGTTATCAAGTACATGCCTGCTGTTGGCGACAACAAGCGTGCTCTTGACGAGTACTACGCCGAGATCTTTTTGGGCGGTCACCAAACCATCAGCATCTTCAATGTGTGCGAGGACTCTCTGTTGGCTTCTCCTCTAATCATTGATCTTGTTGTTGTTGCCGAGATGATGACTCGTATCAGTTGGAAAAAGGCCGAGGGCTCCGACGACTACAAGGGCTTTCACAGTGTTTTGAGCGTTCTCAGCTACATGCTTAAGGTAAGCTTGTAACTACACTCTGTCTGCTTACGGAGAACATATCCACTAAACAGCCTTTTTTTTTATTATTATATAGGCGCCCTTGACTCCTCCAGGTACACCTGTGGTCAACGCTCTTGCCAAGCAACGCGCTGCATTGACCAATATTTTCCGTGCTTGTGTCGGCCTGCAGCCTGAATCCGACATGACCCTAGAGCACAAGCTCTTCTAAGGCCCGAAATCAGACGTCTCGGGGAATTTGATTTTTTGATTTTCCACTTGCAGCCTGACCCGAAGTCACTCGTTAAATAGCAATCAATAACAATAAATTCACGTGCTTCATTCGTTCGTTCATTCAGAGAGAAATTACTTGTAAACTTGTAAGCTCTAATAACTATACCTAGTACTACTTACTTGCCTCGGTGCATGTCCGAAGAACCTTGAGAGACTTCCGTGCTATCAGGGTCCTCAGCGAGACGTTACTTCTTAAACCCAGCGGAGCGCGGATCTATCTACTACTTTATAATATTTCTTATCTACATGATTATCTCAATTTAATTATTTATTTAATTTCCCCCTTTTTTTTTTTTCTCAGTCTAAAAACAAATGGGAGTATAACACACATTACAAACATCAATTTATTGTTTTCCCCGGTCTCGGTTTTTTTTTTTTTAACTTTGGCCAGGCATGAAGAAAATAGGAGTAGACACTCAAGCACGCACATCAACGACGCAGCGAATGCAATCGCCAGCCTTCATTTGCTCAAAGGCATTGTTAATATTAGCTAAGACATCACGGTGTGTGATGAACTCGTCAACTTTGAGTTTGCCGTTCAAGTAGTCGTCTACCAGATCGGGCAATTGTGATCGTCCCTTGATACCGCCAAAAGCGCATCCTTTCCAGACACGACCGGTGACCAATTGGAATGCTATTGATGATAACATTGATTAGTCATGGAGAAGAAGAAGAATAAGAGGGAAAGAGTGAAAAGGGAACAACACAACATACGCCTTGTGGAGATTTCTTGACCAGCAGCAGCAACACCAATAACAATACTTTGACCCCAACCCTTGTGGCACGCCTCGAGAGCAGCGCGCATCACGCCGACATTACCGGTGCAGTCAAAGGTATAGTCACAACCACCATCCGTCATCTCAATCAGTTTCTCCTGCACACTCTGCCCACCCAGCTTTGTCGGGTTGACAAAGTCGGTGGCGCCAAACTTGCGAGCCCACTCCTCCTTACTGTCGTTGACATCAACGGCAATGATCTTGCCCGCCTTGTTCTTGAGCGCGCCCTGGATGACTGATAGACCAACACAGCCCGCGCCAAACACGGCCAGGTTCGAGCCCTCCTCGACCTTGGCCGTGACGACCGCGGCGCCGTATCCGGTCGTGATACCACAGCCCAGCAAGCAGGTCTTATCGGTGCCGGCCTTGTCGGTCACGGCGACAACGGAGATATCGGCGACAACAGTGTACTGCGAGAAAGTCGATGTGCCCATAAAGTGCAGAATGTCCTTTCCGCGTGCCTTGAATCGAGAGGTGCCGTCTGGCATCACGCCTTTGCCTTGGGTAGCGCGGATCTTGCCGCAGAGGTTTGTCTTTCCGGACTTGCAGAACTTGCATTCCTTGCATTCAGGGGTGCTGTAAGGCTCTCTCTTTTCTTTAGTCTTTGCAAGGTTCTCATATGAGACGGTTCAAACGAACGGGAAGACTGACTAGAGAGCAACAACGGTGTCGCCGGGCTTGACGTTTGTCACGCCTTCTCCAACAGACTCGACTATACCAGCACCTTCATGTCCGAGAATGACGGGGAAAGCTCCCTCGGGGTCCTTGCCTGACAGAGTGTATGCATCTGATATTTTTTTATTTTTTTTATTTATTTAATCCCTTATGCCTTCAAAGAGTGAAAAGAAGGGGGTGAGGAACGCACCTGTGTGGCAGACACCAGTGTGGAAGATCTGGATACGGACCTCGTGGGCCTTGGGAGGCGCGACCTCGACATCTTCGACGGAGAGCGGCTGGCCGGCTTCCCATGCGATGGCGGCCTAGCATGGTTTAGTGGGTTGGAAATGCGCGTACATACTAGGGCATAAGCTCACCTTGCAAGTGATGGTCTATGATTTGACTCGGTCAGCATGGCTACTTGCAGAAAAGAAGAGAATAGGCCGGCTGACTAACCTTTCCGACGGTATCGGCCATGGCGTCTTTCTTCTTCTATGAAATGGAGGATGAGTCTTTGCAGGGAGAGAAGAGCCAGGAATTAAATAAATACTGTTTTACGGGGGGGTTTAAGAGGGAAAAGAAAAAAAGAGTCGGATTCGGAGAGGCAGCGGAGGTAGGATTCCGAAGAACTGGGAAGGAGAGAGCGACGTGAGGGGAAAAAGTATGCTGGCGATGGTGGGGTTAGTATGGGTGAGGGGCAGCATCTCCAACTCACAGTATGACAGTATGACAGTATGCCTACATGCCTACGTAGCACAGTCATACGAGACACGAATGGCCATTGACATCTTCGAGCCAGGTCGTACCTAGGTATGCCCACACAGCAATCGCAGAAGTATACGAGATAATCGCTCAGATATCAAAGCTGGTGGAACGGAAAACTCAATTAGGAAAGCGTTTCCCGAGCCCTTTGTTGTGTATGCGCATAGCTCTAGCATGAATATAGATGGGACGCGTGTTATACGTAGCCAAAGTTGCAAAAAAAAAAAAAAAAAAAAACGAGTATCATACTCCGTACAAAAATCGTACATAGTGCTACACGCTCTGATTGGTCCATGTTGATTAGTCAGCTTGCGTTTGTAATCCCAAAAGCTTGAGTCATGTGACTAGACTTTCCGTCGGGTCACGTGACTTTGATCCATGGAACTATGGAGGTATATTATATCATATATCATATATCGTATATCATATAGTGTATTGAACCAGACGAGATGATTGCATAGTATACAATATTAATTATACATGATCCCGAGTCTTGACTTCCAGCCTCGCTTTTGGGCTGCTATCAGCCCGCACTGGTTGACCCGCGGCCAAGCAGGCAAGAGCATCGTATAACTATAATCTGCTTTCTCAATATGCATGCGAACTAGTTACCTAGCTAGGTAACTTTGTCACTCACCTGTGTGCTTCCAGTCTCATGCACTTCTCCAGATTCTTCTTGGCTGGTATGCGTTAGTAGTCAGTTGGTTGTCATTGTCTAGTTGTTGTTACTACTACTACTAATGTTATTATTATTATTATTACTACTATTCTTCTTGTTATTATTAGTCGAAGTGTCAGATTCAAATCGACTCGACTCCAATTGCGTCTCAACCTTCATCAGCCCGAGGTTGGTCAGCCCCTTGACGCCCGCCGCCCCATTCGCAGAAACCCGGTTGGCCCGTCGCCAGCGGCGGATCCAGACCAGTAGGTCGCGGTAGTCGTCGTCCAAGGTCGTCGTCCAGAGCGGCGAAATGCCAGCTGCTTCCAACTCGGCCTGGCGCGCCGCGTCCGGGGGAGCTATGATGTGTAGAACGTGCACCATGAACGAGCCCGCGATGGCAAAGTTAGGTCGGCTCCCTGATGCATACATAGATGGCTAGGATTAGCATTCATCAGGAATAGGGAGGGGGTAAGAAAGAACGTACAGCTGTGCCAGAATGCATTCCACTGCGTCTCGGTCAACGTTTCGATGAACTCGACAAACTCCTTCACACACAGCAGAGCCCCGCGAACCACAGCCTTGGCGCCGTCGTTAATGGCACCCGCTTGATCTGTGTTCAACGGCCGGAGAAGAGCACGGACGAGCGTCATGTGCACTACGATATACGACAAATGCAACGCGCCGTTTCCGTCTAGGTTTTCTCCGTACTGCGAGGATTGTGACTGCGAGCCGCCACCTCGAAAGCGCAGTGCGTCTGGGACATGATCGCGCCACTCCTTCAATCGGGCCCGAAGTGGCCGTGCGGCTTCGAGAGCGTACTGCAGGTCTGACGATGTCCGGCTAATAGCGCGAACAGTGTAATATGTATGTTGAATGTCAGAAAGGATGCCCGTTAACATGACCAAATGACACAGATGCGCGTAGTTGTCGCAGTCCACTGAGAGCGTGTTTTTGATATCGGCTATGCTGATGGGCGCGACGTCGGAATCGTCATCGTGCAGATGACTGGGCATGCCACGTGCGAGCGCAATCCATTTTTCCATCGCCCACAACGCCCACCACAGCCGACGGCGAAGTTGCCGTTCCCACATGGGCACTGACAGCCACGCGGACGGATCTCGATGTAGTCCAATCGTCTGTGCAGTTGCTACAGCTGTCGACATCAGAGTCCAGGTGAATGCGGTGTCAGACAAGTATAGATTAGTGGGGAGTCGTTGCTGAAGAATGAGACATGCTTGTAGTGTAGTTAACGATGGTGCATGCAGTTCGGCCGTGATGCCTAGCCAGGCTAGACGATAGAGATCCTGGCTTGAGGGCGGCCGCAGGAGCAGCGTATATAGTGCCTTGTTGTACATAATAAACGGTAGTGCAGTCGCACACATTGCCGTTAATAGGCCTAGAGACATATTACTGAGCAAATCCGGTGTATTTGGGATCTGGTGTCGTGACACAATCGGAAAATAAGGATCGACAAATCGGCTATACAGACCGATCAGATGCCAGGCACCAACCGGGTCGAGGATCTGCCATAGTTCAGACCAGGCCGACTCGTTTGTTTGATAGTCGACCTTTGGTTCTGCCTTGTCGAGGAGGGAGCGGTCGGTGATGCCGAATATGGTGGAATGGCAATCAGTGGCGTTTTCTCCACCTAGCACTCGATATTTCAGCCCTCTCACCTTGGGCCGCGATATATTCTGCTCGTCGTACTGCTGCTGGCTGAGGAGGTGTATGTCTGACACCCCGGTTGGGCCGATGTAGAAACTGAATGCGTCTGGGATGAATTCCAGCGACGCCTGGTGCGTCGGATGGGCATGGTTTGTGGCTATGGCTGTGGTTTGAAGAGGGGACATTGGATCTAGCAAGATGCCGTTTGCAAAAGACGAGTTTGTCTGTTCACTGGTGTTTCGTGTCGGGTCGAAAATTGACAGATAGTGGCAGGCGTCATCGGTATCGTCGCCATCGCCGACGCGCTCCGGGAAGACTCCAAACGGCGAGCCCTCGTCTGAATTCGAATGGGCGCTTGAATGGGCATGCGTATTGGCATTGGTGTTGGGTGCGCGTCGTTTCCTCTGGCTGGGGCCTTCGTCGAAGGTGCAGGCTTTATCCATGTGCATGCAGCGTCTGCAGGGCGGGCCTGCGGGCATATCGCAGGCCACCTTGCGTCGACGACAGGCATCGCAGGGCCGCGTCTTGCGAGACTTGTAGATTCTGCCCTTGGGGGCAGCTGTTTCTCGCGGCATCTTGTTGTTGTTGATGTTGTTGGAGATGAGGAGGAAGTCACGGCGGACGACCGGCGGGGAGCCTCGGCTTGCCTATCTCGGAGATTACGTCGGCCAATCAGCGACAGCTATAGAACACTAAGCAAAGAAACAGCTAGTTAACTAATAGGCACAAAATACTGGCATAAAAAAGCAGATAATTAAGAGCGAAATAGAATTAGACTATCTACAAAGAGGCCTCAACCTCCAGCAACGCCGTCAGAAACGGATCCTCAAAGACCGCCTGCGCCTTGTCGTCGGCCATGGGCAGCAGTGGCCGGCGTGGTTTATCGCCGTATCCAAAATGGCGATTGAGCAGCTTTTTCATTCCGGCAATCTACGGTGAAGGTTAACAGATTAGTATTCTTGTTATATCGTTAGTCAGTTGTTGCCACCGCTTACTCCGATTTTCAGTGCGAGTCCATCGGCCAGCGCGACGGTGTTCTGCAGCTTCTGTGCCTCCTGATACTGGTTCGGGTCGTCGAGGGACTGGCACAGCTCCCACAGCCTGACGCATGCTTTCTAGGGCACGTTAGTCGAGAGAGAATATCAATCACGAAAAGAAGGAAGCATTCATACTGGAGCAATATTCGGCAGCCCGCTAATCGCGCCAGACGAGCCAACCGAAATCGACGGCAGCAGAAAGTCAATAAACCCGTCGATTGCGCGGAATGGAATGATGGGATGCTTGCGAGGGTATGCAGCTTGGAACTGCGCGTGGTTGATCTGGGCCATGATGCGAGTGAGCTTGCCGACGTTGGCGCATCTGTTGAGATTTCAACTCGTTAGTCGCATACACTCGTGAGAGAAGAATAGGATCAATCACTCACGTTAGTTTCACGCCGCACACGTTGGGCGAGCACTTGACGACCTCGACGATCAGATCGCTGTTTATATCGATACCGTTCGAGACGGCAGGGAAGTTATACAGTATGCTATATGCCCATCACCATCCGTAAGTATTGTGTCCAATAACAGAAATTAAGGCCGACTCACACCGGCACCGGCGAGGCCTCCGCAATATCAACAAAAAACTGCTTGATAGCGGCCGAATCGTTCGCCAGCAGAGCACCAGCATAATATCCTGGCGGAATGACCATGACAAAATCCGCGCCGGCCTGGGCCGCTTCCTGCGCCAGTTCGATCGACTCGCGCGTGCTGTTGGCCCCGGCGCCGGCGACGATGGGCATGGCGGTTAGTTGGATCTCGTCGAGCGCCGAGCGGGCTGCTTTTATGAGCTGGATGCGCTCGGTATGGCTCTGCTGGAGTTAGTAGTTGTTTCGGTGTTTCGTCCTCGGGGGGTGAAGACTGCGTACAAGATGGACGGCTTCGCCCATGCTGCCGCTGATGACGGGCACTGTGCCTGCGCCTGCAATGACTGTACCGAATGGTTATTAGGTTCCAATGATTGCATCCATAGACCTGCGAGTACAGCGAAGACCACTCACACTGGACATGTTTTTTGAACGCCTCAAGATCCAAGTCCTCATCATCCTTGAAAAAACACGGCAAGGGCGTGTAGATGCCTGCAGGGAGGGAGCGCATTGTGTCGTAACTACTAGCAGTGCTGCAAATGAAAGTGATAAGAAGATTAAGGTGGGCTCATATGGACAGTCAAGCAGTAGTATAACTACCTAACCTAGATAACAGGGTTTGCCTATGCCAATCTAGTTCGTGCGGCCGCCGCTATAAGGTGCGGCATGAGAGCGGCCAAGATGCGGCAGCAGCGCGCCATATAGGGATTAAGTGACGCTGCTTTATCTATTCTTGGTATCGAGATCTCGGTTAAAGCTGCTCAAGAGATGCACACATCTACTCCGGCACTCAGTAACAAACTAGTGAGTGGACAGGTCAGTGGTAGATGATTAGACAGACTCCTTATTTGAGACGGAGAATATGGAACCAACGCCGCAGAAGTTGTTCAACTATTCGGAGGTCATATACTACACAATGCGGAATACAATACGTACTAGCTTGTGACGATGTAATAAAATTTGGACATACAGCCTACTGTAGACCGCTAACTTATAACTAACTTGTAGAAATAAATGATAGATGGAACTAACGCGCAGGAATAGGAAAGCAGTGTACAGCAAAAGTCAGAAGGGGCCAGGACTCAAGTGTCATGTCGATATTTCGTTGGCATGTGCTTCCAGGCACTGCCCTGAGAGCATCCCGATGCAGCTTCGCATACCTGGCTGAGAGAAATGATAGTGTCATCATCATCCTGAAAATAAGAGAACAGGTTCAACCGAATTCTACCTACACAGAGCTTGTTTCTAATACGGGGTATCAGACAATGACACTAAGCCAAATTTGGACAAGGGACGCTGGAGCCAAGCTTCGGCTGCTTAGGTAACTATCCATTGCTGATAAAAGCTATGCAGGTCCCCACCGCGGCCAACTCAATACATATACCTATACATATCTATCTATAGTGTTATTTATCAAGATTATCTGGAAGTTCATTTTCTATGACAATGATTGGGTTAGGGCTAGGGTTAAAACGCAATTATCAACTCTCTATTCTATTCTAACATTCACGCCCGAATCCCTATTAGTATACCTAGGTAAACAAATTATAGTCATCAACGTCTAGATGATACGCTATACCACACACACACACTCTCTCTATATAAGTACCGCCGGATCTCGGATTTATTCACAGTGTGAACCGGAACAAAGGCGAGTCCTCACCCATCTCACCCAACTCATCGGTCGTGTACTGCGTCTCCACAGCCGCCGTATCGAGGGCATCACGACGCTTGTTCTCGCGACGGAGCAGGTACCAATGAATAGTGGCTGGGATCATGGCGCCGAGGACAGTAGCACCGACTGAAAAGCCGAAGCCCAGGGGATACGTGGGTGCTTCGTCGGCGAGGTAGATGTTCGAACCGATGCTGCCTCCGCCAACACTTCCAAGAAGCATCATCAGACCGATAGCTGCGGCTCGCTTGGAGGGGTTGGGCACGTTGACACTGGTCCATGCACCGACCTGTCGCGGGGGTTAGTGTTTTTTTTTTTTTTTTGTTGTTGTTGCTTATTGCCGTTTCTCATGTGAACTTACAATCGGAGCCTGGGCCGAGTATCCGGCTGCAGCAAGAAAAATGGCAAAGTAGCTGACACCGGAAATGTGTGGGTAATGCGTGGTAATCCAGAGAATGATGATTCCGCTGTAGAAAAAAAAATCTCATGTCAGTTGAAATTGCAATGGCAACATAGAAAAACGGGATGACTGACATCATTCCCAGGGTATAGGAGCCCATAATGCAGAAATACCGTTTCTGGTACTTGTCGCTAAGCCATCCAACAGTTACGCAAACGCAAGTGGCGAAGATATACGGAGGCGTTGTCATGGCCTGCGCTTTGACGTCGCTGTATCCCAGATTCTTCACCATCGTGGGCAGAGTGTACGAGAGAGAGTATGTAGGCACAGAGCCTCCCCACCAGAAGAGCATCATCCTGGTAAATAGAGTGTCAGAACAGATCTCTCATCAGACGATAGATCGGTCAGACGTACATGAACCAAGTCTTCTTGTCCTTGGCCGCGGCAATAACATCGCTCCATCGGAACTCATAGGTTGGTGGCTCGGGTCCGTTGGCGTACTTGACGCGCAGAGTCGCGTAGTCAAGCTCTTCGGGTTTCAGCCAGTGGCTGACCTTTTTGTCGTACTGATGTGGAAATCCCCTATGGAAAGCATATTAGGAACGATATCACCACCAGGCGGCGAGAAATAAGCATACGGTAGAAGCACAAAACAGCAAAGACCCGCAAACATGGTGATGACTCCCTCGATCAAAAACAACCATTTCCACGCTCTCCATCCCATTGCACCGTCGAGATTACCAACACCATAGGCAATCACACCACCGAAAGCTCCTGCAGCGGTATTGGCGCCGTAGAAGATGGCCATGCGGGTAGCAAGCTCCTTGGGGGTATACCACATGGACAGAATGAAATATGATCCGGGATACAGACCAGCCTCAGTAATGCCAAGGACAAGACGGATCGCAATAAAGCCGCCGTAGCTGCTGACCTGAGAGGTCAATGTAGAGACGAGACCCCATGCAGTGACAATGAAAGGGAACCAGATTTTGGGGCCGAATTTACGGAGGAGAATGTTGGATACCGGCTCCCACAGTCCATAGGTGAAGAAGAAGTACATCAACGCAAGATTGAATTGCGTCGAAGTCATGCCGACATCCTCCAAGAAACCGAAGAGCTGGCGAGTCGGTCAGTCGCTGACACAACACAGAGCATGGCTAGACAAGGACATGGCATACCTTGGCATTTCCGGCATTTGCTTTGTCGAGAGAGCACATCAAGTACAAGAAACTCAAAGTTGGCAGCAGACGAAGATCAACTACACAGACATCCCGTAGTCAGTAGCCATTTGACTGAGGCTATATTACAGAGAAGTTTGAACACACGCTTGCGAAGCAGCTTCTTCTTGCCGGAGCCCTCAAAGGCCTCGTGCAAGGTGAGATAGCGTTCATACTCGCTGCCCGAGAAGCTCTCTTCAGTGAGGCCGATGGTCTTCTCGTCTTTGAGCTCGTCGTTCCCAGACGACGGGGGTCCAGAAGGAGGCAGGGCGGTCATCTTGGCCGGGGGTCAAATCAGCCAGGTCGGTAGCAAAACGAGATCATGGCCGAGCTCAAGGGGACATAGGCCGCATTGCCTTATTTCTAGTCCTCGAGGTGGTGACCACTATCTCGAGCACGCAGATAAGCACGGCCGCGGTTGCGGTGCTATCGAGCACGTCCAGCACGATGGCATCGGGACGCTGATAAACGCCTTTTCGCTCAGTGAACTATCAGTTCCGATGGTGGGCCGAAGAAAGCTTGTGTTGCAGGCTGGAGATTGAAGGGAAAAAGCGTTGCCCGCGCGGGCAATCGGCGCTTATCAGGCCTTATCGTTGCCCAGCGGCCAAACACGCGCCAGTTACCCCTTTGGGAAGAAATCTGAGGCTTGTGTCTCCAGAAGTATTTTGACTCGGATGGACAGCGACTTTGGCACGCATAAAACGGCTGCAAACGTCCACAGCTTCAGCATTCCACTTCAACTCGCTTCCACGCAAGAGAGCTTTTCACCATGCCTGCTACCGTCGCGAATCCGCATCTCCTCTCCCGGCCAAAGAAGGACGACGGGAGTCCGCTGTACCCCGAGTTCATGCGTATGAAATCAATCTCTTCCACTTCTGCTCTACTTACTAATATTATCTACAAGCACACTATGATCCACTCGAGAAGGTAGAAGACATCGGCGAATTCGAACACTACGACCCCGGCCATCGCGCCGACCCAACGTTCCCCAATCTGCTCAAAGATGTGACCAAGATGTTCGACCTCTCGCCGCACGTTGGAACCGAGATCCACGGCGTGCAGCTCTCCAAGCTCAACAGCGCGGGCCTTGACGAATTGGCTCTGTTGGCTGCGAAACGAGGCGCGCTTGTGTTCCGTGATCAGGACTTTGGCGACCTGGGCTTTGAAGAGCAGAAGAAGATCGTCAGGCATTTCGGACCCTTGCACATCCACGGCTGGGCGCCTCATCCGGCTGCTGGCTCCGAAGAGCATATGATTATATACGACCACAAGGAGTACGTTAAACCATGCATCGATGAGTCCTCAAATCGGATAGGCTTGGAACTAATCCGGTCCATCAAATAGCGACCTGCGTGTGCGACAGTCCTGGGCCGGCCGTAGCCCTGTGCAATGGCACACTGATCAGAGCCCTGAGAAGCAGCCCCCCGGCACAACATTCATTGGCATGCTGGAATCCCCCAGCACAGCCGGTGGTGATACTCTAGTCAGCTCGAGTGTTCGTGCATACAGCAGCCTCTCGCCGCGCTTCCGCAAGCGCCTTGAGGGACTCACTGCCATTCACAGCAACAATGACGGTGTTACGCAAGAGATGAAGCACGGTCAAAAGGCCGTCATGCGTCGCGGTGTGCTCGAAGCAGAGCACCCCGTTGTCATCGTTCACCCAGTCACCAAGGAAAAGGCTCTTTGTAAGTCGGCCTTCCTATATATCCGGACTTATCTATCTTTATTGCTAACGGACGTTTGATCTAGATGTCAACCCCGTCTACACAAAGCGCATCGTTGGCTTTGACCAGGAAGAATCCGACTGCATTCTCCGCTTCCTGTTCGACCACATTGCCAAGCGTCAGGACTTCTCATGCCGCGTTCGATATGAGGCTGGTACAGTCCTTGTCTGGGACCAGCGTGTCACCAACCACTCGCAGACTCTCGACTACCCAGTCGGCGACCGCAGACATGGATTCCGCTTGACGCCGCTCGCGAATAAGCCCATTCCTGCGAAGATTGAAGAAGACGACGGAGAGTGTGCGCGCGACGAGGCCCGAGTTCAGCTGAACTTGTGCTAGTTCTCAGCTTGAAGTGTTGAGAGCTTGTAGGGTATAAGCCAGTATTTCTTGAATATTCTTTTTCTTTTGGGCCAGCTTACATTGTAAATAACATCATTTTCAAAATGGAAACAAAATCAAGAACAATTTCACACTGTCAAAAAGTACCCTTTCTCAATCCGGTTAGCCCAACCCCCTGACAATGATCGGAGGAACCGTATGTGCTTATCTAATCTTGTCCACCATTTGGGATTAGTGCGGGTAGGGTAACCCCCCGCAATCGGCGTATGAAAGTCCCAAGGTTCTTTCGTCGAAAAAAAATCTCTGAGTCACATCATTAAAGATCCGAACAGAGACACAGCAATGCCTTCAAAAAAGCGATGCGGTACAAAACTCATTCCAACTAGCCATTATGAAATGACGTGGATCACTAACATTTCCCAACAGGAGTCTTAGGAGCAACCGGAGCCGTGGGGACACGCTTCATTCTTCTGCTCTCTGAGCATCCGCTACTGGAGCTGGTAGCTGTAGGAGCATCCGAAAGATCAGTTGGTAAAAAATACACCGATGCTGTGCGTTGGAAGCAGTCCTCCCCAGTGCCCGCAGAAGCCGCAAATCTCGTTGTGCGACGCTGCGTACCCGACGAATATCCAGATTGCGACATCATCTTCTCGGGCCTCAATTCTGATGTGGCTGGCGATGTCGAAATGGCCTTTCTAAAAGCAAACTTTGCGGTCTTTTCAAACGCCAAAAACTACCGATTAGCCCCTCAGGTTCCCCTGATTGTTCCGATTGTCAATCCGGGACACATCGAGTCCATCCCAGCACAGCGTCGGCACTATCAACTGGATAAAGGACTTCTTATATGCAATTCGAATTGTGCGGTTATCGGCCTCGTTATCCCAGCTGCAGCACTTATTCAAAAGTTTGGGCCTATCGAGCAAGTAAGCATGGTGACTATGCAGGCTGTATCAGGAGCAGGCTATCCTGGCGTCAGCTGTAAGTGTTTATTCCCATGTCACGACATTCCGCACATTTATACAGAGCTAACCGGGTAAGGCATGGATATCTTTGACAATATTGTTCCATACATCCCCGGCGAGGAAGCTAAGATTCCCGCTGAAGCTCGCAAGATTTTGGGCAGCTTGACCGCGGATCAGACTGCATTCATCGATCAACCTCTCCGCGTATCTGTTGCCTGTAACCGTGTTCCCGTGCTCGATGGCCATACGGTGTGTGTATCGCTACGATTCGCAAAACGACCTCCGCCGACCGTTAGCGAGGTGCGTGCTGCTTTGAACGAGTATACCCCCGAAGTCCAAGCCCTAGGCTGTCCTTCTGCTCCAAAACGCGCTATTATCGTTCTGGACGAGGTTGATCGGCCACAGCCTCGCCTGGACAGGGAATCGGAAAGAGGATTCGCTTGCAGCGTTGGGAGAATCAGGGAGGATCCAAGTGGTATTTTTGACATCCAGTTTGTGGCCTTATCGCAAAACACCGTCCTCGGAGCGAGCGGCTCTTCAATTTTGTCGTAAGTTTGCCACCTTCCTACCACTAGTCTCAGAGGCTAACCCCCCCAATTAGAGCGGAGAGCGCAATTCTCAAAGGCTACGTCTAGCCTTTCATGTGACTTGGTCGTGATTGTGTGTATGGCGAGAGGATAAGTATTATTGCAATGAAAACTTGAAATGCAGAACTTGTACTTAGACATGTTTTAAGATATTCTCTCTATTCTATCGACATCATCTCTCGGCGCTTTCGTCGATACGTAAATACCTATCTCACTGTCAATATCGGTTTCTCTCGATGGCCAAGGGGGGCTTTTTCTGGAGACTCGTACACATCCTTGTACTAATCTGCGTGGCTTAAGCCGCCGAACAGCACCTTAACTCATTTTCCTGCCGAGACGGAGCTCGGCAGCCAGCGAGATTAACCCGATGAGGAAGAAGAGTCAATTTCTGACAGAATTTGAGGTCTCACTACGCCGACTCGGGAATAGCTGTTATAGGCGTATACATATCACGTTTGAGTACCACCGGAACCGGCGCCACGGACCCAGCTCCCTCGACATTCACATATGCAAATCATCTGTCGAACCTGATGATTCCTGTGACTGTCACTGCGGGATCGATCACCCAGACTACAAGTGGTACCGCCTCTGCCACCTCTGCTTCTGCCTCTGCCTCTGCCACGAAGACGTCCCAGCAATCTTCTGCTTCGACTAAAAGTAGCACTGGCGGCAGCATTCCTATAATGACTAGCAACGTAAAGCTCGCTGTTGGTGGCGCTGCGCTTGCTTTGGCTGCTGCAGGAATGCACTGATTCACCTCATTTTCGAAGAATGTGGTATTGTAATCGGACACCCACCCGTCGTCGCCGTCAATGCACATATAATGATATGCCACTCCACGATATGTAGTCGCGCAGATATTAACTAGCTATTTTCGATTTGAAAAAATGGATATATCTTGACTATTGACGAAGCTGTGAGGATCTATATTATCTATTACTTATACAACTCTCCGACGTCGATCGAGGGGAATATGATATAAAAGTGTAAAATCTGTTAATTGTTAATTGATCAGATTTGAGGGAGGAGGAATTGCTTGTAAGTATATCATTATGCCAGAAGTTATCTATAGTTTCCATGAGACTGGCTTTGCTATAGGACTCCGTGCAATTGTAAAGGTTTTTACTGAAAGTGATTGATATGGCTGTCCAAATCTACCGCAACCTGGCAATCGAGCGGTGAGAGGTTTCTGATAACCAGGTAGATATGACTTATCACGTGATTTTCTTCTCTCGTTTGTGTATGTTGCTATAACTGTGAATGGCACGTGTCTAGGGTTGCGCTGCTGACGGAGCGAGGATGGCTTGGTCTGCAGATTGGAAGTAGAGTAGTTATTTTATTTCCATGATGATCTAAATAAGTCCCACATCCCAGCAGTGACGCGTTTAAGCAGCAGAAAGTAGGTGATGACGATGAAGATGGACATGACGAGACAATAGCTATAATACACTGAGCGAAAGAATGAACGGACAGAAAAAAAAAAGGAAGAGAGATGCAAGGTATATCAAACATCTAGACCAGTTCTACTGGCCTGTCCCCAATCATCATCATCATGAAAACGAACATTTTGTCCCTTAGAAACCCGCCAAAGATTATACATGTTCCGTCTTGTTTATCGCCCGGGAAGCTGACCGCTTTGCATCATGGCGGCATTTTGTTCTTGGAAACGCTCTCCAAGCCGAGCAGAGCCCTTGAGGTACTTGTCCACGCAGCGAAGGACGCAGCCTTCCTCCCGGGCAATCAGAGACTTGGTGGTGAAATCGTTGACGCAGTCGTCGAAGCAGCGTTGTACAAGGCGGGAATACATCTGGACAGGAGAAGTGTGAGTTGCGTCAATTGCGTTGATTGCGTTATTGGTTGGTGAAAAGATGGGAATATATATACCTGCATAAACTCCTTCATTTGCTTTCTCTCCATGCGAGCAGCCAGCTCACGCTGTTCCGAAGCGTTGAGTCTGAAAAATCAAATCAGCACACGGCATCATTGCAACTGGGGTGGAATGCAACAGCCAGTCTTACCCGTCCATTTTCTTTAAAAATCAATTAAGTATTATAATAGTACAAAGAGAACAGATGGGCGGCTTCTTCTCCGAAGGGAATGGCTTTGACGTCGTTGGGCTTAATTGTTGATGAGCTCTCCGGAGCTCAACTTCTTCCATTCGCGGAACAACGCACGCTCCGACGTCACATGATTTGAGCTCAGCTGACCGAAGCCTGAGGCACCGGGAAAGAGTCACGTGAACCACTCTGAAACAAGTCTCTCGCCGAGACCAGAGTCGGTGAAAACATGTATTACTCGGTGGTATTTCCATTTCGCTTTCAATGGTAGGAGATATGCCTGCAATACAGGCCGATTACCAGTATACCCAGTTCGACAAAAGTCTAGACGTGTTCGGCAGCGTTTGCAAGCGGAGCATTCCTCGCATTCCCAAGGAACGGCCGTCTTTTTATAGCACAGACTGGCTGGCTCGAATTTTGCCAATTCGACCTGCGAGACAGACAAGGAAAAGACAGATAATTTACGGCATTCTTGACCATTGGTTCCACAGCTCTGTACTAGATAGTAATTTAATCAAAAGCACCCATGGGAAGCGCCAGAGCCTCGGGGGACGGGAGGCCTGAGGCGCAGACTGAGGAACCCCACCTCTCCCATGACTTCCTTCCCTTCGCTTTCCCTTCTGCCACCGCCCTCAAGCCACTGCTTGCAATCATCCATCGCACTCTCGCTCTCCCTCCTCCAGAATATCGCACACAGAAAGAAGAAAGACTGGAGTCTCATTGCGTCCAGGGCCCTGCCCCTCCTAGCTTGCTTCAGAATCTGTGATTGTTCGGTTGCCCCTGCATCTCTGCGGCTTTTCCGACACTCACTAGTAGTAACTGACTAGTTCCCTCCAACCCTACTACCACCAGTACCAACTACCAGTCAGTCCAGACAGTCCAGTCAGTCCAGCCAGTCATCACTTGTTGGCCCCAGCCTCCTCTTCTTTCTGCTGCCAGCAACCAGCAGCTCACTGGCGCCCCGCTTCATTTCGCTCTTTCTGCATCCCCGTTTATCTCCTATTTCTGCAGCCTTGGCACCACCAGCAGTTTCACTAAGCCTGTCAATGCCTTTGGGTTTTGCCGCTGGGTCATATCCAAACAGCTAATCAGCGCCTTCTGCTGAAGCGCTGAAACAGCCACAGCACAGCACAGCAAACAGCCTATTTATTGGGATTTTGCTTTCTTTCATGCGAAACTGACACTGATTTCATGAAAACTGCTTCTGTCTAACCACCCAAATACAATACATTATCCATATCACCTTGTGAGAGCTGCACTGTACCAGCTCGTCAACAGACTATGACGACAGGGAATTCCCAGCCGTTCACGGCACACCCACCTATCCAGCCGTTCACAAACAACCACTCGCAACCTGCCTCACACGATCCTGCTGCTCCTACTGCCCCATCCAAACGAGACTTGGCCTCCTGGTGGAAGACTTTCAAGCGTAACACAAAGAAGGAGGATGACAATAAAGGTATGTGCATACCTCTGGAACAAGTGGTGACGCACATGGTTGGCACCTAAGCAATGCCTTTTTTCCCCCTGTTTTTGAATTGTTATTTACCTGAAACTTTGCGCTCTCTTTGCGCTCATCTTGCGCACTTTCCATAATTAGGAATGTCCTCGCTAACTTTATACTTGCATCATTCAGCACGGGCAAATGGTGGAATCTTTGGTGTCCCACTAAATGTTAGCATCAAATATGCAAATGTTGCCATCTCATTGACAAATGATAAAGGCGAGAGTTTCATTTATGGTTATGTTCCAATTGTTGTTGCAAAGTGTGGCGTCTTTCTGAAAGATCAAGGTATGCCACCCAAGAAAACACCTTTTCTCTTAAAGTTGTCTTTCTAAACCCACTCTCTCCCAGCCACCGAAGTCGAAGGCATTTTCCGTCTGAGCGGTTCCGCACGACGCATCAAGGAGTTGCAGGAGATATTCGACTCGCCCGAGCGCTATGGCAAAGGTCTGGATTGGGGGGGATACACAGTGCATGATGCTGCCAACATACTGCGGCGGTACTTGAACCAGCTGCCTGAACCCATTGTCCCCCTGGACTTTTATCAATCCTTTCGCCAGCCGCTTCGGAATCATCAAGCGCAGGCTGTCGGCAGTACTGATGCAAAGGAATCCGACACCGGCGACTTCGACTACGAGAAAGCCGTGGCGACGTATCAGCAACTTATCCGTGAATTACCTCCACTGAACAAGCAATTGCTCCTCTACATCCTTGACCTTCTTGCCGTTTTCGCGTCGAAGTCGGAGACGAACCGCATGACCTCGGCCAATCTGTCTGCCATTTTTCAGCCTGGCTTGTTGTCACACCCTACACATGACATGGCGCCTAATGAATACAGGCTTAGTCAAGACGTGTTGATATTTCTAATCGAGAATCAAGACCATTTCTTGTTCGGTATGAACGGTACTGCGGCCGACCCGCAGACAGTCAAAGAATTCCAAAATGGTGCCGCCGTTACGCCGTCTCGGGCCCAGGGAGTGCGTCGCTCCGCATCAAATGCTAGTGGTGGTGCGGATAGTCTCAGGAAGTACGAGACCCTTCGCCGCAATGTGTCTGTGTCATCTCGCAACTCTGGCAACACCCAGAGCCCAGGTACGCCTTCGTCGACAGTTAGCACTGTGAAACGCAGTAATACTGTTCCCTCGAAGAAGTCACCTGGTCTAGTTGCGCCGAGATTGGGTCGCTCTGGCGAGTCAACAAGCCCGTCCTCTTCTGCTGCCTTGACACCTTCAACTGAAGTAAATCGCACCCTTGCAACTGAAACTAGCAACAATCCTGCTCAAGAAGCACACCCAGAGCCACCCAAAACGGTAACACAACCGGCGTTCGAAGAACAAACAGCTGAATCCTCTCAGTATTTGGAGCCTCAGCCCGCTGTTACAGCGCAAACCCCGCCTGTCACCACACCTACCAGAGAGCGCAAATTATCTAGCTTCTTTAGCAAGTCCCCTCCTCCGGTTTCATCTGAATACAAGGAGGTCCGCCAGCCTAATCGGCTGAAAAAGAAGCGGATCCCCGGTAGTGCTAATGCCAGCGCTCAAAGCTCTAGTCAATCTCTTAGTGCTAACGAACCTGGTCTTCACTCAACTTCGCAAGTCGTAACTCCGGTAGCACCGACTTCCATTGAAGGCATTACCACTATAGTCGAGAATCATGCTGTTCCTGAGGGCAGCAACAGTCATCACCAGCATCAACCGTCGGAAAGCACGCTCAGACCCAATCGCTCTCGGACGCCTTCCATGCACTCGAAGTCGTCATACACCGATCATTCTGATTTTGATCAATATGAGGAGGGTTCGAGATCAGAGAAGAGGGATCACCGACGCAGTTGGCGTTTCCCGCTTTCGAGACACCACCATGAACAGTCAAGTACGTCACCACCACCCGTGGTTGGTGTGAATTCAAGGGCCGAATTCAGCACTAGCTCTATCGGGAGTTCCTTTGCGCAGCGACAAAATTCCAACAATGACTCTCATCATCCTAGTACCGATGTGACGTCCGTGCCAGATAACGAGGGGGGACGAGTTCCGAGCTCATCTCGTGATGGCGGGGTATCCTCGGACAATGAGAAGCTCAGCCTATTTGAAAAGCTAAAGGCCAAGGTTGCATCCAAGAAGGAGGGCAATGAGCGTGCTAAGAGCCCGCCACGATCTGACTTGACGCCTGATCCAAGCCACTCTCAAGTTGAAGAAAAGGAGAAGGAAAAAGAACCGCAAAGTGAGCAGCAGCAGCCGCAGGAGCCGCAGTCACAGCCACAAATACAATCAACAATACCTGAGGGTGAGGAGGAGTGCAACTCGACCCCACCAACAGCAGGTGAATCAAATTAAATAAGTAAAAAAAAAAAATTGAGTCACGTTCTCAAGTTCAATACTGCTTGAGGAATGAAAAAAGAAACAAATATAAAAAAAAAAAAGAAGAAAGAGTTGGTTTTACATGAACAAAATGGAAAAGTTTGCCTTATACCCCGTGTCATTCCCCCATGCACAGCTGTCTTTTTTAGTCTTTCATGATCTTGTTTATAATGCCCAGGGTGGTTTCATTATCTCTTCCCTTTATGTCCTTCCCCCTTTTTGTCTCATCAAATCGATACCTCATGTTGTTCCTGTTCTTATGCGAATTTTTGATAGCGAGTGTCAGATTATATTTCCCCCTTTTTTTTCAGCAGTTCATTATTGCCTAACATGTGTCATTATGAGGGTAAGATGTTTGAGTATTCTTTTCTTTCCTCCTATCACCGAAGGGATATGTATGGTCCAAGATGAATGAGTCTCGGCGTTGGCTTTGTTCGAGTGTATTTATTTCTTCCTTTCCTCTCACTTAGGTAGGCAATGCATAAAGCATTCATTCTTCTTCCCAAATATGAAATACGAAGCGATGCCTACTAAGCGAGCCATTTAATCTATAAAATATTGCGGCTGTCAATTATTGGATAGAATAATTACAGCAATATAATATATAGTCGATCCTCTCTCTTTCTATCAAGCGAATTCCACCCTCTTTCCATACAGCAAAGGAGTCCGACCAATCAATTGACCCAACGCATACCCGAGATACGCCCCCGTTAGAATCGTAATTGGGTAAGCCTGCCACGGACGGTCCCTTTACACAAACGGAAGAAACAGTTAATAATCCGTACTTTAGTCGAAAAAGATAGAGAGAGAGAGAGAGAACGCACCAATCCAACGGAATCGGAACAGCACCTAACCAAGCCCCGAGACAAGCACCCAAAGCACCGCCCCAAACGGCATCGGATGGACGCGCAAACGCCCAGATTTCCTTCCACGCACTGCCCTCGACGCCGTGGACATACACGAGCGGAGTCACGGATAAAAGCGCCATGTGTGCCGCGCACAGGATGGTGTGGGCGTTGTGTGTTGTGAAGGGGGCGCCGAAGAGGATGAGTAGGAGGGCTAGAGCGGGTGTACCGAGAAGGAGGGTTAATGTGAGAGAGAGGAATGCCGCCTGGGTGAAGGGAGGTTTTCCCCCTCGTGTGTTAGTAGTTAATTCAAATGATTTGGGAAGGAAAAGGGTAGAAGAAAGCGGAAGGGAAAAAAAAAAAAAAAAAAAAAAAAAAAAAAAACAAACTAACAGTCAGTTTTTGGAAGAGTGTATCCGACTTATTATTAGCTGATGCATGCTTCTTCCTATACGGCGCTTTGCCGGGTTTTATTCCTCCTACATCACTGTCGCCTTCATGTGTATGATGATGGTGAACAGAGCCAGCTTGCGGTAGGCAAGTGACCACATAAACGACCTGCAGCGCAGTGTAGAGGGGTAAATCGTTCAATAATGTCGAGGCAGGATCGGCCACCAAAGCCGGAAATCGAATGGCATACACTGCTAATAGGAGAGTTGGGTGGACATGAGCGTATGCCTGCGCGGCCGAGTTGGGGAGGATGTTAACTGCTGCAGGTCCGGTATGGGACACGGTGGACGATGGCGGTGTTGTTGCCATTGCGTTGTGAATTGGAGGCGAATTGGCGGAGAGATGGTATAATTAGATCATAGACGCGATTTATGGATTTTTTTTTCTTTCCGAATCACGGTATGGACAGTAGGGGTGCTGCGAGATGCTGTTGAGAGGAGGGTATGAATTTGATGGGATGATGGTGGAGCTTTCATGGATGTCCGCGGAGAGCTTCAATTTTCTACGGCGGACTAGACTGACATCAGCGCAGTCTTATTTGAAACATCGGCTGTATGTATTATTTCTGTTCATCGATTGCGTCCAGTTTGCGTGAAGATATAATATGCTAAGCTTGAGAAAAACAGAATATACACCATGAAATCATTAACCATACATACATACATACATTGCCCGACCATTTGACATGAAAAAAACCCCAAGTTCATCCAAAGACATAAAAGAAATTCACTAATCACTATCACTCAAACTATCACGTCTGCGTCGTCCGCCGCCATCTCTGTCTCGTCGATACCCCTTGCTCAGCCCCGGAATAGGATGATGGTAGCTCTTGGTGCCAGAGTCATCCTCAGTCTCGACAGTGGAGTACTGGTATTCGGAGTTGGTGGCACGGGACGAGAAGTCCAATGGCTCGGTATATCCACCAGGAACTGATGTGCGGTTTGATTGTGGTTGTTTGCGAGGGCTGCTCTGGCGGGAGGACCGATGACTTTCTCTTTCTCGTTCGTGGCGACGTTGTTGACGGCGCGTCTCCCGACGAGTATGCGCCGATTCGTGGACGGATTGCTCTTCAGTGACTTGGCTAATGACATCTTCGCTGCCGACGGTGAAGGAGAAGCCAGAGGCGTTACGGGTATCACGACGGTGGTCGCGATGATGTTCAGGCGCGTGGTAGTATGCTTCACTATCCGTATAAGCTGTGGGAGGAGAGCTTGGCGTGTACTCCGTTCCGTAGTATGTGCCTTCAGCCTCTCGATTGATGCCGCCAACACGAGCTGGTTTTTCTTGCCGGTACGCACGCACATCATCATCGGCTTCACCTTCCCATTTCTCATTCCTGTTTCGCCGGAGCAGCTTGTCCTTTGCATTGTTTCTGGATTTCTTCTTGTTCTTGTTTTTCCGTCCACCTGCTGCCGATGCCTTCTCGTTAGTCACCGTAGTCGCCGTCTCCGTCATATCGGTATACGTAAGGCCGTCATCGTCGTCGTCATAACCGCGAATACTGCCACCGCCCAAATTCGTACTCGTCGTGGCGTTGGACAGGGTGCGACCATCAGGACCCTTGCGACGCAACACGGTAGACTTGTACTCTTCCCAGTCACCTTTTCGCCATACACAGCCGCCGTTCTTAGCCCAAAAGAAGAACCATATAGTCGCGAGCACAAAGCACGCCCCTAGAATCGCGAATAGAGCAAGCATCCCTGGCATGTTGATGCTGCCCGGGTTGATTGTACCTTTCCCATAAGCTGAAGTACCCGTCGTTGCTCGCACAGCGAGGTGTTTTGTGGTGTCGGAGGCCAGAGTACTATCGCTGCGGGCGACCTTGACGAGCGTTGAGGGAGGCCCATCTGCAACGGGAGACTCGGGTATGATGGCGGGAGCCATGTTGCAGAGATTCTGGCTTCGGAGCCCAAAGGGCTCACGATGGTAGAACTCTGGATTCGTATAATTAGGATATTTTCCCACTTGCGATGACATATGACTTACTGTCAACTCAACCAGCCCCTCAATCTCCCCGCCTCCGTGTGGACGTGTGTCTGGCCGGATCTTGAGAATCCGACTCCAAGAATGCGGGCAAGACCTTTATCGTCGGGTGCAGGAATGTGGCAGTAGTCAACGATAAACTGTGTGGTGAGAACCAAAGAAAGGCTTTAGTAACGTGCGATGAGAGGCAGAAAGAGATGGATACTCAACTAAAGCAAGACATCCATTGATCGGGACCTTCTCCAGAATCAAAATCCTGGTGGTTGAGCGAATGAAGGGAAACGGGGAGGCTGGGCAGTACGTATTGTTTGGGCCGCGCGCGTTGGCCGGGGAACTCGCCCGTTTACGTCAGCAGCTGTCAGATCACGTGAGCTAGGGCAAGCTTATCGATAACCGCGGGATATGAATGATATAAATAGACGAATCTTGTTTATTGAAAGACTAATCCTACAAAAGAAGTCGTCAAATACATACAGCAAACACGAACGGATCTACTTCGACTCTGTAGCCTCAAAAGGTGAGGTAGCATGTGTTGAAAGCTTGAGAGATATAAGCTGATGTACAATGTTTAAAACGTTGAGAATCGCTGTCGAAAGTCTTGCAAATCTTAGACGAAACAAAAGTTTTACAAGTTGGGTGTTGAAATCTTTAAATGAAATGCAGCAAAAACTGGGGGCAAACGGTATCCATACGGCGACGCAAGCATAGAAGAATATCAAAATGCAGGAGTAAATAAGCAGACTGCAGAGGGTATAACGTTGAGCAACAAGCAATGCAATGGAAGGGGGCGGAATAGATAAATGAATTCACAGATCCAGAGTAAAAGCTCGAAAGATAAACAAAAATGCAATGCAATATTGTTGAAAGAAAAGAAATCATGGGAACATCGTCATCAAAATCATCACGGTCATACAGGCATCAAGAAAAATGAAACATGATATATGCAATAAATGGAACAAATATATCAACCGCATGGGTAGTCTCAAGGGTCGTTACATCGTACAGCCAGCCGTACCACCGTGACAAATTGCAGGGCGCAAACATGAAAACTCTTGTATGAGAAAAAAAAAAGAAGACGAATAAAATCAAGGCTGCAACGAAAATCAAAACAGTTCCTCCCAGTGTAATCAAAACGATAAACAAAATAGATGATCCTCTTTTTCGACGTGGCACAACTCGATCGCAACCGACCCAGTATCCAAGACGAAAATCTTTAGGTACTTTTCATTTTGTCCCAAACATCCAGACCCAGAGAGAGAAAAAAAACGATCAACTTTTCAAGTCCGTTGCTTTTGATGCAGAGTGCTAGAGGACAATAAATTCAGAAAACCTCCCTATCCATCTTTTTTACCCTTTTCCTCCCACTTGCTGGTTCATCTCATGTTCTTTTGTATTTGATCCGGGGCTTTTTGAGACCATGGTATCGAGAGAAAGTTGATCAATCGAATCGACCGCTGTACGTGGAGCGGCTGGACCGGCGAGAAGCACGGTCGGAGCGTCTTTCATCTCGAGCACGCCGCCCATCCTCGATTTCTTTCCTGCTGCTAACGGTCGTATACTCCGAGCCAGCAGGCATGATGTATTTTTTCGGTCGGCGGCCTTCAATATTCAAGCCAATACCACCATTGTCATCCGCTCGAAGGTGGATCCGTTTGCCGTTAACCGACTCCTGCGTAAAACCAATCGTCATTCCATGCATGGTCATAGTAAAGCTGCTGTCATCTTCAATCCTCGAACCGACTCCACTACCATCCCTTGTACGGGCGTCGCTTCCTCGGCTGCTGTTGGATCGAGTTTTCTGGCTTCCGCTATCACTTTCCAGGCGCTGCTGCTGATTGATTTTGCTTTTGAGCCGCAAGGCGTCCTCCGTAAGAGCAACCCCAGCAGTCGAACTTCGGCCGGATTTTGCTGCTTGATATTCCTCGGCACTGCGATGCTTCTGTTCCAAGTCTGAAGTGGCCACCGGGCGAGGGCTAGGTTCATCTTCATGGTACTGGGTACGCCGGCGACGAGGATTTTCAATGGCAATCTCACGGCCAGCATCAGATTCATGATAGGAAGTTCTCCTAGTCCTCACGCTGCGGCTACGCTCCGGAGCTCCTTGGATCGGGCGAACTTGCTGGTTAGGCAAAGCCTGTTTCAAATCCGACATGTCCCATGAGTCGCGTGAATGGGACATACGACGGCTAGTGGGAGGCGGCATGCTTCCATTTCCCATCTGCTTCGGAGCGAGGTCCGGTCGTTTCTGGATTATCTTTGGCTTTGGTTGCGGTGGGGGAGGTGGTGGCATGAGATAAAAGGCCTCGGCCTCGTCAAAAGGTTCCGGGCGCCGCTGGGATTGCGACATTCGACGTGGACGATGCTCTCTGGAGACATGGCGTTCCAAATACGGGCCATCCTCGTAAGATGCTTTAGCCGGGCTATGTTCCACTGCTGGTCGTCCATAAACAGAGGACCGTCGATGTTGTTCCCTTGGTCGGGACATGGAGCTACGTGGTCTCTCATAGATGGCCTGAAAAGTGGCACCGGGTTCAGCATAGTACTGCTGGCGTGGCGTCGACGGTTGGGTATAATAAGAAGAGTATACAGAGGGTGGTCCTTGTTCATAGTGGCTCATGGGAAGAGAACCTGGATTGTAGAGCGATTCCTGCCTACCGCCGTGGTAGCTTATAGGCCTACTACTGCCATCGGGATGATAGGTAGTGGAACGACTTGGTCTCCGTTGACGTTGGGAGGAGTGTGCAATCAAAACGTCAGGACCATAGGGATACTGGAACTGTGCCGACTGGGGAGACGCAGGGGGAGGGTTTTGCACTGGAGGCGCCTGCGAGTAGTAGTACGAGGGGTAGCCATTCACACTCCGAGGATCCATAGGAGAAGCAGAATGCATTCCATTCACGCTGTGATGAAAGCCATTTGCACATTGCCAGCACATTTCTGGTTGATGTTGCAAACTGACGCTCTCCCGGCGCTGGGATTTAGAAGCCGACCTGCCAGGAACGGCCATGCCATTTGCATTTCGCAAATGCTCCATGTGCATCATCTCGGCTGATATCCTTCTGTCTTCTTTTTGCTTTCCTTTTTCCTTGCGGCTTTCCTTGACGCGGGTTGCCAGAGGAGGAGGTGGTGGTTGCTGTGGAAATGACCTAGAACTGGTGGCAGTATTCACGGTTAAAGGTAAAGGGCCGGGTCTTCCACTGGCACGGGATTGTCCACTGGCTCCAGTAGTGGCAGTACGGCTTGAATAGCCAGAGTCGCTTGCAAAATCAAAGGGTCCAAGTTCCAATGGTTTGGGTCGCTTGGCAGCAATATTTGCGCTTTGGCGAGTTCCGGAAACAACGTCGCCTGTGCTGTCATCGTATTCTTCAAAGTAAGCTGCAGACGGTTGAACTTTTTTTGCCATGATGGTGACGGCAGGGGGGGGGCGGGCCTAGGGTTTTATTTGGGCGTTGTGGGTTGCAGCCTGAGACGGGGGCCGTACCGAAAGGCCTCGAAGAAATTTGCAGGCAGCAGCAGGCTAATCCTTCGGCCTTGTGGCCACCCAATTGCAGGGGCTCCTTTTGCCAGCTAGTTAGTTATCTTGTACCCAATGCGGTCAATGTGTTGACCTTGGGCGGAACCCTTTTTGGAAGTGTCTGGGCCCGTTGATCGATGATCCAGAAGAGGAATCGTTAACGACCGACAGTGGCTTTGAATTGGCAATGGTTATCCACAGTCGTCGGATGTTGCTCCATCGAATATAATATGGCACTGGTAAGATTTGGAGGAGGCAGGGTTTCTCGCGGTACGGTGTGGGCGAGTTGCAGCAGCAGCAGTGCGAATGTGAGTCAGGGCTAGTTGTCTGGCAGGCTGTGAATGGGCGATGCTGGTTGCCAGCCGCGTATATAAAAATATGGTTGGGTGGTCTGGCAGACTGGCACAAATTGGCAGTGCGGGTCGAGTGGAGAGGAGAGCAGAGGCGACGGCGAAGCAGACGTGGTAAGACAGACGAAGTCGAGAGCACTTTGCTCCAACGGGGTGCAGGTGCGTTACGCTGCAGTAAATAGAAAGGGTGGGAAAAAAAAAAAGAGGGCAGTGGAGGGGCAAGCCAGCGCACGTCAGTCGGCAGCGGCGGTGGCGGCAGATCGGACAATTCGAAAGTATATGAACAGAAGGAAAAGCGAAAAGAGAAAAGAAGAAAAAACAAGGAGTTTTCGTGTGGACGGGGGATAACGGCCGGACGGATTGAGAAGGCGAGTTGAGGCTGACTGACGTCCCAAAAAAGATGAGGTCGATTGACTCAGAGGGGGAAGGGGGAGGATGCAGATAATAATTTTTGACACGACAGACAGCAGAGCAGGCAGACAAGCAGCAGCAGCAGCAGCAGGGGGGGGGGGGCAAGTCAATACCAGACGATAACAGGGATTGATTCCGCTAGTCACGGCCCTTGACGGACAGTGGAAGAGGGAGAGGGACACAGAAGGAGAGAGAGAGGGCGACGAAGAAGAAACGACGAAAAGGCGGGAGGTGGGGCGAGAGGCAGTTCCCGTGACTGTTGATAGGCCCGCCGCGCGCAGTAGCTGCAAGTGAGATTTTGCTTACCGTTTCGGCATCTGATCTGACCTGATCTCAGTGTATGTATGTACTATGTACTATGTACTCTGTAGTGTGTAGAATTTACTGCGTATGTTGGGCTGATACGTGCAGTGCAAATGGGGATTTCCGGAACCATACCAGGATGGGGCCAGGACAGTATCTGATACGGACCGGACCGACTTTGTTACGAACGATTTCTCGCGGAGCAAAGGGAAGAAGAGCATTTATTTGCCTGCGAACCGTCGCGATAATTGACGCAGTTTTTCTAGCGTGCGTTGATCTCGGCAATACATCAAGATGCCACACGATATAGGGAAAAGAACAATTACTGAATGCGCCGTGTTTCGGTAGAAAAATTCCAGGAATTCAACGGTGGTTGGCTGCCCGATTTGATCGCAGGACGTGTTGCAGCCCAACGGCCCTATCAACAGCGGTCATCCCTGCATCTGAAGAAGAAAATTCTCCTGCCATTGGCAGACGGACGCGCTAGTCCATACATTTATCGTGATGATACGCGTAGACTGGATGCTCTGAGAGACTCGCGAGGTTTATTAATCCGGCAATCCTGATACCGAGTCCAAGTACCGTCATCATGTATACATACTTCTGTATACAATACGCAAGGTACGTATTGATGTGTATGTATGTGCAGACCCACTCGGGCACCCATGGATTCGGCGCGGCTGCTCCCGTCCGCCGAATCGTAGCGCCGTATCGCCGTATCGCCGTTACCATGGTACGTTACGTGATACTGTTCGTTTGTTCCTGGCAGCCAGAAATGCAACATGTCTATTACAATAAACATTATTCATTGATGTCACTCCAGTGCCCCTTCTTGAACTATACGTAGGTGGCAGCTCACTAAGCTGATGGAAGATGACTCATTGGGCCTCAACGTGCGGGATCTGGTTCTGTGGACTGGAGCTGCATGTAATTAATTAATCATACCCACTGCCCAGCTAACTACTTAGTTAACTTAGTTACTCCGTGCCTAACCATCATTGTTATATACTACGTAGTGGGCCGTCCAATCTTCTGGAAGCAACAGGAAAAAAAGAACTTCAAAGAAAAAAGAAAAAAAAAAAAAAAAATTTGCCTGTCCAATTTTCACTCCGGGGTTGGCGACTTTGACGAAACGGATTAAAAGATACGTACCCAAAGCTACGGGACGAGTACGTATACTTGAATGGGCGGCGGCTTCCGATAAGTACTGTACATAGGGCTGACCCTAACACTGCTCCTGATTTGGAAATCTTGTTCAATTCAATCAACACAAGAATGATCAACCAAATATGCAAGTAATTCGGATCATTGAGTTCACCCGATGCCGGCAGTTATCTCAGATCAGTGCTCAAGATTCACCTACGTACATACTAGGTAATGTTGCATGTTCGTATCCGCTGATCAAGTACGATGCCGTCTCGCGATCGGTCCAATACAACCAGTTAGAGTTTGTCTTCCGAAGGTGTTTCACAGATGAGGACTTGTCTCTTCCTTGTCAAGTTCTGATTTTTCTACCGCCCCCCTTTCTTCGGACACCGAGACAGACAGAGGTGAAAACCATTACCAAGACCACACTTCAACGGGATTGGAGAAACAGGATATTGCGCCCGATCTGCAATGCCCTCTGATCAATGATCACCGGGACATGTCGTGCTAGCTCGTAGCTCGAGCTTTTATGGAGAGCAGTAACCACTGCGGTTATCTATCTATCTATTGCTGACCAGTTCCCTGAAACAATCATCGTCAGTCTGCCAAGCCCAGGAAATTGATAGTCCAGTTCGTACAATCTTGCATGCTAGTGCTGCTGGTTGAGCCTCCAGATGGCTGTGTTTTGGTTTGTCGAACAAGTGCAACCAGACGCCAGGTGACTGTTCAATCATCCTGAGTGGGTGCAAGGCATTGTTTTGAACAACGAAGAAAAAGCTTGTGAAGGACACAACAAATTCCTTCTGTACTGTTTTCTGACGCATCACATGCAGCTATCAATTAGGCCGAAGGTATGCGCGCCAGCTGGCTGGCTTGGTAAGAAGCACGTGTGGCCAGCCAGTCAACTTGCTTAGCATATATACTCTAGCAGCGGACCTGCTTGCGACATGATGTACATTGTAAACACTGCCTGGACTTGCTGACAATGCAGACACGTGCTTTGGAAAAGTGAGGCGGTCCATGGTTTCGCATGCAATTGCCCCAGAACGCCCCGGGAATGTCTTTTTTTTTAACGAAAATGCTTGCTGCTGAATCCGGTATACCAATCTCGACCGCCAGATGACTAGCTCGATTACACAACTTAGTGTTGGCGGAGTGACGGTATAGTAGTGCTTCTGCGTCTGCGTCTTCGATCTTTAGCCCCAGACAATATAATTTTTCCCATTGCAACTCTGGAATGACAAGCTTGACCGCACCGCCGCCATGCATTCAGAACAAAGCTTGAGATTCGCTGCAGCTGTCATATTTCATTGCCACATCTGCAGACTCGCGCTGAATTTGTACTCTGATTGGCCTTGGCCACTGCCGATTCGTATTCATGTTCTCATCCTGAAAATGGCGGTCAGAGTCGCAACATCCTTTCAGCCTGCGTCAAGTGCACCGCCGACGCAAGGGATGCTATAGCCCGTCTTTCTATAGTCATTGACCTGGTTAGTTAGCTAAACACGTACGCAATATATTGTCCGACAGTATCTCCATGAGTCTGCATTGTTCCATTGATGATTGATGAATGTCCTGGAGACCGTGCGCTCGGAAATGCACTTGTCACAGTAGAGTCAGCGTCATGGAACCTTACATAGACAATAATCACTGCTCGTAGTTAATGCCAGAGTTCTCGATTTGGTGTCCTGCATCGATTACCTAGGCAATTTCCAAGTGCAACGTCCAATGGAAAAGCCTCCCCATATCTACATATCTATATCGTCATACACTCATGCTCAATTCATCAAAAAGCCCACTGCTTCAACCATATCTTCATCCACTCAGCCGAGACAGCCTTCAAACTCGATGCCTCGGAGCTATCTCTCTGAAGGCCCGTGACTTCAAATTCCCCTCGAAGCTTTCCGTGAGTACTCTCACCATTTGCCGCCTGCTCAACAAAGCGAGTATTTTTATTCTTGCCTGCCACGTTCTTCCAGAAACCAAGCAACTTAATGGCTGGATTGCTCTCCACAACAAACCCGTAATTGTCCTGCGCGCTGCGTTCCAGCGCCTCTACCCACTCGGTCAACGAGACAGTACGGGTCTTGTCAGGTCCGCCAAACTCCCTGCGGACTGTATCCAGTAGATTAGACCATGGCACAGCCCTAGGGTTCACTAGATTGTATACTAGAAGCGAGCTGCTGGCACTAGCATCATAAGTCGTGCCCAACAGCTGGACAATAACCCTTGCCAGAACATCCACGGGAATCCAATTGATAATAACCATTGTCCCGAGGGAGTCCGGAAGTAGACCCAGATATTTCGAACTAGCGAGCATACTAGGAAACCATTCCTGCACATTCCAGACACCTGCAGTCGACAACACGGGGCCCGCGATCTGGCCGACCCTCATGAAAGAAGACGTAAACCCCGACGACGCACTGTGCGCCTCCACCAATCTTTCCGCCACGTACTTGGACTCTCCATACCCCAGAAACTCGGGACTGTCGACGTCATGGATACTTGATTCCGGTACGGCCTGGCCAGGGTGCGTGTGCCTCCAATTGAATATCGTCGAGATACTCGAAATAAACACAATTGGAGCCCGATACTGACATTTCCTGCTAAAGTCGATAAAGTGGCGTGTTCCTGCAATGTGCCCTTTCTCGAAGGACTCAATGGTATGGTTGAAGTCGACTTTCCATGCACAGTGGATAATCGCGTCGACTGTCGCTAGGAGGTGGCTGTAAGTTTCTCCTCCGAGACCCAAGTCCGGCTTCGAAAAGTCTGCTGTCAGGAATTGCACGGCTGTTTTGGATTTTGTCTTGTCGCTATCTGACGATTCCCATGGTGTGGGTAGTTCTTTCAACTTGTTGCCTGCTGTCTGCCTCTGTTGAGACTTGGTAGACCGGTTGAGACAGACCACCTTGGATATTCGGGGTGACTCGGTCAGAGAATGAAGTAGATAGCTCCCCAATGAGCCTGTGGATCCGGTGAGGATGACTGTCAGGTTATCTGCACGCGTTCCCTTTGGTGGGAGTTTCTCGTCTAGACCTGTGGAATATTTATCAATGTGGGAGTTTCTCGTCTAGACCTGTGGAATATTTATCAATCATATATTGTATGCGAGCCCGCCGATCGGTATACATGTCGATGCCGTGACCCTTGACACTATCCGCTCCATTGATAAGATGATCAATTGAGCGAGCGAGCTTGCTGCTTGATGGCGAAGTATAGAAGAAATGTGGACTAATCTTGTCGCTAGCAGCCTTGAGATTCTGTGTCCTCAGTGCAGCTTTCAATTTCTGAACCAACACAGCCACTTGCAGTGAGTCCATGCCTAGTTCAAACACGTCGTCATCATCCCCCAGCCCTTTATTCTCTGCGTCTTCAGAAAATAAAGCCTGTATATACAAATTCCTAGCCAGCTTCACCATTGATTCAGGGCTAGACGAATCCAACGGCCCCAATCCCTCGGTCAACAAACCCTCCCCAGCAGCCGCATAGAGTGCATCAATCTGAGCAGCAAACTTGCTAACCGTAATTTGCCGCTGAACAGTCATCTTCCCACTTCGACTGAACGACTCGGCGGGCGAAAGAATATAAACCAGCGACTTTGGCACACGCGAGAACCGCGGCGCTTCCAGATTGGCTTTGCTAATGGTTCCCCAAAGCGTGTCAACCATTGCCCGAGTCTCTTCTTCATTGTTCACTGCGTATCCATCTCGAAGCTCGATGAGTAGTGACGGCAGGAACCGGTATTCCCCCACGAACAACGCACTCTGGACCGCCGCATGACTGGCCACTATCGCCTCCATGGGACGTGGGTTGATCTTCTCGCCGTTTGAGAGAACAATCAGATCATCCTTGCGGCCTTCGTAGCGGTAGCAATTCTGAACTCCGGGCACGCGTGAATAGAGATCTTTCGTTGCGTATTCCCGCAAATTGGGAAAAATCAAGGCAGCAGGATGGAACATGGCGTATTTCGGACTGAATGAGATGATCAGCTCATATCTACCGGGCGATGCCTCCGCGAAATGATACCCAACGTGGCTGTTGAACTTGAGACAGTCCCAGTGACTGGTGCCTTTCAGCTGGACACAATGGAAAAGTGCGTTTTCGGTCATTCCAAGGAGGCTGGACATATTCTTCACGTATGGGGCGAGCGTGCTTCCGGTTTGTGGCGAGAGAGGCCCGCCGCCGTAGACGACCATGTCGAGTTTGGAGAGAGCGTCGAGGCCTTCCTTGGACTTCGACAGGTCTGACAGAATTGAATCAGCGGCAGCTAATGCAGTTGCAACTCCGTAGTTGAGCATTTTGAGGACATGTTCGCCTGTGATTGGTGCTGCTGCATGGTTCAAGATCAATGAAGACTTATCCAGAAATGCTGCCAGTATTTGAAAGTATAGTCCGGCCATCTATTGCAAGCCCCATTAGCCACGTTCATGTAAGCGGAAATTACTCCAAACAAGGATAATACGTACATGAAACGAAGGAAAAAATTGCAACAGAGCTTTTCCTCCAACAACGTTAACAACATTATGAATCCCGCCGTCATCAGGGACATCGAGGAAGGCAAGCGCACGCAGCCAGAATGCCGCACTCTGTCCGACAGGCTTAGGGTTTCCTGTATTCATGGCCAAGTTAGACTCTACACTTCCAGGGGGTTTGTATATCCATATTCATTAAGCCTGGAAGGGGACCGGTGGGCATCCCACTCACCTGAAGAGCCAGACGTGTGTAGAAGGAAAATCGGCTCATGTAGCTTTTCGTCTGACAGTTCCTGCGCCTCGTAATGGGGTACGCTGGTCTCATCAATAAGTTCCTGGTATCCAAGTGCCTCTCTCTTCTCGATTGCCGGCACTGCTGCAAATAGTGACTGTAGATTCTTTTCCAATTCGCCTCCGTAGAGAATGATACGGGTGTTGGTGCGTTCGAACAACGTTATTTGTGCCGGAATTGTATTTCTCAACGACGGTAGCATGATCTAAGGTAGCTGGTTAGCATGTACTGTCACTAATATTATGCTTTTCTTTTTTTTTTTTTTTCTTTTCTTTTCGCATTTCATAGAAGGAAGAGCCGACCTTCCTACCGGTCTTTGTTGCCGCCATACTCAGGATAAGATATCTCAGATCAGGAGGTCCCATATATCCAAACACATCTCCATCGGCGAGCCCGATATCATTGACGAGCCACCACGCAGCCCTATTAATTGCATTTGCCACGGTAGAGAATGTGATACTGTCAAACCCATCTGCTGGATTGGGCGTCTTGAGGACATGCGCAAACACCCGCTTCGAGGAAGAAGGGTCTTTTGCCCTTTTGTCGAAGAGATTGGCCAGAGCATTGCGACCATATTTGCGCTCTGCAGTTGAGACAAACGATGACGACGACGATGATGGAGGGGGAGAAGAGGTTATTGTTATTGTTGTTGGCGCCATTGGGAAAGCCCTAATTATTTTACTCTTACCTCGGTAGCCTCTGCATCGATTTTATGATCCGACCTTGCCGGACTTTTATAGCTAACTAGTTAATTATATAGTCATGACATTATTAAAATTGCACTGGGACAAGTTTGAACACAGTATGTACTCCGTACGGAGTGCATACATTACATCGCTAGTTCTGCAAGGCCCTTTCCAGACTCGGTTGAGATTTCCAAACGGGGCAAACTATCAGTTAATGCATGCCTCTAAAATGTTTATTATGCTTATGAGCATGGTTTAGACAGCCAATTAATATAGCCAAATGGACTCTGATCGGTTCATGGCGTTCCTACGTGCTTATGCCGGTGATACAATGGTGTGCAGACTAGATTAATTCGCCACTATGCCGTGTGCGTGGCTGGCTAGGCTTTTTGCCATACATATAACTACGTAGTAGCATTGACTAGTGTACATATACTACACACTATTAAGTTTACAACTCACTGTACCCACCCCTGGGAGCTTGATGGCGGTAGTCCCAAGTGCGACAGGTCGAATTGGTCCAAGATTTCCTCACATCTGGGCCAAGTTAGGACAAGCCAGTATACTTGCATGTTTGCTCGCTGTATAGAAAATGTTACAGAGCTTGTTATGTGGCTAGTGCAACGTAACTCGGCCTGAATATTTAGTTAAGTTTTAGATCTTATGCAAGCAGATCGTGCTACAGTAGTCTAAGATTTAGGCCGCCCTGAACAGCGACCAATTTTTGGACCTGTAACTCGACCGACGGCTTAGGCAATTACCTGCTTGGCTAATCAATGACTACGTAGTAGACTTATTCTCCAGCCTGATAAGGTCAAGTAGCCAACCCAGGCACCACAGGCCAGGATGGCTGCCTGGACCGACTGCGTCCATATAAAAAGCAGCGGCTGCGGAACCCCCCTGTTCCTACGCTAGTCCACTTCGCTCTATGCCAGTCTTCGATATAATCTACAATTACAATGTTTGTGACAGTCGAAAACCATCTCATTAAGCATGGCCACATTGGCGTTGCTGTCAAAGTACAAAATTTTGCCAAACTTTTCGAGAATTCCGAGTCTAAGAAAAGCCAGCAGAAATGGATAAAAGACCAATTGTACCAACAATTCTGGGCTATGACCATTATCCAAGCGGAAATCTATTTCTCCCAGGAAATAAAAGCACTTGAGAAACTTGAAGGTGTTAATGATACAGGCTTAACAGACGAGGAGAAATCACTTCTGAGTTGCTTGAAAAAGAAACTATCATTCAGCGGAGAGAACTGGTGGTTTATCACCCACAATATCCATCGGAACTGGTTCCAGAAACCGAAAGGGCCGTATATTCGAAACTACGAGCTGTATCAGAAGGGGTACCTAACACATACGGAAAAGGAGATGCAGCTAGCATGCAAAGCTGAAGGTGGCTGTTGTGCCTGGGGTTGTGGCTGTTGTTATCGGGTAAGAGAATCACCAAAGGCGGGCAATGTACTCATGCATTGCACAGCGGATTGTGGCTGTTGTATACGAAGAAGACCAGGAGGATATGACAATCCGTTTGAGGGAGATGAAAGAGGACGGGCAATGATTGTACACAAGTACTACTCTAGTGGGAAGTCTATGGATGTTTAGGTCATTTAGCTTTGGGGGGTATCCTTTCATTCATGGTTGCAATATATATACAAGAATAATTTTTATACAAGAATAATTATACAATATGAACCCCTCCCCTCCATCATTCCACGTCCCCCTCCATCCCTAATTATTATCCCAGGCCCGCCCGCATGCACAACGGACTGCACGCGGCTTTGCTAGCTCTGGCGCCGCTTGAGCTGGAGCTGGAGCTGGAGCTGGAGCTGCTGCTGCTGCTTCTGCTGGTGCTGGTTCTGGTGCTGGTGCTGGTTCTGGTGCTGGCGCTGGTGCTGGTGCTGGTGCACCCATTTCGAGGTCGGCTTGGACCCGGGGGTCCGCCGCGAATAAAACTCGTAAAGCGGCGCGTAGCCGCCCAGGCACCGGAATTGGTATTGAGAGGTTTCCCTCTCGACTATATAAAGTGAGTCAGTATCAGTATAAAGATTTGCTCCTGAAGGAAACCCGACACGTACAACCTGTAGGCCGCAGCCCACCCAAACCGTGCGATGATCAAGAGCAGGGTCCCCCCTGCCGCGTGGTAGATGAAGTTTCTGGGGTCCCTAATATACTATTAGCGCTTTTCAGAATAGATTATTGCAAGTGTAAAGTACGTACCCCCAATAGGAGACCCCGTCCTTCCCAACGTCCACTTTCTCAGCTCCTGCTGGGGGGGGATCAGCCGCCCCAGCCAACGTAAAAAGCGCGAAAAAAAGCGCGCAAAAAAGCGAAGACATTTTTCTTCGCGCGAGGTTGCAAAAAGGGTTTTTGAGCAGAAAAAAGTGTGTGAGAGAGAGAGAGAGCGCGCAGACACGGTTCGCGGTATGTGCTTTGGGAGCATGTCAGAGAAACAAAAGACGGCCGCCGGTCAAACCTCTTTACTACACGGGGCGCGTCAAACTAGCTTTTGGCCTTACCTTATTCGCGACTTCGTGTCTGCCAGAGCGCGTCTTTTTTGGTGTTTGAGAAGGAAGGAGCGACCCGGACTGCTATTCCACAAGCAGCAAGATGGCAATAAGCATCCGGCAGCCCCCCCGAGCAACAAAATCGACATATCTAGGCTACACTGCTATGGAAATGATAGGGATTTGGGGTATATATGAAGCATTTTTATCTTTATTGATGTAGTTCTCCATGCGTAAGAGCCATGTGCCACTTAGGGCTTGAAGTGGGCCCGAAACGGAATGGCGTAAACGATCAGCGTGAGTCTCGGGATCGGTGCGCTACGTAGTGGATGCCACTAATGCAAGGCGCCGGCGCTATTCCGAGTTTGGGGGAATTTGTTTACATTAGCACGACTTGGTTGATAGTTATGTATTGATTTACGCTTCCTAAATAGTTAACTACTTGCTGCAACTAAAAGCATAGCATTACCACTTATGGCATACCGATACTACTCCGTATACTTTACAGTTTGCCACTATGTGGCTGGCGGCCAAACGCAGTGACATTCGCTAGGGCATACTAAACCTGCTAAATACCAAGCTTACAACTTAGTGTACCCTATCGGTGGGTCTGAGATCTTCATGACCGCAATCCTATCTGAGATGGCGTGTTGTGATACGTTGGAATTGTTCATAATACTTAAGCATGCAGAAGGTAGTGAGTGATACGTGGCTAGTCGATGACTAGCAACTCAACTAACCTGCTAGCAGATATACGTAATTTGACCTTATTTCGGGCCAAATTTCCAGTTTCTATACACCAATAATTCATCCGATGGTGTGTGCGGTGACTTTGGAATACGACTTTTTACCCTTTTGTGTTTGTCGTTTTCAGTCTCTTTCCCTTCCGTGGAAGGGAATGGAGGAAAATGAAGGAGAAGAGATGATCCTAATTCAATATAGATACTGTTTACTTAAGTCTGCCATTCTGGTTTGTCAGACCCCATCGGCTTTGGCATCACATCCCAACCAATTTCGCACCCTTCGATAATAGGTGTATGCTTAATTGCCGTCATTAAACCAAAGCCGGTTTCTCGCGTCTCGAAAAACTCCCCCGGCACATCCTCTGCGCAATTAAAATCTGCAGCTTGAAATCCCGTATCACCGGGGTACTGTCCCAGGCTCCTAAGATATTTCATCGCAGCCGCAAGTGAAACGTCAACTCTCCACGAGCCTCCTTTCGTGGCTCTATGATGGAGAGCAGCCATGATACCGGTCGCGAGGAGATATCCGCTCGAGTAATCAAGAGCTTGACATGGCATTGCTCGAGCGGGTTCTCCTTTCCCAGCGTGCTCTGCTTCTGACACATTCATACCCGAACACGTCTGAACCAGCGAGTCGAAGCCACGACGATTCGCCCAGGGCCCTTCTGGGCCAAACGCCGACAGATTTGCGCAAATTATGTTTGGGTTGATGCGAGCAAGCTCTTCTGCAGTCAGGCCATATGCATCAGCGAGACTCCCCGGCCGGTAGCTTTGAATAAAAACATCACAGGTCTCAAGCAGCTTCATGAGCTGTTCCTTGTCAGACGCACGGTTCAGGTCCAACTGAGTTGTCCGCTTCCCCCGACTAAAGTTACGGTCAATCTCGGGCAGGTCTGGAAGATTCGGGGATGTCACCCAGAGAATATCAGCACCGTGCGCCGCAAGGGTCATACCCGACACGGGCGCCGCGATGACACGACTCATTTCGACCACACGTAGCCCGTGCAAGCATTTCTTGCTATGTGTATTCGGCAGGGCCTTCAGTGGGCCTGGGTCAATCTGCTGCAAGAGAATGGGGTTATTGCTGATGGCCCTTGATTGAGGCAGAACGTCCCATTCCCCATAGCTCCGCAGAGCATAATTAACTAGTTTTCCTTCTGCCGTTCCGACGGTCTCCAGATCCACACTTTTCCATTTCAGAATGGCTCTGGAAACATCTTCTCGACTAGCCGTCTTCGGAACACCCAACAGCTCGAGTGTGCCCAATATGTGATGTGGGAAGGCGTCGTGTAGACGAATATAGCCATCCGATGTCCGATAGATTCCACCAGGTGCTCTCACGTCCCGCGACGGCGTCACTGATGAGTGGAGCGTGAATAGACGCTCGGACTTGAATTCGATTACTGCGCCTAGCTGAGACACTTCTACTCGTGGAAGCTGTCTGCTCTCGGAGCGAGTGGTGGCATAGGTAAGCGCTGCAGCAAGCGCTGATAGGGCAATGGTGCTTTGAGCCAGGATGCCAATCTTGAAGGACGATGGTAGTGATGGGCCGCTGGGACCAGGTAATTTCAATGCGTCTAATGCATGGCGTGGAAGCTCTAAGCTCTCCCAGATGTCTCTCACCACGTCTGCCGCCGCGAAGGCGGTCCGATCAATCTGCATGGCTACCTGAATCTGAAGCTATAATTAGTGAATAGATGGAGCAATCGCTGGGCTTGGAACTGCCCGGTGGTAGAAAATTGGTGCGTGGTGGTCGGAAACTGGGAAGTTTGTTGCCAAGACTTATTAGTCAGTGGTGGTAGAGATAATACCACGCACATGTACTCTTAGAGGCATTCCAAGAACGCTTATCCATCATCCCTTGATGTAAATAAGGTGTGCGTGGAAGTACTAAATATGTGTGGGGTTACTGAGCTGAAAGTCTCCTTGGCTCAGATTTCCCAGCCTACCACCACGCACTGACTTTCTACCACGGCCTCCTCCTGCACATGGGATACCGGAATGAAAATGGGGGATTATATAGAATTCCCCGACACCGCTGTGACTTGTTCCGCAAGCCTGGATGATGTTGAACAAGTATTGGTTAAGGCTCACATTGACCCCGGAGAAACTTCGTCTATTCCCGGACGGGATTTTCATATTTAATGGCAGCAGGCATTGGTCTTGGCGATGAGATCACCGACGAAGTATCCTCGATCAACAGCGTGTTGGACAAAGTTGTATCTTTCGGAGCCGTCGAATATCGGATTCCGATAGCTAGTGAATATACACCTGTAAGCCAAACGTACTTTTTCCTGAAGCGGTTAAAAAGGTGGAAGATAGTTTCAAGCCACCATTGTCCCATGAGTCAAAAGCAAAATGGTTCTGGGAGTTTTCGCCTGCGATTTAGAAGTACAAAAATTAACACCGATACGGTACTCAGCAGAAGCATTAACCTCTCCACCGACGGGCTGAAATGCCATCGAGGGGTCTCGACGAGTGGAATTGAAGATGTAATTAATCCTCAACGTCCCAATTGTCGACAACTTCGATATCGAGAGCTGCCTTTTGCGAGGTGACATTAACCGGGATCGAAAAGTCCGTGCATACTGATGAGGACGAGGGACTGGTGGCCACCGTCGCTGAGAGCAGCGGCAAAAGAAGGAGGATACGTCTCGACAGCGTTTGCAGATAAAACGGTGAAAACTCACAAGTAGAAGACTGCAACTGTGCCGATTATATGCAATATATGTATGTATGTGCCCACCCCGACTTTTTTTTCCGAGAGCTAGCCCATTAGTAATCCCTGACGTCTTCGGTCTGTACAAGAAATCAACAATGCCTTAACAAGCTCTTAGAAATAAACTACGTCGTGCTAATAAATATCTGACCATGAGATAGGTTCAGTAGACGGTAAAAATGCATGCAAAAAAGGAAAGAAATGCCTCAACAGCCCCGTAAGAATACACAACGGTGTCCCCGACAGCGGAGCATCAGGCAACGGTTTTAGAAGTACCGCTTTAGGAAGCTGCACAAGCGGTGCGAAATTGCCTGATTCGGAAATGAAGATTGAATTCATTAATAATGTTGGCCGCTTCGCTTGCATGAGTCTTTGGTTATTAATGGACAATTCCCCGGGCCTCTAATTGAAGCCAATTGGTAAGATTGAAAACCAGGGGCTTCTAGATCACATTACTAATATGAACTGTGTGATATGGCAGGGGTGACACTATTCAAGTCACCGTCAAAATGATATCCAGGATCCTCAAGTGGGAACGGCAATTCCTTCGCATGGGATTTCGCAAAAGGATTTTCCGTGAGAAATTCAAGCGTCAAAACTGTGCAGGATCGGACTAATAATCGTAATGTGATCAGATGGATGGACCTTGCTGTTACGCAATGCCTAATCCTTCCTGGCGATAGCTTTACCTATACATTTATTGCAGACTCATACGGATCATCTTGGTATCATTCTCATAACTCAGCTCAATATGCACATGGCTTTTACGGACCACTCATATCCCGACCCGAAGTGGAACGTGGAAAACTTCGGATCCAACACTTCCATCAGAAAGATTGTGAATAATGCCAACCCTCGCACCCATCCGATGCATCTTCACGGCCACAAATATCTGGTAGAAGCAGTCGGATATGGCACCTGGGATGGTACTATAACCAGACCGGAAAACCCTCAACGAAGAGATACACAGCTTGTGCCCGGAGATGGACATATGGTTTTCTCATTTACGGCAGATAACCCCGGCCGTCACGACAATTTAGGATGGAATGCCTCATCTTAGAAAATCATCTACTAGTATTATAAGGAGGAATGGACACCGGGGTAAAATTCCCGGGAAATAGGCCGATTTAGTACCAAAATGCTGGACTTATTACAACTAGTATATTCTTCTGGTGCGTTGGTTTTCATGCTGGCTATCGTTCTCTGAGTGGACATCATGCATGCTGTTCACAACACCCAGCGACATCAAGTCAAGCTATCCTTCAAACGTGAAAGAAGTAAAAGCCAGCCCTTAGGAATCTATCAAATGGAACTTTCTCGATTTACTTTTCGTCTTTTACATTCTAATTATCCATAGATATTAGCATCTAGACTGTAAAGAGGAAGATGGAAAGAAATATGCAACGTACCGGTTAACAGGGTTCAAGCCCAACAGCTTCATACCATTGTATAGCACCTGTCGTGCTGATTCATACAAGGCCATACGAGCTGTGGCCAGTTGTTCTTCTCGTCCGACAATTCGAAGAATGTCGTAACTGGAGCTGAGCATGTGTGTCATGCGGAACAAGTATGTGAGAACCGTGGTGGGTTCGAGAGTCTTGGCCGTGTTGACGACCACGTCGGGCCACTGGGCGAGGTATCGCGCCAGATCAATGGCGTGGCTTTCAGTGAGAAGAGAGAAATCGGCATCTGAGAGTCTCTCGAGGTTGATTTCGGATTTGCGAATGATAGAGCAGAGACGAGCATGAGCGTATTGTAAGTAGGGACCAGTATCTCCTTCAAAGGAAGTCATGGCGTCTAGGTTGAAGTCGTAACCGTTGATTCTGTGAAACAATCAGTCACTATACCACAAGCAGAATGCACCGATGAAGCCAAAGGGGAAGAAAAGAGAACTCACCGCTTGCCAGACATATCCTGGACCATGACGGCAGTAATGCCTAGCGTATCCGAGGTTTTAAGAGGGTCTTCCACTTGCTCGTATTTGGCTTCATTTTTCTTCATCACCTCGTGCATTTTGTCTGCAACATCACGCAGAATGTCATCCAAGAACTTGACAGTACCTTTTCGGGTGCTCATTCCTCGAACCATTCCGAAGTTAATATGTTGGCATTTGTCTGCAATTTCTTTGTAGCCCATCAATTCTGTAATTTTGAATAGTTGAGCCAAGTGTAGGTCCTGCTGCGAGGCAACTACGTAGATCATCTTGTCAAACTGATACTTGTTGTGACGTTCAACAATGGCACCGATGTCACGAGTGAGATAAAGAGGAGTACCGTCCTTTCGAATGACGATAGCCTTGCCGAGTTTCTTGGCTTTGTGCTTAGGGAAGTCGACAATCACAGCACCCTCGGACTTCTCTGTCACGCCACTCTTCTCCATCGTCTCGTAAGCAGACTTGAGGCTCTCAGGCGAGACTTGTGATTCGCCAGAATACACGTCAAAATCAATGTTTAGACGAGCGTATGTCTGTTTATATTTCTCAATACTCAACTCACGGAAGCGTTTCCACAAGGCGAGTGCGTCTGGGTCGCCTTCTTCCATGCTCTTAAAGTAACGACGAGCGTTCTCATCCTCGCTGGCATCGACCAACTTCTCAAGTTCAGCTTCTTCAGCAGTGGCATCCTCGTTTTTCTCCTTCTTAGCCTTGATCTTTTCTTTGAGCTCCTTGATGGGACCTTCCTGGGCGCCCACATCCTGGTTGATCTTGACATAGACATCAAACAGGTGGTTAATAGGGTCTTTAAGAAGAGCCTCTTCGCTACCATATCGTTTGAATCCATTGGCCAGCAAGCCATACTGTTTTCCCCAGTCACCAAGATAATTCATCTTAATCACGTCCCAGCCAGTGACCGTGTAAAGATTGGCAAGGAAACCTCCAATGATTGTACTGCGCAAGTGGCCGGCGTGGAAGGGTTTGGCAATATTCGGCGATGAGAATTCAACGATAAGCTTCTTCTTTCCCTTGGATGGGTCAGAAGGGTCCCGAAGACCCAAGTTGCCATTTGTCCCGTATGTAGTTTTGTTTGCCAGGATCTGGCTGATTACTGATTTTGTCAAAGGCCCCGGTTTGAAAAAAAGTTGCAAATGGGTACCAAACGCAACCGGCTTCTGGATTAGGTCTGATTCCGGAATCTTTTCTGCTAACTCGGCACACAGGTCATTCGGCTTCTTGCCTTTAATTTGCAAGGCGGGGACCTAATTAATCCGGCGTGTTAGATGATATATTTTGTGCAATATGTAGTAACCCAACAAGAGAAGGGACGATACCGGCAGTGTCAAATCGCCCTTGTCCAAAGAATTTGTCCATGCGATTTTGGAATAGACCAATTGCGGGTCGATGCCAGCGGCCTTGCCCACGGCCTCGGCGATGTGTTCACGATAGATATCGACGGGGTTTAGAGATGGGTAGCAGCCAGGGAATTTGGACTTTTCATTTGTCGAGTGTATCGTCAGACCTTCAATAGAAGGGACGGAGTGGCCCTCGGGGAGGGCCTGTGTTTGTGCTGACATTGCGAAGTAACGACGAGTCGTGCGGACAGCAGACAATGAAACTCTGACTGGCGGAAGCAAGGGAGAGACTACTCTATAACGAGGAATAGAGCAATGGGTAGGCTTGAGGAGGATGCGTGAGGGCAGCATAAAATTGTCAGAGAAGTGCCAGGCCCCGCTTGGCAGATGGCGGCCCATTAAGAGTCACAGCAGAGAGGGGCTCCTTCCTTTCTCCCAATGATTTTTGTTAGTTTTTTCGCGACTTCCGCCCAGGCAGAAAATACTGCCACTGCGGCATCGAGGCGGTGAGCTGAGGGGCGGAGGCACGTGACAATGTTGCTTAATATTTCCTCTTTGGGAATGACTGCCTGGTGACGTCACTGCTCTAACTCTTGTCTCGTGCTTCGTACTTGCACTCGTTCTTGCACTCTTCTAGTGCTACTACTGGAAACCAAAAGGCAAAAAAGATGGCGATAGCTGAAGTCTGACACCATGACTAACGCGCGACAGTTGGCGGTCAGCCGCTCTATTCACCGCGCTCTTCTGCGAGATCCAGAGCATGAAGCCGTCACCAGATATAGCGTTTTCATGGTGCTCCTGGCCTTTTTCTCCATCTGGCACATTCGCTTAGTCCGGATTTCTGCAGATTTGTTTCGAAGCCTCCGGAACGACGTGTGGGAACTAGACGAGTCCGAGTACAGTGAATCCTTTCTGAGCGATAGAAAGGTACGCGCCGAGGGCTTGAAGCCGATGGGGGACTTGGGCTACTCTGGTTCGGTAATAAACAACATTTGCTTTCTTCTTTTCATTGTCAAATTAAATTCTCCTTTTCGAAGCATGATAGCGGAGTCTAACAAACCCTTCTGTAGACATTCTTCAAGACGGTAAACTCAAAATACTTGATCAAAAGCTTGCCGCGGAGGTCAGAGCATTCGTTTTTCCGGGACGACTTTCTTCACCCGTACCATGAATACATGTTGTCCAATGCAGACTCACTTCTCGTGCGAATAACGGATTTTCTGGGTGCAGAGTATCCCACAATTGGCACCCTATGCCAATGCACTCCATCCCACCATGTCATCATGGAGAACGTGTTATGTGACAAAGACGACGAGGCCCGCGAGCCTGACAAGTGGGAGACGTATGACTTGAAGCCAATTGATTACTTTTACCCGGAGCGCGACCTTGTCCCCAAGCCAATCGCAAAGGAGGCAATCTCGTCACGTCTCTACGACGAGTTTAAAGACAAGATACGGATTACGAAAGAACAATACAACGAGCTGAAGAAGACCATTGAGGGCGATACCAAATTTCTCAAATTAGTGAATACTGTTGACTACTCACTGTTTTTGGTCCGATACCCAGCCCACTTGCGCCCTCTGACACCCTCAAGAAGGAAAATCCAGTGGCGGGAAGGAGCTGTGTCTACCGATGGGAAATGGAAATATCGCGCGGTACTGCTAGACTTTTTCTGGGCAAAACACAAACTGCAGGCTCAAGCCATGACCGGGGTTGTGCACACGTTTAATGCCATCGGACGCAAGGGCCCAATGTCTATAACCACCACGGCAGACGAGTACCGGGAAAAGTTCCTCCAAATGCTTGATGGATTGGTTGAACTCCACGGATAAGCAAGTCTATTCCTATACGTGGAGCAACAAAAAAAATTCATGGAATGACAATTGATATTCTTTTTTCGTGCCAATTAACATAAAACTTTCTCATCCCCTCTCTGCCTCCCTTTGCACCTTTTTTCTTCTTCTCAATGCTGAACTTGAACTTTTGAAACTCAAGTTGATATTAATGGTCTTATATTTATGGATCAATGCCAAGCACATCTCACTTCATCACACGGTACAAATCGTTGTGACAATATGCGTGAGTCTGTTCTTATTGATAGATACAATGTATCTAAAAAGCGAAGACCTGGTCGTGGAGCTTGCTGACGGGGCTGGCTTTTTTATATCCAAGAGCCTCGGTGGCCTTCTTCATAGCAGAGACCATGGGAGGAGGTCCGCAGAGCAGAATCTTGATGTCGTCGGCTGGAGCGGGCAGGTGTTCCTAAGAAAAAGCGCGAGTTAGATACAATCAATTGTACAGTATTTGAACGTCACACACCTTGATCATGTCGCCTGTGACAAATCCAACACCGCCCTTCCATCCTTCTGGTGGGTTGTTCAGAACATAGTAGATGTTAAACTTGTCATCCTCCGCCGCCAACTTGTCCAATTCCTCTTTGAGAAGAATATCGTCGGGGTTGACGTTGGCGAAGATGAGATCGATCTTGGTAGTGTCGTTGCCGCCGTTTCGGGGTCTGCCGCGGATGATAGCCTTGATAATTTGCAGCATTGGCGTAATACCAGTACCACCGGAGATCATGCCGATGTGACGAGCCATGTTGGGGGTGTAGACCATGGCACCCTTGGGACCGCGGACCTTCATGGTCTGACCGACCTTCAGATCGTCCAGATACTTCGAAATGTTGCCCTGGGGGTAGGTCTTGACAAGAAGGTCAAAGTAGCCGGCTTCATTGTCGGACGAGATGGGGGTGTAGGAGCGGACGACGGGGTTTGGGTTGCCAGCAATCTGGGCCTGGAGGGAGATGTGCTGGCCGATGGGGAGACCCAAGATATCGGTTGGGCGTGGGAGGGAAAAGCGGTAAACGGTGACGTTGTGGGAGATGTGGTTCTTCTCCTTGAGCACGAAGTCTTGGAACTCCTTGGGGTCGAGGACTTTGCGAGGGCCTGTGCGGTGCGTGAGTCAATTGCGTTTCCAATGATAAGTGCGAATCATTGAAATTATTACGCACTGCTTGTAGCTGTGAGCAGCCTAAACGCAGAGAGAACTGCAGCGACAGCGACAGCGTAAGGGACCCATTCCTGCTTGACAAAAAAAGTGCCGGCGACCAGGAGTGCCGAAGGAATGAGAATGCCGTTGACGGTCTCGGAGGAAGCAAGGCTGCTGCTCAAACGCGTCAAAAACGGGACAGTCCAACAACGGGTTTGAGAGACAGAATGCTTACCTCATATTGAGAGAACTGAAGAGAACACGGGGGAGAGAGTGAGGAGCGGAGCGAGCGGTGCTTGCGGGAGGAAAAAGAAGCGTTGGATGCCAGATGGATTTGTCTTGATAGTCCGGGCCGCTTCGGAGCTTAAATCTGCCGACAGTCAACAGTCAACACCGCCCGCCATTCATTATTATTTCTAGTCAGCTCATGGCTGTTCAAACTTCAGGACATGCCTTGGTTGGGTGTGTAGCCTGGCAGGGAAATAGTTTCCCGTTCTAGCTAGTAATCGAGCATCCCCGAGTATACATGGCTCAGCCCCCCCCCCGAAACAGAGTGGCTCAAAAGTAACAAAGTACTGATAGCTAATCAACACAGCTAAGCAGAATCCTTGTACAGTGTGCAATAGACCATTCTCTGTGGCATTCAATATGAAGACCTAAATACAAGTCAGTAGAAAGCTCCTTATATCCAATCCTCCACGCGCCGTTGTGCATTTTACCTCCGTAGACGATATAAAACATACTCATATCATGCATAAAATGACATGTGTAGGTCATGCCTGATGGATGCCTGAAAACATTACAAGTGATCTCGCTTAATAGCCTGTTCATCTCTGTTTTCCTTTTTTTTCTTTTTTTCCAGGGTCTGATTTTGTATTTTGCTGGACAGCACCTTTTATTAGCCTTATCAATGGATTGTTATGAGAACGATAGCTACGTTAAGATTGCAGAAGAAGTAATCCACACAACGACTTCTTAATGCAACTTTGAGGAGTCTCACACCAGCGGAAGTGCAACTGGAAGGATATCCTCATCATATGAATGAAGAAATATGCCACTTCTTACCCTTGCAAGAGAGCAAGCCAGTCCCACTGGCATCTATAAACTCATGGACTTCCCCAAGCCTAAACACCCAAAGTTTCATTTCTCAACCATTCTTCCATAAGACTGAGACCCAGCAGCGTTTCTGAGAGACGCTGTCAAGGAATTGACAGCGAGGGACAAGGACGAAGAACCGAAAGCAAGAAGTCAACGGCTTTGAAATAATGTTCCTGCGTGCAAGTCAAGCCTTCGCGGTGAATGAAGATGGGCCGCCTCAAAAGAGGAGGAAAGCCAGTGCTGGAGAGGAAAGTATCTCGAACCATTATTCCTTTTTTCTTGGAAGGGGTTCTAACGTGTACAAGGGCAACGAGGAATGGTCTGCAACTCTCTATAAAACCATGCAAATCCTCCCGCCCCGTCAGCTTCTATCAGACCCAACACAGTACGAGCTCGTAAACTTCATTTTTCCCAGCAGATGAGATAACCATGGATCCAGAGTCGAGACGGATTGGAAGTCATGAAGGGCGTGATCATATTGGACGACTGGCCAGGTTGTAAGACCTACAGAAGCATTTCAAAGAAGAACGAAAGCAACAGCAGAGAAATATTGAGGAGCTACAGGAGCAGAGCAAGGGGCAATATTACTTACTACTGACGGCTTGTGCAAATGAGCTGGAATGGACAGCTGGGAAAAGTCGTCCGGAGCATCGTTATACAAGAAATGTCATCATCCATGGTGGAAGCACCACGTATGCTATCAAAGCAATTGAGTTTCTTCAAGAACTTGGTGATACGGGGCGGGTGCGAAATACATCTGAAGGATTCAAGAAAACCTATGGGGTGTCTGTAGGCGAGCTACGACATGTTGCAACCGTCCCGGAGGAGATAGTGGACCTTCTGAATAAAAGAGGAGTGCTACACAAAGTTTGGGCATGGAAAGACCTTTTTCCTAATGAGACAGACAACTGGTTTCACGACTGCGATGAGGTGACCAGAAATTGGTTGCGTGCTGGAGGGGGATCATATCTCAACGACGAAGCCAAGGCAGAATATTTCCGACTGAGTCAGTGGATGGCTGATCGTGTTGAAGACATCAAACGGCACACATATTAGCTGCTATTTGCTTGAAATGCGTTCTACTCTGTTTTATTTTTATTTTGTCTTCTGCTCTTCGATATTCTTCTGTTTTTGTTTCTCTTGTTTTCTCAGTGATGTAAGAGACTCTTCTCAAATCCACAAGTTACCATGCATACAGTCCCTCGTGAACCAATTTGAATTGATATCCAAACGATACTGAGTCTATACACAACTTTCCATAGTTGTTTTTTTCGTAAATGACATGGACGTATCGAATCCTCTATTACCGATTTCGGCAATGCCATAATAGGAAGTAAAGACTAACTTCCCTATGAATCCTAGCGCGTGCGTTTTTCTCCCCGCAGGCATTTGACCCGGCAACTTTCAGACCTCACTCAGCTCTATCTAACCACGCAGCCAGCATGGGCTCAATCCAACAAACCGCGGCGCCGTTCAACCTCACGGAGGTTGATCGCCTGGTGCTCGCGCAGACAGACGAGGAGTTTGTCCACCATGACTGGGAGGACCTGAAAGCGATAATCGGTAAGTAAATACACCGCCTCTACTATAAAACCTCGTATATTACGATATATACGAACACACACGTATACAAATCTTAGATGTATAGACATTTGCTAATCGACACAGCTCGGAATGACCTTGGAGCCCTGCGCCGTACGCCATCTGATCTGAAACGGTACATAGTCTGGACCAACGACACAAAAGCCACATATGGCTCCATTACAAACTATATCTGCCAAAAGCGTCTAAAATGGTCGTCCCCAGATCCATCTTCATCATCATCTTCTTCTCCATCAGCTACATCTTTATCATTGTCTGGCTCAAATTCGCCTGCAGCGCCCCAACTCCCAGAAATCCCTTATAGAAATGCAACCCCATTTGCAGACCCTTCTGATTACAGAGTCTTGCGCAATGACTGGCCCTATGGCCTGACGCCGGATATCACGCATGTCGTCGTCTGGTCCAAGACGCCTATTGCCACGAAGCCCGAGAACGGAGATGTGACAGATGAGTCGCGGGCGTTCATAGAGGGCTTTGTAGACCGGACTTTTGTGCAGAGATTACAGAAGGAGCCTGGTTTTGAGCAAATGAACAAAGATGCTATTAGGAGGGAGCATGTGCTGTGGTTCAAGAACTGGACGGCCTTGCAGAGCGTGAGGAGTTTGGAGCATTTTCACATTCTGCTTAGAGGTGTTCCCAGTGCTATTATCACTGAATGGACGCATGAGAGCGACGTTGTTCGGTAGCTTGGTGATGCTGTCTCTCTTCATGTTCCAGAGTATAGATTAATTGATACTTAAAAAGACAGTTCAAAATCGGAAAGAAAGCAAAGATCAAAGTCCTGACTTTGAAGTAGCAAATCGAATTTTGATATCAGCGACTACAACACATACACAGAGAAGATCAAGCAATGAATACATTCAGTTCACGACCAGCAGATTCGCTGAATAGGGATATAAGTATGAAATGGAATCAGATACTAATAATTATGAACGCCTGAATTTAACCACCCTTACATGAAAAACCCTCGTAACTTGCAATCAAGTACCATGATCAACGTAACCCAACTTACGACTTTTGCTCTTCCACAAATTTGAGAGCCTCCTCTTTTGATACTACGTCGATAGTACTAGCCTTGTGCCGGAAACTGACACCGTAGCACTTCTCCGCGACATGTAGCATTTCAGGGCGGAAAGTAGTACATATGAATTGGCCGTTCGTAGATTCCGAGATTGACTGCAGCATTTGGGCGACGGCAGTGCGATATTGAGCATCCAAGTTGGCGTCGATCTCGTCAAACAGGTAAAATGGTGCGGGGTCACAGGCCTGGATGGCGAAAACAAGCGCAAGAGCACATAAACCTATAAAGATTGTTAGATGTGTCTATAAACCCAACAAGAGAAAACCCTTACTCTTTTGTCCTCCGCTCAGCTGCTGAATACGTTGCTGTTCGTCGTGCTTACTATTGAAGCTAACACTGATACCGACACCAACATAGTTCTCCACGCTCTCGCGCCGATCTTCATCCTCAGACTCAACCTCGTTATCTGGTCGAAGAGCACGATCGGTCTTGCGCTGAATGATAAGCCGACCACGACCGGCAGGTACCAGTTTCTCAAACACATTATGGAACTCGCGCGACACTTGCTTAAATGTTCGCTCGATGGCCTCGTCCTTGCGTTGATCAAGGACCATGATCAGCTCATCAATTGACGTTTGAGACGCGTCTAGCTCTTCCCTTCGTGTTGTCAAAGTCTCACGTTGCTTTGTAAAATTGTTATACTGCTCAAATGCCTTCTTGTTGACATGTGAATATTTCTTCAATGACTCATTGACCTTGTGGAGCTTTTTCACCACAGTGTTCGAATCTGTCTTGCTGTACTTGGTGAAGGCGTCATCTGGGAGAACACCCAGATCACGGATGTTGCCGCTGCATTCAGCCGCTTGTTTCGTCAGGGCAGCTTTCTTCTGCATACTCTTCTCCATACGCCTCTGGTGTTTTTCAATGGATTTGGCCAAAGCCTCCAAATTGTTACGTACCTCCGTCTTGCGACCCTCAAGCTGGCTAACCTGTCCATTGCCTTCGGAAATGGACTTATCGACATCTGCTAGCCGTTGGGTAATTTTGTCGAGGGCAGTGTGTAGCTTTTTCATGTGGCGCTGAGCCTCCTTCAAAGTTCCTTGAGTATTATCTTCACCCATGTCAATATCAGGGCTGCTCAACTGATCTAACCGTGGGTAGAGATTTTCACGCAATTCTACTTCCAGCACTGATTTTCGAGCCTCAATTTCGCTACGCTGACCGGATAGCTCTGCATACTGACGTCGCAAACTTTGTGCAGTAGTGCTGAGAGACTCGAGTTGCGCCTCCTCATCCGACGTGAGTGCCTTTTGAAAGGCGGTCGACATTTCTGCTTCTAATGCGCTGACCTGGCCATTCAGAGCAGACAAGTTATTGTCAATATTGCGGAGGGCTCGTTGTTTGGCATCGAGATTGTCGTTCTTGTTCTGGAGTAGTTCACGCTTGCTTCGAAGCTCTTGTCGTAATGGGCCACTGTTGCCATGGAACTGGTGTTTACGCTGCTCTAGCTTCTGAAGCTCACCTACTGCCTGGGTAACTTGCTGGTCCAGCTTTTCCAGGTTCTTGCGAATTTCGCTTGCACGGTTTTTCTTGGACTCAAATTCATCACGACATTTTGTCACTGTTTTCACAGCTTCGAGACGAGACTGACGAGAATCGTGGAAACCACCAGTCAATGCACCACGCTTGTCAGATCTATCACCCTCTGGTGTTATCGCATTGATACCATGGCTTCGGGCATACTGTGAAGCGACCTGCAGATTAGGACAGATAATGGTCGTTCCAAAGACTTGTTGGAATGCCTTCTCGTATTCCGGATCGAATTGCAATTTTTCAATCATTGGAATGGTATCACTTGCTTTCGGTACATTTGTTGAGCGAGGTTTCAGTCGATTCAGCGGCATGAAAGTAACTCGACCTGCTTTTTCTTTCTGTAGTATTTCAAGAACCTTCGTGGCGGTTTCATCGGTATCAACGACGTAGTGAAAGAGACTCGTCCCAGCTGTGACCTCAACGGCCGTACGATATCGCTCGTTAACCTCGAGAAGCTCAGCCAACGTGCCATAAACACCTTCTAGATTATGCTGTCGCTTGATTCTTCGAACGGCTGCTATTCCGCGACTAGTATTATTGTCCATTGTATGTGAGAGATTGCGCTCAGCCCTGTCCACTTCTTGGGACGCATTTGATAGAACCGAGTCTAAACGCGCCTCTTCCCTCCACAATTCTCTATGAAAACAAAGTGTTAGTAAGAAGCCTATACAACACGGTTGATGCAACATACTTTCGTTGGTCCATAAGACGGTCTCTCTCATCCTTCGCATTCTGGACCTCTTGCTCAATTGACTGAATAGCATCTCCTCTTCCCTCGATCTGTTTCCGGAGGTTCTCAATCTCAGGTTCCAGAGACTCGATAGTTTTCTGAAGCTCTTGAATATCTTCACTAGTCTGGGATTTAACAGCATTGGCTGTTTTTATAGAATTTTTGGTTTCCTGAATTTCCTTCTGCAGCCATTTGTCTCTCTCGGACTTGCTTTTGAAGCGAGAGTTCCGGCCTTGTTTTGCGTAAAGCCGCTGCTTGGATGTTTCTGCTTGATCTAGCTGTAATTTGACGGCATCTTCCTGCTCTTTGGCATCATTGAATCGAGGAACTAATGTCTGAAGTTCACTCTCGCGTTGACTGATGGCAGAGTGAATAGAATTCAGGTCGTTTTCATGTCGAGCTTTGAGCTGCTGGGCGGTGGCTTGGTTATCTTTCAGAGCCTTTTCTTGTAATTCCACTTGAGCAAGAGCACGAGAAGCCTCACGACGCTCGTCTTCTAATTGTGCCTTGTCCACTTTTAAAAACTCTATTTGTTGCTTGCATTCGGCAATCTCAGAATCGATCTCAGCCATATCTTTTTCGCCTTGGATGAAATCTTCCCGATTCACATCTGTATCCTCGACGCCAGTTTGCCTCTGACCTTCGAGACTGTCAAGTGCATTGGCAATCTCTTGCTGTTCTCGGGAGTAAATGGTGTACTCTAGACATCGACGCTCGCGATCTTGTTCTTGGTAGTTCCGCAATTCATCCTTCTCCTCCTCTAGCTCACCGAGTCGTTCGTTGATATAATCAAGAAGTTCATCGATCTTGGCCCTCTTGTTGTTGGTTTCGTTCATGATTTTAAGCGACTCGGCTCGACGGGCTTCGTAAACCTGAGTTCCAGCGACTTCTTTCAGCAAGACCAGTCGCTCGGAATCTTTCATGTTTGTGAGTGTTGTAACTCGACCCTGGGGTACAATATAGTAAGGGTTGGATCGCGAGAAGCCAGCAGATTCTAATAGATTCATGACATCCGCCTTTGTTGCATTTTTGTGGTCCAAAGTATATTCGTCTTTTTTCAAGCCAATTGTTCTTCGAAGAACCAGTTCGGGCTTGCCAGTTGGAAATCGTTCGTCGGAGTTATCAAAAATCACCTCGACGTAGGCGGACATCACGGCGGAACCGGAACCCTCCTGCTCAACCGTTAACAGCAGACTCCCCCATAAGAAGTATAGCACCTACATGAAGAAGAGCTTGCCGCTCCTCCCGTCCCATTTGTGTGTAGGCATCACTCAAAACGAAACGAATAGCAGCGAAAAAATTACTCTTGCCCGAACCGTTGCGGCCAACGATAACATTGTGCTTTGGCGAAAAGGGTTCAATGACCGTCTGGTCCTTGTAACTGTATGAAGTGCCAATGAGTAAAATGGATATTTAAGTTCTTTTTTCATTTGATTGACAAACGGCGTACCTCTTGAAGCCTTGAATGATGATTTGCTTGATATACATCTTGACACAGCGACACGCGAGATCAGCTTATTCAAGATGTAGCATCACCGGGCGAAATAGGAATGCGCCAAATTGCGCTCCGCTCAGAGGTACAGCAACACAGCCGGCCCTGCAACAGTCAGATATGCACTTGAAGTCGATATTGCGTTGCTGTCTGTATGTCGGGCTGGAGGTTGACGCGTGGGCGCAAAGACTCGTCCCTGAGCGCGTCTACGGGCCACACCGCCTTGCCAAAAGGGACAAAGTGTGCCTGCCGCTCTCTGGTCATTGGGCTGCCAAGACCGCGGGGTGCGGCCCTTTCTTATCGATTAAAAACTATTTTTTTTTCCCTCTCCCTCCACAGGCACAGCAACCTTGGAGGTTTCTTTCTGATTTTTGGGCCTGCAATACTGCTACAGCCACAGAAAATGGCATCAGAAGACACTGTCCACGGACTGGCGGATGGCCAACTTCCTCCCCACCAATTTATTGCGAACACAGGCTATGTCGACAGCGCGCCTACCAACCCCGCAGTTGGCAACCAAGGCACGAGCCTGCTCCAAGAAGATGGCGAGGAGGACGATGAATACTACGATGACATCTTCGAAGATGAACTTGATGAAGACCTTGCACAAGAAGATTTCAGCTCTGCAAATCCGAACGATTTCACAAAATCATACAACCGCCAGCGTCGGCTGAACGAGGTCATGGCCGATGCTAATGCCCCCAAGTCATCGTACCCAAAGACCAACCCGCAGAAGCCAAAGGCAAATGTTCATGCAGCCGTGGATGACCAAATCGTATCACTGTCGAAACATGCTGCTAAAATCAAACTCGATGATCAGCAGTCTGGTTTTAAAGGGAAAGATGGAAGGACCGTCGATAAGAGCGATCGTGCAACCTCGGAACAAGTGTTGGATCCACGGACGAGAATGATTCTATTACAGATGATCAACAGAAATCTTGTATCAGAGATCAACGGTTGTCTGTCCACCGGAAAAGAAGCAAACGTATATCATGCAGTCACAATACGAGACGAGGAAGCTGCCGACGGCGTCGAGACTCTACAACGGGCAATTAAAGTCTACAAGACCAGTATATTGGTATTCAAAGACCGCGACAAATATGTTACTGGCGAGTTTCGTTTTCGCAAGGGTTATGACAAAAGTAACAACCGCGCTATGGTAAAGGTGTGGGCCGAAAAGGAGATGCGAAACTTGCGGAGAATACATTCTGCTGGTATCCCCAGTCCGGAGCCGCTGTACCTTCGACTCCATGTCCTTGTGATGGGATTTCTTGGGAACTCACGGGGAATACCAGCTCCTAGACTGAAGGATGTAGAATTTGACCTGCCCGATCCGGAAGCGCGTTGGGAAGAATTATATATGGAGCTGGTCGGTTATATGCGTACCATGTACCAAACATGTCGGCTAGTACACGCTGATCTAAGCGAGTACAATATACTGTACCACAAGAACAAACTCTACATAATTGACGTGAGTCAAAGTGTTGAACATGACCATCCACGCAGCTTAGAATTCCTGCGGATGGACATAAAAAACGTCAGCGACTTTTTCAGGCGCAAGGGTGTAAACACCCTTTCTGAAAGGGTAGTTTTTGAATTTATTACAAGCAGCCAAGGTCCAGAGATGGTGGCCGGTGACAACGAGTCAATGATTGTAGGGATTCGAAAGCTCTTCGAACTCAGAGACCAAAATAATGGCGAAGATAGTGTTGCAGATGATGTGGATGCTGCTGTCTTTCGCCAGCAGTATATTCCACAGACCCTCGAACAAGTCTACGACGTGGAAAGAGATGCTGAGAAAGTGAAATTTGGTGAAAGCGATGATTTGGTCTACCGTAGCCTACTGGCTGATAAATCAAAGTCATCAAAACAAGGGGACGCAACTACAGCAGGCCCTGAAGAAGATGATGAATCTGACCAGAGTGGCGGTGTATCTATCTCAGACGGATCCGATGAAAGCGTTGAAGGAAGCGCCTCTGACAACGAGGATCCTTTCGCCAAGAAGCCTCCTCGGGGTAAAAAGCATGAGGATAAGGAGGCCAAGCGTCAGCACAAACAGAAGGTGAAAGAGGAGAAGAGGGAGCAGAGGGCAAAAAAGATGCCAAAGCATCTGAAGAAAAAAATAATCAACTCTACAAAACGGAAGTAGAGCTGAATATGACGATTAAAAAGCACATGGGGTTTAACGAATATTGCATTTGATGTTTTACAGGAGTTGGGGCTTTACATAGATAGATCTATACATATATTAACAAAAGGATGGATATTATGTTTCAATACACGATGAGCCTAGGCACTACAATTCTCCATTGCGTCAATTCCATCCTTACTCTCACTGAAGCCCTTTTGCCCATCTCCGAGTACTTGTAGAGCCATGGCCATCCCGCTTGCGGAGTGCCACAAGACATGGCAATGCAACGCCCAGATACCTTCATTATCAGCCAGGAACCGGAGAACCACGTAGCCCGATGGAGGCACATAGACAGTATCCTTGCGGATTGGATCAACCAAATTGAACTGGCCGCCGTGCGGTGGCATTGTGTCAAATGGATTGTATGCGTTGTTGCCATTTTTCCCTTCGTATGAAGCCACAACATAAACGTCATGGCCATGCTGTTGAAATGATCAGTTTCCGGTTTCATCTGTATATTCTTAAAACAGAGAGCAAGACAAACATATTGAATTGCAAAGTGAGGAAAAATCCAAAACTTACAAGATGGAAAGGATGCCCGTTTTTATCGACATTGTTAATAGTCAACTCAACCCAAACGGGCTCCGGACCAGTCCAAGGCACGAGTTGATGATCGTTCCAACTCTCGCGATCCAGGGAGATGAGTGGTAAGCTTTGCGGCTCCCATATAGTCCGATTTACCAACCCTCTAGCCTCGTCATCTAGTTGATTGATCACTTGCACATTGGTATATATCATGTAGAACGTTTGAGGTTCCGGCAGAGGACTGTCGAGTGAATTACCCTTTGCTTCTCCTAGGTTGAATCTTCGCAAATCGTTTCCGTTCGCAATGTTAGGTTGCAATTCGGGAGAGTCTATTGTTAGGGCGAAAGACTGTATACGAGAGAGTGCAGGGTTCGGCCATAAGAAGAGCCTGGAGGGATTATTAGATACCTCAAGGTCTTAATACTTAACGCTCAGCAGAACTCACTCCCTATCCAACTCGATTTCTATCTGCAACTCCATACTGGAAGTTGAGTCAGTCCACGATAGAATAAAGTCTACTCTCTCCCCAGGATAGAGCACTCCAATAGAATTAGCAGTATGAGAGGTTGCCACAGGAAGACCGCCATCAACCTGGAAAACTTCAAGGTCCGCATCCGGCACGGTCAAGGATATTCCAGACATGGATCTAGGCACTCATATTAAGCAGGGTGAATAGAACCTTGCACGAGGTAAAACGTACCCAACATTAACAAGCCGAACTCTGTAACGCAACTCGTTGTTCAAAGAAAACCGCGGAGGCTCGGCCCAACGACATTGAACTGGATCGTTTTGCCTGACTTTGGAGCAATCAAAATGGCCCAGACCATTGACAAGCAGCGAGTCAGGGGCTGGCTGTGATAAACTAAGTTATTAGTTTTATTATATTCTAATTGTTTATAAACAGAAGCCATACTTCAACTCCCATGCTTGTTCGGTCTTGAAACGAAGCCAGGACTTTTGCAGACGGCCGGTGATACCAATCCCCTATTAGCAGCACAAGCTCTTTATCATATTGATAAGTCGCGTTTTCTAGAACAAAAGGGTTGTGAACGATCAAGGCTCCGTACAGGCCGTCTCCTCGATGGACTTCGGAATGGGCATGATACCTGCACTTTGGCATCAACAAACGTCCCTGCGCGGTGAGACTTTTTTTCCTTTTCCACTTACCAAAATGTGCCTGACTGATTTCCAATGGGGACTCGATAAGTGAAGTTTGTACCGGGCTTGATAGGACATTGTGTTAAACCAACGGGCCCATCCATCCGATTTGCCCCTGTCAACAACCTGTGCTTCAGTATTGGTCTTTGAACATGCAACTAGTATTGATAAATGGTACGAACCTCTCATGTGAAGACCGTGCCAGTGTACCGACAAGTCGTCTTGTGCGGAATTAAGGATGTTGATTTCCAGAATGTCGCCTGGCCGTGCCTCAATGGTAGGTCCGGGAAACTGGTCTGCGATTCAATTTGACTCATATTAGATGTCTGTCTATAGTGAAAGGGCTAGATAGTCATACTGTTTACTAGAAAAGCTTCCTTGTTCACCCCATCGGGAGTAATAGTTGCCTTTGAAATATTCCATGAGAAGTGCAAGACGTCCTGCGTTCGCGAAACATGGTTCTCGGGATGGAGGAAGAATTCTACATTTCTACCTGAGCCCGCGTCTGTAGCAGACGAATCAAGCAAATCGGCCTTCTCTGGGACTGGCAACATGTATTGGTCCCTGAAATCGATCACGAAAAAGACCAATGCTAATATCAACGGAATCGTGATCAAGACAGGCATAGCAGCCTTCCAGCACGCCTGATAGCGAGCATGAGGCACCGCATATTCTTTGCTCTCAAGCGGTGACTTGTCATTCTCTGTCATTCTCGCTCGCCGAAACACACGACAGAAAGAAGAAACATTTTCTGGCTACAAGTAAAAAGAAAAGTATTTCGAATACTTTTTCGCGGCCGTTGCTAGTCGCAGAACATTTGCCCCCACAGCTGGTTTTGGTGCAAGCCTGTAATCTTTTAGGGCTTCACGTGCGATGATTTGGACATTACATTTGACGGCGAGTTTATTACCGGTCTCACATCGCTACTCAGCTACGATAGTTTCGGTATATTATCGCTAAATTAATAATGAATTCTCGCAATAGCGTTCAAGAGCTGAAATTTAACTGAGAATACATTCACTCTATGCAAACCCGTGAGCATCCTACGCCTCGGATACTACATAAATCAATCCGAACTTTTTGACAGCAGTGGTCTATTGTGCTAAGCTCTATATCTATTGTTATGATGAATAAACAAAGTGAAGATCGTACTTCCCGTCACCTTGACTGATGGTCTTTGGAAGCTAGATCCGAAGCAATATATCCTCTTATACTCTCCGTATCATCGCCGTGGATAGCTTGCGTGTCCACTCGGTAACCGTTCTTGACAACAATGGGACCATGGCCGGGATCATTTGGCTTGCGATTGTAATTACTGGACACATTGTCCAGAGACGATAGAGGATGAGAGCTATCCCGCCTTTTATGGCGGAAGCTATATGACAATGCTTCTCTGCCGGACCTTGTTCTTCCATTCCCAGACGATGGAATGAGAATGGGGACGAATGTCCGCACAAAAGGTTTGAGCACAGCGAGACAATTGCACATAAGTCCGAAGTTGATTTCAATTGCCCTAATACATTGGTTGTTCGGAGAATTAAGCTGAGATGCTCTGAAGGATTGGGAAAAAAAAAAATCAAAAAAAAGAGGACATGAGAAACTTACGACCATACGCAAACCGTAGCCTCAGATCAAGTAAAATCAGCAACATGTAATATTTTCATTATGAAGGTGATCCGAATAATGCTTGTTATCACAACACTGTATCGCAACAGGAAGATAGTTTTAGCACAAAGTTCTGGGCTTTGCTTCAGTCACGGGCAAGGGTCCCTTTTATGATTCAATGGAAACATCAGTGAACACCACAAGAGACCGGGAGTTCCACAAGAAAAGGCGCAAGGTCTGGGACAATGCATTCAAGAAATGTAAGTTGGTATATGTGTACGATTTTCCGCTCATAGATCCGCTGGGCTAATGTTACAGCACTCGCCGATTACGCCCCTAGAATCGATGAGTTCACTGAGCAGCTTCTTGTCCGAATAGCGAGAAACGTCGGCAGACAAATTGTGCTAAATGACATATGCATTCACTATAGTTACGATGTGATGAGTCCACTGGCATTCGGAGATTCCATGGGATTCATCAAGGGCGACTCAGACGACATCGCAAAGTCCGTTCTAGATAACATCCAGAAGGGCGTCGATGCCATCGGACTCCTCCTTCACGTTCCCTGGCTAATGGGCCTCCTAACGACTTTCTCCTGGGCAATCGGTCCCATGCGCCAGTGGAACGAATACTCCGGGGAACTGGTGGTGTTGCGCAAAAAGGTACGTGTTCAAGCAAGCTGCAGTCAATGGCAGGAAAACTAACCACCGGGCGTAAAAGATGAAGAACCCCAAACCCGACCTCTTTGGTCATCTTCTCGAGAATACTGAAGACACAGCTGCGGGACGTTCCCTGCTCAACTCGGAGTGTCGTCTCATCGTGGGTGCCGGAAGGTAAATACCACGTACTAAAAACCATAAGTTTCCTATATCATTTGTGCTAAAAGACTCTGTGCTCTCATCTAGTGATACGACTGCCACAGCTTTGACATTCTTGTTTGTTCATTTGGCTCTGTATCCGGAATGGCTTCGTAAGTTGCGGGAAGAAATCGACCCGGTCTTGTCCAGCTCGAGCTTCTCATGTACCTAGTCGCAGCCGGTACTTGATGCAATCATCAATGAAAGCATGCGCCTTCATCCGTCTGTCTTCTTCGGCTCGCAGAGAGAGACTCCGCCAGAAGGCATGCGAATTGGGGAAACTTATATCCCTGGCAACACAATCATTTCCATCCCAGGCTATCAGCTTGCCAGAGGTACGGTCTTTTTGCACACAATACTTCTCTTCTTTCTCTTATATCATGAGGCACTGACCGATTTTTCGTGCGCAGATGAACGAAACTTCGTCCGTGCCAATGAGTTCCTGAACGCTGGTACGCAAAGCCAGAGTTGGTCATCAACAAGTCCGCCTATATGCCCTTCTTGATTGGGCCATTTAACTGCGCCGGTCGTAACTTAGCCATGATGGAGCTTCGTTCCGTTGTTGTGCGTGTTGCACATAAATTCGACATCGCATTTCCTAGGGACACCGTTTTTGACCCAGTAGAGTATTTCAGTCGGGTAAAGGATCATTTTGTTGCGGGTGCGCCAAGGCAGGAGATAGTCTTCTCGAGGCGGTCCAGCAATACCTGACATTGTTGTTGTTGATGATAATAGTCAGTACACTATTAACTTATTAAGGGCAGCGTCGGTCTTGAGCATCACAGGTTTAGGGCTACTGTTCCCCACGCTAGAGCTTGCCTGCCACGATAATTGGAGTGTCACTACAACTAAAGCAAGGAAATATTAGTTTTTAAAGTTAGCTTGAACATGGTTCAATATTATATTTACTGATGTTTATATTCTTCTTCTCCTTGAGACCATAGAGCACTGCTCAGTGAGCGCTTAGCATTGTAACTAGCTAGTTAAGTTAACGTATTTCCCGAGTAAACCGGACACCCTACCAAAAATTCCACTCGATTTTCAAATCATCATTTTCACATGAACTTTACAACATCAAAAATATCTAAAAAACGTGCAAAAATAGATTCTAGCTATAAGAGAAGGCTTCTTCTTACTATTAACGCATTAAAAAATAAACAAATTGATAGTTTGTGCGAAGCTATACATCTTTTTAACATTAGTAAGTCAATATTATTAGAATGATAACAGGGCTCAATCAAACACTAAAAAGCTAGCATAAAACATAGAAAATTAATCTTTACTAAGAAGGCCTCACTCTAGAATTAGATATTCTCTCTAAAATGTCAAGGATATCCCCCTAGGCCTAGTATGCTTTATAATATAGCAAATCTTTTACTTCTTGTAAGAGATCCTATCTAGATTCCTAATAAAGTAAATAAGAACTAGATAGAATTTTTTTTAAAGTAATAATCTAATTTTAAAATAAGATTTATATGTTGATTAATTTATAATAGAGCCTAATATAAGAATCTAGTTATTATCTATTTTTTTTTTAAGTAACTAAAACAGTTAAAGATTAAATATAATATTATTAATAATAATATTTATAACTTTAATGAGACGGGCTTTACTATAAGAATAATAGCTATAGTAAAAGTTATATATAATTCTAATTATTCAGGAAAACCTAATCTTATTTAACCTAAAAATCATAAATAAGTTACTATCATTAAATATATTAGAAGTAAAGGTAATATAGTACCCTTATTAATTATTTTTAAATTAACTTATTACTAAGCTAAATAGTATACTATACCTCAGCTACTATCTAATTAATTAATTATATATTCTTGAAAAGGCTAGACATCAGATAAAATTAGATTATAATAATTAGAAAAAATGTTTAAGCTATTTATTAAACCTCTTACTCTTAGTATATATTATTTTTTAATCTTAGATAGCTATAGTAGTGTGACGGGGTTTGCAAGAACATAGCTGGGATTCAGCTTCGGCCTAGGAATAGATTCAAATATATAACGTATATACATATATACTCAGCAGCTAATCACTGCTTCACGAAGACCTGAGGCCACCTACAGTTATAAGGTGGTGTGTGTTAAACTGCTAATTCAATTAATAGTAGGAAACTAGGTGAGGTTATATACCTATTATACTTTAAAGCTATTCCTAACTTTATCTAAGATTCTATCTTATAGCTATTCTTCTCTTTATAAAAACGTGTCCCTAAGCTTAAAACTTTATAAGCTTATAGAATTTAGTGTATAGAATTAGTAGTTTAAGTTTTATAATAAAATCTTTATTTTTAATAAAGAAATTAAAAGTAGATAATAGATATTAGATAGAGGATTAAATATATAGAAAATAGTTAAAATTAATATTAGTAATAAGTATATATAAATCTTTATTTTTTTTATTCTAATTTTTTTTTTCTTTTTTTTTTCTTCCTTGGCCTCATCTTCTTCCTTAATAGTAAATATTATCTTAATATTATACTTTTTTATTAAAATTTTATTAAATATAGATTTAGTATATTCTATATTATTAATTTCTTACTTTTTTTATATTAATTTAATGCTTAGGGCGATAGTAAGATAGTTTTAATTATCTTATAATTAAATATAGTAATTAACTTAAAGTGCCTAATATAATTTAAATCTATTCTAGCTATCTCTTTTTTTAAGAGTAGTATCTTGRTGCTTAAGAAAATATTAATATAATAGTAGTTTACTATTATTAATCTAGATTTATTCTTATATTTAGAGTATCTTGCAAAAATATTATTTATATAAATAAATTAGCTATATAAGATAAGTTATAAAGTTAGATAAATATTAATATAGTTACTAATAATATAAATAAATAAATAGCTTAAACCTTTATATACTTTTAAAGATCCTTTAATTAAGCCTTTTAGTATAGTCTCTACTCTTAATATTATATCTAATAATTTCTAGCCCTCTATATCTTTAAAGAGCAAGATAAGTAATAATATTCTATATGTAAAGTTTTAATACTAATAAGATATAAAAATATATAGTTAAGTCTCTATATAAACTTCTATACTTAATCTATTTTTAATTATAGACTATTTTAAATTCTTATAATTATATTAAATAGTAATATATTTATTATAATATTATGACTTAGTTATATATATATTATTAAATGCTTAAATATAAGTATATTTTTATAAATATATATTTATACTTTAATTTAGATATCTATACTATTAAATATCTCTTATTTTATAATTAATACTAATAATTTATAATACTCTAAGTCTTTATTAAACTATTTAAAGACTTTAGTTAATAAGTTTTATTAAGATTTAATAGCAAGAGATTTTAGTAATTAATATTATATATTAAATAAAATATTTAAAGCTTTAAATTATATATCTAGAAAATATATTATTAAAATAGACTCTAATACTAAAACTAATAATAAAAGTATAATTTTAACTTAGCTTAATCTACTTAAAAAGTATTTAATTATAATAATTTATATTATCTTATTAAAGAAGCTTTATTCTTATTATTTCTATTTCTAATTAATATATTTAGCTGATAATTCTATTAACTTTAATAAGAAAAAAAAATCTCCTTTATTTCTTCTTATTAAGCTTATTTATAGATAGATATTTATACTTAGACTTTTAGACTCTTAATTTTATAATCTATTTTTTTAGTTTTTATAATTAATTAGCTAAGTCTTTATTAATTATATGATATAAGTTCTCTTTAAATCTTATAATTAATAATCCTTATTAATAGTTTATAATATAAAATAAATCTTATATTTATTCTTAGTTATTATAAATTAAGCTTTTCTTTATCTCTTTCTTTCTTGCTTTAAGTTATAAATAATCTTATAATTTTAAAGATAAGTTTTAAATATAGTATAATTACTGATATTCTTCTTAGATTTTTATATATAATCTTCTTTAGGGTAGCCTGCTTATTTAATAAGATATATTTTATTCTTTTTAAAGTCTTTTTCTATGTAAATTTCTTTAATCTTATATTCTTTAATATCATTTATAATAAGACTATCAAGTAAGATTTTATTTCTAGCTATATTTTTAAATAGTTCTAATAAAAAGACATAAAATACTAGATATAATTGTTGATATTATAAGATTATTTTTAACTTATATATATTTATTTTTTATATATTTAATATTTAGAAAAATCTAATAAACTTAAAATTAAATTTTAATTTCTTTCTATCTAAAAAATAGATATTTATAATTTATAATATTATTTTATTATTAATTTAAAACTGTATTATTATATATTTCTTATTAAAATATTTAGACTAATTCTCTGATATTTCCTCTAATAGCTTTCAAAGTTCTTTGCATTTAATCTGTAGTTAGGTTATTTATTTAATTGCTAATATTTGATCCTTCTTTGTCTCTGAGGTTTCCTTATTAGAATCTATACCCAGGGGGTCCTAATTAATATTGACATGAATATCCTCCTAAAAACCTATTAATGTTTTAATAGGTGATATTCCAATAATATTATATATATTATTATTATATATATGTTAAGCTAGTATTAACTACTATATCTAGTTATTCTATAATAAATTAATATATAATTAAAAATAATATTCTAATATCTAATTCTGTTATTTTATTTAGTTATTAATTTAAGAATAATAGACTATACTAATTCTTTTTTTTATACTAAGATACTAATAGAACATTTTCTAAAATATAACTATAAATATTATTACTTAATCACTTATAATATTCTTAGGTATAATAAAATATTTAATTATTAATTTATATATAGTCTCTACCAGTTCTTTTACTAATATAATAGTAGATATAGATTTATATATAACATATTTTATTAATGATTTTATAATAATTATAATAGCATTATATATTTTTTCTTTCTAATTTAAAGGTAGAAGCTCTATTATAAAATCCAAGATGACTAACTTCTAAGGTTTTATAGGTGTGACGGGGGTTGCAAGAACGTAGCTGGGATTCGGCTTCGGCCTAGGAATAGATTCGAATATATAACGTATATACACATATGCTCAGCAGCTAATTGCTGCTTTATGAAGGCCTAAGGCCACCCGCGGTTATAAGATAGTATATACCAAGCCACTAGTCTAATTAATAGCAGGAAGCCAGGCAAGGTTACATGCCCGCTATACTTTGAAGCTATTCCCAACTTCATCCAGGATTTTATCTTATAGCTATCCCCCTCTTTATAAAGACACATCCCTAAGCCTAAAACTTCATAGGCTTATAAGATTTAGTATATAGAATTAATAATTTAAGTTTTATAATAAAATCCTTATTCTTAGTAAAGAAATTAAAAATAAATAATAAATATTAAATAAAGGATTAAATATATAGAAAATAGTTAAAATTAATACTAATAATAAGCATATATAAATCCTTATCTTCCTTATTCTAACTTTCTCTTTCTTTCTTTTTTCTTCCTTAGCCTTATCTTCTTCCTTAATAGTAAGTATTATCTTAATATCATATTTTTTTATTAAAATTTCATCAAATATGGATTTAGTGCATCTTATATTATTAATTTTTTATTTTTCTTATATTAATTTAATGCTTAGGATAATAGTAAGATGATTTTAATTATCTTATAGTTAAGTATAATAGTTAACTTAAAATACTTAATTCTAATAATTTAAATCTACTCTAGCTATCTTTCTCTTTAAGA